TACCTTAGAATTATTGAGTTTCCGGTCATGAACCAACTGATTGATTTGTCTCCGCAGGGTTCTACCTAAGCGGTTATATTATTATGCAGCAGAGACCTTGATGGCTCGTTTATGCATCATCGTATAGAGCTTGGATTAACGGAGTAACATCGGTGTCCGCTCGGCCCTGGTCTATGTCTCCTATGCACTAGGGGTAGGATCTGCCTTGAAAAAGGTATATCCCTCAAGGATAACCTTGAAAGCTTCCGCAGGCTACCCGAGCGATAGGATACGAGTGTTCGGTGTAGTACAGTTTTTCTATAGATAATGTTGCGATGTTTGAGGATGCTACTCCTGCGCAGCGTCGCCAGTGTGATAACAGTAAAGGGGAAAGGTAGCTATATTCTCGAAGGGGACGCTATATAGATTCATTCAATATACAGGATACCGTTGATAAGGAGAACCGATTCCACGTTAACTTACGATAGTAATCGTTGGTTCTTATAGTAATGGCAAAGTTGGTAGGACACTATCTAGGGGGCTTTGCCCCGGTATAAGCCTATGTTCATCACTTAGCAGATTCATTCGCATCGGTATATATATCGTACTTGATTACTATTTTTGTCATCCTTCTAGATGCGTCTATTCCCAGAGATAGACCGCCTTGTATGCGGTAGAAGCAGCACCTTAACTAAATCGGGCCTATTTTTATTTTCATTACGGGTATCGATATAAAGTGATAGAGTGATACAGGTCTTTCGGGACTGAGACTAGCTATAGCCTGCGAGGAGGATCGCTAATATCGCCAGTAACATTTTCGCTATTCTATTAAACAGATATTTGAATTAATCTCAAAATGCGGTAGCCGATCTAGCAATTTGTTAGGTATCTGAAGTAATAGCATTGGATAGGCCGGTTAGCTATAGAGGGGAATTACCTAGACTGGTAGCGTGCTAGCTAGTTACGAAGTGACGAGTTCTTATCCGTCAGATGATCAATTATAGCTTTCAGACGCTTGATTTCGTCCTGTAAGTGCTTTTCCCGTTCTTCGGCCTGTTTCTTCCGTTGGCGGGAGCGTCGCGATGCGTCGCTATTTAATTTGCGTTTCTCGGCCTCGCTAGTCGAGGTAGTCTTAAGGTCTAGTTTATACGGGATTATACCAACTGCTTCACTTGATGGTAAAGTTAGAATCGGCGCCGCTAATCGGCGCATTAGGCCTGCTGCGCTTCGGTGTAGATCTAATAGTAGTAACTACTGTAAGGGCGAGGATCGCTAATTATGTGATGCTGGCCTCTAGTCTATTATCGGTATTCACTAATTGTACAAGAAATCTTAAATTAAGAGAGGGCTCGAGGTGTGTCCTTTTGTCTTTTATCACGGGGATGAACTAATTCTTATAGTTATTTATATGGCATTTCAGTATCGATATGTAGTGATAGATCGATATAAGTCTTTAGGGCTGAGACAAGCTATAGCCTGCGAGGAGGATCGCCAATATCGCCGGTAACATTTCAGCCATTCTCTTAAACAGTGATTTGGATGGATCTCAAAATGCGGCACCCAATCTAGTAATTTAGTACAACGCACCCGCCTTACGTGCAAATACTAGCTACGCCTCATCGCGTGGATTTGCGACCTGCACTTTCCTTAATGTAGAATACTCAATGGTGACTTACCAAGCATTGTGATATACCTTCGGACTGAAAAAGGAAATAGTCGGCATCACTACCTAGGTACCGTGTGATTGATTTAAGTACGTCAGGTTGGAAGTTACCCCGAATCCTATACGCCGCTCTGATCTTCGCCACAACGTTACGTTCGTCATAGCGGATTTTAAGCTTGAGGTAGTAAGGCTTTATCCGAAGTGGACATGCCCAGTAAAGTATCGACCTCAGACTGCAAAATGGCTTGCAGGATCATATAATGAAAATCCTAATGCCTCCCGCGCCCGATTCTTCAAAGGAGATAAGCGAGAACATTTCACGAATATCGCGCGAGTGCTATAACGCAGCTATGTATAGATCCTCCTCTTTAGGCAATAACCACTGCTATTCCTTGATCCGGTCACAAGCGCTATGCGCGGAAGATGGCAGGGATATGCCTAAAGTTATTTATGTTACTATGAATATACAATCGTACGACAGTGATTTCTCGTGGATAACATACCTGATCAACGAGCGACAAATCGTAAGAGCTAGTGTATAATTATATAGACTGCGTTGAACGAGTAGTTAGTTTAATGGGCTTGGGCTATAGTAAAAAGGAAAAGGGGGGGCGACCTCGCCTCTACACAGAAACTCCATATATCGCGTGAACAATAAGACAAGCCTAAATGATTAATAGCAAAAAAAGTAGCATTCCTAGTTTGTCTTGTGACTCTGTAGCTAGGTCAGGTTAGGATGTTATTATGTTCCTGGAGTATAATTCTGCGATTTGAGATTAGCGAGGATTGAAAAATCCCGGGATATCTTACTAGCTATTTAAATGCAGCATTAATCGAGAACGATATTTCCTATAGGGCTCAATTACGAAGTCGGGGAATTCAACCCAATAAATAGGGAAGTCTAGATAGCGCCGTCCCGGTTCATAATCTCAAACACTAATTGAAACCTTGGCAGGATTGAAATTATAGGTTAAAGAAGTAAACATAAAATTACTTTGTGATCCGCGGTTGGTGGCCGCTTACGTTGCCGACTGAAAATCTGGGCGTCTCAGGACCGAGTCAAGTTGATGATTTTCCTATGCTATATTGCTACTTAGGTCTTTTACGCATAATGAAATAGTGCGCGGGTTTATGCTATCGTTGCAATGTCTAACGTAAATAATTTCTTTCCCTAGTAGTATCGACCTATAATCCTCGTTATCTAGAAATTATTAATACAATAGCCGTTAAGTATTTTCGGTCGAATGTACTACCTTAGTCATTTGCAAGGTTCTTATACCTTGTAGCCTCAAGACCAGAGTAATTTTGTAGCTCGCCGCGGGGTTGCCTCTTGCCTGCTTGAATGGATCGTCGTAGGTAAGGATCGGTATTTCCTTTACGCTCCCGGATTATATGCTGTCGGATCGCTCCTCTTGGGTAATGTTTGTCTTCTTCTGCAATCATTAATCGACGAATTGCAGATGGGGATACGTCGAACTCCTGTCCTTTTTCTTTAAATCGTAGTAATGACATAGTGAGGAGTGACTACAAATTTGATAATTTTGATGGCGACTTAAGAGGTTTGCGTTCGAAAAGAGTTGTGATAACTTTAGGTTTAGGGCTTGTGTCGGTGCTTTCCTCATCCTTAGTTTCCCACTTAATTGCGGCATCCCCGATGTTCCGTTGCTCGGGTTGAGCTGCTAGTGTATAATTATCTATGACGCTTAAGATTGTTTCCGTTTTATCGATTGCATAACAGGAATAACAGGGGAAATATAATTATCACTTTATAGCTTATTCGCTGGATCTGAATATTGTGCCTAGGGCAACACCTAAGCTTCAAGAACAGAAACGCCCATTAGCGTGGTAAATAGAGTACGGATCAGGATAACAAGTAACTTATTCACTAGGATCATCGCCGACTACCGGATCACGCTCCAAGGATGGAAGTCATCAGAATAGTAACGGAGCTCTCAGAAACAGTGATTCTGCATCATTTTGTTTTTAAAGGGGACTATTCGTCTAAAGAAAAAGCATCATACTCTGGACTTGATTATCCGTGTAGAGAAATCAGCTCACATCTATTTTCAATTTCATAAAACGGTACATCTCAGAGGGAAATCCTCCGGGGGAGAGCCAGGGTGACAATCTTGATTAATATTAATAAAGATATGAAATCTTAAGTCTGCCCTAGGCGTATTACCCTTAGGGGTTAGAAGTGCTGGGAAATGTATAACACGGTCTGCTTCCTCTCCAGAATGTTTAGTGGAAGTCAGGTATGCCTTCGCGCATACGATGATCTCTAGATATCTAGGAGACTTCCTAGTGCCGTTTTGTTCCACGAGAAGTAGTATATGAAAATATTCTCCGCATTTCTCGACAGCGGATCGTTACGATTATCTTATAGATCGCGGTAAAGGGCAAGCCAGCAGGCTTCATGTTGGAAAATATGAAAACGGCTCTGTCTAGGGGTGTAGTGAACTTTTTTCAATTTTCCACGATAGGTAGGGTCGTCTGTTTTCGCGAACTCAAGTGGATCATCATCGAGGTCCCAGAGAAATCCCAAGGTGTCCTTGATTCCGACAATAACAGCGCTTAACTAGCTGTAAAACCGGGTATTCGACATCCACTTCTTTATTGACGGGTACAATGTGTCCCGATATCTGATTTCTGCGGAGGAGATAAAGAAGGAAACGGCAGGCTCCAGAGCTCGTAGGAACCATAGCAATGAAAACGTTACAATCGCCGGCAGGGCGATTAGTGGAAAGAAGTAGGTTAAGTAAGCCAGCGGGTTAATACCAGCGGAGACCCAGATCAGTCGAAAAGCTGAGAAATCCGGGAAAAAATGTTTCAATGATAGATGGAAGTTCATCGGACAAGTTCTCCTAGGGGGGTTAAGTCATTTCGGTAGAAAGGAGAGAGAGAAAGTTTCGCAGCGATGAGAGTTGAGCAATGAAGGATCAACGGGCGCGGCTATCCCTTTTATAGATCTACTTACTATAGTAGGAGAAGAGTTAACGGTCTAGAGAAGGTATTAAGAGTGAGAACGCGCCGAGATGTATTAATTGAACACTCATTTCCCACTCCTAATCAGCCTCTTTTTTCCTATTTTGTTCTAGTCTCTTCGGTTTCCCGAATATATTAGCTAAGCACAAGTAAGTCCAAGCTCTCGTAGATTTAGACGATCCTAGAGTCGCGGTTGAAGCTCTCTACCAAGATGAGGTCACGTGCCCAAGACTCCCCCACCAAAACCCTGTAACTAATCTGTATGTGTACCCAACTTTCAAGATCGGGCAACCTTACCACTAGCAACCTTTTATCACTGCCCCTCCAGCCACAACCTTTCCCATGACACGATCTTCTGCGCAACTACTCCAAAATGCGACCTAGAACGATATCACTCCGCTCAAAATCGATCGTTAACTCGATAAGGGATCGAATCAGACAAGGGGACACAAAGCATAAGGTAGAGACCCCAAGCGGATGGAGATACGGAGGGGAAGACTTCACGAAATTGGTAGATTCGCTGCAGGTTGAGATTGACAAGGACCTTCAAAATGATGGCATTCATGTGAATATTCCTTCCTACCATTTCCCTGTCGGCAGTGTACTGAGTTTATAAGGTTTTGGCATGTACGGTGCGACGCTTTAATAAGGGCGAGCCGATCCTTAACCCGCTTTATCCGACGAAACGCCTAATCATTATCCCTGTCAACGGGGCCGCGTCTCTTTCCCCCGGCGGTTCGCTTTCGATCGATACCTATTGTTTTATTGAAGGAATACCGACGCTCTCTGGAGAGGGTATTGACGTGGTGATTGTTGCCTATGAATTAAAATCCCTTAACGCATAGCAACACATACAATTTAAATGTACTAAGAATGTACAATTTCTTAGCAGAGAAATAGAGGCCCGGAATTACTGAAATGAGGAATAAGCTCCGTATTGATATCAAAGATAACCGGGACGGTGAATATCCAGCTTATGTAGGCCTGTCGCCGAGCTATTAGTGAATAAAATTGAAGTCAACCGTGAAGGGGTCGTAGCCTAGTCAGACAGTAAGCTAATACCCTCGTAAAGAAGAGCTACCTAATATGGCCTACTATTAAGTCCCGCCTCATTGTCTCGCGCAGCTAAGGAGAGAACGTTTCCGGATATTTCAGGATTTTGATCGTCGAGCTCTTGAAGAAGGTAATTGAAGTCGACCTCGAAAGGGTCGTAGCCTGGGATCGCTGTCAGTGTTGACTAGAGAAGTATCTATCAAAACTATCATACCGTCGCCTACGCTACCATTAACGTTGATGGACTCAGTAGGCAAGGTTGAGAGTACGTTTGTCCGGGCATGCTTAGATTGACCTTGTTCAGGCAACCCCTCGAGCTCGAGCAAGCGTTTGCGATTACGTTGTCGGCGTCTATACTCCTCTGGATGTATATGAGTACTATAACTTTTTGTCGTAGCGTTTGACTTACTTACCGCAAGACTTATTGTATTCTGATCGGCATTTTGACAGCCATTCTGTCTTTTCCTCGGCCAGAGTCGACCATTCTTCGCAATCATGAATCACCTCCGCTAGTGATTGAAGATGTGAGTAGTTTAGATCCCGGAATGCCGTGAACAAATGGATTAATAACACAAGGATTCCATGATTCCCATAAATATGCTTAAATGCATGATACTTTAACCCATGTTGGATCGATTTCCGAGTCGTTTCACCTTGGGAGACGATAGACAGGTATTCAGTAATGTGACCTTTCGCTTTGCTTTCTGCGTCTTTTGCATCTAAATTTAGGAGCGACGTGCGAGAACAGCTATAGGTGGACTGTGCCCATATCATATAGCTTTCGGCCCACGCGTATCGCCCAAGCCATCCCCGGAATCGTTGAGAAGGAGTAGATTGACGGGTGTCTAACGCGATGTCAACGTTGCGGGGATCATCGTCTATCCAACTATTGTTCTTAGAGATCGCATCAACTTCGGTTTTCTTCACGAAGGAGCGAATCATTTTGGATTTACGGTAGAGCTTTTCCATGAAGGAGACAACTTCAGGTTATATCAAAGCTTCATCGCACTTAGAATTCGAGCCCTGAAGATGAGTTTGAGGTTGAAGTTCCGGTGAAGGACCAGGTTGAGGATTTGGTTGAGGATCTGGTTGAGGATCTGGTTGAGGATCTGGTTGATGGTCTGGTTGATGGTCTGGTTGACGGTCTGGTTGACGGTCTGGTTGACGGTCTGGTTGACGGTCTGGTTGACGGTCTGGTTGACGGTCTGGTTGACGGTCTGGTTGACGGTCTGGTTGATGGTCTGGTTGATGGTCTGGTTGATGGTCTGATACAGGAAAACAGAGTCTTGTTGTAACTGAAGCTTATAGAGTTCGGCCTAAGCTGGCGAATGCAACCTGCAGTTCTTGTCGTTGATGCGGTTGTAAAATATCCACATCTATGTTTTGTAGATTCGTGGATAGGTATGTGGCCGCATGTAGAACTTGATCGAGAAGATTCATTCTGGTCGAAAGCCATGAGGTTGAGAAACTAGAGTGCGATGTACGGAAATATTAGGACCTCAGGCCAGCAGGTCTTGGCTTTAGCCCTGGGGCCAAAGCCAAGACATCGGTGTTCCTGTTGGACTCCAGTGACACGTCATCTTAGCTTGCTTTTTCTAGTCACAATGCCAGACAGGCGTTGTCACTAGGCGTTCACTAGGTCTCGTCCTTAAGCCCCTACCCTGCAGATATTACGGGGCAACCAATTACGAGGAACCTCCACAGTCTCAAGCCTTGGCCTCGGACCTTTCATACCCGCCAGTAATCCATTAGCAGGAAATACTGCGCGCCGAGAGCCGGGGGGAATGCCTTATATCGCGCAGCAAAGGGTACTTCCTATCCAATCGTTTGCCGCCAGGGAAAAATTCGGTTTTCTGATGGTTAGGTGAAGATTACATGATAGAGGTATTTAATTTTAAATAGAGGAGTGAATAAAAACGGGTAGCAAACCCAGCTTCCCACTAATGCACGGGGCTTCATAGCTTCTGTTGTAATACTCTAGACCAGTTCTTTGCCCGGTGCCATTTGCTCGGCGGTAAATGATTAGAAAGTATAAGATTCAGTCGATATCTGTGCGCACATTAAACCAGGGGTCAACGATTTAACTTTTAGGTGTCCCTTCCCAGCCATTTATCCAGCACTAATAACAAGTCAGCTACATCGAGGCCTTTTTATTATCTTAGCATTCAAGACCAGGACTCGTACGTAAAGCTGTTTTTTCCGTCCGAATTAGGAAGCAAAAGGCCGATACGCCGTGCACGTAGAAAATGAATCCTTAACTCACTAGTTTCAAAACTCGGGGCGTAGGTCCAAGTGTTCATCATCCGAAAGAAAGAAAACATAATTTGTTGACAATGCTGCAGAACAGGTCGATTTATCGTAATGTCAATACGCCGTTCAGATCGAGCCGGTGCCCCGCGAGAACCAGGCTTCCTTGCTTTACTCGTAATTTCCGTTCGCATCCGGCCATAACCCTTTTCTATGATCCGTGAAATCAATACACTAGATATAATGTTTATACAATAAATAAATGATATAAGTATCGATCTCCCGTCACCTAACTGCCTCATTGTTTCCAGTGTCTAAGCCGCCGTACGTCGCCCGACAAGAAAAGTATCTTTTTCAACTTTTCTCTTATCAGCTCCAGCACTTTACAATAATATCAAAGGCAAATATAGATCTTGAAAAATTCCACACTACCATAACACTAACATGAATTAGATATGTAACTGGAGAATCACAGTTTGCAGCAAGCCCGCCTACGGAGCAATAATACAATCAATTCGAACCCATAATTACGGCGGAAACCATCCGGCAAGTCAAGCAACAAATACAGAATGGGTTAAGACCACTTATACAACCTGCAGCCTGCCCACTCTACCATAATGCGCGTTCAGGTAAAGATCTCGAAGGGAAAATGAGATATGTCGTTTAACAGGTAGATTAACTTTGTGTCATACTGCGTAGGTTGAAATATACTAGGCTTCCCTTTGTGTAATCTTCAATAAAAGGGGGAACAGCGCCATAGCCATTTGAATCATGCAAGCGGGCGATATCGCCGTTGACTCTCTCGCGCTCTGCCTGACGAGGCTCATAAGCAATTTGTTTAGTGCTGAAATGAACTATTACAACCCGGAGATTGTTCTGTTCAGGTAGATGTCTACGTTCGGCATTATAATCCTTGTTCGAGATATCGAACACGAAAAGTAGGCGAACTGCCCATTTTTATATCGCTAAGAGCAATGTATCTGGCTGGGTGTCTCTTGGTCTATCAAAGAGTCCATATTATTCGAGGACTTACATAGCAGGCGAAATGAGGTCCTCTGGAGAGTGGCAGGCCTGATCCTATAATGAACTCCGGTTTGACACAATGACGAGCACACGTAGAGCAGATTCTCGGGACATAATAAGCTACTAATATTAGCTGTTTCTCTGGCAGATAGGCAAGTATTCCATCACTTACAGGTTCCGAAATGATATTTGCGATAAACAGGGACTCGCCTCGGAGACAGTTCCTCGAATGAAATGGAGTCAATAAGTTATAGTTATAGCAAGGGCGGGCGGTTGAGGGCTGTTTATTGAGATCACACCGCCTCTGCTAGGGGGGTGTATTAAGGCGTGAGCCGTAGCACTGACTACCCCGCCTCCGGGGTGATCCAATTCCAATTCCAACAATAAAAATCCCACCATCTACCTACCGCCCCTAGCCACTACCTACCCCACCCTGAATAATAACTATACTAATAGTATTCATGGAATCTTATAGCGATTTATCTGTATTAGTGGTCAGTCTTTTACTATGCTATCGGTGTATGCAGAGAGGAAAATAGATATTTGCCAACTAAATAGGCCTCAGCGAGCTATTCCCTTCTTCCCTTCTTTATCTACCTCAAATTGCCTAATGGACTAAGACAGAAGATGAGAATCTTTCCCCATGGGTTAAACGGAGCCTGGTAGCTTACTCTTGCTCCTCCGCTCATCTGCTCTGGTTCTACTACTTGGATGAAGCTCTGTGCACACCTACTAATAACCGATTGAACGCTTTGGCAGGAGACACAGCTGGAGCTGCGCCCTGAGAAAGCGGGGTAATACCCTTATTATGCAAGGCGACGACTCAAGTCTCGCACTAATACATGAACTTTTATATTGTTATCTCGGGCAGCTACGTTGGTTGGCGAAGCACTCTCAGTAGTAGCTCAGCTTGGTTCGACCTAGCTAGCCATGTCAGCCTTTATCCCGATGCAACTGAGATCATATATTGCAATTATAATAAAGAAGGTAGGGTAGCTGTACTAGATTTCCGAAGCAAGCTCCCAGCCAGTTGTTTGCCGCCGAACATAGAACGGGCGATAAAAAAAAAGTGAGCAATAAACGACAGGACTATAAGAATATGATCCTGACCAGGCCTTAAGCCCCAGCTTAGGCACTGTTTGAACATTTGGTATTTCTCTTTCTATCTGAATCAACACCAACATTTACGCCACGTCAGGCCACCTCATCACGTCGTAAGTCTTTCCTACTAGCCAGGCCAGTCTCGTAGCTAATTTTTTAAGAAACCTTATATGTCAAATCTAGGTTACTACAACTATATTCGCTTGCGGAGACCGGGAAGTGAGACGAGAACCGCATCTATACCCTAAGAATCACGCCGAGCCCTAGCCGGAAGTTCCTATAGGAAGTTCTCATAACCGGCGGGATAAATGCTCGAAATGCCGGGGAGCTTCGAACGGCCACTGACACCATCACCTGTAAGTGTCTCCTAGTAATCGTACCCGTAATTGGCGGTTAACATAAGTTATAAGCAGAGCTTCGGTCTCTCGCCTAGGCCAAGCCGGTTGTATCACCGATGATACCATCCGTAGAAAGCAAGTTAGGAAAATACATCTATAGGAACCATCTTGAACTCCTTTTTTCATCACACTCTTTCAATTACGAGGGTAAGCTGTAATAGGAAAACCGTAGATCTGCATCTGGATCCATCTCATATCGTTCAGCCAGTACTTTCAACTGCTCCTCTGAAAGAATCCCTTCGAGGACGCATCCTTGATAGACAAGTCAGCGGACAAAAACAACTTGTTCTCGAACCTAGAAAGTCAGCCTTACCAAATTTGTATCTTCGGCAATTTTTCCAATCCATGACCTAAGTCTTCAAACCTTAGAGGTCAGTAAATACCTCGGTGCTTTCGGCGTAGTGATTTGTCTAGGAGTCAATATAAGCTAGATGATGTACCATATCTAACGAGCAGCTGTAATTTCCCAGCCAGGCTGTCTGTATGACTTTATCAATGCTTTGGTTTCCCGAATTCAATTTAGGCAAAACTAGTCTCCCATTCTCAAGTGATAGGTCAGGCGTGAATCCATGCTCTATATGAAATATAAGCGAAGCTAGTGCAAACATGTCGGATGCCTCAGATAAAATCGGCGAGGGGCCATTAACCGGAAGTGGGAGATCTAGAAAGACCGGGTTAGGATGACCGTAAGGACTGGCAGCGCTGAAATCACAAAGAATCGCCGAAAACCGATCGTCATAAAGCACATTATCAACCCTTACATCCGCATGCATAATACCGAGGCTATGGAGATGGCGCAGAGCATCGGCAATATCGCGGTATAACCTAATCCGGCGAGCCTGTGTTGATTTCACATCTATAGGTAGTTATCGATATTTGCGGAGATATAATCCTTCCGGCTGATCGGTATTAATGACCTGTATAATATAGGGATGTAGTCTGCTTTGCAGCTGCTGCAAGATCGTTCGTTCATCTTTCAATAAATTGAAGTGAAATAGAGTGTCCGACGCGTAATGCCAAAGGTCGCTTCGAGTGGCATCACTGCTAGGCGGTGCGAAAATTCGACAGGTCTTGAGAATAATTTGGTCGCTAATATTATAGACTTGGCCAGAAGCCCCGACGCCTATGATGTCTAGGTTATATTAAGGTTGCAAACGCACAGTGTAGGTTTCACATGTTGAAGAAAGGCCCTCTTCGATGTCGAAAGGGATATTAGACTCGAGATCGTTAGGACTTTCGTTTGCAAATGTGAGCTTCTGTATGAAAGGGGAGATTATACGGGAGAAAAAGCCGATGGGCTGGAATATAAAGCGTATGAGCAACTGTTATAGGTACGAAAATCGATTAACTATGTATAAAAACATGTCGAAGGTGCCCGTGGTTAGGGAAAGGAAAGCACGACGTTTAAAGGGGGGCGCAAATAAAATTCACGTCACATGATACATATATATCACATAACTGCCCAGCCAAACAGCAAGATGCAGTGTGGAGTATTTAGACTGACGATAATATCTATAGCATACGAAAATACTTAGACGAGCAGCCTCCCTTGTACTGGAGTGGAAAGCTCTCACCCTCGGCTCACCTTCTTATCTAGCGTTTCTATCTACTAATTAGCCTGTTCGGGTATACGTCGTCCACGAGAGAACCCTTATTTTCCTAGCTACGTGCATCTTATCGTCTCCGCCAATCGATCATGCTCGTATCAGCCTTGGCCCACGTAAGTTTTTGATGGCTACCTGTAATTAGTTAGTAGAGAGTTGCATTGCACGGGGAAGGGCCCTCCTATCCAGTTATTTGCCGCCAGGAGAAAATTCGGGTTTCTGATAAATGAAATCAAGTAGCCATTGTTATCTCTAAGACTATTTCTAGCCCGACGCTATTTTCCTCGGCGGTAAATGATTGGACAGAAGCGTACCCCAGTCTCAATCGCAATTACGGCGTTTGACACCCCATTGTTAGCCGACCGCGAATATATGATTTTGTAGGATGGACACCGCCGTACGCCACTACCGGTGGTCTGGTTTATGGAATGTTACTTCTGAGGATCATACTCTCTTTCCGAGGATCTACCTACCCCGCTGCGTTCGACATTTTACTAGGCCCGAGGACATGTTTCAGCGCCTTGCTGATTGTTAGCTAATGCTGGATTTCGGGAAAAATTCTGGTGTTCGTATTTGCCATCGTTGGATTGAAATAAATGAATACATGAGGAAGAGCAACTATCTCTGTTAAGTTCGAGCTCTTCTGGCCAGTCGCTCCGATCGTCTGAGTTCAGATTGAATCCCATCCTGTGATAATTTGCGTTTCACTGATCCCGCATGGGAGCTACGCGGTAGGTTCTTCCTAACAGAAGTACTAGCTTGATCTACTGTTTCCAGAGAAATAGTGTCGGTAGTTATCGAAGGTTTACGTACGTCGTTATTAGGCGCAGGCGAATGAGGATTGTGATCGGCTGAAGATAGTCTAGAAGAGAAGGTGAGGAAGCATTTTGGGTCTACCCTATTCGGGTGGATACTCAGAGTAATACTTCCAAAGCAGTCTTCTCGTTCCTCATAATCGGAGGCTAAAGGGGGCCACCTTTTATAAAGTTTAATAGAAATTCGGCCGGTGAAGTCGTGTCGCCAATTAGCTCCCTTTTTCCATTCTGGCAGAACCGATTCAAATATCATAATCCCATCTGACCGTTTTCGAGATGCACGGACATTAGTACCGTGATCATCCTGGAGAACTTTAGGGGAGAAGGTGAGGAAGAATTTTGGGTCTTCTCTTTCCGAACGGACGACCACAGCACCTCGTCCGAAGAGGATATCGTCTTGCTTGCCAATCTCCAGGCTGCAAGGTATATCTGGCGAAAACAAGGCTTTTCGGATGATCACTCGGTTGACTAAAAATTCTGTTAGCTATATATCCCCCTTCTGGAACTCTGGGACATAGAATCGTATGGTCACACGGCCTTCCTCGCTTCGTCCTTATAGCTGTTTGGACCTATTCGAGTTGCTTGCCAGCGTGTTTTCTGTAAAACTAAAGTCTCAGCGACTGTATTGAATTGTATAGCACGGAATCACTCACGAGGAGACTGAATTCCATCAAAAAAGGCTTTAGCCTGTAGACAATCGGCATTCCGACAGTGCTCTATATGATCGTGGATCGCCGCTAGTTCATCGCCGATGGCAGTAGATACGGAAGAACCCCAAGTCGAGGCTGTTTTGCCTAAGCACTCGATTCGGTAGATATGATCCGCTGTTTCAGGCGATAATCTGCGTTTTGTAGATTCCATATCATAGGAGCCACATGCGAGGCCTTTCCTTAAGGAAGTATCGGATTAAATCGATGTTTCTTGTGGAACAACGTTACGGGTCATCGGAGAAGTATCAGGCACGCTGCGAGCCTCCTCGGGTTCCTCGGTCTTGGAAGCTTTGCCTTGCTCCGTGCTTTGCTCGCTTACTAGTAAGATTTAGCATAATAGTCATAAATAGTCATCAGCTAGCGTACCTCCGTGGACACTCGCCAGATTCTCCTTCCTTACAGCCTTAAAACGGGGGCTTTCTCGCGACGCATCAGATGAATTCACCGTGACTTTCAAGGCTTCGTGGTCCGACTGAGAACCGTCGGGTGTTGACTACTCGAATGGCTGAAGTCCTTCTGGATCCGCACAGACTAGCGATCCGATTAGCACACGGACGGAGGAATCGATGGCAGCATCAACCTTCACGGGGACAGCGAAGTTTGCACCGGTCAACGTACCCCAAAATTCCGGTGTAGCCATGATCTCAGTGTCGGCATCGGAAACAAGTTGGTCTGGCTCATCGCGGCACCAACCCTCGTCAACCTGGATCACGATGGGATTGGAAGCCGAGCCCAACGGAGCAAGATGATCTTCGATCACTATAGGATTGGCGTAAGTGCCTAACTCTGAGGCAACCATATAGTCGCACACGACCACTTCAGGCCATTCACGCGGCTAAGTCGGCATTGAAGCTTCGGTATATTAAATTAGAAGAATCAATCATACTTGTAGACGATCTCTTACTGGATATTTCGTGTTCATTCTCTGTAAAAAAGGCCATAATGTCTGGGACCAGTACAAGAGACTAAATCGAATAGGTAGTGAATGATGTAGAGAAATCTGAGCACTTGGATAAAATAGAAAGAGGAAGTCGGTTTCTTGACTGGTCTTTCATCAAGTCGGCGGGCGAAATACATGGTTTTATACCTCTCGTCGGACCGATCTACGCCTGGTCCAGCCTGTAAGGTGCGCAACAGGATCGGTTTCAAGCTCAGAGAGTAAATAGCTCCGGCGTGATGGCATCTAGACGAGAACTGTCTACGCCAATCGATTCTGTGACTGATGTACCGTGCAGGGCACTACCGTACGAGGGTCTCGCGAGTTTATCTAATTGATCTAATAGCTATATTGTATAGCGCTGTTACTATTTCTGGGGAACCCCATATCTACGCATCGCCTGCGCCTAGCTGTCACTACCAGGTCGATTGAGCACTGTGTGCCAGTCATTCCATGGTATAGGCCCGAAGACAAAACTCGCCGGACGCGCCGATATAGAGAAAATAGCTTCATTATCGTCTCCAGTCCGCATAACGCTCGTGCTGCAGAACCAAACCCTTGTTTCCCTATCCGTCGCGTTCCATCATCTCCGCTAATCGATCATGAAGTTGCCGGGGCTTCGACGACAAGGCACACTTGGTGACAGGGGCTTAGGTGGGCTCCGGAATGCGGACGATGGCAGGAGAAACTGTGTAGGTCGACGGAGATGGACGTTTGCACATGGTAGGACTAGGTCGCCTGGTGCACCTTCGGAGATCCTTCCTGGTTCCCGACACGGCCGCCGTGAAGCCTTACGATCATTGTGAAAGCACAAACTGTGATTATTATCGTCTCGTCAATTAATAACCACTGCCTGATGCATACAGCACCTAAGACGATCTGGTCGTTCATATAACTGACCAGTTCGATCTCGGTCTTCCTCGATTACGAATGATACGGACGCCATCAGCCAAGGCCGATAACACCCTCACTCACTACCCCAAGGTAGATTTGAAGCCCCGCTGCACACGGAGCATTATCCAGAAAGAGTGTGGGGTGAACGCGCCCCGATGCGGTGCAGGTGGACAGACCGATCGATTGACATATGAGGGTTAGGGGCCGGAACTGCAGGTCGGCGCGACGGACCAAGGGCAAATTTGCCTCATCTCGAGCGTAACCGTGGTAAATGAGCGGAAATAGACCAAGGGCCGGGGAAAACAACGTAGACTGCGCTGAAGGGCTCGGAAGGCTGCTGAGAGGAGGCCAGTTCGTGCTAGCGGTATAGGGGTTGCGGAGCTCGGTGATCCGGATCAATGGCAAAAATGCCTCACTCGCAAGGCGTACACGGAGAACGGAGAGTAAGGAAAGGCAGAAGGGCAAAAAACAGCTAGATGTTGAAGCGGCGATGAAGGGGACTTTATAGAAACACGCACGGCGATAGTAACGCGCAGGGAGGCGCTAAACCCGAAACGGCGCGCTAAACTCTTTTGCGTAATTCACCGTCACCGAAGACTACGGAGTAGTCTGTGTCGGGTAGTTGCTTACTGATGTTTTGGCCTGCGCTCGTTTCCTGTGATCTCAGCCAAGGCAAGCCACTATGAGCAAGCCAAGAAAAGGCGTTCTTCGCGTGGGCCCTTCGCGTGTCTGATCGAGGAACGCTTGCAGAGGTTTGCATTGTAACGTCTTGGCTGGCTCAATCGCCCGGGTCTCCGTGCGGGATGGCGCTTTGCCGGATATCCTCTATATAGGACATGGTGTTGAAACTTGACTATAGATACTTGTCAGCTCAGAATCTCCAATCCAAGGCTGCCATTGCCTTCTCGTTCGAGCGCGTTAAATCAGTGTTGGCTGTCTAAATCCCATGTTTTCTCCCAAGATTGTTCCCCAGGTCCGAGTGTCTCTCGGACAATGAATTCTGCCCCATGGGGCCCTTTCGGCTTATTACGGAATAAAAGAGGAAAACATTAGACCGGTACATTGGCACCTTCCTTCGAGGCAGACGCCAAGCAGTGCCATGCCGGCGCCAAGATATTCCACACCCACGCCAAGCGATGCTATATCACCACCAAGTCGTCCCGTACGCTTGCCAAGGGTTTCGTGCGTCGTTGAGAGCCATTTGACCAGTTACGTTGCGGCCGGCGAGCCGCCCCCAAATTCTACTTACCGTGGAACTCCCCGAGTCCCCCCATCCCCGCCACTGAGGTCTTCCCCGTACCTTGGCCAACCCCATACACGGCCCCCCATAGAAGCCGGACATCTCGGGTTACCTTTTCCGTTAATCCGGGGCGTAATGGGGAACAGTGTATGCTATATAACCCGTTGGATGTCATGGCACAATCTGCGTCGTCAATGCTTCAATCGATCTTTGCTCTTTGCGCTGCTTGGACGTGATGTTTGGTATTCCGAAGTTCTTTGGCTTTCGAGGCCGGGCCCTCAATTTGGCTATCAGTTCCCTCGGTAGCCTTGATTTCTTGTATGATGCTTTCTGTTGCTCTCACTTGGCGCTATAAGTGGTGCTTATAGTGCACTGGCCAACAACTGACTTCCTACGTTTACAAGGCTCTTCGGTTATGATCAAGGTATTACAGGTGGTCTGCTAGACCTACCGTCCTTTATCAAGTACTTCCCCGATATCGACAATATCGATGAGACTATCTCGGACGCCGTACGATCCCAGCGCAGTTTAAACCAGGGTATCGCGGTTGCATCGTATAATCTAGGGTGCTTTTGCGGTTCTCTCTTGTGTATTTTCATTGGTAATCCCCTCGGCCGACGAAAGACTATCTTTTGCGGCTGCTTGACTATGGCCACCGGAGCATTGTTGCAAGCCACCTCGTTTCAACTACCCCAGTTCATTATTGCTCGCATTATCACAGGTATTGGCAACGGCATGAACACAAGTACCGTGCCGACATGGCAGTCAGAGTCATCGAAGGCCCATGATCGTGGTAAAATGGTTATGATTGAGGGTTCGCTCATCACGGGCGGCATCTGCCTTAGTTATTGGATTAATTACGGTAGGTGGAAATCATTTCAAGGATCGTCCGGTTGAGGAACATACAAGTGCTGATGGATGACAAAACAGGGTTTTCCTTCATCGGCGAATCAGAGGTGGCCTGGCGTTTCCCGCTAGCATTTCAGATTCTCTTTGCCATTGTCATTTTCACCTCTATCATTCATTTGCCCGAGTCCCCCCGATGGCTTGTGATGCAAGGTCGAGAAGACGAGGCTTTAGAGATTCTCGAGGCCCTAAATGACAAACCTCGGGATGATCCTTATATCGTGAATGAACTCATAGCAATTCGGGAAACGGTCAAGGAAATGTCCAAGGGTTCTTATCGGAGTTTGTTTGACATGAGCGAATATCGAGAGTTCCACCGTGTGGTTCTTGCCTATGTGAACCAGATGTTCCAGCAGATCTCTGGAATTAACCTTATCACATACTACGTGAGATACCCCTGCTGGCAGATATCTTTCTTACTCCCTTGCTAATATAATCCGTTTAGGCGCCGTCGCTGTATCGTCAAATTGGTCTTGGGCAGGGGAATCTCCCAAAGCTATTAGCCGCTTGCAATGGCACTGAATACTTCATGGCTTCCTTTATCCCTATTTTCATCATTGAGAAAGTTGGACGTCGACCACTGATGCTTTTCGGAGTATGTCATACGCTCGCCCATACTACCTTATATCTCGACATCGATAGCTAACCAAGAGTTTGGATATATTAGGCTGCTGGCATGTCGATCTCCATGGCGATCCTTGCGGGCACCAACTATCGGTTGACTCACCTAGACGATAGCGGTGCTGGTATCGGCCAGGCGGTGTTCCTATTCGTCTTCAACACTTTCTTTGCCATTGGCTGGCTTGGAATGACATGGTTGTACCCAGCAGAAATAGTGCCGCTGCGAATTCGTGCACCGACCAATGCACTAGCCACGAGGTAAATTACATCTCACATTCTGCGAGAGTCTTAGAGTATGATCTAACTAACTATCCTCCCACTAGCGCCAACTGGATCTTTAATTTCATGGTTGTGATGATTACACCAGTTTCATTCGACAGCATTGGCTACAAAACCTATATCATCTTCGCTGTGATGTAAGACCCCAAGGCCGGGCAGCTTTGTCTCACTTGACCCAGGACTTGAACTGACAATAAATTCCAGTAACTTCTTTATGTTCCCCGCCGTATATTTCTTCTTCCCTGAAACGCGCTACCGTTCCTTGGAAGAGATGGATGCCATCTTCAAGAAGTCCACGAACGTCTTCAATGCTGTTACAATTTCCGTTAAAGAGCCCCACCGCTACGATAAGCATGGTCAGCTTAAGCCAGAGTACCTAGAGGAGGCCATTCGCCGTGAGAGTGTCCGTCGCGAAAGCATTATTGGTGGGAGTGGTGACATGCACGAGGCAGGTGAGAAGTTTGACAGCGACGAGAGTGCAAATGATAAACCTGAAGCGATTGGATACGAAGGCAAATAGGGTTGGGTTATATAGGTTGATTTGGTATTGGATAATGTTTTCAACCATGATTGAATATGGAAATATATCGAATTGTCGATAGTGGTTAATCCTCAGCTGGGAGTAGAACATCCACACGTTTCGGTAAATTGTCGGTTCCAAAAAAAAGATAGTGGTCCATATCGTTCTTTACGCGACGCGATTTGCGGTCCTAGGAGCAGATCACCGGCACCGTATATAGATTATTCCGAAAATTGGTAGGAATCATTTGCTACTGGAACTGCACAATACTGGGAATAAACGGACTTCTTTGCTACCAAAAGCAACCTGTCATAAAAAGATATCAATCGTTGATTCTTTTGTCTCATGAAAACAGAGGATCCCCCGGAACCCTGCCCCCGTTGCCAGCTGCCGATCTAACCTCCCCATCCCCAACCGGGATCTTTGACACACCCGCCCTAAAGAAAGAGGGTGAGATGAACCAGGCCATTGACCGGGCCTCTAGGGACATGACGAGGCCATACAGAGCGAGTGTCCGTGTGCACATCTTGAGATGCAGGACCGGACACCAGGCAATTGTAGTGATCACTCGTCATTGGGACCTGACCTTATTGGACCGAGGAATCATACTGGCGAAGTAAATTCCTGGAAAACCTGCAAGGAAAAAGATCCTAGAGACCCACGAAACTAGTCTCGAGATGAGCCAAAGGGCTCAGCCAGCGGCCTCCAGTGCAATTGCAGCATCGTCCGATGGCGGGACGTCCACTCCGGAAAGGTGGGCCAACCGCTCCTCCTCATTTTGCTCACGCAGCTTCTCAGTCTCGTTTCGCATGGCCACCAAGTTCCAGACATCATCATCATCTTCTTCTTCATCTTCACTGCTATCCTCCTCATCTTTCCACTCTCCGCTCTCAAACATCGACCGGCCAGTGGCCTCCTTGGCCTTCTGTGCCTCTGCCTCAGCGGCCTTCTTATCCAGGCGATCCTTCTTCCATTTGGCGAAGGTCTCGGGGTTGACTGGTGTCAGGTTGCCGCTCAGCTTGTGCCGCTCGGACTCCAGCCAGTCTTCTAGCGTCAGGGTGTTTAATGGCGACTTATCCATCAGGGCCTTCTCAGCTGCCTTCTGCTCCTTTGTCTTGAGGACGAATCTGTTCAAATATCAGCATACGAACATCGCGGTAATGTTGAAACTTCTGGAAAGAAAAACCACGCACCCTGGCGGCAAGCTGTGCTTATACATGCACTTATCGCCTCCGTTCGGACAGACCCAGAACCAACCATACTTCTGGTTCTCTACCGCCTCGATAAAGAACTTGCACACCTTGTCAGTCGTCGTCCGCGGGTTACCGTGCCTGCTCAACACGACACTGCGCAGCTTCTCCTCGTCCCAGTTGTCCATAGTATCCGCCTTCTTCTTATCCTCCGTCTCTTCACCATCGCGAGAGTCGGTGTAGAGATCCTTCTTGGCCGCCTTGCGCTCGATATTCAGGTCATGGCTGAACTTGCACTTCTTGCCCTTCTCACAGCCACCCTTCTTGTGGAACATGCACAGCACGGTCTTCGGGTCGACACCGAAGGGAACCTTCTGCGCCTGCACAGGCTTGAACAGCTCGGCAGCCTCCTTCTTTGCGAGCTCGGCGGCCTTCTTCTCGGCCTCGCGCTGCGCCTTCTCGGCTTCTTTGCGTTTGGCATCGGGATCTTTGTTAGACTTGGCCATGGCTTGCAGCTGCTGGATCTGCTTCTTGGCGGCACCACCTTTTTTCTGTTGGTCGAGGTCAGTCATGGCCGTTCGAGAGGCGGGGTTTCCGGTGCGCGATAAGGCGTTCTAAGGGATGGACGTACGTTTTTCATGCCAAAGGTCTGTCGGAAATTGGAGAATTAGCAAGCCCATCTATGCGGTAAAAAAAAGCCTTAAGTAATGAGAAATATTACAAACCTTGTCATCGACCGTGGCCTTCTTCTTCTTCACCTGTTCAGCCTTCTTGGGCGCCATGTTGGCGGTTCTGGTTAAGCACGCCGGACTGGCTCAAGGTGGGATAAAAATGTGATGCGCCCGATCGCGGGGATGGTCGGGTCGAAACAGGGGAAAGAAACGCTGATGCACGTGAAAAAAGAGAGAGGAATGACCCGGGTGGTAGACGTGGGGTATCACAGGGAGGTAAGAGTAGGTAGATGAGGTTGAAAAGCAGGGCTGGGGGAGTTGAAGGTTGAAGCCTCCACAAATTCGAGGGTGAGTGTGGCGGCACAATCTTTGACCAGCCAATGACCGCCCGCGGCGCGCCAAGTATAGGGTGCCGGCACGGCGTAGGTCTGAGTATGGGTTCCAGAACTGTCGATTGTAATATGTATGAAGCGCATATATTGAGAGTAGAGGCATGCTCAAGTGGCCAAGCATTAGCCCTAAATCTGTCGTATCTACTCTACCCATCGGTGTGGTACTGACTTTTGTGCTGTGCTCGGCTGGGGAGACGCTTTGCATCATCGCGCGGGCTCTGACGAGGCTCTCGCGCGCACCTCCAGTGCGACTGACCAGCATGGCCAGCACGGCCCTAACGGCCTTCGAGACAGGCTCAATGATCAGTGTGGAAGAAAATGGGTCCTTGGGAGATTGCACTGGTTGTATAGTTCGCTGAAGTGTACCAAGCTACAAGCCAGGCCCTACTTTTGTTCTGCCTCTCTGCCTTTCTGCCTTTACCGCCATAGAATATACGGTTATTACCACTGCATTCATTCATCGATTTGAGGGTTCCCTAATATCACGATCTACCCCCATATATCAGGCATATCAACGTGGTGCGAGTGGTCAAGCTGGGCTTTAACGCTTGGCTCTACAAACAATCGGGAAATCCCAAGCAAAATCCAATAAATCTCCGGCACACCGTTCCGCAGGCGCCTAAAGCACCCTTGTTTTCATTTCTGGTCATCATAGATTCCGTAGAAAGCTAACCACAGCTCAAGAAATTTAGGACACCTCCTGGATCTTAGACGAATTCTGGTCGTCGGCCTCCTCAAGCTCGGGGAGCTCATCCTGTGGGTCGGTGTCAGTGGCAGATCGAGCAAATCCAGAAGTGTGATACTATGCTGGGAAATAACTCACGTCATCGTCCTCACCCTCAGCGCCCACAGCGCCGCCCGCAGCACCGGCCAAAGCGCTCAGGTCGGGCATGCCGCCAGCGCCGCCCATGCCACCAAGCTTGGAGAAGTCAATGTTGCTCAGGCCACCCTCATCGCCGCCCATGCCGCCGAAGTTGTTGGCATAGTCATCATCGGCGACTTCATCCTGCTCATCCTCATCTACCCACTGTTATCAAGTCAGCAAACCGCGATTTCTTCCAGCCCGCACCAGCGCCAGTGCAAAAGCGTACCTTGTCGAAGTCGGTCTTCAGGAAGTGGACCTTCTTGGATTCCTTCAGGAGACGGGGCCAGTATTCGACCTTGAGTTCCTTCTTGCGCAGAACCAGCTCAATCTCACGGTCGGTGTGGTTGACCTTGCTGTTCTCCGGATCAATCTCGGCGTAGAGGTCCAGGGAGACAGAGTATGTGACACCCTTGCGAGAGGCGCCAGTGAAGGAAACATTGGTTGCGGTCAGGTTCAGCTTGGCGTCCTCCTTGGGGACTTCGGGAGTCTTCAGATTCACGTAGAGGTAGTTCTTCTCCGGCTCGGAGTCGGAGGAGCGCTGGGCCCATGTCACTGAAATTTCGAAACAGGTCTCAAGTTAGCTAGACACATCCCAAATCATAGATAGAAAAATTGAGCGAGCCCTCTTTCAGTCCGGGCTAAAGAAACCGGGAACCTCGTGGCAGTTCGCAGCAGAATGTGCATGGGCGGGTGTTTGGGGCGGAGCGGGGAAGTCGAGCTTTGTCAAAACGTACCTTCGGGGTGCACGGTGGTAGACATGCTGGTCGAGGTGGAGGCAACAAAGAGGTTATATGGGATGACTGGGAGATAGAACCGAGATAGAGTCCTTCGAAAGAGATGGGGAAATTAGTGTGGTAGGTAGGAGGGGAGCAGCTCGCTCTGGAAGCACCTGTACCGCATTCACCTGCTAGAATGTACTGGAACCCCGTGGTTTGCCTAGTTTGTCTGCGTGATGCCTGAGGCTTAAAGGAGGGACCACAGAGCGGACGTGGAAAGTGGACGTCAGACATGACTAAGCGAACAGCCCCTCCTAGTTGCCGCAGGCATTGCGATGCTGAGCGACTGATAAGACGCAAGCGAGCAGCCAGTGACTCTAGTGAACGGCTTGGTTCCGTTCCTGGTTTCGATAACTTTGCCTGGATTCGCTTCACAGTGCCTCACCTCAGTCACCCAAAGGATGCGCCTAGGCATTTCCCTCGCCATTCCACGCAGGTCTTCGTCCTAAGTCTACAATTTGCCGTTGATCACGACCAACCACTTTGAACAACCTTGATACCCATTTACGCCGCTCGACCTTGCGGACTCAGCGATTCCATAATTATGGAATCACTTAAGGCGGTCTTCTTCGGGCCGGATCCCGAGGCCCAGGTAAGCGAAGCACTCTTCGCTAGACCCCAAGGTGATGACACGAGACATGCACTGACTTGCTATATCTAGAAAAGGAAATGTAATACCCTCATTCGCCAAAACACAAGACAGCTAGAACGCGACCTCGTCCAGCTGAGAGCCTTGGACAACAAGACCCGCAAGCACATTACCAGCGCGTCCCGGCGGGCGCAATACAACCCGTCGCAGGCCAAACAAGCGATGAGCGAGGCCAAGACATTTGCCAGGGAACTCATACGAATTCGGAAACAGATATCCCGTCTATCTACGAGTCAGGCCCAGTTGCAAAGTGTGGGCATGCAGGTCAATGAGGCCTTTTCGGTGCGCAAGATCCAGGGCAGTCTCAAGAAGTCCACTGGGATCATGAAGGACGTGAACACTTTGGTACGAATGCCGGAACTCACCTCTACCATGCACCAGCTCTCAACGGAGCTTGTCAGGGCGGGAATCATCGAAGAATATGTGGACGAGGCTCTACCCGATGATTCTTTGCTTGAAGATGAATTGGACGAGGCGGAAGAGGAAGTGGACAAGATTCTGCAGGAAATTCTGCAGGGCAAGCTTTCGCAGGCCCCTGCAAAGCCTGTCGCTCAACCCGTGGACCAAACTCCCGTTGCCGCTGAGGCTGAGGACGAGTTCGAGGACCAAGAGGCGACCCTCGAACAGATGCGCGACCGTCTAGAGCTTCTCAAGAGCTAGAATCCCCTCCTTGCTTCATTTATGTCTGTTATTCTCCGAAAGCGTCATCTATATACTGCACACCTTATGTCTTTTTTCATTGGCCCTAAGTGTCTATCATTTGGGCTGGAGTTGGCGGATTGCCTTTCAATCATCTTTGTTCACAGGCTGGGCCTACATAGAATGAAACTAGCTAGTAATTCTACCCCTGATTGTCTGTAAGTGTCTCGGCATTGTTTCTGATGTTCAACCGGGTTGCAGCAGACAACCTGAATGGAGAGAGGGGGAGGTGGAGAGGGGGAGAGGGGCTGATTTCGGGCGCGATGCAGCTGGGGGCTGTAATCGAGGGGACTGTTGCAGCTTACCTTCACCGAAGAAGGTGCCTCATACTAAATTTCTAAAAAAAAAAAGATTTGTATCAATTGCATCATTCCAGGCAGGAGATGAATGGATAGGCAGCGAAACACTACATTGTTCCTGGTCAAGAGAGCAACCAAGCAATCAAGCAAGAGCCTCGATGCAAACAGGCAAAACTCACGCGGTGCCCGACTCCCAAATAGGCTAGCGCCGTCTGACCCATCGCTGCCTCTGCCTCTCCCCTTCCCTCCGTTTCCATCCTTTCCCGGGTCTTATCACTCTCTCCATCTCTCAACCTCCTGGTTTTCCTTCTCTTCTCTCCAAGGACAACCTTTTGATCAAACTTCGATCATCCTCCAACTTCTTCTCGTCAAATTCTTAACCTTCAAACGCTGTCGCCCCGTGGCGCATCTCGTAGCCACCTACAACGCGTTCTTGCCGCGACTTGTCTGCTTGTGATCGCAAATCGCCAGCTTTGCTCACCTCGCTCTACCACACAAGCTCTATCAGGATGTCTGCCAACCTGGACAAATCTCTTGACGACCTCGTCGGCAGCCGTCGCCAGAACGCTCGCCGCCGTGGCGCCGGTCGCCGCACTGCCGCGAAGCCTTCGGTCGGAGGCGTGAAGAAGTCCTCCCTGGGCACCAAGGCTACCGCTAAGGCTGCTCACCCTACCCCCGCTACCCCGACTGCTTCCAGCAAGATCATCGTGAGCGGACTGGTAAGTTTTGTTTCCCGCATGGGGCCCCTCTGATGGTAGATCGTGCATTTGCTAACTCTGTCAGCCTTCCGATGTGTCTGAGGGTAATATCAAGGTATGTTGAGCTACAGGCTTGTGCCTTGGCTTTGATCGCCATCTTTGTTTTCGAACCCCGAGGTGCCAACAACGTCGACTCGCATGTCCGATTCTTGTCACCTTCCTCCTACCCCATCCCTGGTGTGGTAGTCGCTGGGTGTTCTGGCACAGACAAGACGCTCCTTCCATATGCTTCTGCAAAGAAAAAATTTGGCTGGCATTCTGAAGCGAGAAGTTGAGCTCTGTCATACTGTGACGAGATGGAACCTGCTCGTGTGTTGATGCCTACCTGACTGGAGGCGACCCGCCTGCATGGCCACTCTCAGTTCTGTGCCGAGGATCTGAGGTTGAAATTACACCTCAATCCTGACTGCTTTTTGAGAACTCTCTCACTCATTCCTACCTCGTGTTGTGAGCTTCGGACGAGCATCAGCGAGCGCGCACTAGTGAACCGGTGGATTTTATCGAGCGGCAAACATACTTTGGATACCTGCAAAGACACTTTCTTCTGTGAGAATTTCTCTGAGGTTGTTCACTGCTCCAGGGGGTGATATCCCCGTCACAGCGAGGCCGAGAAATCGGAGCATACATAGCGTCTCATGGCAATATATGGGTTACCAACCATGAGAGTGATTACAAGAACCTAAGGCGAAACTCCGTGTCAGCAGCAATGCAAACTGTGTGGGCCTGTTTCTGTCGTTCGGAAACTCATCACTTACCTGCTGGATTGATGGAAGGAGAAGTGCTACAACGGCGTTGGGAGAACGCTTCATTCCATGATGGGATTTGGGATGAGGCATTGTGGGCGAGGTTGCATGTGGTCAAATGGATTTTACATGTGGTGCTGAAGTTTGCTTTTGGGGCGATTCTACTCGACATGATGACCTATCGCCGCTGTGTGCTCGCTGATGCTCTTTCACTGCCGGATTACTTGCCGTCTTTTTCACGCTGTCGCCGTTGTTTCCCTCGACTACTCGGCCAATTTTTATTTCAGCTCAAACTTCCAGGCGAAAATACTGATCGTCCCTGTTTACGCTATAGGAATACTTCACCAAGTCTGCAGGCCCCGTCAAGAAGGTGATGCTCACTTACAACCAGAACGGTACCAGCCGTGGTATCGCTTCGATCATCTTCGCCAAAGCCGACACTGCCATCAAAGCTGCCAAGGAGCTTAACGGACTCCTCGTTGACGGCCGTCCGATGAAGGTGAGATTGACTGCCTTTTTTCGTGGCCATTTCGAACGTCCTGCTAATGACTAGAAAAGATCGAAGTTGTCTTTGATGCCTCCCACGCCCCTGCCGTTCCCGCTCCCAAGCCACTCACCGAGCGTGTTGCGTAAGTTTTTCGTCTCGATATGTCAACCATGATACTAAACCCTCGACAGTCAAAAGTCCCAGCCCAAGCCCGCGACTGCCCCTAAGTCTGCCCCCAACAACGCCAAGGGCCGTGGCGGTCGTACCGCTGGTCGTGGTCGCCGTGGTCGCAACCCAGGCCGCGGTAAGCCCAAGACTGTCGAGGAGCTCGATGCGGAGATGGTCGACTACTTTTCGAACGAGAACGTTCCTACTGAGGGCAATGCTCCCGTCAACGGTGCTGCTCCTCAGGCTACTAGTGGCGAGGACACCGGCATGGCGGAGATCTCTGTAAGTCTTTCCAACAGTTCATAGGCTTGGTCCGTGTACTAACAGATGACCAGTGAATGTAACTTTCGCCATACCATGACTTTCACTCTTTCCCTCTTTTGCTCTTTCGCTGCTGCTTCTGGATATGAATTGGATTGCAGGTTCTTTTCGGAGGAATTTGATAGTTGATGCGCGGGTCATATCTTCTGCTGTCCTCCCCCTTTCTTTGTGTTCCTTATCAATGTGTTCTTTGGGGTTTTTTTCCCTTCGGCTATCAGACTTAATTTTTTTTATTGCAATTGCGGATGAATCGCACAGAGGACAGCCTGTATTTACAATGCAACAACGGTTATGAAATGGGCCATTGTTCCAAGCTTCTTGCAATTAAACCCGTAGGCACTTTCGGTATGGCATTCTCCTGGCAGTTCTCGTACGTTTACCAGCACAATGGTCATCGAATTGTCAGATCAATGAGACATGTATTCTCGGCACCATGCAACCCCCAAAAGCCCATATCCACCAACGCCTAACCTAGCCGATAAATCAAATCCAAAGACATTAGAAACCACCCAAATTCACCAACTGCAGTAACACCAAGCCCACTGGACTTTTAGAAAACACCCGCCCGCGTCATAACATCATGAAACTGCTCCAACGTCACGCCCGCGCTCAACCCAGCACCCCCATTCGCCTCCAGAATCATATCCTTCAGCAGCTCATCATCCACCGACTCCTCCTTTAACTCGCGCGCGATGCGCCGCAGATGCCCCAACGAGATCGGCCCGTCCGACCCGCGCGTGAAAAGCTGGTATGCATCGTCGACCTCGGCGACCATGGCGTCGTCATCGCGGGAGCGCAGCTTCGCGGCGACTGCTGAGACAAAGGGGCTGTACGGGATGTAGCCGGTGGAGGTTGGGTCGATGGCGGACAGGATGTCGGCAAGTTCGGCCGAGTCTGTTGGTGGGACGCCGAGGGCTCTATGGTAGGTATTAGTGCTAGTGCCAGCCATGGGGATAGACGTGTAGATTCTGAACGGTGGCCCTCGTAGCTTTGACGGTGTTGCGCTGCGAAGAGGGATTGCGATGGGCCCGGGGCTTACACTAGTGCTTTGCGCATGTCCTCGCGCGGCATGACGCCATCCTTCTCGGCGGGGAAGTCCTCGTGCGCATCAGCGAAGAGGTGGAAAACCTCTTTGATCTCGTTCTCCTCTTCGGCGGTAATGTTATTCTCCTTTGCGAGCTTGGACGGGCGTGCGCGCTTCGGGGCGGCGGCGGAGCTGGCGGGAGCTCCACGCCTCTTGGGCGGCTAGGGTCGGAGAATGTGAGTTGGGGTGCTTTTTGCTTCTCGTAGAGAGTGCAGGTTGTAGCACATACCATGGTTGTAGCTTGAACACGATCGCGCGGCTTTTGTGGGGTGTGGTGGTTGTGGAAGCGTAGCTCGTGGAATGCGCGATCTCGATTGCGAAGGGTAGGGTGTGGGGGGGGTGTTGATTGGCAGCACGGTGGTACTGGGGGTACACTTTTAAGTTGAATAGCTCTGGGAGACATACAACTTCAATGAAAATTTACGGAGATGATTAGGATGGCCCCTGGATCTAGGATGGCAGCTCGATAGAAGAAAGCCTAGCAATTTTTTTTTATCTATTCTATTACCGCAGCTTGCTTAATTGAGGGAGGAGCCCTTTGACGGTATAGTAACAAAACTGGATCTTTGCATTCGGGATTGAATTTCGTTATAACTAATATAGTCCCGGTAGTGAGATTGGCTCCGAGCATCAAACAGGGAATCCAGCCATGCGAGCAATGTGTAATGCCCCTGCCCAAAGAGGAGAAGTCGGTCGAAGACATCCGAACCCTGCGGTGCTGACGTGATCACCTGGTGCCTACGCAGCTTGGGGCATATCAACGCGAGGACAGGGCGTTCTCGAGCTCCCCCTGGTCGAAATCCAAAAACCGTCGCCATGGATGTCGAGCTATATGTCTATGACCTGTCTAAGGTGAGTACTATTTTTCCCTTGGATCTTCCCAGCTTCGCTAACTGCTTTACAGGGTCTTGCGCGTGTGGTAAGTGACATGCCAGTGCATGGTGTCAAATCAAGTAACCGCAAAGCGAAACGTGCTCTGACATAAATCGATGGTCAGTACTCGCAACCCTTAACAGGGACACAAATGGATGCCATCTATCACACCTCGCTGGTGGTCAGTGGGGTTGAGTACTACTTTGGTCAAGGCATCCAAACCGCCGTTCCCGGCAGCACCCATCATGGGCAGCCGATGGAGAAAGTCCATATGGGGAAAACGGAGCTCCCGAGCGATGTTATTGAAGAGTATCTCGGCTCCTTAGCGACAATATACACGCCAGAGGTCTGTCAACATGAAACGAAACTCAGATCATAAACATTGCAAATCTAACACGATGCAGTCCTACGATCTCTTTCTGCATAACTGCAACAACTTCACCCAAGACTTTGCCATGTTTCTCGTTGGCAGGAGTATCCCAGATCACATCCGAAATTTGCCTCGCACCTTCTTGGAGACTCCGTTTGGGCAAATGATGAAGCCTCAGATTGAAATGGCCCTGAAGGGCATCACACAGGGCTCTGGTCCAAGTGCCGTTCCCGGACCAAGCGCCCAAGCACCACTAGCAAGACCTACCCCGGCGCTAAGAGCACCTCAACCTATGGATGCCATTCCTCGGACACTCGGCAAAGTTCGTAACGTCAGCAACCTGTCCCAACTAGAAAACGAGTTGAGAGCAGCATCAAACTCCTGCGCCGTGGTCTTCTTTACTTCATCCACCTGCCCGCCTTGCAAAGTCGTTTATCCAACCTATGATGAGCTCGCAGAGGAAGCCGGTGAAAATGCCAGACTCATCAAAGTCGACATTGGCTCAGCCTACGATGTGAGCATGAAGTACAGTGTTCGCGCAACACCAACTTTCATGACCTTCCTGAAGGGACAGAAACAGGATCAATGGAGCGGTGCCAGTCCGGCCCAGCTCAAAGGCCATGTGCGGATGCTCCTTGAGATGGCACACCCAACGCATCCCCATCGCCGCCTGCGACTCCCCAGTCTGCAGAGGAACATCACCCATTTCGTCATGTATAAAAAGGTCCCACCACTGGATAAACTTGTGCAGAAGCTTCCAATGGCATTCAAAGAGGCCCCGAGTGTGGCGCCCATCATCAACTTCGTCAAAGCTCGTCACTCCGCGAGCAATGACAAGACGCCTGCAGCAGATACTCGAGTCCCCGATCTCCACGCCTTTGCTGCAACTTTGCAATCCACATACGCCACTCTCCCCGGCGACAGCCATTTCGCAATCGTCGACCTCGTCCGTCTTCTCTTCCTCGACCCCCGCGTGAGCGGCTACTTTGCCGAAGAAGCCAACCACGCCACCCTCCTCACTCTCATCGCGCCCCTCTCCCAAGAAGACCTATCATCATGCCCTTACAACCTGCGCATCGTCGCGCTTCAGCTCGCGTGTAACCTTTTCAGCACCCCCCTCTATCCAGATCAACTCGCCTTGCCCTCATCTCCCTTACGAGAAACCTGTCTCCGGCTTGCGACCAACTCCCTGCTAGACTCTCAGTCCAACCTGCGCGTGGTGGCTGCCTCATTCGCCTATAATCTCGCAGTATTTAATCATAATGCCCGCTTTGATGGGCATCCTGATCGTCTGCCGGAAGAAGACCAGGTGGAGTTGACCGCCTCCCTGCTGGAAGCTGTCTCGCGTGAAGATCAGAGCCCGGAAGCTTTGCATGGTCTTTTGTTTGCACTTGGTCTGTTTGTTTATGAGGCTCCGGTCGATGGGACTCTGATTGATCTTTGTCGTGCAATGGGTGTTAAAGAGGTGGTGTCTGCCAAGACCAAGGTGGCGGCTGTGCAGAACGAGCCACTGCTCAAAGAAGTGGGCGAGGAGTTGTTTGGTAAAGGGCTTTAGATTTCCTTTTCCTAGCCCATGTCTATATTGTGCCGAATGTGATCTCATCCCCTGGGATCGAGCGGGTGTCTGTCTACAAGAGAGCAATTTATCAAGGGGCATTCTAAATGAGTTTTAGAGCTGCGCTAAACTTGACGAGTGAGGCAGGTTGTAAGAGAAAGTGAGATAGAGACTTTGGCTTCGATTAGAAAGTTCGCTTCAGATGCCCATGATGTCCTTCTGCATATAATAGTTTTTACCTTAGTCTATTTCGAAATTTGTAGCTAGTAGAATGCGGTATATCTCAATACTCTCTCGATCTACCTGAGCAATACCCCTCCTACATTTTGAAGGTGGATGATCCGTGAAGGAACCCCCCACTAGTCAGACTACTTCCGAATAAACTCCACTCAAACAGTTTCTACGAAGAGGCCAAGTTGCGTTCAACCTGCTAGTGCCGTCATTGGTTAAGCTGATTTCACACTGTCGCGCATCTGCCGCCACAGCCTGGCTAATCACAACTCACGCGGACAGCACGCAGTAGATGGACGGGATCGTCCGGGCCGTCTGCCACATTAGTTCTAATCTACGCCCACCGGCAGATGCCGAAATCCGTCGGGTCTCGCCTGCGAAATCGAAGTTTCTGACATGCTCGATCCACAGCTTCTCACACCTTATCTTCCTCGTTTCATCGTCCAACCGCTGGGCCAACGAAGAAGCAAGCAGTCAGGGCAAGACAGTTCCGAGAGTGCTTTCTGCTGGGATCTGGTGCAACTACACAGGCCTGCCTGAAAGTATTCTGACTCTGGGGCTGACGCGAGTGCCCCGGCGTCGGGAGGGTCCTGTATGAGGAAGAGGAAATGAAGGGGGTTCAACGGGGGCCTTCCTTCCTATCTTAGACCGCGCGAAGCATGGACAATGTCCCACTGTGAGGCGATTAGACGGGGGCTACAGTATTTACCCGAGACGAGCATTTGTGCAGGTCTGACATTGGCTGCATAGCGTGTCGGGAAAATGGGAAATCATAAAGCGTCGTACGTACTGCTACTGCTACTTCATCGATACTGAGACTTTGTACATGTCCATGTCATCATCTTCCCTGACAGACGGGGACAAGTCCGCGTCGGGGCGCAAGACGCGGTCGGAGGAGCCGTCGCCAGTTTTGAGTGCGAGTGCCCCCCTGCCAACACAAAGGCAATGCCCAGGTCAGAATTCTACACCTGCCAGACCTGACAAGTCCTGCGGTACGCGGCATTCTTCATCTCGTTACTTCCCGAGGATGCACATTCGGGATGGTGGATGGTGGATGGCGGATGGCGGATGTACTTGGGGACTCCATGGGGTCGCGCCCCCACTCGCCCAGAGGCAAACCCCCAATCTCACCGTTGCATGTCATCTGCAGGCCCGTCAGCCGGATGCGAGTGACAGCGCCCCCCCCAGGCGGGACCATACCCAAGCCATTCGCCAACTCCGACAGGCGGCCATCCCGTACGGTATGTGAGAGTGGGCAGGGCAGGCAGGACAGGCATGACAGGGCTTCGCACGAGGTAGATTAGGCCCCCTCGCACATGGATCCCATTTGATCGCGCGCATGCCATGTCGCACATGGGGGGCCGAGTATGTACGAAGCCAGCCGCCGACGCGATCTCGACTACGTCTACGGTTCTACAGTTGGTTTACTAGAGCGGAAGGGGAAAGACCGTTGGAGAGAAGCCGGGTTAGATTGCGAAAAGCTAGAGCTAGGCGACCTAAGTCGAAAATCCCCCCGACCACAACAAGACCACGCGTGCCCAACGGGTGTACCCGTGTACATTGTACACCGCGGGGCCACCTCACACCGACATTCGCGGATCGCTCGTGGCGGGACGAACGGTGCAGGGGACAGGGTGAAGGTGCCGAGGGGTGGCGCGCGCAGGGCTTGGATATCACAGATAGCGCAGCGCGCGGGATCGGGGGAAATGACGAGGCGATATCGGGACGAAAAAGAATAGGGCGGATACAAGATGGGGGGTATTTGGGGGTATCTGAGCTAAAATGGGACATGGCACGCTAAAACGGGGCAGACAGGAAGAGGAAGTATCACGGGGCCCAAAACAGGTATAGCAAGGCAAGAACACCGGGGCCGTTTCGGAATGCAAAGAGTCAAGGTCGAGTCATGAGACCAGCGAAGGGGAAAAAAAAAAAAATAGACAGGAAAGGAAAGAAAGAAAGAAGCAATGAATGAGACAAGGGAAGAAACAAGGAAAGGCGCTGTAACTCCATGCGAGAAAGGATCGGAGAGAATCGCACATGGCGCGAACACAAAGAGAAGTATGAGTCAAAGGGCCCAAACAACCAGCGGTGAGAATTGGTGGGGGGAGAAACTGAGGGGGTGGATTTCTGCAAGCGCCGACAGCGTTGAGAAATTAGGTAAGCGCGGGTAGATCCCCGGGTCCCGACCGCGCGATAAGGCAGCAGCACCCCTCGGGCGTCATGAGCAGTCTAGCCTGTGGCCTGTTGGCATTGGCCAGGGGCCACTGAGCCTTTGCGCCTGAAGAGGGCCGCCTATGATCGGCGCTGACGGATCTCGCAGCTGCCTGGGCCCCGTCATCTGGGTCGTTTCGGGGGCGCGGGTATCACGGGTGACGGTTGAACAAGTCGGGCGGAGCCCGATGGGGCGGTTGTCTCCATTCTCCAGTCCCCCAGTTTGGGGCCAGGAGGGGTAAGGAGGTGGGGGTTGCTGCTGGTGTTGGAAGGAGAAGCGAAGTGAAAAAAATAATAATTTTATGGTGGAAGACAGGAGGCTATCGCACAGCAACAGCAGAAGCGAAGAAGTAGGTTCGGAGAGCGCCGGCGCCGCCCCGAGGATGTGCAGCGGTGCGCTCAGGTGCAGTGCGCAACGGTTGGCACCTTGGCTGATGACGAGTGGGCGCGTCGCTTTGGGCTCGGAACCACTCGACGCTTCTCGTGCTTGGAGCTGTCGCGGTCGTGCATGGTCATCTTCGTCTGTCGCAAGGCCTGGGTTGCGCGGGCGTGGGCTTCCACTTTGGCCAGGAAGCGGAGGCGATCTTCTTCCTCGGCTACGGCGCGCATGCGTGCCAGCTGTTGCTCCATGGTCATCGAGGAGACCATCTTGCGGGCCTGGGCGGCGGAGTCTTCCAGCGCGGGGGGTTCTGTGCCGGCATTCTCGGGCATCCAGAGCAGGTCTTCGTCGGAGAGATAGGCGTTGGTGAACGAGTCGTTAGAGTCACCGGTGGACAGGGACGGGCGGTTGGGCCAGGAGGGGAAGGCACACGCAGCGCCCATGCCATACTCGCTGGAGAAAGAAGACTTGCGGGGGTGGATGTCGAGGAGAGAGTCGGCCGGAGTGGGAGGAGGCGCAGATGGGTTGGAGAGTGGTGAGCACTCAAAGGAACTACCACTCCAACTGAAGCTGACCTGGGCCGGGTCGGTGCTGGCCACGGGGGTCACGGTGCTGGATTTGGCCAGCGCCATGTCGCGTATGCGCGACTGGATGGGAATCATCGTGATGGGTGAGGTGAAGCGTCGATGGTGAGGGTATGGAGAGTATGGAGTAGAGAGGGATGGAGAGGAAGAGCAGATCTGGAGATGACCAGAGATATCCGAGGGGATATAAAGAGGTGCAGAGAGGACGGTGTGTGAGAAGAGACGGTGACAGGTAAAAGAAAGAGGTCGAGGAGTCGTGTTTATCAAGTTGATCAAGAGACGGTGTGAAATCAAAGCCGGGGAAGGGCTTCTAGACTGCCGCCGCACCCTTGCAGTCCCGACTCAGACAAAATAAATGCAAAAACCCCCCCAAAAAAGATTTAATAATAACCCTTTTTCTGAATTTTCTTTTTTTCCCAATCAGGAAACAAAAGGCCCGACAGTCAGGCGGAAGCGGCTTCCGTGCAGTGAGGCGGACGATCGAGCGGATCAGCAAATCGAACTGGCCCGAAAAGAAAATCAAAAAGAAAAAATCAAAAAAAAAAAGAATAAAGGCTGAATTATTTGACAGCCGCGGTGGAAATCCGAGGTTTGACGTATCCGTTGTTTTTCTTATTTTTTGTCGCAGTCCGCGGGGAAGATCAGACTGTGCCAGCGAGCACTTGGGTTTCCCTCCGATGGCTGACCAGAGATCCAAACCGATCCAAAAGGATCCAAAAGTACGGGTAATATCGCAGATGGAGGTTGAGCGGCGTCATCAGTGGCTTCCCAGGAATGCGACCGGGGAAACCGGAGTAATCAGAGATGATGGAGACTACCTGGTTTTGCGGCTAGCAATGCTGGAGATCCCCAGGAAAATGCTCATCCCTTGCGGCCAACGCCCCCAGGATCTCAGATTCTGGCTTTCGTTCCCAGTTCCGCGAAAGGGCGGCCCAACGAGGTGCAGCGGGGGATCTCGTCCGGTGAAAAGTAGATAGTCTGCGGTGAACGGGCCCAGGGACGAGGAGGAGAGGAATGTATCCCAGCCTGGATCGCGATCCGCCAATGCTCCCGTCCACGGATTTCACCGCTTGGGAAGCAGGCACGATGTTGCGGGAAGGGCTGCAGTGCCGTGCAGCTCGAGGGGAGGGAGATATACTAGGTAGGGTACTCCAGAACCCCCAGGACGTACTCTGGTACCTATGGAGTATACTTCGGATAGGGTGGTTTAGGCACGAGGATCAGTCGCCCGAACCCCACAGGGGATGTATGTTTGATAGTCGGCGTCTGGCGGTCAGATGGCACCGCGCAACACGTCAACACCGTTTCTTTGATTGATGGCGGGATAGGGTCAAGGGGTTCAATAGTCCAGGCAATCCGCAGGCCTATTACTTGGTCCAAAGTCGACGACACCATCGGACTAGGGCGACTTCTTTGAATTATAATCCTACCGGCGAACCCAAAGAGAATCGCCGGAATCCTCCCAGGGACGTCTGCCGCGGTCCAGTCCTCGGGAGAGCCTGGCCAACGCCCGTGGGCGTGGGGCCTTCATTTGTTCGCCCAGGGGAGGGAGGACCTTCCGAACAACGAACCGGCCTCGCGGAACCGCTGCTAGTCCGCGAAAAGAACTGGCTAGAAACACTAGAAGGACACTACGAGTAGACGGGAAGAAAACGGCCGGGAAACTATCTACTCCGTAACTAACTCGTTAGTGCGGCCCCGACGATCAGGACAGCCCGAAAATTAGACGCAATAAAGGAAGAATCCACAAAATTGGGCCATTCCCGCGGTCCCATCTTTCTCCAACTGAGCAAAGCCGCGGAGGGGGATGAGTATTGAGCCGGTCCCCGATAGCGTCTCCGCTCTCCGTCCAAGTCGATACAGGAGAAATGGAAATACTACGGTAGTATTCATATTTAGTCTTTCCACTCCGTGATTCTTTGTTTACAAACCCCCTAGAGCCATGAAGCCATCTGAAATTAACCATCACGACTCCACAGTGTGAAGCAAAGAAGAATCAACCCTAGGGCTCTGCATCTCTCCTAAAACCACAAATCACAGGTCGGCCATTGCAGAATTAGCCGAGGCCAGGATCATGGAAGGCCGGCGGAGGGGTTTTCGCGCGAATCAGCGACGATGGTTAATGTACGCGTCCCCGCGACAAAGGCTTCTTTTCTTTGTTTCATAGCCGGGGGAGCGTCTAGATCACCGCGATCCCACAGAGTCCAGACCGGATCCTTTTCAAAGGGCACCTCTAGTGCATCCTCCGGGGAAACGAATCCGTCTCTCAAATCAGACTCAGACTCCGTCGATCTTGGAAACAGAGTTCCTCCTCGCTGAAACTGTCGCATATCCCGGACCGCCTCAGGTCCATTCATCTGGGATCCCCCTTGAGTCAAACCCTCGTACCGGGTACTTGGAAACCCTCGATCTTCCGACCCTTTTTCGACGTACCGGAGACGTGTTGCTCCAGGGGGGCGATTTGTAGCTTAGCGTCCCGGGACACGCACTTCTTCCCCGGCGCCACCAAGTGGAGCGTACCGCCACCGCGGGTGCACCATAAAAATCATCCCCCTGTTGACCATCCGACAGGTCGATTACTGACCAGAGGATGCGAGAGCGCACATGCTCTGTCCCGGGGCCCAGGAAACCCATCACATTAGATGCACTCCATCTTTCGTACTTGCGCGCCCGCCGGCCCGCCGGGGAAACGGGGACTGCAGCAGTCATGAACGCCTACCGAGTCCAAGGGGAGGCCAGCCCCAATGAGGAACGGAAGACAGACATCCCTCATCTTCATACTCGGTCCATCTCCCGTTTGACAGGTTCCCCGGTACCTTTGAACTGGACTGGTACAATCAAACTATCCAGCTCCATTCGACTCATGTTTGGTTCGGCTTGGGACGGGCCGCCCCCCTTTCCCAGGTCTTGGGGACACTTTAGCCTTCCGAGCCTATTGCCATACTGCGACCAATTTGGCAGGTGGTTTAGGATGGAGCAGACGCGCACCCGATGGAGTTTGGGGGTTTCGGGAGGTGGGCGAGGCGGAGATGGGGTGGGGGCTGAAGGATTGAATGCTCCGAATGGGGTGGGTCTTCTTTGCTTCAGGCTTTAGGCTTCAAGTGTGGCTGGGCTCACATGGAAGGGCCTGTCTACGTACGCGGAGGCCGGAGGACTCCGTGCTCAGAAAGGAGTGGACGATGAGGAGGTCCTTCGTCTCTTGTCCGTGTTGGAAACATCGAAGCTGCCGCGGATGAGTGTTTGCTTAGAGTGGTGTTTTTACGGTGTATCCATATATATGTAGCTAGGCTACCTTGACAAATATAGCATCTATAGATCGTACCGTCTAGACGGGTCTATAGCTTGATGGATGAGCAATCAGAATTGGACCCAATAGGGCTCAGCATCTACTAACCACGGTGTAGTTCGTAGCTCGTCCTCTGGCGGTTCACTAGTCCTCCCACCTACCCGGATATACCCTGCATCTGCAGCTGCAGCTGCATCTGCGGCCTCTGCATCTCATATGCAAGATCTCCAAACCAAATCGAGAAACGCAAGGACACTTGGGTCCTCCGGCCAGCGCGCAGCATTAGAGGCAGGAATATTCTGTACGAGGGTTGACCAGCGACCACTGACCCCTCGCCGTCTCCCAGCCTCAGCCGACCTGTAACACCTTTCCGCCTGCACGACGGCCACTGACAGCATTCCGACTCCCCGGGCGCCACCCATTCACCACCCCCCGAAACTCCCCGCCACATCTCTGCACGACTGAATTTGGATTTGCCACAGCTGCACGTAGACAGATCGAGCATGCTCTCCCAGAGAGTGCGGATGTGCGATGGTACATCGCTGGCTCTGCAGAATGAACTCGCACATAGCGGCGAGGTCGTCCGAATTCGCCTATGTCCGGCCGCCGTCCCTCACTTCGAAGTAGGAGCTTCGAAGCAGGAGCTTTCAACCTCCCCGTGCTCCGCAGCACCAAAGACCGAACTACGGAAACCACCGCCGCACCCCGTGGGGAGAGGTCCGGCCCCACTTGAGAAAGTGACTTGGCCGCAATTCTCGTCCTCGCACAAGCGCTCTGTCCTCTGTGCAATGTGAGTAACCCAAATCTTCGGCTAGGAACTCATATCCGGCCCGCACGGTGCTTCTCGCTGCGATCGACGCGTCCTTCACCGCGTTCCCCGAGACATCTCGCGGGGAAAGTGGATTCTAGACCCCCGCTAGCCTCTGGGATTCCTCGATTGGAGGAGGTCAGATTGGGATGGCTAACTCAAGGGCATATCAGAATCCATTGTACATCACTCCAGGTGATGGTCGCCCCTGACTCATACGAGGGAGAGGAAGGAAGCAGGGGCGTCTATAGGCTGATGGGGGCTGATGGGCTGGGCTGATGAGCTGAAATGGCTCTGCGGCAGTCTGATCTCAGACCCTTCAGCACAGTCCGTCCGTCAATCACCAACTCGCCGTGCGGTGTGCTCGCGGAGAGGCGCGTCGCGCGATGCGATTGGATCCGTGAATAGTCCGGTTCGGGGTTTCTTCCGTTTACTTCCCCTCAAAGGCACGGGCGATTCGTCTGGAGTCAGAGAGTCCGAGAGTCCGAGTCCAAGATCACCAATGCCAACGAGTTCCTTCGCGATGATGATCGCTCGTTTAATTCTTACGATCACTTTGATCCAACCTCTTGCTGCTTCGCCTTCCCGAGCGCCCGCCACCGGGTAATATCCGCGCCACCACGGCTGCGTGCTCCGCCCACCAAGTAAAGCAACCTAACAGAACCCACGACTATTCGCAGTCACAGTCTCACAGTCCTGTCCTGTCCCCTCACCCTCCTATACCCCGGAGAGTCGGTCTAGGCCTCCCGGGCCATTTTCCAATCTCAAGCGCGGTTGGGTAAACCATCCTCTCCTTCTAGTAACCAACACCTGTTTCTCGAACGCTTGGCGCAGCCAATGCATTGGGCATGTGCAGTGCCGCAGTCTGCCGCGAGTCGGGCGACTACATGAGACGATGAGGAATACAGCGGACGGTGGGTCTTCGCTGCGGTTCTCTGATCCCTTCCTTCCCGTGCAACTGGGTTTGAGCTTGTGATGATTCGCTATCTCTCTGCCCGGGCTGTTCTTCTCGACCGTACTGCGAGCGGCCCGGAAGCTGCTCCGGGGGCCGTTCGTGCTTCCACACCCATATCCGCGCTCTGTGAGCTTGGCGCTGTGGCAGTTGTTATGGTCGGATTGGTTGCTTGTACTGCTACGCGGCTAGTGGGTAATGGTCTGTGGAGATCGGGCGCTGGAGCCGGCAGTGGGAACGGACGAGGAGGTACAGTGTCAGCCATATCTGACCGCCCATCATGGTGGTAAAAGAGGAGACGGACGGCGCCGGAACCGACAGGGATGATGTACTGTCGGCGGGACGGTCGGAGGGATCCGGGTCGTCCATGCTGCTTAGATTGGTTGGTTATACTGTAGCAATGTCCAACATCGGATATACTCGTATACTCGTCCATGCTCATGAGAATATTCCCGAGGCCCAAGCCCTACGAAGACTTGTGAGATTCGTGTGGATTTTACTCTTTCCCCGCTTAAATTCAATCATACTACGCACTACGTAGTACGCAGTCGAACCCGAGGCATTCGAATCTATGTAGCATGTAGTATGTGGCGACTAAAGGAACAAGAGAGAGTCTATGAAAGGCACGGGGTGGCCACAGTTGCTTTCAGTTTCAGTCATCTGCCAGTATTTCGGATTGGAGTTAATTTATACGCAGCGAAAGCTCTTCTTTTCCGGAATACGCATGAGCGTAAAGCGACTCGATTCTTTCAAGACCCCTGGTTCAATCTCAGAGATACTGCTTCGCCTATCAGTCTCGAAATATCGGCTGTAGAATCTGAATCTGATCACACATCAGGCTCAGCAGCAGCAATAGCCCAGCGACCTCAGAAATTTGTCCGCATCCATGATTGGCAGCAGCTGGGCAGCATGAACGATGGGGTGGAGAAAGTATTGAGAGGCAAGCAGGGTTCTTTCTCGGGCAATTATGTAGAGATCAACTCTTTCGCTAGCTCAGGCACAGATTGCCAAGCGCTCTTGATATTCAGCCACGTAGTGCATCCTCGCTCCTTCTCCCAGCTGCACGCACTTTCTTAACTCCTCTAGAAGTCGACATACTGCCATCATCGTCATCCTCATCGTCATTTCATGGAATATCTAACTTCACATTGGTGGTATGGCCTTGTGTTTAAATACTCCATGCGGGAAGAAATACAAGCAATGTAAAACTATACCTATATTCTCAAGAAGAATAGAGGCGGGTAATCCGGTGGTATATTGTTTTAATGCATCCATTACTATTCCGTTGAAGCATTGACAACCGGAGACTGACTCTGTCGCCAATGATAAATGCGCCGTACAGTAAGGCAGAAACGGACTTAGATGACTCTGATGGTGACTTCGGCAGCGATCCCGACGAGAGTGATGGTTTCAACAAGGCCGAAATCAATGATGAGGATGCGCCAACCGTGGATACCTAGCGACGCCGACGTCGATGGATGTATTCAGAGATTCATTACATGACGGTCCACGGTGCCGCCAATTCGCAGCGATATCCTCCTTGCCAGGATAGAGTCAGAAATCAGAACCCCAACACAGCCTGCGACTCCATCTACTCTAATAGTATTCTCGGATGAACTGATCCGCGGCTGATTAGGTTCCGTTCCACATCAGAGCAAGTTGCGGGACGATACTTGAAACGACACTGTCATAGTTGTTGGCAATAGTATTGCCTATTGGCAAGGTCAACAGCACAGTGAAAGTTATAATATCTTTAGTTTCTTCAATCAAAGATTCTATATAGAATTATTATATAATAAATATATTGTCAAAGGTGTTCTAAAATTGGGTGGTCGAAAAACTAAAAGTCTTGATAATGGTACTGACTCGGTCAACATCCGCCTGGTGTGAGAGCGGGCTGGCCTAGATCAGTCTCTGTCTCATCATCAAGTACGCAACAAGGCTAGCAGCTATGGGTGGGTTAGTATTCTACCGCAGCTTATCTCTTTGTATGGAGGAGAACTGCGCTGTTGCAGTCCTATTCGCTGGGCGATCTGGTCTTTAGCCTGACTTGGCCCGCCTCATAGGCTGGGAAACGAGCTTACCCTGCTTGGTAGTTGCACTAGTCGCTCCTATCTCACTAAGCGTTGCATCTGTCGTCGGCAAATGTAATGCTGCGCGGCTCGGCTTCGCGGCCCCTGATAACGATGCCGTCTAAACGTCCATCTACACACTATGTTCACCGCCACCCAACTTGCCTGCAGTCCTTCACTATACTTCCCGGAGTTTGTTGACACCGACAACTTCCAATGATCTCACGAATTCGACAGCCACCCTTGAGTTTCTCAGCACCCACTGTAGGAACCTCCGGCTCCCCGTCCCCGTATGATCAAAGCGGGGTTGGACCGGCCTATCTCAAGCTAAACCCACCCGCTGGCTCCACATTCCGGCGTATCAAATGGCTTGTCATCGCCTTAGCCTTATCTATACGCTCCCCCGCGTCCGTCGCACTAAATCTACGCCGGTCGGCATTGGCAAAGATGGGGGCAATAAAGAGGACCTGTCCGCGCAAGGCCCGCGCGAAATGAGCATTCCAAGTTACGCACCCCGGGTCTGGAATTGCCCTGCTGCTGTTGACTGGCTCATTATGGAGGACGTCAAGGCCGAGACTGCGAAGCCCGCCCTCGTGAAGACAGATGAGGAGGTGGCTGAGGGATTCACGGGTAAGGCTGAGCTAGATGCAGAGATCACCGACAACACGAATGAGGAATATAGTTATGAATCGGATCGGTCGCCATTTCCAGAAGGTGAGCTACGCACAGTTTACGTCGATATAATCCCATCCCAGCATCCGATGGATTGACAATTTCACAGTTAGGGCCGTCGTCCCAGAGACTGATGACCCCAGCATGCCCGTCAACACGGTGCGCATGTGGGTGCTAGGCATTGTGTTCACCATCCTGGGCTCCGGTATCAATCAATTCTTCTCCTTGCGCTATCCCTCGGTGCACATCGTAGCTCTAGTCGCTGAGTTGCTCGCCTATCCACTTGGTGTTTTCCTCGCCAAGACTCTCCCTCTATCTACAATTCGCCTCGGACGCCTGGGCTCCTTCACTCTTAATCCAGACCGCAAATTCAATATCAAGGAGCACGCGCTGATTGTCATTATGAGCAATGTATCCTTTGGTTTTGCCACCGCCGACGCTACAAACATCATCCAAGCCGCCAGCGCCTCGTTCTACAATTTTCACCTGAAGCCCGGCTTCTATGTGATGATCGTGCTGTGCGCCCAGCTCCTGGGCTTCGGTGTAGCCGGACTCTCGGCGCCATGGTTGGTCGAACCAGCGCGCATTATCTGGCCGGGTGTGCTCTCTAACTGCGCTATGCTGGAGACGCTTCACTCTCGAGCAAATACCATCGCGAATGGATGGCGTATTACCCGCCTGCGCTTCTTTATGTACGTCATGACCGGCGCGTTTGTGTGGTATTGGTTCCCCGGCTTGATCTTCACTGCCCTGTCGTATTTCACCTGGGTTTGTTGGATCGCACCAAAGAATGTGGTTGTCAATCAGCTATTTGGCATGCAAACTGGGCTCGGCCTGAGTCCGATTACCTTCGACTGGAGCCAGATTGCTTATAACACTAATCCGCTATTGTCGCCATCCTGGGCGGCGATCAACGTCTTCCTCGGGTTTGCCTTTTTCTTCTGGATCATTACCCCAATTTTATACTATACAAATACCTGGTTCACAGCGTATCTGCCTATGATGACCAGTGATGTATACGATAACACAGGCGCTGTCTACAATACGACTCGGGTCGTCGGAGCCGACAACACTCTTGATATTGCAGCCTACCACAAATACTCACCCCCATATCTTGGTGCAACCTTTGCATTCGTGTACGGACTATCCTTTGCGTCCATCACCTCCGTTCTCTCTCATATCGGCCTTTGGCACGCGCGCGACCTCTGGGCTGCCATGAAAGGCCGCAACAAACTTGATATCCACGCCCGCCTTATCCGTGCCTCGTACCGCAAGACGCCCTGGTACTGGTATGCCACCATCATTGTGATCATCATGGCAATGGCCATTGCAATGGTGGAAGTTTACGAGACCAAACTTCCTGTCTATGGCGTTTTCCTGGGCCTCATTATACCTGCCGTGTATATGGTCCCCTGTGGCATCATTCAGGGTATCACCAATGTCGACGCGAATCAACTCAACGTTCTCTCCGAGTTCATCGGTGGATATATGTTTGAAGGCAAGCCGCTGGCAAACATGATTTTTAAAATCTTGTCGACGGATGTCGTCGGCCAGGGCGTTTATTTCGCCATGGACATGAAACTCGCGCATTACCTCAAAGTGCCCCCGCGCACTACCTTCGTCGCGCAGGGTATAGCGACAATCCTGGGGGCACTGACGCAGGCAGGTGTTACTCTGTGGATGTTGGGGAACATCGATGGGATTTGCGAGTCGGACCAGTCAGATGGGTTTTCTTGTCCCAACGGGCGGACTGTCTACTCCTCTTCTGTGATTTGGGGTCTTGTGGGGCCGCGCAGACTCTACTCGATTGGGGAGATATACTCTCCGCTGCTGCATTTCTTCTGGATTGGAGCCATTGCGCCGTTTATAACGTGGGCCATGTACCGATATACCAGAAAGCGCTTCTGGAAGTTGATCAACTGGCCTCTCATCTTCGTGGGCACATACAATGTTCCTCCTGGTACGTTCTCCCGTCTCACTATTTTGATCATTGCTAACTCTTACCCGTTTAGCAACCGGGATCAACTATTCCAGTTGGGCGCTGGTCAATTTCATCTTCAACCACATCTTGAAGCGCCGTTTCTTCACCTGGTGGACCAAGTACAACTACGTCCTCGCTGCTGCGCTAGACACTGGTCTGGCGCTTAGTGGCATTATCATCTTCTTCTGTGTCTCGTATCCTGGGGCGTCCTTCCCGGACTGGTGGGGGAACACAGTTTACTTGAACACTGCGGATGGACAGGGTGTGGCATATAAGGCTATGCCAGATGTAGGGTATTTTGGGCCTGCTAATGGAACTTGGACCTGATGTGAGTTTCATGGTTGTGCCAACTCATTGAAGCGGCCCTGAACACGTAATGTGACATTCCGTGAGTTTCAAATCTCCCATACTTCTGGTTTGAAGATATACATAGTTATCACAGTACATTGAAAGAAAGAATCATTGCATGTGCATCGAAATAAGGAATTCAATGAGCGGGCAGTTGAAAAAAGCCACATAGAAGTCGGGAGTCTTCTCGTAAATTTCTCTGACGTTATCATTATACCTCTCCACCCACGCGTTGCAAAGCTTTAGGACATTCGTGATTCGCAAAATACAGTCAAATTTAGTTTAATGAAGTCCAATTTTTGTCGGATTCGAGAACAAGGTCTTCGGTGAGGTTACGCCGCGCATCGCCAAGGTTCGAAATAACTTTCGTGTATTGTTGAGACTACGACCTGCTCATGGCTGAGAAACGCCAGGCTCGGAAAAGGCTAGAAGTCATGGATGCACAGCGCAGCTTGAGGGATGTCGCGAGATAGAAAGTGCTTTTGAGTACTTTCCGTGCTGAAAAGTGGTTGATTCATAACGACGCTTCAAGGACTTCACTTTACTTGATGGAAATTGACTCCTTCATGCACCGTGTTACTGCGCTTCTCCAAAGGGTACCTGGAACAGGTATCTGGATTCCCTCTCTCGATGAATCGCGTAGTTAGCATCATTCGGGCAAATTTCAAATTTCAAGATTCAAATGCGGAGGAGTATGCGTTCATGCTCTAGAAGTAGGTACCATAACATAGTTAAAAACCGCAAGTACAAACGGATATCATCACTCATAACCCCGTGCTCCGAAAAGTCCACCCTGAAAATGCTAAACAAGGACTGAACCCAAAACCAGACAAGCAAAAAGAATCCACCCCTTACAGCTCCTCGAAGGCGACATTGGGGTGCAGCACGTAAAGGACCTTGTCGTCCCCATCTACCTGCTGGGTAGAAGCCTCGTCATCCAGGCTTGACGTGATCCGCAGGAGCATTCCCTCCCGAACCATCCGCTTGATGACCTTCGTGCACAGGTCGCGCTCGCGAACCAGATCCTCCTGGGTATCCAGCTCAGCCTCGATCTGTTCCAAGTACCAGATAATCAGATCCTCCTGCTCAACACCCTCGCCCTGGTTGGTCTCATCCTCCTTGATGCGCTGTACAATGAAGTTGAGAATCTTTGCGTACTTCTCGTACGTGATCTTGGTCTTCTGGCGCTCGGGCTTCTCAGCAGGCGCCTCCTCGCCTTCGTCACGCATGGGACTATCACCCTCACGGTCGCGGTCGGCCATTTCCTCGTCCTCATCGACGTTCCGAGCTGCGGCAGCGGCAGCAGCGGCGGCGGCGTCGTCATCGAACTCGACGTCATCCTTCTCGACCGTCACGATGCTCTGCTTTAGCAGGTCGTACGCTTCAATGACGAATTTGGGGATAACTTCCTCCACGCAGTTTGCCTTGGCCACAGCCTCGGACAAACGGATCAGCGACTCCAGCTGACGCACGGTGATGCGGTACGAGCTGCGGCCCATGCCGCCCTGAGCATCGTTCGCGCGGAGCTCTTTGTACTTCTCGACAAGGAGAGTCTTCGCCTCCTCGGTGAAAGTTGGCTTGAATGTGCGTGCGAACTGGATGTACCGCTGCAGCTGTTCAGTGCTGAGCTCGGGCTCGACGGCGGCGTCGCGGTTCATGTGCACATTGACGATGTGGTCGGCCAGCTTGCGATCGATGTTCTCCTTGGGATCGTCGCGAATGATGAAGAACACGTCGAAACGACTCATAATGGGCGCACTGAAGTTCAGGTTCTGTCGCAGCGTGAACTTGGGGTTGTATCGGCCGCCGATGGGGTTGGCAGCGGCGAGAATGGAGGCACGAGCGTTGAGAGTTGTGTGGATGCCAGCCTTGGCAATGGAGATGGTCTGCTGTTCCATTGCTTCGTGGATAGCGACTTGGTCGACAATGTCCATCTTGTCAAATTCGTCGATAGCGCAGATACCACCGCCATTCTAGAGATGTGGTTAGTGGGTTATTCAGAGAATGGGAAGCTTTTGAACATACAGCAAGCATCAGTGCGCCGGCTTCGATGGTGAACTCGCCGGTCTCGGCATCCTTGACGACCGAGGCAGTCAGACCTGCAGCGGACGAAGCCTTACCGGAAGTATAGACCGCGCGAGGGTGCAGGGAGCAAATGTACCTAGAAGAGTGTTAGTAACTTGGGATCTGAGGCATGCATATCTCGAGTATTACTTACTTCAAAAACTGACTCTTACTGGTGGATGGATCACCAACAATGCAGATGTTGATATCACCACGCAACTGCAAGCTCTCCTGTTGGGTAGTTTTGCCAACACCGCCAATCAGTTGCAATAGCAGGCCCTTCTTAATCTGGCGATGACCCCAGATCATCGGCGCAATTGAGTCCACCAAGCGAGAATAGATGTACTCCGAGTGCACCAATCTCTTCAAGTCATCGACCTCGGTCGCCGTCAAGCTATTCAGGAACGCCTCCTGGGCCTTATCATCGTTCATATCAGGGTCCAAATTCTGGTTCAGAGATGCCAGAATGTTGTTCGACTGGCCGCTGAGTTGCTGCTCCGGCTTCTGGCCTGGGGTGGTAGTGTCGGGGGTCACCATGCAGGCCAGGAATGCCAGGCGGTAGGTCAGATCGCGGACACCTAGAGCTTTCAAGCCGGACACACCACCGCCGCCGACCTCACTCCCACGGAAAGAGCTGTTGTCACGAACAGCTTCGGGGCGCATACCGGGCAGACCCAGCTGGCTAACATCAGGAACGACGATCAAAGTGCCGGTGAAAATGCAACGCTCGCCAGCCTTCGACCGATCGACCATCTCACCACGAAGAATGATATCCATAGTGCGAGGCATGCTTCCAGTCGGAATCTCGTGCGAGGATTCCTGAAGCTTAACCTTCTGCCAGTCGACGAAGGTGCTTTTTCCAATATCCAGACGCCAGCCAAAGCGGTTACCGCAGGTTGCGTTAGGGCACTCTGTAGGCTCGGTGTACTTGAAAGTCTGCTCGACGTTCGGCACAACGGTCCTGCAGCCTTCGCAAATGAAGGTGCCCAGTGACAGCTCGGGCCGAATTTCGGAGGTTCGTGTGACTGTTCCAGACACCGACAGTAGCTTACCAATCTGATTTGTCCGCAGCTGGCGAAGTCGGGAGACCAGCGGCAGGTTGTAGAAAGCGAGGGCGAACAGCTTGTCTGTCTGTTGGTGGCGGGTCTTCTCACGGATCTGACGTTCCAGGTCTGGGTTGTCGTTCACACTGGCGTAGGCGGATGCAACCGAAGTGCTCGGTTGGGAGGAGGCACTGGAGGCCAATCGATGCGAAACAAAATATTCTGGTTCATACTTGGCGACCAAGTTGTGGAGACCCTTGGTGAGGAAGGGAAGGAATCGGTAGTACTGCTCGGCGATGGCATCAGCCAGAATGGGGTTATGCCAGGAGGCCAAGTGGGTGTAGTCGACGTAAAGAGTAGACAGCTCGAATTTCTTCATGCCCTTGATCTGGGCGACGTAGTACTTGTCACTCAGCATCTCACCCGAAGAAGGCGGTGCTGATGATGAGGGTTCTTCCATGAAAGTCTCCAGCAGCTCCTCGAATTCCGCTCGTACTCGCTCTCCAGCCTCGTCAATCACAGGGGCAGGACCCGGAGCGTACGGATTCCGTAGCCGGCTGACGGCTGACGTGCTGGCCCCGACAACTCGATCATCGGGGAAGGCATTCATGTCACTCATGGGACCATTGCTCTCGGAGCGTCGAGAACTCGGCAAGTTGTCGGACCGGATGTTGTCACGGGCGCCAGACCCGGAGCCTCCCAGCTCGGACTGGAGGACGGCATCGACGAGGGTAGACATGATACAGAGAGCTTAGGGCCAGAAAGGTGGCCACAATAGAAAGATTGAGCTCTCACAGATACCAAGAAGGGGAGTTGATCGTGATCGATGATCGACTGGAGATAGCCACGCACAGGGGGGCTCTTTTTTCGCAGCGACGCGAACACGCGAGACGCGTCTTCGGAGGATTGGTTTATCCGACAGCAGACGCGTTAAGTGGTTTCTGAAATCAGCCCCACGGCGGCCGGGCGCTTAGCCTGATCGGACACACACATATTACATAATCATTGTTAATCGTCAGCGCAGCGGCAGAGTTCACGCTAAACCAAATCAGGGCATTAGTCTCCCTGGTCCCAAGTGGCTCAAATTGGTCTCGCAGGCCGTCCCAAACCGTGGTCCAAAATGGTCAATGGTCAATGGTCAGCGGTGAGCTATCGCAAGTCCCAGGATTCCTCCGAATGAATGCCGAACGTAACTCCCAAGCAGAGCAGGTCGTTTTAGAACTTGTGTGACCGCTGGCTTCCAGCCAGTCACATCATCGGCACGGCCCTGCAACTTCCCCCCTTTGCCTCGCCGCCCCTGTGCCTTGTTGGAACACAATGACCGCACAAACTGCCTGAAATGGGGCGACCCACTTTCCTCCGGAAGGTTCCCAAGTTCAGCCTGTCCGGGCAATACGCAAGTGCAACCAGTGCGCCTCGTTTTCTCCGAGGACGGAAAGTCGACTCTTCACATCGATTCTGGATGCTGCCGTCCAGTTCCCCCTCCCCCAGCGCAGACACTACACACTGAGCTGGTCTTGGGACTCTCTCTTCGCCATTCAGACCTTTCCGATCGACCGGACAAACGGATGCACGTGTTACGATCGGCCTATGATCACCTGCTTTGCCTTGCATTGCCGGTTGAGTATCATTGCCATCTCCCTAGTCTAGCGTCACCCTCACCTCCTATCACCCTTTTTGGGCACCAGCAGATCAAACCCGGCTCCCTCGCCCGGTCTGACTGATTGCCCGCACCAAAAGGCCTGCGATGATTCTGTCCGAACCCCGATTCTTTTGCTGGAGGAATTTTGGTGATCGCTGGCGCGGTATGCAGCTGTAGCCGGTGCTAAATTGCGTCGAGACCACCGCTGTCCTCTATCCCGCGGCGATGTCTGGCAACGAGCGACGGATGGGGGATTCGACCTGGGCCCCTCCGAGCATAGGGTCCTCGGCGTCGTCGAAAGCGGAGGTTCCGGGTACGTTTATGTGCAAGGCTGGAAGAAGTTGTGTTTGTTGGCGATGGCGGCTAATATCAGAATTCGGTTTACAGGGCCCTCCAGCGATGGCGATCCGGATGCGAAGTCGAGACGCCGCCGGCGCGGCGCTGATGCGGAAACACAACCCAAAAAGCAGTCATTCTATTTTGTCGATTCAACCTCGTCCTCGAAGGAAAAGCGGGCACATGTAATGCGACATCATGTCCAGGAGAAAAGAAAGCAGCGCAAACTTTCACATGGAAGTTTACACCCAGAGCAACTCCAAGAAGCAAGGGCCTTGCCGGCCAGGAATGATTCGGGTTACGACACGGACAAGGAGGCAGCCATGACAGGCACGCCAGGACCTGCCGGCGAGCAGATATCTCCGGTATGGATGACACATTTCCGTTTCATCTCAATCGCATGAACTAGCAAGCATGAAGCAAAGAAAGCATATTCTAACAAGCCGAGCCTTCCAGCTGCAGATTCGTTTCTCGACAGGGATACCATACGCCCAGCAGACGGTGCCACTACAGATGGAGTCACCGGTGACGATGCTCGATGCATCGCGGAGAGATCCCTTTTCTAGTTTACCGATGCTCCAGGATCCTGAAGACATGGAGCTGGTGGATTATTGGACGACCAAATTGACCTACTGGTCCGGCCAGAATTCTTATGTGAAGAATCAGATCTTCCGAACCGCCATGGAACACCCCTTTTCTTTTCAAGCCGTGGTTCTCGTGTACTGTGCGCGGTATAAAGCCCAGCTGTATGGGCTTTCAGACAGCAAGGAAGTCCGGCGACATGTCGGACAGGCCAAAAAGAATATTGAGGACGCCGTCGCCGGTTCATTACACGTGCACGACGACCAATTAGCCATGGCCCTAGCCGGCTTGGCCCTCTCGGAGGAGCGATACGGAAGCAGCCAGGATGCGCATGCCTACCTTGACCATGCTGTTCGAATTATGCGGCAGCGGGTAGGAGCAAATCCTTCCGTGGAAGTCTTTCTCCACTACATGCGGTGCATCATGCCGGCCAAAACCCCAACCCTCGACCCGGCTGACCGGCGCTGGCTGGTCACATTTCTCCAGGGAGCGCAAGACCTCATGCAAATGCACAGTGCTTCTGAATGCCAACCCCAATCAACCCCGCGACGCACCGCTTTCCAAATGGAAAGCCCGCTCTTCTCCCTCCTCTCCAGCGGGCCCCGGCCCTCGCAGGTACCCCACGCATCCCGCATATACGTGGTCCACAACGCGATGACCCAGGAGGTCAGCCGGACGGCCGCGCTTATTTACATTACCGCCGCCCTGTGGGACTTCAAGGACTCGGACAGCCAGACTCAACGATTCCTCGTCTACCTGTGCGCGCTGGTCGAGCAGCACCAGCTGGACCGATACCTTGCCTGCGAGACCCTGCTGTGGCTATTGCTGGAGCAAGGGTGCGATCCAGACCTGCGGGACCCTGAACGGGCATGGTCTACTGGTGCGCTGCACACGGCCCACTGGCAGCTGCCACCGGACCTCCAGTTTCATTTCAACGAGATGCTGATGAGCTTTCTGTCGCTACGGCCGCCGATTCGGGGCATTGGCGTGTTCCAGACTGAGCTCCAGGAGAGCTTTGACAGTAGTAGGAGCAGAACCTCACCCCAATGAAGAGATGATTTTGACATGTTACCCCTGTCACCCCTGTCATATTTTGTAGCACGTTGATTTACTGTTCGCCCCCACTTGCCGAATAGTACTTTGACCGAGCTCTTGTGTGTGCCGGCTATAGGATCATCCTAAATCCCTAAATAATGGGTTTTACCCTCCGTGTATACATTCACCACCGTCAAGCGTGACATGGGCGGTTTAGGCCAAAGAATCGCATAATCTTCTCAAGGTATCATAGTTCAACGTTCATCTCTGAATACGTCCCATTGCACGACGAGTTCATCATCACAACCGGCGTCGCAGCAGGCACGAAGGGAACAGTAAGTACTCTGTTGCCTGCAACGTGGGTTGGGCTTGGCAAGACCCGGGCGCTTAAACGCCTTGAGTTGGAAGCGTCATCGAACGGGGGTGATCCACGGCCACTGCCCAGTGGGCACCTGGCTCCCATTGAGCTGCGAGAAATACGACCCAGCCTCCGGCCCTGCGAGAAACTGATATCAGAAAAGACAAAAATCAAAAATCCATGACCCGGTCCCTGGCTTGCAACGGTACCCTAACATGTGGGTTTTGCGCAAGAACACCTGGGGTGGGGCCCGCCTGGCGGAGAAACCGAGACGTTCGAGGTCGCTTTCCGCATGGAGAGGTGCGGTCAAGTACATCCACGTACCAGGAGTTTGCACTCCTGTCTCTCCGTACCTATCGAAATCTTCTGTCCCCCGAGACCGCCAGACTCTAGCCACGGTGTTAATAGAGAGCGATGACTACACCTGAGAGCCACGAGCCACTGCGTATCCATGGGAAGGGCGAAGAGATGATATCGAGTTCAACAAAATGATCGAGGCTCGCCAATCGCCGATCGCTATGAGCGCTGGATCATCATCTCATGACGAGAGTGTCGCTCGGTTGGTCCGTGGGTGGACTTAGACCTCATTCCGGTGACATCAAGCAGAACTGCCCCTCGCTCGCCGCACTACGCCCCACGAATTCCAGTGTGATACATGGGACTACCCATGGAGGAAACCCCCCAGCACAAACTTCGACCGGGCCAAGTCTCCAAATTTCACCTTTGTTTGATTTTCTGATGGGACCCGCCACAGCCCATGGGTCGTGAACGGACCAAATAGTGCAGCCCACTAGTTGCTGCTAGCGTCGTCGACCCGCCCGATCTATTGGGTCCAGCACAGCGCAAGTTAGCCATCCTCGTTGCAAGCCTGTACTAGAGCGCGCCCTCGTCGGCGATCCTTTTGGTGTGTTCTTTGCTTTCTTTTGTCTTGTCGGCTGATAGTCCAGAGCTGAGTCTGCGCCATTGAAACTCTCTCTATTCACAGACCGAGACTAGCGAGTTGCCTACTCGTATCGTACCTACGAGAGGGCGTGGCATGCCAGGCGGAGCATCATCGCAGGCCGGCGAACAAACTCGCGTGATGCTCGGCAATTATGGACTTGCTTGGAAGAAAACTCCGTCGGGCGCTGTCTTCTCATGTTCTTTTTGCCGCCGTCTACCTGCTACACGATGATCCAATTGTGACGCGGCGGAGAAACAATCCCCGCCCCTAGATTCCGCGTTGTCTGAGCTGTCTTGGGTCCGGGGGGGGTGGACACTGGCACCTGCCGCCACCTGGACGAGGGCTGTCTGGTGCATTATGGCGGACAGCTACGCTCGTAAGTTAGTCTAGGAGATCGTGGTGTTTGCGACTGTGGCTTTGGGCTGATATGCATCCTTTGCCATGGTTTGACCCACCAGCGCAATCTGCAGCTGGGAAATGTGTGGCTGGTGTGGCGGTGTTCAGCCTTCCCCCAGCTCACCAGTCCGGGGTCTTGCAGCAGGCTCATCTCCTATCTCAGAGCCGATCGGCGGTCCATAGTCCCTACCAATCCTGGAGTACGGAGTACGGAGTATATCTCGTCGAGTCATTGACCCTATGCAAATCAAGGAACCAGCCGATCGCAGACCACCTCCCGCGGACGCCCAGCGCGAGCGCCAGTCTGGATCGGTCGCTCACTCGCCACCGACCGCCAAGTGGAGCTGCAACCCAGGGGGACCACAAAAATGAACTAGCAGGGGGAGGAGCTCTGCAAGACCCCCTGCCAGCCTGTACGCCATTCGGCCAGTGTGAAAAAGAGAGAGAAAAGAGGGAGAAAAGCTGGGAATTACGTAGGGCCAAGATCGCCGATCAGACACCGATGACCCTCCCCTTCTAGAGCTTAATCTGCTGCATTTTTTTCTCCTTTTTCTCCTCCTTTCTCTCCTGCCCTCGACTCGCCAACTTTGGGGAACGACCTACTGACGCCCCGTCAACTTCCAACACGTGCGGCACTTCAATTACTCTCTCTTCGCCGGAGACGTCGTTTCCTCCGTGGATTCTCGACTCCCGACCTTCACTATGGCGGACAACACTGGTGCCGTGCACCGGGTGTTTGCCCGTGCCAGCGTACGCGACTCCTTCACGTTTCCCCAACCAACGCCCGCGATGCATGTCCTCCCGATACTAACCAATGCCTCGACAGGATGACCCGTCGGCGGCGTCTAGCTCGGCCTCCGCGTTCCTGACCACGCTGATTCCGGCCCTGATCTCCTTCACGGTGATGCTGGTGCTCTTCATCATTTTGCGCCGTAGCAACCGCAGAATGTACATGCCCCGTACCTACATCGGCTACCTGAAGTCCTGGCAGCGGACCCCGGAAACCCCTACCGGCCTCTGGAACTGGGTGGCGGCCATGTACAAGCTGCCCGACACCTATGTCCTGCAGCACCACTCCATGGACGCGTATCTACTGCTGCGCTTCCTGAAGCTCATCTCGGTTCTGATGTTTGTCGGCTGTTGTGTCACCTGGCCCATTCTGTTCCCCGTCAACGCGACTGGCGGCGGCGGTGGCCAGCAATTGAATCTGCTGAGTATTTCCAACGTCAGCTCTGATAACTATGGCCGCTTCTACGCCCACTGCTTCCTGGCTTGGATCTTTGTTGGTAAGAATGGGACCCTGCCCCCAGTGTTCGAGCTCTTTTGGAGCTGTCGGAGTGTATCAGGGCGGTGCCATGTAATTGAAGGCTAACCATCAATTTGCAGCTATCGTTTTCTTCACCATCACTCGTGAGCACTTGTTCTACATCAACCTGCGCCAGGCGTATCTCTATTCGCCTGCGTATGCCAGCCGCATCTCTTCTCGCACCGTTCTGTTCACCGCGGTTACCCAGGACTACCTGAACAAGGACAAGCTCCGCGCCATGTTCGGCCGTGAAAAGGTCAAGAACGTCTGGCTCGCCACTGACACTGCCGAGCTGGAGGAGAAGGTCAAGGAGCGCGACAGCGCCGCCATGAAACTTGAGGGTGCCGAGACCAAGCTTATCGTGATGGCCAACAAAGCCCGCAACAAGCAGCTGAAGAAGGAGGGTGCCCTGGAGGACGGCCACACTGGCGAGGAAGGCGTTGACCAGTTCGACGATGAGTCGGGCTCCGTGGCTGCCCGCTGGGTTCAGGCCAAGGACCGTCCCACTCACCGTTTGAAGTTCCTGATTGGCAAGAAGGTCGACACCATCAACTGGGCTCGCTCCGAAATTGAGCGTCTTAGCCCTGAGATCGAGGAGTTGCAGGCCAAGCATCGTGCCCATGACACCAAGCTCGTCTCATCGGTCTTTATCGAGTTCTACCAGCAGTCTGATGCCCAGTCTGCCTTCCAGTCTGTTGCACACAACCTTCCTCTCCACATGTCCCCTCGCTACATCGGCCTTGATCCTACCCAGCTGATCTGGGCCAACCTGCGCATCAAGTGGTGGGAGCGCGTCATCCGCTACAGTGCCACCTTGGGCTTTATTGTCGCCATGATTGTCTTTTGGGCCATTCCGACTGCCTTTGTCGGTGCCATTTCTAACATCGACGCCCTGACCAACAAGGTTCATTTCCTGAAATTCATTCTTGACGTCCCCAGCTGGATCCGTGGTGTTATCACGGGTCTTTTGCCCGTCGTCCTGATGTCCATTCTGATGGCCCTGGTCCCCATCATCCTCCGCCTGATGGCCAAGTGGGGCGGTGCCCCCAGTCTGTCTGCCGTTGAGATGACTACCCAGAACTGGTACTTCACCTTCCAAGTCGTTCAAGTCTTCCTGGTGGTCACCGTTGCCTCTGCCGCCACGAGCGTGGTCACTTCCATCATCAATAACCCCTCCTCCGCCCCCAGCTTGCTCGCCAACAAGATCCCGCAAGCGTCAAACTTCTATGTCTCCTACATCGTCCTTCAGGGTCTGTCCTTCAGTGCTGGCGCCCTCCTCCAGATCGTCGGTCTCATCCTCGGCAAGGTCTTGGGCAAGTTCCTCGACAGCACTCCCCGCAAGATGTACAATCGCTGGTCTAACCTGGCCGGTCTCGGCTGGGGTACCGTCTACCCGGCGTTTACTCTGCTGGCCGTCATCGGTATCATCTACTCTTGCATCGCTCCTCTGGTTATGGGCTTCGCCACCATTGGCCTGTACCTCTTCTACTTCGCGTACCGGTACAACGTGCTGTACGTGTCGAATGCCACCATCGACTGCCAGGGCCGTGGCTACACCCTTGCCCTGCAGCATCTCACCGTGGGCTGCTATCTGCTCATTGTCTGCCTCATCGGCTTGTTTGCCATGGGCTCGGGCGCCAACCAATTGGCCGTGGGCCCGCTGATCCTCATGATCATCTTCCTGGTCTTCACCGTGCTCTACCACATTTCGATGAACAGCGCCATGCAGCCGCTGCTCGACTACCTGCCCAAGAACCTGGAGTACGAGGAGGAAGCCCTGCTCGCCCGGGACCGCCAGCAGCACAGCGCGGAGGAGTCCGCCTCCGACGGCGTGGCCGGCACTTCCGTGGCCAAGGCCGAGAAGGGCCTCACCAACGGCTCCCTGCCCTCCGCGCAGAAGGCGCCCAACTTCATTGTCAAGTGGTTGCGCCCGGACCGGTACCACGACTATGCGGCCCTGCGCCGCCTCGTCCCCAGCCCGCTGGAGACCACCACCTACGCGCCCGAGGTCGAGGAGAACGCTTACTGCCACCCGGCCGTCAACTCGCAGGTGCCGCTGCTCTGGATTCCGCGCGACCCGGCCGGTGTCAGCAAACAGGAGGTTGCCCACACCTCGCGCGTCATTCCCATCACCGACGAGGACGCCTGGCTCGACGAGAAGGCCAAGATCTCGTGGAACATGGACAAGGGCCAGCCGCCCATCTACGAGGAGAAGGTCCCCTACTAAGGGCGCTCGTCGCTGCCGCCGCTCGGTGGCTCTTCTCGGTCTGTTGTTGGCAAGTGCACGCTACGCACGTACTCCTGTCATGATTCTGTTCCGTCGGATTTGACTCGGCCTCTTCGAGGTCTTTTGATACCCAGTCGGCCCCCTTCGATTCTCTGAGGCGGGCCGGCGCTGATCTGGACTTGTTTGTTTCGGTGTTGGTTAAGGGACGAGGGGGGACTGCCCTCCATCAGGTTGGAAGACAAGAGATCTTGTGCTTGGTTGGGAAGGGGCATGTCCGGCGACCTTGTTCCCGTTCATTCTATCGTTTCTATTTTCCTATTCGTAATCTACTGCTGATGCTCGCGCGTCATGTCACCTATCATATTTGAGAATGTTGCCATGAAAGATTGGACTCTTGATACCTAATACGATTCTTGATGATGTCAAGTATGCTATGGCGAGTGTACAATATGTCCCTATATACACCAGATTTTGTCCGCCAGGTGGGGCTTTCCTGTCTGGGCTGCCGCCGCTTTAATGAGGGCGATCAGGATCAGGCTCACTAAGTAAATGTCAGCACGCGCTCATGCTCAGTGATCTGATCAGTGCAGTCATGTGATCGCTCAGTGACCAATCAGCAGTTCTCTATGATCGTCGAGAGCTACTCAGCGACCGCTCAGTGATCACTCAGCCGTTGCTTAGTCACCGGCCCTTATTGTCTAGTCAGGAAGCCGTACTCCTTTCCTTCCAGTTCAAGTCAGGCTATACCTAAAAAGGACATGCCCTATAGGGTCATCTATTTTGTGAACACTAGCGCGTAATAGTACGTGTGAGGTCCTCCCACCCTGGAGGTCTCCATTTAGTCAAAAAACTACGCCATTAACCCCAAGCCAAACCAAAATTGAGGTGGCCTGTCCTGTTCAAGATTATGCTCTTTAAACCAGCATTTGCACTATTGTGTATCATATCATCATGTTATATAATCTAAAATATAAAAGGACTTTATCCCCTCCACTATCCCATTAAACATAACATACATTCATTGCTTGCAGCTGTTCCTCAAAGACTGCCTCTTCACCTTTGAGCTCACAATCAACATCTGGTTATGGGTCAAAAAGCCTTTTTCTCTAAGCGCGATGAGAAGGCTAAAGAAAGGCGCCGTCTCTTACGGCAGAGGAACGGCTATATTCCTGGAGCCCACAAGGAGGAAGATGCTATTCGAAATAAAGATAGAAAACTTCCAAGGACCAAAAGATTACACCAACAAACCTTGAATCTCTGGCTTAAGGAGTTTTAAATTCATAGTGTCGATAGCACAGCTAATTATTTCTTAGCTTTACTACAGATCTAGAAAACGGATTTCAAGAATAGAAAACTATACTAGGTTACTTGCCACTAAGCCATAAAATAGTAAAAGAGTTCATTCGCTAGTATGCGAATTCTACCAAAGGCCGACTCTACAAGAGCAGGAAACCAACAGTGAGAATAGCAACGACATAGGCGGAGCGATTCTTCGGTAGATTTAAAGAGACTACCGGCACCGAGGGCACTAAAACTAACAGAAAAGAAATATACAATATCAGTCCTTATTCGTCACACTTCTTGCGATAATACTACCGGAAACCCCCCGAAACCTACGTCTGGTTCAGTGTGGGCTATTGGTACTTTCAACAGACAAAGTCAACTTGGAACACGAACACAAATCAAAGGTGGAGCTTTCATTCAGGCGTGGGTGAATTGGTTTTTATATAGACATGGATGGCCAGAGAATAAATTGGGAAGATCCATTCCGCAGTTGTGAAATTGACAATGGGTGCGATGACGAGAACAGTTATATCGGTTGGGGGGTGATTTGAGATGACTGTTACAATATAAGCAATAAATTCAACATTTTCCATGTCCCTCATGAAAAGGTACTTGAACGTGAAACTAGTAAAGAAATTCCATCTAGCGATTCTCTCGATCCAGAGGAAAGCAGGTAAAAGTACAGAACTCTTCTTTCCACGCCACCGGGTTCATGTATTCCAACTCTGTAACGAATTCTTCCCTCACGGTCGGAGATCTAATTGTACGACCCTTATGAATGTTCCGAAACTCGGCCTTCTCTTCATTCTGCCAGAAATGCGGCCACAGCATTAACTGGGTTTCCTGTTCATTCACAGTTTTCGTTTGGTTTGCCCATATTTTCGCAGGGATGTGTGTCAGGAGAAAATCCTTTCGCGGGACTGAAAAGCCCATTGCTGGTGGAAGGATACCTTTGGACTTTGTAATTTGGGCCAGCTGATCTTCATCTATAGAGGCGGGAAAATAGACCCAGAATAACTGAATGAAAGACCCCTTCAAGCAGTTAAACCAATTGCTATGCACAACAGTCTCGTGGGATGCTATGCGTAAAATCCCTTTGCTAGCAAGATTCTCCCAGAAGAGCTGGGCGCCAGGGGTGTCTTCGAAACCCCTTAGTTTTGACATGTTGCGCCACACTATAATAGATGGATCAGCAATCTGGCAACTTTTCTATCGTTCTTCGATCTGTACTTACATGTCACTAGAAGAACTGTGTCAGGCCGCTCTCGAGGCCTTGCCCAGTAAGAGCTAAAATGGCCCGAAATTTGGACCAATGGCTGGAAATATCCAACCCATTGATCAGTATCGGACTCCATATTAGGAGGTACTTGGAGCTCATCCCAGACAATTATTTTCCGGTCTTTCACATTGTTGATCAACACGTCTCTCAGAGAGTGTTGCGACATGATAAAATGTTCCCGGTTGTATTAGGGGAGGTGAACTAAAACGCTCCACCTCAATTTAATTTACTCGAATTTACTCCACTTGGCACACTAGTCACGACTCACGAGTCACGCCACTGCATCACCGCTCGATGTTCCGACTAATATTGCCGAGATTTTGCCTGAGAATGAATATGTGTCAGCACATGAAGGGATAACTTACCGCTAGCAACTGATTAGTTGCTGATGGGCCCACATTCGTTTAGTATTTCCTATGTACAGTAGGTCATTGTAAATGCTAGAAAGTTGAGGCATCCAGCGTTCTCTATTGGCCTTGTGTTGCTATTCTGTGAGCAAGCATAGAAAGTGCAATGCGTGGTGGGCCCACTACCACCTTCCACTTTGGAGTGGCATGGACCCATTTTACAATACCTTTTCTTGAAGTAGGGCGGTGATTAAAAATATTGATCAAGAGAGAACGCCTTCTCCACCCAGCCCTCTGATCGAGTACATTCGAAAGGAGCTTTCACATCAACTTTTTGTCCATTGGGGCCATAAAACGCCCTTCGAAGCACGTCGGAACATGATTGCAATTTGGACAATTATACCTCGTACAATCTTTCTGACTCATGCCCGGTGGTCTCCGGTATGAAGATTTTTTTTCAGCCTCACCAGGCAAACGCCTCCTCGTGTAACTCAACAACGCGCCCATCTGCTAAACATGAAACTACAGCTTTCCGTGCCACATCAGCCATTTGGCCAGGCCCACAGACTACTACTGCCAGGCGCTGGGCCTGTTCAGCTTCTCTGCTGACCGTCCTCATAAGGTCCATCCTCCTGTCCGGGATCGTATTTTCTGTACATATAACTTGCAACTCAAGGCCTTCGACGGTCCCATTTGCTGGTATCTGCTCCCGTATAGTGTCAATAAGTTCCTGCTCTTTTGCGGACCATACAACCACGAGTTTTTCTGCCTTGAGCAACCTAGTCTTGGCAGAACGGTCTTCCAGATATCGTTGGACATAGGAGAGGATGGACGTAATTCCTATTCCACCAGCAATACATAGAATTCGATCCGCTCGTCCGAGAGGGGGTTCATGGCCGTATGGACCCTCAATGATCACAGGCATGGAGATTATCCTTTGAGATGACGCGACTAGCTGTTTATGCAGCCGCAACGTGGCCCCTTTGGATGGTCGGATGATGAAATAGACGCTGGGTGACGACGAAGCCTCCGGCTTTGCATGGGCTTGATCTGTCGCGGCAGAAGTATTGGGAATCTTTTCCACAACATTTGAAGCTCCAGCCAATTCGATGGGCTGTTCCATCGTCCGATCTCCCGCCCCAGCTGTGCCTCGAACCCAGCCAGCAACACTGAAAGGATGAGATTCGTAAAACTTTCCAGCAGATGGGAGGTACAGGTAGCAATGCTGACCTGCCTTGAAGTCCCACGCTCTTTTGGGGAAGACAGTAATTTTGACAAACTGGCTATTAGCCACCAGCTCGACGTTAGACTGTGAGATAGGCCAGATATTGTTGTAGATTCCAATACGAAGGAGCCTAACGAACCGGTCAAACCCCCAGAATGCGAATGAGATATAGAGCCACACTTCGTATCCCCAATTTTTTGAATACCGTTCGATTATATGGTACCAGCAGGCGATCAAAGCGAGCATGGCCAACCCAATGTGAGTGACCAGGAACAGCCCATAGAATCGAACGCGAACCACGAGAACTGCAGATGTGATAGCAAGGCATAAGACAACAGTACCAATTATACCCCACCAGTAGTATGCCTTAGCCGCTTCTGTCGCGTACGTCGCATATCCTCCATCCCAAGTGTAATAGAGGGTGAAAAGGATGGAATGAATGATAGCTTGTACAGTTGCTACTCGCGCAGCCCATCGATGAAAGGTGAAACATGCCGTTTGATCGAACCCGGCGATCAGCATCAAGGGATTGTTACGACCAGCGAAAAGGACTGCAAGCGCGATGTTGGCAAAACTCAGGACACCGACGCGGTTGGCAAAGTAGGCTGCGATTTCCTGTCTTGGTGTCGGATAATTTATATGTTTCCACGGATTTGCAATTGGTAAAAGGGAGAAAGTAATGTTGAGGGCAATGTACAGAACGATAACCAAGGAGAGGCTGCGAGAAGGCATATAGCCAATATCTGCATCTGTCAGGAACGGACAAATAGGTACATATCCAAGTCACTTACAATATGGCAAGGGATTGCGATGCCTCGAATTAAAGAGTGCTGGCGTGGTTACGTACTGCGAGATCTTCAACCCTAGCACTTGGGGAACAGGAATTCTGAAACGAGGTAGAGATCGTATAGCTGCCAACACGCAAAATCCGACTGCGCAACAGATAATCGCAGTCCTACTCCTGATTTTAGTGAAACGTTATGCTTGAAAGATACGGAGGGAACGAAACTCACGCTGTGCGACTGTGCATGTCCTCTTCATATTCCCACTCCTCATAGGACTCGTGTGTCATTTCATAAACCGCCTCATTAACTCGGCTTGACGTCTTTAAGAATACGGCATCGTCGCTGAGCTCAACAGCAGGGGCGCTGACTGGCACAATCGCCTGAAATGGTGGCACAGCAAGTCCTTCCGCAGCCATTTTGATCCAGCACTGGCCTGTCTCAGAGGTGGAGAGGCCATCGTCAGCACATTTTTGCTCAAAGCAGTAAGCTAGTGTCTCCAGCCACGGCTTGTTTGATGCTCTACAAGCAGCATATGTGACATTTTCATCGTTCGTACAGGAGAGGTGGAGAGGCGACAAGGTATCAAAACAGGCATTACAACAGAAAGGCTTGTACATGTTAATTCCCATGCCAACGATCCCGTGCTTGACAATGGCATTTGCCAGGGAGATATGCCAGGCGGCCCAAAGCAGGCCAGTGTTGAATGAGACGTGCATGATAACGGTTGGACGGTGGGTAGCAAGAGATTTGGCAAAAGCTTCTTAAGACAGGCTTTATAGGTAGTCAGCACATCCTATTAGAGATATCATCGCCAAACAGTGGGGGTGACAGTCCCTTCGCAGATTGAATCAAAGATAAGAGAAGCGGTTAGTATCCCGTTCTAGAACTCTTATCCAGTTTAGAGTTTCCACTAGGTCTTATTCTCCAGTTTCCGTCCAGAACCAACTGCCAGAAGGCGCTTCGAGCCAGAACGAGGTCTTCCTCCGTGTCCTTTAGTACAAGCTTAACAAACCAATTTATTTCTCGCCTTGGCACAATTGATGAAAGGAACCAGTTAATCGGTGTGCTATGGACCTTGCGTCACCGTAAGTGGGGATTTTAACAGACGCTGGTAACGAATAAAACTTGCAAGAGATAACGTAATTCACACGTGGACAGGGTGAGGATTGTAATATCACATTAGATGCCCCGTTCGAAGTCAAGAAACGAAATCCAATGATAATACTATATCTTTCGCAGGAGAATGTTGACCAGTCGATTGTGGCTGGCGTAGAGCTCTGTGCGACTTGCCATGAACGCATCCGCCTCATTTGGGGGGGTTATTTTCGACTGGTCAACATTCTCCTGCGAAAGATAGAGAATTATCAACGAATTCGTTTCTTGACTTCAAATCTGGGCGTCCTGTTTAAAAATGCAATCCTTAGCCAAGTCTATTTGAACATCGAGTATGAAAGTTTGACAAGCGTCTCGCAGAAATTCTCTTGGTGCTCGGTGTATGGTAGGTCAGTGATAGGTCGAGCGAGTAAGTGGGCGACATTAGGCAAGAGTGGAAGGTCGGGACGAAGGTTTTGTTGCTGGAGACGCTGATTGGGATCACTACTGATGTGGTGAAGTATGTGTCAGCAGAAAAGGACTTTAATGGGCTGGTTGAGTCGTTGGACGTCATGGATTGCACGGAGTCCTGGCGCTGGTACTCGGTCGACGCACGGTGTTTAACCCATTTTGCAGAGGCGACACGCACGTTGGAAATGGGAATAGACTCGGTGAAGAGAAGGGGGTTGGGCTAGACTGCATAGGGAAATCCTCCTATGGTCCTAAACTGTAGAAAGCGCTCGTTGATTTTGCTAGTCGTTGAGCCTAGTCTAGCTAGCTGTTGCGATTGCGTCTTCGTGCAGTGCCAGTCCTCTTCTGCGCCGCTGCTCTCCCCCTTCCTCCGCCTCTCCCATGCGAAGTGTTCGCTAGTTATTAGGGCGTCCACGCGTCCTGAAGATTCATTTACGCGAAGCTGTTCTCCAGCGAAGTTTCTGATAGGTTCGCGCGGTTATAGGTGACTCGACCACTGATTCCAAACTGGGGCCGAAGGAGTTCATCATCTCGCAACGCCTCGATGACAATTTCGGTGAAGTTATCCACCATATGTCGCTCAAAATTTCGAAGGAACGCTCCGGACTAAGTCGGCCTGTTCCGAATATTTGTAACGACATAAATCAGTTTGTCTCAAGAAGCCTTATACGAGACTATTATATTCATGAGGATGGATTCCTGCTATTACTCCACTCTTGAGATGTGTCTCACTGTTACGAAACATATACCCCTGCTCGAGCGAGATTTTTGTCCCAGCATCCAACACACTAATCCCCTGGCAAGACCCCCACGATAGCCCCATCTTCCACTCGGGTAATCCCCGAGCTACCCCGCTCCGGGAAGGTGGTGTAGCTCGGCCTACTACATACCGACAACATGGCGAGACACTATCAATATCCCATACTAGAGTGACTACTAGTATAAAAGTCCTACATCTTTCTATGTTCCTCTGATTCCTTAAGAATCAGTCTTTGTTCTAATCTGACTATACTGGTTCCTCTTTACCTAATCGACAGGCCCTCTACCCTGCAAGCAGATTCCGTAACAATAATTAAGCGAGAGTTATGCTAGTGCGGATATCCTCATTGAGGATATAGTATAGAAGTAATATCCATTATCCTCAATTTGCGGATATGGTATTGAACCCAATATCCAATGGAGAGGATACGCCGCAGTCTAGCCGTATAGGTATTCGGCGGAGATAGGGCGGAGGGCCACGGTCACGTGGTTATATACGGGCACCAGCCCGTTAGATAGCGTCTAATTAAGATGGAAGAATATACGTAGCCTATCTAGAAAGTATACATTTGCCTCTGTAGTTCTCTCAAATCTGGTCAAGTATAGGGGAAAATGGAGAATGCTCCTAGGAGCGTTAAATCTACGAGAGGTGTAATTGTCTAATTAAACAATATTCACTAATACATCCCCCCTGCAATAGGAAAGATCGCCCAAGTAGTGGGCAAGTTTACGACCCCCACTATTTGTTGGTGGATAGGAGATCAACTGAAACGAAAAAGCTGTACAGGGATCGGGCTAGCGTGTCGCGTTTTATTGAGCTTGCTTACTTATATCTCTCCTCTTGGGTGAGGATTAGTAAGCAGACTGGGACTCTCAGGTCCGGGTCAGTGATCAGATCCAGAGTACTCAGGCAGGCACACTGAGCAAATCAGGATGCTCAGTGAGCGAATCAGTGTGATTACATAATGATCACTGAGCAACGCGTGCTCAATCCTACTCAGTGAGCAAAAGCGGCGAGGGGGTGAGCACTAGAACGGAAGGAGAACGCCAAGCGCTGCCGGACAAAATCCGATGTATATGTATAATATCTCGTGAATTTTCTTCTATTCTCTGAGTTGGCCTTTCGTAGGACATGTTGGTTTGTGGGTTTGGTATTGGATGTCCGCGTCCTTGCACGATCCCTAGTGCCCCGAATCGAATCGGTCGAATCGCCATCGGAAGCACCGATATACATCCACGATGGACCAGGATCCAATTTCAATTTCCATTCCCCCGAGAACTCCCACGCTCGGTCATCTACGAGTCATGACGAATCCTGGCGAGACTGGATTCGCAGAGAAAAGGCCAGAACCGATCTGCTTTGACGGAGCCCCTCCAGTCCTGATCCCCGGGATGATCTGCCCGGCCGAATGCCTCCAGGGCGGAGCTACTCGGTGGTCCCTTTGTGGTGCTGCGATCGACGGGGTCCGAGAGTGGACCTTCTTCAACGAGGGGGTTGCTCGCACTCGCTGCTCCCTTTCGTGATGCTCACCGCGCGGGCGCCAATAGTCTCGAACCTGGTCGCTTTGTGGAATATGGGCCGTCCCTTGACCTGCAACAGACCGTACACAACCAGCGCTCTGCCATGGTACCCGTCAAATCTTGGAGTTTCTCGGCTCTGACCTGGATCTCCTTCGCCTGCCCGTCCCCAAGTCCTGCCCTCCATGCATATTCTGTATCAAGCACACTATTGGAGGTCCCGTTTCCCTATTCGGACGGGACACCTACACGCACCACCAATGGCAGCCCGCACTGCGAACCATGATCGCATAGCTCAATCGGCCGTAGCCCTAGCCTGCTAGCTTGCGAGCCCTTGCCATCCCAGACACGCTCTGTGGCAGCTGATGATTGGCCGCTTTTGTGACTATAGAGTATAGACTTTAACATACGTCTGTACAGAGGATAATAGACTATCGACTGGGGCCGGGTAGGGTTCGGGGACCATATCTCAATCGTTTCCCGGCCATCCTCTCATTCCCAGCCCCCCCAGCTGTTCCCCTCCTCCACAGCTGCATGGTACTTCTGACCTCCGACGCGGCCGTGTTTGTCCTTCCTATCCAGGCAATAATTGGCGACCCACTTGTGCCTGGCCATTCAGCGGGATGAGCGGGTCCCGGGGGAGCGGGCAGGGCGGGGACGGGGCTGGTACGGACCTGGTTGGTCGTCCCGGTCTTTGTCTTTGTCTTTGTCCTCCGTACTGTACAGGCCTGGCCCGCGGTGAATACAGCACCAGTACGCTGTATGATACAGTACTGTGCCTGTACCTGTACCATGCACGGACAATTGCACCACAAGGTCCCCAATGCTCGAGGTTTGCGGAACACAGTACACAGTGACTAGCCCAGGCACGCCGACGCCTCTACTCCGTACGTACGCTGTCCGCGGCTGCATCGTCGACTCTCCGCCCGCTTCCGCGCAAATCCCACGTTCGCGTCGGCGCAACCAAAGCGCCACTTTCTTCCTCCCAGGTCCCTTGCCTCTCCCAATTGGTGAGTCGGGGACGGACAATGTCCATGTCCACGAACACCCTCCCGCGATCAACATACACTATGCCCCGAGTCCATCAGATTTGGACCAGCATGGTGGCCTGCTGCGGGTGCGGATGTGCCTCGTGGGGACAGATGGCCTGGGCAGCTCTGTGCTCTGTGCTCTGCACTCTGTACTCTGTACGCGGTACTCTATAGCTATGTACTGTATAGTAGGAGTGCAAAGGTTTGAAACTAGTTCCCTGATTGCCAAGGCCTTTTTGCCGAGTGAAAATCTTACTGAAACAGCAGGAATCAAACCACAACAACCTAATATTGTTTCTATCATCTATCCGCCTCCATATTGCCGGGCCCAGTGAGACATGAGACATCGGAGCTGGTAAATTAGCTCACAAGCATACGGTACTCCGTACAATGCGTCGAGTGTACTGTAGAAAGGACGCGGTATAGGCGGGTAGGAAATAGATTCCAAGTTTTCCATTGCCATTGTACGCCGATACGCCGGTGCGGCGTACACCACACCAACCGGCTGATCCACACACCTCGAGCTACAGTACACTACTGAGATGCACACCTCCCTAATTAGGGTGCAACTCTCTATCCTGGGGCCGTTTCAGGGGCGTGGTAGAAGTCACCATGTTGCGTCGCCGGCGGAGCAACGGAGGACCTGGCCGCGCGGTCACGGGGCACATCAATTGGAGCATCAATCCTTCAATTGTCGAACGAGGGGAACAAGGCGATTGACGGCGCGGGCCTATGCAAGATGCAAGACGTGAGCGGGCTGTGTGGGAGTTATCGTGGGCTGCCCTCATGGCCCCTCATGGTGCACCCCCTCTTCCTCGGGCACCTGGGCAAGGCGATCCTTCCTGCCAACTTGGGCGGGGTGGTGGGTACCCATCCCAGGAGAACCGTGGTCGAGGACAACATGCCTTGGACCCGCGGGTGCGGACCGTTGGCCCCGGGCTGTTCCCGTGAATCCTTCGTGTGGGGCCGAAATCACAATGCTATCTCTAGGGTTACCGCACCACGGACGGGGAGGGAACAACGGGTCGTGTATTCTAGCGTAAGACCGCGCAGGACGGTAACGGAGGTCATCAACTCCTGCGTACGAGGAGGCACGAGTCCAATGAGAACCAGTAAAAACAAATCATTCTGAATATATTGTACATGATTATCGCCGTGGCCGTGTGGATTGCCCACGACGGGTGCCGCCCTGCACAGTCATTCATGAGAGACTACGCAACCGCACCCGGGCTGCAAGATCCAAATTGAAGCAGCTCAATTTCCAAAGTAAAATGGTAGATACTGGACACCCTGGTCAAAGAACGAGCCAGACTTCCCAAGAGCCGGATCGAAGCGAGGCCAGGCAGAAAACGGGAACCAGCATTGAACGAAGTAACACGAACGCCAATGCCATGCTCTCCGGGTATGAACCGATGCAAAATGATGGACAGGAGATATAAGAGACAAGAGGGACCCCAGAAGGAACGGCGATACTTCCTCGGGGAAAAGAAACCCCCAGTAAAAACATAGGAAATGCGAGTCAAAGAGAGACAAATCGGGATCGATCAAGGCGCGACGCGCGCCCGCAACAAAGACGCGGAGGAAAAGGAATCGGGAGGGAAGGGAATATCAATGCTATCAACCGGCGGGGAATGCTTTTCGGTTGGCTGGAAGTGGCTTCAAACACGCGCTAAATGGCGTCCACCTCGCTCTACACCCGGATCCGTGAGGACCGGAATGCGGATAGGTCAATGGATTCGGCCGATATAGACGAGGCATCATCGACCTCGATCGTACCGGGCGCCGCGACGGTCGGCTTCCTCGCGGCGATGGCGGCAAATCGGGCGAGATGGGCGGCGGTCGGGGTCGGCGGTGGTTTCGCGGGCGCGTCTTCCTCGGTTGGTTGCGATGGCGCGTCGGCTTGCCCCGTCGTTTCCTCTGTCTGTTGCTTCTTTTCCTCTTCGAGGCGCTCGACCTCACTGTCGGCCATTTCCAGTAGCATTCGGAATTTCATCTCCACTCCGTCGAGTTCAGTTCCACAGTCGCCCGACCGGAGGACCTGATATGCGGCGGTCTCGCAGAGGCCGTGGGCCAGTTCCAACTGCTTATCTGCGAAGTCGAAGGGGGACTCTTTGCGGATGCCAGTAGAGCCGGTCACTCCAACGACCCCGCCGCCAGTCCGGGTGCTGCGGACGCAAGACAGCGATGACAGTGGTGAGCCCCCTTCTCCTGGCTGGCCACGGCCCAACCCCGTCTTATTTAGCAAATTGGATCGAAGACCTCCGCGCGACATCAGCCCCATCTTTCCCCGACGGATATGGTTCCTTGCGATGCCAATGTCCCGGACAACCTCTTCGAGCATCTTCTGTGTATGACCGTCGTATTCGATGATAACATTGTGCCGGGTGCTGACCAAGGTGTATCGTTCACCGGAGTCGATCGACGGGGCTTCGTCCGTGCCGCGCTTGCGTCCAGCGGTTTGCGGCGGCACAGGCGCGTCATCTCCGGCTGTGCTGGTGGTCATTGCTTCCACAGCTTCCGAGGTTGGGCCGTCTCGTTGTGCGATCGGGACGAAGTCATCGGTATGGATGGAGCATACGGAGCTATTCTTGCGGCGGCGGTGTTTGGATGTGGTGTGTCGCCGGTAGGCTTCGGTGTATTTCGTGTGTCTGGCGGAGGTGTGCACCGCAAGTTCCGAGACGCGATTGATCCAGGAGGGTAGGTTGGTCTGAAGGTGGGAGAAGGCTCCTAAAGCATCCATCGATGCGGAAGCCATGTCCTACCGACACTGCTGTGAGATTTGATGGTCCGAGATAAATTCCAGGGGCATCCAGTACAGGAGTTTCCAGGCGATCAAGAGCGGGGCGAAGCCGAGGCGAGAAAGTATTAACTGTAACGGAGGTGGATGTTGAGGGGAGTGTCGTTTCGTCGTGATGTCGTAAGTCCGGAGCAGGAAGTCGTATGCTGGACGGAGGAAGTAGAAAATGAAAAGAGTGGCTTCGATTCGGGAGGGGTCGCCGGCTTTAGTAACTGCGCGTCTAAGAATTCCCAACGGCTCCCGATGCAAGTCGAGTCCAGGCAAGAGACGGTGAGGGTTGTGCTGAGCGAGTCTGGGGAGGGGTTGAGAGAGAAAAGGCCCAAAGACGGGGAAGAAGGATCGAGAAGAGAGGGCGGATGGGAGGGTAGATGGGCGTACCGTCATGGTATGGTAAGTACTTTTGTCATTGATTTGTAGGCCGGCGGGCGGTTTTGGTACGGAAACGCGGCAGAGGAAGTACACTTTCAGGATGCCGTCCAGCTACTTATTTACTCATTTACCAGCGGAGCGGTATGCAGTGTGCTCCGACCACCAACAGCAGGCTAGCATGAGTCGAGTCATCAAGGATCCTGTAGGGACCCTGTAGCGACACTGTTGGCGTATGTGTTACGGTTGGTCCATCCGCTAGATTCACGCCAGTTGGCCCGCCTGATGGGGCCGAGTGCACGACTCCTAAACAAGGATCTCGCGCTCAAGGCCAACTGCAGTGCTGCGGCCCTACGGATTGTGCGACCGTAGCAGAATGATTGGCCTCGTCATGAACAAGGATCCCCCCAGGCCCGTAGAGACCGTGATATACTCCGCAAGGAGCGGTGAGAGAACAATGCATGCATCCCCCCTTCTGACAGCCCGACGATGATGGGCCAAACGAGGGTGTCGATGGAACACACCACCCAGTGTGTCCATCGCACCCATCTCCACGATTGCTGGACGTCCCCCGACTCCGACCGGCCGAGTAATAGGTCAATAGTCCACTCGTCAGAAGACGCTCATCGGCAGATTGACCAGATCATGTTGTGATTCTTCCCGAATATCCATTCCTCGCCCTCGCTTAGCACAGTGCTCGCCCGGCAATGTGACAAATAGTGGGCAGATCGTAGAGATACGGAGAGGATACGACAGGCAGTAGCGCCGCCGTCGTGCAGGCCAACCACCAACAAGGCTCCGGAAAAACCAGGATGGGGGCCAGGACCGAGCAGGAATTGCTCGACGGAAAGCGGGTACCTTTCCCAAGACAGACATGACACGTAACGGTCGCCTGTTGTTATGGTCGGTGATTCGGGGATCCCGGGTTCTTGGAGGGTTCAGTCTGGATCTCGCTGGTTTCTAGAGAAGGGGGGGGGGGGTGTGGTTCTTGTTTCATCAACTGGTAGGGTAATACAGCGGTACAAAAGAGCTTGCTGTTCTGGATCCCTCGGTGCCGGACGATCCCTCTTCGCGGAAGACGGGGAGCGCCCGTGGGCTGGTGGACGGGTGGCCCCGTCGCGGCGATCGGCGCCTATGATTCGCGGATCAGAAAGAATCGAAAGAGCCACTGAAAGATGTGGGCGGCTGGGCATTGTATGGAAAATGAGGCAGAGCAGAGTATGTACACAGTACGGGCGTTCTTATGACGGTATCACATTCCTCGCCCGTACTTGGCACTTACTGGATAGACGCCAGGAAATGAGTACAGTCGTCTGCCAACAACCATCAGCTGTGAGAGAGCCTGGCATGCCCCTTTTCGTGACCGCGTCTGAGCATCAGGGTGGAGGAGTGAACGCGCCCGGGCTGGAGGATCATGATTCAAACTGGTTCCCGACGGATGTGATGTCCTTGCGGGCGGGCAGAGTCGAAACCACAAAGGAACTGCTGCAGAAGCTGCAATGCAGCCAGGAATGGTCCGCGCAACTCGCACGTGCGTCAGCTCCACGTGATAGCTCGAGCCCTCTATCCCTCGATGAGACGGCCCAGGCCAGCAGACGTCTGATTCAGTTTAATATTATCGGCTGGAAGTATTGGCTGGATACCTAGGCGTGATGAAGGCCACCGAGACGGGTTTCTGCTAGTCGGTGCACTTACACTGGTCGCTAGGATTGCTACTATAGCTCACCCGCTTGTCAAATTACCCAACTGCGACCACCTGAATCGTGCTGCATAAACTCGGCTGGCAGCTCGATGCGTCAGCAGCTATCCGTGTCACCCTATCTACCGAATAAAACGAAGAGGCTGCTCTATTCTGGCTGCGTGAGCATCGGAATTCCAAATCATCATCGAACGAGCGCAGTAGCGCGATGCGAGGCTTCTCGGTGGTCTATTTCTCGAAAGTAAACGGCTTATCTTCCGTGTCTTGAATGAAGTCGCCATTCTTGGCAATAGGCATACATGACGCTCATGTTGAAAATAATCTACGAGGGATTGGTTCAGAAAACTGGGAATTGGTAGGTACTCACGCAACAGATGATAGAAGGCCGTCGGGTTGACGCGGGATTATTGCTCTTGAGGGAGTGATGATGGAGCTCCGTTTGGGTGGATTTGCTGGAAATCTAGATATAATTATTGCTGCTTTATTATTCTCCGGAGATCTAACTTATCCCGCGAGCATGGTTTACAGACAACGCACATCTTGCATGCAAGCGTACACTGTAGTATCTAACAAGGGAACAATCCGGGGGAAAGATCTAAACCAGTCAATTCTTGACCCCGTCCCCGTAGCATGCTTTATCTTCTGGACCGGCTAAGAGATATAGCTCGATAGTCTCTTATGCTCGTGGCTTGGGACAAGGATGTTGGTTGACATCTAGTCTCCACTGCGACACGGATGGAATCTCTCGTATAGATCAGGATGTGAGCTGTAGCGGTTGTGATAACAACCATACTTGCGCTAGGTCATTGCTTATATGATGATAGCAATATATAAACCTTTCAATCTACAAAGCCTAGCCTTCATTCATATCCTGTTCGACTTGCTTGCCCGTACGGGAACCCGCCATCCCCTCGATAACCGCCTCCTAAGTGTGCAGCGCGTATGATGGCCATATATGGTTTCGTGCTTACCTAGAACTTGAACATAATCCTCCCCAGTCGCTGCTACAGCTTTAGCGAGTGCGTCACCGTGGCTGGATGGCGCAGCGAGCTCAAAACTGATACAGACTGAGAGCTATTGAAAGGCAGATAAGTAATACCTCTAAAAGATGTGTGTCAATAGAAATGAAATTGTAAACAATGAAGCTAACTTATACCGCATGAACCACCATCACATGCATTGCTATCTATCTATAAAATAGCAATATCCTCTACCAACCATCGATCCGCGTTCCATGTCCTGCCTCGCAAAACAACTCCAGATTTAACGGCATCGGAGGGCAGCCATTATTCCCCTTATCACCTGCAGAATCCACTGATATGTACACCAGAACATGCCAAGGCACGGCTACAACGTACGAGAGGCCTGCATTGATCTGGCAGGGACCACAACAGAGCCCGATATGACGGGAAAGCGAATGCTGTTCGAAGACAGTTTGATGTGAGACCTGATCAACTCTGACAGATAGTCATGTTTGTATTGTCTACTTACAAGATCCTTCGATTCTCTTCACTCACCCTCGTATACAAACCCCAGCTTTGTACACTCTCCTCTTCCGCTACTTATTGCCCAGGAGCCCACGCCGCGACCCACCGGTCATGGTGGCAACGTGCAATTCCATGGCGAGTTGGTACTTGGCCTCGAACTCCTTCAGCTTCTCCTGGAGCTCCTTTGCGAACACCATGTGGATAGACGTAGCGGAGCATCCCTGGACGGCGTCGGAGGGCGAGGGATATTAGTATCATGGTGGAACCGAGGGTGCAGGTAGGGGGGGGGGGGGGGGGGGGTTTGCATACTGCCAACTGGCTTGGCACCCTTCTTAGGACCCATTTCGTTTGCCTGACAAAGGACTTTGACAGACACGCAAGAGGGAGCAATTCAATTGGTTGGTTGTTGAGCGGACGCAGGCAGTGCGCGCGTTCAGACGAAGGACGGTGGGACGAGGAAGAAGTTGGCAAACGATGGATACAAAATGTGAATTTGTAGGTTCCATCCAAGAAAGAGGCATTTTCGAGGGTGTTCAGAATGCTCAAGTTGCCTGGCTGTGAATAGCATCATGAGCGATGGTGACCTGGAGGAACAATAGGGAAGAGTGGATCTCTATTTCCCAGACAGGATGTGCACAATGGCATTCGCAGGGGCAACAACGCGATGGAGGCTGCGACAATAGAAGAGCGTGGATGATTCGAAGCCTGGGAACCTGGAAACTGGGAGTGGGATCAAATCTCATTTACTGAATAGACAGGAGGAAAACGACTATCATGGCCAAATCTCGGTTTCCACCCATTCTCCACCAGGCTGCCCTCCCCTGTGGCCGTCGTGCACTAGCGTCCACTTGCGTCTGCGGACATCATCAAGGTCTGAAAGATCCAGGTACTCGACTTCCTGGGGCTGAATGACCACAACCCTGAAATTGCCGCGAGCAACAGGGTCCTGGAGGTCGGCGACCTTCTGGCCGAGTCTCAAGGCCGGGTCGCTGGGAACATGGGACCGAGGCTGACCAGGAGGTGGGCTTCGGAAGGAGCCTAAAGAACAATCAGCTTGATGAAGAAGCCGAGAGACACAAATAAAGGTTGTAAGAGCCAATATCAAATAAAAACATGCTAAGGCATCCACAAGACAACACAATCCCCAAACGGCCAAACAGCATCCGATATAATAAAATGAAAGTGCAACATACCACGCATGACGGGCGAATGGTTGGCAAAATACTTGGTCACTGCCTTCTCCCACGTCCACTTCGCCGTGTCGCTGTTGAGGTCACCATCGTAGTCTCCTTTGACCCGCAGGCCACTGCCGATTTCCTTTCGGGCCACACCCTCCTCTTCCGCACCCACACTGGGATTGCCAATGGCAAACGCTCTCCCCTTGACTCGCCACTGCACCATCAAGTCCTTTAGCCAGAACATGGCCTCAATCATATGCCCCGTCGAGTCCAGCTGGCCCAGCTTCTCCATCCGGACATCCGTAGTGAATGTCAGCATATCACTCTCGTAGACAGGCGGGTTTCCCCCATTTTCCACCTGCTGATCCATAGCTTCTTGCCCGCTCGGGTGGAGCTGGAGCTCGGGGAAGAAGCCCCGGCAGCCGCAGGTTCGGACACGGGGGACAGGAAGGCCCAGGGTATCGTGGCTGACTGTTGCGATGGTAAAATAGTCGTCGGGGGTCTTTTCAAGGTGGGAGTCGAGGAGATCGCGCCACGGAGCACGGTGGTTGCTCGGTGGAACGGTCATGGTGCGAGGCGCCGGGATGGGTCGGGGGGTTGGATAGATTGTAGCGCAGAGACCAGCTGGGAGCTGGCCTTGGATATCCGAAGAGAAAGCAAGGGGATCAGACGAGGCTTCACGCTTCTGGCGAGAAGAGTCGATGGCATATGCAAGCTATAACGAGGGCATAGCTTCCAAGTCGTGAATCAACTGCGGCGGGGTAGAGTTCGAGCTCCGGTGGAATTGCTAGGTTACAGAGTCCTGAACGAACGACAATAAAATCAGAGGCCTATTATGTCATAGATAGTCAATAACTAGTTAACTCGAAGCTAGCTGCGGTCCAACCGACGACCCACCAAACCACAGCGCTGGTCATCGGTCGCAGGCTCAGAGATTATCCGTGAAACGCAACCGCCACGGTTGGTCCGTGCACATAGCTTCGCCGCCGTCGCAAAATATCAACAAATCCTGGAAATTCCAAAAGAAATTGAACAAAGACATCATTGCATCCTGGCTGGTATCGGGAAGTATCTGGCTGGCACGGCTCATCACAGCTACCATCGCCATCCGTGTTTGAGCAAAAGGTGGAAGCGGAAACAAGGACGTGGACCGACCACAACTGACCCCTTACACATCCATTCGCCATTGATTATGCGGCTCTTTTCAGGCTGCACACGGCGTACAGGGCGGCCCCAGAGCTGGTGCATGCACAGGTCGAGTATACATGGGCTGAAACCGCCGTCTGCGCGATTGGAAGCATCAGCACGATTCCGCCCATACTCCACAGCACCAGACATCCTCTCCCATCCGCATGGAGTCGTGCCGAGTCGACTATGCTCTAAAGAGCACCGGCTAGGATGGCAAACCATCCAAGCACAAGTTGAGCCCTACTTCGGGCAGCATTGGAAGTTCTCCAGCCAGAAGGAGAAGACAGGATTCTTCGCGGTGGGGTTTTCGCGCGCGTTTAGTCGGTTTTTCCCTCTCACATTTGACGAGCGGGTTGAGGGAGCGTGTAAAATGCATTACCTGGCTTTGTTGATTGACGGTGGGTTCACTAGGAGTAGTCCGATAATATGAGATGGGTCCGCTAGGTTCCAGGGTACTGACGGAAGAATAGACCAGTTAGAGAAGATGAGTATGGCGGATATGCTGTCGTACCGTGAACGAGTCATCCGCATTGCGCATGGGAAGGAATCTCCAAACCGGGATGTATGTGTGGAATGGATGCTGTCGGAGACCCTCCAGCTCATGCGAGGCATGGACGAGGTCCTTACGAATGACCTCGTCGAGGGTTTCTGCACGTTGCTGCAGGCGCAGACGGCGCCGGGACGTTCGTCAGTGCAGCACTTGGGGCCGTATCTTGAAGCTCGGGAGGTGGACGTGGGGCGGCCGTGAGTACATGACATCCCGTCCAAGCGGATGATCGCGTCGAGTGTGAAATAACCAAACAGAAACCAGATTCTATACTGCGCTCATCCGATATGGCGCAAAATTGCATCTCGACCCGACGGAACTGGCCCATACAGCGCCGCTGGAAAGCTGTGCATTCCGGTTCATGGGCGTGATCAATGATATATACAGCTGGGACCGCGAATGGAAGGTCTATCAGGAAAGCCCAACGGATGGGGCGCGGCCTTTCTCGGCCGTTTATATACTAGCCCGGGAGACGAGCCTGCCATACGCGGCTTGCAAGAGGTTACTGTACTCGTATTGTCGGGAACTGGAGCTCGTCCTTGAACAGTCTCGCGAGGAGATCCAGCAGCAAAACGGAGGCACCTTAAGACCGGAGATGGCCAACTATATCAAAGGGCTAGAGTATTTTATGAGCGGTCTTGAACACTGGAGTCAATGGACACCGCGCTACAAATAAGCACTGCCATGCGTACTATATCTATCCACTAGGTAATATTGCAAATGGCCGACCCGGGCGAATTCGGGCTTTATGATAGCTCTATGGAACTAGCTATCTTTCGATCCTTGGAATAGTTTCTGGACTGGAACTATGTCTAACAATACTAAATATTAGACAAGAAAGAGTAGGACCTACTTAGGGAAAAGGTGGTTGCTTTATTATTGAAATAGAGAGAGAAGGAGTTATATATACCTATACCTATACGCGCAGGTGTCCAACCACCACTCGGCCCTTGATCCAACCCTTTTCCATGCTAGAACCGTATGAAATGGCTCGAGCCTTGGTAGAGATCTCCAATACACAATTAGACAACTACAACCATGCTGGCCGAAGCCGACAGCCTGGCCTAGCGGGGCGGCCCACTTTGTATGGGCAAAAGATCCTGCACGGACCACTCCCATAGTAAACCAATGCCCCAGGAAGATTTTCTGGGCAAGTGAAGGGATGTACACATCTCGCCCACCCAAATGGGGTCGGAGAGGATGTATAGAGGTAGCTAGTGGGGCACAACCGTATATACAAATATCCACAGGGCGCAAAACCCCACAAATGCTAATCCCATTATCTACAAAGCGGCCTTGACCTGGGCCGGCAATAGCCCAGTCTCACACATCAGTGCCGTTACATCCTCCGCAACGCCCCGCGACAGCTCAAACCCGCGTCCCCCGGCGCCGTAGGCATGTACGATGTTCTTCCCGGGCCCGGCCTGCTCCACCTCGATCCGCATCCCGCCTTCGCGGGCGGGCCGGCGCCCCACGATGTCTCGGATGACATCGAACTGACCCCCGCTGTCGGGGGTGAAGGGAAACCATTTGGCGGCGTTGGTGAGGAGCCGGGCTCTGATTTCTGGGGATGGGTTGGGGTCCCAGTCGTGGGGCTGGCGGGTGCCGCCGATAATCGTGCCGCCGTCTAGTGGGCGCGGGATGCAGAAGGACCAGGTCCCGTCTGCATACTGGCGGGTGATAGTTGCGGAGACGGGGTTGCGAACCAGACAAGTTTGGCCTTGACAGAGATTTAGCGATGTCTTTGAGAATGGGTGTCTTGCTGCTTCCGTTGGTTGGGGACCTACCTCTAATGATGAAAGATTTCGGGTCTTCGAATCCAGTGCCGGAGCAGTTCACCACTGTTTTCACATTACCAGCCAGAGTGAATGCCTCATTAATATTTTCGAGGACATATTTCTTTGTACTGCCGCCCTTCAAGATAAATTTGCGCAGCATATAGGCACAATATACCGGAGGATTGATCACGTAGGTGCCATACTCGGCTCCCCATCTCATGCCGACGGGAATCTCTTCGCTCGCCAAAGAACGGAATTCATCCAGGTGCGAATAGGCATTGCGCACGCTCTGACTATCCAAATACTCTGGAGGCGGTGCTTCTAGATGCTCAACGCCTTGCACGAACGTGATGCCCGCAGCCGGCTCGGCCGCAGCGACTTGCTTGAGATAATTGTACGTTCGCTGTGCTTGATTTGCCTCTCGCAGCATCTGTGGTGAGGACCCGGGTACTGGGCGATAATGCGCTCCGGCCCATGGCGAGGCATAGTTGACGGACGTATCCGATGGAAAGTCTCTGGCTACGAGAAGTACCGATTGTGTGCTGCCCAAGGTTTGTTGAATGGACAGGGCCGTTGAGAGGCCGATCACTCCTGCGCTATGATGGTTATCAGCAGGGATTTCTGGCGCGATTGGCAGGGTTCTCTAGCTTTGCTGTCGGGCTGGTGAGCTTACCCGATCACGACGATAACCTCGGACTCAGGCATAGCTGCAAAGAATTACGGGCGAGATGGGTGGGTGGAGCGATCCCGGTCGATGGAATTTTCGAGATCAAGGGCGTATTACGAGAGGTTCGGTGAGCAGGCCAGTTGGGCTTTGGAGTGAGTCAACAGCAAGTCCGGGGAAACGATAAGACTCCGCGATCAGATGATATGCCCTGTGGCCTCGGTGGAACATCGTTGCGGACAACCGAATTGCCGGGTTCTGCCTTGTGACTCGCAAAAGACGAACAACTAGGTTTTTGAGGCTGAATCGACTAAGCTATAGCTTTTGCTATATAGGCTTTATAGGCTACATGATGAAGTGTTGATCGTTGCGTTGGGGGTCGCTCCTGCTCGCCTAATAGCACCTCCGCCGACCGCTCTCGGATCCTCTTCCTCGCGCTTCTCACCTCATGAAATGAGCGGAGCAAGTCACAAAGCAAGATACATCGCCGGCTTGTGTGACCTCCAGCATCCCAATTCTTTCGCCCAAGTTCGATTGACAAACTCCGTGCTGGCCCGCCGATGTTATCACAGGGGCCCAAGCTCCTGCGAGGAACGCCCGATCTTTGTGCTTCGTGTGCATGATGGCAAAACCTCGGCTTGAAGCACACACGAGTCACATCACATAGCTCATCAGGGGCCCATTGGAGCTCTCGTGCGATCAACAAAGAAGGCAAAAAAGGAAATTGCAGATCGGCAAATCCGACAGAGACGAGCATGAAACTCGCGGAGTCGAACGGTCTCTGGAGTTCTCCGTTCCTCCAACGGCCCTGCGGCCCTTCCCATAGGCCCGCAGGCTGGCCTCACCCGTGACCACAGACGTGCTCGTTCTGATTCCCTCTTTTCCCTATTTTCCCGGCCGGGGTGTGATATCTTGCAGTTCTGGAACCTGATTGGCTGAAACTGGTGTGCTGCAAGCGCTGAGGGATCGGTAGTGACGAGATGTGATTGGTGGATGAGGTGACGAAAGGTGCAGGTTGACACTCCTGCACGGATCCCCATCACATCGTGTCTCAGAACACAACATGCTTTACGACTCGACTGTTCACGGTTACTTGCAGCGGTCGAGTGGGCGAAAGGCCCTCGTGGTGTAAGCAAGTCGCTTTCCAACGGTTGACTATTTCCCCCACAAATCACGGAGATAGCATCCAACTGCACAATCTCTGGCACTGTGAACTATACTAGCCGGACCATGAACGGACCCCGGACAACGCGACCAAGGATCGACGTCCCCGTTTCTTCGGTTTACTTTTTTCACAGATAGGCCGGCCTAGCATAGACCCACATCTTCCGGCCCTTGACGACGATGATGGTTCCCGTCTGTGATTCGGGAGCCTCCTGCATCGACCTAAACCTGTAACTTCTTCTGCGACCGCGTTTCTGCATGCTCGTTGGTGCAGGCCCGCGCAACCAGAGCCACGCAGGCCCCAGCCACCAAAAAGGCTCGATCTCACCGTCTCCGCTAATAATGTGATGCTCTACTGGTCTCCGATCCTAGGATTCGGGGAACACAGGGCGGAGGGCTCCATCACCCCTCCCGGCACACTGTATGGTCGGCCGTGAAATGAAGCGCCCTGCTACTCCTGCCCGGCGTCAACCCCGATTGCTCGATGGCTGGAGATTCTGATCGACTGCCTGCGCCCCCTCTCGCTTTTGGTCCTGCGACTTGCTGCCCGTAGACCTGTAGACCCGTTCCCCCCTATCCTGCCCGGATTCAAGGGCACAATCCTATCCTAACTCGGCGGGCAAGGTGGCGCCAGCTTTTATATATCGCGTATAGATATACATATCGCTCGGCCGCTTCACGTCCATCCCTGCCCCTCTCCGCCTGGCGCCTGGTCACAAACTCAAGCCCCTCCACGCTAAAGATTTAGGATGTGATGAACGTGGGCAAGCGAGTCATTCTTTCCCAAAAATACATCCCTGTTGTCTTCTTGCATCTCTGATATTTTCGTGCTGCACCTCTCCCACATTCTAACCACATCCTAATATTCAACCCCCGGTCGGTCCGCAATACAACTGCGCCATTCTCGCCAGCGCGCATATTTTCTGACAGTCTCTGTATTTGCCTTGTTAGGGCCCAGATCATCGCGTCGCTACCGCTAGCCACGCTACATCACTTTGCTGGCCACCCCATCTGGCACTAACCCTCTCGGCGTTTCCCCATCCCAAATGCCTGGCGCTACCCCATCGCTTTGCTTTCCTTTGCCTTGAGCGGTACTCAGGGTCGTGACCGATTTGCAACCGCCCACCTAGTTCAAGCTGATCAGGTCAGTTACTGCTTTTCCTTTTTTTCTGATCCTAATCTATCCCCATGGAGTGCTTCCGGACGTCCTAGCTGGTCGTGGAGCTGCGAGATCCGGGAAGCTAGCGTTGCGGAGAAAGCGTCGCCTTAGCCAACCACTCCCATCCTTGCCACCCCATTAAAAAATTGATACTGCTGCGAGGAAGAAAAGAGAATTGTTGAATTAATGTGGAATAGGAGCTTGGTGTCACAATCGCGACCCTCGAAAACCGTCAAAGCGATGGCACCACAGTCGCAGGTCCCGGAGTCCCGTTTCGAGCCTTGCGCTTCCACGGCGTCGTTGTTCCTCTACGCCCAGGGCTCCGTGATATTATGCTTGCATCATGATACCTTGGCTGTGGAGCGTCGCTTCAGCAGCCATCAGGATAATATCGATTTCATCTCGGTGGATAATGTGAGCGAACGCGGTGCGGGGAGGCTGGTGGTCAGCTACGACGTAGGCCAAACCGCAATTGTCTGGGATATTTTTACAGGCACCGAGATTGCACGATTTGCATCTTTTGAGCTTTTGAGAGTTGCTTCTTGGATGCGCAATGGAAATGTTGCATTTGGTATGCGAAAGAAATCGAGAAGGCCTGGAGTTTCGGCCAATTACTGACGGAGCCGAAATGCAGGTAATGGCAAGGGCGAAGTAATCCTCTTCGAGCCTCCAACTTCAGAGCACACTTCTGCACGCACAATTTTCGACCCAATTACAGCCCTTGCACCTGCAACAGACTGTCGCACATATGCGATTGGGTAGGTGGCATTCCGCGATTGGACGAGTGCCCACAAAACTAATCATAGTTTTCAGCTATCAAAATGGATCAATATTGATCGCGAATCTTCTCCCTCAATTTACAATTCTTCATACGTTGACTACTTCCCGCGGCCCGTCACCAATCCTTTCGCTGGCATGGCATGCCTCTTCATCGAAACAGAAGTCGGATATGTTGGCAACACAAGCTTCTGATGGGGATTTACGAGTCTGGAGTGTGGCCAAGCCACCTGGAAAAGAACCCCCGCGAGTGATTCGAGTGTTGAAAAGATCTGATTCAAGCTCTGCGGATCCCAAATGGATGTCATGGTCGAAGAATGGGAGAATTGTGCAGTATCTAGAGGGGTGAGTATAAGAACATTTTGGGGATCTGATCCAAATTTATTAACTGTTATATTACAACTATAGGGAAACATGGTCTTGGGATGTTCGAACGAAGCACGTAACGTACGAGCCAATCCCCACGATCGACGGAGTACGAGGTATGGCGAGCTATGGACCGACTGCGACTCTTTTCACCATTGGTCCGCAGGATACAGTGCAGCAGTACGACCTGGAAAATTCAGCTATGGTCGCCAATGTCCAAATTCCTGCCGTCAGCTCTCGGTCGACCGCATCTGAAGGAAGCCGATCACGAACAAGGTCTCCACGTCGCCTACAAGAACCTCCTGAGATTCGGGAAAAGGCAACCGGGAGGCGGACACCATATGAAGCGAATGGTGTCGATAGTGTGAAGCAGGCAAGAGCAGATCTGATCAGCCCTGCTTCATCAAGAAGTCGGACAGAATCGGTCAGCTCAAAAGCTTCGTCCGGGAAGTACAAGGCGGAGCGTCCATTTTCACCACCAACTCGCTCTGCGCAGAGTGGGACGTCATTTTCCATGAGTGGTCGAGATACTCCGCAGCCTTCCGCGTCGTATCCATATGCTTCATCTATCTCGATGTCCTCAGCGAAAAGCTCCCGAGCTGGATCTCGACTGCGAAACGAGGTTCACTTGAGTCCCGCCGAAAGGAACATTATCGATCTCTTCCCGTTTACCCGGGCGCGACTAAACGATGTGCCCTTTAGACAAACACCGCCTCTTGATGAAACTCATCTTACTCCGGATGATTTGCGACAGCAGATGCTAAGCGTAGTATTTGGTTGGGGTGGAGATATTCAAGATCTGCTTAGAGATGAGCGTATGTCTCTACTTTGAAGCTAGGTTCTCGAAGGAATATCCGCTAATAATGTCTTAGTGAGCCGCCACAAGGAGGGAAGTCAGAGCGCTATTCTACTAACACGTTGGCTGGGTGAAAATGACACTGATCAAATGGCGACCATGCTCGGTGCCGGGCAAGTGACAATGGCAGATTGGATGATTTTGGCACTGAGCCAGATGAGCGGGCAGACGCAAGCAAACAAAGTCGGACAAGCTTTTGTCCAAAAGTTACTCGAACTTGGAGATATCCACACGGCCGCTTCCGTTCTTCTTGGGCTTGGAGATAGCAACGATGCGATTGAGGTTTATGTTTCTCAAAACCATTTCATGGAAGCCATCCTCATGACTTGCCTCCTGATGCCAACAGACTGGCAGCGTCAGTCATATCTCGTTCGTCGTTGGGGAGAATATGTGGTCTCTCATTCCCAGCAGCAGCTCGCCATCCGCTGTTTCATGTGCACTGGTGCTGAACCGACCGAGCCGTGGACCTCACCAGCTGCTCAACAGGCTGCATCTTTTGCAGAAATCATCCGAGGAAAGTCACCACTGGCATCTCCTGAACCCTCACAGCCCCTCAGTGCTAGCCTCTTGCCACCTCCAATCCGGCCAAAGTCTGGGTCAAGTCAACGCCCTGCTGGAAGAACCCCTTCACTAAAGCTCATTACTTCCTTTGACTCGCAACCAAATCAGCGATTCCGCTTCCCCGGACTGAAGTCAGATGATCGCACTCCAACTAACGCACCCGGTGTCACTCCAATTGCGGAGTCTGCTGTGGCTGACTCTGCGTTGTCCCCTGGTGGCTTTGGATCATACAAGCTCAACAATATCCAGAGTCTGAGCCAGGCGATGACTTCGCGAACAAACACTCCTGCTTTCAACCGTCGTCGCCTACCCTCAATTGGGGAGACCCCGGTCGATGTTCATCCACCAGCATTCTCGCGGGCTGATTCCTACAACACGAGCAACTATGGCTCGACCTCAGAGAATGACGAGGCAAGTGGTCATGAGCAGAGCCAAGGTGAGCAAGCTGCAGATAGTGGCTTGTTGACCTTGTCTTCTGCGAGATACAACCCGACCCAGGAAGCTCAATCCCATAAACCCAGTCCCCAGACGGCTGTTCAAGCCCCAGAACAGTTTACCACCCTTAAAGGACTGCCATCCCCGGCACCGGGCTTCATCGATGTACTGAAAGAGCATTCTGATATTCGGAATGGCTCGCGGCATCGGAAGCCCGATGGACTCCAGATTGAACTAGTACATACGGAAGAGGCTCCACCAGGCTCTCAGGAACGATCTGGTCTCTTGCCCAGTGCCAATAGCACTACTTCAACCTTGAACAGCTACACCTCAGCCAAAAGCCCTAGTGTTAGTGGCCGCAGCATCGATCAGTATATCAGCAGCCTGGATGAGGCAAATCATCACGCTAGGAAGCATAAAGGTCACCGTACACCTGGCCGTGGCCGGCGAAACACAGATGAGACCGGCAGCCAACAAGACTCTCCAGCTCATCATTCTCGCGAAGCATCTCAGGAAATTCGAGGTCGTAATGAGCGTCGATACATTCAGCCTGCTAAACGATCGCCCTCGTCACCAGTGCCCATGTCACCGGAGGAGTTGGCTCGGTACCACAACGGAGGAACTGAACAGCCAGACGAATCGCGTAAGAAGGGATCTTCTCGCGCTAGAAGTGGAAGTAAGATGAAAAAAGCTGGATCGCGAAGCCGCCAGCGCTCGTCCAGCCGACACACCTCAAACCGCCTGAGAGGAGACAAACAGGATCCCTCTACTCGCGGTCGTAGTGTTGACCGTACCGGATCTGCTGTGCGATCGCCGTCGTCGCCTTTACCCATGTCTTTGCCCGGCCAAGACGTCCCCCAGCCAGATGATGCAAAGGACCCGCTTCGGCTTGTTTCCGGAGACCGACAGCGCCTACGCTCCCACCACCGAAGTGCCAGTCGCCGCCGCGCGGAGCGGGGAACTAGTTCGAAGCGTGATGGCTCTCCAGAGTCCAGGCACAGGCCGTCTCAGAGCGTACCCGAGGTTCGCCAGCCTCCAGAGCCAGAAGTGCCTGTAGAGGCAGGGGGACTCGAGCAATTGAGCGCCAAGGTCTTCGGCCAGGAGGATTTATTCCTCAATGGGAGCAGCTACAGCAGGCCTGACCCCGTCTCCGATGATGCTCAGGAGTTGGTATCCCCAACGACACCTTTCGTCAGCCTGGCTGAGAAGAAAAGAAGAGAACTTGCAGCTGCTGAACTTGAAGCTCGCCGTCTTTCTCTTGCTCGCAACCCATCTGCCCCAAACATTCCCTTCCCAGGCGAACTGCAATTTGCTCGAAGCCCAGTGGAAAGTCCGCCTCCCGTAGCTGGACATTCTTACTTCCCGCGCGCTCCATCTCGAAACAAGATCCAGCCAAGCAAGAGCTCCCCTGAGTACCCGAGCAGCTCGGATTCCAGCTCTTCCCGGTCTGGTGTCCCTGTAGGACTACCTGCCACGCCCAGAGCAATGAGACACCCCAAGTACGGTGGCAATAGGCACGGAGAAGAACGACCTCCCTCGGTCCCGAACATCCCCGCTGATTACTCAAATGGGATGCTCCTCTCAGACGCCCGATACCAAGTTGAGGCTGAGAGAATTGGCCGCTCGATGTCCGTTCCCATGGCAGAACTTCAAGCCAACAATGCCTCAGTCCCGTCCGATATCCCCATGCACCCAAGGTTCAACCCCCATCTTCCACGCAGCCGCTCAAACAGCCGTAGCCGGAACATGGGCCATCGACGCACCAGCTCTGGCGGCTATGCATCTGGCAGTTCCCCTAATGTGACGGTGAGCATTGAGGAGACCATCGAGAATGCGATGCAACGAAGACCTTCAGCACCGCAGGTCGAGACAATTCCGCCTCCCCCCTTCCGCCTATTCTCCCCGAGCTGCAGCATCTCAATACACCTCCGCCCCCACCCCCAATTCCAATCACTTCAAATGCGACCTCGCGCCCGGAGTCATCTGCCACAATCGACATTGCCATCGACAACGTAAACATGGGGCGCCTGCTACCCCGCGCTATGACAGCCGCCCCTGCATTGAGTGGACCTGATCCCCGTCAGAATGCGAGCCGGCGGATGTCATTTGAACATCGACGCAACCGAAGCTCGAACGAAAGCTTCGCAAACAAGCTGCGCAGTTTGACTCGTATGCGCAGCAACAGCCGCAGTGTGGAGCCGTGGGGAAACACTGAAGCTGAATGGCCATATGAGAGTGTGTCGTCGCACGGTCAGAGCAACGGCATCTAGAACGAGCTCGCGCCTACTTACTTGTCTTCTGAAGTTACTTCATATATTTGGAGTTTTGCTCGTTACTGCATTTCATGTTCCGTTTTATGATAATCTCGACGTGGTTGATGTTTAGCGGACCGCCATTTTTGCTACTGATTTTGTACTCCTTTTCTTGCTATCTATACCCCCTCCCCAACTTCCCTCGCTCTACTGTCCTGATATTCATTGGATCCTTCAACTCTTCTATTCCTGCAGCAATTTTTGAATTTCACGCGCAGGACTCCTCTATCACATTGACCGTATACATCGCACCACATGTCCAATCCTACTACCGCCTCCCCTACTACCAAAACTGCTGACCATATCCATGACTCATTCATTTTTACTATGGCTTCGTTTTCGCATTTGGCTTCCGTATTTAAAGCTAGTGCCTGCAAAGGCTAACAATGGTGTCAAGTGTCACTCATCTCAAAGTTTCCAAAGTAGCAAACCAGTGTTCGATTCTAGGGATAGTAGAAGCTGTTGTACATGAGAAAAGTGTAGATAGGTAATGGACAAAATCTTGATCACCAGCCCCGGTTCTGAGACGATTGGTCGTTGGGAATATTCCTCTCGGCATCCATCATCCGGTCGAAGTCGGCCTGTGCCTGCTCCTTCTCGCGACTTCTATCATAGTCGAATTGGTCCCGGTCGCCAGAAGGAGTGTAAGTCGGTGAGTTTGGGGAGTCCTGCTGCTGGCCCCATTGCGGCCGAGGTTGCCGGGGAGCAGCGGCCTGGGAACTCTGTCCACCATTTTGTCGCCGGAGACGTTCCCAGGCACTTCCAATGGGCGAACCATCGGGATTGGTATTCCGGTACTCCGGGGCCGTGGGGCTGGCATCGTCATTCTTTCCGCCGAAAAAGAAATCAGGGTCAGCAGAAGACTCGTCGGTTCCCCCCTGTTGTGTTCCGGCCCCGCCACCGTAACCCCACGACCGGCGTGGGGCTTCGGGCATGGGGCGCTGCTGAACATCTTGAGAAGTGTTGTATTTCATATCGTTGCCGGGGGACGCAGTTTCGGATGCAGAATTATCATTGGCATATTGGTCCTGGTCATTCTGCTCCGGGTGAGAACCAGGAGCTTTCAGTTCGTCGAAAATGTAACCCTCAATATCCTTCTCACCGCCACGCATGCGACGGATACGTTCGCTCGCAGCCTGGAGCTTGCGTTGTCGTACTTCCTCAGGCTTTTGCCCCCGCATATCCTCCACAAAGTTCTTCAGCCGGGGATCCGAAATCACGCTTTTGGTCTCTGAGTAGAGAGCGGCGAAGCCGGAGCCAATTGCACCGGCGGTTGTTATAAAGAGCATCTTGAAGGCAGACGAAGCGATCATGGACCGGAAACCAGCCTTATCGACGGACGCGTATTTGCGGAGGAATGTAAAAACAGCCCGGGGACTGGCGTTTGACGGCAAACCTGCATCCTTGCGAAATTTGTTGTACAGATATGCTGTTCCGATGAAGGACGAGATAGGTACGCCCAATCGCCGATAGTATAGGGTTCGCGTCGAGTGGGTGGTGAAGGCGTCCAGCTCATCCTGCGTGATAGCGCGGCCCGTCAGAAGCCAGGAGTTCTCCACACGCTCCATCATTGTGTATGCAACATTGCGCGCCCAGTTCGAGGGCCCTAGAAATCCAAAAACCATCGTGAAAAGATCGGGCCGCACGACTAGCTCCGGTTTGACTCGCAGGTGGAAGTTGCGAGCCATTGCGGGGTTTGCGGCCATGGATTGTTGGGCTGGAGAGCTGGCTGAGACATTATTCTCAGAATAGCGCCCTGCCTGCGGAGAGCCATCGTCGAGGACCATGGCGATGCTTCTCAGTCGGGTTTGCAGTTCGAACGAAAAGCTGTTTGCAGTTGGAAGCTTGGAAGGCTGGGGGACCGGAGCTCCCCCAATGTCGCATGACGCTATGCGCTGACTCAGCGGGAGATTACTAAGTACGGGGCTGGCGGTGCATTTGAACACTGCAATTAATTTCAAAGGGTGTTTATATACGAAGGGGCTATACGCAAGAACACTGGATAAGGGTTGAAAGAAGTTGAATTCATTAGCTCATTCGGCGAAATAGTGGATAGCAGGTCCTCTACCACTTCTCAACATAAGGCCGCAAATCCAACTCAAACGCAAATGTAGTCCGGGGCTGGGTATGCAAATGCCAGTACGAGTCGGCAATCTAGATCAATCAGTACACAGTGCAAACTCGAGGACTCTCTCCACACTTACCGAATCAGGGCTCAACTTCGCATCTTCATGAGGTAACACCCACTGCTTGGTGCGGGGAATGTCGATAATGCCATCGATGATAGTATGCGATACATGAATGCCCTGGGGTCCGAATTCCCGGGCGAGCGACTGGGCTAGAGCGCGCAGGGCGAACTTGGCACTTGCAAATGCGGCGAATTGAGCTGATCCCTTAATACTCGCCGTAGCACCCGTGAAGATGAGGGTAGGAGGGTAGGGAGACGAGTCTTTGGCCTTCAGAAGGAGGGGCAAAGCACGCTTGGAGATATGGAAGGCGCCCTTTCTGTAGTAATGTTAGATTCTGGGCTCCGTCGGTTCGTATAGGGAGTGAGTTGATGCATACGCCTGCGAGTCAAGAGCCCGAGCATAGTCCTCCTCGGTAAGCTGTAAGAATGGCTTCTTCACAAAGCCGCCACCAGGATTGAAGATTGTCGCGGCCAGTGCGGAGTTTGGAAACTGCTTCTCAATTTGGTCGAAGGCGGAGCTAACACTATCGGCGTCAGAGACGTCAGTGCTGATGCCAATGGCCTGTCCACCGTTGGAGTTGATCTCCTGAACAAGCGGCTCATAGCTACTAGGGGTTCGTGATAGAAGGACAACTGAATAGGATTGAGCAAAGCGTCGGGCAATGGAGCCGCCCTGTGGGGCCATTTAGTTTATTACAATCGTCTGCTGTTGATAGTAGAGAAAATACATACCGTGCCGGGCCCAACACCGGCGATAATTGCAAGTCCCTTTGAAGCCATGATGAATGATCACTCTGTCAAGGTTTCATTTCAAGAACGGTCATGGCGGAGGGCAAGTGCGGTTTAAGTAGTACCAGCGAACCAGTCTCGGGCTCCCAGCTTTCGCCGACGCTTAGAAATGCAGCGGTGATTGATCATCACCCACATGAATGATATCATCGTGAGGAAGCGGGGCTGGTGTTCGATGCCCACAATAGTTCTGATGATAATATCGTCCGAGCTAGTCTCCAATTCTAACAATCATGCAATTTCACGCAAATCATCCCCTGCTATTCCTCATAGTACCCGCATTGCTAGACATACTGCTGGGGGCTCTGTGACTGCCTTAGGCCGCTATCGATAAGCGCCGTTCAATTTTCCGGAGCTTCACATCCAAGTCGCATCTCCAACCTTAACAATCACAAGATGGACGGCGCCGACCCTCTGCTCAATGAGCTCTGCTCGATATGGTGAGATTGATCCTGGAAGAATCCGGTGCTGGCTTTACGTCTAACCCCGCCTTTTTTGACAGCCACATCAACCCCCCAAAATACCGCTGTCCGCGCTGCTCAACACGCACTTGCTCCCTCCCATGCACACGGCGCCATAAGCTCTGGTCCCAATGTTCTGGTGTGCGTGATCCGGCCGCCTACCTCAAGCGGAGCGAACTCGCTAGCGAATCCGCGTTTGATCGCGACTTCAACTTCATCACCGGCATTGAACGCACGCTGGAGCGCGCGGAGAGAGAAGTGGAGAACCGGGGAATCGAGCTTGCGCGGGGACAAGCCATTTCCAATGAAGAGGCGGAAGACGCGCAATCCTCTGGTGCTGGGCACAAGAGGAAACACCCCAACAAGGGCCTTGTCAAGGGCGAAGCTGGGTTCCTGCGCGGCGCAGAAGCCGGCCATGTGAAGGTTCTTCGAGCGCCAAGGGGAATGTCCAGAAATAAGCAGAACAGCTCACGGTGGAACCCCAAGTGAGTTGCAACTAGGATTTCCTACTGGTGGGTTGGTGCTAACCGAAGCCGTGTTTCAAGATACAAATGTCTAAGCTGGACCGTGGAATGGGTATCAGCGACTGGGACTAAGACTGTTCGCAATGCTCTCGAGACTTACCCAATTTCTGAGGCCTATGACCGGGCTCTGCCCCGTCCAAAGCAGGAAAGGCTCGGCGCGGAGTCAAAGAATGAGAAAGAAATCCCGAAAAGTGATTCTTCTACAAACCCGAATCCTACCAACACCGACACTCCAGCAGGTGCAGTCCCTGCGACTACCACTACAGAATCTCCAGTCTCACAGCTGGCAATTTTGTCGGACTCCGAGACAGTCGAAGCACCAGCAGGAGTTCCAGAGACAAAATCATCAGAGGAAACACCAGAATTGCCGATTGGCCCTCACCACGATATCTATTTCTACCTCCACCGCCCCAGGACAACAACCAAAAAACCAGTCCTAGTCCCTCTACCGCCACAGGCAAAGTTAGCCGCCATCTTGCGAGAGCGCACCGTACTCGAGTTCCCCACGATATACGCGCTCCCAGACTCCAAAGAAGCAATACTCGCGTCGAAAGACACATCGCCTTTCATTCTGGAAGAGGAATATTTGCGCACAGCCACGCCAGAAGAACTGGGTGAGCAATCTACAGATTTAGAGCCAGAGGTAACAGGAGCCGAAGACGATGAATCAGGAGTAGGTTTACAGAACGTGGATGAGAAGAAGGTAATGGAGGTGCTGAAGCAAGATCTGTTCGAGACAGTGTCATAGAAGAGGAATGATACAGTACATAAGAGTCTAATACAAGGCAAAGGAAAAATAAAATAAAAGAAGAACCCATCACGGTGCGGATGGGGAGTCTGACTTCGCATCCAACTGTCCCTTTCTCATCTTGTACCACTCAACCCATTAGTGGGTTTCTGGAGTGAGAAGACCAAATCAGATACATAAGGGAAGCTTCAGATTAATAAAGGTAGGCGGTTCAACTCCTGCCGGTATAATGTAAACCCATTTCCATGATTTTGTCGTCATCATGAAATGTGAGCTGAGGTGAGGCTGTCTTGTCATCCTGGTCAACGGATAACTCCAGCTCGTCCTTCCCCCATACACTTTCTCGATGAAGTAGTGGGCGCCTATGTCAGATTCGTTCAGCCGACACTCGGGTTGTATCATGGGCAGAGCATACCCCCTATGCTGTGTTACGACGATATCTGGGATGGCAAAGAGGATGCGCGCCGGGCAGACTAGATGGATTGAGAAGGTATGCTAATTATGTACACACGATGGCCGAGATATTGACCGCACTAAGTCCGTCTTTCAAGTTTGTATGTTGTACGAGTATCCCGGTAACACTGAGGTGATGTAGTCTGTAGTCAAAATGAAATAGTCTTCTGCACAAGCCCCACTTTCAATGTATCCACCAAAGGTTAAGAGGGTCACGGGGAAGTACGTTGACTCCAAGTCACCAAAGAGACTGATCTAAGGGGGCGTGTAGGCAGTTGTGTCAAAGCGTTAACTGGTCTTGTTCTGGCAACGGTAATACGTCAGTAATCTGGAGAGTAAAGATTAGTTCAACAAAGCTGTCTCATCAGATGGCGTGGATGAATGATCCAGTTTCCAAGAATGAATACAAACGCCATGGTAACTAAATTACCACTCAGTTTATCTGTCAGTACTGCATTGGGCTATTGGGAAGGGCTCGCAAAACTTGTAGTACATATCTCTCCGAGAACCACCATGAAGATGAACGGCGAGTGTCGGTCAATAAGGGGATCGGCTCATACGAAGCGATATAAGCATGGTCGAATCTAGAAGCCAGTTCGGCTAGCAACTAATCGGTCCGGAGGACGATACGATGCGAGCGAGGTTAGACAAGTTTCAAGCACTCGGTCGATGGGACAAGAGGACCTGTGCCATCGAGGAGTTAATCAATTGACCGTGACGATCACAATAACTCCAAAGAAGGACCCAAACAGCTGGGATATGCGAAACAACCCAGGGGGTATTGAACTAAATGACACAAAAAGAGCCAGGTATTGCTCTCAATATAACTCCAAATATATGCAAAACCCAAAAATCGCTGCAAGACGCAAGATAAAACACCAAGATATATCAGAAATATATGTATAACTCCAATCCAAATGCAATGCAAGTGTATAGAGTCAAACCTGGAGCGTAACTACTCGCACATAGACCGGCTGCAGCGGTATGTGAGGGTAGAAGGAGGCCGGTGATATTGCTCACCAGCGCTCCCAGGCCAATCAGGTTGTTGAACTGTCGGCGTCGGATGCAGTTGCGGGGATATCGTGAACAGAAGGAGGCATCTTGCACTCTTCCAAGGTGACAGGCTGAGTGGGAATCGTGTTGGGCACGGTTGGCACCACATCTTCCTGTGGGGTGGGCTCGGCAGCTTTGCCACTCGGTAACGGGTGACTAGCTTTCGATTCCGTGGGGGACATGTTGAGCTTCTCAGATCGGCTGGGCTTCAGCTTCAGACGACCTTGCTCCAGGGCACGCAACACGGTCCCAATGTCCTGGGGGTCGATCGACCGGAGTTTGCTCATGGCGTCGTCCGAGACGTCGGCAAATGGATTCCAACCGAGCTTGTCGAATTCTTCGGACGTCGAAGATTTGGAACCAACAGAGGGGCCGCCGGTGACCAGGCGGTGGAGAAAAGTGTCGGAAACACTGGGGCGGCGGGGGATCTTGACAGGCTTGGACTTGTTGCTCGAGCTTGTGGAAGCAACATCCTCCTGCTGACGCTTTGGAGGGCGTACGGTAATGGGACCATGCGGTCCTTCACCGACCTCATTGCGGATCTTATAGTAGATAAGACCCAGGGTGGCTGCCAGTGCCTGGTGCGCAGCCTCAGGATGCCGGCGGACAGCTTCCGCGCGTGTGATGCTGAAGGAGCCATCACTGGAGCTGCTGGAATCGCTGTCGTCGGCAAACATGTCGGTAGGATGCATGCGACACCAATCTTGGTAATCACCCAGTTGGTAGAATTCTGCGAGTTCAACCAAACGATGAACTAAAAGGAGACCGTTAGAGAGTGGAATGAGGGATTGACTTATTTATCAATGTTACTCAATGAAGCTTACCTCGGCTTCGCTTCTTGAGGCACCAGAACCTCCACACAGTACGTGGGAAATACTGGGGCCATTCGAGGGCGCCGTCATCCGTAATCACCGGAACCGGGCTGATAGGAGCGTGGACAGTGTGGGCGAGAGAGTTGAAACGGACACGATCGGCATATTTCATCTGAGATTCGATTGAATCCATCCGCGAGTGTAAAGTATGGTACTGACGGGAGATCTTGTGGTCTAGGGTCATCAGATCCGTGCGGAGTTGGTTGGTGGCAGACTGCAATTTGCTGATATCGATACGTGTCGCACATGCTTCACTCTTCATCGACTCAATGTCCACTTGGAGCTGATCAATGGTCTTTTGCAAACGGTCCACATCGCCTCGGAGGTAAACGGTCTCCGTACCGGCTTGGCCGATACTCGACTTTAGCTGAAAGATACTCGTCTTGATCTGATCGACATCTGAGCGTAGGGCCACGACATTGAGATCAATGCGGTGGGAGATGGCGCGGTGGTTCTCGAATTCACGACGAATATGATCATCCTCACGGTTCCGGCGGTCGACGTAGCCCTCCTTGGTCAGGACGGTGGAGCGCAGCTCCAGGACGCGCGAGTCCAGTTGGTTCATTCGGTCATGGAGATGGATCAACGAGAGTTCCGAGCCCGGCGGTGTGGTCTCGCGTCGAACCGAGAGGCGCGGGCTGGACATGGAGAGTGAGGTACTGGAAGTACAGGAGTGACTCCTTTCGAAGGTCGTCATGGTGGACATGGTGGCTATACGTATTGGCGGTGGTTATTTCGGTATCGAGGTAGCGAGAGCATTTCCCTAGACCTGCGTATCGTCCATTTTGACGGTGGAGAGGAGGTGCGAGTGGTCTGCGGTAGTGAGGTGCTATTTTGGGGGGGGAATCGTAGGGTAAAAAGGGTGGGCGACAAAGAAGGGGGATCGGGTCGCACAGCCGTTTGCCCTCTGTCCGCTCCGGTTTCTGCTTTGCCTGCACGGTCAGACGAGGCCTTCCGGCACGCAGACAAGGCCGACACATCATTCCTCACCCCTGATATGACTCCTAATGGTGACATTCTGGCTGCTATTGGTTTTGACCATGATTCTATCATCCTATGAATCATGTTGCCTCGTTTCCCCCATGAAAAAAGGCCATTCACTCGCCCAAATGTTGGAATGGTGATAGAATACCGAGGGTGACCGTACCAATACCAGTGCACAGGTGGTGCTTGGCGTGCAGTAGTGCCGACTAGTGCGACGCAGGAGTCTTCGGGCTGACTGCCCCCACTCTCACTCGGCCGTACTGCGTCATCTGACTGGCTACCATCAATCGCCACCGCCAGCCGATTGGCTCTTGCCGCTCGCATCGCCCGTCCAGCATTTTTCAAATCGGCCAACACATGCGCATGCGGTCGCATGATGACATCCTCGTATCAACCTTACACATCTGTGACGCGGCTCGTAATCAATGATGCGGCTGGAATAGGGCTAGACATCTACAACATTGACAACATTCAGAACAGCATTGATGTCGTGCGATAATGGAACATACTAGTCATAGCGATAATTTTGTATTCTAGATGGGTCCGAATCAACCCTCATTTTTATTATGAATAGTCCTGATGGGAGGTGGTGCATGCCCGATTAGGAAACCGTGATGCCTGAACTACAAGATCGCGATTTCCTGCAAAGTGGGCAACAAGTCTTAACCTGCGCTCAACCGATGCATGTTAATGCCATCCTGTATGTACAAGAGCCCGTGTATCTCGCGTCTCTTGCCTTGGACCTCCGCTGGCCACCATGAAGCGGCACGTCCTGTCGCTAGGCATCCTGGGCCTCGCAGCACTCGGTTCTAGTGCTGCAATCGCATCCTCTCCAGGTGCTCAAGCTGAAGCTACCTCGAAGCCACCTCCCAAAAAGGACCCGGAAGAATGTGACTGCTTCACTGTCTCTGGCCCTGATCCGGGATACTTCCAGCACTACAAGCTCTGGGACTTCCGCTCCGTTCCATTGACGAAACAGGCCCATCCAGACACCTCAGAGCCGACGGATGGTGAATCGGATATGTGGACAGGCAGGGATAGTGGAGGTAACGAAAATCACGACTGGGTCGAAGACAAAGGGTACGGTGACCACGACGACGACAATCATAGTGACCATGAACCCGATGCCCTCTGGTTCTTCGAAACCGCCTTCAACAAGGACTGGGCCAGCCAACGGTGGTGGCGTCCGAGCACGCCTGCTACCCCAGTGGCCATGATAAACTCCAAGCACAACGTCTTCTTCACCAGGAATCGTCAACAATTGGATAAGCTGGCGACGTATCTGGTCCTGCGCACCACCCGTCATTGGAACTATACGTCGACGGCGGAGATTGAAACTAGAGTCCGCAACATCTTCCACTGTTCTTTTCGAGTCAAGCTTCGCATCCTACCATCCAACATGGTCGTGCCTCAGCCGGCGCAGTCTAAGAAATGGCCACCACCAGACCCGGTCCAACGCCCGTCCCCGGAATTGCACAACCAGAGTGCCATGTCCAACGAGACGGCCGGTTTTGCAGACGCCAGCCCGCATACCGGGGCCTGTGTTGGAATATTCACATATCACGCCCACGATTGCGAATCAGACATTGAGATCTTGACAAGTGATCCCCCCTACCGCGCGCGCTACGCCAACCAACCAGACTACGACCCCGTCAAAGACGAAATGATCCCCGGCGCGAGCACGATCGCTGATCTTCCGGTGCACTGGACAACCTGGTCCACCCACCGTCTGGACTGGCTCTCGGATACGTCACGCTGGTGGGTAGACGACAAGCTACTAGATTCCAAGACATACCGTGTTCCCAATCTCCAAAGCAGACTGATGATCAATCTCTGGAGCGATGGGGGCGCCTGGACGGGAGACATGCAGCTCGGTGCGAGTATACTCCTGGCCATTGAATATATCGAGCTAGCATACAACCGATCCTCGGATGGCTCGAAGGGAAATGGAGCTCCTCCGTCTCAACGCCATGCTGGGCACCAACTGCCATTGGGAAATGGCTCTCAATCCGACATTGAAGGATGGCAAGACGAGCCCTGGAAACCAGGGACGGAACTCGTTGATGGGGCTATGATGAAGAAGTGCAAGAAGGGCAGGAAGGGCCGCAAGTGCAGAAAGAAGAACAGGAAACATGGCAAGGGGAGGCAGGGTCGTAAGCATGGATATTCTTGGTGTGATCGTCCTTGCAACATTGATGACCTTCACTTTGCGAATGGTGGGCTAGATGGATGATGGCTCTCTCTCTCTCTTTATCTATATTTCCTGTCTCTCTTTAGAGGATAATTCCATGCAAGTCAATAGCCTGTATTTGTATAGATTCGAATGGAACGCGAGACTTGTGGAAGTGTTCTCCCGTCAGGCTACCTGTTCTATATACTCGAAAGCAGACAGGACGGGATGCACCACACAGCCAAAAAACCGAAAGATGCATGGCATCAATTGGAAAGTATAACCTCGAAAAAAGTTACCTATAACCTTGCTTGAAAGTACATGTTATTTTTTCTGCTCAAGCTCAAGCCCTATCTATGTAAAACACCAGACCATTCTGAAGCAAACCCACATGGGCCTTTCTTTATCCATCACTTCATCCATCAACGACAATGGGGTATCATTCGAACTCATTCCAACCATGACATGAAAATCAACGCAGTAAAGAAAAGAAACAAAGAAAATCACAAACCCCATCATTATTGACCCGGACCCCCCTTCCGCCGTTTCTTTCTCTATTTCGCCATGTACGCCGGAAAATGTAGGTGAAAGCCGCAAACACGAAAACGCCTTGGTGACAACAGCACAAATGCTTGAGTTATGTATGGTATGAGGTTTGGGGGGGGGGGAGGGGAGGGGGGTTCCCATGGAAGTATATGGAGCTAATGCTCATCTTCTGGTTTCCCAGGTCGGAAGGGCTATGTGAGGGGTGATGAGACTGGGAGTTGGGGGGAGGTGTACTCTGAGTATGCCCTTAGAGCCACGTATGACCCAGCTTATCAACCGGATAGAATTGCCCATGGAGTCCGCCATTCATGAGCTCTGCGACGATCTTCATACGCAGGTGCCTCGTATCATTTGCATTAAAAGCAGTCGGCTCAATTCCAAGAGCAATGGCTTTCGCGTTGGTGAGCAGAAACACGCCGCAATCGCTCATGTTGTCCTGTTGGGAAGAAACGGAGGGAAGGAAAATCCACTCGTCCTCGTCGAACTTTGCTCCTAATTCGCCACGAAGCCACTCTTTGATGTCTTTAACCTGCCGCGTGCCACGATCGCCGAGCGAGTCGAAGTATTCGATCGTCCGATCTGCTGGCCGTACCACCATGAGCGTCCAATGGTTCGATAGATGCACGGGGATGAAAACAGTATCGACGTCTAAGAGAGCCTCACCGCCAATCTTGGCGCGATTAGCCCAACGGCGGACACCTTGATACCCTTTCTGTCGAAGAGTGGAGTAGAAAAATGTGTTGAACGCGTGAAATCGGGGTCGCTCGCCCGATGCGGTGTTGCCTGTCGACTGGCGGAGGTATTGAACGAGAACGCTTAGATACGAGTTGATAATCTCATCGTTGAGCCATGCCAGTGGCTGGAGGCAGGTGGAAATGTCTCTTTGGTATAAGTCATCACCAGAGGGGGACTTAGCGACCGCTAAGCCCTGGGAGGTTCTCATGGCCTCTGAAACTCTCAATAACCACTCTTTTGGCAAGTTCCGCACAGCTGGCCCTCGCGGAACAATCCTAGATGGACGGCCTTGCAAGCCTTCTAGTTCTCTCCTTTCCTTTTCTCGCTGCTCCCACGCAGGTGCAAAGATGGACGCGATGCGGTTATCCGGAAGCGGTTTCTTCTCGGGATAGAAAAGAGATACTGCCGATACCGGCCGGCCGAAAGGAAGCTTCTCAAATGCAAGAGATTGCTGGCTGTATGGGTCTTCGATGAACAGATCATCTTGGAAGATCGGCCTTTGAATAGGCTTTGGAGGTGCGGATTGAACGGGTCGAAAGCGGCTCGGGGAAGGTGTGAATTTTGGTCTCCTCGGATGCAGATATGATCCAAGCTCGGTAGGAAGTTCTAGTGCAGCTGGGACATCGATTCCAATCTGCTCCGTGGTCTCCATAGGGACGAACTCATCCTCTGGTTGTTCATCGCGAGGCGCAAGGCGCGGAGACGTAGGCGGCGACTGCGGAAAGGCTCCCGGGATTGAAAAGGTAATCTCTTCTATGATAATGACATTGGTTAGTAGCTGCAGATTCACATTGCCCAAACAATGTCGCCGGTACCTTCAGTCTCTTGGGTCTCCGCGGGACCTAGTATCCCGGATGGCAACCCACCATCTTGGTTATAAGCAGGGTGCGACCTGCGCCGCGACCATGAGAAAAATCGTCTCATCCTCAATGCGGAGTACGTCGAATGGGGAGGACGCAATAAAAGCTGCTCGTCCTAGTTGCGGTAGGACGCGCGAGCGAATGAAGCAAGGGCGGAGTTAAGACGAATTGAGAAAGTGAGGCTGGGAGGTGATGGCGATGAAAGAGGAAATGGCGCAGGCCCCAGTGTCCATCGTTGAAAGGGCCAACCCCAGAAAGAGTCCAGGAGCCCTGTCGCGACGTTGCGATTAAGACGATCGATGGAGCGCGCTGCCGTCACTTTCGCCATGGGAGCACGCTGACTCATCTGGGCTAAACTGTTTCGGGTGATCTGCAGCTGCACGCGTGCGAAGTATAGCCATGTTGGCTGAGGTAAACTAACTCCTTCAATGGCATTGAGTCGCATTCTCATAAGTTGAGTTCAGTTACAGGTACTTCAGCATTTAAAACATTTATATAATCATCATCTTGTACGTGGGCCGCTGGAGTGAGTGGCTAATGGAGAGTATAAAGATACAGATCGTGTTATGTACATGCGCCAGCCCAAGCGATGTCGCTGAAGGAGTTCCCTTCCCAGTATAGCCCGCTGGACTAGGACAGACCCGAGAAAATGTAGAGAGCGGCTCAACGGAAAGCGAAAAGAACTCCGACGCCGTGCCACTAATGGGGCACTCCGAGTCCACACACTTCAAAAACAGGAGGCGCCACATTGATGACGACCCATGGGATTCCTGCGTCGTCAAAGTCAGTGCTTGTCTGGAATATGAGCGAGAGATATAAATACCTGCGTAGACAACCAGCTTGGTGATAACCTCCACGTCGTACCGCACACGAGGCTTCTTGATTTGAGAGAAGACCTCCTTCTCATCCATTCGGGCCCCGTCGTATTCTGGAGGAGGGAGCGGTGACGAGCGAGGGATGTTGGAATCTACCTCCACCGTGGATGAGCTGGGGCTGCCAGTACCCATCATGTGCTCGTATTCGTTTAGCTTGGATGTTTTCCTGGATAGAACCGGGCCACCATTTGGCCTGCCATTCTCATCTGCCGGAGAGTCACGGTTGCTTCCAGACTGGCTCTCGCGTCGGCGCTTCTCCCGATAGGCGAGAGTCTCATATGCGTCGGCTTCCGACTGAGGGCCAATGGAAATTGCCCGACGGCGAGGATGGCGAATGGTGGTGATAATAGAAGGGATATCTGAGAAGTTGGGAAACACCTCGTGGTCCTTCAGATTAGAGGGAACAGTGGTATACCGGCTGGATAATGGTCAGAGTCTCACATGACGTTGGAAAGAAGAAGAAAAGGCGAAATACGTACGATGCTGTGGTAAAAAACCGTCGGGGTAAAAGAAGACCGACTTTCTCCAAACTACGGAAAATGGGGGGCAGAATGCGCAGCAGAGTGGGTTTCGTAATCTCTCTCCACGCAAAGACGCACATCACCCCAACGACAAGGCGAACCACGGTCTTGATCAAGCCAATACTCTCATAGTGGTATGGGATCGTACCCGGGAGAGGGTCAGCCCAGGCAAGGCTGGACTGCGCGAAATACCACGAGCCCACGTCCACACCGAGCGTCACTCCGGCGAAAGCGACACTGTCATCGAAGCAAGGACAATCATCCGCCGGCTCTGGGTGAATGCGAACCAAGACCAGAATGACGAGGGGAATGATCGAGATTTCCTTCAGCGTCGCGGACAGAATATACTCGTCAAAAGTGGGGCCGTAGCTGAATTGAACAAGGCCGATCACCGCCCCGAGGATGCAACCAACAATAACATCGAAGAATCCATGCATCCCGCAGTATAGCCGGCCCAACACGATCGATGTCACATAGAGATATGTGATTACTTGGAGGAACAGATTGGTCTGCGGGGGAACCGTCGAATCGGGCGAATTGAGGAGCGCGATAGCGTAGACAGCCACCGAGACAGCGTTGGTGGAATGCGTGGAGGGGAATCCGTACTCGAGGGCAGCCGAACCAGACATGGTGATCCGCTGCAGTGGCGGAGATAGAGGCCGAGGTAGACATAGCAAGTCCTTGATAAAGCCGCTGAAGAAGACGCCGGACGCGAGGATATGCACGAGTCTGTACCAACCAGCGATTAATCATGCCGAGCTATCACTTGCGCTGGGATATAACTCAGAACGCAACACATACCCTCGACCTAGGCTAGTATGGCCGCACCAAAACAGGAACGGCAAGAAGACCATGAAAAAGGTGTGGGTGCCGAGGTTCGCGGTAAACGCAAAGTACGAGTCCAGCGCTGGAGTGCGAACTTTCTCCTGCACCCAGGCAAGATACGGCGTCTCATACCGGACAAGGGGAATGAGCTTCTGTCGTGGCCAGTAGCGCCAGAGGGGAAGTTGGTTTGCATCTATCGCGAGTCGCAAAGAGCTGGGCGTTAGCGGCGATAGCACACGCTGCCCACGAAGCGGTGCGGGGAGCAGGGGATGCGCAGAGAGCAAGCTCAAACAGCGTACAGTGATCCAAACTCCTCAGCCCAGCATCGGGCTGACCCTTTGTGCCCTTTGCCTGGCCCATTGTGCGGTGCTATCGATCCGGGTGCGATTGGGAGGGACCTCCATACAGGACAGGCCGGTGCCTGCCGCTTGCTTCGGGACGTCGCGACTCAGCAAGGGGACATAAGGAGTGATGATAGTTGGGGTCGGGCACAGGAAGAATATAGAAGACGAGGGTCTGGGGATTTTCTTAGGGTTGAGTCGGGTGCGCTAGGAAGAGCGAGTGGGCGCCGTCGCATCCGCGGCTCTCCCCTGATGAGCCCGCCCCGGCCATGTGTGGGCTTAGTCACGCCGTCTGCCAGGGACGAGCATGTCAATACTCGGTATCCATCCTCCGTATCTCGGGGCAGCAATGACAGTCATAGTCCAGTGCATCGGGGTCATTTGCATCGGTGGTGATGCATAGAGACATGGCTTCCATTTTTTTTATTATCTATTGATGTTTTGCTATGCCTGATTTGCGAAACTTGGTAGCCATGTTTCACCATGAGTCGATCGCTGGGCATATCCAGCCGATCATCTATCGAGCTATGTATAGTACAGAAGTCTAGTTTGTGACACTCCAACCCTCGCAAACTGAAGTCTCGCGACATGACACACCAAGCTTGATAACCGTTGGCAACAGCTAGCGGCCATTGTGGTACATTACCCACATTGCGCCGAGAATGTAGTACGTCAAGGTCCTGTGTGCCTTCGGCGCCTTGTCCGGCACGGGGACTTCCAATCACGATCTCTACCTAATGACAGGCTTCTCCGTGGCTGCCCCCTACTCCCTCCTTGTCTACTTGCCAAATGATATCCTCCATAGAACTATAGAACTGTATGCGCGTATTACATGCAGCGCAGATCACATGGTATCGGAGCTGGCCCCCGAGGCAATCTCAAGCGATCCGCCGCCGCTGGAGGAGCTGAACGGTGGGGAAAGATGAGCGAAAGGAGGGGCAAGCGGAGGCCCAGCTGGACCAAAAAGAAACCGGATCGGAGGGACCGCAGCAATCAAGATGAAACTGACAGGCACAACCCGGACGAATCGAGGGGAGCGGAGTCCTGGCGTCATCGCGGCGGGCGCGTTGCCATGGCACCGCCCGTGTAAACACACGCTGCACGGTCTCGCCCGAACGAAGACCCTCACTTCCATATCGCCAGTCGATCCCTGTCGCGATCCGTCAGATCGTTGCTTTCTTCTTCCTCCTTCATCTTTCATCTCCCCCTCTCTTCATCCTCCTGTATCTCGACACCCTTCCCCCCTTCTACAGAACCCCGATATATCCATCCAACGCCTCCCTGTTCCTGTCGGTAGATAGCCGTCTTCACCACTCGACGACCCGCATTTTGCAACAAGGGGCTCCATTCCTCCCGCACCACCCACGATGAGCCAGATGTATGACGACCAGTACTATGCGGATGCGGCTTCACGACGCCGCTCCATGGCCACTCCCCCCCCAACATGACCGCACGACCCAGCCGCACTCGTTCTCAAAGCGTGCGAGTCAGCAACGGTACCGCTAGCACACATACCAGTTTCTCCAGTGGACGAATGTCGGAAGCCACCAATATCACCCAGCCGCCCTCCTACTCAAAAAAATTTGTCGTGGTCGGAGATGGCGGATGCGGCAAGACTTGCTTGTTGATTAGCTACTCGCAAGGTTATTTCCCAGAGGTACAATTGACTATTTTATTGCCCGGGATCAAATGAGACGAAGCGAACTGACAGCAACGCAGAAATATGTTCCCACTGTGTTCGAAAACTATATCACCCAGACTACCCACCGGGCATCCGGCAAGACAGTCGAGCTAGCACTGTGGGATACCGCCGGGCAGGAGGAATATGATCGTTTGCGCCCACTGTCCTACCCCGAGACCGACCTTCTTTTTGTCTGCTTTGCAATTGACTGCCCCGCATCCCTAGAGAATGTGGTGGACAAGGTAAGCAGCCCAACCCCCCTTTCTCGAGTCGCGATTGTGGTTGATATTCACACCCTGCAGTGGTATCCCGAGGTCCTGCACTTTTGCCCCACAACCCCAATTGTCCTGGTTGGCTTGAAATCGGATCTGCGCAATAAGCGAACATGCATTGAGCTTCTTAAGACTCAAGGCCTGACTCCCATCACACCGGAACAAGGCCGTGGCGTGGCCGAACGAATGGGCGCGGCCTACGCGGAGTGCAGTAGCAAGGAGATGCGCGGCGTGGACGAGGTCTTTGCCAAGGCTGTCGATACCGTTGTTGGAGTCGAGGACGAAGGCTACAACACCCAGCCGACGAATAACCGCAGCAGCGGCAAACCCTCTGGAGGTGGAGGTCGATCTGGCAAAAAGATCAAGAAGCGGACCTGCAAGATCCTGTAAATGACTTCATATCCTTCTCTCTCGCCTATCTTCCTTCTTCGCTATCCTTATCTTCCCTTCTTATCCTGGTCCGATCAAACGCCTGGTTGCTCGGTCGGCATGATTGCCTGCTTTGTGTAAGCGCTATGTTGCTGCAAGCTGGACAAAGCTAGACATGGACTACGAAACATGATCCTGGTGTCTTGGACCGCTGTGCGCTCCCTTGACTGATTGTTTTGGGTTTCTCTCACCGATGGAGGCGAGGGTTTCTTACGATTTGACAATCGTCCCTCGATAACTGTGCGCTTGCTGGTTTGCGTCTTTTCATCTATTTCTTCTTCATGTCTTCTCATGACCCCTGTGCCTTTTCTCCCTTTGGCTCTCATGATTCGGGTCTTTGCCGCCTTGGCATGCATGGGACTGGTGTTCTCGTTTATGTTACCTGATATGTTCTGTTGGCGAAAGCGACCTCCTATGTGTTACTGAAACAATACATTGTGATTTTTGATGTTCAACATAAGTTTTCAACGTAGGCATAGATTTTTTGTAAGGGACTAGTGTAGCATGAACATGGTATCTCAAAAAGCAATGCAAAGCCGGTGCCAGAATCTGACCGGCTCAGACCAGACCAAGCGAAAATGTCATTACTGGCTGGCCATCGGGTTGTCCTCGCCTTCATGCTGTGTTCCTGCATTACCCTGCCCCTCACTCTCCCCACTTACTGTTCGCTTCCCCTGCCCAGCCTCCTCGAGTTCTTCTTCAGGCCGGCCCATGAAGTTCTCAAACTGGGACCAGAGAGCCTCCACTGAGCTGAACTCATTGCCCACCTGGTCCCGTTAGCAAAAGGTGCGGGCGGTGCTATTAAGGGAGGGAAAACGTACTGTGATGATGCTCTCCAAGTTACGATTCAGACGGTTGATGTTCTGGAGGACTTGTTCCATGCCCTATTGCAACGTAAGTATCGAATCAACGTTCAACGGTCAACGTTCCCTCTGGCAACTTCATCCACTTTCTAGTGGGGCATATTACTCACAACCGCGATTTCCCGCACCAATTCTTCGCGTTGTTGCTCAAAAACAGTTGGGGATGCAGCGCGCCCGCCAGAGTCCGGCGTGGAATTGTGCCAAGCCATATTCGGAGATGAGACCGTCACGCAGGATCAGTGAGTCTGGCGAGGATTTTGGACCTAGCTGGTCGTCCGTTGCCACACAGTGTCCGACGCGATAGCGAGCAGTGGCGTCCCGTCAAGGTTAGGAGAGTCGTGAAAACGCCGTGTTCAGCTTCGGACCGAGTCACTAACGCGACTAGGCCAATGTTTATTCCGCAGTAAGCACCTTAGTTGCGCCGGGTAACAATTTGTACCACCTCCTGTTGTGCCTCGCTGGAATCGCGCTGTAGTTGAAGATTGCAGGGGAGAAGTCGCGGTGGTGGGGCAGTTTGTTGATAAGAGATCCGATTGGAGATAAAACACAACAGTGTGGGGGTTTACGCCACTCCGAGTCTTAGCAACTGTCACGCAAGCAATAGTGGCCTCTACAATTGCCCTGTATGTTAGGTACAGTAGCGCTTCAAAACTCTGAACCCCTGCAAATTACTGGATTGGGTGTTTTGATAAATGTCTTCAACACAACGCGAAAAGTTATTTTAGAGGATTTGAAGAAACAGAGTACATCCCAAAGCGACGAGGCTGAACCATCCAATCACAAATCTTTTTCATGCCACTGGCTTCGACCTTTCGACGTACCGCTGTACATAGAAGAAATCATATTTTTTTCACATTTTTCTCGCGGCAGCTATTGCTTGCCGTCGACGACTGTGATGCAAAAAGATCATGGGAAATCAATCCCCCACAATTCTAGATGGATCAGCATGAATTCCAACCCAATGGGACTGGATAAAAAAAATTGAAGAGAGATATGTAGCGGTAGTATGCTTACCACAATCCCTTCTGGCTAATGTTTGAGAAACATATGTTAGGACGTTGTCACCAAACAAGAATATAAGCAGTTCCGGTTTGATTTGCTGATAAAATGAAAGCGAAATATCAAATTCAGTTTCACGCAGTCGATTAAGTTTTCCCAGTAACTGTACCTTCTTCTGTCATCCGCCACCCTTTTAATGCTTCAACGGCCCTGAGAGTGCGTTGATTATCCGGGCCCATGGTCTCCAACATCTCTCGCACACACTCCTCCATCATCTCCATGGCTTCAAGAAATCTACTTTGCTCCCAGAGAACCCGGGCTAGCTGGTACTTGTAGTAGAGCCGCTCGCCATTCAGCAATCCAAAAACTCTCCCGGTGCGCTCCAGTACATCTTTGTAAATATCTTCTGCCTCGCCAAGCCTCGACTGGAAAAAGTACAAGTCGGCAAGATCACCCAGCGTCCACAGCCTGATAGGCTGGTCGTCTGGAATTCCCCTGACCTTTATACCGTCGAGTGCTATAGTCAGGTATTTCTCGGATTTTTCTAGCTCGCCTAGCCGTCGATAGCCCCCAGAGAGGGCGCCTGCAGCGTATATAGCCCATAGCCTCGGGGCAGGCCCGTATTTCTCAGAGGCATTCACGACCTGTAGCAGCAACTTTTCGCCCTCTTCGTAATTGCCTTTGAAAAGATGGTTGTTGCCCACACTGTAAATGCTCCACAATGTGTCCGGATCGTCTTCTCCTAGAACCCTTTTTCTGGTTTCCATAACCCGTATTCTGAGACTTTCTGATTCGTCAAGCTTTCCCATTTGTTGACGGGTGAAGGCCATGTGATGCATCAGGTCCAGGGTTAGACGATGCTCCGGGCCCAAAGTTTTCTCTCTGACTTGAAGGATGAACGCCTGTATCTCTTCGGCCTGTGTGTATCGTCTCTGCTCGTAAAGCGCTCTTGCCTTGAGCTCCATGCTACCCAGAGTGGAATCATGTTCTGGGCCCAGCAATCTTTTCTTCATCTCCACCACTGGGTCCAGAAATATTTCTACATCGCGATATCGCCACTGTTGCCAATATATATTGGCGACCTGATCCATGCAGAGAATAGTGTCGGGGTGTTCCGGACCTAGGGTCTCTTGACGGTCTGCCAGTGCGGCAGTTGCCTCGATTTCCAATTTCCGTAACTCTTCTGGGCTCTGATTTATCGGTTCCGTCGTTGCGACACCCTCTGTTTGCTTTGCTGCGTCTTCCGACGCATCCTTTGTTACCTCTGGGATAGCATCCAATAGACGATCATTCGTAGGAGAGTGGAGGCTAGATGTCGAGCCTTCAGCGACAGAAGCCCTACTGTTCGCAGACACTGATTCAAGTGTTTCTTTGCGTTCGTCATCCATGATCAAAGCTTGTCGCGACTCGCCTGACTCTTCATCACGAGCTTCCGAATTCTCGTCATCTGATTGTGTTCGAGGAAGGACAAATCTCGCCAATCGTCGTAGATGTCGGGCTAGATGTTGTTGAAAGCGACTCGGATTCGATATTGGAGACTTGATGCATAGGGGACATTTTTGCGCCGAAGTAGTAGGGGTTGACTGCTTCGCCATTTCTTGCTGCTGGTCTTCAGACAGGTCCGGATGGCAGTTCTGCAGGTGGCTAGCGAGGGAAGACGCTTCTCCAAAAGTGTATGTGCAAAGACTGCAAAAGAATTCTCTGCGATGAAACTGCCGTTCATGAGCGCTCCATTCCGTGAAGCTATCGTACAGCTGATCTGCTCTGAAACAACCTCCAAAAGTGCAGATGTAGGGGCGCAAGTCACTGTGCGTGTGGTAAATCCAATCCTCATACTTCTCGAGCTGTATGGTTTGGCGACAATATGGACAAATGAAATGGTCCCTCTTTGTGGAACTCGATCCACCCGGAGGTGGAGGGATCGAATCTCGTTCCTGATCGCCCGCGGTCGAAGTTGTAGCAGAAAATCTTGTTCTCCCTGAATCCGATGCAATTTCAATATCCTGATGGATTGTCGACGCCGTCGTGTCCTGTGTCCATTTGGTGGATATCGTGGGGGGTCTTTGTTGGTATGCACTTTGTGTTTCAGACTTCCCTGGATCTGCAGGGGCCGAAACGGCCTTGTTCAGAGCAACATCGACATATTTGGAAATTCTCTCAGAGTGGTCTTTGTAGTAAGCGAGCAGTTGCCTTCGTTTAGTGTTCGCCTTTCCTAGACGCTGCGCAAGTTCGGTATCCGGTGCTAGGTTGAATAGATCCGATGTATGTTGTATGTCATAGAATTCGAAGTGATGGAGGTCGATACGAGAGGCCTGCACGGTCCGATCACGACGTGCAGGGTTCTGGAGGGATACAGACAGCTTGTATCTGCGACAATAAATTCCATGGATGATTAGCAAAACACAATGCTGGATACAGTACAAGCTCGGAACACCCACAGGCTTGTCACAGTATGACAAACATCCTTAGTATACTCCTCAAAGGGCGATTGATTCGGGTTCTCCGCTCTGATCTGTTCCCAGAACCCATCAGAGTCTGATGTGTCGGGATCTGAACCGTCCAAGTCCAAAGCATTCTCATCGCCGCTGGTTTTGCCACTTGTTGAGAGGGCAGCATTTGCTAATACGAGTGTTTTAGCAACCACGTTTCTAGGCTCGCGATATCAAGACGTACCTTCTTCTATCGTTTCTGAGAGGTCATTGAGATGATTTCTGACACCATGATGTAGCTCAGGGGCTTCCCTGAGCCGATGATCCAAAGACAATCGGTCAGATTGTTTGCGATAGGCGCCAAAGTTTCCGGCCCAGACCCTGAGTCGACCGAGCTCCTCCTGGATTCTTGACCGAGATCTAGAGTGGTCATCGTGGGTTGATAGTGCATCTATAAGGATCTGGAAATCTCGAAAGCAACGAGAGACAAGAGACGATATAGATGCAACCGGCTCAGGAGCACCTGCGCTTTCTGAATCATACCTTCTGGGCTGTGATAGTGGGGTGGAGGTTATATGCTCGTTGAGCTGATGTCGTAGAAGCCCGCTATAGCTATCAAATGATTGCTCGCATTGGGGGCACTGGATGGTACTGTCAAGACCCACTGGCGCAGAGCTCTGTGCCAGCTCCTGCTTTGAAGAATCGGACATTTTAGAGGGCGTTTCAATACCTCGTTATGATGCGATGGTTAGATCAGAGCACAATAGCAACTGAAAGGCAGAGGCAGATCAAACGTAATTGAGCTGAGTCTGGAGACAAGAAAGTGGGGTACTACGGAGTAGGGATGTCAGCAGCCCCCAGTTTACTTATCTAGGCCATAGTTCTAGTGTAGATAGGGTCTCTTTTGAAGGATCTTAGCCAAGAAAGACGGATATGTCTCATCGGGTCACATCTCGACATGACATATATGCTTGGAACTCTCTGGTCCGCCACCCCCCTCCTTTTTCTATTATACCTATCTCTTTAAAATGTTTCCTCCACCTGGCTCGTTAGCTGCCCAAGTTGCGTCCCTGCGGGGTAGATGCGTTAGCATCAGCAATGACGCGACTCAGCCTCACTACAACTTCGCAGATAACCGCGTAAACCGCCCTAACAAAGCCTCAAGCCGCTCTAGTCTCACCTCCCCAGAGACACCAAATTACCTGTATTTGTTTGGCCAGTTCTTCCTACAAACGTTGGCAAGATGGTGAGCGGATTCGAGGCCGTTGGCCTCGCTCTAGCAATCTTTCCGGTTCTTGTGGAGGGGCTTAAATTCTACACGCATGAGAAGGGTGCTGTGAGTGACTTTCTCAAGTATCAGCGGGTTCTGATGCGTATCTCCCGAGATCTTGATCGCGAAAGGACCATGTTTCACAACACATGTCAGCAGTTCCTGGAGGGTGTTGCATCGCAGTGTGGAGTTGGAGAAGAGGAGGTATCTGAGATGATGCTGGATCCGAGAGATCCCCGGTGGACGACCGGAGTACTAGTCGAAGAGCGTATCTTCCATCAGACTTCGGTCAAGCAATATCTTGAGGTCGTCGAGGATATGAATGAAGAGCTGTCGAGAATCAACCAGCTTATCGGGATACACAACGGGAGCCAGGTAAGCTTATTGAGGATTAACTTTGCGGTAGCCATTTACAGAGACATGTTTCTTAGCCTGCACTGCTTGATAAAAGGACACGCCGCCGGCAGTGGAAGAAGATTATTCTCGTGCTCACGAAAGACTCGATCACCGACCATCTGGCCAGAGCCAATAAACTGAATACATTTCTCGCCTGGCTCACCGACCAAAACCAACCAACAGCCACGAACCCTCGTCCTTCTCGTCGGGGTACAAAGCATTATAGGCGCATCCGGTCTCATGCGATTGGCCTCTATAACATTCTCAAGGCCCAATTTCCCTCACACCCCGGCTGCAAATGTGCCCTAGAGCCCCACCATGTCAATATGAGATTAGAGTTCCGCAATGCGCAGAGTACAGCGAAGGGACTGTATTTTCATACCATATTTACATCGGAAACTGCTTTCAACTCGGCCTCAAACTGGCGAGAGATCGAAACAGAGCCATGGGGATCAGATCCCGCCGATCTATGTCAGGATACTACGGTACATACTGCACAAGTACGATTCGTCACAACCCCACCGATGTCCCAAGAAAGTACGCTGTGTGGGGATAAGGACGAAATATCCGACCTTTGTGCCGTGATTACTGGACCCGCGTCAAAGGATTGGCTAGGGTTTATTGCGAGCACCCAAGGACACCAGCACCGTATTCGCGCGATGGACTCTCAGAAGCGATTGCCCGCCTTCGACACCATCCAAACGGTGTCACTAGGCGAGGTTCTCGCGGACGAGCACTTCGGCGAGGAACAGAGACTTCGCCTCGCGTTGAAGCTCGCTTCGTCGGTGATGCAATTACACACGACGGACTGGATGACCGATTTCTGGAGCAAGTCCGACATTTCGTTTCTCCGGTCTTCCTACGGCATCATTGATTTTGACAACCCTCTGATCGGACGTACATTTGGCGCATCTAGCTTTACCATGACGTCGTTGTCAAAGAATCTCCCGCACCCCATGCTGAACATGCTGAACGCCTCAATCCCCCCTCTATTTTCCCTCGGGATCGTACTTTTGGAGCTGCGATACCGGCGTCTATTCGAGGATCTCAAGACCGAGCACGAACGGACCATGGTAAGCCCCACACCGACCGCCCCGAGAAAAACAAGCAAAGTTCTGACCGTGGCTTTAGATACCGACAAACTCCGATCTATGGGCTGCGAGCCGCCTGACCGCTGACATGCTCGGCAGCCCCAACTACCAAAACGTCGTGCGGCGATGCATCTTCGGTCTCGACGCGGCCTACCGGTCACTCACGGAAGCGAATTTCCAAGCCGAAGTGGAGTACAAGATCCTCTGCCCGCTCGCCGAGGACCTCAAGACCTACTGTGATAAGGGTTCGGTCGAGGCCTGTCTATAGAGCACAAGCAAAGTAGTTCGACCCGGGGCGAGGCCTTTCCTACCGTATGTGCCCAGGGCGAAAAAAGCCTAGACTGGGCACTTGAGACCAAGGTGGAGAGAGACTCAAATTTTTGTCCGTCAATAGCGCGCACAACGGTGCTCCAATGTCTCGAAATTAGTTCCTCCAAGGGAGGGGGGAGGGGGCAGATCACAGCCGCAGGGCCCGGTCTGGACCGCGTCCACCAAGCACCCATTCGCTAGAGCCGTTGAGAATTACAAGACGGACGACCGACCACCTACAATGGTGTTCCAGAAGTTTTCGACCATCCAATGATGACATAATATTCTGCTGTTCAAAAACTCCTCCAATTTCTACATCACACACTTCGATATATAGCGTTCGAAGCTTGTAGTCTGAGCTGAAGTCCCACTCAACGTAGACTTTATCAAGCTAAAATAATCTTACACTGTAACGGCAGTTTCTAGACGTGTAAGGCCTCCTCTGAGAGTGGAAGGCTAGGCGGTAGAGCAAAAGTAGTCGAAAACGTATGGAACGCCACTGTACTACTCCGTATAGCCGCATGGGGGACCAAGGATGGAGGATGGAGTACAGGAATATAAATAGCCCAGGGGCCCGTACAATGCCGGCTGCCCGCCACAGGACCACAGCTTCACGCCCAATCGAGGTGCCAGATGGCGGCCTTTTACCCAGGGTCCAGGGGAGGGGGTCCACCGGTACCTCAGACAGGTGTGGTTCCTCGGTACGCCCCCTGGCCCTGGCCCATGGCTCGCGAAATTGAAATTCGAGATCCAACCCCAGGCCAGAACGGCCGTCGCGCGGCAGGTTTCAGATCTGCTCAGGTACCGACTATACTCCGTAGGACAAAGCACATTGTGTCGCATGGATCTGAGAGTGTATATAATGGAGAGATTGGCGAGGATGGAGAAGCTAGGGGACCCCCGGGCGGAAACCTGGATGTCATTGCGCGACAGCAAAAGCGGGGCCAGATGGAATTGAGTCCTGCAGTGGGGATCCAACAGAATATTAAGTGGAAAAGGGAGGTGTGCCTCGGGTTGCTTGGTATTTTCATGTCCAGAGAACCGGTCCCCGAGAAAGATGAGGAAATAACACGAATGTACGGTGTCCCACGGAACAAGCTCGTTCTTCCGATCTCTAGTAGTCCTTGTCTATCCGGTACTAATGTTTTTCCCGGTCTCTCCCACCCAGCAGGGAACCGAAAAGAAACAAACGAAGAGGCTATGCAAATGGACTCGCATTAATCCAATCCATTAGAACCAGGAACCAGTGGTGCCGCTAGACTCGGGGATCCACAGAATAAGAAACGATAGCTTCATCACATCATTATGGGCGGGCAAGAGGAGGGGGCAAGAATCCTCTGCGTCCGGCGCGATCAATCTCATCCTTGCCAACCGGACCAGCCGAATTCAATCCGACCCAGGCTCAACGGCCCCTCCTCCAACTGCTTGCCCCCTCGCGACATCAATTCCGACACCCAACAGTCACGTTAAGGACCGTCCTCTTCTCATTCTCTGGCCCGCCAGGCCCATGTCATGTACGCTCATGCAACCCGCAGGTCACAGCGCAAAAGTCCATCCCGCCATTCATTGCTTCAATTTTGCGGGTCTTGCACTCGTAACCAAGAGAATATCCCAGTCGTGAAATATCCATAATCGTGTCTTCGTTATACACGCCCACTATCAAGCAAAGCGCGATGTGTAAGAGAGGAAAGAGGAGAGCAGGGGGCGAGAGAGAGGAGGAGAGTATGTGTAGGCGAAACTAGATCAGGAGTTTCGCCGCGGTTGCGCCAGCATGTTGCTTAGCCGCTTCCACCCCTGGGTTGGTGATGTGGAGTTGTTGCGCGCAAGGTGTGACTTGTCCAAGGGCTTGGTAGAGGATTGGGTGGAAGAGCGTGGCCGACTGAGGGTCGCCTCGTGGTCGGCGAGGACATCCTCGAGGCGGACGTCGGACTCGGACATGCACAGGTGCAAGTCCTTGGGGTCGAGGATCTCGATGAACTTGGAGGGGGTATCGCGCATGATGAGCTTTCGGCTTTGTGTCTCTTCTTTGGAATGAGCGTGGGAAGAGGAGGTGCGTCCTCTATCTATAAGATGGGCGCACGGAGACCGTCACGAAGGTGGTGATATAGTCCTGCACGGGTTGCCTCGGATGAGACCACAAATGAAGCAGGAAGCGCAGTATGTCACGTTCTTTGGGAAGGTGCAGGATGCAGGATCACTCTGCATAGATCGAATCCGGAGTCTTTGGCAGCGAGAGAATGGTAAATAGGAAGAGAACGGATCGGACTTGGGAGAGGGGGGCGTGAGCAGAAATGGGAAACCCATTAAATAGGACGATGCCTCTGTAAAATAAAATACCTTCACACTACACTCGTAATAACGAATGAAATGTGAAAATCCAAATCCTCACCATCCGAGCCTCCGTGCGACTGGAGATTACTTCCGAATGAATTTTGGAGAAAAATGGGGAAGCATCCGGCCGGCCAGCCAGTCTGGAACGTCGACGCTGGTGGGGACCGGCGACGATCAGGGGATTGGCGAATCCGAAAGAAGACACGAAGATTATTACTCGTCCCAGGGTTCATGATGACTGTGGTGGGATGATGATTGTGGTTGGTGCCGGGGAAATGTGACCAGATGGCTCAGGGAGCCTTTTGTGTTTTTTTTTTTGTTTGGAAGGCACAGGGGAATCTGTTGCCTTGCAGGTACCAGCAGCGCATAGCTGAACTAGGAGGCAAACCCGCTAGATAGCTCAGTCTGATGTATCATGCACTGGCCCCCTTCCCCAGGTATTTGCCCACACCCGCGTTGTTTGCCGAGGAAGTCTGACGGGCATTATGCTTCAGGAGCAGCCCGTTCGGTGCAGAGGAAGTCTACTCCACACCCCTCGCACGCCCGATTCCCTCATCTGGCGGCGTCCTGCTGATGCGCGCAACACAATGGGGAAGTGTGTGGGCGGCAGACGACACAACTGGAAGGGGATCAGCGCTCGCGCACCAGTTGCACCGTCTGGTGGCGCTTGGGCGCTGGCCACTGACCGTTGGTGGATGCAAAACCTTGAGGGGTTCATGGTTCGTTCCGATCTGCGTGGGTCGCCAGAGGGGCACTTGCGCGGCCAGAGGGTCAAGGTCAATGGGTCAACAGGACACTGGCGGTTTACACTTTTGCGGAGGGGGCGGAGGCTTCGCTTGCACGCGGAACCGCGACGTGAGATTGAAGGGTTGGAGTCGGGGGCAAAGCGGTCACTTCCCATCCACTCTTTCTCATCTTTCTCATGCGTTTGCATCCTCGCCAGTGCGAAGGCCCTGAAACGAACGATGCGCCTGTACGGTTCTCGATGAAAGCATTCTGTCGTCCCCTCCCCCACGCAGCGCCATGACGTGGGGGGCTCCGCTCGAGAGGGATCTTATCTGCCTGTCGCCCTCGTGTGTGTTCAGTTCGTGAGGATAGGCCACAGTAAGCGGGTGATCGTCAGCATTGTTCGCCCCCTTCTATAAAAAGAACCACTGGGCGGAGCACGTAGAGATATCCTCCTCCCCGAGGAACTGCAGTACCGGGAGTCCTGTCCCCGGAGGGAATGAGAACTACCTTGGCGATAACCACGAATTCGGTCATTCGCAGGATGTGACAGACAGATCCCCTCAACGCTGTGAGGACGCATAAGCAGCACTGTAGACCGTCCTGCCCCCAACGCAGAGGCCAACCTGCACCGCCCACCAGGCTAAGATCAAGCGGGACCCTCGAGCATCGAGCGCCTTCACGAGGACACTCCGGACCTTTTTGCCGTCCTGGAGGCATGGGATGCCGGCCATCTGGTGGAAAGGTGGATAGGTGGATAGGTGGAGATGCATACCCTGCATCAATGAGACGATCGGCCCTCCCTCCCTTCCACCAGGGCTGCTCGCCACGCCCCCCGCCTTCCATACAGGATATACAGTCAACGTGGCTAAAGTGTCGAATCCGCCACTGGGCAATACTTCGCCCCCTCACCACAGGTGCCCAACAGACAGACTACTCCGCGTCACTTCTGACTTCCGTTAAGTGATCGGCTCTACGTGGGCCATAAGGTTGAGGGGTCAGATGGCGTCGAGCATCTGATATCAGCCACCAGCCACAGGATACCGTACCATACGAGTCCACGTCGAAGTAAATGATTCGATTTTGGCCAGTGGCCATGCAATAATAGTGGATTGTCCATCAAAAACGCCTCGTGAATCGAAAATAAAGCAAAACCGCAGCGACAAGGTCCCCGGGCCCAGTTACCTCGGTAGGAGACCAAGCTCCTTGTCGCATTCAATTCCTCTCGCTCCTTCGTTTGGGTGGGCTTCTTATATGCGGGCATTTAGCTGCCGTTCCAATATCGACCTCACTCTGCCGAGAACCCTCCGGGTCTTGTCCACCAGGCGATCGTTTCTGATTCCCCGCACGGCATCGGACAGACCTCATAGCCCGTCGCACTCACTCCATAATCGCCTCCTTATTTTAACCCGAGATCCGTCATCTCCACGCCGTCTGCCGAGCCCATCCAGAGGATGTTGTTACACCTGCAAAGCAAGACCCAATATTAGTCCGACATATATTCAACAGCGTCATTCTAGGTCAATGCCATCGCTTGTTCTGGGGGGGGTAACGCACCGGATCAGCACCAGGCCCAGCGTGCCGGTATGCTTGCCGTCGATGTACTCCTCCGTATCGCGCAGCAGAACGTTCATGTACGAGTCGATGCTCTCCAGTGTGCCCTTGTACTCGGTCTGGCCCCACTTGAGGCGGATGACAAGCTCGGTGCCGACTCTGTATACCAGATAGTAGTCAGTAAGTGGAATTTTTGCTGGGTGAGACTCTTGTCGAATGGTGGGATGTGCGCCGGAACGCGTTCAATGGAAACGCCGGGCGCGTGGGGGTCATGTACCTAGCCTGCAGGAATGGCCGCGGATTGACGGGTTGGAACTGCAAGTAGGAATGTTAGCAGATGCTCTGCGATCCGAAAACTAGGACTGGATAGGTGTGATTCCTGCTGCCCTGAAGCTCGTGGACCGGTGTGGGGAGAGGGCTGGCTGGACGTACGCTCATGATTGTTGGGGGAGTCGGTGGTTTGCAACCGTGCGCGGAACCAGATTTGTGGGAGAGGAGGTAGAGGAAGAGCCGAGCGATGAAGCTTCTCGATACTCGGGCTTGTCGTGATGGTCGCGCGTGCACTGGACTGGTTGGATCTCGGAGTTGGTGCACCGCGAAAATGTGAGCTGGACGGGATGCGGCGTGGGGCCAATGAGATGCCGCACGGCCTCACCGCCTTTCACCTTGTCGTGAGGATCCACGCGATATGCTCTGCTCAACTGAATCGATGAGAGCTCGAGTCTACGACTTATATAAACATTCAATGCCACTGCGGAAGGAATACTAATATCATGCTTGGCGTGTGATGCTTCATCATCGTCGCATCGCTAAATGTCACATCCCCCGGCAACACCAACTCCCGTCCAGATCATCCACGCCAGTCCCATCCCACACACACAACCGGTAGTAGTACAAGAAGAGGTCGTAAAAATTGGAAATATCGAGGATCCTCTTCAGCGGCTTCCTTCAATCCTTATCCCTAAAAGAGCTTCGAAAGCAACACAGCTCCACTGCTAATGCAATTGAACCCCCTCCGTTCAATTATGGGAAGCAAATCAGGCCCGGCCAACAGTCCAGGTAATCTCCTTGATGCTGACCTCCTCACCGGCTTTCTCATCATAGTCATACCACTCGCCTTCGGAGAGATCGATGGCAGTGAAGGGGGACGAAGACTCAACACCCTTGGCCTCCCACTCACCCTACATGAAATATATGAGATCAAAGAAGACTGTGCAGACTCGGTAGAGGAACTTACGTCAGGCTTGAACTCGGTGAACTCTAGACCCCGGCAATCGATTTCAATGATTTTCTGGTCGGCCTTCTTCTCCTGGGCCTCGTACGAGTGCGGGCCAGCGATGATGGAGGCGGAGTGGGTTTTCTATGCGCTGATATTAGCTCCAAGCAGAGGCACAGAAGCGATAGCAAGTTAGGAGCAGTAGAAGGGGATGGGTGACATATTCAAGAAATTCAGAGGGAGCGGCATGATAGCCAAGGCTGAAGATCGATATTTCCAAAAAAGAAAAAAAGGAAAATTGTAAAAAGAACAGGGTATCCTTACAGTGCACAGGCGGCACTTCCAGACGAAGTTCGCCTCGCCCCGGCTACCAGGGATCTCATGCTGCTCCTGGAATTTGATGTCCAATTTAGCTCACCATTTCCCACTGCGCATGAATGTAGAACGAGCCCTTACAAAGCGGTTGAAGCTGACCCAGTTCGGGTGCGTCTCACGGCAGGAGGTGCATTGCACCCGGAACGTGTAGAAATACGGATTTTCCTCAGTATCAGTTGGCTGCAAGCCAGTAACTCTGTTTCAAGAGGTTAGCTATTCCGGTATTTCAGGCCCGCGATCCATATCAATGCGCCCGCATGCCAACAGAGGAATCTTTGGCGGGGGTGCGGGGAGGGCTCTGAGCGCGAGCAAGGGCCCACGGTAAAAGGGTGGCACAGACTCACCCTTCCATTTCGGCCTTGAGGGTGAGGGAGAGCATCTTGTTGTTTCTGTTTGGTGTGTGCTTGTGGTTGCGGAACTCGCGGTATGAGCTCTCGTTCAAGGTGAAGGTTTCTGGCGATGCGGGGTGGAGACAGAAAATAGATCGGACGCTTGGCATGTGACCACCACACTACGGGGACAGTCCATTGGAGCTCGATTCCTGAAACTTCTATTCAAATGAATATACAGAATACGACAGATAGCAAGATATTGATTTAGATAGGTCTATACATTCAGAATTTAAAAGGAAAAAAAAAAACGACAGGAACGCCAATCATGCACAAAGCAGTCGCTCGAAAGAATCCCCAAACAAGCTATATACATCCTGAATCTTATAATATACAAAACTTCACGCGTATATCACTCAATGAGACCGAAGCCTTACAGACGGCTCGCCTGAGGGCCTTGACCCAGAGCCTTGGTCGAGAACGAGTTGAAGTACTCGTTAAGGGCATCAACGGAGCCAGTGCCCTCGACTAGCTGCACGGTGCAGGCAACGTGGCTGTCCGGACGAGTGACAACAATACCACCCTTCTCTGCGTCAATGCCGAGCTTCTCGTGGGCGGAGAACTTGGCTTGAGGGACACGGACATCGGGGATGTCGTCAGCGTACAGGTGGTGGTGGTAGTCCCGCAAAACCTGGGGAATGGAGTCGACATCGACCTCATTCTTGGCGGCAGCGTATATGACGGAGATGGTGAAAAGCTTGGAGTGGGGGTTGTGGCGCTCAAAGAACGAGACGTTGGAAATGTCGGGGCGGCGGTAGGCAGAGAGGAAGGAGCGCTCCTTCTCCAGGTTGGCGGCGAAGTCGGCGATGGCCTTTTTGGTCTTGTTCTGGTTGCCGGCGAAGACGAAGATGCGGAAAGATCCGTTGGTTGGGATTTCTTGCTCCAGCTCAACGAAGTTGGCGTCCGCAAGGCGGGTCACCATCGCCGGGGTGAAAGCACGGCCGGCAGTCAGACGGACGCCGGGGATGTTGAACAGACTAGACTTGGCGGGGTGGCTAGCATCCCAGTTGAAGACGTTGGGCTTGTAGGCGACACCGTAGCCGCTGGTGAACTCGCAGGACGACTTGAAGGTCTTGACAAACTCATCCTCCTCTTCCTCGGCGCCAGAAGAAACAGCCTTACTGGCGGAGATCTCACCAGCGTTAGGACGGCGTTTGGAGAACAGAGCGGCGTACTTGGCGTCGAAGTTCAGCAGAGTCTCAGCGATGTCTTTGCGCTCGCTCTCGTAGGTGCTCAGGATGGAGCGGTCGGCGAAGCCAGTCTCTACAGCGTGGATCTTCCAGGCCATGTTGAGAGCATCGTGGAAGGCAGTGTTCATGCCCTGACCGGCCTTGGGGCTGTGAGTGTGGCAGGCATCACCACCCATGAAGACGCGCTCGTCCAGGGTATACTTCTCAGCAATGCCCTGGCCGATGGGGTACACAGAGTACCACTCAACACGGTCCCACTCGAGCCAGTAGGGCTTCAGGATGTTCTTGGCAGTCTGCTGGACCTCCTCGGCGGTGGCAGTCTTGCGAGGGTCGAAATCGGGGTCGGTGGACGAGGCGATCTGGACGTAGAGGCGGACCATGTTGCCCTCACGGGGGATGACCATGATCGAACCGGCGTCGGAGTGAATAGTGCACTTGGTCTCGATATCAGGGAAGTTGGTGCGGACAACGCCGTCCATGACACCCCAGACGTAGGCGATGGGGTCCTTGTGACGGATCTGGATGCCCAGCTGCGAACGGACGAAGCTGCGAGCACCCTCGCCACTGAAGAGGTACTTGGTGCGGACGTTCTCGATAACATTGGTGTCGATGCACTTCAGGTTGACCTCTACGGGGTATTCGTCGTCGGCGCCGTCGTTCTTGAAGCCGACGATAGTCCATGGCCGCTCGACGCGGGTACCGGCCTTCTCGATCTCGTCCAGGAACACGCGCTCAATCTTGCCCTGGTGGACAAGGGTGGTGAACGGGTAGCGAGTGTCAATGAAACGAGGGCAGCTAGGCCAGCTGCCGGTCCGGGTGATACCAGAACCATCGCCCTTGGGGTCCCAAAAAGCAACATCATACACCTTGGCGGGCTCGTAGGCCATGATGGCGCGTTTCAGGCCCAGGTTGCGCAAGATCTCAGTAGAGCGTGGCTGAATACCGTCGGCGCGGCCAGTGGCGGTCGGTACCGGTCGGTTGTCAATGTGCTTAACCTTGTAGCCCCATCGTGACATGCATAGGGAGAGGAGCAGACCGACAGGACCGGCGCCAACGATGACGATGTCGTACAATTCTTGGACCATATTGATGGATAATGGTGTATCAGGAAAGAAGGTGAGAAGTGAAAGGGTACGCGATGCACGAAGGAAGCGATCGACGCAAAGAATACAAAGAATCAGCTAGTGATTCGAAAGGATGTTAAAGATTCCCCTTGCACGGTCACATTCAGTCGAAGAAAGAAGCGATCGAGGGCCATGGCTGGTTCATAAATAATCGCAAGCAAGCCGGGGTAAGCGGACCGAAGAGAGGCTGTTGGAGACGGAGAGCAACCGCGGCATTGAGGATCGGCTGACTCGTTAGAGTGTTGTAGGGCTTGGGGCAGGGCCGGCGAATAAGCGGCGGTAGAATGCGGGTTATGGGTGACAGTCAGCAATAGCAACGCTGACGAGCGTGTGGGGACTCCTTGTGTCCTGGGCAAAGCGCTCCTATGATTCAATGCCGTCGTTGAACCCGAGCTTCAGGACTCAGCTCCATGGTGGTGGGTAGGCTTGGAGTGCAAGTTGACTGGCCTGCGCTAGACTAATTACCCCACATGCCCGGGAGCAGCACTCGGCAAGTGGAGAGTGTGGCACGTGACTCACAGCTCGGCAGGCCTGGCCGGGACTTAGTTCTTGTCCCAGCAAATTGCCCCGGCAGCAGCAGTGCAGCAGGGTACTCCGTCCCCCGTTGTACTCTCGACAGGCCTCCTCGGTTCACTTGATTGCGTCTTCTCTTCCTGCTCAACGGTTCCCTGCTCGGCTTATTGGCACCCTTTCTTTCCAACTAGCTCCGTCTTGCCGACTGGCTTAGGTGGACGTCGTGCCGCGTTATCCACCAGGGTGAGTCTCCACGGTGACCTGGTAAATGATTTAGGCAGTTCTGTTGCAAAAAGCCCGGTGTGCAGTGCCAGATTTTCTGGTCTGCCGTGTTTATTCCTTCGCTTGTTTCTGTTTCATTCCCATAAAATCACTTTGCAAAAGGGGTCAATAGCTATCTCGATGTCGTGTACGCCTATATTGCCGTCAGCCAATACGTACACAGAATAGATATCCGGGCAGGGCCATCAAGGAGTACTGCGAAGAAGAGGGTATAATAGCAGGATTCAGCGTCGTTGGAACACCTGTCAGCTCACCAAAACACAGCGGCAGATCTCACGACGCCCAGCAGAGAGATCACAGACCTTTGGCAAGTTCGGAAGACTTCATTTCGATCTAGCCCAGTTAGATGAAGCGTACAACGGCCATAAGTTGATATCACACCTATACATTGAGGGTATTTGTCTTCCCATGGCCCAGAGACGCATGAGAAACTATCATTATATTCATCGCAATATATCGAAATCAACTAAAGATCGAGATTAAAGTCTTCAAAAGCGATAATCCAACATGGCTAACCCGAGCGTGTAAGCGCTAGATTCGGCAGTCAGGCCGACTGGGCCAGGCAACGCCTGGACCAGCTGCAGACTTGCCTGATTGGGTAGCTCCATCAGCTTCAGCCAACAAGAGGTGGAAAAGGCGCTTTGCATTCATTATAATCCCCAAAATGACCCAAGAACAACAAACTGAGCCCTAGTTGCGAGCCTGGTTCAGGCTACAGCTTGGGGTTCGCCACGCCTGTCTCTGACGTTATCACTGACCTGGATCCAGTCCTTCTTTCCTCCCCCAAGAATGGTTTGAACAGTAGAGTCGACTCCTGCTGACTAGCTGGTTACGACTTGGATGCTGCTGAAATGGGCATGTGTCTCACGCGCGTCTGCTCCGCTATCCAATGGGGTAAACGATGGTGCGCCCCTTGGGAGGAGGAGGAGGCGGAGGGGGTGGGGGGCTCCGATTGAACAAGCTTAACCAGATTAAGCTTATTTGACCTAAAGTAGACGAAGTAGATTGATCTAAAGTCTCATGATCTTCTCCACTGTCCAATGAGGTGAATAACGAGGACCCCATGGCACTGCCTCCAAACAATCTAAGGTCTCATTATCTGCCTAAACATCCCCAGAGGTGGTAGTCTGACTGCCCACGCCGGCTGGCAGATATTTTCTTCCATCCCTGTTTTTCTTCCTTCTATCCTGCAACCTTCCTTCGTTCTTCCACATGGTTTCCCAACCAAGCTCAAGCTTCAACTCCCTCTTCCGAGAATATCAAGATTACCGAATCTCGAATTTGCAATCCACCAACTTGAAGATGGAGGTTGAGTACTTCGGCGATGATGAGAGAGACCAGGGCATGCATGATGCTGCCTCCATGTCCGACCAGTTTGAACTCGAGCTTGAGACTGAGGACCAGCAGTATGGAACTCTCAAGTCAGTATCTCAATATCTCACCCCACATGGGGGAAATTACTTAGCTCGCTCACAGGTTCATGGAGTACACCGACATGGCCAGCGAGAACCCGTACCACGCAGCCCCCGAGTGAGTATCTCCATATGAATCATTGCGAATGGAAGATCCTAATCTTGCTCGTAGATTCATGGAGTGCCACAACACGTTCAACGAGAACCTGTTCTGCCACTCTCTCTTCGGCGAACCTGGTCCTGCACTGAGCGATGACGCCTATGGCCAACACTCTGCCGAGGTGTCACCTCACGCTCCTAACATGTTCCCCGATCTATCGCCGAAGTCCCTGGGAAGAGATATCGAGTCCTGCTTCCCATCCACTGAGGCCCACCTGCCGTTGATGCCGGACAGCAGGAATATGCGACCCAAGTCTGACGTTACTCACCGTCAACCTCCGGAACCATGCGATGAGTCCTCTCTCCTTGAGAGTCAGATCATCTCATTCCTCCAAAGCAAGTGCGGCCGCAGTCTGAATCAGCCTGCTGAGCACGTCGAGAATACCCTCAACATCGACACTCTAAACATTGGCTCCGACTCTGGTTCGGACTCGGATTCGTCCAAGCTTCACCCTGAACCCCACAAGCAGAAGATCCTTTGGGGAGAGACCGGACTACTTGGAATTGAACAAGGAATTCCAACCCCGAAAAGCGCACAAAGCAAGTCTGGTTTGATCCGGGACCTGGGTAAGAGACTGAAGAACCAGCTTGCGGAGATTGTAAGTGCACTCCCCTTTCCCACGCATCTTTCATGTCTCATAACTCTCTAGGTCGAGGAATCCAACAAGAGCATCAAGATCAAGCACTCCCCAGCGTCGTCCCCTGTTTTTCCAGGTAGCTCGCACGCATCTCCCATCACCTCTCTCGACTCCGTCACTCAGGCCAAGCTCTACTCGGAACTGGAGGTCATGATTTGCAACACTGCGAACGATTTCATTCTCCGGCAATACTATGATGGACGTGTCTCTCAGCACTCTATCGACAAAGTCAACGCCTTCTGGGCCTCTAAGAATCGTCCCCGCGTCACAGAGTTTCGCTTTGACCAAGCCACCCAGCGAGAGTTGATACAAGCCAATCGCCGCAGCATGGAATTCACCGATGAGTCCGTCAGATACCCAATTCGTGTTCAGTGCAACTTGCATAACTGGAAGGTCATCGCCCAGGAGATGAGCATCCGCACGTTCTGCTTGCCAGACAGCGCAATCCGTAAGCACCTCTATGACCTCCGCCTGATTATCAACATGATGAACCCTTCGTTTGCCACTCTTCGCTCCCTCCATGATCTCACCTTTTGGGCCCAGGACCAGATGCTGGACAAGCTAGACACCGTCCGTCGTCAGAGCGAAGCCCGCAGCAAAATGAGCTCCTGAGCTCAAATCCTTTGCACCCGGCATTGAATGCGTCGCTGAAACATTCTGGTCTAGGGGAAGTATGATGGTTATCTTTCGAATGCAAATTTGGGGAATCCTCGATCTAATGAGATATTGAGAAAATATGTTTTCAGAGGGGCGGGAAATTAGCAGAAAGGTTCTCCATGAGGCACTTCGAGTGACTCTAAAATAATTCTGATACCCAAGCATGTTCAGCGATTTTGATACTCGGCTTTCCTAACGCACTGTGCTTAACCATAGCCAATCCATCCAAATGATAATTTCATATCTGTTTCTTCTGTACACCGTTAGGAGGAAAAGTAGGGCGCGGTGTTGACTGGTGTTGTACAAAGTGGCACGTGCGGCGACGTCATCGGCTCATAGGGGGAACGCCAGGCAGCCCTCGGCTTTCCAGCTTCCAGCTTCCTAGTTGCTCGAGTTGCAACGCCTCTCATCTTTCTGGCCGCTTCATGCAACCGATTCTGTTTCGCTGATTGGGTGTTTCCGAACCATGACCGTCAACATCTAGCGATCGGTCTCTAGATCTCGACGAGGCCTGATCCCGACAAAGGACCTTGGATAAAAAGTGGGGCCACGCTGTTCGCCATGACGGGCCCGTTTCATACCTATGGTCCGACTTGCCTGTTGGCAGATGAAGAACCAGAGCTGTCGAGCTTGTTCTCGCTCTCCACGCCACCAGATATCCGGTCTCAATTCTTCTACGTTTCATCCCTGCCAATCGACGATCCACTGGCGCCGCTGCCACCGCCGACAAGCGGCCAGGCATCTGGGAATGAAAGGGCCCCTCCGAAGCCTTTCTCGGCCAGGGATAACTTAGCCTTAGAAGAAGCCTGGCGTAAGCTTGGAAAGGCTCGAGAAGCCGAGCTGGCTAACAAGACCGGCCCCCCGCCTGAAACGCCGAAACGGCGCTCCGCCATAACCGTTCCTAGCCAGGGATCAGCCTCCGAGACTGAAAGACGTCGACAATGTGCAGCGCGAGGAGATATAAGTCTCTCCAGCACCGCAAGCACTCCAGTAGACCCGCCGTCGCTCCCGGATGAGCTGCACTCGCGAAATGTCACGAATCGATCGGGCCAACTGGCCTCTAGCTTTGATGCTCAACCTGAAAGCTATGCAGAACGACGCATTGCGATTTCATCTATGGAAGACGGCTCCAGGGAAGACGGTCTCCATTGGAGTGGGGTCGGTGCTTACCGGAAAAGAGATAGATCCTCGTCCTTGAACGAAGCTCTGGCGAAACGAAGAAGCGAATCACCCGTCGATCACGACGCACCGTATCGTCAAGATGAAGCTAGCAATTTACGCGCAAACAGATCGCGCGATGCGAGCATCAGTGGATCTCCTTTTATCCGAGCCCCGATCTCCCAGCCACATGGTCCATTTGGCCGTTCGGTGGAATCGTTACCATCAAAGGACGGGGTCCAAGATGGACAAGCTGAGCTGCGGGCTCCTGCCACTCCTCGCTCTGCGCCGAAACCTTCTGGGCTGAGAACTTCTATGAGCTTGGAGGGGCTAGCACAAGACCCTTTGAGTCAGGAGGTACCTCAAAAGGGCCCGCAGATCAAGATCCCAGTTGGTGCATCTCGTCTTCACTTGGTTGAGCTGCCTAACTTGAAGGTATAGGCACCTCTTGGCTTGGTTTGTGATACATCATTATGCTAACCATTCCTTCAGATGAAACCCATCTACTGGAATCCTCTTCATGACATTTCGAATGTTGTTCGAGCTACATGGTTCTACAAAAACACCATGATGCCCGTGGAGACAGAGCTCGCAAACAAGCTGGAAGAGGGATACACCTATCTGAAACCGTGGACGCAGACATGGCAAGATGAACTGGACAGCTGCGTCGAGAATGGTGCAGATGCAGAAATGAAGATTGTACAGGAACTTTGGCCCAAGGATGAGTCGCCGGCTGCCAACCGCCCCGGTACTGCTCAGGAGCCGAATCAGGGGATCAATGAGCTTCCTCCAGATGAGAGTCCTGAAGTCCTGAACTTTGACCCTAATCGAGCTGCCGGTGTGGCCGCTCATGCGGATGCTGTCAAGCCATATGCCACCTCGAGCGCTATCTACGTGGACGCTCGAAATGCCCAAATTCTCCGACCCAGCCTGCTTCCGTCAGTCTCCCGGGGCAGACGCCCTCTGAATGCAATTCGCAAAGGGCGGCAGATCGGCATCCCTGTAGTTCGTGGCTTTGTTCGAAAGGTATGGGACCAGTTACACCCCACAAAGCCCAATCCTGTCGATGTGCGTCAGTACATCCGAAGGACCCAAGTCCACAGCACGGCCCAAGCTCCCGGTGGGCAAATATGCTATGCCTGCAAAATGGAAGAGCTGCGCCCAAGCCCGTCAGACCTGGTTTTTGTCATTCATGGAATCGGTCAAAAGCTCTCCGAAAGAATGGAAAGCTTCCATTTCACGCATGCGATCAATGCCTTCCGTCGCCAGGTAAACATGGAACTGAATAACGAACCTGTCTGGCCTCACGTACGACAGGACCATGGCGGAATCATGGCCCTGCCTGTAAATTGGAGAACAACACTGTCTTTGGAAGACCCATCGCTAGAGACTCCAGATACGGAAGATCCAACATTCAACAACTTTGGCCTCTCAGACATCACGCCCGAGACACTTCCCGCTGTTCGATCCCTGATCAGTGATGTCATGCTCGATATTCCCTATTATCTGTCTCACCACAAACCGAAGATGATTAGAGCTGTTACGAGAGAGGCGAACCGAATTTACCGCCTCTGGTGCGCGAATAACCCAGGGTTCCAGGACAATGGCCGAGTGCATCTCCTGGCCCACTCCCTAGGGAGTGTCATGGCTCTCGACAGTCTGAGCCACCAGCCGACGAATGTTCCTCACTTCGACTTTCCCAATACACCTTTGCACAGCGATATTTTTGAATTTGATACCAGGAATTTGTTTCTTTGTGGCAGCCCGGTTGGGTTCTTCTTGCTGCTCAACAAAGGTATGTCCTGACCGAGAGGCAATAGTCATTCAAGGATATTGATAGTTCTTTTAGCCAGCCTCCTCCCCCGAAAAGGCAGGGACAAACCAGGCAGTGAGGGTGAAGATCGACTGCGCGGTGTTGCCGGAGAGGCCGGTAAATATGGCTGCCTCGCCGTGGACAATTTGTACAATATCATGCATACAACAGACCGTATGAGCCACCTCCTTTTCCTGGACAATCGGTGGAATGGACACTAACACACCTTTACAGCAATCGCATACCGCGTCAACGCCGCAGTAGATAGAGACCTTTCCAGTTCCCTTAAAACCGCTTCCATACCCAGCTCGACATCATCTTTCATGCAATCTATCGGAAGTGTCTTCCGATGGAGCTCATCGTCAGGATTTATCCCAACAACCATCCCGACACGCCCCGCGATATTAGCAAAACTCCCATCAACAGTCGAAATGGAAACCCATGACTTCACCCGTGAGGAAATTGCTGAGAAGCGCATGCTACTACTTAACGACAACGGTCAGATCGACTTTTACCTCTCTGGCGGCGGTGGCCCACTCAGCATCCAGTACCTGAACATGCTCAGTGCACATAGCAGTTATTGGACGTTGACGGATTTCGTGCGGTTCCTGGTCGTGGAGATTGCTCGGAAGCAGGGACGTGATGGTACCCTTCCTCCTTTCAGAGCGGAGAAGAAAAAGGGGTGGAAATACTCCAAAGGTGATTGAGTTCTTCGCTACTTATTTTTTTGGCATGTGGGCTTTGGGGAAGTAGTTTCCTGGGCTACTTAGCTTAGAAGTAATAGACATTTACGTTCTCAGTACATTTATTATCTACTGTAGCTGATACTGTAACCTCAATACCGACATCTCCTATACCCCACCTCCAAACAACCTCACGACTGAAGCTCCGCATGTGGGGAATATTAAGACTGGAGCTATTTACTGGGCATACAGTGGCGACCACTGTTGGCTGCCACATCTGAAACGTAAAAGATGCCCATTTAGATTCTAATCGTATTACACAGTAGGCTCAAGGCCCAATGTGAACAGTACAAACGCACCTCGATTGAACGTACTCGGTAACAGTGCCGGGCCTTTTATAATACCAGTGTAAAAGTAAGAGAGGCTAGAAACATGTCAGCATGTTGGTTTGATCTACCATAATGCACCTGTCATAGATATCTTTTAGCACCGTTTAACGTGTGCAGTTTATAGCCTCGTAGCACGAGTCTCTAGTTGCGGAACCCGAAGCGAAGCTTAGTAATAAACTCAGCCAATCAACGAATGTGCAGCTAGCATGCAATGCCAAGATGAAAACATGACGAATCAGCAACGGACGATGACAGCCACGCCAAACTCCAGCATCGACGTTAAATGCTACAGCTTTCTTTGACTTGTTAGGGATGGAACCAACGACCTATCCAAGACATCAACCCACGTAATGCCTGTCGGCGAGCAGCCCGACAGAAGAAGTCCTGCAACATGTTGCTCCCAGCTCCCCTCTCTCAATACGTCCGCTCCGTCCAGTCATTGAGTCGCAAATGGTCAACCCACGACCAACTGCGACATAATGACAGCCGAAAGTCCCTCGCCCACCGCCTGACCGATGTCTTCCTCCGTGTATGGGACCTGGGATTCACTGCGTTCGGAGGCCCGCCCGTACACTTCCAGATTCTCCATAGCAGATTCGTCGAGGGAAAGGGGGGTAAAGAATCGTGGGTGGATGAGCAGACTGTACTGTCCTAACACGCAGCCAGATTTGGGCGTTTCCGTTAGAGGCCTGCTTCTAACGTTTTACTTATAGTATCAAGAACTTTTTGCCATCTGTCAAGGTCTTCCTGGCCCTGGTAGTACAAAGATGTTGTTCTGCCTTACCCTCCTCCATGCGGGATTTATACCAGCCCTGATGGCGTTCCTTATTTGGAGGCAAGCCTGAGTTTGCACTTACACGTTGCGATCACCACTAATTGTATTATAGTTTGCCCGGTGCAATTGGCATGTATGCCCTCTCAGTCGGCGTTGGAAATCTTAGCCAAACTCTTCCTGAGCCCGTCTACGCGTTGCTGTCTGGCCTCAACGCTGCGACCGTCGGAATTATCGCGGTCTCTGCGGTACAACTCGCGGAAAAGGCTATTCGTGACAAGATCTCTCGCATCTTGATCATCTTCGGTGCCTGCGCTGGTCTTTGTTATAACACGCTATGGTATTTTCCGACGCTGATGCTCGGTGGCGGTTTGGTCGTCGCTGTTTGGGATGGGTCGCTCTATGCCCATGTTCAGAGGGTTAAAAGTGCTTGGCGGAATAGACACAACCGTCCCACGGACTCGGAGGTGGCGGCAAACACGACCCCCGTGGAGATGGCGCCTGTTCAGCCTGGAGAAGCGGAGCGGAGTGAGACGATACGCTCGAGGAAGAAGGTTAATTCGGGTGATGCCCCGAGCAGTCTGCCTGTTAATTTAGCTGGACCGTCGAGCTCAGCACCGTCAGCCGAGATTGAAGTGACCCAGTCACCGGGCTATGTAATTCGAATCCGCACTGGATTTGCCATACTAACCGTTTTCTTTGGTAACTCCTCGCTCTCAGGATTGTCAGTGTATGGCCAATACTAACATTGAAAAGCCTCCTTTATCGCCCTCCTCGTCACAAGAGGAAAACTAGCCGCCCCCCCTTTGGTGCTAGATCTCTTCACAAGCATGTACCTCGCCGGAACGGTGATATTCGGTGGAGGCCCCGTCGTGATCCCGCTTCTGCGCTCCTACGTCGTATCCCCAGGCTGGGTCTCTGCCCGAGACTTCCTCATCGGTCTAGCCATCATCCAAGCCTTCCCAGGACCAAATTTTAACTTTGCTGTCTTCCTGGGCGCATTGGCCCTGCAACCCACAAGATTCCCCACGGTCTTTGGCGCATTTCTCGGTTGGCTGGGAATCTTCGTGCCGGGACTTGCGCTCGCTGTTGCGTTCCAGAGTTTCTGGAGCGTGCTACGGAGGAATAAGTATGCCATTTACATCTTGAGAGGTGTCAATGCTACTGCGATTGGTTTGGTGTTCACGGCTGTGTACCGGTTGTGGGAGATTGGTTATTTGACATCCCAGAATACCGCTGGTCAGAGTCTAGCTAATGAGCCGTGGTGGGTGGTCGTCACTACCATCTCCTATGCGGGAAACGCGTGGTTCAAGGTGCCTCCGGCCGTGTCTATTGTCATTGGTGCTATCCTGGGTTTGTCGTGGTATGGGGCTGTGGGAAGATAGATGTTTTTGCTGGTTCCGTCTCCAAGATAATCATCTTTTTCGGATGCAATCGAGTTATCTTTAGGTGGGTGAAATACTTTCACTCTCGTTATTGTATATGATAGCATCTTTAATGCCGGCTGAAACAGAACATCCACAATGACGCGCTGTATAATTATAGAGGACCTCTCGAAATCGGGGTCACCACCTACACTCTTTCGATTGTTTCTCGAAGCCTGATGCCAAGTTATGTTGGTACATATTTGGAAAATTTCCCGAGTATGCCTTTAAGTGAGGCTTGTATTGTTTATTGGTCGATTTCACGTCTAGAAAAATCCTAGGAAAGTACTCAAGGATGCACACAGATATGAGATACCATAAGTAAGCGACGCGAAATGAACCAATGAACTGAAAGCGAACCGTTGAGAGCGATTGTCGCGGATGAAATTTGTTCCGCCCGTTCACAACCCGGTCCAACCAAGCACTTCATACAGATTCACTAGAACACAAGACGAACGAATTTGTGGAACCAAACATATGCAATGGATTGGGGTAGTGTATTTTTTAACGTGGCAGCGTTGATTGCCGGGGTTTTTCTCCTTGACTATGGTGCGGACAAATTCTTAGATCACACTGTGATCGTAGGGCAGCGACTGGGCATCTCGCCGACTCTTATTGCCCTTTTGACTGCTGGAGCTGAATACGAAGAAGTGCATTGTTCGAGTTCCACTCCCTATCTGATCAATGCTAATAAGGTCTCCCTAGCTCGCTGTCGTTATCGCTGCAATTCTGCAAGGCCGCACTCCTTTGGCCCTAGGCAATGTCATGGGATCTACAATTTCCAACATCCTCGGTGCCTTTTCGCTAGGGATTCTTTGTTACTCGGACGGGAGACCTTTCGATAGTAGTGCGAAGATATATTCTGCGCTCCAATTCTTCGTCACTACCGTTTTCGTCATCTTAGCACATTTTCAGCAGCTGAATAGAGTTACTGGCGGGCTTCTCATCGCTCTCTTCGCACTCTATATCATCTCTATTAGCTATGCCATCTATAGAGGTATTAGTGAACCGCCTCAGCTGTCGGACAGTGAGAGCGACGATGAATCAACCGATGTTTGCGCTGAACAAACATCAGGGCGCAGTGCCGGACCGTCAGCTTCAGAGGCTTCTCCACTGTTAGGAGATACAAATACGACCCGGGAAATGGCGAGTGCATCCGTGAATAAAGACAAATCGCTTCTGCGACCGCTTTATTATCATGTGGTCCAGCTTATTTTTGGACTGCTCGCACTCTCCTTGTCGGGATATATCCTTGCCCGCAGCGCTGGTTCTATCGCTGATTCTCTCCACCTGTCAGGAACTGTCTTTGGCTTGACCGTGATCGCTTTTGCCACGACCCTGCCAGAGAAGTTGGTTGCTATGCTCAGCGGCTTTCGTGGACAAGGAGGGATAATTGTTGCAACCACAGCAGGGAGTAATATCTTCCTGCTAACTCTGTGTGTCGGTATTGTCGCGGTGGCGGGAAGACCCCTCGATCAGTCAGATACCTTTATTCTGTTCGACCTGGTCACAGTTTGGGTGTCCTCAGCATCCCTTCTGGCGGTCGTCTTCTTGGGGCCCCACCGAATTGCTGGCCTAGTGCTTCTCACTGCCTACGTGGTTTTTCTAGTCATGGAGTTCACCGTGTACAGGCGTTAAATCAGGGCATTACTCTTTGACCCAATCATCGCAAGCCCAATTTAGCACGAGCTTCCAAGTGTACAAATTAACATGTATATCATTACCCCGGAGCTGCATTGAGCGGCGGACTCAACTCCAGCCGGGAGGAAGGTGTTGATATTGATCGTAGGATACATTGACCTAAATGTGGAATTATCCGAGCTTTTCTTCCTTTCTTTAAGTCACTAATTCTCCCTGGCATATGATATAACCCGCTAGATATAATATTGACCAGAGTATTACCTGGCGTTTATTTGAGTATCTCTTACACCAAGGCTCCTCTTAGTAACCGGTAACTCTCCTCGGTTACCGCTTGTGGACGAGAAAGTCTGCTATCACCTATATAGCTAAAGGAAATTTAGAGGCGAAGCTTCTAACCAAGACGATACAGTTGGGCCTAAGCCAGTAGCTACTTCTACCACTACTACACCACAACGCTAGGTGACGGTAAATTGAGCGCCGAAAATGGCTACATTCGACGCCATTTTAAGCGTTCATTTTACTAAGACCTTAGTCATTGTTATGTCCCGTGATTGACGTCAACCCACTTTTATTATTTGCTTCCGGAGTGCTCCCTGAGCGAGTAACTCCCTGGGCACCTGTTCCGCCAACAACCAGCACGATTTTCTTCAGATTCAAACAAAATATTTTCGAGACCTATTTACCAGCCATGTAGAGATACTTTAGAGAGTGACTGGGGCGTTCCTAGTTATATTCTAGTCTCGTATCTAAGCTCAGCATGAAACCCTTGACAGCCCTTCTAGCTGCCCGACATGTGTCACCTCCGGAGAGCATTTACCTCTTAACCAAGCGTCCGAAAACAACACACGTCTTTGATTGGCACAGACCAAGTACTCGATTACCAATCTTTAGCTTAGCACCAAGTACGACCAAGGCGGATGATGCGATTGTGTTGATCTAGACCCTCCCAGCGATATTTCACATGGTGAGTTTCACCTACCCTGGGCCGAGTGAGTCCATGACGTCATTCACCACCACCAAAACACGAATCACTTTTCTTTGAACTTGGGTTTGTCAGACATTATGCGAGACAGGTCGCGTGAGCAAAGATCATGTTCCGGGGTTATGAGAAGGCGAGAGTGCGAAAGTGCGAGAAGACCTCGCCGCGTGTTGGACGCGACTTTCGCCCATCTTCACCATCGCTTTTCCTGATCATCAATCTCAACCTTTCTAGCCATCGCACGCGCCATACCCCTGTCGATCATGGCCGCTGTAGCGCCGACTACCGCAGGAAGGTCATCCGAGCGAAGGATGTCCATTCGCTCGGATGATTGGCGGGGTGAAGATACTAAGCGATCACCAGATGACCGCAATGAAGTGCGATTTTTCCAGGATGGGTTGGATACTGGCGCTCGTATTCTAGGTGAATGATAATCCGGCGATATTCACACACCTTGCACTAACGTGGATCACGTCTTGTCATAGGTGACGGCCGGGTAGACATCCATATCGATCAGCATAAACCGCACCTCGCAGGGCTATTGAACCACATCCAACGCCCGGATAGACATTCTGACCGGGAGGCCGAACGGACCGCCAGTGCAGAACGGCTCTTCTCAATGGACGAGCCATTTCCACTGCATTTAAACCTCGTCATCCAAGTGATTGGCTCTCGGGGCGACATTCAACCATTTGTTGCACTAGGGAGAGAACTGAAAGCACACGGTCACCGAGTCAGATTGGCCACACATTTAACTTTTCGGCAACTCGTTCTCGATAGCGGTCTAGAATTTTTCAATATCGGAGGAGATCCAGCGGAGCTGATGGCTTTCATGGTGAAAAATCCGGGCCTTTTACCGGGGTTCAAGGCAATACGCACCGGAGAAATCCAGAGGCGTCGGCGTGAGATGAAGGAAATCTTCAATGGATGTTGGAGATCTTGCTTTGAAAAGGGCGACGGGACTCACCTTCACCAGATCAAGGAAGATCCATGGAGTAAGACTGTGGATTATCGACAACGGCCCTTTGTGGCAGATGCGATTATAGCCAACCCTCCCAGCCTAGCCCATATTCATTGCGCACAACGACTAGGCATCCCTCTCCATATTATATTCACGTGAGCCGGCCCTCTTATATACTAATCTCAAGTTGCCTTTCGCATACTGAACACCTAATGAATAATAGGATGCCCTGGTCACCAACCCAGTCCTTTCCCCACCCGTTGGCGAATGTCCACTCCCAGAACTGCAAGCCGACTATCGCAAATTTTGTGTCCTATAACATTGTAGATATAATGGTATGGGAAGGGCTGGGAGATATTCTAAACACGCTTCGCAAAGATACCTTGGCACTCCAACCTCTGGGTACAATGACCGCCCCGAGCATACTACACCGACTACATGTGCCGCATTCATATCTATGGTTAGGAATATATTCCTGGTCGGCAAGAATATTCTAATATTTGAAACAGGTCTCCTTCATTACTCCCCAAGCCCCCTGATTGGGCTGATAACATCGATATATGCGGCTTTGGCTTCCTCTCATCAGAGACCAGCTACACACCACCAAAGGAAATAGCTGCATTTCTCAAAGCGGGACCAAAACCAATATATATCGGATTTGGCTCGATTGTAGTTGACAATCCTGCCAAATTGACGAAGATTATATTTGAAGCAGTCCAAAAATCCGGACAGCGGGCTCTTGTCTCAAAGGGCTGGGGAAATCTAGGGGCAGATGAAGTGCCAGACAATATTCTTATGATTGGAAACTGCCCTCACGATTGGCTATTTCGGCAGGTTTCATGTGTGATCCACCATGGTGGTGCTGGCACCACAGCGGCAGGCCTTGCGCTAGGTCGACCGACGATAATTGTCCCGTTCTTTGGAGACCAGCAATTTTGGGGAAATATCGTGGCGCGGGCTGGAGCCGGGCCAGCACCGATACCACATAAACGTTTGAACCAGCAGAATCTCTCAGACGCAATACAGAAAGCGCTAGAGAGCAGTACCCAAGAGAGAGCACAGGCGATCGCGATAAAAATGCAGGAAGAGTCTGGCGTGCGCCTTGGGGTGAATAGCTTTTATCGACATCTTGATCCCCAGGCACTCAGATGCTCTATAGTCCCGAATCAGCCGGCGGCTTGGCATCTAAAACATACGGAAATTAACTTGAGTGCCTTTGCAGCAACGGTTTTGGTGAAATCAGGGAAGATCAGTCCAGACAGGCTCGTGCTGTAAGTCTCTCTAACGCAAGTCACCAAAATTGTGAGAGTTTCTTGCTGATTTGCCTCCAGTCTCCGTCCAATGGAATACGATACACTCCTGGACCCTGCCGACCCACTTACTGCTAGTGCCCAGGTGCTCTTCGGAACCCTTGCGAGCTTCGTGACTGGGCTTGCAGATATGCCAAGAGATATTGTGCGTGATCTTGTTTCTGCGGCTCGCGCAATACGCCATCCCCGCGAACATTCTGATCGCCACGCAGTATGTCAGGCAGCAATTTCGTCACTGGATCAAGATCAATCATCCCCAGAGAGTAGTATTGAGAGTGAGGAAATGCAGATTGAAAATGAGGGCCGGCAATTGCAGATTGAGAATGATGAACAGGAAGATAGAGAAATCGGAGAAGAGGATAGTACACAGGAAGATACTGCTGATGAGGACACTGAAAACCATGTCAACGACATCACTCGAATTCGGAGCATGGAGCGCAAAAGGAATCTCCAGCTCGAAAAGGCCAAGACAATGAGCAGCTCGTTGACACCCTCAAAACCACCGAAATTCACTGTTTTACACGAAGCTGCGTTACACGGAAGCAAAATGTCGAAGAAGTTATTGAAGGTCATCCTAGTGTTACCAACTGATTTGTCACTGAGCATGGCCAGAGGTTTCCACAACGCACCCAAATTATATCACGACTCGACAGTGACCGACGTCCCTCAGGTGGTCAGTCTTCGAAGCGGGTTCAGGGCGGCAGGAAAGGTAGTCACAGCCATATCAGCGCCAGTCTGGGACCAAATATTCTGACATATGCACAGGAGCTCAGAGACGGGTTTTACTTCGGTATCACGGGCCTAGGAACACATCCGCGTCATGGTCTTAAGCATGAAGGTGCTAAGGGGCTCCTCAAGGGGGTCGGGAAAGCAATGGGTGGAGTGTTTCTCAAGCCGACAGCGGGTACGTGGAACATGCAGGCAATATCTCTGTGATCTTCTTGTTTACAAGCTAATCTTAATCAGGGCTATGGGGTCTAGCAGGATATCCATTGAGCGGGGTCCTCAGAGAGATCAACGACTCGCTAGGCAGACATCAAAAATGCATGATTGTAATGGGTCGCATTTCGCAGGGACTTGAAGAGATGCGAGAGTCCACGGTCCAGGAAAGGGCAGAGGTATCCAGCGGGTGGATTACAATTGAACACGACTTGAAAAAGTCGAATAAAAGATACCGCCATTTGCATACAACCTTGTGAACCATCTCAGCCGTCACAGGTGCGAGTGGCTTCAGTGAATGCGATATCGCTCGTGTAAACCAGGCGGAACCCTCATCATGAGATCAAGCCTGATATCTCGGTTATACTGAAGTACTATCGGTTTTCCCTTGATATGCTTTGGAAATTGCAGCTAGACAGCTCACGCTTAGGTGGAAATGACGTTCTCAAGAGATTCCATGATGTTCCTAGAAAATCAAATAAGCGTATTGGGAGTATCACGAGCCGCGACAAATGTAGGTACATCCAGGTGACAGGTTTGATGATGCTGTTCATCCATAGCATCCTACTTTTGTGCTCATTGCATCATATGTTATCATTTGCTCATAGATATCTAACGGCAGTCTAGTGGCCCTGTATAATTTGTAGGAATCAAGAGAACAGAACAAAAAGACACCTCAAAACGAAAATGTAAAGAGACAGGTTGAGGAAAGAAAAGAGATCTTGGAGATCCAGCCCCCGGTATATCATCGTCATCGTTGTCGCATAATTTTAGCAAATCAGTCGGGTGTCCGAACCGTAAACAGGGCCCATCATCAGCGCCTCCATGATCTCGCCTTTGATGCCTACTCCCCGGCCAGGACGCAGAATGACCAGGGCATTGGCGGATGCCATGCTACCAACCCGCGAGCTTCGCTGGCCGGTACCGCCGACACCGGTGCTGGTAGCGTATAGCCGGCCATCGGAGCGCGAGCCGGTCACCACAGCACGGTGGTACTCGGTCCGCTTGGGGTCGAGAGGGAAGTGGTGTGTCAGGACGACGGCCACGCGAGGAAGGCCAAGCTGCGGTGCCATCCAGGTCTTCGTGGCCAGTGCCTGCGAGCTCTCGCCAAGACCGGAAAGCTTGTGCAGCGAAGGCAGCACGAACAGGTTCAGGGTCACCAGGGCAGAGGCCGGGTTCCCGGGTAGCGAGAAGATGAGCTTCGACTTGCGTTCTTGCTGAGTACTCTCGGTCGCGCCTGTGGCGGCCTCCTTGAACGGGATCGTAGCAAAGGTGGTCGGTTTGCCAGGCTTCATCGACACGCGGCCAAAGTGAATTGTGCCGCCGAGAGATCGCTCAATGGTAGGCTTGAGGAGATCCAGCTCACCCATTGAGACGCCACCCGTGGTAACGATGACATCGACGCTGGACGAGGCACGGCCCACGCCGCGTAGCGAGTCACGCAGTGCATGCTCGATCTCGCCAACGGGGGTATCGCGTGCAATACCGAGATCGACAGTGGGGAAGCCCCAGGATTGGAGACATGACAGGAGGGAGGGGCGATTAGAGTCGCGGATCTGGCCCCCAGTGAGGGTCCGGGGATCGTCATGCTCCACCAGTTCGTCTCCAGTGCTCAGAACACCCACCCGTGGCTTCTTGAACACCTTGACGGTCCGGGTGCCCGTCGCAGCCAGAAGACCAACCTCGCCGCCAACAGGAGAGATTACGTCTCCACGTGAGAGGATCTTGGAGCCAAGGGCAACGTCACTACCAGGCTCACGGACGTTCTCACCGGGCCGAATGTCGCCGGTCAGAATTTCGACGGTCGCTTCTTCGGTCCCATCTGGAGTTGATGAGGCCAGGACGGTGTCTTCAACCATGACTACGGCGTTCGCATTCGGAGGGAGGGGAGCCCCGGTGGTAATTCTAGCAATGGTCCCCGGCTGGAGTGGCTCTAGGGCTCCGCCGACGTTGGCATGAGTGATCGAGGCTACGGGGAACACACCTTTCGTGCTAGGGCCCGCCGGGGAGTCGGTTGCAGTGACAGCGTAGCCGTCGACGATGCTGGCTCTGTATGCTGGCACCGCCTCGGCAGCATAGACGTCTTCGGCGACGATTGAGCCCACAACAGACAGGTTCACGGGGACTTCAATAACAGTGGGTTCGGGGGTATGCTCGCTGATCTGAGAGAGAGCTTCCCCTACAGAAAGCATTGGGTACGGCGAAGAGCGATAACGCTGGTTAGGGCCAGCGGACGGATCATTGGACTGAGGTCGGTCTGCCGCAGTGGTATGTGCCTTGGGAACTACATGCCCGTGATGATGGTGATGGTGGTGGTGGTGGTGGTGGTGGTGGTGAGAATTACTGCCCTGCTCCCGCTGCTCTGGAGCTGAGCTAATGCCAGCTTCAGCCTCCAGCTTCTTGACGCCGCCGGCATGCATGCTTCGAGAACTGGCGCCAGCAGCCTGCAAACAGGCATGAGGCAACAGCTTCACAACGGCGTCGAGATTCTCCATGGCTCCTTTCGGGGATCCGGGCAAAGTAATTATCAAAGACTTGTCACGGACTCCTGCAACTGGACGAGACATCATCGCAACTGAAGGGGGGAATTAGCGGGATGTAAATAGTTGCGCCAACACGGCGGGTGATGTCATCTCACATGGCGTTACTTTCAACGAAGCGGCGATCATGCCATGGCTGAGGAAATTAGTTCGTTAGTGTCTGCGCTCGGAACCCAATATCGCGCGTACACTCACATTAAGCCCGGGGCATGGCGATGGATCAGGGGAGAAACTGCCTAGTGATGTCATCAGCGCGGAACGCGTTGACCACCAAGATGCGAAATCCCTCACCTCGGGAGTGTTGTCTCTGACTGCGAAGCCCGTTCCACCGCTGAGCAGGATGAGGTTATACCAATTGGGTCCATCGGCCCAGTCGCACACTGCTTGCTGGATCTGAAACACATTGTCCGGCACGATCTTGATGGCGGGGGTTCCCACTTCCCCTCCGCGGCGAGGAGGGGGGCGAGGGCATTGGCCGTCTTATCTGAAGCGGGGTCCTGCGAGGCCGTATCCGAGACGATCAGAATGGCTGCCTTGAGTCTGGGGGTGGTGTCGGTGGTGTCGGTAGTGTCCATCTTGTGGGTTTTGGTTATGCGAGAGAGTGGGGGAGATGCGGTGTTTTGTAAGATGTGTGGAACTCCGGGGTACGCGAATCCCCGGGACGCGAGATTGTGACCCTGCCTCAGTGGCCACTGGCCCGTCCGTGCAGCAACAGCCTCGCGGGAGGGGCGCTTTTCCTCGGAACGGTGGTTTCAAGTGAGTTCAATTGGGCTCTCGGCGGCTGACAAAATGCGGGGGTGCGGAGGGAGTTTCCTGAATTGTGGCTCTATTGCTACTCATTACTATACACATCCATGGTCTCCGAAGCCCTGATGCAATTCAGCAGAACCCCCCAGAGCTTGCTTCTACGGTATCGAAATCCAGACGCCCTGATGCTTGTATACATGAACACGAAGAGTTTTCGAGAACAAAAAAAACGAAAACGAAAAAAAGTGAAAGATCCGAGATCATATGGTCTTTATGGGGCAACTGGCACCCCCTCTGCTGCCATTTCAGGCAATCATAGCCCTCTCACACCAGTGGAGGGGCTTCAATTTAGGCCGCACCCATGTCCAGGGCCTTGCCACCCACCAAAAGGCCGATGATCAGGCCGAACAGGCCCAGAACGGAGCTAAAAATCTCGATGACGAGAATCCGGACGAACCTATCGCATTGTCAAAGTGGTAAGCAGGCTGTCCAGACCGTCAAGTTGGTAAAACCACGCCCAAGGCATCGAACTTACAAGCTAGGGTCAGCGGCATCTGCAAGAGCAGCGCCACTTCCGTTAATACCGACCGAGATACCGCAGATCAAGTTGCAGAACCCGACAGTGATACCGCCCCAGAACAAAGCATAGCCAGTGTAGTAGTTGTTCTGGGTGTAGAGTTGGCTCTCGGGGACTGGAGAGAGCTTCGCGGAGAAAATAATGGCAATGATCACACCGTAGATGGCCACGACCTCACAGAAAATGATGGAAATCAAGTTCTTGGTGCGGATTCTGGGCGCCCGCACACCACCGCCGAGGATCGAAGAGCCCGTGAGAAAGATACCCCTGTGTCCAGTACGCCGATCGATCAGCCACCGAGATCATGGTCCCAACCCGTCCCATTCAAACATACCATGCAGCACCCACAGTCGAACAACCAATGCACAGCGCGATACCAATGTTCGCCCAGGCGTAAGGAGATACCTCCTCCAGGAAGCGGCCGACCTAGTACGTGTCATGTCAACAAACGGTGGACGAGAGCTTCGGCTGGGTGAGAGCGGAATCGTACATTGAAGGCTTCACCTTGTCCCTGAAAGAGCATATCTGAATGCCGAGTTTATCGGGTTAGCTGTCGGACCTCCAGCTTCGGGATGCGGTTGAGACATACACAGACCGACCACCACGAAGGCGGTCGTGAAGAAGCCATAGAGGTACCCGGGATAATACATGGCGACCTCAAACCTCTGACAACCTGGAAACAAAGGAATGGAAAGGTCTCGGGGGTGGTGGTGAATGGGACCGCCGATAAGGAAGCTGAAGCTCTGATCGGGTTGGAGGTGGAGGAATGGACGCGGTGGCTCGGAGCGGATTAACTGCTCCGCTGGCCGCTGGGGCGGTGGCCTGTCGTGTTTCCCCAGATCCACGGCTCATTCAACTAGACCTGTCGATTCCACCGCACGTCTTGCTGCTTTGGCCTTTAGATCCTTGCCATTGCACCGCTCTTGTGCGCCTGTGTGTTCGCTGCGTAACAACTGCTCGGTCCTGTGCCGCGGCGCAATCTCGAATTCCCCCCTGATTCTTCCCCCCTCATCTCGACAACACAACATCCATCACCATGGCCTCCGGTTCCGGGGTAGGGTCGTATTCGAACCCTCTGAAGAAATTCAAGTAAGTATAGTCTCGTGTCTGGTGCTGGATCTGGGGGGGAAAATGTGGTATTAACTGGGAATAGATTGGTCTTCTTGGGAGAACAGAGCGGTACGGTTTCCTCAAGTCTCGAATGCTACCGATGATGCGCAGCAAGACGAACGAAGGCGATAACAATTCTAACGACGGGTGCAGTTGGAAAAACGTCCCTGATTACCCGCTTCATGTACGATTCGTTCGACAACACGTACCAGGCTACCATCGGCATTGACTTTTTGTCCAAGGTACGACTCCTTACAGCCCGCCCAGCCTAGGCCCGGGGCACGCTGCTGGTTCTTCCATATGCAGATTCATTGCTAAGATACATAATCAAACAGACCATGTATCTCGAAGACCGGACCGTCCGTCTACAGCTCTGGGATACCGCCGGCCAAGAACGGTTCCGCTCCCTGATTCCTTCCTACATCCGAGACTCGAGTGTCGCAGTCGTGGTTTATGATATTTCCAACGCCAAGTCCTTCCAGAACACCCGTAAATGGATTGACGATGTCCGTGGAGAGCGTGGAAATGACGTGATTATCGTGCTGGTGGGCAATAAGACCGATTTGAACGACAAGCGTGAAGTCACCACAGCGCAAGGTGAGGAGGAGGCTAAGAAGAACGGTTTGATGTTTATCGAAACCAGTGCCAAGGTCGGACATAACGTGAAGCAGCTGTTCCGGAGGATTGCCCAGGCTCTGCCGGGAATGGAAGGCGAGGCCAAGCAGGGCGAGAGCACAAGTATGTTGATTCTTCCGACTCTATCCATACTTCTGATCTGTGCTGGATACTGACCGACTTACCACCTGTAGTGATCGATGTCAACATTCACCCAAAGGAGACCACTAACAACGAGGGCTGTGCATGCTAGCCGCCTTTGCTCTCTACCTTTCGTTTACACACTTTCTGACCGATGATGATAATCGAGTCCGTCCATGATATTGCACCGATTTCTTTAAGATGTACATGTTTCCTCTCACATTTCTCGGTCGCTCGTCGGGTGAATAGCGTGCGCTTAGATCTTTCAGTGTTGAATGCGGCTGTTGCGTCCAATTCCTTTGGTGAGCTCTTGCCCGGGGGGTGGGCGTTATGATTTCCGTTCTCTCCGCATTACATGATATCTTGTTTCCCTGGTCGCACTGGAGGTTTGCTTCTCTTTGTCTCCTGCAGGGCTAGCCATGGCTGCTATGGCCCCAATAGGCTAACATATTCGATATGGTATAATCCATGAAGCTGTACAATATGGCATTTTCACGTCACTGTAGTTCTTCATGTAAAACGAGCCATAAGTTTATTCCATCTTGATTATATGTAAGCCTAAATGTTAGGGCGAAGCCAATAACAAAGACTCACGTATTCATCCTCTATTCACTTGGTTCAGCGGGAGGAGTACCCTTTCCAACCCCAAATGGGTCATCCACGTTGTCCACAAAACTGTGCGATAGTTGATTGAACAATGAATGCAGCTGTGGCAGGAAGTTTTGTATGATCGACTCTCCCACAGCCGGGCCAACTCGGTCTTTTCGCGCCCACCAGTGTTGCACGAACTCTCCGATACACCCAGTATTAGCCACGTCAGGACATCCATTGGCCTCGGCACAGGGGAGCTCCTTCACATCCTCCGGCTGGTTGAATAGGTATCGGATGTGAGTCCCAAACGCCCCTTGCTCGTGCGGCCAATGAAAGGACCACCAAGAGCAATCTGGGAATCCGACGTTGTTCTCCGGACAGGACTCCCAAGCTTCAAAAAGCTCCATCGTGCGCGGACTTTGCTGTGCAATTATGAATCCAGTATTCAGGAAAATACGCCCCCGTGCGTCAAGATTCTCGGGGTCGTTTGGGTCCACAGCCATGGCGATGAGGGTGTCGGGGGTGATGTCCCAGTAATTGAAGAGCCATTCCAGAGGCAGCTGCGGATAATGGAAGGTTGCATCGGCATCCATGAAGACAACAAACTGGTGATGCCGCAATGCCTCTTTGATGACTGGGACCTTGGACCAGGTTCCATGTCTCTCGCCGAGGTTGGAAACTGTCACCAATTTATAGTCGTACCCATGGATCATTGCTGAATGTGTCATTAGCTATGCCAAGGAAATAGCCAGGACCGAGTTTACCAAACATGAAATGGCTCAGTCTTCCTATTTTATCTCCACGAGTGGCCGCGACGTCGGACCATGTGGTATTTAGAAGACCCCCGGGCCCATTGAGTGGCCGTGAATCAATGTCGAGAATCAGGACCTGTTTCCCAAGATGCTGGGTGAATCGCACGTCGAGTTCCGGCAGCAGCAAGTATGTTTTATCCGGAGTCGTGAATTCTCTCGCAGCCACCGGCACGATGAGATCCTTGTAGATATTGTGGATGGTCATCAAAGACGGGGCCTTGGTCAGGGGCTGAGACCTGTACAGTTCGTCAGAAATAGAATTGAATATATAGAAGTGTCATTTGTCCGCGTACCGGTCAATCTTCCCATCACGGCCTGCCACCAAGAACAGGCTGGATGTGAATAAAAATGTCACCAGGCAAGCAGCCCAGCGAGAGGAAAAGAGAAATGCGAGTTGGTCTTTCATCCTCATGTTATCATCTTGTTTAGCCGGATTGAAGAACTTGGGTGTGGTGCGAGGTGAGTAGATAAGATGAATGAGGAAGTGTAGGGAAAGCAATACCAAATCTTCGAAGATAGTGACCTCTCTTCTGAAAACTTCAGCCAGTCCTCGATGAGAGATAGGTCAAGGCTAGAATAAACCGACAACCCCGACCTCCCATCCAATCTTAGTAGTATTGTAGACCCATCCGTCCAAAGGTTCAAACGTGTCAGGAGGTAAAGGCTGTATGCGAGGTATCCCCTGGAAGGCGCCGCGGATCAAAGAAATTTGGGGGTGATGAATCCTGATCTTCAGAATATTCGTCCCGAGCAAGCATATCAGGAGAAAGTCGGTAATAAAGAACAAATTTCCCATGATTGGAGAATTAAACCTTGTCTGATGGCCAGATATCTCTTACTTGAAATGACGTGATGCTCTCGGAGTAATTTACAGGTGCGTACATGGACCCGAGAAATCAATACTACCGGAATTAATCATTGTCTTCGATGCCCCGGTCTCATTTTGACCCCATTAAGTAGATTGGATATGGTCTTGAGGCGATCTATAATGTAGACAAACAGCCTGAAAACCATTCAGCTAACTGGCCAGGACTGTTTAGCGAAGTTAGGCTAAGCATGCAGACACAGGCTCGGTGTTCGGCCATCCTCGACCTATTGCATGCGAAGTGCATATGGTGGCAATGTGCGTTGCTAAAGTGTGAGTAATAGCACGGTTCCTGTTGCACAAAGGTCAAGAACCTTTGGAGGTGTACGGGGGGGGATAGGGGGTAACCTACAGATGGATGTAACAGGGGCCCTTCCCATGAATGCAGAGAATAGATCCGCCATCACTCGGGTTACTTCATTTACTGCTTCTAGGGCTTCAAAATGGTTGCCCCATGGCTGTGACATTTCTTGACTGTTGCTATGAGGAGGTCGACGGAAAAGCTTCACGCCAAAGCTTTGGAACATGCAAATGGATGCGGAGACATTACTTATACGCCAAGAGCAGCAATTCTACTCATATTCTGTACTTTCTGTCCACACTCAGCCCTTTTTACTTCAAGGTCTCGGGTACTTGCAAGTGAAATTCGTCCAATTATTCCTCAATAGAGCGCTCTTCTGCGTCGAGTTGGCTAATGTGGTTGCACGGCATCACCAGGCTATAATTTCTGCTAATAGAATTCTATCAGCAGCATCGGCAACCCGATCTTTAAGCTTCTTGAAATCTGGGCTTGTACAATGTCGTGTTGACCTCTTTCGGAGAGATCCACCCCTTTCGGAAAGATCGACCCCTTCATCGATTGGAAAGTGAAACCGCCTTTGATAGTTGGGTGCGCTTTCTACGGTGGGCAACAGGACGTATTATGTTCGGCTAAAAGTCTCACCAAGCAATCGGGTATTCTACTATTCGACACCGGGGATGATGTCGAATTCACGCACTTGTCGACGATATGCAAATAGAATCGATGGTCACAGTCTTTCTCACTTGTGTCGCATGTCCTGTCCAATGAGCGAACAACGGAGTCCTCGGGTAGTAACAATGGCTCGACCTCAGGTAAGGAAGGCGCTAATTCCCCCAGTTGATTGTCAGTTTTCCCAGTATTCTTCATGGACGCCGGCTTTCGCAGCATACTTGGCCGGTGACGATCTTTAGCTCGACTTCCCTTTCGGATATTCCTGCATAGCTACCGTAAGTCTACACGACATGTCACCGTATTCAAGGATGCCGCGCCAGATGCGGGTACCTACCAGGCCTCTCTGTGATTCGAGGAGAACACATTTTGTCCTGTTCAACATGCATCTCTTGCAAGTGTACATCTCACTATGGCATTTGACCTTTTGGAATTACGGTGACATGCCACCCGAGTCCGCTCCCGAATTTTCGGACAAGGCCCCAAATGAGATAGTTCAACATTCACTTTCGCGTAAAGACAACCGACTAGTCGCTTCTTCTCGAGTAGGCCAATCGGTACTCGGTGAAGTGAACGATAGAATCGCTGCAAGAAACCGAGGTAAATACATGTATCGATGACTAAAGCGCGGAAAAATGCCGAGCCAACCAGGCTGGAGTTGATAAATCATATTGCTTTTTTGTAGATCAACCTAATTTCGACTGTCTTCAATCTAGCCGTCAGAAAAGATTCGGCTTCAGCCACCTATGATGAGTTGTCTGGGTGATAAAAATGTTTGATTGACTCCGGAGAAAAGTTCCTGATAATATTCACATAATTGGGGAGATTATTATTCACATTACTAATTTTTTCTCGCCCCTTTTAGGAGCTCAGAACCATGTACAATTTTGGGGAGTTCGTTCAAGCGTTTCCGTCTGCTTCGATCTCTTCGGTCTCGTCTCTGGCATGCGCCTCACAGGCAGGCTCGAAAAATGGTGCAAACTTGCTCTTCATTCTCAGATTCTTTCCGAAGAACCAAAATCCCACGGGAATGGGGACTAGACAGGCAGCGAGGCAGCCGAGAAGTGTAGCAGCCCACTGAATGCCCATGTTTTCAAACATTTGGCGCGAGAAGAGTGGGAAGCTTGCTGCTACCATAGAACGGCAGAATGTGTTTGCTGCAATGGCAGAAGCGGCACTAAGTGGTATCTCGTCAGAAGGAAAAGTTCTTTGAGAGGTTCAAAAATCGGTCAGGGCACTCACAACATAAGATAAGTATCAATCAGGTAGTTGAATAGCTGAATGAAGATAATCAAGAGACCAAATCCAGTGAATAAGCCACTCAGTGTAGGCACGATCCAAGGAACATTGTTGGTGAAACCAGTCCATCCAAACCAGAAGATTCCAGCCGCGAAAAGGGCACCACCAGCGATCACAGGTGGAAGGCGCCATTCAGGTACAGGAACACCTCCATTTTTATCCAGCTTGCGGTTGTATTCTCCGCTCGAAAGGATGATGTAGGTGCCAGCAATGAAAAGGCCGGCGACCATGCCAAATAGGGGTAAACCACTAATTCCAGCATTCATACCATAGACTCCTTGGAAGACGAGGGTGTAAGCAGTCAAGAAACAGTAGAGAAGGCCATAGATAAAGCTGAGGTAGACTGTCACCGCTAGAATAAGCGGCTCATTAATCAGCAGTCGGAGTGGACGGGAGAAGTTATTGATCAACAGATCCCTTAGGTCAACCTCAATTTCCTCCTGCTTTGCGTGAATCCCCCAGTTCTTGGTGCGGCGGCGCAATTCCGCAGCCTTGTCAACAAGGACGACTGGAGGGTAAGACTCCTTCAGGAAGAAAAGGTTCATCACGAAAGCCGCATACCCCATGAATGCAGGGATATAGGCGGTCCAGCGCCAACCCAAATACGACATGTTGATGAAACCCCCAATGAACGGAGCAATGAGGGGACCCAGAAAAACAGTGGTAGAGAAACAAGCAATTGCAATACCACGAGTACGGTTGTTGTAGATATCCGAGAAAACAGCAGCCACAACGGCCAGCGGCGAACTGCCGAAGACGCCGCAGAAGAAACGGCAGATCATCAGCGTCTGCAGGTCCTTGGCAACTGCAACGCCCGTATTGAAGATGCCGAAGCCCAGCATGGCAAAGATGATCGGAGGGCGGCGACCTTTCAGCTCAGACAGAGGAGCCCAAATCAATGGGCCAAAAGCGTAGCCGCAGATGTAGAGCGAACTAGACAAAGTTGAGACTTCGAGGCTAACGCCAAAGACTTTGGCAACATTTCGCGATGAAGCGCTGAAAACAGCCGAATCAAAGGTCGAACAGATACTAGTGAATGCCAGCATTGCACTAATGTAAATTCTAGAACAAGACGGGCTGTAAGTATTTATTCGGTGACAGTTGACGAACATGAGGACCTACTTGGTTTTAATTGACCAGTTCTGAGGGTACAAAGGATCATCCGGGCCATCGAACTCTACGACATAATCGTCTCGATTCGGTAGCTGCGGGGGATAAGGTTTGCCGGCACCGAATGCTGGCAACGGGAGCTTGGATGGTCGTGACTTGACGCTTTCACCCACGGTCATCGAATGTTGAAGACGCTGAGTCTCTATCCGGCTCAGTGCCTGGGAGACTGTTGATCGGCGACGCTCCAGATCCACTTCGGTGTTTCGCGACTGCAGCCTGTGGAAGTTCGGGTTGGATTCGACTGAGCTACTGGAGCCCGTCGACGACATGCTCGTTCCTGACGTCGAAGGCCTCTCGGCCTCAGCCGATGCTCTGCGTTTCTCCTCGCCCCTGTTATAGGAGTGGGGCTTGGCGTCGACCTCGGCCATTGCGAGCTCTCGGTCCATCATGTCGGGGTTGTTGCTCATGATGACTATCTGGCGAGGATGACAATAAGGGGCCCGAGGTTAAACAGCTACCCCCGACGCTATGGCACGCCGTATCGCCTTGGCACCTTGGGGACAGCTGGAGTGAGTTAGTCGAGAAGAAGGTTCTCCAGGCAGCGGCCCAGGCCGCCAATATAAACAGGTGCCTTTCTCAGGGCTTAAGTGGAAAACGGGGTCAGAAAGGAACAAGATTCCGACTTAACCGTCCAGACCCACCATCCGACGGCTCCAACTAGTCAAAGTAACTGCCGATGTATTACTCCGTAGATGAGTAACTACTAAAAATTTTGGTGCAACCTTCGCCCCCAAGACGGCGCTCCCGCGCTTAGTGGGTCGCCTCCGACGCTAGTGGGAAAATATGTGCACGCAGGCGGGACTGATGTCATCCATTGGGCCTGATGATTCAGAACCGCGAAGGTGGGGAAGCTCTTCCTCCTCCCTCCTCATTCGGATTCGAGCCCAACGCCGAGGGTGTGGTAGCGTGCGCGGTGGCTAGACTAGCGAATCTTCGCTAGCAAATGTCTGGAATCTTCTCCGGAGACCCAGAAATGTCGTCCATGCGCGATAGAAGGACCATAGAAGGACCAATGTGGTGGATATGATCTACGCGCAAGCCCTTGTCGGAATCTTGCAAGCATATTGGGTCTAAGGGCCCGGTTATCCGGGCCGGTTATACATTTTACTTCCCAAGATCCAGCCATGTCGTCATCCTTGGTTCCTTACAATATACCTTAGATTCGACAGTAGCGAAAGTTTCAAAAAGCTGATTCGAGATCTTTCACCAAGATGACGGGAAAATAGAGGACGTTGGACTAAGTATATTTCCCTGACAATGGCTTCACAAGATTGCGATGGCCCCAGAGGAGACCCAACACCCCCTTTGACATACAATGGTGCACTCGTGACAAAGCAACTCCACTTCTTGAGACGTGCGCAAGTTGGGCTGAAATGTTCCAAATCTCCAAGCTTGCCAATTGGCCCCATTGGCCCCATTGGCCCCATTCGCAAAGGAGCCACTCGTGCAAGCAACAAGCCTCTGCGTAGGGCTATGCTTCAGCCCCCATATTATCTCTCTCTACGGCCACAAAGTGCTTGTCCTAGAGCCCTTTCACCGTATCCATATTGTTCGCGACTCCTGTCATATGGTGCTGTTCGCGCGCGCCATAGTCCGCGTAACGGTATCTCTCTAGAGGATGTCAGAAAGTCGGCCCCATTGGTTAAATCTTCTGAATAGTACCGACTCATGCCACTTCACAAATCCGGTTCGGAAGATCAAGATATGTCGGAACTTACACTGTGTGCCCTACCCTTCCAGGACTTGTTCGATCTCGGACATTGATGGCATGGCCACTAACGGCAGAGGATGCCGTCTTGCTAGGGTTGCGATGCTCCCACCACGTCCACTATACTTGTGTGAGGGCTGTTGAGTCGGACTAGCCAACAAAAAGGCCTCTGCCAAAGACTTCGCCCGCTGACATAGATCTGGTCATTGACCGATCCACATATTGAGAATCTCGTGAGAACAGTGGGCAACTAGGTCGCCATAAATTCCATTACTGGGACTCGCCATGGCATTATACAGGCTGAGCCCATTATAAAGCAAACTCTTCACTCTGATATTCTACTAGTATCGTCTCATATGTGGTGCTTTCGTTCCAAAGTGAGTAGGCAAATACGGACATGTTTTAGACTATCCCACTCAGAGCTAGTGCGTTGATAGTAAGCTCGTCGTCCAAGCCAACAAACTCCCTTGGGACTCATATCGTTACTGTTGTGATGAATTCGAATACTCTCAAAGCCAGGGACCTCAAGGTTATTCATCGGCCACATTATTCCTGCATCCATCCTGCACATAGTCCATATAGTACGGAAGTACATAAGTTAGCGATACTGCCGCCCAGCCCCGCCAGTCGCAATCGGGCAGGTGATCTGCACGGATCGGCCGGAAAATGGCGCCCCTGGGCCACTTGCGGTGCCAGACACTTCAGTCCCAGCCTTTTCTCTTCCTTTGCCATCACTGCCATCGACTGCCACAACTGGGCCTGGTCCCTTCTTATTGTCCTGCCAATATACAACAGATCCTCACGTCTCCTCGTCGCCTTCTTCGGCCCTTCCGGTCTCCGTCGCCATGGGATTCTCATCGCGCTATCTCCGCATCCCGCGGCCAGAGGTGAGCACTGAATGCTTCGGTCGCAAATCTCGCGATCTTATCTGTGGGCTGGAGCTAATCATCTCGTGACTGAGCAGACCTTTCTCTACGTGATGAGCCTGGAGACGGGCGCATCGCTGATCACCCTCTCGCTGCTACTCAACAAGATCAGTGGCCTGTATGGCCTCCTCGCCCTGCTGACAGGCTACCACCTGTCTCCGGTCCAGCTGTCCATGTACATTTACTCCCTCATTGCCCTGGCCCTCGCTGCCCTGCTTTTCCCGCACATCCGCAAACAATCGCCCCTCGAGTGTCTCGCTCTCGCCTGGCTCTACCTATTCGACAGTCTCATCAATGCCGCCTACACGGCCGCCTTCGGTGTGACCTGGTTCCTCGTCGTGTCCCAGCATTACGACAGCGGCAGCGGGAAAGTCTCTGGCCCAGGGAGTGAAACCATCGCCCAGACCGCCGGCTTCACTAGCCCCAAGTACGATGCCGCCTATGTCGAGATCCAGAACACCAAGGAGGGCAACAACTTTGTTGCCCACCCACCTCGCAGCGCCGACCAGCTCAGCAATGCTGTCTACCAGCCCGAGAGCTTCCAGAGCATCGTTTTCATCTCCCTTCTGTGGGCTATGCGTGTCTACTTTGTTCTCGTGATGCTCGCTTTCGCTCGTCAGACGCTTCGCCTCTGGGTTGCGATCCCTCGCCACACCCAGCTCCCTACCCACAGCCGCAACGTCTCGGTCGCGAGCGTTGCCGACATCGACCGTGAGCCTTTCTCACCATATAGTCCCGACGGACAGGGATGGAAGGGCAAGCTGGGCCGTATTATGATTGGCATCGGTCACAGTTACTGGCTTGGCGAAGAGGAAGAGGGCAACTGGCTAGGAAACCTGGGTCAAAAGTTCCGCAACCGCAGTAGTAACAATAGTACCGAACTGCCGGGTCCTCTGGAACGCGAACGCAGACGTCGCTCTGGAACTGGTCCCCCTCAGCCATCCCAGTCGGTCGTTCGAAGTGCTGCTCTCCAGCAACCCATCCTCGAGCATGTTCCGGGCATGAATGTCAAGATGCAGGACTGGACCGAGCCTCGTTAATGAATCACCACAAAACACCGCATTCGTCTATTTGAGCGGCAACTCATGATCCGTCACGGCCTTTCCACCTCCCCCCATCCCCACCCAGCTTCGCCCTGACCTTCCTTGCTATTTCAGCCGGACATATCACAAATCTACTCGCTATCTTCAGCGAGAGGACCAAGTCCACACACATTTGGGATTTGTGCCCATTTCATTTTTCGCCCCCAATTTTTGCGAACAAAGAATCGCTAGCGCTTCGCCTGGCGATCTCTGTGCGGCAGGGAGCACCTGGAAAGACCATTCTTGTCGCATTTCCACGTCCAAATGAAAAACGCTGCACTCGTATCGGTTTTTTTCAAAGGGCTCAGCAGTACTCTGAACATCCCATCTATCATATGTGTCGGTGATCTACGCCTGAGCCATCTTGGGTAATGTGGAGTTAATGTAGGAGTCGGAACGACTGGCCTAGTACCGAGAGCCAAGGCTTTCTGGTCCCAGCTCTTGATTTGCATTTCCTTTTCCTTTGGCGTTCGGATCATGTGCATTGGCTTGATAGGGGCGTGGGTCTGCTTATCAACGCCTTGGGTAACATATATTCTACCTCATTTTCATCTACTTAGGCAAAGGGCTCCTGAAATATTTCACAGCCCTCTTGGCCATATAACATACCATCATGGATGCACACATTCTCATGACTATCACGCGCTATCACATTTTCACGTTCACTGCGCAACGCCTACTACCGCTCGTATACTTGTATCATTGGTACCTGTTGAAGCACCTGCTGAAGCCCCATCACTATTAGCCCCTTTTGCATTAGTCGCGATCATGGCCCCGCCAAAGGTGCCACTTGAGCTGCGCGTAACAGGCAGCGAAATGGCTAGCCCCTTATTCTGGGCACCGGTTGGTGCATTTCTCCTAAAAAGTTGTGCCCAATGGATGCCTGATACTATATTGCGTTTTTGCCGAGGAACCCCCGGAGGGGAAGGTTTAGCATGAAACAGCTATCTATAACGAACATGGAAAGACGGGTTGCGAATTAGAGTTATGATCGTCGTTATCCGCCGGTGGCTTAGAGGCTGGCAGTCTCTGCGAGTCGTTGAGTGCCCTAATTTTTTCGCCAATATAAATGCGTGTGATCCGGTCTGTGACAATTCAGAGCCGTTCTAATTCTATAAACTCCTATTTCATGATGCATACTCCTTATATGGATTCCCGGGTTGGCGGTATGTATCTCACTCCAACGTTAAAACTTGCTTCTGCTCGTCTGCTGGGTGCTAATGACCGAAGAAATTGCGAGCGGTGGTCCCTGGGATTGAGCGAGGCAAATTGTGCAAGACGTCCGGGATCAACACTTAAGGTATGTCACTGTAAAAGTGCCGACCATATCATCTCACCTTCTCAATGTGCATTCGTCTAGATGTTCGGTATCCAATTCGATGCTGCGGGCATCTACCTTGTCGGCACGCCGACCGATCAATTTCACGTATCCTTCGAAGAACTGATGGCTTCCACCGGGGGCATCATTGGTCTTCTCGAGTACGGTCTTACATGGAAGGTGATGACTGCCGTTCTGAGCCGAATTCGACACCGAGTCTGGCATCATTCGAGGGCATCACTCGATACACAACCCTCCTTATGGATTGACAATTCTGGACCGGCATTATACGAAGTCCGTCATGGACTGGAATCTATTCGAGTCAGTCCGCAAGAATTAGAATCTTCTCGCTTTGGGAGGGCGATTAAGGAACATTGGGATGGTGGTATGGCCGGTCCAAGCACGAAATGGGTTATACAAATGGTATTGGAAGCTTTCTTCATTGGTATCTGGAAGAGTATGCTTCGCAAGTTCAGATTCAGGAAATTTTGATGGGGTCATTCGACGCGTTTTTTAGGATGCAGCTTGCTGTGCGAGACCGTATCTGTTCCGCGAGGGGGTTCAAGGCGTCCTCGGCTTTTTGCTTTATTCAGCGATCTTTGTAGTGGGTATACTTCACCTGTCTCCAGACCCGACTCCTTTCATCAGGGTCCTGCCTTCTGAACTTCATCGGGTTCACCGTCAAGACCAGTGTTGGTAGCCACTTTTTTGGGTTTTCACAAGCATTAATCTGTCACATCACATTAGCATCGGCCCAACGTAATCACTCACGAAGATTATACGTGACATGATCAAAGAGACAACGACCGGAATTAACCGCCAGAACAGTAGCGGTGAGAATATAGTACATTGGTCTTATGTATGCACAGACAGCAGCATCCTGGCGGATCAGGTCATCCATCGGTACCTAGCTCGAAGAAATTTAGTAGAGCCATAAGATCTTCTTTAGGGTGACTCGGAACTATCCGCAGGGAATATCATGTAAGGAAGCAATCCCTCAGTCCAAATGGCGGCAGCAATCGTATACCCAATAAAGCTTCCCAGAGTACTTCGAAAAGATACGTGGGAAATGACAGTGGCTATAATTCTGTGCCGTATGGAAGCCTTTGACTTGGCTCGCACCAATGACAATCCAGGCACCAGTTCCGAGAAGAATATGGGGAACAGTAAGAGCAACAGTTTACTCAGTACTCTTTTTATGATCTGTCATGATAATTAAAATGAAAATGAAAATAAATAGATTTTTAATCTTGAGACAAAATAATGCGCATTTTCAATCTTATCTGATCGAAATCTTTATGTCGCGCATCACTCTATCTCGACCAACCTTCAGCCAATTTCCTAATGGGGCAGGTCTGGACCCCTCTTGACCTACAGTGTTGTCAGTCGCGACTCTTGTCGGCTCTTGGCAAAGAATCGAGGGTCAAGGCTCGCATTCCCAGAGATGCCTCCATCTGTCGCCGCTTGGTTGCAATCGTTGCTACAGCGTCAACTTTCAAGGCTACCTAGAAGCTTGGATGACGCCTAGAGGTGCTCACAACAGTATTCAAACAAAGAGTAAAACGCACTACTAAAGTAGAAGAAATACACAAAAAAAAAAAAAATTTGAACAGATGCATCCTAGAGGTAGATATTGCACCACACCCATGAATACATGAAGAAATAAAAAAGATGATATCATATAAGCAGAAGTTATTGCACGAGCGAAAAGGTCGCCAACAAACAATGCATCTAGAGACATAAATCGGACATTGACACAAATATTATTGCAAAACCAACAGGCACACATTTTATCAAATCCCCGTGGCGGTCATGAGACGTTGGTCATTTTAAGTTGGATAGGGTCCCACGTATTTACTCCTCTTCCTCATCCGCTTCCGCAACCTGTAAGAAAATGTTAAAATCTCATTTATTGAATTCGGGGATATCAGGTATCACTTACACCCTCGTGGAAGTTTTGTCCATCAGTGGTGGCGTTGATGACACCAACACGAATGAGGAAATCACCGAAGCGCTCGGGAGTCTCGCCATCAGTGTGACGCTCCTGGGCGTACCGCTTGAGAAGGCCCTTCATGATCTCCACGATCTCATCCTCCTTGATAGAAGAGCGGTACAGCTTGTTCAGACGCTGGCCGTGGTAACCACCGCCCAGGTACATGTTGTAAGCACCATAGGCCTTTCCAACAAAAGCAACCTCGGCAAGCCATGGGCGAGCACAGCCGTTGGGACAGCCAGTCATACGCATAACAATGCTATCACGGGCAAGACCGTTCTCCTCGAGAGTGGACTCCAGTTTGGAGATGAGGACGGGCAGGTAGCGCTCAGACTCAGCCATGGCAAGACCGCAAGTCGGGAAAGCAACGCACGCCGAAGAGGACAGACGCAGTCCGGAGAAAGAAGTGTTGTCAAGCTTGTACTTGGCCATGGTCTCCTTGACGAGAGGCAGATCCTCATCGGCGATATTGGACAGAATCAGGTGCTGGTTACCAGTGAGACGGAACTCGCCCTTGTTGAGAGAAGCAATCTCACGCAGACCAGTGCGCATGGCGAAGTCAGCAGTATCCTCGATACGGCCGTTCTCAATGAAGAAGGTGAAATGGTTCAGGCCCTTCTCATCCTTGAGCCAGCCGAAGGTATCGACGTTCGAGTCGAACTTGAAGGAGCGGGGCTCAGCAAAGCGCAGGCCATCCGGCAGAAGGTCCTCGACCTTGCTGCGGAAGACGTCGACACCCATGTCGTCAATGGTGTACTTCATACGAGCGTGCTTGCGGTTCTTGCGGTCACCGAAATCACGCTGGACAAGCATAATCTTCTCGCAAGCAATATGGACGGTCTCCGCGGGGAAGAAGCCAAACATGCGGCCGGTCTGAGGGTAGGTCTTCTTATTGTTGTGAGTGGTGCCCATGCCACCGCCAGCCAGGACGTTGAAACCTTCAAGGTGGCCATCGGCACCCTTGATGGCAATCAGACCGATATCATGGGCATAAACATCAGTGTCGTTGTGGGGAGGAATGGCAATAGTAATCTTGAACTTGCGGGGCAAGTAGGTAGGACCATAGAGTGGCTCGTGGTCAACAACAGCATCACCGGCGACCTGAATCTTCTTGTCGTTCTCATCCTTCAACCAGATCTCGTGGTAAGCGGTGGTGGAAGGAAGGAGGTGTTCACTAATCTTCTTGGAATAAGCGTAGGTCTCGCGGTGGAAAGTGGAGAGCTCCGGGAGGGAACTGCACATGACGTTACGGTTAACGTCACCGCAGGCAGCAAGCGTATCCATCAGAGACCTGTTGATGGCCTGCATGGCGCCACGAAGCTTGCGCTTGATGACACCGTGGAACTGGAATGTCTGGCGTGTAGTGAGCTTCATAGTCTCATTACCGTGGGTGCTACTGATAGCATCCATCTGTAGCCACTGAGTCGGAGTGGCAACACCGCCAGGAAGGCGGCAACGAATCATGAAGCTGTAGGCGGGTTCGAGACCTTGGGCCTTGCGCTCATCACGGAGATCACGGTCGTCTTGCATGTACGTGCCGTGGAACTTAGTCAACTGCTGATCACTGGCAGAGATAGCGCCAGTCGACTCGTCCAGAAGACCCTCAGCAATAGTACCACGCAGGAAGTTGGACTGGATCTTGATGTCCTCGTTAGTGATGGGGGCAGGCTCTTCAGGGAGACCCTCGACGTTATCCACACCCAAGGCCTTCCACAGACGCGGCTCCCACTCGGAGTAGCCGGTCTGGTAAGCATCAGGATCCTGATCGTCACCAAGGCCAAGATCGGTGAGCTTGTGACCGCCCAGGAAGGTAACGCGAGCATCAAGATCCTTAGCAGGCTTGTTGTAGTAGGCTTTGTCCTCCTTGCGAGGCCAGTAGTGGCTGTCACCAAGACCAAAGACGGAGTAATTGATGGAGGAAAGGTCAAGATCTCCGGAGTTCTTAACATGCTCCCAGAGGCTACGGCCATTCACCGGGAACTCACCCTGGCCAGCGGTAGAGGAGATGAATACAACGTTCTCTTCAGTGGGCAGATCCTCGATGGGATACTCGTCCATGGCGATGACCATGGTCTTCAGGCCTCTGGCACGACCGCGGTTACCCAGGCGCTTGGCAATGTTCTGGGCGTTGCCACCGTCAGAGGCAAAGAGAATAGTCAGAGGAGCTCCGAAGAGGCCATCCAAAAGCTTCTCATAAGAGTCCTTAGCCTTGCGCTTCTGCAGGGCACGGACCTCAGTACCGTAGGAGTCAGAGAGAACAGACGAGAACTTCGGTTGGCGGTTCATAAGCTGGGTGAGCTGGTTGTCCCGACGGAGGAACTCCTCCAGCTCTCGCTTGATACGTTCGGAGTCAAGAGCAAATTTAGGCTCGCCCTTCTCCTCGTTCGCGGGGTTCCAGCGGTACAGAGGCCAATAACCGAGATCAACAGCCTTCTTGGTCTCCTGGAGAACAGTGAGAGCGGAGTCGTTCTCCTTGTGGTAAGGAAGGTAAGCAACAACGACCGAGGGGCCATTGAACTGCTCGGCCTCAGCCATGGCCTGGAGGACCTGGGTATAAGAGCTATACACAGCAGTGGACGCGACGTAGGCGTTGCCAAAGTTCATGGCGTAGAGACCAATGTCCTTCTTACGGCGAGTGGGGTCGGCGGCAGTGCGCTCGGAGTAGGGTTGCGAATCAATGATCAACATGTTGACATTCGCACCCGAGGCGAGGACGTGATGCACACCCGAGTTTCCAAGATCATAGGCCCAGGCATCGGAGCCAATCAGCCACTGGGACTCGTCGTAGAAGAGCTTCTTCGACTGCAAGAGCTGGCGAGACAGCTTGGAACCATCGTTGGAAAGACGGGCAATAACATCAGGGGCAAGCTTGTTCGCCTTGGCAGCTTCCTTCACGCTCAAAGCCCACCGAGACAGCCAAGTCTTAGGAACATCTGTGGCAAAGGTGGTAGACTTGGAGGCCTCCTCAACCTCTCGAATGAAGCGCTGACGGTGCTCCTTACGCGCAAGCAGAGAGCCGAAGCCATATTCAGGGCTAGCAGCGATGGTCGAAGAGATGCCGGCATTCTTGGCACCTAGTTGATTGGCAATGTAAAGGCGCTCGCCGAAGAGCTGGTTCAGGATCTTGAGATATGCGTTCTCGATGTGAGGCTGCTCAAGGGTATCAATAACAGTGGGAGCCTGAGAGCTGCCAATATCCAGGTTCTGGATGGGAGATGAAGCCTGGAGGTTCTGGAGAATGCCGCGGAGAGCCTGCACAGCGGTGGAGGGCTCCACATATCCAAGACGGTATCCAACCACCTTCAAAGACTGACCCCGGATGGAGGAGGGGGTCACACTAGAAAGAAGATCCATGAAGGACGGACCCCACTTGGTGGTCTTGCGAACCTGCTCCAAAACGGCAATCTTCTCGACAGAGTGAGGAATAGAGTTCACAATCTGGCCACCGACCCAAGGACGGTACAGGCGGGCAGTGATAAGACCAACGTTCTCAAGCTCACTGTTGGCCTCGGCGTGAGACAGAGCATCAACGAAGACACCAGTAGAGCCAAATACGAAGACAGCAGCCTTAGCATCCACCGGGCCGGTATACTCGATGGCATTGTAGGTACGGCCCACCTCCTTCGATAGGGCATTCCAGATCTGAGAGGTCCACTCAAAGATATCGGCCGCATTGACCGGTCGAGCACTGGCGTTATCCACAGTGGTGGCGGTAGAGCTGGGAGCTTCGCTTCCAGCACTGCTGTCACGGCGCGAAGAGCCAACAGAGGAGTTATCAACGCTAACTGCCGAGGGGGTCTGAGTCTGAGAAGGGACAGTCAAACCAGCCGAAGCCAAACCCTGACCAGCAGGAGCAATCTCCATTCCCTCGGCGGAGACTGTGGCAGCACGGCCAGAATCGGCATACAAAGTCTCAGCACCAGTCGAGGTGTGGGTAGCAACATGTCCGCCCAGGTTCAGGATCTTCTTCACAAGCTCGGTGTCATCGGCGGTGATCGCGGAATCCTTGGAGGAGTTCGCGGGGTCGAAGAAGTGAATAACACCCTTTCCAGACTTGAGAGCCAGCGCGTGAGCGGTCAGGGCAATATCTTGGGCCTCCTGGACAGTCTCCGAGTGCAGGAATGTGAAGCCGCACTGCCGGATCGAGCTGATCACGGAGTAGTCGGGGAATGGGGAGGACTCGAGGGCAACATGGATGACAACCGGGAAGTTGGCGAGGCGATACAGGTGAGGAACAGCGGTGATCAAGATAGAGGATCCCGTAACAACTGAGACGGACTCGCCTTTTCGCAGAGGATGGAAAGCAGACAGGAGGGGGTCCTCATTGTAGCGCACGACTTGCACCTAGTGGGGTATCAGCTGCTGTCTGAGGAACTTGAAATCCTGATATTTTGCCATTTAAACTTACCACCGGGGTACCTCTGGACAGAGCGCTTGCAGTGTTGTTTGCCTTCAGGGTCTTGAGGGACCTGGAGAATATCGAGTCCGTCTGGAGGGACGGCTGCACGGACAAAACGAGGTCGCTAGCCAAGTAGGCGATTCTCGCCACTGGTAGAAAGCCGCAATATTAGCCATTGACCTGCCGCCGGGGCAGCGAACCAAACATACCTGCCTCGCCAGCAGTTGAAATAGATGCCATAGCAGGCAGATGCTGCGACAGTCACAGCAGCAGCAGGTGGGACGGGAAAATCACTGGCGATATTGGGGCTTGTCGGTACACCCTGCAATCTCCCGCACGTTGACGCAGGTCCACCAAGGATGCAGAGGGATGGCAGGAGAAAATGACACAATTGATGTCCCTTGTACTTCTCTTCTGATCTATCCAACAGCGCAGAGGAAAAAAATATGGTGGCCGCGGTTTTCTTCCCAGCGTCCAGTCCGTTCTCCGCCATCGGGGTTAGATTATGCGCCGTCTGATTGGCCAGTGATCACGACATCGACTTTCTCAGGACACAAACACTGCAAACATGCCACATTGAACGCCGGTGCGGGGGATGCCGTGACCTGTTTGCTGAGTCAGAGGCGAGCACGTCACCGTCGGCATTTGCTCGGGCATTTCAGCGGTGCGCTGTGCCGCTTCCTAGTGGGACGGAGAACCTTGCAGTCCAGACGGGAGGAGATGGGATGAAGTGACTCGCTGTCTACAGAAGCAATCACCAGCTCTGCTACTTGATATACGATGGCAATCTGGTACTACCTGCAGTTTGGATTTCGCGTATCGTGCTATTTCAAATGTTCCGGATGAAGGGCGACTATGCGTTATACATAATCAGACAACCTTGAGCGAGCCAGACGACTGACTGACTACCAATGGCAGAGCAGCAATTACGGACCGGCTGACTCTGTTGTTCTCGGTCGAGAAGACCTTCTTCTGGAAAACGCTAACTTAATGGAGAAATAAAGATTTCTCGCTTGAACCATAGCGCAGCTGATTAGTCCAGTCAAAAACATATGCCTGATGACCGCACCGTCACTCCCCTTTATGTAGTATATATGCGTATAGTTTGTTTCTATCTAGTTCATTAAAAAATTATGAAGTCCGATTCGATCATGGTTTGTTTGGCCGGAAGTTGATAAAAAAATGATCGACGCAGGGTTCGAACCTGCGATCTCCCGTGTGTAAGACGGGCGCCTTCACCACTGGGCCAGTCGATCATCATGGATGACTAAATCTTGAAGTGCATTATAATCATTCCAAAGACTGCATCTCAGGTTTTCCCTTCAATTAGGTGTAACTAACTTTTCATCATCCTTTAGCCATGAAATTTAAACACCATTCTTAAGTCAAATCTAGATTAAACCGAATTACTGGAGGGTTGCATAGAAAAGCCATTTATTATCAAAGTGGGTTGGTTATATGGAGCTTAGGTACCTTGTCTGGACAACAGTCCGGATATATAGCTCCCCAACAACTTTCCAGCAGTACACCATGCAACGCCTGGAACACCTTTCCCCAAAATTCAGCTTGCTGGGAATATTCCAACCTAGCATTCATCACTTGCTAGGTAACACCACAGCTCCAATTCGATGCGAGCATCGGAAGAAAATTCAGATGAAATTGCAGACGATGTCCTAGAAGACTAGAGAACAAGTCCGATCTTCCTACCTAGACCCACTTACGGATACCTATGCCAGGAACTTTTTAATTACAGTACAAATAGTGCTGGAATCGAAGTGATCTTAAGGTAGCCCAAGGGGGAGGGTTCTCTCCCAAATCAAAAAGACATCCAGAAAAAATGGGTGGTAATTTATTTACTTTGCTGCGCTGTGTTGGTGCTCGCATCGTTCACGTAATGTACATATGCAACAGGATATACACTCAGGCAGTCCTTGCTGATCAGGGGTAAAAAATATAGATATACAATCGGCGGAGATGCCGACAAAAGATCCAGTGTAAGAAAACGCCAAACCACATGCGAATAAAAAAAACAACGACAAAACTCCAGATCAAAGATTTCTCAAGAGAAGAAGTACTGACTGTCACGGATCCGGGTCAGATCCCATGCGCCCTTGGCAGGAACAGGTCGGAAGCGTAGAGGCAGCCAGACCCATGTGTGTGGCTTTTGCTTCCTCTTCTGCTTGGTCGGCACCTTGTCTTCCCCAATGGCGTCTGCCGCCGTAACCTCGTCCACAACATCAGCATCGGGAGCGGCAGACTTGGAATCCATCATGTCGATTTCGGTAAAGAGACTTTGGATGGCCGGGTCACTAGTGTCGACATTGGAAGAAGGGCCTCGCTCGGCGGCGGCCAGGTCGTCGGGGACATGCCCGACAGTGGTCTCTCCCAGGGTGCTAGCGATAGCCAAGTGCTTGTCTGTACCACCCATCTTCTCGAAGATAGCAGCGGAGGTTTCCATGGCGCGTCCCTCGGCCTGATCCGCGGGGTCATCTGACCGTAGCAAAGTCTGACGGCGGTGCTCCTCAATCAACTCCACGAGCCTTGAGTTGCGCGTCGAGGTGGTGCGGCGAGCCCGCAGAGTGCGACCAATTGCACTGTTGGCGTCAACCTTGGCCAAGAACAAATTCTTGCCAAAACGAACATCGAACTCCGCGGCAAGGCGTCCAATAATGTCATCGGAGTGCATTTGCACAAATGCGTCACGCAGAATGGAGTTCATGGAGTCAACATCACAGGCATGGGTCCAGAAGGAATCGTGCACAGCGGAGAAAGTGAGGCCAGCATCATTGCAAGCGTTGGCAGACATGATCATGTGAGTGGCATCAAGTGAGTGGATGAAATTGGGAGGGAAGGCCTGGAGCTGTTTACGACGCGAAACCACATCTTCGGCGCTAGGGTCGACGATGCTGACGGTTTGCAGCGAGGTCACGACACGACGCGCTTTTCGGGTGCGGTATGGCTGAACCACAGGCAAACCAAGAGGAGTAGTCCAGATGACGGTCGACTGGAACTTCTTGGTTGGATCGACCCTAACAGAACCTTTATCGGAAGACTCGGCGGGTGACAAAGCCTGATTTGCCATCGACTCGATCTGCCCTGGTGTCAAAGACTGGGTGATGCGAGTAGCGCAGTCGCCAAGCCAGTATTGAATATCGTGGGCTCCGTTGAACATAGACCCTAGGGCCTCAAAAATTTTCCGAGCAATATAAAGCGCACCGTCCTTCTTCACCTCGTTGGAAAGATCCGGAAAGTGGTCATTGAGCTGTCGGCGAACTTGCCGCATTGCCCCCATGAATGTCACACCGTAGACGTTGGTCATGACTGTCTGTTTCACAACCTTGCGGGTGATCCTGCCATCGAGAACCTGTGCGACCTTGTTGCCTTCAGCAGCATCCTTGGCTACAGATCTCTTCACGAAATCGGATACACCGGTGTAAACATCCGATGGTCGATCAGATGGCTCTAGGTTGACTTGCTGAGCACCAATTTTGTCACCGCCTAGGGCAGCATAATGCTGAAGTCCATTGCAAGAGCCGTCTTGGTGAATCGGAAGGCGAGAGGCATACTCAGTGGGATCGGGGAGGGCCAAGGCATTGCGGAGTTCACAGCAAGCCGCCAGACATTGCCATGGATCTTCAGCCTTCAGCCACCACCGCTTGCCATGAAGGCCTTTGTTGGCAGAGTCCAGAATTTCGTCAAGATGGTCCATCGCAAATTGTTCACGCTCCGACATACTCGCTTTGTCAAAGCCAGCCAAGTTGGCAATTTGAATTTTTAACCAGCGTAATCCGCCTGCACCGAGTGGCTTGGCTTCGCTGAATAGGAGCAATCCGCGAGCGTTGTCGGCACCCATCTGATTGAGGTAAGGTGGAAGCGGATAAGCTCGGCCGCGGAAGTCCATATTGTGTGGAAGGTAGAAGGTCTCATTGCGGAAAGCACGCGCAACTTCCAACTGGAAATTCTGGAAGCATCGCATGGAGTGATAACCACCCCGAAGGTTCTCCATATCACGCATTTTCAGTTGCCACTCCTTTTCGGCATTATAGCCAGCGTCTGCCTCTGGTTTTGGTGGGACGGGCAGATCCGGATCAAGGGGTGCCAAGCTCGCAATACCCTCCCCAGAATTCCAGGCCTCCAGCATCACGTCAAATACCTCGCGGTTGATGACCCAGCCGGTGTTTCCAAGAACGTCGAGACCCTTTCGAATATCCTTGAGGCCACCCTTCTCCAAAGCCGCTTTCACATAGGCTGGCTGCAGCGTCTCGCCAGGGGTGGCTCGAACAATGTTGCTTTGGTATAGACGATATCCCCCTTTCTTCGCCCCTGTCCATGGCTGGGGTTTGCATATCATAGGAAGATGACGACCTAGAAGATCCGCCGGTGGTTCTTTGGTGATGATGTCGATAATTTCAGGGTTCATGTGAAAGAGTCCCAATCGCTTTCCGAAGTTCATTTCGTAGGCGTGCAGGAAAGCCGGGTGCATAATCGTAGTGACTTTCCCAGTTTTGGCGTCTGTACTTCTCACGGGGGCCTTTGCAACTTCAAATAGCAGGCCCATCAAAACAGCTCCAATTCTGACGGTAACTCGTGGCGTCCAGGCGTACTGCGGCTCTTCTTTCTGCAGATTCTCAGACAGTGCTTTCCACTGTAGGCGACCATCCTTGCTCCTGCGGCCAGCAAGCATTTCCTTCAGCATCTTGACGCGACGAGAGCTAGAGGTCGAGTTCTTTTTGAGATAGACATCGGCGATCAATTCGTCTTGAACACTTTTACCGATCGATGCTGCAACTGTCGAAACCTTGGTTCCTCTTTGCATTCCATGTCGGGTGAACACATCCATGACAGAGAGAATAGTGACAGCAGCTAAACGATCAGGCTCCAGGGACTGCAAAAATACGCCATGTTCGCAACGAGCTTTTTGCTCCTCGGTGCGGATTGGCTGGGTTTCAGCTTCTTCGGCAAGCTTGATCTCTTTCTGAATGCCCTCCACGAGATCTGTATGCCATTGGCTCATCACGGACTTGAGCCTTGACTTACCCGAAGTCACGTCCACGCCGGATTTGACTCTTCCCTCAAACTCAGCACGCCATCGATTCGAGGCCGTCCTCATTGTGTCGGATTCAAGACGCTGTTGTCGGAGCTGGGCGTAGAGCTCTCTCTTTTCTTCTTCCGTACCGTTGAAATCTTTAGGCAAGGTGATTTGTGAACTATCGGTGAAAAGGGCTAGCGACTCTTTCAGAGAAGACAGACCCAAACCCTTCTGCTCCGCAGCAAGTACTTCGGGGTTTTTATCTGTGCTTGCAGAGGAGCTCTCAGGTACGTCCTCATCGAAGTCTGTCGGCTCGATCGTAGGAGTGAGTAAATAGGAGTAACAGATCTAAGAACGGTGAAATAATTAGTACGTTTGCGAATGAATCATCGAAAACCGAAACTGGATACGAACCTTGGATAATTCACCAAGATCCAAGTCTGTAAGCACCTCGCTTGCCAGAAGATCCTCATGAAGGTCTGCCTGCTTGGCAAGGCCCCAGTACCGGCGAACCGACCTGTCCCGTTTAGAGCCGTGGAGCATACGCAGGGACATACGAATCATGACCGCGAACGTAGTGGCATCTGGCTTCACACCACCATCCGGCATATCGACCTCAAACCATTTCTGCAATGGCAAAACCATCTCAGATTGCCGGGTGACAATCATGTGCGAGACCATTGCCTTCAGGTAGCGGTTGTGAAGAGCCAGAAACTCCGGGGAATCGACAGGGTAGAAGGTCTTCAAACGGCTGATCAAAGCCGCCGCCCGATCAAATCGACCGACCTTTATTGACATATCAAAGTTCGCCATCATTTCATCCTCATCGCCACCAATTCCTCGTATTTTCCGCAAGATTTTTGGCTGGGTCTGTGGAATTTCGTTAAGAACAATCAAAGACGAAGTATCGAATGGATCAGACATTCGAAAAGCCGATGACTGGTTGATGGTCGGGGGGTACGGCGAGTCGTCTAAACCCATGTAGGACCCCTGATCGAGTGGGGAGTGGTCGGTGGCGGTAGCGAGGTTGCGATGCGACTGGAAAGAGGGCCTTCGAGGCCGTTCTTGTGCCGAAGTGCATTGCGAGGTCACGATGGGACTCGGACGGCTCGAGCTCGAATGCAGGCGTACCACTGGAGAAACGCCTAATGTTCGGACGGCAGCAGCCTTCCGCAGGTGGAAGAGGGCATTTTTCTGACGGGCGACTCGCGATAACATGACGCATGAGATGTCGCTTTGGAGGATCGATGATTAAAAGGATATGTGATAAATGCGAATAGAAAAATGAAGGAATTAAACGGGGTATAGAATCAGAGATTGAGAACGAAAACGCAGGCAGTGCAGGCGAAAACAGAGGAGCGCAACACACAAAAGGGAGACAGCGGATTCTCTAAATTGTGCAAGGATGTTGGAAATTCCTTCTGAATGCCGTCCTGCAGCCCTCAACCCGAGTAAAACGACAGATAAAGAAAGGAACGGGGTGAGGATGAATATGGATGTTGAGCACGAGAGCGCCCGGACACTCGGCGAAAAAAAGCGTCGCGGACGCGTGACTGCACGTGACCCACCCCTGATAAGCCTCTGCTGATTGGCGAGGTAAACTATAATGAGTGGCAATGCCACCACCGAACAAGAGTGATTAGAATTGCTTTTAACATTCTCGCAGAGGAAATAAAATGAATTTAAAGTTTTTATCCAGAGAGAACTACAGTAGTTTTCGAAATCAGTTATCTTTCCGCACTCTTGCTCTTCTTTCGCAAAACTAAATCCGCCATGCGCTCACTGCTTTAGGCCCACTACTTTGTACTTAACTTTGGCAGAATGGTAATTGGACTGGCGGTGATCAGTCGATGAGCCATCGTTACTATACTAGCGTTATAATCCTCTATGGAATCTCGTAAAATCGATAGGCAGTTCGGGCGATCACTGCTTCCCATCTGGCTCGTTCTGACCTCCCCAACATGTGTCGCAGCCTTCAAAATACGCCCGCTCGTCATAATACGGAAGGCTGCGCTTACAGTATGTTGGAGCAAGCTCACCCTGATAGGCAACACCGCTTCTCTATTTTATGGCTTGTATTACATAGTGTGACTTTCATTTGTTCCCACTATCCCGCAAAACACTGGTTCTCCCAATCAGCTAGCTGGGTGTTACAAGAAACGCGATTGCTTTGTTTAAAGATGACAGAAAGCTGTTTTATCACATCGACAACATTTCCCAATCTATGGAGCCTGAAGCATGAGAGCAAATTACGCACTACTCACCGACGCCTGGGTGCTTTGCCAATCCCACTATAGCACGATCTATTTTAAGGCCTTCCCCGTCGAGTGTACTTGGGAATGAATTCGAGCCAACAAGTAAACCAAGCCCACGTCCTTTCACGTTCCTTCAGCTATTTGAGTGGGAAGAAGGAAAGGCCAATGACCCATCTTTATCCACTATCATATGGAGCGGCGAGTGGCAATCAACAATCGAGAGGTGATCTCGGCGGGACGAACATTGGCTTGTAGTGACTTAAAAGGCCAAATCTGATAGTCAAGATAAACCCGCCAAGCACGATGCATTCCCGGTTGTGGCCTGTCTTCTTTATGGGGACACCTGTGCTGATGGAGACAACTGAGAGATACAGTATCAGAGGCAAGGTCTAGTAGACACTACTCCAAATTTGTGCATTCAATATCATCCAACTCGACCCGTATGATTTCCTTACAGACACGGGTGAGGCCCGGGATACTAACAGTAATCAGGAATCGCAGATGCGACGTCTTTCTTCCAAATATATTGTCAGATGGCGCGGGAGAACTGCCCGACGATTAAAGAGGCTCAAATGCCCCGAATGACTCAATTTAGGCCTCCACACAGTACTTAGAGCGGGTCGGAGAAATGGCGCGGGTCGGAGGACTAGAGCGGGTCGGAAGACTGAGCGGATCGGAGGATGAGAAATTACACTATCTGTCGACCCAATAAGCCCTTTGCTCTTCGAGCGAACCGAAAAATGGACACATATAAGATCCACCCCGCACCCTCGTAGCGCAGGCTCTTGAAACTGCGATTGAACAGACTGGTCAGCATATATTTGATATCTCTACTCATTAAGGCTTCCTTGAGAAACCTTTTAAGCATCCATCCTCTGTTTCATCTACTTGTCACAAATACTCTCTAGGATTGCCTAGTGCTGCCCCTTGCCTTTGAGGGTTGGGCAAAATGTCAGACAACAAACATTCTCATTTCCAGAGCAGCCCCGACGCTGAAGGTTATTTTGGTCGGTTTGGCGGTAACCACTATCCACTAGAACTCCGCCCTGCGCTGCTGGAGCTGGCCAGCAGTTATGAGGAGCTGCATCAATCGCCGGAATTCCATCGCGCACTGGACAAGGTGCGGGTCGGACTTCAAGGGCGGCCGACTCCAATTCATTACCTCGAAAATATTTCGAAGCAGGTCGGAGGCGCTCAAATTTTCATTAAAAGGGAGGACTTGAATCACACAGGTGCACACAAAATCAACCACTGCGTTGGCTTCGCACTACTCGCCAAACGAATGGGCAAGAAGAAGCTGATTGCCGAGACGGGGGCTGGCCAGCATGGCGTAGCACTCGCAACGGCAGCTGCCTATTTTGGCCTCGAATGCGAAATTCACATGGGAGAAGTTGATATTGGTAAACAGAGCTCTAATGTTGGTAGCATGCAGTTACTTGGCGCGCGCGTGGTGCCAGTAGCGACTGGCCAGTCTGCTCTGAAAGATGCTAGTGATTCTGCATTCAATGCCTACATCGAGCAGCACACACACGCACTTTATGCGATCGGCTCAGCTATCGGCCCGCACCCCTTCCCAATGATTGTTCGAGACTTCCAGGGTGTAGTTGGTCGAGAAGCGCGCGAGCAATTCCTTTCCATCACGAATGGAAGCTTGCCCGAGCATGTGGTGGCCTGCGTTGCTGGTGGCTCCAATGCGATGGGTATATACACGGGTTTTATTGATGATCCGGAAGTTATTTTACACGCAGTGGAGCCACTTGGCAGATCTGATGAGCCAGGCCAACACGCGGCGACACTATCATATGGAAGACCAGGCACATTGCATGGTGCTCGATCGATTGTGCTTCAGCAAGATGACGGTACACCTGCCAGTGTCTCATCTATAGCATCAGGGCTCGCATACCCTGGCGTTGGCCCGGAGATTGCGATGCTCCATGAAACCGGTCGGCTATCAGTCGCAGCAATTTCGGACGAGGAAGTCATCAATACATTCTTCCGGATGGCAAAGTTCGAGGGAATAATCCCTGCGTTGGAAAGCGCACATGCATTAGCATTTGCGATTCGATTAGCGTCGCAGCGCCCTTCATCCGAACGAATACTGGTCAATCTTTCGGGGCGCGGCGACAAGGATGTTGGATACGTGCTTGAGAACTACAGGCTAGGTGGTCAACCAAACCTTTCATGAAAAGCCTTTCATCATGAATTTGTTAAAACTCTATATAACCGTTTCATTTTCCAAATCTACAGGAATCGGTTTCCAGTATAGAATTAGATCACTACTTTTCTTTTCAGTATGAGGCTGGATAAGGCTGCGGCAGATTGTACGCATCGACAATATCTAGATCTTTTATCGTATGTACTTAACGATCTTTCTATTGATCGATCACTCTATGTATAACCCGTACCTTGAAAGATACTCCTATAGCCCGGGAGTCTAAAAGGTGGTGACAGAGGGTTTCTGTCACCAATGGCGTCACGCTTCGTTTCTGGCCTATTCGCGTTTGGGGAGATGGAGATGCTTTCAAACCGCCGCAAGTTTTAGCGAATATAGTACTGCTTAGCTTGCTACAACATTTAGCTTCCACGGCTATCTGAGACCAAATGAGATAGAACATTGAAATAGAGAGCCTTGGAGCCATGTTGTTAGGTTTCCGCATCAACAAATACCAAATACTTTTTGTTGAGCTGGAAAATTGTCAGGGTAGTTAGAAGAAAGACTGGTTGCCGAAGAACTGGAAGGAGGGGCGGAGAGGCCGCTTGTGTAAGGTTCATGTAAAACACATGCTATAAGGTGTCAGAAGTGAGTTCTAAAATAGAGAAGCAGGTTATTATTGGCAATATCCAATCCGAACTCGAGTGCGGCGGGATTGTTTTCCGGGGAAGCAGTCGCAAGCGTTTGGCCGTATAATTGATTTCGAAAACTACTGTATGAAGGGTGATTCTTTCTTGTTACTGAATGAGTCCCAGAAAAACAAGGAATATCCGTAACTTCATTCATAATGTGCCTATTCGCTCTCATACAATGAACCTATGAGCGAAGGGATGAACCTCTCTAGCCCCATGAACGCCATGATTAACCATATGCTCTTTCATAATGCCGCTTCAATCACCTTTCATCCTCACTCTCTGATAACCCGTCCTTTTGTCTTTGCCGGTTTTGCTTCATGGCCCATCCCGTCATTTCGGGCCGAGCGGGATCAATCCGCGGGGCACTCATCCCGTCCAAGTAGTCCTCGCTGTTGATAGTAGACTCCAGTTGAGGTAGTTCTTCAGGCTTCTGGTTCATCATGTAATTTTCATATGTGTACCATGATTCCTCCGTCTGGAATTTGGTTGTATTAGACAGGATTTATTATTGCAAAGGGAAGGAAGTTGGCCACAGGGGGAGCAAACACTTACCTCTGCATCGACCCAGTCAAAAGTCTTCCATTTCTCTTCTTGCATTCGCTTGAGTAGGTCCAGGTTTCCGTGGAGCACGGCGCCTCCGTCTTCCGCACCTTTGATCTTCACGTCGATCGCGCGCGCCTCAATCTCAGCTGGACGTTCTTCATCGTCCTTCTTGCCCTTAGCCCGCCCTTTGGGCATTTCATCCAGCGCATCTAGATGATGAAGCTGGGGGTGCAATTGAACCACTGCGGTAACGGGGGATAGATGCAGATTTTCTGGATCGATTGTTAGCGACCACTGCCCACGAGATATGGTTGCTCTTTTATACAGGAGGCCAAGAGGCACACGTACTTCCTTTAAATGTAGCTAGCATGTAGACTGGGTCGCCTTCCTCTGCAGGCTTAATGCGCCCGCCCAGCGGCTGTGTCCTGACCAGCGCAGATGGGTCCACGACCTTCTTGTTGTCCAGCACCTCAACATCCCCATTGCCCTCCGCCTTGACTCGTCCATTACCGCCTGGCATGTTTCCAGAGCTAAACCCACCAGCCATGCCGTAAGCTCCACCATCACGCGTGATGCGGCCTTTCTTCATGGCCTCGCCGTATCGGAGTCCCTTGCTAACATCGTACGTGCATCGAGTGAAAATGGGGACCTCAAGCTCGACTAGACCCGTGTCCGGCTTCATTCGCATGACGGTTGGTTTTTGTCCCCTTCTTTCGTTATAGGGCTTAGATTGCGGTCGGTCGAGGTATTGGAAGACGTAACGAGAGATTTCGGAGTCCGTGAGGAAAACGTCGTAAGAGGAGATGACCGGATCATCCTGGTCGGAGCCCATGGTGGGCGGATATCAAAACGAGGCGTAAAAGGAGCACAGAAACAGTACGGCGCTCGAGAAGGATCATGCAAAAGTCCGCAATGTCTCTCCAATCGTCATGGGATTTTTTTCTTGCGATCGCATAATCGGCTGTCATAAGCGGGGGGTTGTGGCAGAAATCGAGCTCCCTTCACCGCCTGCCCCAGTCACCGCCTGGTGAAACGCGTGGTAAGAGAGACCGAACCATCACTGACTGCAATAACAATTGGCGCGATACTGAGGGCTGGAGGTTTTGACGCAAAGGATCAATCTACTACAACCCCGAGCTTGATTTGCAGACGGGCCTCATAGCTAACCTGCAGTCATCTTATCGGAAGCAAGCGGATATGCTATTGTTATCTCCCTTTGGTCGATTATTACGAACAACTTCTTTTCGATGGGTCGATTCTTGGACTGAATTGTACAATCATAAGGTCAAGTCTATTCCACTCTCTATTATGTACTACCTTTCTCAGCTTATGGCAAATCATACTCTCAATCAATGCGTAACATCATGCCAGTCATGTAAGTCGAAGCATCACTTGCGCAAGATTAGATCTAGACCTTTGATCTCCTCATGCGGCGTGTCTTGAACGATCGATAATTTCGAATGATCTCCCCTCGGTTCTCTTGTTAACTGAGTGGGTGTAACTAGGTTAACCACTCATCATCAGTATCTTGTCCGCCAAAGATGGCGTCTGCTGCGTCTAAATGATGAGGGAACCAATGTATTCAGACTCCATAAATCAAGTGTCCATGTTGAACTTTTTCTTCACCACCAGCCTCTCCCAACAATCTCCTAGTTTCTCAAGTTAATAATTGAAGGCCGGGAGAAAAGATGTAGACAGCGATAAATCGAGAACTACGCGACACCCTTGATGCTCACTCCAAGAACGCGCCCAGCCTCTACGGTGGCTAGACTCCAGCCCTTCTTCAAGTCATCCAGCGGCCATGTGTGATGGCGGCTAGTCCACCAAACTCATTGCGCAGATTTGACCATACTGACTCTGGGGGAGTCCCTCGCGAAGGCCCTTCCGGCCCACCTTCATCGGCGCGTTGTGCCCCGACATCAAGGTTACGCTAACTCGTGTACTCGGTGCTCTCCGCCCCGGCGGGAGCGTGGCCTTGAGATGACGCTCGTGGGAGCGCAACTATGAAAGTCGTCGTGGGAGTCCGTCCGGCAAGGTGGGTTCACAGGACAAGTTCCCCTCTGCCATTTCTGACCGACATTGAGTGTCAATCCGGATAGCAAATTCCCGGTGCGAATGATATTTCGATTGCTGATCGAACCCGCTAAGGTTATCTGTATCTAGATTTCGATGAGTCGTCTGCATGTACTAAACGTATGTATTTCAGTTGTTATTTCCTCCCCAGGCTCTCAGAATCTTAATTTTCTCCCCTTCCCTTTAAGTACCCTGCTGAAGCCATCGTAAAAACAAACTCACTTTGTTTCTACCATGGCTCCTTTAAATGACCTGACCGATCGCGATGCCCTCGCTGCTCGGTCTATCCCCTCGATGATTCTCAGCGACGGCAGCCCCGCTTCAATGACCCCGCCCCCAACTTCACAAATTGAGGCCGACCCGGCTGTCGGCGCCCAGAAGAGATTCTCCGTTCGAGGCAATGCTGTCATTACTGGAGGTGCCGGAACGCTGGGCCTTCAATCCTGCGATGCTCTGCTCGAACATGGGCTTCAGGGTTTGATGATCTTCGATGTCAACCCTGCGAACAGTGAAAAAGAGATCGCGAGGATGCAGTCGAAGTTTCCCAACGCCAAGATTTGTACTCAAAAGGTTGACGTCACTGCTGAAGATGCAGTCCGTGATGCGATGGAAGAAACAGTTCGCCTACTTGGATCGGTTGACACGCTCCTTTGCTTTGTCGGAGTGGTCGGCTGCGTGGAGACCCTTCAGATGCCCGTTTCACAATGGCGGAAGATCCTCGATATTAATACTACCGGCTCATTTATCTGTGCTCAGGCAGCAGCACGAGAGATGGTCAAGCAAGGAACCGGAGGTTCAATCACCTTTATTGCATCAATATCCGCCCATCGCGTGAATTATCCGCAGCCGCAGGTAGCTTATAATGTCAGCAAAGCTGCTCTTCTGATGCTGAAAAGCTCCCTTGCTGCAGAGTGGGCTCGTTATGGAATCCGAACCAATAGTGTGAGCCCAGGCTACATGGATACAATCCTGAATGAAGGGGATGGGCTAGATGCGCACAGGCGGATTTGGGCCGAGCGAAACCCGAGTGGACGCATGGGAAGTCCTTCTGAGCTGACTGGGGCCATTGTGCTTCTCGCGAGCACTGCAGGCACTTACATGAACGGTTCGGACATTCTTGTCGATGGAGGCGCAACTGTATTTTAAAACATGAGCTGAAACTGTACATACATGAGCAATCATAACTTCTGCCTGCCATGGAATATTCTTCTTGAAGAGTCAACGAATATAATGAAATTGCAGGCAAATACATTCATAGACTATTGACGATTTGTGTACACAAAGCAGGGTTGATGCGGGTATTCACCGTGTCGGAGGCCTGCGGTGCGATGATCGAGATCCTCCACTAAGAATGCTGCCGCCACGCAGAAACGAGCTAATAATCGTTATCTTGTACTTCTGATAGTGCAAATTTTTTTCGGCTGATCCGTTGCAGATGAACTTTCTTGTATCCCGGGTAAATTGGGTTACTATCCGCTTCCCGACCACGAAGAAGCGCTTAATATCTGCGATCTCAAGGCAGTCGAAACGGTTTAGGAAATTGCGAGCCTCTGCCATGAGAGCCCCGAAATGTTTCATAGGAGGTTTAGTTATTATGGAGTCTACTGCTTATTCCAAGCAGCGATTACCCTCAGTCTTCATCATCTTCGACTTCTTCAACCGGCTGAGAGGATGACGGGGTCAAATCAAGAGCTTCGATTCTCGTCGATTTCAAGATGTCGCGATTGCTCAGCTTCATTGAGTCAAATAACCAAAGCTGCAACACGGTGCCTGACAGCGGGGTAAGGGTCAAATTCAGCCACAAACACGGACCCTAGATTATGACCGAAGATTCCCGATTCATTTCTCAAGTCAATTCTTTGCAACACGAATTTGAGATACTGTCAGCCCCGCTCGCTGTCGATCATACTCCGCCAATTTTCTTTGAAGGTGAATCTGGGGGAAATGTCATATTCCAAGGTCTAAGAGACTTTCCAAGCACAGATGAGATCGAAGCGTTTGATTATCTTCCATCAAATACATACTGGCCTACATCTCTTTTCACTAGCTATGTCACTCTCTTTATCCTTGCACAGCCCCTAGTCGACAGTGTAAATTTATATCCAGGCTATCCTTATCTTTTGTTACATTGTCTCAGACGAGGTGAAGAATGAAATAACGGTATCTTGTAAAAGTATTTATCACGCCTTTGATAGATATTATGGTCAAGATAGTCAGGTCAGTATTGGGATTCAAGCTGCACGTGCTTCGGCGAATTTGCTTAGACCTAAGACCAGTAAGGATGGGCGAGAGCAGAGTTTAACATTCAGGGTCGTCATATTTGCAGGCTCATGTACTCAGTTATCATGGCACGAAATGCAGCTTATTTTCATCTGAACCCCACTTGCAGACGCAAAGACCCTCAGTGACGCAGAAACTGTATCGTGCTCTCGAGTGGCCCAATAAAAGTGGTTGGGAATCTTAGGTGCATATCTGTGCATGTGCTTTGACATGCTGTGCGGCAATGGGACGCCTTCGGCCTTCATCATATGTCTTCATTGGCTACTAACTGAGCCTGACCACTGCATCTGCAGCCTTGTGACATATTTCGGTCAGCGGCCTTGAATGATAGGCATCTTATTTCCGAGTTGGAGGGTTGCCAATGCGGAGAGGCTCATAATAGCTAAGTAATTAATTTATTAACTGCTATAAGAAACGCCTGCTTCTGCCTTGCAAATAATATTTTCTATTCTCTGCGTCACCGGGGCTCTCTCTCGATTCAGCCAAGGTCAAGATGGATCTATCCTTGCTGCCAGACTGCACCTCAGGCACAGATTGCATCGCTGTGACCTTTACTTCACTGGGATTCTGTTTCCATCTCTGTATACTCACTAGCGAGATTGACGGCTCTGTCGGCAGCTTGCTCATTGCTTTCTTCGTGATATGGGCTACTCTAGCGACGTCCTTTGGGATGGGCTTGGGCCTTGATTTTGCGGCTGCGATTGCAAAAGCTTCCCTTTCCTGCCTATATTTCCTGACAGGACTAGGGACCAGTACAATACTTTATCGCTTATTTTTCCATCGGTTGAGACGCTTTCCTGGTCCATGGGGTGCAAAAGTTAGCCGCTTTTACACAGCATGGATCATTAGAAGCTCTGGGTTCAAATATCACCTTGAGTTGGAGAAGCTACACCGAAAACATGGGGATTTCGTTCGAACAGGTTCATCAATCCCTTGTGGCCTCTTTGAAATTTATAGCACAACTGATTTTATCAACAGGACCCCGCGAAATTTCCGTTAATCGCTCATCGGCCGTACGCTTAATCCATGGCCCGCAATCCAAGTGTCGAAAGGGGCCGTGGTACAGTAAGGTTTCCAACAATCCCAAAAAAGTCAATTTACTTGCTTTGAGAAATCACGAAATACATCGGGGGCGTCGAAGAGCATGGGACAAAGGCCTAGGAGCAAAAGGTAGTAGAGACCGGCCAAGTAGCCGTCCGAATACTCATCAAGAGGCTGACTGTTCCATTATATGACTTATTGACAATAAAGCACTTTCAAGTTATCAGCCTCAGATACAGAAAAAGGTTGACACCTTGATAAATAAGCTCAGACAGCGGCAGAGCAAAAGTATTGAAGTCACTCAATGGACTCAATATTACACCTTCGACGTTATGGGAGAAATTGCATTTAGAAAAGATTTTAAGCAGTTGGAAGATGGCACTGAACACTATGCAATTACTGCTATGCATGCACAAATGGACCAAGTCGGTATTCTGGGTGCCGTTCCCTGGTTGCTACATTTATTGATCTGCATTCCTGGGCTCGGTGGCCCATATGAGGCATTCAAGAAGTACACCATGGGCCAGATAGAGCAACGAAAGGCAGTATGGCGAATACAAATAATCACTCGAAATACCCAATCTATGCTAACCTCTTGCAGGAATGGCGTCAGGATTCCGAGAAAAGGCCGACTGATGTCGTGTCCTGGCTATTAAAGGCAAAGGATGACGGCGATGCATCAGCACCCCCGGGGGATGATTGTCTGTATGATGAAGGCAGGCTTGCTATTATCGCTGGAAGGTTCGCTTGAGATTTGTTCTAGCCTGTATTATCAATTTGCTAATCAAACCAGTGATACCACCGGTACGACTTTTGCAAACGTGTTATATTATCTTGCTATTCACCCAGAGGTGCATCAAAGGTTGCAAAGGGAAGTTGATGGGGCACAAGGAGTCCACGATTATAACACTCCTTTGCCATATCTCGAAGGAGTTATCAATGAAACCCTTCGCTTGAAACCTGTTGTGCCCAGTGGACAACCAAGGGTGACACCTCCAGAAGGTCTTGCCATAGATGAAACTTGGATTCCAGGCAATACTATTATGGTCGTCCCACAATATCTATTGCAACGCGATGAGCGCAACTTTGCCCGCCCGTTGGAATTCCTCCCAGAACGGTGGCTTGAAGAAGGCAAAGGCTTAGTGTTGGATGATCGAGCCTTTTTCCCTTTTAGCATCGGTAAGTCGCTCGAAAATTTGGAATTTATATGTACTTATTCTTATTCTCAGGTCCCTATGCGTGTGCGGGCAAGCAACTGGCATATTTGCAAATTCGGATGGCCATCTGGCAAATTGCAAGGGAGTTTGATATCTCACTCGCACCGCAGGAGGATGGAAAGAACTTCGAACAAAACAAAATGCCAAAGACACTTTTACCATGGCAGTGCCGCCTCTTTATCTGGTCTTCACCAAGCGAAAGACTCCGGTCCCCACACCATGAATAGCAGGTCAATTTCTGCCACGGGAAGGAAGTCATGTGACCCGAAGCCCTCAAACCAAGTCCATTGTCTCTTTGCCATATTAGTGAATGTGATGGTTGAATGGGTTCGGCTGTTACCTATATTAAGTTTATATGCAGAAAAAAGATTTCGAGAATGAGCTTGCCCCCACTGATTTTCAAGGAAAGTCAACTATAAATGAGAGATCCTCCACCATTTATTTTCTAGGTTATTAATGCAAGACCGTCTGTTTAGTGATTATATAGAAATTGACATACTTTATAGAGTCTGAAAACGCTATGTTGCTCAACTTAGTTAACGCAAGGATAGCCGCTTGACTGTGTTAACAAGGCTAGCTGTATTCTGCGTTCAGCTTCATCGTGGCAGCGTATTACATATGCACAGTGATGGATAGTTATCCTTGTTCCTTTTCGTTCCTTCTGTGAACACACTCGCCCACTGTTTACTTAGAGACATCTCGTTCCTTAGGGGGCTATTAAAGATGCCAACCCTCGTGGATTTCCCGTCATATATTCTAGGCATACTGATGCTTTATCTCGGCTTGAACTGTATCATTAGACCACCCAATGAATATAATCGCTTTGCAATACCGCTCGGTCGCGCAGTTACTCCATTGCCCATCGACGACAAGCCATTAACGGCCCGCACCCCGCCACCCTTTATCTACCTGGAAGGCATTCGGGAAATCACATATGGTCTCGCTCTGATTACCTCCAGTTTTGGGAGCAGGATACTGTTGTCACAATTGTTGCGGGGATCCTTTCTCCTGCCGGGCTAGGCGACGGCTTTGTTGTGTGGATACATGGTGGTCCCAAGCTGTTTTTTCGGACATTGGGCAACCATTGTTGGACATGGTGCCTAGACTTGGTGCCTGGACTTGGTGGCGAATTAATCGAATAAAGGAGTTTGGTCTAGCTTTTGATCTTTGAAGCGGTCCCAAACTAGGTCTACTTGAAAATTTTTCTTGAGGTCGGGTCAATATGGAGGATATTAGATAGCGAGCATTTATGAACCAGTAGGAGAATACGACTCGCACTCTGGAATAAGCACACAGAGAAATAAGGCAAATACTGGTAGATTTGGGTCCAAATACCCGCCTCCTCATGCGCCTTTGAAAGCTATACGTAGCGGAGGAGCGAGCTGCGTATGCACAGCATATACCGGAGGTAGGGAGATGGAATTTTATCAAAAATAAGTAATTAGCTTGGAGAGGTTCGGAGCATACTATGTGAAAGCAGTCTTTGTGGGTTTACATCATAGAATGGGCTGATCCGTGGCCATGCTTCCCATTCAGGACGTGGGAGTACTAGAACGCCGGCCATGCAAGGAACAAATCTTACTCCGTACTCATTGCTTCTTGACGAAATCAAGTCCCCTAGCTAGCCAACATCCGATTTTGAAGCCTACAATAGAGCTGTTCTCATCGCGGTGAAACACAACTGTCCAATCACCCGGAGCCGACGCATCTAGGCCGCGCGGGCAAGTCAGGGCCCACACATCATTCCCGAGGTAACGCATCGGCGTTACGATGCCCTGCCCAAGGTATCCGTCAAAGGATCCATATAACATTCCTGCACTTCCAGTGCAATGAAAGGTGGAGTCAACTTCGGCGCAATAATAATCGCCCGGCAACGCGGGGTCCCTGAGGCTGGTATCCTGTGGGGTGAGGCGCTGAGCCTCAAGCTTCCGGTTCTCTGCCAAGCGGTGAATGCGCAAGATATCACCATCAATCGATGCAATCATTGAGCTTGTTCTGCCATTCTTGGCATCAGTCAGCTTGAGGGGTGCAGCTTCCAGGTGCTCGGCGTATGTAATTAGGACTTCTCCCACTTGTGAGCCCTTGACGACAGTGATTGCCAACTGGGTGGCCTCGTCGAGGAATACACCAATCCATTCTGCTGCGGAATCTACCGGTGCCATTTCGGGATTGGGCCGGCTCAATACGCCTCGCAGAATATCGTTGACCGCTTCTGATGCATCGGCCTCATGATTGAACAAGACCACAACAGAGAGATGCTCCTGTGGTACGTGCCTCCGATGCAGGCGATACCCCCTCAGAGCCCCACCATGCCCGATCGAGTCGATGCCGTTGATGTCAACATGTGCTAAGCCATAGTGGTATCTCGCAGGCGTACCATCGCTGAAGGTGTGTGGCTTGGTGGCTGTGTAGTACCAACTTTGCGGGTCCGAAAACAGCCTGTCCAAGTACTTCTCGTAGGCAATCATATCGTCGAGAGATGCCACCAATCCGGCGTCACCCGACCACTCCATGCGGTTGACTGCAGCACAGAATCCATGGTCCTCGTTTCCTTCATAGCCCACGCAGGGTGGAGGATGGTGCGCAGTATTCGGGCAGAGCAGAGCAGTTGCCATCCCAGCTGGCTTCAGGATTCTTTCCTCAAGAAGCTTTCCCAGAGGCTCTCCCGTGACGTGCTCGATGATTCGTCCAACCAAATAGAAGTTGACGTTCGAATACGAGTATTCCATGCCCGGTTGGAAATGAAGGGACTTCGTCCTATCCAGCATGGGAGGGGAATCTCTCGCAATCAAGAACTCGTCCTCCGGTTTAGCTCCCCACAGAGTGGTCATCGCCCAGTAATCGCGGATACCAGATTGCATATCACACAAGTTCTCGATAGTCAACCCGTTTTCCCGAGTCATTGGGAGCAACTCATGCAGTTTCTCCGTGAATTGCTTCTGCACGTCTCCTCTTGCGGCCATTGCGGGCGTCGGGTTGCGGTAGAGATCCATCAGCAAACCACAAACGAACTGCTTGGTGATCGAGCATATGGGAAATTGCGTGGATGCTTCAACGGGGATGCGCTGAGATTGATCAGCGTATCCCCACACGCGTTGGCCAACAACCTCGCCATCTTTAATGACTGCTGCCGCACCACCGGGTCCTCGGTAGCGAAGAGGAATCGTGTCTAGGACGCGGTGGACAGTCTGCTTGTCGAGAGACATCTTGCCAGCTGGTTGTTGTGGGAGGGAAAGGCCAGCCGTTTATCGGCTATTCTGCTTTTGTCGCCGCCGCGGAAGTGAGGGGCACGAAGGGGCTTATCTCCTCATGTTCCACTCAACTAAAAAGCTTGTTGCTAGCGGCACGACTGCCTAGCAATTGGCCTATGAAGGCCGAGTAACTAGAAATGATGGGGTTTTTAATTTCTTTCTCTTCTCCTATCATTGGTTTTCTCTGTTACTACAGGCCCCCCTGGTTGCAGCAGCCTGTTCTGATTGCGGCGGGGCCTTTAGCTCCGTGTCGGATTGCCGAGGCTCCCGAAGACATCTTCTTTTTTTTTCGATGCCAGCAAATAAGCTCCAGCACATCAGGTATTGTTTACATCTGGCGAAGAATTGATTCGCTTACTCCTTGATGGCGATGCGTCTGCTGAAGCGGCTGGAATTCCCACCACGGAAGTTGAATGGGCAACTATGATACTCTCCGGGGTCTCTGCACTGGCACGGTGGTGTTCACAGCCAACCACTGCAGTCTGCTAGTACAGTTCTCGGTATAGCCTCCTCTCAAGTCGGCTCCGCGTTGGTGAATCTATTCATTGACTAAGGGGCCAATACACATGCTAAGCAGCAGTACCAGCACCACGCTTCATCCATATTTTGGTCTGAAATGCAAATTTCATGGGATGTCACCACACGTCACGTTAGCAGCATGGATTGGAATACAGAGGCCATCCAAGCGCTTCTTGACCACGATGGAAGAAGTATTGCAGAATCACTATCATGTCGAGATAGTAATACGCGTCTCCCGCTTCACTGTTTGGAATTCATGGCTCGAGTACCGTGACGCTGGGCTCTACTTGCGATCCCGATGTCCGACGGTATGATTTTGGCCCCATCACCAGGAAGATCTGAACCGGAATGAAGCACAGCGCCCAATAGAGAAAAGCCACTCCCAATCTACCCCATGTGATACGGCGGTCATCTGCGTAGCTCTGACAAACCTCTCAGTAATTAGAAATTGCTAGGGCGGTATTCCATTGAGGTGAAATGTCTTCTGGCGCACTTCACATCTGCTTCCGAGTTACCTTCAATAACATGAATCTGATCAAAAATATAGGAGAGCGCCTACTGCACTGGTTGTTGGTGAGTTCACACGTTATGGTCAAAACCATTGAGTCCGCTTAGTCACAGGCGCCCGCAAAACCAAATATGGAGTCAACATCCATCAATCCTTGCTTGGATCCTTCCAAATGTTCCAAAGATTCTACATTCCAAAATCACTCTCCTGTGAGCGACAGTACCTATATCTGGCCGCAAAGTGTTCCTATGGCTGGGAAATTGTCTACCCTAACATGAACAATCACTAACCCTTCTGCACTGTATTTGCCTTCTAGAAGACCTCTAAAGGCAAGCCCTCTTTCTTCTCGATGCCCGAACGCTTGAAGCCAATGTGATGATATTGCGTGAGCGAAGTCTGGAAGATGTTCGATGGGACGATATCAGATGTGTGGATCTCGCCAAGATATGCCACCAAATTAGAACTACGACGTGTTCTTGCATTCACCTAGCCAAAGAATTCAATGATGATCAGACGTAACCTGGGATTTCTTCAACGAAGCTTGAAGAGTTATTCTCCGTCGAATCCTCTGGAAGGGGAGAGTGTCCCGAGTAATCGACAAAAACTGCTCCTGGAATAAAGTTTTACCCTACACCGTTGAAGACAAACATCAACATTCGAGCGTCCCCTTTCGACCTCGTTGCATGATAATAATGTTTCATTTGAATGGGGAGAAATACTAGCTCCTTTTCAAACACATACGACCATAGGGTGTGGAGAACAGGGCTTCCCGTCCGCTCAGCCGTACTTAAGCCACACGCCGGCCAGTTAGTAGTATGGTGGGTGACCACATGCGAATCCTGGCTGTTGTATGTTTTTTGCTTTATACTATGAAACTTCAGGCCTCGGATTCAATATTACCTGCCAGATAAGTCCGTCTTAAACATCTCAATATGTTCCTACTATGTCGCCCAAACAGCAGATAGGTCCGGCTTTCATGGATTTTTGTGCTTCACAGTCGTCTAGACAACATGGCTCGAATTAATACTGCTACAGGTAACAAACAAGTGCACAGCCGAGGGTGATTGAGGTCATGGAATGCCTACAGAAAGTCTCATCTGCATGGCTATTAAAATGCCCTCATAGAAAACTTTTCAACTACAGTTATTCAAAGTTCATCTGCCTCATTGAAACCTTTCAAAAATATTTCCTCGCGGTCTATTTGTTCCCAATTATGTCCAGATGGTGGAGCTTCAAAAATCTTTCAGCGGAGGCTGCGACGGACCGCAAAGCTCGGTGAGCTCGAGATAATACAACCCCAGAATGTGCCAAATATTCCGGCTGAGATGGAGAGCGGAACAGAGGCATTCTGAAGATCCCCGTGGTGGCCCCATTGAAATAACCACGCGAAAAAAAAGTAGAGCGACGGAATCAAGGAGACAAAGCTATACAATACCAACATCTGCGTTGAGCGCATCTCAACAACATTTAAGCCCCAGAAAATCTCCCGCGAGGCATCTCGTTCCTCCAGAATGCTATCACGCTTTGGAAGCCTTTGATTGACAACAACGTCGTTGTCGAATGCCTCATCACATGACCCTGCCTTCGAGAATCTTTTGGCAACTCTTCGATAAAAAGTGAGGTGCCAAGCGTGTGCTGCAAACCAATGATTGAACTCTTCTGGACATATAGGAGGGTCGGGTTGAATAGGCTTCGGGAAGTAATGATACGATGACTGCTGTGGGCTAGGGTACTCTGGAGTCAACGGAGCGTATGCAGCTTGAGAAAACCTTTCAAACTATAACAGAGTCAGCTAATAAAATGTGTATGCTTTTTGAACCTTGAAAGGGGGAATCACGTACCTTGAAGAATCCGCAATGGGAATACTTGTAGATACCGAACCAGGTTGGAAAGAACCCTCGATGGCAAAAATACATGGCTCGAACCCAAGAAAAGAAGCCAGGGTCTCTCATAGATTTTACCGATGTTTGAGCCAGATGATAAGAGCTTCCAAATAGCGAGGAGTGTATCATGACAAGGAAGACATGAAGTTCAGGCTTGTCTCTCTTTCCAGACCCAGTTTGAGGCTTCAATCCAGTTTGTGAGCGATTCAGAGCCTGGCCGGCATTGCGGCTGTCTTTGTCCTTAGACACGTCTTGATATGATTGGCCTGGAACACTTGAATTGAGATGCAGAGGATCTGATGACAACTGCGTTGGGCAATTCTCTGGGATATTTGACGGTACCATATATTTCGAAGCGCTAGTAACCCTTTTCGCAAAAGAGAGGGGGACTTCAGCCCAGCGAGACTTCCCACAACTCTAGAAGCCTTCGTGTTTAGCAGGAGGAGGCACGAAATTGAGTTTATGAACTTACGCATTTCCAGTGTAAACGAGCCTCGCCCTTCGACAGGGGGCGTACGTGTGGCTTGAGTGGCCACCAGTCCCATGTCTCTCCCGTGAATTGCCTTTGATATTATTGATCACTGATGCTGTATCATGCAGACTGAGCGAAATCTGATCAGTGGCAATATGTTGCAGCTCGCTGACTATGACCTCAAGCTCTCGTAGCTGCTTGTGCGTGAAGGATCCAGATTGACGCTCTTTAGGAATCCAACGCATCATGATGGAGCGAAATGAGGGGAAAACGAAATCAAAGAACTCCCTTTCGATAACTTGGAATGCGTTTGTCTTGAACAGAAACTCTCCAACCCTCTCCAAGTCATGTACTATCGTCTGTTCCGGAAGGTCTAGTTCATCTGGACTCAATATCATATGTTGTTGTATAGGGGTGCTAACAGACCAAGACGTGGGCTGTCTCATGCTATTATCCCTTTCCACTGTACGCGCTTGAGCGAGGGGGCATCAATATCCTGTCCATCGTGTACTCGCCCTTACCACCCAAACGTAGTCGCGTGACGCTCAACTAATTCCCACCCTATACTCATCCTGGCGACACCGATCCAACTATTGGCCGCAGACAAACCACATGCAGCCAGTCAGTAATCCGAGTTTGATATCACTTGCCTGGATTGTCATGAGGATAGATCTCATAGGAATATAAATCTCAAGTCTATTACTGCCAGAGCAAACGGTTTCTAAACTAGCTTTGCTTTCCCGAATGATCGGAAAGGTGTCCAAGAACTACGTGTGCATTTTGCATAGAATGAAGTCGAAGCCTGCCGATTCATCATAGAAGCAAGCCACTAGGGAAACCTGGAAATGAACGGACTTATCAGTCAATGTGGCGTTGAATATTACCGTGGTTTCTTTGCGTGCAAAAGAATTGGCCATGTTGGCTAACTTTTGGAAGAAAACAGATCTGCTATTGATAGCGAGAGGATCCTCTTACGTTGTCAGGAAAGGTCCTTCGGATCATATTTGGTCTATCTTGCCACAACAGATATATCACAAGACTTGCATGATTTCAACTTATAGAAGCGAGATTATTTTCTACAGGAGCGTCCTTTCCCTGCCTACGTTACCATCAACATTTTTGTTCACGTGGAGAGAACTTCAGGCGCTCGGGCGGACGCAGCATAGGATGTGCAGTTGATTGGTTGACGGGTCTAGATGTACCGAGCTCTGGAGCAATATAGCATAGCTCGTCCACCAATAGGCATGGCGCTCCTACATATGGCTGCGGCTGCTAACTTAGCCGATGTGGGCGTCGAACCTAGGATCCAAGAATGAATGTGTCACAGTGGTTGTAGTAGAGCGGTGGAGTCATATAGCGGTAGCCTAAATGCTCCTAAAGAAGAAAGTTGACTGGAATGCAGAGAGCAGGACGGGGAGGATGCCACTAATAGAAGCAGCAGGCCGTAGGGCACGTGAAGCTCGTCGAGTGGCTTCTGCAAAAGGGCGCGTACATTAACACAACGGCGGATACAACTGCAGCTGCGCTGCAAGCAGCTTCATTGACTATATGTGTAAAAAGTAGTTGGTTATAGGCAGGTTTCACTGTATTTCTTCGCCAAGAGAAAGTTCTGTGCCGTTTCGAACCCACCATGCGACCGGGAGCTCACCACGTGCCTGTTTCCCCGCCTTCTCCAGATTTTCCGCCCTCCAGACCTGCCAGTCTCCTCATCTCGCAAACCCTGCATTCTGTACGCTATTGCGACGAACATTTGGTCGCGCTCCATCCCTAAGCCTTCACTTTTTAAGACGACAGGGAACGCCCTAGGGCTAAGCTTCCTGGCACCTAGATCCCAAAAAGTAGGGTCGGGTCGCCTCCACTGACCGCGGTCTGGGGTATTCCTTCGTCTGACACAGACCCATCCGGAAATGTCGCTCGACTCCTGACAACATTCGATCTCCACCCTCCATTTGATCTCCACCCTCCTGTCCTACTTGATATTTTGTGACTTTCCGACCTAGTGGCGGCGAAAGCCCGGATCTTTTCGATCTGCTTGACCCTATGCCGCTGCTGGTCTAGCCCCGCGGAGAAGCATGTCGGCGACCTCCCTCCAATCGTTCGCCAATTCGTACTCCCCTTTCTCGCCCCGGTCGCAATCCAGTCGAATGGCCCATTCTCAAACCCCCGGTCTAGACACGCTAGCAGAAGGGTCGCAGTATGCGCTTGAGCAACTGCAGCTGGCGCGGCAAGCCGGCGCGTCGGCCAATCCCCCGACCGATTCCGAAGGCAAGCCTCTGGGCGATCCGGAGGCACTGGAGCCACAACTGTACAGCGAACAGAATGGCGCAAATTCCGAAAGGAAGTTCGCCTTACAACCGCGCGACACACTTTCCGATGCTCGGTCGGCCATTCGCAAGAACTCGTCGGCCACTCCAGTACGCCGGAGAATTAGCCGGGCTTGCGATCAATGCAACCAGTTGCGCACCAAATGCGACGGGCAGCACCCCTGCGCGCATTGTACCGGTAGAGATTTTACTACCTTCACAGGTCTTCTAAGTCACTACTAACTCCTTTTAGAGTTCGGGCTCAGCTGTGAGTATGCGCGAGAGCGAAAAAAAGCGCGGAAAGGCCTCGAAAAAGGATCTTGCGGCAGCAGCCGCGGTCGGCATTTCCAACGGTGAGAAAGGTTACCAGGATGGTGAGTCTGTACACGAGAATTCCCCAAATGGCCACTCTTCACACGAAATCAATGCGCCTTACGAACCCGCCTTCGACGCTGCTCGTGCAGTTCCTGAATCCGCACAACCACATTTGCGCAACCATGGCGTTCCAGAGATATCAAGGATCCAGCAGAACCCGCACTCTACCTCAGTCCACCCCCAACAACCGGTAACATCCGGCATAGATGACATGTCCTTGAACTATGGAAACGTACCCGAATCAAACAGAGCGGCCATGTCCGTACCCGACCTACGGTCTCTACAAATGATGCATCAGAACGGAAATACTCGCCAGCCAGGGGCAATGCTCCACTCTCAAGGATTCGGATCGGGGTATCATGATGGCGGGGCATATCCATTGCTAAACTCACACGAGGCAAACGCGACATCAATCAATCAATTCCGGCTCGGGGGCTCAGCAGAAAATCCGTCTGCGTCATTCCTAGGCTTTTCCCCACCAGCACAGTCCCCCAGCTGGCTGCCTCTTCCATCACCATCACCCGCAAACTTCCCGTCTTTCAGCATGGCTCCATTCTCCAGTTCATTAAGATACCCCGTCTTACAGCCGGTCCTCCCTCATATTGCATCCATCATCCCCCAGTCTCTCGCATGTGATCTCCTTGACGTCTACTTTACTAGCTCGTCCTCCTCACATCTGTCGCCATTGTCTCCTTATGTTGTTGGTTTTGTGTTTCGCAAGCAGTCATTTCTTCACCCAACGAAGCCGAGGGTATGCAGCCCTGGCCTTCTAGCTAGCATGCTCTGGGTAGCGGCTCAGACCAGCGAAGCTGCATTCTTGACCTCGCCTCCGTCGGCCCGAGGGCGTGTTTGTCAGAAACTACTTGAGCTCACTGTTGGGTTACTTCGGCCTCTCATCCACGGTCCAGCCACGGGAGAAGCATCGCCTAACTATGCGGCGAATATGGTCATCAATGGAGTGGCTCTCGGAGGCTTTGGTGTCTCAATGGATCAGCTAGGTGCACAGAGCAGTGCAACTGGCGCCGTTGACGATGTCGCTACTTACGTTCACTTGGCGACAGTGGTATCAGCAAGCGAGTATAAAGCGGCTAGTATGCGTTGGTGGACAGCGGCATGGTCGCTCGCGCGCGAGCTCAAGTTGGGCCGTGAACTACCGCCAAATGCCACGAACCGTCAAGATGGCGAGTTGGAAGGTGAGTCCGAATTGGACTTGAATGGCAAGCGGCAGTCAACATCGCTCCTAAATTCCATCGGACATGGCCATGGAAGCTCCGCAATCAATTTAACGGAGGAAGAGCGTGAAGAGCGCCGCCGCATTTGGTGGTTACTTTACGTGATGGATCGTCATCTAGCCCTTTGCTACAACCGTCCCTTGACACTATTGGATAAGGAATGTGAGGGCCTATTGCAGCCGATGAATGACGATCTTTGGCAAGCAGGTGATTTCTCTGCTGCCAGCTACCGGCGTGCGGGCCCGGCCTTCGAGTGTACGAGCCACAGCACATTTGGCTACTTTTTGCCGCTCATGTCTATTCTTGGAGAGATTGTGGACTTGCAGCATGCTCGAAATCACCCTCGCTTTGGCCTTCACTTCCGCAACAGTGGTGAATGGGAAAGCCAGGTTATGGAGATCACTCGGCAGCTGGATGTTTATGCGCAGAGTTTGAAGGAATTCGAGGCTCGGTATACCTCGTCGTTGACACTGGGTCCTGGCGACGCGGACACGGCCATGGAAGGGGCACATGTCAACCATGTCAGTCCATCTGGTCGGTCAAATAGCAGCACAGTCGGATCGCATGTTAGCGAGTCAATCGTCCATACTAGAATGGTTGTCGCATATGGTACCCACATCATGCACGTCCTTCACATTCTGTTGGCTGGCAAATGGGACCCTATCAACCTGTTGGATGACAATGATCTCTGGATCTCATCCGACTCTTTTATCACCGCCATGGGCCATGCCGTCAGCGCTGCCGAGGCGGCATCCGATATTCTTGAGTACGACCCAGACCTGAGTTTCATGCCTTTCTTCTTTGGTATCTACCTTTTGCAAGGTAGCTTCTTGCTGCTCCTCACGGCCGACAAACTCCAGGGTGATGCCAGTGCTAGTGTTGTCAGAGCTTGTGAGACAATTGTGCGGGCCCATGAGGCATGTGTTGTGACATTGAATACAGAGTATCAGGTACATCGTTTTTACATCTGTGCTACCATGGATCTATACTAATATATTCCTCATTAGAGAACATTCCGAAAGGTAATGCGCTCCGCACTCGCTCAGGTACGAGGGCGTGTTCCGGAAGACTATGGCGAGCAGCAACAACGCCGACGCGAAGTCCTTGCCCTCTACCGCTGGAGCGGAGATGGCAGCGGTCTCGCTCTATAAGCCTCTCGATTCTTATCGCTGGTCGACTTCACTTTAATGACTTTACATCCGCCGCTTTTCTTAATTCTCTGTCTCCATCGGTAGGTCACGAATCAGGGATCAAACAAAAACTCCAAGCTGAACTTCTACATGCTTGGTGTTTGTATATTATTTTGTGTATACGGACATACCCCGAGGCGAGGCGCAGGGAGCAAAGGCCTCTTGTCTATTTTTGTTTTGGCACTTAAAAAATACCCTCTATCCATCTATATATTTATTGATCGTTTTCTGGATATCACACCCAAGATATGGATATGATTGAGATCGTGAATTGACCTTGCACTAATCATATTCCAAAGAGAGATGGAGGCGGCCAGAGTAGCAACAACCCAAGAGACTTTTAAGTAGATGAATCATGATTGGAATCTACCGAACGAAACTAAAGAAGGGGCGCCGGCCATCTAACCCTTGCGTTGGCTTAAACGAGGTCTGGTACCAGTCGAGATCAAAAAAAATTTGTATTGAATCGAACGCAAGCATTCATTAAAATAAAGATAAGATAGCGCCTACTATAAACTCGCAATGAGATGTCTTCCCCACATGACCAGCGGCTCCACCTCGGGTAGCAGGCAAGCGCAGGTATGACGTTACCGATGAGAGAAGCGATAACGAGCTCCTCCGTTTCACTCGGACCTGTCTTTTTCAACCCTGAATATTCTATGGCTACGGACTGTAGAAATGGCACCATAAATGCATGATGAACACCTTCGGCCAACCGTCACGCCGCGCCCTCGCCATACCTTGCCGTCATATCTCATTCGCTCCATTCGTCCCCAAGCGCTTCATTGGGATCCCCTCGGCATTCCTCCTGGATGACTACCTCCCTCGGTACAACCTGCTGACCTCGGTCGATGCTTCGAAGAAGCGCTCTCTGGCCTACGCACATCTCCGCGAGTGCAATCTATGTCCACGACAATGCGGGGTAAACAGATATGAGACGACTGGGATGTGTCTGATCGGGGCAACGTCAGCCAAGGTCAACGTGATCGCCCCGCATCGTGGAGAAGAGCCGTGCATACAGGGATTTCACGGCAGTGGATCAGTCTTCTTTTCAGGGTGCAATCTCCGCTGTGTATTCTGCCAGAATCATGTACGTCGCAATAGAGTCTACCCTCAGGATCCAGTCTAACTTGATGCTTCAGGATATTGCTCACCAACGCAATGGGTTCGACCTTACTCCCGAAGAACTCGCTGAGTGGTATATCAAACTGCAACAAATTGGCAACGTTCATAACATCAACCTCGTGACTCCGGAACATGTTGTTCCGCAGGTAGCCCTGTCTATTCTGACCGCAAGAGATATGGGCCTTCGCATTCCCATCATCTACAACACCTCGTCCTTTGACTCGCTCGACTCCCTTAAGCTTCTCGATGGCCTGGTCGATATCTATCTTCCTGATTTTAAAGTATGGCGGAGCAGCACATCAAAGCGGCTCCTCAAGGCAGATAACTACACCGAAACGGCCATGGAAAGTATCAAAGAGATGCATCGACAGGTCGGCGACCTGTCATTTACATCCGACGGCATTGCTAAGAAGGGGGTGCTTCTGCGACACCTGGTTATGCCCGGGAAAGAAGACGAGGGAAGAGAGATTATGCGCTGGCTCGCAGAGAACGTCTCGCGGGATCTCTACGTGCACATCATGGATCAATATCACCCTGATGCACATGTAGGTAAGAAAAGGCGGGTAACGAGGCGAGTCCGCATGGGAGAGTCAGAAAGCGATGCGTCCAAAGAGGAAGTCCGCTATGCCGAAATCAATCGTGCTGTGCGCGATGAAGAGCTTGGCTCTGTGAGGGACGCTGCTGTCAAGGCAGGCCTGTGGCGCTTTTGCGAAGTCAATGAACAGAACAGCGCATTCCATCTATGATTTGGCGGCCATTCAATTTTATTTATTGTACATATTTGCATCCACCTCGACATCTGTGAAAGCGTGGCCGAGGTACAGAGTGCTGAGCTATTCCGTCTTCCCAAGGCTCACCATAGTAACAACAACCAGAACATAGCTCCTCCGCTTGGAAATCCTCCAGCGATCGCTGGCAGATACACTCCCCCTGTTGTTCAGCAATGTCTACTGGGTATTTTTCAGCATGATTTTGAATGGAAGAATTAGAGCCCACGTCAGCAGTAGATCGATGAGTTCTGTAACTCTCTTAGCTGCCGCCCAGTGGGAAGGCCTCCTGCCGAAGATGTTGTGGTGTGCTGGATCTGCACCTGTCTCCAAAGGCAACTTTACCACTAGCAGCTGCCCACGCTGTACAGCTCAATGCAGGCATGAATTTCGAGCATCATTTCGGCCATGGAAACCCCTTTTTTTAAGCGATCGTGAGAGGCATCGCGGTAATGTCTCCTTGAGTAGAGATATATGGGTTAGATACAGCATCCAGTATGAATGATACGATGCTCTAGTGGCCATTTCGGCATGTCAAGGGTGGTTTGCCCGTGGTTGTTTTGTATGGATAGATCAAAAGTGCTTGGCGAGTAACGAGATGACGATTCCGTTGGATCCGCAAGCAGCAGATATATGAAGCATTGTATCTCCTGGTTCATCCTTGATTGGAACCCAGTATGGTCTGTAGCTTCGGTTCATTCCTGGTATCGCCCATACCAGATTGATGAGGTTCCCGGGCCCCAGCAGCCGAGATATCAGGAGTAAGACCTCTGCTAGAAGGACAGCTCGCTGCTTCTCCATTGTTGAAGTTATGACAAGTGCATCACCCTCGGACAGTCTTCTCTATCACGCCTATTCACGCTTGCTCCTGCTCTGACAAAAGGTTGCTCTCCAATTTAGAGAAGAGTGGCGACTTCCCCGGTTTCCGCAGATACGGCGATCTCGGCCTTGATCAATCAGATCCGATTTACACTTGTGCCTTCACCTATTCTTAGAAAGGGGGAAACGCTCCTTTTCTTCCAGTTCAGCGGCTCAGTATAATCTATGAGCTAGAATCACGAGCGAAAATACCCTGTTTTGCAGTAGCGTACTAAGTCGTTCACACGAGCTGTCTACGATTGGAATGGATTGCCAAGCCCCACCTGAGCTCTCCCGATCGTCCGCGCGAATCAGCACTAGGCCCCAAGGTGGTGTTGACCACACCACCACAGGGTTGTCCTTTCCCTTTGCAACTCCCTCCGACCGTCACGATGAAGCCCATTATCGGCATCCTTGCGGTCGCTGGCCTTGTCTACCGAGCTTGGGCTCGGAAGTCGCTCACCCCACTGGGCCTCGTCGTCGCTGGGGCGTCAGCGACCGCGCATGTCCTCCACCCGTGGTCAACACCTTTTGCACTCCTCGCGGTTTTCTACTATGGTGGAACTAAAGTCACAAGGGTATGCCCAAGTATTCATGGTAGTGTGTGTTTGCTTCATCACTGGGACGAGCTGACGCGACCTTTTCTCCACGCTAGGTCAAACACGACATCAAAGCACAGAAGACCCTCTCCGCGACAGGCGCGGAGGGGGGCGAGGGGCCTCGCAACCACATCCAAGTCCTCGCAAACTCAGTTGTCGCGACTGTCCTGAGTGTCGCGCATGCTGTCGTTCTATCCAAGAACTCCACCACAGATTCCTGCTTCTCTCTTGGCCAGAGCCCCGCCGACATTCTTATGGTCGGGATCGTTGCGTATGCCTCACCTCCGCATTAGTTCTACCTCTAGATCGTCTGCTTTCTCGGCTCGCTAACTCTGGTTTCCTGCTGGCATCTAGCAACTACGCTGCCGTCGCCGCCGATACTTTCTCCTCCGAACTCGGAATCCTGTCTAAATCGAAACCACGTCTTATTACATCCCTCACCCTCCGCGAAGTCCCCTCGGGTACAAATGGTGGTGTCACCGCTGCTGGTCTTGGTGCTGGCCTACTAGGGTCATTCACGATCGCCTTGACATCCGCACTCGTTCTTCCGTTCTGCCAAAGCAAGTCTGGCATCCAAGATCGCGCCCTGTGGACTGTCGCCATGACATTCTGGGGTCTTCTTGGAAGTGTTCTGGACAGTGTGTTGGGCGGTTTGTTGCAGGCTAGCGTGGTGGATAAACGGAGCGGCAAGGTTGTGGAAGGTAGTGGTGGCCGAAAGGTATGCTTAGCACAAGAGCTCATCCAGGGCACTGGCTCATATTCCATTTTAGGTCCTCATCCATCCTGGTTCCACGAAGCCAGGAAGCACATCTGGAAACGCGTCCTCGGCTGAATCCTCGGGCAGAACTGACCTCCGCAGCACCGAGGCCGTCGCCAATGCGGCCACTTTGCGAGGGAGCCGTGCCACAGGCACCTCTGCAGGGACACATACCGGCCGTCCTCACGACGAGAGCCATGAGAGCCGGCGCGTTGAAACCGGTCATGACTGGCTGGACAACAATGGCGTGAATCTACTTATGGCCTTTCTCATGAGCGTGGGGGCGATGGGTATCTCACAGTGGGCTTGGGGAGTCGATTTGCGGGAGCTGTGGGCTTAGAGAATACAGCACAGTTCTAGAAGACCTAGAACTATACTCGCTGGAAATGATTTCGGGAATTTCAAGGTCGCTTTCTGTATGTACCCTTTAACCTAGGCACACCATATGTGTTTACTGATCCAACGTCACAAAGCGTAGAATAGCTGAAAGACTGGGCTTATCAGCTAGGGCCGAGGTAGAAAGAAAGCAGGATATCTCTGTGCCACAGTCCACAAGAGGTCCTCTCAATTTGGGATCTATCAAAATCAATAATTACCTGCGCCGGCGGGTCCTCTATGACTTTTGGCACATATCACGCTAGCCCTGCTGCTTGGGACATGACGAGTTCTAGCCTGTATGGCTTGCGCTACGAGATGCGTCCCTAAAGGTTCGGGTCATGAGCTAGTACAAACTAAGTGGTTATGGTCTTTATGAGAGGAGGATATCAATCGTCCAAAAGCTACTCCGTACTTTCTTCGACATGTGAATTGCATGAATGGGGTGGTCGTCATTTGACAGCCCTCTCAACATGTCTAATGGCAAGTCGGTCGTTATTCTTGCAGTGTACTGGACGGAGACGTGTATAGGACGACATTCTTTATACTCCGCTTCCTCAGTAACTGGAAGGTGACGGGTCGTTTCCGATGGGATCTTGTCAGACATTGCTGCAACTTTCCGTCCGCGTCGGTATGGTTCGCCATATAGACCACTTGCCAACCAAGCAGCAAGTCATAGCCCTGAAGTTGGCCTGGGTGTTTCAGCTGTTGGCGATTGCAGCCAGCATGCTAGGGAAGTTTGCGATAATGGCATTTCTGATCCAAATTCATGGCCGTCACGAGAAGAAACCATGGGTTTTAATCGCGCTTGGGTTCTAATCGGGGCTGCGAGTATCACAGTGATGGACACCACAATGCAAACCCATGCAAACCAATGCAAAAATTATGGGATTATGATATCGAGTCAATCTTCGCGGGTGGCTAATGTCGGCCGTGTGCTCTGCGCTGAAAACATACGAGCTTAAAGTCTTGATCGAATCCGATGATAGGATTTGTACGTTTTTCCTTTCGAATAATCGATTCCATTCCGCTGCTAATACCCTTCCTTGGTCGCTTATAGTTGCGCTAGCCCCCCTTATCGTTTGGACGTCCGCTGAATATTGGATTATTACTATCGTAGGATACGTCCCACCCATCCGACCGTTGATCGAAAAGGTGCTGCAGACATTCGGCTTTATATCGAAGAAAATATCCACTCCGTACCGGTCTCCGGGCCCTAGCAACTATGCGGCATGCGGCAGCAACTGATCTCACCAACTGGGCACCCTCGAGCTACCAGTCCAATACTTACGGGATGCAGAAGGCTTGGCGCTGCAGCGACGAGATCTGGATGGAGCTGGCGATGCGGGGCCTCAAAATGACTCGGGGAAGAATATCGTGGGTGGAGGGAAAGATGTGGTTGTGAGAAATGACATCGTCATTCACTTTGAAGATGCTTCACCTTAAATGCGGAATTTTCGATTGGGGCCCGTGTCTTCCAAAGTGCTTCAACGCGAGGGAAGGATTACTTCTGATGAGAATTGCTTGGGCATGATGAATGATGATTGGGTTTGTGCACGTGGTCTCTATGCAATTAAAAAGCTTGGAGTGCTTGGTCAAGAAGCAATTAGAGTCGCTCTATCAATCGCCCGGGGGTCTGGCCGAGGGGGTGGGCCAGGGGGGAGGGGGGAGGGGCTTGTGGGGAACGTCATTTGCCGATGGGTGGTCGAGAGTGAACTCTATCAAGAAAGCAAAGAAACTGAATCATGCCATTATTATGATTGTCCATGAGAAGCAGCACGTGTGCAATCGGTGGCCGAGCAGACTGCCAAGACAAATCCCGCGTGGCAATTCTCGGTCTTAGACCCCTTTCTGACTAGAGACGCGCTTTCCGCGAGCTCGTGGAACGACGTGGTGGGCGGTTGGAGGCGTTTGACATCTGGTTTTCTTTCGGTGGCAATTAACTTGGGATTTCATTTAGGCCCAATCAGAACTTCTATCTTGGTCACGCATTCTTTGTAATGCTCTCTTACCCAGCGCTTCGGTGTTCACCGAGGGTCAAAGCTAGTGAAAATTAGCTGCCCAAGCATATCAGGGCAACATCACGCCCTAGTTCAGCGATCCAAATTCAGTTCGGTTTTCTACGTGTGCAAGAGTATTGGCTGCCCATAATAATTTCCAGCTCCCGAGATTTGCGCAGGGGAACAGGATACGTCCCGATAGGCTGGTGGGAAAAGAATGTCTGGGAACTAGAGCATACAAGGAATTGAAGAGTCACCGAACGAGCTACAGTATAGTTAATACGGTGCCGACAATATTCATGACTGGACTGAGAGTTGAAGTGGGCGCATGCTAGAAGGAAAGTGGCCTAGCGAGCAGCAGGAGTCGGTCGGGACAGGCGAGCGTGACGCGCCTACCAGTCACCAAAGGGGAGTGTCTCACCGGTCCCTGCGCAACATGGTATCCCGCAGAGTTCGTGTCGGACCTCGATCGATTCCGAGGCAGAAACTCGTGTTGCACTTGTGCTGTTTGGAGGAGCCATGGTCCGAGCGAGGCACATCTGGGACTGCGTCGCCCCTGGTTGCTGCTTTCCGTCGCGACAGGACAGCACGGGCAGCCAGTCAGCGCGGGTGCCAAGACCGGAGGATAACACTCTGGGTGTTCTAGCCTTCTAGAACACCTGCAGGTTGAAAGTGTTGTGTTGCAGTGGTGAAGAGGTCGAAGGAGTGTCGAGGGGGTGAAGAGCTGAGAGCCTCTCCCGCACGCACGTGGGGTGGCGGCAGGCTCTTATAGGAAGCGGTGGCCCTTGCGGGGGCCCCGCCAAGAACGCTGGCGCACCCCAGCTAGGCAGACTCGCGGTATCAAGTCTATATAAGTCCACCTCCGCCCAGCTTTGCCAAGGGCCGCCAAGGTCGCCAATTTTGCTTCTGTTTAGCTTCAGCCCGCGTGAAATGAGATTCCCCTCTCCTGACTGGTTTCGACTGCGTGATTATACTCCGGTACCGACCACTGATTCGCAGCCACCGCGATCTGACTTCCAACTAGACACCTGCCAAGCGCCGAGCGAACGATGGCTGTGATGCCAATATCGCGAGTCACTCCCGCACGTGTTGCCAGTTTTAATTGGGCATGGCCATCGGGCTGGGCTCAATTCGCGTGTTTCCACGACGGGCGTATCTCGCGAGAAGCTTGCCGTACGCGAGCCATGCGCTGGGAAATGGGGGCCACCAAGCAAGATCTTGCGTTTTGTACATATAAAGCCCAATCTATCTCGCTGCTATTCCAAAAGTTGAACCGTCCGTCGTTGATCCCTGACCTGGCCCTTGCTCGTCGTCAAGATGTATCTCCATCAGTATGACTATATCTTCGGTATCGGCACCGTGTTTGCCATGCTCGATGCCTACAACAACGGTGCAAGTGAGTATACACCTCTTTCGAATGAGAGCCTTTCCCTCACACACACTCTCTCTCTCCGCCTCTCTCTGCCTCTCTCTCTCTCTTTCTTCCCCCTTTTCCGTGCTAAACAAGATCTCCGACAGATGATGTGGCCAACTCCTGGGCAACCAGTGTGTCCTCCCGGTCCATCTCCTACCGACAGGCCATGGTGCTCGGTACCATCTTCGAGTTCCTAGGCGCGGTCACCGTCGGTTCCCGGACGGCTGAAACGATCAAGAACGGTATCATTCCCGCTAAGGCGTTCCAGGGCAATGCTGGAGTGCAGATGATGGCTTTCACCTGTGCCCTGGCTGCTGCCTCATCCTGGGTCATGTGGTGCACTCGTCACTCGGCTCACGTCTCTTCGACCTACTCCCTCATCTCGGCCGTTGCTGGTGTTGGTGTTGCTACTGTTGGTGCTTCGGAAGTGCAATGGGGCTGGAACAATGGCAAGGGTCTTGGTGCCATCTTCGCCGGTCTGGGCATGGCCCCGATCATCTCGGCTGGTTTCGCAGCCACCATCTTCATGCTGATCAAGGTCATCGTTCACATGCGTCGCAACCCTGTTCCCTGGGCTGTCTACAGCTCTCCCTTCTGGTTCCTGGTTGCGGCCACCATCTGTACCCTGTCCATCGTCTACAAGGGCTCCCCTAACTTGGGCCTGACCAAGAAGCCCAGCTGGTGGATTGCTGCTGTGACCTTGGGCACCGGTGGTGGTGTCTGTCTCATGGCGGCAATCTTCTTCGTTCCGTTCGTGCACGCCCGTGTCATCAAGAAGGACCACTCTGTCAAGTGGTGGATGATCATCTACGGTCCCCTGCTCTTCAACCGCCCGATTCCCACCGATGCCGAGACCGCCAAGGTGCCCAACTATGCTGTTGTCCAGGACGAGTATGAGGATGAGGCCTCCGCCCACACCGGATCCATCGATGAAGAGAAGGACCCGAAGACCACCACCATCCCTGCTGAGGACAATGAGCAGAGACTGGTCAAGTCCGAGGCCAACCAGCTCACCTACAAGGAGATCATGGCTCAATCTGAGGCCCGCCACCGCGCGAAGCTCCTGAAGAGCCGTGGTCCTCTGGGCTGGGGCATGCGCTATCTCCGCGACAACCCCATGGGTGCTGGTGAGATCTATGAGATTCGCAACATGTGGATCCTGCTCAAGCGTATTCCCCCTACCATTGTCGTCGGTCTGCTCTATGGTGCCCACTATGACATCCACACCGCCCAGAGCGGTATTGCTGGTACTCCCGAGGGTGAGCGCATGAAGCGAGTCTATGATGCCGCTGAGAAGTACCCCAACGAGGTCGAGCACACCTACTCTTTCGTCCAGGTCATTACTGCCTGCACTGCTTCTTTCGCGCACGGTGCCAACGACATTGGTAACTCCGTTGGTCCCTGGGCTGCCATCTACGCCGCCTGGTCCACCGGTGATACCGCTGCCTCCAAAACTCCCGTCCCCGTCTGGCAGCTTGCCGTTCTGGCCCTGTGCATTTCCTGTGGTCTGGTCACCTACGGTTACAACATCATGAAGGGTAAGCCGCACCTCTATCTAAACGTATCTGGCTTTCACTAACGCTTTCATCTCCACAGTCATGGGTAACAAGATTACCTACCACTCTCCCAGCCGTGGTTCCTCCATGGAAATGGGCGCTGCCATCACTGTCCTTGTCTTCTCGCAGTACTCCCTGCCCGTCTCCACCTCGATGTGTATCACCGGTGCCACTGTCGGCGTCGGTCTCTGCAACGGTACCCTGAAGGCCGTCAACTTCCAGCGTGTCGGCCTCCTGCTGCTCGCCTGGATCATGACCATTCCCATTGCCGGCACCCTTGGTGGATGTTTGATGGGTCTCTTCATCAATGCCCCTCATTTCCTCTCCTAATCACACTGCCTAATTAGGGCAGTGGCCGCAAGGCCTGATTCTGTGTAGTTATAATATTTCCTTATAGAGTATGACTATCACTTGCATTTAATAGCATCCAACTGTGAACATCAAAATCTTTCCTGACACTTGAAACGTTTTCCCATGAAATTGTTCTTCTTCGCCCAGTAGTGTACCCGTATTCGCAGCATAGACCGTCAAGTAGTGGGAGATAGCTATGCGGGTTGTAGGGCACTAGACCTCTCTTCAGGATGACTATATGGGATCTGCCGCATATTTCAGTGCTTTTGCCAAAGGCGCGAGATGATAAACCTATGCTTGCGATCATTATTGGAGGGAGATGCAGGTATCTGAACAAGGCGTCATAACCCCTTTTTAATCAGGTGACTATTCATGACTCTTCCAGGAGTACAAGGAACCGTCCTTCTCTTTGAATGTAGTACTATCCACTTTGGAGGTAATTGGCTGCGATTTAAGTGACTGCATTGCATATTGCGTCATTGAGCATGGTTCGCCAATTCCAACAGATTGGGAAGGGGCTGTGATGATAGAACTACAAGAATCGCTAGGGCATTGGTCCTGGTGGTGGGTAGAGGGATGACTATAAGGCCATTGGTCCTGTTGCCCCAAGTGTGTCATGGAACCTGCTGTCGCTTTGTCGACTGTTGCACACTTGACGCTCTTTGCATATATACCTACGGGTCCTTGCCAGTACGCCCAGCCTTTATTATCACGCATGTTGTAATGGGATCGGTCGAACGTTATTATTCCAGCGCCGTCACAGGATTTTTTCTTATTGTATTGTGTTAAAATGAAACAGCAATATCTCAAAACAGTTTAAGGAAACGTACCGGTATATGGTGCAGACATGCACTTGATTGTCAGTTGATGGACAGGGAATAGAGATAGAGCCAACGTTGCCCCACCTAAATTTCAGTCAGTTATGCAACGGGCATGACGAAGAGAGTGAAAAGGTGCAAATATCTTACAGGGGGAAATCAAGATCACGACATTTGCTGTCCAAGGGCACGGAAAGCTTGTCACCATCGTATTTATCGCCCGAGTACAGTATTGCATTCAACTAAACCAGTAAGTTATTCAAGTTCATTTCCTATCCAAGGGGGAATTGAGATTGATACCTGCGGAGGACTAGCAACTAGATGGAGATTAGCATCGAGAGAAGATTTAGAAGATGCCTGATTGCGAAGAGTCAGGACATACCTTGGTCAGCTGCAAGTGAAAATAAAAAAGAAAAAATAAGAGCATTTCTCCAACCATTATGATCAGATCAGATTTGAGTATTGTGATAATGATGCTTGCTTGGTATGATCGGAATCTGTCTAAGATGTGGTTCGAGGCAAAGCTGGCTCTTTATATATCTCACGGTCCTTTAGAACGAAATAAGGAAAATGGAAAGGTAGGCAAAAGGGGAAGGAATCTTCCAAATTGAGGTGGCACAACTTAAGATGCATACCCACTAGGATCCTAGGAAGCGGTAACACGATCACATTAATTATCAATAGTTTTGATGATCATAGGGTATTAATCATATGGCTGGCTGAATGCCAAGTAACGAGAAGCAACCAAGTTACACTTTCGTTAAGACTATTTCTTGAGGATCCTTCAAGAGCCCTCCACGAGATACACAATTTAATACACAGTCTTCCTTCGGATCCTCCGTACTCAATCTGCTGTGAAAACAAGATACGAGGGCAATGCAGAGACCATATCTCGTGCAACATGTGAGAGCGGCATGCATTTGATGCGACAAGGCAGGAATACGAGGCTGTGGGATCGCCCACGCTATGACGCCGGTCGCAGAGGGGCATCCAGATCATAGCATCTTTCTGTGATAATAAAAAGGAATGTTGTCACTACTGGACTCATGATGTACCTGACTTTGCTAGTTCCGGATAGGGATGGGAAAATCATTTGGAATACTACTGTATGCCCTGTGGCGCCGTCTACTTGTCAAAGAGTCTCAGTGCACGGTCATAGTCGCTCTCGTGCGCGACAGGACTACCCCTCTGATTTCGGAGTAATTAAAGTCGCTCAGATTTACCACGTTACAGGTATAAGTCAACAATGGGTCCTCCTTCGCCATTATTGTCGTAGATAAAACTGAAAGGGAAACGTCAGAGGGGTGGTGTTGAAGTGGAAGAAGAAGAATAGGATAATGCTGAGGAGGACTGGCGGCTACTGCCTGCAAGGCAGGGACATGGAGTCTGCGCCCGGACCGCGAAACTTTTCCCTTGACCAAGTGTACATGCAAATTAACCTTTTGGATCTGCGCTTCACCATTTTGGGTAAATAAAATTAAGGTAGATAACCTGCCGCCCAAACTGGCCTAAAGATTGACGGCGTAAAGCGCGAAGCCGCCCAGCACCGAACGATGGGCGCTGAATGAGCATCGCCATAGTATAGCTGTTGTTTTTCCTTTCTCTACTTCGAAAACTTGGGCTACAATGTCAAGGTTACTCTACCTATAGGAAACCTTTTTACCCCGACCGGTCGTTATACACTGCAGAAGTTCCACTTCATACCCCTAGAGAGCATCGTGTCCATTTGATTCGAGTAGTACTAGCGCTGCCTGTCTAAATTGTGGCGTCGCTGATCGTCTATTCACTCCGCTTTCACGGGAGCCTATGAATGCAAGACGTGGAACAACTTATAAGACTAGCGGTGAAGATGCGTAGTAGGCGAGTCTTTTTTCTTTTGCTTTTATTCTGTTCGTGCCCCCGCCCCACAAAAAACCTTTACTTATATCAAATACACTCCTGCCTATTTCTTTCTTGTTATGATTACGCATAATCATGGCTAGTACAAACGGAACCCATCTTGAAGAGGGCGGGAGCTCACCGCATCGTATACTTCTAGTCAGCGTCCCTCGCACTGCCTCCAACCTCCTCCTGAAAGTGATGAACATCCATAACCAGCCCAAAGTTTTCACCAACGAGAGGGCTGGATACAGTTTTGACGATGCATTTGTCAGTGTCACGAATGGCGAGCGCCTGGTGAGGCCTATCTGTCAATGGATGGAACCCGAAAAGCGAGAAGTGCAATCTGCACTTCAGACTTGCCTTGATAAACTGGAAGAGGGCTCCGCGCTGGCGCGCAAAGCGGGCAAAATCTACTTCAACAAGGAGCATGGCTATGAATTCGCAAACCCTGCTTCTGTTGATAAGATACTTCATGGCAACCCGAACGTCAAGTACTTAGATACCTTTCGGCTACGAGCACCCCTGGCCTATGGTACTACTCAGACATTTGGTCCGCTTAACGAGACGGTTCTACCAGATGAGTACCTACGTACATGGAGGATATCATTCATTATTCGACATCCAGCGCTAGCATGGCCGTCGGGTTACCGTTCGATATCGAAGATGGCCGCAGCCGGGACTGGTTATCTGGCTAGCAAAGAGTTGCAGTTGATCACCAAAACTTTCCACTGGACGCGCATATTATATGACTGGTGCCTGGAGCAGCCGGGTGTATCAAAAGCTCCCCCAGTGCTAGATGCCCACGATCTGATCCATAGCCCACAAGTCGTGCGACTATTCTGCGAGCAGATAGGCCTAGATACAAGTGTCCTTCAATATGAATGGGGCCAGAAAGATCCAGAATCAAAGTCTGAATCTCAGACATCTGTTGGCCTAGATTCTGAGGATGATCGAGAAGTTAAGCGCTTTGCGATTGCCTTGTCGACTCTGAAGGCCTCGAACGGAATTCTCAAGAGCAAAGCACCCGAAAGTATCAATGTCGCTACCGAGGTAGAGAAGTGGAAGACCGAGTTTGGGTTTGAAGTTGCTGCGATGATTGAAAAGTCCGTTTGGGAATCTATGTCGGATTATGAGTACTTAAAGGCACGTCGCGTAACGGTCTGATCCTAAAGATATTCGCTCTCGGCAGCCACCTCCACTTCGCTGACTCGGAAGTGGTGATGTCAGCGGGCATACTTGGTTGAATTATCATAATACGAAAGATTTCGGGGGTGAGTGGCGCATAAAAAGCTAAACGGGCACCTAACGTAGCCGGGTGGAAAAGACGCGGAGCTGTCCATTTCATTATTAGGTTTCTTGAGAATTCATCAAGAGAGTTTCAAACCTCTACGACCGGAAGGTAGGGGGTACTAGGAGGTGGGCACTGGTGCCCGGTGTACACGCTTCCTAGATAAACCGTGCTGCGGCACCCAGTAAACAACCTAGGCATTCATAAGCTGGATTTGTGTTCAATGTCTACGACTCGAAATTTTCTGACTGACATTCTTCGGACCAGCGCCATATCTCTCCGGGCACTGGGCCTTCATAACCTTCAAGCTATTGATGGAGGTTGCAGGCCAATTCACAGTCTATTGGTGAATTTATCGATGTGTTCTTCTAGGGAAATGGCAAATCCGTGTACCAGTGTTGTCAGTGCCCATAGGAAAGGGGGGTGGCTTGGGAGATTGAATACGATAGCCTTCTGCCCTCTCTCTCTTGGCAGTTCCTGTTCCTGTACTAATTTTGTTCGGCACTACCACTCCTTGCTCTGATAATTTCAAGTTCTGCAAAATTACCAGGACAGACAAATGTATTCGATCAATAAGGTTTTAGCAAACTCAAGCGTTACCCATTTTGGACCAGATAAACTAATCACTACCATCTTACAAATCTTGTTGGTCTTTATGCAATGGCAGCAGGATGTTTAACTGGAAGGTCTACTGGAAGATATTGCGAAGTGGAAAAGATACCGGACGGAATTAAGTGCATTTACTCAGTAAAGCCTATCTTTCAATACCCCGGAAGGCGGTTTAACCACGTAATTGGTTGAAAATGATCATTTGCCCCCTCGCGACACTGCTTTTAAAAGTTTTGGGGTGGCCCACGCAAGCGGGTGGCCCCACCTTAGCGGGAAGCACGTTATATATTCTGAAGCTGATTCATAATGTCCGTGAAAGTCATCGTTTCCTGTTTTTGAAAAGCAAACCTAATCGTGTTCCGGTGATCTAGTCCTTTACGTAAAGTCATGTGGATTCAAATTTTTGGTACTCTGTGTAGAGACCCGGGAATAATCGATGATCGGGCGGGTCGATTTGAGGTGACGACGGAGCGAAAGCCGGATAGTAATTTGAGATAAGAGTTGATTATAGCGTGACAGTCATTTTGACCCGTCTCCATAACCTAGGCCAGAGGAAGGACTTGAACGACACGCGACAAAAAGAACAAGTTGTAAGATTTGCTCCCCTTTCCAGACTGAACGGCAAGGAGTAGTTAACGTACGAGCGCTGAACACGCAAAAATATATGACCAGACTGGGGTTCGATCCCAGGACCTTGTCGGTGTTAACGACACGTGATAACCAACTACACCATCCGGCCACTTTGATGTAAGATTATCAATTTTATTGAATCATAAGCCTTTTTGCTACAGGGTTCAATATTTTTGCTCCCGGGCAGTTGTTAGATCAACCTACAATCCCCACAGTAAATTTTCCAATCCATGGAAGACGCCATGTTAAATAGATGAACAGAAAGGCGGCTGGATTCAATAAAAGTCGTGCCCTTTTCACTGTGTGTGAAAAATAATAATAATAATAACAATAATAATACCTCTCCCGACCAACACATGAATATATATCTTTGAAACCGCGTCTTACCTACCTAGTCTAGGTAGCTGTATGCTCGTTCTGCTAGGACGGGTCTTTCGCCGCCCTTGTTTCTTCCAAGGCGAAAACACCCTCCCGACCCCAGCCTTGAAAAAGTTGGGAAGCTTACATATGTTTTCAGAAAACTCGTACGAACTTTGGGTCGCGCTCGCTGATGATAGCTTGGAATGCCCCAGTTAGCGCACCACCACCTGCAGTTCTAGAACCACCTCCGCCCACTGCGCGACAGTCCATTTCGTACGTCCAGGAAAAATGCCCATGAGCTTGGTGAACTTGTCTGTCATGGTGACAACCGCGTCGAAACCCTCCTTAGACACTGGTAGGCTGGTGACGAAATCTACTGTGATTGTATGGAAAGGGTTGGTGGCGACAGCACAGGTTGCAGGGAACCATGGGGGGTGTCGGCGGCGTACGCAATTTTCCAGACAGGTAGGACAGTGGTAGATGTACTGTTCCAGAAGCTTGGCGCCTTGTAAAAGGTAATACCCTGGAGCTTCTGCCACGCTCTGTGGGCCGATTCAATTTGAGCTCTTCGACAGCTCGCTTGAGATTCATCGAGGTATTTTTGGTTCACTTTCGTTCTCGCTCGTAATCCCTGGTTCGGAGTCATCGTCGTAGCAAGGCATTTTGGATGGCCAAGTGTCGTCTACACAGACAGAGGCAGTCATTTCAAAAGTGATATTTTCACTGATCGAACCAAGGATGTCGATCTGATCGCTATGGGATGAGAACATGAAGGGGAAAGAATTGGCAGACGCCCCCATTGGTCTTAGGGACCCACTTCACCACTCCTTCATGACATGCATTAAGCTGCCCCTTGGCAAGACAGACGAAAACTATGTAAAATACAAAAACCAGTCCTCAGTAGGGCCCGAGCCCATTCCGCAGGAATTTTGACCGAATGTAGGTCAATCATCTCAAATGAACGCATCAAAGAATCAAAATAAAAATCAGTGACTGCGAGAAAGAGTGGAGAGGGTATCAATTTGCATGTCAACTGTGACCACATGATATGGGAATTGCTTCATCCTTCAGCCAGAGCATTGGCGTCGTTGCCGTCTGAGGAATCATCGACCTCGGGATCATCATCGGGCCAAATTTTGTCAGGGTGGCCTTGTTCATGGCGTAGTTTGTTGATTTCAGCTCTCATTTGATCCCGCTGATTGCGGAGTTCTGTGGCTGCCAATTGTGTCTTGGTGTTCTTCTTTTCATATTCGAGTCGGAATTTAGCTGCGGCATGGCTCCGTAAGGCTTCACTGCCCGGGTATGCAATTGCACACCAATTTCTGCTGATATGGCACGCCAAATCCACGAAAACTCATCTTGTGGGGAGGGATCATTAGCCAAGTCCGACAAGCCAGACTTTGGTTTCACCATAGTGAATAGCTCTTTGGAGTACCAAGTGAACTGGAGGGATATCAGTAATAAGAGATAAGTGAGTTGAAAACACGTCACTTGGAGTGGAGGTGATACAGGTGTAAAAATAGTGGGAGGTATAGCGCTAAGGTCAGCAGCAAGGCAGCAGTGAGGGGGAGGTACTTCACTTGAGCGTGGGAAATTGATTGTAGTGATATTGTGTGGGCGAATGCGGAGTGTTGTCGGGGGCAAGAGGCATTACCCAGATCTTCACTACGTCCACTAACCTAGACTACCTGCCACTGAGTCGAGATGGAAGAAATCAAGTGTGTAAGTATACTATTATACTGGGTTGACTGTGGTGAATCCGAATCCCCTCGCGGGTTACGCACATGGTATATAGACACAGGTCGTGTTGTGTACATCTACTAATCATGTAGGGACCAATCCCAGACAACAACCCAGGATGGAAGCCAACGATTTACACCACAGCCATCGCAGCCGGAGCCCACAAATATGACATCAAAGCAGCAGACATTCTGGCGAACCCCCCAAACCAGGCTGTGGTCCTCAATAAGGGAAACACTGGAGTGTATGTTGACATTTGATGTGGTTAACATATGCTGGTGGATGCTAATATGACATGTAACAGCTACGACGTCCCAGTAAACCCTCCACGCTAGATATGCGACATGGTCCTGCCAGATGGGCCTTCAATGCGTCGTCATATACGCTAGGAATATTCTAGAGCTCGCGAGTGCTTGTGGATTGGATACACTTACTATTTGCTGACTACACGATTACTATAGTCTTTATACCTAATTGTGCGCCAAGCGTAGGACCGAAATCATTTCTAGCCACAACGCGATCAAGCGTTAGATCCATCAGTTCGGTTGGCAGACTGCCAGCTACATACATCAGTCTGGTAGTGGCCCTGAGGATGGCCTCGTTAGACTTTGGTGTGATGCTCTGGGGCGGATTGCGTAAGTGCAAAGTTCTCTCGGTGACAGCATACGCTAGGGAAACAAGCTAATTATGGGCAGCTGAGCATGGTTAGTCTAGATCAAACGAGCCAATAGAATAAAAGAGAAGAGAAGAAAGAACAGAAATGGAAAAAGGCAGGAGATTTTCACACGTCGCTGGCAGCCCGGCTATTTCTGCAACTTCTGGGGCCTTTGCGTAAAGACATTACGCGGCGAGATGCTACCGAGGTATTCGTCAACAGAGGTAGGCAGGGGAAGTGAAACGACGGGAGGGGGCTATAAAATTCCAGACCGGAGCTAACGCCATTTTGCCGGGAGATTTTGGGAAAGATTCAGAAGATCATGTTGGGGTCTATCCTGCCGCAAGCCACTAGATAAGATCTGCGGCGACTGACCTAGATCAGTATCCCCTTGACCTACCACCACCACTAAGCGTTGAGATTGGAGCGCTTTGATTGGTTAACACTGACCACTTGGACCCGCTAATCTCCCGTCTGCGCTAGCCCTCTTCAGGTATTTGAGATGCTCCGCCAATCAACAGTGACCTACGCGGCCAATCATCGTTTCGATCTCGAAAACAAAGTTCAGCTGTACAATAGGGCGGATTCTGATGCTGATGTAGTCTAAATTAGAACAGCCGATCTCACCAGGAAGAAAGAAAAACCTGTACAGCTCATAGAAGGCTTGTCTCATTTGAGGAAGATATGCAGGCCCCTATCACAATTTTGCAGAAAAACATCCTGCTGCCCGGATCTGGTACGCTGACTGGGTCGGAAGGGGTGGGGGCCAGATTATTCCTCGCCTTATATGAGACCTTCGAACCATCCTCCCCTTATGTTTCTAGCTTTTCAAAACATCTTCTTGATTCAGATTTGTCTCTCACACCTCCACCACCACCATCATGGGTAAAGGACTCGCCAGACTTATCGGCTCTGGCATTGGCTTCACCTCTGAAGTCATTCAGGCAGCCCGAAACCGTAGCCAAGACTCTACTTCTACTTCTCCCTCTGAATCTGCTTCAGAGACTCCTCGCTCTATTCCTGGTGCGGAAAGAGAGAGAGGCAACTATGTCGCAGCCGGTGACCAGATACACTATCCCGACACCTGCGAGGGCCGCACGGAGCTACCCATTCGTGAGGGCCGCGAACAGCGGGGCAACGAAAGCGAGCTACCAAGACGGGAGTCGGAGCTCCCAACAGAAGAAGAGCTTCCGTCCTACTCACTCGGCTCAAAACAACAGAGCAAAACGGCTGAAGCAGGGTATTCATCGGATGTTGACGAGAAGAGAAGGAGCCATTCTTCTGAGAGGGGGAATGACGGCGACGATGCCCCTGTCGACACCAGAAATGGCCACGGGAGCTCAATGGATGAGGATGAGGCTGCTTGGCAACTCGATGAAGCGACCGAAGAGTTCGGATTGCCCACATATGATCAAGCGGAATTCCACGCTGGTGCGGAAGGTGCTCAAAGGGGCCTCGAGACGGGTGCCGAGAATGACCGCGAGGAGATCAGTACGGAGGACTCTCAAGATGAGCAGGAGAAGAAGAGAGAGCGCATGATCCGCGCACTCGTGGCGATGGCGGGGCCACCACCGGCGCAGCCGCAGCGACTCCCGTACCCAGTGATTATTCCTCAGCGCAGGCCTGGCGCTAAGAAGCGTGGGTTTGTGCGTGCATATGCACCTGTGTTGGCCGACCAGGGTATCAGCCAAGATGCGTTTCTGAAGTTCATCAGTGACTTCCATAAAGCGAGTCAGGTTGGTGATCCTCGATCCTCACCCTTGCCGGGATTGCGTTTAATTACTCACGGTTGTCATAGGCTTCAATGTGGCTCCAGGTCATTGTTGTCGCAGCCAACATCACCGGCTTCTCCCCTTCATTAACAGTCGCGTTAACCGCCGCAGCAATCCAAATTGTAGCGGATACAGCACAGCAATTCCAAATACGTCACCGTACCAATTCCTACCTTGATAGGGCGAATCAAGAAATCTTCATGCCTCGCGGTCAATACGCGATGATCATGAAATTCACCGATCGGCCTCCCAAGCCGACGAAGAAGCAGAAGCAGAACAAGAAACAGAATGCGAGCTCCCTTGATTCCGAATCTGACCGACTTGGCGGACTCTTCTCAACCGAGCAGGTCAATTTCAATCAACCAGGCGCCTCAGCGGAGGTTGATCCCAATATGCCTCAGCCAACAAGGCCTGAGTTCGATGCAGCAGTGACAATCTCCAAGTATACCCATAGCAAGGAGCACCCACAAATGAACGCGTGGAAGCAGCGCATGAAGCATTATCGACTAGAAAGTGGCGCGACTCAAGGCGAGATGCAGCTTCCGGAGTGTGCGCCACTAGTCTTCCCGGAGATTGACCGAGCTGCGATGCGGGTAAGGGATGGCCTGGAGCCCAAGTCGAAGTTTCAGTCGGGAAGAACCTGGGTTCGAGACTACATCGATCGAAAGTCGCAGGCAGCATTTGTGAGTGCCACCTCCTTCTCTCACCCTCTCACCTATTCATAAAGAATGCGTCTTAACAAGGAACAGGAAGCTGAGCATAAGGGGTCTGCGGTGGCTGTGCCCGAGTCGGGACGCAAGGCCTTCACTTCACGCTACAACGACCCTAATCACCCAGTGAATAATGGGAACCTTCTGACAACCCTGAGCGGTGGTCTGTATCAGCCCAAACCAAGTCTATTGGATCGTGCCGGGGCTGCCATCAAGAAATCACAGGACAAGAAGCGGGCTGCTCAAGGTCTCCCTCCGAGTGAAACGTGGAAAGAGAAATGGGCCAGAAAGAAGAAGGAAACTGGCAGCAGAATGAAGATTCTTAGCGAGGATGTGATGTATCTGATGATCGTCAACATGCCCACCGAGGAGGAGCTGAGTGAGTCCGTTGCTAAGTTGCAATATCTCGCGCAGCAGGGAGATCTTGGAAGCGATGGGACTGGAGGATCATCTCTCGTGAATGGCTGGGATGTGGCTAATATAGCAACTTTGGCTGTTAACTAGTTAACTCTCGTGTAATTGCTGATGTATCATACAATTTATCAATAAAATGCCGCGATCTCTTCTTTCACCTAGATTGATTTTTCGAGGTGGTCGTACGGTTGATCAATGTACACACTTGGTAAGTCTTTTCGGGACCCACCGCCAAGGCCTTCGCGTTGATCAACTATTGAGCGGCCCGCATTAAATTGATACAGGGTAGACACCGATCGATCCTATCTAGTACTGTAATGGCAAGATGATCTCCGTCCAATCTTAGATCACGTCAGATAGGCATTGGTCTGTCCTACTCTATTGGCGATAGTGTCTGCTTTTAGTTTTGGGGCCATGCTGTGTATCTTTATCATGCATATGGTGATTTTGCACTGACTATTGGTATTGCTGAGCAGTGCACTCTGCACCAGTACCATTGCTCAACAATGTCTAGCTATGTGGTTGAACAAGCAATGAAGCCCAGCTGGTTGACTCTCTTCTTGCTGGAAAGCTACAGTATCGTGACTTCTTGACTTGCACGTTCTGTACATAAATAGGGCTCAGCGTCTCCCATAAGTTCATATCCACAAGTAGATCTTATTATTATCCTTTTTACTCCACCAATAGATCTTTCGATCTCGTTGTCATATAACATGTCTGACACCTCACCTCTCAACCACACCGCCGGCTTCGGCCTGCGCGAAGGGAAGGGCTACCTCCTTGACTCCGGCCATGCAGGAAGCCAACGACTGAACTACCAATACCTCATCTGGAAACAGTGCCTTGGCTACAGCCTGCACCCCACCATCCGAGACGCAGTTGGAGACCACCCGCGCATTGCCGACATTACTGCGGGAACAGGCCTCTGGCTTCTCGACACAGCACACGAGTTCCCCAACGCCATCCTCGACGGAATCGACATCAATCTCGCCCGTCTTCCACCAGCCGCCTGGCGCCCCAGCAACATCCACCGCCTCTACAACTGGAATATCTTCGACAAGGTCCCGACCGAGCTCGAGGAGCGGTATGACGTAATTCACCTGCGTCTTCTCCTTCTTACCATCTCAAACAGAGACCCGGGGCCCGTGATCAAGAATGTAATTAAGCTACTTAAGCCCGGGGGCTGGATCCAGTGGGACGATCTGAGCACCACACACACGTATGTTGAAAAGTCTGATGAGAAGCTTAACACGGCGGCACTCGACAAGATCAGGGAGTTTGTGCACTCGAAAGGCCGCCATGATTGGGTGTTTGATCTCCCCTTGCATCTGCTCAAACATGGGTTTGAGGAGAGTCAGTTGACATTTTATCATGGACGGCCGGACTTGATTTGCCATGATACGGAGATTCATTTGATGACTATCAAGGAGTTTAATGGGCAGATGAAGGCTGATGGGAGGGAGGAGGAGGCGAGACATCTTGATGAGCTTATTGAAGAGGCATATGCAGAGGCTCAGCGTGGTGCTGGGGTTACGACTCCGAGAATTGTGTGCGTTGCGAGGAAGAGACCGGTTCCGTATGCTGTGCGCGAGGCGCTTTCTTTTTCTTGAGTTTATAACTAGGCTATTTGTCAGTGATACATCAAGAAAGGATTTCGGGACGGGCTTACCATTTCAGAAGGAAATAACAAAGTATGCATTACGCGTTTATTCCTCTCCCCAGCGGATACTCCAAGCTCCGGCACTCATACCTGCACTTTCTGCCCACCCACCACAGCGGCACAGCATGACTTCCCACACGTCAAGCAATTCAGTGACTCCAGAACCACATGATGATGATCATGACGATCGCCTCGCTCTCGCCACTCGCGCAGCGTCTTGTCTGTCTCCTGCAAGCAATCTCAACAAAAATCTCGTTCAATCCCAGACTGTATCCAGATAATATCTACTAGGAGCTGTGGTGGTATCCCATTATTGTATTCGCCAGTCATTGCATCTACAACCTGATACCTCTGTCCAGCTTGCCACGAAGCATTTGTTGCATTGCGTAGCGCATCCCTCCATGTGATACGACACGTGTGTGCCTCAGATTCCCCGGGTGGTGGAACTTGATGGTCCAGGGCAAGTGTCTTACCATGCATACTCGAATCCCACACCCCCAGCAGTCCGCAGTGTCCCCATCCGCGATCCGTTGGTTATCCAACACCAGGCTAGTCTTATTCGGTTGACGCCTTTAGATTATTATCCGCGAGCGACCAGGTAGAAGACAAGTATGCTCGCGCAGGTGCCACCTACCCTGCGGATAGAGGCCTCGCGAGCAACCCTACACGTGACACTGAAATTAACTACATTATCCGGGAAGCCTAAATAGGAGCTGTATCCTCGTGGGCAGGGGATACGGGGCAGGGGATGCGGCGGTCGGCATACCAGATCGTCGAGTAAACCTCATTCGGTCTTTGCTTCTGATACATTCCCGCCTGTCAATACAATCATATACTTGTTTTCCTGAGTGACTTCTCCCTGCGGATGGCCCTGCGACATGAAACGTGCCGAAAATCCAGACTTCTTAATTCCTCGAAACAAGTTCGCTGACCGTACTTTTGTACCTAGATCTGTATTGAGGCCTCAGACACAATATATAGATGCTTGCTTTCCCCCCTCACGTTGCACATAAATCCCAGCTATAGGTACGAGAGTTGATCAGTGTCTTAATTGGATTTGCCGCGTCAAAATCTTTTTTACTGGAAATCCTGTTCACGGATTGAACGGCACCAATACACGCACAGGAACCCTTTTCTTGCTCCACTGCCAAGGTCTCAGCGTAGTTCGATCATTGAGCGGGTCTCAGATGATTGAGGGATACCGTAAGGCGCATAATATATGGAACGGTGTCTTGCTTTATAAAATTATACCTTCTGTTGGAGAATCCAGTAGAGTACGTGGAAACCTGGAGTGGATCTCTACAATCGGCTGGTCGACCATCTGCCATGTGCATGTGTCTACTAGGATACATTGCCCTCAGCCTCATTTTGACGACCAGTGCTACTCAGCAGCTAGCCTACAATCTTGACCGATGGCCTACGTCCTTAGAGGAGCAGATTCAGTGACGGCTCTCTACGCCGTCATTATGCCTGAAAGGTGATTGAAGGTGGTTAGGCACGTATAGGAATGGTACACCAAGTTTGCGTTAGGCTGCACAGACTCGGCTTTGGCCTTCAAAAAGCACTCAGCCGCCGCCATTATGTAGACAGACTGCTGATCCCGAATCAGAGCCTCATAATGTAGTAGAGGCTGTGCTCCGGCAAATTGATGGGACTGGTGAGCCCTGTCTGCAGTGTTCTCAGCCATTGAATTACTACTACAAAGCCTCCTCGTATTGCCTCACTTTAGGCGTCTGGAACCTTGTCGAAGGTGCGGGGTAAATTACTCTGTCTCTTCAGCCTCACGACATGTCAGGGTATCACAGTCGATCTAAACCGGATGTTTCTTGCCACCATTAGCCCTTCTCTAAGTTCAAAAATCTTCTTGTATACAATGCGAAGATGAATGAGCTTCCGGTACCAGAAAGAGCTCTTTTGAGGCCAAGTCGTCTAGAGGAAGCTGAATCCAACGAGAGTGAAAATAATTTCACTCAACATTCTATCTCCGAGTCGCATAATCAACGTCTTCACCATCATTATTACCATCGTCCTTACATTATTCAAAAAATTTACTCACTTTTTGTACTCGAAGCACCCTTTTTGCCCGTCACGAATCCCCGCGCTATTCGCAATTCCCGACTTAGGGAAGGCATACTTCTACGCCAATCGAGACGGAATTCACAAAGGAGCCTCCAGGGTCGAAGAATACTTTTCAACCGCCCAAATAGCCGTGAAGATAGTGAACCACATAGGGGAAGAGCGGAAGAGCCAGGGTCAGGCTCTGAGCCCGAGTTTACTGTGCAAGACAGCCGCGAGGCAGACCACAATGCTCGCAAAAATGCTTTGGCAAATCAATTGCAGCCGATGCTTGGAGATGGCACAGCTACCTTTGTTCTCCTTTGTCGGGGTATAGAATATGAGTGTTCAATTCTTCTAGTCTCAATTTCCGATCCATCTGATGAGACTGCCATTTGGAGAGAAATCAGACAGGCATGGTGCTCTCGAAGAGGTTGGTGGAGAAATTATGTCTCTGTCTTTGGTGTCAAGCGCGTTGACCTAGTTGAGGTGTGTCTAAGCATAGTCAAGGAACTCTCACTGACTAATAAGCTGACAAATATTTTGAGATTTCTATTGCAGGCATGAGCGTACGGAGACCTACTGGCTCTGGGGGAGCTGCGGAATTTGTAGGGATGTATACGAAAAAAGACATGCAAACCGAGAAGAAGCGACTCAAACGTATCCTCGAGAATTATCAGGAGCAGGAATACCCGTGCCAATATGATCTATCCACAGGAAGGGTAGAGTGTTTCCAAAGCTGTGTGTCATTAATAGACATGGAATGCCCGGAGAAGGTGAAGTTTGAGGCCGAACGGCAGCTAGAAAACCTTGAAACATATCCTCTTATGAAACTTGCGTTTTCTAATCCTGAACTCGCATCCTTGAATGACTTTCTGCAAGGCGAAAGGGTGGTTTATGGACATAGGTCAGTCTTTAAAAAATCATTCCCAGGGATCCTGACTGATCTTGAAGTGATAGTGATATTCTTAGGATGATAAACGAGTGGCATTGCCCAAAACTTCGAGAGATCAAATTCCGCGGAATCTTGGTTGAAGAAGGGTTGGAGGTCAAATCCCAGTATATTTTATTTTCTTTGGCCATAACTCTGCTATTTTCTACACTAATTTCTGCTAAGTTCGTCTTTGGTGAATGGGGAACGGCGTGGACTGTCGGCTGTTTCTTTCTCACGCTGATGTTTTCTTCGTTTAGCATGCTAAGGTATGCTAGATACTGAGTTAGTTAGCTAATATAGTACTGCAAGGAAGAATTGAAATTAATTTCAGAATGATGAGCCAGGGCTTGAGTCACAGCTTCTCAGCATTTTGTATTGCTAAGCTTCGCACGGAGAATATTTTCAAAGTTAGAAAAGAACACCACTTCACATAGTCCTGCGGCAGGGAATTTTATCTTTCCTCCAAGCTCTCGTCTTATCCTTCCTCGTGCATGAGTGCTAATGATACAACACCGCCTCTTCAAAATCTACCAAATTTGACTATTGCAAGCTGTTCAGGGGACCGCAATACACTGGGTCACACATTCACCTACCAAGGCAATCATTTGAGTTATTTTTATTCATCGTAAGCTAAGCCAGGGCCTATAGCTCAGGATCTTTTCTGGCGCTGTAACATGCATCCAGACACCTTTCTTGGGATTGATTTACTGCATCCAAAATGAAACGGCAATAGATTTTAGAAAATAATCAACGCCATTGAGGGCCTCTATGTTATATGTACTCTTGCTATCAAAACTAAATAGCGTAACCGTTTCAATGTCACGCTTCTCTTGTGGGTATAACGTCTAAGCTTCGGCTGTTAGTGCCATCAATGGCTCAAGATAAGCCTATATTTCACCACTCCCGGGGCCGGACTTCTCCTCATCTAAAGGCTGTTTGCCTTCTTTATTTAACACAGCCAACACCCCAAAGACCACACAGATTACCATGGCAATAATCTCCTCCAGCACATCCATGCACAGGTATATGGTGGCGTCACCCGTTAAGATAGCAAAACGAGGATCGTCGGTGAAATCGGCGATCGCCGAGTAGACCACCCGGACTAACAGGAACGGCCAACTAAGAAGAATCGCTAGGAACAACTTCTTTTGCCCTGCGCCTAATGTGGGTCGCAGCTGGACGGCCAGCCAAGCTGTCAGCAGGGTGACGATAGCAAACACGGCGAGGAAAATCCCCATGGCCGCCTTGACCATGCTGTTTGCGTGATAGGTGCTCGTGTTGTCATCGTCGATACTGATTCCCGCAATTCCAAGAATAAGGCCGATGAAACAGGTAATGGCAACTGCGGAAATGAACTTGGGATGGACCCTCTGCTTCGTATCGCTAGCAGAGAAACACCTGGTTCAGTCCACATCCTATCAAGTCCCAGGGGTTCAGCTTGACCAACTCACATTTGCCTCAGCAGCCCGATATAGGTCAGCAGCAGTGGTGCAATACCAATCAGCTCGCACACTGCCTCTGCGATCAAGATGTTGGACGAGTCATTGCTGATTGCCAACAACGTACAGATTCCGCCGGCAATCCGGATGAGAGAGAGTGTGACGACAAAGCGCCAAGATTTGCGGGCAGCCTTCCAGCCAGTTCGTTTCCAGATAAAAAGTGCAGCAACGAGAAGCACTGGAAAGAAGATGAGCTGGAGGATAGCGATGCCGTCGCGGTAGGTCACGGTAGCCATTGTGGACTATAGGAGTAGAAATAGATGAAGATAGAAGGAACTTGGGTCACAGAATGATGGCCATCGGCCTCTTCTTATATTTCTGAAGATGTCCCTGATCATCCTTAAATTCGCCCGCGCTGTCAACACACTACTCGATTAGAATCGTCTAGCGCTGTGAGTGTTGTAGAGGCATCTTGTACCCATTGGCTGGACCTCTCACATACCTAGATAGGACTAGCGCGTAACGGGAGCAGTGGAGGCAAGAACGCGTGGGATCAGCCAATGGAAGCGCTCATATTCTAGTCCTTCTTTTTGGCCCCCGCGTGGCTGTGTAATTCCATTGCAGATCAGAGGACGACAGTGAGGCTGTGATAATCGACTCCTGATGCCTGAATTTCCCCACCTCGCTAAATGGCGCCCCCAGAGATGGCACGTGCACGCGGTTCGGGTACGCCTTGGTCGGTGGGGGCCAATTGTGGAAGCTCTCCAGCTGAAGCTGTGCTTGAGAGCCGAAGCTTAGGCTATAACTCTTGAGCCCCTGTCGAGTGCCTCTCCTCAGACTGGTCAGTGCAAAGCTTGAATATCACACAGGCCCCTTTCCCTTGCCCTTGCCCGATCCTTTGGACGGATCCTAAGGCCCCGCTCAATATGACACGCCCACGAGCCTCTAGGAATTGTGGAAACTGCCGGGCCGTCAAGCGACGCGTAGGTGCACTTCTGTCTTTGCTTCCCTTTCCTTTCCATTTTCTTTCTCGTGTCTGCTAGGCGAGTGCTCATTTTGCCCTGTCTCTACCCAGTGCGACCAGCAGTCCCCCCATTGTGGACAGTGTATTCGAATGCGCGAAGAATGCCCTGGGTACCGAGATGAATGGGACCTCGTCTTCCGCGATCAAACCGACCGTACCATTAAGCGTTCTCTGGAAAAAAAGACTAAGAGCGTCACCACGCACGACTTGCCCCAGCCCGCCCGTAGGTTGAGCCCCAGCGCGGACGAGATAGGTGTCAACTATTTCCTCCGCACCTTCGTCATCGGCCAGTTCTCGTCACGTGGATGCCTTAACTACATTCCGTCTGTTTATCGCGACGATGGCGAGCACCCGACTCTGGTGGCCAGCATGGCGGCAGTAGGCCTCGTGGCGTTGGCCAATTCGTCTCGACAGCCCGAGCTGGCAAATCTTGCACGCGCCAAATACACGGAGGCGATCAGCAATGTGAACACCGCGTTGGCATCGCCTGTCGAGTCCGTCAAGGACAGCACCCTAATGTCGGTAATCTCGTTAGGGGTGTTTGAGCACGTCTCCGAGCACAAGTCATGGGTCCGACATGTCCAGGGCGCTGCCGCGTTGGTGGTTGCCCGGGGCAAGGGCCAATTCACCAGCCCAGCCACAATTCTCATGTTTAACCAAGTGCGCGCTGATCTGGTGCTTGCCTGTGTTCATAATGGAAAACCGTTTCCGGAGGACATGATTGAGCTGCAAGAAGAAGCAGCCAAGCACCCAGATGCCTCTGGTGCATTCTGGCTCCTGGGGGTGCTAAGCACCCGGTGCGCAAACCTCCTGATGGGCGTCAGGGAGAATACCGGGCAAGTTCCTTGGCCTCAATATCTGGAGGAAGCGATTCTGATGGAGCGTGAATTCCAGTCCTGTCTTATCCTCCTTGCTATACAAGAACCGTATACAACCACCCGAGATTCGGGTGGGGCGCCAAATATCATTTATAATGGCCGAGTTGACCTCTATAAGGACCCTTGGGCGATCCGGGTCTGGAACAACCTGAGAAATCTTCATATGATTGTCTGCGAGATTCTGTTATACCTCTTGAAAAAAATCCTCGTCACAAATCTCACGCTCACACCGGCCGTCCGGGAGTCTCTGAAGCTGAAGCTCGAAATGACGATGCAAACCCTGTCAAAGCTGGGAGACGATATACTGGCCACCATCCCACAGGCTTTGGAATTCCTATCCTCGGCATCTGGACACTGTCCCTCCGTCGATCTCTCTGTCCACGGCAGCGTGTCGGGCGGGTATATCCTCACCTGGTGTCTTTACATGGTAGGAAAATGCCCGGTCACAAAAAGTGAAACGCGAAAGTGGATCATCCAACGCCTCCAAGATTTTGGGAGGAACATGGGTATCTCAATTGCGCTACGCCTAGCCGAGGATATATTAAAGATAGACCAATTTGCCGGCTAAGTATCCTTGTTCCAAGGCTCGGATCCTGATATCGGCTCAGTAAGTGCGAGTCATTTATGAGAAATATTGAGGCTAAAACCCTATACTATGAAGAGGCCGTTGTAGAACCTATCACTCCATACATGAATCATTTTTGTCTCATAGGTCGTCACACTAGACGCGCTCCACTTTACCGTCCCAACTCCATGTGGAGTATCGTCACTGCCTAGCTCATCACTAACCTACCTAGGGTTATGAATCAGAAGCACGATGACGGCGATATGTATGGCTTTGCGCAAGTGAGACAAGCCTTTCTTCAAGGATTAACTGTAGTCTAGCCAGGCTAGAGGCCCAGCGCCATAGGCTTATATCAGTATATCATTGGAACATAGGTCAACAGAAATTCCGACTATGATATCGAGGGAAGCGTTGCTAATCAGTAAACGCGTGATCACGGAGATAGCAGTCATGTTGGTTGACCCTGCCCGCCTTCCACCCCTCTCTGGAGCCACCAGCGAGCGTTCTTCATGTTGAATGTGACATGAATTTCTTAACGGTGATGTTGAATCCACCCACCCAAATGGGTGATTGGGACAGGCCAGTTTCCATTCCCTAGTACATTCGGCGCAACACTGTTCGATTAAGATGCTGAGGAGACGCTGAACTAATCCCGGACAAATGCAGAGTTAGGTTGAAATCGCCCAGAATACAGCGCAGTACATGAGAGACACCTGCCTCACCTCCAACTGCTAACCCATAGACGTAAGGCCGTCCGATCAGAACCATCTTCGCCCCTAGAGCCAATGCTTTGGCGACATCTGCTCCTCCCCGAATGCCAGAGTCAAATATAATTTCCAGGTCACTTCCCACTGCATCAACAATTTCAGGAAGCATCTCCAGAGCTCCAATTCCACCATCTTGCTGTCGGCCTCCATGGTTGAAGACCACAATACCCTGCACTCCGGCGTCTACAGCTCGCTGAGCATCAGAAACAGTCTGGATTCCCTTCAGTACTATAGGACCATCCCAGTGCTGCTGCAGGAATTTGGTATCATCCCACGAGTGACTGAGTCCAGGAAAGATCGTATGCGCCCACTCCGCCGCAGCTGTTCCTAGGTCGTCTTCCACCTCCTTCCGGTGTTTCTCGAGGAATTGGCGACGGAAGACCGGATCAGAAAATCCCAGTTCAACGCCAATATTGTCAGGGCGCAAGAAGGTGTTGTACCCATTGTTCAGGTCCGAGGGGCGCCATCCCAAAATATATGTGTCGAGCGTAACGACTAGCACCTTGTAGCCTGCTGCCTTCGCCCGCTCCAAAAGACTAACAGTAATGTCGTTCTTTTCATTTAGAGGCCAGTAGAGCTGAAACCAGCGAGAACCATTACCATTGGCGATTGCAACATCTTCGATGCTGGTAGATGACGCCGTGCTGAGAATATAGGTTACATTTTCCTTGTGGGCGGCGGTTGCAGTGGCGACTTCACCCTCGCGGTGGAAAATGCGCTGCACACCTACTGGTGCAATAGCGATAGGGTAGTCGTACTCTTGGCCAAAAAGAGTGGTCTTGACGTTGGGAAAGCCTGCTTTGACCAGTCGAGATGGAACAATGGTCTATGTTCGGAATGCTGCTCGATTGTTGTCGTCGGTCTCGCGGAGCCCAGCAGAGCCCCAGACATAACCGAAGCTGTCGGCAGGTAGAATTTCTTTGGCACGGGCCTCCCAGTCAAGGGGATGAAAGCTGATGGGTGGCTTGATGTTCTGAAGCCCTTGAACGTAGACTCCATTCTCGTAGGTGTAAGGAGTAGGGTTAACCATCTTGCTCATACCCAATGAGTATGAGGCACAGAAAAAACAGGAGGGTTATAGCGATTTGAATAGTGGATTTGTGAGTCTGTGTTTATGGAAAGTGCATCGGGCCGCTTATCGAAACGCATTCACAGATAAGGATGAGGGAAGATCTAGGCGCTGTTCCTTGGGTTAGCCCTCGAGGCCCTCGGTCATTCTATTGAATTCGTGACGTCAAGACCCACCCGGGAAGTTTATCGGCTTCCCGATTTCCGAAAATCCGCCCCCGGGCCGACCCTGTGGTAAGAACGGAATTGATAGTGGACTTGAACTGTATATTAATTCAATTTGACCGACACCACGTTCGGGATTTGGGCCCCACAATAATCCGAGATTTCCCGATCAATGATACAAATCAGGTATCAAGCAAAAGGTCTCTTTGAGGTGCGTTAGATGCGTAGAAGTAGAAATGTGAAACGCTCCGACTGCCATTGCTCATGCAGTTCCACTCAACTGGCCATCCTTCCTCATAGCATAGAACTCTCATAAGAATGCCGTCGAAGATTTCAGTTCAGGGCAGAATTCCTTCTTTTCTGCTGCCTACCGCAGGAAGGGATCAAGAGAGAACGGGACAAATCGGTTTGGAGCCCCCCCAACCAAAATGGTGCTCCGGAGACTTGATCATACCTGCGGTGGATAGTCTCATGGATCATTGGTGAGAGAGCCATACTCATGCTGCGGAGCAGCGCCTGAGTCAAGCCAACGATATATCTAAAGCTGGGTTTCATGACCGATTGAAGCACCTGACGTGGGCCAGGTTCACTTCGACTATGAGCACCGGCGGTCTCTCGATCTTGTTAAATATGACACCACATCAACTTCTTGGCTTGGAAACAATAGGGAACATGTTTTCGTCTAAGACCTGGTGATATTTTTTTCTCTTGTGGCGGGGATTAACAGCATTGAAAGTACGTATCTAAAGAAGTTTTAGTCTCGAGGACTATCTTTCCGCTAATAGCATCGTTTTCTGTGTTGGCAATGATACTCGATCTAGCATGTATGCGCATCTTCTAACAACATTTATATAGTACGTCCCGAAACAGTGCAACTACCTACACTCTCCGATTGATTCTGGAAATATACTGTCCAAACATGGAGCGATAACTTACCGCTAACAAGTGATAGGTCACACAGGCGACCATATTTGCTAGGTATTTATATATAATTTGGCATGAGTGATGCACTCTGGCTTTATAACTACCGAGTATCGGCCGTACGGACATGAGCTAGAAGGGATTGCTTTCAACAGTTCCCCAGATGATTTCTGCCTAAATCAAGTGTTCAATATTTTTCATCTGATTTTGATTCCGCTTGATCTTAGTTCGTCCTAAATGCATACTAGGCTATACGTTTTCAGCTTTTTATGACATATACCCGGATTGTCAAAATTACTGTAACGTGCTTCCGCTTACGTCGGATACCCGCGTACACCGGATGCCTCGCGCGACGGAAAATACGATCACCTATGTCTCCATCGGGCTAAACGGAGCATATGGCTAGCGTGGGTATCAGGCTTACAGCTTACGCGCTGCAGTAGTCGGGTACCGCCCGGGTGAGAAATGGGTAAGCGCCGCTTTAGCGTCGCGCCACCAGATGTGAGAAGGGTGAGTGCGCGATAGACTGGGTGAGAATCTGGGTGAGAAACCTTCGGGTCGGCACGCACTGAGGCTGCCAGCTGAGCTAGTATTAGGGTTTTAGGGTTTATCATTGGGACCACGAGTTTCCCAGCTGAAACAGTTAGATCCAATTTTCGAATGCCGGTACTGGCATGTATGGGCCTCCTCCTCCCTTGCAGAGCAAAAAGCACACTACAAGAGTTCCGAACCTATAAGAGCACCACGAAATTGAAGTGGCTTAGAGCCAGGTAATACAAGCGTTTTGCTTATTACAGTAGTCAAAACAGCCCGCAAAACGGGACCCGTAGCTAGTCGTTCGATACTAATGAGCGATCCGTGCGATGATGCGTCCAGCCTAGGGGGTGGTGTCTCCACTCAGTACGCGCGACATGGCAATGGTGCTTCTCCCATCCAATGTCAAATGTTATCGAAAGAATTGGGAATTGGCCATGGAAATGCGCAATAACGTTGTACTTAACTGCATTGTCTTCGGGGGCTCCAGGGGTCATGCGAAGAGTGATTGACTTGATCAGTCGATGTTAAGTAGATGCTACCTAAATGCTCCCCCTTCTTGGGAAATCTTTTGGTTGTTCAGGGTCGACCCCCTGGGCGGTCTAATTGTACTTTGTATAACTTCGGCCCCATTTTTGACGAGTCAGCGTACCATTATATTTGTGTGCAGATCCGAGCATTCGGACTCAATTTTGAATCATCAGTCTTCCGTTGATGCCTAACTTGCCGGGGCCGATGAAAGTTCGCAATAATTGGAAGCATCACCTCTCAAAATCTTGCAGTTAAAGCGCCAGGATCGCCTAACGATAATTCCCATCCTTAGCACGGCGCTAACAGCTGATTCATGATCTCTGGTCCATTAAATTTAAGAGCTAGGCACTTTTGAAACTGGGGCCGTCCCACATCGCAAGTTCTTCTCTTCTTGCGAGCCTCTCAATCTTTTTATCTTCAACAACCATCATGTCAGCTGCCGCTCCCTTGGCACTTACCACCACGTTCTCACCACCACCAGCATGCACCACCGACACATGGTACATTGAGTATGTAGAAGGCACCTACTACTATACCACTTCGATTTCGAACAGTCTCGAGGGCTGGTATCTCAGCCAGGGGCCCACGGATTGGAGGAGCTGTTTCCCGTCCGGATATGAGGCGACAACCGCTTTCTACTACTCGCCAGGCGTGTGTCCATCAGGCTATTCCATAGCCAGCTCGACGATTATTAGTATTGGAACCAGTTCTGAGACCCGGGCGACATGTTGTCCATCGTGAGTTCAATACTTACAAACATGGGCGTCTTTTAGAAGCATCCTTTTTTGACGATTATCGGTATCACTAGGAGTTTCACCGCCCAAACAGATGATGGTTTAGTGTGGTACTCGACCAACCGATGCTTTTCGGCTAATACCGATACGGACTATGTATGGACATTCACCAAAGAGGGAACGATAAGTAGCAAAACAACCGCTGGCGGACTGAATGCCAAGGCGGTCTTTGTTCGATGGCAAGAATCCGACTTTCAGACACCGGCCACGACCACCACAGACTCGACCGCGACCAGCACCGGGTCAACCGCGAGATACACAGATTCAAGCTCAGGACCATCGGCTACGGCAACAGCCGCGGCCACAGATCAGAATACCGATTCAGCACAAGGAGGATCTTCAAGGGCATGGATTGCAGGGCCTGTCGTCGGAATTGTGGTTGCGTGCGCCTTGATCGCGTTCGCTGCTACATGGTACAACGGACGACGCCGACGTCAGAAAAGCCCTATGGGAGCATATACTTCGCCAGGACTTCCGCATAATAGGGCAGAACTTTACCAAGAACCCAGAGTGTTTGAAGCCCCCTCTGGGGCCATTTACCCGGGCCCTTTCGAACTTTCTGCCACAAAACATCGCTAATGGCGTTGTTTTTGATTTGTCAAAGCCATATTCGGTCCAAATCTTAAACTAGGAGGATGAGACCGTTTAAGAGCAATAGGAAGTGGAAAACTCCATTGGGGTTTTGTGATTGATATCCAGTCAGCCTTTTAACGGTCTCTGCGCGTGAAGCTTGTGTGAACATGTAATCTACATACAAAGTCGGATTCTGATGCAATACAGTAATTAAGTGAGTAACATCATCTAATTTGATATTATATAGACTCTGGAAGGTTGCAAGATCCCATTAGCGGGTGGCAACCTTTTCTCGACTCCCAAGGAAATATACTTGGTTTTGTCTTACTCCATTGTACACTCCCTAGGAGTATGTTCTGTAGTGACACTCACGCAGTGGCTTGTTGCTTTGTTAATCAACCTAGCAGAATCAAAGTTAGATATTTGGGCGCTAAATTCTTGAGTATTTTGTAAATCAGTTCCTGAGCAAATTAAGGCTGTATAGCCCGCTTGTGATGAGATAAGAAGGACGACTCAGTACCCATGTCAGCTATTTGGAGGTGTACGCTGTACTTTCGATTGCGCTGGATTGATATGGACCACTCATTAGCCGCCGATACGAGTCAGCCTCGTGCATCTGTGGAAATGACGATAGCCGGGCTGCATGGCGTCCACGCAGGCTAAGTGGAGCAACGTATTTTAGCAATCGATCTTTGATTCGAGAATCCAATATTACAAATTTTTAGCGTCCGGGTCTTACAGTACAATGTGTAGTACATAAATTACAAGTCCCCACTGGGTAGAGTTGACCGGGAAGGCTCCCTCGTCATAATCAGGGGTTTTGAGTATTTGAATCCTTATTGGGAAAGAATTGCCATTTTGTGTCCAAATACATGAGAGTATCTTGTACGCTGTAGAAAACAAGAAAGGAAAAGGATCATGAAAACGGCGAGAGATTTTGCCGTCCCGCAAGCGTGGGCGCGAACTCAGGAAAACCAGACATGATGGGTATGCGCCTGAGGCGTTTTTTTCTCCCGGCGAAGGCTTAATTATCGGGCCAAGGACTTTCACATCCTCTACGGAGTACGTACACGAGCTGAACGACGAAATTTGGCCCCATCTCGCAACGCTGCTGTGACGCTGATCGAGCGCCCCTATGACTGGCCTGTCGATCGCGAGGCCCACCAAGCCCAAAAGGCCGGCGATTAGGTTGGCGCCCACGAGTCCCTCGTTACTTTTCCTCAGCCTGCTCCCTGCTCTTTCGCGCGCCGTCATCTCCTTGGCGCTCCGCAGTTTCGCGGTCGACTGCGCGCCATATTATGCTGCCCACTGCCCGTCGAATTCGACTGTGGCTTATGACATTGTTCCAGTCGTTACAAGCCAGCATTATGGCTATCCTCGAGACTCTTCGAGCAGGGCTTTGGAGCGAACAAAACTACCAGCTTCTTGAGGGAGCTCGAGAGACATCATCTTACTACTATGCACGCACGACAAGGAGGACTTGGACCATGGCTGTTTCTGTAGCAGCAGTGATTTTCTTCCTTTGGGGTTTCCTGTTACCTCCGACAAACTTCAGCCGCATTGTCAATGAGCGTTTGTGCGATCATCCCATCTCCATACTTGCGTCCGATGCCTCGCAAGCGTTCAATGAAACTTTGACGCGCCAGTCCAAGTCATTAGACGAGGCAGTAACGGAATACCGTCGACGTTATAACATGCCACCACCTCCCCACTTCGATAAATGGTACGAGTTTGCGAAGCAGCGGAACACGGTTTTGATCGATGAATATGATACGATATACCATTCCATGCTGCCTTTATGGGGGCTTTCGCCGAGTGTAATCCGTTCGCGTGTCAGAGAGGACCTGGGCTTCGATAACGTGGTGATGGGTATCTCTATTCGCAATGGCGAGCCCATTCACCTGGGCAATGGCCAGGGAAACTTCCAACGGGACGCCGCAATGAAGCAATTCAACAAATTTGCTCAATGGCTGCCGGATATGGATCTCGAGTTCAATGTCCACGATGAGCCGCGGGTCGTTGTTCCTCACGAGGAGTTACACAGACTGGTAATGAAAGGCTATGCAGCTCAGGCTAGGTTGAACGGCAACTCATCATTGTTGAATCATTTTTCCGACAATAATAGCACTGCGCAGCCTATCCCAGAAGTATTCAGTACCAGGTTTATTAATCTCGAACGGCAAGAAACCTGGCTTTATTCCCGACTATCGTGCCCACCCGACAGCCCGACCATGAACCTCGATGGCAACGCGCCAGACAATACTAGTGCATTTGCCATCGAGCCATTGGGGTTTGTGTTCAATCAATCCGCCTCTAGCGATATCTGCAATAGTCCCTCGCTACAACATCGCCTTGGAATATTCGAGCGGCCCAATGCCTTCAAGCTCACGAACGAGCTAGTCCCTATGTTCTCAATGTCGCGTCCATCTTCATTCCAAGATATCCCTGTCCCTTCACCATGGTACTACGAGGAAGTCGGAGGCTATGAACCAGAACCCGATATCCCTTGGGAGTCAAGGGAAGGACAAATATACTGGCGAGGAACTACTACCGGAGGACACAGTCATGGTGGATCCTGGCAAAATTTGCAGCGACAGCGAGTGATTGCATCGTTAGAACGCAGATTGGGACATCATATTTTGGAACGCAAGGAAGAGTTCACTTGCAGCATCGGGGGTGACAAAGGATGGAAAGTTCGCGAGGCAAATCAAACAGAGCTCATCGGATATTTCAACGCCCATTTTGTTGATATAGTCGATTGTGAGGAGGACTGTTTCGACGAGCGGACGTTCTTTGATGTCGTGGACCGGGATGATCGCAATGAGGCGTGGAAATACCGCTACTTATTGGATATGGATGGCCACGCCTACAGCGGGCGATTCTATGCCTTCATGCGGAGCAAGAGCGTTCCGCTCAAGCTGACTTTTTTCGAGAATGGCACGAGAACGTGCTCATCCCATGGGTCCACTACGTGCCGCTCAACAAGGATGCCAACGAAATCCCTGAGATTGTGCGATTTTTCGAGCAGGACCCTGCCGGCCAGGAGATTGCTCGCACGATTGGCGAGGAAGGGCAGTCATGGGCTGCGAAGACACTCCGGAATGATGACATGGATGTCTATATGTTCCGGCTTATGATAGAGTAAGTCCTTCCTTTCGAGAGTTTTCAGTGATATGTCTTCTATGATGCTGACTATGCTATTGAAGATACGCCCGTGTGCAAGACGACCAACGAGAGAATCTGGGTTTCATTTCCCTGGTTCCGTTGGCTGAGAGCTTATCCCAGCACTCTTACTGAGTTCATTAACCACGGTATAAATTTGCACGAATTTGTTCTCTATATCACGATGAACCCATGTACAATTTAGAAATGATTATTTTTAAGCAAAGAGCGATTCTGCATTGATGGCCACACTCATCGAAACTCAAGTCGCCCCTGAGCACTTCTAAGCACTTCACCTACCTAATATAATAGTATACTTACGCATTAGGGTTGGTTTCTTCCATCTTGACTTAGTGACAGGTACTCAAAATTAATGGACGTAGTGAAGGTTTGGGTAGTAAGCTTCCAAAGTTTTTCCACGCTGGAATCGGGAGGCTGTTCTAGCAGAAACAGTTACCAAGACGCGGTTTAAGAGATATATACCTATTAATGTGAGTTGATCGGGGAGAGGTATTGTACTTTTGATAATGAACTATATTCATCTCTATCAATACCTAGATTAATATACCTACAATATAAAAGTATATCATAAGCCCCACTGTAAATGTTACATTCTAATATTTCCTATAAAGGAGGTATAGTGGTTGAGAAACAATATTGTAAATTTTCGCATTTATTATGTGTTTTGGGGCATTCGGCGTAAGCGGGTATCCGATGTACAGGGGCCATTCAATAGTATTTAGAACACCGTAGAGCTTTCTGGCCTCGATATTATGACAAGGTGTAACTTCCCTCTGTCACTCCTATGCCTGAGTGACTCGGAGATTACCTACTCGGTACCTGATATTGCAAATAGTGAATTATATTTAGGTACCTAGCTCACCTGCAGCCTACTAATGAACCTGCTCATCACAATACTCAGCCTGTCAGCCCTAAAGCTCTTAATTCACGATCCCTGACACCCTCTTGATGGATATTAACACACAGCTATGTACTAGACTCCCTGCCGAAGAGCATGGCGTGAAGATTCTGGTGGGCATTGGTAATGGGGACACACCGGGGCCTGAAGAGGTGATTTTTGAGTCCATTAAAGGCTCCACAGAGAATATTCTACATAGTGCCCCCTGTCAGGCTCTATGGGGCGAGACCTGTCTCAGTCATTAGCCTGTTTTGTACATGTACCTGTTGGTAAAAAGCATTCAAAGATTAGCGCCGTTCCATCCCTTAGGATGGTCCCTGAATACATTGGCTTTATTCAAGGCCACACCACCCAGCCTCTTGGAGAGCGACCGAAAAAGTTGTATCGACGATGGCCGGTTCTCCCGCCTCCCTTGTCTGTTGCCGTATATCCGGCTACGCATGGCAGATGCTTTTTATCTCAGCCGAATATATGAAGCAAAAATCATGGCAGGTGCAAGAAGATAAAGAATGCTACGGGGACGCTAATATCCAATAATTTATGAGCTAATTTCATTTTCAGCTTGGTGTCCAAGCTTGAATTGGATTTCTCCACTCTTTGGCGGCGCTCTTGAACCTAATCAATGCCTTCATGCTAATTCTTCTATATGCTATCCTGGTGTAATCCTAGGGTCTCAGCTAGAGACATTCACAGATGCAGTGATCTACCACTGCTGGGCTAACCCTCCCCACAAAGCAACCTCATCAAGGTCCGTATCCTTCACTTCCTGTGTCCTCGGGTCCTCGGCGTCATTCTCATCATCATCGTTACCCCGACGGGACACTCCCTTCACAACAAGCCTTTTGGGAACTTCATTTGCCTCAAGAAGACTAACCAGTTTTCTCTTTTGGGGACTCTGCTGTGCCCGCTTCTGACAGACATCGATCATGAGCTGTGCTGTGCTTCTGGAATCCCAGCCTTTCATAAAGAACTCGGGCGCTCGATTAACAGCATTCTGCCACTGGAAGTTTTGGCGTTGCGGTTGAATGGGGACCCTAGGAACGGTGCGAGTGGTCTCATTCACCCATGTATCTATGGCCATTTCAAGTGGGGTGCTGCCTGTGGCATTCTCTCTGTGCAAAAGATCAGGCCGGAAGTCGAGGATGGGTTCCAGGACTTGCGGAAAGCCCTTCTTGACGCAGTCATGCACAGGAGTGTTACCAGCGCCATCAAGCAGCTCTAGGAACTTTTGATTGGTGGCTTTCCCCAGATTCAGGAATAATTTGGTAATTTCGCTGGTCACGTCCACATCTGAAACTCCATTGGCGACCTTAGGGGCGTTTAAGACGTCAAATTTCGAATACGCATGCAACCAGCGTGCGAAGGGCGTCCTCGAGGCTTCGCCAGCACGTTGCATGAGCATGGTAGAGACGAGATTTTTGTCCATCAACTCAATTATTTGAGAGATGATTTTGGGATCTTTGCGAGTATTGCCCAGGATGGAATATAGCAGCAAGTGTAGGAGGTTGCTGCCTTGGGAGTCGCGGGTGGCCTGGTTTGCGCCAGCATTGATTAAGATGCGAGCGAAGCTCAATCTGTGAAGTGAGACAGCCAGGGCGAGAGGTGTGTGCCCTCCGGAAGATCTGACCTCGAGGCATTCAGGGTGATGGTTGACGAGGTATTGAATCAGCTGCTCGGATTCGTCACAGGGGCGAGCCATCACGGCGCAATGAAGCACGAGATTGTCTATGCGACATATTAGTAAATCTTCTCTCATACCTCAGCGGCTCAATTGGAGACACTCACTTCGAGTCTGGAGCCAGTTCAAGACAGAAGCCTCTAGTCCGAGCTTAGACTGGGACAATCTCTTGATATTCTCGTCCTCCAGGTGCGCATTGACATATTCGAGGTAGTAGCGACTAGGAGCAGTACCCAAAAGCCACTCGGTGCTAGTCAGCTTTCCCTGAATGGCAGAAATAAGAAGGGGTGGGCGTCCGGCATCGCTAAATCCTGGGAGGAAATTATTGTTGCCAGGTCTTCCAGCATCTGCCCAGTCCTTGCGCTTTTGACCCCGAATTGACAATCCGGGATAGTACTGTGGCTCCTCGCGAGCCTCAACGCCAGATTCTTTGCTCATTTTGGTGAGTGGGAGACCAGCGGCAGTACTTTGGATTATTTTGCCTAGGCAGTCGGTATGGCCCAGAGCCATAGCAAGCTGGAACTCATCCTGACCAAGGGTAAACACAGTCGTGCCGGATGGGTCGTTGCCTGCACAGTCGTGTCCGGCCTTCAAGAGCCAGTCCAACAGGGAAAGATCATTCTTGAAAATCGCAAATTTGAAAAGGGTATTGATTCTCATATTCGGAGAGCCATGTCGGTGGGTCATCATCACCTGGCGGAGTGTGTCTTCCTTGGGAAATTCTTGACCCAAGAAAAGATGGGCAGGGCATCCTCGCAGAAGTGCTTGACGTGGCGAAATGTCACTTTCGACCTGCGTGGTAACTTCCCCGACCCTTTCGTGAGTGAACTGGTCATCCATAGTACGGCCGATAATATTGAGGCCCTCATCATCTGAGGACCCATAGTCCGAGTCGAAGTCCATCTCAAACTGCTGTTGACCTGTGGGCTTCTTGATCTTGTATTGGACTCGGATAATCTGCAATATAGCCTTCGCGATACGCAGATGAGCCCGGAGTACTGCTATATGAAGGCAGGTAAGCCCCAGGTCATCACTTCGGGCAATCTCCAGCGGTGGCTGATTTTGCGCTGGTCCCCACATGCCGAGAGTGAGTGTCTTGATAGTGTCGATATCGCCATTCCATGCAGCCTCGAACCTGTAGCACAAGAGTCAGCAACTAACTTCAATTCCATTTGGGCGCTGGGGCAATACAGCTGTAGGTATCCGTCTCTCGAGACGTCAGTAAGACTTGACGACAACTTGAAGAATTCAATTTTGAATATCAGGTTGGGTTTTTCCTTCTGCTGGAATTGCCGATTCCGACCTTGTTCAGAATGCTGCGATTCGTCCGGGTGAAGCTCCTCATATGTCTTTGCGTTTCTCGATGATAGTTCTGTCTCAAGCAACTCGTAATTGCGAATCAGCTCCACAATAGCAGCTCTCTTCTCAGTTTCGCCAGGCTTGTCATCAGATAATTTCCGGCGCTCTTCGTGCTCTTCAGCCTTCTTGTTGCGCTCCTTGGCATCCTTTAGCTGAATTTTTGCAGAAAGCATCTTATAGGTCCCTTCTTGAAACCCCGCTAAATAACAGTCATCGTTCTGCTCAATTATGACGCGGTCAGGGACCCCGTAATGAAGTTGTCGGGGAGGTTCTTTTTTCAAGTAGGCTTTCAGCCCTTTCAAGCAGCGCTTCGTGAAGTTCACAACTGTCTCGCCTGAATTGGGTCTTGGCTTGAACTCAGTATTCGGGTCGACGCCGCGTTTCAGGAGATCAATAGCCATCAGGGGCAGATCGTTCTCAATCGCAAAAATGATTGGCTGCTTTACCCCCTTTTCCAGCATTTGATCTTCCCGACCAAACCGTACTGCATCGGGCAGCTGCGACTTGATGGCTTTCAAGCATTCACTAAGATCGAGTGTGGGCTTTGCGCCCTTGTCAAGCAACTTCGTTGCCCCAGTAGGATTTTTAGCACATAAGGCATTCACCAAAGGCGAAAAAAAAGTATTCATCGGTCCATACCAGGTACCATGGACTGCCATATGATTGATGGCCCGTTGGACTGCTGGTCCGTCATGCTTCTGGTAAATGTCGAGAAGGTCACTGTAATTGGATTGAGCGACATAATGGAGTGGTGTAAAATAAGAAACGTCACCCTGGGCAGGCGAAGCACCAAGCTTCAGAAGCGTTTGCGACATTTCTCTCGCTTTGTCCAAGGGCAAAGCGAGCACCAATACCAAGGTCAGAATTGCACCTCTTGGCTGCTTGCTGTAGTCGTCTGTGATCTTGATTGGCATCAACACATCAGCACCGAAGGAAGTGACAAGCTCCGTGACAGTTTCAACATGTCCATGGAGAATCGCAAGATGCAACGGCGATGCGAGGTTATCCCACCCAACCACATTAATGTCGTAGATATCTGGATCCAGTTCGTTCTCTTCGATGGTGTCGTGAGTAGGCGCCATCTTGTCATTTCCATCTTTATCCACCTTCACATACGAATCAGATGTGTGCGAGAGATCATCACTGTTGTCATCTTCTTCGTCGGAATCATCGCCTTCGGCTTGGTCAACCTCCATTGGTGTAGGCTTTTGTTTTTCCGCTTGTTCATTCTCATTGCTCTTCTTCAATAGAATGCGAACAATCTCGGTTTCGCCTCGGGCAGCGGCAAGATGCAATGCAGTCTTCCCATCAGCCATCCGCAAAATCAGCCTAGCACCATGATCCACAAGACACTGAACAATCTCTGGTGTCGAGGACATGCAGGCAAGTTGTAGGGGAGTACGTCCCGTGCAATCACGACGATCTAGATTTGAATTCTCGTGGGCAAGGAATTCCTTCACACTTTCTAGATCGTGTGAGACAATAGCCTGGCAAAGTAGCTCAGTGCGACCAATATATGCCATCTCTACAAGTCATCGTTAGCGCATCACTTATCAGCAAGATATTGGTGAATCCTACCCGTCCAATCGGTCTCGGTGATTGGGTTGAAACTACCGATCTCTTGTCGACCAGGGTTATCTTTGATGAAGCTGATTTTGCCAGAGATATAGATCTTGCTCTCTTCTTCTGCTAAGTTTCGTTCTTCGTTAGTGACTGGTCGCGGGCAGAATCCACAGCAGTCGCCAATAACATGTTCGGCTTCACCAAAGAAGGCTGGGTGACGGTGAAGATAAACCTTGCGGTCCTTTTTCTGATTCCACTGCGCATTGAGAAGTAAATCTTTTGTGTACAATATCTTCTCAATCTTCCGCGCATTGAACCTTCGGCCGTAGGGGATAGTCTGTCTTTTCGTTAGTGCGCAGGCTCATCAGTAAGAATGGAAATACGCACGAAAGTATGGTAATTGGAGACTTGGTCTTCCTCCTGCCACTCCGGTACTTCATCTTCCCAGTCATCTTTGATGTTGCCACGCAACTCTTTGCCTTGGCGACGTCGCAGGTAAACGCTGAGCGGAGGCCGCCCGCGCTCTTCGCGCCTCTTTCTCAGGTAAGCATCTCGGTCTCCAGGCTTGGGCAGTTTTTCGAGAACCAAGAGTCGTGCAAGCCCTTCGGTTCTTGTGAAATTTCTTTCGAAAATTGTCTTTTCCAACAGTTATCATTACCAACTAATATCATTGTGAAGGTTATCAAGGCAGTCATACCGGGTCGACCTTTGACCGGTCAAGTGGGGACCAAAATATTTCGAATCCACGGTGAGAGTACTTGGAAAGACGATTCTCATAAGATGGTGAACGCCGAGTCAGATCAACCTGATTTGTCTGAGTGATGTACGAGGCGATTGCCCGAGGAGACGCATAGACCTGTTGGCCGTCATAGGCCACACAGGAACAATCCACATCAAACCCTGTGAGGATTTCGGCTATCGAGCGATAGATGCGAAGAACTATCTGCACATGCCGCGTGGGATATTGCGATGCAATAGTGATAGTGTTCTTTGTGCGGATGGTGGTAGTCTCGTACAAAATGGTATTGCGGATCTTGTCTTCGATATCTTTGATCTTCTCGAGGGCTTGTGCCTCAGTCAAACCATACAGGAACAAGTCCACATCTGATGCCGGAGCAAACTCCTCATGATAGTATTGACGAAGACCACGCTTGGAATTGCGATACTTCTCTGGCACGGGTAGAAGAGATGTCACCACTGCACTACCAGCAGCCACGACATTACTCCAGTCCAATTCACTCAGCGCGCCCTCAGTGAAAAGAGCGAAATTATTCTGGAACTCAACGAAGGTGGGTACGACAGCAGGTGAGCCATCTACTCTGCGCTTTTCTTCAGGGATGGCCAGAATATACTTTTCCTTCTGTTCCGGTGTTTGTGAAGCCACGTCTCGCGCCCGAATGCGAAGGTCTGTGGAGCCAGTGGTGTCGTAGAGAGGTACAATGTTGGCGTAGTTATCCTTCACCAAAGCATTTGATGGATCTTGAGCGAATATCTTTCGCGCAGAAGCATCATAGTCGTTGTAAGGCTTGACAAGATTGCCGATGGGTGCCTCTGGGTGCGATTGAACATACTGCACGAAGTTGTTGTGTTTCACGGGCACAAAAGGCAAAGGAGAAGTCATTGTCAGTATGAAAAGCAAAGGTGTGCTTGGTGAATTCCGTAGGCCAGAGAGAGTCGGGAAATCGATGGCTTTTATGTACTATCTGGTAAAACAATTGTCTAGGCTGGTTTGGGCGTAGTGCATGAAGGGTCTAGGCAGCCTTAGGCAACAGGGGTAGATCCGCCCAGCAGCCGCCAATTAACGTCACGCCAAGCATCAAATAAATGCGGGTCTCTTCGCTAAGATCTAGAGAGAGAAAAAGGGTGGGAAGGAGGTCCTTCAAATTGAACAGAATATAAAATCTGTCAGGTTGAATGAATCCCCTTTGATGATTGCATCGTCGCTGAGTCGAGGGGCTATATTACAAACTGTACAGAATGTCTGACCTGAGATCAAAACCACCCCCACATAAAGAAACATAAGTGATCCTACTCCACAACAAACCAGAATTCCAAATTTAGAATATCTGAAGAGAAGAAAGAAGCTAACCAGTATTATGTGAAGCCTATATATGTATGTACTCAGGATCTTCAGTAGTAAAATTCCTATTTATATAATACTATCTTGCTGCTTTTGTACAGCATTCATTAACCATTTCTACCGGACAAGAAAAATCTTCTAAAGCGTCTCTTATGTACAGTGGCATCTCGAAATCTGTAACCAGTTGCATGAAGAAAGTCTAGGGTTGATGGTTCAGCTTCCCATAATGCTGATTCACGGCGACGATATATACTTCGGGTAATTATCGTAAATGTAGTCCATCTCTTCTGGCGCTGAGTCCTTCACCTGAAAATACTGATCGGACGAAGTTTTTGGAATGAGCTTGCAGTTGGGCCGTGCGGCTCCCAACCCCATCAAACCATCTACCACCTCGCTGGTAAGATTCTCCTCATCGCCGTTATTCCACATCGCTACCGTACCCCAGCGTCCTGTGTTCGCTTCGATTGAAATGCTCTTCGTAACCCCGTTATCTTTCAGCACGGCTTCGATGTCGCGTTCGATATCAGTACTGTCTGCCCAATTCTCGATGCCCCAAAATGTGAACAAGAACTGATCGTACTTGGAGCCATATTTCTGCAGGTCCTTGTCCACAACCACGAACTTGACACAATTTTCAGTTGGTGCAGGCACACTGGTTGCCGTCGGGGAGCCAACTGGAGCCACATTCCCGTCGCCGTCACCGGTTGCTTCAGCGTAGGCATACATGGTACCTCCTTCATTTGTACTCGTGTAGTCGTAAACAATTTCCTTGATCGGATCGCCGAGGCCAGTTGTCTTTGTTATGGGACCAGTAGCCGAAGGATCACCGTACTTGGTATAATCGTAATACTCTTTGCCAGCCGTGAAAACGAAGACATTCCCATTGCCGATGTCTGTGGACGTATAATCGGTGACGGTGACTGTGGGTTGTGTCTGAGCAGCGGTTGTGTATGGTACAGTATTGCTTGGCCATTCCGTGATTTCTGCGCACTGGTCGAGAACTGTCAAAGACCCCATTGCGTATGGCAGAGTGACCAAAACTTCCTTGTTTGACGTTGTCGAGCACTGACAGAAAGCGCCTTCGTTGCCGTTGAGGTCCTTTTGGACGTTTGCGCAGATGGCTGAGGTAGGAACGGCTGTCGCAACTTGTATAAAGCTAGTCATCGGGAAGGTCTTGATGTCACTGCATTTTGTGCCGCTCGGTTTGGCGATTGCATGCTTCAGCGTATGACCGCTGTTCGTTGATGAGCAGCTGCACACGGAGTAAGTGCTGTCGTATACTTCTAGGTCGCACATGGCTGATGTCGTAGTTGCTGTCGTAGAAGCGACTGTGTTCGTGCCGGAAGGGGTTGTGGATGCGGCTGAGATCATACCGGTAGAGGTTGTAGACGCGTCTGTGGTCGTGCCAGTAGAGGATATCGATGTAAGTCTGCATGCCGCGGCTCGCTTCTGGTTTTTTCCATTTTGTTGATTCTGTCGGGGGCACCATTGCTCCAAGTGTTCATCGTTTTCCATCAAGACTCGCCAGATGGCCTTTGGTGGGTCCTGGTCATCCGGGTCGTAAGCGTCCTCGGGATTGATATTTTGATAAGGGTCAAATTCAACCAAGACCCGACCCTTCGAGTCGCCGTTTTTGTTGTATTTAAACAAGACCTCGTTTTCCCTTTTTTGCTTTTCCGCCTCTCTTTCACGCAGATCTTCGATTTCATCCACACCACTGTAGTCAACCGGGGGTGGCTTGTCGTAAAGGTGTTTCGTGATTTGAACTCCCGGCCACTTGGAACTCTCTCCGGTGAGCACATCCTCAAGCCACCCAACTGTAGTGGGATACATCATCTTCCCATCCTTTTGCGGCGTCATGATGAAGATTTGAGCATTGTTGGCTGGGTCGAGGATATTTCCGGCATCACCCAATGGGTAGGCTGCGGGAGTGCCGTCCTCTTCGGGATCTCCGCTTTTGATAGCATTAGTAGCTTGATCCTTGAAAGTATCAGGATAATTCTCAGCCATCATTGTGGGACTCTCCCAGAAATGCCCGAGCCAGGCCCCCATCTCGGAAACAATCGCCACGGCAGTACAGCCCACGAGATCTTGAACGTAAAGTCGACCAGCTGCTTGGTCGAACTTCATGTACCTCGAGCTGGTAAGCTTGCCGTTGGCTTTGTGCTCAACAATCGTAGTTCCTGATTTTTTGACTTGAAGTCGGTCAGTATAGATGTCTTTAAGGATAAGTACATAGGCCATAGGATGACTTACCGGCTTCCTCCACGTATTCAAGTGTGTTTTCAAACCCATTGAGGGGATCAAGGTGCCGTTTCTTGAAGGAGTTGGAATCTTCATGCTGAGATCTTCTCTTCTTTAAGGATGCAGCGAGATTTGCTGCTGATGAGCAAGCTGTGCATTCAGGGGAACATGTGATTTCACTACTGCTCGCGGCGGTAGTAGTAGTTGTGCTGGTTGTGGTAGTTTGGGTGCCAGTGCTCGTCGACGTAGTAGAATCGGTGGCAGTCGCAGATTCGGACTGCGTCGCCTTTTCTTCCTCCTCCTTCTCCTTTTCTTCTAGCTCTTCGAGCGCTTCCGTGATCTCGGAGAAGTTTCTGATGTTATTTTTGAATTGTTGCTCTGTCTCCGATGTCATCTTCTCCAACGCAGGCATTTCATCCTTGATTTCGGATATCCCTTGCTTGGTAAGGTCCCATCCCGAATTGATCAGATTTCCGATATTTTTGGAGCCACGTTTGATTTCATTTGTGGCTTTGTCGACGAAGCAACTGGCAGCTTTGAAGATACTGAGGATTCCTCCCCCGGAGCTGCAACTACCATCAGATGACCCTCCTCCTGAGCTGCTGCTGCTTTTTCTATGCTCGACATAGTCGCTAATCCGTTCCTGTGCCTTGCGAAGATTACCATGGACTTGGTTCCAGGTATTCTTATCTTTGAGATCGGCATTCTGAACATTATTGCTGAGCTTTCCGAGCCAACCAGCGACTGTCACACCTTCGGTAGCCTGGGCTGCTCCAGTAGCGGTAATGGTCTCTGTAGGCATCTCGCTCATTAAATCGTCCCATGCTTCTGTGGTAGCAGCTGCCTCTGTCTGCTCGGCAGACAGCAATGCAGCTATCTCAGCGGAAGAGGTGCCAGTCAGTGTAGATAGCATCGACACCATCTCCTGGCTGTCTGGGGAGTCCCCAAGGCTGAGAGTCACCGAGGTCGAGGCATCATCGGACTTTGGGGTAGTGGTGGTCTGTGAGGGACCTGAGGTTGTCGACGGGGTAATGCTTGTGGCAGTAGGCGACACAGAAGCATTTGTACCAGACGTATGGGTACCAGATGCAGCAGACTGTGACGATGACGACTGACCAATATTGGTCTTAGATTGGCCAGCGGTGTTAGCAGCAGAAAGGTTTGGATTGGAGGGAGTAGGCGAGCCACTTGTGTTGTCGGTAGGCGAAGTTGGTGGAGTTTTAGCCGGGTTGCCAGGTGACGGGGTATCACTCTGGCCACTCTTGGTAGTTCCTTTCACGAGTGGAATTGAACCAGCAGGAGCGGTTGAAGGAGAACTGCCAACCTGGGAGCTTGGAGGTGTGTTTGAACCAGATCCCTGAGCTGTGTCCGAGGGAGTTGTCTCCGATCGTGGGGTTCCGCTTGGAGAAAGTTGAGAAGGACGCTGACTAGAACGTGGAATCTGGGTTCTTGAGGGCTTTTTTGCAGGTGCCGTGGTATGTGCGGCTGGTGGGCTTGCAGGAGTTGTTGATGATTGGCCATATGTCGCCTGTCCATATTCGATAGCATGAAAGTGTAGAACGGGGGTCGAAGACTCTGGAACCGTCACAGTAGTCCTAAGATGCTGAATCCATGTCTCTACAGAAGGAGCAAATCTGACAGGGGTCAAAGTGACAGTGCAAGGGTCTCCCAGACAAGGAGGAATTGAGGGTGTGTTGGTTCTTGTGGACGAGATGCCGGGTTCGGTGGACGACGCAAAGTCAACAACCACAGTTGAGCCGCTCGGTGCGACAATATCCGCAAAAATAACGGTGGCAGATGGATTTCCAGGAACCGTGGTCTCATATTTGGTGATATCGCCAGTGATTGGACCTCCAACTGGGTTGAAAGCCGCACTGCTTCCCTGTAAGAGGGAAAGTAGAGACACTGCCAACCCGCTCCGGTTAGAGAACATGGCGGTAACTAGGATTATGCAATGCTTTGGTGTCGGGAGATGTAGACGAAGGAGTTGGAAAGAAGAGTTGGCGGATTTATATTTCTAGTACTGTTCTCTGTAAATTGAACCCATTGCTGGCCCCCAAGCCCTGGACGGGCCAGACCATGCATAGTCCAGACTATTTTCTCTCATTCCGCATGATCGCAGGTCACTGCCTCTTAGAGTAGTAGTTGGTTTGTTTCAAGTAGAAGCGAGTTAAGGAGTGGATACCGCGGGAACTTTTGGTTCTCATTGTTTTGGCCCTTGGGGCCAAGGCCCGGGCGGCTGCAGATCCGGGCGGCTACACATCGGGGCGGCTACAGACTGGGGCGGTTAGTATTGTGGTATTCTCATGACCACGGTTGAAGAGAAAAGAGTGCCATTGAGTGAACAATCATAAAAATTTACCAACCTCTCTTCCAATCAGACTGGTATAGAGTATGAAGAAGCATGGCGTGATATCAACCAAGCATGGCCTTCTGCAGCATGCGGAGAGATGCAAGATACAAATGGACCTAGCGGTCGGGAAACCAGCCAGGGGAAATATGGGGCGAAAATTAATGATATTGGGATCATCCAGGTGCTATTTTCCAGACGAGTGGGGCGAGAGGATGGATGTAGTGGATGCTAAAAGAAAGGAACTAAACAGCAGAATGAATAAACCCTTGTCTTATGGGCTGACTAAGGAGTCGTGCAGCGATGGTGTGTGTACGGAGTACAATTACTCCAATGAGAGGAAAGCCAGGCGCGAAACGACCCACCACAAGGAGCGCCGTCTGGCCCACTCTCTTCCAACTTCAGCTGTGTCCAAACAGACGATCTCTTGGGGGCTGTCTGCCAAGGCTGATCACAGGAAAATGTGACGTGGGGACCTTGACTACATGCTCAAAACACTCTCAATTGCTTGCTTCTAATCATCCCCTCTTCCGCCCCCAAAACAAAGAACAAGGCCAAAGCGAAGGCTACAGGCTTTGACACACCATGGATGAAGCTGAACGACGACGACGCTCAAATCCAGTCGGTCTGGTTGGTAATGGCTGCGCCAGACACTGCCTAGAAGATGTTCGTCGTGGAATCAACTGGGCCGCAGAAACTTCCCCGCGAATCCATGCTCAAGCCCTGGACAGAGGAATTCGTGGTGCTTTTCGAGAACAGGACGAGGAAATTTTGATCTATCTCGTGACTGAGGCCAATGTCCCTCTGGAAGAAATCGACCCATACCAGCTCTCTACCATCAGTTCGCTTCCACTCTGGGAAGCGGTGCTTAAGCGCGGATGGGACATCAATCAACGGACCAAATCACATGGAGGCTTAGGGCAAAGGCTTCGACTGTTGGACTTTGTCTGCTACGATAGTGACCTCGTCCACTGGTTACTCGACCGCGGAGCCACAGTAGATGACGGTGAAAAAGACACTGTGAAATGCCCGCCCCTACTTCAGACTGCGGCCGAGCGGGCAACTGTACCACTCTATAAACTATTTCAGGAACTTGGAGCACCTCATGGACCACGTGAGCTCCATCTTGCCGTCAAGAGGGCCAGCGGGCCCTATCCCTACATGGAAATGGTTCGCTATCTTGTGGATGAACTCGGACTTGATGTCAATCAGTTGGATGGGGACGAATATTTCGGGTGCTCCGACACTGGAATGTTCTTCGGGCCACCGCTGTATTGGGCCATGGAAGGTTCGGGCGGGGGTGAAGAAGTTGTCCGATTCTTACTCGAACGCGGTGCAGATCCGTATTTGAATGGTGATGCAATGGAGAAGGCGGAAAGCCGCGGGAAACAAGGTGTCGTTGCAATACTGCAAGAGTGGAAAGACGGGAAAATTGCAGTGCAGCGAAAGGATTGATGGGGCTTAGATAGGGCAATAAACAATCGCTATACCATTTCCTTCGGACTGTTGCGATTTCTGGAAGAATACCATAATGTCGTATATTTGAATAGATACGAATAGATTGCAACGAATGATGTCGAATGTGCAAAGAATACCCGACCCCGACCGCCACCAACACGGTACCATTTCGCCATGAGCCTCCCGTCGGTATAAGTGCGCAACATGTCTGGTATCTCGCTCACTTGTGTCTGGTCGCTGCCTTTTTCGCAGGATCCTTGTAGACAACCTTACCCGTTTCCGTGTCCAGCATAGCGCTGTGATCGAAACCATCTTCCGCTCCGCGTGGTAGCGGGCCATCTCCAGCTGGATATTCTACTCAGTCCGCATCTTTCGGGTTTTCACTTTCAATTCCATGGGCTTCGGCTGGTTGTTTCACCACTCCAAGCCCGACCGGTGGTGGTACCCGTTGCTGCCCTCCTTCCTTTATAAATGCCTCCGCCTCTTCGCGCTTCGAGAGCTTCTGGTATCAGGGTCTCGGGAACCCACGTATCTGCTCTTGGGCGTTATCCAGTCTCTGTATACACCAGGAGCTCTGCCGCGTTGAATGCCGTAGAATCTGGGCTCAGGGCCTTGCGCAGAAGCTCCAGTGACAGTGCTTCGAGTCAGGAATGCGTTTGCATTTTTCAAGGCTGAGAATTGATTGGATCCAGTATGATCCTTCAAAGTTTAGCATTTTAGAGGCCGCGAGTGCTTGAGTGCTTGCCATGATACCGAGGGTTCTATCTGGCTAGTCAGTATGGAGTACATAGGAGCAAGTGTTCATCACACGAATAGGGTCTGAGATCATAAAAGCAAGTATCTTCGAGGGAGAGATGCAATCAGGGAACTCGATAGTGACTTAATTGTCTCCTTAGCTCCGACATTGTAGGATGTCATTTGTCCACAGAACCTTAGATCACAATCCGTTTGCTTTGTCATTGAACCAACTTACCTACCAGATAGGATAGTCCCCACAAACTTCCTAGACCGTAGGAAAATAAACACTTAGCTACTCTATGTGAATCAAATATCTATAGGTGGACAGTGAAATTCCTTGGAGCTTACCTTATTGAACCTGCGACCGGTCAACTATTGGGCAGCATCCCAACGGTCGCACAGGGCATGGCGGCCGCCGGACGTCATCGCGATCGCGATCTTCGCCTTGCCAAGAGTAACGGGCTGAGACAATCGGACTCAGCCAGCTTCCGGGCTCTTTTCGCTTCTCTCTGGCATAATTTCTCTCTAGGATTTGAAACCTTAGGATACGCCCCTTGGGTTCTCTTTTCATAAACACATCCTAAATCCTGCGCTCCCCGCCATGCCCCTCCTTCGCGCGGGCTCCCCCGCACTGATCGTGTGCCTGCTGCTGGTGCTACTGCCCCGAGTTCATGCTTTCGGAGCCGGAAGTAGGCCTGTCTCTTCCCTTCTCTCCACTTCTCCTAACATGCCTTAGACATCGCCTCTATCTCTGCCATTGAGGGCAAGAACTGGCGCCATGGCGACATCGAGGATATGCTCAAAACGATCGCGTTCATCGCCGGCCACAAATGGACCTCCACGATGGTCAAGCGCGTGTACTTTGGAAACTGGCTGCGAGATTAGTGAGTTCTTGCCTGGACAAAGAAGTACCCCACGGCTGACGGTGTCCCACTAGTTCGCAGGCTATGGATGTTGGGACGCTGAAAAATCTCCAGGCTGACACGATCCGCGTCCTCGTGTGGGTCCTCTCGTTCCTGACTTTTGGATACGCGACCGGCGAGTTCGAAGTCACCTCCGAACGGTTGGGTGTCTATCGTCCCGAGGAGCATATTGAGTATGTTTCCTAGTCATAATAGCACTTTTTTTTTCTCCCCTGCTAACCTTGTGCTAGTAATCCTAAGGACTATGCTGACAATGAAGATGCGCGTCAGTATGACGGGCGCCTGCGAGGCCTGGTTCGCCAGATCGAGCTTGATATTGATCCGGATACTGGAATGAAGAACTATATCGCAAATGAGCGAGGTGACTGGGCGACCAGCTCCGCTTATGTGAAGTTCAGTCTGAGCCGCAGCATCCACTACGGGCGCATGTACACGCACGGCGGCGAGCGAAAGGGCAAAGAAGAGGATCTGTGCGAGGCGCTTCGGTGCTTAGGTCAAGGTCTACATACTCTTGAGGACTTTGCGGCGCATTCCAACTACATTGAGCTCGCGTTGCGGGAAATGGGATTCCACAACGTTTTCCCCCACACGGGGACGGCCACCCAGTGCATTGTTCGCGGGCATCATGTCTTCCCACTGGTGACTGGAACCTTTGGCATGGTCGACTTCTTCCACTCGGTCCTTGGTGAAGCCACCGATCATTTCACTCAGTCCGAAGTCAACGAGATGGACCTAGCACTTGGGGATGCGGAGAACAATTCCCAATCTAACAACTCCCTGAACGCCCTCACTGGGCTGTTGGGCAAGATTCCTGGTACTCGGGACCTGGTCGCCGAGGCTGAACATCTGAAGCAGCAATCGGAGGCACAAGAGAGGAGCAATTACGCTCGAGGCTCCCACATGGGATACGTGCAGACGGGTAATTTCGAGCAAAGCCGTGCATCGAACCCAAGCCAGCCTTCCACTAGCGGTGCCACACCTGGTCCTGGCCTTCAGGGCATGCCTGATTTCAACCCTCAAGAAACAGTGTCTAAGATCTATCCCATCCTAGCCTTTCGTGACAAGGTGGTTCGGAAGCTGAACTCGATTATCGAGAAGGTTCCGGGCCTGGAGACAATCATTGAGAAGATATCGGAGACTCTGACTGTCTTCATCATGTCCCTACTTGCGCCGTTCATCCGCCCTCTTATTAATGCCGCCTCCAAGTCTCTGCATACCGGGTCCTCGGGTGTCATTGCCGCCTCCAGCAAGCACCAGTACGAGCCATGGACCGATCTTCACTGCACCGATCCTACCCACTCCCTTCTCTCCAAGGACCACTTCGCCAATGTTCTAAATGAGCCAGCTGGGCAAGTCGCTTCTGTCATTCTGAAGTACATCGCTCCTCGCGTGCTGTACGCTTGGCAACACATTGATGTCCCCGAGCACGAGGTTTTAGAGGATTGCGTCCGCATTTTCCACCACCCTGCTCTTCGGGACATGAATAATGAAGCTCACCGGACAATGTTCGAGGCTGTTGGAAACTGGGTTCACTCCCGTGAAGACCGTGGCGCGCATCTGAACGACATTCTCAGCTCTGAGGGCGTCAGGACCGGTCGTAACACAGGTGGCGTCCCACATACACACGGCGGTGGTCAGGGCGGGTTTGCTGCGCTGGGCGGCGCAGCTCATGGTCAAACACATGGGCAGGCTCATGGCCATAGTTTTCCTACCGGTGGTATTCAGTCATTCTTCTCGCAGTCGCAGTCACAGCATCAGCAGCCGTCCGGTGCTCATGGTCACAGTTCATCTGGCCTGCCTTGGGACAAGCTCTCCAAGCTACCTATCCCTGGCATGTCGAACCTGAACAAGCTCGAGAGCTCAATTTCGAACTTCATCCCTGGTGGTCTGTCGCATGGTTCAAAGAGAGACATCAGGGATGACGAAGCAGGCAATCGAAATGAGCATGACAACGCGTCTTATCAGCAGCAGGGGTATTCGCAGCATCCTGGCCAGGAGGGGCATGGTCAGAGTGGATATGGTTATTAGAATGCGGGGGTGGTATCCGGAGAAATTCATGCTATATATTCATGTTCATGAGGTTACTAAATTTATGATACGCGAGCGCTGTGATAGAGTTTTGGTGGTGTTTTGCCCTCTGCCCTGGGTGGCATCCAGGTGCCGGTGTGGGAGGAGTTTGCTAGGTACTAGGTGCTAGAAGATCTGTACTGAATTTGGTTGGCTTTCCCCTGGCTTGGACTGAGGCATTTTCCTTGCGAGACTTCGCCCTTGTCTCGCCTATGCCCGTCTTCCACCCGTTCTTTGTAGTATTTATACTCCGCTAGAAAGGTCGATGGCCATGGGTCGGCGGCAAGATCAACAGTCTGCATCCATGATCCCGCAATTGACATTACCTAGCTTGCTTGACACATACAATGGTTGTAGGAAAAAATCCTACATGGGACCTCATAGGCCACAATTTTTGCAGGGGGTATTATGAAAGGGTACCTAGGAGGAGGGAGGAACCCCAAGGGCGGGGGGTCCTGCATGATGTTCACTTCCCACAGGTCTGACTAGATAAATATAACTAAGGACTGTGCCTGAGTAGATATATATATCTGGGGTCGACCACACAAAAACTACCAGACTTACATTTGACATTGAATCCAACCGAACAGATGACAAACCCAATATGTAAAATTAGAAACTAGACCTAACTTAGCTATGGAAGTAAGAAAAATCAAGTTATCCTATTCTGTTCGTAGTCCCTCACATCCTGGTTATTTTTTTTTTCCTCTTGCTTCCCACTGAGCCCTTCCACGCCGGTGCTTTTTGATGACCTGGGTTAATTTGGATTTATGTATCTTTAGTTCGCTTTGACCTTCAACCAGCCCTGCCGGGCTAGCTCAATCGGTAGAGCGTGAGACTCTTAATCTCAAGGTTGCGGGTTCGACCCCCGCGTTCGGCTATTCCTAAAAAAAACCTGAGATCATATCTTTTTTGCTGTTCCAATATTTGAACCCACATGCATCCGAGTCAAGTTGATTCGACAATCGATTTTTCTGTTTACAACATAGCAACTTCATTGTTTGCTACTGTCATTCCACGGTTTGATTGGTTTCGCGCTGTCAGATTCCTTGTGCCTGCATTGCTCAGGGTTGGGTTGACGCGAACCCCCCCCTGCCGAAGCTTCACGCGTCAAACTGTACCTCGCGCGTCACGCAGAACATCCTCCTGCAATTGCCTGCCCACAATCCATAATCATGGCGTTTCAATGGCCAGAGCCCTTATTCGAGGGTGGCGAGTTCAAAGATGTTTTTCAATTTGCTGAAACGTTTGAATTGTACTGCGCAAAGGTTTATGAACACGCTGCGAACCATCCAGACGAGGCCGCTTCGGCGACCTACGTGATGGATTTCGTGTCACAGGCCTACAGAGCAGTCCACTGCTTGCATATGCAGAATATGGCGACGTGGTATTTGGACATGGACACTGCAATTGCTTCGCTGCAGAGGAAGGCAATGCAGTATCGTGAGACCCGGGAATCACTGTCTGTTCATCATTCCGAGGCCTCCGAATCTATTAATGATGTCGCCAAGGATCAGACTGAAGATGCTGTCGGAAAGGATATTGAGAACTTTTTCAGTGGCGACTTCGAAGATGACGACGAAGATTCGGACTGGGATGAATCATCTGAAGAGGAGACGGACGATGAATACTATGAATACAATGAGGAATCCGAAGAGGAAGATGATGAAGAACTCCAAGGGATACGAAGGCTTCAAAGAGTGAGTACCATTCAAGAGGTCCCCGAGGATGATCTACCTGAGAGGAACCCAACATCACCGGCAAATAATACGACTCGAAATGAATACACCGCAACGGACGAAGCGACATTCATACCTCCGCTTATGTCACCAGAAGAGCAAGCTGCCCACGATCGCATTACTGCAGCACTTCAGCGAATCTCAGCCAAATTCGAGGACCCAGACCCTGCACCGCTAGTGCGTGTGCAGACCCGTACAAAACAAGCCATGCAACAGACCCCGCCTCCAACCGATGATTCTCAAAGCGAAGCAACGACAGTCCTGCCAGAATCAAACCCAGACCCTTCGTCACCGCCGCAGACAGCGACTACAGCGACTGAGAGGGCGGCATCGGCGTCGGAGATGGCAAATGCAGCGCGATCAGCTTCTGCACCAATTCGAAAGGCCAGTTATGATGGGACTGGTGTGCAGACTTTGCAAGCCGGCCTAACACGGCGCGCATCCATCGCTGTTCTTCCTCGACGGCTCAGGACTGTTTGCCATAAATATGTCCGAAAAGCTATGCTGCCAATTCGCGGAAGGGCTCATTGAGTGCTGAGATAGCCTAATATTTTGCGATCGAACTTTCGGAGAGCATTCATATTCTAGATTGCTCCCCCTTCCACCAGCCGCCTACTGGTCCCTGAATTCCAGATAACTTCGGCGATTGAGTTGAGAATCTGTCTTCTGTACCCCCGGGCTTGCAGTCGAACAAAGATATACACGAGATGGTGTTCTGCGATGGCCCCTTGGTGGCAATGAAGAGCATTGCCAGCGCGGAAATTCGACACTTGGTCGATCAGGTTCAGGCGAGATAAAGAATTCCCGTGGAAGCTGCCCGTACTTTGTCTTCGGACGCTTGAGAATACAGCGCCAGGGCAGCCAAAGGAGGTCTCGGATCAAAGAGAAAAGGGTTAGTAACTTTTGTACGATCTCAACCGCGAAGCGCAGAGGCCAAAGTACTGGATGGTCTCGACATATTTAATCATTATCCGTTATTTTCATGTGGGTAAACGAAACGAGATGAAGCTGATATTATCGAATTTGGCCCTACTGTAAAAAGCCAACCCCGGGTGAAATACCTAGATCATGCAGCCGAGCATTCTACCGCAGCGGCTGATGCTATTTGCGTGGAAGATCTGGCCTGAGACCCACGAGCTCCCATTCACCTGTGGAATTCACTGGAATTGCACCGAACCCCGATAACAAGCTGGGAACCTGACAGAGGCACGCCCGTTACCGAAAGTATTAGATCGGCATTGGAGAAAAGCGAAGCCACTTGGCTGGCAGCGGCTGCGCCGCGCATCGACGCAGTTTAAACCAAACCTTAGTCCAGAAACTTTTGGGTATATGTGTGCTCCGTTCTGACGACCCGTGACTGTACGACGGATATGATTTATTTATGCGTTTCTCTCTTGGAAAAGAAGCGGCGGGTGAATCCTATCAAGGCCATCTAGGGAGATCCGCCTCTAACAGAGGTCTCGAGGAAGTGGACGGGGAAACAGGAATTCCCATGTCTCAGATACGGAAATCGTAAGATGCGCTGGCGTCACTACCATTGGCGAAGGAGGGAACAGCGAGAGTACCGGGCGCGAACTGCCTTCTGCGTTCTTGATGGGCAGGGCATTATCCACGGAGTACTGTACTGGTGGGCAAATCGGGGGAAAATTATAATTTGAGAAGTTTCAAAGGCCCCAGTCACCAAGAGAATCATCTCTACATAGATCAACGACAGGTGTATAGGTATAAGATTTCATTATCACCCTAAACATCGGACTTGATAGGACTGAGATAGAGATACGAATACCGCCAGGTACCTAAGCACCCTTCCATCCCCTTTCATCCAGGGACAGGCCAACACAATCATCAGTCATGAACTTAAGAGGTACACACGAAAGAATATCCCAAGACTCCCTCTCCACATCCTAGGCCGGAGAGATGCAACGCTCAAAACACATATTCAATTCGCCCCCACTTCACTCATAGTTTGGTTCCCTCGCGCCCACTATCACTAGGTCGTCGGGGCCGAAGCGGTCCCAATGATGGGCCAGCAGCGTTGCTCGGCCCTGGTGCTGACGTGGATGTCAATTGCGTCCGGGGGCTCTCATTTCCAGCTGTACTGGTGCGGATGCCGCCGGCTCGTGCGCCGTTGTGAAGTCGAGGGTTCATTAGCCACTGGACTTGCATGCGCACGCTGTTGACGGCGGCGTTCGTGTGGGCCATGTCTTCTTTAATGCGGAGACACTCGTTCATGATGGTCATGCTGGCGCGAGCGTCAAGGTCCGTGAGAGCGTGTGATATTTGGTTGACCTCCTCGCGCAGAGATTCGTGGAGGGAGAGGAGGTATTGAGTGGTGTGGGATGAGAATGCGGTTGCAAGGTCTGAAGATTCGTCTGCGTCCCCACGAGCCTGCTGGTCCCTCTCTCCACCTATGACTGATCTTCCACCGTTGCCGCTCGCACGCGCAAAGTCACGAAGTGTGGATCGGATATTGGCCAATCCATCCTCGAATATCTCATTGCGTTGTTGCAAGTGTCGCATAGTCAGTTCAAGAGAATCCAGCCGCGTGTTTTGCGCCTCGAAATATGGTCCTATTGAGACCAGCGGACACTGTTGTTCATGTATCGCAATATCTGCACGTCGAATTTTGACTTGACACCCATATTTCGATGCCACACAAGGGCTGACAACATCCGGACACGTCTCGATATGCTGCTTCAGCGTTCGCTGCGGGATGGTAGTTCCGCAATCAACACAAGTTGTTTCCAGACTGGGGCAAAGCTCCTTGTCATGCTCCGCAAAGTCCTGCTCCATTATATCCTCATTGCAGCGCCCGCACCGGCAATAGCTATGCATACACCGTTGGTCCGGCTGGAGATCCTTTTTCCGGGTGTTCTTGCCGCATGATTCATCCGGGCACGGCACAAGCCGATAGCCGCAGTATTTCTCCACATGCGACTGGATGTGGCCTCGCGGAACGACCTCCTCACAACCATCTCCTAGCAGCGGACACCGTACCTGGATCTCGTCACACATGTTGATCAATAGGCGGGGCACATTCATCGATATTCGGGTTGCGGGGGTCCGGCAGGAGGGACACGGGAACTCTTCCGAGTCGGCCGAGCGGACGGTGGTGATGGCCGAGCCCAGACATTTCCGGCAAAAAACGTGATCGCATTGTAGTCGCACGGGCTGGACGAAAGGGCAGTGGCAGATCGGGCACATTAGGTGTGAATCGTAGCTGGAGACGAAATCAAGGGCGCGGAGGTCGACCAGGTCGCCGCTTTCGGAGTCGGCCTCCAGGGCCAGAAAGTCTGGAATATTCATGATGCACAAACACTTGAGCCTTAGGAAAGGCCCATGCAGAGGACTCTGCGTGGTCTGTACGCTTTTTATCGCAGTATCGTTGCTGCTCAAAAGTTCCGGCGCAAGTTCGTGAACGCGGCGGACAATAGTAAAACGGGGAGCGGACACCGAGGTCGATCACAGACGACGCAGAACCCCCAGGTGCGAGGCTGGATCAAAAGAAGATCATTTGACAGATAACGACAGAATCCAGAAAGTCCAGCAGCAGCACGGACAGTTCGAGAGAGAAGTGGAGGAAGAATGAAGGTGGGGATTGCGGCGGGGGAGGGGGAAAGGAAGGGAGAGTGAAGGCGGAACGCGGCAGATCGCAGACCCGCGGCCAGACGGGGGGTTGGGGTTCCCTTGCTGTAATCCACTGCCTAGAGTGACCCAACTTGCGACTCGTCTCACCTCAACCCACCGGCATCACCTCTTATCCAGCGAACTCGTCTGGATTTACCCGTGATCTGCAGTGAATTCTGATACAACAGTGGGAGAGTCAATCACCCGTGCTTTCCACGACGAACCTGCCCCCCGTGCCGTCCGTCAGACACCGCCATGACGAAGCCATCCGAGCTCTTCCTGTTCGCCGATTACATCAAGCTCTCCCTTCTAGAGCGGCAGCACGCCATATCGCTGGACCTTGAACCAAATGCACACGATGACGTGATCTCTTGGTCGCTCGAGTCCCTCGAAGATAGTATCCAAGCTATGGAGGCCGAGCAGGCACGGCTCATAGAGTCCAACGACAGCGCAGGCGCCGCCGCCCTGAAGGACGAACTTGACCCTCTCCGTGAGCAATTCCAAGACCTTTCCTCCCAGTTTTATGGCACAGACGGCGGCCCTTCCACCCAGGACCCGGCGCAGGCATCTGACTCCGTCTACCTGTCTGCAACGTCGCCCGACCTCAAACAACCCGTTCCACAACATCCCCCTTCTAAGTCGGTGCGGTTTATGGATAACTCTGCTGCTGCTGCTGCCGTACAAGAGGAAATTGACGAAGAGGAGGATCGGAACCGCCAGAATCTCTTTCGCCCGTACCGCGACGAGCCGTCGCCGCCGGGCGTCGACCATTCCAATATGAACAATGAGCAGATCTATGAGCACCACGACCGGATGATGCGTGACCAGGATGAGCACCTGGATCGACTGGGGGAATCTATTGGGCGTCAGCATCAGCTGAGCATCCAGATTGGAGACGAGCTTGATGGCCACGTCGCGCTGCTGGACGGCATGGATGGCGACGTTGAGCGGCACCAGACCCGGCTGGACGGCGCAAGGCGGCGGCTGGACCGCTTCCGACGCAAGGCCGGCGAGAATTGGAGTATGATGACCATAATCGGGTTGATTATTATTCTGGTCATCTTGATTGTGATTTTGAAATAACGGCGATGCCCAGTCGCTGTATTTCCTCCGTTTGCATCTAAGACTTACTACTACAAGCGGGCGTTTCGGGTCTCAGTGGGGCGGACAATTCTATAGCCTACTGTTAATGCTTTGCTGTGATAATTTGGCGTTGGGACAACCAGTAAATTCAACTTGATTACTGCTTCTACATTACAAGGTCTCTCAGGACTCTCCCAACGACCTCCATTCGTAACCCGAGCTGACATGCCGTCAATTTCGCTTGGATTCACACATCTCCAACCATGCACACCTACTAGGTATTGAGTTTTCCCAGTTGCAAACGACGCTTCGTCAAAATCCTCAATTTCAAGCTTCTGGGCTCAATGCAAACTCCCACCGTGATAACCCTTTTTCGTATGCTCACTTCTGTTTCGGCACATGTTTGGTCTTCGCCTGCAACTCCTGGAAAGTTTTATCCACCGAATCGATTTCGCCTCGATCCGCCTTGACCTGAAGTAAGAACATGATACGTCAGCGCTGGTTCGTTCGTCTCATACTCGCCCGTATAGAATAACAGTGTAGACGTACGTCCGCTTCACTGTTGCTGGCTAGATCGGGGTTCCACTTCCCCTGTCCCTCCTTGTGGCTCTTCAGCTGCTGTTCTTTCTGCGATTCGTAATGATCGGGAAGATCGTCGCGGTCTAGATTGAACTTGGGTTAGCACCTCTGATGATGAATTGAGTCCAGGAAACTGTCGATGGAGGAGGAGGGTGAAGGAGTGGCTCACTTTTATCGCTTTCTTTCAGAGAGCATCGCGGTGCATTAGTATGGAATGCAGAGGTGGAGGGTAGGGAGTAGCTCGATGGTAGGAGTCGACGGGAGCTAGCCCGGGCAGAGGTGAGGAAGGACATGGCGATGATAAATCGGAGATCGGAGAATGGATAGATTTGATATCCCAAGGTATACGCGACTCCGGGCTTGAAGCAGGGGATGTGTAGAGAGTTGTTGGGTCGTATAGCGAAGCACCAGGTATAGTTCCGACAGGATAGACGAAGCTCACCGCGAAAGACCAAAAATCTATGTAGACTCCGGTAAAGGCGACTTCATCGTTTTAAAGACCCCAGACTCCCGGCCGGAATACCGGGTCGTGTGCAATTCCCCTCTTTCTATTTGCGCTCCGCCATGCAGTGTCTATCAGTGACGTCAGCGATACTTAACGGTCCGGATGGGCGGATATGACTCGCTTGGGGAAGCGGAGGGCGTTCGTTCGAGCCGGCCAGCGAAAATTAGGACAATAGGTGTAGTATGCCTGGCATTGCATGAATCACGGGTTTTTCCATAATGAGTTTTGCTCTTCGTAGTGACTACTCCGTACATGGAGAATTGCAGCGATTGATGTTGCCGGCTATCTAGGATGGAGCATTCAAGCGACAATGGCAGGGCGCCCAGCATCTCCTGGTAGCCTTAAGTGATGACATCATGAAATAAATACATTGGCGGATCATTACCAGTGACGCAGGGGGATGAATGCTCAGCATCAACTCGATGCAGGGTTCTTCTGGAAAATTACCAGGCGAAACAGTGGACATAATTCCAGAAGGGCAATCTGGCCACTTGCTATGGTGGACTTTGACCAAGTCACAGAATTATAAAGACGAGAACCAGGTCAAATCGATTTCTGTCCAAGCATATCTCAAAACAATGTATGGAACGGAATCAAGTCATTGAACAAAATGATTATAAACCAGATGTGTGATTGAAGAAAAATGACTGCACAAATTTCCAATGAATGAATCATCATACAGCGTACTTATATCACTCTCCGGACGAGGGAATCAGAGAAGATCCGAACGAGTCGAACGTAGAAGAGACGAAACATAAAGAGCAAGCGAAGGGAGACAAGGTATGTTAAAGAGTTGAATCAGAACCAGAACCAGAATCAGTATCAGTATCAGTATCAGTATCAATAGAAGGCATAAGCACAAAAAGCCGTTTTCAACGCAATATGGTCTATGTCGCATGTTCCGCGAGAGACCCCCAGGATATCGACTTCAAACAAGAGAAAACAACTCCGCATCCAATGGTTCGCTGCGCAACCAAAACCCAACCAGCCACAGCATCCGTGGCAAGGAAGCAATGAGTATTCGCATGTCACCCCATCCCCAAAACCGATATACAAGCCAAAAGGATAAACAAAGAATAAACGAGAAGGAGAAATCAACAAGGTGCAATAAAAAAACAAGAACAAAAGCCCAGATATTTCAACAGTGCCCAAGCAATGCAGACGTGTATCGTTTCCGCCTCTAGATCCTTGAAAATGTGATATCCATCCCGCCCCAAGAGTAAAACAAACCCCAAGAAAGTGAAAGAAAGCAAGGAAATCGTTGAAATAAGTCACAGCAAAAGTGAATGGAAGAGAGAGGGCGAGCCGGGGTAAAAGGTCACTCGCAAGCGATCCAGTCCTTTTTCCCAACCCTGTGGAAGAAATAAACCAACTCCAGGTTCCCAATGCGACATGTACGTCAAGTAGCAAGTCACTGCACGTTCTATACATCACCGGCAGACCCGACCGAAGCGGAAAAGATGAACACAGGCCCAAGAAAAGAAGATTTTAGGTCCCTCTCCGAGAGACACAGGTATCGTGTGGAAAAGGATGCAAGAAGGGTTTCAAATCGCAAGGGCGCCGTCGCTCGCAACAAGCCGGAAGCATCACAAAGGATCTAGATGTATGGCGAAGGTGGTCGTAATCGGCGGCGGAGATAAAATGTAGTATGTACAAAAGCCGGATTTTCGTCGAATAATTTTCGAATGTTTTTCAAGGGGTTTTTGAATAAAGAATCGCCGTGTCGTAGAAAAAATGGACTTTCCCAAGGTAGTTGTGTAGTCGTGTCGAAAAAGAGGATGCAAAATAGTCGTATCAGACAAGAATGCAAGTAAAAAGATTGTAAGATCTGCGATTAGACGGACCCGCGCGATGATGCAAAATTAAAACTCAGGTGACGTGCAGAGATATATGCCGCTAGGGCAAAGAGGGAAAAAGGGCTCGCAAGCAAGCACCCGATTTCGGCCAAAGACCCCGACTGCGGGCTCTTTACCATCGACGCTGAGCAGTCTGCAGCATCGCTGGCGACATCGACGCCGGCGGGCTGGTCATGGTCATCCCGGTGGTGGGATTAACGATGGGAATGACCTTGCGGGTCCGGTTGGCAGCAGGCTGGTGGTAGTTGACATGATTAGGGTTGGCGGCGACACCGGCGTGGACAAAGGAGTTGGTCGAGGCGGGAGAGAGGGAGATGGACGGAGTGACCTGCTGCACCGGCTGGATCTGGTGCTGCAGAGGCGATGTATCCGGCGACCCGCTGGAGAGTGACGAACGGTCGGACGAGGCAGAGTGAATGGAGTGCAGCTGCAAGGCTAAGTGTTAACAGGGAGCTGTTCCCGGGGAGACTTTGATACTGCCGGCCCGTCGACTATCATCGCAAGGAGATTGTTTTGATTGGGACAAGGCCTGTAGGGGGAAGCAGCAGCAGCAGTCGCTGAAGGAGGACGGGAAGGGGACGGCGAGAGAGGCATCCGCCGATCTACACATACATCCTCATCAGTCAGAAGGTTCGGGCAGAACTCCAAGTCGTCATCGAGATCGAAGGAGCGACCGGCTTCGAATCTCGCCCGGAAGGCCGTCACGGTTGGGGCTTCCGCCAGCTCCCGCATGCTCTTAACTCCACGGAATTGACGGGCATTCTGCTGGGCCATCTTGGGGCCGCGGCGAGTGCGGCCATGGTGGTTGTTGGTGTGCATATGGGGTGCATGCTGAGGGTGTTGTTGTTGTTGTTGTTGTTGGTGGTGTTGCTGGTGGTGGTGGGAGTAGAGGAAAGCAGACATCGTGACGGGCGATCAAGGGGAATCCAGCACCCGGGAACACAAGAGAAAAGAAGTATTGAAGATGTGGTGAGAAAAAAGACAGAAAAGAAAGCAAGTCGGAGAGTAGGCAGTTGGAGGAGAGTTGGCGAGAGGAAGGAAGAGAAGAAGAAGCGTAGAATTGGTGTGGTGGAGGAGTTGCAGTGTGGGAGGGAAGAGGCGAGGGAAAAAAGAGGGGTGTTTTGGGGCTGAGAGGGTGCGGTATGGTCACGTATGGTAAGCAGGCGCTGTGGATCGATAAAAATACTCTGGGAATTGTCCTTGGACAGTGATGGACAGTTCTGTAATGTACGGTCACGCTATCCCAGTGGACGCTTGACGCTAGCGAAAAGGTCACGCACCAGCGCGCCAACCAGGCAAGCCCGGGCGCCGCCGGTGGCGAGGATGCAGCATCACCACCAATCATTTTGACCGGATGGAGCTTAATCGACCCACTGCCAAATGCCGCTCCCCTGGGCGGTTACTCACTGGTCCGTGACGTCGTCGACCAATGTGAAGCTAACCCGTTTGGGTCTAGGATAAGATCCGGTCTGACGGTGCGGTACGGTATCCGGTATTGTAGCCTAGTTATCTGATTACGGGGGACTGAGGAGTGAATACAGGAGGAGGAGGTATGGTCATGACGATGACTCCTTTGACTACAGGTACAGTATCGTGCCTTCATGCCTCTCCATCTTGACTCCATGCCTGCCGACAAGGTTGACTGATCCTTCCGATGATAGGGCGACAATGATGATTGTTACAACCGACGCTCCATTTTTAAAGAAAGGGCGAGCTCCACTCACACGACACAACGCTGGAGATCACCTTGCGATTCTCCCCCAGCCACCACCCAACCGGAATAGGCACGCCATGCCCATCTCCCCCATGTTCTTGACACACCCGTGCGCTGCGAGCGGGTGCTGGCGGTCCCAGCATACGAGTCCCGGCAACGGAGTCCCGGCGCTCACTAAACTATCGTTGGTGCTGGGGGTTGGGGGGCGCCCAGCAAAGTTTTCCTCAATCCTGGACTACTCTCTTTCGTCCTAGTCTGCTGCAGGCGATGCAGGACAGGGCAGAACCGGGCAGGCTGGGCAGCCTTCCAGGCACATTCTCCGTCCCCGTAAGGCCCCGGCTGTGGCTGCTGATCGCTGATCGCCTGCCTTCCACCCCATACGAATTCCCCAATCCTGCGACCAACATGTCCTATCGGCACAGACCACCCACGCCGAAGATTCTTGACAAGCCAAGTTCGCCCGTGAGCGTGCAGCCTGCAGGGCCCCTCCCTGCCAGCCCCTGATGATTGGCACTGTGAGATCTGACGCTCCTCCCGGAACAGCAGAGCTCATCATTACGCTTTCCGGACTCACAACAGGCGAAAGAACAAAGAATTGGCCAAAGAGGGATACTCCCGCACAGGGCCGGTTCCTCTGGTGGGCCCTTTTGCTCTTCAGATACTCAGTAGCTGGTCGCTGGGTACTGTAACATCTGAGTCATTGATGACCCAGTCTGCCCCCCGGTGGTTCCACCATTACCTGCACGAGAGGTGTGGCGGGCCCTTTAGGCCTGGGAGTTGATTTCTTTGCGTTCCTGGATGACAGGGGGAGAACCTCCTGGCCCGGACATGCCGTGGGCGCCTGCTGGAACAATCGTTCTGGTCCACCTGGAACACTTTCTGGACTTTTGGCGTCGCCCTCCCTCGTGTCCACTGTTGCATTGATTCGTGGAGTGCTACCGGCGCTGCACCTGCCTCTGTAAGAATATACGCGGTCCTCGACCCGAGCCGTCCCTCGGAGCTTCAGGTAACAGTAGTCATTCCGTAGTCACAACTACCTGCTCCGAGCGGGTCTACACCGCTCCTTCGGAAGAAAAGGGCTCGACCCCAAATTCTAAATATACTTGCGGCCCTGCCGATGGATCAAGTCACGCACGGCTCGCTGATTGAGTTATCGGATAAGTATACCTCTGTATAGGGGGGTACTCTAGACGGCAGGAGAGACTGGCGTAGTGCCCGTGCAGCGCGATCAGACACTCAGGTGCAGGTACCGTTACTCGAAGCTTGCACCATGCAGCTGACTCGTCGACGCCCATGCCTGCGTGCGCGACATGCAATCGCTCCGATTTTACGATCGGGCGCTGCATGAAAGTCTAGATCAGTAAGGAGGGCTGGCTCTCCCCCTCAGCTTGCCCCAGACAAAACAACGCAAGGGAGCAGGCCACACGATCTGGTTGCCCCGGTTCGATTGCGAAGCTGGCTGTGTTGATGTTTTGGTGGCGGTGGTGACCGATGCCTCCGATCCGAAGTGGTCTCGGATGCTGGTTCGGTTGAAAATGGAGTTCTGGAGTGTTGTATCTGGCACTTGTAGGTTATAGGCTTTAGAACTAGGTACCTAGCTAGTCTATTTGCAAGTGGAGTTGACCAAGTTAGCATTGTCTAACGGCCTTGAAGTGCATTGTGTTTATCCCAACCGCGACTTCTCCACCCCTCGGTTCCACCTACTGTGATTATATCCCATCGATGAAAGTCAGCGTTAAGAGGGATTTCGTCTTTGAGGCACTTTGAATTGGTTCACGTGGAGGTAATATTTAGGTACCTCTCAATACAGAGTGCGGGGTACTGAGAGTATACCTCTGCCGGGGTTTAGCCTACCATCTATCCCATACTATTACTTTTCTTTGGATCATCCAACGGTCCAAGGAATTAAATGCGAAGGTCTACAGTACATAGGCTTGGAGTCGGTATGAAATTTAAGCAGAAGGTCGTATCTATATCATAAGCTTATACAAACGCCCCACGACCAGCACTTTTACATTACTCTGTTGGTGATATATCTACCCTGTGATAGTAAAGCAAGAAAGTTCTACATCTATTACAGGTTCATTGGGTAAGGGAAACATAAGTTGGCTGCATCAGCTCCTCTCAAAGGATTTCGGTTGGAGAAGTCTTAGGTTGAGCCGAACAAATGCCGAACAAATGTTGAAAGATTCTCAGAAGCATACAGTGTAAAATGTAATTGCCTTTCGAATGCAGTACACTACTCCAGGGCGTAATCAAGTGCACTAAATGAACAGAATGAATAGTCATGGTGATGACACTAATGGCTCTCAGATGAGCAATTTTGTGAGGCACATTTAATGATGGCGCTAGCATGTTGTGTTTTATCGACGCCACTTCTGCGAGCTGCTCTTTCTACGCCCAGGTTGTGCTCAGTGAGCGAATGAGGTGGTCAAACAACAAGCAGTGAGTAAACCAAATAGCTCAGCGGAAAATCAGGTGATGCTCAGAGGGGTCCACAAGGCCAGAGTACTTATATAATGATCACTGATCAGATCATGTGGGTCGTTTAGAGGCGTTCTACGGTGTATTCCAAGAGCAGAAAGCGGCAAGGCTGAACACCAAAATAGGAGTGGAAAGCCAGGAAATGACATCAAATGTAATACGTAGGTGTATACTGACCTATATATTGCTTGGATAACACCCGTGTCTACACGTATCTTCTATATGTTGAAGTATGTGCGTGTGCATCCACTGTAAGATGAAATGTTGATGGAAATACCCATTAAAGGGAGTTTTCACGTTTGCTTTTCTATGCAGCACCTATACTCTGTAGGGAGCTTCCCTATTCCCTCTCCATAGACTAATAAACTCTTGCTCTTGCTCTGTAACTATCTGCCCCGCTGCACTCATCATACTTGGCATCTGATTGAGGCTAGAGAAATGTATATGGTACTGATATCCCTAGGATGCAAGAGCACATGATCCGAAAAAACCGCTATAGATCCATGCCCAGCATGGGGAACCTTCATACTCCTTTAAACCAAACGCCACACCCTGCAGAAATATCACTTCCACGCATCCATTACTTATCCAGTTTCTTGCTCTTGACCATGCGTCCGATAAGCTCCTTACAATGCTTCTCGCTGTACTGCTCCCACACCTCATACAGGGAGAGGAGCTCTTGGGTACACTCGATGACCGCCTTGATATCCACTTCACTCTCCGCGAGCCATTGGACTAGCTTCTGGATGCGAGGTGAACCCGATCCAGGTTTATCTGACAGCGCAGCTAGCATGCCCATACCAGCACCATCTCTTATCACTCCAGCCAGGGCAGACTGTGCTGAGTTACCGAAGGTACCCGGATTAGAGGGCTTGAAGACCACGGCGACGATGATGGCCATGATCGCAATGATGTGTGGTGGATGTAGTAGTGGAAGGTCCGTCAGATAGTGATCGTTGATAACTGACCACGCTAGGGCAACCTCATCCGAGCTGAGGGGTAATTCGGACTGGAGCTCCGACAAGGTCCGGTAAGGGTGGTGCACGATGAGCTGGGAGCTCATCTCAGAGATCAAGGCAAACTCACATTCACCCAGCTTGGCTACATCCGGCGTGATGAACTCTACGGGTTTGAGGGTCCGCAATTAGTTTTCCGCTCTTTTCGATGGATGGAAGAGGAGTGTCCACCAAACGTACCGGGATATAGACCGCGGGCCTCACCCACCACGAAGCGGATGTGTTGGGGACATTCTTCCATCTTGCAGGCCAGGTAGAATGCAGTCGTGAGAACGAGATAGGGATTAGTCTGGCGGATCTCATTCTTGGTGTAGAACCGTTTCAGGTATACCTGGGCTGTAGCAATGGCCTGTTGGCGGGTGGACATGCGCTTGCCCAGTTTTATCAGTTCTGGAACTGGTCAGGTATGACGAGTCGTATATAGAATAACGATTTCTTACGCTGATTGAAGTAGATATTCAGTAGTCGCTGGTCTGGCAATGGGAACTGCGAATGCGTTACTTTATCTTGTTCCCGGAGTCTCTCCCGAACATCGGCCAGTTTCTCCCGCGAGAAGAGCCAGTGACGACGCTGGGTTGAGGCCCAGTAGTTGGCGGCCATGATGGAAGAACCATGTATGGGCTGGTCGGGCTGGTTAGGCTGGATTGACAGGCATCTCCCTCTTGCGACGTCGTATAGATCGGACTTGGGACTTTGCGCTGGCCAAACGATAAGGCCAACTTGGGCGGCCCAAAGGGGTATAGTAGGGCCCAGCCCTGGTCCCGTGTCCGCCCGGGGATGGCGTCAAGTGCCTGATCGGAACTGCAGCAATGACCGATCGCGCATTAATCATTACCCTCCCCACCGGTAGATGCTCAACTTTTATGCTCCCGACCTCAGCACCGCAGACTCCGCCCCCTCGGGAGTCCCTTTTACGTTCCTGCACCATCGTCCGAATTAGCTGACTGGTTCTCATACTCCTTTGAATAATGCCGGTTCAATAACAATTTTCCTCCGAACATGGCACCCGGCGAGTCAAAAGATGAGCGTGAAGAACGAGTGGCCCGGCTCTGGGAATCACTGGACTTGCGCAGAGAGGGCCATATTGACTTGACGGGCCTGAAGAAGGGCTTGAAGAAGATCGACCACCGTGAGTCGCTGATCGGCTCTTGTGCCGGAAGCCCCCGACTGACGCGGTCGCATTGCTAGCTCTGAAAAACGCAGATGGCATGCTGCGCAGCATCCTGCGCGAGGTTGACACGAACGGCGATGGCCGGATAGACTATGACGGTGAGCATCAAAAGCTTTCTCCCTTGCTGTTTCCACGCTGCGCGCACCTTTTTTGGAATCATCCATCCCCTAATGGTCGCTCCTAGAGTTTCGAACGTTTATCGACCACACCGAGTCCGGGCTATGGCAGATGTTCCAGGCCATCGATCACAACCATAATGGAGAAATCGACAAGGGAGAGCTACGAAATGCATTTGCAAAGTCAGGGGTCACCGTATCGAGTGCAAAGCTGGATGATTTCTTCGCCGAAGTCGACAAAAACAATGACGGGGTAATCTCTTACGCAGAATGGAGGTTCGTTGTACACCTACCTTGGGCTAAGTGTTGCATGGAGGAAGACATCAAGGACAGCCAGACCAGCGAAGCTGACCCATTACTTCGTTTCACATCTTAGGGACTTCCTGCTTTTCCTACCGCTGCGTTCCACGTCCGACCTACGCGCTATCTTGTCATACTACACGGCCACGGGCAATCTAAACCCGGAAGGAGATGTCCACATCAATGATCTGCAGGGTTTAGGTACAGACCCCACATTTCTTAACCGTTATCTCCTGGGCCTCAAGCGCCTCTTGTACAATATCCTTTCTTTGCCCGCGCTGGCCTCCCTCCTTCCTTCAGCCCTCGCGCAAGTCACCGCCGGCCCGCCTGCAACGTTGAACACCGCTTTCGGGAATGACTTTGCCTCGTTAGACGGTGACTTCGAGCTGGAGTGGCTGCCGATTCCCAAGACTGTCGCCATGTGGATGTCTTTCCGCTATTATGAACGCAAGTTGACCGAGAATACCCCTAAATTAGGCTACTTCATTGCAGGAGGGATTGCGGGCGTCGTTTCTAGGACGGCCACCGCCCCTCTCGATCGTCTTAAGGTCTATCTGATTGCCCAGACGGGTGTCAAAAAAACAGCGATCCGCGCGGTGAAGGAAGGCGCTCCTTTGGCGGCGGCGGGAAATGCATCCAGAACCCTGGTTGGTGCGCTCAAGGAGCTATGGCGCGCTGGCGGAATGCGAAGCATGTTTGCTGGTTTGTTTCTCTTGTGTCTACTGCCTCCTGAAAGTTTTCGTCTGATGGATATATAGGAAATGGGTTGAATGTCGTCAAGGTCATGCCAGAGTCTGCCATCAAGTTTGGAGCCTATGAGGTGAGTTCATTAATGCTGATGGTATTGCAATGGCGCATCTGACCCTGAAATAGTCGGCAAAACAAGCGTTCGCTCGCTTAGAAGGACACAACAATCCCAAGCAACTTGCGCCCACATCACAATTCTTGTCAGGTGGTATTGGTGGAATGGTGGCCCAGTATGTTTTCACTCGCGGCTGAATTAATGTTGCCCTAACCAATATGGCAGGTGCTTTGTCTATCCTCTCGATACCTTGAAATTGTGAGTTGGAACATGTTCCAGATCTCTCCAATACCCATTTATTAACTGTTTTTCTAGCCGCATGCAATGCTCAACTGTCGAGGGAGGGTTGAGAGGAAACAAGCTTATTATCGCTACTGCACGGAAAATGTTTAACGCAAATGGGCTGTTTAGTTTCTTTCGTGGACTGCCGCTTGGCCTTATTGGAATGTTCCCTTACGCCGCGATCGATCTGACCACATTCGAATACCTGAAACGTGCCCTCGTCGCTCGACAAGCTCGATTGAGTCATTGTCATGAAGATGATGTGACCCTGAACAACTTCCTGACTGGTGCAATTGGTGCTCTTAGTGGTGGTCTGAGTGCCTCAGTCGTCTATCCTCTGAACGTGATGCGGACTCGGCTGCAGGCTCAAGGCACCGTCCTACATCCCACTACATACTCCGGCATCGGCGACGTCGCTCGCAAAACTCTCCAGACCGAGGGACCTCGTGGTTTCTACAAAGGTCTCACCCCCAACCTCCTTAAAGTGGCACCCGCCGTGTCCATCAGCTACGTGGTCTACGAGAACTCGAAGCGAATGCTCGGCTTGAAATAAACGTCGATTTTTTGTACCAACCCGTGACTTGTGTACGCCACCTCCACCTTCGATAACCCTCGCTCACCTTCCACCGTCCTCGATTCATTTTGTTTTTGATTCTTCCTTATCTGGAGCCCGTTCAAACCAAGATACCCGCAAAAAGGTCACCATACACACATGGTACAGCTTCTCCCTGTGCTATGCTGAATATATCTTATTCTCAGCTCAATATCCTGCCACATTTCACCACCATATTTCTTGCATTTAGCTTCTGTTTACTTTGCTCGCCTTTTTCTCATTTGTGAGACATCCTCACCTGGCAGGTGCGTTGGTACAGAGCCAAAGTGAGGTACCAACCTCCAAACAATATTTCAACGAGCATGGCAAGGCGTCGATGCATGTGGATTTCATGCAATATCTCTGGGTCTTTTTTTTTGTGTATATTGAGGATACTACAGTTCACTTCAGAATCCTATCTAATAGGTATAGTCTGTGGTGATCTAAAGTTAGAGCTGTCGGATAGAAGCTGAGTTTCGATTTGCCCCAACACCTTCAACATTGGATGAATTTCCCGAGTCGCAGTAGCGCCAACAGCGTGATGTGATGGCCTAAGCGTCCAATATAAGGTCTACACAGGCCTAGGTGAACCGTGGGATCCAGACTCCCAAGAATGATGGAATTCCATTACCTCTTTTCTGTAAAGACATATCCATTCTTAATAGAAATCATAGAAGACAATTCGAAAATTAACTTTGTTGCGGGTTGCACTATGCCTACCTATGTGGCATGGAAAATACGCTCTTGGCTCTCGTTAACAAACTCCTGCTGTATTATCGTCTCCATCCCCGAACTAGTTTTCTTTTACTACAACTTATTCGGTCCCTCCGTTTTACATTGCGAAGATATCCCGTATTTCTTTTCTTAAGATTTGAGTGATATTGAGATAGCGTCGTATATTATTCGTACCGGCTTTTAGTATATACGCGCGCGAGAGAGAATGCTAAGGTTATTTAGATAAGTATAAGATTATGCAACCTAAAAAGCGCGCTATCCCCAACTGCTCCTCCAGCAGTATTTGGGTCAGAACCACCGCTTGATTGTTACAAATTCCCCATAAACCCCCGGCCCACTTCATTCCACTCGTTCATGCATTTATGCATCTATCTCTCTCACTTCGCAGCCTGCGCAGCCTTCACCTCCTCGTCCTTCGGCAGAATATCTGGCAACGGACCAACCGGTGTAATCGCAAACTGATTGATCTGCTTATGAGACTTGGTATAGTGCTTTTTGATATGCTCAAAGTCCGTCGTCTCGCGGAACGCAGGCAGATCCCAGTACAGCCCGCGCACCCAGCGGTGAATAGCCGGGAAGCCAGATCGGATATCACGGATATTGCACTTGAAGTGCTGCACATATACGGGGTCAAATCGGACGATCGTCGTGAACAGCCGGATATCAGCCTCGGTGACTGTATTGCCAAAGAAGTACGGGGAGACGGCAGCCTGCTTGGAAAGATGGGCCTCGATCTTATCAAGGGCGGAGAAGAGCGTGGTGACGGCCTTTTCGTAGGCCTCTTGGGTGGTTGCGAAGCCGGCCTTGTAGACACCGTTGTTGACGTCGTTGTAAATCCATTCGTTGGAGGTGTCGATTTCGGAGCGCAGAGGAACAGGGAAGAGGTCGATCTTCTTGTATTGCTCCGGCAGGATTTCGTCGAACTCGTAGTAGAACATGCGGATAATTTCCGCGCTCTGTGTGTTGTTAGAAGGGGTGTTGGCATCACGATATTGAAAGGATCTTACCTCGTTGCTGACGATCTGATTCGTCTTCTTGTCGAAGAGCACGGGGACCGTGAAGCGACCAGTGTAGTCCGGTTCATTGGAGAAGTAGATATCACGCAGATGAGTGAAGTCTTTATGCAGTGGGTCGGGAACAGTGTTCTCGCCCGGCAGGTCCTCGTCGATAGTAGCGAAACGCCATCCTAGAATGACGGTTGGCATACAGTAGCTAAAATTCTGATCATGACATAGAGTGCCTACCTTTCTCACCGAGGTGCCAGTGTACCGAAGAGAAGGAGATGATATCATCCAGACCCTTGAGCTTACGGGTAATCAGAGTCCGATGGGCTACGAGAAATTAGTAAAAGCTACAACCACAAAGGTGGAAAGCAATAGATGTTGAGACTCACCCCAGGGACAAGCATAGGAGACGTAGAGATGATAGCGGCCCTTCTCCGGCGGGAATTGCGCCCCGGGCTTGTGGGAGATGAAGCTGCGGAAGACCGACTGCTGACGCTTGAACTCGCCAGACTTGTCATTGGGATTGACCCAGTCGGTGATTTTACCAGAGTTACCTGTCTAATAACAGCATGGCCAGCTAGATTAACATACCATTCAAAAGCGCGTGCATTTATTTCTGGCTTACCGTCATGGTTCGCGACGATCGGGCGGAGGGGCAGGGCTTGACTGTAGAAGCTGCAAAGAACCGCGCGTGGAGAGCTGGACGTGGAAGAGTAGGCAATCCGGGTGAGCGCAATAGCGTAAAGAGCATCAGCGGAAACTGGGTAGCTTTATAGCTTTCGCCAAGAGTCGAGAGCAAGCAAAAGAAGAAAAAGGAACGAAAAGGCGAAGTCTACAAGCTGACAACTGCGGGGGATGACGGTCGTTGACGAGATTATTACTCAGCCCTTATCGATCGTGGAGGGGGTGGGTCTGTCAGGGTTGACAAAGCATTTACTCAGGCATTTGTAGTGGTGAGCCAACAAGCAGATAAGCCCGAGCCAACAAGCAGGTGGAATTTAAGACTGGTAATCTAGCATCGCACAGGACTGGTTTGTTGGTAATCATCATGAATCTATTTGTTTCCTATCCCGAAGAGATCGGCGCCACCGGTGGGTTATTTTTGACCGGGGAGGAGTCTAGACGGGCCCTTGCTTTATTTGCTCAGCTTAACCATCACGTATGGAACCTCAACATCCTCCTCTGTTTGGTCCTCCGCTGTTACCTCGAAGATGATGTTCTTCTGGTGTTCAGGCACGGGCTTCTTGCTGACGTGTTCGACAAGCTTGCTCATCCTGTGCGGGGTCAGTGTGATAGTAAAACTGGGATAGAAGCAGAGCGAACTTACGGCAGAGGAAGGCGGTCCTTGACCTTAGATGGAGGGTAGAAGCTGGCGTACAGCAAACTGACGCCAGAGCTGACCATGGTAATATCCAAGCCCTTGCTGGCAAAATAGTCCAAAAAGGCCTGGAGGGGAATGTCGTCCACCTCGAAGCGGTCCCAGAGGCGGTCGATGGTGACCTCACCCTCCTTGCTCTGGTAGTTGCCTTTCGGGCTAGCAATGGGTTCACTGAAACCAAAGAACGGCAGTGCCAGGTTGACGAAACCATTCTTGTACTGCTCGATATCGTCCTTGCCATCGACAACCTTGTACAGCTCTAGGGCCACCAGGCCGGTGACCAAAGCAGTGGCAGTGGCAATGGCAGGAATGATCTTTCCGGCGATGAATTTAGTCTTGTGGCGGTCCGCCTGGGGTATATCGTAGTTATCGGCACGCAGATTGCTGGCCGCCGTGATGAAGTCAATGTGATGGTTGGTGTCGTCGTCCTTCTCGAACTCGACCGGCTGAAGACGGAAGCCAGCAAGAGACTTGGGCGACGGCAGAAGAGTCACGAGCTTCTCGATCTCCTCATTATCATTGGTAGCTCCAGCAGGCTGGGCATTGGGATCAGGGTCATTGTCATCGGCCTGGATCTTCACGTTGGAGCTGGGAGTGAACTCGGGAACGATCATGTCGTCTACGACCTTGCGGTAGTAGCCCTTTTCAGCACCGGGATTCTTGATACCGTAGTTGAAAGCGTGGAGGTTTGCACCAGCAATCACGAATCCGATGTGAGCGGGGTTGGAGCTATCGAACTTCAAAGGGGTAGGTGCCCGCTTAGGACCGGACCAGAAAGGCTGGCCAGAAGATGTCTTGGAGTCCTTGGGGAAGTTGTAGAGCAGCTGCTGGATGGCGTTATTGTACTGAGCCTCGAATTGCTGGCGGGCCCAGACAATACAGTCATCAAACGTCAAGGGCTTCTCAGTGACCAGGAAGTCACGAAGGTGCTCCAGTGTCTGCTTCTCGTTGCCCGCCTGCTTGAGAGTCTGGTCGATGTAGTCGGGCTGTGAGAGGTACATGTTGACCGACTCAGGAGGGCCAACGAAGTAGGTCTGGAAGAGATCGCGAGCCCAAGCAATGGTATGTTCAATACGGTTGGGGAAACTCTTCAGAGTACACATTGGGAACGATTTCTCGGGAGGATCCTGGGAACTGGAGTAGGACTCGGTAATAAAAGGCAGGATAACCTGGGTGTTGCCCTTGGTACCAAGAGTACCACTTTCGAGGAGCGGTTTGCGGAAGAAAACGCAGCGGCGATCCACATACGTCCGGGCATCGACATTGTCCAGAGCGTTGGTGACCCCGTCAAGTCCATTCCAAAACTCCTCGTTAAAGATGTGCTCGGTATCCGCACCGACACGGTCACGGAGAGTGACGATCTTACCTTTCAAATCGGGGTTCATGGCTTGCACTGCAGCAGAGGCGCAGTCGCTCTTAAGGCGGCCAACGTCCTTGGAGCGGAAGAGGAACTGACGGTTCAAGTTGCTCTTCTCGATTTGATCCATATCGGTCACAAAGATCTTGCCCTTAGGACCAGTGCCCAGACCAATCATGGCCCAGTTCTTCAGGGTCTCACAGCCGATAGCACCAGCACCGACCAGGAATTGAGTGACATTGGAAAGCTTCTCCTGGTACTCCTTACCAAAGACTGCAATCTGACCATCATAACGGGAACCGGTTGGCTTGCAGCTCTCCTCAGACCGAGTTGTTGAAGACGGAAGAGATTCTAGAGAATCAAAGTACATCCACTGGTGAACGGGACTAAACTTTCCAGAGACGGCCTTAAGGATCTCCTGAGCAGCAATACCCCCAAAGAAGGCGGCCAGTGGGTTCAGGTCACCACGGGCCTGGTAACTCAATTCCTTGATGATCTTCTCGTCAAGCTCAATCTTCTCCTCCCCCGCAGCGGCAAACTCATTGGCAATCTTCAGAACCTCCTGCGCATCGCTGTCATTGTGCGGACGGGGGAATAGACCGTCGTGAGTCTCCGCAAACTTGTGGAGAGCCTGGATACCAATGTGAAGCTGTTGTGGCCGGTCAAACTTGGCGAAATCGGATACCAGAAGCTCTGGCTTTTTAATCTGCTCCGACAAGGACTGGAAGTCAATAAACTTGGGCATCTTCACCTGCGTGAAGAGACCGCCGCCCAGGTAGGTGCCAAGACCAGACACATCACCAATGCTGAAAGTATATGGGCCCTTGACGGTGACCTTTCGAGGTGCGCTGTTGTTCAAGCCATCCATGCCCTTGACCTCGGTGAAAGTCACAAAGTCGCCATCCTCCAGGCCGTGCCGGGTCTCGTCTAGGGCAGACACCAGGCCATCTTCATCAATATCGGCGATAATACCACCGACGGCCTCCTCGCCAGTACTGTCTCCGACCGTGAAGTTTTTGCCGAAATCATTGAAGATATACCCGAATAGACCAAAGGTATCCGTAATCGTGACATAGATGCCGTTCTTGTGACAGAAGTCCGCAATCACCAACTGCTCCTTCAACGGAGTTTGGGTCAGAACCACCGCTTGATAACGCTTCAGCTGTTCTAAATCCCCCACGAGATTCCCACCCTCGTGGATTGTAACCGGGACATACGAGTTGAGCTCGGCGACCCGTGGGGCGGTGACGTCGGCGCGGGGCTTGCCGACATCTTGAGGCTGAAGGAAAAACTGGGAGGAAAGATCTGCGATAGCAACGGGGGCGGGGTCGTAAAGGGTAAGAGACTTGACACCGGCGAGCGCAATGTTCTTGGCTATAAAGATGGGAGTGGATTGTCAATCAGATGCCCGTGGGGATGCCTTGCCACCGGCCCGGCCCAAGCATAGTGTGACACTTTATTGCTTACCAATTTCCACACCGAGGCCCTTGAGACCAACGACCAGCACATTCGACGAGCCCATACGCTTCATAGCTTCGTGGCCAAGCACATACCTTGTAAGGAACGGTTAGATTCGATATCCCATCACATGTAACCAGCGGGGAGCCTCACAGTTGCCGACTGTACAGGGACTCATCGATCTCTCCATGTTTGATCATCTCCATGGTCTCTTGAGGGTTTTCGACCTGCATCGTGACGTCCTGATGGTAAAAGTGTTAGTGGCAATGCGGCAGTATCAATCTCCATGGGCGGGATATAGACATACCGTCATGGTCTTCTTCTGGGGCCGAGCGGCGGTGTCGTCTTCAGACGCTCTGCGCTTTCCCGGCTTAGCCGATTCACGAACAGCAAGATCGGAAGGAATGGTGGAAATCAGAAAGTGAAAGTCTTGCCCAGCGAGCAAGACCTTCCACTAGTGCGGATAAAACAAGTTGCGACTCGCAGCGTACCAGGTACCTATTTCCAGGCCAGATAGGGCAGGAGGAAGAGCGGAAAAAGGCGGCGCAGATATAAGAGAGGCAGGAAGGACGCACAGCTGTACAAAAACAAAGGAGGCGAGTTGATTAAAGAGGATGAGAGGCAAGGGAGGAGAACAGCTGTTGAGAGAGCGGGACACAGCGACGTAAGAGGGACCCGCTGCGGATGACTAATCGGCGCGTCGGGAACCCCGCGGTCATTCGGCGGGCTCGAGGGAGCGTCTGTTTGTTACGATTGTTGCGACTCGGCGCCTTTTGATTTGGCAGTGGGAGCTTCTGCGAATTGGAAGTGGTGATGGCTATGATTTGACTTCACTGAAAGGTCCAGAGCCACAAACCGCTATTTCCCACGGTCAAACCGCCTGATTGCATGATCCTGGCACCCGCGCGGAAACCCAAACCCAGCTCGCCATCCCTCACATGTGTCGCTTCGAGCTTCTAGGGCGCGGCTTACTATACTGGCAGAGGCAGAACCCCGAAGAGGACGGCAGTCATCTCTCAAGGTATGTTAGCAAGGGCCTGCGAGTGCTGGTTGCTGGGTTTGAAGCTAACCTGTCTCCTCTATAGAACGACCCAGCCAAGATGCTCCACGAGATCCTCCTCTCCCTCTCTGGCCAGCCGTCCCCCCTCTTCAGCCCTGCGCAAGAAAAAAATGCGCTCGCTCAAAATGATCTCGCCCTTCTCTCACCTCCGGAGAAAGCCCTCCTCCGATCTGTAGCCCATTTAAGTCAATTGCACGCGCAGCTCCGGGCACATACGTCCCAAATATCTTCCGCACATCGGTCCGTGATTTGTCGCTCAGTGTCTACCGCTATAGTCACAGCCCATCTGGGCAAATTCCAGAACAAGGTCCTCGAGGTGGAGAAAGCCGTTCTCGCCGAAGACAGCGGGTATGTTGGTGGGTATGGCATTGTCCCGCTGTCGACTATCGTGGGAGAGTTCGCACCCTGGACCCGCCGCCTGGAGTGGCTATGGGAGGTTGTCAAGTTCATACAACCCGAAACCAACCCCAACGAGCGACGGTACGGCTGTACGGGGGCGGCGCTTATTGATTACCTCCGTATCGAGTCCCAAACCGGATATCTGGATATCAAAGAGATGGCCGTGCAGCTCGCGACCGCGGCTGAAACGGCATGGATGAAGCAGTTGTCTATGTGGCTCTTATATGGGAACCTGCCCATGTATGGCAAGGACGACTTTTTCATCCAGGAAGATCTCGAGGCCGAGAACGATGACATTAAATTCAGTATGCGTATGGATCTGCTCCCCAAATTCGTGTCGGCACAAACGGCCGGGTCCATTCTTTTCGTTGGAAAATCGCTCAACCACATTCGCGCAAAGAAGAAAACATCAGGGGGGATCTCTACTGCGCCGGTGACACTCTACCGGGAGCACATAGAGCAACTTGCTGGGTTGAAATCGCCCATCTCATCTTCCAAGCTTTCTACAGCCGTGGACTGGATCCGCCTTTCATTGTCCCAATCAAAATTGTCCAAGCTTCTGCCTCTTCCCAAAATCCTCGAGATGCTTACATTGTTGCACGACTTCCTCCTTTTGGGACGAGGAGAATTTGCCGTGGCGCTGGTATCGCATGCGGATTCGCGTATCGAAGAAAGCCGACGACGAGGTGCCCTCGCTCGATCTCAATCTGGAGGTCTCCAGGGTCTTTTCATCACAGAAGGTGATGTGATGACTGCGCTGGCCCAGGCATGGGCCGAGCTGTTCTCCCTACAAAACGAAGAAGACCCAGCCGACGAGGAGCTAGAGCTTGCTCGAGAGCTACTTCGATTGTCGCTTAGCGACAAGAAAACCGGCCGTGCAACAACTCCGTCGCAGGGTTCGACAACCATCCCTGAGATATCGAGTGTCTCCTTTGAAGATATCCTCTTTCCCACACCCACCTGTATGACAGCCCAGGTCCAGGCCCCCCTGGACCTCTTCCTGTCGAGCTCCGATATTGTCATCTACTCGAAGATTCACTCGTACCTGCTGGGGATCCGGCGTGCTCAAATACGCCTCGGGGATCTATGGAAGAGAACATCCCTCCGGAGGAATCACCCTTCACCATGGGGACCACCCCGAAGTAACAGTATCTTTGGCCAGAACAAGCTGCAGGAGGGTCGAGAGAGAGACAATACTCGCATACGACAGATGCGTCCGATCTGGGCCACTGCCAGTGGCTGCTTATTTGTCCTCTCGGAGATTGGCAGCTTCTTCCAGGGTGAAGTTGTCCACGAATCCTGGCAGCATCTGCGAGAATGGCTTCATGGACCGGCACTCTCTACTGCCTCAGCACCTGGCTCTCGACCAGGAACTGCATCATCGTGGAAGCAGCACGGACCATCCCGCGCTGCATCTCCCGACCGTGTATCCAGTCGACCGTCTTCCCACGCCGGTCCTCCCTCTATGGGCCGACACGATCCCGAAGCGCTGACCGTTGCTCACCGACGCTATCTCTCCACCCTCGTTCAATCCCTTTTCCTCACAGACATCCCCTTCACCAGCGCCCTCCGCTCCCTTCTCACCAGCGTGGACCGCTTCGTCGCACTAGTCCTCCGCCTCGAAACCATCCAGCGCAACATGGACCTCGAGACGGACGAAGGCGTGGTCGACGCCCTCGTAGACTACGCCCAGGAAGAGCGCGAAGTTTGGCAGGACCTACGCACCACGCACGACGGCGTGAAAGCCGACATGAAGGACCTCGTCGCGAGCCTGCGCGAGATCGACGACCACCACTCGGGCGAGGGCCTAGGCCCTGCCACCCCATTTGGCTTGGGCCAAGCGTGGCCGGGAACTCGAGCGGAAGGGAGCACTGGCCCCGGCTTCCGCCACTATGTGCCGCGCCAACCAGCGGGTGTGGACCGGCTGCTGATGAAGCTAGACTTTGGGAGTTTGCGCGGTACGACGATGGCGCCAGGCTTGGCGGACCTGGCCTAGGGCGTCCGGGATACCGAAGTCTGCTGCACTGCCTTTTTCGGCGGGATTGGTTTCCTATTGTTACGATCCATATGATAATTGAGTATCGGGACAGCCTAGGGCGGGTGGGGCGTTACATGGCACATCTCAGCTGGATCGGAGTCATTTACCCGTGGTCTGGCCAGTCGTGGAGGAATGGGAATTGAGTTCGGCGCATCCACGGCTGCGAGCTGGAAGGTCATGTGTACTTTCAGAGCCATTCATCTACTCGTCCTTTGACCGCGGGGTTGATTCTCGGTGGATTCGTCGAGAACGAACGACCGTGGGTCCTTCTGTCTGTGGACGGAACTCTGCTTTTCACGACCACCCGATCCTGGTATAAGTCATCTAGTGGTACTTGTATGACGTCCAGGGCCTAGGGACCCTAGTAGTTTACGATTGAGTACTAACTACGGAGAGTTCCTCTGGGACTCATTTCGGATAGATGAATGCATGTCCAGCTGACCAGGCACGCAATCTGCCAGGGCGTTCGAGATCGTGTTCGATGTGAGCTGCTTCGACGATCCCTGAAACACGCCTCCTCCGACAGGGTCCGCCATAGTCGGAAAAGAAAGAAAGAAAAACAAAAGAAAAATGACCATATCTGAAAAGAGGTCTCCGCATCGATGGGAGGACGTGCGTGCGAGAGCCGGCGGGTGTGGCATTTGCGGCCCGACCGTAGTTTGGTCGCTTGTTCGGGCGGTGGCGGAAGCTTATACTTAATCTTTTAATCTTTTTGACGGGCAGTACTCCGTACTCCATACTCCATACTCCGTACAAAGAACGCGGAAGTGGAGGGTCTGGGGAAGTGGGTTGATGGCTTGGAGTGGTTCGCGCAACATTCACACACCCAGTTGTCAATTGTGAATCAATGGAAATGATTGAGACCTTCTGCCTGCTCCCTTTCCTTGTCCTCATCCATTTCCTGAGCACTGCTGGTGCACAGCGGTGTGAGACCGGACCAGTCAGGATTACCCAATTTGGACATCCCGGCTGCGCACGCAGGGGTGTTTTCTACCTCTCCACCGTTGCCCACCTGCTACACGATAATCCACCGATTACCCACTGTTTCCAGCGGACCCCTCTTGTATGCTTATCCATGATCTCCACCATTTATCCATTCCCCGCCTAAAAATATCCAGAGATCGTCTGAGGCGGAGGCCCACTGCCCACTTATCGGAGAGGCGAGAGTCAACTGACCTGCTTTCACAATCCTTCAGATTTTGTCCTTCCCCCAGTGGAACCGACGGTGTCACTACAGCCGCCAGGGTCTGTGGATAGACCTCCACTGAGCCAGCCAGCGGCGGACTCTCCAGGCCTACCTAACCTATTCATGGACATGCCGAGGCCCACCTGTGGCCTAGCCACGGGGCTAGTATAGCAAGTTCAACAAGTCGAAAGATTCAAACTGCATATGCGGCCGTATCTGCCATATCTGCCATATCTGGGCGGGGAAGGGAAAGAATCCTGATATCCCACGGCGGTTATTGGTTGGACCCTGACTCCTAGGGGATCGGATCATCGAATCCGCCATGCGGAAGATAGTATGCCATCCCGGTGCTCGGGGCCCTACGCGGTCCCTTGACGGCCAGCGCGAGCAAGGAGCTCTTAAAAAACCTGCTGCAGATCAGCTATGCATATCTCGGGGGACCCGCTCCGGTGGGCCGTTCCATCGAAGTCTCCGAAAGATTTACCGTCTTCGGCACTCCTCCAGAGGTCACGATGACTTCTACTGGCCGTTGACTGCTTGGAGTGTGCTCCCTTCCCTCCCCTTTTTCCCGCAACCCCATAGCCCCCCATACTTCCGCCCCGGTAGGAGTCTGCTGGACTATCGGGACGCCCACAGAGTGTAGCCGAGCGGGCTGATGTGGCAAGCTGCCAACCCGTGGATGCTCCCGTCGATTTGTCTGGATCTTAAGTCATGGTGAAAGCAACCTGCCAAGTCCACCGATGGGTCACGCGCGACTTCAATATTTTTTTTCTTTTCATTTTCATTTCCATTTTAATTTTCATTTTTGGCGGCACAACCCCCTCGACTCGAGATGGCGCTTTCGGTAAGCTCTGCCAGGAAATACCGTTCCAATTCTCCCTGGACATATAAACCCTTTCCCCCAGGAACAATGTGAATGATTCTACGCGATACCTCACCCGCCTGTTTCTGGTAGTTGCATACTTTGCGGTGTTCCGTGGCTTTATACCTCGCCCATACGTCGCCCTGTTCTTGTTCTATATATACATTTACCCGGCCTACCTACCCCCCCCCCCCCCCCCCCCCCCCCCAACCTCCCAACTTCCTCAATTCGTTGTCCAAAGATATTCCTATATTCCACTTCAATTCCTACCCACACCATGTCTTTCCGCCTTTCTCGAGTATTTGTGCCCGCCTGTGTTCGCTTCACAGGAGCGGCCGTGGCCGCCCCCAGGCTGCTCAGCTCATCCTCGAGCAGACTCTACTCCAGCACCAAGAGCGCCTTCAGCCCGCAAGATATTCACGATGTTTCCCACGCCCCCGACCACATCCAGACCAAGCTTCCATCCAAGAAGGAACTGCGCAATGCCAAGCGTTTTAGGGAGTTCGATATGGAGGGCCGCGTCTATGTTATCACTGGTGGCGGCCGCGGATTGGGCCTGTCCATGGGCGAGGCCCTGATTGAGGCCGGTGCAAAGGGTATGCATCTAGTCACCCTCTGAATTGCATCCAGTGGACTCAAACACCTAACATCAATTTGCAGTCTATGCCCTGGATCGTCTTGAAACACCACACCCCGACTTTTTCGTGGCCAAGGAAAAAGCCGAGAACGAGTACGGCGGTAGCCTGGAGTACATCAAGATCGACGTGCGCAATAACACCGAAGTAAACAACACCTTTGCGGCGATCGCCGCGAAGGAGGAGCGCCTCGATGGCCTGGTTGCCGCCGCGGGCATCAATCACCTGCAGTCCGCGCTCGAGCACTCGCAGCAGGCGCTCGACGAGGTAATGAGCATCAACTACAACGGCGTGTTCAACTCCGCCACCGCCGCCGCCCGCCAAATGTTCAACTACCAGCAAAAGGGCTCCATCCTGCTAGTGGCATCTATGAGCGGCCTCATCGCCAACAAGGGCATGACCTCGCCCGTCTACAACTCCTCCAAGGCCGCCGTTATCCAGCTTGCCCGCTCGCTGGCTATGGAGTGGGGCCGCCACGGTATCCGCGTGAACAGTCTCTGCCCCGGCCACATCATCACGCCGATGGTGGAGCAGGTGTTCCAGCAGAACCCGGCTGCCCGTGCGACCTGGGAGGCAGAGAACATGCTCGGTCGTCTGGCTGTGCCGGAGGAGTTCCGCGGCTCGGCCCTGTTCTGCCTGTCCGATGCTAGCAGCTTCATGACCGGCAGCACCCTGATCATCGACGGCGGCCACACTGCCTGGTGAGCGAGCTAAGAAGACATGAGCATCCTTTCGAATTGGCTTTCCGTCAGGTGCGGAGCCATGGGGAGTAATGGAGTACACGGGACACGGGGCAAATCGAAAACAAGACACAGACTTGCGTCTTCCATTTGTGTATATACACCGCACCGGCTCTCTCTGAAGGAACTCCCGCGCCGTCCATGTTTGACTCCCGGTTTCATTCGGTTCTCTCTCGGGCTCCCTCGGTTTCCCGCCTCCTGGAAGCCGGAGCATCACCTTGACGGCCGGCAAATTAGCCCAGAGTTGAAGCATGGACGTAGACCGGACCTCGGCAGATTGCAAAACAAAAACGTCGCATTTGGGGGTTCTCCCTTTTTTTTTTTTTTTTTGGTTCTCATTTCTTTTGCATAGATCGTGACGAGAGTCTTAGTGAAACGTCACCAAATTTAATGATTGCATGGAGCGTTCAATTCATTCATGCAAATTTTCACCCAATCTACCATCTTCCCACAGGTCTATTGACCTCTTCGTACGGTGTAATAAATATAGATGGCAATGTACTGTAGCTAACCCACGCTAAAACTCAAGATATGCACCTGAACCAAGATCATCCAACCGACCACTCAAATGAGGTAGACAAACCGCTGATCGCCCGTATCATGCTCTAAATCGTCTCTCCGCCCGCCTCCCATAAGCTCATCTCGCTCCTCCCCAGATCGCACAGGCCCAGCCCGGTCAACAGGCTGATACACGGTCTCACCGGCCCTACGATTTGCCCGCTGCAAGAGAACCCGCAGGCCGAATGCCAGGATCGCGACAAGCACCATGAAAAACGAGCACGTCGCCATGCCGCGGATATACCACGGCCGGTCGGACTCGGGATACAATCTCGTGCCTAGGAGAGGGCCACACTGTCCGATGAAGTTCAGGATGGCAATGCTGGCGCCCTTGCCCTCCTTTTCGACGCGGTTGTCCATCGACCAGGTGATTATGAGCGTGATCGCGGAGAAGAACCCGGCTGTTGCGGGGTAGACGCAGATGTACCGGATGAAGGTGTGTAGCTGGGGGGATAGGTGCGTGTGGAAGTAGCCTGTCGCGGCGATGGCGAGGTATGCGGCTGAAGAGACTAGCGCGTGGCCGATGAGGTAGGGGCTGCGGGTGCGGGTGCGGTCTGAGGCCCATGCCGTGACGAGGACCACGACGAAGGCGACGAGGTATGGCGGTGCGGAGAGGGCCTGGGCGCTGAGTGAGGAGTAGCCCATACTAGCTGCTTGTTAGTAGAGGATCATCCTGGCTTTTTGAGTATAGCAACTCACTCTTTGATGATTGTGGGGAGAAACACAGGCAGTGAGCTGAAGGCAACATTGCAGCTGAAAAACATGAACTGTAGATAGCTTGTTAGACCATACTCGAACATACAAGAAGGGGAGGTAACTCACAGCTGCGATGTATGCTTTGGGATCGGCGGCCGTCTTTAGAATCTCCCTCCAATTAAACTGCTTCGCAGATGAATGCCGGTAATCCGGCTGGTTATCCCCAAGCCGGAGCCGGGCGACCACTCTCTGCCGGCGAGTGAGGAATCGAGCACGGCCAGGAGAGTCTGGGATAAGAATCCAGGCAAACACAGCAACAACGACACTAGGAAACCCTTCGACCAGGAATAGAGCGCGCCATGGAGAGATGGGGCCATCACTGCTGTATTTGACGATCAACCAGGCTAGGCTGCTGGCGAACGACGTTGCCAGGGGCGCAGCAGAGATGAACAGTCCATTTCTGAAAGCGAGCTCATCGCGCCGGTAAAATAGCGATAGGTAGAACGGAACTCCAGGGCCAAAGGCAGCTTCGGTGATACCCAGCAGTGCACGCAGGACGACTAGACCCCCAAAGGAAGTTGCCAAGGATTGAAAAGAGGCGATTAGTCCCCATCCAAACACGCACAGAGAAATGTAGATGTGTGGAGGCACAAGGCGGTACATCAGTGTCATCCATTCGAATAGGATGTATGTGATGTAGAACGCGGTGAGCAGCCATTCATATTGTGCAGATGACAGCCGGAGGTCATCCTGCAGCCCGGCGATCCTAGCATTCCCGATATCTGAGCTCGATCGTTAGAATTAACTGTCTAGCCAGAATACACATGATCAACTTCGCAGATCTGGCAACATACTCGAACGGTCCAGGAATGCAAGCAAGTAGAGAAGTGCCAAGAACGGCACTAGCTTCCTGTCAAAGACCTTCACGACCTCCCTTTCCTCCTCCACTGTAAATTTTGGCATCCCCCTCGGATTTTTGCCTTCCAGCTCGTCCGCGGAATCATCTGTTCTCTCCTCGACATCCGACGCAGGCCCGCCCGCGTCCTCGCCATTCTCAAAATTGGTCTGTAGTCGCAGTGTCCCAACAGGTAGTTTCGGCAGCTTCGAAGCTGGATAGTCCTCCTCTGAGCTATTGGAGACGGGGGTAAAGCGCGGGTTCGACGAGCCGGAGTCGGAGGAAGCATTCCCCGCAAAGGACGGGGGCAGATAAAGAGCAGCCATATTGTGCGCGGCGGTTTAGTGGCGACTGGAGACGCGACGCAAATAGACGCGTCTGTCGCTGCTGCTGCTTTCTAGGAGCCCTTGCTCAGACCGAGACTCTCCATCAGAGTAAGATATGCCCCCCTTCTTAGATCATGCGGAGGCCACGGACATTCTGCGGGTGATCTGATCGGCGGAGCTGGAGGATTAGGTAACCAGGGGCACGTGTGGGCACCAATGGGGTTTAGTGGCGATCGGCGCGAACTAGAACTGGACCTACAGGGCGCAGTGGGTTATGCGAAGGGTTCTGAGAAACAATGATAGTATTAGGCTAGAGATAAACCGATACGGTTGTTTGAAAATAAAGATACATGATAAGAATAGCGACCTCACCCTAGAGACCTCCTCTAGATGTTCGCCATATCGCCTTGCCACTCATCTGCTTGACACGACTTGGAGGATGCGTGGAGATCGCCGTAAATCGTCCTTTAGTCCGTGTCACCATGTCTGCTTCTCCTGAACTTAGTTGTGAGCTGGATCATCCGCATATTCCTCATCATGTTCATTGCGGTGGTGGCCACGAGGAGGCCCACCGAGGTCATCACGGGGGCCGTCGTGGTATTCGTTAGGTTCGTCGTCATCTCGGCAGCCATCACGATTGACACGGTCTGGACGCTGAGGACGATAGGAGTCAACGTAACGGTCAGGCCTGCGTCCAGGATGTTCACGTCCATGATGCTCGCGCTCGCGACGCTGGCGCTTGAAGCGGGGTCCGCGGGGCCGAGTATCTTCATTCGGGTTCAGCTCGAAGATGCGCTTGCGACCACCGGCAAGATGCTCGGCGTGCTGCTGGCTGACATTGACCGTCTTCGTGACTTCAGGTAAAAGGGGGTGCGACTCGAGGTTGTTGGCCTTCATGTGCCGGTAGAGGTTCTCCGCAGTGTCGCGGAGGAAACGAACATTGTTGAACTTGTCGTTGCACTTGTTGGAAACGCCAGACTTGTTCGCATCGCTGAAGTAGAAGTCGGCTTTGGCATCCTGGTAGACACGAATGAGCTTGTCCAGAGGCGATGCTTGCTGAGCTGTAAACCCCTCTGCCTTGACTTCAGCGTCTTCAGTCTTGACATTAACCTCGTTTGCCGCGTACTCGGTGCTTTGTGGGTGGGCAGAAGCTAGAGGGCGTTAGATTTCTCCACAGGCAGTCTGATATCAGAGAGGATAGGTTCCTGACCAGCATCAATCATCTCTTGAGCACGAAGGTAGGCATACACAATGACCTTCTTCTCGCGATACCCCCGAACAGTCTTGGCCATCATGTACTCCTCGATGAAGAACTCGAGCAGCCCAATGTTTTTGAGCTGGTGCCCCTCACGCCAAAGGTCAACAAGCACCTTGTCAAAGATGGTGATCTCGCCAAGGTCAAAGTCTTTCGATCGCTCAGCTTCAATGAATTTGGCCTGGCGTCGGATCATATTGTAAAGGGTGCGAGATTTCTTCTGATCCTCAAGGATGTCCTCAAGCACTCGGCTAGGATTAGTGACCCTAGCCCAGGCATCGTACATCTCTTCAGCAAGATGCGGGGAGGGCATGATGATAGGGGATCGGCGAAGATCCACAGAGATTTGGGTAGCTCCTGGGTAGATCAGGTAAAAGCTGATGCGCTGAGCACGACACGGAATAGCCAAACGGGACAGAGTGCATGCCGTCTTGACCGAGGTCAAGATGGAACGCACGTCGAGGCGGGTGCAAAATATCGCGGACAAAAATCGAGGTGGGCGAAGATCAAAAGGAAAGAATGGAAAGGAACGAAGCGTGGGCGTGACGGGGAATGAAGCTGATGAGCGAAAGTTGCCTGGCCTAACATCAAATGCCGCCTCGAGACGCAGCTGGGCATATTGGCCTCCCCAGTGAAGAGCCATTATAGCCTCGGAAGGCAGCTCAGAGCTCAACCATTATAGGCAGGTCTATTAGATATTAACATATTCATCTCTCTCTATGAACGACACTTTCCGTCACATCACATCGTGTGATTTAGGGTGGCTCCATGCGGTAGATAAACGTTAGGCCGTATGAAGACCTCCTTGGAAAACAAAAGGTCATGCCACAGATTAATTAAAGATTATGAATCGTATGCTCGTTCTTTGAAAGGGGAGGGGGTATCAATAAAAGCTTCCGAAAAAAAGTGACTCAGTTTCTCTCCTCCCAGAGCCGCTTGACTTCTTCAATCAGGGCCTGGGGGTTAGCACCGTCGCCTTTCTGAGCACAATCTCTCCATTCGCCGCCATCACGAATACACCAGACCGACTCGTCCAGGCGTACAGTGCAGCTGATTCTAGCCCCAACACTCTGACTACGAAGCGCACTTTCACGCAGCAGCGCAAGACCACTGAGCGATGGCTCTCCCTGTCCGCCGCCGCCGAGTTTGTCACCTTGTTGGCTGGCGCATTTGTTCAAGGCCTCGAAATCGATGCCATGCTCCATGGCGCATTGATGGACGAACTCCCGGTCAGGAATTTGTGAGAAGTCATTGATGAGGCAGTTCGCGAAGCCCAGCGATCGGATAATAGGTGTACGAGGGTAGGTCTGCGGCAGGAGTGATTCATCGGCCGTCGGAGGGAAGGGCAGGTTGGCGGCGCAGAGCATAAGCATATCGCCGATGCACTCGCCCGGACCATGCATGCATTCAATCTCAGAGGTTTTTGAGGATACACTGTTCATCGGGAAAGTGTCAGGAAGGAACTACGATGATGTGGTTGGAGTGGACGTGCTTACCTGGCGATAAAGGAGAGATTGAAATTAACCTTGTCACTGATCTGCTCCATAGCCGGGAGTACCAGCTTTTGAAGACAGTCTTGGGCATCCGGGCATTTGCTCATGATATGCGCCTCCAGCGGTACCTTAGTCTGCGTATAATCTGAAGTAGTTGCAAGAGGGCGCTGATTTGTCTTGGGTTGTTCATAGTCAAGTTCGTAGTTCTCGTCCTGCGACTGTTCCGGTTCAAAGGGTGTGAAGCGATCGACGGGAGCATCTGGAGCGGCGCATCCAGGAGTATCGCATGGTGTGTAGCAGTTCAGCGATGTGCACGGCGCCTCTGTCGGTCTCAGGAGCAGATAGTAACAGATCAAGAAGCAAACCACAACAAAATAGCGCCATATCATGGTATTTCGGCTGGGTCGTGGGTGTGGGGTGGCCCACCGGGGCTTCTCCGAGACCCCATGCGCATCTTCAGTGTAGAGAGGTAGCGTCTCCATGAATGCTTGAAGGTTGGAGTCAGATCAAAGCCGACCTCGTTGACGCGGGGGATGTGGCAACCTCACGCGGAAGACCCCCGGGGCCGCTGGCCTGGTTACGTAAGACGTGGTGCCTTGGACCTGGGGCCATCTGGGCCTCAGCAACAGCCTATGGTAACTATCCTGATAGTTGATGACAAAGGAATATCTCCAAAGTAATATCAGGGAAAGACGAGAGCTCTGGGAGTGGGTAAATTCGGGGCATGGAAGAAACATTCTTCATCACAGTCGACCGACCAGGTGAAGATCTATGAGTGAGAGACCAGTCTTCGACAATGACTCTTACGCAGATGGACGGATTTGATAAGCTTGCTTGATTCCCCTGCATTTCGGATAAGTTGTCCGTACTACAATAATTTGCAAGATATCAAAGACACAGACAGCACGTGAGTGTCAACGCCGGGGCTTCTCTGGGTCGAAGCTGCCGAACCTGCCCGGGCGCTCGAAGTACCTCCTTAGTGCTGCGCGAACGGCATCTGGAGCCGCCCGAGTATGACGGAATTAGGCTGCAAGACTCTGATGCTCCCGCCTCGCAGACCGCGTAATGGTTACAATGAAAGATTGTAGAGGACAATAGTAAGTTGTTTCGATCTGCAGCTCGGACTATTCGCCTGATGCAGCTAAGTGCTTGACAGCTTTCTAAGGCGTCCATCGAGTGAGCCCATGACATGCGTTCAGATCCATCGATAGCTTTGTAAGACGGTAGCCACTATTGGTTTACCACCGAGAGCAATTCAGCCGACAGCCTGTCCCAATAGATGGGAGGACATGTCACCAGCCAGGACAGGCGAGCTGGCACAAACAAGCCTGGTACCACACGGAGGCCGTTAGGGCCGCTGTCTGTCCAGAAAATCGCTCGGTGACCTAATACGATCAAACTGCCGGCCTGGGGAGGAACAGAGCCGATCTATAGTTCAAACACATGGCGCGGCCGCGTGGTCGAGATTCTCGTGCGCCCTTCAGGCACCACTCGAGCAACCAGTGGCACACCATTCCCAAACCGACACGCTAAAACACCAGTAAGATTTTTTGCGGACCCCTCCAAAGGCGTCGTCTTGCGATCCTAGACTTTGTGCAAGTACTCGTGCCTGGGCTCCGATCTCGGAGACACCTCAGAAAAGGCGTCGGTGCCCAAGCTTAAGGTTCGTAGTTGGTGCGCCGTGAACCAAAGGAACCCGAAATCATGATCTCGTGGAAATTCCCGAAATGCACCTGGTTTAGCGCCATCAGCATGGGCACTACCGCCCGTTGAGGCTCACAACGTTCGCTCCTGCGGAGCACGGAGCTTCCCCTCGGATTCATGATGACGACGGGGAGCAGGTGATCTAGTCCGATAGCCCCCATCGCCCCCCCCCATTGCCCCCCGTCCTTTCCCATACGAGGGTTTGGACCGTTCCAGTGGGAAGCTGACGGGCATCGGTGGCTGAGATGCCAGCGAACGATCGAGGCCCCTAGAGGGGGTCGCGAGGTGGGTTCTGTCCATGCGAGGGAGCACACGGTTATTTCCGAGGGCTAGACCTATAAGCGCCCGACGAGCATCCAGGACGATCAGCACCAGTCGCTCAGCAGGGCTCCGTGTGAAGTCATTGTCGACCAGTGGACCAGTGCCCAGATAGGATGGAAGCTCCATTCCTGCATCGGCCTTGGCGAAGGGCGCTATGCAGAAATGATAACTTGGCACGTTTCTCAACCGTGATCGAAGACCCACACTTCCTGGGACGCTGCATGGCTTGGGGGTTTGACTCGCGGCCGTGCGTCCGTTGGTCCAACGCCATGGCAGGGCTCGTGTGTTTCGTGGGCGCCGGAGCCAAGAAAATGGCGGTTGGCAGGAGGAGAATGAAGGGCTATTTGGGGGGAGAAATTGGGGTCGTAACCGAGATCTCTAACCGAGCTGGAAGAGCACAGCACATCAGCTCGAGGTGTCAGATGCCCCGGTAGGGTTACATAGTTCCCGTTATCAAAGGGGACGGGGCCGTTGTATGGGCGAGCTCGGTGGGCAGGCCTTCCGAGTGGAACATCTCCGACCGCGATCGTCGCCTAGTCTGGTCTGGTTCTCGTTGGTCTCCTCAGTCAAATAGTAGTGGATCGTGCGGTGATCCGGCGGGAAATTGGGAGCAGAGTAATCCTGAAAAGCGATGGGATAGGCACTCGACGAGTTCGACGAGTTCGACGAGTTCATTGGACGAGCGAGGAAGGTAACAATCATTCAATAAGAAGACTGGCATGCCAGCAGTTGCCAGTTTTTAGGTAGCTCGGCAGGGCCTGTACTAGGGCCCTATAGGTAAAACCCGTCACCCTAAGCGCACTAAGTACTGTACAGGCGGCACCCTCGATCGATGCCAGATGACTGGTCCAGCTCAAGCGTTTCGAACGGGAAAGAACGAGATCCAATCGAAGTCGTCTGCCGTCTGCCGGGATGATTACCTTGCCTACCCCGGAAAAGAACAGCGTCGCATCGTCGCATCGCCTCGTGCCCTCCGATGGTCGCATCTCGAATACTAGTACTGCGCCTTCTTTGTTCACTGATTCAGTTGCTGTTTTTACTTCTTTACAATATGCTCTGGTCCTGCCCCAAACTTTGGCTCATTTCTACTTTCTGTTGGCTCTGTACCAGAGGTATCCGGGGGCGAATCCCTCTGATATTACCAGGGCCCTAAACCCCCGAAGAAGCCAAAAAGCCAGGTTCGAAGCACCAGCGTGAGTTCCTTCGTACTCCGTCCACTCCACCACTCCATCCACAGTGGGTAGCGACTCCACTCCGGCTTCGCCCTGTAAATCATTGTTGAATCATTTAACCCATTCGACCGCCCCGATTCCATCCTCCACCGTAAACAAGGTGTATGCCTCTCTTCCACGATATACTTCTTCTACTCCGTTTCGATCTTCTCCACACCGCTCGGCCTCAAAAGGCACCTCCCAGGGATATCGGCGACAGCAGTGGCGATCCTCCATTTATAGCGACCTCGCTCCCCTGGGAGATCCCTGACCAGTTTCCTAAATTCTGATTTCGATTGTTCTGCATCTCTTCGCTTCCTCTCTTTCTTCCCCCTCCCCACAACCCCAGCGCACTGCGCAACTGCCGAACAGCTTCACCTCCACCTTTCCAGCCCTCCGAAACAACTCCGACCACCGTTTCCCCTCCCTCTCTCTCCGCCCGCATACCAAGAATTTGCCAGGGTACGTAACAACATGACAGCTGGAGATCATGCTTTCCTTTCCGTGTCCTCGCCCTGGCATGATCGTCACGGCCTGGAGCTCCCCGCAAGAGGGCCCCCTCCATGATGTACCCTCCCCCAAGTCCCGCGAATCCCGCTATCCCATGTTTCCATGTTCATGTTCCACCCATTATCGCCCTGCAGACCGCGTCACCACAATGCCCACTCGGCCAACCCTTAATTGCAACCTAGCTGACCTAGCCCCAGCCCCTGCGCCTGCCATCTAAGCTCTCCTGGGCTTTATTTTTAGTTTCCCCCTAGGCGCGCTCCTCCCCGTGCCTTGCCATTGTGCTTCCAGGCCCTACCCTGCATCTGTACGATCGTGTCCTCTGCCGTACCTGCCCTTGACATTCTAGAGGTGCCAACGTCACGATTAAGATCAAAGCGGGGACTGCAACCGAAAGACGCGCTTTCCTTCATCTTATCTTCCCCAGTTGCCAGCACTGATCCACCAAGCTATCGGTGCCGATTTGACTCGCTCGTCTACCTAAGACCCTAGAAAACATCGTTCCATTCCTTTCTTTCCTTCTGTCATTTTGAAGGGGAATATCTTGACTTTTTCCGGGTGACAACCTCATTGTTCTACGATGGCATCAGTCAATTCAATATCGTCCGAGAAGGACAACGACGAGGATCGCGACAATATGCACGAGGACGTGATCGAGGATGAGGACCATGACATCAGCACCGAGCTGGATCCCTCTCAGAGAGAATACCTCGAGTTTCACCAACAACTAGACGATTTCCTAGCGCCCCTGTGTTTGGACGAAGCGGTGCTGTACAGACTGGCGCGTCGCTTCTCCGGAACCTACCGCCACTTGGCCTTAACTTCGGATCAGCAATTTTTGCCAACCCCCGTGACTCAGCTGCCCACGGGTCAGGAGACGGGTCGCTATCTAGCGATTGATGTCGGAGGCAGTAATCTCCGTGTTGCTTTCATCGAATTGCTAGGTGAAGTGGAGGAACCGGATGCCCGCTCAGCGGATGCCTCGGAGAGGTCGCGGGACACTATTCGCAAGGCCCAGCGGCAACGTGTTAAGCGCACATTGGAGCGAGCATGGCCGATCCAGGAGCATTTGAAGATGGATAAAGCGGAGGATCTGTTTGCGTGGATTGGCGACTGCATTGCCGAGGTAGTGGCCGAGAGTCTGACATCGAATGCTACAAACAAGGACATCCCCGCAGAGTTGGACATGGGCATCACATTCAGTTTCCCGATCATGTCAGTACCTCTCGGACTGGATTGAGGTGCATATCGCATGATCAACTAGACTACACAACCCTTCTTTGGTGGGGTTAGTGCTAACCAGTCTATAGGCAAGAATCGCTCGCCGAGGCAACACTGATGCCGATGGGAAAAGGTTTTGCGATTACATCTGATCTCAATCTTCGCAACATCCTTTTGCATGGATACGAAAAACACACTAGGAGACCGGACGATGAAGAAGAGCCTTCTTCCAAGCGCCGGAAGCTTTTTGCTCTGCCGAAACTAAAAATCCAGGCCATTACGAACGACACCGTTGCGACGCTGGCTTCGCTCGCATACAAGGTCAAATCGCTACCTAACAGCCGAGTCGCTATGGGTATTATTGTGGGAACGGGATGTAATGCGACCATTCCGATGAAATTGAGTGAGCTCCACGAAGCCAAGGCCAAGAGCGTCAATGCCATGGAGCCAAAAGCAGTGGAGACCATTGTCAATACGGAGTGGACTATTTCCGGAGCTGCGCCGCCACTGCGAGAGCTCAACATCACAACCAAATGGGATGTCGAATTGGACGGCGCGTGTGCGCGTCCTGGGTTCCAGCCGTTCGAGTACATGACGGGAGGACGATACATCGGCGAGTTGATTCGCTTGATTCTGTTCGATTACCTCACGACCGTCGGGGGGCTATCCAAGCGACTCCTACCGGCGAACCTGATTCAAGAATACGCTCTGACAACCACTTACATATCTGATAACGTCGCAAAAGCCCGGTCGGACCAAGACCTCGCCAAGGAATTGAACCAATCTCTCCCCCCGCCCGAGAGCAGCGACTGGCGCTGGGATGCGCGTACCGCCGGCGCATTCCGGAGAATTGCGCGAACAGTGCAGAGGCGATCGGCAGGCTTAATCGCTGCTGCGGTGATTGGTCTCCTGGCTTGCTGCCGCGAAATTGAATTGAAGGAAGACAGCAACGCCAACACACCCGTGGCCGCCGCTTCACCCCAAAGCAACGGAGACAACCACGTCCCCGACAACACAGCAACTCCTCCAGCCATCGCACCGCTAGGCAACAGCGTCCATGGCCACGTCGTCCCAGTCCTCCAACCAATACCCGCAGACTGGCAGTCTGGTCCCGAAGAGCTGGTCGTCGCGTACACTGGCGGCATCATCCAACACTATCCGCAGTTCAAGGAGATGTGTCAACAACACATCGACCGCCTAATCATGCGCACGGGCCCGCAAAGGGGAGGCAAGTCGGTCTTCCTACGGGAAGCTTCCGATGGCGGCGTCATTGGAGCTGGTGTTTTGGCTGGCATGGTTGTTAGCCAGTAAAGAAAAGAAGACTTTTGATCTGCTATGTTTTACGGCCAACAAGATCATGGGGTTGGGATAATGTCCAACTCCTTTCTTTTTTTTTTCTTGAGTTTTCCACATAGAAATGGACAGTTTCTTGCTATGGGGTTGCGCGAAGGTTGCTATACAGCGCGATATGGGTAATTGTGTCTTCCCACATTCTTGATTGAGACTGTAGATATTATTGGGAACGAAGGCGGCCCATTGGTGCTCTCAATCGCCCACCGCAGATCTAGTTCCTTTGGAGATAATACCCGGTCCGATAGATAAGGCTCGTCCCGCTGCATATTTGTTCGCATTGTGCGATCGGCTTCTCGAATATGGCTCCGAGATGGCGATGTTCGACTCGGAGACACGGAATAAAATCACCTCCTGGCGCAAATGCGACGCGTCATCGCATTGACACGCCATCAGGTAGATCTCTCTTCTTCTGAAGAAAAACTGAGTGCACGAACATAAGTACATTGTGTGCTTGCGCGGACCCGGATCATGGGAAGCCGAATGAGGAATGCTGGGCAGTGCCTGAAACATGTGGAATGTTTCGTCTCATGCCGCACGGGTCATCTTCAGACCGGCTTTTCATGGCATCTTAGATCTGCATCGAGTGCTATCTGGAGTCGTCGAGGATAGAAGCAGCTTTTCTGCATGGCTAAGAGGGCGGTTCAGCTAGATATATTGATTCATGGAGACTAAGAAAGAACCCTGACTTTCATGGTGGCGCGGGTCCATTCTGGTCCAGCGTGGCTTGGCTCAGATAAGCCAAGCCCGGAAGCTTTGAGAGCCCTGGCTGTTTTATATATCCACGGCCAGGATAAGTAAGGTCTTACTGTCCATCAATATTTGGTTGTTAAAGATGCGATCACCGACCGTTCAAATCAGTCGGAACATGTTGTTGCGTACGCCGCGCTTCATGGCACTCGGTTTTCCATCTTCGTATTCTATTCCTGCAGCTCCGCCCTCTCCTGACATTCGTTCTAAGCGTTCGCGAAGCTCGGTGTCGGCTTGGGCAACTGTCTTGGGGTCGTTTGGGGCCGGGTCTTTTTTATTGGGGGCCGAGGGAGGTTCAACGTCCGTGTTCTTGGGGGCTTGCTTGGAGCCTGGTGAAATATGATCTTTGGACACAGTTAGTGTATGAAATGATAGTCTTGATTTGCTAAGTGAACTGCGACAGAGATAGTAACATACCTTTTGGTGCTAAAGAAGAGCTCGAGGATAGGAACCGGCTGGGGTACTGGTGGAATCGGTTGGAAGAAGTCCAGCCCCTGGACGGCAATTTCACAGCACGCCACAAAAACATCATGAATCGAACCCAAGACAAAAATGTTGAAGCTGTTTAAGTTGACCTGAAATGTGACGTAGACGCGCGATAAGGAAAGGGCAAACCACGTGATCTCACGTGGGCGATCATCCCCGCCATCAACCAGGTTAAGGCAACTGAGCACTAGACACTCAGACCGGCCTCTCGACATTGCTCCTCCCCCACCCCCAACCGGCCCATTTACGCCTTCACGATGGCTTCGCAGTCATATTATGAGCTCTACCGCGGGAGCAGGTATGATGGTCACGATAGCAGTGTGCAGAGGGAGATTTCGGAACTGATTGGAACTTGACTAGCCTCGGCCTCGCTCTGACGGATACTCTCGACGACCTGATCAATGAGGGCCGCATCGAGCCTCAGCTGGCGATGAAAATCCTGACCACCTTTGATAAGGTGGTTACCGAAGTTCTGGCCGAGAAGGTCCGGGCCAGGCTTACGTTCAAGGTACATTCGTTCCGCGGAAGGAGTCACCCACGACACAAGATCAGTTCCGTGGCTGGAGATCAAGCATAATCTTGAATATTTCAACCAGGCTGACCTTCTTGTCTCTTGTTACTCTGCACAGGGCCATCTCGACACATACCGATTCTGCGACGAAGTCTGGACGTTCCTGATCAAGGATGTCACCTTCAAACTAGACAATCAGACCACCGTTTCCGCGGACAGGGTGAAGATCGTGAGCTGCAACAGCAAGCGACCTGGGGAGGCATAAACAGGTATCATTGGTCAAGAATACTCTGGCGTTTGCTTTACGGATTGCATAGGCGTTTACAGGCATGTCCTTGATTGCGGGCCATGACCCGCTGGGCGTTAGGGGAACCTTTTCCATCACTCTGTATTCTGCACAAAGAAATCTTTTGATATCAGATCAGATACCCAAATAATTGAGATCTCCCATATTGTGTTATTTTTCAGAGAGTGTTCAGTTCAGTACCAATAAGTGAAGGCGCTCCGCATAATCTAGACAGCTACCACCAAAAGCGGCAGGTGACCTCATCTTATCGGTGCCGATCATAGCTTCCCGCTTCTTCTCCACGCCAAAGCGTGTCGCGCAAATCTTCGCGGCAAACTGGCCCACGGTACAACATGCCGAGAACACTGCCTTGGTTGCTGAGCCCGGAGAACGATGCGCGCGTGAAACGCGAATCCACACCGCGAAAGCGCGTCAAACGAGAGCGTTTTCCGGACGACGACCCAACTCCAAAGAAACCTCCCACGTCGCCTGAGGGGCGCGACTTCTTTAGGTCCTGTAAGTGATATGAACTGGAATATACCCAGAGCACCCTGCCTAACCATGAGATGTCCCGCGCAGCTCAAACCCCACCTACCTCGCCAGCTCGACCTTGTCCCGCCGAAGAGTATGTCCCCAACCACCTTGACCTCCAAGCATAGCGCAGCGGCTGATTACGATTGAATAGGTTCCTGGTCGAGGGTTTAGATAATGATGATGCATGGGTTATGGTCGAGGATGAATTCTACTCCATCGCTCAATCTTTCACACAACATCTACACTATGCGGAATACGTTCGACGAAAAAAGGAAGCCAAAGCGCAGAGCGCGGACGCGATGAAAGCGCTCGAGAGGCCTACAGATGGCCAAACGCCAATCCCAAAAGAACTGCGGCAGAGGAAAGAGGCAGCAGCGCTCGCTGCACGCCAAAAGGCAGCGCTAGAGCAAGCCGAGGGATCGGAGGGTAACAAGGAGGATACGGACGATGATGATGATGCATGGGCTGGGACCCATCTTCATGGCCTTATGACAAGCCCGAGAAAATCGCGCTCGTTGGCGGGTATACATACAATGAAGTCTTTCACAAGAGCCGCTGCAGGCTTTGGACAGGCTGTTAGCTCAAACGGCGACCGAGCCGCGACCAGGATCTCTCCACCAGCTCCATTATCAAGAGCAGCAGAAGCTCATCGGGTTGAACTCGATGAGGAGACAGCGTCAGACGAGGATGACGATCTTGATGGGGCTGTTCCAATCCCGATCCCCCCACCGAGGCGTCTGGGAAGCCATGGCCCAGCAAGCGCAGAAAGCCTACATACGAAGCATGGCCGAAGCGAAAGGAATAATACTTTTAGGAGAAAGGAAGAGATGTCCGCACCGAAGCGGGCAAGCCACAGACCGGCCAACGGATACAAGTCAAGAGTTCAAATGCTATTCGACGACCTCGATGAGCTACCAGAGCCATCCCGATCCAACTCTTCTACCTCCGACATGCAAACAGACCCGTCCAGGAAACATACTACCGACCTGGGTCCTGAAACTAGCAATTTTGAAACCACAAATTCTCGCTTTAACAACGTTCCAACTTTTTTGTTATGATTGGGAAACACCCTCACTTATTATCAACCGTGTCTGTGATTAAATTAGATGAATCTAGTGATCCTTCGGTCTTTCCTTCGCTGTGGTGAACAGTCCGTCCTCACTCGCGACCTCTGTTTCAGGGTCGTTGGGTGCAGTCGACTTGAACCACCGAGAGGGCTTCATGCGGTCTCGGAGGCGGGGTTTGTCAGTCTGACGCTCATCTTCCTGACGCGATTCTGGATTTTCTTCTTGGTCGACGGCTGACGGGCGAGTGCGGCCATCTCGATCGTCATCTCGTCCTTCTCCATCGTTGCTCCGCTGTTCTGAGATGTCAACGTGCTGTGGCTGGGTGGTCAGATTGGGTCGCTCGGTTGCATTTTGGTTGGGCGATAAAACTGACTCGGCATCCGAGAAGCACGCGGGCAGTTCTTCCTTCCGAAAGTTGGTGGGAGGACCCTGTCACACGCATCGTTGTTAGTGGTTACTTCTACCGGGAGCACTCCCTGACCGGACTGTCTCGTGCACTCACAATTTCGATGATTTGGCCCTGGTCACGGGTGAATGGTGCCTTGAAGCAGCGGAAGATTTGTCGAAGACACTCCATAATGATCGAGTTGAGATCGATTTGATCCGTGGATCGAACAGCGGATCTTCACGGCTTTATACGAAGATCCAAATCAATGACTTCGTGAACTGCCTATTCGATGCAGCGCACAGACAGGTCGCTTTGTATTCGAGAAGAATGAATGGTGAAAGAGCAACGCTCCGGCCGAAACAAATGCTATACAACGAGAGACAATATGCGAAACGAGAGACTGGAGACAATGAACGTCTAAAAATGGAAACGAGAAGAGAACAGGAAGAAGGAAAAAGGCCGAAGACGCTCTATGTCATTGATGCGCTGGAGGGGAAGAAGGCAAGCGAAATGGAGGCCCAGACCGGGGTACATATAGAAAACCGAAAAGCCAGTGGCTTGGGTTCTAGGGCCACTCATGCAGTATGCACATCTGTTCGAGGGCCACTCGTGCAGTATGCACATCCATACTGCCCACGGCGTGTCAAGGACCAAGTGCTCCACGGCCCCGCCCATGCAGGTCGAGCTGGGCGACGACCGACTCCTGTGGCATGGGCCAGGGCCACTCAGTGACACTCTCGGTAGGATTGACCCGTGAAATCCCTTTGATGGGTCTGTGACACATTCCACCCCGACCGTCCGCGCTCTCCCTGGCGGCAGCGGCCGGCCGCCTTCGCAGGGTTTAGAGAGATCCTCTCAGGTGGGCATCGGATTGGCCACGATAACAAGAAAGGCGATCCGACATTTCGGAGCCTTTGGCGACTATTTCGGTCCTTATGCAGGTACCATCCATGAGAGGCGCTTTGGTACATGGTGCTGCCACGGTTTTCTTTGATCTCCGGGTCGCGGATCCTGTACAGCGGAAGTATGCACCCCGAAGTGACCGGGTATCTTCTGTCTCCTGAGCTTCATTACTTACAGGCAGCAAGGTGAGGATGACCTGCAGCCTGCAGGGAAGAGAAAATGCGCTCGAAAACCTGTGCATGAGAGGCACTCGAGACCCGGTAGCGGGAAAGAGTGGGGACAGTCAGCCAAAAGGGCAAGAGGGAGCATCGAGGGCGCGCCTCGTGTCCCAGAAACCTCATTCTTGGCCCTCGCCCCAGGGGTGAACACCCATGTCGGTTGTTAAGGTTTGCATCCAGCAGCACCGCATGTTGATCGGACCGGCGTTGATGTCCCGTTTGCGCGGTTATGCGCGTGAGAAAAAAAAAAAAATAAGAAAAACATGGGAATGTCGGCAATTCGGACCTGAGCAGCCTCTTGTGTGGCATTGATCACGTTCAGGAAGAAAGAGGCAACCTGGCATACAAAAAAATACATTGTCCCTTCGAGTGCCTCTCTGAAATCCTTGTCTGCTTTGTTGGTGTGACAAGGGCCTGGACAAGGGTCCTCCAGCCTCTCTGGCCCGTAGTCGATCTCGAATGCATAGTCGATCGTAAATCGTCTGGAGTCATGTCGATCAGTGATGAATTCATCGCTGACAGGGGTGATCGGACAGCGCAATACCACCTGGGTAAGATATGTGTTGTACGGTACCTAACATCACTGTCGTGCCTAGATGAATGTCCTAGCTGCCAACTTGTTTACACCTAGAGAAGCTGCCATTCCCGTATACTTGACCTGCTACTGTATGTATGTACTGTACGAGGCAAGACAAATCAACGCAATGACGAGTACCATTGCTCCTTTCTTTACAATATACCCTTCGGGGGAAGCTAAATGAACGCATCGTATCCACCTAACTAGTCGGAATGACAACAACTTCCATATGGGGGCCCAAGCCTCGTCCGCCATCACCACGATCATGTCGCTTCGTCTGATTTCTAGCCGACACAGCCGGAGCGAAGTTTCCCTGAATGGCATCGCCACATAAAAGTAGAGCGAAACTAAAACGCATCGGTCCTTGCGGGCAGAGAAAACTTAGAAAAGATCCGCGTATTTTCTTTTTTGCGTCTCCCTTGCGTCGGAGCAATGCCGTGTTAAAGAACACCTCACAAAAACGGCTCGGTCGGCTTCGACGTACAACTTTAACGCAGGCACACATTCCAAGAGACAAGAGTGCGAGGAAGCAAAGGTGCTCAAAATATTAGAGTGCGGTGCGAAAACGAGGTTAATATCAAGAATCTCCTGAACTCGGTATGATGCCTGCATTTCAAACACGGCGGCAAACGCACCCTCGAGGGCAATTAAACCTGGCCTCGGGCTTGCATACAAGGAGGTCAGGGTCAGGGTCAGGATCTTCCTCACCATGACCGTTGCTAACGGCGATCAGATGTCAAAAATAGTCTTTGATAGTTCCTTCATCTCGCGTTCACCGCTATTGCTATTGATGGGCGGTTCCTGGAGCTAGGCAACCAACCTTTCTCTCTCAGGCTCTTGTAGTGTAGTGTAGGTTCAGTAACCGGGGCCACGATACCGCATCGCCAGCCACTTTCGATTTGAAATCGGCCCCATCGACCGGCATGCAGTGGAGACTCGGCTCCTCGCATTGCAAAGCCCGCCAGATATGCTAGCCCCCAGCCCGTCCCGAGCAATTGGAACCCTAGGCTTGGCTTGCATTCTTCCCTACATTCGTCGAAAGTTCCCCCGTCGTCTTCCAGGGATTGCCGCATTAGGGGCGTTTTTGCGCTGACAGATGCATTCCTCACCAAGACTACCAAGCCTAGCCCTAGCAGGGGTTTCTAGACACTTCAGGACTATATATGGTGGCTCGTTCGTCCACTGCGATGGGGTAAAGAGGTTCTTGGTCTATACTGTAGCCCCCAAAACCGGTTTACTTTCGGACATGTCAATTCTCATGACCGATGGCGCTTCATCACTAGAGTCGTCGTGGTCTCAGATTGTTATTACTGATTGAATTCTGTAAGCGTGATGCGATATCTCAGATCTTCTAAGAATTGAATTTTGTGCGGGGTGACTATGCACCACGGAGACTTACGTACTTTTCCGGAGGAATATAGTGGTAAAATAGGGTGCTTGGATGAGGTTTAAAGAAATAAAATAGCTGCAGTTACAAAATGTGAGGGGTAGCCAGCCATGTTGCCCCTGGACATCCTCGTCCTTGCCACCCAGGACTATCTACATCGGCACATCCCGCACTAGACGCGCTCCCGCCCAGGCATACAAGTAATTGTGTTGGTACCAATTGACGCTGCAAAGTTAGTGAACAGTTTTCAATCGTTTCAATAAGACAGCTTACAATGTGGTCCGCCCCGCAATCCGCGGCACTGTTGCCCACGAACCGCCTTGGATGATGTTGTGCTTCCCATCAAAAAAGTCGGCTAGAATCCCAATTAGCATGAAATCAGAAACACAATGATCTGAGGTGCACTGACAGGTGTAGCCTGGGTAAATTTCCATTGCTTTAAAGCCTTCATGTGCCCGCAAAGGCGTACTGGTCCATTCCCAAACGCCGCCCAGATCACCCTGTCCGGCAAGCGTATCACCATTAGGCGTGACCGGAACAGGGTGCCAGTTCTTGAAGCCAACATTACATCCGTCGAGTGCACGGAACACTGACAATTTCTCTTGGGGATAGGCCTTCACAGTCTGACTCGCTGTGCGCCCAAACCCGTTGGACCCGTTGCACCCGTTGGACCCGTTGCACCCGTTGGACCCGTTGGTAGAGGCTCCGTTGACCCCATTACTAGCGTTTGTATTAGTGATAGCGGGCAAACTCGGGGGCAAAATGAGTAAACAAACCTGTGGCCATTTCCAATCTCGCGAATACCATCCCCTCGAAGACGATCAGCGTGGAGATAGATGCTTCGGACCTCCTCATAAGTGGGAATTCTGCATTTAGCCCATTTGGCGTAGTTTGTCAGTTCATCGTAGGAAGCGGCCAAGGGCCAATCCTGCGCAAGATCCAGGGACACTGATCCAAAAACAGTTCGTACAGAGAAGTTGTTCAGGAACTCTTTGGCTGCACTCGGGCTTGAATGAGTGATACCATTGGAGATTGAGTAATCCTGGTCCGAGTGGGCAATTGTCCAAGATGCTGGCCATTCTCGTAAACGATTTGCTTGCAGGTACTTGGCGTACTCTCCATTGGTGACTGGCCGAGCCTGAGCCTCAAACGAATGCACTTCAACTGATCTTTGAGGCTTCTCATTATCCCATCCAAAAGAATCCCGAGGCAATTGATTGTCGTCGGAGTCATCCAGACCAATTGTAAGTGTTTGCTGCGGAATCCGGAACCACTCGTTCGGCTTCTCATTTTTCTTTGCATTTGCAGCCATTTGCGCAAAGTCCGGGCTGTCCACACCAACAGGCGGGAGAGTCTTTTCACTTTGAAGCAGCATGTAGAGGAATGTCTCCAGGTGCATCGCCTCATGCTCGAAGCCAATCCAGAGAGCCTCGCCAAGGAGACGGTCCTCGAAGGCAGATTCAGTTTGGAGAATAGATCGAGCTTTATTACGTACCCGTTCTGAGTAGTCTAATATCTCATCTAGTGGTGGCCATTCATTGGGGATCTCACTGTGAGCATGGCACTTTTCTGGATCCTCAACATCAGGATCAATACCGCGCTCAAATATTTGCTGGTAATATTTGGGATCGGTGGGCTTGCCGCGCAAGGCTCGAGTCAAATGGATATCTAAAACACGTCAGGTTTAACTTACGAGCTGACACGTAATAAAAAGATATCGGAACATACCGAAAAAGGTAGGAATGTGGCCAAGGTAAAAGATCAGTGCATTCCGGAGCTTGATGGGCTTCGACAGGAGTTCCTCCTGTGGAATCATCGTTTTGGTCACAATATCCCACGCTGTCCAAAGAGACTGAAAGTCTTCCAGAGTTGGAACTGAGTGAGACGCATATTGCGCAGGTCGAGTTGGAATATCCAGAGAGGCGGGCGAAAGCAAGTGAATGTCTGGAAAAAATTTGATTCACGTAAGCAAACCATTTCAGGGACTGAGAAAAGAAAAAAGGTGTCATAAACATACGATAGTCATCAGTGGAGTTTGCAAACTTAACTTGGGGAATCAATCCCGCGTTGCGACATAACTCCTCTCGCTCATCACTGCCATATTTATAGGCCTCTTCAAAGACGAGCTTCTCTCCCCTATGAATTTTGATATCGTTGATGGTAACATCGACTTTCGGTGAGTAGAAGGCCTGGTGTCGGTGATTCATTGTGTCGTATCCGGTGACTATTTCCCACTCGCCCGGCTTGAAAGCCTCGAAGCCGAGTACCGCGTTTGCGTGCACCAACCCGTTCTCGTAGAATTGGTGCGTCACACCTTGGGAGTCGTTGTAAGCCCTGTAAACCTTCTCCGAGTTCTTACAAGCATCAAGTCCAATCAACAGAAAGTCGGACGGGCCCAATGCTTTGGAAAAGCTACCCAAGAAGTCCGCGGCTGCAGAGCGGCCGAAGTTGCCGAGGGAGGAACCCATGGACAGAACCACCGTTGGTCTGGTGCGGTTTTCTGGATCCTTCAACCATTCGAGTGCATCATCGTAGGTTCCATGAAGGCCATGGAGCCCGACATATGTGAAGCCCTCGGGTGAGATCTCCGAGAAAGTCCGTTGCAATTCCACGAGCGAAAGGTCCAATGCATAGTAATCCACCCGCTTCTCTACCCGTTCGCACTCCCGCAGAAGAATCTCGATCTTGCGCAAATTTCTAGAAATCCGGTGTTAGAATGTGCGAGGCCCAGACGATCCATTCACGAGTAGTTCTTCGGGCCCACGGATCTCAAGTTGCAAGGACAACAGACCCACTACCAAGTTCCACCAGTTGTGCATCCTCTGGAATCCGCTCCACAATTCTCTTTGCATGGGTTGTCAAGACCTCGATCTCGGCATTGGTGAGGTAGTACTCGTCCAGGTAGGTGATCTTTTCGAACAGCTTGAGTCCTCGGGTATCGTAAAGCAGGAGAGTTGGGAATGAGCGCGGTGTCCCCTCTGGCGGGTTCAGACTCTTGGAGAGTTCGTCCATGAGAGAGAAATGCAAGTCATCCTGGTGGATATCGACAATCTCGACCGCGTCAACATTTCTCAGCGCCGTTGGCGACATCGTGGCTGCAAGGAAGTAGGTGATGAGGGCAGATCGGCAGCCAAACCGGCACGAACCAAACGCCAAGGGTGAGAGCAACAAGTGGCGCGTGGGGAATACCTAAAGCACATGAAAGGCTGTGCATAGACCGGGGGGGATGGCAGGGTTTTATGATCCTGGCCGAGTTCTACCTCGGACGCGGCTTATAGAGCTACACTCTATGACGAATCATCTCCGAAGACAGGGGAAAGGGCCGGAGACGAGTCACCAGTCAAATCCCGGCGGAGGTAACACGAGGGGCGCAAAGCAAGCGCGTGAATTATCCGAAGGGACTTGCTTGCATTTGACACTTCAAGCTACAAAATTGATGAGGCGTAGTCAGATTGGCTCGCGAGACCCAGTTTGTCGCGTAGGGTATGTTTGCATCAGGAACCCCGCAAGTCTAGATCGCGGGCCAGTCCTCTTACGTCGCGGATCCGCATTATCAGATTGGACGAGATTGGACCGCGACCGGTGGACTTAGCCGTCTCCTGCCGTCTGACGTAGCGAATGCCCACTTCATGTTTGCATTGCTCCGGTGGGCCCCGATGTTGTCCAGTTGCGGCGATCGCGGGTGTGGGGAGCTTGACGGCGCGCTGAGGTCATAGCGTGATTTGGCCTGTTTGCTCGCTTTGCGGTGGGGCCGGATGGCAGCGGGTGTAACTTCCCAGCGAAGGATCGGAGCTTGGTAATAGACGACTGAAAATAGCTCGGCTCTACACTGGCACAGGTTTGTCAGCCCGCTAGAACAAGCCTCCTGTTGCTGCCTGCAGGCCGCCGTACGTGGGCCGACGCTGACGAGGCGCAGCCCCCTTTAGCGCGCTTTGCGCACGTTTTGCATCCGCTCAGATGAAAACTGTGGTTTTTTCTGCACATAGTTCACTAACCAGTCAACGGATCTCCCGCTTACGCCGTCCAGCCTATGGCGGTATACTTTTACTAAAAGCGAGTATGGTGGGAAGAGTACCTCGCTGGGATCTGTGTTTGGTGATTGTTGCTCCGTAACTAGATACTGTGACCATTCTACTAATTGCTCCTCGGGCGTAAATTGGTAGAGTGGTGCTTATGTGTTGTAGGGCTATCGATAGGTAATGAATTACTAGAGGTGCTGCTCCTTGGGGTTATATATTACGCGTATCTTTCTGTTAAACATAGATTATAAGACTATCACTAGTCTGGGGTAATCTTATAATTGAGCTAGGCAAAACGACTGTGGCGTGTATCCTGGAAATCATCTATTCCTCCCTCTACGCTGTTCCTCGAGGTCGCCTTCACCCAAGAGCACGTCACCAATTAGCTTAATGTGAAGAAGCGTCGGATCTCCTTATCGAAATTGACCGTGAGGCTGCTATCCGTAGCGATAACCTAAAGAGCAGGAACATTTACCTATAGAGTAGAGGTTCTTTGATCAGATAACCGAGTCCCTAAACTCACTATATAGATATAGAGATAGATTCTGAAAGAGTCAGGATGGGAAATGATAATGTGTGGTCTCTGGAAATAGCCTCATATGGTAGAGACAGCTACTCCGTAACAGAGGGACACGATTTTGATGGGGTGGACGGCGTAAGAGGGACATGATGAAACTAACTCAATCCACTCCGGTAAGCTACAGCAATGTTGGCGTGTTCCATGGAATATACACCCTCGTGGCGAGGGTTCCCACGACCCCGAGAAGCCCCCTGGGTGGGCTGATCCTTTTCTTGCTCGTGAAAGAGCAAGAATTTCCCTTTGAAAATGAGAAGTCAACAATGACTATTGATCCTTTCATGATCCTTGTACTAAAACTTGTAGGGAACAACACCTTTGTATCCTTCATGGTCTACTTGTCATATAAGATGGAGGTAATTGCTAACTGCTATATAAGGAGCCGAAATATTCCTGGAAGGACCGACGGCCATCTCCCACGAACTTGATCTCCTAAGAGACTATCATTCCTAAGGCCAACTACCGTGTCACTTCGTTAACATGCTCTCCAAAATGGGGGTGCTCTTCCGCAAAAGACGCAAGAATGCTTTGTATGCACAGATTGAAGAGCGGCATTCACACTGGGAGGTTGAGAAGCTTACGGCCGCCAATTCGAAACTCCGCTTGGACCTTCACAACGCAAGGATGAGAAGTGCCAAGCTCAAGAGACAAGTCGCCATGTATGATCTTCTCTTCGCACACATTCAGTCACGCGTTGGGCACGCTGCAATTGACAATTTGGAACAGGACGATCCCTCCCAGCCGCCTAGCCCCCTTGTAAGCCCCAAGACGGATTCGAGTCCCCAATGGATTGGCGATCTTTGGATCTGCTCAGACAGCGATTACCTAAAAGCTGCTGAGAACTACTGGAAAGACGGCGACCCGCACACTGCGTTGACCATTGTGGACAATGCTATCCATACCAACCCGTTCCTGTCGGTTGTCGAGGAACTCCATTGTCGCGTGTTTGCTGCTGCGGCCTTACATGCCACCGGTAGGTACGAGACATCCAATGCCCATTTGCAGCGTGTGCTTCAAACCATTTCGATTGGGCCCGAGCCTTCATACCGACCATATCGCGATATAATGGGCATTGCATATTACATCGAGGGACGGAATTTCTTGGAACTGGAAGAGTTTGACAAGGCTTTCTGGTCGTTGTCGCGGGCTCTAAAGACCCAAACTCGCGGATACGAAATTAAAGCCGGGGAGTTTCAAACGAAAACGATCGAGGATTTCACACGAAAGGAAGCATGTGAGGATGCTGCACCTGATGCGGGATCTCTTCGTCTGATCAGTCGGAACAAGGAGAATTTGGATTAACGGGATGGTGCAGAGTATTCCAATCGGGTTTGATGATGCGATAACAATAAGCCGTATATAGTCCCTATGAGGAGTGTGTGCCTTGAAAAATGTAAGCTTTCAGTCATGTGGATGGCATTTTCGTCCAGCGCGTTCGAGTTTAGGTTGCGGAGGGAAAATGTTGCTCCACGAGGTTGATCAAATTTAGGTTCTATTGTTAGTTTTCTGTGATTTCTGTGAAATAAAGTTACTCAGAAGTGTGTTGTCCTCGAAACGGGAAGGTACATTTATTCCTGTGATCAACCTCCCACAGCACCTAAATGAACGCTTCCATGCCCAATCACTAACACCCAACCAATTTCCCAGTGGCATAGGCCCATCATGCCCGACGGCGTGTCATATCTGGCCCAGTCTGATGAGATCTCTCAAATCAGTCGGAGGTCGATTTAGGCTCGGTAGTTGCCCAATATGCTGCCGTGCGGATTATCTCCCAAGCTACCGAGTTAGGTTGCCCATGACGCGCACTTGCACAGCCGTGATTCAATGGGGTGAGATAACAGTGACCATTACACAGCCTGAAAGGAATGAAGCAGAAAGAGAAGCTAAATAAAGCGTACGATAAGAAGCAGTTCATGCCACGCTGTATGAAATAGACTGACCTAACAAAGAGGCCCCTTCCTTTATTTGTCGGCCCAAAGGGGACTGCGCTATAAAAACCCAACGAAAGACACTCTGCTTCAGCGGGCATCTTTTCTGTGGTTTTCATGTGGCTTTGTGTGGTTTATTCAGAAGTCAACATTCAAAAGTCGCCAACACTCCTCACATTTTCCCATCGCTCTCTGTTCCCACATCCACCGGCGTCTTCACCTAGCTTCTCATTGCGGAATCGCCTGTCTAGTCACTCTCTCAACCCCTACAACCTTCACGTTTCATAATCAGCCTTTGAAAAATGGCTCAAGGGCGTTCTGTCTCTATTCCATCATTTAGGAACAAAGCGCCGCCTGAATTGAATCTGTTTGACGATGACTACGTGGGCGTCCCTGACAGGGAGGACCCCAATCTTTCACCGACCACACCGACCAACCCCTCTGCGAAAGCCGAGGAAATAAATCGCAATTTGAAGGATACACACCGTTACAAGTCCAACGTGATGCAACTGATCGCGTCAACTCGAATACCTTCAAGGCCGACCGACCTCGTGAACCGGTTGGGGCAACTCCGACTCTCCTTCTCACTGTTGACAGTGACCAACCTCATCGCAAACCAGCAACTTGAACAAGCCATGAAGGAAGCACAAAAGGTTCTCAAATCTGCGCAGTCTTTGAACAACACGCTCTCTGTTGCCCGATGCCATTACTGGATGGGTCGGATTGAATTCGAGAAGAACAACCTGGAGGCAGCCCATGACGACTTCCTGGCAGCGCGTCCTTGCCTCGAGGATGGGGACCACCCGGAGGGTGAGACTCTACAATTCTACTTGGAAGTTTCCGGAGGTGGGGTGAGCGATGAGTACAGAAACCGGGTCTTGCTCCAACATAATCGCGCTTTGATCAACTGTGCCCAGGCCGAGGAACCATCCAGGCCACATGGTCCACTGCCACGAAAGCGCAAACGGGAAGCGCAGTCGTGGAGAATTGTTCTTCGACCTGCTTCCGAAAAGCAGTCTCGGAGACAAAAAAAGCAGATGGGGTTTTCCTCGCCCAAACCGACCGAAAAATTGAATGAGTGGCTAGTCTATGACACCCCCGACCTTCCTATTCGACCGAAACGCACTTCCAATGCACCAAAGCCTGTCCGAGCATCAAATGGTCACACGGCTCATGATACTGCGGAGCCCTCCGAGCCCTCCAGGCAGCGAAAAGACTATTTAGAAGCGGGCACAGCAAATGATACGGGGGCGGGCAAGCCCTCCCCTCTAGAAGGCATGGAGTGGGAACAGGGGGCAGTTTCTCGCCCTCGCCTAGAGCAAAAAAGGGATTTCTCTCTTCGATGTTACCCCATAGGGATGGCTCCACGTACCCGTGGAACGGAAATCTTTACGAAACAGCCTGGCGAGTGCATCCTATCTGCTGAAGAGTGGGAATCGCTCAAGAAACGTATGAGCAATCGTGGGGTCACCATGGATTTTCTTGCGAGAGAGAGGCTGATGGTAGCTCGAGCTTCAGCGAATGAAGAGATGTCAGATATTGTGGAAACAGCGGCCGAGTGATATCTATCTGTACAGTAGTTTTCGAATTCAGTTTGACCTCTCACTCTTTTACTTGATTCCCGGGGAAAAAAATCCTACATATGCGAATTTCAATTGGATATTATCTTAAACACTTTGATCTAGACCGCTTTCTACAACAGCTCATTATTTTACAATGCGTCTCCAGTACTGTAGGTGATATGTTTTACACGAAACTAGCGTATAGGCACTACCTACCTTCCCCTCCTAACAATCAGCAACTTCCTACACGGCTTCTTACCAACTTCATTAGTCGGGGCGATATAACTCCAAGACTCTCGCCTTCAAAGCTTATTCTCATCCGCGATGTAATAGAGAGCGAATCCTTTACCGCATCCCAAACAGCTAAATAAGCTAGATACAACAAATAGACTATTATTAGTATCTGCAACAACTTGCGATAATTTAGAAGCATATTCGCACACTAAACCCGAGTAGATCGGAAACAAACCATGACACCCCTAATAATCGAAGCCCTCTATGATCACCTATCTAAAAAACCCGGCCTCTACCTCGAAGAGATAGTTGTATTTATATAGGGTAAGTTTTAGGCTATAGTTATAACCTCCAGCATTAGAAGAGCCCTTATCGTAAAGGGTTAGTCTAAAAAGACTATATAGAGACGTGCTAGAGAAAAAATTACCCGATTTGCAAGACTATTATCTACATAACCTCTTAGATTTTACATCGTACTACCTTGTCTATATTGATAAATCTAGGTGTGACAAATGTGTTAGGTATAGACGGATAGGTTAGGTACTACTTGGCAAGTCCCCTTTATAAGTTACGCAATTCTATCGTAGTTCGACACTCTAAATCAACTACGTCCCTTTACTATTTCGCCATCGAATCTTTACCTAATCGACAGGCTGCTACCCTGATAAGTAGTTACTCTTTACAGAGGGTAGACGCTACCGAAAGGGAGTATAATTATCAACGAACACAGCTTCTGCATATAAGGCTATTCCCACCCATAGGGCATCATGACTCAGCATATAATATATCGATTCCTCAGAGAACTCCCTCCGATAACCCTTCGCTTAGGCATCCCTAGAGGATGCCCCCCCATAAAAGGCCACACCTTCTCCTATTACTTTCTGATTCCTTAAGAATCAGTCTTTGTTCAAATCATACATACTGGTTCCTCCTTACCTGAACGACAGGCCTCTACCCTGCAAGTAGATACCGTAACACCCTCACACCATTATTCTCATATTTTCTTCAATCAACTCATTTTATTTTGGATTCGTTCCCATTGGTTCTTTAGCCCCATCAATACGTACTAGGCCATACTGTGTCTGCATAGATTCTCATCACCTACTCAATCACGAGACAATGACAAGAACGTTCTGATCTCGCTGTAACTGACTCGCAACCTCTCTTGCTATATGCACCACCCGATTACCCACCAATGGAGGACTACAGGGAGATGAATCTGACCCCTTATCACAGGAACGGACCCTAGCTTTCCCAATATTTACCCAGTGACTTAGCTCTGGCTCCAGTGCTGGGTAACTCTGATACCCATAAAATTGTGGATCACCCTCGCCTGAGACCTGTCCATGCTTGTCCTGCTGAACCTCCGTCCACGACCCATGGAAAACACCCGGAGACATTGTCATGATTTTCTCTGAGGGGTCCACCAGGACTATATCAAGGCCTGCGATATCCAAGAAACCTGGTAACAGCGCGACGGCCGCATCTCCTGCCACCGCACTCACTATCACGGCATCCGGGGGCTTCCCAATCAGAGAAATTGTCTCTTCGCGCACTTCGTTCCCAATAAGGGCCTGGAATATGCGGACAATTGTAGGGAACGGATGTGGCCCGATGGCAAAGCTAGGGACATAATGGCTATCGTGCAAGTCCGCTATCCACGCCTGAAGTGCAGTGTTGATAGCATCACGCACCCCCTGTCCGCCGGAATCAGCGGAAATCAACTTTCCTCCAAGCTCATCAACACGCGCAGATAACCCTGGAAACCGTTTGAGGTCTCGAGCTCCCATGAAGAGAACACAGTGAAGCCCCAGCCTCGCGCACAGGGTGGCTGTTACCAGTGCGTCACCCTCGGCTGTGGTCTCTGTCAGGATGCGCTTTTTGCCCAACCGGCAGGCGAGGAGAATCTGGCCGAGAGTGCTGTAGGTTCGGTATTTTCCTGCAGCGTGTGAGTCCTTCTGTTTTAGCCAGAGAGTGGCCCTCGGCTCGATGGTAGCACATTCAACTTCGACCTGAAGAGGGCCCTCGAATCGACTGAGCATATCTGTCCAATGGCCTTGGTACTGTTTCCAGAAATCAGAGTCAGCTTGGGCATCGATAAAACAACGCTCGAGATCCTCCAAAGAGTCTAACAGTAGCTCTGGTACATATTGCCCTCCGTATGGCCCGAAGTACGATGGGAGGATTGTCTTCTGAGGCAGACAAGGAATATCTGCAGATAAATCGACAGTAGGGCAATGGAGGGATAGCTGCACTGAAGATACAGTCTTGGATCGCCCTGTCAGATACATGCAATAGCTTTCGATGGCTTCAGCGAGCTCCCCGTTCCATGGAGTCCCGTTGATCGTCTTGACAATCTGAGTTCCAACCACCACACCTGGGGCAAACTCTTGCATGCTGAGGAACTGCTCCCTAGTGCTGACTCCAAGACCTAGGGCGAACGGCTTGTTCCCACAGAAGTGGCGTAACCTCTGCAAGAATTGAGCAAGAAACAAGTTTGATGACGATGCGCCTTCGCCAGCTGACCCGGTAACGCCCATTCTCGAGAGCACATAGAGATAGGTGTCTGCAGCTTGGCAGAGCAGCTCGATCCGTGCGTCCTTCATGGTTGGTGAAACGACAGGTATATACGACAGCCTGGAGATATTTTGGTTTTTTAATAAGTGCAGTGTGTATCAAGGATTTGAAACTAACCCTGCCTCTTTGCAAAGTCTACGAAAATAGACCGACTCAGTCACTGGCAGATCAGCCAGAAGAAACCCGTCAACCCCGACCTTAGCTGCTTCTTCAGTTGCTCTCTCAAGCCCATACTGTAAGACCGCATTGCAGTAGCCCATGATTACAACCGGAATCAAAAGACCTCGCGCTCGAGCGCGTTCAACAAGGTTCAGCACCGTCTGAAAGTTGGACCCGTTTCGTAAGGAAACGGCGTGGGCGTCTTGAATGATGGGGCCATCCCCAATGGGATCAGTACAGGGTATCCCTAGCTCCACGATATCTACAGCAATGCCCGTTGGTCAACGGAACACATCCAGATCCTGTTCTATGACCAAACTCACTGATACCTCCCCGTTGCATGGCTAGGAGGATTTCAATGGTAGCATCCTTAGTGGGATACCCTGCGATGGTGAAAGCCACAGCCGCCGCCCTGCCCTCCACTTGGCAACTAGAGAAAACCCGAAGTAGGCCCGCCATTCTGAGCTCAAACTCTTTGAGAGAAATTGCAGGCTGGGGAGAAGGGAAGACCCCTTTCTGTTGGTATTTTTGTCCTGAAGTTGGCCCCCACGAAACGGCGCGTGTTTAGCGTCCTCGTCTCCACCTTCCCTGCCCGTGTTCTGTTCACACCCCAATGTTGAAGGACCAATTAGCATCAAGCAAGTTAATAAAAACGTAAGCATCCTCATGGGGTATTTGGCTTGGTAGCAATGAACAGGCCTATAGACGAGTGCTAGCATTCAAATTTCAGACAGAGTCGACAACCTGCATAGGGGCGAAAAGTAGATGACACCATTCTGTGAGAGGTATAGCATGGAGGTCACTTATATGCTGTCTAGGCAGCCCCCCTCATAGGGAGTTCAAAGCAGTCCTCCACTCCTCTATTTTAGGACTTCTTCTATCCGAAACCCTCGGACTAGCCACTGACCTGGACTCGAGATTAGCGAACCCAATGTATCAACATCAACAGCAAGAGGCAAAAGATGGCGGTCACGAATATCCTGACCTTCTTCGTCTGGTTAGAACATGTCCCCCGTCGACATCTCTGATGCGAACTGACATTGACTCGGTGACGACTCACTTTTCCAGTTAAATCCGTCCCAACTGCCCCATCCTGAAAGATCGACTTCCACAGAATGGGAGGCCATTTTCCAACCATATCTCGCCGCCGCTCTGCAACACCATGGGGAGTATACTCAATCAGTTATTGAACAGCATCTGGAATTCTTCACAACCCATGTCGTCCCCTGGATGGGCCTCGGGCCATCGCCCGATCCTACTACCGGTGCTCTCGTTCCTCCATATCCCTCCTCCTTGACCAACGACCACACCCCCTTCGAGCTCAGCTGCTGCTGGAAGGGCAGTAAACAAAATGGCCGGGCTGTCGTGCGCTACGTGATCGATGTGATTCCGTCCACCGCTGAGATCTCTCGCTTGGCTGCGCTTCGGGAAGCGCTTCATGTCATGCGCACCCTCGAGGACATCTCCCAAAAACAGACTAGAAATGAAGAGACATTCTCGTTGTATGCATTCCCTTCCTTGTGGTGGCAGATCACTAGGAAAATGATTGAAAACGAGCAACAGACACATGTCCAGCCGTGCACTCGGTGTTCCCCTTCTGGCGTCTTCGTCGCCTTTGATCTCGTCGCCAGTGCGGCGTTTGCCAAGGCATATTGGCTTTTTCCAGCATGTCAAAAGACATCAACTCTCCTCACATCTGTTGAGGACACCCTCCGAGCAGCCGTGGAAACTGAACCGGCAATGTTTCCCATGTTGCTAGAGAATTGGGACATGGTTGCCGCGCATATGACGGCTAACCAAGACATCCTCCAGCCACGGATGCTGTCAATTGACGCAACCAAGTACCCCGTTCCACGGGTGAAGGTTTATGCTCGGCGAATTTTTCTCACATCCAACAAGTTCAGCGAAATCGAGCCCCATCTGAGCCTAGGCGGCCGTATCCCCCTCCCAGAGCCCTTCCGCCAGGCATGTGAACGGCTCTGGACCTCCTTGGTTGGGCCGGAGGATTCTGTGCCGGGCAAGGGGCCCAAGTACAGCCTCGTGCTTTATGACATCCCCACCGGTGCGCCAGGGGAGGCACCGGAAAAGGAAGTGTCGGCAAAGTTGTACATCATGTGCCAGGAGATCCCGCGTGTTGACTCGTTCATCGCGCGGAAGCTATATCATAACTGCCCTCTTTTACAGGATTCAGAGTTGATCAAGTATGTTCATCTACGCAGCCTGTGCTAACCTCATCCCGATGTTGTTTGTTGGGTACTAATTTGTTGGTTCAATCATAGGGAGCTTGCCGCTAGTTCGGAACCTACTGCTTTCATATGCGAGTAAGTAGTTCGAAGTTGCAAGTTGCCAATCGCATATATTGACAAAATCACAGAATTGGTCTAGCCCCAGGAAAACACGACACTGAGGTCACTACCTATTGCAGCCCTTGCTGGTGGTCGCGTAAAACATGGAAGGACTGCGTGGAGGAGGACGGAAAATTAAAGAAGGTTCGCCGGGTGATAGCTCCCCGTTAACATTGGTATTGTTGGTTTGTGGTATGCGACGAGGAAAAGAGGCTAGAGTATGGCCTCTATTACTTGGATGAGCAAACGATCTTGCTCTCCTTGCGCTGATGTGGTTGATTTTAAGGAGTGTAAGTGCAAATTGATGAACATAGTCATTGGCAACTTGCGCCCCTTTCCTAGCCTTTGGTCGTCGTATCTGTAGCGGCCGCTGTCGCCGCATAATGCATTGCTTTATTGGACTTCGCCTCCCTTTGTCACTTCGATGGCCCTGGGTATTGGCGTGGTACTTTCAGGCCATGCCCTTAGTCTCAGTGCTTGATCGATCGGAACGTGGGTAATCATCATCGCTCTCCCCTGATCTATACGCACTGTCAGTCGAAGCGCCGGTGTCCGAATCCTCTACAAGACCAGGAAAGCCGAAAGGATCTCGCTCTTGCTCGTTGGCGGAATATGTAGTTTCAATGGCAGGCTCACGTGGTGCCGGGAGAATCTCTTCAACGGTCGCCCCCAAAGCCGAAAGACGGTTCTTCCTGCGGGGGAGGGTTTTCGCCATAAGAATCAAATAATCTAGGGCTGTTGGGCAAGAACCCGACATTATTCAGCAGAATCGGTGGAGCCGGCGTAGACTGCGATTCTGGCACCAGCTCGATACCTGGTGCTGATTTAAGGTCGGCCCTATGCTCCTATAATGGTAGTAGCTCCACAAGCTCCTGTGGACCGTGGGCTACTTATCTCGGTTCTGAAGTAATACACGACTCAGTAAGGGGGCGGGGTTTATACATATAACCATCACGGGTTATAGACCCTCCTAGACTAGCTAATTTTCGCGATAAGAGTTGGCGGCAGCCCAGACAGGAAAGCCCCACCCGGCGGACAAAATCCTGTGTATATAGCTGCATATGTCTGCAGATAGAACCCTACAACCCGATGGCCAAGACAGGCCAGGCCGAGGAGGGCAATAAAGTGACACCAGCAGGCGCGAAAAGGTGCGAATCAGAGAAGTGCGTGGAAGGAGAGTCTATTGACTTATTCTTGCGACGTCTCGCGCACATGTTTGTGTGCTTACTACACCCCTCCTCTCACTTCGTTCGTTCCAGGCAGTACCATCGACTCTATAGTACAGTCAGCGTTCATTAATACTTTTGGAACATGCTACATGCCTTACTTATATTTCTGCTAGTGGGCGGAAGTACTTTGTTCCAAATACTAATGACCGGCCACTGGATATGTAACATTCCACAGACCTTTTCTATCAAGGAGAGTGTTATTGTTTTTGTTAGACATATTCTATAGTGCACATCTTATATGCACCCTTGTACTCTCACAATTACTGATCCACTGATCTCAAGCCTTGATCTCAAAAAATGGAAATCAATGAGTGAGTTTCCACCTGATCAACAGTAACCAAAATTGTCGATTGTCCACTCAAACTTGTACATTTCAGTGGTGAGACATCTGCCCGCGGGAGGGCGTCAAGCTCGTCGCAAATCGGCCACTCTGAGACAAGACAACACTTGAGAGAAACATGGAACGCTTGATCAGGAATTTCCCGGAAGTAACTAGGGGGCCGAGTATGATCCTTGCCAATGGATTTGTACCAAAATGTCCCACAGAGTTTAATATAAAGAGAGTCATAGCTTATAGGCTAAGTATTGTGATAAGCGGGGATGATGTAGCTTTCGGCTACTATAATGCAGAGTACCACAATCGATGCAGCACAAATTAGAGAGCTGCTGTCAATTCTTGATTGCCTCAATATCATAAACAAAAAGACGTTTTCTCCCCCACGAGCTTGGAAAGCTTGGAGGCGCGCTCGTAGCCCTGAGTTCCAGAAACGACCTGTCGATTTCGTTTTATACACAGCGGATATATGCAGCATACAGTCTCTTAATCATGTACTCGGTACTGCGCACCGGCCATGCCGATCAGCTCTCATGCAGTACAGCCATTGAACGAGTAACGAGTGTGGGGATCAGGCTCGGGGAATCGGACTTTACTTCGCCCAGACCTCCGGTGCGGCGCAACCCCGCGCCAAAAGAAATAGCCTTTGATAGGCGCAGCAAATCTTGTTGATAAACGGGCCGTACTTGATGGAGAGTCGCATCGGATCCACGGTAGCATCGAAGCTTTGCCGCCCGCAGAGCCCCCGAACACCCAGGACGCAATACGCGAATACATTGGAGATACCGCGTAAAAAATGTCACTGTAGTAGCCCCCGCCATCGTCGCATCGCATACCCCGCAATCCATACAATTTCATTCATAACTGACCCTGTGCCAACCTCGACCTCACCTCACATCACCTCACCTCACCTCACCTCACCACTCCACAAATCCACGAGGAACGGAACATAATCAAGACCAATGGCCTCCCCGCACCCCAACCTCGACGCCCTCCAGCGTGACGGCTTCGTCGTCGTCCGCAACCTCCTCACTCCCGCCGAAATCGAGCACTATCGAACCATCGCCACGGCTGCCACCACCAAAGCCCGGACCGGCGGTTGGCCGCACTTCCGCACCGTCCCCAAGCAATTCCCGCCCTGGCCCACCACCCCGCCGCCCGCTTCAGAGGGCGGCATCTGGGGCGTTCAGCATCTGCTGCACCCGGACATGCCGGGTCGCGAGTCCTTTGCAAAGTGCTACTTCTCCGAGTCCATTCTGACCGTTGCAGAGGAACTCATGGGGGTGTCTGGGTCTGGGTCTGGGTCTGGGTCTGGGGGTGCCGAGCCGCTCGTCATGGAGCTGTTCAATCTGCTCGTCGCGCCGGAGACGAAGGACTTTGAGCTGCGATGGCACCGTGACGATATCTCCGAGAAGGCCACGGCCGACGAGGAGCTCCAGCAGCTCGCTGCCAAGTCGCCCGGCGGCCGCCAGAGCCACGCGCAGTATAACCTGGCGCTGTGCCCGGATGCTTCGCTGGTGGTGGTGCCGGGCTCGCACCGGCGCGCGCGCACCGACACTGAGCGCAACGCTGCGCCATACGAGCCGACGCTGCCGGACCAGCTGGTTGTGCAGCTGCAGCCTGGGGATGCGGTGTTCTATGATAGCAATATACTGCACCGCGGCGTGTACAGGGGTAAGTTGGAGGGCGGAGAGGAGAGCCGGTTGACGCTGCATGGGAGCCTTGGGTTGAAGGCGGCGGATGGGGCTGATGCGGAGACGAAGAAGGTGCGGGCTACGGCGGTGCTGCAGCATGGCGTGGGTGCGTGGGTGCACCGGGAAGATGCGGCGTTTGGCATTGGCGAGAGACCGGAGAAGATGAGGGCGAATCTGGTGGCGATGGGGAGTGGGGAGGGCGTTGGGTATTCGTTGCAGGGATAGATGGAATGGGAGAACCCTAACAGAAATAGGGACGCGTGTATATTCTTATGGAATCAGGTAGGTTGTGTATATGGGATGGTTGATGAGATTTTAGTTCGGACTTTGTATATGTTATTTATGTTCGATTCATGAGATCAAGAGCAGAGCAGATGAGAAAAGATCTGTGAACATATCCATTCATCTCCTTCACGCGTTTCTATCCCCAATGCAGTCATTCTCCCTGAAGAGTATGTACGCTCGGCCGCTCTATAGTATGTAATTTACTTGCCATCTCCGGCCACGATGTGAACCCCACTGGGAAGTCCCAAGATCTGCCCACCCTGGAGCAGCTCACAAGCTGCCAGCGTATCCTGTCCGCTAGCCTCCGTCAAGCATTGTCCATTGGCATTCTGCAAGTGGCCAGTGATAAAATACGACCATGTGGCGCCGGCTCCACCCTTGCAGTCCACAAGCGCAACACCGGATCCTTTCGCAGCAAGACATTTCGACTCGTCCGAGAGCGGGCTCATGATCACCTTGGTCCCGGAGCCGGCTACGCGCCAAACCTGGGCATCAGATGCGCTGCAGGCCGCAAAGGTAGCCCCGGACGATGAGGCAGTGAGGCAATGCCCTGAAACAGTGTTAAAGATCATGCCCGTCGGGGTGACGGAGGTGCAGCCACGGCCAGGCGTAATGCGATAGACAGCAACGGCGTGCCTGTCTAGTGTGACAGCGAGGCTGTCGCGGATAGAGAAGGTCTGACCAGTCAGAAGGTCGCGGGCCTTGTACTGGCATTTTGTATCCAGGCCGAGCCGGGCCACGGAGACGCTGGTTTTCGCGGACCTCGTGCCGGTGTTCAGCACGGTGAGCAGCCGGTCCCCGTTTGCGAGCAAGCGAGTCAACACATCGAAGTTGCCATCGCGACTGACTAGGGCCGCTTGTTGGGCCAATGGGTCCTGGTCGACAGCGATCAAGTCCTTGTTCGACAGGTACTCGATTTCCTCGTCCGACAGCGCAGGAATATACGCGCTGATAATCAGCGGCGCGCCGAACGATGCCCACAGCGCGAAGTGCGAGCGCTTCTCGGTGTCGGTCAGGCCAGGGTGGTCTGGGATCAGGAAGTCCGGGTCGTTGTAATATCCGGGCTGCTGGTAGCGCGCGACCAGGATCTGGTAACCGTAGTTCACCATGATGCTATCCCATGCACTTCCTTCGCCCACGTACACGAGGATGTCGGTTGAATGCCGGGCCAGCTCACCGTAGTACGGGATCCAGTCCATAACACTTGCCCACTCCGTCTTGTTTTCAGAGAAGTATGCTGGCGCCGACTCGGAGAATATCAGCGGGTGCGACATCGCGCTCAGAATCCGATGCCACTGCCCATAGCGGTGCTTGTACTCATCCGCCAGCGACCGGCCCTCTTTAGCGTATACATTGCACCCATCGAGCTTGAGATAGTCAATGCCCCAGCTCGCAAAGGTCTCTGCATCCTGCTGCTCATGTTCGTACGAGCCCGGGTACCCGCCGCAGGTGGCATTCCCCGAATCCTCGTAGATACCCAGGTGGAAGCCGTGCTGATGGGCGTAGTCGGCCAGCCACGGGATGCCGTGTGGAAACAGGGTCGTGTTCCACTGCAGTGCGCCGTTGGCAGCGCGCTCGTGCGCCATCCAGCAGTCATCCAAGTTCAGGCGATTCTAGCCGGCATCAAGGAGGCCGCGACTCACCATGGACTGGGCGGTCTCGGTAAAGAGGGTCTCGTTGAGATCGCACTCGAAGCGCGCCCAGTTGTTGAAGCCCATGGGCGGCGTGGCGAGTAGCCCAGGGTCCTCGACCGAGGCGTCGACGGGGAGTAAGGGAAGCAGGAGCAGGCTTGCTATGCGTGCTGGGACTGCCCAGCTGGTGGCCGATGATCGTGCCATGTTCTGTTTGGATGCAATTGAGAACTATCAAGACAAGGAAGCGCTATCTGTGGTCAGATTCAGTTTTCGATCGGTCCATGGAAGTCGAGCCAGCAGGAAGGCTGCATTATATGCTCGGCACCACCGACCCCATCACAGTTTCGTCTGGAATGTTTTGCTGTCCGATCTCGCCTTCCCCGCACCGGAGACGTGCCTGGGATCGACGCAAATCATACCTCGGGGGCAAGCTGCAGCTAAGGCGCTGCGACGGTGGCATGACTGATGAGGGAGTAATTAAATCCTCAACGCCAAAGTCAGCAAGACAAAAGACGCAGTCGAGCGGTTGATTAGGGTTGATCAGGGTCGAAGACGAAGCTCATAGACGCCGTCATCGTCCTCTAGTCCCTTTGGCCCCTTTGTCCGGTTCAGTCCTCGCCGCTCGTCGCTGTTACTTAAGCGATTGCCTTTCCCAAGCCATGCCTTGGTGGTTAGAATTGGGGCAATATGCTGTTGGTATAGAATATATTTCCTTTGAACGGGAAGAAACATGAAAAGGGCCTGGGCCACTGGAAAGCTTAGCTCTGAACCACATGGGGCGTCGGGCTGGCCCGCTTGCTAGTCCCATGCTATTCTCCGGCGAATCTTTCCATCATGCGGTTCGCCCTTTCCGTTTCAGTAATCTATCAAAACAGATCCTGCGAAATCACCCGGAGTCTATTCAACCAGGAATCTTACTGACTATGAAGGAATTCAGTACGTCAGGAATCAAAACATCTAGCAAAGCATTGCAAGATGCAGGACATCATCTAAGACAGGATCTCTTCCTCCGCAGCCGTGATCTCTTATGCGCGATAGCTTCTATTTACGGGACTACTCGGCCACAGTTGCGTACTCTATCATCCACGTATGGACTTAAGAGGCCTAGGATGAGGCTAGAGGCCAGCATCTCATCCACGGAATCCCCTCTCCCTCTCAACCTAGCAAGAAAAAAAAAATAAAACCATCCCATCCCACCCCCAAGCCCAACCTCGTCTTCCGAGTCAACCCCGCTTCGATAGCTACATCGTCCTTCGGTTCCACGGTAGCTGCGATAGACTCCTTCTGAGAGAGAAATGCGCCAGTCATGGTCATCCTCGGATATCCCGTCGGGCGGTGCAGACTTGTTGAGTTTTACATTCAGGGGATGATCGGCTAGGCTTCGGAGATATCCGAGGGCTCCTGGGCGTTGTTTGGCTTGGCAGAGAGCCGAGACTCGAACGGCTTTCCCCAAGACATAAGGTATGGGGTGGCTTGAATCATACAGGAGACAAAAGCACGACCATGCAACTTGTTCCCCACGGTGTCCTGTTGCCCTGTAGTCACGCAAGACTGTGTGCACGACGTGCTTCGGCCGAGGCGAAGGTTTTCCATGAGCACTAAGCACTGTCCCAACCGTCTTGGCACGGGGAGTCCGAGCGCCGGCCCTGAAGCTCGGAGCAGGCGCTGGCTGCAGGGTGCTGCAGCAATATGCCGGAGCAGAGTGACTGCCGACGATATTCGAGTCTCGTTGACGCAGGATTTAACCGTTCTGAATCATGGGCCCCAGCACAATCGTGCCGTTAGAGCGCACCATTCAACAGGATCGGCCCGCGCTGCGATCGATCACATCCTGTCGGAGAGAGGCGGTGGGGCTGTGATGGATCGCATTGAGGCGGTGGTAGGCTTAGGCCACGGTTAGTGGGTTAGTGGAATACGGAAGACAGGGTCTATGCAAGCCTCTCTCAGTCAACATGGCACACATGAGCTCACTCGGCATGCACGACGTGAGATCTAGCCAGGTGGAGACGTCCACGGGGCCCAATCCGCCGGTTTTAGCTTCGTCCCTTACGGTGGTTTAACTGGGTTTAACTGGATTCGCCTTCGCCGCCCCCCAGTGGGGTTCAGCACTACCGGCCGTTCTCGCGGCGTTTTGGCTGGCTGGTCGGGGGACTCACCTGCCTGGGGAAATTGCGAGGTCTTCTTGCTCTGGCCTTTCTCCTCTCTCACCTCCCCGCCGAGGGACTGCAGAGACACAGCAGAGCACAATACTGCTGTTCACACTGTTCACCATGTCCTCCTCCGACCACAAACCCAAAATCCGCCCGCAACAGTCGTGCCTCAAATGCCGCGAGCGCAAAGTCAGGGTATGCATCGACCAATCCCCCCACCCCCCCAATTCCAACATTCCGATCCCAGCCCGACCCAGCACCTCCCAAAAGGAAATGAATACAACAAAGAAAACTACACAAGCTAATCGTCAATGCTCCCGCCTCCAGTGCGACCGCTCCATTCCCTGCGAGGCCTGCATCCACCGCGGCATCGAGTCCGAATGCACGTACCTCACCTCCGCCGAAGACCGCGCGCACATCAGCCAAGCCGAGATCATCGACCGCCTGCGCCGCGAAGTCACCCAACTGCGCGGCCAATTGACCCAGGGTCCCGGGGCGCGCGGCCCAAGTCCTGCGCGCCGGCGCGAGAGGGCGCTGTATGCGCGCAAGTATAAGAAAAGCCGTGGCAGTGCAGAGCCGCGCGCAAGCTATGCGGCCGGGTCGGCTTCAGGAACGAGGTCTGGCTCACGATCGGTGACAGACTCGGAGCCCGTGGACGGAGGCAGTTGGCCCGGTTCGTCGCCGTCCTCGACATCGACGACCACGATGACCAATCCGATGGCTATGACGAGTCCCGATAGCACGGGCAGTGAGAGCGGCGCCAGTGCGGGTTATGCGCAGCATCAGGCGTATCCTGGGTCGACGGCGCCGTACGGAACGCAGATTGTCAAGGCGGATGTGGCCACAATCACGGAGAGCGCGGCGTTTGGTAATTGTATGTCTTCGATGTTGCTTTCTCTCGGGTCTTTGGTGATCGGTGTTGCGGTTTTTTCTTTTTGTCCCCATCTGACCAACCATCTTACCAGACCCCCTGGGCGATGCGATGGCGCAATGCCAGGTAAGCGGCCTACCGGCCTTCCCTGGCGAGATTCCTGGGTCGTGCCCAATGCAGGGGCTCTCGCAAGCACCCCAAGCTCACGCCCCCGCCCCCGCGCCCGACGGGGTGATCGCGGGGCCTCCGATGCATATGTACGGCAGCGAGGAGAGCCCCAGCCAGGACGGGGTCTATTCCCATTCTAACCATCATCTCTGCGAAGACTACGCGGACATGAACACCCTCAACGCACACAGTCCGTCTCAGGCATATCCACTGCCCTGGGCCCAAGAACATGGGCACCACTTGGCCAATGCCCAGCCCCCGGCCCAGGCACCAGCCCCCCCGGATTCATCATACTACTACTCCTCCTCCTCCATGGACACGTTCGCCCAACACGATCCGACTTCCCATCCACAACTTCATCTCTCTCACACTCCTTGTCCTCTCCCCCAGAGTCACCCACTACCACCGCCATCCCACCCCACCGAATACCAAGCACACGCTATCAACTCCATCCCCGACTCCTGGAAAGGGCCCGACAAACAAGACCTGCTCGAAACCCTCCTCGAAACCATTAGCAGCTGCCACGAAGAACGCATCGCACAAGTCGTCGCCGTCGTGCGCGCCAGCGAGACCCCGGAGGAAGCTGTCTCGGGCATCTGCCAGGTTCTGGGTATCAGCGCGGATGGAGCCGGGCCACCTTGACCGTGATATGATGTCCATCACGATCTCCCACGAGAGTAGAGGGTCTGCGGTAGTTGAGTATCGGGCAGGCCTGATACCAGCCGGGAGGACTCGCCTTGGAGAGTCGGGTCCAGCGCCTTTTCTGCATCCAAGCCCTTGAGACGCTCTATATTGCCCTCGTCTCGTACGGTGAAGCTAGCTTCGCAGCCGGTCTTCCGGGAGCCCACCACCTGTACCCGCAGCGCTTTGACACTCATCACCTCGGACCACCAGACAACTTGGCCGAAGCCGTCAAAATTGCTGCCAACGACCCTCGTGGATTCCTTCGCATGCATGCCCGAGACAATCACTCGCTTCAAGAGGGCCTCATGCCGTATCAATTTTCGGTCACCGTGCAGTGCTTCGATACTCTGCTGGATAACCGAGAGCCCGCCCACTCGCTTCGAGAGTGTGGAGCTGAGCACGACCTGTGCCGCAGCAGAACGACAATCACTTGCTGGAGAAGTGGATGTACCAATGAAGCAGTCACGAGATCACGATTTATGCCTGTTATATTTATAATTTTTTTTGTTCATATTCGCTAGACGATGTTGACCATCAAGGCGCCAGCCAACCCAATTAAAGCTTTCGCCGTGGGCCTAAGGCCCCCTCGCCAACTCTCCATATCGAATCCGGACCCATGCACCGCCCTTCATACCTGTGATTTTTGACCATAGACAGAGAAGAAAAAAAAAGAAAGAAGTCTAGTACATAGGTCGATGCCTTTATACATTAATCCCGGAGTCGTCACGCCGTTAGTCGTTAATGATGCGGGCTCGAGTCCACCGTCTCGATCCGAATGCTGCTCCTTTTGCTACCTGTTTTACGGACCCCTGACAGGTGACCCATTCGCGCATCGCATCAGCCGTCCATTCACGTCATAGCGTCTCGCTGTTGCTGTTCGTCGCCTCAAGCGGTTTCTGCCCGTATACGAAGTGGAACAGCACGTAGAGATGGAACTTGCTGCTGACCAGCTCCGCGCGCACTTTATCCATGTACTCCTGCGCGTCCTGGAATGAAAAGCCCAGTACACGGGTGAATAGCGCGAGAGTGTACGGCTCGACCACCTCCAGGATGGTCAATTTGCCGACGCGCCCGATCTCCTTGAGACGGCGGTTCTTCGCCCAGCCGCCGACAGGACACTAGACAACCGGAACGGAAGAAGTTAGCGATCGCATCGTCCAGGGAAGTGGAAGGAGAGCCGGAGGCACGGAGGCATCCGATGATGCCTTTCTCCCATCTCAATCCCGCGCTCACCTTATAGATATCATCGACAATATTCACGAACCCCGCCTCCGCCATCCACTGTGCCATGCGCGGCGCCACATTAACCGGCTTTCCAAACTCATCACTCGCTCGATTCAACTTATCCTGCCAATCCATCACATTCGTCGCCATCATATGCGTCCCGTCATCACTCCTCACCCACGCCTCGAACTCCTGCACCTCGAACCACCCGCCCGGCTTCAGATGCACAAGTGCCTGCCGCAGCAGCCGGGGCCAATCGCTCACGCCGCCGCCCATGCTGCGCGCGTGAATATAATCGAAGGCCTCGGATGACGAAAACGTCCAGTCGGACTCGGCGTCGTCGATGAAAAAGCGGCAGTTGGGCGGTGCCCAGGTGGGTTGGATGGGGCTGAGGTCCGTGCCGAGGATATCCGCTGCTGGGAAGTCTTCGGCTATGTCGAGAACCCATTCGCCGGTGCCGGTGCCGATGTCTAGGATGCGGGTTGGGGCGCGCAGTGGGGCGCGGTAGAGGTCTCCGCCGGAGAGGAGCTTGAAGAGGTGGTGCATGAGCGCGAGGCGGTCTTGCTCTTCCTCGTCGTTTGGAAAGGGGTATTGGCCGTGGCGGTAGGCGTGGTAGCGGCGGCCGTTTTCGTAGGAGTAGTCGCGCACAGAGGAGGCGAAGGAGAGATTGGAGCCCGCGAGGGATCTTGTGTCGAAGAGCGAGTCATCGTCGCTGGTCTGGTGGTTGGTGAGTGGTAAGTGGAAGTCGGTAGTGGAGGGGAGTATGAAAGATGAGGGAATCGGTGAGGAGGAGGAGGGTCATGCTGGTGGTATACACGATGAAGCAGCGCGGGGCGATTTTACAGGGATGTGGTGGGGGAGTTTGGTGGAGGGGGGGGGGTGGGAGGAGCATGGGCACTACGAGGAGGGGAAAAAAGGAAAAAAAAAAAAAAAAAAAAGAGAAAGAAAGAAAGAAAAGATAGCTTACATCGATCTGGATGCGCTCGTGGGGGTTTGGTTGGGACATGGCCTGAAGCAAGGAAGCAGGGAGGAAGGAGAGAGGCCGGGGGAGGGGGAAAGAAACGGTGGAAGAAGAAGAAGAAGCTCCACGAGCAAGTCGAGAGAGAAAAGAGCACCACCGCCGAGAATAAGGAGAAGGAAGGAGGGGAAGGGAGGGAGAGGGAAAGAAGGTGAAGCTATACGGGGGCAAAGGCGAAAGAAGAAAGCGAGCAGGTCAGAGCGGAGGAACAAGTTATCGCATGGCATCACTCCGCATCAGGAGATTATCTATCAGAAAAGATCGGGACGGAGCCGACAGTAACTCGCAAGACTACTCGCATAATACCAACCAGGTATCGTACCGACAGAAAGGATGCTGGGAACCCAAGCGGCAGGGTTGACCAGATGATCCATCAGTCCTTCACGGGACCCCGCAGTGTTCCCGAGGGGCTGGTTTGAGTAGTCGCCTGTCCGGAGTCGGGCATTCTGGCATGGGCTAGGGTATGATTCGTACGGCGATGACTAAGGGGATGGGCGGGGTACTTTTGCAAGCGAGAATGGTCTCCTCTTTAGTGTCCTCTTTAGTGTCCTCTTAGTCTCCCAGGCTAGACCTCCGGTGACGAATTAACTCGCTAGTCTAGTCAGTCCTGCGGGCAGCGGACAGGATCCCGAGCCCACTCACAGGCCTGGCATTCCAGCGAGCCTAACCGCCCCGGCCACGCCTGACCAGCCACGATAGTGCTGCAGGGAACACAGAGCCGGGTACCCTGTTCCCAGGACACAGCTCCCGGTCCCCGGCCTGGGCCCGGAGCGTCGGGCCCGTCCCCCGCTGGGACGGAGAGGGGAGGGATTGGACGGTGCGGGAGCCCAGACGAGACGCTCGGGGCCTGCTGCAGAGACAAGGAAGGGTTGGGAGGGTTGGAACAAGGTTTGACTCGTGCAGGGCTTGGCGGGGATCGAGAATGCATCAGGACTGGGAGCGGTGTGTACAGTAGAATCGGTGCATATTAAGGGGTTGGCATCGTACATCGAAGAATACAGTAGATAGCCCACAGGAGGAATTTAATGGGGCGTGTCATCCCGTGGATAGAGGCGAGGAGTCATGACTGGTATGGAGACGGGAGCTTCATTTTCCTTATTTACGGGCCCGTCCCGAGCAGCGATCCATGGTCTGATCCGTGATTTGGCGGGACCGGGGTGGAGAGCGCCCGGGAGATGACAGCATAACCATACCAGGTACGTCGAGATACCAGGTCCATGTAACCAGACACCGCTAACTCAATAAGCATCATTTACCCCCCTCCCCACCTCAGCCCAGGGCTTGTAGCTTCGCCCGCTCATCCTCCGTCAGCGCACCATACAACTCCTGGAAGCCCGGCTGCTGCGACGCCCGCCGGAAAAACTCCCCCAGGAAGGCCTGCGTCTCATCATCCCGCCGGCGCACCCCAAAAACGCTCTCCGACCCGCCCTCGCCATAGCTCATCAGCTCCTGCTTGGTCATGCCCAGTCCCAGATCCAACACCTGACCCGGCTCATCCTCCCAGTCATCATCACCGTCGTCGCTAGCCGCGTCCTCAAGGGCGGCCGCATGCGCAGCGTCGATTTCCTTGCTGCCCGAGGCCGCGGCCAGCTCTTCGACCAGCACCTTGACGATCTTCAATGGCGCCGGCACGGTTGTGTAGCGGTCGGGATTGGCGCGGGCCTGCGAGCGCGTCTTGATGCGGCCCGTGTCCGTGATGATGAGGTCCCCTTTGACGGGCACCTCGGCCACCCGCGGGTCCGACAGCTCGTATAGCCGCGCCAGTGCGAAGATATTCTGCTTGATCTCCTCGTAGCCGGCGAAGTTGACCGAGTTCTCCAGCCATTTGCTCAGCACCACGACCAGCCCGCTCTGCCCGCCCAGGTTCACCTGTGCCAGGAAGTCGACCACCTCGCGGGCGCTGATGAGCGTCAGCCGCGCAAACACCAGAATCAGGCTCTGGATGAATTGCGCTTGCTGCGCCGTTGCCAGCCGCTGCGCCACTGCCTGCAGCAGCTGCGGCAGGTATGGTCCCAGAAGCTCGGAGCCGGCGCGCTCCACCAGCTCGGCCGCCAGCTGGCCGACCTCGGTGGCGGCGTTGTCGTCCACCGCCGGGCCCAGCAGGCGGTCGATGATCACCAGGACCACCTCAACGGCCTCCTTGCCGGACTGGGGGTCGCGCCAGGCGACGAACTGCGCAAAGTCGTGTGAGAGCATGTGGCGCACCGCCTCGGTCGCGGGCCGGATCAGCTCAGCCTCGTCCGATTCCTGCAGCAGGCGGTTGAGTTTCGGCATGACGGTCTCCACGAAGCCCGCCGGCATGGGCTCGAGGCTGCGCTCGGCGAGAGCCCGGAGCAGGTCCGCCGCGAAGACGGTCAGCTCGTTCTCCTCAGTCAGGTTGCCCACGTCGATGGCGCCCATCAGCGAGGGGAGCACCTTCTCGCAGAGACGCACGTACGCCTCCGGCCCGTGCTCGGCGATCTGATCCACAATGTCCTCGAAGGCCTCGGTCACGGTCATCGTCAACTGGAAGTTCTCTGCGCCGCTGCTGGCGATGTTGAAGAGCACGTCGATGGCGAGCGACGACAGGACCACGGTCGAGTCTGCCATGATGGTGTCGCGGAGTGTCTCGGCTAGTGTGACCTTGAGATCGTCGCAGTCCGTCTGTTCGCGCAGGTCGTGTGCTGAGACGAACTCGGAGAGGGCGGAGATGACGGTCACCTGGAAGGGACGGGCCACGCTGACGGGCAGAGAGGGGACGAGGTCTTGCAGGACCCGAATGCAGGCCACCTTGACCACCTCGGCGGGATCGTCGGCGATGGCTTTCAGGGTGGCTTCGAGGTAGGATACGGTGGTCTGTTGGAAGGCCTCCCCGGCCACCTTGGCGAGGGCACCGGCCACGAGATAGCCTCGTGCACGCAGGAGCTCTTGCTCTTGTTGCATTGCGTAGTGGATGAACTGGGTGAAGTGAGTGGCGAGTTCTGGAGAAATTTGTTGAGAGACTTCGCCGAAGTCCCGGAGGAGGGCATTGATGGTGTAGAGGGCAGCCTCACGGGCCTTCCACCTAAGATCAGAGGATTAGCATCATTCAAATGCCCCAGGAAGAATATAACCTACGACGCAGAGGTGTCGGCGAAAAGAGTGTTCAGGTAACCCAGGACTCCCTCGGCCGCCGTCTCCTTCAGCCACTCGCCAAGCTTGACAACCAGGTCTCCGCTGCACGTTCTAGGCGTGTAGTTTGCCGTGACCGAGGTCTCCTCCGACAGGAATAGGTTAACGTCAATCTCCCACAGGCCTTCTTCTTCCGAGGTAATCTGTGAGTAGTTACTGGCAAGCTTCATGATCTCGGGCAGCCAGCTGGATGAGCTAGCAGCAGAGCCAGCGCTCTGTAGTTGCTGTGTCAGCTCTGCCTTCACGGGAGGAGCCTTCAAGAGGGCTTGGATGAGGTCCAATTCCTCCAGAACAAGAAAATCGAGCGAGTAAGGGAGACCATCCATATCCTCTAAGCGTCCTTGACGTTCGTCTTCAATGAAGAAGTTTTGGTAGATAGGCAGCGCATTGGTGAGCTCTGTCCAGACCGTCGAGAAGAAGGTCGAGCTCTGCGCCGTCAAAAGGCCGGGGAAGACCATGCGGATCTTCATGACAGTCTATCACGCCAGCGCATTACGTTAGCCAAAGACTTGCTCCCGACCCCCAGTGTCCCTCGTCATGAATGCATACCTTCACAACCTGAAGCTTCAGACCAATCATTCCACGCCACTGCGACGGAATCTCCCCCGCTTTGTTTGCTTCCTCCTGGCTAGGCGGCTGAGGCAATGGCGCCTTCAACGTCTCGACAAAGTATGGCGACCACGCGCTTAAGACCTCATCGACAAACTGCTTAATCGCCGCCTTGTGCTGCTCCAGGACCATTTCCAGCGTATCAAAGCAGGACCGGAACACCGCAACCGAAAGCGCCCGCAGCATCGGCCGACGAGACTCGGACGTCGCCACGGCGAATAGAGACGCGACTAGGTCACGAGCGACATTGAAAAATTGCTCCTCACTAAACCCAGTATCCACAAGGTCCAGCAGCACCTTCAACGCGCCGTGCAGCGCCGCATCGCTCGTGGCAGCGTTGTTGATAACATGCAGCAGCGAGGGCAACAGCTCTGGCCAATCGTCCGGGAAATCTGCGCTGGCAATCTTGCTGACGGCATAGCTAGCGGAAGCCTTTACCTTGCGCTCGGGAGTCTCGACAGTGGTCGCGAGATCCAGCAGCGCGCGGCGGATTTGTGTCTTGTTGGCGTCGGCGACAAGCACCTGGCCCGTGAATTCGTCGAGATTGGGCGACCAGGCGGCCGCGATGAAGGTACGCAGGACGGAAAGGGCCGATTGGCGCAGGTTGACGGGGACGGACTCGTGCGAGGCAATGGCTGTGAGGGAGATGGGGAAGGATTCGTTTGAGTAGAGCTGGGCCAGTTGGGCTTCCGCGGCTTTCCTGGCGTCCGCCCGTGGGGACTGCGTGTCTGCCAGGAGCGACAGGAGTTCTTGCTCCATGGCGAGTGAGGTGGGTTTGTTGATCAAGGGGAGGACAAAGGAGAGTGGCCTGTCGCGAGGAAAGGTGCGATCAATAAGTTTGCGCGCGGCGATAAGAGGACGAGGCTCTGGAGGGGCAGAGGCGGTCAATGGGGGTGGGGTTGGTGGTTGTTGGATGGTCCATCCCACTGTGGTAGCTGGAGGTGTAGAGAGGATTCTACGTTATACACCGGTGTCAGGGAAGGATTTTATGGAATGATTCATTTTCCTCTCATATATCTGAAATGGCCCTTTCGTTCTGCTATCCTGGACTTCACGTACGGTACGTCCGTTTGTTGAGTGGGACCCCCGTAGGTACGAGCCCCAAGACCAACCACCCCAAACATTGCATAGTTTCCTTTATGCATCTGATGGAAGGTGGCCACTCCTGGGCCAATAATGCTAAGAGCTTATCTCCAACTCTAGTCTCATTTTTCGGTCAAAAAGCCGGTCAACAGGCCAACGCAAGGGATTCTGCGGGGTCTATAGAGAGGTCCCTGACTATCGTGCATGAACGCCTGATCTTTGTCCCGGCATGTCACGGAATCTGCGCAGATGCATTTGTGTGGGCGTTGAGACGGTGTTGACTGTATGGCTTCTGCGTCGTTTGGGACACCTTGACGGCCCGGGCCAGGACTTGAAGTAAGCCACAGGGAACTTTAGACTCTCTTCGATCGTGCTTGGCCCGATAGCACCAGGGGAGTGAGGGGCCATAGCCTCTGGCACGAAGAACTGATTTCTACCGTCATCCATGTAGATCTGGGGTAATGCTCCAGGTCGGGTCGCAGCGACGCGACCGAAACAGCGGAGCCTGGGTACTTGCGTGGGCTCTGCATGGGCAGGTATAGATCGTAGATCGCTGAGCTTGTCCAGAGGCAAGGAATGGGGAGGTTCCGGTCGCAGTCGGTACCCCTGCCTGATGTGGTAATCTTCTTACCTTATACTTAACTAGTTACTCCCGATGATGACATGATAGCTCCTCCTCGGACAGTCCACAGTCACATTGCCCCACGATGGAACCTCGGGGACCGATGAGAACGTACTTGGGGCGAATCAGTCACGGAAAATCACAAAATCCCAGACGCACAGCGTGCCGGTCAGCGATCAATTACGGAGCCAGGCGTGGTTGAGACATCGCATTGTACGCATTGGGTGGATCGTGATCTTTCGCGACGAAAGCCACGGCCCGGATTGACTCCAACGTCAGCCAAGAGTGAGACAGATCCGTTGCGGGGGAGGTCTCGTTTGGTATACTGGATGCGGCTCTTCATGCGAGCGGAGCTCAATAGCTGAAGATAATAGAACAGGATATGGACTTGATACAAAGGCGGTAATGGTGGATGGAGTCACGAAGCCATCTCCAGGAATCACCAGAGGCGAAGATCATCGACATGGCGGTGACAGGGCAGTAGAAACGGATAGAAGACGATGATCTGTACAAGAGGACAGTGGATGGAGTGCAGTATACAATCTACAGTACGTCTCGCGCACGTCCCTGACCAAATGCGGTTGATCTCACGCAGGGCCAAATCAATCCCGAGCTCACGGCCATCGCCCGGAGCCAGGGTGTCAGTCTCCCCGGCGGTCCGGCCGCCACTGCCGTCAGAGCTGGAAGATCGTCGGTACAGGGCCCTTCTTCCATGCTCGGCGGCCCGGTAGAGCAACTCCATCTGGTGCAGTTCCTTCTGGGCCACGGTTGAGGCAATACGGGAGCGTACCCGGTAACTACAGTACAGTAGTTACCGTCCCGGTACCCCTTGTTTTGTGAGGGTGGGCTGGTGAGGCCCAGCGGGGTATAACCCGGTAATTATTCTGTACCGCAATACTCCGACCCTGGTCCCTTGAGGTCGGGCTCCGTGAGAATATCCATGACGAGGAGAGAAATGGAATATCGGAGACGGGGAATTCAAAGCTCTCACCTTCCCAGGTGGAGAGCTGGGAGAGTCGCGTCCGGTACCTCGGTACCTGGACGCGGGACCAGGGTACCGATGTCCTTCGACCGTACTCCCGCTGGGGGTTGGTACCTGATCAGACGCTCCTAGCAGAACCACGAAGATAAGCTTACATCCACCACTGGGGTTCTTTGGGGGTGGCTTTTTTATGCTCGGCTAGACCCGTTGGTTCTTATAAATGCCCTCAAGGTTACGCCCTGGCCGGCTGTAGGGAGTGTTTGGCGGTTCCCTGCCCCAGTTGCTTCTCCGTGTCTTGTACACGAAAAAGTATACATCATGGATGTGTGTGTGTACCTCTCTTTTTCTTCGCTTGGGTTGCGATGATCGCCCCTCTCGCCGCTAAGCGTCCCATCATCCCACCTGACTAACGCGGTGGGGAATAACAGAAGAGGCAAAAAGGGCAGAAAAACTGTGCGTTCTGTACACCCCCCATAAAATGCGGTACCCTGGATACCCTGGTGTATTAAGTAAGGCTTTTGGTGACTTTTTTTTATTTACCTCAAGCCCTTTCTGTCATGGCCGTCCCGACGCGGAAGGAGAGCGATAGTTGGTTTGTCTAATTGATGTATAATCGATGACAGGAAGAGTAATGGAGAAGAAGCATGGTGATAACCTATAGATATCAAAATAGAAACTGATGAACTATGAAACAGAGTATAAATCAAATAGCAGCAATCAGGCAATGGCCGTGGTCAAGCAGAGAAAGCGAGTTTCTGCAAGGCCCATGACGCAACCACGTGACGGGAACCGTGACCTTCCACTGACCGGCGCCTTCCACTCCTGCTTTTCCCCTCCGCCAAACGGTACGTGAATCTGTCGTCGATTCATCGCCATCAGCTTCGTGACTTCTTCTACGGGACCGTCCCCTTCGTTTCATCGCCAGGAAGTGAGGCCACCCTTACCGACGGAGCTGCGCCCCTTCCCCTCGCCAGTGTTTCACCGACGTCCCCTCCTTCCTCTCGCTTTAACCACCCCTCTTCGCCCTCCCCTCCCTTCACTGCCCTCCCCCCCACAAAGGGAACATCTGTCTTCCAAAAAAAAGTGCCCACACTTTTTATCATTGGGGGTTCGGCGCTCAGGCTTATACCGTTATCCATCCCTCATGCTCTGAGGTTTTGCATGTTGTTGTTTTGTCCACCCAAGCGTACGTGCGGCTCGATTTCCCATTACAAACAAACAACCCCCCTCACTCCCTCATTCCCCTCCACCACCAACTCTTCTATCACCAAATCAACTACTCCTCCAAAGCCTCCAAAAAAGCTTCCTGTCTTCATATACCCCTTTCCGACCACCCTCCACACCGTCGCACAATCGCCTGGCCCGACTCGTCGTGGCCCGACAGTCGGCCGCCGGGCAAAAGAAAAAACAAACTTTGACATCATCAACCCCAACACCTCACCAAGCTCTTCTCCCAAGATCTCAGCGTTGACCGATGGATTTAGGAAGGCAGAGCGATGATCAGCTTCAGGGTGGAACATCATTTAGATTCTGCGAGACTCCGTCAAGATCACCTTTACCGTGGAAACGACACCCGATCGTTCAACGGCCATGCCAATGGCCAGTGAGACCAGTAGTACCACCACCATGACCACCTTCTCCGCCCCGATTCCTGCTACCAAATCGCTGCCTACCAATCAGTCAGCGCTAGCGGCTTCTTTCACCAACTTCCTCACGGTCTCTGTCCACCAAATACTGTTCCTGCGCTCCGTCTACCCGCGCGCCACGTTCCTCCCGGTCCGGGCATACAACTATCCTGTCCGACAATCTCGTCACCCTAAGGTGTGTGACTATATCAACGATGCATCGATCGCAGTCGGGACAGAGATCTTGAAAGGCACTATCACCGCAGTCAGTATCATCATTTCATCTTTGCGCACAAATCAACCCCTCGAGCGATATGCCTTTGATCTGTCGGGCTTCCCTCGCGCCCCAGCTGGAGAGGTGAATACCACATTTGAAGGCAGAAATGAAGGTTCATCCACCAATGCAGGTGCGCCCGGGGGCCCCGCACCGACCTCGGTCGACCTCGAGGCCCAATTCCGGGCCTGTCTGGCCCGACTCGCGTCGGCCTGTGCACGATTGACTCCCTTGCCACGCGATGATGAATTCAGCTTCACCGTGTGCATCGAAGTAAGGGAGGACGCCCTTCCCCCGGCAGGAACCACCAACGAAGAGCAAACGTGGATCGTGGCCGAGCCCGGCAAAGTACACCTGCGATCCTGCACCGCCCCCTACTCCGTGTCCAAAGTGCGAAATGGCGACCCCCAGCAGCAGCAAGCGTCCCCTCCGGTCTCGAACGGCCGCGCTAAAACAGTACCGGTACGACGTGTGGAGGCCGGGGAACTGCGCCTGGAGCTGTGGGTCGAGGAGGCACGGCAGAAATTCAATGAACCGGTGGACTCCGAGCAGCCTCCTTGAAACATTTGAGCTTTGGAAAGACATTTCCTGAGAAAACACACTTGTTGGGAGATTATTATGTGTCAAGTCTGGCTTGGGGGGGGAAATTATGTTGTTTGTTTGTTTGCTTATCCACACGTCATACGCATCATTCCACTCACCTACCCACCTACACCCTCACCACCAACCCACCTCACTACCTCCATTTCAGCCTCATTCTTGATTTAGCGTGACCAATGATCGAACATACATGATGGACGAGGAAATTAGGAATTGCCGTCCGCAACGAAGTGGCGCAAATATATAAACCGGGGAGCGGACAATTTTGGGGCTCGCATGGCATTTACTTACATAGATCAGGTTCATATCTTTCCTCTTTTCGATTCTTTTCCAGGCTCTTTTCTTCTTCTTTATATTCTTCCCCAAGTTTCTTCTGATCTTTACTTTTCTTTCTACCTTCATGACGCTCCTTGTTCCCCCTGCCCCTCTTTTTCCCATCTCTTTTTTTCTCCTCCGTGACTTGCTTGGTTTTTGAAAGTTCATCACATCTTGCATCTCCATATGCTGATCCCTGGGTTTTGACTGTCTCCTCGTTTATCATTTTTACTGCGGTCCGGCCTCGGCTTTTTTTTTTTCATACCATTTTCTTGTTGAATCTCTCAACTACATGATTCTCCTTTTTTCTAGCCAATTGCCAATCCAAATATCTAGCAATTATATCCCTGATGTCTCTTTCTAGTGGTCCCTGCGTCTTCCTATGGCTGGTGTTTCTTATCTGATCTGATGTATTATGCCTTTCGCTTTCTTGATGTTATTCTCCAGCTTTCATCCTGCCCTCACTATGAACTCCTCGGGTAATTTTTGACCTGGGTATTTGATGTATGTGATGGCCACGTCTTAATGTTGTTGCATCTTTCTTTATTATGTTGCCTAATGTGTTCCTACCTTTCTTCCTCTTATTCTTCTTCCTTTTTTTCTCGCGATTGGTTAAATCAGGTTGGCTGGACTAAGATAGCACGCCACCTGGTGTTGACTTTGTACGCGTCATGATAGAGCTAGTCAATGTGCAGGCCAGGGAATGGACGCCGTGAGAGACGCTTGATCAAGACAGCCCATCCGGTATAGCCAGTCTAGCTCGTGGATCCCGGAACTAAGGCTCCACTGCATGATATCATGATAACATGCCCGGCTCTTGTGATTGTCGCCCCAGGTTCAATGTTTGGCGAAGTAACCAGTCTCTTGCTTACGGCAGTCATCTCACTCGGCTGCATCTTAAGTAGCACAAATAAACTACTCGCATGCCTCGCCTATGATTCGCGATCATTCTGAACGCCGAGGGCTATGAATGCGAGGCGCCAACAAGGACATCTAATCTAGTCAAGTACTGGTAGTGAACACTGACATTGAAAGCTCTTCAATAATCTATAGAGGCAGGACTCCCTGCACACAGCTCACGATCCACCTTTTTCGGGGTTTGGGCTTCATGTCGGATAAATGTGACAATAACTATGAAAGAGTGTTGTAAATGAAAACACTCTCAATACCCTTCACGCATATCAACCTTATATTCATCTACGGCCCTCCGCGCCCATCCGCATTACGGCGGCCTACCGCAAAGGCCTCTCTCCAAAATCTGCCAAGCGCGACAAGCGACTGAAGCACCTACTGCAATCCCAGTAAACCCCGTGGACATGGCCTAGAAGCACGTCCCGCATAACACGTCATTGACCACCCACTTTTCTTCATCAGCGATGCAGTATGATCCCACCTGGTAATCAATCATTATGTGATGTTTACGTATGTACCCTCCTCCTCACCTTACGGATGTAGCTGTAAAAATTCCCAATGCCTCCAACGAAGTGTCTTGTAGAATATCCACACCCCGGTGCAAAATGACCTTGCTTGCCATTGCCCAAAAAAACATACTTTCAACCGCCCGCAGTGCGACCTTTAAGATCTGCTTGTGTTTGCCGTCCTGTCTTGAAAACATCTCGTACCGCGTGTGCCACAACGCGCCTCCTGCTTTGTTCACCACCCAGGATCATAATCTGCCACAGCTCTCTCCTCCCCACAATTTGCGCCCATACCAAAATGCCAACAGTCTATCGTTTCGCCACATGACACCCGTAGATCTCTCGGGACTCCCAGCAATAAATTTGCCTGGTTCTCTCCACCGGCTACAGCTCCAGACCAGCCAGAGCCTGCCCCACCGCCACATCCGCAAAACCTTCCATCAGGCGCCCGTTGAATGCGCCCAAATCGCAATTGGTCGGCGCAGCGAGCGCAATATGCGCAGGACCCCACGCTAAGGCGGCTCTCAAGCCCGATGAACCATACACAGCCGCTGGTTCCACTTCCACCTACCCCACATCAGATGCGGTACAACTTGAGCCGCAGCAACAGCAGCAATGGTCTCCTTAGGCTGTTCCCCCGCCAGCTTCACAGAGAGAATAATGCTGGGGCAAGGACCGAGGCTGTGGTTTTACGACCTCGATCTGGACGACGTTACAATAGAGAAACAAGTTTGATCTGGTCTTGAAACGTTTTCCAAGCCTTGTCATTTTCAATTGTTTCTTTCCTGCAATTCCGATGGAATGCAGCCAGCATAGTCTGGAAAGCAAGTACTCCCAACCAGGTATATTCGGATGGCGTGAGAAATTTGGGTTCTCTGTGTCGAGCCCAGTAGAACGTTCATGTATTAGTCTTCCTTCTAAGAATTCTATTTCGGATGTCATAAATTCTCATCAGTTTCCAGGATCCGGACGGTCATATCATCAGCTGTAGACACTACTAGCTTCCCGTCCCGTGCCCAGGCCATGCCCCTCTCCCAGCCTTGGACCGGTCCGAGCGTGCTGCATGTCCTGCCTGTGCTGGTATTCCAAAGCCGGATGGTTGAGTCGTCGGACGCAGAAACCACTAGTTCGCTGTCTGGGGAGAAAATCACGTCTTTCACCCAGCTCGAATGTCCCTCCAGGACCGTGGATAGCATGCCGGTTCGCCACAGCCGGGCTGTTCGGTCTTTCGATCCAGTAGCCACCATCTTTCCGTCCGGCGAGAAGCTCACGGCCCGCACGTAGTCGGCGTGGCCTTCGAGGACGGCGCAGGCGGCACCGGTGTGTATATCCCAAATTCGTGCTGTGCAGTCATCGGACGCGGATGCCAGCAATTTTCCATTTGGCGAGAACTTCACGGTGCGCACCCAACCAGAGTGACCGTGAAAGACTTTAAGCGTGTCGCCTGTGCGGAGGTCCCAAAGACGCACCGTTTTGTCGTCGGAGGCCGACGCGATCAGCTTGCCGTCGGGGGAGAATGCGGCGGATCGGACGCAGCCAGAGTGGCCTTGAAATACCCGGGAGACGACGCCTGTGCCGATGTCCCAGACTCGGACGATCATGTCGTCGGAGGCAGATGCCACCCGTTGGCTGTCCGGCGAGAATGATACCGCCCTGACTGGGCCGGAGTGGCCTTTGAAGACGCGGTATAGGGAGCCTGTCGCAGTAGTGCCCCAGACGCGGACGGTAGTGTCATTCGAGGCCGACGCCGCCATCGTGCCATCGGGGGAGAGGGCCACATCCCAGACCCAACCAGAGTGGCCCTCCAAGGTGCGGCGTGGCACTAGCTTGACATCTGGAGAGTTGGTGGTCGGAGTCTGCATTGGTGGCGGCAGTGACCCCCTTTTCCTTGTTGGTGAGGACGACCCTCGTGACCAGAAGGGGGAGGACCCTCCAGTCAGGGAGGAAAACAGGGCAGAGTCAGATAAAGTTGGTTCTCGAAGAGAGTCGGGACTGGTTGGAATATTTTAGTGCAGGTGGAGTTTCGTCGCTGACGAAAAAACATCCCCTCATTCTGCCCCCCTCTCCCCCATAGACTCCCCTCCATGCAAATCGCCGGCGATGTCATCAGCTATTACATAATCAGTGAACCCCCCCGGCGCCTAAAAACGAACCGGACCTCGTGACCCGCTCATGCCCTACGCTCAGCTGACACATCACCTGACCAGTTCCAACCCCCGAGCCCCGTCTTACGTCAATGGCAGGTCTAACCGGCGGCCGACGAAGTCGGTTTCCAGCGAGTGAACGTCGGGAAAGAATGCGGCGGTCTGAGCCTCTCCTTATCAAGCCGCTTTCTGTCGCTTGCCCTCGGCTCGGGTGACAAAGAGAAACCCCCGTCGGCCGCCGCTTGCCCCCCTGTATAGAGCAGGCGACCCCCGGCCCGGATGGTGATGGCGGAAACGCGCGAGAATGGAACCATTGAAGCGGGGGGTGGGTGTAACGGGCGGCGGAATTGGCTCGTGTCGCAATGTGTTGAACTGGTTGACCCCTCTCTGTAGGGTGTGTAGGGCGTAGTCCCGGATTATATCCCACCGGGGGTCTCACCCGTGGACCTTGCTTCAGCGGCGTTATCCACTGGGAAACCTCGACCCCGGATTCTTTCGAGCTTCTCTGTTTTCCCCCCTTTCCCTTTCTTCGGTAGCAGATAGCAGACCCATTTTCGCTATCGGAGGAGCTGAATCGAGATTCCGGACTGTGAAAACCAATTTAGGTTGTTCGACCACCTCCAGCCATCGTGTCCTCTGCGACGCGCCAATCTATACACACTTTTTTATTTTTATTTTTGTACCTCTCTTATCTTCCTTCTCTACCGAAAGCGCCCCGCGGAAAGGACTCGTTATTCGAGATCTCCCACGCAGACACTTCCCAACAACTCTGCAGGAGCTTAGCTGGACGCCTCTGAGAACAGCACAAGCGTAGCATCGTGAGGATGATTGCCGCAAATGTTCCCGAACTCCCGGCGGGAGACTCGCCAGACCTCATTTTGGTCCCCGCTACCCCTGAGGAGCGCACCGCCTCTATCAAGCTCAATAGCATCGTCTGGAAGGGCCCCTTGGACGTCGAAACCTACATTGCTCGTGAGGACCACCTCTATAACCAACGGCTGACTCGTGACGGCCTGACCTGCTGGATCTTGGTCGACGGCACGGAGCCCGAAGGAGACCGGACCATCCTCAGCTCCTGTGAGACCTACCAGAAGAAGGCCCTACTCGCGCACGACGGCCAGGTGGAAGATGCTTCCACCCACGGCGTGGGAAGCGTCTACTGCCGGCCTGAGTTCCGGGGCAAAGGGTACGCAAAGCGCATGCTCGAAGAACTGAGCCGGAAGCTCGATACGTGGCACATGGAAAAGCAGCCGCGAGGCAGGGCTTTGTTCACTATTCTATTCTCAGATATTGGGAAGAAGTTCTATGCGCAGTTTGGGTGGCGACCATTCCTGTCTTCGCACATGGTTCTGCCAGCTCGCGCCGAGGAGCCGCTGTCCAATGGAGCTGCTGGCAAGAGTGTGACAAGGGATTTATATGCCGAAGATGTCCGCACAAACATGTGCAGTGACGCCGTCATTGCCAAACTCCGTGATCAGATGTGTGTTGCCTCGAAACTATCTCACGTTGCCAAGGTAGCTATCGTGCCGGACTTTGACCATTTTGTGTGGCACTGGGCTCGTGAGGAGTTCTTTGCGCAGGAGTTGTTCTCGCACCGCCCTCCGCCAACTATCAAGGGCGCAGGGAATGACGCTGCGCGCGTGTACTGTACATGGAACCGGAACTTTGGCGAGACGCCCGAGGATAATGTTCTATACATTCTGCGGTGGGTGTACGACGAGCCCACATCGCAGGAGGAAGAGCAAACATTGGTGCAGGCGATGGCTGCTATCCTGCGCCGTGCTCAGCATGAGGCCAAAGAGTGGGGATTGCACACGGTCGAGTTCTGGAACCCAGAACCACTTTTGCAACAGGCTGTCAAGGTGCTGGACCCCGATGCGGAAGTCGTGCACCGCGAGAAGACCAGTATTTCCAGTCTGCGCTGGACTGGTGACGAACACGGGCTTGGACAAGACGTGGAATGGCTTTTAAACGAGAAGTATACTTGGTGCTGATTCCAAATACTGTGGTATGATTTCGGGATTCTGCGGTTGGTGATTTGATTATTTCGATCCCTTTTGGTCATTCAGGTGTGGTTGTCAGCATGAATTTTGGGCGGCAGACGTGACATGTTTTCTTAGAGGTACCTGGCATCATAGATGAGGCCACTTCACCAACGACGCAGCCGCGTATACTGATGGCTTGCAATCAGCGGCGCTTTTGATTTTTGAGCAATTCATGCCAGTTTCTGGTGGTCTTGGCCTTAGCAGCTGCAGCTGCAGCTGGTGCAGCAGCAGAAGTCTTCAAGACTTGCTGCCGTTGCGATGGCTCAACGAAGCATATCGTCGTAGGATCCGGGCTCTGGTATGAGCCTTCCTGTAGCTTGGATAGTGCAGCATCACCGCGCCAGGACTCTGGAAGGCAATCTTTCCATGCACGGAGGAAGTCACTCCGCCCAATGGCTGATGACGGCGTAGGCGCTGTAGCAGCGAGATATATCTCGCTCACCCATTGCGTGCACTCGGTCCTGTCAAAACTTGCCCCTATGTGGTAATCAGCTTCGGCTGACCATCACGCTGATCCTTGCACAACTCACATTTGATTTCATGCGCCAACAACGGCCGCTCATCTGCCACACACAGCCTTCTTGCCACAGCCTCGAGGAGCGCTCGTGGGAACGGCGGTTCCGAAGCATCATCATCGTCAAGAACGGACCTCCACAGATCCGCAACGAGAAATTGCTTCTCCAGATCGATACCCTGCAAGATCGCACCCTCCATCAAGCGCTTCCAGACTTTCAGCCGCATCTGTGCCGAAGGCCTCCAGCTTACACCTTGCTTCACATCAACGAACGCGCAGAGATCAGTCCACCCGGATTCACACTGCGCTGATGACACAGGAATATCCGCGCACACCCGATCTCTCAATTTGCGTGTCTCAATAGGGTCCATCCCACCAGTCTCATTAGAAACTTCGTCCATGGCGATATCCCCATCGTCGTCGCCGCTCCGCCTATCGTATAATCTCAAGCTTTTCTCCAGGAACGGGACTGCAGAGAACCCGGTGGGCGGAACATGTAACTCCAGTGTTGATCCGCACTTCGCAATTGCAGTGACGGCCTCATCCGGAAGCTTCAATGCGCCGCTCTCACCGGCCTCTGCTTCGACGACTTTGATGTCTGCCTGTGATATCTGCCCGAGGCTGGGCCGCAAGATGTGGAGCGAGTTCGAAGACTGTACTTGGCGAATACGGTAGGTTTGAGTTGGCGTGCAGAGGTTGACATATTCAAGAGCACTAGGATCGACCACGGCGCGGGCGAGTGCGGCAGAGGGTGATTTGAGTTCGAGTCTAGTAAGATGGTCTCGTGAGTCGTCGGTTTGCTATAAGGACCAAAATGATAGAAACCGGACAAGCAAGAGAAAAGCACAGTTGCCGGAGCGGCCTCAATTACCACGCTCTGTCGCGAATGTGGCATAGGGTTGTCAACTTACGTGGGCGCATCCTTTGAAGACAGTAGTTCCTCCAGTTCTGGGGTTAGCTCCAACAACCGGAACCCCTGTTGGGGCTGTGTGTTGGTGAACAGAATGCTCTGCGAGTCCTGGGTTGCCATTGCAGCGTGCAAATGCCTCCGGGTTGCGATCTGCGAGCAAAGTCGTTGGGGTGTCAAAAAACAAACGCGCTGGGACGCGGTGGACGCGCGATCGGGGTGCACGGACCATCGTTTAATGGAGCCACCTAATCGAGCTTCGACTTTCAGATTGACAGATAGGCATAGGTAATTTTATTGAGAGGTCTCCTTGAATGGATTGCCATATTTTTCAATTGTAGGTAGAATGGCTATGCATTCGGTCCAAGCCTCGGAGGCGTCTTGCTTGCTATGATATTGACACCATTTTCATTGCGCCCTGCCCCGTAGACTGACATTTTGATCAGTTCAAGGCAGAACTCGCTCACATACTCCATGGTCATGCTCCACGCCATACTTTAAAAATAATATGGGATTGAAATTCCCACCGAAATATGCAGCCACATAGCTGTTGCGTTAATTGTAGTGGGACGGAACGGTCACTCGGTAGAAATTGTTCATCAAAGCGGCACTCAACCATTACTCTCCTTTAGCCGAGTAGCCCAATCATGAATGGATCGACGGTCTTGGGCAGTCACTTTACATAAAGACTTCCCCTCAAACAAGCTATTGCTCGCAACCAACTGCAAAAGTTTACGGCCAAGACCCGGTCGATCATCTAGATCAGAGCCATCGAAAACAACCAAACAATACTCCGGGTAAAGCGGCCGCAGTAAGTGTCTGGGTGTCTTCAAAATAGCGGCACCGTGCAAGAGCACATGTCTGCCCTGTTTGAAGAAGACCTGAAGGGAATGGCATGAGCCTTGACCTGCAGGTATCCTGCGCATCTCTCTCGAGTGGACGAATATGGGAAACAAAAGGATTTCAGGAGAAAATGATGCCAGGTTGTCCCACAGACTAGACACAAAAGCCCCTCCAGAGGATTCTTGGGCCCAGTTGCAGGGTAGAGCCAAGCCTGAGGAGTTTTTATTTACAGATAAGGTGAGACGCAAATCTCTGGCAGCTGCTCTCAATGACTCGAGACCGGATAGCTCTACCAGTGGTAGCACCACCTCGGGCTTTGTTAGAGAATCTGAAGATCCGGGAAACACGGAATGCTTGGTTCCAGTTAAGCGCTGCAGAGTGTCCATTGAGCCGGACGATGCAGTGATGCATGAAATTTGTCGTATAATATGGTAGTCGCATGGCCGAAAGTATGAGCGGAATGAAATGTGGACACAAACGAGCTCGTCACTGTCAAGGATCGGGTGTTTCCTGTTTGCCCCTGTCCAGAGAGTCTCTAGACAAGAGATAAAGCGTGTCGGAAGCAGAAGTGGCCGCTCTAAATTGAAAAGATCCAACAGCTTGATGGCATTCTGATTAACTTCTCTAAAGCCCGAGCGAGGTGGTTTCAGAATTGCAGTCAGGTCATCCATCAGCTCAGGTAGTGTCAGATGGCGAAATGAGAAGAAGACTTCGTTGGTGTCACGAATGACCGAATTTTGTTTCAAAGAGGCTGAAGATTCAGAGTGGAAATCTTTCGCCTTGTTTGCGCCCGACAATTTGGAACCAAAGTTGCCTGATATAACTTCGGGTCCAATAGAAAGCAATTGAATGATGTCTTTCCGGTAGATATCCCAAGCCCAGTCACATATAAGTTCAACGATCAAACATAGTTGCAATGCACAGTCATGTCTCAGAATGCATCCGTGCCAAACATCGATTATTCTCTGTTGTGGTGTCAGGCATGGATATTGAAATCTTCCGAATATCTTACAGTTTCATCTCCTTTAGGCACACAAATATAGACTCTCCATTCATCACCACTGAATGCCAAGAACCAAACCAGAGTGTTTTCCGCTGGTTTGTTTTGCCGTTCTCGGAGAGTTTTTTGAATATCAACGAATCTTTTGATAGGGAAAGCTGTCTGCGTCTCGATAGCAGCAAATCCGGGGCTCTGTCATTCAGACTTGGCTTCGAGAACGAGGAAGGGAAACAAGATGTCCGCAGCATCCTTCACTGGATCAGAGACTAGACCCGGATGCCTTTGTAGGGCGGCATTGAGTGATGTTGACCGTTGAAGCCCAATAACATGATCTGGATACTTGATTCCTATTTCAGGAACTAACGGGTCACTTATCCCCGCATGCAGCTTTCCTGCAAAAGCGCTGTGGCTGAGAGCAGTCTAGTAAATAAACGATACCAATCAATTACCTCTCTCTCGCTGAGCGAAACAGTTGCTGTTTAGAGTTGACATACATTATCTTCATTTGCGTCATCTCCAATGCACTTGCACAAGGCCTGTTCAGTCTCGATTGCTTGTGATCTCTGCGCCTCATTTGGAAAGATCAACTCAACCCGATAACTCGGTAGTCGTCGCTGATTACACTTTCCGCTGCAATGATCAGGTTTGGTTGCGAGCGGTATTTTGTAATAGGTCACCTACCACTCCATTTCTTCCTCAAACTTTCTCAAGAGAGGGGTCTCGGTCTTGGATCTCCAAGTACCCTCATTGGTGTTGGAATTGCGACAGGCGTACGCGTCCAGGACAAGTTTCCGGGCCTTGCTTACGAGCTTCGCCTTATGCGAACCATGTGGAAGATCTGAATGCGATTCTTCCAAGTAAGTGTCATACCTAACATCTTCTATTTTGCGAATAGCGGTAAATATAGCTGAGTGGTTCTGAGGCCATCTGGCGGAAGGAATGGGACCCTCAAAATTGATCTTATGGTGAAGAACTAATCGGCGGTTATCTTGCGTAGAAAGCTTTTTCTTCTTCCTTGGTTGGTCCATTGTGAAATAAATAGGAAGCGTTCAGGATAAGCATAAAGGCCCAAGGAACAAACCCGACTTTAAAAGATTTCTTGGTAGCCCAATTTTGGCCCCTTTTTGTACTAAAAATAGTCTGCTGCATTGCCACCCTGATATCGCTAATGCGAAAGATGCAGCATCCCCACTTTCAAAGGGGAGCAAGGGCAAACACCTGGAGTTTATCGTAGGCATGTATTATCCAATGATATATCTGACTTTACGTTGCTTCTAGTCGGTCGCATGTGGGGCTAATCCCGCCCCCGGTGAATGTTGGCTGCCAGCGGCGCAGATGGCCAACAAATATTGATAGAGTAAAACGCACTAAGTTATCCATAGGCTCTCAATTCATAAACTTACACATTCCTGCACATCTTGAAACCCGGAGGTGCTCCGAAGCGCGAACCATCCAACGAAGGCCACGGCAATAGACGAAGCCCTGTCCCGTTAATTGACAAACTGAGAGAAATCCTTATACTAGGCACCCATATCTATTCTAGGACGGGCTGAAGATCTGTGAATGACGATCACATGCATTTGACGTCTTGAGCTTAACTATGAATCCTGTAGAACAGGGCTGTTTACTGACCGGTCACGGGACCATGTGCTTTCCAACCTCTAGTGACTTCTTCGCGGTGGTCAATATGGTCTGAAAAGCTCAAGAGTTCACACATATTGATAGACTCTTGTCCTTCTCTCATGACCAGAGGAGAGTGCAGTGCCGATTATCTGATGCCAGAACATCATTCGCTTGGCTTGAGTGGGTTTCTGATGGGTCTCTGTGCCATGATACAATCTGACAACACTATTTCCCTAGGAATCCCCGATGGCATGAAATCCTCGCATTGCTAAAAAACTCCAGAAAAGAAAATGTCGCAGGAGGACGAAAGGAAATGTTCCATATTGAGAGAAGTAAAACTTTTTCAACTGTCATAGAATAGTAGAATCCGCTGCAAGAGTCACCATGATTGGCAAATTCATTGATTGCGGAGAAAATGCGTGGGTGCTCAGGAAGGAAATCAATTGAAAAGAAGACAAGCGGAAAAAAATACATCTTAGAGGCATTTAGAATTCGGTTTTTTGAACAACGCCTTCCAGGCTGGGCAGCCATGGAGCACGATATTTCGTCCAGAGTTCCATATCTGGCTTGGCTTGTTTGATGGCAGTGGCGTCGTCAAGTGTCCCGATTTGAACAACAGCCTTTCCGGCGAACATATCGAGGTCGGCAGTCTTGTACAAAACACCTCCGCAGTTGCCACAGAAATGAAGAGTGATTTTCATACCAATCTCGTGAGACTCGGTGCAAGTTTTGGGCGAGCCGACTGTGAAGTGAACCCGATCAACGGGAATGATTAGGTTGAGGGTGTTGGTGCTACCGCTGATTTTTTGACATGATAAACAGTGGCAAATGGCCTATGCATTACGGTTAAGACAGAGAGTGAATTATGGTGGTAAGTACTCTTACCACTCCCTCGGGCTCTCCCGTAAACTCATATTTGAGTTTCTGACAAAAGCAAGATCCTGAAGGCATAGTAATGTGGACGTAGATATAGGTATAGTTGTTGTAGAGATAGAGGTAGAGATAGTTGTGGTAGAGATAGGTGTTAACCTCATCAGAGTTGCTGATGGGAATGGTGGGGTATATATAAACTCCGAAGCAGGCCTAGACCTTATGAATTTCGAAATGTATTGGATCATCTTGTTATTTCCATAGTTTGAGTTTTTGTGGCGCTTTGAATGACAGCTACATTTTTATTAATAACGAGAACACGAGCGACCTTTAGGTTGGGCGGCGAACTCGGTATCCCCAAAGGCCGGTCGGTACCTGGCAAAATATTGCGGTCTGAATAGGCTGCCGGTAGCTGCTACAAAATTAACAAAGATTCCTGTATCAAACTTTCGATAAACTCTATAATTGCACACGCATGCCAGGCAGACCTTAATTTGAGAGACGTGGGTGCAGGCTCACTACAATAAGCGACGAACTTTTACAGGTGCTCGGACCAAATCCGGGGAAACTACAGTGAATCTGACAGGCGGGGTAAAAACCTATTACTTGATTGGTGCAAGCTGGAGGGGATCCTTTGCTGCTTTACTTCTCCAGTCGAGCCTCCTTGGCAGCAAAAATAGCGGGGTATGTCGCGGGCGACAAAGCATATATTTACTCACACCACTCAGGCCTTATACCAATTTCCCAGTATATCTTTGCGCGCGATGCCTTCACTTGCGCCTGCTAATGACATATCCTGCAATCCAAGGGATGTTCTCGACCCATTCCTCGGGTCCTTGACATTTCATGATGTGCGGATGGGTCGAGGACGGTAGAAGCAGCAGATGTGGCTGTACAACTTGGGCAGGGGTGGTTGTAGGACATCGAGCGAATTATTGTCGAGCACTTTTGAGTCGGCCATATTTGCTGATGGATATTTTTCGAGAAGTAGAGCGAAGAAGCTTTACTTCTGAACGGTGCGAGCTCGAACGGAATGTCCCCGCAAAATAGAATGTGGAGCCGGTGCGAAGCATTGGCCAGTCACCATGGCTCAACATGAGTCACTTGGATACACCCCACGTCAAAGTGCAGCGAGGATGATTGTGGAGGATCCAGTAGCATAAAAGCTAAACTACTTATAAAAATAAGCCACCTGAGTATATCCTATACAGCTATCACACCATTTTCTTTCCACAGACGTGCTATATAGTCTATAGGAGCCAATTCTTCCTCCCATTTCCATCATTCGCCATGTCGACGGCCTCAATCCCAACCAGCCCTATCGTCTTTTATGACATTGCCATGCGCCCCCCCGTGGGGGAGAACTGCTGCTCCCCAAACCCCTGGAAAACCCGACTGGCACTCAACTTCAAAGGTCTCCCATACTCGACCTCATGGGTGGCGTTACCCGACGTTTCCAAAGTGCGCCGCAGTCTCAAAGTACCAGCCTGTCGCAAATTTGCCGATGGCGTCGACTTTTTTACCCTTCCTATCATCGAGGATCCCGCCACCGAGTCGTTGGTCGGCGACTCCTTCGATATCGCGGTCTACCTACAGAAAACGTATCCGACCTCGGGCGCGGGCGACCTTTTCCCCCCTCAGGCGCTCGACTACGTCTTCACGCCCGATCTTCCGACACTTATACCACTATCAGAATGTAGCGAGAGTGACTTTCCTGAATACGCCAGATTCAATGTGAACGTCGACGCCGCCTTTACCGCACATACACAGCTTTCGATCCAGTGTTTCCCGTTCGATCCAGCTACTGCCGAGATCAGTAAGGCTGAATTTGTCCGGCGTGCGGGTGCCACGTGTTGGGAGGACTTTACCTTGGTTGGCGAGCAGCGAGAGAAGATGAAAGCTTCGTTCCGGAACATGCTGGGTGGTCTGGCTGAGCTATTCCTGAGGGACACTAGTGGGCCCTTTCTGCTCGGAACAAGGGCTAGCTATGCGGACATGATCGTCGATGGGTGGCTGCGGATGATGCGCGTGACTATACCGGAGAGTGAATGGCAAGAGTTGAGAAGTTGGCATGGGGGACTTTTCGGGCAGTTGCATGATGCGTTGGAGGTATATGCGGAGGTAAAATAGGAGTATTAGGGTCAACCCGAGAGAAGGATCCCTTTTCGTGAAGAAGGCTTTCACGGCAGAATACTGCATAGTTACGTCGTTTATTTTGGTCGCTTTTCGGGGGAAAGATAGGGACAGAAAGGATCATATCGATTCGCGAATACCAAGTCCGCCGCGGCAATCATGGATTAGAGGCTACCTCGTCATCATTTCATAGATTCATAGAACAAACGATCAAGGAATAGCATTACTTAGTTTAATCTTCGGAAAGCGATCAGGCCCCGATACAAGCGGCGGGGGCGCACACCTCGAAACATGGATCTGAGTCACGGTGCAGAAGATCAGCGGCCACTCAGATGCAAGATCTGACAATTATATACTCTGAGACCAAGCCCCCTGTCCTTCTCCGCAGTTCACTTGGGCCATCCAAACACCCGCCGACGTCTACGCGTACAGCGCTCCTGGATGCGAAGGGGATCTTCCCACATCATGGGAAGCATGACTCAATCAGAGGATCTTCAAATTTCTCTGATAGCTAGGAGCGCCCTTCCCCAGTCGCACCATGACAGCCAAACCCTCGGCATCCTTCCCCTCGGTGGGCGGTTTGCTGTGCATAACGTGCATGTCCATAGTCTTTTTATAGAACGGAACAGATCGTTTCCAGTCCCCAGTAAACAACAAAGACCTTCTCAAATACTGCATGCCTTCGATAATTTCCTGCACACAGCTCATAAGCCACGTCCCTAGTCCGGACCCTTGATACGAGGGGAGAATAAAGACATCTGTTAGGTAGATGAATGTCGTGAAGTCCGTTATGCATCGCGCAATACCGATGAACTCTGGATCCAGTGAATCCGATGCGGTATGGGTCAATTGGGCGCTGGGATTGAAGTACATGCCAAAGCAGAGAGAATTAAGCAAGGCCTCACGCATAGCTTCTTCTGGCATTGGGTGGGCCCAGTAGACTTCCTCGGTTGCGAACCAGGCGTTGAGGGTTTGGACCGGGATCAAGGACGGATCTGTCGAGATCAGATATGGTCCTTTTGTCCAGCTTTTGTGCTGGAGCTTGGAAGTTGATGTGGCCATGGGGCTCTTCTCGGGCAACGTGAGTTCGAGATAAGATGCAGGGATCAATAATGGGATGACTCACCGTCTGGGACTCGTTTTAGATTGTCTAAGTTGCAGGATTATCAATAATAATAGCGTCTGATTATTCTGTGGATTGTAAAAGAAATCTTCCGTGTCCGAGATAAAGAGTAGGTTTATATAGATTGTCATTCCATGACTCAGAAAGGATGCCGTAGCTGCAGAGTATAGGGGATATCCTGATTGGGCAATTCGGGGGGATTCGGGGTCAAGTGGGTCTCCACCGTCATCTTCAGAAACCGCGCACGACGCCTTCCAGTAGAATTGAACTATGATATGGCTTAAATATTTGCGTAAGTCGCTATGGCAGGGCCGGAGACCGGCGACCGGGGACACGAAGCGAAGGGTGTCCACGGCCGAGTTGAGGATTCGAACTTCGTAGTGTAATGGGGGAACGCGCGACGAAAATATGAGTTCACCCCATCTGTGCAGCCACTGAATAGTCACCTTTCAGCTCACGATGCGATGCGTAGATAATTATTGGATAAGAGAGCACCATGCAAGACAAATAATTGGAAAGGGCTATATATACAACCTGGTATAAGCACATGTCGCCTACTCGTAAAAGACCAGACATCTGACTTCAATGCTTTGTCTCCCGGGAGTTCCCTCCGGAGTCTGTGGATCAACAAAAGCAGTATGACACGTGGCATGCGCAATATCCGTCTGGCCATTGGTCATAGTGTGGCTTCTTGAGTCAAAACACTTGATCAGCATCACCTCATCGGGCGTCATATCTTTAGCGTAGTAGAAACGATGCTTATCATTGGGAGCCACGTTATATGTCTCCCCCTTGACTTCATATCCCTCTGTAGACAATGTAGACGCTGGGTCAGGTGCCACGTCTCGTCCAAGTTCCTCAGCTCCTTTGGGATACAGCAGATCAACCTTCACGTAGTCGACCGGATCTGTGCTGCGCCAGTCGATGACAGCGAGAGGAAAATCTGTTGCGGGGTTCTGAATCGGTCGCCAAACGTTGATAATCTGGTATCGACCTTTCAAGAGCTCTTCCACTTCATGTTCCGGCAAATGGCGTCTTACTCGCACTTCTGCGGCGCCAGGCGTTTGGTCCACATGAACCAGCTGGACCGGACTGCGAGCGGCTCCAGGGATCCTGCGTCTGATTGTGTGATCGAAGATAACGACTTTTTTGACGCCAGGTAATTTCTTGCGAAGTAGCTCTTCCACTTCGGCGTAGTATCCTGATTTCACTTCGGCGTCATCTGTGAACGCGGTCTCCTTGGCGGGTTCGTCGTAAACGGCAAAGCCAGCATTGTCTATCGAAAACTCAGACTCATGACCTCGGATGTTTGTGACTGGGCGCTCTCGAGATAGGAGCTTGTAAGAGTAGCCCGGGCCGTCGACCTTGCCCCACGGCTTCTTGAAGGGCTCAGTGGCCTTAGGGTCGAATGAGGCTGGATCGATGTATTGGAACGTTGCGGTCGTCATCCTGAAACCTTGTGTCTGGAGGGATAGAATTGGTGTATTTTCCAATAATTCCAACACGGGCAGGTAAGTGCAGATATCCTTGCAATCTGAAAGTGCTATATGTCTAAGCGACGAAGGCTGCTTTATGCGAAATTCGGTGGGGCCCCGAAAGTGATTATAAATCACCGTCAATCCAGAAGCCGGAAATTCGTGATTTCGGAGACTTTCAATCTATTCCTCCGATGCATAGAAAATGTCTTAGATGGCAAATTCTAGAAGCGGTGATTTTGTTACATGAGATGATGTAATGGTCATAATTGGTAGCTTCCCCGCTAGAGGCTTCCTTATCATATTGAAAAGCGAAAGGTCAAGACTTGGCTGCGGGGTAATGGACCCCTCGAATGATACCCCTTCTGGATGGTAAAATACATCTATCTATATATATATATTTACCTTGCCATTTGCCCGAGAAAACATTGAGCACTGGGTGTATTGCTTCTGCTTTGTTAATCATGGCGGCTTCATTTGACTTCTCGGGGCAGACCGTCTTGGTCACAGGTGCGGCAAGTGGAATTGGGTAAGTGCAACATGAACTTACTGCTCATACTCTACATTATACGGGTAGCTATGGCGTCTCTTGGATGCCCTGTTCCGCCATCCATCTATACGCTAACACTTACCAAGTCTGACGACTGCAAAAGTATTAGCTGCCAGTAATGCCCGCATCGCGCTCTGCGATATGAATACGAAAGGGCTGCAGTCTTTTGATCTTGCGGAGGGTAGACACCTTGTATATGAGCTAGATGTGACGTCTTCGTCCGCTGTAGCCGATACCGTCAAATCCGTCGTCCGTGACTTCGGGGGCATCCACCATCTATTCAACTGCGCCGGCGTGAACCCCACGGCAAACCCATTGACCGACACAACAGACGAATACTGGGACCAAATCGTCGATACGAACGTCAAAGGCACCTACCTCATGACCCGAGCCGTCATTCCTCATCTAGAAGCTGGAGCGTCGATCGTCAACGTTTCGTCCATTGCCGGGAGCCGTGCTACGGCAGGCTGGGCGATCTACAACACCTCCAAATTCGGGATTGTCGGCTTTTCCAAATCCATGGCACTGGAGTTGGGTCCGAGGCAGATTCGTGTCAATGTCGTGGCCCCGGGGCACATTCATACCCCCACAAATATCGCGGTGAAGCAGGGGGCTGATGCGGTCCGGATTACGGGCGAGCAGTCCAGTGCGATGGGACGAATCGGGACTATGGAGGAAGTAGCCAGTGTGGTACTGTTTTTGATGAGTGACGCAGCGAGATATGTCAATGGGAGTGTAGTAGATGTTGATGGCGGAGCGAAGTAACGGCCATCAAAGGTGATCAGATGAAACCAACGAGCATAAAATGGGTTTCTTCCGGGGGCCTTCATAGACGAGCGCAGTGGGGGAACGCATTGACCATCGAGTAGAGCAACCCCTTGATCGATCTTCCAAAGAGACGAAGCGGACCCGTCAAATGCTGGACTTTTCTCATGCCACTGGTTTCAAAATTCGAGGCGCCATGCTTGCGTTGGGTTTCTTTGTAATAAGACAAGAATTGAGTTAGGAAAATGAATCAATCATGTTAGATAATCTTTCAAACAGTCATTTCCAAGCCATATTGCTACCTCCGATACCACGCCTTCTAATATGCTATCTAATACACCACGAAAAAAGAAAGCCCACAAGAGTCAGGACATATACAATGGACAACAGCAACGACAAAAGATGAACACAGAAACCATAGCGCTTCTGCGTCGCTGGGGCAGCAAATTTGACTCCGATTTGATGAACAGAAACCCAAAGTTGAGTAACAAAATCGGATTCTTCATGATTGAAATTGGTCAACACATGGTAGCTCCAAGCGCCAGCGAGCGTACCATGTGACGTATGCAGAGAGGTAAAATCCAGCCAGCTGGAGATTGAAAAGCAGAGCCGGCCAAGATGCTGGAGGAATAGGAAAGGCGAGATATTATCAGGTCGCAGTACAAGGTAAGATCGACTGCCCTAAAGATTGGAAGAACCCTTGGCAGAGTCCTTGACAGGCTGGGCAGCGGGACCCTCGTCGGAGCCCTTGTCGGAGCCGTCCGCAGAAATGTGGGACTTGGACTTGCTGCTCTCTTTCTGTTCTTCGAGTTCGCGTTGGCGTTCCTCGTCCTCGCGCATCTGGCGCTCCAGCTCCATTTCCTCCATGTGGCGCAGGTCATCCACGCTGGGCTCGTATAAGTGCCAGATGGTGTAGTGTGGCAACCCGATCACGGAGAACTTCATCCGTTTGGCCATCTAAAAGAATGTTAGTAGTGGTGGGAGAAACAGGGGCAATAATTCTCTTCTCACCTTGCCAAAGCCCTCGGTCTCAGCATGCTTTTCAAAGCTAAAGGCTGGGAAATGGACACCGGCGCGGAACACTCGAGCCTTGGCCAGAATACTGACACCGCCAATGCCGTCCAGCTCCATCTCCATATCGGGGTCTCCGTACGGATCGCGGAGGTAGGCGAGGTGAGGTCGCCATGTGGCATACTCAGCATATCCCTCCACTATAACCGCGTCCTCATCCAGAGTATCTGCGAGAGCCAATGCGGTTTCCGATTCCTGCCAGGAGTTCAAATCGTACGGTTGTTCTCCACCCAGCCAATCTGGAAGCGGCCTCCACACATCTTCAACATGGTCAGCATATCTGGCACGTACAGAGCACCCTCACTACACCCCTGCAGCCACTTACTTGGCACGGTAACATCCTTGTTGTGCCGCATCAGATCCTCGATGATCGTAAACGGCGCCGTTTCCACATCTGCATCTCGCCAGTAGACCCAGCTATGGGTGGGACGCAGCGTAGCGCTCAGCAGCCAATTTCTGGCCTGGGCCATCAACTTCCGCCGGCTCGCCTGGGCCTCGAATCCATGCCGGCTCTCCACGTCCTGCTGCACCTTCTGTCCAAAGTCCTTCTGGATGACGGAGATCTCTCCGAAGTTCATCGTCGAGTCCGGGTCATTCTGCACCTCCTGCAGCATGCGGGAGAGCATGCCCAGCGTATCATCGCGCGAGTCGGACACCAGGAACGCCAGGTCGATCAGGTTGTGCGGGTATGTGAGGTTGCGGAGGTGCGAGAAGAACATAGGGAGGTGGGAGGCGGCATCGCGCAGCGGCGTGAGCATGAGGACACGTTCTCCGCGCTCCCAGCCCTTCTCGGTGCCTTGTACTTCAGAGAGGTCATAGTACCGGACGGTTTGGAGCTGGAGGTCCTCCGAGGGGTGAAGGAGGCCGAGGGATAGGGTTGGGATAATCGCGGCGCGCCAGGAGGGAAAGAGGAAGAACACTAGCAGGAGTGATACCCCACCGAGTAGGATGAGCCGTTGGAAGAGCTGACGTCGTCGGCGGAGGGCGGGTTGGGAGCGAGGCTGGAAGCTGTCGTTCGGACCAAGACTGTTAGTGTCCATGTATATCTGGGCGATTGGATCGGCCGCTGCCATCCAGCCATGTGCGCGTGACCGTTTCACGTACCGGTTGGGCGAGATAGAGAAGGCGCTGGGCCCCCGGGGGTAGGCCGAGTAGCCCTTCGGAGAGGCGTAATGCCTGTTCATTGCTGCGAGACCGGCAGCATTGGGGTTCAGGAAAGCACTATAAAGCAATCATCGCGCAGCGACAGCTCGGAAGAGTCTCGAGAGGTCAGCTCGAAGCCCGGGTGGATTTGGGGCGGTGGCCTAAACCGGGGCGAAAGAAGGGCGAGTGGGGGGCTGATGACAGTCAATGAAGGAACCCGTAAAAGAAACTAGAGATAGTGAGAAGACGAGCACCAACGAGAGGTGATAAGACAGAAATAGCTGAATGGAAATGCACGTTCGTCCTTGAAGGAGCAGGACGGTTGTGCTTCCACGCTGGCTAATTCCCGCGCGTTTCACATTGGTCCACCGAATCCGGTCGGCCGGTTGCAGCCGCCGATTCGATCGCCGATCTTGTTACTTTCTTAGCTTGGAAGTTACAGGACTTGAGGAGGATGTCCAATGTACAGTATACAGTATCTCGTTTTAGTGACCAGCTGGCAGGCTGATCGGACCAGGTTCCGTCCGAGGGGGCCAGCCCGGCAGCCAATCGGCGTGGATTCAATACGATCGTGGCTGGCCAGATGCATAGATACAACCACCTCCCAGAATCCCTTAAAGAACCCGTCCAATCCTCGAATCGTCAATAGGTCGTCGGCGCAGTACTGGTCGACTCCGGCGACCCCTTGAATTGACTGCCCACCTCCACTCGTCCCATCATGTGCACCAGCTGAGACTGCATTGCCGGCCCATCGCGCAGCGTCGGCAGGACGGATGCGGCCTCGTACTCGCTGTCGAGAATAAAGTACCGCTCAGCCTGCTCCACCGCGACCCGACGGAATGCAACTTTGGCGATCACCTTGGCTGGGACACTGGTTTTGTTGATTGAGCTGCGCGACACCATCCGCAGAATCGGCCCCAGGCCCGACCGCGTCTGGTGTGCGATCCGTACCGATAGAGGTGCCCCGGTTCGCAGACGGCTTTCCCCGACCATGCCCCCCGGGTCCAGCGTGAATAGGTCCAGTGCGATGTTGTCAGTCTAAAATGGGACACCGTCAGCAGAGTTGTTTGGCCGAAGGGGTGCAGGGTGCCGATTTGCACATTGCGGGTTGCGGGTTGCAAGTCAGACTACTTACGCTGGCCAGGCTGCGTCGCAATGCATATAATGCCACGCTCGCCAGGAGCTTGCTGCTCCCGAACCGGATGTTTCCTTCCTTGCGACTCAGGATCGTCCCGGGGGGACGAGTGTCGCGCCCTTGGTTGCGGTCGAAGAAGTCGAGCCGCCCATATGATGCTGCAGAGCAGCCGATGTAGATCACCTTCGCGCCTCCGTCGGGGGTTCCATCGCCAGCGCGGAACGCCTCGAGTAAGCCAACGGTTAGGAAGAATGGGGCGACGCAGTTGGTCTGGTACACGGGGTCATAGCCGTCCAAAGTGAGCTCGTCGACCGTATACGATGCAATGGCCGCCGAGTGGATCAGGTTGGATATGGGCGGAATTTCTTTGCTTCGTACTCGTTCAATCGTCCTTTGGACGAAGCTAGTCACTGATCGGAGGTCTGTGAGGTCGAGGCCGAGGACCTCGATAGATCGGGGCCCGATGAGTCGGATTCTTGTGATCAAATCCCTCACATCTTGCCGTGTGGGATGTCGGGCCGTGAGGAGGAGATGTGTGAAGGGCTGGGTTTTCGCAATGGCCACGGCAATCTCAGATCCCAGTGATCCATTTCCTCCGGTGATGATCACCGTCCCTGTGAGTGACCTTCCCATGTCTCGGTGTATTTGCATGTGTGGTGAGTTGGGTGGTTGGATGGTTGAAACAATACTGCGGAGGGCACAGATCACCAACTTAGAAGCAGCAATACCTTAAAATCGCATCCCGAGGAGGGTGGTCATTCCCTAATTGAAGCGATGTAAGGGAATCAAAAAAGGGTGGATTGGAGAGAAAGAAAATCAAGGGTCGGGAAAGCGCAAGAAACACCCAAAGAAAAATCGAAGCCCTGCATCTCTGACAAAGACGGACTATATACGGGATCGCGGCCTTGTAGATCTGAATCCCAACGCGCCCCTCACCCAGTCGTACGAGCCAATCGATTTAACGGGCCATGAGCGGTGTCAGTGTCGGCATGTCTCAGTTCACGGCTGAGGCCTTTCCAGAAAACACAAGACGAGACAGTGGATCAATCAGATGCGGACACAGACGACGTGCTGCGTTAGGGCCAAGTAGCTAGCATCGGGGCGGGAAAAGCCATTCCCCAGCCGAGTGGAACCGCCACCCCAAGCGAGACAAAAATAAAACTGCTTTGCTGCTCAAACAATGGCTGTCCATAGTATAGTACTCCGTACTGTAGATCCACAAGTACCCCGATGCTGCTATACTACGTCTTTCGGCCCCGTGTGCTTCCGTAGGTGCTGGCCAGCCATCTGGCGGAGCTTGACTGCCACAACACGAACACGGATCGTGGGAGGATCGGCACCTGAGATTGGCCTACCAAGACTTCGCTCGCGATCTGGCCGCAAGTGGGACGCATGGTGTTCGACTGTGCTAGCCTGTGTTGGGCGTCTCGAACACCTTTTTGCCGGTCGGCGATACCTGTAGGAACTCCGTATGGAGGCCTAGCAGCGAACCCAAGCGACTTAGGCCTCTAGTCATGGTTTGACACATCAGCAGCCGCGAATTCGGTGGATGGCAGACCCTGGTCAGTAAGAAACCACGGACACCCCCACCCCGGTGGTTTGCATGCTTCCTTTCGTCCCGACTGGCAGACCTGGTTGGTGGCTGAGAACTCCCTGTCTTTGCCCTGCATGGTTTGAACGTAACATTTGACGCCCATCCATGCAAAGGAGGACGGGTCGCGAGCCAAAGAAGAAGAAGTTGGGTGTTGTTCCCACCAGACCAAAAAAGGGACGAACGCATACCCCGAAAGAGAACGGCGCGGCCCGGAATCGAACCGGGACTGGCCACGCCATAATACCTCTGTGGCCCACAGCCTTGCACAAGTACTGTTCCCCCTCCATATGGCATCATAGATTCATAGCCAGAGGCAGGCCTTGCATTTCTATTCTCGTCTCGAGATTCGCCATCAGGCCAAGATTCAACATTGCCATTCGAAAGGCCTTCCGTGATCAAGTTGAGGTAACAATGGTGGCTCATATGGTGTGATTAAAAGGTATTTGTTTCAAAATGGAGATAATAATGCTCAGAGATAGCGTGATGTATACTGACCTGACTACGTGGACATAGGTAAAAAATATAAAACTTCTTCAAGCTTACTGACAGCACCTAGAAATCGACCAGGTGGGACTCCCTGTCCCTTAGGTAGGCAACGCTCGTGCAATGCCAAGGGGAATACAATGGCATGGAAGTCCCAACTTGCTTGAGACACGCGTCGTATAACTTATCTGCCATTTCCAAACAAAACCTCGAGAAAGTCTGAGTTCATAAAAAAGCCGCAGCTCAGCATACGTAAAGACTCGTTTCGGCCCGAACCCTAGCAGCCCACGTAGCATCCGTGTCCTCCGTTGGGCTTGGCCTTCCTCTCGTACGGCCAAGCCTCACCAGTGACACGCTGTTGCCAGCATGCTGTATTGATCTGATACCTCAACCAAACCTGAAAGCTTGGCCCAGGGGGCCGGAAGAGTCGGGTTACCTGCCACCCTGTCATTGTTTGACTATGTTCTCAACGTCGTTAATAGGCTTTCACACAAAAGTCACCAGGCGGAGTGGAGATCTACATCGTTTCTGTAGTTGAAGTGCTGGTCAAGTCCACCTGATTGAAGTTGGTGGTGTAATACTGATCAAGAACAAGGAATTCGGAAATCACGCCGAAATATCAACGAGAATTCGAATATGCTTATCCTTCTTGATGCCCGCCTTGAATCCATCCTCCACTATCTCTTCCATGGAGATTATGCTGGGGATCATGGATCGCGGCTCTTTTCCGCTGTGAACGCCAATAGCAGAAGAGGATTGCGAAAGGGTGCTGAACTTGATGCCCAATACTCACCTGAATCAATGGCCACAATCATACCCTGAAAGTCCCCTTCATCGTAGCCTACGGTACTGGAGATATGATTCTCCCCAAGAAGCATAGTAAAGCAGTGAGGACAGGCATTTTCTTCACAAGACAGTATGACTGTCGTTCCACGCAGTAGGGGTATCTAGCCCCACCTGGACACCAGAGCTATCAAAGGCAACAATATGTGCGTAACGTGCACCGGCGGTGCCACATTTTTTCGGGTTGACATTCGTATAGCATCTTATACTAATGAGGCTTTACTAATGAGGAGAGGAAATTGACATCGTGTACAAAGAAAAGATTGACTGTCCATAATCAGGTTTATTCATTAGAATACCGCTCAAAAAAAAATCGAATTTCGGTCGGGTTTCATTTATTGTTCCGAATTAGAAGCCCTTTGAGAGCCTCAGTTTCACCTTCCAATTTCGAGACCTTAAGTCTCAGCTCATCCCGCTCCCTCCGCACGCTTTCCAATTCATCTGCGAGACGCTGCATCTGATCGACCCGTCTTTGGCGACACCTCCGCGCCGCGAGTGTGTTGAGCTTGCGCTTTTCGACGCGAGACGACTCCACGTGCGTCAAGGTTTCATCACCCTGCGAGGTGGCAGGGCTTGATAGAGATGTCGAGACGGAGCCGGGAACCTGGGAAACAGGGGAGGCCTGCGAGTGCCCGTCTAATAGCAGATGTCAGGAACCCTAGGATTGTGCGTCGGGATATTAGATGAAGCTCGCACTATCTTACCTAATGAATTAGTCGAGCTAGGAACGAGAGACGGCGGAAGAGGTTGAGGCTCGTTGGATCCCGAATCCGAAAGCGAACTAAAGGTGGAGAGTACGCCGTATCCCATGTCATTGACGGGTACATGGACACCATCAAAGCCGGAAGGATACGAGGTCGGGTGGGCGATAGGTAAAAAGTTCCAGTCGGAATTGGCAAAGGACAGATCCGGCTCTGCCCAAAGATCCGGCTCTTGCGCAGCAAATGTATCAAAGGACTGAGTGTAAGGCGAGACCGAAGGAATGCATTCCAACGGCGCCAAAGAAGAGAACGCGTAGTGTTGTTGACTATGTTGATGTAGAGAGTGACTAGACCAAGGTGGACAGTCCACGAGGCCGTTTGAAGGATGGATCGAGCTGCTGAGGCTGCCAGAAGATGGGGAAGGTCTGGAAACTTGGCGCGGCGAAGGTACACGTGCAGGCCGACATGGTTGGATTCTTTAGTCGGGCCTAAGCGGGCCCGTGGCGCGTTTTAATTGAACCTGAAAGGGTAGCTCAAGGGTCCTCTGGGACTTGGGGAGAAGGTTGAACTTGGTCGCAAAGGCCCGAGGAGTGGTGTCCTGAGGAAGAAATGATGGAGGGGGCGGCCGTGATATACCCGGCGATTTGGCCGTGGCCCTGGCGGTAGATTGCAACCCGTGGGACCACCCAGCGCTCGGACGCATCGGAGACTCCACTGCCGCTTCATGGTGATTGGTGCTTGACGACCGACTCATCGTGACTCATTTTAGTGCGTGTCATATCGGCCAATAATAGAGATCACATTCGAGAGTGGAATGGGCCTTTTCTGCGCCGAATGGCGCAGCACTGTCAATTCGGAGATCTCCTGGGTGCAATGAGATTGCAATGAGAAGATGGTGGATCATTTGGTGAACCTTGCATTACTGATTTGGTGTCCATCGATAACTGCACCTGCTTCCTAGAAAGTTTCAGGAGGTTGAAGCAACACAGGATTAAATAGGGCTCTGTTAGTTCCAAACACAGCCGATAAGGTTCGTTCGCTAGTCCCGGGGCTGAGATGCCCTGCAGGATATATGACATTCGCAATTGAGCGAAATAAGCTTAGTACACTGCCCTGTCAGAAGTTCCGCACAAATATCTCAAGTAACTTAGTGTGATGATCGGACGCTGGATGGATGGCGCGTGCCTTCCTCTTGCGGATGTTCCAGGCCTCACCCGCTGGTGGGGTTCCCTCTCCTGTGTGCTGTTTTCGTTTCCTCTTCTTCTCTTCCTTCTCTTCCCCATAGTAGAGATTCGTCGATCAGCTTAAGACCCCAGACTTCTCTTGCTTTTCTTCCCTAGTGCTTGCCAAGTATTGTCTCCTGCGATGATAGCCAAACTCAAGCTTTTGCTATAGCCGAGATCACCCATACAGCCAGCCCTCTGCGTAGCTCGACTCTCCGAACAATCTATATAATTAATGCACGTTTCTCTTGCAGTGGTTTACGGACTACTCAGTATAGCTTCAAAGTCAGCTGGTTGCTCGTGCTAGATATACAAAGAAGTCATAAGCATCAGTCCAAATGCGGATTTCATTTCATTACCAGGGGCCAATCGTGACAAGAGATAAAGTGCAAAAAGCACCAAGGGGCATTTCCTAGATACTCAGTGAGAATGGTAATACTGTTCCGCTGGGCAAGTCATTAAGAAGAAAAGTCTATTTAACGAAACTATCGAATCTGAGGAAGGAAAAGGAAGAGAAAGAAAGAGAGATGTTTGGGTTGTCTGTTTTGAACGGGGCACGATCTGGATAAAGCTGGGTGATCAAAGTTTTGAAGTAATCAGTGGTCTAAATGAGAGCCCTTGAAGCTGATAAAGAGAGAACCTGGAGAATTTGACCTTGCGAGGGCTATTATCTGACTGTTGTATTTGTTCACCTAAAGACATTCTATATTCACACTGTATATATATACCGGATAATGTGTTACGAAATGAGTATCTCCCCCAGATGAGGCTATTCCCACCCGAGGGGTCACGTCACTTGGCATTTGGTGAGTAGTTGGGACCTCTCGCGGCCGCCACCTGGGGTATGCTTGTGTCGGCGTATCTTGAAAATTGGGGACAGCCTGTGAAGTTCTGCTGATTAATTTGCATAGAATCCCATAACTCAGGACGGCCACGGTAGACGATATTCACCCGTTGTCGGCCCGGATTTGAGTCAGCCACGGAGGACGGAGCCCTAAGATGCACCCGCTCCGTGATCCCAACATGTCTGGGAGCAAGTATTTAATCCTAACAAGATCTCACCTTAAACACCGGATAACAACCAAAATTAACCTGGATAGCCATTCAAGCATTGCTATATCGCAAAATATCTCAAAAAAATGACCACCCTCCACATCGGAACCCTGGTCTTCGACTACCAAGCCATCGACATCATCGGCCCATGCGACCTACTCAACTCGGCAACTAAAAGATTAATGAACGTGATCAACTACTACACCCCAGTCAACCAGGAGACTGTTTCTAAAGCCCCTGAGATCATCTTCCACCATATCGGCGAGACCCTCGACCCAGTGACCCTGCTCACGAGCAGCGTAACTGTCGTCCCGACCGTCACCGTTGACAATGTCCCACCGCTCGATATCCTGATTGTCGGCGGGGACAGTCCCGCGTATCCCAATCTCCCACCAAAACTCCAGGAGCTCATCCGGAGACATGTCGCGAGTGGAAAACTCCTCTTCACGACCTGCACCGGCGCAGCCCTCGCTGCGGCTACGGGTGTGCTCGACGGCAAAAACGCAACAGTGAATAATCTTGAGTATGAATGGATCATCAGAGAGTACCCAAAGGTGAAGTGGACTAAGGCGAAGAAGTGGATTATCGACGGAAACATCTGGACAGGTAGCGGGGCGGTTGCGGGAATGGATATGGTCGCCCACTGGGTCAAGAAGAATTATGGGTTGGAAGTCCTGACCCAGGCTTGTTTGAACTTGGATTTTGAGCCGAGGGATCAGGATGGGCTCTTTACTGTCTTGCCGGAGAGGTTTGATGAGCAGGGTAATAAGGTTTCCACGCTTATATTTCCTTGAGGGAGTATGAGTTGCTGGAGATATCTGTGGATCGAAACGCCCGGGGGAACTGGTTGATGTGGAGGAGGCTAGATTTAGTGGTCTGAGGGCGACAGACGGCGGTACGTTAGTCAGTTGGTGATACAGTAGCTGTTAACAGAGAATGTACCTGTCACTAGGAGGTCTCTCCAGAATATCTCGTTCTCGATAATCTGTATCTCCGCACTAACAGCGGTCTGAAGGGTAGATTGTTCCGTTGAGCTTTGGTTGGCAGACTGTCTCAGATTGCGCATTCCAGGACAGCGATGCCGCCCTCGGACAGAAAGAGCAGGACGATCCGAAAAGGGTTGATGTGGGTGTCGAGTATCAACGATCAGTGCAGAATTCACCATGGCGGTCGCATAAGACGTTTCTACACTTGCTATGATCTCGGGCATCATCGTAAATAGACTCTTAGGTAGCACCGCTGTATCTAGCCGAATAGACTGGAGGTGAGATGATAGGACGCCCAGATACTCTTCAACGTCCAATGATGCCTTTGTGAGGTTCACATCCCATTCGGGTACTTCAGATACTCCCACAGAAAGCCTGTATAGCACAAAGACCGCCAGCACGACCTGGTACCATATCGAGAAGGATAGTTTGTGGTACTCCATCTCGGGAATGGTGAAGAAGAAGTCAAGGTATGCTTTCGTGGATTCAACACATCTAATCAAGTTACTGATCAGCATTGGGGACGCAGATAGTATGGTCGAGTCCTCTGCATTTTTTGGATGTCGTCGAGGCTGTCCGTAGTTATAGACTAAGCCCATCTCAAAGATCCTGATCTTAGCAGCGTGGTAGCTGTTGAGAAGCAATGCTCGAAGTCGGTTAGTTGAGGAGGCCGTATAGTTTGAAAACTGAGGCATGTTACCATTTCGACGCAGCTCTACCGACAGAGAGGACCACCTATCTTCTAGCCGCGTCGCGAATCGCTCAGCATGTGTGCATAAGCGTGAGCGATCAGACTGTTGCCTTTCAAATCGATACGTCTCGCAGACCTCGTCAACGAACTGCTGCTGTTTAAGGAGATGGTATATCAATTCGTCCGTGTCATACTCTCTTTCACGCTGCAATACCAACGCCGCTCGAAGCATATTGCTGGATATTCGAAGATTGTTGGGTTTGCCCGAGGATGTTGATATACTGCTGAACCATTAGCTATTTCTACCACATCATAACATCGTACTTACACGCTGGAGATGTAATAGCAGCCGAGATACGCGCGGCACGCTTCCCTACTATAGGTATCACCCAGTTCATTGTCTCCGTCGGTCATATCGATGATCAATTCCTCAATGCCAAGATCAACAACCATACTAATCGCTATCTGCAGGTATCGATACGTTTGCGGACTTCTTGGGTTGAAGTGGAAATGGAACATGCGGTTCGTTAGCCGTGCTTCAATAGCGATGGAGGAACAAAGGGAAACATCATACCATGCAAGATGCAAGATTAGCCCCTGCAGAAGATCCAAATCTTTCTCTTCCGCGACGATCAGACTTCGGCTAAGGATTTCCTTAAACCTCTCGCTCAAGGCTGCTTGCAGATGCTGGAATCGTGAAGAGGCAATCGTCACGGCGGCTAGGTATAGGAACGGTCGATCCTCCGACAATAATGCCACCTCCAAGCCGTTTGGAACTCGCACAAATGGGAAGTATGTTGACATGCCGCTGAACACAGTAACAAGATGCTGGAGGACGGCGGGGCTGAGGCCCTGGTCGGCGCTCCAAGCGGCGTCTTGATTAGTAGAATATCGAGATGTACCTTCCGGTGCATGTTGCATGAAATTGGTCTCTTGAGCTCCAAGAGCCCCAATCATGCTAATATCCGTGACATTTTCATGGTTAATACAACCAACTGGGTCGGTTCCGATATGTATGTCAATGTCGGCGAGCTCAATTGGGATTGTGGAATTCCGATCTTCGTCAGAAGGTGCGTCTGAGCGTGAAAGTAAGCCGATAATATCTGAGAGCTTAGATTCGATATCAGCCAGTCGGCTTGATTCTATCAGCACAATTCAGTCGCTTTAGTGTGATATCGTCATTGAACACTCACGGCTTTGCTCGCCGGTTTCGCGCTTGCTGTCTCGGTTCCGGAACTACGCATTCGAAGTTTGACCTCGCGCATCTCCGGATATCAGCGATATAGAATGTACCATGGAGATTCGTAGCCCAAACTTACTTTGTACAAGGCTGACCTTCCACTCGAATACATTTCACTTTAAGCACACGGCATTTCTCGCACGCAAGCACCGCCTTGTTCACCAAATTGGGTACGTTAGTACGAGGTTCGTGGTCCGCCATTGCTCGTCTTCCTTGAGTTGATGTTGCGCGGATCAAATAAGCTGACGATTTGCCATAGTTAACTTAGGGATTGGGCTGACAAATACTTCATAACCCCGCATAAGCAGACTAACCCGGCGTACTCCGCATAACTCATCTCAGTATATTTAGGTGTGTAGTCATTTGAGGTTGGCGCAGATCAAGAACTAAGCCGCACCATTGGAATTAACTCCACGATGTCTATAGGAAGCATCAAGTTGATTTCCAATCAATTTGATCTTCTCGTCGTATTTATAGCCTCATGTATTTCCTTCTTGAGTGCGACTTGTTAAATGTCACTTGAAAGATTTTTTGTGTTTAGAAAATCTCAGGTCGCTAACTATTTATTGCAGTCCTTTCCTACAGTGTCTCAAGTACGGCAATGGGATATATTGAGATAGAGATACTGGGTATCTCGATGCATGAAAAATTCATGATGCCGAGAATGGGTATTGTTTGAATGATCCATTTCTCTCTTGGTGCCTTGATTGTAACGATATCTTAGTTATCTGATACCCATTCTGCGAGCATTTCCCTCCAGTTGGTGGACGAATTGGGCCATCACGCTCAGCTGAGTCATCAAATTTAGCACCGGTGCCGCAAGAAGAAAAATAAAGGTTTGAGCTTCGCGGTGGTCGCGTGAACGAGCACCTGAAATAATCCAATTGCCCCAGCCAATCCCACCGTCTGTGGGATTCCCGTCAAGTTGACTTTCTTCAGGTGTGCGAGCCTATTGCGGGCCCGAAGGACGACCCCGCGGGTCCTATCATTGACTCCGACCCGTGCCCCTCCTCGAATTTCTTTTCTTCCATCTCCTCCACGCGCATTCACCATGGCGACCGCAGCTGCCCCCGAATCCTCCCTCCTCTCGCTCCTCTACCGGTCCTACCCGGCCGCCATCTCTCCCGATGCCACCGAGCCCGATTACCTCCACGCCTCGCCCAAGATCTTCCCCACGGTGAACTTTGGCGAGGCTGATGACGCAGAGATCAAGCACTGGCTGAACGCTGTTTCTGGCCTCAAGGCTGCCCAGGCCACGAATGACCAGGCTGTGATTGGCAACATCCTGGCCCAAGTGAACACCCACCTGGCATCGCGCACCACCCTGCTCGGTGCGAAGCCCTCGGTCGCCGATATTGCAGTCTATGCCCTCCTGGCTCCCATGGTCGAGAAGTGGTCGCCTGAGGAGCGCACCGGAGAGAAGGGCTACCACCACATCGTGCGCCATGTCGACTTTGTGCAGAACTCGAATCTCTTCTCGCTGCAGATCCCCGAGGAGGAGAAAGTCGCCATCGACGTGAACGATGTCAAGTTCGTGCCCAAGCCCATCGATCCCAAGGAGGAGAAGGAGCGCAAGAAGCGCGAGAAGACCAATGCCCTGAACCCCGATGCTACTGCCGAGAAGCCTCTTGTCGTTGGCAAGGGCAAGCCCGAGAACCCTGCAGAGGCGGCGGCTGAGGCCGCCGCCGGTCCCCCCAAGACCAACAAGAAGGAAAAGAAGGAGAAGAAAGAGAAGCAGCCCAAGCAGCCCAAGGCCCCAGCCGCCCCCGCCGCTGCTCCTTCGCCCTCCATCATTGACCTGCGCGTTGGCCACATCCTGCGCGCCATCAACCACCCCAACGCCGACTCTCTCTACGTTTCCACCATCGACTGTGGCGACGCCCCGGGCTCCGAAAACACCTCCCTGGATGAGGAGACCGGCAAAACCGTGCGCACCGTGTGCTCCGGTCTTAATGGCTTGGTTCCCCTGGAGGAGATGCAGGGTCGCAAGATCGTCGCCGTGTGCAACCTGAAGCCCGTGACTATGCGTGGCATCAAGTCCGCCGCCATGGTTCTGGCTGCTTCTCCCCGCGTTGCCGAGGGTGAGGACTCCCACGCTGGCCCCGTCGAGCTCGTCAACCCCCCTGCCGATGCCCCCGCTGGTGAGCGCATCACCTTCCAGGGCTGGTCCGAGGGCGAGCCTGAGAAGCAGCTGAACCCCAAGAAGAAGGTCTGGGAGACCTTCCAGCCTGGTTTCACCACTACCGATGAGCTTGAGGTTGCCTTCGACAGCAGCGCTGTCCCTGTTGCCAAGGAGCAGGAGGGTAAGCCTGCCATTGGCAAGCTTGTCACCGCTTCCGGGGTTGTGTGCACTGTCAAGAGCTTGAAGAATGCTACTGTGCGGTAAAGAAAAAAAGAAAGGGGAAAAATAAGGGAGTTCGTCTGGATACATCAAGCAGAATAAATGTCAAATCGATTGCATACCCACGAGAGACGAAAACAAACGGCCGGAATCCATCATTACTGGCCCGGTGTCCATATGTTAAACGAGGAATGAATTGCTTCAAAATACACTTGCCTCATGGCCTCGTATTCAAAAATTTCAAGGGCAGTGTGAAAGAGGCTTTGCTTCTATGAAAATAAATCTACAATATCTGCAACCTCAGCTCCCTTTCCACATTCTAAATAACCATTATCATCCCCGATAGATATTTTCCACAGTTAAGTCCCGGCCTCTCATGTCGGTGACGCAAATCCCAGCGACGGACCCCGCTGGTCAAAAACCACGAACAAAGCTTTCAGGAACACATCGCCGAAGATCTGCAGGCTCGACCCTTCATTCGACTGGATGCCGCCATAGCACACTATCACGCAACGGTTAGCTCGGAACATCTCATACAATCATCCGGACACCCGAAACTCACCCGTGGCACCGGTAGTCGTATTCGTCCCGACCTCCGCAAAGTTCACCAGCGATCCCGGAATAGTAGCTTGGTACTTGTCGCCCAGCGCAACAGTGAGACTGGGCAACTCCGCCGAGCACGGATAGATATAGCCGCTCACACTGCTTGAATACGCAGCACCCTGGACCTCCTTGTAATACGCCTCGACCACCTCAGGACTCACTAGCATCAGCGAGGTACCAGTGTCCGCAATGGCGGCCGGCACCTGGGTAACCTTCTGCAAGGACCCGCTGCCCACGGCGAAATAACCAGCCTCGAACTGCCAGAATCCACTGGACGAGTCGACGCTGACGTTCACCAGTGCGCCGGAGTACTTGCTGTGATCGATTTGGCCGAACTCGTACTCGCCGACGCCGTCGCTGCGCAGCCTGGCGGTAAGGACGGGCTCTTCAAGGTCTGCGGCGATGTTTTCGAAGAAAGTTTTCTGTGGGCCGGGGTCGAAGGTGTTGATGGAGGAGAAGCCCAGGCCGACGAGGCCATTTGAGTAGGTGTCTTCGATGAAGGAGGAAGAGACGGTGGTCGGCAGACCGAAATATTGGCTTGTCACGGTTGCACCGCCAATGTTGACAGTATCCTGCGCCAGTCCGCCGGAGGCAGAGGAAGAGTCGCCGTAGGAGATCTTGAAGGCGCCCCCGTCCACTTGCTTGTAGGTACTAGATTTGCTAGGATCGTACACTGTGCGGCCCTTGATCATAGAAGCCTGGAGTTTGGAGTTCATCACCCACCTGCGAAAGGGAGATAGGTTAATCATCACCGTGATTCTCAATGGCAGAATAAATTGATGCGGGAAAACGTACATATCAGCCGATCCGGTATCAAAGTCCATGGTGACCGTTTGGCCGCCAATAGTGACGGGCGATACGAATTCGACATCACCCTGCACCGACGTGGCGCTGACGGCGCCGGTCTGGTCTGGCTCATCAACGTTGTTTTGGTTGGTGGTCACCGCGGACTTTGTTAGATTGAATGGCTCAAAGTCGCTCAGCTCAATGCCAGTAAAGTTGGTTGGGGCAATTCCAAACTTGCGGTACGCTTTGCGCAACGCGCTGGGGCCGTGGGCAACATAGTCGCTGCGCTTGACACGCTCGATGCGGAAAGACCTGCTTTTCCGGACGTGATGAAGAGGGGCTGGCACAGCCAGGACATCGTAGGTCAAGGAGAGAAACAATACAAGAGAAAGGAGGAGATGCATCTCGCCTGAGCTCACAACTCCGCTGGAGTCGATCTGGTTCCAGCCAAATAATATCAAAAGATGCACAGGAGCGGGACAGATTAATTAGCGATGGTATCAATAGGCCTCCAGGGCCTTGGAAGAAAATTTACGCTGCTGCGTGTCCCAGCGAATGCAATGAATGTAACCACACAACACAAAGGAGCGTGCTATGAAGGCTGCAGTCTCGACTGCGAGACACCTACAGGCAGAGAAAGAAAGGTGAAGAAAGAAAACAGAAAAGAATGGAGAAAAAGATGAGGCAACCAGAAGCTCAGATCGAAAAGAGAGATAGCTCCATCTATCAAAAAAGAGAAAAATCCTGGACAGTGCCCGCGGGCCGTTGCCGATCTATAAAAAGGGACCACAAAGGAGAGAAAAAGAGCGCGAAGGAGCAAGTCCACCGCGAGCCTTCAGCCGGGCAGCTAGCCAGGAACAGAAGAATCCAAACAAATCAAGAAGGCATGGTGTACGTAGTGTGGGTTGCGTAGTACGTTTCTGATCTCTTACCAGGTTCCGCAATCCCACCTATCGGGGATGCTGCAGCACAGTAAAGCCCTTGGCCTCGCTCGGCAGGCTCCATGGCCGGCGCCATCGGCACGCTCTCATTGGAGCTGTCACAGCGCGGTGCCAGTTCAGGGGCAAAGCTCCGGACAGGACAGAGGCCGGCCAGCCCAGCAGCTCATTTGTCTCTGACCTTGCGGTGTCTTGGGGTGTCTTGGGTGTCTGGAGTGGGTGGAGTAGGTGGAGCACTTTCTGGGCGCTTTGCGACTTGACAGGCGAGACTACTGTTCCGACAGGATCGGTGTCGTCGGGATGATCGGTAGTGAGTTAGACTGTTGATCCTGAAACCGCGCGGTGCGGCAGACGGCCAATCAGCCTGCGGAAGCACATTTCCCCTTGAAACGGCGGGGAAAGCACGGAGATGCCTCACTGTGACCTATAACGCCGTTAGTCGCTGCCTGGGCAGCAGGAGCTAATTGACGGACCCGCTGGCAAACCTGGGCGTGTTCTTCCGCCGCATGGTTCCTCGCAGCGTTCCCCAGGGGCGTGTCGGTTTGGGTTCGAACGATCAAAGTCGGCGCCAACCGAGGCGCCCGTGCTGCCCAATCGGCTGGCTTCCCGCTCGCACACTGAATATCGTGAAGTGCTGCTTTCGAAAGAAAACGCTCTAGATTATGGGTAATGAAAACTGTTGAAGAGGTAGTGTGCATCTTCTTATTATGCCGAGAGGCGAGGATGAAAGGTTGAAGAGCTCTGTCGATCTTGTCGGAGCTGCCGAGCCAGTGTGTACTGTATAGATCCCCCAAGAAATGCCAAAAGGAAAATCGATCTATCCGCCACAACTCCCATCGACAAACTGATTCAGAAACCCCTGAAATTGGATTCTCGCAAAGCGCTAAACAAATCTGGAGAAAAGAGGGGGATGGAGGGGAAAGAGGCGTCATCCTTGCAAGGATGTCTCGTGTGCTTCCTCCCGAACGTCATGTGCCTATTCCCAAGGTACCCAAAGAAGGCGAGCCTGCACAGGCAGCCTGATAGTTATTCTGAGTTTTGAAATTGATGCCTTTCTCTCTCGTGCAAAAGAGGAGAACTGCTCTAACTAAGAGGACCGGTTCTGCACGCCTTCGATAATAGTTCAGATTATCTAATTACAAAACTACAATTTCAGTGACTACTGGGTAAATTGATGATGCAAGCCAAAATGAGAGCCAAATAGCAAACAGGAAGCTTACTTCCGTGATTCATTCATGACACATAACCGACATAGCTATTGTACAGTACTAAATTAGAAACGCTGAGATCCAATGGTCTTCGAGCCATCCAAGTCAGAGTCCACGCGGGGGTCCAACTTGTTGGCCATATCACTCTTGTGCGGGCCAGCGGTAGTCTGATTATAGCCGCTGCTGGAGGTGTTGTAGCTGCTACCGGCACCGGCGGCACCAGTCTCCTGGGCCTGACCAAAGGTCTTCGTGGAGGTAGGGCCTGCGTTGCCGGAGATGGGGATCACGCCAGCGCCGCCAAGGCTGGCCTTGTGGACGTCATGATCGAAGCGACCGGCCTTCTCCTTGCTGAGGTCACTGTCGATACGGGGATCGGCCTTGTTGGCCAGGTTGTTTTCGTGGGGCCCGGCGGTCGAGGTGGCAGGGCCGGTGGCGGGCGAGTGTGTGGAGGCGTGCTGCGAGACACCTCCCACGCCGCCTTGGTGACCAATGGTGCTGGTGTGGGGGGCGTAGGAGCCGGCAGAGGTGGAGTGAGCAGCACGACCATCACGGTCACTATCAATGCGAGGGTCCATAACGTTGGCGACGTTGCTGTCGTGGGGACCGTGGTTGGAGGATCGGGCAGACTCGTAGGCGTTGCTTCCATAGGCGCCGCCAGCAGCACCTGCACCAGCACCAGCACCAGCGCCGAGACCAGTCGAGGTGGCACCAGTGGAAGTGGAGTGGGTGCCATAAGCAGCGCGGCCATCACGATCGCTGTCGATGCGAGGGTCCATGGCATTGGCGACGTTGCTGCCGTGGGGACCGTGGTTGGAAGACCTGGCAGACTCGTATGTGTTGCTGCCGTAGGTGTTGCCAGTAGCACCAGTAGCACCAGTAGCTAGAGGCGCAGTCGATGTGTGGCCAGTGGAGGTAGTGTTGTGGGCAGCATGGCCGCTACGGTCGCTGTCAATTCGAGGATCAGCCACGTTGGCGATGTTGCTGTCGTGAGGACCGTAGTTGGAGGACTTGGTCGAATCGTAGTTGCTGCTGCCGGTCACAGGCTGGTGGGTGTGGGAGCTTGAAGAATCGTGATCACCGTGGCCGTGGCCGAGGGTGTCCTTAACCTTGTTGATGAGGTTCGACATAATGAATGGAAGAAATGTGTGTAGACAAGATAGATAAGATCGTGGATTGATTGAGGTAAGAGGTAGAGAATTGTTGCTTTAAATGAGTTGTTCTGAATTGGAAAGGCCTACAACTAGAAACAAACGAGAGTATATATAGGGCTTTTGTCGACCATGACGCTATCAAGGCCCTGTGAAAGGATATGAGAAATGACGTTGTGTTGTGCAATAACATGGATTGATGCCATCACGAAACAAAGCTTTGTTGATCAGTGTCTACTAATTGTGGGGAAGGTGGCAAGGAACCGGCGCCGATGTCATCAGGCAACGTCATACCAAAGCGCCACTTACTGTAACGTGGACCACCATCAGCCCTATGCAAGGAATCAGTGTAACAGAAATAGGGGAAATCATTGAGCCTGATCGCTCTAATTGGTATGATATAACGTCAGATTAGAAAAGCACATTGACGGTGAGGTAATTACCCATGTCCGTCCTCAGCATTATCTAGAGGTCTGGAAAATCTCCCGGCCACCCAGGGTTCTCAATAAGATTGTCGATCATTGCAAAATAATCTGGAGAGATCAGGCAAGTTACGCAATAATAGCACTGCTATAATTAGACGATCGTAGTGATAGTCACATCGTGTCAGACAGATAGGAAAATCCGATCATAAGCGGGCTAGACTTGAAGCCTTTTGCAACGGCTGCGATCCACCTTCCGTGAACCTCCCGAAACCGGAATCTAGGCTCTACCTACCCTTGGGCTTGGACTGATTATCATTGATCGGCGGCGTGGCAACCATGACGATGATGTACTACCATGCAGCTGCATCTCCAATTATAACTTATCATTGAGATCGTGCCCGTCCAACACGGGACAAAGCTCCTGTTCCCTGAAAGGAGTTTCTCATTCAGAACTTGGAAGTATACTGCAAGGAGCTAGTCTTTTCCAGGTTTTCCTTTTAAACCCAACTAAGCATGGGGTACTTTCTAGAAACATCTCCAGCTGGCCGGTGGTCCGTAGAGAGCAGATTAGCTCGGAGTGGCCCCTGATCACTGTCTTCAGACCCAAGAATGCCAGAGCGCATACCGCAGGGTCGCAAACATGTACTCAGGTATCCTAAGTAGCTCACTCAGTATATTGGCCTTTCGGTGCCTGGTCTATAGGCTTTGGCTGCAGTGACCGTGCCAGTTTACCCATCCTTTGAGGACCCCCGGAAAAAAGATGTGGTCCTGGAGGTACCCTCTCCCCCAGAACCATGGTAGCGTTACTCAAGAGTCCCTTCAATGACGGAATGAACCAATCCGGAAACGTAGCTACGGTTGTCAACATTGCAACGGGGCGTTTCTGAAAAATTACGTGCGCGAGCGCGGAGTAATTATTTTCTGGCCCCAGGGCCAAAATCACGGTCAGCTATGCAAAACCTGTCCCGCACACGTAACCCCCAGTAATGTCGCGATTCGAAGACCAGATGTCGACCACATATGCCTATTGCTCAGAATGCAAGGAGTCGGCGGTTTCGCAACATGGGGAATCTTCAGTGGAGTCTTCTTTTGAACCAATTAATCCGAGGTTATCGCTCCGTATTGAGAAGTATGCGGTCATTGTGTTCCTCGAAAACCAAAAGGGAAAACCAGCTGTCGAGTGCGCTGAAGATGGTGGAATCAAAATCCAGGCCAAAAGTGGCAGAGACAATGACGGAAATTACGGTATGCAGCGCCTTGGCATTCAATATCGTACCAGACATAGATGCTCCCAATTTTAGATAGGATCTTCTCCTGGTGAACTCTCCATCACTTGGATCAGCTGAGGGGTACGATTGTCTCTAGCAGGTCCACCCCATGGAGTGTGCTCCTGCTATTGCACCCACCGTTCCATACGTGCCGGTGGACCGTGTCATTTTGTCAGATACCTAACCCTTGAGTGTTTTGATCAATATCAACTGAACAAGACTGGTCCCAAATTAGAAGATCCACAGAAGCTTATGTCTGTGTTTTATATCACGTCAGGGACAGAGAGCGGGTACCTCAAAGAGAAGTATTCTTGCAAAGTTTGTGGATCTATACTGTGTAAACACGGGTCAACTTGGCTGCAAGATGAAAAGCAGCCCGAGGCGATACTTGCTATCACGAATGTCGATGGCAAAATTGGCCATGTATAAACTACGGCAAGATGACATGGAGCCATCTTTCACATCCCTTCCACTGGTCTGGGAAAGAGGATAAGCGACAAGGTATCTGATGCACATGCTCATAAACGTTCGTATCATTCATGGTATCAAATAGAATTCTATGCCCCAACGCCAATATTTTTGAGTCCATCCGAACCGCATGCAACGCGCTATAATGAAACTGGAAAGGTGGACCGGGAAACTCTCACTCGGCCATATCCTCGGGAAGAACATCATCTGGGTTTTCCCCAACTGACTCGCCCACAGCGCGAACAACACGCTTGATAGCCTTGGATGCCGGACTATCGGGGAAGTTATCCACAAAACTCTCGCCAAAGTCGCACGCCATACCAACCCGAGGGTCCAAGGGCACTGCGCCGAGGAATGGGATGCCCATCTTCTTGGCCAGCCGGCGGCCGCCGCCCGTGGTCTTGCGGAAAATTTGCGACTCGTGCGTGCAGTTCGGGCAAACAAACCCAGACATGTTCTCCACCAGCCCGAGAATCCGGATACCAGCCTTGCGGCAGAAATCAATTTCCTTGCGGACATCCAGCAAGGACACTTCTTGCGGGGTAGTCACAACGACGGCACCGTCCACTCCGGATTCCTTCAACAGAGAGTTGACCGACAAATGCTCGTCCGATGTGCCAGGAGGCGTATCCACAATCAGGTAGTCAAGCTCGCCCCAGTCCACGTCTTTCAAGAACTGCTTGATCAATCCGTTCTTTTTGGGCCCGCGCCAAATCACCGCATCGTCACGGTTGGGCAACATGAACTGCACACTCATGGCGCCCAGGTTATCCGTCACCCACACAGGGCTCCATCCGGCGTTGCTCACATGGATCGTCTCCGTCTCCACACCCATCATCTTGGGAATCGACGGCCCGCAGATATCGGTGTCCATGACGCCGACGGTCGAACTCGGGTTCGCGGCGAACCCATGCGCCAAAAGAGTCGTGAAGGTCGACTTGCCCACTCCTCCCTTGCCCGACAACACCAGGATCTTGTGCCGTATTTGCGAGAGGCGCTCAGTTATAATCGAGATGTCCGGGTCGGGGCCTTTGGGCGCGGAAGCACAAATTTGTTGGTTTGGACAGCCGGCGCAGGCATCGCCTTGGCCTGCTTGCTCGGACTCGGGACCAGGACAGTGCTCTGAAAGGCGAGTTAGACCTATGCAACACGCTATGCTATTTCCTAGGGAGTAAGGTACGTACCTGGTTCTGGGGCCACCAGGTTTGCCGGTGCCCTCTTGGCGGGCGCGACGAGGGAGGCCTCCACGGCGGGCTCCTCCACATATGGCGCCATACTCGTTGGGGTGTGAAATGTGTTAAAGAGATAGTCTAGGTAGACAACAGCACCTGCACCAAGTGCCCGGAAAGAAATCACCGAGATCCATAGACGGTGGCGGAGAAGATGCTTGATAAGCCGGGGATGACTAACTTGAAGACGCCGACACCGGGATTGGCTGGGCGGGGTTCCTAAATCGGTGCCATCACGTGCATGCCCGCCTATCTTATCATCTTCCGGTTTGGACCGCCTCGTGGAGTTCTCCAATCGAGATGATGATGGCTCATCCCCAATGGGTATTACTACGCCGTGGCTGCGAACTACCCACCTTGACGAAACGAATTTGAAGATTCCCCAGCCTATTAATTGAGGGGAAACCTCCTGCAGCATGAAAATTGAGACGAGACGATTGCATGTGATGGACTTAGAGCGATATATTGTTGCGGGTCACCACGAGCTTCGGCTGCCAGAATGTCGGTCGGGTGAACGGCCATGCCGCAGGTACCAGCTTTTCGTTAGCCGCTGGGACCGTCAGAACTTAAGCAGCGGTCGGGATCTTCATCTAGGTGCCTCCCATGCATGATGAACAGGGTAGCCCAACCCTCGCTAGCCTTATATAGTAGGGCAGCCCCATGTACTGCCCGATGCACTAATGCAGTGAGAGTGTGAGACGAAAAGCGGGGATCCTGGCCTGCAGCCAGCAGGGAAAGATCTTACTGGCTATGAAACGACGAGAAAGGTTGGAGGGCATCGCGGACAAGTACAGTATGAGCGAAAGCATTAGCAGCACGGAGTATGCATTATCAATTTGTCCGCCATAACACCAGTGCTCCCAGCACCAATCGACGAATGTAGGTACATACGCAGCAGGGAGGAGGGGGAAAGCGACTTGCGGTGTGGAGACTGCCTGGAAACTGGCCTGGCATTGCTCTCGAGTGCCTAATGCGAGCACACGAGTATACTCCGAACTTACCACAGGAAAGGGTCCGTTGGTGGGGTTCGGACGCCAGGACCGGCCAAGGAGCGGTACTCCGTAGATGTCGAATTGCTCCACCAGCAGTTGTCACGCCCATTATTCGCCTAGGGACGCTCCAGACAATCCCTCGAGATGCAAGCCAGGCATTCTCTTGTAACCGTAACCGATACAAGAAGGGTCAGGTCGCTCATCAATCTATGCAAGTAGTTAGCAACTGTCCCCTACCTGCAGGATGGAGTGCTGCACGAATGGTCGAGTATCCGCACTGGCCGCTGCACCTCCCCCAGCGATAGGCCCCGTGAGGAGGAAGGCCGAAGGGGAGGGCCAACGTGCAACCGTCGCTGCTGCACGAGCCAGTCGGGACACGGCGAATTGGCGGAGAGCAAGGTTCCCGCAACCTCACATCTCGAGGGTGTCTCGAGGTATTTCGCACCACCCAGTTGTGCGCATGAGCACCAACTAGGGCGGGATTAGTGTCGGGGATGCGATCGGGCCCGTTTCTCTCCCCTTCCGCTCCATTCGGGGCCCGCAGACTAACTCTCGCTGGCTGCTCCTATGAGATGGAGGGTCGGGAAGCCAGTTCCACACCAACACGCCATTTTTCCGTCCTTAAATACGGAGGACGCCCACCTTCTCTTTCTTGTATCTGCGCTCCTCAACCCACTGGCCTTTCATACCCTACAGCAAGCGGCGGGTTGATATACCCTCGAAGCAAGTATAGTCGGCCGGACGTGGTGGGAAGCGGATGCAAACAGAGCAATTGCTGCCAGGCCCTGTCACATGCTTCTGTCGTCACTAACAAACTTCCCAACAATTCCAGTTCTTCCCTCAACCACATCATGGACCAGGGCCGTTCAACAGGTGCCCAGCAGCCCGATGGGCTGCGCGAAAGACTTATCTCACGCCCTGATTCAACTGAGGGCCGCGATGCTTTAACTGCGACCGGAGAGCTTGAGGCCAAGGATGACGCCGGCAAGGACAAGAAGACCTTTGGCCGGACCCCGGATGGAACAGGTGAGTGCCTTTCTCAATTGCAATTGCTTCAGTCCCCTTTTTCATGGATGTCGGACCACTATTGTATGGCCTCGATTACCTATTGAATATAATGAAGCTCCCCCGGCCCCCCGCCAACTACCTGCCGCTTGTGGAACTTCCCCCGCTAACCCGGAATCCGTCGCGTCGTTAGTGTTCACGGTGCCCCAGACCCACGACATGGTTTCTCAACTGCTGTCGCCATCTGAGCCCAAGAACGTGGGAGATCTGGTGGTGATAGCCCTGCTGGCCATTCACATCCTGCTTCTCTGGTCCCTTCCCGCGGGCGCCAAAGTCCCGGTTTTCGCTGTGATCTACCTGTTCTGGCGGGCGGCGTACAATGGAGGTATCGGGTGGCTACTACACAACCAGTCGCACCACAAAACATTGATTCGATGGGCGGAGAAGACCAAGGTTTTCGTCAACCCGGCCTCGGGGGACAACCCGCACCCGGCTCTTTACAATTGGATCAAGCGGGAGCTGGAGACCAAGATCCCGCAGGATTACTCGTTCGACAGTGCCCCTATCGAATACAACACCTGGCTTGTATTTAGGCGTCTAGTGGACTTGATCCTGATGTGTGACTTCACTTCTTACTGCCTCTTTGCGATCGCGTGTGGTCACCGTCCTGTGGACGAGAGTATGATCATGACCGCCCTTCGGTGGACGGCCGGCATTACCCTCGTGCTGTTCAACCTCTGGGTTAAACTAGACGCTCACCGAGTAGTCAAAGACTATGCCTGGTACTGGGGCGACTTTTTCTATCTCATCGACCAGGAACTCACCTTCGATGGCGTCTTCGAGATGGCCCCCCACCCCATGTACTCGGTCGGATATGCGGGCTACTACGGCATTTCCCTAATGGCGGCCAGCTATCAGGTCCTGTTCATCTCGATCATTGCCCATGCAGCTCAATTCGCGTTTCTTGTGCTCGTCGAGAACCCTCACATCGACAAGACCTATAATCCGCCCCCACCCCGAAAGCGCCCAGTCTGTGTTGATTCGACCTCCAACCTGCCTTCGGATACGGACACTCCATCAGCGCCCACTCCGACTGCGCCTACCCCGACTTCTCCGACTGCGCCTACTGCGTCTGACGACCTTGCTCCCAATGCGTCTTTCTCGTACTCGGCCAAGCCGCCCCCTTCGGTGCACAACCTCCTGGGCCTGCACAACTTGGATTTGTATAGAACTACGGATTCGTCCATTCTGCTCATCCAGCTGCTCGTATTCGCAGTCACCGCTTTGACACCCTCCACCCTGCGGTATCAGCTTCTCTTCGTGGCTTATGCCGTGGTGTGCCGGCTGTGGTATTCTGTAGGCATTGGATACCTGCTCAACAACCAGTCCAACCGCAAGGCCTGGACCCGACACTTCCTCAAGTTTGGTGAAACCCCGCAAGAGGCGTGGAACCAATGGAAGGGCACCTATCACCTCAGTATGATTATGTGCTACTCCAGCTTTATTGCTGCTGCGTGGAAATTGTATACGTTCCCGACCGATTGGGGCTATGGCCTGGTGTTGTTCCGCCATGTTCTGGGAGCTGGGTTGATAAGCTTGCAGATCTGGACCTCCGTCAGCATCTACGACTCCCTCGGGGAATTTGGTTGGTTCTATGGCGATTTCTTCTTTGATGAGTCTCCTAAGCTCACCTACGATGGAATTTATCGCTTCCTGAATAACCCGGAGCGTGTTCTGGGCCTCGCCGGTGTCTGGGGTGCCGTGCTCATTACGAGCAGCGGGGCAGTGACCTTCCTGGCTCTGTTAAGCCACATTCTGAGCTTGGCTTTCATTCAGTTTGTGGAGCGTCCGCACATGCAGAAGCTGTACGGCCGTAGCCTCCGCCAGGATGGTGGTGTCGTCAAGAACCTGAAGAAGTCTCTGCCGCCGTCTCTCAAGCAGCTACACGGAAGCGTCGATAAGATGTTCGATGAGTCATTCGAGTTCATCGAAGAACTTCTCGACAATGCTCGCCCGAAGCTCGCGGCCGGAGTCAACACGTTTGTCAAGGATACCACCGCTTTATTCCAGAAGTATCCCGCTCGCATCACCATCTCCCGTATTGATGCCGATTTAGCTGGCCTGGATGTCTCCAACTACTCTCTGTCTGTTGAAGGCACCGATTCTAAACCCCGCGATGAGAGCGAGCAGGGCAAGGGCCGTGAAGGCGCTAACGCGCGCATGCCCCTGGACCGCCGAGGTGATCTCAAGAATCTGACATTCGAGTACGGTGCCCCAATCAAGGTTAAGTGGACCGCGCCTCTCAACCATAGCAAGAAGGACTGGATCGGCCTCTACCGGGTCATCGACAACACCTCGCGAGAGGTTACCCGCGTGTCATCCCAGGGCCGGTGGATCGCCACCAACGAGGGCTTCTACGACAACACAACTTGCGAGAAGGGAATTGTCACCAGTGACGTGGTTGTCCGTTCCACTGAACAGAAGGGTCGCGAGGGCCACGACCTTGCTTCCGGCGAAATCGTCTTTTCTGGCGACAAGCTCTTCTGGACGCAGGGTACCTTCGAGCTCCGCTACCACCACAACGGCTTGCACAATGTCATGGCTATCTCTAGGCCGTTCGAGATCCTGATCCGTCGCTTTGATGAGGAGAATGTACTCGCTGACAGTGACGATATTGTGCAAACTGCCGTTGAGCGCGCTCTATTGCCGGTTGTCCGCAATTGCTTCGACCGCGACCCTGAAATTGCGCCAGAGAATGTTGAGGAGCAGTTTGGCAGTCTTGTCGAGCGAGATGGCAAGTTCGCTAAGCGTGTTGTTTTCGCTGTCCACCAAATGTAAGGGTTGCTCTGCCGCTTAGCGCCTGATTTATGTTGCTGACTACTACCACAGGTTCGGAGTTGAGTTGGCGCCTGAGGTGGTTAAGGCCGATGGCAATGTTCTGAATCTTGCCTGGAGGATATGTAACGCCAAGAAGGTTCTTGTAAGTCAACTACTCATTTCCTTCGCTTCCAGGAAGGAGACCTCCTCCTAACTTGCATGATAGGTTCCCTACAGCATGTCCCGCTCGAACGGCACCACAACGCCAATCGAGGGCAAGCAATAACAAAAAAAGCCCCCGTCATGAACGACCGCTACATCCACAAGCATGTCAGGGGTCACGCAATAACTAGACTGGGACATGGCGATAGCCAAACAGGCTTTGGCCTCTCAATTTCCTGGCGAGAGTGTTTGAAGGCTCTAATTGAGTCCCAAAAAATAAAAAACGAGACATGCATCCCATGTTCGAATGATCAGCAAGGAAGAGACAATCCAAAAAAGGGTGGCCTCGGTATCTTGTTTTGAGAAGATGTTTCCTTTAATTGTTTAGAAGGTTGGATGATTTTCGAGGGTCCCTTCCAACTCTTATGAGTTGTCCTGCCTGAGGACCTGGGAGGTTGACGAGCGGAGTTGGCGGGACGGCCTGGACAGTTGAATTCTGCTTCATGGCTATGTTTTCTTCCCATTTACCTTTTACCTTTACGTACATAGCTTAGGTTACAATCAATTGCTAGCTTATCATACTACACTGTTGAAAGTGGCCAACGACAATGGGTATGTTATATTCCGAGACTATCAAGAGCATTTGAGTTAAATCTACTAGTTTGGGGACCTAGACTGCAGAATCATCAGCATCAATTCCACAAAGCATATCGACTGTGCGAGAGGCAAATAGCTCCATTTTGCAAGCAAAGCAAGCAAAGGGCAAGTAATCAGTCAAGCCAGTTAACTCATCCCATCCTCTGCCGTCCTTCCGAACCAAGCTGTCATCCAAGACGGACAAGCAGCCCAACCCGGAAGAGCCGGCACAAGTCAAGCATAGCAGAGCCACACTGAAAACAGCAGAACCAGACGCCGACTTAACCCACGTCCACCGGTGCTCCACAACCTTCCTCCCTTTCGCGTCCGTGAGGATACAAGAGGTCCAGTATCTGGGAGTCGGCAAACGTAGATCGACGCCTAGGCCCGAAGGCAATGCTGCACAGTGCAGGTACCCACTCGAGAGGCGGTTCTTGAGAGATCGTTGAATGGATTGACTGGTTGTCATCATATAAGGGGAGGAGGGGAGGCAGACTGGAAGTGGAAAAGGGAAGAACCGTACATTTTACAAGTGACATGATAGATTGCAAGAGAACAACTTCATTTGACTGGGAAAACCTGGAACTGTCAGCACTTATGTCCATTGACGATGTGGATGTGTAAAGACAGTGACATGATTGGAGTAGCATCAGGGATTTTTGGTAAGGTATTTTGTTATCTTCAAAAATTTTGCAGAAGCAGAACTGAAAATTTTTTCTCATCATGCTACTCTTGGGGTAGTGGGGGGGGGGAAAAAATTCATAGCTTACCTTTTTGGAGGAGCTCCCAGCCGAAATGCTGTGGTAGCTCGGTTAGTGCAGTAATCGCAAGCCCTGTTCTGAATCATGGTCAGCTTACATGCCAAAGCTAACGAGATTGATGAGATAAATCAATATTTGATTGGGTGTCCATCAGATGGTGATGCATGTTTGTTCATGGCCCATTGTTTGTCGCCGAACAGAAAATTTGGGTTGCTTTCATCATAAAGACAGGAAGGGGAATGGGAAGGGGAAGGGGGCGCAGCGAAGCGCACGGTGGCAGAGAGTACTCACAAGAAGGTTAGTAGCAATAGAGGGATCAATGAAGAGATCATTTCATCCCAGGAAAGCTCCTTTATCATCAAAAGGGCTGGAAACCCAGGGCATAAACAACACAGAGGAGTGTGGAAGAAAGAGAAAAGGGAAGAGCGAGAAAAAAGCTGAAAAGGTAGGCGGCATGGGTGGGGCGCGAGCAAACATTGCAAACACGCAGGATTTCCGTTTCTGGGCGCTCGACATGTCCGATATCTTTCAACCTCCAAAAATCACGATGATGGCCGACAGGAGAAGGATTAATGGGCCGCCGGGCGGTACAAGGCCGGCGGTTTTTGCTTCTAACTCGCAATCTGGTACGGGTGCTACAACCCGCGCTCAACGCCAGCGACAACCCTCTGAGCTACGGAAAATCTGTATGTCGCCGTGCCATTCTACCCTATAATTAATAGTGCTATCGGCTAATTATCAATGCCCTAGTCCTTAAGACTGGTCTGATACCCACAGCATCGGGCTCCTCATATCTTGAATTCGAACCGTCGGCCTCCCTCGCCGCTGCTCGCGCCAATCCCAAATCTCTGATTCCGCCCTCGTCGGCTTTAAAGCTCGCCTGTACAGTCCACGGCCCGAAGCCACTGCCCCGGTCTGCGGCATTCTCTCCCAATCTTGTTTTGACAACGCATGTCAAGTATGCGCCTTTCGCGGCACGCAGGCGCAAAGGCCATATCCGCGATTCCAGCGAGCGCGATCTCGGAGTACACCTTGAAACTGCCCTGCGCGGCGCAATTATTGCGGAGCGCTGGCCAAAGAGCGGCCTTGATATCACCATCACCATCCTCGAAGCCGAAGACGACCGGTGGTGGGGCGATGCGCCAGACTCGCATGATGCGTCCTGGGGTATGATGAACGTCCTCGCCGGTTGTATTACCGCCGCCTCCGCCGCTATTGCCGATGCCCATATCGACTGCCTGGACCTTGTGGCCGGCGGTGTCGCCGCTCTGGTTTCTGATGAATCTGCCGGGTCTTCGGCTGCTCCCAAGCTTATGCTAGACACCGATCCCGCCGAGCATCGCTCTATCCTCTCTGCATGTGTTGTGGGCTATATGCCCGCCCGAGACGAGATCACAGAGCTCTGGCTCAAGGGCGACAGCTCTAAAGCTTCCCTCGAGGATGGTGATAAGCGCACGGGCCATGAAGCTTTAATTGACGGTGCTGTGGATGCCGCTCGGGGGGCACATACTGTTTTGGCAGAAGCTGTGCGGGAATCGCTCTTGAGCGCCGTGGGACAGCTTTGATGTCGAAAATACTACCAATTTAATGAAGCAATGAAGACAATAAACCAGATAGTCCATTCGCATAACAACCCCTCCGCCCGTTTACTACTATAGGCCGACAAATCATCCGTGGGATTCCGCCGACTAAGCGCGACTCGTGCGCGAGTGAACCCAGTCCGTAGATCCTCATTGGCCGGGTCACTCTGGAAGGCACAGTGCTCATCTTCATATTCGGTTACAGTGATTCCTGTCACTCCTTACCTACTCTCCTCCCCAGCGTCTTCTGAAGTTGTTGAGCTCTCGCCTCCTGCCCCAGTCTACACCCACATTCTTTTAAGCGACTACGATGTATGTTACCGCCGGAACAGTTAATCGCTGTCATTAGTCCTGCTGATGCTGATTTCTCCTCTTTCAGCTTGACCCACACATGGCTGTCGTTGTTGATCCGCGCAAAAAAAGGATTGTCTTGCGCGAGATTCTCGAGACGGAACCTATTGAGAACACTAGCCAGGAAATGCTCTTTTTTCTTTGGGCCTGTGCTCGTTTCCAGACTTGCGACGGGAAAGTAAGTTGTGTTCTGATTGGGATGTGATGAAGCAGTCAGTTCCTTTATTGAGGTTTTAACCGTTCTTGGTGGTAACACTTGATGCCTTTAGCCCGACGAACCAGCCGTTTCGGAGGTAACCAAACTCTCGCAATCTGTGGTTTCCGAGCGATGGAGGGATTTAAATGATCACTTTGGGGACATGATGCAGCAGATTGACGCCATCCTCTTCAAGCGTGAGACGGAGAAGAGGAAGACGAAGAAGCAGAAGACGGAGCGTGACGACGACTTCTGGATGTGATTTCCCCGTCATTGCGTGTACCTCAATGACTTTGTGCCTTTTCGTCTGACCTTTTTACTATGTTGGACCAACTTCCAGGGAGACGATATGGTCTCGCGTGCAGGAGACGTCTATTCAACTTGGGCACGGGATACTTAACACAATCTAAGTGAATAACCTTTTGACATTTCCCGTAATGTTTCTACCATACTTGCCCGTAGCAGATGAAAGTAAAGCGATTGTGACCTCAGGTCAGACCAAGCTCTCGCTTACCTACTTGCGCCCGATTTCCCACGCGGAACCAGCAAACTTGCCCCTCTTACACGCTCATATCAACAACGAAAATACCCAGTACAGTACCCTGGACACTTCCTCACCGATTCTGTCTAACCTGCTACCAGCACATCTGTCTCTGCTGCTGCGATCACAATGATTCCGACTCCATCTCCGTCCAAAGTCGCAAAGCGGAAGAGCACGCCGCGAAAGGAAACTGCCGATGACGTTCGTTTCATCTGGCTCTGCATTAAGAACCTTACGAAGAATGGCAACAACGTAAGTCATGTATATACTGGGTTGCTAAGAATTTAATGCACACACTTCGATCTTTCTCTGATGTCCCGCGTCATGTCACTCGTTGGTTCTCATATCGGGTTCCTACAGATCGATTACAAAGCCGTTGGCGCCGCCTGCGGTGTCAAGTATGAGAGAGCCCGCAGTCGGTGGGTCAAACTGAATGCTGCTCTCCAGGAACAGGAGGACAACTTTGCTGCCGACCAGTCCTCTGACTGGACCGCCAATCAGGATTCTCAGGACAAGAAGAAGAAGACTTCGGTTGTTCAGGCTCCGAAGAAAGAGGAGCAAGAGGAGATCTAAATGATTTGCCCAAATGGCGAGAATATTCTTGCGAAAATGTATTCTGCATCGGGGGTCGAGATAGAGCTTCAAAGATGCTGTGCCTAGTGAAGCCATGATTTCAAGCGTCGAGAATTACGTATGGGGAATATTTTACATCATTTAGCTGAAATACCAGGGTGCTCAAAACGACAGGTTAAGAATGGTCCATGGTAGGGCGGTTACGTAGTGGTGTATAACTGAACTTTTTTCTGCAAGTCCCGTCCAGTTGCCCGATACAGATGCCGCCGCTTTTGTGAAGGCACTGAGTTATCACGGATCTTTGGGCCACTCCCAGAGCACTCACGGAGCAGCTCCGGCTGGCCCTCCGTCGTTATCCACATTATTTCTCACCATATCTCTAAACTGCCCACCTCTTCGAAGAGGGCATCGCAAAGTCAAGGACCGACTATCCTTCCCACACTCATTACAATACACAAGTCCAAGTCAACACCAATTCAACTCCAAGATCCAGACGTATCGACCAGGGAGGGACCTTCGAGGAGACTCTCTGCAGACAAGGATAGTCGAATGATATTGTATTAGTGGCATCGTTGATCTATCATTCTACTCCTGAACTAGAGAGACGCCGCGGTACCAGGGCAGTTCTACACCTTGAGCATCTCCAACATCACCGTCAATGAGAAATTCTCTTCGCCAAACTTCTCTTCTAACCTGCCGACTTCCTTTTTCAATTCTCCATGTAGCTCCCTGAGGACGCTGAGTGTGTACTCCAGACTTTTTGTCTTCTTCATAATCGCCAACACCTCTCGTTTAGCCTCGTTGTTGAGCTCACCCTCAAGTCTCCTCTTCATAAGGAATGCGCGCAACTGCATCGCATCACCCGCAAACTTGGGCTCTGACTCCACGGTCCGGAGGGAGTGGATGAGTGGGAACGAGAATTTCCCTTCGTCGAGGTCTTCGGCGAAGCCCTTCTGCTTAGCGTAGTCAGCCGACGCGAGGTTCTGGTAGTCGTCGCGGATCTGGAAGAAACGCCCGATGAGGCAGCTCAGCTGGTTCAGAGCATTGTCCGACACCGACATGGCGTCGCTGACGGGGCTTTCGGCAATCATTAACCGTGTCAGCAGGCGAAAGAGACCGCCTGTCTTCATATCGACCATTTTCAGGTACTCTGAGATGGACGGGCAGAGTATGTGATGCGTCCAGTAGAGGTCATAGCTCTGCCCCACGTACAGCTGTTGTACCTCTTCGACGAAGATGCGAAGGCATGCCGGGTTGCTGAGCTCGGCTGCTACACCTGTCGCTTCAGTATACTGGTATGTCGCGCTGTTAATTGTCTGAGCGGTGCCATAGATGCTGTGGGTAGAGGGTTTGCCACGGCGAAGTGGTGAGCCGTCCTCGATGTCGTCGAGCCTGGGCAACGTTAGCGGGGTGATGGACGGGCGCGGGACTAACTAACATGAGAGATGCACTATGTAGCATCTTGATGATGTTCTTGATCGTCCTGGCTGACGTCGAAGGCACCTTGAGCCATGTGTTCAGGGAGTCTATGGCCTGGTCACGGAATCCCTTTGAAGGGAGAGAGGTAAGGTATCGATATGGTTCGAGAACGACCTGACGATCAAGATCAGTTTAGAAGCCCAACGATACGCCTAGCATTCGGAGGAAAATTCCAACTCACATTATCGCTCAGCATTAGTAGATTCTGATCAAGAGCCAGAGACACCACATCAGCAAGAACGAATGAATCCGTGCTCGGTTGCGAGCCCAGTGCCGGCTTCTTGACATCATTGACACCGTTCACACCATTGGTGCCATTTAGTCTTTTGGTGTCACCCGTGTTGTTGTTGTCCCTCTTTCTCTTGAGGCCGTTCGTCTTAGTTGGCTCATAATGACCATTACCGTTGATGAAGGGCTCCTTGACGGAATAGCCGTTAGTTGCGTCCTTCGGCAGCCACATTGCCGGGTATTTTTCCAGGCCATACTTGGCTCGCAGCAACTGCAACTCATTAAACTTGGTTGGTCCATTGTATCTTGGACAGTTAGTACTCCAAGCCGCGTTGGCGGAAAGGGTATACTGCATGGTGTCAATGTATCTCTTGAGCTCATCGCTGACGTCCGTCCGCGTCTGGATTTCCTTGACGTGACGGACATAGTTCGCACATTCGATGCGGATACGCTGCTTACAGACCTCCCTGGCTTCTTCTTCGCTACATCCGTGCTCCCTCATGACCACCAAGACCGCGTTTTGAACGTTGACGTCTCCGCGTTCCTTCTCGAAAGAGAATAGGTCGTTGGTGAGCGAGGCAGTGAGCAAAGCAGGTGTGATAAGCCTCCTCGCCTCATCAGCCTCTTCGTCTGGGACGGTAATACCGCAACCAAATAAGACAAGGCCATGCCAGAGCCTTGATAGGAAAGAAGAAATCAGTCCCAGTGGACAGGCGTGATCGAGGACGCTGAGGTGCTTGGTAGGTGCAGGAGAGACTCACATGTATCCCACGTCAAAGGCCCTGTACGGGAGATACTCCTCAAGGGTATTGAACTGTGCGTCTTCCTGCCGTCTATTTGAATGCCCGACGCCAGCAGCCCAGCTCTTGGCGACAGTCATTGCTCGCTCAGGGTCAATTGCCATCATATCGCGGAGGATCTGAGCGACTATCTTCTTCATTCCAGAGGCGCCTTTCTCTTCGATCTGGCCGCTCTGACCACCCTGTTCCAAGGCATTCTCCATCTCGTCCAAAGACGCGTCCTCAATCTCTTTGTCGATGACGTCTGCAGTAATTAGCCTGCATTCAAGGATATCCAGCACAGGCCTCACAGATAATTAGCACATACCGTCATGAATGAAACCAAATTCAAGCGCATAAGAGACGATCTCTATTCTCTCTGGGAGACACTCTGGCACCGCAGCGGTGACGAAGCTAAAGTCGGGGCCCAAGAGGCCGGCATACGGCTTCTCCAAGGGCCCAACCAAACGGCGCCAATCTTCCTGGGCCCGGAATGCGCCAACTTCTTCCAGGTCGCCAGCTTCATGCCTTCTGAGATTGATTCCCGGGCAAAGTCCTTCCTTGTCGTACAAGGCAGAGTCGATGCGTGTTGAATACTTGAAGGCCATGTTATATCCAGGCAGGCGAGTTGGCTTCGATAGTGGCCACAGAGGCGGGGAAACGGTATATATTATAATAAACGAACACGTACAGGCTCAGCAACAGCAGATGGATCAGGATGATGTGTACGGCTTCAGAAATTGCTTTCAACATGGGGGATGTCTCGGCGTCAATGGTCTGGCCTTCGATGTAATTCGGTAGGCGCCTCTAGGAGCGATCAGGTTCTCTTAAATGGTCTCTTTGCCACTACTAATACATTGCCAAGTGGTCAGAATAGAGCCAGCTGTCGTGGCAGAGTAGATATTCGGACGGGGTATTCTTCTTCTGGTAACCCGCCCAAAGGGTAAGATAAGGCGCTAGCTAACAACCCATAACCACAAGAAAGGCCCCGGAATCGTAATCTGCGAAGGATGGCCGATAAAACGGGCGAGTTTCCGCCGTTGGTCAACAAGCCACTGATCTCTGCAGCTGGGTGGCTATCTAGGTAAGCATGGAGAATGGCCATATTGGGCGAGTCACCGCACCCACGTCTGCTTACGGACTGCGACTGGATCAGAAGGGCAATAACGGCAAGAAATTCACCGATTCTTCAAGCCCATATAAATCATGTAAGGAAAAGTCCCTTCTCTTGTCTTTCTGCAGCTGGTACGTTGTTATCCAAGAAGTCCCCACGTTCGAAGCAACTCGCAGCCTCCCGATGATCGATCTATCCCGACTGGAGGCTTTTGTGAGCGGCCCAGCTTTAATGGAGGCCTACTTGCCCAGAGGACTCGGACTGCGCGCTACTATCGCTCTCGTTGGCTTAGGCGCGCTCTACGTTTTCGGTCTCGTCTTTTATCGCCTCTTCTTGTCTCCTCTAGCAAAATTCCCAGGTCCGAAGCTCGCTGCAGTGACGGGCTGGTACGAGTTGTATTACGATGTTATCAGGAAAGGGAAATACCTCTATGAGATTGAGAAGATGCACGACAAATATGGTATGTGCAATGTAGCTCTCAGCTGATTTTGGCAACGATAGCTCAATGCAAACGATGTAGGGCCGATCGTAAGAATCAACCCGTACGAGCTGTCCATTCGTGACCCGGAATACTACGATGAGCTTTATGTTTCGGGCTCCGTCCGCCCCACGGACAGATACAAGGGATTCGTCGACGGAGTCGTTGACTTCGAGGGATCCCATCTCGCGACGATCGAACATGACCTCCACCGCAAGAGGAGAAAGCCACTCGATCCTTATTTCTCCCGGGCAGGCGTGACGAAGCTCGAACCTATGGTGGCGGATCTGTGCGAGAAGCTGATTATTGAACGCTTCGGGAGCTTAAGGGGAACGGGCAAGGTAGTGAGGCTGGATCATGCCTTCACGGCTTTCTCTGGCGACGTGATCAACCGGCTTTGCATTGATGACCCGCCCAATCTCGTGGACGATCCAGAGTTCTCGCCAGCGTGGTTTGACCTGTTCCACAGTGGGATCGTGTCATTACCGCTGTTCATGGGTCTGCCGTGGCTCATCCAGTAAGGGGCGCCGCACTCAGCGTCATCGCATCTTAAGTTAACCAAGAGAAACAGCCTCATTCGTCTTATTCCGGAGAGGATTCTCGCGAGGCTGGATGCTCGGAGCCAGACCTTCAACAAGTTCAAGCTGGTATTCAGCCCAATTCCCATCTCGTCTACCTTGCTGACGTTGCCTTAGATGTGCGACGACCACCTCCAGGTAGCCAAGCGTGAAAAGGCCGCGTCGGGATACAAAGGTTCAACACTGAGTGGTGGACGGCTCACGCTCTTCCGGCATATCATCAACAGTGACCTAGCCTCTGAGTTCACAGACGAGCGGCTGTCAAAAGAAGCCCAGGTCCTGATCGGTTCTGGGACCATCACCACCGCAGGGACGATGGCCTTTATTGTCTATTATATCGCGTCAAACCCAGCGATCAAGAAGCGTCTCCAGGAAGAGCTGAAGCCCGTCATGGCGGACTACCCTCGGACGAAACCGACCTGGGCCCAACTGGAGAAGGTACCATATCTGCAGGCGTTGATCAAAGAGACTCTTCGGTACGTAATCCCATCATTTTTCAATTTTTCAATTTTTTGTAGCAGGTAACTGACATGTATAGCCTGAGCTACGGCACGATGCACCGCCGTCCGCGAGTCTCCCCAAAACAGCCCCTCCAGTTCAAGCAATGGGTGATCCCAGCGGGCATCCCAGTCGGTATGTCCGCGTACTTTGCGCATCGCGATCCACGCATTTTCCCGCGCCCGCAAGAGTTCATCCCGGAGCGATGGTTGGGGAACGTGACTATAGAGATGAGTCGCAACTTTATCCCGTTTTCAAGGGGATCGCGGCACTGTCTGGGAATGAAGTAAGCGTGTCCCCTCAACTTCCTCTGGCCATTTGAGAAGTGACTGATCTGAATAGCCTTGCGTACTGCGAGGTAAATTACATCATCGCTGCGCTTTTCCGCCCCGGTGGTGCCGAGTTCGACCTCTTTGAGACGGATGAGACGGACGTCATCCCAGTCCATGATTTGATAGTGCCTTTGCCGAGGCTGGATTCGAAGGGGGTCCGGGTAATATTCCACTAAGCCTTGCAGTATTTTGGGGTTGGAAGGGGTGGGGGGGACGTTCTTAGTCTAGAGATATTGTTGAAGATTGGATATGGAATACGGAAGTAGAAACCAAAGAAAGAGAAAATAAGCATGCCAGCATGAAATCCACCCCGTTCTACGGAGTGACCATATCTTTCTCAAGTTCGCCGAGCCGTATCTGCGCCTGTGCGAGGCTCGCCATCAGCGTCTCTCCCAGCACCTCACTCTCCATGCTCTTCACGTCCATCAACAGCTCCCTTGCCGCCCTTAGTTGGAGAAAGATAAGCACGTGGACCAGATGCTCCCATTCCAGGGGTGAGCTAATTTCATAGTCGCCCAGGAGGAGTTCGCGCCAGTCAGCCTTGGCCGTAGCCAGGCCAATATCTAGACTCCGATCACCGTTGAACCGCGACGAGGAGGGTAGGTGGAGTTGTACGTCTTTCAGACGGTACAGCCCGACAATCCGACCACAGGCCGCAACGATTTTCTCGAGCAGGAAGACCACCAGTACGAGGGTCTCCCTCCTGGTGATGCAGCTGCTGCACTCGAGCTGCGCGCGGCAGCGTTCGATGGCTTCCTTCTGGTATGCGACGATGGAGTCCAGCTCAGCGCGGTGGCCGTGGCAGCTCGCCTCGAATTGCTCGACGGCAAAGACGACGGCCGCGAGGCAACCACATGGCTGGCCGGTCGGCCTGGAGGGGAACGATGTGGATGTGGATGTGGATGTGTGTAGGAATGCGGGCGTGGCGATGCAGATGTCGAAGAGGGACGGGTCTTGCGGGTGAGTATGGCCGATGGGGGGCAGGTAGCGTTGGGACTCGTCCTCTGAGCTGAGTGGTGGTGCGAGGAATGTCCCCGACATCCTGGTGAGCGAGATGGGCTCTGGCTCGGGATGCGTGCTGCTGGGTAAGATGGCGGAGAAGAGAGCAAAGCTGGAGGAGTCCTCGCCGCCTGGATCGCTCGGCTCATGGTCGAAGTTGGCGAGAAAAGACAGGTCGAAAGTCGGGGGGATGTCATTTACATTTCCATGGCCATGGCCATCCCCGAGATCTGGCAGTGAAGAAGCGGGATTGTCCTCAGGCTCCTCATGTTCGTCTCTGCAGCTCGACAACGCTGACGGAGGCAACGAGTTCAGCCAGTCCAGCGAGTGCTGGTGCGGTGTATCCTTGTTGATGCTTGCCGTCTGTATGTGGTCGCCTCGATGCTTGACAGTACTGAATGTGCACGACTTCCCCAGGCGAATGCATCGGGCGCAGCCTTCGTTATCGGGATCCCTGCATTTCACCTTTGTAGAGCCCAATCTGTCAGCGGGACTGTTTCAGGTCTCTGGAGGTTGGCTCAGTTTATGATCACCTTTCTGGCCCTGCACCGATCGCACGCTGGATTCCTTTCCAAGTTCGAGGACCCGTGCGGCCTCTCAATGAACTCTGCCTCCTTGCCCTGAGGGCTCCAGTGCAGAGTCCCGAACATAATGCCAGTGTGGCTGCCCAAGGGTTTCTGGACAGGTCAATTGCTACAGCACGGAGGGGGTTAAGTTTATATCTATTTCTCTCTCTTACCTTTTCAGTCAGCGCGAGACTGGGATTCCACAAGTACATTGGCCAACATATCTGAGCAATGATTGCAGCTCTAGCGTCGGCGGTCAGTATGAAGCCTTTTGAACGATGAGAGGCTGCGGCAAGCAGGCCACAGTGGAGGCCAATTTGATCCCCAGTCACCCTGCAAGATCTCACAGTGGAAAGGCGCACTGTTCAGGCAAGTGTACTTCTCACCGGGCCAGTCGCCCTCGACCGCGAGGACAAAAGCTCACTATAATCAGTCCCTCTGTGCTGATTTGCCTGGAACGCATATAGAGAGTCCTAGATGACCATGCCGCGACACATAGGCAACCGATATTCTTGTCTCAATATAGAGATTGACATCATGATCGTGCTATTCATTGTCTTTGCCTCGTGCCATCTATCAACGAGTTGTTTGTTATGGGTCAGGGAACCAATGAACGGATCTCCTCCCTAAACCCTCGATGCTGGCTGCTGACCATCTCCAGCAAGATATGGCTGTGGAGTGATTGGGTCCTCGCTTCCTCTCGCTGGCCGAAATGGAGGATCCTCATTTCAAAACGTACCAGATAGTGCAGGGTGGGGGCGGGCCAGTCCACGGCTATGTCTTCTACCTGACCGTCTTATGCAGTCAGTCCGCCGTGAAGATCGAGTTGCATCCCTCTTCCTGGGTTCCATTCGGAGGAATCCCATCCATCCCCCCCCCCCCCCCCCACATTAGTGCAGCACGCGGAGGATCGACCCCTGCGCAACGAGGCGTATTGGACCGCCGTTCTCAGATGAGCATATGTGCGTCCCGGCGGTAATCCTGCAGCGATGATTTGCTGGTTGTTCCACATGGACGATGTGTTTAACAGTGATACGATGTCGTACTCTAAGTGGCTGGCTCCACCCCTATATCTCGCGTATACGGTATGCAGCAGTGAAGCGGCTACTTCCGGAGCACAGACAGTGTGCTCAGCCCCATGCATTCTGATCACTCCCGCCGATCGCACCACGCAGGCCTCCACTGCGTTCGTCAGCAGTGGACCCAGATCCATGGCGATCAACTGCATCTAGGGGACGCTCCCGCTTACCCCATTGAGTTAGAGAGGTAACAAACTTCGGGTGCACGGAAACGAGGGGAGGCTCGGCGAGTTTGAAAAGGATCTTTAGGAACGGAGCCGTTCCCTGAGCAGAATGAATGATGGAATCCTAAATATACCGCCGCTCAAATACTGTCTGCGATGTTCCCTCAGAATTTGCGGAGGATGGGCGGAGATTAGCCCGGCTATCCAGGAGATTCTACTGGATCATATCAGTGGCATATGTAGATGATAAAGAAATAGATCTATCGACATCCCCATTGTTACCTCAAATAGTACGCTAGGGATTTATCCGTGCCTCCGCGCACCCACCGCTTTCGCTAGTGGGTGCGCCCGGTGTTACCGTCATCCCTGTTTTACCGTCATTTTCTATCGCCTCGCCTACCATCAGCTATTTCAACCACACAACATGCCTAAAAAGGACAATTTCGACGAAGCTCGCCTAGCCGAGGCTATCAAAATCGCTCTAGCCCAAAAGAAACCAAATATCGCCAAGATTGCGCGTGAATTCGACGTATCTCGCACTACCCTCTCCGACCGCGTCAAAAAGGCAATAACGCCCACTACACCTACCGAATCACGCAGAAACGCCCTTACAAGCTATCAAGAGAGAGCCTTGGTGGCCTGGATACACCAGATGTGTAACTGGAACCTCCCCCCAACGCGTAGGTTATAGAGACGTAGGCAAATCAGGCGCTTAGGCGCGCAGGCCAGGATAGACAGGTCGGCAAGAATTGGGCGTATAGCTTTATGGCACGCATCCCTGCACATATTAATCTAGCACCGGTGAAGCAGAAGACCAAGGAACTAAGGCGAATTTAAGCTAAAGACGCAGGGTTTCTTCAGTATTGGTATAACCAGCTTGCGATTCTACTCTATGATATCTCTGCACGATTAGTATACAACTTCGATGAATGCGGCTTCCAACTAGGTCAAGGGCAATCGCGAAACGTCCTTAGTTATAAATCATCTTGCCCTGACCTTGCTGAATCTGAGCGAGGCGAGACTATCACTGCTATCGAGTGTATCGCCGCCGATGGCTAGCAGATGGACCCGCTATTCATATTCAAAAGTGGCGTTTTTATAGAGTGTTGGTTTGATGGCAGCGATGATCTCCCACGAAACACTATCACTGCTACATCACCGAATAGCTAGGTTTCCGATGATTTAGCTATTACCTAGCTAAATTCGTTTATTGAATCAACCAATAGCCGCGTTAAGAAGGGGGAAAAGCGCCATCTAATATTCGACGGTCATAGTTCGCATCTTACCCTCGAATTTATACAAAAATGCGAGGCTCATAATATTATACCATTCGGCTTCTTACCCCATTCGATATATCTCTGCCAGCCACTAGATAGTAAGCCCTTTTTGAATTATAAACAGCAATTTCGACGTACAAATAACGAGCTATCGTTTTGGGGTAGCCAGCCCTATAGGAAATCAGAATTCCTCCGAATTATTGGCCCTATACGATCAAGGGCGTTTACCCAACGAATCATCCGCGAATCCTTTAAAGATCGAGGCATTTGGCCGGTTAATAGTGATCAGATCGTAGCGAATCTATCGAATCAGATAGAAATCCCTAAGCTTCAGTCTAATCTTCGGTCGCATGGTTTCCATACACCATCACCACCACCACCAACCGCCCTCTCGTCGTCCAGTGTTGAAATTACCCCACCAAAATCAATTAAAGCACTCCTAAAGAACCAGACAAAGATAACCAAATATCTTGATACGTTATTGCCAAAGATGCAGCGAGATATCACCAAGATCTTCGACCACCAGCGAGAGAAGCTTGAAGAGCTTCATATAACCCAGGATACAATCCAGCGAATCAGAGCCGCGCAGGCACCCCTACGACGTCAATTGACTAGGCGACAGGTTAAGCCGCTTAGCCAGTCAGGTGTATTGAAAGTTAATGATGCAAATCGATCAATTCAGGCTAGGAAGGCGAAAGATATGGCTGTGGAGGAGAGGAAGCTAGCCAGACAGTTCGAAAAGGTCTATGGCTACAAACCCACACAGAGGCCTGAGGAAGCTATTCGTAAGGCAGCTGAGGCTGAGGAGGCTGCGACGCGACAGGGAGAGTTTTTTTTTATTGATAATTAGCTAATGTGTTGAAATATCGATGGTTTTCATCAAAATGTGACGGTAAAACAGGGATGACGGTAACACCGGGCGCACCCACTAGCGAAGCGGTGTGGGTGGGCGAAGGCACGGATACCGGCGGTTGGCCGGATTCTTATCTCTTTTTAGCGTAGAGGTAACTGCCTCCTAGCGGCTTTTTAGCAGCTTTGTTACAGTTCTAGAGCGCCATACTGACAGGCATTATGTAGGGCACCCAGCTGAGACGGACCAAAAGTCCGGACCAATTTTTGGTCCGTCTTTAGTGCGGGAGCTGAATCGGACCCAAACAACTGCCTTATGTAAAAATCATTTATGTAACGTAATTCCCGGTCGATCCGAACACCCGGTCGTTCCGAACACCCCTTCAAAAAACGCGTCTTCTAAACCACCTACCCAATTCAACCACCTACCATGCCACCAATTCGCTCTAGATCTGCACAGAACTTGGCCCCTCAAGAGGGCAAGATCTTATTAGCCCTAGAGGATATTAAAAATAGCCGCATCACCTCTCTTCGCGCGGCGGCGAAGCTATACGAAATACCACTCACTACACTACACGACCGTTACCACGGCCAGCCCTTACGCGTCGACAAGCGCCTATCTGGTCATAAATTGACCTAATACGAAGAGGATTCGCTTACTGAGTGGATAATCTCCATGGATACGCGTGGTGCAGCGCCTAGGCCATCTACTGTGCGTAAAATGGCTAATATTCTATTAGCTGCGCGTGGTAAAGACCCTCCGCCTACGGTAGGCAAGAACTGGTCATCAACCTTCGTCTAAAGACGCCCTGAGCTTCGTTCAGCCTTCTCTAGGCGCTACGACTATCAAAGAGCCCAAAACGAAGACCCTATCTCACTACGAGCTTAGTTTACGACCGTACAAGATATTATCGACGCGAACGGTATCCAACCGGAGGATATCTATAACTTTGACGAGACCGGCTTCGCTATAGGGATTATAGCTACACAAAAGGTCATTATAAGGGCGGAATATTACGGTCGGCGATCGATTTTACAACCGGGCAATCGTAAATAGGTCACTACGGTCGAAGCAGTGAGCGCTAGTGGCTATTCGCTACCACTGTGCGTAATATTTAAAGGCAAAAACTTTATAGCGTCGTGGTTCGATGAAAAGCTTCATCTTCCAAAAGATTGGCGTATCGAGGTCTCGCTAAACGGTTGGACTACCGATAAAATTGGCCTTCGGTGGCTACAGAAGCTATTCATTCCAGCGACGACGACACGTACGAAGGGGAAATATCGACTCTTGATTCTTGATAGCCACGGTAGCCATCTTATACCTCAATTCGACGAGATCTGCACACAAAATCATATTATACCTCTTTATATGCCTCCGCACTCTTCGCATCTTTTACAACCGCTTGATGTTAGGTGTTTTGCTATATTAAAACGTACATACGGTCGCTACGTAAGCGATCTAGCTCGGGCGTTATATAACTATATCGATAAATTCGATTTCCTCGCAGAGTACGCCCGGGCGCGTACGGAGGGAGGCCTTTCAACCTTATATTATTCAAAATAGCTTCGCTGCTACTGGTCTTGTTCCGGTCGACGCAGATCGAGTACTTTCGAAGCTCAATATCTCACTCCGAACGCCATCGCCACCAAATAGTAGGCTAACCACTAGCTATAGCCAATTCAGCCCAAAAACACCTAGAACCATCGTCCAATTACAAAAATCAGCTTCGATATTGAAGGATCTATTAAGATATCGGTCAAACAGCCCTCTGAGCCCATCAAAAACCGTGCTAGATCAGATTATCAAAGGCGCTTGTATATCGCTTCATGGGGCCGCGCTATTAGCGCAGGAAAACAGCGTTCTACACACAGCGAATCAGAAAATACGCCAAAAACGCACACGGTCAAATCGACAGATAGTGCACGAAGGAGGCCTCACAGTCGAAGAGGGCCTACAGCTAGTTCAGCAGCTGAATCAGCCAATTAAAGACACTCTAGTAGTAGTGCAGCCGCAGGGCGATGAGGCTATTCAACCAGCTCAGCCAATCAGAAAAGCTCCACCGAAGTGTAGTGGGTGCGGGCAGGTCGGACATAAGGTTAATTATTGTAAAAACCGCTAGATTAAGGTCAAATTCATGTGTTTTAGTTAAGATATTAATATTCAAAATTTCCTAATGGGGGTGGGTGTTCGGAACGACCGGGTGTTCGGATCGACCGGGAATTACGTTAACTAACACTAAAAAATTCTTCCTGTTTTATTTAACCGGCCCCTTCATAGGATGTCGGGACCTGTCCATAGGCCCACGACAAGCCTTGGCGGCTTGCTCCCTAGCTTTCGCTCTTGTCATAGGTCCTTTTGGCTCTACAGTCCCTCCTATTTTGCTCTTGGTGATACGCATGGCGGAAGTCTTTGCATGGCGAGGTTCAGCTCCGCCGTTAGCTTTGATTCATGACCTGTCGAGCCTTGTGCCGGCCTCTCGCTGAGAGAAGTCGAAGACGGCGGTGCGTGTTGAATTTGTATACTGTCCGTCTCGGGTACAGTGACACTTTGGGAAGCTCTTCCTCCTAAGGGTAAACCCTGCGAAGGAGTTTTAGAGTGAAGAGTTGCCGGTGGGTTTCTCAGTAGAACAGTTGCTTCCCACGTACTCGTGGGGTTACATGCACTCGGCTGCCCAGATTCCGCAACTGCTTGGTACAAGAAGAGGGGCGCTGTCGCTAGAATTCTTGGATCAGTGGGAACCGCATCAGAATAGAGTTAATTGTAGAAGGGTTTGAGAAGACGTGTCATCCGTCAATTCGGGACGGTCAAGTGAAGTCAACCGAGCAGCATCACTGCTCTGGCTTACATCGATCATACTCATGCGCTGGCAGCAATTGACCGCTTGCCAAGCCAAACCTTGCAGGCATTATTGATTCTCGTGCTTCTCAGCAGCTGGGACCGACAATATTGACTTTGATGGCAATGCGGGAGGTTGCCAGAAAGTAATCTTCCATTTTTTCGTACGCTAGGCGATAGTGAAGAAGGATTCTTGCATTGCTTGCGGCGGCGTTTCGGCTGCATCTGCTGATTCTTGTCCTGAAACAGACTCCCCGTTCAGCATAGAAAATAGCCATTTTTACAACCTTCTCGAACCGCACGCAAATGCTTCTGTGGTAACGGTGGCGACCATGAAGGTGTTGACGGTCGTCCTGTTCTGCGATAGCAATGTGAGTACAGGAGGGGTCAGGGCATTCTGATGGCCATGATTCTTGAACAATACGTTCCTCGAGGTGCTTTCTCTGCTCTGTACTTCGGCCAAAAGCTCTCATGGGGGATTCCGATTATCCCACATGTATTCAACACAGTATTCGGCATGGATGGTGTTATGGCGATACACCATCACCTTGTAGTGCTGGCTGGTCATCGAGGGGATGTGGCCTGCGCGATGGTCCTCAAACTCAGGGCTTTCCGGTCGTGGAGGGTGTAGACCCTTTGTGCCGTGATGCTTCTGACAATGCATCGGTCTGGCCTCGTCCGTCCATCTGAGGACGAATTCGTCCTGCCCTTCCGGGATTCTTTGCCAGAATCAGCTTGTTGCCTTTCGGGGTGCGAACAATGAGTCTGATGCCTTCGTTTTCGCCCCGATCCGCGTACGGGACCTCGGACTTGAGGAGAAGACTCGAGGATGAAGACAACTCGGCTTGGGCTTTGGAGTAGAGTGCGCTGGCATTCCTGTGGGCCATCGTCAGGAAGCTATTCGTAAAGAATTGCACGAAATCCAGACCGCAGTATCGGAATTATTCAAGTGTCGGGATGTTTGCGATGACCGGAGTGTAGTTGTACATCGTGAGAACCGCTACTTGGATCCCATACTTAGAATTAAACACTACCATTAGCATACTAAGAGAAGATCTAGGCATGGCCACCCCAAATCCGCCGCCTTAGCCCAGAGAGTGATATCATACATGCTGCTTGCTGAACAAGCTGCACTGGTAATCTGTATTATCCCAGGAACTGACCACGGTGCAATCTCATCTCGACCAGCTGAAGCTGAGACTTTGTCCCTCGATGACATTTCACGGGTATGTCTTGCCCTCTTCGCAAACCTGCTTAAACACCTCCTCTGTGTGCTGCGCCACCTTCTCTGCCGCGCTCTGCCCCCTCGTTCTCTCCATTTTCTCGTTTGGCGGAAACACCTCACCGTCCCAACTCACCCAGTAACACCCACTTCCCTTTGTCCCATCGCTGCCAATTGCGACATCCCCTTCCATGTCCTCTCCCTCAGCTTTCGGAGGATATCTCCCACTCGTCGCCGCAAACAAATGCCTCTCTCCACTCTCCTCAAGGGGAACCAAGAATGGTCTTAACAGCGGCATCAGCACGGCCGACAGCACGCGTCCAGCCGGCAGTTCACGCAACACGCCCGTGGCCACGCCAGAGGGGTACGCGTGGAGGAAGGAGGTATGCGGGTTTTGCTGGGCCGCGCTCTCCAAGAAGAAATTACCCATCAGGCTGGCGTGCCAGCCGCATTTCTTGAGGCTAAAGGTGTGCTTCAGACTGAGGTCCGAGAAGTCGAGCGTACCGGGGCCGCCACCGCGGACGGAAACCATCGGGTCTAGGACAGACACGACGCGGGATAGTCTGGCGTTGCCGTGGACAGAGGATTCTTGCGCGGCTGCGTTCAAGAGGGGAAGCAGGTTGGTGATGAACCGCATCCGCGCGTAATAATGCAGCACGAATTTGCGGTCCAGACCTTCGGCCGTCTCGTCCCGGCCTTTCACCGTCAGGTATCCGGGGGTCATGAAAAGCAGATTCACTTTTTTCTCTCTTGCCGCAATCTCGGCGCAGACGCTGTCGACATTTTTGAGAAGGGATATGTCGGTTTGGAGAAAGGTTGGCTGGGCGGAGGAGTTGATAGATTTCATGGAGGCGATGGCAGCATCAGCGGCGGACTGGCTGCGGCCGATGAGGTAGATCTTGGGGGAGTGGGTGTGACGGGTGAGGGCGAGGGCGGTTGAGAGGGCGATGCCCGAAGTGCCGCCGACTGGGAGGGGATTAGTGAGATGTGAGGCGTTGAAGAGAGGAGATCTTGCAGCAATTGCTTCATTGTAGCGGGTGGCATGTTGGGCAGAATGAACTTACCAAATACCGCGACGAGACCTGAAGTTAGGGATTTGAGAGTCGCATTGTGCGCCTGGACGGCCTGGAGGTTCACCATTGCTGCTTCGACTAAGGTCGACTGGGCTGAATTTCAGATGCGCACAAATGGAATCTAGGGTTCCTTATTGCGATGAATACTCGGTGCGGAAATGGACTGGAAAAGCAGGAGACGGCGTCGGGCAAGACAAACTATCCGCTCGCTAGCGGCACTTGGGGGTGTGAAAGGAGGTGCAGTCGCCTTTGTACAGACGGCTGGCGATTGGTGTACATTGATTAGGGGTCCGGGCCCCGCCATACAGTGATGTTCCACAAGCTTTAACACCGCCTTGCCCCACACCCCATTCATTATATAATATTCTGCCGGTCAGAAACCTCCACAATATTGATGACTATCACGCATATAGCTCGTTACATATACTAATATGGTGTATACTATCCATTTGAGTCAATGATTGCGTCAATTATATTAGACATAATCTCTGAGATATGCTCTAGGTGCTTCATCTACATGTTCTGCATAGCAATCTGCGTAGTACTCACTAGGATTCGCTGCGTCTCATCAGTATAGTCCATATGAATATTAGCGTGGTTTGTAGCTAGATTAAAAAGATAGGCGGTAGAAGATGAATATGGGCGGTGTAGTGGGTGGGTCTTGGTGTTAAAACTTGGGGAACATGACTCGCCATACTGAGTACTCCGCCGACCTTCTAACCCAAAACAGCCAAATCCCGCCTATGCAGCTGCCCAGTGTAAAATGCAGGGATGAGTAGATTCCGTACTGAGTACTTCGCCGACCTTCTTATTTCTTTTTTCATTTATATCATTATCATTTAATTATAGCCCGAAATAGCCGCTGCCCGCCTGTGCAGCTGCCCGGGTTAAATGCAGCAAGGTTAGGCAATGACACTAACCAAAAACGGGTTGTCAAAGAAAAACAGCTTCAGTGAGCAAGGATTGAGAGCGCAGGAAACCTAAAGCCACGCTGTAAGCAACATGCAGCTTTATCTAACAAAGCAAACTCCCCTGTGCTGTCCTCTGCTCCTGGCAGTCGTCAGTGATACCACACCCCGACGACCCACGTTCTACCCTTCCAGCTTCAGTCCTACCTTCTTTACTTGTACAGTCCATACTTTCTGATTGACGCGTATTGGCGATATCGGACAGGTACGCCCGCAAAGATGAGCGCGGCGGGCAAGTTCGGGCCTAACGGCGACCGAGAGCTCGAAAGTGCCGCGGATAGCATCCCCAGCCTAGAGGTGAAGGAAGCAGAGGTCCAGAAGCTGGCCAAACAGTTCACGAGGCAGAGCAATCAATCGATCCCAGCACAGAATCCCTTTGCTGCGGAGCCTGGGTCGACTCTAGACCCCAATGGTGACCACTTCAATGCCCGAGTGTGGTGCAAGGCCATGCTCCGGATGTGCACCGAAGACAGCCAGGCACATTCACCCAGGACCCTGGGAGTGGCCTTCATGAACCTGAATGTGCACGGGTTCGGCTCGGATACCGATTTCCAGAAGAGCGTGGGCAATGTTTGGCTAGAGGCCGTCAGTCTTGTAAGGAGGCTCATAGGTCGACGTCAGCGCAAGATCGATATTCTGCAGAACTTGGATGGATTGGTGGAGGCTGGAGAGATGCTTGTCGTCCTTGGACCACCAGGCTCAGGATGCACGACTTTCTTGAAGACCATCGCTGGAGAGACATACGGCTTTTACGTCGACAAGAACTCAGACCTCAATTACCAAGGTACGCCAGTCGTCCTCCACGAGATGGCTTCCTGCTAATCATCATTAGGTGTGAGCGCAAAGCAAATGGCCAGCGCGTTCAGGGGAGAAGCCATCTATACTGCTGAGGTCGACGTCCATTTCCCCAAGCTCACGGTGGGGGACACCCTCTTCTTCGCTGCCTGGGCCCGAGCACCCCGATACCTTCCCGGAGGAGCAACAGTGAACCAGTACGCCACACATATGCGAGACGTCATCATGGCCATGTTCGGTATCTCCCACACGAAGAATACTATCGTGGGAAACGACTTCATCCGCGGTGTCTCTGGTGGAGAGCGCAAGCGTGTCAGTATTGCCGAAGCCTGTCTAAGCATGGCTCCGCTGCAATGTTGGGATAACTCAACTCGTGGTCTCGACAGTGCTAATGCTATCGAATTCTGCAAGACTCTTCGCATGCAGACGGATATCAATGGCGCTACTGCCTGCGTTTCGCTTTACCAGGCTCCCCAGGCTGCCTACGATCAATTTGATAAAGTCCTGGTTCTGTACGAGGGTCGCCAGATTTTCTTTGGTCGCACAGCCGCGGCGAAGAAGTACTTCGTTGATATGGGTTTCATCTGCCCTGATCGCCAAACAGATGCTGATTTCCTTACCTCCATGACCAGCCCACTCGAACGGGTCGTGCGGCCAGGTTATGAAAGCCACGTTCCTCGGACGCCCGATGAATTCACCGCAAGGTGGAAGGCCTCGGCAGAGCGAGTGCAGCTTCTACGAGACATTGAGCTTTACAACGCAAAGTTCGTTCTCGGTGGTGAATACCTGGATAAGTTCAAGCAATCCCGCAGAGATCAGCAAGCCAAGGTCCAGCGTGTATCGTCACCCTACACTCTTTCATACTTTCAGCAGATTGAGTTATGCTTATGGCGCGGATATAAACGATTGAAAGGCGATCCCAGTGTCACAATCTCTTCGTTAATTGGAAATTCAATCATGGCTCTCGTCATCGCCAGTATCTTTTACAACCTTCAGCCTGACACCAACAGCTTCTTTCAGCGCAGTGCCCTCCTATTTTTTTCTGTTCTTATGAATGCTTTCGGTTGTGGCCTTGAAATGCTCACACTTTATGCTCAACGAGGGATTGTGGAGAAACACTCTCGATATGCCCTTTACCACCCATCTGCTGAAGCATTCGCATCAATGCTGATGGATTTGCCCTACAAGGTCCTTAATGCCATCACTTACAACTTGATTCTCTACTTCATGACAAACCTGAGGCGAGAACCTGGCGCTTTCTTCTTCTTCGTGTTCACTTCCTTCATCCTGACTCTAACCATGTCCATGTTCTTCCGGTCTATTGCATCGCTGACAAGAACTCTTGTTCAAGCCCTGCCATTTGCTGCTATTATGATTCTGTCTCTAAGCATGTACAGTGGTTTTGCCATCCCAAAACAGTACATGTTAGGATGGGCCCGCTGGATTTCCCGTATCAACCCTATCAACTATGGCTTTGAGTCTCTGATGGTCAATGAGTTCCACAATCGCGAGTTCATCTGTGTCAACTACGTCCCGTCAGGTCCTGGCTACGCGGGTCTCAGCTCGAGCAACCATGTTTGCTCCACAGTCGGATCTGTACCAGGGCAGCCCTATGTTAATGGCGACAACTACATTGAGTCATCTTATGGCTATTCCGCCTCGCACAAGTGGAGGAACATCGGCATTATATTTGCCTTCATGTTCATCCTCATGTTGGTTTATCTGGCTGCTACCGAGATAGTCACCGAAAAGAAGTCGAAGGGCGAGATTCTAGTCTTCCGTCGCGGACATAAAGCCCTGAAGAAGGGCAAGTCATTGAAGGATGTCGAAGGCGGTAGTGACCGCAGCGCTGCTGTGGAGAAGAAGACCCAATCAGATAACCTTGCCATCATCGAACGTCAGACTGCTATTGTCCAGTGGAAAGATGTTTGCTATGATATCAAGATTGGAAAAGAGAATCGCAGAATTCTCGATCACATTGATGGGTGGGTCAAGCCGGGTACCTTGACCGCGCTTATGGGCGTCTCTGGTGCCGGAAAAACCACGCTATTGGATGTCCTGGCTACTCGTACCACTATGGGGGTTATCACGGGAGAGATACTTGTTGATGGCAAGCCTCGGGATGAGTCCTTCCAGCGCAAGACCGGCTACGCTCAACAACAAGATTTGCACTTGAACACCTCCACAGTTCGCGAGGCCCTAACCTTCTCTGCCCTTCTACGCCAGCCCGCTCATGTTCCTCGGCAAGAGAAGATTGACTATGTCTCCGAAGTCATCAAACTCCTCGACATGACTGAGTATGCTGATGCCATTATTGGGGTACCTGGGGAAGGCCTCAATGTTGAGCAACGCAAGCGTCTTACCATCGGTGTGGAGCTTGCAGCCAGGCCAGCTCTACTTCTCTTCTTAGATGAACCTACCTCTGGGCTTGATTCTCAGACATCGTGGGCTATCCTCGATCTTCTCGACAAACTGAAGAAGAACGGACAGGCTATTCTGTGCACTATCCATCAACCTTCTGCAATGTTGTTCCAGCGCTTTGATCGTCTCCTATTCCTTCAGGCTGGGGGTCGCACTGTGTACTTTGGTGAAGTTGGTGAAAACTCACACATCCTTATTGACTATTTCGTCCGCAATGGTGGCCCCCCGTGCCCTCCCGACGCTAATCCTGCCGAATGGATGCTCGATGTCATTGGTGCCGCTCCCGGATCCCATACTGAGATCGACTGGTTTGACACATGGCGCAAATCCCCTGAGTATGCTCGTATCCAAGAGCATCTCGCCGAACTGAAACAAGAACGCTCTCAACAAGTTGACCTTACCCGCGCCAACTCGGACCAGAACCACGAGGATAAGGCCAGCTACCGCGAATTCGCCGCTCCCTTCTCTGAACAGGTCCGCGAAGTCCAGCTCCGAGTGTTCCAGCAAATCTGGCGCTCTCCCACATACATCTATTCCAAGGCCTTACTGTGTGTTAGCTCAGCTCTTTTCGTTGGCTTCTCTCTATTTCGTACGCCCAACACGATTCAGGGGCTTCAGAATCAGATGTTTGCTATCTTTATGTTGTTAACTCTGTTTGGTCAACTCATTCAGCAAATCATGCCACATTTTGTTGCTCAGCGCAATTTGTACGAGGCTCGCGAACGTCCATCCAAAGCTTACACTTGGAAAGCTTTCATCATATCTAACATTATTGTTGAACTTCCTTGGAACTCGCTCATGTCTGTCCTGATGTTCCTGTGCTGGTACTACCCAGTGGGCTTGTACCGCAATGCTGAGCCTACTGACGCTGTCGCGCTCCGCGGCGCGCAAATGTGGCTCTTCATCTGGGCCTTCCTCCTCTTCTCATCCACCTTTGCACACTTTATGATCGCAGCTTTTGAGAGTGCTGAGAATGCTGGTAATACGGGCAACTTGCTCTTCATGCTCTGCCTGCTGTTCTGCGGTGTTCTGGCTACACCCAACCAGTTTCCGGGGTTCTGGATCTTCCTGTACCGGGTTTCGCCATTCACGTACCTTGTCAGCGGTATGCTCGCTGTCGGCATCTCCAACACAAAAGTCTCATGCGCGACAAATGAATACCTGCACTTTGACCCGCTCAATGGTACCTGCGGCGACTACATGACAACATACCAATCCACCATGGGAGGCTATATTCAAGATGAACGCGCGACCTCAGATTGCAGCTACTGCCCCATTAGCGACACGAACGTGTACCTTGCTTCTGTCTCATCCCATTACTCAGACGTGTGGCGAAACTTTGGCATTATGTGGGTCTACATCGTCTTCAATATATTTGCGGCGTGTGCGCTGTACTGGTGGGTGCGTGTCCCAAAGGTTAAGGCCCCCAAGAGCAACGTCTGAGATCGCAACTGATATCATCACGCGCTTGCTTCGAATTGGTTTTGTGATCGCTAGCCGCAGGATTTCATTATACAAGAATGCTTCTACACCATGTATCTAGGGTCCCTCTTATTTTCTCACTTTCGTTAACATTTCCTGGCTTGAGCATCACTTGCTAGCTCACGTCAGTTTGAACTTATTCTTACTAATTGTATCAAATAACAATCCCTTCTCAGTTACTCACTCGACCGCCTTCCGCTTATTCTGGTATAGCTTCATTTAGTATAGATTTGTAACAAGGGTTACTGAGTAAACCAACTCTGGACCACCACCTCCAGCTCCGACTCCGATGAGATCTAATTCAAGGTGGAAGAAGAGAAGTAATTTTCTATGGAAGTCCACACCCATTAAGCACGGTGACCTAGTGGCGATGTACCAGGTATTCTGTGCTTAAGCAGCATGGATAGATAACTACGGAGATCGAATGGAACTTAGCTATCTTGTTTGAAGAGTTGCTTACTTTGCCTCTAGTACTCTTCAGAGAACCGTCTTTGAGATTAATCTGCCACCTTCCCTGGCTGTTGATCCTGCCGGTGGGGGCAAACCTATCCCTGCGTGTGAATCTCTGACTTTTTCCCGCTTCCTTACCCTGTCTCCGCTCCCTCCTTTAGCCCTTCGCCGCACGCACCACTTTGTGGCGACGCACTATATTTTCTTATCACATTGACTGCAAACTTTCTCGAATGTACTCTGCCATACTGGCTTTCGAGCTCTGTCACAAGAAATAGCACGTCACTCCTTCGAAGGAAGCATCCAAGAACAAGTTGGCCAAGGCCAAGACCAAGCCTAAGAAGGTGATCCAGGTCCAGCCTTGAGCAGAAGGTGCACTCCTGGCTTCACCTCGCGTTGAAAGATGGAAACAAGGTTCCTATGCTCTCCAAGGTAGATGCGCCATGCTAACATGATGCTCATAATTCCGGTACAATGACTGCGCTGTGGCTGCCAAACTAGAAATCCTTCTTAGAACAGGAAGTGGCGATTCCAGGACCTGACAAGACTCATCAAGAGCCAGAAGGGCTCGATGGAGGTTGAATTGCAGGCAGAGCAAGGCTTGGGACGAGAAGCCCAAGAGCAGGCAGACTTGCCGAAGATCAAGGATAAGCCCACCGACGAGGACCAGATGGAGCTGAAGATGGCTTCCGAAGACAATCGCATGTGGCAACCGATCGACTTCATGAAGATGAATACCCCGTTATCCCTGAAAGAGTATTGAGCAGTTTCATCGAGTCGAAATAATTGTGACGTTGTCAGGTTTGAAACTTTGGTCTTCACTTGAAGAACTTGGGCTTGTGATATTAATCTGCTACGCGAGGTTTCCGAGGTGCAATAATACTCTAGTCATTCTCCGTCACTACCTCCTAGGATTTCTAGTAATATTCGTATATGTTTTTTCGGGTCTGTCTAGAGACTTTTCTTGAAAACAAAGAGGGGATCCTGCATCCAAAGGCATTCTAGAGTACCACATCTCACAGAGAGACCGCTGCCTCATTTTCTGGGATAAAACAGTAGGAGTTGTTGCCGGTCACATCTGTTCACACGACACCTCAGTCAACCTCCAAAACTCAAGCCTGATAGTTCATCGCCATCAACGAGTTCCTCTACGCTCTATTTTTTCCACGCACCTTTGTTCTTCCGAACTTTCATTTACTCTTTACAACATACATCATCCTCTGCCGCACCTTTCGGATACTCTAAGAACCCAGCAAACGATAGTAACCAGGTATGTGATACGCTTGATGCAGCGTTACTTCGCCTTTTCCGTGAAAGAAGTCATATTGTTCTTAACTGGAGAGACATCAGCCTGTCAGGGGCCTGTCTCCGTTGTCTCCTACCCTCTGGCGCGCTTTTGCATGGACTTCTCCTGTCTTCACTTTACATATCTCCGGCACAATACCCTCTACAGCCTGCAGCTCAAACGAGCTCCCTAGCTCCGATCAGCTCTTTCCCAAACTCCTTGCACGTTATACCTGGTGCGAATTCTATGCTGACCGTACTTCGCTAACATGTCTCTTACTTATATTAGAAATCCCCTCAGCATGCCTAGCCGTGTTGCCAAAGGAAAGGGCCAGCCGAAAAAGGCTGTGCCCAAGGCCCAAGCCAGCCCACATGATACGAACCTCATGCTCCTGTGGGCATGCCTTCGCAATAATGGTGGAGGATCGGTAAGCGCCCCCCTTCCTCCTGGTGCTAAGCCGCAAATGCTCTGTTACGGGAACACGTGCCCTCTTGCATCAGGAATCTAATCTGGGGCTGCAACTTCCACTAACAAACCTCCAGGTCAACTGGGAAGAGGTGTCCTCTTCGCTTGGCATCACTCCCGTTGCGGCCAAGACCCGCTATCATCGTCTCAAACAGCGCATGGAGAGCATGATGCAGCCTGCACAGGCAAGCAAGAAGGACGAGAGCCCGGAGCTTAAGCCCGAGCCTGAGTCTGACTGCTGAGCCGGTGGATGAGCCGGATCAACAGTAGTTCCCGGATAAAGCAAAGGGTTTTTAACAGCCGTTCTGACGGGAGGTTGCAGGCATGAAGTAAGGGGAAGAGAGAAAACCTATGTTTCGGGGGTTGCACTTATATTATTTCATTCGGTTTGACGAAGAGGGCTCCACTCGGAGCCGGGAACCCATATAATACGCAGACGCTCATGCAAAGGGAAAGCAATGCAAATGAAATTCTCCTCTCCTCAATAATTAATTTGGATGCAGTAGAACACCGCTATCACGCATGCTTCCAAGGAGAGCACCCAGAAGTACGGAGTATAGCAACAGAGACAGTAAAATCAAATGGGGCGATCGCCCAGTGGCCCATGCAGCTTGAGAGCGCCGTGTTTCAGGACAAAAAAACCAACGAACTGGTGTGCGACATGCACGTCCCTAATTGGGACGAGCGCCCACGACATTGCCTATCGTAGTGCGTGCCCCGTGGCTGCACCCCGCATAGTGTCTCACCGTTCGTAAGCTGCACGTCCTGTCTGGCGTAACTACGGAAGAGTTACGGAGTAGTTCACGCACGTTGAGGTTAACTAACCCAAGTTACCTTGATGCGGTGGCCATCCTTAGCTAAGCTCCGTGTCAAGCGTACGACGATCGTGCCGGGGACCCATCCCCATCGGCATCGATCGATCGAGTATACAGTAGCACGAGATTCGAGATTCAGTGGAGCGAGTAGCGAGTCCTTAGTTTCCTTTAAATCTATGAAAGAGACTAAATCCGACGGATGTATTCCAGACACCAGTGCGGAGTACTAGAGTATGTAATCCATCCTCCGCCCACCATGCTCATCGAGAATGGCTAGTGTCAACGGTCAACGGAGTATAGGGCGTTGACAGCTGGACTCAACCCAGAAAATAAGGGGCGATTGATCTACGTCAGGCGTCCATGCCCCCTCCCGTTGGACCTCGCTTCTCCGCGCTAGGCGCAAGTTGGTCCCATGGTTGAGAACGGATCAATTGACGGATTTAAATTTTGGCTAGTGTTTCGAGGCAGCAGAAGCCCCTGGCTGGAGTCCTCCGGACGATGCGGTGTGGTGGAAGGCGGCAAATAGCGACGACAAAAAGGCGGAGAGGGCAACTCCATCGGGGAACCGCGGCCGGTGGAGATCCCAGCTCGTGCGCCTCCCCAACGAGCAGGATATTTCCAAAGATGGCCGTCATTTCCCGAAGGCCCAAATTTGAATTCACTTTTTCCTTTGTTTCTGCGGTTCCCCCTGACGCGCCCGAGCCTATGGAGCGCCCCATTTTGGCGCGCCAGGTGTCCAGACAGTCGGGTCGTCCAGGAAGCCACAATTGGCACTTGGTTCGCAGGCTCGTCCCACTAAGAAGGCGATGGCCCCATGGCTCTGCTTGTCGATCACCTCGTCACACCAATCGCTGCGTCGGCGGAAATTGGGAGCTCCATCGGAATGCCACCCGCTCGCCCACTGGCCTCGAGCCTTCCTCCCACTTGGCTTTGTGCTCGGCATTTGGTCCTCATTTGCAGGATCGCTTTTGAGAGATCCCGGATGAGCTCGTCTGCGAAAACGGAGCGGAATGCGGGCATCACCCGGACGAAAATAGCCTCCGAATGGATCAGTCGCGGGTCGCAGCGGCTGGAGACCTTGACCGGTTATTTTCCCGCTTCTCGTTGGCCATGTTAATGGGGAAAACGTCCTGTCATGTGGAACCCTAAAGGTGCCTCGTTGGGGCCGAAGACCAGCTTACAGCCTATAATGCAGTCTGGACGTTGACTCCGGAGAACGGTGCTGTTAGCTGCATACGCCGACCCCATTCGGGGGCTCAGCTGTCGAAACGTCGAAAGAGAAGGGGTAAAAGAAGAAAAAATGGAGAAAGAACGAAGAACGATGATCCCTCCTGTTGATCGGTGAAGACTCGTGTTTTTGGAGATCGGGTCACGCGTCGCAGCCCTCGAGTGCTTTTGAGTTTACTCAAGCCAGCCTAGAACGACAAACAGCCGTTCGTGTGTCAGAATCTCCGGGAGATGGAGCACTCTTAATTTCTTAGCGTTCGAACCGTCACGCCGCATCGGCCTGGCCCCATCTGTGCCCTCGGCGACGGATCATGGAGAAACCGGGTCATTCCCCCCTGATCCAGGCACTCCAAAGAGTGCTGGATCTGCACGCCGGCCACTTGACAAGGTCAGTGTCCGGTCTCTCGTTGCCGATAGCCCACGGCGTGTGCGTCGACTTTCCTGGTCCCTTTCTTTTCCTCTCCTTCTCTACCATAACTTCCTGGGATGTCCCATGAACCGTATGTCGGTTCCTCCATTCCAAGCTTCCATACTGCCATGACTCCTCCTGTTTGACTCTTCACGACGGCCGTTGGTCTAGTCGCTCCACTTTCAATTTGTTTAGCTTGAGACTTTTCATTTCGACGTCACCTCGGAGCCGTCTCACGCGCCCCCCGAGTCTCCCAGGCGTGGGCACACAACACAACCTTGCGCATCGGATTAATTGCGATTTAATTTCAATATGGTGGCACTGAAAAGGCTGTTTCAACCTGAGCGCACGCCATCGCGGCCATTCACCAGCCCTAGGTCAAGTGGCGCGGAGTCGGACGAACCGTATTTTGGTACTGTTGAGTCTCCCACTCGAACTAAGCTTCGGTCTGGCTTTTTATCTGCCGGTCCTCCATCGCCGGCACTTCAGTCGCCCGGCCTTCACGCCTTCCAGGCTCATGATGTGGCACATCACTTCGATCAGATCGAGAAACAGTTTGAAGATCTACACCAGAGTCTAGGTCAACGGCCGTTGTCGTCTCAGTCGCAGTTGCCGTCGCCCGTACCAGGCCGTCTTGTCCCAAAAGATCCCAATGCTCGGCACATCGATTTAATGGACGCGGTTGCTTCCTCCGAGCAATTCCAAGAACCCAGCACGGAGGTCGCGTCGCCTCCCACTAGTCCATATAACGAAGATGTAGCCGAACGGAACATGACCAGATTTCTTCGCATCCAGTATCGGAGTGGGCTGGCCGGCTCCCGGATATTGTCTGCACTATACCAAGAGGATGTGGCGGACAGGAACATTGCGAAGTACGGGAGTACATCGCGCTCACTTTCGTCAATGAGCTCTCGCTCGTCCCCTCCCGCGCCTGGAAGAGTGCGCAACCTCAGCCCAAATGGGCAAAGAAAGCGCAATCCCAGGAAACCCCAGTGGACTTCGGATGGTGATTTGCGTAATCGCTCTGCCTCTCGGGATACCGCCTCGGGCACTTGGTCGAGAATTTCACAGACTAGCAGCCTGCTTCGTCAACAAAGATCAGCGCCGAATATGCATCCAGATGATGATACAGAAGAGGCACCAGCTCCCGTGATTCGGCGGCTGGGCGTTCCGCCAGTCTATAAACAGGGCAAGCGATGGAGCCACACGCCACTGCCAGACAGCCCAACGCTACCCCCACCATCAAGTGATGGCGGCGGCGGCAGTGACAATCGTGGAGAAAGCACCGCAGTGCCCCGACCTCCCCTCACGACTTCCCGGAGCTCATCACTAACTGCGAGATCATTATCTCCCCCTCCTTCCTCAGGGTCAACCTCCCGGAAAAACGTGCGAGATCTATCTATTAATACGGAGCTAGCCGCTCACGGCCGGCCAAAGATTGCGCACCGCGCTATTCAACCCCCAACACCCTCCGACTTTGGGACGAAGCGGGCACCCAGCATTGCAGAGGTCATGCACAGTCCTTTGCCTGCGCCTAGTCCTCCACGGCCCTCCCCTCGGTTCAAGGTCTCGGAGATGATGGATTTGTTCAACAAAGCATATATGTCCTCACAGGCCCTGAGCCCCCACCCTACCTATGAGAGTCTTCAAGATGCCATTGTTCGGGAAATCAACTCCCACGAGGCTTTTAAGAAAGTTCCTGTTCCTGCTGCTGGACCACCATTTACTCCTTCGCCGACCCGGGAGACCTTCGAACATCGTCCCAGGTCTGCACAGCCAGGATTGAGCCGCAGTGCCTCTGCCGGATCAATCTCCAAAATCATAAGGAAGAGCTCATTCAAGAAACACAAGCGAAATGCCGGATCCCAACAGAGCATCTCCACAATTACCCCTACAAAGGGATATGACCGCATTTTCCGCAAAACCTCTCCCTCCACTTCTCGCCGACGGCACACTGATGCCCCAGCCCCATCTCCGGGTCTCCTCGCCGACATCAAGCAGTCACAGGAAACAGCCTCGCCGGTGCAGCTGACATACATGGACGTGCTATACCGCGCCGGCAACGACACGTGTGCTACCTCCAGCTCCAAGAACCCGCATGCATCGTGGAAGCGCGGACGCTCGGACTCGACGTCTAATCTGTCTGCCATGGCCCGCGCCAACTCGGACAGGCCCCGTACCCCAGGCCCCGTGGGTGCTGTGTATTGCATGCAAGCACACTCCACGTCGTCCAGGGATAGCCAGAGCAGTATCTCTCACGAGGACAGCGACGACGACATCATCCACCTCCCGAGTGTCGGCGCTCCGCCCCCGCGGGTGCAGATCGAGGGAGTCGACGAAAACAACGTCCGCTACGTGATTGATTCTGCAACCGCTGCCGATGCGCAGAAACTGATGAGCTGGCCGCAGCGCTCGCGCCGCACGAACCCCCCCGCGCCCACTTCAGCACCGTGTGAGGACAGCTTGTCTCCGCTGTCCCGCACACAAATGCAGCTCCGCGGTGCCCGGTCTGTCGAGACTTGCTAGGTCGCTTGCAATTCGTTTACTGCTGCTACTCCCCATACCCTGGGAAGATATTGCACTCTTCCCGCATGATAATGATTCTTCCATGATACCTGCCACACCGAAAAGCCGTCTGCCCCTTCAGTGTCTGTCGTTCCTGTGGCGATTCTGAAAATCCTTGACTTGAGGCATCTGGTCTCAACCCCAACATTCCTTTCTCTTTCCTCTATTTCCATATCTCATCAAACATAGCTGTTAACCTCTAGCCTCTGCTCGGGCCTCACTCCTTCTCGCTGTCTTACTCTATCATTTCCTTGTCCGTCATACTCTAGCCCGACAATGATTCACCTTAGTCCATCACTCCGTTATTTACTGTTTCTCTTTTATCTCCTGCCATATTGACCGCCGAAATATCTTCTTTTACTTTTTGATTCTGTCTTGTCTAAATACTCCGATATTCTTGGAGATGCATCTTTGGGAGGCGTTCCTGTTTTCGAACTTTCACATCGTGTACTATATAACCTAAAGGGACTGACTACCAGCCTTTTCTCCCGTCGATGGCAATCTAGGATGATTTTGCCTTAGAAAAATGTATCTGGGGTCTTTCAACCTATGGTCTGGAACTTTGTACCGTCCACGATGTAATATCTAGTAGTATTACTTTGCTGTTTGTGATTTGGTCATGGTATCTCCGCATGTACAGTCTCCAATCCGCAGAAAAGGTAATACCTACAAGCTCTATAAAGCCTCGCGACGCAAGCAGTTCTACATTGAAAATGTGTCTTGATTCCAGATTGGAAACATTTGCAAGAAAATTAGGAAAGGCCACTCGACCAGTTCCGTCCTGAAGCTCTAAATACGAAGGGTATCAAGCTACATGCCGTGAATGTGGTAGGGTTGGGGCATGGCACAACCTCGCTGGTCTCAGAGAGCATTTCTTAAAAAGTAAAGGGGCTAGAAACCCATCAAAGAAGCGGACATGGAAAGAAATCGCAGCAAGTTCGAGATTCTATGGGACCCTCTAGAGAAAGAGTAGAGGTGCCGTGCCAGCGGCGATGTTGTGAGTAGCCGTAGGCTCACGCACCACCTTGGAATCTGCCGCGGACCTGGAGTCTCCACCGGAGGCTGCGACTTACACTTTCGCAGTTAGAAAATGAAATCAATGAGACTAAGTCTTGGTCTATATGGATTCTGTAATCAGGAGACTGTGTCTAGGCCGGGGGATTAGGGTTCCCTTGTGGTTCCATACGTAGTCATCACCATTTAGTTACCCAAGCGTCTCATAACATTGGGCAAATCCACTGAGTAGATCCTGCTCAGATAGTTGACGACTGCCACTTCATTGAGCTGGCTTACACCGAGACTGCAGATGCTATCAAGATTTTAAAATTGAATTCTTTTGCAAATAGGAAAAGCATCATTCGTTTTGTCTCATAGGCTCATTTCCACTAAAATGGCACAACCCCTCTTTAACCCTAAAATGCATAAACATACGGGAATGGTATCAATTGAAGATCCCAGCCACCCTTAGTAGGAGCGGCCGAACATGCACCACTTCTCAGCAAAGCGGTCGCACTTGGGGTTAATGCACTTCGTAACACCGGGCTCGATGCCCTCCGGCTGCTCGAAGGGAATGCACAGTGACTTCGCGCCCATACTGGGCGCCCTAGCATCCTGCACAACTCCGGTGTTCTCCTCTGCTTTGCGGGCACTCATCTCCTTGATTTGCGTTTCACATGCAGGGAGTAGGCAGAATGGCGACAGAGCGAGGTCCTTGTTATCAAGGGCGGGGCTGAACTCGTCCCAGTTTGTGATCATCTTACGGTGGGACTTGAATACCTCATCCGCGCGGTTGTAGAGGTCCTGGTGAATGGTGTCCAAGAGGACCGGGACAGCGGTGGCCAGTTCAGATATCGGGATTGTTGATTTACCGTCTTTACCGGGCACGTCACGACGGGCGGTAGTAACGAAGTGGCCAGCGGACTCGCCAGGGCCGAACTCCAGACGGAGGGGAACACCGCGCAGCTCCCACTGGTTGAACTTCCAACCGGGCGAGTAGCCCTCGCGCTTGTCACTCTCGACACGGACGCCAGCGGCATCGAGAACGGCGACAAGGCCGTCCACCTCAGCATAGAGCTTTTCACGGTCCTCATCGGTACTCTTAGCGGTGATACCAACAGGGACAATAATGACCTGGATCTCAGCCACACGAGGAGGAAGGACCAGACCCTTGTTATCACTGTGAACCATGACCATGACACCCAGTGAACGGGTCGACAGGCCCCAAGAGTTTTGCCAGACGTGCAGAGGGGCCTTCTGCTCCTTCTCCTCGGCAGTCTTTGCGGAGGGGTCCTCAACGGTGATGTTGAACATCTTGCTGAAGTTCTGTCCCAGGCCGTGGGAGGTACCACCCTGGATACCACGGCCGGTGGCGGCGATGTAACCCTCGACTGTGGTGGTGTAGAGACCACCAGCAAACCTCTCCTTCTCGGTCTTCTGGCCCTTGACCACCGGAACAGCGAGGAGCTCCGAGTAGATATCGGCGTACCAGTCAAGAATCTGAAGTACCTCCTCTCGCGCGGCATTCTCGGTCAGATGGGCGGTGTGGCCCTCCTGCCACAGGAACTCACGGGTTCTGAGCTTTATTTCGAGTCAGTAAAGATGTTAGCCATGAGGAGGAAGGACTAAAACTCACGAATGGGACGGCATGGGAGAATTCCCAGCTATAAGAGGAAATGGTTAGTCGATTCAAGTAATGAGATGAATGTTGCTTTAAGCATACCGAACGACAGAATTCCACTGGTTCAATTTCAGGGGGAGATCGCGGTGGCTGCGAATCCACTTGGAGTAGTATGGGTACATAACGGTCTCCGAGGTGGGACGGATAGCAATCTTCTTCTCGAGAGGGGTTGATCCGCTAGAATAATGAAGTTAGAAATCTGGAGGATCGCCCGCAATTTGACCGGGGGGGTTCATACGCATGAGTCACCCAGGCGACCTCAGCAGCGAAGCCCTCAATGTGATCCTTCTCACGCTGCAACACATCCTCGCTGACAAACAGAGGGAAAGAGCAGTTCTTCACGCCCAGCTTCTTGATCTTTTTGTTGAAAAAGTTTTGGATTTCTTCCCAGATGAAGTACGAAGCGGGCTGAGACACATAAGCGATAGTCCCAAAAATCGAAGTAAGAGCACAATGGTATTACCTTCAAGATGAAGCAGCCTGACACATCATAGTAGTCCAGCATATCACCTGAGAGCCCGTTAGCAAGCAAGTTACCAAGTCCGGCGCCTTTTTTACCTTTGGTGAGAATTTGCTGGTACCAGTCCGAGAAGTTTTCCTCCTTGGACACATCAATACCGATGAGAGCAGCACCCTCCACCTTCTTCTTGGGAGCCTTCTTGGCCTCAGTCTTTCCAGAGCCACTGTGCTTCGCAGCCTTCTCAGCCTTGGCCGCAGCCAGCTTTGCGGCCTTTTCGGCCTTCTTCGCGGCGTTCTTCGACTCGCCCGCTTGGTTATCAGCGGGGGTTTGAGTGCGCTCGGGCAGGGTTGTAGGGGCGGCAGCGCCCGGGGCGGCCGTGTCGCTGGGATTTTGGCTAGCCATGGTGGTGAGGAAGGAGCGCCTGGCAATCAAAAAGAAAGTAAGCCAAACTCGAGAGCAGAATGGAAGGGGGAGTAAAGCGAAGTATGACTCGAATAAAAAGTGGGATGTTATCTTCGACACCGCTTTGGTGCGGCAGAACTTTTAGCGTGGCCTCCAACCAAAACCCCCGTCCAAGCCAGCAGAGCTCTGCCATCGCACCTGAAAGCTCTGTTTTTCGACTTTTATTCGCCATGGCAGGCATCTTCGAGGCGCCGCGGAATGCGGACACTCTCTGTGAGTCCCCCTCTCCGACTGTCATGACACCGGGCTAACCAAGCTCGCACACAGTCTTGGGTGGGCAGAAAATCACCGGTGCCGATGTCCGGGAGCAGAATGGTATGTTCAACGATGAGCCCCTCTGAGATCAATTGCATTTGACTGACAATATGCAGTTCTCGCGACTCAGGCTATTTCCAATGTCATCAAGAGCTCCTTTGGTCCCTCTGGCTTGGACAAGATGATGGTTGACGACATAGGGGTATGGAAAGACTTGAGTACCCCGCAGAGCTGGAGCGCAGCTTTCTAACTACTTTCTGTGGTAACAGGATGTGACCGTGACGAACGATGGCGCTACCATTTTGTCTCTGTTGGATATTGAGCACCCTGCGGGCAAGATCCTCGTCGATCTGGCCCAACAGCAGGATAAGGAGGTACGAATCCTGCAGATTCCTGTGGGTGTCTAAATTTTTTCTCTCATCATACTAACCTTATACTAAACAGGTCGGTGATGGTACAACCTCCGTCGTCCTTATTGCTGCAGAGCTTCTGCGGAGAGGTAACGAGCTGATGAAGAACCGGATACACCCTACGACTATCATCAACGGATACCGCCTTGCGCTGCGCGAAGCCGTCAAGTACATGAACGAGAATGTGACGACGAAGGTGGATAATCTGGGCAGAGACAGCTTAATCAACATTGCGAAGACCTCGATGTCTAGCAAGATCATCGGTTCCGACCCTGATTTCTTTGCGAACCTTTGTGTGGACGCCATGCTGCAGATCAAGTCAACAAACCAGAGGGGTGAGGTGAAATACCCCGTCAAGGCTGTCAACCTTCTCAAGGCCCATGGAAAGAGTGGTCTTGAGTCTGTTCTGGTTCACGGCTATGCTCTGAACTGCACTGTTGCCTCCCAGGGCATGAAGACCCGCATTACTGATGCCAAGATCGCTTGCTTGGACATGAACTTGCAAAAGGAACGTATGAAGCTAGGTGTCCAGATCACTGTGGAGGATCCTGATCAGCTGGAAAAGATCCGTGAGCGTGAGGCTGGAATTGTCTTGGAGCGCGTTGAGATGATCTTGAAGTCCGGTGCCAATGTCATCCTGACCACCAAGGGTATCGATGATATGGTTCTGAAGACTTTCGTCGAGAAGGGTGCTATGGCCGTTCGCCGTTGCAAGAAGGAGGACCTTCGCCGCATTGCCAAGGCCACCGGTGCTACCCTTGTTAGCACTCTGTCGGACTTGAACGGTGACGAGAAGTTCGAGGCATCATACCTCGGACACGCCGAGGAGGTCTCTCAAGAGCGGATTTCCGACGACGAGTGCATTCTCGTCAAGGGCACCAAGGTTCACACATCTGCCTCCATCATCCTGCGCGGCGCCAACGAGTTCAGCTTGGACGAGATGGAGCGCTCTGTTCACGACTCGCTCTGTGCTATCAAGCGCACTCTGGAGAGCGGCAGCATTGTGCCTGGTGGCGGTGCTGTGGAAACTGCACTGCACATCTACCTGGAGGAGTTTGCTGTCACAGTGGTAAGTTTCAATTGGCTTTCTATTTTCTATGTCATCGATTCTAACAATATTTCAGGGCTCCCGCGAGCAACTTGCCATCGGCGAATTTGCCCAGTCTCTCCTCGTCATTCCCAAGACCCTGGCCGTCAACGCTGCCAAGGACTCCTCCGAGCTTGTTGCCCAGCTCCGTGTTCGCCACGCCCTGTCACAGCGTGTGCAGGACGGTGATGCTAATGAGGAGGAGAAGGCCATTGCCAAGAAGAAGACTTACCGCAACTACGGATTGGATCTGACGAAGGGACGCGTTCACGACACTCTGAAGGCCGGTGTTCTGGAGCCCAGCATGAGCAAGATCAAGCAGCTGAAGAGTGCTGTGGAGGCTTGCATTGCCATCATGCGTATTGATACGATCATCAAGCTGGACCCCGAGCAGAAGCAGGATGATGGTCACGGCCACTAAATGCGGCGCTATGTTTTTACTACCCCGAGCTTTATCTTAAAAAAAAAAAGGGCCGTAATTGAAAGTTACATAGAAATAAAAGAGCAGTGGGGTGGGGTCACCTTTGCTGCTGCATATGAACAAAATGATCAAATGGATATCTACTAGGTGTAGAATCGAAATGCAACGATTCAAGGTATATATTCTGCTTTCACTGCCGCTTCGCAGCCATCAATCGCCGATACTCCTCCACAATGTTCCTTCTTTCGGTGGCGAGCTCCTCTCGCCGTCTCAAACTACCAACAGAGTTCGGCACATTGGCAACATCAACCTTCGCTCCTCCGCGAATCTTAAATATCTCCCTTGGCTTCGTCAACTGCGGCGGCGCCTGTGCAAAATCGAACGGGTTGGCCTGTCTCTCTTTATCCCGCTTCTTCAGCTTCGCCCATGGGTCGGGGTCATCATCCCCGCTGTCCTCGGCACCGTCGGACTTCTTTTTCTTTTTGGGAACCGTTCCCTTCTTCTTCGCTTTTCCACCCCGTGCTTCAGCCTCCCACTCCTTCAGGATCTCTAACTGTTCCTCCATCTCGGCTTCGCGCTCCTCGCGCTCGGCCTGTTCCCGCTCCTTGATCTTGACATCCTCCTCGCGCCAACCCTGTTGCAGTCGCCGGAGATGCTTCTCGTGCTTGGTCATCTTGTGATCGCCCTTCGCACCAGGAGTGTTGGATTTCTTCATTGCAGAAAGCGGGAGTTCGCGGTCAACGCGGGCGGCGAAATCTCCCAGCTTCTCGCCGGGCATGATTTTGGGCATCACTTTCTTGGCCTCCTTATCGTCAGTAGATTGAGTCTGTTGAGGCTTAGCCTGGGCAGGCTTCTTCGACGAGTCATTCTGGGCATCTGCTTCTTCTCGCTTCCGCTTTTTGTTCTCTTGCTTCTTCTCTCCCGTATCCAGTCCAGACCGCGCCCGCCTCCCCGTAGTCTTGTACTGCATTAACCGCTGGAAGGCCTTGGGGGTATCATCTTCCAAGGCATTCTTGGGCCGAGAGACGGCAGGTCCAGCCTGAGGCTTGCCTTTGGCCTGCTGTGCTGGCTGCGGCTTCTTTCCATGCTTCTTTCCAGGCTTGGGCTTTGGTTGCTGGCTGCGGACCGGCAGTGCTTTAGCGATCACTGAGGGTGGGAGGTCGAAGTGGCTGCGCAGAGAATGTAATGTTAGTCCAAGGCGGGCATAAGAGTACATGAGAATATAGTATAAACATACGAGTCATCCCTTTCGCGTCTCTTGTGTTTGTGAGGCATTGTGAGGTGGAGGCTGGTGGTGTCAAAGAGTCTCGAAGTTCGGAGTCCTCAGCGGAACTTTTTTTCGGGCAACTAACTTAGCTTATCAACCAATCAGTTTCTTATCGCGTCCCACCCCAAGTATATATTTCTGTCCATCACTACCACTACCATCCATCACACGACGTAGTTGGGGTCCACAGATAGATTTTCTCGTCGATATTAACCAATTTATGCCTGCTGGAATGCAATGAATCGAGGACAGTCTACTATAAAATACATATCAGACTAACTCCAGTGCGATCGCCGTATAGAGATAAGCGAGTGAAATACTGTGAGTGCCTACGAGTCGATGGAGTTACGGCTCAGTGGAACAGAAGTATCTCGAAATAATGACTCCTTAGGTCATTAGAGCCCACATGGTAAGTAGACAGGAAACCCCGAAAAATGCAACTGAAATATAAACGGGTATGCTACGCTAAAAAAAGATCAATGCCCTCCTGAGCGCCAGAAAAATGCCCGCGCCAATAACGACACCATGAAAACAGCCACCACCGAAATGCATAAAAACGTAATAGTGGTATGGAGACTTCAGAGATCATTCGTCTTCATCGTCATGAGAGTCTGTTGTGGCAGCCCAACCGCACTGCCAGTCTCGACCCTCCTTTTGGCCATCGGTCCGAAGCTCACGAGCCTCGGGCCCTTCGCGCCAGCATCGGGCGCTGTAGTCATCACTGACGGTAATGAGCTCACCATTGACCGTCCATGAAAGGCCAGTGACTTCCTTCTGGTGACCTTCGACCAGAGGTGTGCCAGATTGATAGATAGGGATGGTGTCTTCGAGTCGGCTAGACAAACCAAAACCAGAATTGGTGCGGCGGAGTCCAGATCGAGTTGTGAAAAGTGAGGTTCGTGTTGCGGGAAGATCATCAGACAAAGTCTTCACAGGAGATTGCAAGAACCGTTCATCGGTAGGGAATAGAATCGGGCACTGATCACTACTACCAACGGCCAACAACTCTGCGCGGTCATTGAAGGCTTTGCGCACCGCGAGTTTGACATAAAAAGTGGAAACTTGAAGACGTGGGTGACGGAATCCATACAGGGGACCTAGACCCTCCTTGTCTGAGCCACCCGATCGTCGGGGGCGGACGTTGTTGAGCGAAAGCTCAGGTGCATGCCCAAGCACCAGGTGGGAGGTCGAGTATGTATACACAGTACCATCGCGGCAGAGGGTGTACAGCCTTGCACCATCGCCGCCGAAAGCCATTGATGTCAGGCCAAACCGCCGGTACTTGATGTGGCTGTCAGGCTCCCGCGTAGTGGACAATGGAAGGACAGGCCGACCTCGGCGGTTGTTATGTGCTGTCCGCAAGTCCCATAGTCGAACACTAGCGCTGGCCTCGGATGCCGTGACGAAGAGATTCTCTTGACCGGGGGGCAAGAAGGCGAGTGAAGTAACAGTAATGTCGGAACGACCAAACGGAGGAGCGTCTGACTTGTCCAGGGCAGGCTTTTGAGGGGTAATGTATGCATGAGCACCCTGGATGGTATTGAGAACGTGAGGGTACGTCATCTTTGGGGGCGCCGAAGTGTTGGCGGGCTCGGCATCCGATTCCAGCGAGCATCGAACCTGTAGGGATGGACGCTCGAAGCCCTTGCATCGGAGGTCCCATATGTTCACATTACCGTCGCGGCTGCATGTTGCAAGAACTTTATTATTGGAAGCAGGCTGGAACTGGACTCGCTTCACGGATGACACATGGTTCGATAAACAATGGATTGGTCGTTGTGTGGTCATGTCGATGACGAAGGACGTTTGGTCGCCAGAAGCGGTAGCCAGGAGCATATCGTCGGACGAGAACTCAAGATCCATGATCGAGTTCATGTGCGGACGAAAACCCAAATACGCGCCAGAAAACCCTCGCTCGTCCTCTTTGGAGGAATCCAGCAACCGAATACCGCCCTCTTCATCGCCAACCGCGACCAATGAGTTGGCTATGGAGAATTAATCACAAAAGCAATGTCCGAAAAACACACATAAAACTTACTGTTGCAAGAAGCATTGCAGAAGGGAAGTGCCAATTGCCCCTCATTAGCATAGCTGGCACATGAGTGACGGTCCTCTGGTCGCGAATGGAAGTCATTTGTTACATCCTGCCAGCCTAGTAATATGTTAGACTCGAGCCCCCCCAAAGCATTGATTACTTCAAACTAACCAGCTCCAGCAGTCGATCGAATAGTCAGCCGGTTCGCACGCGAGCCCTGTAGCGTTCGCATAAAAAATGAACCGGAAGTCTGCAATGCTCGAGATCGGCTGACTGGCGAGACTGGTCGGCGTTTAGGAGGGCTAGTAGGTGTTGTTTGGGCATGGCGCCCCCTCGCGATCACAGCGGTCACGTCGATATCTCGTACGGTGGCTCTCTGCTCCACTTCGTCGCCCACCGGAGAACGCAAACGAACCTTCTTCAATGGCGAGGATTGCAGCGGGGATGCTGCCGAAGAAAACGAATGTTTCCTTTTCCTGCTCGGTGTGCGCATAAAATCTTCCGGCAAGCCATCGTAAGGGCTCCTAGCATTGCCGGTCTTGGAGGATCTGGTAAAAGCGGGACCGAGGCGGTTCACAGCTGGCGAGTTCAGCGCGCGCAGGGCCTGGCGATTTGTTTTCACGCTGCTAGCATTGTTTCCGCTGTTCAGCAGAGACCGTGGGGTAAAAAAGCGCCGAAAGGACCGGGGTGTGACTGTTGGTGGTTTTCTCTGTCGTCGCCCACCGCCAGCTTCAGATGCGACTGAGGGCGGGGAGGAAGGTATTTCCTGAGACGAGTAATGAAGGATGGGTTCTGATCGGGGTGGCTCAGGAAGACCAGAAACATGGTCCATTGTGTGCTCGAACGACAGAGGAGAGGAGAGAGCCTATGGCGGGATACATTAGGTGTGAAAAGATTCGGCCCAAGGGGGTAAGATGGGAGGAGCGGGTCTGGTCGTGTTGCGCGCATCGGACGTGACGCGGAGCGTGGTTCGGGCATTTGACACCTAAATTCAGGCACCAAGGCCATCAAATGGAGACAATGCTAAATTGTAGCATAGCTTGAGGATGCAAGTGGTTACCTTGCTTCTGAATACATAATTCCATTTCTAAAATTCCCTAGTCAAAAATTCTCGTCTGAAACAAGAGAAAAAAACGAACTGACTGCGAAATACGGTCTGGATGAGCGTACAACTAGTTCTATCGGTAGGACAAATAGGGCGTCAGTAGTATGTGTACATATCTGGCAGATCATCTATGGTATCCCCTTTGCCTTAAAAATATATTTACTGTTGATTGGTGTCATCTCTACTTCCTCGTCAAGATCTGTACTCAGTACTTCGTACAACCTCGCGGACTCGCCCAGGCAGGCGGTCCCACTTAAACCTCACCGCTTCTGATTCTGCCACGCTTTATCGGATTTTTCGATTTTTTTTCTTTGCGATACAACGAGAATCCTCAACCGTTTACGATTCGGTCTCGCCTACCAACAATGGCGCCGATAAAGCGCAAGGGGAATGCCCCCGAAGAAACGGCTGCTCGTCAGCCGCAAAAGCGCGCCAAGGTCGGAGCAGAAGACCGCCAAAAAGACTCCAAGCCCAAGGATTCCGCTGCGAAAGCTTCGGAGCTCTCTGTTCTGCGTGACGACGAGCCGTCTTTCCCACGTGGTGGCGGTAGCGTTTTGACGCCCTTGGAGCGCAAGCAAATTCAGATTCAAGCGAACAGGGATGTTCTGTTCGAGCAGAAAGGACCGAAAGGACCGAAAAAACCGACCCGTGAATTTATCGACGACAACGACGACAACGACGATGACGACGAAGACGATGTTGAGATGGAGGATGCCGACACAACCACTTCCGCCAAGAAGTCTCGGAAGAAGAAGACAAAAGGCCAGAAGTCTACAGGCAAGGAGTCCTCCGAGAAGGAGGGTGTGCGAATTGAAGGTCTTAGCTACAAGGTACGAGCGAGGGTGCAGAAAACTTCTTAGGCTTCGCTGACTGGCTTTCACAGCGTATTGTACCTGGCTCTATGATTCTTGGTCAGGTTTCTAGCATCACCGCCCACGACATTGCCATCTCTTTGCCCAACAACCTCGTTGGCTATGCCCCTCTTACCTCCATCTCTAAGGTCCTTGACGACAAGATCGAGAAGCTACTGAATGACGAGAACGACGACGAGGATGATGACAGCTCCGAAGAGGAGTCTTTCGACCTGAAGGAGCACTTCTATCTGGGCCAATATCTCCGAACATATGTTGTTTCTACCGGCACTGAGGTCACCGAAGCCGGAGGCCGTAGCAAGAAGCGCATTGAACTGTCCCTCGACCCTCGACAGACAAACACCGGTCTCTCGCAATCCGATCTATTGGTGAACACTGCTGTTCAGGCTGCGGTTGTTAGCGTGGAGGACCACGGCGTGGTCATGGATCTCGGCATCGAAGGCTCCGAGCTGAAGGGCTTCATGTCCTCCAAGGAGGTCGACCCTCGTGTGGAGTACTCCAACATCAAGGAAGGCTCAGTCTTCCTCTGCATGGTCACCGGCAAGAATGACAGTGGCAACGTAATCAAGCTCTCCTCCAAACTCCAGTCTGCCGCTTCGATCAAGCACTCGCACTTCCTTAGCACCGCGTCGACTATCAACTCCTTCCTCCCCGGTGTTGCCACCGAGATCCTCTTGACGGAAGTTACGCCAAATGGTATGGCCGGAAAGATTATGGGAATGCTCGACACCGTTGTCGATCTGGTGCAATCTGGTGCTGACGACGGCAAACTTGACCTGGAGCGCAAATGGAAGATGGGAGCCAAGATTAAGGGTCGTATCATCTCGACCTTCCCAAACTCAGAGCCTTTCAAGGTCGGCTTTTCGATGCTCGATCACGTTCTCAAGCTTTCTTCCGACACTCGCGGCCCTGGCTCATCCGACGAAGCACCTGCTGTCTCCGCCATTATCCCCGAGGTCACGGTTGTGAAGATGGACTCTAGTGGTATGGGCCTGTATGTCCAGATTGGCGAAACCAAGCACATTGGATTCGTTCACATCTCCAGGCTTTCGGATGGCAAGGTTGAATCCATCTCGGCCGACTCGGGTGCTTTCAAGGTTGGATCTACGCACGAAGCCCGTGTTGTTGGATACAACATGATCGATAACCTTTACCTTCTCTCCTTCGAGAAGTCCGTCATTGAGCAGCCATTCCTGCGCCTTGAGGATGTTACTGTTGGAGCTATTGTCAAAGGAAAGGTGGAGAAGCTACTGATCGGTTCTACTGGAATGGATGGTTTTATCGTCAGCCTTGCCGAGGGTATCACTGGATTGGTGCCTTCCATGCACTTTGCGGACACCCAACTCCAGTTCCCCGAGAAGAAATTCCGAGAGGGACTTAAGATTTCCGCCAGAATTCTGTCTGTCAACCTCGAGAAGCGCCAGATTCGTCTGACTCTGAAGAAGAGTTTGTTGAACAGCGAGTCCCCTATTTGGAAGGGCTACGAGGATATCGTGGCTGGTGCCCAGTCACCTGGTACCATTGTCAACCTGCAGCCCCACGGCGCTGTTGTTCAATTCTATGGTACTATCCGCGGCTTTCTCCCAGTCTCTGAGATGAGCGAGGCCTACATCAAGGACCCGGCCCAACATTTCCGCATGGGTCAGGTTGTCAATGTGCACGCCCTGAGCGTGGACCCCTCCCAGGGCCGGCTTGCGGTTTCGTGCAAAGACCCGTCGACCTTCACCGAGAAGTATGGCAAGGCCTTCGAAGAGATCCACCCCGGCTTGCTCGTCACTGGATCTGTCTTCGAGAAGTCTGCTGATGATGTGCTCCTTAAGCTTGAAGACTCTGGTCTTGTGGCCCGTCTCGATGTTCAGCACATTATCGACGGTTCCTCGTCAAAGCAGAGCTCGACTCTGTCTAAGATTCGTGTTGGCCAGAAGCTGAACGATCTCCTGGTTCTCGACATCCAGCGTGCTCACCGCCTCATCCGCGTTTCCACCAGAGCTAGTCTGAAGAAGGCTGCTAAGCAAGGAAACATGCCTAGCAAGTTCGAGGATGTCCAGGAAGGCACTACGGTTACTGGCTTCGTTCGCAACATTACGCCTGCTGGCCTTTTCATTGAGTTCCTGGGTGGATTGACTGGTCTTGTTCCCAAGCGTCTGATTGAAGATGCCAACCTTGAACAGCCCCAGTTCGGAGTTTCGAAGGGATCGAGTATCACTGTCCGTGTCCACGAGGTTGACACTGACCTCCAGCGATTCATCCTGAGCCAGAAGGCCACCGAGACCAGTAATGCCGCTTCGCAAAAGACAAAGACACCCGTGCAGACTGATGACGCCCTTGCGAACCCCGTTGATGACAACCTCAAGACCATTTCCGATCTCACCTTTGGCCGGGTCGTCAAGTGCAAGGTTGTCTCCATCAAGGCCACCCAAGTCAATGTCCAACTGGCAGACAACATTCAGGGCCGCATCGACGTATCGGAGATCTTCGACAAGTGGGAGGACCTCAAGGATCGCAAGCAGCCCCTGCGATTCTTCAAGGCCAAGCAGGTTCTCGACGCCAGAATTCTCGGTGTCCACGACGCCCGCAACCACAAGTTCCTCCCCATCTCCCACCGCAGTGGCAAGTATCCCGTCTTCGAGCTCTCCTTGAAGCCCAGCTTCGTCACGGCTGCCCACCCCGACCCTCTCAACATGGAGCAGGTTAAGGTTGGAAGCTCGTGGATGGGCTTTGTCAACAATGTGGCCGATGACTGTCTCTGGATCAACCTGTCCCCCAATGTGCGCGGCAGACTGCGCTTCATGGATGCTTCGGATGATCTGTCTCTCCTGACTGATGTTGAGAAGAACTTCCCCATTGGATCTGCCCTGAAGGTCCAGGTCACCGCCGTCGATTCGGACAAGGGCCACCTCGATCTCTCCGCTAAACAGGGCTTCGACAAGCTCTCTTTCGGAGACATCTCCGCCGGCATGATCCTGCCCGGCCGCGTGACCAAGATCACCGAGAAGCAGATCATCATGCAGCTCGGCGAGGCGCTCGTTGGTGCAGTCAACCTGATCGACATGGCTGACGATTATTCCAAAGCCAACCCGACTGTCTACCGCAAGAACGAGGTTCTGCGTGCGTACGTCATTGCCGTGGACAAGGCCAACAAGAAGATCTCCCTGTCGCTCCGTCCCTCCAAGGTTATGAGCTCCTCGCTTCCCGTGCAAGACCGCGAGATTTCCTCCCTGAAGGACGTCAAGCCTAACGACGTCGTTCGTGGTTTCATCAAGCGCATTACTGACGCCGGTCTCTTCGTGGCTGTCGGCCACGATGTTACTGCCTACGTGCGTGTCTCTGATCTGTCGGATTCCTACCTCAAGGAGTGGAAGGACTCATTCCAGACCGACCAACTGGTCAAGGGCCGCGTCACCCTGGTTGACCCTGAGCAAGGCAAGCTGCAGATGAGCCTGAAAGACTCTGTCCTGGACCCCAACTTCAAGGCCCCGATCATCCTTCGGGATCTCGAGGTGGGCCAAATTGTGACCGGTAAGGTTCGCAAGGTCGAAGAATTCGGTGCCTTCATTGTTATCGATCGCTCTGCCAATGTTAGCGGTCTTTGCCATCGTAGTGAGATGGCCGAGAAGCGGGTGGAGGATGCGCGCACTTTGTACGACGAGGGCGATGCTGTCAAGGCTAAGATCATCAAGATCGATTCCAAGACTGGCAAGATCTCGTTCTCGCTCAAGGCGTCCCACTTCCAGGATGAGGCGGATGAGGAGAGTGAGGACGAGGAGATGAGTGATGGTGGCGCTGGCGGTGTCGCACTCGATGGAGATGACAGCGCTGATGAGGACGACGATGACGTCTCCATGGGCGGCGTCGAGGTCGACGATGCCAGCGAAGAAGAGGATGGGGACAGTGATGAGGAGGTCATCAAGGGTGCCTCCAAGGACGGTGGCCTCGGCGCCAGTGGTTTCGACTGGAGCGGCAACGCCCACGTTGACGAGGACAAGGCCGCAGACTCGGACAGCGACGAGGACGAGGACCAGAAAAAGAAGAAGAAGAAGAAGAAGGGCAAGCCCGAGATCCAGGTTGACCGCACTGGCGAGTTGGATGCAAACGGCCCTCAGACCGTCGCTGACTACGAGCGACTGCTACTGGGCGAGCCCGACTCCTCGCTGCTGTGGCTGCAGTACATGGCGTTCCAGCTGGAGCTGGGCGAAGTCGAAAAGGCCCGGAATATTGCTGAGCGTGCTCTGCGCAGCATCACAATGGGCCAGGATGCCGAGAAGCTGAATATCTGGGTGGCCCTGCTGAACTTGGAGAACACATACGGCAACGACGACAGCCTTGAAGAGGTGTTCAAGCGGGCGTGCCAGTACAACGACCCGCAGGAGATGTACGAGCGGATGATCAGCATCTACATCCAGTCCGCCAAGAACGAGGTATGTGACTACGACCGGCGTATCCCACCATCCTCGGTACTAACTATGTCTACAGAAAGCGGATGACCTCTTCCGCACGGCCATGAAGAAGAAGATCTCCACCCAGTCACCCAAGTTCTTCCTCAACTACGCCAGCTTCCTCTTCGACACGATGGCTGCCCCCGACCGTGGCCGGGGTCTGCTTCCGCGTGCCCTGCAGTCTCTCCCGGCGCACACGCACGTCGAGACGACCTCCAAGTTCGGGCAGCTGGAGTTCCGGTCCGCCAATGGCGACGTGGAGCGCGGTCGCACCGTCTTCGAGGGCCTGCTGTCCTCGTTCCCCAAGCGCCTCGACCTGTGGAACGTGCTGATCGACCTGGAGATGAAGGTCGGCGATGCGCAGCAGGTGCGCCGCCTGTTCGAGCGGGTGCTCGGCCTGCAACACAAGAAGGGTGTTGTCAGCGTGGACGCCAGCAAGAAGGTCAAGCCCAAGCAGGCGCGGTTCCTGTTTAAAAAGTGGCTGGCCTTTGAGGAGAAGCTGGCGGCGGCGGAGGGTGGGGATGAGAAGATGGTGGAGGAGACCAAGGCGCGGGCGGCGGCGTACGTCAAGGCTCTGCAGGAGGAGGAGTAGAGAGCATCTCTGTGATGCTTTCCGACTTCTGTTTATCTGGGAAAGTTGTTTTGAGTCTAAAAAAATGATCGGTTCCGTTTTTGTCGATTTCGTGGAACCCGTGGGTGTTTGGGATCATTGCATTCGTTGTATATAAAGCGCTACCACGCAGATCATCCATGAGTTTTTTTTCTCTTTTTACATTTGTTTAATGCGCGTGCTGGCTAGCCCTCGTCTCAAGTTGGAGATGACGAGCCCAACGATCCTGCCGCACCGCAGGGCTACGTAGAGAAAGTCTCCATCGATCATCGTAATGGACAGGCCTATCCCAGCGCGGGATGATTGCATGCGGGGCCATGCCATGTCTATAATTGAGAAGTTCGGATGTCCCGAAACGAGTATAACCCTAAACCTAGGGGTGGTCGTTCTACCATGGGTGGGAGTCTCGCCGCTCCAGTCCCCAAAGTCTCCGACCAGCCAACGCCAGTGTGTCCCTGCGTGGCGCCCATTCTCCGTTCTCGTTGGCCCGCGAGCCCCTAGAAAGTGCGGCCGTCCCACGCGCGCGACCCAATGGGCGGCGGCAGCCGCGCAGCATGGCAGGAACGTTTGGACGCAATAACATCTGCCTTTCTGGCGCAAAGATGCGGCACTTTGCAGCGAGGCACCGTCCATTCGTAGTGGCGGGATCAGTCACTTGCGCTCCGATAGCAGAACTAGCAGAACTAGCAAAACTAGCAGGACTAGCAGGACTCGCCGACCTCGCAGAAGGAGGGGGGGTACCACGGTGCGCCGCACACACTACATCGTCGAATGTCATATATACCCTCATCCCCCACCATGAAGCTATCCTCGTGTCCCTCTGCCCCTCCCCTCCCCTCCACACCATTCACACCCTCCTGACCAGGCCCGTCGCCCCCGCAATGGGCGTCTCCTTCCAGCCGTTGGGTGTGGCAGGCCCCGGAGTCCCTTCTGAGTGCCTGCTGGAGGTGCCTTTCGAGGCGTACACCGACTCGCCCAATACCAACGGTCGCGCCAACGAAGTCAAGGGAAACACGACCGTGCGAGTCAAAGCGATCCCACGCGCTCAGGCGGGGCCGCGCCCCCGTGGATGGCGCCTGTCGTTGGCGGGCTTCCTCCCGTCCAGGTTTACGACTCGCCGGCCTGCTGATCGCGGCGACGCTTTGCCTATACTTGCAGAAGACCCGCCGCGCAGGCAGCGATCCTGTCGGTCGTGCTTGGGGCGGTGGCTTATGCGGGGATTCCTGGGCTTCTTCATCATGCTGTAAGTGCCCTGTCCTGCGGGTGTGCAACTGTAGTCGGGGGCGTTGGGGTTTCCTCGCTCGGATCGGGGAATGCGTTGATCGCCGCGAACTATATCCCAACTAGAGCGACGACTGACCATTGCGTTCCAGAGGGATCATCCAGTTTATCTCGATCGCCTGCGCCATCGGGCTTACCTTCTTCCCGGACGAATACGGCCGTGCAGCACGCTCCTGGATGGACCCGATTGCCGACGCCGACGCCGATGAAACCACGCACTGGCCGACCGATCTATCCCGCGAGGTCTTCCCCGTTGGCTGTCACTCACACAACGACTACTGGCGCCGGATCCCGCTGTTCTCCGCTCTGCAGGCTGGCTGCATCGGTGTCGAGGCCGACGTTTGGCTGTTCGACGAGGAGCTCTACGTGGGCCACACTAGGTCCGCGCTGACGAAGCGCCGCACGCTGCGATCCTTATACGTCGACCCGCTGGTGCGCATCCTGGAGCGCCAGAACCCAGTCACCCCGTTCCAGCGCACGCCCGACCAACCCCCGCACGGGGTCTTCGATACCGATCCTGGCCAGACGCTTATCCTGCTGATCGACTTCAAAACCGATGGCGCGGCGACCTGGCCGGCTGTGATAACCCAGCTGGCGCCGCTGAGGGACCGTGGTTATCTCACGTTCTTCAATGGGCGCGATATCATCCCCGGACCAGTGACAGTGGTAGGAACGGGCAATACACCGTTCGACCTGCTCACGGCCAACGCGACATACCGGGACGTTTTCTTTGACGCCCCGCTTGACAAGCTGGTCGACGACGACGGCATCGACCCTGTAGAGATAGGCACGTTTGTATCGAGGGTGACACGCTCCGCCGGACTGGGACAGGGCCTCTCCGGGATGCCGGAGCGCATTGACTCGCACACGTTCAACATCACGAACAGCTACTACGCCTCGGTGTCGTTCAAAAAGGCCGTTGGATTTCCCTGGCCGTTTCACTTCACACCGCACCAGATGGACCTCATCCGGTCCCAGGTCCGGAACGCGCACCGCCACGGCCTCAAGGTGCGCTACTGGGGGCTGCCGAGCTGGCCGACCAGTCTGCGCAATCATATCTGGCGGATCCTGCTTCAGGAGGGGGTGGACATGCTCAATGTGGATGATCTGGCGGCTGCTACCAAGGGCGATTGGAAGATTAAGATCTTCGACTGGTGGTTCTAGAACGACTTAGGTCTTGTGACGGGTTACACGATTTGACTTTTACGTATTTGATGAGGGTGGGACCGGCGTTCAGGTTGTTGCTTTTTGATGACATTCACGATACCTTAGCCCCTCGGTTTTCTGTTATTGTTTGTTCTTCTGAAATGGTTGACTACTTAGACATATACACATGGCTTATTGGAGCAAGGCGCCGAAATCAATATTCATTGGTGCAGTCAAGCTTTTCGGTGGCTGCAATGCAGTTGTGGATGCAGTAGTGCTAGTTTGTTTGGGTTGGGCAGGCCGGTTCCTGTCTGCCCTGGCTACAGGGCGATGCTATTCGACCAAATCACATGCAAGATGCTAAAAGGACAAGTACAACAAATATCATAAAGTTAGACCCTGATAGGCCCTAATTATAGAGATGCCACTAGGGCCCATGGGGTATCATCGGATTGAGCGGGCTGGGGCCCAGACGCAGATAGGGTGACGGGGGGTGTGGAAGCAGATCCTTGAAGCTAAGAACTTAAAGACAGAAGAGGGCCTCTTCGCCGAACTCTCGGACGATACTGCCCTCCTCGCGAAGGAGGCCTCCGAGCCAGTGCTTGGCCGTCTCAAAGTCCTTGGCGCCGAACTTGACGAGCACAAAGCCGGCGCGCACGCGGGCTGCCGTCCAAGTAACGTCGCCCTTGGTGCTGAGCGATGGCTCCGGCGCCGACGAGGGTGCCGACGAGGACCAATTGCGGCTGCCAATCCGCGGTTGCGAGTTGAACTGGTGCATGAGGTACGAGCCAAGGCTGTCGAACACCGGGCCCGACAAGATCAGCGTGCCTACGACTCCGTGCGGGCGTGTGCGTTCTTGGATCACGTTTAAGGGCACCAGGCCGGCCTGCGGTGGTGGCGTGTCTGCGCGGCCAGAGTGGCTATTAAGTCCGCTTTCACCGGCATCCTCGGCGTGAAGGTCCTCGTCCGAGCCATCGAGGTCCTCAGTCTCATCGTCCAGAATGACTGAGTCACGCAACAGAAGCCGATTCTTGCCCGTCTTCGCGTCGGCGGCCCAGACTTCGTTGCGGCCGCGCCAGAATCGGAAGTTCCAGTTCTCGCCGCGCGACGTCCGGCCTTGCGTTACCCAGTCCAGAACGCAAAGACTGCTGCGCTGGTCGCCCTTGGCCGCGGCGTCGACGGTAAACGTTTGTACTTGGGCATAGCGGCTGTTCTTGAAGGGGACCGATGGGTCGGGCAGGTAGCACAGCGCTGATTGACGGCCGATGCGCACGTCCAGCGATTGCTGACTCATGTCGGCGAGATGTTGGTTGGCGGGCATCTGTTTGCGATGGCCCTTGATCACGTTGATGCCGCTAGCGCTGCCCGGCTCTGTTTTGAAGATCTTGGTGCTTCCTTGCGGCGTGGTCACCACCATTCGGGTCCTCGGCTCGAGTTGGATTGACACCTCGATGTGATCACCGGGGAGCAGGCCGCCGCCGTAGGTGAGGAGGTAGAGGTGTACCGGCCTTGAGGGACATGAGTTCGGCAGCGCAGACGGTTCTGGGCTGGAGACGAAGCCCGGGCCCCTTGGCACGAGCTTCAATGGGTATTTGTAGGTGAGGGTGGTGAGGGTGGGGTTGTTAGGCGGTAGGAGAGAGAGGACGACGGTGCCCTGGCCCGGCTTCGCGATAGAAGACTCGAAGGGCGACCGGATAGGCATTGCTGGTTGTCGCATGGTGCCGGTCGTGTTGTGTTTTGGGGAAGGTTCGAAAGAGGGGAGTCACAGAAGGAGAGGTGGGCGGGGTGAAGGGTTATCAAGCCAGCGGGGCGGGACGAAGAATGAGCCAAGCAGGCATGAATGTTTGCAGATTTAGAGAGGACTGGTAGCTGTAACGCTCTGCTGCATGATGCGGGTGTACAGAATCTGAGAGTTTCTTTACCCCGGATTCTTGGGAGACGGGGCTAAGTATATAATATTAGTCCTGGCACGACGGGGCGATGATGGCATCCATTAGTCAATGGCGCATCCACTCCGGGGGTGGCCGGTTGTAATGGCCCAGTTGGCTCCAACAATTCCATGGGCGGCGGCACGATGTGTCAAGCGGGGTTTCGTGACTTGTTGGCTCCGTGAGGCCGAGCGAAGTGGACTGAAGCGCAGCGCCGAGAGGAGTTTTTATGACACATGAGATCCATGGATCTTCGCACTAGCAATCTCTAGCAGTCTCGACCATGTAGGCGGCTTCGCACTTGGCGCCTGCAGCAGTGGGCTCGTGACCTGCCGGCCGGATTAGGTAACACATGGTTGTGTTGGATTATGTCATCTTCCAAGGGGCCAGATTCGATTAGTAATTTGTAGTGCCGGGCATCCAGGGCACTCGTCTCCTCAGGCAGCGTGAAATTCTCCAAGGCAATAAGGCAGAAAGGCAGTAAGGCGCCAAGGCTGTCAGGCACGCAGTCGCGTCGCACCTCCTTTACACTTCCTCGAGACCCCCGCTCTTTTTATCTATCGGGCTCTTTCATTTTTCCCCGGACAATCGAATCGCGCACCTGCTCTGGCATGCATTGAAATTTTGCCGCCGCGACTCCCAGCAGCCAAAGAAAACCAAGCCGGATTCGCCCTCTCCCGGCACGCCCATCCGCCAGATCCTGTTTGCTCCCGTTGCACGGCGCGTTGCACGGAGCGCGTTTGGACCTGACGTACGAGCGTCCCCGATTCCCATCGGCGCCTCGGCTCTCCATCCTGGCTGACACAGATCGTCTCCCACCATTGAAGTCGCTTGAATTTCAACCACACACACGCTCCATCATGGAGGAGGACAACCCAAGCAGCCCGTCCACTCCTGCAGAGGACCGACGCAAGTCGGGTCGCATGACGCGACGACCCGAGGTCTTTTCACAGACCGACCACTCCATTGTCAAGGCAATCGCGAGCAGTAAGCGCAAGCGTGGCGACGCGCTCGACCAGTCGGACAGTGACAACGACGTATCGGAATCGGAGAGCGACGACGCGGCCGACGACGAGACCGACGAAGAGGAGATAAGAGAAAAGCGACGCGCTACCCGTAAGGTTGGTACAAAGAAGACTGCTGCTAAGAAAGGCTCGCACGCCGCGAAGAAGCCCAAGGTTACGGGCAACCCGGGGGGAAGACAGCTGGCTTTCCGACCCGCCGTCAACGGTCGACTCCCGACATCGCGCCCCCGCAAGATCAAGGTCCGGCCGAGTCTTGCCTCGGGTGAACGAGGATTATATGGTGAGATTCCCTGGTTAATGCGTGAACAGAATTCATTTAACAGATGCAATCAGCGGAGGTTTTCGGAAAGAGCAATAATGCCGATACGGCCGCTGCGCAGTGGCTAAGTCAATACCAACGCAATGCTGGAGCTGCCATGACCGACCTCGTCAATTTCATCATCCGATGCACAGGCGCCGATCTGGAAATCACTCAGGAGCAGGTGACTGATATCGACCATGCCCCTAATCGTGTTAGCGATCTACAAACGATGTACCTCGCGGAGGGAATCACGGATTATCCGCTCATTTCCAAAGTCAGGAAGTTCCGCGCATTCCAGCCGGTTCTCGAAGAATTTATCACCGCATTAATTCAAACTTTCCATCACTCTTCGATCCTCTACACCGATGAGGCTCTGCTAGAAAATATCCAGATTTGGATTTCTAGCATGTCAACAGCGGGTATCCGGCCATTCCGGCATACGGCAGCTGTCATTTCGCTAACTATGACAACCGCTATGTGTGGTATCGCACGCGAAGTGACGGCCACGGTGACGACCTCTCGCAAGCAGCTTGAGAATGAGAAGAAAAAGAAGACCGTTAACAAGGGCCGGGTGGAAGCAATTCAGACTGCCGTCTCTGAAGGCGAAGGAAAGATCGAGCGCCTGGACGACTTTCTGCAGGACGGATTCGATCTTGTCTTCGTCCACCGTTATCGTGATGTGGATGGCAGCATTCGTGGCGAATGCCTGGCATCTCTTGGCCGATGGATCACTATTTACCGGGAAATGTTCTTCGAAGGCCAGTACCTCCGGTACCTGGGGTGGACTCTTGCGGACGTCGTACCCCAGACCCGACTGGTCGCGCTGACGCAATTGCTGCCTCTCTACGAGAACAAGGACAATATTGGCGTTCTGCATTCCTTCACTGATCGTTTCCGCTCGCGCATCGTTGAGATTGCTGCGCAGGATGCCGATATCAATGTGCGTGTGGCTGCGATCGAGTTGCTGAACCCTCTCCGGGAGGCAGGTTTGCTTGAACCTGACGACATCGATGCCATCGGCAAATTAGTCTTTGACATAGACCCTCGGATCCGGAAGACGGCAGGCCGCTTCTTCGTTGCCAACGTCCAGGATGCATTTGAATCGTCGATCGAAGAGGTGGGGGATGAAATGAACGAGGTATTTGCCGATGACGACGATGAAGACGACTTCGAGACGCCCAAGCGCTCATGGATCAAGTTTAAGACACTGGTGGATATTTTCCAGGCTTACGATGACCGTGGAGATGATGAAACCCCTGAACCAACCACAGCACGGGGGATGCTTTCTGGGGCGCCCGCGGAGTCACGCTTCGTTCTGGCAACGGAGGCTATATATCCCTACATGGAAGAGCTCTCTCAATGGCAATCCCTGGCTGGCTATCTACTTTATGACCACTCACAGATTGAGGATGAGCCGGAGGAACATGATACCACCGGAGTGGGTCGGACCTTGTATAAGATGCAAGAGGGCCAGGAATCCATCCTCCTTGAGATTCTCTGTGCCGCAGTCAAACTCCGTGTGCTTGACGTCGCAAAGTCCGACATCGACAAGCGGGGACGCAAGGTCAAGGCACTGACCGCTAAGATTCCCGAGCTTCAGGAGGAAATCTCTCACAGCCTCGCCCAGATTATCCCTCAACTTCTCAACAAATTCGGATCTGCACCGGAGGCTGCATCTGCTGTTCTGCGACTGGAGCATCTGGTAGACTTGGACACTATTCAAGATCTCCAGAAGGATGCCATAGCATACACGTCATTGCTGAATGACATTAACAAGCAATTCTTGACCCACTCCGATCAGGATGTCTTGGCTGAAGCAAGCGTCGCTTTCTTGCATGCCAAGAGCTCCGAGGAGATGCGTGAGGCTCTCGAGGGCAAAGTTCAGGAGCTGTGGGATGATATGGTCGACACTCTTAGCGCATTGTCTCGCAAGAAGGAGGTTCAAGCGGGCGCCTACATCTCAGATCCGACTCTCACCGACCTCGCCAACACTGTCACGCGCATATCTAATCTCTCTGCTATTACCGACTGCACAACGATCCTGGAGACGGTGCCAAAATCTCGCTCGAAATCCAAGAAGGATAATCCCGAGGCTCCCTTTAACACGCTCCTTCATCTGACCCAGCGTGGCGTTCGCAGACTGGATGACGATGAAGAAATTGCCAGGGCGGAGACCGAAGTGATTGCCAACAGCGTCCGAATTTTGCTTTTCTATTTCATGTGGAAGGTGCAGGCTCTGACAGCTGCATTGAATGCTGGGAAAGCCTTCTTTAACACATCGTATTTCGAGGCGCTCACAAAGAGCCGCGAGGCATTTGCCTCGGCGCTTCTTGCTATGATGCAACAGCGCACAGGTCTGGATGATCTGCGATTCACAGCTGTTACAACATACCTGGATCTCCAAACTCTTTTCGGCACTCTTCGCAACGTCGGTCAGGGTGTTGGCAATGACGAGGATGTTCTGTTCCAAGCTCAGAGCCTTGTACACGAGGTTCCGTCCGATGCCCAAACTCTTATCGCCAAAATCCAACACAGCGCGGAGCGCATGTTTGCTAAAAAATCCAATCGCGACCTTGAGCCTGCCGAGGATGACGCGCCCGCTTCCGAGGATGAGCCCGAGGATGACGACGAAGCTAATGCCTCCGAGGATGAGGCCGTGATGAACGAGCGCCTCCGCAGCGGCATGGTCGCGGAGCAGCGTCTCTGTGAGTTGACTGGCAAACTCGTTCTGGCCATCATTGGCCGCGTGGTCGATGCCTCTGGCTCGCAGCGCGGGGCTCTCAAGAAACGACTTCTTCGTAACAAGACTGCCCTTGGTCAGAACTACCGCGAGGTTTTGTCATACTTGGAGGAGCGCAAGCCCCGCAATGCCCCCCGCAGCAAGGGCAAACAGCCCGCCAAGGGCAGCGCTGCCGAAGGCCAGACGCCCGCGGCAGGTAAGGACTTCAAGTCTGCGGAGCGCGTCGACAATGATGAGGAGGAGGAGGGTGGAAATTCTGATCCCGTGGAGGAAGATGATGAGGAAGATTTGCGTGTTCGAGGACTCGTTGAGGAGGATATTGACCGCGAAATCGATGAGAACGAAGAGCTCAATGAACCAGCACCGGAATCAGACGAGGATGAGGTCATGGGCGATTAAATGGCTGCTGTGATCAAGGTATCAAGTGATACGACGAAGGACTGTGCAGTATTTTTGAGCCGATCTTCTTTCCCCTTTTCCTTCGCTTTTTCTCTCTTAATATTCCCGATGTCTAAATTAACATTTCTCTTTGCTGTTCGTTATCAAACTTTCGAATTGTCGCTGAAAAATACGGCCATGAATTCTGCAGACTTCGGTATTCATTGCCTGTGCTGAAAGGATAATGGTCTTCATTTATAAAAATGTATATGTATGTATCAAGAACAACTGAGCCTCTCCTATTTTGAACTGTGCAAAGAAAACATTTCCACGTCCCTTGGCACTCGATATTGACGCTAGAGTTCTTCTTGGTATATGAGAAAAAACACCGTGCACCCCAGGAAATAAAGCTTCGATACACTGGACGTGGCTCTTCGAGTAGACGGACGCTGAGTACATGCCAACTGCAGATCATGTCACAAGGTAGATTGCGAAACTGCATCGTACAGAGCGTGACGGATTTGCAGCTGCAACAAGACTGTCCTGGAAGCGGTCTTTGCAAGCACCATGCGACGTGCAGGAACTCTGTGTGGTGGTATGCTATGCAACAGCTCGAAATTATGGGGCCCATCGGCTTGTCTTTCTTTCCCCGTTGTGCTCTCTGGCCAGATGCCAACAAGCGTTCCAAGGATAGCTAGAATGACGATGCCAAAAAAACAAACGAGGGCGACAGGGTCTCCTCGACGAGGATACAATCTACGCTACCTAGTGTAGATGACACAGGGTTTATTTCTTGGTAGGAATAACAAAGCTGAACTGCGTAAAACGTGGCATTTGTTCTGGCAAATTGCGAGAAGAACTACAAACGTAGTGGGATCGACGAACCATTGTTCCAGGCGACGTATTTTAACCACACCATCAGCGAGATCACCCCGACTCCGGTATTTCATTGCAAGCAACAGCATCTACCGAGGAGAGATATGCCAACAGAAACGCCCCTGGTGCCAGCGAGCGAGGGATGACTTTCATGTAGAGGAAGGAAGGCCCTAGTGAGAGACACCAGGAATTCGAGAATGGGGTGACATTAACATAAATAGAAAGCAACCAATCCTGCAAACAAAATACGCCTGTGTATGAGGATGCTAAAAAGGGGGGAAGGGGGGGAGGGGAGGGAGGGGGTTACATGACGGTGAATCTTTATCGTGAATCAAAATGGAAAAGGGAAAATCGTGACAAGACCCTAAGGCAACAGCGGGGATGGAGAATAGACAATGACGCGGTTGCTGCTTCATCACAACAAGAGCATTGGGTAGCGCCCGGAAAGAACCGAGATGGGAATGTGAATCGTCTGAGCGGAAGACCTTCATGGTTCAGCAGAATCTGCTAAGCGTAATTTGTGCTAAACAATCCTGGATGGAGAAAATGGTGCAAACAGGTGCAAGCAAAACAACACGCACGAGGTAATTATGGATAGAAATGGGAGAAATATGTCCCATTTACATGTCCATGGAATCACCACCGTTAGCGAAGTTGAATCCACCGGCGGGCTGCTGCTGGCCAGTACCGAGAGTGAAACCAGCCTGGGTCTGCTGGGGAGCCAGCTCGTCGATCTCGCCAGCAGCCTCATCCTCGTCAGAGAAGTATTTCTCGATGATGTTGTAGGCCTTCATGTAGATCTCCTCGTTGGCGTTGTTCTGGCAGTCGTGGATCTTCTCCATGCCACCAGCCTCCTCGATGAAGAGAGCGTAGCGGTTAACACGGGCCTCACCTTGGCCAGCCTCCTTGTCCATCTCGCCAACCTTCAGGATGTTCTCAAGGCCATCAAGGGCAACCTGGATGATCTTGTTGTCGGGGCAAGCAAGCAGGTCGCACAGGGGCTTGATACACCCTTGGGAGACAAGGTAGCGAATCTGCTCGGGCTTCTGGAGACCACCCGAGGTGGCGTTGGAGATAGCCCAGCAAGCTTCCTTGCGGGTCTTGAAGTCACCGTTAGCAAGAAGGTTGATGAGAGGGGCAATAATGCCAGCATCAATAACGGCCTGGATTTGGCTGGAGTTACCAGCAGTGACGTTGGAGATAGTCCAGCAAGCCTCCTTACGGATGCCATCCTTGGTAGAGCTCAGGAGAGAAAGCAAGGCAGGGAGGGAGCCGCAGTTGATAATGACCTGGGTCTGGACATCATCGCCGGTGACGATGTTGCCAACAGAACGGAGGGCAGGGGTCTGAACAGAGGTGGAGGCGTGCATGAGGAGCTCGACCAGGCGGCGAGGAATGCCTGCTTCAATCACAGCCTGGATCTTGTCGTTGGCGCCATCGGAGAGGTAGGAGATGGCCCAGCAAGCATCGATCAACACCTCATCGTCCAGCATGTAGATAAGCTTGGCGAGGACAGGCAGAGCGGGGGCAATCTAGTTTGATGGTCAGTCCAAAAGCCTAAAATATAGATAGCAGGGTTGTCGAGGGAAAACCATACTGTGTTCCAGTCGGGCTGGGGGGTCTTGCCACGGCAGAAGTTGCTGAGAGTCCAGGTCGCGTTGCGGAGCATGCTCAGCTTACGGCCATCGTTGATGAGGTTCAGGAGCGGGCGTAGAGCACCGGCACCAAGAACGAAGTCGCGGCAGTGAGGGCTGTCACCGGCAATGTTTCCGAGGGCCCAGACGGCCTGCTCCCGAACATCGGGCTCGGGGCTGCTGAGAAGCTCAACGAAGATGGGGACAGCACCGGCCTCGATGACAACCTGGGTTTGCTGGGCAGATCCGGACGCAATGTTGGTCAGAGCCCAGGCAGACTCGAATTGCACAAGGGTGTGAGGGGAGCGAAGGAACTCGACGAAGCGGCTGACGACGCCGGTCTCGATAACACGCTCGATCGGGGGGTTGCGCTCCTTGGATAGCAATTTGCGGAACTTGGTGGTGGCCTGAATTTGCTCCTCAACCTGGTCGGAGAAGACACCCTTCACCATCTGGGGGAGTTCGACGTTGAGCTAGAAAATACATCGTGTCAGCTGGGGCACGGTATTCTTTCTTTATTTTCTCGCCATGCGCCTATATAGCATATAGTGGGGTCGGGTGTGGTAACGGCCCGGGTTGGAGGGGTTGGCCCCATGGCAACCGGGCGGTGAAAAAAAATTCCATGTTGATGATCGCATCATGAAAACAAAGGAAGAGTGGGCCAGAGGCGACCGTCAAGGAGGGGGGGAAGTGACTTGGTGATAAATGACGAAGAAAGAAAATCGCCCGAGGCGATCTTCAAGCTCCAAACAAAAGAGACAACGAAGAAAGTAGGGGAAGTAGAACTAACCTCGCTCTCAATAGCACTGGCCTCATCGTCACTCTCGGTGGCGGCGGCCATGCCACCACCAACACCAATTCCACCATCCCGAGTCTGAATGCCACGTCGCTTGGCCAAGTTCTCCTCACGCTTCTGCTTGCGAATTTCGATCTGCTGCTCCTCGCGGCGGCGACGGAGCTCATCGGGGCGGAACTGGTTCTTGGCCTTGAACTGCGTCCGGCGATGCTCGGGAATATAGCGTTCCGCCATGGTGTCTGATGTAGAGAAAAGAAAGCGCGCCTCCGAAATCAAGAGTCAGAGAGTTGATGGAGATGGGCGCGCAAGCGATGGGGGAGAGGAAGGAGAGATGTGGGGGAAGGAAGAAGAGGAAGAAAGGATTCGTGTGGGAAGGAGGGGGGATCATGTGACGCTCCCCATTATTTACTCTTCACGCGTTTGTCTCGCCGACAACTGGCGTCCGTCGGCGGCTCAAGAGCAATCTAGAGCCAATACCATTGACAGTCAATTATTCCCCTGCAGCCTCTGTGCCTTTCCGGGGTTTTGTGACAGGGCCCGCCGTGTCCGATCGAGCCAGGATGGACATCCACTGAGAAACCGCACCGTACAGGAAACGGCTGCACCACTTCCCAGAAGAAAGTCGTTGTAGGGGTCGATCGCTGCTTCCGGAAAAGTTGACATTGACAACTGCCTCTTACTGAGGTCTGATTCATGCAGAGCATGGCCTCTTCTGAGCTGGTGGACATCAGCACTGCGTGCTCTCGTCGGGGGCATCTCAGCACCGTCGGCGTCGTGGTGGACACTCTGCCACCCTATCGCACAAAAGGCTCTTCAGTCTGTGTCACATTCACTATTAAAGACTGCCACTTCGATAAAGCAACCTGGTATGGTGGCCTAAAAGTCAAGTATTTTAGCGATACTATGGACGCTCTTCCCAATCCTCGCGTCAATGATGTAGTTCTACTACGAAACGTTCGAGTAGGTGTCTCCCAGTGAACCTCGTCCTACTAACACATGTTGTAAAGCATGGACTGATTTTATGTTCATTAGATCAACATGTTCCAAAACAAGCCGACCGGAGTTGCCTCACAGCATGACACGGTCCCTTGGGCAATCTTCCGGTCGGACTCAGATCCCAGCTCGAGCCCATCCATTACCACGGGCCCTGTTCCTTTTCCACTCAAGCAACTGGAGAAGCGAGCGGCGTTGATGCTGTTAGATGGGGTTGCAACAACAGGACAATCCACGGTGCCACAATCTGTGCTACAAGAGCCAGTCCTGCAGCAGACGTCCCAGGTAGTTCAAGTGTCCATGCCAGCTTCGAACCCAAAGCGTGGATTTCTGCCATTTCAACTTATTAGAGATGTGCAGCCAGGCCCCTTCGTTCAAATTCTCGGCCAAGTAGTGAAAATGAACACAATCGATAGCGAGAAGTGTATCATGTACATCACTGATTACACATCAAATGAATCTCTGATGGACATAAAAAAAGAAGACGGAGATTTGGGAACGGAAGGAGATACTTATGACTATCTGTCTCGCAGAAAGAAGAATTGGCCCGGTCCCTGGGGAAAGATGACAATACAAGTTACCCTATGGGAACCGCACGCCACTTTCGCGCGAGAACATGTCAGTGGTGGCAAGCTCGTGCTTTTGACATACACGCGTATCAAGCCTGGACGTGACAGCGGCCTAGAGGCTGTTGTTCATGAAGATAAACGATTTCCGAATAAAATTCACGTTCGACTGATCTCGGATGACCACGACGATCGCGCTCGAGAGCTCATGGAACGACGGAAGGAATACTGGAAAATACACGGCAAACCGAGCGAGGATCCCAAGAAAGCTGCGAAAAGGAAGAAGAACGATCAGAAGAAACCGGAGGGGAAAGTGGAGGAGGGCAGGAAGACGCTGTCAATGCCAGTGTCTCGAACGAAGACCAACGACTACAGTAAGTTAATTATTAATCGCTGATTTCAAAGGGGACAAAAATGCTAACATTACTGCAACAGTAAAAACACGCTCCTACGATGTCCCTCCCCGCTCTATAGATTACATTCTCTCGGGCGAATCGCACATCAACAGACTTTCCGGAGGAATCACCTACCGACTCCCTTTCCAAAATGTTTGCTACCGACCTGAAGTCCGTGTGGTTGATTTCTTTCCCCCGAATCTCGAAGACTTTGCGGTGCAAGTCCCCATGGGGTCTATTATGACTGGTGATGATAACGAGAATGCGGCCAGCACCCAACGCATGGAGTGGGAATGGCGGTTTTGCCTTCTTGTCGAAGGAACAGAGCCTCAGGTTCCGAGGGATCAAGCTCGAGAGCAGATGAAGCTTTTTGTTACGGGTGCAGAAGGCGTGCATCTGCTAAGCCTTGATCCTACTAAGTAAGTCCCCGTCCTTTTGATTTATTAGTTCTCATTCGCTAATTATTTTGTTGCACAGTCTCCGCCTCCATCCCTCAAGGTTAGGAGAGCTCAGAGAGAAACTCTTCATTCTGTGGGGCGACCTTGAAGAGCTCAAGCAAAAGCATGCTGCGGATACTGGCAGCACAGCAGACTGGGTTCCGTCTAAGACATCCTCGTTACCTTTCAAATGCTGCATCAAAGAGTACGGTGTACCATGTACTCATCCACGGAACCCTGACGCAATGGTCGTGGATGGGCCTGACAGGCAGGTTTGCGTCGAGCCCGATTGCTTTGGGTGGGAAAGACGATTCGCCATGTTCGGGACGACGATTCATTCATGATTTTCTAGCATTTCTGCATCCACGGGCAACGGGAGATGTTTAGCATAGTGACTAGGAGCATTGCTGCAACTCTACCACAGTAATTGATATAAGTCGTGTAGGAATTCATCCGAAATATCAAATCAGAATATTGTAGTAACATTAATACAGTTCCAGCTTGCATCAGTGCATCGTGAGATAAATCAACACCCCGGAACCTCCTAACCCGACCCTCATTCTGCACGGAACGATGAATAACATCATGACCTGCAGTGTTAAGTAAAGTCCATCTCATACGCCATTCCTGGTGACTCCGAAAGAGAAGAAAAGAAAACGCCCATCAAGTAAGAGATACGTTCGGCAAATTTGTGTTGGACCCCCGAAAACAGAAATAATCAGAGAGCAGAGAGAAAGAAAACACTAGGTACCAGGTTAGGCGAGAACCCACACGCGAAATTGAAGACTGCAGGCCAGGGAAACAGCCGATCTTTGTTCTGTTTCACCAGGTCGAACTGCGGGAAAATGCATGCGACGCCACCTCGACGCCGTAATTTGCAGAAAACGAACCCATGTATGCCCTCATCACGCCACAGTCGAGAAGAAGACGCCCCTGAAACAAGATCCGAAAGAAGAAGGATTTATTCAATTCGCCGCAGAGATATTGAGAACAGGAAAGCCCCCTCTGGCAGTATAAAATAATGGAATTTCAGTGACCATTTAAATTTTCGTCACTTTGACGATGTTGGTGTCGATGCCGTGGGCAACGGGCTCAAAGCGGCAGCTATCGCCACGGAAACAGGTCTTTTTCCCAGGCTCGCTCTGAGGGCAACGGTGGCCGTAGATGCACTCGGGATCATCACACTCCAGTCCGAATCGGCAAGGGGTCATGCGCGCGATGGCTGTCAGGATGTGGAGTTCCTGCTTGGTCAACTTACGGTCATGGTCATGGTAACAGTTCTCCTCGTTAGGGCACTCTCCGAGAAGGAAATGGTAATTGCACAGCTTGAGCTTCTTCAAGCGATTTAGGTCATCACGAGGAATGCTCTTGAAGTCAAGTCGGTCTACGCGCTGGCCGTATTTGTTGCGCTCCACCGTTTTGGGAGCCGCCGAACCGGATGTCTTGGAGCGACTAACTTGCTGGAAATCAGGAGAGCCGCCATTGAGGTTCGGGGTCGTAGCTGATAGAGCGACGCCTGAAGCACTCGTATTGGTTGAAGTCCGCGACAAAGTTGGGGGATTGGAAAGATTTGAGAATTGTCGGGAGGGGGAAGGTGTCATTAAGGTTCGCGAGGGCAGAGCGCTCTTCCAAGGAGCGGTGGCCCACGCCGGCGCCATTTTCGCTGAACGAAACACTTCTGGAAATCTGGCGATCCGATATGAGCCTTTCAAACCGTCCAGTTCTTTCTCGAAAGGAACCCCTTCCACAAGCGAGATACGACCAGTGAGATCGTTGTCTTTTGACACATCCTCAAGGAATAGAGCATATTCAAAATTGGAGGGGCAACCGACGAAGATCTGGTGACAGTGGCAATTGTATAGGAAGACTTGGAAGGTCTCTGTGCGGTAGAAGATGAAAACAGATTAGACGCAATTCCTTCAGACTGGAGCAAGAGGCGATCCACAAACCTTGAATTTTATGCTGCGCTTTGTTCTTGCCAGGTCCAATGTCCACAATCTCGGAGAACGACATGGTCTCATTGAAGCCGCGAATAAAATCATGGATCGCTCCAGGTTCCGCGAAGAGCCCACTGCGTGCACACTGCTCGCCAAATCCCCTCACGTTCAGGTAAATTTTCATCATTATCTTGGGCGTAGTGACGCTTGGGAGGTTCGACCTCAAGTATGAGTGGATCGCGGCGTAGAGTTGGTCGGCGGCATTTCGGCCACCTTCTTCTCCGGCCTGCAAAAATTCATCCTTAAAAATAATACCCTCGCCGTCGAGCAGCACGACGACAAAAGGTTCTCGGTCCTGGAGGGAACCAGCCACGTATCAGCGCATGCTCCGGGGTGTCTTCCCACCACGCGCGCTCACCATAATAGTCTTGATCTGCGATATCTGCTGCATCAACTCCATCTCGTGTAGCTGGATATCGCGATTGAAACGAGTTTCGCGTTCATGGTCGAGTTTCTCTTGTTGGAAGGAGGCTTCTAGGTCGGTCACTCGTTTCAGAAGATCCTGTCGTGGAGCGCATGCATTTAGCCTTTGTTAGCACCAAGGAAGGAGTAAGGCGCCTACCTCGATAAGCTGGTTCTTCTGCTGGTCCAGTGTGCCTAACTGGCGATATCGTTCGAGAAATGGTAAAGAATCCATTGTTTGTAGTGGTTGATTAAGGGTTAGGAAAATGGTCTGTAAAGTCCCGGAAAGAGACAGATCAAAAGAGGTGAAGGTTGAGCGAATTGATCCTTCAGGAACGAGATAGCATTAAGTAGGCAGGCGCTTGCGCGGTGACACGGCGCTTCGCCCTTTTTGAGACAAAACTCTCACTGAAAGCGTCAAAGGCGATTCTTTTCTGCAAGATTCCGCTTTAACAAAACGGAGCTTGCCGTGTCTTAGACTTAATCTGATTCTTGTCCAAAAAAAAAAATTTGATCTCTAAGGGAGAGGACGCGTGGCTGAGTCAGCTTCCCCGGTACCGAAGTGGACCTACCTAAATTGCAACGTGTGATCACCCCTACTTGCCTCTACTTTCGTCTCGTGGACTTCCCAATTGTTCTCTACCTTCTCCTGCTCTCAAGATGACTCGCTTTGGATTCCTCTCTCTGGCCCTTCTCTCGCTCCAGACCTTTGTCGGCACCGGCTTTGCAGCTGTAAGTTTGTGTTTGTCTGGTGGCTTGTTTGCGTTCTCTCAATCACACAGGTCCGATCGGCGGAGGTACTCAATGGCCATTGACTGACACCAATTCGTTTTTCATACAGGATGCTGAGAAGGTCGCGGAGGCTGAGTCCCCCAGTCTCGCCGTCTCGGCGCAGGCTTCTTTCCCGGCCTCTGAGATCTTCGGCGTGAAGCTCGTTAACGGTCACCCAACCCAGGCGCTGATCGATTTCACCAACGACGAGCCCAACCCTGTCACAGTCAATTTCGTCGGAGGCAGCCTGTGGAGCCTCGATCAGGAGCAGAGCAAGAATGTCCGCAACCTGACCGCCACGCGGTACGGTGTCGAGATCCCCGCGAACTCGAAGGAGACGATCAGCTACAGCTTCGCGACTGAGATGCACCCGGTGGATGTCCGTCTGAACATCGCCGCCGTCATGTCGGACAGCGAGGGCCAGTTTTTCACCGTCCAGGCCTTCAATGGCACTGTGAGCGTGGTGGAACCTGAGACCAGCTTCTTTGACCCCCAGATGTAAATGCCAACCCCTTCCCCCCACCATATGCATCTCCCCAGGAACAATTGGCGCTGACCGTGAATTCTAGTATCTTCCTCTACTTCTTCCTTCTGGCCTGCTTTGTCGGCGTGGTGTACTTTTTCTATACCGTCTGGCTCGCGCCCTACTTCCCTCAGAAGCGCAAGGGCGGCAAGACCGGTGAGAAGAAGACCCCTGCCAAACGTGAGATCGTCGAGGAGAGCACCAGCCCTGCTGTCGCCTCGGCCACCACCTACAACGCCGACTGGATCCCTGCCCACCACATCAACCGTCCGGAGCCCCGGAAGGTTAAGGGCAGCAAGTCCAAGGCCCGCGTGTAAAGGGATGCCATGCAACCAATAATATTCAGCGGAATGGGGAGTGACAACGGAAAGGAGAAGCACTAGGCTTATTTCTGAAATTCTGTCGGGCGACAGACGTGGCGCACACGCTGAAAATGCACCACGCGTTATCTGTCTGTCTGCCCCTTTGACATCGGAGCATGTACATTTACGAGCACCGCAAATTGGCCTAGGATAGCTACCTCCGAAGGTCATCTTGCGGCCTACGGAGGTTTGATATACAATTTGGAAGCAGGCTGATCGCTTGCTGCGGACGTGGTTGTCTGCGCATCGTGGCCCTGTCGGTTACACCATCTTCCATTCTTTAAACTCCTCCTCTAGATGCTTCTTCAGCTCAACAAAGCGGTTCCCGAAATTGTCTCCACAGCGCCAGCAGATGAAATCCCGCTTTAGATAGCCTTCCCGTGTGGGATGCCGCCTCTCATCCTCTGGTGCCAAGGGAAAGTCGTCGATGGGCACGAAGAACGGCGTGGAGAAGCTGTTGTAGTGCTTTCGGTGTTTCAGTCGCTCGCTATACCGGTCCACCGCAATGACATGTACATGTAGATGGTTCATTGACGGAACTGCATGAACGCCACATATGACCTCCTTATCCCAATCGCGCCCAGGCGGCAGCTCGTCCGGCGGCGGATCGGCTGAGAGGGCTGCCTGTCTCGTTTGTTCCTGTACAGAGTGCTTTCCATATATCCGCCGGAGCTCACCGGCTGCTAGCTTGCGAAGCTTCTGTGTTTCCAGTTTCACCTTCGCGAGGTATTCGGCATCTTCAAAGGCTTCGAAAGGGTGGAGACGGGTCTTGGTTTGATCGCGCGGGAGGAGGAGCAGGTGCAGCGACGATTTCGGAAACATGTCGTGAATTGCGACGAAGTCATCATTATAGTATATTACGACGCTGGATGGATACGATTCAGGCTTTGTGATATATGCGCCCAATCCCTCTCGGCCTCCAAGGGAAGCCTTGCTGCCGTGTGGCGCATTGCTTCTGGAAGAGCTGCCGGACGTGTGTTTCAGCTGCTTGTTTCGGGAGGAGAGGAGCTCGGTGACTATGACAGGTCAGTGTGAGCCTCTTCGCATGCTAACAGCAGGTCAAACCTCAAGACGCACAGGCATTTCGCTTCTCCGTCGTTGCGGTCTGCTTCTGGGGGAAGCCTTTGTCGCTTTGCTCAGGTCTTGGCTTTGCTCCATCTCAGACATGAGGGGCAAACACCGGGCAAGTCAGATCACATGGAAGGAGAGCTTCAATGAATAGCTTCTCAGGTGACATGAAACCACAGGGATGCCCTTCTGTTGCTAAGGTTGTTATGTCGCCTTGCCACGGAGCCTTCCCAAAAATCTCCCCGCAATCCGCCCAAAGCGGTTTAGTGCGGGACCATGGGCGGAAAAGGCCCAAATGCTCGCCGCAACACCCTTCTCCAGCGCCAGCGACAATGGGCCCCAAGAAGAAGCCCGACGCCCGCGGTGGCCCCAAGCCCGGCACCAAGCAGGCCAAGGCTGCAGCGGAAAAAGCGGCGGAGAAGAAGCCCGCCCCAGAAGAGCCCAAGAAACCGACCGTGAAGGATGTGATTGGCGGCGCATCATGGACGGGCAAATTACCTGTCAATATGCTGTCGGAGCATTGCCAGAAGCAGAAATGGGAAAAGCCAGAGTACAGCATGGTATTTCAATCGAGCACAATAACATCCTTGGTTGTAGCGGCGTGAGCAACTGCTAATGAGTTGGTGCTTGTGACCATTACAGATTCAAACCCGCGATGGCTATGTGTCGGCGGTGACGCTGAAGAAAATAGATCCCAAAACGAAGGAATTGACCGTCCTACCCCCCATGAAGCTGCCTCCGACGCATAAAGAGCTAGCTGCCCAGCCGACAGCCCTCGAAGCCCGCCATTTCGCCGCGGCCTTTGGGCTCTTCCGCGTGTGCAATATGCGCAATCTCCACATGATGCTCCCGCCGACGTATAAGAAATTGTGGAGGGAGGAATTCGCAGAAATAAAGACCGCAGAGACAAAAGAGGGCAAGGGCTGGTTATATGAAGCAGATCCATTCTTGGCCAAGCAGGAACGCGAGAGCGCTGCGGCAGACCTGCAAAAGAAAAAGGCAGAGCGCGAAAAGATGCAGGCGAAGGAGAAGGCCTCTGCGGCCGACCTTGGCTTGGGAAGCGGGGATAACAAGGGCAAGCGCATCTGGTCACAGGCGCCCAAGGTCGACATGGGCGCTCGGATCCGACGAGAGATCGAGGGCCTTCTGCGGCAACACACGGTCTGGAATGCTTACGGGGTGAAGATTCCAGAGAAGGAGAAGAGCATCATCGTCGAGGAGTTCTCCCGCTTGGGTTTTCGACGCAGCCACGTCGAAGAGGCAGTTGCCGAATGCAAAGACCGCGAGGAAGTACTGGAGTGGCTATTGGTCTACGTGCCTGAAGATGATCTTCCACGGTGGAGTTTGCCCGAGGGATACTCGGCGGGTGTCAGTCTCGCTGCCGGCGATCTCGCAAGAGAAGCCAAGATCAAGCGGCTAGCCTCCATTGGATATCCGGCAGATCTGTGCTCGCAGGTGTTAGATAGCAAGAGCGGCGATGAACTGGCGGCTGCGGAGTATCTGCAGAGTACGCTAGCTCATGGATCAGCATTCGCATCGGCTTCGATCGCAGAGGGCGATGCAGGCGCGTGGGCGGAAGAACAGGATACGCTGGAGGCCATCTTTGGTGAACGCTACTTGCGTGTCTCCCCCAGGGTCTGCGAGATCAGGAGCGAGGCCCCCGAGATCCCCGAAAACACCGTCTTCCGCTTCCAAGAGCCATCCACGCACTACCCGACGGCGCCTCCAGTCATCTCAATCCAGGCCAAGAGTATTCCGGCGTACATCCGGCTCAGTGCGATTCGTCGAGCGGTGCAGTACGCTGAGGAGAACTTCTCGGGCGAGTCCATGATCTTCAATGTCCTGGATTGGCTCGAGGTCAATCTACCCTGTATCATGGAGAGCCCGGGTAGACTTCGCGAGATCTCTGCTGTGACTGCTTCTCCAGCAGCAGACACTCGACACATACCCGCACGACCTGCTCGCAAGCAGCGCAAGGGCATTGATTGGAAGCCCAACTCCCCGCAAAGTCTGGAAATGCGCAGAGCCTGGGAAGCCAAGCAAACGACTCCGGCACAAGTTGCGATGTGCCGTAAGAGACAGGCTCTGCCTGCGTGGAATACGCAAGAGGATATCATCTACGCTGTCGACAATCACCAAGTCACCATCATCTCCGGTGAAACCGGTAGCGGTAAGAGCACACAGTCTGTGCAGTTTGTGCTGGACGAGATGATCAGACGTGGCCTTGGAGGCGCGGCAAACATCATCTGTACCCAACCGCGTAGGATCTCAGCCCTCGGTCTGGCCGATCGAGTCAGCGATGAGCGATGCTCGACCGTTGGGGATGAGGTTGGCTATGTGATCCGTGGCGAGTCGAAGGTTAGGCAGGGTGCGACAAAGATTACTTTTGTGACTACTGGTGTCTTGCTCCGCCGAATGCAGTCCGGTGGTGATGCAGATGGTAATGTTGCCAGCTCTCTGGCTGATGTCTCACATGTTGTTGTCGATGAAGTTCACGAGCGAAGTCTCGATACTGACTTCCTCCTCGCTCTGCTGCGGGATGTTCTGCGTCACCGCAAGGATCTGAAGGTCATCCTGATGTCCGCCACCCTGGACGCAGACATCTTCACGAACTACTTCGGTGGCCCCAAGTCCGTGGGTCTGGTCAATATCCCGGGGCGGACGTTCCCTGTGGATGATTACTACTTGGACGATGTTATTCGAGACACTGGCTTTGCTCCCGAGCTAAGTGAAGACTTTGACGATGATTTTGAGGCTCCCCGTGGCCAGGAGTCTCTCGGCAAGGCACTTCGGAGCGTCGGCATGGGCATCAACTATGAATTGATCGCAGCCACTGTGGAATATATCGATGCCCAACTAGGTGATCAACCAGGAGGCATTCTGATCTTCCTGCCCGGCACTATGGAAATCGAGAGGTGTCTGAATGCAGTGAAAAGGATCCCCAACGCACACCCACTGCCATTGCACGCTTCCCTCCTCCCAGCCGAGCAGCGCCGTGTATTCCAAGGTCCACCCCGGGGCAAGCGCAAGGTCATCGCCGCCACCAATGTTGCCGAAACCTCCATCACCATCGAAGACGTAGTCGCCGTCATCGACACCGGCCGCGTGAAAGAAACCAGCTACGACCCGAAGGACAACATGGTCCGCCTGCAAGAAGTCTGGGCGTCCCAAGCCGCCTGCAAACAGCGGCGCGGTCGTGCAGGCCGTGTCCGCGCTGGCATATGCTACAAGCTGTATACGCGCAAAGCCGAATCAAATATGGCGCATCGACCAGACCCAGAGATCCGCCGCGTGCCACTAGAACAGCTCTGCCTCTCCGTCAAATCCATGAAGGGCATTGACGACGTCGCAAACTTCCTCGCGAATACCATTACCCCGCCGGAAAGTATTGCCGTCGAGGGCGCCCTGTCCTTCCTGCACCGTGTCGGCGCCCTAGACCACAGCCGCCTCACGGCGCTGGGCCGGTACCTTTCTATGATCCCGGCCGACCTGCGCTGCGCGAAGCTCATGATCTACGGCTCCATCTTCGGCTGCATAGAGTCCTGCCTCACTATTGCGGCCATTCTCACCGTGCGGAGCCCATTCGTCTCGCCACGCGAGAAGCGTGACGAAGCCAACGCTGCGAAAGCCGCTTTTTCCCAGCCCGGCGATGGTGACCTCCTCACTGATTTGGCAGCCTACCAGTCCTGGGCCGAGCGAGTCCGGTCCCAGGGCCACTGGCAGACGCAGTCGTGGTGCGGCGCAAACTTCCTGTCCCATCAGACGCTGCGCGATATCTCCTCTAACAGGGCGCAATTCGTGACCTCCCTCAAAGACGCCGGCATCCTGCGCGTAGACTACACTGATGCTGCGATAGCGCTCAACCGCAACGGAGCCAATAAGAATCTGCTTCGCGCGCTAATTGCAGGCGCGTTCCAGCCGCAGGTTGCGCAGATCTCATTTCCGGATAAGAAGTTCGCAAGCTCGGTCACCGGTACGGTGGAGGTGGACCCTGATGCCCGGACGATCAAGTATTTCAACCAGGAGAACGGGCGGATCTTCATCCACCCCAGCTCGATTTTGTTCTCTGCGCAGGGCTATCCCAGCGCGGCAGCCTATCTAGCTTATTTCACCAAGATGGCGACCAGCAAGGTGTTCGTACGCGACCTTACGCGTATGTTTCCCTTCTACTCATTATATATGCATATCCCCACTAACACAGCACAGCATTTAACGCCTACTCCCTCCTTCTCTTCTGCGGCTCCCTCACCCTGGATACCATGGGCCGCGGCCTGATCGTAGACGGCTGGCTCCGGCTACGCGGATGGGCCCGCATTGGTGTCCTGGTATCACGGCTCCGGACAATGTTGGACGAAGCGCTGCAGGCGCGCATTGATAATCCGGCGCTCGGATCGGACGGTGGCGCTGGGGATCGGGTCATTGAGGCTGTGAAGAAGCTGATAGAACTGAATGGGCTTGATCAGTAATATAGACGTGCATGATGCACACAGTGCAAGACAATAGTTATACTACATTAGCATAGGGCCTGTGCTTTAGATAGACCAAAGCATCTTGAACTGCTTAGCCAGAATGGAGTCAACCGAAATCTGCCAGGTCCCGATCAGCATTGCGAGCTCCTACCTCGACCGTCCCTCAATGGGCTAGATGAGGGTTTACGTGTTTTAGATTTGTAAAGGGTGAATTACAAGGCAATAGAAGCATAGCACGAGGATATCCCAGAAATCACAATTCTATCCCTAAAGCTATGTCCTTATGCAATATCTGCGTAGTAATAAGAATCACGTAGCAATAGATGCATAGGGCTGAAGAGACAGTATGTGGCTCAGTGTGATAATGTGCAAAGGCAAATGAGAACATTGCTCCCTTCACAAGACAAGTTCAGAAAAAAAAATTCAGGAGACAGAAAAGGATCGTCATTAAAGCAATACGCTCGCGAGAGCAATGGCGGTAAAGAGGAATGAAAGCAGGAATCGAAAGCTGGGGAATGCTGAAACACTCATCACCGCAGAAAAGGGAAAGTGAAGAACACAGTATGTATCATGAAGGCAAGAGGAAATGAAGGCACAAAGAAAAAGGGAAAAAGAAAATTGAAGAGACGCCGAGGGAAAAGCAGTCCATGTGCGAAACGCCGTCCGACCCATTGAACTCCCCGCATCCGAAACATTGGCGTCAAGTTATCTCATCCCGAGGTCATAAAGCGGATGATTTTTGAGAAAAAAAGGGGTAGAGAGAATAGAAGAATCATGGTCGATGAAAAAGCACAAACGCCAGTAGGTATCAGGTTTCCTTAATCACTCCGCAGGCCATCCCTGGATTTGATCCCAGAAAGCCAAGGCAATGCATGAGAAATAAGAGAGGATGAAAGGGGCATGGTATCCTCGCGGCTAGTACAAGTAGCGAGGACATTCAGGTTGTTAGGCCTGAATCAACCTCAGTAGTTGGCCAGACCGTCCAGACGGCCAAGATTCTTGAGGGTGGTGGGACGAGGCAGGTTGAACCCACGCTTCATCTCAGCCTCCACGTAGAGGGAGGCACGCTTGAAACGGCGGTCGGAGTACTTCTCGTAAATCGCTTGGTGATGGTGCTGGGGATCCTCGCAGCACTCCAGCATGGTCGACATAACTGGGATGAGCTGCTCGTAGAGATAGCCGCTGTAGAAGGCATGGGCGGGGGTCTAGCAGAAAACAAGTTAGCAGAGGCACCTTTGAGGTCAACAGTTAGGGTTCGAATGAGAACATACCCAGCATCCCTTCTGCAGCATCAGTCGAGCAAGACAGTGAGCACCAGCAGCAGCGAAGCTAGGAGGAGTGGATACGAAGCGCTCGTCCATAATGGTCAACTCCAGGAAGTACTTAGCGACGGTACGGGTCTCAAGATCATAGTCATCAGCCTTGCTGATGCGTCGGAGGAAGCTCATGGGACCCGGCCAGCCGAGGTCAAAGTTGAGGATATTAAGCATGAAGCGCTCTGCCTTCAGGATTTCATCCACGGTGTAGCCACCATCCACCATATAGAAGATCTCACCAACGGAGGGAGCGGTGATTTCTTCATACTTGGCAGCGATGAAGATAGCGGTGGCACCCACTAGCTGGAGCTTGCCAAGTGAAACGATCTTGTGGGAGAGGAACCGATCGATGTAATTCACGCAGAGGAATAGGGTCTCTGGCAGAAGAGCGAAGCGGAAGTGGACCTGCACTAGCCAGTCCATGAGGACAGAGCGCATCGACCACTGGATCTCGGCTTGGTTGGCCATGTAGTCGGCCACGGGCAACATAGCAATCTGCAATGATTGGTCAGTATCAAGCGAGGTCGAAGCTGATTCGACATGACATACCTCCTTGGTTCGTAGGTGAAGGAAGATCTCGTTGCTGTACTCCGCAACCATGCTGGCGTCATAAAAATCCTCCATGATTTCCTCCTCCGTCTGAGCAGCCTCGACGATAGTCTTGGCCTGCAGCAACTCACGCTTGGTGACTGCCGTGATCTTGGGGTAGATCACGGTGGTTGTACCACCGGTCGTATTCTCTGCACGGAGAGGGTGGCCGCGAGGCTCTTCGTCCTCCCACTCCTCAGGCTCCGAAATGGCAGAGCCAGTGGCGTCCTGGCGAAGATAATCAGATTGAGCCTCCTGCGAGCTGCGACTGGGAGGTGCGGGAAGAGTGCGGGGCTTCCCCACATTCGGCACAGAAGAAGCAGGCTTGGTAGCCTCAGCCTGAGGTGGAAGCATCTCACGCCACGGGCGACTAACTTCGCTGGCCTCCACCTCAGTGACGGAATCCTCCGAAGGAATATCAAAGTACTCTTGCTCCTCCTCTTCGTTGTCCTTCTCGACATCCTTTCGTACAGCTTCTTCTTCAATGGGCCGTTCGTCGCGGCGCGCCGGCTGGGCAGTTGTGATGACTTCCTTGGATGGTTCCTTTTCGACAACAGGTTCCAGCTGGTCGCGGAAAACCACATTGTTGCGCTTGATGTTGTTCTTGAGGGCGGTAGATTGAACTTTGCCGGCGGGGTTTGCCGGCTTTGAAGTGACATTGTTCAGAAGGCCCTTGAGAGCAGACATCGACAGAGGACGTTGGGCAGGCTGCGACAGGGCGGGTTTGTTGTCCGCTACCTGAGTCGCAGGCTTGCCGGGCAGGTCCGAATCATCACGGATCGTCTTCACATTACTCACATCGCCAAAGGCTCGGCGAGTCGCGCCATTCTTCGCGTTCTGCGCCATCAGGTTCAGCGCAGGGGTGGACTTGTTGCGTTGATGGATGGTCTTGTTGGTGTGGACAGAGGGCGGCACATTTTCGTCCCCACGGACGCGAATACGCTGCGGCTGGATCACAACGTTAGTCTTCGAACGATGTCATGGCCATTGGGCGCACGATGAGCAAGACGGCATCAAGTTGTTATGTGCCAGCAACCACGCCCTTGATTCAGCAATTGAATCGCCGCAGGGTTGGGTGACGGCAACAGAAAACTCGAGCACGACTCGACAAGGCACAGCAGACATACCTTCGCATCCATTTCGCCGGAGCCCAAGAAGATGGCAGAGAATCACGATTGGCGATGAAGATGAGAAGTGGGATTGTTTATGTTTTGCTGAGTTGAGGATGTGAGTCGAGGTGGACCCGCTGCGCCTGATTGGCCGCACCGAGCAAAACAAACAGTCCGGACCCGCGGGCCTCGTGCAGGAACCAGTGAAATCCTGTGACACGCCTGTACACGTCGTCGCCGGGGGAAACGAAGTCTCTCGGATTCTGTGGAGGCACCCTTTGACAATTCCAGTGATGAGAAAGTATCATACGCCGTGCCAGGACTTGCCCAGCAGACGCATCAAAGGATGGCAAAGCGAACCGAAAGTTTTTGCCGGGGCCACAACAACAATGAAGGGATGACAACAATGCAAGGACTCTGTGACCGTACCATACGTCACTGTAACAGCCAAGGAGTTTGCACTGTTTGTGTAACTTATCTAAGCTCAATGCCAAGAGTAAGCTTATCAGCTTATCTATGACGTTATCATCTTATCGTCACGTCTCCCTCCACCACCCGGATTTTTGATTTCTCTTCCAACCAGCCCCATCTCGGGAACAAATCTTGAAAAAAATTTGTCCTGGAAGTGCCATCGTCCCTGACACCCTATTCCGATCCTTTCTGCACATTCTTTCTGGTTGGTGGGGGCACAATCGCCACGCGGGGATGAAAGTGGCCCCGGACGCGCTAGCACGCGGATCCACGTGACCCACACCGCTCGCTCCGGGTCGAGCGGTAAACGGTGGACAGCGATTCGATTCAGCCGAAGCGCATCCGAACTCGCTCGTTCTTGCAAGCTGTTGGGCATCGTGGATCCTAGACGCCTCGAAGGGGAATGCGGGGTTCTGATCCATCCTATCCAGCCTATCCAGCCTCGTTGCGAGTGGCTCTCGGGCTGTCTGGACGAGCGGCCCGAAACCGCTCATTACTGGCTCTCAAATCCCTTTGGAAGCGTGGAGACTCTGCGGGACTTACGGTCTGGACAAGCCATGTCGTAACGCACGTTCCGCCCTCCGGCAATTCTGGGCCATTCACCTACTCTATTTCAGTTCCTGCACCAAGCCAAAGGTGGCGTCTACGCTGTCTCCCATGGATGATCCTTAGTCTATCGCTCCGAGCCCTGCTAGTTTCCGGACAGACGCAAACTGCCTCTACCCTCCTCTTCTTCTTCTTCCTCCTCCTCCGTCTCCTCTTTCAAGAGGACCCTGCGACTGCCGCCCAACCCAATAAATGGGTCCGGTTGTAACTGCGTAAACTCCCTTAGCCTTCCCCGCCTGCAAGGTTTCGAGGGAGAATGCTCTGTGACCACCCTGTTCCCGGCAATCCCTTATTTCTCTACAGTACGGAGAACTTCTTACGTAGGTCCCGAGGAGGGGTAAACTCAGCCGGCGCAGATCATGCGAAACACGCCGTGATGAGCGTCGGTCATGCGGTGCTGCGATTTGTCGTGTCCCTTTGAAGCCCTGCCATGTCTTAAATGCTATTCTGCTGTTTTTGGGTGTTGCGCGCCAATCTGCAAGCTCCTCACCCATCCTTCCCCTCTTGACTCCTCTCCGGACCACCACACCCAGCACATCCCCGCGCTTTGCGATTCTCCCATATTTTAGGACCTCTGCTGTGTCGCGATAGGTATCTTATAGTCTCTAGTGTAGTCAATCTGGGATGCGACAAGGCTAGGACTGAAATCGCATGAAGTCTGTCCACGTCGCTGGTGTGCCACAAGCGGTCCCCTCGCTGGCTAGCCGGGCCTCCAGAGGGGCATAGCAGTACATAGCCCTACCTGGTCCGACGTAACCAAGCCATCGCTTGTCAAGTGATTCCATTGACTGCGATCCGGATTCGATCTGACGGCGGCGGAGGCCATTCGAGGGGCAGGCGACAAGGTACCTGCTTTGCGCCGCCTGGAGCGGCGCGATGAAAGAATCCACCCTGAAATATAGCTGTAGAACGTCTATTGCTCCTGCTAGCAGCATTCAAATGTGGATTTCATCGAATCGGCCCCCGGTTGGTTCGACACGACGCTCGGCGCAATTGGCATCCCGGATGCGACAGCGATGCGCATTTGCGAAACGAACAGGGCGAGTGGCAGTCATCGAGACACATCGATTAGAGAGGATAGAATCAATAGATGAAATTCAAAGTCATTAGTCTACTGGCTACGAACTACAAGGCCTTGTGAGCAGGCCAGATGGAATGTGATGGCTGTTGGGTCGGGCGCCGGAAGCGCAAAGCGCCATGTCACCGACCCAAGGCCGGCCGTTTTCTCGCTTTAGGTGAAACCATCGTACGCACCCACTTCACTCGCAACCTTCAACTGTCTTCGCCTTTCATCGCACTCGCCTTCCTCCGCCCTTCGCCGTCCTCAAATCGAGTCGGGTATGGTCCTTCTTGCCTCCCTCCTCCGAGTCTTTCCTGAGCCTGGCCTGGCCCTCCGTCTCGGCTACTGGGCCACCGCTGACATAGCCCCAGCGCTTTGTAGAGTCAAGACGACAATCCCCTCGCCCAAAGCCTCCACACCACCCACCGACCCTTCCGCCGCCCCGTCTTCGATATCCCAGATACCCGCGACTCAGGCGAGCCCACAGTGATTTGTGTTAGGTACGTTGATACTGCTCTCCATCCTCTTCCGACTCTTTGCTCGTCGCTCGTCGGTCTTTTCTCCCCCCCCCCAAAAAGCCCGCTCCCAAGGTCGGCCGGAGTCGGCTACCAAACAATTATCCATCCATCTTCATCTCAAATCACCCTGATTGCGAATTTGAGCGCCTAGAAGGCCATTGTGCTAATATTGGTGGTGCGTTTCCTCGCAGGTGACCGCCGCTGCCCTCGTCCCGGTTTGTTCTCGGTTCTTGCGTTGCGACGAGCGGATTCCCCTCCATCCCCATCCAAAAGCCCTGCGTCCAAGTTTTCCCAACATCATCAACCCGGGGGTGGTCCATCCACCAGCCAGCCTTCTCGAATCCTATAATTGTGGTAGGTTAGATGGAACACTTCCCCCTCTCCCAATGCCTCTGCATCTCAGACCCTTCCCGGGGGCCCGGCCATGGTTCCCATCCTCCCGCTTCCCTTCTATCACACACGAGCAGTGGGTTGATGCAGTCATCGGTACAGCAAGCAGAGCGCTCTCTCTCTCCTTCTGGACCTGCCCAGCATGCAAGTGGTCCAGCTTGATGGGCTCTCTGGTCTGTCAGAACCGCCGGTTCCGACAGAGATCTCTTCCCGAGACCTGTCGCTAAAGAACCCGGTTCCCAAGAACGTCGCCTTCGAGCTTCTCCTGGATGAGAACTCCAAGGTTCGAGCCCGTATTCCGATGCGCGTTCAAATATACCCCCATGACACCACCGACTCCATCGTCACTACTGTCAAAAATTTCTATGGCATCTACGACGGCACCGCCAGTGGCGTGAGCTTCGAGGATGAGCATGGGACCACTCTCATCGCAAGGTACGAGAACCTAAAGAATAATATGACTGTATATGTCAGAGTCATTCCCATCCAACCATTTGGGGATCACTTCTACGGCGGTTTCCCCACTGAGCGCAAGCGCCCCAGCTTGGGCGAGCCGTTCCAGATGGGCGATGGCATGATCCCGGTAATGGAGCAGCCATCGCGACCATCCTCACGCCTCGCAAGGAAGCGCAGCACTTCTCCATCTAACCGGAGTCTCCGCAGCGCCTCTCAGCACAAGCAAGGTCCCCGTAGTGGCATCAAGAGCCGGGGCTCCAGCCATGCCGGGTATCCCGACGAGGAAGGTGGACTAAGCGACAGCGAGTCCACTTACAGCCGCAAAGCTCGCGGCGACACATTCGCGAGCTCAGAAATCAGCATGGAAAATATACTCCAAGACGGTCGTCGGAAACGACCCAAGTTTGACAGCTCGGTGAGTCAACGATCCCATTCGCGCTTCGCAATTTTTTTTCAATTTTCATCTATCTGTTCGCTAGTGTCTAATACCCACTCTGATCTAGGAACTCCCTCTCTTCGCTCCTCCGCAAGTCCCTTTCACTACCTCAACGTCCTCCATCTCTCCTCAGCGTCGCTCGGTCGGCCAGGAAGGCGCTGGCTCTCCTTTTGCCCGTCCCACCCACCGTCCATACAACTACCAGCAAGCGCTGCCATCACCACAAAGCTATGGACACAGTGAATATGGCGTACAATCGGGGCGCAATACAGTGTATGCGACGCCCGTGGTTCCTGACCATGCGCATCGCATCCCCTACAGCAGTTCCGGTGCGCGCGTGAGTGGCCCTGGAATCCTGCCGACCCCCGACCCCACCATCGCAAGCTGCATCTCCGATGAGGATGTCGCAATGCAGCTGATCCGTCTCGGTGATGCATCCAATTTCTCCCATGGTCGCACATCGGCCTCGACCCTGGATGATGCCTTCAGCGGCGCTGCCGATGCTGCTTCTTCGACGGGTGCTACCAGCGATGGTGACGACTTTAGCGAAGATGAGGATGACCTTCCCGCTCGTCGCAGACTTGACTCGAGCCCGATGCTTCCCCCGGGCGCCATCAAGCGCCATCACAAGCGTCTCGATGACATCCTCCCGAGCGCGGACAGCAGTGACCACAGCTCCGATGGCGCTGATGATGGCATCAAGAGCGAAGGCGAGGAGGACATCTTGTATAAAGAGTTTGCTCCCAAAGTCAAGAAGCCCAAAAACCGCCCAATGTCTGCCAAGATCCGTGCCCCCAAGCCATTGGTCAAGCAGAACAAGAACAAGTGCAGCTTGTCTACTGTGCGCAAGCCGTCCGACAAGTCAATGGGTTCAGTGCCGCCTCTGAGCCCGAGCTCCGCGCGCAAGGTCTCAAGTGGCTCTGTCAATTTCCAGCACCAACTTGGTGCCGATGAGGAGGACCTGTCTACCAAGCCTCGCTGCCAGCGCTGCCGCAAGAGCAAGAAGGGCTGTGATCGCCAGCGCCCCTGTGGACGTTGCAAGGATGCCGGTATTGGCATTGATGGATGTGTCAGTGAGGATGAGGGCAATGGCCGCAAGGGTCGCTACGGTCGCCATATGGGTGTTCCTGTGAAGAAGAACGCCGACGGGGTTGAGGAAGAAGGACCTGAGTTGCTGCCGATGCCGGGCATCCCTCTCGTCGATGCAGACATCGCGGACAAGAATAAGAAGCGGAAGCGCTAGTCGCACCTTTCTCTGGATACTTTCGCCCTGTCCTATTTACAAATGGACAGCTTCTTTGTCCCAACACTACCAATTTTACGTCCTCCTCGGACTTGTCTCAGCGTACCATCCAGAAACACGAATCTCACCAACCCTCAATCTGGCCACTCCCTCTTACCACGCTCCCCATATCCCCCTCCTTTGACATCCAACCCCAGCGCCGTCGCTGGGAGATTCGACACTCCTTATACGACTTCCTACCTCACCACATTCTCTTTTGCGGCTCACGCCCCGCTCCCGGTTTCGATTATACAAAGTCCAGCGGGTTGATCTTGTGTTTTGTGTACCTGTTCCCTTCGGCGTCTGTGTTTGCGGTTTCTCTATCTATCTTCTGTTTATTTTCTTGTCACTTCCCACTCACTCTTTCAAACTCAATGCTACTGGTCCCTCTGTTCATCTTTGCTTATGTCGGGTTTTGTTTTTGTGTGTGGGTTGCGGAGGCATGTGCAGCTCGCACGTAGTAGGAATGGATATATAACTACTTCCGGTGGAGGCGGGTGGGCAGGAGCTGCTGGCACGGGCTGTATAAGATGTTATGGCTTTTGTTTGTGGTTCACATGAGTAGTTTGGGAATCAATTGAAGTTTTTCTGTTACACCTTTCCCTTGCCCAAAACTGCCATGCCAGTATCTTAACGAAAACCGCTCTTAATCCGGTCAAGCTCTCGTTGATCATGTGACTTTATCGGTAAAAGGCGGTATAATGCGGCAGAAGGGCCCCGCAGCATTTTTGAGTCCGAAGATGAGCGCAACTTTTTCGCCAACGTTCAATCAGTTCTCAAACAATTCCGGCACTGCAGGTTTTCATCTGCTGGATTTGACAGCTCCAACTCAATTCCACCTGTCATCTACCACCAGCCCATGCGCTAGAAGCTTCTCACATTTCACCTCACCCACCTGAGCAGGGAGACGCCAACGGCGTCTTGCCCGCGCAACAGAAGCACACAATGCCTCCCAAAGCTAGCACTCGCCGCGCAGCTCCCCGACCGGATGAATCAACCTCTACCTCTACAAACCCAGCCAGCGCCCAAAATGCCCCCGAGGCCAGGACACCCGCCGCCAGCGCAACGCCCGGTCCAGCCGGCCGCCCCTCTGTGCAACGCCTGCAGTCATTAAAGAATCGCAAGCCCTCCGGCAGCATCGCACCCGCAGGGCGACCTCCCTCCGCGCTCGGTAGCGAGCCGCCAAAGCCCATGATGAAATACAAGCCCAAGGCCGTCGGGCGCCGCAGCAAAGAAGAGCGCGACGCGATCGAGAGGCGCGAGCAGGAACGGCACAATGAGCGTCTGCGCGAGGCTGCTGCTATCCAGCGTGGCCGGGGCAATCGCGGCGGTCGGGGTACTTTCCGCGGCCGCGGTGGACCTATGGGCATGGGCGCAAATGGGCCGTTTGGTTCTGGGGCTGGGGCTGCGCGACGGGGTCGTGGCGGCGCTTCATGGGGTCCTGGGGGTCATGGGGGTCCTGGGGGCGGCGCTCGGAGCCGGTTCCGGTCTGCGATTAGCGGTGGGAGTCGGGGTGTGGATTATGATTCTGATGAGGACGTGGATGATGAGCTGCGGGTTAGCATTGATCGGATTGGGCTTGAGAGCGATGAGGATGAGGACGATGATGATGAGTCGCGGGATGTCAAGGGCAAGATGCCGATCCGCTCGCGGGAGGGCCTGCGGCCTGTACGTGTGACCCGCCTTGCGCATGAGGATCGGGTTATCAGCGTGAATATGGAGTCGAGCTCCAGCAAGGCGGCTGAGATCCGTCAAAAGGTCGAGGAGGCCAAGGCTGCAGAGGAGACAGGCACAGCTGCTCGTGCGGAAACAGCAGTTGTTGGGGAGCCATTCGTGAAGCCGGAACCGGTGGACGAGGATACCCCAATGGACGAGGTGCCTCATGACGATGACGGCTTCCTGCCCACACAAACTGTCCGCGTCCGACGGAAGCTGTCAAGTCCTCGAGAAACGGCTGAATCAGAAGCCGTCGTGGAATTGGCGCCCCAGACGGTTGCGCGGGACCCCCGAGAGCTCCTCCGTACTAGGGAGGAAATCGACGAATACGATCGTCACTTGGAGGACCTCGACCACATCCGCAATCTTTTGCTCTACGAGGAGGCCGAGAAGACCACAGAGACGGCGACCGCCGATGCCGAAGAACCACCCGCCGGAGAGACCGCTAGCGGAGACGACGAGACGGGCGAACAACCTGAAGACCAGACTACCAACCAGGCCCTCCTCGGCCAACTCTTCCTCATGCAATTCCCCCCCATGACACCCAACCTCACCCTCCCCGGCCCCTCCGAACCCCAACCCTCCGACACCACCGCCGAACCCGCCGCCGAGGCCACAAACCCACCTGAAGTCAAATCCGAAGGCGACGATGTCCAAGTCGTCGACGACGGCGCAACCCAAGTACCAAAGGTTATCACCGCCGCCACAGACTGGGCCCTCCCCGCCGGCCGCGTGGGCAAACTGAACGTGCACAAATCCGGCCGCGTGACGCTGGACTGGGGCGGTATCAGCTTCGATCTGGACCGCGCGACGTCCGTGGACTTTGTGCAGGAGGCGCTGATTGTGTCGAGTCGGCCGGAGGAAGAGGAGGGGGTGCCGCCGAAGGAAGACGAGGGTGAGAATCGGGTATGGTCGATGGGACAGCTCTGTGGGAAGTTTACTGTTATGCCCAACTGGGATCAGATGCTGTGACCTGTACCTGGACGCATTTTGTATGGTTAGGATGCGATGTGGTTCATTGTGGGCGTTGGTAGATGGATTTGGCATGTTTTCGCTATGAATTAACCTTATCTTCTCTGATAAGAAACCAAAGTTCTCTATGCCGCATGCTATGTTTTGCAACTCGTCTAGTTTTATCCAGTTAAAGGGGATCATTTGTGGTCTCGTGGCGTCCATGGAGCCCGGACCGGTGAACCACCAAACTGACACCCATGGAACCCGAAATAAGCTCGCTTGCAGCTTTCTGATTGGATAGTCTAATCTTTCGCCCCACACTCCTTTCATCCCATCTTTACGCCGTCTTCAGTGCTGGGCTCCAGATCGATGACTGCTGCACGTGCACCCAGGGCTTGCATCGTAGACCGCGAGAAGATCCTTTCGCTAAGGTGTAAAGCATCTATCTCAAATCTGATCACGTACCCCTTGCGTGTCCTTCTGTATGCTCATCTCGCTACTACGCGGCCGCCAACGCTACTACGGACAACAGCAACCCGAGTCCGAGGACGAGCCAATCTGTGGTTAGTCCAATTGTAACAGATGCACCCATGGCCCGTTCGTGATAGACTCTCATCCAATACCCGGGCAGTTCCACGTCTCCCACCGCGAACCCAAAAGGCCTCCCAACTCTCCCTGTAAATCTGTCGCTCTCGTGTTGGCGGCATTTTGAAAGACCATTGTGACAGGATCACAACGCCTCTCGAGAGGTCGTCCCTACCTCGCCAGGCTCATCTAACTAATCTCGCATGCCCGCCATGCCAGGCAGGTCGATTCGGCGACGAGCACGTAGCGGCCTTCTGGCCTTCAGCTGTGCAGCAGGTATCAGCAGTGACCCGCGTCGGCGTCCCAGGAACGTTCTTCATGCTGGGGAGCAATAAACCGTCATCGACGACCAGGCGACCCTTACGCAGACAGTGCGCTGTGCCGCGCTGCTGGACGGGCCTGATTGGTGGGGCCCCCACTTTTTTTTCCAGTTTGGCGCGAGGATCGCATGTGTGGGGGCATAAGCGGTGCCAAGCGGGACGGGAGAAGTCTACCGCAGGTGGCGACTGGGGTGTTGGTTGGCTGGCGAGGACGGCGTGGAGGGGCGGGACGGGAGTAGACTGCACGTACGGAGGACACTGCACGTCGCTCGGTCGGGGTGCATGGGGCGAGGTGGGCTATTGATTGTGGCTGAGAGGCTGTGATGGGTTCGCTCCGACATGCAAGCGGCCCCTGGGAATCACACCATCATGGAGGGTGGCGCAAATAATCAGGCTATCCGAAGAGTTCCCTGATCTGCGAGTATAGACCGGTGAACTGTACTCCGTACGGAGGGAGATCGTGAAAAGGAGTGCGTGGTCCGTGCATAGGGGTCGGGGGGAGCCCAAGTCGGCTGCTTTGCCCGAGCGGATATTGGCATGCGGGACCTGTGCTCGTCGACAGTCTCGACCTGAGCCTATCCGCTGTACGGAGTCACTTGTACGCTGTCACTTCGTAGGAGACGCGGATGGAGCAAGAGCTTGGTTGGTGGCTGCAGCAAAATGAAGTGGCCGGCGCTAATCAACTCCCCGAGCCGTCCAAACAGGGAAATGGTTCCTGCGGTGCCCAAGATAGCAAAGAGCGGCATGAATGGGTGTGATTGGCTCTGCAGCAGGCCCGGCGGAGCCAATCACACCCGCCCAATTAAAGTGGTGATCCACTGTCGAGTCCCTGAGTGATCCATGGCTCGTCCAATGAAAGGCCCCGCCCTGGCTTGCTTCATCTCCAACTGCTCTTTTTTTCTCGCCTGCTCGTTCACTCCTCCTCCTCCTCCTCCTCCTCCTCCTCCTCCTCCTCCACTGTGTGTTTTCTAGGGCCATCGAGTCTGCAGAACATCTCACCTCAAGCGCAGAACCCCAATCGCCCCCCGAACCATAAAAGAAAAAAAAAAGAAGAAAACAAGGTTCAGGACCGTGCGGCTCCCGTGGCTGGACCAGCTTTCGGCCCCCCTATTTCTTATTCCTCGAACGGCCCCGTCAAAACGCCCACGCTTCCCCCCAAAACCTGCGACACCTGCACACCTCAATCGCAGTCCCAACTCCTGCAGACCGGTTCTGCCCATCCTCTTAAGATCGACGTTTTCCACCCCAGCGTTGAACACCTCCCACCTCCCTGGTCCCTTGTTGCCTCGCCAACTTCCACCCCCCGTCACCCTCGACCCGCACCTTCTTGGCGTTGCTTGTTTCGCGCGGACATCAGTGACCAGGACCCCCGCCACTGCGCGCAGGAGGAGAAAAATCAAGCAAAAGCCCTCCTCCGACCGGACGGAGATCACCACACCCAAGCCATAAACACAAACGCCATGAAAACCTCAACCGTGTTGCTCGCGGCCCTCGCGCCTGCCGTCCTGGCCGACCCGCTCCCGCGCGCCATCCACCTCGCACACAACACCGACTCCCTCGCACACCGCTCGCCCGCCGCGACGATACCGAACGTGAATCAACTGGAGCAGCGGGCTCCCATCGCCGAACTCGATGCGGGCATAGCGATCCTTGACACGCGCTCGCCGCGGCGGATCTCTGTCCCGCAGGTGAGCAGCGAGGGCTCGCTCGGCCAGACGCCGTGGATTGGGATGGCGATTGGCCTGACTTGCACGGCGCTGGCAGCGGTGATGCTGGGCTAGCCGTCCTCATGGGAAGCAGCGTGCACCGTTTCCTTCCGCCCGCGCTGTTCTATATTCTATATTCTTTTCCTTCTCTTCGATACCGGCGAACATCTTTGACACGACACATGAATACGCGCCCCCCGACTTAACTTCGACCCGACCACACTGTTGACCTTGACCTTAACCTTCACCTTCACCTTGACCTTTTACCTTCATCTGGTCCTCGACTTCTCATGCCCTTACCTGACCATCTCTAATCCTCCTACTTTTCTTCTTCTGCTGCTGCTCTGGGCGATTTTCAGCGACTTTTTTTTCCCCTTCATCTTCTTTTCCATTACCTTTGCATCCATGGCCCGGGCCACTGTTTCTTCTTTTTGTGTGTGCCCGGGTATGGGGGATTCTTTTGAGCACCGTTGCATTTCCACCGTCTACGGCTGCTGCTGCTGCTGCTACGGCCGTTGGGGCAGGCGAGCGAGCTGGACCGCGGAGTATAGAGACTGCATGTTGTATATGATACCTACCCTACATTATAATCCTTGGGGGGGGGGGGGGGGGGGGGGGGGGCTGTTTATATGGATGGATTCCGATACATGCGGCTGTGAACCGGCTCATGGACTTATTTATCGGGTTTCCGTTGATGAGTGTATATACAAATATTGATGGCACACTTCTTCAATCTGTACTTCTCACACACCCTACCGTCCGCTCTTCTCCGTAACTCGCAGTCTCAAATTGATCGTCCGGTAGATCGCAACGCGAGTCTAGCCCAGCAGGTGTCTTTGTTTGCATCGACAGCTGTCCAAGGTACTTTCCCCTTTCACACGGTCTCTCCCCCAACTTCTTGAGTCCCTTGACGGACATATCGCACATCACAGACTCTCCGCCCACCCCCAAATCCCCTTCCTGTCGCAACCCCGCCCCAAGCACCGTCCGCCGACATCATCGTCGATCCCCAATCCCCTCCCGTGCTTGGCTGAGGCTGAGGCTGAATCCGCCCCCAACTTCAAAGCCAACGCCCGACTCCCCACACCTCCGCCCCAACTCCACCCTCTATCTGCATCTGCTGCAAGTCGGCGGGCCAGCCCAGAAGGAAGAGCCGGCATTATTGCTATTGTTATTGCTGTTGTTGTTGGTTATTGAAGCAGAGCGGCAAGTGCAGGATACAACTGCGACTGGTCGATCCAGAGGCGCCATGACCCAGTACCCGGAGTACACGCCCGCGTCCTCGGGCCGCGAGCTGGGCATTATGTTTGCGTTTATCGGGGCCTGTCTGGTGACGATGGGCATTTATTCGTTTATCTGGCGGGGTATGTCATGTCTTGCATTAGTCGTGGTTCGGCTCAATACCCGATCTATAGATGGGGAGAGCATCCAGTCCGTGCATGCCCTGATGCCAGGACCAGGCGTTCCCATCGAGGGAACCGGTCTCTCCTCTGCAGTTCTTTTCTCTGCAGTTCTTTCTTCTTTTTACCTGGGAGCTAACCAGCCCGCTTGCAGGAGTCCAACGCCGCGCCCACGCCGAAGACCTCGGCCGCCGCAAGGCGCTGAAGAACGGCTCCTCGATGCCGGGTACCCTCGCCGCCGCGGATGGGCTGCACTTGGGCAACACGACGACGGTGGCGGCAGGCCCCGGGGCCGAGCGGATGCACGAGAAGATGATGGATCGGTATGCGGTGGCCGGGGACCGGGCGGAGTTGGCGGTGCATGGGATGGCGAGGGGGGAGAGGGCTAAGTTTGGGGGGAGAGGGGATCTGTTATGATGGGATGCACGAGATTGGCATGAGAGGGCAAGAGGGCATTGGATTGCCATGGTATCAAAATGGAGTGGGATCTGTATGTACTGGGCTTTTGGAATGAACTGGAGCATGACTGGCGATCTCTTATGATCGTCCTCTGATCACGATCACCCTATACTGGTATAGAAAGGCACACGGTCTCAGATGGGAGCATCACCCACACACCGGCTCCGCAAAGCCCCTCGTCCATAACAAACTCCCCATGATCACCACCAGCAAGCCCAGCCCAACCCCCACGCTCACCCCGCCATACAAGTACGCCTGCCTCCTCCTCGCCACGCCATTCAGCTCCGCCACCCACGTACTAACTGTCGTCGCACTCCCACAAAACCCATCCATCACGCCTTGCAAGACCTGGCACCCCGTCAACGCACCCGGTACCACCGCCCCCAGGCCCGACACATGCTGCAGATCGTAGCACAACCCCTCGACCGCTGTCCCCAGCATGTTCACTGCGAATGTCCCCAGCGGGAACGACGGCACCCGGCTGTTCAAGAGCATCGACACATAGAACCGCACCAGACACCCCACCGGCGCAAACACCAGCGCGAACACCGCCCGGCCGCGCCACGTCTCGGCACCCCCATGCCGGTCCGGCGGCCAGATCGCCAGGAACACGGCGCCGAGCCAGCAGCCCCACGCCAGGAACACGACCGCGCGGTCCAGCACACGGCGCGTCAGCGCAAAGGGCACGGTGGGCGTGATCGGCGCCAGCACGAGCGCCAGATGCGCGCCAGCGATCAGCGCCGATAGGCACAGCGAGACCGTCACCAGCAGCACGGCGACCAACGCCATGAAGCTATACCCGCCATGGCGAGGGGCGATCCCCGCCCCCGCCGGGAGCGAGGGGTCCGGCAGGGCATTTGCCAGCGCGAGGAAGACGTCGCGCATGAAGCTCGAGAAAGACGTACAGCAGCCGCAGAAGCCTGTCGTCAGGCCGATGTAGAGCGGGATGGTCTTCTTCACGGCCAGGTGGGTCTTGGCGCGCTCCGCGGCCTCGGGTCCGTCTTTTGGCGGGGCAGGTGGTGTGTCCCATTCTTGTTGGAAGAGTTTCTTGTCTTCGGCCAGGAATCCCATGAGGAGGCTGCCGGTGACGTTGGCCCAGAGGACGCCGGTGACGACGGGGGCGCCGGGGTAGAAGGTGAGGGCTTGGAGGCCGAGGCGGGCGAGGGTGCCAAGGAGGGAGAAAAATATGAGGTAGGAAGTTATGTAGAGGTGGGTGGCGCGTTTGGAGAGAGGGGTTGTCGGTGTGGTGGGTGTGGTAGGTGTGGTTGGCGCTGCGGTTGGCGTTGGCGCGTTGGCTTCGGACTCGGAACCAGGGCGTTCGAAGGAGTACCATCTTTGCCGTTGGGAGGATCTCGGGGAGACAGGCTGGGGCATGACGGTCTCCGTCAATGCCGGGTCTGCATCTTTCTCGGCATCGGGGAGGATGCTGGGGCGTGGTATTGGCTCGGGAGCTTGCGTCGGCGCGACGGCCTCGTCTTCGGAGCAGGGCCGCTCTGCTGTGCAGCACCGGGAGCGCTGGGAGGAGATCGGGTCGACGGGCTGCGGCGCAACGGTCTCGGTCAATGAAGGGTCCGCATCTGGTTCAGGGCCCTCTGCAGCCGCGGAGAGGTCTGGCTCTGCTGGCGGCGCCATGCTCTCGCGCGCGGGAGTGGGAGAGTGAAGGTTAGGCCGTGCCGAGGAGAGGAACGCGTGAAGTGGGAGAGTGAAGGTTAGGCCGTGCCGAGGAGAGGAACGCGTGAAGTGGGTCTGCGGTGGAGCTGATAAGAGCACCGCGATAGCGATCGTCACCGATGGAGACTCTACTCCTACTCTACTCGAGGGAGTGGCTAGTGGATAGTTGATCAGTACAAACAATTGAGTGCTAAGCAAGAGCAAAGGTTATGAATCGCACTCTGTGCAAAGCACTGAGCCCGAGCTGGGCCTTGACGAGGAACCCGGTGTCTACCGCCAGCCAGGTACAGCTCCGGACCAGGTACAGACGGCCGGCAATGACAAGCCCCTGCGGGGAGTTCTACCCCTGTAGGCATCACGATAGCTACTGTAGGGGGCACCAGCCACTGGCAGAATCGGCCTCCGCACACGGAGTACTCCGTACATTCTACCTGGACCCAACCATCGGGGAACGTGATAAGCAGCCTGCAGCCAAGTGGGAGATAAGAACACCGCTCCCCCTCCTTTGTATACCACCTCGCCTCTTCTTTCTTGCCCCTATTCACCTCTCCCCTCTCCCTCAATTATTGTCATATCATTCTTGTATTGATCATCCGCAATGTCTCTCCCCCCCACGTCCACGTCTCTACCCACCCCTGCCTCCAGGCCAAGCTCTCGCAGCTCCGCTCGCAGAACACCACCCCGCGCGAAACAAGGGCGCTGGTCGAGGAGATCGCGTCGATCTTGGGCGTCGAGGCATTCGCAAAAGGGCTAACGGTAGCAAAGACGGGAACCGTATGTCCTCCCAGAATGAAATTGAACTACGGAGAAAGATCCGATCATTCGCAGAGAGACCTCCTAACGTCCCACAGGACCGCACCCCGCTCGGCGTCGAGTACGAAACTTCCACCATCGACCCGGCAGACCTGGCCCTGGTGCCCATTCTGCGCTCAGGACTGGGCATGGTAGACGGTTCGTGCTATTCTCGCTCTCTCTCACTCAAACCAGACTGCGCACTGCACTCTCCGCGCTCCACGCTCCCGCCAAACACCCCCCACCCCTACCCGTCCCCATCCCTATCCACATCCCCATCCCCATTACTCATCCCCATACCAACTCCCAACTAACAACCACTCCCAGCAATCAATGCCCTCCTCCCAATTGCAGTTCCTATCTACCACCTCGGCCTCTTCCGCGAACCAGTCGGCCTCCAACCCGTAGAATACTACAACAACCTCCCCTTCCACAAAAGCGCTCTCTCCCCCGCCTCGCCCGCCTCCACAGACCCAACAGCCAACACCGCCGCAGCCCCGCTCGCCATCCTGCTCGACCCGATCATCGCGACCGGCGCCACCGCCGACGCAGCCATCCAGACGCTGCGGGACTGGGGCGTGCAGCGGGTGATCATGTTGAGCGTGCTTGCGTCGGCCGAGGGGGTGGCTCGCGTGGCGGGGAGTTGGGAGGGGGTGCAGATTTGGGTGGGAGCGGTGGATGAGAGTGTGAATGAGAAGGGGATGATTGTGCCGGGAGTGGGGGATATTGGGGATCGCTTGTTTGTTGCGATTGGGAAGTAGACGAAGAACGTGTGGTTGGAGGGATGGGGGGAAGCCCATGTCGGACATTACTCGGATAGATACAGTGCACGACTAAGACGTCAGGTGGTCCGAAGAGCCGGATCGAAGATACGAACCATCCTATGCCTCCAGTTGTCCGAGCAGAAAAGAGTAGAGTAGAGAAGAGAAGAGAAAAGAGAAAAGAGTCCCCGCCAAAATGTTGTATTCGTCGATTACGTATAGTACATGTAAATAAGATAAAAGATAAAAGAGAAAAAAAAGGCAAATCAAATAAACATGTGCAGGTGAAATTAAATGCAAAAACCAAATGCTGAGCTGAAAAGAGGCATAGAAAAACGGCAAACAGATCAAAAAAGCAGATCGCAAGGCGGGGAAAAGGGGAGGCGCAGCGCAGTATCAAATGACATAAATCAAATCAAACAAATGCAATCAACATCAAATACAAGCGGCCGAGTCGGCGGCAAATTACCTCCTGCCCCGGGTGAGGCAGCGAGGCAGGGTAGCCAGCCAAAGCCCCCGGTCACGCGAAGTAGACAGAGGAGAGAGAGAGCGACACACAAGAATAAGAGGAAAATGCACAACTCGCAGCAACAAAACATCCAAAGGTATCAAAAAATCAAAAAAGGCAGATGGACTGACGGGGGGGGGGGGGGGGATTAGGGGCTAGTTTGTCGCAAAACACAAGGCAGTCAAACATGATATAAAAAAACTCCGTCGAGTGCGAGAGCAACACGCAGGACCAGCCAGGTGTCGAAGAGGGAGAGCCAAAAGCGCAAATGAACACCACACCAGACTCCCTGGTGTAACGAGGAAAGAGGAAAGAAAAGAAGATGCAACCCAGAATAAAGCCGAAAGGCCAGAAATCACCACACAGGCGTCACGACGGCGGTATCTCCCGAAGCCAAAGCCCAAAAACACCCCGCCTAGCCTACTGGCGTTTTAACCGTTCCTGAGTTTCCCATGTGTCCCAATGAAAGCGTCCAGATAATGAGAGTAAGAAAAACAAACCGAAAGACAACAAGAAAAGGCACAGTCAAAAAGACGAAGAAGAAAAGTGAGCCAATGAGAGTGGCGAAGTGGTTAGTACGCAGTACCGACGCTGGCGAGCGACTTGGTGGGCACCACGTGAATCGGCTGATCCTTTGCGACACGCAAAGAATCCTCGTAGCCAATCAGTGCCTGGGAGTGCAGCTTGAACGACTCGCCCATCAACTTGGTAATTCTAAGAAAGGAGTTAGTATTTGCGACAAGAGATTCCTGCAGACCGGGAGATTGAGAACTTACCCCCAGACAACCACGCCGTCAAGGATGTTACCCCAAACACGGGCGACGGTGGAGCTGAGTTTACCAAAGGCGTCGATGGCATCATCGTCGAATAGATTCCGCACCTTGTTGTAGATGGCCATTTCGGCCTCAGTCGCCGGCTCGTCGTCATGTTCCAGGCGGTAGAGCCAGAGACTCAGGATAACCATCAAATCCAGGCCGCATAGCGGGTGCTCGACGCTCCAGTTGGTGGCGGAGGTCTTTGCGACCCAGTTGATGCCCTGGATGGCAGCAATCTCGATGCACTCGAAGCATTGCTCAACAACCTTGTTCATCTCCTGCGAGCGCTTGACCTTCTCGCGGGCGACGGTCATGGCAGCAGCCACCTCGTAGGAAGAGTGATAGCGCATGGCCTCCTGGATGGACTTGAGGTCGACTTCAAGGCGGGCACGAGTGTTGCGGTAGACCGCCATCGAGTTGAAGATCAGAGGGTGGCCCTTCTGGGGAGTGCTGAGCGGGACAACAATAGTCTCCGGCTCGCACACCTCGAGAGAGCTCTCCCAGGTCTCCAGAGCCAAACGGAGCTTGTACTCGGTCACCACATCCTGCAGAGCCTCGAAGCTGCGCTTGTGGTTCCACACCTGCAAAAACAGAGCGTTGATCAGAACGCGAGTAGCGAAGGCGCTGTAGCGAGTCTGCTCGCCCTGGAACAGGAAGTCGTGGGCCTCGCGGACGGTCAACGAGCTGGAGGCGGCGATGCTACGGTGCCAGGTCTCCTCATCCGCGGCGTCCAAGTTCCAGAGGGACTCGGACGAAGGCAGCTCCAAGTTATCGAACTCGTCGAAGCTCATCGCAGGGGTGTGATTGAAAGTCAGAGTGAGCATGCCGAAGAAGATGTAAACGGCAAAGTAGGTACGACGGCAAGACTCGTCCTCAATCCACTCCTCACGCGATGGTTGAACCGCCTGACGGGCCTCGGTACGCAGCTTGAGCTGGTACCGGTTGCCAGCGACCATGTTGGCAAGGAGACTCTTGATGGAACAAGTCCACTCGAGACCTTTGGGGTCACCGCTCCAGCTCTCGAAGACCATGTTGAGCAGGGTGCTCTGCATCAGCCACAGCGGACACTTGCGCGAATCAAAGTTCTCCTTGTGTTGTAGGAACTGGTTAACCAGAACCTTGGAGCCGACATGAAGCATGAAGGCATGGTCGCGCTCGAACGTGTACAGAGCCCCAATGGACAAAACAGCCAGCAACAGCGGGGTCGGGGCCGAAGTCGGCTTGAAGGACTGCTGGTGGAGGAATGGCAGATGGGGGTGGTACAGGTTGAAGTAGGTGGACAGGTACCGGTTCAGAGCGGCTGAGGAGGGAATCTGGAAGTTATCGGGCAGAGCACCCAGGGTGTCGGCGCTCTGCACGCGCTCGATGATCAAGCTACGCTCCATATCGTCGGCTAATTGAGGGGGCCTAGCGAGGGTCAAAGCCTGGCTCGGTCCGGGAGACCGGCGGTAGTTCACAGGGCTGACGGGGCCAGTCATGGAGGGGTACGGGGACAGTGCGTTCGGGGTAGAGTTTCCAGACATGGAAAGCGAGTTCGACAGAAGCACGTCTCCCACGGGGCCATGGCGGTCGACCAGGGTGGGCATCGAGCCAGTTTCCGCGGGCGAAACGAGCGTGTCCCAGGGCATCTGGGGCAAAGTGGCGTTGCCCGACAGATACGGTTCGAAGGAGCCGCGTCCAGGGGAGAGGGAGTCGGAGCGCTCGGAGACCTGACCGGTCACGGCTGCTGCAGCCTTATGTTGGAAGTCTGTCATCAACATGGCTGCAGTTTCAAGGTCGACCATACCATCGCTGCTTGCCTCGATCTGTTCCAGTGTTGCGGGATCGATCGTGATTGAAGGCTTGGACGGACCCGCCGAAGAGGGCTTCTGGACCCCTCCATTTCCACCGCGTCTCCGACCCTCCGCAACCAAGGGGATACCGCCATCTTTGGCGTGCACAGTTCGGTCATGGCGCAGGAGAAGGTCGCGGCGCACGAAGGTACTCCGACACTTCAAACACTTGAAGGGTCGCTCTTTTGTGTCTGTATAACTCAAGTCAGTCTGGGGAGAGGGCTTCTTTTTCTTTTTCTTTTCCCCCCGCCGGAAGAGTGGGAAGAATGGGAGAGAAGACTTACGGGAACGCTCATGTCGGCTGCGATGTTCACTGCGGCTGAAGGCGCGATTGCAAAATTGGCACTTGTACTTCTTCTCCGGAGCGGAAGACTTCTTGGCCGGCGAATTGCTGGCCGTCCCGGGAGCTGAGGGAGCCATGTGTGTCTCGAGTTCGGGTCGATTGCGTCTCAAGCAAGAATCGAAGTCGACGGCGATGGTATCGTCCCCTGAGTGAGCTCGCACCGGTTCTGTAGGCGTGTCGACGACAGGAGTTCGTTGGGATGTCTGATCATTCCTTGGGGTGGGGGATCGATGGGAACCAAGATCGAGAGGGGGTTGTTGATGGTTGCGGGAGAGGCGAAAGTGGGAGTCCAGCCACAGGCGGACGGCGGGGGAGTGGGATGAATAAAATCAATAAGAGAAAAAGGAACGCTCTGAAAAGAAAGGCGGATGAGCGTTAAAGCACCGCGCGAGGAGGGGTTGAGAGTGTTGAAAGGTGAGAGGTGGGAGGTGGGAGGAGGAGGGGGAAGAGGAGTAGGAGGGGGAAGAAAGTGGATGAGGAGAAAAGAGGAATTTAGGAACGCCGGGGGTGGGAGGGGAGGGCTGGCGTGAAGGAGGGGAGAGGCTAGCAGAGTGGAAGGGAGGGCGAGGGGAGGGCCGTGGGCCCAAGCATCGCTTACTACGAGAGGGCCGAGGGGCGAAAAGCGGGACTGGCTACATTTTACAGCATGACCGATGCAGTTAGGGCGGTCACAATCGGAGGGGGACACTCCCCTCTGCCCCTCCACAGAAGGCTTCGTAAGTCACGCCCAGCCCCCCCCTCGACGTGGTTCCCTGCGGCCACGCACTTCCCGTTCCTCCTGCCACAGCCGGCCCAACCTTCCACGCGGAACCCGCCCTGCTCTCCGATTGTATGTCCCCCCTTTTACCAGACACCATCGAGTTGTACTATCGCCAAACCCAAATCACTAGCCCTACTTCACTAGAGACAACAGATGCGACCCGATCGAGAAAATAAAATAAAAATAAGAATAAAATAAAAGGGTGCCCACATGGCTTCCACCGCCTCGGTCCCACCGGACGTTTGCTTCTTGGGAGGGCCTAGGTCGAGATTAGATAAAACACACGTCGATACATAGAGTGGGCGATACATAGAGAGGGGCCAAGATAGTAGGGATCCCCGCCAAAATGGACAGAGCATAATCTATGTATACAGAGGGACAGAGAGTACGGAGATAAATGCGATGTCTCAAGAGTCAAATTCTACGCCCAAAAAAGCAATCTCGTCCGGGAGGCATCATGTAAAAAGAAATAAGACCAAAAGGGAACGACGAATGAACGCAATAATGAAATAACGCCGTCTGCTGCGAGGGCATGGTGGGCCAGTGGCCCCTCGCTCAGCCCGGCCAGGGCTCGATGGGTCCGTCGAGCCCTTTGTTTATCGTAGGGGGGAATGTGTGGCTGGCATGTGAGGCGACTTAGTGTCTTCGATCGTGGCACCCTGCGGGCGAGTCGACGGCAAGGACGGAGTGCGGAGGATACGGGTTATGCCTACAGAAAGATCCGGAGTGTTTGGAGATCGCCTCATTGCTACGTAACTGGTTCGTCCCATGTTGCTTGACGTGGATGAGCCTACCCCGCCGTTATCATGTCATCCGATCACCTCCCACTTTATGCTGGCCCTGTTCGGTCGCAACCATGGTTCGCGCCTCCGCTACCCCTCTCTGTCATGCCAGAAACCCCCTCCTCCGATCGGCACGATCACAGATTGGGCTCGTCCGGCTGGGGCGTGAGCATAGTTCACGCTTCACGTAATAATGAAGGCCTTCAGGCGCAGCGTCACACAGTTGCGAATCAGACGGGCACTTGGGTGTGTTGGGAATGAGACAGGGATGGGTTGCAATTTCCCAGTCCCCGGTATGTCTGCTAGACCAGTCCGACCAGGAAACCAGCATCCTCGTAGGGAATGGGAATGGGCATTATAGTACAGCAGAACCAGTCAATCCAACTGGATGGACAAGTGGGAGGCCTCGATCGGCTCGGCTGTGAATCCTAGCCAGTCCCCGGCACCGTCGCAGTAGCTGCAGGTGGTGGAGGGCGATCCCGCCCACACCACCACCACACCACGCCCTGCCAGATGGGGCCCAACATGTTGATACTAGCTGTTGAAAAATAGGATTTGGCTAATCGATCATAGTGGAGGGGCCCAAAATCAGAGACGCCCGTTTCGGACGGTCAGCGCCACAGGCTGCCCGGTGTCTCAACTCCTCCGCCAGCGAGAGTGTGCCAGTGGACTCCGTGTTTCCCCCTGATTGACAGATCAATCGCCCTTTCTGACCGGTACTTTCGGCACAGCCCCAGCCTGACTGGTGCAGGAGCAGAGTTTCATCTCGGCCCCTCTGTGGCGGTTCGGCTGTGCCACGCTGGTAGTCCGTGGCTTGGATGCATTATGATGGGAAGCACCCCTTGAAGTACTGAAGTACTGCGACGCGCTGTGCAGGTAATCCTTAGTCACGCGTCGTGGAGAATCGCTGACTCTCCCATGGACTGTTGGCTGCCCACTTCCACCATATTGTATGTACGACGGCGCGGGCCTCCTGTCCGTGTTACTTGCCCTCGAGACATCAGCTGCCGGGCTGCAGGGTGATCTGCACGCAAGATGCGAATCGCGAATCGGGGGCGGGCCTTGGGGATAACATCATCTGATGCCGCTCGGCTCTTGCTGTTTCTGGCCAAGATCCATGCGCAGGAGTCGCGACGCTGGACTGGACTCGGCGGGGTCCGAATGTATATCGTATACATCGCTATCTGCGATCCCGAGTATACCGGTCGTGGCGCGACGGATCTGCTATCTCCCGCCTGTCCTCCGGTGCTGCATATTCTGTATCGGCAAAATCGAGGAACTCCTTCTCGGGGTCCACTCGTTGATAGTTGCGAGGCAATAACCATCCGCGTGAGCTGGCACGTACACCGCAAAAGAACAATAGCATAGCGCAACGCGGAGGGATCCGCGAATTCCTCCCGTGGGGCACTGCATCATAGGAGCCCGAGGACGCGGAGCACCGACGCGGTTACTTGGGAAACGCGTCTGGCGACGCGCCTCCACTCGAGTGGGGTCATTTGGTCCAGGACGGCACAGAGTGGAAGGTCGTCGTCAAAATGGCATTTGGGTGCATCGGTACTCCGTTCTCCAAGCAGAGTGCTGTGCTCCCCCTCGCCTCCAGTAGACTGATAGATATTCGCTTCGTCAGCGACACGTTACCTTGTCCATCCCATGAGCGCAAACCCCCTGGTAAGCAAGCACCAGCAAATCCCCGAGGTTACGCGGACCACCCAGAGGACCATCGCAGTCTCAACAAAACTTCCCTGGGCTGGGATTCAAGCGGTGAACCGGGGAGCTTGAGCTTTTCACCACCTCAACGCACTATACGGAAGACTCCGTCGCCGCAGCCGATAGGGGCCCTGCAGGAGGATGTGATTTGACCTGTGGGAAGGCCAGGATGTCGATCCACTTTCCGATGCAGCGGACCGACCCCGTTCTAACGTTCTCGACCCAAGCAGGAACCCTGCCCTCCTGAAGACGCGTCGCATCTGAGCGGTGACTTCACCGCCCTGCCAGCCGCACAAGTACGTTCCTTGCTTCCCGCGAAGCCCACCAGTTGATCGAGGGTCGATCATTCCCAATCCCTTCGATGGGGAACACGTCCCGAGACCTCATTCCATTCCAGAGCGGTCCATCACCACCGGTCTCAGAAACGGGCCCCAATAATGGATCTGCGAAAGGGATCGCACATCATCGGCCCAGTTATGAATCAGCCCGCTCGCCAGTTCTCTAGCCTCCGACTCCACCCCGAATACTAGGCCCGCCAGTGCCGTTGCTAGAAACTCAGGAAGTGCTTCCCCGGCGCCGGCCCCTGAACTAATGCCCACCAGCTGCCGGTGAAGGCTTGGCTGGGACCAGTCCATCGCCCATCGCCCATGATGCCCCGACTCCATCGTCCCGACAACTCCTGGCGCCGCGCGACGGGCCCATAGGCAGGGCCCCGTTGGTCTCCGCCCAGCACGCCAGGTCGGTCTGGAATTTCATGAGCAGCCTGGAGGATGTCGGTGAGGGCTGATATCGGACCTTGCACCGTGGGGTGCGAGCCGTCGCCAGCTTCACCGCTTCGACACATGGCGGGCCAGGATAATGCGGTGCGCGACAGATCGCCATGGCACTTTGGTGCGCTGCAGCTTGCCCGGCGGCAGGGACGGTGACGGTGACGGGCTGGACTGGGCATGTGCGATAGGCGATGGGGGTTTGAAGATATTCGCCACTGGACGAGACCCATTGTGCGCGCTATCGCTTTACACTTTCGCTAAAGACTGGGGCCCGGAGCATCCCCCCAACTTTGCTACTTCCCAAGGCTCGGGGCAACGTTGAGCAAGACATTCGATGAAGTCAGGGGTCCACTAGCTGAACACGCGGTGCTGGCCCAGTTTCATTACATACTCCAAAGGGCTAATAACGTCAAGACGCTGTTCTCGCCTGCCTACTTGGTACAAAGCCCAGCGTCAGACTGGAGGTGAAGGGAACCGGCCCCCCCCCCGTATCCCGTATTCCATCCTGGCAGACACAGGAGGTTTATCGGCCGTTGCCTGTGCCGTGCCGCGACGAACAAAGGGCCTGGACTTCGGACACCGACCACGCAATCAACCCGACAAATGGAGTTGGGCCATTATTGCACATGGATAGTTAGATACCCATGGTTTACGATGGACATTGCCCCTCCCCTCGATAGCCTTTGTAGCTTGTGATGATGAGGCGGCACCATCGATCTATTGAATTTCAACACTCGGGCTTGTTGATGCGGCCCTTGGCTCGAGGCGGAAGGGGGCATCCGGGGAAAGGGGTTAATCCATGGTTCACTCCCGCGATTTCTCGTGGATCTTGGTTCGCGTTGCACGTTCGCTGATATCAGGGCGAGCGAGAAAACCCGGAAGGATCGTGTTCTAAACCTACACCGTACAGTCCAGCCGAGCAGGATAGCAGCGTCGCATCCGTGCGGGTTAATCCGTCCGTCGTTCCCCGTACACCTTCCACTCGCCATGTCCCTGGAAATTGTAAGGGCCAACGGGGAGGGCCGATGCAGGGGATAGTCGGCGTCCGCCCTGGAAAACTAAGACTCATGCCTGGATGTACATCCTGCTAGCCCATCTGACCTGGATGGCCACTGTCCTCCGTCTGTGGTTCCGCCTCCATCGCAATCAATCATGGATTGCAAGTGGGCAAGGAGGGTTCCATTCATCTCTGCCCCCGCGCCGGGGGAGTCGTTCCGCCGAATTTTCTCGAAAAGGTGGAAACCCTCCGCCCCCCCTCTTCCCCCCTTTAGTCGATTGAGCTGGTTTAGCTTCTTTAGTTGGTTTCGTTGATGACGGTTGGCAGACGGAGAACCCGGAGAACTTTCTTCCCCCTAAAGTTTCAAGTCTAGCGCCCGTCGCCAGCGACGAGGCTAAGCCCGTGTAGTGTCCCAGGTTGTCATGTTGGATGCTGGTGGGCTGGGTGGGTGGGGGGCGTTAGAAGAAAGAGAAGGGAAGAAAAGGGAGGCCGAGTGGAGATTGGCTCCATTCGGATCGTACTTTTGCTTGTGGGCGGCAGAGGATGGCTGGACTGACGACGTCCAGGTCCATTTGAGCTAGTGTAGGTCCCGGTTTCTCCCCTTCGCTAAGATGCCCGCAGTTCCACGCCCTAACCGAACAACAAAAAGGGGGCGCAGGGTGATGATCAAGGATCATCGGAGACCCAACGTGCTGGTTACGCCTCTATGGATGGAGCCATAGGGACCTGTGGTGCCACTCGATTGGCTACCCCCAGCGCCGAGCAGCAGGACTCGTCTCCCTGGAAATCCGTCCGGTTGGGCCGCCGATGATGTCGCTGTGGAGGGGTTAGGTTGGTTCCTGCAATTCCCGTCACGTCCGGTTCCTGCAAGGAACAGGATCGAGGGACGCTTTGCAGTAGCAAAATCTGACCTCGGTGTTCGACGAGAGAGGTTTATGCTTCCCCCTGTTCGGGTGTCTGGTTGCGGGAGAGCTGTTCATCTTTGGGTTAGACCTTTAATGTAGAGGCTTGTGCAGTGTTCAGTCGTCGACGTGGTGATTGTAGCTGTAGGCATCTCGCCTACCAGACGCCGTGGGTCTACCTTTTTCTGCTCGGTTCTTGGTTCTCTGTAGAATCTAGCAATATACAGGAAATATACTCCATATTATATTCGCTTACCTATAGACTTCGAAGCGCCTCGCCTGTTCATTTTAGAGCCGCCACGCACGGGTCTACGACTTCACTTGACTTCTGAGAACAATATCTACTTGTTTACTCTGTGACGTACCACTATAAAACCCACCTGAAAACCTCGATTCTACCTACGTGTTGCTGTTCGTCGGGCTACTCTTTGGGTCCATTAGATACGGTGGATATATATCATGGCTACGAGCTCCACAGATGAATAGATATGCCCCAATGCACACCCACGGGCCTGGGCCTGTCATACAAAAACCATATTTGATAATCACACCCGACAATGAATTCCTTCAACCAGAAGAGTGCTCGTCTTTCCTCGGCGGTCACAGCTACAAAGCGAATGCGGTCCAAGGCAAATCTCCCAGCCGAGGGACATACAGTATACATACTACATGAAACTACAGTACATACTGTATCATCTGTTACCACACGAACATAGTAATAACAAGAATGGGTTTCCTTTCACATCATGGGCACCATGAATACTAAGCATTGAACATCCAATAGCGCATGCCAGCAGCAACTTGGCTTGCAGAACGTGTCGGACGGACGGGCCCAATCTATCCAGAGACCGAGCCTCAACTGTGAGCGTCCACACCACGACAAAGCGACCCCTTTGGCCTGTGCTACACCATATCTGAACCACGGTTACATGAAAAGCATAAAGCCATGTGAGAATTGCCATCGGGGGAATCCGAGTTCTTTGTCATTCCGACCTGCCAAGTCCGTCGTTTACTCCGTACATGCCTGAACCAAGCCCGGGTCAACCCCCAGCCAGAGTGAGGCAATCACCTCTGATCTACAGGCACTATCGCCGTCTGTGCCAGAACAATAGCCGTGTTTCCATACTAGGTCGTTTCTCAAGACCATAGAACCTGCAGCGCCATGGTTATTTGTCCAAGACAGCTTTCTCCGCGGACATGTTATCGGTGGTCTCCCACTCGTATGTGGCTATCTGCTTCGCACGAGGGCTAATACTATGCCGCATGGGTGGAGAGGTTCCCTTTCTATCGGGTTCGCGGGACCAGTCGGTGCGCGTAGCCAACTGTTTTGCATATATTGACAGGGTTATCTTGTTTTTCGTTACGAATGTCCACTGAGCCTCTTGCCATGGTGAAGGTAATGCAATGTGCCGAGGGGAGTGAGGGTTTTTCAAGTTGGAGACTAGTCGAAGTATGTTGATTTGGCTTCGATCAAAATATGGAATTACCGCCCGAGGAAACTCAATCCCAGGACTTTTGCACCCCGGAAGGCAAATGCCGACTCCACGCCAATATCGATGAGGTTTCTCCCCCCCCCCGGTTTCCTTACCGTGACAAGACCTGGTATTCTTCATACAAATCTGTTCAGTGCGCGTCATCGCGCAAGCATGTCTACAGGTTTCAGGTCAAGTTCGCGCCTGCAGACCTCATTAGGAGCGGGCCGGAGAGACTCCTCTTGATCACTGCGTCATAGGGAACGACCCGACCATGGCTATGGCCTGATTGCCACGCCGCATCACCTTCCATATCGCGGACTAGGAGTCGAAGCACGAGCCCCGGTTTCCTGCATGCGGCATATGTTTCGGCGAGCAACCCGGTTGATGCTATCCGCCGAGGCTATCAAGACAATGCCACCCTAGCCAAGAACAGAGCCAATTGTCTTCTCCGGCCTCACGCCTGCCGCGCGGACTAATTTGTGTCTCTGCAGCCACCATCAACGGGGAGGAACGTAAGCATGATCTCAAACGCGCCTGGGCCCTGAGCCTCGTGGTTGATTGCACGCCATGCAAGCCACATGGAAATTTAATCTCTGGTTCGACCTTCTAGAACGGTTCTGGTGCGGAGGTAGTGTCCCCTCTCTGGTACGGTCTGTGGCTCGTGCGTGAAGAAAAGTCAATTCCTCTTGCTCAAACACAATGAACGGGTTCGTGATAATATGACCCGTGTTCCCCCCCGGGGGACCAGGAGAACAGGCAGCGGTGTCTCTCTGCCTCCGCGATGCGGGCTGGAGGGTATAGTTTGGTTGGATATCAGTTCGAAGGACAGGGAAAATGAGGGGGGTGGGGAGAGGGAGAGAGAGAGAGCTGGTATGTCTGGGGTCCAGGCCACTGCAGCGCGCCGGTGTGCTCATCAATCTAAATTATTACCGTAGCAGCATGCATGTCCTTCGTAGTTACTATCTGGTGGATTTGCGTTCAGCCCCCTGACACAGTTTGGCTTTTGGTGGCTTCGATACATTGTGGTCTCCCTGGCTGCGGCGTGGCCAGAATGTTCCTCATCGTAGAGAGCACCGGACAAACGATGGTATCGTGAATAATGAACACGTATAAAGTTCCAGCAGTAAGCCCATCATCGGATATTCCATTGGATGGTGCGGTTGGAAAGTGATGATCAAAGTTCACGCACGGCTTCCCACCCCGGTGTCAAATCAGGGTGAGCCGCGGCCGATCCACAGGGGCGCGCACCTTCCACGACAGGAAACTGGCGTAACACGCTTGGTCTGGATCCCGAACGTCTTTGGCAAGTAAATTTTACTTTTATTTTTGCTTTTGGCTTAGTTGCTTCCGGTCGAATAGGGCGCATAGCATGATGACGGGAGCCCCGAATTTACCGCCCCTCTGCCCCTCCGAGGCGCGGGGATGTGACGGCCACGGGGCGAGAGGCAGAGGGGGTCACACCGTAGGCGATGTCAGATTGAACATACCATAGGCACCTCAGAACACGAGGGCCCAGTTGTTCTGGGGCGGCTCGAAGCCATAGTGCGCGAACGTGCCATGGTAGATCTAGAGGCTGGGTCGATGAGTGTGTGCCCCGTTATGGAGCCGGCCCGGGGGGTAACAGAGCTCAGACGCTGGATTGTTGTACTGTATTTACAGTACTCCAGTACTCCGTACTGGAGTATCCTCTGTAACACGCATCGCGTTCTGAGTGTTGTTCGGTACCTGCGGCTTTATCCGTCAGACTGGTGGATAGCGCGGAGGGGCACAACTTATGGCAGATGTCAATCCCTCACTGTTCTTGGGTATTTTCCATGTCCCATTTTTCTGGTCAAATCTACGAGGTTCGTTTTCCACCTGAAAAAAAAATAGCAGGTCTGAAGGAGTCAGACTCGGGGTTCGGCATCACCAGTTGTCACGAGTAATCACGAGTCTCCGCCAGTATCCAATAACACGGCGGGAGTACTGTCATCGATCGGGGCTATCGTAATTTATACCCGCGGTACAGAATCCACAGCGTGTACCCGCGATACTGTCCTGTCACAGCCATACGAGCCATACGACCATAGGACTCACCCACGGAGTAGGCGCCTTATCCGTCCTGCCTCCACTCTGACTCTCCCTCTTCGTTTCCCCCGTGAAGGAGTGAGCCCCCCCCTCCCAGTATACTCCCCTCCTCCCTGACGACCATGTTTGACTCCATGGCTTAACTCTGATCGCCTCTGTCGTGGTTGCTCTACCTCTGTCGTCCCCTCGACCGGTCTCAAACCTCTCCGGAAAGTGGGTTGTAAAATCAGTTACCCACCCACCCCTCTCTCCAACTGTCAAATTCCCAAAAAGCTATGAGCCACAGGGGTCGCTGAAAGTCCAACGTCCCTCTTCCCCCCCTCTCCGGCCCACCCACCTCAACAAGGGTGTCTCTCTCGCTGCAGCCGCGAGTGACGCTCCTTCATGTTCGAGTTCCGCGCGGCAGATTTGGCTGTCGACGCCAGAGCCGTATTCGCCTCCAAGGCCGGGACTATTGCGACCGCTTTCGAGTACACCGACGTGCAGGCGACCACCCCCACCGGCGCTTCTCACCATCACGACCGGAGATCCAGCACTTCCTACCATCCCGGTCGTTTGAGCTCCTCCCCTACTAGGAAGAAGATGGCCACCGGGTATGCGGTTAGCCCGGAACCGCCCGCGCTATTCGTGCGGGCTATGTACGATTACGATGCCGACGACCACACCAGCTTGAGCTTTCGCCGCGGGGATATCATCCAGGTCCTCAACCAGCTAGATACTGGGTGGTGGGACGGAGTTATTGATAATGTCCGCGGTTGGTTCCCGAGTAACTACTGCACGATCATTACGGAGGCGGACGATTTTGCTGAGCTTATGACGCACGCTCACGATGACACGGACGTCAGCGCGGACTCTGGCCTCGATGATGACTACGGCAATGGACACGAAGAAGAAGAAGAGCTGGACTCGGAAGGCAACTCCCACGACTCGCAGCCCATTCTGCCCATCGAGGCTATGCCCGCACCCAAGGAGCAGGAAGAAGCGGCGTTTTGGATTCCTCAGGCTACTCCGGATGGCCGTCTGTTCTACTTCAATACACTCACAGGATACTCGACAATGGAGCTACCCTTCGAGAATCCCACGGCGGCGAACGAGATTGGCCCTCGCGACCGGACGAACTTCTTCGTCCCTGATCAGACTCGGCCGCCTCCGGAGATGATGGCACGCGGATTTGAGCGGGACGAGGATGACTACGATGGTTCGGCGTCAGAAGCGGAAGGAGAATCCCTGATGTTAGGTTCGCACGACTCGATGTCTCGCAGGCGTCAGTCCTTGATGGATGGTGTGTCGCCTGCGACCTCGATGGATTCTCTGTACCCCCCTGGCCCCAAGGATCCGAAGGCACAATCATTGATGCAAAGCCAGGCAACCTACGGCAGCGGAGCAGCGACGAGTGCCAACACATCCATTACCGAAAGCTTTTCCCGACCCTCTATCTCCTCCAATACTCCCCAATTCTTCGTGGACGATGGCTTCGCACCACCCGTGTCTTGGCCTCTCCTTGTCGATAAGATGCGCTATGCCGTGGAGGCCTACCGCCAAGCTCTCTTATCCCAAGATCGGTCCGAGTATGTGAGAAAGGCGGAAGATATTTCCGACCATCTGCGCATGCTCCTGGCTGCTGGGTCGGATACGACGGATAACCACTCGGGGAACCCATCTATCATCTCCACCAACAAGGCTCTGTACCCTTACTTCCGGGATATGATGTCTAAATTCTCCAAGCTGGTTCTTTCGTCGCATATCGCGGCTGCTGATTGGCCGGGTTCCGACTCGGTCAATAAATGTCTGCAGGAGGCCGATGGCGTGATGCAAGGAGTATACGGCTATGTGGACGTCGCCCGACAGCAGCGCGGGGACAACATTAACCGTATTGTTCCTGGTTTCGTCAGCGGCAGCTCGTGTGGTGGCAGCTGGCAGAACAACGGTGTTTCGCTCGATGCATCCGGCCCGACGTCATTCCTCGTTCCTGAGGGTGGTGATTCGCGTACCGAGCCCTCGGTCTGTCTTGATACGGCTCTATTGGACCACATTGACGTTCTTAGGAGGTCATTCGTAGGTAGTGTTCGTCGCCTGGAAGAGCGATTGTCACTCAATCAGAAAATCGTTACTGTCACAGAACATGGCGAGATCTCGGATGCTGTTTCGGCTGCTGCAATCAAGGTCGTTGAGCAATATCGCCCCTGGATTTCTACCATCGAGTCGATCAACCTGGTCCCTCTTGGAACAAGCTTTCAGAATCCACAATTGGTTGATTTCAGCCTGCAAAAGCAGCGGGTTTATGATGGCATTGGCGATTTCATCCTGAGTTGCCAGGCAGTCTCTGCTCCTCTGGCTGACGAGTGGGCGGAATTGCGCGGCGATTCCCTTGATGACCGGATCACTGCCGTTCGCAGCGTGGCTAAACAGCTGGAGAATTATGTTTCCCAGATTGGCTTCTCGCTATCCCTCCTTCTCGAACAGATCCCAGAGGAGCAATCCGCTGCTCTCCGAAGTGAAAGTCGCTTGGACGAGGAGGATGAATCGCTCAGCAAGGGTGCCCATACGCGCAGTGAATCTCAAGCTATGATCGCCAAAGAGTCTATTGGCATTCCTTCTTCCTACGCCCTGGGCACTGACAAAGTGCGGCGTAATATGGACAAGGCCCAGCGATTCTTTGGCCAGGCACCCCCTTCGACGGTTACTCGTGAGCCACCTATTAGAGAGCCTGTAAGAGAGCCTGAAGAGACTCCCTGGTTCCTGAAGATGGACCATGAGGGCGAGGTGTTCTATGATACCAAGGGAGATGCGCCAATTTTGAAGTGCGGAACGCTGGCTGGCTTGGTTGAACACCTTACACGCCATGACAAGCTCGATGCCTCCTTCAACAACACTTTCCTCCTCACCTACCGCTCCTTTACCTCAGCATCCGAACTCTTCGAGATGCTCGTGCAGCGTTTCAACATCCAACCTCCTTTTGGCTTGAACTCGGATGACATGCAAATGTGGATTGATCGGAAGCAAAAGCCAATTCGCTTCCGCGTGGTCAACATTCTGAAGAGCTGGTTCGACCACTTCTGGATGGAGTCCAACGACGAAGTCAACATGGACCTCTTGCGACGTGTGCATGCGTTCACCAAGGATTCCATCGCTACCACCAAGACGCCGGGCTCTCCTACCCTGCTTGCTGTCATTGAACAGCGACTTCGGGGCCAGGACATTTCCGTCAAGCGTCTTGTCCCAACCCAGAACACTGCTCTACCACCGCCGATTATCCCAAAGAACATGAAGAAGCTGAAGTTCCTAGATATCGATCCTACGGAGTTTGCGCGGCAATTGACTATCATTGAGTCGCGCCTCTACTCCAAGATTCGGCCTACTGAGTGCTTGAATAAGACCTGGCAGAAGAAGGTCGGCCCTGATGAGCCGGAGCCAGCTTCTAATGTTAAGGCTCTTATCCTGCACTCAAATCAGCTGACTAACTGGGTTGCGGAAATGATCTTGACGCAAGGTGACGTTAAAAAGCGTGTGGTGGTGATCAAGCACTTTGTCAATGTTGCCGATGTACGTGGTACCCTTATTACCCTTAAACTCGGTTAATTGCTAATCAACAAACCAGAAATGCCGCTCTCTCAACAATTACTCCACCCTGACCTCCATCATCTCGGCCCTTGGCACCGCCCCGATCCATCGTCTGGGTCGGACGTGGGGTCAGGTTAGTGGCCGCACCTCTGCTGTTTTGGAGCAGATGCGCCGGCTCATGGCGAGCACGAAGAACTTTGGCGAATACCGTGAGACTTTGCATCTTGCCAACCCTCCTTGTATTCCATTCTTTGGTATGACTTGCGACCAACAATACGCCTATACCCCTGGGCTTGATGTGGTACCTTCCCCCTTGTTTATGGGTCTAAAAGCTTACATGTTCCAGGTGTCTATCTTACGGACCTTACCTTCATTGAGGACGGTATACCATCACTTACCCCATCGGAACTGATCAACTTCAACAAGCGCGCCAAAACTGCAGAGGTCATCCGGGATATCCAACAGTACCAGAACGTTCCGTATCTCCTTCAACCTGTTCCCGAGCTCCAGGACTACATCCTTAGCAACCTGCAGGCCGCGGGTGATGTGCACGACATGTACGACCGAAGTCTCGAGATCGAACCTAGAGAGCGCGAAGACGAGAAGATTGCAAGGTATGCTGAACATGCAAGCAGAGACAAGAATTCCTCTGCTTTTCGCAAGCACCGTCGCGATTCTGCGATAATCTCTTCCCTCTAGCCTTGTTTCCTTTTTTTTCTTTTTTCGGGCATGGTATCTGGCACGTTCGGCGATACCCAAATTTGACCTCATATTCCATGATTTCTTTTTTTTCGGACAAAGAAATCACGCTTCAGAACTTTGTGGAAGTTGAGACTAACCGCTTTTGATCTTTCAACCCGTAGATTGCTTTCTGAGTCCGGTTTCCTGTAGGCGTGTGGCGGAGACCCCCTGTCAAAGCTGCACCTGCGGGCTGCCGTCGCCAGCCGAAGATCGTGTCGCCTCGTCGCCACACCGATTCGCGCTCAATCGCTCCAATCAAAGGTTGTGGATACATGGTGGTCGCCAACTCCGGCAATATCATGTCTCACCATTTCGCGACTAGCAGGGTTGGTTCGTGATGGCCCCTTTTTTGGGGATCGTCGGCCATTGCGACCGTGCCCAAGGCGACCTAGTCTGCGCACGAGCGTCTCTTCCCTTAGGGTGATTGATCACCGGTGCATCCGCCGGGCCTGTTCCGTGCTGCATAGGCATCGGGATCATGTACTTTCCTCCTTCACCTCCAATCCTTCGCCTGGACCCGCGATCCTATCGGGTTTCGACGCCGCCCTTCGACAAATCACCCCGACCGCTCACACGACCCTGTTGCATCAGTCCCCTCCTGCATGCATTACCGACGCTGCACCAGAGATGCCCTCACTTCTTGCGTTCGATATACCTATCATTCTTCTGATATAGAATTTTGGGGATCTGATCTGAACCATGTCTCTATCTCACCAGCACCTACCCACCCCAGATCCCCCCCGACTTCCAGTCTGGTGCACTGGCCGACCTTCCCACCTGTACTCAAACGTCGCACATACTGGCCATACTTTTGGTTATATTTTTGGCCGCCCTGTTGACACCACTTTTCTTTTCTGTTTCTTATTCCTTAGTTTCCACATATCCCTTTTTGCTCTCGCCGGCGTGAGGTGAGCCATATTCTCCAGGGTTAATGTCTCGACGCCATCTTCTATAATGATACGTTACGACTTGGGGCCTGCGTTCATGTCAGATGGGACTATTTGACTGTATCATCGGAGCAGGATGCTTGGTTCTGGCTTGCTTTCTCTATATCAATTGTTTCAGTAACCATCTATACGGTCTATACCCTGGCTCTTCTGTTTTCTTGGTCGATAGAAAATGACTTGTCCATTCAGCCTTATCTCTTGATGTAAATTACGGAAGAACATTCTAAATGTGGAGTTGCCTTGAGTAAAGGGACTTGATGGGTCGCCTTAGTCTCTCTGGTTATGATGCATCACTTTTGCCTTATCAAGATCATCCCAAAAAAGACAGCAATGACAAATCCAGATTTATCAGTTAAACCCCCGGCAGTCGTCGCCATGCCAAGTTCATCAGAAGCTTATCGTGCCATGCGCCACAGACACCGGCTCTGGTTCAGGATGAAAAATCAAATAGCGTAACAGTCGTAGCGATATCTATGCAATAGAGGCCTCCTTGCCGAATAACCCTGGCAGGTGGGCTCTAGGCTGCCGAGGAGGACTGGTTCCCGATATCTTGGAAGAGCTTCATCTTCACCTCGGATGCCAGGAGTCCTTTTACCTCCTCCGATACAATCCGCTGCCCACCGCGCACAACCTTGTCCAGCTGCTGGTCTTTATTTGTAGCCGAGCCACCCCGTGGACCACTGCTCTCGATACCCCGCGCCGCTTTGCGCACTTTCTGGCTGAGATCCATGATCTGCTTGCTGCCGTAGTCGCGCGATGTGAACAACGGGCTCTGGCTGAGCGTCGCGACCCAGTATTTGTTCCAGAGAAGAGATAGTATTTCGGTGTCGAGCGTGCTCTTGAAATGCGTCGTTTCAAGGGAGTAATATTGATTTGCGTGGGCGCCGAAATCCTCCGCCTTGCCAAGCGGAATCGTCTGATAATCGTCGTCTTCATGGCCTTCCTTAGGCGGGTTGAAGTCTGAGGGGAAAGTGCGGAAGGCGCCGATCTCAACGCGGCCAGCGGAGATCGTGCGCTCCGGGTCGATCACAACGGCCACAAACGGCCCCGTCATCTGTTGTGTCTGCTGCGTGGCTACGTCGATGCCAGACAGCCAACACCCGTACCCTGGGTGGCTGTGGTACCAGCCCACAGCGTTTTCCATCCGGCCCGCATCCCGGCACGATTGCAGATACGACACCATGTATTCATTCGCTTCGTCTTGAGCATTGACGCGAGTCTCGGTTCCTTCGACGGGTAGTCGAAACGCGTCAGTCACGACAAATGTGTTCGGTAGGATATAGCCTTGCATCAAGCCCATGACCTCCAGGGACCCGCCCGAGCGGGCGTGCATCACCATTTTCAATAGTGCTGTAGCGGAGATACGGACCGCTTTGAAGTAGTACGGGTCTGAGGCCCAAGGCCGTTCTGCATTGAGGGTCTTTTGTGTAGCTTCGTCATATTGGTAGAGGGCATCGCGTTGGGGGTCGAACACGCTGATTGCGTTCTCGAGCTCTGGGTTTGTCATGGTGGTTAGCCTGAAAGCTGTAGCGGCCGTGTCATCCAACAGGCGACAAAACTAACCCCAGGACTGCTGTGCAGCCTGCATTTTGGTGGGTGATGGTGTCGAGTCAGGAAAGGGAGGGGCAAATAGGTGCATAAGCTAGTGGGAAGGGAGAATCGGAAGAAATAGAGGCGAGGATACAGTTGTTTGGAGAGGAATTGCAGATAGATTGTCGACGCAGTGATGAAGCGTGGAGAGAAGCGGTGGGGCGGATCATGGCAGAACTGGGGCGGTGAATATAATGAGTCAGCGGTTGCCCCTGGAGACGATCGGCGCCAAACAACGGGACTTGTGAGATGAACCTGTTATCACCTGCGATCCAGCCCTGCTTTCTCCCCGTCTCATAAACACTCCGAGTCTCCATCCCCCGTCCTCCATGTCTCTCAAGTGACCACTCTCAGAACCTACCCTCGTTCATTTCTTTGTTTGAAGCCGTGTGTCGGCATCTCCGCGCGCTGGGATCTTTGTTTTGATCCTTTCGGCGTCGCTGTCGCAGTGTCGACAACCCTGTCGTTGGAGTGAATCACATTCCTTGATTTGCATTTGCTATATTGTCATCGCGGGGCACGGTCTCTTACAGCTATGGCCGTCGACACAAGCTACTTGACCACCCAGGTCAATAACATCGTAGAACAGCTGCATGGGATCTTCGATGAGATTGGAGTCCCCACCCATGAGCGGGACTCGCGCGAGGCAGAGGTAGGCTAGCCATTAGCCTGCCATTGTCTGATTTCTTTCATGCTAATTGACCTAATAGCTTTTCAGCGCTCTGTCAGCGACACTTAACAGTCACCTCAAGCTCGTCGATGAGTAAGTTTGCGCCGATAAACAAACACTGACTGGTGACTGAGGCTGATACCACATGCTTTACAGAGAAAAGGTGCAGATGACGAAAGAAGCCCAACGCCTCATCACAACTATTCAACAAATGGAGGCGTCTTTGGGCGATGAGCGGGCCAATGGCAAGTACGAGCTCAATCGCGATGACCTGCGCATCACCTACCCGCTCAACCGATGCATCGCATTCTTGCGCGAAAAGAACGAGGCCATGACCAAGCTGCACCGTGAGAGATTCGAACAGGTTAAGAGTGAGTCGTGTTGCATGCACCCCTTCCTATGTAACGATGTGCTGACAGTATCCAGAACTGGTCGACGCTCTGGAATCCTACTCGTCTCACCTTGAGTCATCATTTCTTTCGATTGAACTGCCTCCCACTGCTCCAGGCTCAGTAATTCCGCCCAGCTTCGATCTTTCACCTGCATATGTCACAGCCTTGGACTCCGAATTCTCCCGAGTCTATGAAGAATATCATCGCCGCATCTCTTTCGTCCAAACCACTTCCGAGGAGATCATCAAGCTCTGGGCTGAGCTCGGAACTCCGCAAGTGCAAACCGATTCCAACATTGTCAAGTGCTACCGCGAATCTCCTGAGCAGCTCGGACTGCACGAGACCGACCTTGCCAATCTTATGGGTAAGCGTGACAAGTTGGTGGAAGAGAAGAAGGGACGCGAGCGCAAGATTAAGGAGCTCCGGGTCAATGTCGAGAGCCTTTGGGAGCGATTTGGGGTTGAAGAGGGAGACCGCAAGGCATTCCTTTCTGCCAACCGTGGCTGCGGTCTCCGCACTATTAATGAATTTGAAGAGGAGCTGGCTCGTCTCAATGAATTGAAGAGACAGAACTTGCATTTATTTGTCGAGGACGCTCGTTGCCGTCTGCAGGAGCTCTGGGACTCCCTGTACTTCTCGGAGGAGGAGATGCTTGACTTTACCCCTGCCTTTTCCGATGTATGCAGTGATGCTTTGCTCGAGGCCCACGAAGCTGAGATCTCCCGCCTGGAAACACTCAAGGAGCAGCGCGCACCTACGCTGGAAATGATTGAGAAGCACCGCAGCCTTCTGTCTGATCGGCAGGCTCTGTCTGCATCGAGCCAAGATGCATCCCGACTCATGGGCCGCGGGAAGGGCGAGAAGCGCGACCCAGGAAAACTTTTGCGCGAAGAGAAGATGCGCAAGAGAATTGCAAAGGAACTGCCTAAAGTCGAGGCTGATCTGCGCAAGGAGCTCGAGCATTGGGAGGATGAGTTTGGCCGCCCTTTCTTGGTCCATGGAGACCGGTACCTCGATAGCTTGACACCTTCAACCACCAAACAGCCACCTCGCTCCAAAACCCCTTCTGCGCCCCCATCCACAATGAAAGCCAGTGCTGCCAAGCGTGATCCTATCTCGCGCCCGGGCAGCTCCATGCGCGGACCTCCCCCGCCTCGCTCTGCCACCAAGACCCCGACAAGCAGCGGGCCTGTGAAGCACAACACTATCGGCTATGCTGGAGCTAGGGCTGGTGCCAGATCTCCTTCCAAGCTTCCCGCCCGGGCCCCTCTGAGCAACATGCCGTATGGAAGCAACTCTTCTGAACCTCGCACTGGTCCTGGCTCGTACGCGTCCAGCACAATCAATGGCAAGATGCCTCCTCCTCGTGGACCTCCACCAAGGATGCGTGCATTGACTGTCGAGTCTAAAGAGCGTAGCAGTCACGCCATGGAACCCCCACGCTGCAATAGTGCGATGTCAACCGCCTTTGTCAGGCCTGTGAGCCCTGAGGATGTCTACGATGATCGCCAGCGGTCTTTCATGAGCGCATCCGTTATGTCCAATCACCGGTCTACTGGGTTCTCTCACTCTTCCCACTCTTCACAATCGTCCTTGAATTCCTCTCTGCAGGGGTTCCCTCGAGTCAATCCCTACCTGTCACAAGCACCACCCCCACCTGCCCTTCGTCAAACCTCGAACTCGTCCACCGTCAACACCGCCACCTCCTGTTCTGAGAACTGGGAGACCTTCGATGACGCCTCCGGATCAGAGGAGGATGCTAGCGACATCTACTACTCCAGGCTGCGTGCCGCACAAGGCAAACGATTTGCCCCCGATGACGGCGTGGATCTGATGGGAAAAAAGTCCAAGGGAATCCGTAGCGTCAGTCCTGACGGGCCACACCCTGGCCAGATGATCCGCGTCGCGGGCAGTGACACTGAGTGGAACGATGACTTCGAGACCTACTAATTCTTTTCGGTCTGATCTAATATGCTCCTCAACGAAAGCCGACATTACCGCCTCTCCTCCTGCACTAAGCGTCGCTTCTTACATTTTTCAATTCCCTGGACCTTATTTCCTTTAACAGTATTTCCTGGCGCTTCGGACATACGGGCAGCGGTCACGCAATCGCTTGGTTTCCTGACGATCCCATGACTGGACTCTGTCTGTACGGCTCATGTTGACGATCCTTTACGATTGAGCTTTACTCAGATTCCTTCGGGCTGGTGCATTCTCCGCACGCAAACTGATGACAGATCTTTCTCTCGCCGATTTTGGATCTTACTCGCTTGCCTTTCTGTGTTCAAAGTTACGAGTTCCATCATGTCAATTCTGTTTATGCTCTCCATTTCTCCTGTTGATGCTTATGACGTCCGTTGCTGCTGCTGGCTGTTTTTGCTTGCAATGCATCTTGAGTACCGGTTTTGTCTGGCCGTTTCTTGCGAACGGAACTAACTGGCTCTCTCAATTTGTGCGCACGCGTTCCTTTTTTTTTTTTTTTAATCTTCCCCTTCGGGGGTGTTGGATCGGCTGGCATGGTGTTATCTGCCTTTTATCTTTCCTTGTCTTACGCTTTCCCTGCGCTTTGGTGCTAACGGTTTCGATTATTCCCTCGCCTTGACCTCCTGGACTCTTGGAGTCGGGCTTTTTCCTTTATGTCGTGCTTGATCTTGCTCGGCTCAGTTTTCCATCTGTTTGATTCTAGCGCGGTACAGTGGCTTTTTCTGTGTAGTGTTTCCTGATAATATTATTTCCGATTCAGATTATCAACTGTCCACTCGGCGGTGTGAAGTGTTTCGTAGAGGAATACAAATTTCATGTACAGGAGTTATTAACAAAAGTCGTTTGCCTCGTCATCTTCTCGAAGTATTTTCCAAAATAAACCTGACCAGCGCTTCTCGGCCGTCGGCTTTCATTGGTCCCTCCGTATGCATCGCCCCTAGTACTTCTTTGCGGGAGACTACTAATCCAAGGTCTCGGGCCTTTTGCTCCAGTTCGCCTGCCACATACGATGGAATCACTTCGTCCTTCTCGGCAGACAAAATGAAGATTGGGGGAATTGAAGGAGGCGGGTGATTATTGTGCGAAACTTGATCCTGCCAGTCAGCTAGTCGCGCTAGGGCTGTTGCATTGCACCAAGTGTTCCACGAAAACGGCCATAGATAACGGTATGGAAGCCATCGCTGAGGATACAAGCTGATAAGCATGTCTTTAATATTGGAGGTCGGCGCCTCCATGATCAACCCGGATATTGGCGCCAGCTTGGTACCATCTGTGGCGCGTTCAGCGCCGCGGTGGGAGAGGTATGTAGAAAGAGCAGAGCTTGCGATAGATGATCCGAGACTATGGCCCCAGAGAACGACCTGGAGATCTGTTTCTGGTGACGAATAAGTTTCGGATACCCAGTTCAAGAATGCCTGGGCATCAAGTTCAATTCCCGATTGTGTTGGTCGGCCTGACGATGTCCAATAGCCTCGGTATGACAGGGCGACAATGGTAAACGTAGTCTCGTCGGAAGTTGTCGTCTTTGACATTGACGAGATGGTCCTCAAGACCTGTGAAAGAAGGGGCAGTCGAAGAGGTGTTGACCCACCATTCCCTTGGAAATAGCATATCACCACTGATTTTATCTTCGTCGTAGGGTCGACTGGTTTTCGGCTGTGCTCAACGGGGATTTGCCCTTCACAAACAGCCAATTTGGTCCCATCTAGACTCCGGATTTGCTTTTCTTTCCACTGCACGGGCTTGCATTCAGCCTCATATTCAGAGATTTTGTCAGATCGTGAAAATGGGGGCAGCCAAGAGAGATATAAAAGCTTGTTTTGCAGGACAACAATCCAGAAACATTTCCATGTCCAAAGGCCGAGGAGAAGTCCGAGGAAAATAGCAGGCGGAATGAGAATAGGTGGAATGGAATCAGTAACTAGAGAGCGTGGCTGCTGGCTTTTCCTTTGCCACGAAGTGCTTCTAATTTGATTGAGGACTGGCCTTTTCCTTGTATTGATATGGATGTATCGATGAAGCCCTTCGAGCGGGCGAAGTCGGGAGGAGTGGCTGGTCCCAACATTGACACTGGCATGGCGCCCGGCACGCTGCAACACCAATTTCCCCAACATACAGCATGAGGGTTCTTGTGTACAAGATGCAAGTCAGTGTTGTTAAAAGATTTGTAGACGAAAAGACAGGATGACCAGTCTTGGACCCCGGCTCAAAACGGATAGCTTAATAACAGGTCACATGACCATAGACGTCCTTGATGTCCTTCGTGTCCTTCGTGTCGCCATCTTTACGAGACATTTTATGCAAGGGAATTTATATTATCTTTATTGGAATAATATGGAGGCTCAATTTACACATATATACAGCTAGTGGTTATGTCTTGGCTCTTCCCACCGCTGTGCAACTCTCTGGTACTTAACAGCATCGCGGAGAACCATACCCTCACTTAACTGGTCGGTCTCGCGACGGAAGATCTCCTGCCATGGTGTCTGGTTCTCTGGTACAGAGTAGCCGCCATGGGCGTGAAGAATAGCATGGCGGCGCTCAATCTCTTCGGGGGCAAGGAAGATATCTACTTGGCGTTTGGTCAGGTCCACCCGTATACGGTCACCGTCGCGGAGGATGGCCAGGTTACCGCCCGCAGCTGCCTCGGGGCTTGCGTTCAGGATGGACGGAGAACCTGATGTGCCAGACTGGCGGCCATCACCAATACAAGGGAGTGAATTGACACCTTGGCGCAGTAGACGTGCTGGTGGATGCATGTTGACTACCTCAGCTGCCCCAGGATACCCCAAGGGGCCGGCTCCACGCATGACAAGGATGCTTGTATCGTCAATGGGTGTTGCTGGGTCATCAAGCCGGCTGTGGTAGTCCTCCGGCCCATCAAATACCACGACCATGCCTTCGAAGGCGTTCGGATCATTGGGATTCTCAAGGAACTTCTGGCGGAATGCCGGAGAAATCACACAAGTCTTCATGATGGCCGAGTTGAAGAGGGTGCCTCGAAGATGCACAAATCCAGCATCCGCCATAAGCGGCTCGTTATAAGGTCGAATTATCTTTCGGTTCCATGACTGCTGGCCACGTACGTTTTCTTCCACGGTTTTGCCATTGCAAGTTAATGCCCGAGGGCGCAGCTTCCCAGCCTCAAGCAACTCTGCCATAATAGCAGGTAATCCACCGGCGCGGAAATACTCTTCAGCCAAGAACTCGCCAGCGGGCTGCATGTTGAGGAGGAGCGGGAAGTGAAAGCCTAGCTGATCCCAGTCATCGAGCGAAAGCTCCACGCCAATGTGCTTCGCCATAGCATTGATGTGAATCGGAGCGTTCGTGCTGCCACCAATGGCGGTGTTGGTAATGATAGCGTTCTCAAAAGCTTCGCGAGTCATGATGTCGCTTGGCTTACGGTCCGCGTGGACCATCTCGACAATTCGCTCGCCTGTTTCATAAGCACATTGACCACGCTCACGATAAGGTGCCGGGATGGCCGCCGAGCCTGGAAGCGCCATGCCCAGTGTTTCTGCAAGTGCGTTCATAGTTGAGGCGGTACCCATGGTGTTGCAATGACCCACAGATGGGGCCCTAAGAACGCTCCGTCAGCCTGGTTGATATCATAGCCAGTGGTAACAGAAACCTACCCTCGAGAAACATAGTCGATGAACTCCTCGCGGTTGATTTTGCCAGCCGCGTACAATTCTCTCCCCTTCCAAACCACCATTCCTGAGCCGGCCAGTTCATCTTTCATGTAGCCATTAAGCATCGGTCCGACGTTGAGACAAATTGCCGGAATATTCTGTTCGCGCAATCCGTTAGCTTCCGCCCCTCAAGCAATCGAGCACCTCTGAAAGGAAGCACATACTACAGTAGCTGCCGCCATCAATGCTGCAGGTGTCGTCTTATCGCACCCAGTCAAAAGCACCACGCCATCCAACGGGTATGCATACAGAATCTCCACCAACCCTAGATATGCCAGATTGCGATCCAAGCAGGCCGTCGGCCGGCGCGAGCTCTCCTGGATCGGATGCGTAGGAAACTCAAATGCAATCCCCCCAGCACTTCGAATGCCTTCACGTACACGCTTCGCAAGCTCCAAGTGGTGCCGATTGCACGGCGCAATATCTGAGCCAGACTGTGCGATGCCAATCACCGGTTTCCCCGACATGAGCTCCTCGCGCGTCATGCCATAATTTAGGTAGCGCTCTATGTACAGTGCCGTCATCCCTGGGTTATTCTCGTTGTTGAACCACTGCGCAGACCGCAGCTTGCGGCCTTGACGTGGGGGCGCGGGACCATCCTTGAACGAAGCGAGCTTCTTCTCCAATTCGAAGGTGCGCTTGCGCAGCGCGAGGAGTTCAGATTCGCAGTCTTCGATGTTGACCGGCTTCGGGTTGCTATCGCAGGAGCAGCCTTCGCAAGAGGCTTTGGTGCCGCACGTCATGTTTGGGCTTTTTTCGCGCGTGGACGCGGGGACGGAGCGGAGAGGATGCGGAATGCGCCAGAGGATCGATACCAGCGGTGCAGGGTCGGGTGGGTGTTAAAATGGTGAGAGCTGAGCCATGGCTTCTGGCCCAAGAGTCTCCTGGCCCAAGAGATCTCGGTAATAGTAATAGACAAGCGTGCGCTATGAGTAATGAAGAAAGCGAGGACAAGCCGAGACTGAAAAGCCGGAGCCGACCCCACGGAGTTCTTCCGACATCCCACACATGGGACCCACCCCAGTTGATACCGCAAGATTATTCAGACAGGTCGATATATAAAGAATGAAGATAATCAATTCTAAAGTTGTTGGTCTACTGTACTATCATAATTGTGAAGGGAGATGTTGAAACCTCGAAAAGAATGAAAAGTCACAGGGAAAAGCAAAACCCCAGACGCCTTCTATGCCTGCGAAGCATGAAACCCTAGTTTTCCGCATTTACTGAGTCGCGCACTGCGCTGGCTCCTCATCCTCATCATCATCCTCCACCCAGGCCGATCCGCCGTGCGCATCCCGAGCACCGAACTCGTCCATGTTGCCGTTGGGGTCGTACTCGACCTCGTCCACGGTGGTCGCCTCGATAGCTGGGTCGGGCTTGGGAAGCAGCTCCCGGAGCTTCTCAAGCATCTCGGGAGTGGGATTCCACGTCTCATCGGGGAACTTCACGTTCACAGCCAAGTAGAGGTCACCCCGGGAGTCGCTGCGCTTGATTGGCATACCCTCGCCGCGGATCTTGAGGACTTGTCCGGTAGACAGAGTCCTGCCAGCCGGGTGGTTAATCTCGATACCCCGTCCATCAAGATGCTTGAGCACAACGCGCGAGAACCCAGTCAATGACTCGGCCAGGGTGATATCAATAGCAGCCCGCAGATCGGCGCCAGCACGGTCGAACACGGGGTGCTCCTCCTGGACCAACTTGAAAACGATGTCGCCATTCTCACAGTCTGGGATCTGATCTGCCTCGCCCTCCAGGACAATCTTCTCTCCCTCACTAGAAAAAGATTTGTGAGAACGATTTACAGCCTGAATAATTTGACAGGACTTACCGTGAGCCAGGGGTGATATAGATTTCCAGCATCTTCTTCTCCTCGGTCGTCCGGTTTCCTTTGCACTTCTTGCACTTGTCCTTGGGGCTGAAGAACGAGCCCTGGCCATTGCACACGGAGCAAGGCCGTGTCTGTTTGGTAAGAAACTGGCCCATTTGGGTAATCACCTCCTGAAGACCATGACCATCGCAGGTGGAGCACTTTTTGGCCTTGGCCTTCTCTTTCCCACCCTTGCCCTTGCACAGGCCGCAAATGACGTTCTTGGTACTGGCAAACTTGACGGTCTTGCCCTTGTACAAATCCTCCAGGCTGACTTCATAGTCCTGCTCTTCGTTCGGGCTTCGCCGCGGTCGGCCACCTCCAGGCATACCGCCGGGCATGCCGCCAGGCATACCTCCCATGCCACCCATGCCACCCATTCCACCACCCATGCCGCCGAACATCTGTGCCAAAAGATCATCTATATCGGGCCCGCCCATTCCACTCATTCCAGGCTCACCAGAGCCGTTGAAGGCGGACATGCCATGTGTGTCGTAGAGGTGGCGCTTATCATCATCGGAGAGAATTTCGTATGCCTTCTGAACATTGATAAATTTGGCTTCAGCCGCGGGGCGCTCGTCTTCAGGGACTTTGTCGGGGTGGTTGACAAGAGCGGCCTATCAAACACTGCTGTTAGCCTCCAATATAATGTAATGCCAGCGACACTCGATTTACCTTCCGGTAAGCCTTCCGAATCTCGTCAGTGCTCGCGCCTCGGTGGATCTCTAGGACCTCTGGAGGGGAAGAAAGGTCCAGTCAATCATCTCTCCTCCTCAGATTATTCCATAGAAGTGATTGCACATACCATAGAGGTCGACTTCGATTCCAGACACTAAAGTTCGAGTTAGAAAGAAGCCCAACAAAACAGACCGTCAGAGGCCCGTCGCAAATGAGGGAGGGGAAGCATACTGGGTGCGGATTGCAGCTAGTGGAGGAAAATGCGGCCTGAAACAATAGCAGAAATATGCGCTGCAGGATCTGACGCCAAAAGACCGGATAAAGCGCGATGTGAAAAGGGAGAAAGGACGCGAAGGCTGCGATGTTGGTCCAGCGGAGTTTGCCCACCGAAATTTTGTCACTTTGTCGGGGAAGCGCGCGGAGCTGCCGAACCTCCGCAAAAAATTCCCAACCCCATTAAATCACATGAACCACTCTATCAAACACCCTCACGCCCTCAGATCTGACCGTCATGAGGAGCCCTCACAGCCGGCTTTTTGCCCGGCGATCTTGGACCTGCATGCAGTGTAGAGCTTCGTCCTCCTCTACGGGCGCAAATGTTCGCAAGCCGAAGAACAACCTTCCCGACGCCCCTGCGCGAACGCGTTTTGCGCCGTCGCCAACCGGATACCTTCATTTGGGATCTTTGCGGACTGCGCTGTTTAACTACCTTCTTGCCAAGCGGACTGGAGGCCAGTTTTTGTTGCGCATTGAAGATACCGATCAGGTTCGGACGCCGTCGCAGTCCGGTATGGTATGCGAGCAACTGCTGACATGCGCAGAAACGTACGATTCCAGGAGCAGAAGAGCGATTGTACGATGACCTACGGTGGGCGGGACTGAATTGGGATGAAGGTAGAATTCATATGCATGCAATGGCAAAGGTTGGAAACAGGCTAATCTAGCAACTGCAGGCCCTGTTGTTGGCGGCCCCTATGGACCATACAGACAAGTAAGAATCAAGTCTTTTTCAAATCGGACAGAGCTAACGCATGTCACGCATAGTCTGAGCGAATAGCCCTATATCGAACCCATGCTGACGATCTGATCTCCAACGGCCATGCCTACCGATGCTTCTGTTCCTCAGAGCGCCTCGATTCGTTCGCGCGTCACCGTAGCCAAGCAGGGCTGCCCCCGGGGTACGATAGGAAATGCGCCGATATCTCCTCAGAAGAATCGGAAGATAGAGCATCCAGGGGCGAGGCACATGTGGTCCGGTTGAAGGTCGAGGGTTACCCCATGTTCAACGATCTGGTCTACGGCAAAACGGGACAGAACAAGACCAACAGCAGCAAATTGGATTTCATTGATCGGGTCTATGACGATCCAATTTTGTTGAAATCGGACGGGCACCCGACCTACCATCTGGCCAATGTGGTGGATGACCATTGTATGAAGATCACTCATGTTATCCGGGGAACGGTAGGCCTCTTCTGTACTCTTCCAGGTGAGGGGGGGCTATTGCTAATATCTTACAGGAATGGATGCCCTCTACGCCAATGCATATGGCACTATATGCCGCTTTCAAATGGGCTCCACCACGCTTTGGCCACGTTCCCCTGCTCGTCGACAAAACCGGGCAGAAGCTCAGCAAGCGGAATGCAGACATCGATCTCTCCTCATTCAAAGACCAACAAGGAATCTTCGCTGCGACCTTGGTCAACTTTTGCTCTCTTTTAGGCTGGTCTCACTCCCAGAAGTCTGATATCTTCAGCTTGGAGGAGCTTGAGCAGATTGTATGTTCTTCCAGCTAGCTAGGGCTGATCGTTTGGCTGACAAAAGTTTCAGTTCAACCTCAAAATTACTCGTGGAAACACTGTGGTTGCCTTTGAGAAGCTCTGGTTCCTTCAAAAGGCGCACGCTCAGCGATTTGCGACAAATGGCGGTTCCCAATTTGAAGAAATGGTGAACAGGGTGTGCACTGTCGTCGAAGATGGCCACACCGTGGAGAAGCTGTAAGTCTCATCTGCCACGTTTCACTGCACATGCTCCTAGCCTAACACTATTTCCGTAGTTCCTCTATCCTCCAAGGCCGCACGCTGTCCGAGTATATCACTCCGCTCCTGCGCGCAGACGCCAAATCTTACACGACAGCGAAAGAATTCGTGGAGCGTAATTCCCACTTTTTCACTACACAACTCGACCGTGCGCCATATACACCAACACCATCCTCTGTCTCATCAGAATCTCCCACAGTTCCAATGCAAGCGCTTCACACGGCGGCGGCAGCTCTGACCCTCGTCCCACCAGCCCACTGGACGATCGAGACTCACCGTGAAAATATTACCTCCTACGACGGTTCCGACGCTGTCACCATCCCATCCGGGACTGCCAATGCAGTCGCCACTGACAAGGTCTTTAAGAAAGAACTCTATCATTACCTCCGCTGGGCATTGTCAGCTTCTGCACCGGGACCTGGTATCCCGGAGATTATGGCTATCCTGGGACGGGAGGAGACGCTGCGTCGAATTCAGGATGCCAAGGCTTTGACGCAGTCTCTGGTGCCGCAGACCGGACGACGGGTTCCGAAGGCTTCTGGGGAGAAGAAACTGCAGGAGGACCGAAGTTGGATGGGAACCCTTGCTCCTGAGACATAAAGTAGGAATCACCATTTATAAACAGGACGGAATGTGTATGATGATCGACTGCTGTTATGCAAAATAGATCTATCGGAATAGGAATATTCACTGGTATCGGGTGTTCTTTACCCGAGGGGATCTCTGGAGCCTGTTCGCTCTCCATCAAACCCTACCAATAGCATCAACTAAGGAATAGCCCGTAAGTTGATTGGTCAGGTTATGCAAGTCTTGTATCTTTATCAACTGGCATGCGTAGTCGCCGGAGGCGTGTCAGCCTCGCTGCAAGGAGACGCTTTGGTGGATTGACTGGCGCTACGTCGATTGGGGTTTCTACTGGCGGTAGCGGTTGGTGCCCGGCGCCGATGCATATTACCCCGCTTAAGATAGCAGTGCCTTGGTCGACATATGCATGTATGAAACGGCGAGTGTTTCACATTATATACCGATTTTATATTGGGCTATGGACCAAATCGATGCTACCTGGCCGTAAGCATGCTCTGTCAACTATTAAGGCGCAACTCACGCTGCCGAGGAACCGGAGGCAATATGATATGATCTATGATCTCTAGGATTATCACGCGCGCCGAATTGGGCACCTGAAATGCGGCTCTTGTCTAAACGTTCGCCAAAAAAGCGATCTCCCATTGGCATCAAATATTTCTATGATAATGACAATTGTGATATTGAGTAGGTAGTATTTGTCGGGTCCACAATTTGCGGTTGACTGATACGATCGTCGACAATGCAGTATAGTCTTTGTACACGGGTTGACCGGCGACTACGAACAAACGTGGAAAGCAGAAAATGCAGCGGACCCGTGGCCAAAGAGCTTATTACCTTCTATAATCACAAATGCTCGGTTACTCACATTCGGATACGATGCGAACGTGATTGGAAAAGGCCAAGTATCGGAAAATGGGCTTAGAGAGCATGCAATGGCTTTGGTGAATGATCTTGCGCGCGTCAGAAACAAGACAAAAACAGTAAGGCATCAACAATGATACTTGACTCTCCTGGACTTGACCTTACATGAGGTACAGAACGAACGTCCGATTATATTTGCCTGCCATAGCCTTGGGGGGCTCCTCTGTAAAGATGTAAGTCACTCTAAATACTACTACATGTCTATCCTGAGCTAAGTTAGTCGAGCACAGGCCCTCGGTTATGCCAGAGACTGTCTAGAAGAGAGGCATCGGCAGATCAATTGTTGCACTCGCGGAATTGTTTTTATTGGCACTCCTCATCATGGCTCCGATCTTGCACCTGTTGCCAGAAAGCTGGCGAGATATCTGGGAAGATTCAAACAGACTAATTCTGCAATCCTTGACGTTCTGGAAAAGGGCTCCGATACTTTGTCACGGATTCAGCGTGACTTTGCAAACATGCTTCGTTCACGAAATGAAGTGTCAAAAGACCCCAGCCATTTATCGCCCATTGAGATTGTATGCTTCTTTGAAGAACTTCCATTAGATATCGTTGGTACCGTGAGTCAGATCGACTATCTGATAACATGTACATCTGTTGACCGCCATTCTCGTCGCTCAGGTTGTCTCCAAAGACTCGGCGATCATGCCGTCCTCGAATGCGATCGGACTCCACTGCAACCATATTGATATGACCAAGTTCGACGACAAGGAGGACGAGAATTTCGACCGTATCGCCGCAGAGCTCCAAGAGATGTGCAATAAAATTGCGGGAGACAAGACCGACAAGACGGATAGAACGAGCCTGGCTTCTCATAGTTAGTTAACCTGCTGCGCATAATGCGATGAATACTGATATGTTTGGAGACAAGAGTCCCTCTGGTTGCTATAACATGAGCACGCTCGGAAACCCATACTTTGTAGGGAGGGCTGAAAAGCTCGAGGAACTGGAGCAAAAGCTCGTTCAAAACAAGGAATGCCAGAAACTTGCCGTTGTAGGGCTCGGCGGGGTGGGAAAAACGCAACTTGCCTTGCAATTTGCGCTGAAATTGAGAAACAAAAAGCCGGCATATTCGATTTTCTGGGTGTCAGCCCTCAGCAGGGCAGCCTTTGAGCAAGATTACTTTAAAATTGCCCAAGAGCTGAATCTCATTCACACTGCTGATCCCGAAAAGATCGAAGATGTGGAAATGCGAGTGAAGAGGCATCTGAGTGGTGAACATGGAGGGCAGTGGCTCTTCATTATTGACAATGCCGACGATGAGGGCGTATTGTTTGGCCAGCCTGAGCGCCCTGGGATTATGAAATTCCTCCCAGAGAGCCCCGACGGGCTGATGCTGTTCACCACACGACATCAAAAGGCAGCCGTTTCCCTTGCCCGGTCCGACGTCGTTGAGCTCCATGAACTGAGTCCGGATGAAGCGAGAAGCTTCTTCGAGAAGTCCGTGCTCCGGAAGGAGATGCTCGCGGAGACGGAGGTGGTCGGAGAGCTCCTCAAGGAACTCACGTTCCTCCCATTGGCCATTACTCAAGCCGCGGCATATTTGAACGAAACCAAAATGTCTCTTGTTCAGTATCGCCGACTCCTCAATAAGTCCGAGACCGACATGCTGGGACTCCTCAGCCGGGAGTTTCACGACGAAACGACGCAGAGACGAAATGCTGTGGCGACCACATGGCTAGTCTCTTTCAACCAAATTCGGGAAAACAATCCCACTGCAGCTAGCCTGCTTTCCTTCATATCCTTCCTCGAGCCGAGGGCCATACCAAAGCCAATCCTGCCATCTGTGCTTCCGGAAGAAGAGATGGAGTATGCGCTTGGCACCTTGTGCGCGTACAACTTTCTGGCTCAGCAAACCGATGAAAATATGTATGAGATGCATAGACTGGTGCATCTGGCAACTAAGCTGTGGATCCAGAAGCACAGCCTGGTCGACGAGGAGGGCGAAAAGGTCCACAATCATCTCGTTAACATCATCCCCGAAGGGCGTTATGAAAACCAGCCCTTGTGGACTCTCTACCTTCCGCACGTACTGAGTCTCCTGAAGGCCAAGGGCGGCAAGGAAAGAGACTTGGCCAGAGGATGCCACCTCTCCCGGAGAGTCACAAGCTACCTATATGCATGCGGCCGGTTGAAGGATGCCCTCGTCTCGTCCGTGGCGGTGTGTGAGTGGTCCAGCCACAACGAAGATGCCGAGGACCCAGATCGGCTTGGTTCAGAACTGGAACTGGCCAAGATCTACTTGCACATCGGCCAGCACCGAAAGGCAATGCCTATTTTGACTCGCCTGGCGAGAATGTATAGAAAGCTATGCGAAGGAACGCATCCAGATTATATTTATATCCATCGGGAGCTCGCCGCCTGCCATTTAAGAAATGGCGAGGATGAGCAGGCGGTCGATATTCTGCAACGCCTCGTCGCGATCCTCAAGGATCGTTGTATCACCAACGAGGAGGAGTTGTTCCAATGCAGCTACGCACTGGCAAGGGCCTACCTATTCCGGGAAAATACAACGCAAGCAGCGGAGGCTTTACAGCCTATCCTGGAGGCACGCGAGTACATCCTGGATGAAGATCACCCGGAACGGATCAGGTTGCAGCTGATTCTGGCACAGACCCACCGATTGAAGGGTCAATATCCGGCGGCAATTAAGATCCTCAAGCGCATCGTTGAGATGGAGCACACCACACTGCATGAGAATGGACTCGAGTTTACGGTGCCTCAATTTGCGCTTGCATTGACGTACATTTCCGCCGGTCAGCCCGCGCAGGCCGTCCCAATCCTACGACAAGTTGTCGCCACCCACGAGGCAACCTCCGATGAATCGTATGAATATCTTCTCCGAGCGCAGAGTCTTCTGGGGAAAGCCTGCGTCATGAACGGCCAACGAGTAGAGGGAATGAGGCGATTGCAGCACGTGTGTTCCGTTCGAGAGAAGCTTCAAGACAAGACACATCCGCGGCGAATCTTGTCCGAACTTGATCTTGTGAGAGCATATAAAACCTGTGGACGTATGGAGGAGGCCAAGAGCCTGCACAGTCGCCTAGCCACGGTCTGGAAGGACCTTAATGAAGGAGAGATAAATTGGATCGAAAGAAAACTACCTTCAAGTTCGTTTTAGGCGGCAACTACAAGGAGCGGATTCAATGAAAACGGAGTGAGACGAATAGAGACGCCAATTGTGTGTGTCGTCAGACCACGAAGTGAATACCCCAGCCATCCCAATTCTGTCCGTGGGAGTAATGCGAGCTCCGCCAAGCACCAGCCAGCTACAACGTATGCAAAGGTGATCTTGTGTTTGGTGTCAAACAATATTGGAAACTTTTGATCTCATTCTTGAAATCTATTGCGATCTATGAAGTTCGAGCGAAGAAGAGGGCAATCCGACGATACATTTCCACCGGGTTGGAATACATCGGGAAATGCCCACTCCCTTCAATGTACGCCAAATCCACGCCTTCCTTCTCCAAGAGACCCAAATAGGACAGCCCGCGATTCTCTTCGCCATACATGAACATTCTCGGGCACGGGAGCGCTACAAACTTATCCAGGAGATCGCCGTGATCGGACAGGCGCACCATGGACTCGAAGATTGGTCGCACGGCACCTGCCCGGACTCGCGCGCGCAACGTGCTCGCATACAAAGGACTTGCGTGGGATTTGGTCTTGCGGGTACGGTCGATGAATTCATCGAGGAATGCTTCCGGATCATCAGTCGGGAAGGTGAAGATTTGTCGACTGAGGAAGCAATCTTCCGGTGCGAGATTGCCCTTGATGTCTACAAAGCTGAGGACCTGGTCGGGATGCTTATGGGCGAGCAGGAGCGCAGTGAGCCCGCCCATGGAATGGCCCATGATGTGGAAGTGGGTGATTTGGAAGTGTTCGAGGACCGCCTCTGCTGTGGCGACTAAGAAAGGGATATCGGTGGCGGAGAGCCTGTCGCTCGTGGAGTGGCCACACCCGGGGGCGTCATACGCGATGAAGCCATGCTGGTGCAGAGTGGGATGAAGGACCAGATCGGCCAAATCTTCCTTGCACGATCCAAAGCCATGGAGAAACAGAATCGGCGGCTTAGGGCTCAGACTATGGATAGTAGAAAGATGGAGGTTCACTCCTTGGACTTGAAGCGGGATTGTCGCGTAGGTGAGCGACATGTGGAACGAGCGTAGCGAGGGACTAAAGGAATCGAGGCCTTCGACCAAAATTGAAATCTAAGAAACTATATAGTCATGTAGAGGGAGAGAAAGAAATATGAGATCAAGCTCGGTCAAGTGGCTCGGTGCCACAACTTCTTGCCGCCACTGATATGGGGGGCGTTGAAATTGGTCCATAGCATCGGAACCATGGATCACCGATGGATTCTCCTTTTGAGGTACACGCACTCAAGAGGGGATAAGTGTGGCATCAATATCAGTAGCAGCACCCAAGACAGGTAGGTATTCGAAATTATCATATTGGAAAGGAAGAGTAAAAGAAGCCGCCACTCCCCCAATGCATGAATGCTCAGCCGAAATACAAAAATAATGAGAATAAATCCAGAGAAGAGAACAACTAAGGCGAGAATTTTGCGTCTCCCACCGCCAGAGACCAACTGATAAGAAACAGACACGAATCAAACGCCTATATACGGCCCCGCTGCACATGGAGGGTATCTAAGAGTAAGACACGAGGCCCGGGGGGGGGGGGGGGGGACGCACGGGATGTTGATGGTGGGGGTGCTTTACACGGGTTGAATAGGGTTAGTGAACAGGGGTTGAAGGTCAAAAGGGTAAAATAAGAGGTGGCAGAGGGTGGTAGAAAAATTAGATAAGTTTAGAGGGCAGAGGATGAACGTAGGGTGTGGTCACTTCCGGTTCATCAATTTCCGGCCGAGGTTGCGGATGGTTCTTTTTTGGCTGCAGATAACAGTTAGAACACAGTTTGTATACTCTAGGATGGGCAATTTGTACCTGTCGTCCTGTTCAGCACCATTCCCATTCCCTCCGATGATTGTGGTAACGGTGTGGCTGGAGGTTACGGGTCGGACGGGGGCATTGACGAAGCGTCGTGACTCCTGGGGAATCAGTGAGCATTTGCATGCATGAGAAATATGGTAGTAGGGAGACACGGTACTCACCTCCCAGCGAGAATCCACGTCGACATCACCGGCAGACTGAGAGTCGTCGAAAGTCGCGTCCTGATCCTGGCTGTCATGCGCATCCGAGTTCAGAGACAGAGAACGAGCCAATGGCGAAGCATTCGATTGCATAGACTTTCTCGAGGGCGACTCGGAGTATTCGCTATTTGAGTCGAAGCTCGTCAGACTCGGCGCTTGGCCCCTATCGAGGTTCGGAATGTTGCTCCCGTTGGGTAGGAGTTGGGACGAAGAGGCAAGCTCGCGGAAGCGTTTTTGCTGCTGCTTGGAGGGCCGATGGTGCGAGAACTTGTTTCCGAGGATGGCGGGCGCATGCGAGATGAGAGCCTTGATGACGTCCTTCTTCAGGCGCAGCGCGAGATCCAGATTGGACCAGGTCTTGTTACTATACTCCAGAACTGGGAGGCGGAAGACAAAATCGTGGAGGTCTTCGATATTGTGCTCGCCTTTGCCCTTGTAGCTCATGCAGAGAACCACGTCGTGCACTTTGACCCGGGCCAACGTCATGTAATTGGAGGCTCGGGAAATCATTTGCGAAAGATCGTCGGTGGGCTCCTTAGATTTACCGCTGCGGTTACCTTTGCTCAGACCGAACTTCTTCTTCTCCTCGGTGCTTGTGCTGTGGCTTGACAAAGATCTTTGTGTGGGCTGCTTTGACAACATGCGAATGCTATCCACGGATCGTTTCTTTGAAAGGCCACCTGTGGTTGCAGGACGGGGCAGCTGCTTGGTGTTGTCGGGCACGCCTAGACGCGCGTTGTTGCTTTTCTGGATGGGTGTCATCGCAAGACTCTTGAGATGGCTCGAGCGGCGACTGGAGCTATGCTCTTCAGAGAGAGACAAAGTTGGCTGGAGTCTCAATTCAATGGACCCAGGGCCGTTGGACATGGCCTGCAGGTCGTCCATTGAGACGTTGTCCTCGTCGGTGCTCATTGACTGGTTCATGTTCGGGATGTTTGAGCCGTCATCCTCGTTATCCTCGCCATCTGACGCATCAAGAGGTTTCATATTCTTGATCATGAAAGGTGAGAAGCCGCCATTCTCGAACGCGCCGGAGCCCATGTTAGGGAAAATGTACTCGAAGAGTCTTTGGCCAAGCTCACGTTCCAACTGTATCTTGAGCGGGAACAACGACACTTCGAAGTTGTCAACCACAGGGATGCCAGCGACAGCCTCCATCATATGCCACTTGACGCGCAGCATAAAATCGTCCAAAGGCCGGGGTTGGTCGAGATACGGCGCGATGATCTGAGGATAGATAGCATCCGGGAGAAGATTGAGTCCACTAAGACGCTCGATAGCCACAAGGTTGTGGTTAGATCCATCGGTATTGTCTGTGCGCTCATATTGAGCATTTCTGAGTTGGAACTCCACAAGGGGGGCAGATGCCTCCTTCATCAAATGCCAGACAACCTCAGCAGCAGAGATACTCCAGCGCAGAACACCATCTGTCTTAGACGAGCTGGGATCAGCTCGCCTTTGAGAGGTGGTGATCGCTTTCATCATGAAAAACAGTTCGTCTTCACACTGAGAAAGGTCTCGCTCGAGGGACAGACGATCCTCCCAGCCCTGTTTATCCAAGTACTTCGCATTGATCTGGAAGTACTCTTTGATTTCCTGAAATTGCCGAATACGCGACTGCAGCTTGAATACCGCCTCGGGAGCGCCACGAAGGTCGCTAAAGTCGGATGTGAGCATGATCTTCTCCAGGCGCTCATTCCGAACTTTCTCGAGAGGTTCGCTGTAGAGCATGAGATCCAAGACAATGATGTACAGGGAATAGTACTCTGCAGAATCGCAGATCGCACGGAAGTGAGGGAAGTCAACGCTGATCTGGTCCATCCTGGTTTCGTCACCTCCGGGGTGCGGACCTTGGTGACCCTTGGCCACCTCCTCGTTATACTTCAGACGGAGATTATTGTACTTGTCATAGCGAAGAGTGGCGGAGGTCTTTTGTACGATGCGAGAGAATCCAAATGGATTGAGCTCAAAGTCAAACATCGCTTCCAATGTCAACCAAGGCGGCCATGCAGATCCCGGTGCATTGCCGTACTTGTTGCCAGCATAGAACTGCAAATTTGCCATGAGGTTCTTCTGCGTTGCGACAAAGAACTGGGCACCGTCCATTTCGAGAGAGAAACGGCGCTGGACCAAGCCGCTGACATCGTCGGAGACGCGTTCTTTATCCATAATTGACACGACTTTAAGTTCCATGCCTTTCGCAGCTACCAACAAGACGGATTTGCGGTTCTTCTCGCTCATAAACTGGATCTGAGGAGCGATAAGTCGCAGGTAGTAGCTGTTCTGCGGCGTAAATTCCGGGGCAATGTTTTCACTAGAATTATCGGAGCTCGAAGGTGACTGGGTTGGTGGCTCGGATGGCTCAGTCTCCTCCACATGCACATATCGCTTGGCGTCGTTCAGCAGCTGCTCAATGCGGTCCGCCACATCCTCTTCATCATTATCACTGCGGGTCTGCCCCTTAGACATCTTAGGCTGTTTTCGCTTGTTTTTGTTTTGCTCCTCCACGATATCCAATATGAACTTGACTGCGCGTCGAGACATGTAGTAAACGAAGCCTCTTCGCTGACTCACTTGATGGCTGTAACGCAGTATGATGTTGCGGAGTGAGTTATTCCATTTCAGTTGCACATTGTGGATCATGAAACGGTTGTTGAAGTCGCTGGAGAACTCATCGGCAGCCGACGAGTAAAGCCCATCAAGGCCAGATGACCGGCCATCAGCAGTTGAATCTGCATCACGTCCTATTCGAGATGAAGTTTCACTTGCGGACACGTTAGGGCCCGACTTATTGCGATTTGGAGTTCGCTCATCGCGTGCCAAATGTCTCTCAAGTCGATTCAGGGTGGAAGTCAAGAACTTCCGTCTCCTTGCAAGGGACTCGGCCTGTCGAAGGTAATTGTCATGTTTGGCTTTCAAACTCGGATCGTGGTCGACATCCTTCATCAGATTGAGCTCCTGTTGCCCAATAGTACGATCGTAATTACGTATCTGTGCTTCAACGGTGGCAAGGCGATCCTTGGTCAATTCGATCTGCACCCGGCGAGGATCATTGGTCTCGGACATGACACAGTCATGAGTCGGCTCGTGCCCGAAAGTACTGAAGCCGGTCTCCTCGGGGCCAATGTCATCATGGTCCGTCTGGCGGAAGTAGGTAAACCGTGGGGTGAACGCAAGAGGTAAGATCTGCGTCCGGGGATTTGACTCTTGTGGAAGAATCCAATCAGGCTCCACGAAGTCATCCATATCAATCCAATCGAGATTATGATCAGGAATGGTAAACTTCGACAAATCGACCGAGGGCAGCGGTTGTTGGAAGGAAGATATGATGCCATCCCTATTTTGCTCGAGATCCTCGGCTGTCGTGCCTTCGATACTGGCGGAAACCGCTCTGAAGTCGGCTGATTGCAAGTCAATCAAGGCTTGGTTAATCCGCATCGCGCTTGTCTTTGTCTGCTTGGAGCGGCCCTTGGCCTGAGTCTTCATTTGCTCGCGGCGCTGATGGATATCCAGCTTCAGGGAGTCCAGGCGGACCTTGAGACCCGTTGCAGTCACAGCATTCTCTGCATAGTCTTCGCGGTCCTTGTGCTTGTAAATATGTGCCACGAACAAAGGTGCAAGGAGAAGTTTGTATTTGACTGTTGCCAGGTGCCGGTTAAACTTCTTGCTCGTTTTAGTGATTCCTGGGAATAGGGGCCCTTGGCGAACAGGAAGAGACATGACACCGGAGAAGAGAGACCACCAGTTGAAGAAGTGGGTGAAGAACCGAGGAGTCAAGTGTGTTGTGTTGTAACTTGCAGATGGCTGCACATCGTCCACAGACCAGTTCCTGCTTTGCGGCGCAATGACTGACACGGAGAGATGAATGTGGTCACTGCGGAAGCCACGGAATGCATCATAGCTTGCGCGCTCTGCCGGGTCGATAAATTTGGGATTCTTGAGAACAACCTCGTAATGCGGCCTGAATGCAAAGGATCGTGAATCGGCATCGACATCGCGCTCAAAGACCAATCCCGTTGCCCACTTGACATCACCAGATAGTTTCATGATAACCTTCTTAAAGTGGGCAGCGTTCTTCTGCTCGCTAGATGCGGAACTGCTCTCGATGTCTTCTGTGTTCGATTCGTTCGCATATCGAGCCTCCGCACTGTAATCGGGAATTGCCAGAACATATTCGCCGCTAGTCACGCTCATGAACTCCATCGGGTCGTCGCTGCTATGAATCTCCCACTTGACATCTCTTCGCCAGCACATGACGAAGCCGCTTCCGAATCCCGTCACCACATAAGGATCGCGGGAGCCCTTGAGGCGCAGATGAACATCGCCATCTTCCTTCCAAAGCACCTTGATTCGGGAGTGGAAGCTGAGTCGAATCTTATCCCAGAATCCAACCCTCTCTGAAGGGTCGATTTCGGGCTTGGTGAAACCTTCAATGATCTTCATCATATCCTGGATCACGGGTTGGTAAGAAATTCCCCAGGAGATGCTCGTGGGCAAGCTAGTGTTGATCTCAATGACGGGGTCGGAGTAGGTCTTCACAGGGGTCACAGACCGCCACACCTTGATGTGAAATGGATCGCTATGAGAGCCGTTAGAAAGATCAGTCGGTGGGACAAGTTCCACCTCAACCTGTCTTGCAGACTCATGATCACGAAATTCTTCGGCGATGACAAAGTTCGTTCGCAGTGACCAACTAGGGAGCCTAGGAGACTGCCCAGGTCGAAGGGCTGGGATATGAAGGAGGTCGAGAGGATAGTCTCGCAAGTTGACGCGTGCTTCACCCATCTCCAAATTGAAGCTCATTGGGACCAGCAAGCCATACTTCATAGACATAGGCATCCCCTTGCCGATTCGGTTGAGGAATGTGGGGTAGTCGTCAAGTGGGAAAGTCGGTTTGTCGATAACGAGATTAACATCGCTGATCAGCGCCGACATCAAACCCGGTCTGTTTGGAATGGCTAATATGGTCTCGGTCTCCACGACGTCATCTGGCGGTTCATCTGCACCAGAGAATAGATTCCTGACTTCCTTGATAGATGCGCCTTGGAACTTGAGAGAGGCATCAATTTTCTCCTTCCATACCTGAGCATTATGTTGTTGGAGCCGGTTCCAAGCAGCGTCTGTGGAGATCTTGTACTCGGATGACAGGCAGGTTGCACCCTCAGTATCATAACGGAACTTGGAACCCCGACCACGATTTTGCTCATCTTGCCTTGGCCGTGTGTCTGCGCTCCGACTTCTCCTGGTATCTTGACTAGTTCGTTCACTGCGCAGCGTTCGGTGACTTGACTTGGTTCGTAACCTTGACGAAGCCCGCCGTTGGTCCGACTCCAGGATCTTTTGAGCCTTCAATAAGAATGCATCTTCACGAGCCAAACGTTGGCCCTGCTCAATCAGACCAACCCGGTAGATGCAACCCAATTTCCATTCAAAGGCATCGTCCTCTAGCTCAAAGAGAAGAGCTTTGCTGCGAAGTGATATCCTAGGCACTTTTTTCGGCCCCTCAGGCTCTCGAACCGAGAAAAATTCTCTGCACCGATTCTTGAATCGATGGTGTAGTTGTTTAAAGGCTTTTGAGGTGTTGATAAGGTTGTCAAAAATGCGATGCATCACCATATGATGAGGAACACCCAATCGAATGAAATCGGCCCACAAATCAATTGATCTCTCCTCAACAAAGCTGGCACCGTGCTTCAATTTCATCTTGCGGAAATCAAGCCTGACGTTGTTCATGCTACCGATTCTAGCCCACACGCCCTTGAGTTTGGGTGCCTCCGCATGAACACGAACAAGATTAGCCTTGATATGTGGAGTGGAAAGACGTTGTGAGCCACCAGCAAGTCCATAAATTTGAAGCATCATGGAAGGGTCGGATGGCAGATTCATCTTCAGCTGGAAGACTGTCGCTTTGACATCGACTGTAAGGAGTTCGTTCTTGGGAGACGATGGAGATAAGGGGGGTGGTGGAAACGATATGCTGGCGGGACTCTTTGGCTTGCTTGAGGTTGACGCCGCGTTTTTTGCGGGAAGAGGCGTAAGCACATCCTGGATCACAGAAGTCGCAACACCCAGACAGTAGAAGCGATAAAGAGAATATTGAAGGTAGATGCCCTTGAACACGGAGTTGAGGTGGAGCACAGGCCCCAGTCGATCACTATGGGTGCTTAAAGAGATCTCGAATCGAGGAAGAGAGAAGAAAGGTTCGGGCTCAAGGTAGTCATCCGATTCGATGACGAATCCATCGAAGCCACGCGCGTGGAGCGCAAGTCGGCGGCCATCTGTAGCGCCGCGCTGAGTATGCTTGGGGGGCGATGTAGGAGTGAACCTGAACGGCGACTCATCACCGATTATGGAGTGGCTAGAGGTACGGCGTCTAGCGATACTCCCGACGTTGTGTTCTGTTTTCTGGGCCTTGTACTCCGCCTCCCAGGATTGCAACTGCAACGAGACGCCACGAGATATCTCGGAGACGGTAGTGTCAACCCCGGCAATTTCCACGCTGAAACCTGTGGCTTCAAATGAAAATTGAAGGAGCCACGGCGGAATCTTTCTCAATGGGCTTGATTTTCGCTCGTTCAGTGGCATGGGAACCCTCTTTTGCGGTTGCAGGTGCGTCCGGAACTGCTCAAGGACTTCGCGAATTCCACGATTGACTTCACCATTGATCATATGAACAGAGCAGTCGTTCAAACTCCCTGAGGCGATAACGCACACCTCCGGGCTTGCATTCAAGTGGCACTTGAGTTCCAGAGTCTCCGTCGTAAGTAGATTATGCTTGTCGCCGGCAGGGGTCTGGTAGTAGAATTTATGAGATGCAACCCGATAAATGGATGAGAGAGAATAGTGTGCGCCGCCCTCGGAAGAGTGTGATGATTCAACATCGAGCGAAATCGAGGATATGGATGAAATTAAGAGGTTATAGTCCTCAGGAGTGCCGGACTCTTTCTCAATAGGCAAAACGAATCGAATGACAGGTTCGTGAACGGATAGCTTGATGCTCGCTTTTGGGAGCAATCGCGAGATCAAATGATGATTATTTCTCTTCTTGACTCGAGGGGTAGATGCCCGCGCCTGCGCCAATTTTAAGAGCCGAGAGACGTGGTTTGGCTGCATATCGAGAGAGGGTGATGTAACAACCAAGTTGGCAAAAAAGACATTGGAATTCCGTTCTTCGGGGTTCGCGTCTTCAAAGGCGCTGACAGTCTTCGATGGCAGGGTCGTCTTGATCGTTGTCGTGGCCATGGGAATGTAAAGAATGTTGTCAGTTTCGCCCGAGTCGTCATCTAAGCTTACTGATAGCGAAATGGCCGCGAGGAGCGCTTGGTGAGCGACATCGTTCCGCTGGAAATACATGCGGTGCTCCGGGCTCTTCTGGTCCATCCGATGAAGATCGATTCCAAGTTCATGTGATACCACGTTCAGATAACCAGGATTCTGGCCGGCAGATAGAGACTGAAGACCGCGCGACAGCCGGAAGAAACTCAAAGCGACCTGAATTTCTTGAATACCACGGAGAATCGAGCTGGCAAACTCCTTAGAGTCTGCGACCGTTTGCACTATTGAATCATCTCGGCTGCCAGGCTTGTCCAACTCTTCCACAAAATCAGCGAAAGACATCTCATCGTCAGTCTCATTTGGCGCTAGAGACTTGGGAGGCTTCTGGGCCGACTTGATGCGTTGTACCATCGTGTTGAGGTCATCGTACGGGATATGCAATCGCCCAATCTTGAGCGCAATCGATGCATCCCGAAGGCCTTCCAGATCTTTATAGAGCAGGCCATGGAGGTTAACTCCAACGTTATCAAAAATCTCCGTCGGTTCTCGGCCGTCCACCGAGAGCAGAACATTTTGCACGTTCATAATCCATTCAGCTGGGCGCTGTTCACGAGACATATCTTTCTTGCGACGAAAGAGTTTGCCCCGTTCCACCATCTTGCTCCGAGTATCCACCGTCAACGAGAGCGAACCAACTTGAATCTGACCAGCATCAAGAAAATGAACCGAAGTATTGATCGCAGTGAGATCGACGAGGGCCAGCCAATTGATCTGACGATGCAACCTCTTGAGGCGCTCCTTCATGCGAGTCAGAGATCTCCATGTTTTGCTGCGTGGAGTGGACGATTCGGGGGTAGCGCTATCTTCGGAAGGACTCCCAGGACTCCCTGGACTTCTTCGACTCCCTGGGGCTGGCGAACCCAGGAAGTCTCGTGATTGTTCAGGTTTCCCTTTGGACAAAGCAGCCGAGTCCAGCGTAATTTTGAAGTCCGTCAGTCGAATGCTGATCCATGTTGGCTGTGCGAAGGACGGTGGGTGTAACGAGAAGCCAAGACCGCGGATTTCAATTTGTAGACCCTCCCTCGGAGCGTATGCGATGCGACGGAGCGAAAAGTAGCCGATACGTTGGATAGAGATTCCGGTCGATATTCGAACGATGGCAAAGACGAAGAAGGACGAGAGGTAGAGCAGGAGGAAGCCCACGAGGATCGAGGTTGGGTTGAAAAGGGTCATTGCGCCGTGCGATCAGCAGGGGCTAATCTGTCGAGCAAAGACACACCACACCACACGGTACATTGAGGGGATTGCGGTTGTGCTCAATTGTCTCCGTGACTGCGGTGTGAGCTCCCGGGTCTGGATCCTACCTCAGCTTTCGGAGTCTGGGGAACTGCAGTGGATGGCACGATTGCCCCAGACGGAGGCGCCAGTCCAGCGATTAATAGGACGCCGACAAGTACCGGATACCAGGTTGAATCCGATCACGAGGGAAGCGGTGCGAATGAATCATGCTTTCGTGGGGGAATAGTCGAGGTCGAGGCTGGAGTCTGGAGAAGACAGATTCATGGTTCGGTCGCGCCGGAGAAACAGCCTAGGAGCGGAAGGCTAATCTGCCAGCCAATCCGCCAATCCGCCACCCAAACCGGCTTTGCTCCGTATCTGTCAGTTCTGGAACCCTCCCACTTGGTCGGGAAGTATACTGCAGTTTTTGCTTATCGGCCTCACTCCTCCCTACACATTACGAAGTACTCGTGAGGGGCCACATGCAAGGCTGCTTACAATTCCACATCCCGGTCACTACATGCACTCGCTCCCCCCTCGCTTAGGTGTCGTTTTCCGGGCTCGTGTGCTGAGGCTCCGATGATTTCACCCTGCAGAGAATGCCGCGGGGCCTTCCCATGATCTGCGATCGGCGATAACTCGGCCCCTAATGGCGTCGCGTGGAAAGAAGATGGTCGGCTAGAAGGAATTGGAAGAATACAGTACATGGTTCGGCTTCTTGGTTTATAATACAGAATTTTGTGCTGTTCCACGCGGCACGTGCTGTACCGCAATAGTGGACCTGGGGGGGTGTCAGAAAGGCGCAATCCGACACGTAACTACTCCGTAGAAGCGCACTAGTTGACTGAATAGGAGAGAAAAATTCAGCGCTGGACGAAGCCTTGTCCGTGCGCCGCATCCCAGGCCTCCCGCCATTACCCAAACTTGTCCCGGGATAGTCTCGCATCGATAGCCGCAGTGTGCAGGGAACAGGCCATGGTTAATCATCATTATTTCCGGTCGTGGTGCTGGTAGAGGAAGCAACTGGTCGGGTCTTCTCTAGTTCTTCGATCTTCTCGTCAAGGAGCGCAATTTCGGCCTCAACGCTCAACAATTTCTCACTCAGCATACCCCGATATTCCTCATCTGACAAGTGTCGGAAGGGAATCCATTTGGATTCAGCCATTCGCTGTACAAATGGCTTGGATGGGTTCTGGGCCTTCTCCATTTGCCACTTATCAACGTAATTAAAGGCACTTTGACCGCCATAGCCGAGCAGGGAAAAAATAACGAGGCCGGGCACCAGTCGACCTCCTAGACCTAAAGTTAGCGGCTCTGCCCAGCAGCAATGATGCGATGGCGGGGGTAACATACCCATGAGCCTTGTCACGACTCCGCCAGAGATGCCACCGCAAAGAGCGCTGACATATGCTCGCTCCTGCGGGGACGCGCTATCTTGATAATGAAGCCTGATGATGTTGCTTCGCATCCCTAGATCCAATGCATGATTAGACGCCGGCTAACTAGCCTTCAGGTGGATGTGTGAGCTAGAACATACACCAGAAGGATGAACCGCATGCAAACCAGTGGATACCGCATGAAAGCGAATGCACCATGGGGTTTCGCGATCTGATGACACCAGCTGCCCCTCCATATATCAAACCGGCAGCGCCTAAATAGTTCCATGTAAGCAGAGATGCGTCGCCGGACAATTCTCCTGAGTGTCGCCTCAAATTCGGGGAAATACTAACCACTCAGGGCACCCACTTTGGCCGCGGCCAACAGCGGATCAGCTGGACTAACAGCTGGCAAGCCTTGTCCACTCATATCGCGAACAGTCCGAGTGGAGCATGAGCTTTCCTTGTATTGACCATTGAAGAATCGAACCGATCCATCGCAATCGAAATCAGAAGGTATATGTCACGTGGTATGTGCGTTATGTAATCTCGTGGGCTTTCCTCAGTGTGGGTGTGTACTCCGTACTTCGACTTAAATTCATCACCTCGGTTTATTATTCATCTATTCATGAGGTCATTTGGAGCCCTTTTGACCTTTATTGTTTCACTCTAAGTAGAAGCAATGTCATTTTAAGGTCTGAGTGACAGTTTGGAAGTTTAAAATAGCATCCATACGTAACCTTGCTCCATGTATATATTTAGCGGAACTTTCCACACAAAAGATCGTATCGGTGGATCGGGCACTCCGCCCTTAACAACTAGGTAAAAATTTGATTCTATATATACTAATCTAGCCAGCATTATATATAGTTATAAGTACAAAAGACACCTATCAGCAAGGTTACCTACCTAGGTAGGTATGCCTCGATAATATTGCGATGTATATTTTTCATGGGGAAAATCCACCCTACGATGAAAGCCTACCGGAATTTTGCATTTAACACCCGGACTTTTCAATAAGAAAAAGATATCTTGAGCTTTCCGCAAATAAACTAAAAGAACCCTTCTCATGGTAATCTTGATTGTTCAAAAAGCCTGCGTGAGGCCTGTAAGAATAGACAGAATCTAGATCGTGGTAGGGTAGGCAGAGGGTCTACCTAGCCGAGTCGGGTTAGACTCGCTTCAGTAGAAGAGAGGAGTAGAGGGGTGTTTCCACTGAAGAGCTAGAACCATAAGTAACCATGTATGATCAAATCCAGAAGAACTCATCCAGAAATGGACTTATTGGTCTGCGAGAAAATCACGTTGAATGCAACTCCTGTAATAGTGGGAGCGGGGGATCCGATTGGGCTAGCGGCACCACTAAAAATTATCACGGATTAACTAACCCGGCCACTTCGTGCAGACCCGATTGCCGACTTCCCCTCTACCAACTTTTCCACGGTGGAGTTTTCATCTGCACGCCTCAACACCTGCGAATACCAGATTACTCAAACCTCCTCCGACTGACTCCTGGACTTCCACCCAGGTGTTTTTTCTTTTTCCTTCCCCCTCCCCCCACCTCGCTTATTCCTCCCCCCAACCGTTCTGTGTGAGAAGCGCGCACAAGTTCGCTGGCGCGTTTCTTGACCTCTCTCAACCGCAATCATGGGTGAGTCGATTCCGCTTCGCTTTCCCCGTCGCTGAGTGCCATGGCGAGCTACATATTGGCTCGTACTAGCATTTGTGTTATGTTGGATCATGGCTGACCTATTCCTTACTAGCGCCCGCTAAGGCCAAGGGCCAGAAGATGAGCATGGTGGAGTTCCTGGGAGTAGACAGTGAGTGGCCGATGGACTCGGAAGGATACTGTGTAATGCTGACTGTGGGAAGAGCCCTCCGGCGATTTCAGCTGGGCGGATGAATCTGAGGAGGCGGGCATGGAGCAACGTAAGTCGCAAATTCCTCGTTATTGGCTTCGCTGATCGTTTGCTAACAAAAATCATAGCTAATGGTACGTTATTCGCCGATGATATGATACGATCCTCCATTCCTGGCGACATAGCTTACTGTGGTTAATAGTGCCCGCTGAGAGAAGCACTCGCTCTTCCTATGGCATGTTTGGAAGCGGCGGTTTCGGTACGATCCTCTACAATTCAAGACTAAGTTCGATGGCAGCGAGATCTGACAGACGCGACTTAGACCGTGACTCCCGTGGTGGATTCGAGGGCCGTGGATATGAGACCCGTGGCGGATACGCCGTTCGAGAGCCGCTCGACCTCCCCACCGAGCCCCCGTTCACTGCCCACATTGGAAACCTGTCCTTCGAAGCGACTGCCGCCGATGTGACTGATCTATTTGCCGACTGTGGTGTGACCAATGTCCGGATTGTGGAGGATAGGCAGCTCAACACCCCCAAGGGCTTTGGCTACATTGAATTTGAGACTGTCGCTGGTTTGCAGAAGGCCCTGGACCTCTCTGGTACCACCCTGATGGGCCGCACTATCCGCACCAGTGTCGCGGACCCTCGTAAGCGCCGATTTGTTTAATATCTGGGCGAACAAAAATAGATAACTGACGGGCATATAGCCAAGGAGACGCGTGCCGACCCCCGCGACATGGACTGGACCCGCCGAGGTCCCCTTCCCCCTGCCCCCTCTGAGCGGCGTGTGCCTGACCGGGGCAGCTTTGGCCGCAACATGGACGCCGCATCCGACGCCGGAAGTGACCGAGGAGGCCGCCGCAACAACTTCGAGTCTGATGGAAAGTTCCGCGACTTCGGCAACTGGGAGCGCAAGGGCCCGCTTTCTCCCCCAGCTGGCGCTGGCTTCCGCGAGGGTGGCCGGCCCCGCAACAACGATGGCCCTTCGCCTTCCTGGGGCGAGGGACGCTCGCAGGATGGATCTCGGCCCCCGCGCCCTGAGCGCGCTGAGCGGACTCCTACCGCTGCCGATATGGACAACCAGTGGCGCACCAAGATGCGCCCTGATGCCGCCGCCAAGGAGCCTAGCAACCCTCCCTCTCCTGTCGCCCCTGCTTCCCGCCCGAGGTTGAACCTGCAAAAGCGCACTGTTTCTGATGCTGTCCCCACCCCCGCCTCTGCCGCTGGCGACTCGAAAGCTAGCCCATTCGGTGCCGCTCGCCCGATTGACACTGCTACCCGTGAGCGCGAAGTGGAGGAGCGCCGCCAGCTTGCTGTTCGCCAGAAGAAGGAGACCGATGACAAGGTCAAGGCTGAGAAGGCGGAAAAGCAAAAGAAGGAGCCCAAGCCGGGCATGGATTCCAACAAGGATGCTATTGAACCCCCCAAGGGCGGCGGTAACTTCGAGATCCTCCGGCGGGCCGGTGAGGACGAGAGCAACGTCTCCACTGATAAAGAGCCCGCGGAGGCAGCTGCTCCCGCTGCTGCTGCCGAGGAGGCCCCGAAGAAGGCTCCCGCCAACGGCAATTGGCGGACAGCTGAGACTCCTGCTGAGACCCCTGCTGAGACTCCGGCTGGAGATAATGATGGGTGGAGCACTGTTGACACGAACAAGAAGCGTGGCCGCCGCGGTGGCCGGTTCTGATTGACCTATGGATACCCTGACGCAGCCTCTGCTTTCGCCCCAACCTGTGGCCTGTAGCGTGCAGAGCCGATGAATGATATTGTCACCGGTGTACCTCAGGTAAGAGTCCTTGTGGGAGACCGGTTTCGGTTTCGGACCACCATGGCCATGATCGTTTATTTGCCTCTGACGACGGTAGTTGTTTTGTCTGACTTTTTCCCATCCTTATGTCTTTTCTCTTCTGTGTCTCTCTGTTTTCATGAACTTCTTTTTCTCTCGGGCTAGTTTCCCGATATACATCTAGTCCTCGCTCTGATGATTTGGCAGTATGAAAAGTCTTTTCCCCGCCGTTGTCTGTTTTCTTTAATGTCATGTCGCTGTTCGTTATCTAGCTATTATTCCCATGCGTCTGACTCGTGTGTGATTTGCCCATGACCATGACAGCCGATGCGAAATGAAGATTATCCTGTTCTCTAGCTTTTCCTTGTTCTGTCTCTTTCCCATGATCGACTCGGGATCGCCTTGCTATGTCCTTGTCTGTCACCGCTCGGGAATCAGCCGCGCTGGGCGTTGGAGTGTGGAGCCAGAGTCTTGGATGCCACTTTCATCCCCAGCTATCACCCTCCCTGATCATTTCTGTCGACAGGCTATGCGAATACGAAACCACTCAGTGGGAAACGCGATCGTCGTTATGTGCCCCTCTCATGGCCTCATGATGATTGTCTCGCGCTTGATGCCCTTTCTTCTCGGTCTTGTTCCCTCTCCGCTCTCTACTTCGGCCAGTCTCTTTGTATGTGATATGCAGAGCTGAGTGCATCCCTCCCATGTGGTCAGTTTATTCTGCCTGTGCAGGTAATGATGGTGCCCATGACTCGTGTTTTTAAGTATAGATTGAAATGCAGTCTTCATTGACAGATCATTCACCGTGCCGAGTATTTACCCGTTTGTAGTTGTTACGTGCCCTACCACTTTTTCCCCCTTCCCTTTTTAACGTGGACCAAGGAAAGCACAGGGCCGGCCACCCTGAGAACCATTGAACCTTCCATCCTCCCCGCATGTGTGGTTCGCTCAAGTGATAGGCGACCGAAAAAGAGCCAATTGGTCGATCATAACTTCTCGTCAGCAAGGGCGCTAGGTCTAGTACCTGGGAGGGCCTTTACAGGTCCACGAGTAGTAGACATGTGCATGGACTCACGGACGGTGCGGGAGGAGTCCCGGTGTCAGACTCCGGAGAGCGGAGGCTGGACGACCGCCGGACAGTCCGAGCCCACAGGGAGGGCCGGGGGTGGGGGGAACCCGTTTCGTAGTCCACCGCGCAGATAATGTACGGGATTTAAATGTTTTGATGGTATCATAGACCCGGGAACAGGCTTACACAAGAGACTATAATAGCTACGGACTCTAGGGCTGCTCATTGATTTTATAACAGAAATAGCCCTGAGTGAGGATTTGAGACAAGCGGCCCCAGCCATTGGGCGGCAATAACAGGTGGCGCAGCATGGAGTTAATAAACCCCTTCAAAGGGCCAACCTAGCATGGAAATGAGTCGTGTTTCAAGAATTTCTTCTCATAACCTGCTCGCTACCCTGCCGAGCTTCCTTTGAATAGCTCTGGTGGCCTTTTCAGAACACCCTTTCGTGTTTTGTTTTCCGACCGCGCTTCCCCGTGCCCTTATTCCTGGACCTTGAAGATCTCGGGGTCAAAACCCCCATGTTGTCATGTCGGCTACGACCACCTCGACGCTCACGACCACCACCCTTGTCGGTATGCCCTCTGCGGTGATGAATGTCGCGACCCTTTCCGAGAAACAGTGTCCAACGTGTGGGGGAAACGGCGGCACTCACGATGCCTCTGAGGCTCAGCGTCGGATCCAGGAGTTGGAGGGGCAGGTACAGCACTTGACGGAGCACGCTGCGATGACTGGTGAGCAAGAGCAACCGTCCATGGATACTCCGTGCCGGTAGACCTGAAAGCGTGGCATGTCATGATGGTGTCGAGGATTTACCTCGAACGAGTCTGATGTACCAGTGTTGATCCGGGACTTCTTGCTGACCGACTCTTTCCCCGTTCGACAGCCAACAAACTCGCCGACTACGAAGACGAACTGCGCCGACGGCGCGCCTCCCAACCAGCCTACGACACGCCGCGAAGCAGCTCCTCTCTCCCTCCGTCCTCATCTCACGCCGAAAAGTCCCCGTCGCCACGCGCGGCACCTGTAGCCCGCAATGCGACGTCGCCGCCTGTGCAGCAAACCCAGGGCCGCCTGTCAACCCTCACCTCACTGCTCCCCTACCGCCGCGGCAGTGCTACCCCGACCAACGCACTTGCGCCAGCACCAACAACGCCGACAGCACCTACGAACCCGCTCCAGCAACAAGCATCGCCCGCTAGCAGCGACAACGCCTCCGAACTGCAAGATGCCCTGACTCGTGAGCAGGGCCTGCGCAAGGCCGCCGAGTCGCAGCTCTCGCAAGCGAGCACCGAGCTGGAGGAGCTGACCGTGCAGCTATTCAGCCAAGCGAACGAAATGGTTGCGCAGGAGCGCAAGGCGCGCGCCAAGCTGGAGGAACGCGTCGCGGTGCTGGAGCGCCGTGATATCGAGAAGCGGAGCAGGCTGGAGAGGCTAGAGAAGTCCATGGCTCGCGTGGAGAGGCTGAAGGCCCTGGTCAATGCGTAGCTCTGCCTGCGTCTTGAATTTTTTTTTTTTTTGCGTTATGACTGGTACGATTGGATTTTTTTTCTCTCTCTCATGACGGACACGAGCTTGGGCGTCTTGTTTGAGGGTTGGATTTTGTGATTCCCTTTTGCATTCTAGGTTTGGGGTTGGGTTTGGTTCTGCTGGCGTATTAATGTGATTCTGGGAATGGGCATGTTTGCTGCGGCAGACGGTTTCTCTGTTTTAGGATCTGCTGTCGAGCAATATTCAGTTGCAATTGATCATATCGATTTGTCGAGAGACCACCACGTTTCTTTCGCAGCACATGACGTGGGACCGGATTTGCGTAGATCAGATCACGTTTTGCTCGGTAGCTCGCTCTTGCGTCATGCATATGCGGCCTGAGGTAGAGTAAGGCAAGGGCCGACCGGATACTCTGGACAAGAAATGGCGGGGATGAGTAGCTCGACCAATAGCTAGAGGTTGAATTCTGGCCGAGAAATACGCATCCCCGACTCTCGGCCGCCAATCGGTCGGCAAGAGGTTGGACCTTCCCAGGCTCGCGAGGTGGATAATATTGTCTGGTGGCCAGTGGGCCTTAAGAACCCCCCCCCACCTAGATCCTGCATGCTCCTGCATGACATCTGGTGGCGTGAAGAGCACTGCTTCGACCTAGTTCTCTCCGTTGATTCCTGCCTATTCCACTTTATTGCTCTAGAATATGTCTGTTGGGGTGGCAATTATTGGGAGTGGTGAGGCCCTTACTCTCAGCATGGTTTCATGCAGCCTCCAAACTAACGTCTGTGACAGGCCATTTTGCCAAAGAGCAGCATTTGGTATGTCAAGTGCTCATACCGGGTAAGACGAGACTAATGCATCATATAGCCTGCGGTTCAAGCTGCCACCGACCTGCAGCTAAAGGCCATCTACTCGCGATCCTTGAAGTCGGCTCAGACCCTTGCTGGCAGCACACCCGCAGTGGATCTCTATTCGGACGACTCCGGTGCTGGTCAGTCCTATGAGGATCTGTTGGCCCGTTCAGATATTGTAGCTGTGATCATCGCGTATGTCCCATGTGTCCATCCATCTCCCAGTTGACGCTGACCGTATGTTAACCGAGGGAACAGCCTCCCTATCCTCGTCCAACCTGAATTCATCAAAAGGGCACTTCTCTCGGGCAAGCATGTTCTCTCCGAGAAGCCCATTGCCAAGGATGTGGCCACAGCGCGGGAGCTTTTGCAATGGTATCAGACCAGCATCGACACCAGCAAGACCTTTTGGGCTGTAGGCGAGAACTTCCGGTATATGACCAAGTTCCTCTTCGCAGCCGAAAAGGTGCGGGAGATGGGCAAGGTCCGGCATTTCCGGGTCCACGTCCACAGTTTGGTGAAGCAGGACAACAAGTACTACCGTAGGTGACCTACCTGGTTCCGAGTAGGTACACGGGCTATTCGAACGGGATGCTAACGAATCACCAGTGACGTCCTGGCGTAAGGCTCCAGAGTATCAAGGAGGATTCCTCCTGGACGGCGGCGTGCATATGATTGCTGGGCTGCGTTTCATTCTTGGTTCCACGGAGCGCATCACTACTGTCTCGGCACAGTCGCAACAGCTGCAGGAATACCTGCCACCGGTGGATACTGTAGATGCTGTTGTCAAGACAGAATCGGGTGCAACGGGCCTTGTTTCTTTGTCGTGGGGGTCGCCCTTTAGTGACAATATTTTCGAGTTTGCCTGTGAGAAGGGTGTGGTGAAGATGCACTTTGATGGCGTGACAGTTAACGATGTAGACTACCCCATCGAATTTGATGGCAAGGGAGTTGCCCCCGAAGTGGCTGAGTTCGCGACTGCTGTTGTCAACGGTCGTCCTGTTGAGAAGAGACAGTCGCCGCAGGAGGCGTTGGCGGATCTGGAGGTGTTGGAGCAGATGTTGCAGAGTGGCGAGAAACAGGGGGAGAGGATGCAGCTTCACTTCCAGACTTGAACCCGCGGTAGACTAGTGGAAACCCGCCAAACAGCTAAATACACTGTTCTATGTTCTATCTCTACTAAGTGCAGCGACATCCTACCATAGATCGATGGGTTCCGAAAAGGGACATCTTGGCAGGGCTTAACCCCCCAACCCTATGATGACATAAGCACCACCACAGTCGCTAAAGTCCCCCAAAGCGCACTAGTGTGGACCGCCCACTTGTCCGCGCCAGTGTGAAGTTTTCGAGATTGACTTCGCTCCGACTCGACAACTCTTGAACGCCCGGCGAGACCCTGCAACACCGCCAAAGTGAGTCTCATTCTACGCCTCTCGATTTGTCCACTCCAATATACTGACGATTACTCCCTCTCAAGATGGTCGCCGCAAAGAAGCATGTCCCCATTGTGAAGAAGCGTACGTTCCCGATCGCCCGACCGGTTCCAATTTCCCCTCTTTGGCCTGGATAGCATCGCCCTTCGACCGACCGACAACTTGAGTGCAAGACTAGAGGAAGAACAGAATATTCTGGCGACTTGCCGTGGCAGGGATGGGAGATCCCGAAGATGGTCAATTCGGTCGGAGGGCGATATTATCTTTGGAGGCCTACACCTCCATTATTACGACAGCGATCGCACATCTGTGAATGAAGCCGAAAGGCTAACACTGTTTGTCATAGACACCAACCGCTTCACCCGCCACCAGTCTGACCGCTTTATGCGTGTTGGTGCTTCTTGGCGCAAGCCCAAGGGGTATGTACTCTCGGTCTGCAGTTCGCTGAATGACTACTAACAGTTAATTTCTATATTTTAGTATTGACAACTGTGTCCGGAGACGCTTCAAGGGCCAGATCCGCATGGTATGTGAAATTGAATTATTTCATTTTTCGGGCCATGGTTACTGATGATTGATCGATAAAAACAACAGCCCAAGATCGGTTACGGATCCAACAAGAAGACTCGCCACATGATGCCCTCCGGCCACAAGGCCTTCCTCGTCCACAACCCCAAGGACGTTGAGCTCCTCCTGATGCACAACCGCACCTTCGCCGCTGAGTACGTGGACACTGGAAACAGCCACTTCCGGACCGGGAACACTGGGAACTAACTCGCCTGTCACAGGATCGCCCACGCCGTCTCCTCCCGCAAGCGCGTCGACATCCTCGCCAAGGCTAAGGCTCTCGGTGTCAAGGTCACCAACGCCAAGGGCCGTGTCACCACCGAGGCTTAAATGGAATGAACCCAAAAGTTCTGTTTCCTTTGTTTTCGGTGTGGTATTCGCAGGAGCACGAGAGGGTCGGGGGTTTTTGTACGGTCGTGATACTATCTCTCTGACGATCACGAATTTCAAGGATTGTGCATGGCATACCGTGTGCGGCTCGCGCTTGGTCTTAGTGCTGGGCGGATAGAGCAAGAGAAAATATTTCTCTGAAATGACAAACAAAAATTGCAAAATCTTCTTCTGCCTTGATACGATGTATGAATCTATGATGCGTTCCATCTAGTATATGGCATTCTCAGCACATTCGGTTGTTCCTCGGGGCCTGTGGCATCATGATTTGGACCAATGAGGACCGAGTACTGTAAATACCCGAGGACGCTGAGACTGTAGCACCGGTTGATCCTGCTGCACTTCGGTCAATTGAAGTGGCGTCAGGTCAGTTGAAACAAGCCCGAAAACAACCTTCGACTACGCGGACTGCCAAGTCCGCCGAACTATATTATAGACTTAGAAGCGACTGCCTAAACCCAAACCCACCAGCCCCCCAACAATGACGCATTATTCTCCTTCAGAGGTGCAACTCCCAAATCCAAACACCGCCCCCCTTTGAAGTGGGATACTGCGCAGGTTGACTGATCGCCCGACCCACCTGATCCTTTCACTCCCGTCCTCATCCAGGGGTCCTCGTGTCGACTGGCCCCCGTGGGCACGGCCGAGAAAGGACCTGGCCTGGCTCCGAACACACACGCCAGTTGCAATTGTGATCCTTGATCCTGGTGTCTTGTCCACAGCCGGTCGATCCATCCAGACTGGCTTCCTGCGGCTGATGAAAAAAGCAACCCAGGATGTACGGAGTACACCAGCTATCATTACCTGGTCGAGCATAGCGGTGCCACTTATGAGATCTGGCCAATGTCTAGCCTCAGACAAAATAGCCCTCCCCTAAACAAGTCTCCACCATCGGGTCTTGGAACTTGTCACCGGTCGGTCGGATTCAAAGGGACCTCCTGGAGCGAGCAGATCGGAGAGCTCGTTATACCGATCTCCCAATTCTGCCTGGGTCATGGAGGGCCACTCTCCGTTTCTCTCCTTCTGCTAATCTCCTCCCGATCCCCTCCTGCTCTCCCCGCACGATGCTGGCCCTTCCTGCCCGGTATGGGCGCTGGGTGCCTCTTTTGGGGCTTATGACGCTCGTCCTGCTCTTCCTCCACCTAATCGCAAGCCTGGAGACACAAAAAACCCAAGTGATTTTCGAGCCAGAGTCCCATCCCGCCGCAAAAAATGAGACCGAGTCCAAACCCAAAGATAAAACATCACACTCTTGCCGCCCACTTCCGGGCGTGGAGAATATTTTGGTGGTGATGAAGACGGGCATTACGGAAGCCCAGGACAAAGTGCCAGTGCATCTCCGCACAACATTGCGCTGTATCCCACACAAGCTCATCGTCTCCGACTTTGAAGAGGATATCGCGGGCGTCCGGACGCACGACGTCTTCCGCAATACTAGCGAGTCGCTATTATTGAACGGCGATTTCGCCCTATACAATCGAGCCCGTGCGGGCGGCCGTGACGCCCTAACTCAGCAGGACCACACTAAAGTGGCCAATGGTGCGGCTGGTATGACGGACAATCCAGGCTGGAAGCTGGACAAATGGAAATTCCTGCCGATGATCCAAGAAGCACGGGCCTATCGTCCAGATGTGCAGTGGTACGTCTTTCTGGAGGCCGATACATACACAATCTGGCCGAACCTGCTCGCCTGGCTGGCCCAGCTCGACTCGCAGAAAAAGCTCTACCTTGGCAATCAGATGCAAATTGGGGAAGATGTTTTCGCCCACGGCGGGTCAGGCTTTGTGTTATCTCATGCCGCGATGCATGCCGTTGCCGACTATCATGCCGCCCATGTCGATCGTTGGAATTATATCACCGAGACCCAGTGGGCGGGCGATTGTGTATTGGGCATGGCGCTCAAACAGGCGGGGGTGGATTTGACCTGGTCCTGGCCTCATGTCATAGCTCAGTCATTATGGGAACAAGATGCGCTTGGCGAGTCATTCGGCAGGACGCAGTGGTGTTATCCTGCTATGACATTCCACCATATGACGCCTACAGACATCGATCGTTTATATGAGTTTGATCGGAGGTGGTTCGCAAACGTGAGCTGCACATCCCTTTTGAGTCGAAACAGGGGAGATCTTTGATCCCCCTCCACCATTCCGCTCAATTTACTGACTTATATCCTTAGGAAAACAACACCGTCCTTACGTACAGCGATATATTCCGCAATTTTGTCCGCCCTATGCTCTCCGACCGGCTGGATAACTGGAGCAATTTCGCTGCAGACGGCGTTGCGCTCCGCAACGAGAACCCAGTCTCCAAGCCCCAAGCCTTCCACCACTGCGCGGAACTATGCGCTCAGACCCCAGGCTGTATGCAGTATCGCCTGGACGTGGATGGCAAGTGCTACACGTCGGATTGGGCCCTGCGTGGTCTTCCCACTCCCGGCGTACGGTCGGGGACGATGATGTGGCGTGTGGACGCTGCGATGCTAAAGAAGGGCAAATGTAAAAAGCCGGAGTGGGTATTGGAATAATTGACAAGTTGGTTTTTTCCGTAGCATATGAATGCGGGGGATTTGATTTGGTATATATACCACAGCTATATTTGGGACGCATCGAGCGAAATTGGGATCGAATACAGGATTTGGGTGGGAGCTCGTGTTTAGATCGGAGTTTTGGGAGGACCTTGCTTGTCTGCATTTTCTTCAAGGCGCTTCAATGCTTTTCAGGCATCTCGGGTTAGAGAGACCAAGGTCTAGTGAGTCGTGATCAAGGGACTAGGACAACTTCCGCTGTCCTCTGCCTTTTACTATATGGACCTCTTACAACACCTTACTTGAGTATAAGAACAGCTAGGGATGTCACAAAGAGTGCGCATACTTGTATTTGAATGATAAGATAGTCCGATAGTGCCTTGAAGCGCTATACATCGTGCTCACCTGGTCACGCACCGGAGGTAAAAATGCCTGTCTGTTCATTTCGACACTGAGGAGGCCGGACAAAGGGGGAAAATTGACCACGGCTGTATCGTCGATAATTGAAAGACTGCACGCTGGTATAGAGGGTAAGTCATCCCTCAAACAATTTCACTGCCCAACCCACTCGGTAGCCTGCTCCCACACCGACTCGTATAGACCTTGCTCATCCAACTCCGCCATAAACATAAGCTCCATCTTCTTCGCGGGCTCATCCCCAATCCCCAGGTCACAAAGCAGCCTCGCGGCAATTTTATTGTTCTCCTGTGCAAAGAACACGATAGAGGATTTCCAAGTATGGCACTTCTCTCGGAAGTAGGCGACCTTTTCCACGGCGCGCTGGAAGTCCGTTTTGTCGCCGCCGGCCATGAAGCGGAGATAGCTGGGGCTTATTGTCGATTCGCAGAATGATCGTGCGTCATCTGGATTTCCAACGAAGACATTGTCAAGGAACTTTTTGAATTCCTCAGGAGAAATTTTCTTCGAAGTAGACATGTTCAAGACGTGGTAGGGCAAGATTGAAAGACGTGATAATATCGACAGAGATGGATCATTAAGTAATTTTTTGGGCGCAATCAACTGGTGTCACATCTTGGCTGGGAACGGCTGGTTTAAGAACTTTCCCAAATTTCCAGGCTGACTGCTGACGACGGCTAAATCCCCCGGGCTTTGCTTCCTGATTAATCCATTTCTCCGTTTAAGAGGATTTGAGGCCCCCAACGAGGGCCGAGCCACGTCACACGAAGGGGCAGCTGTCAGTCCATAATTTCTTGTTAATTGTTAATCTTAAGAGCACCCAAAGGCTAGAGAGGAGTAAAATGATTGAGCAAATGGAACAGAAGCAAGGAAACATGTGACTACAATTGATGTTGAAGGCGGCCTCGGACATGGAGGATAGATGGGGTATCATTCGGCAGATCTCCGTGGACTTCAACAACAGAGCCATTGACAATGCTGCTCACCGCCGGGAAAGGAAAGCCGCAAGACCTGCGACCTCTTTTGCAGGACCTGGGCGCCCCAAGGCCAAGCTCCGGTTCCATCTGCTCAAGGTACCACCCCCCAGAGTGTTTGCAAGGAAAAGTGGGTGGATCCGATGCGCAGTATACGGACATGCCAGCGATACAGCGCAAGCCACAACTCGCAGACTGTGGGTTGTTCCTTCAGATTTCTATTGTAAGAAGGTGGAAGACGGAACAAACTACATAAAATCCCTGTGTACCGCGAAAGGCCATTGTTGGATTCAGCTACGTGGGTTTTGCATGAGGGGCGTGAGCTGGAAGCTATCATGTTCTGGAACAGATATATAAATTTTGCCGAGTGAAAATTGTATAGAAAGCATGACATCAACACAAAAATATATGGAAGTGTAAAAATTGGCTTCCAATTCAGTATGCAAACCAAAATGCTATATGCCTATGCCCCTTTTTTGATGCTCGGATTGAACAAAATATCTACCGTCTGAGGTCTATCTAGAGATATGGTATCATGGTCATCGAAATGGAGCTATGAAACAATGCAAGCCAAGCCATAATGCACAATAGGAGACGTATGCATGGATTCCTCAAGGATTTGACGGAGGCGTCGGTTCCGTTTCCTTCGGCTGGGAAACGACGCAGTTCAGACCATGTCTCGGGTCCGAAAAGTCGAGTAGTCCAACGCCTCGAACAAGAACCGTGCTGGAAACGGGCTTTGTCTCCTGGTCATCATCCACACCGATCTCCGGAGGAACAGTCCCATGTCCAACCACGATTTCCTCGCTCTCCGGAACAGGAACCCAATCAGGGACCTCACACGGTCCGTCCATCCCAGGTGGGGGGCGACCCCAAGATGGCATCGGACTGCGGTATGCCCAGTCGCCGTCGCGGTCAGCGTAAGCTACGGCGTGCAGGAAGATACCGAGCTCATGGGCCCCCGGGTCGGTATAGAGCTCCGTTCCACAGACATCACAGTATTTGCCAGACAGACGCTCTCCCTTGCGCTTCTCATAGTCTTCTGAGGCGGCTTGCTGTTCTCGATGCATGATCTCCGCGAGGATGGCAGGATCGGTCCCCGGCGGAACGTTCGGCGCGGCGGTCAAGTGGGTGCGGTATGAGACTGTGTCGGCAACTTCGGTTTTGCCCATACGGTGGAGCCGCTCCATAATTTCATCATCACGATCGCCGCTAGTTTCGTGGCGGCCAAGCTCTGGTCCAAACACACGACGGTTCGAGTAGATTGGGTCGTTGGTGATTGGGTGACCCAAGAACTGGAGGTGCACTCGTATCTGGTGGGTCCGTCCAGTCAGGGGGAAACAGTGAACAATGCTGTATCCCTCGCTCTCGTTGGCAAGGGCCGGCGGGGGAGTCACCGCGCCGCTGGAGGCGTGTTTCTCTGCAGAGGCGATAGCCGCCTGAGGGGGATAATATGCCAGACGACGGAACTTGGTCGTAGCCTCTTTGCCCGTAGCACGCACACGGTTCAGACCCAGCTTTGGACTGACTTGCATAATGGGCTGGTCACAAACCACCACGCCGTCGGGGAAGTAGCCCTTGACACGGGCAACATACTCCTTCTGCACGGTTCGGGCCTGCAACGCTCTCGCCATCTTCTCGGCGCCCTTGGGGTGTTTCCCGATAAACATGATTCCCGAAGTCAGCCGATCCAGCCGGTTGCATGGCCGTGGAATCCACTCCTGGCCACGCTCTGCGCGCAAAATCTCAACGATCGAATTGTAGTGGTACCGGCCAGCGGCATGAACGGGCACACCGGCCGGCTTGTCAATGACAATCAGGTCATCATCTTCGTGGATAATGCCAATCGGGAGGCTGGTCACTGCAGGTTCGTGGCGGTGGGTAGTGTGCGAGACGACCTGGCCGTTCTTGATGATGGTATCGCGGCCTGCGGTCTTGCCGTTCACGCAGATAAGGCCGTTGTCAAGGGCATTCCTCTGATAGACAGATTGTTAGCTCTGACACCCCAATCCATGATTCCAAAAGCTTGAAACAGCCATACATAGTAATCTGGTGCCCGGTCTCGGAATTCCGAGGTGAAAATGTCCTCTAGGTTTCGACCCCGCCATCGCTCCTTGCAGTTTGTGTTATAGGTGTAATGATAGGGGCGAACACGGCGCAATCCACCCTCCATAAAGTATGGCGCAGGCCATGGATCACAGGGAGTTACAACCACATCGGGAGGCTTTGCGACGGTGTCTGGAGGAGGCACCTTGAGCGAGGTGTCGACGCTGACGAGGGCCATGCAGGGCGGTGAGGGCAGAGGATATTTGCCTCGCCGCAGCAGATAGGCCGTGATTCGAGGTGAGGGAGCCAGGGAGGCAGGTGATTGTCAAGGGTGTGGTAGGTCTCTCAGCGAGGATTACGATGTTGTGGTGGCGGGCGACAAAGTTTCGGCGGAAAAAAATTGCGGGCGATTGTGACGATAAGGCCAGGCACGGCGGAGGTCGCGATCGCGGCCCGTACACCCACCGGAAGAGTCCATGCCCTCTTCAGCGCCTGGAAATCTACATCTTTCATTCTAGTTAGTCTACCCCATATCATATGAACATCGGCCACGCCTTATTTAATCGCCCCGGAAGTCGTAATTCAGACGAATGTGAAACCAGCTTACCTAATCCCCGTCCGACCTCGGTCCATCTGCTCCGAGGCTGCCAAGATGCCGCATTGTCAAGGACAATCACTCCTCTAGATCCGCTGGACGGTATCTGACCATTATATCCTCTCCAAACCCCCCCCCCGCCTGAGAAACTAGCCGATACTATACAGTCATGGAAGCTCCAGATTTTGAGGCCAAGAAGCGCCGCAAGCGCAGCGATTTTGGCTACCACCAAGTACACCAGACAAGATGGTAACGGCAACCCAGCTCTATGATTCCCTCCCCTCCCATCACCAGTGCAATGCCAGCTAACATTGATGTTTGACAAGGTTTGATAATGACATGTATGCGCATCTGAATAACACCGTTTACACTGCCCTCTTCGATACCATCGCAAACGCCTACCTGATCGAGCACTGTGGCAGGAATCCCTTTAGTGTCAACAACCCTACTCCCACGAGCGTGAGCGGGCAACCATCCAATTTAAGCGTTGGTGATGACCAGATTGGACTTATTGTCTCCACTCACTGTGACTTCTTCGCGTCGGTGGCATTCCCGGACGTATTGGAGGTGGGTCTGCGGGTCGCCAAGCTGGGCTCGTCTAGCGTCACATGGGAGATCGGGGTGTTCCGCAAGGGCGAGGAGGATGTAAAAATGGTTGGCACATATACCCATGTTTTTGTTCTGCGCGAGACAATGCGCGTTGGGAAGGGTGGCATGGTGAAGCAGGTGCGCCAAGGACTGGAGAAGCTGCTGGGTCCGCCGGAGGCTAAGCTGTGATGGTGTGCGCTGCAGGCCGTCAGGATCTGAGCCTTAATGTCGAGTATTTACAAATGCAGCTAGTGCCACACAAGTGCCACAGACACCACATATCCCCAATGGTAGCCTGTTCATAAGCCATTCTATTATGATCTGGACCGCAGATTGGGGTACCACGAACATTCCAATGCAAGTGCGTAGGGCAGAGTTTGCATGGGGATAATAGATCACACAGGAAGTGAGCAATCGGGAGAGATTAGGAAACTGGAACCGAGTCGAAGAGGGAAATATCTCCGCGTGATGCAACTAATCGTCGTATCAAAATTCTATGGAATGTGCGTCCCCCAATGAACGAGACCAAGGCCTGACACATCTACCCATGCGCCGTCGAAGATCATTCAAAGAGACTCGATGAAAGCAAGTCTAATCTAATCTCTATAACCTCCAAAAGACTAAACATATAAGAACCGTGTTGATAAGAACCGAAACGGAGACATAACTATCCCGTAGAACCGAGATCAAAACACTTTTGGTGAACAGACAACACAGACACGCTTGAACGCTTTGCAAAGCCAAAAGAAAGCGCCAGCGGGTGCGTGTTGGGAATCAAGGCCATTTGAAAATAGAATAATAACAGTGGTAGATAGGATAACCACCGGTGCGGTGGCTAGCTGAAAGGCCGTTCACTCGAACTTGCCTGCGATGATACTGCTGCACCGGGACACATTGGCACTCGTGGGGGGAGAAGCGCGGCGGCGCAAGGTCTCTCCATCCTCATCGAGCCACCACTTGGGATAAGGTCCAGGAATGAAACGACCCTTGGCATCCCAGCCAGCAACCCAGTGGACGCCGTCGTCGAGAAGGAAGAAGTGCAGCTGCTCGGGAGGACCACCCTTGTGTAGCGGAGCCGAGAACCAGCGGCTGCGCTCTGCGAGCTCGGATTCAAACATATATCGGTGGAGGATGCGGCAGTAGACCAGAGCAGCAGGGACCTTTTCTTCGTAGTCACATCCATCACGCTGGATGAGATGCCAGCCGCGACCCGGGAAGAACTTGTAGGTTCCGGGGACGGGGGTTTCCCAATGCTGCTCACGGTTCACATTGCCGTCGATGCGTTCGCCTTGCTGGAACCAGTAGGAGGGACAGCAGAGGGTGCGGAGACACAGGAAGAGATTGGGGGCCATGGTTGGAGATGGCAATATAAAAGTCAATAAAAGGCGCACGGATTTGGGAAAGGATCTTAATAGATCGTCCAAACAGAATCGATGTATAAGAGGTCGGGGTAATGGAAGTAGCGCTGGAATGCAGAAAGGACAAAGGGACGAGACGGATGCTATAAGTGGACGTCCATGGTGACAAATATTCGAGAGCAATCAGTCGAAATCGAGGTGTGGGGTGAGACGGGTGCCTTCAGCTTTCACAGAAGCTCGGTGAAGGTCCCTGGGGGTTGTGCCTTCTTAACACAAAGAATGTGGAAGGACGACTGCAGCAGGCACGGGCCGTAGTCCGAGGCAAGGACGGGTTGGGAATGTCCAATGGCACCGGGACCAGGGGGATCGGAGAGAGAAAGAGGTGTCGCGTTATCGTTGCGGTGAAGGTCAACCCGACTTCCCCGGCTTGCGAATAAGAGCAGCTAGACGGGTCGGGAGGGGCCGTGATAAGCTTGCAGCTAGCGGGCGCCAGGAACAGCTTGGACCCTGCGATATGAGAAGCTGAGGGGAAGGAAAGGAGAAGGATCCGGGGCGAATTAGATGAAGGCCGGAGAATTGGGTTGCGGAATTGGGCGCAGCAATCGGCAACACGCACGCACAGTCGCGTTCAGTTAGCCCGTGTTATTGCTCAGCGCGGGCGCATGGTAGAGAGGAAGCATTTAACTGGAGGAATGTCGACATGGTGGTGAGAAGACGGGGGGGTTATAGGGGGGAGGGAACGGGGAGTAAAAACCGGAATGTGTGAGAGATATTATGACACTATGGGGCGGTCTGGAAAAGTCAGTTGCCACGGGCCCAGCTAGCTTTCCCAGATGGAGCCATCTGGCCTCCGCCAACGCCTTTCTGATGGAAAGTGTGGGACCTGAGGGCCCTCTTTGGTAGTGTGATGGCTGATATTTTCTGCGGGTGGAGACTCTTCCCGAGACTTGGCACTCCGATCCGTTGGTTCGCAGGAATTGTTTTCTATATAGGGCTGCGTCTCTGGAGCTTCTGGATTTATGTTAGTGCGTTGACTCATAGCAGTCTGCCTATGGGACTATTTTTGGAGTCCATACGGACTATACTTCTCGCAGTTCGATGCGGTGTCAGCACCACAGCGGTCTCGCCGTCTCACACCTGCACGGGCTCTTGGCATACATAAACCTGCAGCCTACGGTTTCTCGGCAAGCCGCCGGTGGTGCTGTGGCGCCGCCCGCGTGGTATTTTCAGCCTTATGCGTTGCGGTTAAGTCCAGGGAATGGACACGGTCATCCCAGCCACCTGACGCGTTTCAATCGATTTGTCTTTCGTGCATGTTCGAGTCTCTCCCGAGCTGCTACATTGGGCTATTCCCATGCCCCCATTCCATCATTTTCATCTGATTTTCGTCTGCTTCTTGGCGCCCGGGCAGGATCGGAATATTTTCTATCCTGCTTACGCCCCTTGATTGTGTGCTCACCCAACTCTGACCAAGCACAGCATATCCCCTGATCACCCCAGAGCCCACTCTGCGTGGGAACCACCGACAGCTGGCGCGTTGGTACAAGGTTGATGGCAATGTCGAGCCTATAATTCTCGACCGTCAAACGAGGACCTCTTCGTGTCGCACACATCCACACGGGCTCTGGACACAATACCCACAAACATACCGTCTATACTCAGATACTTGACCTGGCATGGATCAAAAGGGCTGGCTTGTTTGTGCAAGTTCCGTAAAAGAACTAGGCGTTTGGCAATGGCACCCTAGTTGTTACTGGACTGTTTGTTATTGCGCACCATTCAGGCCTACGACTAACCATTGATACTGACATCTACATGACCGATATACGCTACCTCGATTATATGGATCAGTGAACGGCTAAGAGAGAAAACCCTATCGGATCACTGCAAGATGGAAGTCGGAGCAGCTACATTCATGAGCGATCAGCCTGGCATCTCCGGGGCGGGTGCGCAGAAACCAAAGAAGAAACGAATTAGGAATTGGACGGTGGAGGACCAGACTGTCAACTGTGAGTTTGAGCAGTCACGCCGCGAGGCTTTCAGCAAGCGCTTGATGGGCAGTTGCCTAATCACACTGAGTAGCACTTGGTGCTAACACTATGTAAGAGCTTATGGGATCATCGCCGATCAAAAAGGCCCAACACAACGCCCTCGAAGCATATCATTGTGGATGCAAGTACTTGGCATCGCAGGACCCAGCAGACCAAAAGCCTTCGAGCGGGTCGTGTCAACCAGACCCTTCGGGCTGAGCGTGATGGTCTACTCCGTGAAGTCAACGGTCTTCGGTCTCTCTGTCAGCAGGATTCTTGCGAACCACGCGAAGCTCAGCCATTAAATCCTGCCATGCTGGAAATGCCAATGGGTTGCATTGAGCCATCTCCAGAACTTGTGACCAGCCCCGGAGGACAGTCTTTCCTAAGTGGACAGAGATTTCTCCTTCCGCTTCACAGCCCGGGGTATTGATCCTCACCCCCAGTGGCGCCTCAGTACTGGGGAAAACATCACAAGAATTTGGCATTTTTTCTGTCAACAGCAATCCTCCTCCCCTTGAGCCATATAACGTAAAGCGACTGGAGTTGGACATAACGGAATGAGAATATGCAATCTAATGCTTGATCAATAGATATTGCCAGTGGCTCCTCGCAGCTTTGGGGCCTGCCATCCGAGATACCTACAGCTACGCCACTAAAAGGAGCTGTACAGATATCAACACGTTCTCACACCTTGTCAGTAATGCTTCCATGTTCTCGTCTCAATATTCTGGAAGTCATGACCACAACAGTCCCACAAGATATTGACATACCATTCGATCTCAGCCCAGCAGCACCGACAGCGCTTTGTCACCATGGCACGAACTAATGATAGCTAATGATTCGACTGCGTTGGAAGTCTTTCACCTAATAAACTCGTTCATTCCCGATCCACAAACATCCATCTGTATAAACTGGAAATGTCAAGAAATGGGAACGGCAACAAATACATACTTTAGAAAAGGGTTATTCGAGAAGCATGAGAAATTTTTTACGGCCACTTCAATCTTCGCCTGGCTTCCCTTGTCCGCATAACAAACAATGCAGGTTTCCTGCAGCCGCATTTGATCTCAGGATCTGCTTCATTCTGCCCTGTCTAGCTCAGCTCCTCCGTTGGCGATGTAGTCGATATTAGAGCCTTGACAACTTGCCATCCTAGTTGGGTCCGATTAGTGGATCAATCTGTGCAAGCTTTTTCAGTCACTCTGGAATTGGAGACGCATTCCGATACGAATGCTTTGGCTTGGCCACGCCCTCTCTAGGCTGCTTGGATCCATCGTATGGAAAATTTACCAACTAGGTGAGAACTTGTTTGGAAATGGTAGAGTGGCATCCCATTTTGCCAGTTACCACGGCCTCCTCCGGAGAGATGAAATTTGTTATGATGGTGCTAGCACCTGTGATTATATGTTAACAGTCTTTTTGCATACCGGGCATTCTTGCAGGATGGCTGCTTCTTGCCAGTCTCCTTATAGAGACTCTTATATGTCTCAAGGATCGGAACTACTTGCGGAGACATAGGGTATAGCAGACTTGGTTTGCAGGTCCAGTTCATTGTGTGCGCGAGCCTTAGGCAGGTGAAGGTAAGCAATAAAATTCACCGGAGTGGATTTTGGAAACAAAATCTACCATTCTAGTACAGGCTGATATACACGCAGCCGGTATGGCTCGCAGCAATTGCCTGATGAACACGGCTGAACGACCTTCAATCGAGTTGAATACTCTTCATAACTAGGCTTGTGGAACTTCAGAAATGATTTTTGGTTGCCCGTTTGAATTAGAAAATAGAAAGAATTGTACAGCGTGCAATCACCATGTCTGCTTGAGGTCAAGGGTATCTACATACAAGACGAAAAGCTGCTGAACGAAAACCAATCAAAGAACGCCGCGATGCCAAGCCACCAGTCTATAATTTCTTCCGAGCACCAAGTTGTTTTCGTGTTCGTTTTCATATGCAATCCAAAATGAAGATCTTTCAATCTTATGCATCGAGCCTATCCAAAGGTCGAGAAACAATGCCGTCGAGAAACAATTGTCGTCAAGTCATTACAGGAAGTATTACAAAATAAGCTATGTTTTAGTTCTTGTCGTCCGGGGGTGGGTTGTCGGTCACACTTGCTGCGGCATTCTCGGGGATGTCGGTGGAACGGCAAGGGGTACCGTCTACACTGAGTGTACTATGAGGGTCTCCGGAATTGCCGTCAGAAACGCCATCCGGGACGCTGTCGGGCACGCTCTCAGATTTATGTGCAACTTCATCGGCACAGTCGGCAGAGGGCGTTGACGGGCCAGCCTGTTTCTCGCGAACCCAGGGCAGGAGGCTGGGTATGTACTCTTGAACAGATTCGAAACGAGTGCGCGTGGGCGCAGTGATATCGTCGGCCCAACGGATGCCGCCTTGCCCGCGATTCTCGGCCCAAGCTTTCTTCTCGCGGCGCAGGTCACTCTGGACCCAGGGGATTGTGATCAGTGTCCAGACCCCTGCCCAAGCGAACGGCAAGCTCCAGCCCAGCTGTCGAATGTGATGTCAGTCGGGTTCTTAGCCTGGCCGCCACCCATTTCAAGCAAACTTACCGTGAACGCAACGGGTTCTGAGACGGTGAAGATCACCACGGTGATGGCGGCGGCGAAGATGATGGAGCCGCCGCTCCAGAAACAGTTCATTTCGAAGAGCATTCGGCGGAAGTATGGGCTTGACAGGTATCGGGTCCGCAGCGCATATCGATACATTTGACCACCACCTCCGTCCACGGCTACGACATCTTCAATCAGCGCATATAGTGCGGTGGGCATAACGGATCCTTTCGGTGTGGAGGAGATTCGGAAGGGTGCTTTGAAACCCATCATGCGGAGGACGTCGAGGGTGAGGTGGACGAAGCCGAAGTAGAACATAACGGTCGGGAGAACCATAGCGACCAGGCGCACTAGAGACTGTTAGTGAAAAATCACGATAGATGACAATAAGAGACAACTGAATCTCACCATAGGGCTGCTTAGGTACGGTTCCGCTAGACTGCTGTCAGGATGCTTGCGACTGGCTTTGGGCACCGCGAGCCGACTTACATAATGAGTTCGACGGCCAAAATGAGCCAGACGATGGTGAAGTTGATATGGAAGAAGTCCAGCTGCCCAGTGCTCATATTAGCCCCATGCCAATTTCTCAATCGTGACAAAACAGCCTACCCATGATTTCCGAGCGTTCAACGGTCGAGCGCGCGAATTCTTTCGAAAGAGGTTGTGTAAACGGTAGAAGTATTCAAAAACGGAGACGCCGCCCAAGCAGGCTGTGACAATGGAGAACACTGCGGACTCATATCAGCAATTACCACCATGAAGAGCTCAGAAGACGTATCAAGCCACCCAACATACCCAAATTGGCCGATAGATTGGTGCAGTACGTTAGCACCCAGTACAGGATCAGCGGCTGACCCAACGTATCGAAGACAAAAAGGAACCAGAAAAAAGCGATCGCCTTCTTTCGAGTGTGCAGAGAGTAGGGAAGCGGAGGCGGTTCGGTCGGCAAACCGGAGTCGATTCCTTCCTCCATCTGCGTGGCGATAGTGGCGGGTAGCGCAAGTCGAGTTTCAGGAGACGGCGCGAAGCGCTCAATTATTGTTCTCAACGGAGAACGCTCAACGGTTGGGTAAGAGGGAGTCGATGGCTTAGGACATGTCGAGGTATTCTGGACGATGCCCGCTTGAGACGGCAGTAAAAGGGGAAAACTGGAAGATAGGGAGGGACAATCGAAGAAAAAGCGGGTTTTTTAGTTTCCGGAAACGACGGAGGTACAAGCACAGCCGTACAAAGTTGGCGGCGCGCGGAAGTACCTGACGTAAAATGATCGTGGTGGCCCCGTGATGTCATGCAAACACTGGCCTTCCACTTGGAGTATCCAAGTATACGTATGCTCTTTTTCAATGTACAAGTACCGAGGACTTTCCAAGGCCCGCAATACTTCAGGTGATCAGTTAGGCAGCCAGCCTATAATAACGAACCCTTCTGGTCTCGGTGACTTCGGGAGGTCTTTCTTTTGCCTCCAAATGTGCCAAGGACAACGTGCCAAGGACAACCCTCTTGAGGCGCAGCGCCCCTGTCACCAGAGTCTGGTTGGCCACCCGGCGTATTCGCTCAGCGCATTCGGAGTGCATGGCATCTGGATGGAAAAGCCTAGCCAAATCACAGACAACGCCGAACGAAGACTGGAGCAGAGGACTAAACATTACTACGGAGTACCTCGGAACGCAGATCAATATGATGTGAGAATGCAGTCGGCCTACCATGTCCCTGGCGGACACGCGTTACTCATCACATTATCCCTGTGCCCTTGCCGACGCATGTTGTGGTTGGTGCCGCCCACATAAACAGGAAATGGCGCTGCTTATGGAAATCGGGCTGCTGAGACATGGAACTCCGCCTGAGCTCGGACGCCGATCCCAGCCAGACAATCCTGCCGATCGCTGGGTCGAGCCTGACTTGACCCGCCAGCGTGGTTTAAGAGGGTTTCATAATTTTGGCACGGTTAAAGGAAACATCAAAGGGTCCATGTGCGATATATGCCGGCATACGAATGAGTCTCTCTTTCTACAGCACTCAAATGCCGAGCTCGGTCCGATCGGATACGATTCCCAGTCTACTCCTTATTGCCGTGTTTTTCTACTCAAATTTGGATTCTCAATCCCAGTGGAGCTGCAAGTTAATCCTTGACTCAGCGGGACCCCCGGATCGGCAGTCGGCGTTTTTAACCGCCGTGAATGATTTTCCGTGAAGGTGAGTGGATGGCCGAAGCCTAGGCTCGGATGGCTCGGAGGCGATATCTAGATTGAGGAGGATATCGACGGCGAATGGAATGTGAATTTGCACACATGCGTATGGTTCTGTCCAAGATAGTACTACGACTGTCTAGACATTCTCCCAAGCCTCGTCGGACCTATCTTGTAAGGCCCCCTCCAGAGAGAGTAGATAATTGCGATCCACACCGGATCTATCCATGAGTATCAATGCCAAGCAATCGAGCCCAGAAGATTGAACGGATGGGTCATATACAGCGGCAGTGCAAAAGTTTGAAACCATTTCCTACGCACATACCGCGAACTCCCTACACTCAACGCACTGTATATTAGCTAATTTACCGACTCCAATGCCCTATAGGGCACAGGCGGTTATTGAGGTGGATAGGTGTATACAGGAAATTAAGTTTTTGTGGTTTGATTCCAGATTTTTCAGTAGATTTTTATCCGATAGATAAGTCTTGGCAATAAGGGAAATAGTTTCAAACTCTTGCACTACCACTGTAGAGCTGGAAATTATTTACAGTTCATTGGCATCATAGCTACAATGCGTCCGACGCTTCTATGGCCCACAAAATGACTGAGGTACTGAGTTGCTCCACCGATTTCCTCCAAAAAGCACATACAGAGGCCAATTTCCTTCACTAGTATTCCTAGTTTGCCGGGTCTTGCTGCCCATTCCATTTGGGATCTAGACCACACTCTTAGAAGGGACCCTCTCAGCCTCGGTAGTACAAGATGAAGATCTAATGTTGGCCAAAATGAAAGCAGCAGATGGCTGGTGTTTGGAAAGCTACTACGCTGCTTTCCAGCTTGCACCTGCCTTTTTCATAGATAGTATCTCATATATACGGAGGAGAGTAAATGGACTGCTGCGCGAGAGGTTGGTGTCTGAGTGTCTGATAATTAACTCAACTTAGTGGCATGCCTTCATTATCAGGCGACAATTACCGGGAGCTGGGACTTGCACGTGACTGCCTGGAAAGGCGGCAAATTCGAGGACCCGCGTTCGAAACACAGTTTTTGCTCTCGAAAATTCCGACCCGCGTTAACACTTCACTTCCCCAAGAGTCCCCTTCACCCGATTTACTTACTGAATATTTCCTCGAACCGTGATGGTATAACCATGGCGCCTAGCTTGCAGGAGCTGATCGAGTTCCTGTTGAATGAGGTCGCGCTGTGTGGTAACCAAGGTGCGTATAGCTTGGTCTTGAGACCCACTTTTCTCAGCATGATCTATCTATATGCGCTCTGCGCATCATCCATCATCGGACACTGGAACATGCATGTCTCACGTTTGAGGGTATTCGGGATTTCTGCTTGGCGTCGACCATCCAATTGTCTTCCCTTACCAGTCATGTATTTCTTGGTGGCACATTCCAGTTTCCCTGAACTGGCACCTCCTTACTATCCTTCATACAGTGAGTTTGACACGAAGCTGACCTGCATCTAGGCGCGACCTTGTCGGAGATTCTCAAGGCAATTGAATTTTTCTACCAGAACACTTCTCAGGATACGACCCAGCGGCACCAGACTGTTGATCGCCGCTTCAAAGCTAAGGTTTGGTCATGGCTCGCACGCAATCCTGAGGTGTTTGTGGGGGAGAACAATGAATGGAATCAACTCAGCCTGGACGAGTTGGAGCAGAAAGATCTTCAGATCGAAGGAACAACTCGTCGCGACGACCCGGAAGCAGAGAAGGATCAAGATGCATCATCCGCTGCCTCGTCTTCCTCGCCCATCCGGATCTTCGTCTCGAAAGAGAGGATGTGGTACGCTCTCACAGGGCATGAGCCAGATGAGACCAAGGTACCCGCGAGCGAGTTCGTTTTACTTTCAATAATTGCATCACACAAGTCCGGCGGCATCGCACAAACAGACCTGGTGAGACTCAGTGGTCAAGACAAACGCTCAGTCCCCAAGCGAACAGACGCCCTGCAGCAGAAAGGCTACATCGAAAAACGTGCAATCCAAATCAGATCAGCTCGGACCAGTCTTTGTACGCTTCGTCGATTCTTGAAACCAACTGGGGGCGACTCAAAGGCCGAAGGCACAGCCGAAAGTGCCATGATCGACTTCGAGGCTTTCGCTACCAAGTTGTTCGAGATTCTCAAAGAATTCGGCATCATTACCCGTAATGATCTCAAAAAACGCCTTGGGTTTGAAGATCGCTGGCGCTGGCGAATTCTGTCTCGTGCCCTTCGCAAGTTTGAACGGATCGGAGTACTAAAGCGGGTGAGGGCCGAGTCGCAATATGAGATGATGCATTCATGCGTGATGCTCGTCCGTGACCCCACCGAAAATGACATGGAGAAATTTCATGCCGTCAGTGGGGACTTGAATAGGGGTGCGGATGACCAAGCGGACGTGGATGATGACATAGAGCTTGATGTCGCGGGGGAGAAGACCGCCGGTGCAGAGGATGGGGCTGTTAAGGTGGAGAAGGAGAAGCATGTCGTCGATGCTGGACGAACTGTGCCGTCATGGACGCCGGACCGCACCTTGGGCAACCAAGTCTTTGACATCGTAAACCATTCTGGGACTGCGGGGATCACCAATCATGTGAGTTCGACTACAATGGAACCGGAGGGATCATGGCTGATAACCTGAACTCTTAAGGATATAAACCGCATTTGCTTTGGCAGCTTTTACCGTCGGCCTTCCGAAAGTGCACTGCATCGTCTGGTCGATTGCTGGCAACTGTCTCAGCCGGTTCACCTCCGGCACCTTGCTATTGTTCGGGATACGGCAATTGACAAGACCATATTTTATTACGTCCATTACTCGGTACATAACTTTGCAAAGCTGGTTGAGAGTGGGCAAGCAGTGTGGGAGGCTGTGGAGTTCCCAGTTCAAAAGGCCAAAGCGGCAAATTGCTATATTCCTCCAGTCGACGCCGTCGCACAGCTCGATGAATACGGTTTTCCTGAAACAAGTGCCGTTAAGAAATTGGTGAATAACGGCAATGCGAGCTTATTTGAGGCGCTCGCCGTCTGCAAGCCACCAACCTACCTTCTGTCAAGCAGTGATCCTATGCCAGTCAGACTTCGGGATGGTCATTATAGTACGTGTTTGCCTTCTGATGGAAAATGTTCAATTTGGTATATGCTCATTTCTAACGACTGCACAGCTATTGACATGGGCCAACAAGGCATAGCTGGAACTGTAATACCGTCGCCGATTGGAGGTCGCCGTCATGGCGGCCGTCCAAAGGGCTCACGGAAGAAGGGTCCTCAAGGACGAACAAGTATGTTCAAAATGGAGAGAAGCTCTCCTGGAAACCCCGATTCCGATGAGATGGAGTTGGATTATGTCCCACCCGAGGTTCCAGATCATATGTCATGGGCACAGACACCTCGTTGTACACCCAAGCTCAACGGAAAACAGGCGAAGTTGGCGAAGTTGGCGGGCCTTTCTGAAAGAGAAAGGTTGGAGGCATTGGGAATGGATGAGTCTTGGACGGAATATAACGTTCTTATCAATGCATGCCCGAACCCCGGTGTCTATGTTACGCCGCAAGGCAAAAGGAGACCGGTGGGGATGAGGCAAGGTCGCCCTGCGAGAAGTCGAATTGCAGTTTTCAAATCGACCAAACTGGCATCTTTCCCCTGGTTTCCGCAGATGGAGAGGAAAACAGGTGAAGAGAACGTTCAGTCACAGGAAGAAACACTAGAAGTGTCTGGCTCACACCAAAACGATGTTCCAATTTCGGTGTCCACAGCATTTAACTCCGAAGGTTTCACAGCTTTTGGACCAGCTGCCGCTCTCCAGTCTACCTCTGGGACCTCTACTAGTCGAAAGCGGGCCTATGATGAATTGAATTACACTGATTCTCCAACACCAGCACTCACTGCCTCTGGACAGCCCAGGCGTGGCCGGAGACCCAAAAAGCATCCCCGCCTTGACGAGCCCCAAGATGTGGCCAACCGGGAAACCCCAACGGATTCAGAAACCGCAGTGCAAGAGAAAGCTGTTCAAACTCCCCATGCGGCTGAGGCAGCCCCGTCCGCTCCGCAGGATAAGGGTTCCGCTATCCATCTACCGAGTGAAAAGCAGACTCAACCGGCTACGCCTAACCGGCATCGTGTCGGTTCTCTGGAGCAGGTTTCCCTTCCAGAAACACCCCAAGCCCCAAGATCAGGGACTACCAATAGCCCCGAGAAGCAAAATGCGGGTTCTCCACGATCAAGAAAACCCCAGCCGTTCTCGAGGGATTGGTTTACGAAGCCTCTGAGCCCATCCGCTTCCAACACGCGGGCTCAGACCACCAAACTATCACATGGCGCGGCTGATCGGGGCGGCTCTGTTAGTCTCCTTCGCAGGAAGCTCATCATGGAGATCGTGGAGAAGGCTGGCGGAGCATACCCTTCTACTCCGGAGATGTGGTTCCCATTTGCAACACTGTGGTTCAAACAAAAGTACAAAGAAAGACCTGATAATCGCACCGTTAGAACAGCGATCAAGAACCTGGTTGACGCTGGCAAACTTCGGCAATTGACATTCTGCGGCAAAGGTCCTAAAGACGTTATGGTCACCAAGACCATCTTGGCCAAGCCAGACATGTCACCAGATGACCCTTTGATCAAGAGCATGCAACGCAAGCTTCTTGCCTCAACTGATCAGCGGATCTCTTATTCGCCTAACGTTGAATTGGATCCCGAACTTGTCCGATCCAGTGGCCAAACGGGCATACCAAAGCTTGTGTTGCCTGTTATACCAGGTGCGACGGTTCAGTTGCACGAAAAACCTGCTACTGTTAAGGCAGAAGAGGAGAGGACCGAACGCAGGGTCCAAAGGGACTTGTTGAGGACGTTGGAAGGTGAACTTGGACTTTCCGGCGATTCTTCCACCGCTGGCTCCAAACGACTCATGAAAATCCGTCGCCATCCACCTGGTCAAGACCCTCTGACAGGGGCCCCCCAGACGTTGATTTCTCGGCCCAGCACCGGCAAGCCTGGGAGAAAGCCCACAAGTGATTCCTCACGGCTTATCAAAACAATGTCTGCCATTGGGCCCTATGCCATGCTCATGTACCCGAAGCAAGACTTCCACCCGAGCTCTGGTACTTTTGCTACATTCGGCGCATTCGGCGCGACGAGGAAACTGCGTACACTTGTTAGGAAGCCCATCAGTGACAGTGCGAAAGATTCTGTCCGTGAGCTGGCTGAGCTGGCATCGGCTCCAAATGTAACTCAGAAAGGCCGCGTCAAAACATTCCACGCGAGGGCAGAGAAGATTCTCAGGTGGGAGCTCGAACACGGGGAAATTTTCGATGAGCACCATGACGGAGCTGGCACGTACATTGGGCAAACCGTTAGTGACGAGTTTGAAACCGTGCCAATTGAGGGTGAAATTCGCTTCGATGTCGATGAGCCAGTTCCTTCTCCTTCCCCACCCAGAACCATCATGACAACTCGGCATGGAGGAATATTGCGCGAGATCCGGCCTCGTGCAGAAGTGTCTTCTACTGTGATGCCACCGGGATTCCAGCCATATCACACAATTGGAGCTCCTTTGCGTCGTCGTATCGATGCGGTCGATACTTCCATCCCTGGCCGATATGGAGTAAAGGCTGATGTCGCAACACACCGTACCCGCCGCCGAGGTGTTCTCCCTCCACTTGACCAGGCTCTTTACCGGAAGATCATGGTTGCCATCGTCGCCGTCAGAATCCTCGCAGGTGGTGCAGAGGCCCGGGCTGTCGACTGGGAGCTAGTGTGTGCTGCTTTCCCCAAACATGACCCCACTTTCATCCAGGATCATGCCAAATCTATCCTGAACAAGAGTAGATTGCAGATCGTCGGCATGCAACGTAATTTCCAGGAGCAATTCCTTGAAGCATATTCCAAAGGCACGGTTCCTAAGATCGACTATGACAACCTGGACAAATACAACTGGCCAGCTGTCGTCGAGTGGGCTAATATTGAACTTGAGTTCTCTACATCTGAAAAGGCTCCGCTGCTACCCTCGACCAGGGAAGAGTTTGATAGCATCTTCGAACTTCGCCCCGAGACTGTTCCCATGGCCGATGAGTTGTATACCCACACCTCGGGCATCACCATCAATTTCAAGCGTGGCCTCATGGCCCATGTCCCATTCGCAGTGCAAGTCGGCGCCGATCAAGACCGCACAGTTCAAGGGGCCCGAAGGAACGACCTTGCCCGCCTCGATGCCATCAAGACTTGGGTACGCGCCAATGTCGCCGCATCAGAGTCGACCTACAACCCCACGAAGGCCCAGGAGGCGCTGAAACCCTTCGGCAAGCAACTCCTCGATTCGGCCGTGCAGTCATTACTTACAGAGCGTGTCATCAGCATGGGAAACAAGGGCCGCGTTGTACCAGGTCGCAACTACGATCTCACAGATCATCTTCTCTCATCGTTGAACCGCAAGCGTCTCATCGACTGCAGTATCCTAAAGCGCGCTGCGTACTTCAAGACAGCCGTTCTGGATCCCCAGCTGCAAAGCGCAGGGTCCTTCGAAGTACAGTACCACGCAGAAGACGGCGATATCCTCGCTTTGATAAACCTCTATAACGCCGGATACCTCACTCTCCACCCCCATGGCCAGCCGCGCGACAAGTGGGGCCTGACAGATGGTGGATACCTCACCCGGCAGATGGACAAGGGCCGCCTGCGCTTCGCCATAGAAGTTCGCCCGACCGCTTCATACGTATACGGGAATCCGGTGGAGACTCAAGCATCTAGCATCGCCGCCCCGTTGCCGCCCTCATCGGAAGACGCCAGCGTCCCACCGAAACTGCCCCTGTGGTACGATATCCATGGCTACCTGGTCCCTCAGCTATGGGAGATGGCCATCGCCTCGGTGCTGGGCTGCGTTTCTATGCGGCAGGGTCTCAGTGCGGAACGCATCTCGGGTATGCTCAAGCCTGCCATGGGCGCGTGGGAGATTGAACTGCTGCTGGAATGGTTGGCCGAGGTCGGTGTTGTGGCCCGGCAGGGATGCAGTATGAAGGCTGGCTGGATGGTGCGCGAGTGGTGGTGGATGACCCTGGTGGAGAAGGATCCGGAGGCGATACAGGTTGAGGAGCCGGTTGCTATTGCCTGAGAAGAGAGATGCATTCTTGCCTCCTTGTATGATTAGTGATAATGAATTTGTGTATTCAATCAATTAAAAGTGAATTGAAATAAACGCTCAATGTTCTTGTATGGTATCCAACGCTGTAAAGAAACAAATAATCGGCCGAAAAGATCCTAAACACCATGCAGTAGTCTGATACAATATACACAAAGCAGAGCCAGCTTGCTTCGTGGAGAGTGGTAAGTGGGCAACTTATAGATCGTCGACATCAACCACACGCTTGGTGACTAGAATGATGAGGGCAATGACAATGCCAATGATTGCGCGGTCCAGCCACGGGCTGTTTGCGGGCTCAGTTGAGGTTGTAGTCGCAGCCACAGTGCCAGCTACAGTAGCAGGAGCAGGTAATGTTGGCCTTGGGCGAGGGCGGGTGCTGGGCTGAGTAGATAGCGCTGCTGACAATGCTGCTGGAGTCGAGGGTCCTTGGGGAGCTGGCGGGACTGCAGGTGCTGGATATGCCGAAGTTGGATCCGCAGGCGCCGGTGTAGATGCAGACTCCTCACCAACAACTTCAGTCGGACCCTCCAGTCCTCTCTCCTCCTCAGCCTCCTTCTTCCCTCCCTCAACCTCACTCCCTTCAACATCAACCTCCACACCTCTCTGCCGACAAACATCCCACCACTCCCGCATAACCTGCTCATTACTTTCACCACACTCGCGACAAACCCACCCGCGACTCGCGCGCGCAAACTCCCTCCGCATTTCCTCATTCCCCTCCATCCCACCAACCTGCCCCTGACTCTCCGCCCCCATGATCTCGCTCCGGATGGCCAGCAGCGCCGTGCGCACCCCCCATGCCGGCTGCCACGTCTCCTCGTGGTGGCCCGAGATGCTCAGGCAGATCTCGCGGTTGACCTCGAAGCGGCCCGACGGTGTGAGGAAACGGAAGCTTGGCGGGCGGAGCGGGTATGCTAGCGGGAAGGTGATGCGCCCATGGTACAGGCCGGCGGCGTAGGGGGTTGGACTGGGTGGGCCGGCGAGAGTGAAGTGCCAGTCGTGCAGGTTGTCTGATGTTGGGGATGCGGTGAAGTAGGGGCTGGGGTTTTTCTGGAGGTCTGTTGATTCCTTAAGAAGGCGGCGTGTTGAAGGGGATGTCATTTTGGCGGTAGATTGATTTTATATGGAATAGGTGAAGCCGTTAATATTGTCGAGTCGAGATGATGCGGAAGTAGAGGTAAACGTGGACGTAGAAGTGTGGAGATGGAGAGGATAAGATCATCGATTGCCGATTAGATCAACGATATCGGGCTCAGGCACCAAGGCAGAAACCAGCGGGTCACCAAGACCGCCGCGACGCGTCAAATGAATAAACGAAACCGAAATGTAGTAATTGCAAGCAAGAAGCTGGATGTACAGATAAAAGTTGTCGCTTCGTATTTAACAAACGTCACGTAGCGCCATAATACTCCGCAATGAGAAAATGCCAACTTGGCATCATCGGCGGATAACAAGTTATCATGTTATCACCGAACGCCAATCCATGCAAATAAACTGCTGTAGTCTCCCCAGAAATGCGCTCTGTTTGCGGCTTTAAGCATCCCATTTCAATCATCCCAGTCACGCCACTCATCAGTGTCTCTATTTCGCCCTTGTGGCTTCTGGATTTTCCCAGCCTCCGGGTCAAGCAACCCATTCCCTTCGGACTCATCCTCGAAATCGCTATCCCCTGGTCGTGGTCGCGGAGACATCGGCGCAAGTGTCTGCATAGATACGCTCGTCGGTGGTCGCTCGGGTGCATCCTGCGGTCGTCGGTTGGGAGTCCAACTCGGTTGCAGTTGCGGCGGCGCGGCACCTGCGCCATTTACCCCCAGGCATGGCTATTATCCATATTCCGCGAGTACAAGTCGCGGTGGTACTGCTGCTCATTGCTAGCCTCCTGTTCTCGACTAATACGGACCCGCTCACGTGCCTCGAGGAACCGCGGGCTCGGCTCCCAGCGCCATCCGTCACCAGTAGTCGTACAGATGGGCAAGGGCCAGAGGAGAGGCTGGTCGCCGAAGAGGTGGGCTAGGTTGCGGCGCCAGCCGTGGTCAAATGCACTGGGCATTTTTTCACTGTCTTGGTCGTTGATCCAGTCCTGGTATCGCTCATGCTCGCGCTGGCGTTCCATCTCAGCGTAGGATCGGGTGAGAGCTTGTTGGGCGGGGGTAAGATGATTTTGATTTTCAAGATTGGGACCTTGATCGGGTGTGTAGGGTGCAGGGGAAAGTCGTTCTTCGCCTTCTTCAGCGCGAGTCACGCCTGGAATCGCATTGGCGTGTGCCTCCAGTATTTGGTTGCCGTAGCCCTGTAGTCGGTGGGCCAGGCTCTCGTTATTCGGATCCGTAGCATGGCCATTGCCCGCACCATGCTCGAAGTGCTGCCGATCCAGCGCCTTGCGTAGCGGCGAGACATATCTTGTCTTCTCGAGACACTCGATAGTCGTAACTCCCCGCACCGCCAGACTAATATGCCACGCCGTAAAACCCGTCAAAACGAGTCCAATAATGCCTCCCAGAATCGCTAACAGCACCACGTTGACTGGCAAATAGGTATCCATGTATCGAGTATCATTCAAAATCTCTGTCCACGTCCACACGGCCGACACGGCGAAACAAACCCAGCAGAACAGTGACGTATAGATCAGGAACAGCAGGAACGCCTTGTAGTTATACATTCCAACGCACGTCGCCAGCCATGGACAGTGGTGGTCCATCTTCAGCACACACCGCTTGCATGTCGAGCAGTGGTGCGCGCGGTCTGGCTTCGGACACTGGCATTTCTTGCAGTAGCGCGAGCCACCGGATGAGCTGACCGTGTAAGATGTAAACTCCGGGTACTCAGTGACAGGCAAGGCGCTGTACTCGTGGCGGCCGTTGCCACGGCGTGTTGTCAAGGGCGAGCCCGGGTCCGTGAAGACGGCGACAGTATAGGAAGCGTTTAGACAGCCGTAGAGGAGAAGGCCGAGAAGAGTGCTCGGGATCCCTGTATCAGATCAAAAAGTCGTTAGTCCGCTAATTCATCAATCACGTCCGAGGCATCCGTCCAATCCATCTTCTGGAGTGTCCATACCAATCCAAGCACTCCGGTGCTCCTTAAACCCAATACTAACTTCCACATACACCGCCCACGTTGTCAACCCATACACGAATGCCAGTGGGAAGCAGCTTGCCGCCGCACAGCAGTAGCGCTCACAGCGAAGCGCCCACGCGCGAGGACGCCGCTTCGGCCATGATGGCGAGGTCGGGGGGGACGAGGCCAGGGTGGCCATGACAGATGATTATCGCGCGAGCGAGAGGTGGGCGATGTGCATCGGATGAGGGTTGGAGTCGAGTTCGCAGAGAGTGTGTATTCAATGACAGGCCCGCATGGCGCAGACATACGCCGTATGGTGATAACGTGAGGTCGGTTCAGTTCAGTACAGTGCAGCTGCGGCCTGCTGAGAGAGCTGCGTCAGCCCGGGGACGCCCTTACTCAGCCACGGGGCTGAGCCATGCCCTTAATTTTAGCGCGGTCCCGTAGGGCGGAGGTGGGACTGTACCAAGAAATAAGATCAGTCGGCGAATGTATGTGAATCGCAGATTATCGAAAGGGTGTTTGAGAAAGGGGCCCAGGGCAGGCTTCGACGGCATATGCTGTGTGATAGTGTGAAGAGAGGAGTGTGCTGTTGGTGACACCAAGGCATTGTGTAAATGGTCTACACGAGGCTCTTGTGGGTGAACTACTGTACTATACGTAGACGAGGCTCAGACCGTTCAACCGGAGACTGGATTTACAGTATTATCTATGAGATTTAAATTGCTTTGAGGGGTATTTGTGGGTGTGTACACCGTACGCAATTATAGCGCTCTATTTACAAATATTCCATATCCCCCCATGGAGCCCCCGAATCAATGCCGGAGACTCGGGACTGAATAAAATATGAAAAAAATTGGATGGACATACCACTAGGTGGTAGTGGTGGTAGACGAAGACTCCGAAGACTCCAATGTGTCCTGCTTGCACCAGCCATTAACGGGCTAGATATCGATTCATTAGCAGACATTTCTCCGTAAATAAGCGGAATAGGAAGCAGATTTACTCACCAGACAACTCAAGCGGTAGCACCACGAGCAATTTGACGATGGGTATCTGTAGAAATCAATAATCAACATGATAAATCCAATCAGGACCGCGACCAGTGCGCCCACGCGCACCAGCCACCAGCACCACCACAGAGGCTTGCGGCCCTTGAAGAATTGGAGCGGGCCGTTAGATTCGTCCTTCCCGCCGGAAGACGATACCATATTGCCCTTGTTCTTAAAGAAGTCCATCATTGAGGTGGTCTTCCGCTTGTCGGCCGGGTCGACACCAGCGCCGCCACTCATGGCGACGTAAGGCTGGCGAGCGAGACCAATCTGCTCTCGCAGGGCATTCGGGGAGCGCAGAAGAGACAACCCCATAGCCAGCCCCATGATGAATCCGCCAATGTGGGAGAAGTTGTCCAAACCCGGGAGCAGGCCGAGGACAAACGAAACGGCAACTCCCAGGACCATGATGATCAATTCTACCCACGGAGACTCGCGCTGAGGCCAATCATAAAGCAGGTCCAGCAGGACGAGGGCCATGATGCCAAAGAGTGCGCCCGAACACCCTGTACTTGGCTGCAGTTGCGCCGCGTAGTTTCCTCCAAAGACATACCCGAAGATGCCGCTGGCGAAGTAGGTCAGGGTATACCGCCACATGCCGATCATACGCTCCATATCCGCTCCCATGGTCAGTTGCACGAGTAGGTTGAAGCCGATGTGAATGAATCCGCCGTGCAAGAAGATGGGGATGATGAAGCGGTACCACTGGTTTGGCGCAGGTTTGTCATCCAGCGAGCCACCGACCTTGGGATTCGGTACGCCGCCAAAAGCACACAAGTCCGACAGCGTGCAGTCATATGTGTTCGAGGTGGTGTTAGGGCAGGGCCAACTGATCTCCACGCTGGAGTTCTGGATGCCCGGGATGTTCTTCATGCATGGGTCGTAGCGAGCACCCATGTAGATTTGGATGTATGGTGATGGGCCGATCATGGGGTTGAAGGAGGGCTTGGTCTCGATCGGCGATCCAGTCAGTGTGCCTAGAAACGACAAGTTAGCCTGACCCCTCGCGGCGGAGACCGCGCAGTTAAGGCCGGGGTGCGCGATGTTGCGAATACTGACCACTCTTCACCAATTCCACGATAAACACAATGATCTGGGCCAATGTCAAAGTCCACGTCACCCACGCCGGCTTCTTGCGGAAGAAGCCCTTCTTTGTCCGACTCCCTCCACGCCCTCGATCCTCCAGCGCCCCTGGCGAGGGCGGGGGGTATTGTGTAGGCTGGTGCATCCATTCCGGGTTATTGCTAAATTGCGTCTGCGCCTTCAGCGGGATATTCTCTGCATAGTGGTCGCCGTCCGTGAGCCGCCCGGCGGTTGCGTATGCTCCATTGTCCGATTGGAGTGACTGTTGGCTCTGGTGGTTGTGATAGGGGGCGGCCGGGTTATCGTGATGGCTGATCTGGCTCACGGGGCTGTGGCTTTCGAAGCCGTACCCAGGGTTGTTTGCGTTAAGCTGGGGTGCGTGCCCTGTCGTAACTTGATCGTAACTGGGCGGGTTGGGGATATTCGCATGGTAGTATTCGTTGGCGGCCATGATGGGTGCCAGCCGAGGTTGCGGGATCGAAGACGGGGGGGACGATCAGAGTCTGTCGGGAGGGTCGTGAAAGTGGTTCAGCTTCAATGCTAGTGGGGAAAATGCAAAAGCGCGAAAGGGAGAAACCCTGTAAGTGAAAGAAGGGCGGTGATTGATGTCGATAGAAACTACTCCGGGGAAGTAGAAGGCCGTGTTTGTCAACAAAAAGAAGAAAGAAAAGGCAAGGTAGGCAGTCACATTACTTGGCGAAACTATTTTTGGGGCCGATCGTCGTCACAAAATCAACACAGCCGCGCGGCGCTTGGCTGGGCAGCCTGCCCCCGCTGGTGAGGCTGGTAGGGTGGAGTGCGTGTCATTTAGGCAATTTTGATCCAGGCTCGAGTCTATTAAATTTCTTATTTGATCACAGCCACGTTTGTGTCTGTTTACACGACGCACGCACTCCCTCAGCCTTTGTGCCAAGCCTGCGCTATCGAATGCGCAGCAGCCTGACCACGCGACACGCTGAGCATCTGTACAACATGTACGGAATACATGACAAAGGATGTAGCAGTCCTCAAGGCTTTTGATCTGGTCGCATTATTGGGTATTTCTGCGGGAACTTCATGCTTTGTTTTCTTCTGGACCCTTCCACCCGGCATCATTACATAATCCTATAGATTGGAATTCTACCGGGGCCCCTGTTATAAAAAACCTTAATTTGGAACATGGCATGGCCGTTTCAGTGTTTATTTGGTAGCTTCATGAATTGTGATCGCAAGGCAAAGCATAGTTAAACCAGACTAGTCCTACTTAAAGAACACAAGGTGGGGAGGAACAAGCACCAAAATAGAAGAAGAAGCCAAGCGGGCAGGCACCTTAGGCAGATACTAGTACGGTCGGGCCGGAAAAAGGGAGGTCTAGAGGACCCTGGAAGAATTGCTGTTAAACAAATTGGATATAAAGTATTATAGTGGGTAGCAATAAGATCCACGAGTAACCTCGTCCCCAAGTCTGCTGCGCTGGTAGCCAAATGCTCCAGGCCGAGTGTCGGTTCGTGGTGCTCGTGTTCGTGTCGTCGACCGTGCGACTCTCTGCGAAAAGAGCTGCCCGGCGCGCATCATTAAGATCCATAGGGTGAGAATGTCGTGTCGTGTCGCAAGGATGAATACGCCAAAAAAAAAAAAAACAACACAGAGGAGCGGAGACAAAACAAATGTAACCGACCAAGACAAACAAATCCCCAAGAGAAGAAGCATCGAACTGTATGATGCCTGCAGGCGTATGCGAAAATGAGCCGCTGTAGTTAACGTCACGAACGTGGTTTCCTTCCTCGAAGAAGTACCCCAGGCGGAAAGTGAAGGCAGTGGGAGAGTTGAATGGGGTGTGATGATCCCCTTCTAGGGAGGCGCATGCTCCAAACAAGATATGAAGGCGCCGATAGGCCTTTATGAAGGGACAGCGTGCTCTGCGATGGACGTGGTGGAGATCGGATTGCCATAATTATCCAGGATGCCCAGTGCTGTGCCCACCTCCCGGTTGCTGTGACCAGTCAGCAACCATACAAGGCGACTGAGCTTGTGGTACAGCAGCGACGGGAAGTAAAGCAGCAGCGCCCACAGCAGGAGGGTCAGGACCACGAAAACGAAGGTATTGGCCACGAGCTTCTCGCTGGGGGTCATCACGTAGAGACCGAAGGTGACTTCGTAGCGGTAGTACTCGAGACGGACGCGGTCGAGGAAGCACTCGAAGGGGACGCGAGCCCTCTGGGAGCGGAACGCTGCGGCGGTATTTGCATTCACAGTCGACGAGTACTTGCTGACGAGCCCGTCCACCGCGGCGGATGTATGAGACATGTGCGCCGAGGTGTTAGGCGTATAGAGGGACTGCATCTCGGTCGTCATCCTGGGCAGGGCGAGTTGCGACGGTTTCGCCGAACGCGTTCGAGAGGACGAGACAAAATAGCGTGGAGAAGAGGGAATAGTCACAAAGGCTGATTTTGTGGCTTCTTTCCGTATTCTTTTGCACGCTTCGTCTGAGCTTGTCAGGGGGAAATGGCGCAGGGGATGGTTGTCAGGGTTTAACCTAGGCTGAAAGCTCCCTGCGCCGGGCTTGCGGATGCAGTCGGAATTGCACAGGTCGGCGAGTTCGCGATCGAGGCAATGGGGTCACACCGGGGATATGATGAAGTTAGAGATTGGAGAACAAGAGAACGATATCAAGGACTCGTAGAGAGATCGAACCGGGGGGAGTAGAGGAGGGAAGAGGAGAAAGTTCGGGAGAAAAAAAGATATGAAGGTTGGAATCGGATTTATCGGCATTGAATTTACTCAACTGTTCAACTTTACTTACGGAGGGAGCATCAGCCCGGACCGGCCCCCCTAACGGAGATCCATGCCTTGGAACTCGTCAAAAGGCTCAGTGGATTCCTCCGTGGCATGCTGGTCTATGAGACTATGTGATTCACATGACAGGGCCCCAAATGAGTTCGGCTGGGAATGCGCTGTATACATCGGAAGTTCGGCCCGTAAGGCTGTTCCAAGTGGATCGACGCGCCAGGTACCAGGGTGGACTAGTTGGCGACTCGGGTATGCGGAATTATGAGAGTGCCGCTATATCATTGAAGTGTATTACAAAAAGAAATCAATTCTCATTGTCACTGGCGGTCACTGGAGATCACTGCTGAGTTTTGCAGCAGCAATCATTCATCCTTATATTCCATAGACGATGAATTATGACATATCGTTCCCCTGTCCCAGGGCGGTCCGTTCCATTGTTCTTCCACCAGCCACCCGGCGGTGGCTGACTGGCCGACTCGGTGATGTCACCGCGTGCCTTTTCCCCGCGCCGCATTTGGCCTCAACCATCCGTAAACTAACACCCTCCAAGCAACTCCCGACTCACCATGGACGACGACCCGCTCGTCCAGGCCTTGCCTCCGGCCACCGACTACCTCACCTACCTCACCCTTCTGGAATACCAGTTGACCCCCGCACGCCTTCCGCTGCTGCACCGCCTCCTGCAAGATGAGAAGCTCACCACTAATATCGGCTGGGACCTGGTGAAGTTGCTCCTGCCCATGGTTCCTGCATCCACCGAGTGTCTGCAAGATGTGGCCCGCCTAGGAAATCCTCGCGAAGTCATTCTCCGTGTCTCTGAGGCCCTCGAACATTTGCAGCCGGAGAATGAGGATGACGACGAGGGAGAGGCGGAGGAGGAGGAGGAGGAGGAGGAGGAGGAGGAGGAGGAGGAGGAGGATGCCAATGCTGCGGGCAAGCCTCTGCCCCCACACATCCTGCAGTTTAACTGCCTCTTGGCAATGCTCTCCATTCTTCATCAGCGGCTCCAGGCGAAGCTGCCCAGTCGCTTCATCGCAACCTCGCTCAAGGCAGCCCTCGAAGCGTACGAGACGATGATTTGCGATGAAACCACTCTGGCCCTCCTTGAATTCCTCCGTGACCTATCTCCCAACAAGCGACCAGCTCCAGCACCACGTGCACCCAGCGAGTCGAGCGTCCTACGGGTCTCACAGGCATCGGCGCCTGATCCAGAGGCCGAGGTGCAGTCGCCGTCGCTAGCCAAGGACAACGAGACGCAACTGGTCCGCAAATTCATCCAATTCGGTCTGCTCGAGCTGCTCAAGCTATATCTTCTGGACTTCTCTAGTCCAATGGATCCGGGAATGTCGTGGACGGTTCGTATGCAGGAGAAGCTGCATCCCAATCTACGGCTGCCAGAGCAATCGCAGACGGATGCATATGCGAGCATGAAAGAGCTGAAAGAGCGGGATATGATCATGGGAAAGATTGTGGTATGTGCTCAGCCCCAGGACTTCCATGATTAGTAGGTTATACTGATCGGTATCTTCCACTAGGCTCTTTCACGAGATGTTGGTATTGACAGCAACGACCTCTTGTCCATCATCTCCCGATCGCCTGGAAGCCAGCCACCTCCACTAGACTTCGACGACCCTCCCAAGACAGTTGACGAAATCCCGCTCGAGCGACATGGCTCTCTCTTGCTTCTCGCCGCCCGAGCTGCCGGGCCCACACTCTTCGCATCATCCACGCACCCAGCGCCATCCTTGCCGGTCTTCCCAGACCTGGCCCGAATTTTTTCACACTTCCTTGGGGATAGCAGCAATCTGGACGAGGTTGCTTTTGGACAGCCTCACGCCCTTCTAGATTCGCTGCTGGCCTTGACCGTCCATGCTCTGCAGCAGCCCATTCCTGCACCCTCAAGTGAAACCGAGTTCAAGGACTTCGTACTCATCTTGGCTGCATGCACAGCGCACCAGAGCCACGGCATCGTCCGGCAGATCCCCGCTACCATTGTGCACAGTCATCCCTCGCCCACCACGCGATTCAAGGTTATCTACGCCATCTTGGAGAGCGACCGTCTACTATCTACCCGGGATAGTGCCATCTCCTGGCTGAAAGACGAGATTGTCAATACCAAGCCATCTGAGCCATCTGAGCCATCTGAGGACGTCTTTCACGATCCTCTCTGGTTTTGGTCTATCTTCCCGCTCCTTCTGCGCCCGATAGACGTCGATAGCTCGACCAAAAGGCTTGTTGAGAGCTGGACTCGACTTGCGCAAACCGAGGGCGCATCTCTACACTCCGCGCTCAACCTCTACTACCTCCTCCTCTCATCCAGCGGTCTCCGCGACCGTCTGTGCCTTGAGAAGACGGTCAAGTACTTCCGCAGCAAAGTTCTCACACCGCTCCGACAACTCTTCCGTGCTTTCGAGGGTGATCTCACGGCAAAGGGTGGCGATGGTCTGATCGAAACTGCCGTCGGTGAGGAGATGTGCCAGGTTGGGCTTGCCAGGTCTGTGGGACTGATCGGGCTCACACTGGATCAGATCGAGGATGTTATGAGTGAACACTTTGGAACCGACGACGCTGATTTGAAGGAGTACTCGGATGAAGACGAGGCTCTGGTTTCGGCGATTCGAAAGAAGACGGAGGCCTTGGGGTTGAACTAAGTAGGATCGTGGGTGCCCGGCCGTGTGTTTTGTATGTAGATCCGACTCATTTATATTCGGGGCTGGTCCGTCGAATTACTACATATGCATGCCATTGTTCATGAATCAATATCTTATGGACCTAACCAAGGGGCGGTAGACATGACTGAAGTTTGTCTCAAGAGGCATTAAAATTAGGTTGTTTGCTTTCGACATCCAATGGAATTTTATTCCATCCCATCTCACTACAATATGCAGAACCGAGACAGCCGACTCCAACCCAAGCTACACACTGATTTAGTGGGAAAAGGGAGATCTTCGAGAGGCAGAGATTGCATTCCTATCAGCCGCTCATGACCAACACTGAAAACTAGGTAATAAAATATCACGAATCACAGACACACCCCGCGCTCCAGACAACAAGACCATCAACTCACACCCCGTCCCCCCCACGAAACAGTCCCCAACAGGTTTTTAGTCAATTTTGTGCTCTCTCAAAATCGCAGCTGAAAGGAGGAGTCGCAACACTGCACCCTCTCTTTCTACATATCACCTTCATGGTCCCTGGGTCCACGAAAGATGCAGCGAGAAACAGGACCCGAGTCTACCAGAGCAATGACAGTCCACCAAGGTCATCCATATCTTCCAAACAGGTGGAGAAAGATATCTCCGACAGGCGGACAGGCGAGAAAATGATGGAAGAGGAATATGCCCAGGAGAGCGCGGAACACCAATCCTCGTCGCGGAAGGAATGAATTGGACGGACGAGACGGAAAGGAAATCGTGTTGGTCAAGTATTTGAGAGAGATTTTTTTGTAAGTCAATGGGGTTTTGGAAGGTTCTGGCGCGTAGGCTGCAAACATATTGTGCATCTTCTTGTCGGCCAGGCCCAGACAGCGATCCGGTCAGGGCAGCATGGTGGAGCGCGAGGTAGGCGATTCGGGGCGGTCATGTAAGGACCTTACATGACAACGCAACCACCACCGGGGGCAGCTGGAGAAGAGCAGATATTAGTACAGAGGCGAGGAATCGCCGTGTAGAGAGAATGTTTTGGGGGAGGCGTGTACCATTGACGACAGCGGAGTTCTGGACGGGAGCCATTGCGAATGATTGGTGCTTGGAAAAGCGAAAGGTTTGTAAGAGAGATTGAGTTGAGAGTATTGATCGAGACGGATGGTGGGAAAGAAAAGGTCCTCTGGCCGGTGCAGAGGAAGGTATTTATATTCAAGAAGTCGCCTGGGTGCATCAGAATCTCCCAGGTTTTGGCAAGGCTCGTCCATGCGATATGAAAAGGACAAGGAGAGAATGAAAAGAACAATGAGAAGAGAGATTCAAGTCGAATAGAGCCTTCAGTGCAAGGTACGACGCCTTTCTGGGCAGAAACGAGAATCGCGGATTACCCCTGGTGGCGTTCTCTTGATATTGTTGTCTACACCGTGAACCGGTTTGCTTCCTCCAGTAGGCAGGGATTCTTTCAAAGGCAAGAGTGGGGTAATAGTGAGACCGGCGGTTTGTGGGACATCTAATTTTTGAATGACTGCGCGTCGCCCGAAGGTTAAGTTTCCCGATGCCTGCGGTGGGCCTTGATATTGTTCTTGACATTGTTCTTGACAGAACAATATCAAAATTGCTCCGAGATAACAGGGGTATTCCTCCAGTCCGCATGGTCGCTGGAAAGCCCCTTTGTGAGGGAAGTGTCATGCATCTGAGGTGGCGGCTGCGCTGTATGGCTTGAGTGACCAGATATCAATCGAGAACAATATCAAGCTACTTAGCCAGTGGAGTGATTTCTCAGTCCAAAGAAGGCTTGATTTCACTGGCCACGAGGAAAAATCCACCGAAGCCAGGCTGGTCCGTTAAAGGACAGTGGAGAAAATAGGACAAACCCCACTCGGCCCACCGATTGTTCTCCCATGGAACAATCTGTTCGTGCCTTGGCGGTCGGCGGTGGAGTTCCTATTCTGAAGAAAAACTATACCCCAAACACTTGGACACGGACATGGCAGAGCGAAGTGATACCTTGGCGGATTCTCAAGGCTGGGGGGCTTCTCTGTAGACTTAGATACTAACATCATACAAAGGCTCTCTGTGAGTATACCTAAGTGTGGATAGGTTATGATTGAAGCAGAGGGATAATATACTATATACTTAAGGAGGACGAATTTATTAAACAGTTAGTAAGTAATGAATACAAGCCAGACTAATACAATAATCCAGTATTTTAGCGTATAAGGCCTAGACAGGGGATATTATTTTGATTATTCTTCAAGTAGCTTTCTTGGAATTTGGGGTTGAGAAACAGTGAAAGAGTATGAGGGGTAACACCGATTTCCAGAACTACTGAAATAAGACTCTTTCTGCTTAAACCCGAATGAGAAGAAGCAGGTAAGGAAAAGCAATTGTTTGAGAGTTTGTGCGGGCTGTTCCTTTACTGGCAGCTCGATTGTGCAGCAAACAATCCCTTTACAGCCCGTTCAACCCTGTCACTATCTTACACCGCTGTCATCTTATTGTCCATGAGATATGTACTGTCTCAGTCCTGTGGAATGTGTCAAAGTGATATTGGTGTAAGTTTAATCCTTAGTCCAGCAAGAATGAAATGAAGGAAACCAGCCCCGAGGCATGCCCAAGAGCCAAAGTACTTCCGCTCACTGCTGAGCAAGTGGGACGATACTCAGGGGGAAGCCACAGGACTCTTTCACCATGAAGGAGTATCCATCGGCCATCATGCACTAGCATCTTGAAACCAGCACCCGGTGATTGAGCATGAGTGACAGGAAACCAGCTGGTCTGAGTCTCTGGCTGGATTTTGAGAATTCCAAGACTAGAGGTAAGGCATGAGCTATCGAGGGAGAAATGCAAGTCGGTGGTTGCTGGATCAACCTCGATAACTTGCTGCAAAGTACTCGTAGTGACGTTCCAGATTCTGAGGGCGTGATCACTACAAGTCGACGCTAGCAGTTGATTGTCTGGCGATAATGCCATTGAGGTGATATAACCTAAATGGCTTTGCATAGTCTTCTCTAGAGCTCCAGTAGCAGTGTTCCAAAGTTGGACGCAATGGTTGGTTGTGCTGACTGCTAGTAGATGGCTATCCGGCGAGAACACTACCATAGAGAATTCTATTCGAGTCTGTGGGAGAGAGTGGCGCAGACTCCACGTAGAGATATCCCAGAGCTCAACGGATTGGTTCTGGGAGGCAAATGCTAATATCTGGCCGTCAGGAGAGAATGTGACGGGCCCCCCCAATCGTGTCGCAAGGGTCCGTTGCAAGGCCCCGGTAGCGGTGTCCCGGACTTGGACAGGGCCGCCCCAGGTACGAAAAGCTAAGAGTTGTCCGTCATAGGAGAAAGCAATTGAGATGCCGCTACTCTCAAAAGTATGTTGCGGAGCCCCGGTGGATATATCCCAAAGCCAAATGGACCGCCGATCACAGCAGGACGCTAGAACCTGTGTATCAGGAGAAAATACCACGGATTCAATCCTACCTGGATGGCCACTAAGGGTTTTCTCTAGATCCCCCGTAGCCGTGTTCCACAGCCCAACAGTCCGGCCAGAGACAGATGCGAGCAGGCCTCCGCCAGGTGAGGAGGTCACTAAGCGAACTCTGTTTGAATGTTCGAAATTCTGCTTGCGAGCATCTATAGTACTAGTATCCCAGAGTCGGACGGTCGTATCATGGGAACCAGACGCAAATATTCGGTCGTCAAGTGCAAAGACCAGGGCATCAACTTGTCCTGTGTGCCCGTTGAGTGTCTGTTGTAGAGCGCCTGTGGCTGGATTCCAGAACCTGATAGCCCCATACTCATAGCCACAAACCAGTAGACCGTCGGGAGAGAAAACTACGGAGCAGACGGTTTCGGAAACACTGTCAAGGGTTCGTTGCACAGCCATGCTAGGAATATCCCACAGGTTGACCTTGTTGTCCAGGCAACTAGACGCGAGGAGTCGGCCGTCAGGAGAGAAAGCCAGAGAAGTAACCCAATCGGAGTGGCCCTGGAGAATTTGTGTCAAAGTCCACGTGGATGTATTCCAAAGCCGAATGGAAGAATCACTGGAGCCAGATGCTAGCCGTTGGCCATCGGGAGAGAACGCAACCGTCTGCACCCAATCCGAATGGCCCTTCAGAGTCCGCTTGAGCGTCCATGTGTTGGCATCCCAAAGCCAGACAGCACGCCCGCTATTGCACGCTAGTAGTTGGCCATCAGGGTGGAAAGCCAACGAACTAGCAGAGAATAACGGGTCACAGTTGAGAGTGTTCTGCAAGGCGCTCGTCGCAGTATCCAAGAGCCGGATAGTCCCATTTCTGAAGCCACATGCTAGAAGCCGACCATTAGGGGAAAAGGTCATCGACTGCGGCCCGCCTTCGATGATTTGCAGAAGGGTTCCTGTGGAGGTATCCCAGAGCCGGATAGTATCTTCAAAGGACCCCGATGCCAGTGTGTGGCCGTCAGGAGATAGCGCGAGAGACTCAATCCGCTCGGAATGTCCCTCAAGAGTCTGCAGGTCTGCACTCCAATACTGTTCCAGTTTGGGTAATTGATCTGCCCATACAGGAAGCTCTTTGTGAAACTGCCTTCGGATGATCGTCCTCTCAGGTGTGAACACAAGGCCCGAGCAGTAAATTTGAAGAGGTGCGATATCGGCAATCTGTCTATGCTTGAGTATGAATCGCTTTGCGTCATGCAAGAACTCGGAAAAGTCGTCATTGTCACCGCGCTTTCTTAAATTAGTGTGTGATTCCTTGAAACGAGGTCAAAAGCTCACTGGAATGTTGGCTTGTAATAAATTGATTGCTCTCACAACCTCTGATCCGAATCCCAAGATATTCATTGCTTCCACCCAGTGCAGAAAATGCTCTTTGAGAAATAACAAAGCATTCGCTGCCTCCATAAAAGGGTGTTTGCACTGAGTCAGATGATCTCCCCAATACCGACAGGAATATTGCAACTCTTGCGGTAAATGCTGATGTATTGACGCAGCAGTAATCTCTGTTCTTTCTGTTCCATAACTTCGTAGATTGCAAATGTTTCTCTTGAGATGTGTTCGCATAGTGGTTAGGCAATACATAGTAATGCGCTTGTGCGTATTGCTCACATCGACGGAGAATTTGCTCTTCGTTTGAACTAGAAAATCACGAAATGATAGATGCAGGATTCTAACCGGTAGATTGCGGTCACTAGGTAAGCTGAGAACCGATTGAAATGAATCCAATAAATTGCCAACCACCCGTGCTTGAACATCAAGAAATCTTGAGAGCGCATTAATTGACAATGGTTCAGCAAGAAGGACAATGACACCAACGATTTGGTGGAAAAACCGTAATCGTTGTTCTTCACCATCCTCATTACTGAGTCGCAAAAGAACCGGTAGGTACGTCTTGTCCATTTTTGTCGCGTACTTGGCTTGGTCCTCGAGAAGATCAGCGAGACATTCCACGGGGTCCAAGTTCGCTTCAATAAAACGGCAAACGGTAGCCGCGGAGATGAATAGTGGGCTTGACATCGTAATTAGGACTTGAATATCACCGCCTCCCGGCCAGTCATCGGGGACGTCTTTTATTTCTCGGATCTTGGTGAATCTATCTCTCAAAAACAAGGATATATCGCGTGTTGTCATTGTCTCGGGGATTTCATGCAAGGCCAAATTTTGATATTGATGATCTGCAATCTTTGAAAACCCCAGACGGATCGGTAATTCGGGCCGACTTGTCAGAAAAACTCGTATGCGGACGGCGTTCAAGTCTTGTACTTGCGGGAGTACCTGGAGTATGGCCCGTATATCATTATCCGTTTCACATTCGTCCAGTGCGTCAATGACAAGAATCACCGCCGGGATCGGTAGAGTGGCTTGTTCTGCAGCTTGTTCTAAATCAAAGAATGGTCGAATGATTAATCTTGTAAACTGTTCCGCTAGTGACCGTGCCGCAATATCGGGATCTTGAGAGATGGCGTGTCTGATCATGGGTGCCAGAACGGGTATGCTAAGCCCTAGTTGGCGGGCAATCGTCGGGAAAAGTCTGATAGCATTTCCTCGATCCCTCTCGTCTCTTTTGAAGAAGAAGCTCACAGTGGTAAATTTGCGCTGGAGAGACCTTGCGACTGTCCGGGAGATGGTTGACTTTCCTGTCCCCGCCATACCGTTTAACCAAAAGATACACTTTCCGTGTGGTGACACGGCCCATTGTGCAATTTCTTCGAGAAGCTCAATTCTCGTGCCAGGGAGGCATTCATCTTCGTGTTGATCCACATATGAATTAAAGGCCGCTCCGCTTGCAACGGGCAACTTGTCCAAGAGGTCTGAGCCCAGTTAACATCACGCTCATTAAAACCACTGAAACTCTGATAGCCTACCCGTCTGAAGACTGAAATGGGCGTCTATCGAGCCATAGTTATGTCCGATCTGCAGCCCAGAATTCAGATTGCCAAAGGATGAAGCGGATTCCATCACCACTACGATGGACTGTTTTGCTTTAAAGATCCAGGAGGAACGCAGTGCGGGGTAAACATGCGTTCCGAGCATTCTACAGTAGCCTCACTCGATCATGTGATATAGTCCTCGCCCTTTTCATCCATGATATGTCTATAGGTATGCTATTTCCCACAAGAATGAACTAAAGGAGTAATAATCATCGGCACCGTCCTAATCGGCACGGTTTTGATCAAGTGGAACATACAGAACATCACCGATGTCTTGAAATGGTGCCGTACCTAAAGGAGACCAACCTGTCCGTCTGAACCCAATCCGTTTATCGTATCTAGACTCATCCACTTAGACTAAGTGATGCGACTGCAATTTTGATAGGCTGTTATATAGAAGTCTCCTAGATCCGCATTTTGTTCCTTTGCTCTCTGTCGAGTTACCTTCTTCGACCAATCCACCGAAGCAAGAGCCCGTTTCAGGCTCGAATTTGTGACCTAGACACGGGACTTATCCCACAAATGACTACCATTTCGACCATATAGCGTCTAGGCTGTTCGAGGAGATGACCACACAAGGCTTCTAATATGAGAGGTGTCACACTTCGTCGTCGTCGTCAACCGACTCGAGTTGGGGTTGCTCTGACATTTCCGAACTAGCGGAGGTTGATGCTGATGTTCACGATGGAACGCTTACTACATTTAGCAATTTTAGCCATTTGCAAGGTAGTCTGTGATTTGCTCATTACCATGGTCTGGATCATGTTGGGTTTTCAGAAAGGGAGCCTGGGCGCTGCATAATCAACAAAAGGGATTTTTGGCATTGAACAGTGGGAGACCCCTAAAGAAGGCAACTACCGACTCCACCTGCCAACCCTTGCTCGAACCTCTGCTCAGTGACCTCTGCTCAGTGAGTAGGTGAAATAATTTCTGGTGAATTTGATGAAAAGTCTGGGGGATGCTAGGTATTATGAATGCACGTGACCCAGCGATCTAGCAGTTTCCTAGTTTCCTAGGAACTTGGAGGCAATCCCAAAGCTGCGGACCACAAAAAACAAAATTGCCATTTGGGCTGGAATATCATGCGCAAGTCTCACCATACAGTAGGAACGATAAAAGGCGGTCTCGTATTGCCCAATCGTGCACTTGGGACTGTCGGCAGCACTAGGCTCTCAAAGTGATAATATTGAAGTGGGTTTATTTTATTCAGAGGGGTCTGGCTTATCCCGTGCTGCGCATAAGTTTAAGTGTGTTGACTCGTGTCGATCCGGTTCCTAGGAAGATGGGAATCCCACCCACACAAGACCATCGACATACTCGATGTGGGCTGTTCGCTGATCCGGTTTTCTGTCCTGATGATTGTAGTAGACCTCGATCCAGAGCTTTGATGCCTCTCTCGCATGGTGAATTGATGCGATCGGCCCAAAAGAAAAATGTACTACGGGCTGCTTACGGTATCTTACAAATTTGTCTACCCCCAGCTTAAACGTCCTTTTGTTGGTTCAGCCCCGAAAGACTCTTCTAAGTCTAGCTAGGCTATTCTGCGTCCGCATTGTTTGGGTCGATCTCACATTTTGCAAGGATCCTGTAAATGTCCTTCCGAGCGACCTCTTTCACTTCAGCGTCTTCGGCATCCTCTTAGCCATCTTATGCCATTTTAAGCCACATAGAGTCTGTGCTATATCGTTTTTCGTTTCACTAAAAACGAGTACGTTTCTGGCACAGTTCTCAGCGCTTAGGGCATGTGACTACTCCCCCCAATCAATATCGTTGATTCACCGCAATGGGTTAGTTATATGCGGGCCTTCCATAGTGTACACAGGCAGTGACCTTGCTGTAAATGTACTGGAGAATGTTCATGTTTCACCAGCGCACCGGGCATGTGACTGCTTTCCCACGATCTAGCCCGCCTATGTCACGATTTTGGGTTGATTATTTTCCCTAGCATGCACAGTGACTCCGCTGTAGATCACCCGCTATATTGTGGAGCCGCTTGTGGCACACATTACATTTACATTACAGGACCGGAGTAGGAATTCAGGAACTGGTGCTGAAACGATGTTTATACAGCATCCTAGCCCCTAGCAAAACCCCAATGTACCTATGAGTTGCGACAGCGTGATCTGTTCTCTTGTCTGTGTTAAGATCTAAGCTTCTCTGTGGCTAAATCTCTGGGGCTAAAGAAGGAAATTTCCGCTTAGGTGATAACTTCTTACACAGCTGTATTGATTAACCCCTTTGCGCACTACTACGCATGACTTACTGTTTGACCTCTCTAATACTATACGGCGCCTAGGTTGCAGTTCATCAATGTCCTGTGGCTGGTTTTACCTTGGGGAAATGACATATCTAATAAAGCTCGATGCAATGATCATGCATAGTCGCTACAGCCCCGCGGTTACACCGCAGACGAGGCATGTCCTTCTAAGAGTATATAGCTGTCCTAAGTCTGATTGCTTTATATATAAATAGGCTCCCATGTTGGGAGACTCCTTACTATTCTCCTTAAGGTTGTAAACACCGTTACTCTACCAAGTCAGCATTATCAAGCCACTATGAAATACCTTATTGCTATTGCTCTGGCTGCTCTGGTGTCTGTGAGCCTTGCCGCCACTGGCCCTGGTCTCTCCACTGATCAGAGCTACTGTCCCTCTTGTGTCGGTGGGTAGCATTCACATCCGTCGTCTTGGTATCCCCAACTTAAGATAAACTGACATAAACTATAGGGAACCGCTATACTGACATAACAACTGGCCAATCGGGCTGCTGTCCTATCGGAACTGTCTATCAACCCGCAGCCTGTGCCCCGGGAACTCCCACTACCGATAATCCGACTTGCCCAGCTGATAACGGGAAGGTTTATGTCAAGAATGGCTTCACGTACAAAGTCTACTGCGATGTGACAACCAATCTAAATCCAGATGGCACGTTATCTTCCCTGTATATATAAGCTCCTAGGTGCTAACACTCTTCTCAGTTGGTACCGCTACTTTGGCTGATGCGAAGGCATGCGCGGATCTATGTGCCTCCAAACCGGCATGTGGTGATGCAACATATCGCTCATCTGACAAAGGGTGCTTCATGTCGGTATGTTTACTCATCACTCCCAAAGTGGGATAACTTCGTTAACTAGAGGTTGCTGACTAAATTTGGTATAGTCAAATCTTCTGGGACCGAACTTCCAAGGTACTCCTTTGCCTGGAGCCATTGTACTTGCGAAGCAGTAATGTTAAGATGTCTCATTTGACCTCAACGTCAAAGATAGAATGGGAAAGCACGACCCGGCTTCTACACAGGGGTGCTTACTGAGTGAATCAATCAACTTGTTTCCTTCAACTATACTGCTGCTACTGTTTGTCAGAGTAGAGTCACTCTTTATAAATCTCTATTACTGCAATACATCTGTTTCTCATAATCAGGGTTATGGATTACATGAATAGCTACTAAAGGACAGCAGGCTATGTGAACTCAACCCTGCAGATCCCTCTAGTTTTACTTAGCCAGGTAAATGTGATAGCTGTAGGAAATAGCAATGTTTTTTGCAAAAGAAACTAGTTACCTATATGAAGGAAACTTCCGAAGTAGGAATGAGCAACCAACGGGCCAATATGCTTCTACACTCTGATGTAGCAGCACACGAATAGAGTGGCCAGAAAGCCGAACTATGGAGGTCCGACCTTTCGATAGCCAAAAATCCGTGGAGTGGACTATTGTAAGAGAATAACTTGTCGCAGTAGATCCTAGATTGCAAGCCTTTCCCTGAAATAACCAATATGGACGGGCAATGTTATCCGTAAGTCAAAGTTCCTATGCAGTTACGGCACTCCAAGCTAGAGAAAGCGTAACAATAACTACAGTAAATAAGTAGTTTGACCAATCATATTGATATTTCAGATCGAGGAACTTCAAAGAGTGTAGGCACTTGGTATACTTTCTGGGCAGCTTGAGCGGCAAAACTGCCGAGGACAAGATTATAAACAGACGCAATACTGAACACTACTTTTGTCAAAATATATATCAGCCTTTTATTACAGTATGCTGGACTTCTGGTTGGGTACTCCTGTCTGCAGGACCTTCAATGAGCGAAGAATAAGTACCTACATTAGGTAAGCCTGGACCCCTCTCCCCCGTATCGAGACATGACTATGGAGCAAAGAATATTTCCACTGATCGTACGTAAGGTACCATCAATGAAGCGCCACTCGTCTGCTGTTAGGGCATTTTCAGAGATCAGCCGCTCAATTTCAGCGTCAATTTCAGTCTCGATGTGTAGTAGAAGAGCCTGTGTCATAGCGACAGCTGCCCGGGTCGTGTGCCGGGAAACCAGCTTGTTCATCACATCAACCGCATTGATCAGATATAAAACCTTTCCTGAATCAAAGGCCTGTTTCTCCTTCTTCCATGATCCCAAATCATTTGCAACAGAAACATGATCCTATACCAACTGGATGTATCTCTCCAGGCGAGGACTCTTGAGATCAATGGGGCAATTGAGACTAAATCTGGCGCAGCCCAAAACATATCTGTAGCGGCATTAGCTACCTAGATCCGTCCAACTTAGGTCGGTTTATAGGAAGAATATATTTGTTGAACCAGGGGAATACTTACGGGAGCCCAGCGTCCACATGCCGGTATAGCAGGAAATCTTCCATGTTCTTATATTCCTTTGGCGGGGGTGGCCTCGGAAAGAATTCTACCATTTGTTCGATCATCTCCTGGCCGACTTTGTTACCAGCAGCAGCGTCGATCTCCCTAATCTCCGACATCGTTTCATCAATCATTGACTGGAAAGTAGACGTATGTTTGCCGGTAGCTATAAATCCTGGCTGCATGCGAGCTATAAAGTCATCTTTCACACTCGTGAACTAGATTATAGCATGTCGTAATTAGAGACTTTTCTTCTGACACAGTATTCTTATTGTGGATCAGCCTACCGAGTCGGCTCCATGAATCTCCCAGAAGTCTAGTGGGTTACATAGAATCAGCTGATACGGTTTAGCAGTATTTGACTCGTTGGATAGCTGCGGGTAAATTCAGCAGAGGGATGTTACCGTCAAAAACAAAGATAAAGACATTGACCACTGCTAGGAGCCGCGTGCGTTGTCTATCCCCATCCGCAAACATATATGCTGTAAACTTGGTCCAGCCCTCTTCCATCCGGGTGTTAAGTTCTTTACGCGCAATTTCGGCGATTGACTGTCCTGATTTGAAGATCTGCCGGACGGACTCATCAGCGGCGAGATGCGCTAGGAACACTTCCGTTGTATCAATAATCATTTGCCAGTATTTGCTTTGGCGACATGTTTGAATCCCAGATGCCCATGGAAGGCCTGCCTTGATGGGAAAAATATCAATTGCGTGGTCGCTTCGGTGAATGTCTTCTTGATAATCCTGGCCACTCATTCGTAAGAGCTTTCCTGAGCGCAAGTGATCATTGAGGTTTAAAGCGGGCAGCGAGAGGTAGCTCATTCCTTCGTTTAAGTAGTCGTAGGCGTAATTGACAGGAAACTGGTTTTCCCGATCGTCTGGCGATGATAGACCCTCTATTTGGTTGTGAATCCAAGACCGCAGGAAGCATGGAGACTATAACCCTGATGGAAGATTTACCTTCCACAGATGACGCAGTTCTTATACCGTTAGTGGACATTTTTAAACTTGTGACTTTTATCTTTAGTAAATTGTAAGATAGGTAAATTGAAAAAAAAAAAAAGAAAAAGAATTTCGGCAGAGGGGGTAGTTATGAACGAGGGGTTCATCTCAGCGTTTACGTGCATGCTTATGGACCACACTTCAACATTAGATTGGGGCCCTAGAATAAGCATACTGCATCATGGCGTAAGAAAAAGCTTGCCTAAACGAGGCTAGTTCTCGACGAGGCGGGCCATTGCACCCTTCTATTGGTTGTCAAACGAGTGTAAGCGAAGGCTGCACATGATGACAAGGCCAAAATACGAGAGAATGGAAGAAGAATCATGACAGATTGTGACAGTTCTCTTGGTTTGCTCGGGTTCATAAAATATTCCACCAGATTCATTGACTCATCATTTCCAGTCAACGCAATACAGTCCTTCGGGGGTTATTGAGGAAAAACTAAATTAGGCTGCCGTGTTCCGAAGCAGGGGTTGGGAATGAATTCGAGAGAGTGGCATGGTAAAGCTGATTTTGAATATCATCTCCAAATTTATGTAGCATTTTCTGTTTCTATATAACCCCAAAACGATCTTTCCATCGTAGATTGACTAGGCACACACTACTCGAAAGGGATTAGCCATACCAGTCCTGTGGGCATTGTTGCCAATAGATTTGGGAGCAAGAGAGTCGTCAAATTGCAACCTCAGGGCTGCGAGAGGCTAATATTGCCGGAAAGATTCTTACAAGTAGTTATAAAGCCTGCTATCGGGTGATATGTATAACTTTCAATACGATTCAAAATTTGAAACTAAGCCAAGTCCGACCTGGAATAGCGTGTTTCGGAAAAGGGTTCGAGAAAGATTCTACGAGGGGAAAGTGATGAGGCTGTTTTCGATCCATCCTGTACACAAAAATTGATAGTTTTAGGATATATTAGTAGTGGTGGTAGGGTGCGGCCCACCCACACCGGCGTAGTCGGTGTGGGTCGGTAGGCCATGGTTACCACTTATGTCTCGAAAATTGTACCATAGAGTAAAGGTATCCTTGGTCAATCAAAATGCAAACTTTCCAATTCATGCGAGTATAGAGCTGCCGTCGCTGGTGACATTGACGAGCCAATTATGCAAACGATTCGCCAGAAAGAAATGTACATCTGCAAGATCCAATCAACCATCCAAGGCCTCAACATCCGCTCTAAGTGATGAGCAAATCTCATCCACAAATCTCTCCTCCTCCTCAACCGGTACGCCCAAGGCCCCGATTTGCCAACTGACCGCGATAACCAAGCTCCCGCCCTTAACACTAATCAGGTTAAACACAAGCGGAGCACTGAGTGCATTCCCAGGTTGAAGAAAGACCATCTTGCTGATCCTGCACCTGTCGTTTGCACCGCTAGCCCCGTCGAAGGCAAGCAAGTTGCTCAATTCGTACGAGGAATCCCGTCGATCCCCCAGTTTTCCGGTCATCCAATCGCGAATGCTAGGCACATATCGCAAGAGACCGATGGCTTGGTCCTGCAGCCTCATGGCGCATTCAGCGAGACTTTTGGTCATTGAGCTTGCAGCGGTCCACATCTCGTCTGAGAATGTCGCCTGCATTGCGTCTTGACGCGGGTGCATCTCGTAATAGCCGGAAACATAAAGACCCCATGCGCTGCCCAGCGCGCCAATCGACCCGCGCATATCGACCGGAGTCCCAGAGACGAAATTGGTAACGTCCTGGCTGGGAACTACTTTGCCTAAAGCCCGTATGATCAGCTGGTGCAGTGTCGCGGTGAGTTTGGTGTCATGACTTCTCGACGCCCGCAGCGCGTTTTGGAGAAGCGGCGGATCAATCTCGAGGAGTCGCACTCTGCTGGTTACCGTGGCCTCCGACTTGAAGAAGATGGGGGAACCGGTCCAAGTACCGGCGTCAATGGGGCTGGCGCTCGCGTGCAGCCCAAGGATGTCGTTTAAGACCTTTGGTAGGTATACTGCAATCAACGGGCCAAGGAGGAACCTCCAAGATATGGGGAGTCGCTCGGGGGTGTCAAAAGGTGCCGGAAGTGTTCGGGTTGGTGGGATTGCCAGAAAAGACTCTCTCTCACGGATTGTAGTGCTCTGCTGCCATGCCTCTAGGAAGGTGCGATGAAACAAAACTCCAACCATACCATCACCGAGAGCATGGGAGAATGCAAAAGATACAAAGCAACGAGATATGGCGGAGCCCTTTGACGCCAGAGGGAGAACGACAATTCGCCACGGTGGAAGATCAGCAGGCCATGGCCGGTCGAGGATTGGTGGCAGCACCTTTTGAAAGATGTCGTTTTCTCCCTCAGTGCCGAGATCGTTGGGCTGGATGATATTGATATGATTTTCGAGATCTATCGTCGAAACTACTTCGTAGAACGGCCTTTCGGTATGCTTGTCTTTGACCGCGACGCCTAGGAAGGGGTACTGCTGGATGCAGAATTTCAGAGGCGCAGTGAAGATCTCATGCGAAGTGACGTCCACCTCCTTGCTCGAAAACTCGTAGACTGCTGCTATGACGAGTGCGTTGTAGAGGCCAAGGTCTTCGCGAGTGATTGTGCGCCGTTCATTGGGGCCTGTGTCCTAGTTAACACGGATCGTGCCCAACCTCCCTATACAGTCACCAACTTGCAAATCTCAAAGGCGCAGCGGGTAGCGACATTTCTGTCGTGGGCTGGCCACTATGTGTACTGCTAACGAATACACGTACGCCGCAGATGCTGTCCCGTGACTTCCGATAGGAGATGCGAGGTTGCTCTCGGGGCGTGGGGGCGGCCCCTGCCCATCCAGCCCCCTGAACCTAACACAGTAACTTTAGTCCACTGAGACAAAACCCTCAATGCCAAGGGCCGGTGTCTGCCACATTCCTCAGGTCCGTCAAGGTCGAGCTAAAAGATACGGAAGAATACATATTTACTTTGAAAGGCTGAAACCAACCTGAACAACTGTAGTTAAAACACTGACAATTTACCATATGCTGGAAGCAAACAATGTCATTCGCGAAAGGCAAAAGTCATCTCTTCGTCACGCAGGCATATGCGACCCCTTCCAAGTATTCACAACCATACCAGCCTAAGTATAAAGCGGCTTCGTCAAATCATTCAACGTAAGCCCTTCCTTCGCGATATCCTCCTCAATCAAAAACATCAACGGCATCTCCACCAAAGTGCCCTTAACCTGGCTAAGCAGCTCTTTAACCTGCTTCGCTCCCTCTGCACCCGGCGCAAAGTCATCTCGCACCACGTGGCCCCACTGATATCGAGGCGGCCGGCCGTACTGATCCTTGCCCTGGGCCTCCATATCCGCCTTGTGAAAGTAGTACTCATAGAACTCTTTGTAGGTGGCCCAGTTGCGCACTGCGTCGTCGGGGACCGCATGGAAGACCTTGCGGAAGACTTCGGTGTTGGTGTGCGCGCGCGAGTTCCACAGGCTTTGGAGGGTGTCGGAAAGCGGGTCGGCAACCACCTTGCTCTCGGGGCAGTCGAGGTCGTAGTGGTTGGGTACGCCGACGGGCTCGAAGTTCGCGTTTGGGCGCTGGTAGTCCTGGGCGGGAAGCAAACCAAGGTGCTTGCGGAATAACTCCCGGCGGAGCGATGTCGCGAAGCGGCTCCCCATCCAGGGTTGCCCGTTCATGCTGGACTGAACCGGGGTGAAGTCTTCAATTATGACGGCAATCTCGGAGTCGTGGTCACCAAGTTGCGAGCGATCGTTCAGATTAGCGGAGCCACAGATGACCACGCGATCGTCGGCAATCATCACCTGCTTCTGTTAGAATGGATCGATAGGTACTGAGGGTGTGAAGCATACCTTTGAGTGAACATAAAGTTCTTCGCTCACGAACGCGTCTATTTCAGCATTGGGGTGGCCGTCCCATGGGACATTGCGAATGTCCTCTCCCCCGAGCATGTAGCAGGAGCTGACACTGTCCCAGCGACCAGATCCAGCAGGCTTGTTCCCTTGATCGTGATGCTGAGCTGCTTGCTGATACTGCTGGAACGGAGCGCTGGTGTCGAACGCACTGCGGGTAGCAGTCGGGGGAGCTGGAGCATAGCCACCGGGACCAGCAATCTGCTGATCATATTGTCTACGAGCATCCTCATAGTTGACGCCACTCTCCCGCTCCACAGCGGCGAGAAGACCGTCGTTGGTGATCCGGTCGTAGTTTCGCAAGTTGTAGAACCGGATGTACTCCATTGGGTTGAAGCCTTCCTTGGCAATCAGCTCCATGATACTGTTGCCTCCACGGTTAATCGAGTTATACTGGAACTCCATGATAGCCCGAGTACCCAGAGTCTCATCATCGCGCAGATCACCAGCAAAGCAAGGCACCGAGGGGATAACGACAAAGATCTTGTACTTCTGGCCAGCACGAGCAGCACGCAGGATACGCTCAACAATTGCAGCACCAATCTTGTTCTTTACCGGTTGCTGAGAGTCACCAGTAGCCGTGATAAAGAACTGGTTCTCGATATACACGAAATGCTGGCTGTTCTTGATGATAGCAGCGTAAGCATTCGCGACCGAATGCTCGAGCGGACTTCCATTACTCCACTTAGCACAGCTGCGCACAATCTGGCAGGACATGTTCCCGCGAGTTTGCGCTTGCGGACGGCCGTAAGTCGTCAAACGATCTTGATACTGATGAATCTGGCCGGCCAGCTGGCCACGAAGCTGATTACCGTACTGTGTGAAGCGCTTCGGTGCAAAGCCCCGATCTTGATCGCCTTCATAATGATAGTCGTCAATGGCACGAGTGGCAGAATGAGAGGCTTCCTGTCCAGGTGGAGGTGGGTAATAATGAGTTTGAGCTTGTTGCTGACCCGGTTGAGTAGGGCCGCCTGAGGCCTGGGTGGGCGGCGTGGGATAGTAGGGTGCTTGGGCCTGTTGCTGCTGAGGCTGGTATGATTGAGTTGCAGGAGACTGGCTTGGAGGACCTCCTACGGGAGGTGGCGGGAAGGAATCGCCCGTGTACGTGTACTGGTGAGATCCTGGGTTGGGGGAATGGCTCGAGTAGCCGGATGGGGACAGTTGATTGGGTGGTGGCGTCTGGCCCAGTGGAGATTGGTAGCTTTGGGAACTACCGGACTGATAGGCCTGGTAAGACGGCGCAGAGGCGTGCTGGTGCTGCTGGCTCTGACCAGACGAGGCCTGTCCCGGCGGAGGCGGGTAGCTCGGTGTGCTGCCAGACTGATACGAGGGGGAGGTATTGTACTGCGGTTGCTGCTGGCTCTGGCCAGAAACATGGCTCGGGGGTGGAGGGTATGTCGAAGTCGCTCCACTGCCAGCTTGGTACGACTGGTACGCCGGTGGTTGCTGCTGTGGCTGCGGGCTAGATGATATCTGGCCTGGAGGTGGCGGGTAGGCAGGGGCACCACCAGATTGTTGAGACTGCCATGGGGGGGTCGACGCCTGCTGTGGCTGGGGCTGATTTGGAGCTCCCGACTGGTGTTGACCGGGCTGCTGCGCGGCTCCTGAGTGAGGGCCACCAGACGAGGTAGGCCGGCCAAAGAGCGCCAGTCGTACATACCTCGAATTCTGACGGACCTGGTACTTTGCATCGTAAATGAAGTTCCAGCGCTCCACGAAATGCCGTCTCAGGTCCTCCACAACAGCACCATGCAGACTGACGGAAATATCCGACCATCCCATGCGGGACATGGTCTTCCGATCCAGCTGATTGTTTTCCCAATGAGTAACGTCCTGGAAATCAAGGACGCGGGAGTTATTGTAGTCTTGGCCGGGGAATACGGTGGCGTTGATATCGGACGGGTGCACGTCGGAAAGCGCGTGCTGGTGCGTGTCCCAGCGACCGAAGCACAGATCCAGGCCTCCCATGAAAGCGATCTGGCCATCGATCAGGCAGAGCTTCTCATGATGAGCCCAGTACAGAATAACATCGTCGTTCATGCCGTACAGGCCCTTGAGAGTATCCTTTGACATCTTCGAGAGCCCGGCGGAATCGAGCGACAGGTTGTGTAAGGAGTGCGCAAGATCGGATGCCAGCTCCTGGCGGTCCGGAAGGTGGTCGGGGTGACGGAAGACGGCGATATTGGGGTGCAGGTCCTCCAAGGCATGCTTGGTGTGGGAGGAAGACAGCGTCAAAGCCTGCGTCACCTCCTTATAAACAATAATGTTGACCCGTACACCTCGTTGAGCGGCCGCCTGGAGCATTCGATCCAACCGATAGTTCTCATTCTTGGCTGGAGGCCTTCTCAGGTAGAGTTCGGGAGACAGCCACCCTAATCGTGACACTCAGCATCATGTTCTGGCACCTATCCGAGGGGTCGACACTTACAATCCAGAATCCAGATCGACTCGCGCGCACGCTCCAACGCCTGCGACACCGCCCAAAAATAGCCGCACCCATCAACATACCACTTTACATCGTTGTGCTCTCGGGGCGGCGCGAAGCTGCCAAAGCGGTGCTCTGCGGCGGGCTTGCCGGTTCCATACTCGGCGTAGGCCTGTGGATCGATGGCGGTACCGATCTTTGTGGCGAACTCGGAACCAATATCGGTGACCGCCCCTTGGATCTTGCCCAGGAACCCGGCAAGTTTATCTTCCTTCGGGGGGCGGCCTTGGTTCAGCGGCTGCTGACCCGAGTAGTACTGTTGCTGGTCTTGCTGACCTTGCTGACTGTGACTGTATCCGTATGGGGCTTGATTCGGGTCCTGGGAGGCCTGCTGCGACAACTGGAACGGTTAGACACAAGATTGCAAATGTATTGGAATCAACCATACCCCCTGGTAGCCACCCTGGTATCCCTGGGTCGACGGCTTCGAGTGGCTCTTGTAGGTATCCTTGAACATCTTGAGGGTATCGCTTAGTCCTCTGGACCCGTCGCCTGATCCGCGCTCCGACTCGTAGTAGTGGCCATAGGCCAGATCTTCATTCTGCGACATGACGGCCAAAGAGTGTGAGGAGAAGAGAAAGAAAGAAAATCAGCTGGACGTAGGTTGCCTGGGGCGGGGTGTTTTAAGAGCTCCGGAGGCCCCGCTGCCCAGCCACGATGGAGTCGGGAGACGTGGCTGAGTTAGAGACGGTCCGTTCTCGCCAGAGCTCTGCGGTTTTGAGTGTTTGAATGGTGTGGCGCTGCGCTGAGCTAAGTTGAGCGGGAGACTGCGCAACTTGGCGTAGCCGAATGATCTGAGGCCGAGTCGTCAGCATCTCCTTATGGTTCTGCTGCTGGGTCGATGATGCGGGCGGGCAGATGCAGGCGCGGTGGGGCGATAGTGCCCAGGCGTGTTCCCGCGTATCGTCTGACAGGCCCGTACGGCCGAGACTACTGTAACTGTAATAAGACGAACCCGCTGTGACTACAGTAGGATCCTTGGCGACTGAGCATTGTCTACCACGCAGCAATTAATGTTCTAGACTGTCTTCGTGTATTGTGCAGAGCCTCTATACTCGGCTGATCTCCACGTCGCTGCAACCACGCAGGTGAGACTCCTAGTGCGCTTTGGTCTACACAAGGTGTCGAACACTCCATCTGTATCAAAGCACCGGCCTTTTCTACTCTGTGGAATCAATCAATCAATCAATATTCTCTCAACGTCTGTTACTCGGTGGAACAGACTCTCTCGAGACCAACGGCAGGGCCAGCTGGCAGCATTCCCCGCACGTTATCGCCGGACCGCCCCGCAGCTGCCGGAACCAGCGATAAAAGCCGGGCACAAGCCGCCACCTTCCTGACCTCATACCATACCTAATCGCATTCCTGACCTCATACCATATCTGATCGTTTTCCTGACTTCATACCATATCTGATCGCCTTCATAGTATCATTTCATATCCGTGAACATCATGTCTCTCGCCACTCTCGATGTATACTACTTCCTCCCGATCAAAGCTTGATGGGTACGAAACTAATACGCTCCAGACCTCGCAGCACCCTTATCTCCCCGCATCCTCCGCCACCCTCTTCCAAGCCAAAGCCACCCAGAAGCTCAGCTTCGAGCAGATTGGGCAGCATATTGGCCGCAGTGAGGTTGCAGCTGCTGCCATTTTCTACGGCCAGGCCAAGGCTTCGCCAGAGGACATTCAGAAGCTATCAGAACTGCTCGGTATCCACCACGGCCTGCTGGAGGAGCAGCTCAGCGGCTTCCCCGATCGCGGCAGGTCGGTCGAGATGCCGCCCAAGGAGCCGCTGATCTATCGACTGTATGAGATCGTGCAGAACTATGGGTATGCGTACAAGGCGGTGCTGAATGAGAAGTTTGGGGATGGTATCATGAGTGCAATCTCCTTCTCGACCAAGGTGGAAAAGGAGACTGATGCCGATGGCAATAATTGGGCCGTCATTACCCTGCGGGGCAAGTGGTGAGGATTTATTGCACTTGTCAGGAGAGCCACATAGCTGATGCAGTTCTACAGGCTGCCTTTCTCACGCTTTTAGTTTCCGGTCATTGGAGAGAGGAGGGAGGAGGGAAATGGGTGATGATGATGATGATACTCTATTAACCTGATGCAGCCTAAGTAGTTGCGAAGGGGAAGCAGTATGTGGTGATTCGATAGCTTGAGGCGGGACCATCAAGTGGCATCATTGATAATAGGGAGATGTTCAGTTGCAATGTTGGCAAAATAATGGAAATTTCGCTTCAACCCTGCCTTCTCCCCCTCTTCTAGTCTCTGCCTTCCTTGATTTCTTCGCATCTTCTCTCGTCCACCTTCTATCTTCAAACATCCCGTGAGCGTCCATCATCGTAAACTCACGCTCTTTCTTCTTACCATCCATTCAAAGACCCCTCGTTGGGCTCTAAGATGGCACACAGGCCCGCACCTGCGATACCTGTGCCCTGTAGCTTCACCTGCTGCCCTCGCGTCTTCCCGTCCGTGGAGGCTATGAAAGAGCACGTGCAGAATGAGCGGGATCACATCAGATGCTGTGGACAGAACTTCGATTCTCTGCTGGAGTACTTCCTGCACACAATCCGGAGCAGTGACCACTACCCTTGCCTCTTCTGCTATCTGGACTTCATGAGCCAGGGTGATCTTGAGCATCATGTCAAGCAGGTCGGTCAACCCCTACTAGCAATGGATGTATATGATCCTGCTGAAATACTAATCTGATGCACTCGATAGCTACATGCGCCGACCAAGGCCACTATCTTCTGCCCATTTTGCCCGGAGCCCTTCAAGTCCGCCACTGCGCTGGTGGGCCACGTCGAGAAGGGTAAATGCAAGATCACTCCCTCCAACCGGGTACATCCAAGCATTAAGCCTCGTATGGACGCAACAGGCCCGGAAAATGAGAACCCCTCGGTATCTTCTAAGGCTCCTCTGACCAATAAGGGCCTCGACTGCCAGGATGGTGACCTTTGCCTCAGCACCTCGCCCTCGAACACGCCGAAGAAGGGAAGCAAGTCTCAAGAACCCGTTCATGCCAAACCTGCCCTTAGTCCCGTCCACACGCCGATATTACCGTTGACGCCGAAAAGTCCGGCAGTAACGCTCCCCAGGACCCCAAATGACATGCTCTCCTTTGACGACAACTGCTTCCAGAGCGGACCTGAGTCAATTCCCCCGGAGCCTGAGACCTACGCCTGGACTCCGGACATGTATCCCAAACTCACCCCAATCGGGTCTTCGCAGCCGGTTCCGCAGAACACAGACGATCCTTACGTGTGCAACTGCGGCTGGAGCTCAGCCGATCTAGACGAGTTCGAGACGCACATTGAAGACGAGGCAAAGCGGGACGCTTTCCCATTCCCGAAACAGTCCCGGTAAGTATCCACATCCACGGACGCACAGGGAGCAGCTAATAACTTGAGCTCATAGTTGCCCTAGATGCAAGAAGGAGTTCAATACCGCCGCCGCTTTTGTCTCGCATATAGAGTTTGGCGATCGGAATTGCTCGATCGGCGAGACCGCGGCGGTGGATCCAGATGCGACGGCTGGTTTTCCGAGTGTCCAGACCACCAAGCGCACCGGCACGCAGAAGATTCAAACATGGATTATCGACGATGATATGGGAACTCGGGAAAAGGGAGTGGCCCTGCGGCGCTATCTGGATCTCAACAAGGATAACCGGCATTTCTATGAAAATACCGAGGAAAGCTTTTAGTGATCGCAGGGTTGCGCAGCTCCTCTCCAAAGTCCAGAGACGAAAGCGTTGAAGCCATAAGACCATGATTACCACTCAACTACCATCTATGATAGCGAAGGTTGCGCAGGATGCGATGTCTCATTAGAATCGAATTGGTCCCGCCCGAATTCAAGGAAGCCATGCAGTTTGTCGCCGACTGATGAGGCATGGAAGGGGACATGATCTTGTTATCAAAATTTCACACTACCAGGAGAGCATCCTTGCTGATATCAACCGTACGATGGCATTTGATAAGTTCCATATGAGCCGAACCTTGAATAAAGGGACAGGAAACTTTAAACGTCGGTAAGATTGCTCAGATAAAGGGTATTGTCCAACGGCCGCGACTCCATTTACACGCGCCAGACAGCCAGTAGGCTATCTGCGCAAGGAAAAAAAAGGCAAAAAAGACAAAAAAGATTGGGCAGCAGGTGAAACATCATCATAACATGAAGGGGCACCTCGAAGGGGAAATGGCAAATGGCACAAGCAACCAAAGGGACCGAGTGGGGAAAGGAATCACAACCACCTCCGATGTACGTGTAGATCCGATCTTGTGATATCAGAGCTAGCTAGCTTTCTTGGCATGTCCTCAACAGGAGCATTGGAACGTTGGGACGTAGGGAGATCGCTAAAGGTGCGAGAAGGGGTGTAGCTCCTCCAGATCCAGCTATTCGAGTCCCGATGTGATCTGAGCTGTGCAGCGCCGAGATCATGGGTATGGAGTAGCTGTTTAGCAACAGTCCTCGCAGCACTCGAAGCAGAGGAGGCCCGCGCAGCTGAGGTATGTCAGTGACGGGGTCTTATAGTATGCGCAATGGCCTCAGGATTGTTGGTGCGCTACAGACCGCAGGCGGCAGTGCTCTGCAGGTCATGGGCCCGACGGAAGTGAGGTAGGAGTAAGAGGCACTTACAGGCCACAGCAGACATCGCCGGCACCACCACCGCGCAGCTTCATCATATTCTCCTGGGAGTTCTGTCGTTGCAAAGCACGTTAAGATCAGCAAACAAAGAGCCTGCCTGAAAGAGTATGAGGTGGGCAGGGGGAATCACATACGGGCTGCTCGGTGACGACGCGCTCAGTAGAGGGGGCATCGGGGCTGGTAGGCTGCTGATTCTGGGGGGAGGCGGTAGGCGCATCCCAGGTAGCGCCATTGGTGGGCGCCTGCTTGGAGGAGAACAAGCTGAAGAGGCCGTTGCCGAACATATTGATGGTTGGATCGAGAGAAAGTGGGAAAATGGGTTGAAAAGAGGTGGAAAGGTGTCAGAGAGAGAGATAAGAGGAAGTTTTGGGGGTTGATGGAGGGAGGGAGGGACGACTGGGAAGGCTGACGGGGGGATGGATTTATATGAATCGACTCGGGGGAAGAGAGGGTACTGTAGGGTACGAAGCACCGCTGGATCACTCGGTACAGGTACGTAACTCTTCACTTTGCTATAATTACGAGACTATCGTTATTATTGTTCACCCCAGTGAATGTGATTCCATGACTGGCCCACACTCATCCTCTGTTCAGGAAGCCCGGGTGATACAGACCCAGGATCCACTTCTCAGTTGTGTCGGGGGCCCGTCGTCACCGTGTCATGGTGACCATGCGTAAACTCGGTGGAGGCAGGGAAAGGGCCTTTTCCGCCAGGCCGCATCTATGGCTAAAGATCCAACAAACCGGTCGGGTACATCAGTGGCTGGCGCAGGGCCTCCACCAAACGCTCCAAGCCCCGCCACGTTGTCCCGCGGTGATCGCTGGCCGATGAGATCACTCCGGATGTTGTACGCAAGGAGCTGGTCTGAGAGCTGGAGCCATGCCCTGGGAAAAGGGAAATGGATCGGCTCGATAGTGAATCGGTCTGTTCTAACGGCCGGACAAAATGGGGGACTCAGTCTGCGAATGATGGCAGACAGGAAAATACTGGTACGAGTTGAACGGCGCTGCTGGTCCGTCTGAGACTCCCTGTGAACCGTCAAGCCGCTGCATCATCGAGTTGTCGGTGCCTGGATGGGTCGACTATTCGATAAGAGTGCGGGAATTTCAGTGGAATTGCACTGAAACCTTCGATTCCCCCAGCAGCCGCTGGTCAGACCCAAAGAATGGACAAGGCAAGTGTCTCCACTCATGCTCCACCTCAACCACTCAATAGCCTCAGCCCTGGCGCGCTAAGCTTCGGTCAAGCTTCGTCATTCGTGTACATCCCGATATTTTTAGGACCGCTTTCTGTGGCTCAGTTGCCGCGTACAACATTGTGCAAGGCATGCAGAGCGTGCAGGGCGTGGACAGCAAGCCCATGCCGTGAGTCGCCGCTGCACCAGACGGCGGTGGAATCGTGGCTGAGGAGGCTTCTGAGGTGGGGAATGGATGGCAACGATCAGAAAACAGGCAAGGCCTGAGGCGGTGCCGAGGGTGGGGGGATTTCGCGAGGAAATTGCCCTGAACAAGACAGCGCAATGTGGCTGGACTGATCCATTGCTCAATCCATCCTGCAACGAAACTTTGGGAGGCATCGACGGCGCAAAGGACCACTCCAGTCACATGATCTGCACTTTTGGCACGTCGGGTCCACCGTACTTCGGCGAACATGCGCATCCAAAAATTGAACGGAATGGCGCCAGGGTCCAATTGAATCGTCCAGGATAGCCCCGACAGATATACTGCATTGCAAACCTCGACAGCATGACTGCTCCGGACCCGCAACAACCAAGTCCCCTCTCGGCCCGCGAAGCCGATTATGAGCGCTTCAAGAACTACGCCGCCCTCACATTTCTCGTCGCCTCGCCGGTGCTAATCGCACTACCCCCCGCAAACTCGACCATCTCACCGTCCTACTAGCCAGCGCTTTCTGTATCTCTGCAAACCATGTCACCCGCGAGCGGACGGGCCGCAGCATCGTCGAGCGCATCGAAGCGCGGATAGCCCGCCCGTCTATTATGCGGGAACTGCCCAGCGAGCGCGCGGAGGAAATCCAGGCGCGCTTACGCGCATCACGCGATGCGCAGATCCGCGAGGCTGAGGCCCTGGCGAAGGGTGGATCTGTGAGCGAGGAACTGGAGAAGCTGAAGGCGCGCCAGGCGCAACAGCAGGGTGTTGCGCAGCGGGTATGGATGGGTGGGGAATCGCCGGGGTGGATGGAGGAGCGGCTGAAGAAGGAGCAGGAGGCCTTGGAGGAGGGGAAGGGGTATGCCGATTTGATCTATGAGCATATCTGGGAAGTCTGGAATTGGGGCAAGAAGGAGGAGGAAAATGACGAGTAGGTGGAACGCTTGTCTTCGTTGTATGACTGCTCGGTCCTCGATCCTCCGGAGGATACGCCCATGTTCTCCGCCATTTCCGACTTCGACTTCGACTTCGACTGACTGCGGTTATCACTCATCTCTCTGCACATATGTCTGTCTCCGACAGTTGTCTTTGTACCAATATTTCCTTCGATTCAGCATTGGGAACGGGCGTTCGCTTTTTCATCTACATTGCATTCACTAATGTGTTATCCTCCGCTCCTCGGCTACTTGATTCTCATGTACCATTGGAAACTATGTACATCAAATCTACAAATCTGCCCAGGCCTACTAGGAAAAAGAAACTGACATACTCTGGATCCCGCTCACTGATACACAACCTTCAAATCCAGCCATGCCGTATCTGCAAGGTCCTCGAGGCTATTGACGATGTAATTTATGGGGCTGTTGTGCCAGTACTAGAGTAAACTACGTTTACAACGTACATCTTGTGCTTCATGACAAACCTACAAAGAACGTGACGTGAAAGGGGAATTTCATCCATTCTAATCTAACTAACAATCAAACTGAGAGTGAAATGAAATGAAAATGAGAATGCTCATCGTGATGTATAGTACGAGCATGTTACAACATACATTGCATGTCAATGAGATTAACAAGCACCTGACGAATGAATCGTACAACCAGGTTCTTCGAAGTAAAGAGAAAAACCTTCAAGGCAATGGCTCCCCTTCGGCCATCCCCCACGGTGAATGGAATGATGTACAGGTAATATAATGACACAATCTTTTCAAGGAAATGACAATTTATTCGAAACAAAGGTTCAATCTTCCTCCCAGAAATTGAAACTGAAATTGAAAATGCGATGCCATGATGAATGCAATGCATATGATTCAATGTTGCACGATTTGATTTGAAGACTTTCTTATAGGATGTTTTTTCATCCAAAGTTGTAGCCTTGACGGACAGTGTGGAGGTGCTGGAGCATGCCCAAGTAGATTTGGTCCATGGCAGCAAGTCCCTCTTCGAACTAATCGTAGAGATGAATGTTAGATTCATTCATAGTTGTAGTGGCTCGGAAACGACCATACCGGATCAGGTATGCAAGGATATGTAGCCTCAAGTGGAGGTGCGTCGGGCATTTCGATGTCAGGGTCAATCTCCTCGGCATCGGGCATTTCGATCTCCTTGACAATGGACTGGGCCCAAAGAAGGTTTTTCTTCAGGAACGGGTTATTATAGACTCGAAATATGTAGTGCTCTATGGCTTCACGTACTTGATTTTGGCGATTGCGCTGCCTGTGGGGTTGAACGCGAGAATTTTGTACGCGCCGAAGGTCTTGGTAGCCAGCTTGAATTGGTGCCTGGTAATAATTATTAGAATCTGTGTCCGAGTCTGAAAATGAGTCCCCGTACATGTCTCCTGACATGTCTGAGAATGAGCCTGGAGAGAATGAGGAATCCGGGGTGGAGGGAGAGGCCATGCTGTCCCCCGACGCGGAAGTACTACTTACTGGGCTTTCGCGATGGGCCTGTTGGTTGTGTCTCCGACCATGTTTGGGGCTATTGAAGCGGCCAACTTGCTGCTGGTCGGGACGTAGCGGCTGGTGGAACTGCTGATTCTGACGGGGATGGAAGTTTCCTCGTTGTGGATGGGAATCAGGCTGGTAGTTCTGTGATGCTGTTAGCTTTTTCCTTTGATTGGGATGAATGGTGAGGTGAGTGAACTGGGTACTTACGCGCTCTGCACCACCACGGTTGGCAGGCTGGTGCAAATTGAAATTGCGGTTGTGATGGTTTGGATTGAAGTTCCGCGGGTTGGAGTTGGGACTGAAGTTTCGCTGGTTATGATGGTTTGGATTGAATTTCCGCGGTTTGGAGGAGTTTGGATTGAAGTTCCCCGAGTTGGAGGGGTTTGGATTGAAGCTCCGCGAGTTGGAGGAGTTCGGATGTCCGTTCCATCCGGGATGTCTTGGTCCTGGGCCGTTGGTGGGTTGATTTGGTCGAAGAGACCCGGCTTGGTGACTGAACGCAGGACGATTGTTCTTCCCGCCGAAAAATGGTTGATAGGTCATTTTTGCTTGTTAACGGGATAGTTAGGACTCGGTCTCAACCCCAGGAGAATCACACAAGAGAAGCCCTATTGCCTTCTTCCAAGAACCGGATTTCCACTTCAGAGATCTTTTCTGCTTTGCTGTTTTTGGGATATGATTGAAAACGCTTGATCAACGTGAACGATTTTTTAACGATTTGGCTTGGAACGATTTTGCACGCAGTGAAATCCCTCAAGTTTCAGAAGTAAAAGCCCTACAAGTCCGACCACTTAAAGCCGGCCTAGTGACCCAGCACGCTTGTGTGATTTCCCAAGGAGGAGGACCGAGGTGGCCTCTTCTGTGTTTGACGGTGGAGTAAAACGGACGTGGTCAAAGAATCTCGACGGAGATAGGATGAGATGGTATGGAGTTGACCTCCTAAGGGAGATGAAGGGAGATGGAGAGGGGAGAGGAAAGAGCGTGAGGAGAAGAAGAAGAAGGGACAGCTGAAGACCAATTGGGTTTGGTAATTGCAGGGTTTCTTGGAATGAATGGCTTTGGCCCTTCTCTAATCGTAGGAATCCGTGGGTGTAGATGTTTGGGGCAGAGCAATTAGGGCTAGTTCCATTACCCCGGCCGATTTTTGTGGGGATAACCTTATCCTCCGTCGTCCGAAACCCAAATCGTTGCGGGACCGGCTGTAGAAACAGAGCGAACGGAAGGTGAACCGTGGATGGAGGCAGTTACTAGGCCTAGTAGATATCTTCAGCAATTCCTGACGGAGTGATGAGAGTTTTTCCGAATGGGGCAGCGGAAGGGAAATGACGTGAGGCTAACGGGATGGTAAAATGAACGCTAAGTGTCGAATTTGAACCCGTAAGACTAGTACCAGTGCTATGTATAGGAGGCAAGACATTATTATACTCCTGGGCGGTATCAGCCCGAGAGAGCTCCATGCCGTTTCAGCTTTTTGTCCTGAACTTGAAGGAACCGAGCGGTTATCAGACATACTGGAAAGGAATTTTATCGTAATATTAGCCCAGACAATAGCGTTTTGAAGAAGTACCCTGTGAGACAAAGGCCAGCCAGGGGTTGAAATCAAGGATCCGTCTCTCGGCGCCAGATCTTAATTTAGACCCGCAAAACAATGACAAAGTCGGGAATAGTAACAATAGGTATGTACTTGAGTGTTAAACCCATGACTGACTTCAGCAACCAAGTCGAAAAGGAGTGGGACCTCCGGATGCTCCGCCGTTAGCCTCCATTATGTGGCCTTTTGGATCTTTTTGTCTTTCCATCCATGTTCTCCGTCAGCGGTTCTCCAGTCCTCTTCAGATCGGTACCTGTCCGCGCGCGTTTCTTCTTGTGTCGCGCTCCACCGGGTGACACGCTCTCAGTCGACACAAGACTCTCGCGCTTGCGCTTTTCTGGTTTGTTAGTCTCCTTCTTCCACCGTCGCTCTTCTTTGATTCGCAGTCGCCGCTGTACTTCAGCTGAAATGTCTTCTGTCTCGAGCGAGCCGGATGAGGCATATGACGCATTTCGAGGATCTTCCTCAGTAGCTTGAAAGGAAATGAGGTCACGCCTTCGTTTCGAAGCTCGAGGGTCCTCTTGCGAACGTTCTTGAGATGGTGTAACAGTTCCCTCCTTCTCGGTTCTTGGTCGCTTTCTCCGACCACGGGTCTCTGTATCTGTGAATTGCGGGGTGGGGGTAGGTTGCGGGTTCGTCTTCGGTGCTGAGGATGAGGACGGGGTAGCATTGAATACATTGTCGGACGTCTTTCCTGTATTGATGAACATATGGTTGTTAAAGCTGTGATATAATGGAGAAAAGTGAAGGGTCCGAGGAGAGTGTTGCGAAACATACGGTTGAGCTAGGAGGGGTAAGGTGTCAGTCGCGGGGTCCCAGAGAGTTAATCCACCAAGAGCAACACACCATATACTTCCGGGCCACTTTGGACTGATTCATCGCCTGGATTGTCTTGGTCACCATAGAGGACACTGTCCGAAACGCCTCGTCATCCCGCGTAACATGGGCCTTCACTGAGTCCAGCATCTCAAGATGGGAGGTCAGTACAGCGTCGTGTTGGGAGAACATCTATTGCACGATGCAGACTGTTAGCGAAGTGTGATCCCTAAGGGGAAACAAAGACGAAGACGAAGTTGAGGCCCTTTCGTTCGCACTCTTGTTCCGTCGCTTTGTCTCCGCGGCTGAGAGAAAATCTGGATGACGACATACCTCTGCCCAGGCAATGGGAGCGCCATTTGCTTGGAAGCTGTATGGAGCTTCCGCCTGGCGGTGCCTATCTATATTTCCAGGCCTGTCCATAGTTAACTGGAGGGCCGAGGCTCGTGCAAATGTCGAGAAGAAGCTCGCAGGGATTGGCGGAGAAGATGGAGCTGCCCCCGCGCCAAGACTTCCGCAGTGCAGGAACGATCGGACAGTTCGACCTCCGAGTCAGTCGATCTATGTGGTTACAACCAACTTCGAAACTTCATGACAGGATCATTTCGATCATTTACCATTTCGATCATTTATCATTTCGTGCATCCCAAATGCATTCTTCTGCTGTTAAACTGTGTACAGGACCACGCTTCGAACGCCTTCCATGAAATACACCCAAAGCCCGCCCGGCACCGCGAAACTTTAATCTCAAATGCTCCCCAGGTAAAATCATACAGAAGCAGATACATTTTGTCATCACCAAGCACCAGCATCAAAGTCAAATCGAGCCAGCTCCTTCTGCGAGTCTTCCACGTCCTTTTTGGCCTTCATACGCATGTAGAAGATGGGGCAGTCGCGCGACGAGCAGATAACCTCGCAGTGAAGACTGCCCTGGCATCGCTGGCACTGCGTCCATAGCCGTCCAAAGCGGACTTCGAGGTCAGACACCTTCGTAAGAGACTTGGTGTATAGCTCGCCGATACGAGGGCGACAGTTCTCGCACACAGCACCAGCCATCTCTTCTTTGCCTGCCAAGGGCTTCTTGCAGCCCATGCAGGTCTGGGTACGTTTCGTGAACTTCATCAGTCCACCCAAGCTGGGCACGGCGACTGAGATGGATCGGGTGTGCTCGCCTGTGAGCAGTTGATTGGCTTTCTTCTCGCCTAAGATAGGCTCGAAGATACGGCCCAACGGATTGGCGAGCTGGTTGTCCAGATAATACTTAGTATCAATCGGAATGTTGTTCTCAAGCACGAAAATGGGATCTTCGGCACGCTCGTAACCCCTCGAGTTGGCCGCGCCCTTGATCATGACGTAGGCCACACGGTCTCCCAAAGCGGGAGCCGATCCGGCATCACGCTTCGTCATACGCTTGGCAAGCTCGACGTGGGCTTGCTTGGCGGCGTATTCCTTCTGAGACAAGGCCTTGGTGATCACCAGCTTGGACATATCCACCTTGTTCTGCAGAAGATCAGAGATAGTCGATTTAACATAGCTGTATGCCAACATATTAGCCAGTGTTCTTTGTCCAGTCAATAGGTCTTCGACTTACTCCTGGGCACCATCGATATCTCGATCAATGAGGATTTTGTTCAAGACAGTTTCAATGACATTTTGTACAAGCAGACAGTTGTCTCGTCGCACGGTCTCAATACCCTTAGTGTCCATCTTGTCGTGCTTTTTGGTATTGGTCCAGTAAAGACCGGCATAACGCTTTTTGTTGATCAGCAGATAGGGAAAGTACACCTTTTCGAACTCGAGCTTGATAGGCTTGAGAAACTTGGCTGAAACGAATTCTGCGGCCTCCTCGCCGAGTTTCATCGCCTCTTCCAGTTCCGTCACGCCGAATTTGACCATGACCGAATCAGTATCACCATAGATGACTTCGGCATCGTGAGAGTATCCATTGGCGATGGTGTAGCGCGCTTCGACTTCAGACTTGGTTTTCTCGATCATCTGTCGACCATAACTTGTGGTACTACTGGCGATCGGAAGACAGGGCAGCTTGCCGACTGTGGCTCCCGTAAGACCATACACACTGTTTGCGCTGATCTTCAGGGCAAGTTGACGACCATTCAGGACGGCCTTTTTGAAGGGATCGGTCTCACTTGCCAACTCCTTCTTCGCGCGCTTTCTGGCACCCAAAAGTTCCTCCAAAATTTGCGATAGAAGGCCTTTGCGGACTTTTGAGGTACAGAACATGTCTCCGTTTGGCGTCACGATATAGTCGTCATCCTTCACAAGACCAAGCTTCTCAACGCTGCTTTTGTTAAGCAATGTGGTATAGCAAAGGTTGTGCGCCTGGATAATGGACGGGTACAGAGATGCGAAATCGAGAGTGGCAATAGGCACACCGTAGTAGCCACGTTTGGGTTCGATGACAGTTGCACCTTCATAATCTTGTTCATCCTGCGATTTTGTGTTCGGAATGACCAGTTGTTGCTCAAGGGCCTTTCGGAACAGCTGGCTGATGAACTTGACTTGCTGGCCTCGAGAAAGGAGAAAATTAAACGGAACACCCGTGACTCTTGCCATTTCCGTATAGTTGACCAAGCACATCAGCTTGTCCATCAATCTTTGTGGTAGATAAGCATCTTTCAAACAATATACCGCCAATCGTCGTCGAGAATCGGGAGTTCCGTTGAAAAGTTCTGTGATCATGGTGTGATGGACATCCTCCTTCTGCTCTCCCAGGAATTCATAGGATACAGAATTGAGGGTGTAACTTCGCAAGTGGTGATCTCTCTGCACCAACTGGAGCAAATCCAGTTGAATTCTGCCGTTGGTATTGGTCGCTTTGGTTTCTCGATTGCCCATTTGCTTGCTCGAGAAATTAGCCTCCTTAGCTTCGGTCTTGCAATTCTTCAGTCGGGTCCAGTAGGGAAACTGGTGGCACTTCAGATGTTTCGCACGGTCCAGTAAGTACGGGAAGTCGAAGTTCGCAATGTTATATCCAATGATGACATCCGGATCGACCTTCTCTACAAACTCGCGCCATGCCATCAGCATTCTTTCCTCCTTTTCAAACTCCAAAATCTGGGTATTGACAATGAGACTGCAAGTGTCGAGGCAGAATACGTTTCGGACGAAGGGCTTCGATTCTCCATACCGAGTAACCACATTAGCGATTTGAATGACGGGGTCCACATTGGGTTCCGGGAAAATGCCTTGGCGCCCAGCACACTCGATATCGAAAGACAAGATACGCAGAGGGGCCATCTTAGCCCATTCCCCGTTCGGGGCGTGTGCGGTCATATCACGGTAGTCCATAATGGCCTCAATCTGGCAGTTAGATTGCCTTTCGTGGTCTGACACTAGGCGATATTGTCCAGCTTTTGCTTCAACCCACGACATTCCGTGTAGACCAGTGTCAATCATAAATCGCAGCAGATACTGGATGTTGTCGAACGTGAGAATTCCCGAGTCCGAGCTGCTCCAGAGGCCTTTGTAGTTCATTGATCCACTTCCAGTCTCAAGCGCACTGCGCACCCTGGCAATGAACTTTGGGTCGGTCACGGTAATCTTGAGATACCAGCTCTTTTGGTTTCCCTGAAATCCATATATGTTCTCTCGGAGTGTTACTTGTACGGACTCGATGACCGGGACCATTTGGGCGAGTTTGGTCTCGAGGAAGGCGCGGTAGGGGTTGCAATCCTCCTTGGTAAAGCCAACAGGGGCAGCGATGTAAAGGTAATGTTGGAATCCAGTCACATGTAGCATCACCGATTGACCGTGCTGTTAGGAACCATGTTAGATTTCATGTCGGTTCAACTTCCACTGCCAAGGCAATATGTACCTCAGTGACACCAAATAGGCGAACGGCCATCTTGTCAGCTCCAAATCTGCCCTCTTCGGCATCAATCTGCTGGAAACAGATGTTCTCCTTCGTCGGGTCGAATTCACCCAGGGCCGGTCGCTCCCACTGCTGGTCCTTCTCCGCATTGTTCCCTTTCAAGTCACCAATATCCTGTGTCAGCTTCTCGAGGACTTCCTCTTCGAACTGACTCTTCTGTGGCTGACTTGAGCCAAAGCCCTTGCGCTGGGCATTTTGTGAGGGTGGCTTAAGCTGGGACGAGTGTTGGTTATCGAGCTTGCGCTTCTTCAGCGCGGCGGGGGAAACGACATTGCCGCGTGGATTGGTGGTCGTATCGGCCAAGGCCCGTTTGGGGGGCGGAACGGCTTCAGGCATGGTAATTATGCACGCAAGATGCTGCCATACACCACTAGAAGCCAGTCAAAAGGGAGCGAGGTCGTGATGAGCAGAACGGGTTTGGGCGGGCAGCACTCGAAAGTCGTGTTGTAGTCGCGCCTTCGACGTGACTCTCTTTACGCGTGAGCGGTCACATGCCGATAAGATAAGCGGTCAAAGTAGAAACCCAAGGCGATCAAGTTATTTGAATAGCTCCAAGGCTATATAAAGAATGAAACGAGAAGAAAGAACTATCATGTTAGTGTGGAAAATGATGTTTATTACTTTATGATTCGGTTTGTCAACTCTATCCCCTTCCATGACCATTCTGGCCTGCAACGCTCTCGCTGTTATTGCGGCTCCGTCCGCGTTGGCTGTCCGCCGGCAGAAAACGACAGGGTGACTCTTCCGTTTCGCCTCTTTGTGGCTTGGAATCAACGCCTTTCGCTCCATTGCACAATCCGGTTGTTGTCAAGTCTGGTCCACACGGTCCTTATTTCATTGTCCAGGCTCATTCATTGCAAGGACAGTTCGGCCTGACTTTGTTGCTCGTTACATTGTGATTCAACACCGCCTGCCGCCCTGCGGGGGACATTTAGAAACCAATGGAAGCCTGAGTCAATCATCGCTGTTCTGGGCCCCACGGCATGTTTATGTCTGGCTTGTTCGGTGAGAAGTCCAGCGTGGCATCTTGAGACTATAAACCATTGCCCATTCAGACTCTGCATTCGTACCATTATTCACCCCGGGTTGCTCTCACGATTTGTGTTCACTCCCACTCCACCAAATCTATATAACTGGCCATCACGACAAGCTACCTAGGGACGTTTTCGATACGTCTAGCAGATCCCATCTGTTGAGAATCTTTTGCAGGGGTCTTCCACCTTGATCTCTAGTTCGCATCTTAATGGAATGAGCTAGGCTTCTTTCCGCGCCTTTTCCCCCTACCATTATTACTCGTTCAATCACTATCACCATGTCAATGTTCAGATCCGCTGCAGATATCTCATCATCAGAATCGGATTCCGATGTCGGGGAGTACAGTGGGCATCAAAGTTCAATTCCCAGCAATGATGCGAAACCCGGGTCTCGACGCGCCAGCAAGGGAGAGGAATCTGCCAAACTGACAAATGGCCTGGACTCAGGCAGCGACCTGGAACCGTCTATCTCGCTGGAAGATGTTTCTGCCTTGTCAACGGGCGCCCTTGGCTCCCGTGTGGAGCATCATGCACACTTCATGACAGCTGCCTTGTTGGAGTTCTATTGCCAGAGCCGAGCGGCTGACATTCTTAATGCCCAGAAAGGCTCCTCCAAAAAGTACACGCGGCATTGTCCTGAGGCACAGTATCTTGGGAAAAAACTGTACAAGTACAAATCTCAATTTCTCGCATCGCATGGCGTTCTGGCAGATGGCATTGAGAAAGAAGAGTTAGATGGCACAAGACAGACGTATCGTGACAATTTGGACTTACTTGGGCTCTCTGCTCTGGACGACCTGAATCTGAATGAGCCTCAACCACGATCGCCTATTGAAGCTGGTGAAGAGCTTGCTCTCGTGTCGAAGACGTTCAGGAACCAGCAAGGACTCGATGTCACCGACAGCAATGCGCATTTCTGGAAGACGCCAGGTGAAGACACGCAGTTTCGAAAGCAACCACCTTCAATTAGCGATTTCAAAGTCCTTGAAGGTATTCCTACCGGCGTGCCAAATCTGCCAGCCCCATCGAGGCCACTCTTTGGCAGCTCACCTGTGAGCATGCCCCTCTTTAACGGGCCCGCCATGCCGCAATACAACATGTCGCGCTATTCGGTAGAATTCAGTGAGCTCAATGTTCTTGGTCGTGGATCCTTTGGAGAGGTCTACCACGTCACCAACCATATCGACGGACAAGACTATGCTGTCAAGAAGATTCCTCTCAGCCAGAGGCGCCTTGATCAGCTGCAGTACGGCGGTCAAAACCAGTTGGAAAACATTATGAAAGAGATTCGGACGCTTGCGCGACTTGAACACACGAATATCGTTAGGTACTACGGTGCATGGGTTGAACAGGCGCATGTCGCGAGTCGCATGCCCTTCGAGCCACAGCCGCATACCAGATACGATCCGTCGCAGATTCACATGTCCAGTCCCGAGTCCAGCAATGAACCCAGCATGGGCATTGTCTTCGAGCATTCTGAAAGTTCAGCAGTCGATTTGCATTCTGGTTCTGTACCAGACGAGCACGGATTTTCCAACCGAATCTCGCGTTGGGACAGCCACGCCACTTCTTCCTCTCGCCGTTCGAAAAAGAGCTCGGGCACAGGACTTGACGATGACGATGATATTGAGTCTATTCCTCGGAATTTCGACAATCCCTCCGATGGACAGACCTCCACATATGGAGAAACGGACGACATTTTCACCGATGGCTTGAGCCAGGATCAGTCGAGGCTGCAGGTGCAACGGAACCACCGGTTCGGGCAACAACAGCCAGCTGTCATTCTTCATATCCAAATGTCCCTCCACCCGATCTCTCTTGGCTCCTACTTGAATCCACAAGCAGCCGATAGACCCAACATCGGTGCCTGCTCGCCTTCACGGCGTCATTGTTTCCATTTGATGCCATCGTTGAGATTGATGCTGGACATTATCTCAGGTGTTGAGTATCTCCACTCCAAAGGAATCGTCCACCGTGATTTGAAGCCAGCAAATATCTTCCTTTGCGCACCTGATAACACTACTTTGGATACTTGTGATTCTTGCGATTCTGGCTCCAACTCGCCAGCTCACTTCTGTCGTCCGCGCATTGGAGATTTCGGCCTTGTCGCAGATATCTCGCATCTGAATGAGACTTCGTCGGAAGGGGCGGTTACGCCCTATCACGAAGGCCCCAGAATTCAGCGCGTTGTGGGAACCGAGTTCTACCGACCTCCTGCCAATTTTGACATGCCAGACTCACCGGGTTATTTTGACAAGTACCAAATTGACGAGAAGTTGGATGTTTATGCTTTGGGTGTGATTCTATTCGAGCTTCTCTATCGCTTGAATACGAAGATGGAGCGACAGATGGTGTTGAACGACCTGACCCGGGGATCAATCTCCTTACCCGGTGACTTTGCTGCCAAAATTGACCATGGTGAGACCCAACTGGACACGGGGATCACTGTCGCTAAAACTATGATGGCTTGCATCAGAGGCATGCTGGACCCCCACTCGCGGCGGCGATGGAGCCTGCACGAGGTCAAGGAGCATTTACGCCGGATCTACAAATGCGTCAAACATCTATAGGTCGCGCTAGTATTGGAGGAAGATGGAGCCTTTCCTTTCTATTATCATTAATCATTTCATGTATTTATACCCCAACATGAAGCAAGTTGTCTCCCCTCAATCTCAATCGCCGTTAGTAGTCGTCACATTGGACTTATGCAAAGTGATCAGCGCCACACGCGCTGGGCCTCGGCATGGTGGAGCTCCCAAAGTTCTTCACAGGCACAGCCGAGCGCGCGCTTCTTCCCCGCAAATACAACCCAGCTGTCACACGCTCATGTAGATTTATTACTCATTTTCTAGAATAATCCACATATTCCACCATACCAGCTCCATTCTTCCGTACCACGATGGCGCGCAATGTCCGTGCCCCTACCGCGCCCTACAGTGAGCCGCTTCTACCACAACTCGACATCCGCAATCCCTACTACACAGACGTACACCACAACCTGCGTGCCTGGGTCCGCGACTACGTCGAGACGCCCATCGCTCCGTATGCGCAGGAATGGGAGGCTGCGGGTCAAGTCCCCGAGGAGGTACGGCGACGTCACTGCGAGCTCGGCTTCGGCATCGTGCACCCCTCACGAAGGAGGAGCACTCGGCTGGCCTGGCGCTCCCTGGCAATGTGCCACGCGATAAGTGGGATACCTGGTGCTCACTCATTGTGTCAGATGAGTTGACGCGTGTGGGATTTGTGGGTGTGATTTGGGGCCTAGGGGGTGGCAATGGTATTGGGTGTCCGCCTATTGCGAGGTTCGGCACGCCGGAGCAGCAGAAGCGCTGGCTTCCGGGTGTTGCGAGGGGTGATATTCGCTTTTGCTTGGGGATTACAGAGCCTGATGGTAAGATTGAGGCTTCTTACTGTGCACCCCGGGTATGCGGTGCTAACGTTGCGGGGAGTATCTAGCTGGCTCTGACGTCGCTAGTATTAAAACCACCGCCAAGCGCGAGGACGATCACTATATTGTCAATGGTGCGAAGAAGTGGATTACAAACGGCATCTGGGCCGACTATTGTACAGCTGCCGTGCGCACCGGTGGGCCAGGGAGATCGGGCATCAGCTTACTTGTCATCCCTTTGAAGCTCGCGGGAGTGACTTGCAGGCGGATGTTTAATTCGGGCGTCCATGCCAGCGGTATTTCTGCCTTTTCAGTTATGACTTTGATACTGTCCCATTAGCTAACTTAGCACCAGGCTCAACGTTTATTGAGCTAGACGATGTCCGCGTTCCAGCTGATCATCTTATTGGCGAAGAGAACAAGGGCTTCCCCCTCATCATGTCGAGTATGTACTCAACGCCATGACAGTCCACCAATGGCTAAGATTGTCCTACAGATTTCAACCCGGAGCGTCTTGCATTGGCATGCGCTTCCCTTCGACTCGCCCGCGTTTGTGCCGAGGACGCCTTCAACTACGCCATTCAACGTGAGACATTCGGTTCACCCCTGATCCAGAGACAGGCCATTCAGTCTAAGATTTTCAAATTCGGCTTGATGATCGAGCCAGCATATGCCTTCATGGAGCAACTCGTCAACATCCTAGAGCTGACGAAGGACCGGCCTGTTGACAATATCAAAATTGGCGGCATGACCGCTTTGCTCAAGGTCATGTCCACAAGAGCATTGGAGAAGAGCGTCCGTGAAGCACAGCAGATTCTTGGTGGTGCTGGATATAACAAAGCTGGCAAGGGAGCGAGAATTGAGCAGATTAGCCGTGACGCTCGAGTGCATGTCGTTGGGGGCGGAAGTGAAGAGATCATGACGGGCCTGGCACTGCGGGAAGAAACTAAGGCTCTACGGACGCGACGTAAGGCTCTAGAAAAGCGGCAGTCTAAGGTATAAGGGTATTTATTCAAACAGGGTCGTCTACGTCGGGCCTTTGCTGGCCAAGGTCTAAGTACGGCGTGCTAATTTAAACGAGATTGCACGAAGTTAGCAATGTGAAAGCTTTCGTACCTTTCAAATATCTTTGTCATGATTTCCAAGCAGAGAAAAAAACTTTGATATTGAATTGAGTAACTATGTGTATCTTGGTTTCCTGGCAGTAGATATTGCTCTCACAAGATACAGATAATTGTATCTCTGAAGCTCTCCTATCCATCTTTCATCCTGCTGCATCAGCGGTTAGGTACATACGACCGTCGAGAATGATGTAGCAAAGCATGGCATTTGGGACTTCAGTGGTGACAACGTTTTGACAGTTTTTTTAGACGTCAGAAGCAGTGGTAAGCAGATACTTTTTGAGTAGTCCATGTTATTACTCTTATCGATGTTCATCGGAGTTGGTATCCTTATTGACACACGTAGACGCGCATCAGAGCCTCAATCAATCATCCGGCATTTCTTTTCGAACTGAATGACTTTCTTTTTCTTTAAGTATACTTGACGCACTAATGAACAAGTCAGAGTGCTTGGTTCATTCTGGGCAGACTTGGCCCACCGATAAGATGTTGGTTCCTCAGGCATCCACCAAAGACCAGGCAGCCGACGTCACGCGTGTGGGGAAAGCTGCCCATCACGCCCTCACTGGGGGCCAGCGCCAACACACCACAGGGCCTGCTTCCTCGCCAGGAGCGATGGAGAGCTTCGACGACGTGACCCTGGTGGGCCCAGTTTCCGACCCCTCGATCCTCGACGAGCACCTGGCACCGGCGAACAATGACGCTAAGACAAGCAAATCCGCCGATGGGGAATCGGTGAATTCGGGCCCTCCCACTTCCAACCGCTCGATGAATGCCGGACGCACTGAAATTGAGCCAACTACCAATGAACTGGCTGCGCCCTCGATCTCGTCGGACTTCCCTCTGGAGGAAGAGGACGAAGAGCCTCGGGTAGCCACTTCTTTCGAGCGAGAGTCGAGCCCAACTTTCGCGCAGAAACACCGATCTGGCCTGGATCCAGAGGATGAAGGTATCAACCGCATGCATAAATACACACTCTACGAGACTGCAACTCGGTTTTACATGGTCGGCATCAACCTTGCGGAGACGCGCTTCCGGATTCTTAAAATCGATCGCACTTCCGAGTCGGGCGAGTTGAGCATAACCGAAGATGGCATGGTGTACACAAAAAGAGAGATGGTCCAGCTTCTGGATGCGATAGACGATGGGAACAGAAGCTCGGGTGGCTTGAATCAGAAATGCAGCGCGTGGGCACTGCTTGGCTTTATCCGCTTTACGGGTGCATATTATATGCTCCTGGTCACCAAGAGAAGCCAGGTGGCTGTGTTAGGTGGCCACAATGTCTACCAAATCGATGAAACAGAACTCATTTCCTTGACAACATCTGAATCATCGCGGCTGAAAACCGAAAAGCCATCGGAAGAGGAGAGATATAAAGCGATACTCAACAATCTCGATCTGACCCGGTCTTTCTACTTCAGCTACTCCTACGATATCACACGGTCTCTTCAGCACAATATCTGCCGCGAACGGAAAGCTCATCAAGATGGTCTTCCTCGATCCATTTCACGAGACTACAACACAATGTTTATTTGGAATCATCACCTCCTTGTGCCAGCGGTGAATACTCTAAAGAATCCCTACGACTGGTGTCTTCCTATTATTCATGGCTATGTGGACCAGTCCAAGATGAGTGTATACGGAAGAGTTGTCTACATATCGATCATCGCCCGTCGGTCCCGGTTCTTTGCGGGAGCGCGCTTCCTCAAACGCGGCGCCAATGATTTGGGTTATGTGGCGAACGACGTTGAAACAGAGCAGATCGTCTCTGAGCAGACTACCACCTCCTTCCACTCTGCTGGTCCTGAGTTACATGCGAATCCCAATTATACCTCATACATCCAGCACCGCGGGAGCATTCCTCTGTACTGGACTCAAGAAAACACGGGAGTATCACCCAAACCGGCCATCGAGTTGAATCTGATCGATCCATTTTACTCAGCTGCCGCGTTGCATTTTGACAATTTGTTCGAAAGATATGGGGCTCCAATCTACATCTTGAATCTGGTCAAGTCTCGAGAGCGCACACCCAGAGAATCGAAACTCCTCAAAGAGTTCACCAACGCGGTTACCTACTTGAACCAGTTCCTACCTGCTGACAAGAAGATGATCTATAAGGCATGGGATATGAGCCGCGCAGCCAAGAGTCGGGATCAAGACGTGATCCAAACCTTGGAGGATATTGCCGGTGACATCATACCGAAAACTGGCTTCTTCAAAAATGCACATGACATTGAATCTGGCTTTCGACTCCAAAATGGTGTTGCACGGACGAATTGCATTGACTGTCTTGACCGAACCAATGCAGCGCAGTTTGTCATCGGCAAAAGAGCTCTTGGCTACCAGCTGCATGCCCTTGGGGTCATTGATGAAACAACGGTAGAGTACGATACCGACGCCGTCAACCTGTTTACCAACATGTGGCACGACCATGGAGACACGATTGCAATTCAGTACGGAGGATCTCACCTGGTGAATACCATGGCTACATACCGTAAGATCAATCAGTGGAGTAGTCACTCGCGCGATATGGTCGAGAGCTTCAAACGATACTACAATAATTCCTTCCTTGATGCCCAGCGTCAGGAAGCCTACAACCTCTTCCTTGGCAACTACATCTTCAGCCAAGGTGCTCCGATGCTTTGGGACCTTTCCACTGATTACTACCTGCACCATGCCGATCCTAGGTCCTACCTAGAGATGAAGCGCCCAAGTTACATCTCTTGGTACACGCCCGAACACCTCGATGAAAGAGAAGTTCCTTCTCTTCCAATTCGTCCGAAGGAGCCCCTCCCACATTTTGACGATTACTGGCTGGAGTACTACCGCCCCTTGGCTCTCTCCACGATGTCTAAAATCTTCACCTACAAAATGAACTCCACCCTTCGTTACCTCCTCCCATTCCGCTCTGGCCAGACTGCTCCCGATCTGAGTCCATTCGTACCTCGCATCTCACCAGAGCAAGCTCATCGTGATCGTCCGCCGCAGCGGAGTGTGAAGATCCAAGAGCCAAGTGACGTTCCTTCCCGATACTCGACCACCACACCACCAGTGCCGGACATCCCCGAGGCCTGGAAGCATCAACCTCCATCATCATCCAAGCAAGCACCTTCGGTAGGGATCATCAAAGAGCCCACATTTGAAATTACCCAAGATTCTCGATTTTCTTCAACCAATACCCCAAGTTCATCAACGATTCCCAGCAAAGCTCAAATCGCCCAGTGGACCCTGGGGCAACTGGTCACCGACGCTTTGAACCCATCGGTCACTTTCGCCGAAGCGGAAGAATACGAGCGATACATCAATCACCCGCTTAAAGTTCCGTTGGTCGTCACGTCTGAAGACGGGATGACGGCTGCCTCTCTGCGAGAGCACGGTCCTAACTCCGATTTACTAGAGTACGCAAATAAGTGCAACATCGAAGAAGCTGCCCTCGAAGCCAATGCCGAGGAGAACATGGCTGATTACGCTGAGTTCTTGAATGTCTCGGAGGAAGGACTGACTGTCGTCGGCGAGGACTACCAAAAGAAGCGGTACAAGCGTTATCGACAGTGGCTGCGGGGGAAGAGCCTCTTCAAGCAACGCGTTGATGTGTGATCACACTTTAGTCCTTGGTTTGGGTTATGAGCGTATCTACTTCCAGAATGATACCCGTATGCATTTCGATGTCTAAATCGTCTTACGAGGTCAAGCCAAATACAATGATTCCGAAACCGTATTCGAGCCAGTAAAATCAGACCACCAACGGAAAACCTAAAGAATGCCAATAAAGCAGGTCCTTGCAATAGGTGGCTTTCATTATTCCAGATGAACAGCCACTTCAAAAAATCATGACTTGACATCAGCAAGAAGAAGGCCCTCCAACTCACTATCCGCTTCCACAAGCTCCTTTACCTCCTGCTGCATGCTTTCTTTCGCAAGCATCTGATCTGCATCCGGGACATCGTTGACCACAGCAACGGGGTTCTGCAGCGCATGTTTCAGTAAGAACACTGCGCTCTGCAGCTCCCGGCGTATTTTCAATAGCTCGGCCACGGACGGCGAGTCCTTCACTTTCTCCTTTTGCTCAGCGACTATATGGAGCCAGCATGCACTCAGTCCTCCCAGGATCTCGCCACGCCATCTCCAGATGCGGGGATGCGCGTTAAGGATCACAACCTTTGTGGCTGATACTGCAGCAGAAAGTAGAGGGAGGTGAGCTGTCCCGAAAGGGTTCGAGAGCGTAGTATAGAGGATCGGAATGATATCTTGTAGATATTTTGTCGTCTTGATTCCGAGCTCCTTCACAAACGTGGCGATCCATTCTAGCAAGAAAGTTGAGAGACGGGGGTGGGGGAAAGAGGCAGAGGTAGAGATAGCTGCTGGGGTCGAGGAACTGATGTGATGGAAGGAGGAGATGAGATTCGACCGAAGGATCGTTGTCAGTTTAGCTGCGTAAGTTTCTTTATCCTTTTCGTTCTGATCTTTCGTTTTTTTGGGTGTTGGCGTTTTGTATACCGTCTGGAAGAGCGATAGGAGTGTTGGGTAAGCTGCACCGAGCAACTGCATGGAGCTGTCCTCCGGGGTAATGGTGGGTAGAGAGAGAAGACAGGGCGTGATGGCATCCTCAAAGACGGAGGTCAGGTTTGTCCGCACAAGAATGTCGGAGTTGCTCCGATGGATGGTCTTCAGAAGTTTGCTGAAGAGCTCACACCCTATCTTCTTGAATGTGATACTGTTGTCATCGATCAATGCCAGAATTGCAGGCACGAGGAGAGGAAACTGTGCTTCCAGATGCACTTTGTCGGTGGGCTGTAAAAAGGTTAGCCCATTCAATGCGAGGATGGAGAGTTCTGAGGCTCACCTTATACTGTGAGATGATCCAGGAAAGTACTCTTGTGGCATATATGTCACTATTCTTCCAGGGCTTCATCTCATCATCCAGCGTACTCCCATCAAACCGACTGAGAGGCACAGGGTGAAAGTTCTTGCGGCCTTCGCTCGTGATCGCAGGGTTCTTGGCCTTGGTGAACAGCGGCCTAATTTTCTCCTTAAGTAGCTGCTCAATGATTACCCACTGGCCGTATTGAAGAGTCACATCGAGGTGCATGGAAGCCTCGGCATGGCTGTCACTCGTCGTCCATGGGTCTTTCTCCGAGGTGAAGCAGGCTGCTGCTAAGACGACATCTGGAGAGCCGGCAACAGAACGATCGGTCAAACCCAAAATGGCTTTTGCGGACAGTTGCAGAATGAGCTGAATGGCCAGTTCTGACCTAAGCCGGCTCTCTTCTTGCTTCTTCGGGGTTTCTGAGGGTTCGTTAGCGAGCGCACTAGCTGGGTCCACACGGCTATATACCTTCTGTGGTCTCGGCATGCTCGTCAAAGCCTGCTGCAAATGCTGGCGACGGCAGTGCAAGTTGACTGGCCCATTTAAACAGGTTCCGGACGGCCTGGGCCTCGGTCTCGTTCAGGTTCTTGGGCCCTCCATCGTTTGGTAGCAATGGGTCCCAGGCATCGACAAAGCAGAAGGCCGTATAAAGGCTCTCACATACCTAGACAGGCGATCAGGTTCGGAACAATGTTCTAGCTTGAGATAACAACCTACGTCCTGATGGGTGGTGCTATCGTGGGATGACACATCCTCCCACAGCTCGGGCAGCCCCCTCTGTGCTACTGCGGTCCAGGCGGCCCGCAAGAAATCCGGTCGCTTCCAAGGATTGCGCTGAAGAGCCTCGCGGGCTTCTTTGCGCAGCTGGTCCATATAAGGTATTGTTTTGCTGGTTTACGAAAGTAGAGAGGAGGAGAAAGCATGATTCTTGGAACCGGCGGAATTTATTTTTTGTACCCGCGTCACTTGATTTTCACAACCCCAACTCTGTGCGGCGCTCCGAGATCTCCTCGAGCACAGCTGTCTTGTCGGTGATTTCTGGATGTAACAGCTGCCACTCAACCACGATGGCGGTTGCTTTACTCATCCACGGTCCCTTTTTCGCCCCCAGGTGCTGCATGATTTCTGCGCCGTTTACAATGGGCTTGAGCTCGCATACACTATCTAGGTCTTTTTCTACGATATACGCCAGGAATCGGTCGTACTCCTGGGCCACTATAGATAGAGTCAGTATCGCACGGTGTCAATCGTATCAATGAAGGCATCCTACCCTCGCTGAGCCCGCGGCCCTTCATGACCTCTTGGAGTATGGCCAAGACGACACAGAGCCTCCAATCCTTGCCCCAAGATCGAATCCGGAGCCCCATTTTTTGTCGGACTTCGGCAGATGTGGCTTGGATGCTGTTCCCAAGCAAAGAATTTTTGCATTCAATGATGTCCGCGAAATTCAAGGTCGCGTCACGGAGTATGAATAGGAGTTTGTTATCGGCACGGAGACTGTCTCTGCCAACCTCGACGGGGCGTGTGGGCGGGGGCCTTTTTTCGCTCCCTGAACTCCGAGCCGGAACGGAGGTCCATGGGGCAAATGCGGCGATCATCCAGCCGTAGTAGTGGGAAGAGTCGTCACGCAGAAGAACCTGGCGAATACGCTCGATCGCAGCCTCGGCGGATAGAGGGCGCAACATTCGCGCCAGCGCATTATAGGCCCGCGGCCAAGTTGATGTATCTGCCATGATCTCGTCTTGATGGTTGGCGAATATCGTAGGGTAGAGTCCGAGTCGATCGATGAACTGTAAAGCTCCGTGAGGATCGGGACCTACGAGCTTGTCAACGCCAACCTTCATCATTCAAGGTCCTGCAAAAACACTTACCGTGTAGCATTTTCTCCAACTCCGCCATGACGCGCTCCTTACTAATCTTGAGCTTCAGCGCAACGCTGATATCCTCATTCTGCATTGCCTTTTCCGTCTCTTGGTCGATTTGATACCCTAGCCTGCTCGCAAACCGTATCAATCGCAGCACGCGCAAAGGATCATCCTTGAAGGTCTGGTATGGCTCCAGCGGTGTTCGAATAATGTGTTTCTTCATATCGTCCAGCCCGCGCTCGGTAAGATCCTCCAGTTTCGATTCATTCAGGTTGTAGAAAAGAGCGTTGATGGTGGCATCTCGGCGCAAGGCGTCCTCGACCGCTGTTCCGAACTCCATTTGTGGATTTCGGCTATCTTCCGAGTATGTTTCTTTGCGCAAGTTGACCAGATCGATATCCAATCCGAAAATCTTTGTTGTCACGGTCTCCAGGTGCTTCGACTTTTCTGGGTTGGCGTCGATCTTGTGCAGGCTCACAATCGCGTCGCTCATTTCTCCACTCGGGAGAGACTTCTTGTACATCTCTAGGTTCTCCGGGACATCCAAGTAGTCCTTCAAAGCCATTCCGAACTGGTAGCCCGTCATGCTGCTGATTCCCACATCAATGTCATGGCTATCCACGCCGAGCAGCTTGTCGCGGACCCAGCCCCCTGTGAAGCGTAGAACAGTGTCTGGGTACTTTTTTGTATCACTGCCATTCTCGGTAATGCCATTTTCATGAATATATGTTGCGACATCGAGGAGGAGGGTTCGTAGGGTGCTTTCAATCGGAGTGAGCTGGATGGTGGGGTTTGAGAGATCCATTGTTTCGTGGGAGACGTCTCTTTCCAGGGAGGTCGAAATACGTCGCCTTTTGGTCGCTCGCTCTGGGCTGTACGAACTGGGTTCGCGCCTGCACATGGAAAGGTAGCTGCTTGAGCAGGGTCGGAGGGGGACTTTGGAGAAGCTCCGCGGGTGTGTCTGTCGTGTCGGCGTTGCGAGAGTGCGGGCAAGTGGAGTGGTGGGGGAGTTCAGGCGACCGGCCTTAAATAAGGACCTAAGAGCGCGCAGGCTAGGCATCAAATGTAGCCATTGAGTCACCGCTGAAACGAAGTGCAGCTACCAAGAAAGAAAAATGACTCGTTGCTGATCACCGATAAGATGCGGCCTCACGTGTTTGCATCACCACCCGCAATCTCCCAATGCGCCCGAGCCGGGAAATCTACACGTTTCTCGGTCTTGTTTGCATTGCTAATTCACTAGCTGGGATATATCTCTGACCTGCCGAACCCCTCTGGGCACGCGCTCCCGTCTCCTTTCCCAGCGATCATCGGCCCGAATCCAGCGACTTGGCCTTCTTTCCCCCAACAACTCACTCCAAACCGGAGCCCAAACACCTGCCCACCTCGTCTTATTATCCGACTACGAACACAACCTCGTGTTGCCGACCCAGTCTATGGGGCCCACCGATTCTCTACACTAGCTTCAGATTCGCAATAAGCAGGTGTCCATGACATCGCCTGGAGATGCTACTCCGGTGAAACCTCCGCCGTCCTTCTCCCCCGGCTCGGGGCGCAACGCATCCAAGTCCCGATATCCGGATGAGCACGAGCCCACAGTATCCATAGACGCCGAGCTGGCGGAGGCCCGGTCCGGGTCGTCGCCAACACCGCCGCTGTCGGCAACGACCGCAGAGCTGCCAATCCGATCCGCGTCACCACAGTCCCGCTCTGTCAGATCGTCCACCCCGCAATTAGGTCGGTCGTCGCTCGGCTCGCCCTTGGAGGGACGGTTTGGTGGATCGGAGGATATCAGGTCATTAATTATCCGCGCTTTCTCACCAACCGTCGCCGTCTATGCTTCCGACGACACAGATGAACTGGTCAGGAATAAGGGGTTCAAAGGGGGCTTCTGGGAATTGATCCGGCCGTATGGGGAGACTGTGCCGGGGAAGGTGATCATCCGGGATAGCATAGGGTCTAGCCGTGCTTGGGAAGACTATGGGGTGCGTTTCGTGGATTTCAAAGGGCTCGGCCGGGCAGCCGCTGGCCGTGATCCCGAAAGAGGCTCGCGTCTGGCGCAGATAGAAGAGGTTCTGGACCAGCAGTTGGGATCTGCGGAGGGTTCGCTTGGACATCCGGTGCCCTCCAAGGAGGTATTGGGCTTTCCTGCTACAACACCTCTGACCAAGCTGTTCTTGAGGCAACTACTCTCTGCCACCCCCGCTGCACCCCACGAAACCTTCGGACATCCTGTGGCCAGCGTCATTGCGATCAGCTCTCGCAATGAAGCTCCCTTGGAGACACTTCGGCAGCTTTATGCCGAAAGCACCACGGGCGACAAGCGGTTGCCAGATTGGGTTAACCAGGAGTATCTTCGATATTATGTCTTGGTTCATGACGAAGAACGGGACGACATCACAGAGTCTACTAAACTATACGATCAGATGAAGCGCCATTTTGGGTTACATTGTCATCTCTTGAGACTGCGGAGCAGTCAGTGCGTTGTAACAGATGATGATAGCGTTCAAGTGCCTCATTGCGAATGGTTATCTCCGCAAGAACACTTGTCGGGGGTTGGGGAAGCAGGTAGGTGTTTTTTGTCTCCATCTTTATTACACAACTAATTAACATTCCTCTAGAAACCCTGGTGGATCTTGGTGCAGACGGCACGCCCTACCTCTTCGATTCTGATGTCTCGGCAATCCAATCCTTCATTCGAGAGCTCATAGTACAATCGGTAATTCCCTTCATGGAGAACCGAGTAGCAGTCTGGAATGACCAGGTTGCATCTCGAAGGCGTGGCATCAGTGGCCGATTCATGACAATATCAAGACGGTGGGCTGGCTTTGGCTCTAGCTCAAAGTCAGGCATTGGCGGGCCAGGAGGTGGAAACAGTGGTAATTACGACACGGAGCAGCACTTCTACCTTCCAGACACACCGGAGGCAATCCTACGAAAGATGGCTGATTTTGCATTCATGCTTCGTGATTGGAAGCTTGCTTCATCCACATACGAGATGATTCGCCCGGACTATCAAAACGACAAAGCGTGGAAATATCATGCGGGAGCTCATGAAATGTGTGTCGTGAGCATGCTGTTAAATCCGCTAGCCATGTCGTCCAAAATCAAGCTTGAGGATGTCGACCGGATGGTTGAGAATGGTTGCTATTCCTATCTGACTCGGTGCGAGGATGCAACGCATGCTCTGCGATGCTTGGCATTGGCCGTTGAACTTCTCAAGTCCCGTGGTGGATCAGCAACGGAGAGTGCAGCCAAGTGGGCCATGCGGGTCATGGACTTTGGTTTGGTCGGCTCGATAGGTCATATTCTTTTCATGGAACGAGTGGCAGCATGCTATGCTTCAAAGACTCCCGCAGGTGGAGCTAAATGGGGTGCGCGTCGACGGAAAGCTGGCATGTGGAGCATCCTTGCTGCCGAGCAATGGCTTAAGGCCGGCCACCCTACGCTCGCTTCGGCATGTTTTGAAGAAGCCGAGCATCTCTATGCCGACGTCCTAGACGCTGACGGTGTGTTCCCTATGCCAGAGATCCAGACCTTCGTCGACAACTTGCGCCACGCGGTCAAGGTCGAGTATCTTCAGGCACGAGGGTTTGAGGCTCACGCTGAACCTGCAGCCGAAGACCCACTTGGCACTGAAGAGATCAGTGAAAAATTGGACAAGCGCAATCATCGTCGCTCGCTGATCGGGCTTCCTGGGCAACTGAATGCTGGGAATCTCATGAACGTGGGTGCGAGGGACCCCGAGGACCAACCTAATGATGACTTTGAACGAGCCTAGGCCATGACCTTGATACCTATCTCATCGTAGCATTTAAGAATAGATTACATTTCCGGCGGTTCTTAACCTAATTGGGTACCTAGAGCAGCTTTGACCTCCCCGTTTAGCCATTGTGCCGAACTCGTACCAACTTCATAGCCCTGTTACAACCAACCATACCCGTCTGTTTCCAGGCTTGTCCATTTACAGAACCGCATCTGGAGCCGGGGGAACAAATGAAGGGCGTATGTTGAAGAAAGGGTTATTTGTGGCCCATTAGTCAATGCAATGTTGACTTATTAGGTATTAGGCTACTAACGTGGTTTCTGAACTTGAAGTTGCAATGTTTCGGATCTCTATGACAGGCTACGTGATTATATCCGGGCACCTCATCGCGGGCGTTCATATATTTATATGTATCAAGCACAATTCCTAAAAGGTTCTTCAACAATGCCAGTAGTAATCGATCATAGGTTACTACTGCTACGCTTAGATGTAAACAATGCAGATATCCCTAGTATCACCTACTGGCCTTGATCATCGAACCATAGTAGGTATTGTCATCAACCCAGACAGGCGCATATATGATCACGTGGGCTTATCGATAAAGCCGCCCCATGCGGGCGCTCCGCTGGTGTTGACAGCGCCTCCCGCAACCGCGGCGCTTCTCAGCCAAGCAACGACACAGGATACTCCTGTCCCCTGGAGACCTCTGTTCAGACCATAATCTGCAAATCACCGAAGATACCAATAATCCCCCCACTGGAATTTCATAAATCCGCTCAAAATGAGTGAGCTCCTGAACTACATCCTCAATAATGAGGATGCATTTCGAAGGTACGACCCCGAGTCTCGACTTGCCAGCACGAGTAGTCCCGGCCCAAGACAAATAGAAGGACATAAGTGCGAAGGCTGACCTGCGGCCAGAAATCGCCTTCCGTCCCTTTACTCCGACTTCACCCTCCAAAAGAAAACAAACCCCGACGGTTACGCTGTTAACATTGCTGCTTGGGAACAAGCCTTGAACCGAGCAGCCAAGCGCGGATACACATCCTCGCGCGGTGTGCGCGTGCGCTCAGGGTCCATTGGGTCCTCACAGAGCGCCGCGGGAAATCGAAAGAAGACTGATCACCTCATTCTACGCACGGATGAGTCGCTACTACGGGAACTGGAGCTGCCGGAGTGGGGGAGGCCAGTAGCACTGGGTGCTGTGTTCGTACGTTATATTGTGCTCCTGGGGGATGTGTAACTTGTTTTCGGGCTGCTGATTGCGTAACGTAAAGGCTGAAGCTATGCACAAACATACTATGATTCCCTTGCCAGTGTACAAGGCCAGTGGGTCGAGTCTGCAGAAGAGCCAGTGGAGACTTATCGACCCCAGTGCATTGAGCCCGTGGAATGTCATGAGTTGGGGGGCGCGACAACTGAAAGGGTTCATTGTGGGCTCAGAGGGGGAGTCTGCGCCCCAGTTACGGGTACAGGAATTGGTATTGGTGGAGAATTTGCAGGTGAGTATTCTTCAAGAAGGCACTTGATCCGAGGACAATTGGCCATACTGAAACTCCATCTCCCTGGACAGGAAGCGGCGGACTTGGTTGTTAAGAAGGCCACTGGCGGCAATTCGTCCAAGCTGGACCTCATATACTCCAAAGAAAGCTTCACTGAAGAGTTCGCAACCGTGCTGAACGATGCCACAGAGTTGTCAGACTCCGATCTTGATATTCTTTTGGTCTATCTGTCCCGCGATAGCGGAGCCATCGCATATGATGGCAAGGTACGTGTGAGCTCTATACAAGCCGTCTCTAGATACTAACTAAGATCCGTAGACCATCAAGTTCAAGTCAAATGACGAACCAGCACATATCACGCAGCAAGACGCCACGATCGCCTCGATCAAGACGCTTGTATCAACGATCTCGAAACAGGTTAAGAACCTGGAGGATAAAGTTGCAGAGCTGACTGCGTCTGCGAAGGCAGCTCTGGCAAATAAGAATCGCATTTCTGCACTATCGGCAGTGAAGTCCAAGAAGATGGTTGAGCATAATCTTCAACAACGACTGAACACACTTGCCCAGCTTGAGGAGGTCTATGCCAAGATCGAGCAGGCCGCCGGCCAGGTGGAGATTGTTCAAGTCATGGAAGCAAGCACCGGTGTTCTTCGTGGGTTGCATGCACAGATCGGCGGAGCAGAGCGCGTCGAGGATGTTGTCGAGGAGTTGCGCGAGGAGATGTCCAAGGTGGATGAGGTTGGAAGCATTATGAATGAGGTAGGACCTGTCTTCGACGAAGGTGAAATCGACGAGGAGCTCGAGGCCCTGGAGAAGGGTGATCGGGAGGCACGAGAAACGAAAGATGCCGAGGCGACGCGCAAAAGGCTTGCCGAGCTGGACAGCCTCAAGCAAGCCTCAGACGAAGCAGCACGCAAAGCACAGAGAGAGACGGATGTGGACAACCAGCTGGCAGAGAGCATTGGAAAACTCTCAAATATGTCAGTCGAAGATCGGACGTTGCCCGCTGAATAAACTACCGAACAACTGGAAGGTGTCCTGCCAGCGGTTACTGGTGCCCCGGGTGCTCATGAATCCGTGATAGACGTCGTCCTTGCTTCTTCACAGCAGAATCACCCAGAGAAATCATTTGGAACAGGCAGGTCTTGAGTTAATCTCGATTGGAGCACCATTATCAAGCCCACTCGCAGGCGGAGCAGGTTTATCCACCCGCGCACTCGAACCCGAGCCCTCAGAAGCACCAGGAATGGTCGATCTTACTTGAGCTTCACTCTTCTTACGAGCATTCGCAATCAGACGCTTGAAATCAGTTTCGTGATTCGCAGACCACTGGGCCGCATCAAAGTCCTTGGCCATCACCGTACTGTGCGCCACGAATGGTGACGAAGTCGACGCATGTCCGCCTTGTGCACGTTCCCAGACGTCCAGCTCACGCAATAACTCCTTCTTGCCTTTTGGGGTTGTGGAATCGCAGTTTGCATTCCACAAGTTCATCCACTCAGTGTGGCGCCTCTGCAGGAGCTGCCGCGGGCCCCAGTCGGGAATTCCCAGGTCTCGAAGTTTCTTGCGCAGTTGGCCCTCTTTAAAGAGGGAGTAGTTCATTGAAGGGAGTCTATCAGGTGTTTTTGCAGGTGATATCGGAGGACGGCGTGATTGAGGTTGTAGGGATCTAGAGTAGTGTCTAATTAGAATTGATACCCCGGAATTGCCAAGAACTTAGTCCAACCCACCTGAACGCTGATTGCTTTGGCGGAGCTGGGGCTGGGCTTGCGTCTTTAGTACATCTATCGAGATGCGCATTGACTGCCTCAATCTTCATCCTGCGGTCACATATAGGACAAGCAACCAGGCCATCATCTGAGACAAGATCAAGATCAGATATTGGGGTATGATGTGCGAGTATTAAGCAGCTACTAACCTGGTACGTATTCCTCATCTTGACTGTCCTCAATAACTTCTGGCATTTCTGCCTCAGGTTCCTGGACATTTACGTTCACCTGCTGCGACCTTGTACGAACGCGCTGTGAACTGCGATGTGCAACCTCGACCTCTTCTTCCTGCTCCACATGGCCAACCTTCCGCTTCTTCGGTGCCGGATCTCGAATCCCTTTGTCTCCAGCAGCGATTCGCGCTGCCTCCCTCTTCGCAAGGGTGAGCGTGCTGTCCCGCGCGTTCTTGAACGCCTCCAGTATTTCTTGCACGAGCCAGTTACGGCGCAGCTTCAACTCTTGATCGCCAGACCGACACGTAGGACATTTGCCTTCTGTACTGAGGCATCGCCGAATGCATAGTGAGCAGAACGTGTGGCTGCAAGACGTGATTACCGGGTTGTCAAAGAAGTCTTTACAGACTTGACAACGGAGAGAGGACTCTAGTGGTGCGAGAAGCGAGAGCGGCGTGTCTAACCAGTCGGTTGAGTCGGGGAGATCGAAGGATTGCTCCATGAGGATAGCAAATCAGCCTGGAGCGTGCGCGGGGGCTGAGTCGTAGAACAGAACAGACTCGCACTCTGTTGCGCGAAGTGGACAACGCCAAAGGGTGGAGGCGTTGAGCGCCAAGACCCGCTGACTGATACGCGTTAAGTGGTTGAGCACGCGTCGAGCAACAGGCGAACTTCAGACACCATGGACGCCACGATGTATTTGGCAGAAAATGTGCTCAACGAGCGGCGCACAGTTGGTTATATAGCTTGATGGTCCTTTGCCACTGCGACTGATCAGTTTCAGGTCACTTATCGCTCATTGAGCCGCGCACTCAAAGTCCACGCCCACCAGGCCAAACAGTAAGTCATGCTGTTGACTCCGGGGCTAGAGGACTTTACTGACAGAGACGACCCAGAATACTCTTCGAATTCCACCGGAACGAGAATGCGAAGAAGCCGCAGAGCGTCCGCGCAACCTACATTATCTCCGGAATCCAGAAACATGCGGAGCCGCCCACCACGAACGGCCATGCGAACGATGAAGATGAGATCATGCAGAGTAGCCCCTACCTGCCCAGCTCGATGCCGAACCAAGACGCCGCTTCCGACACGGTGCGCCTCTCCTCGATTATACTAGCTCGCGATGAGGACTTGGAGGGTAGGCCGCTATGCTCCTAGGGCATTTGGTTGGACTGCTTTGCTGATAACAGGCGCTTTTGAGTAGATGCGAAGGCTACGTTCCAGTCGATATCGACAATTCATGTGTATAGTGTACAACCTTCTACGCTTCCGGATCTTAATGCGTTGACGGATGTTTGCCGAGAAACCACGACTGCATATGCACAGGATGATCCATTGGAGTGTGGAAAGCAATGGGGCATGATTCAGAATCGCAACGTCAAGGTTGGCAGACACTATCAGTCTGTGAGTCTGCCAGAATCTAACGCGGTTCTAGCGTCGAAATGGAGCTCGGCCACCACTGCCAGCTGCCCCGGTATCCAATGCCAAGCCCGAGTCTACCGTACCCTCCAAGCGACCTTTCCAGCGGGAGAAATCAGAAAGTCAACCTGAAGATTCCAAGCCCGCAAGTGACTCTCAATCTTCTGCCAAGTCTACTGGGAAGCCTGCGGCTCCGAAGCGCGAGAAGAGCAACCTCTTCAGCTCGTTCGCAAAGGCTAAGCCACCCAAGCCGAAGCCAGCAGAATCAGTCAGTATACCTGTGTCACCTACTGTGCCGTAAACATGTCTACTAACTATCACGAACAGGCTACACCAAGTGGTAACGATGGTCAGTTACTCTCAAATCAAATGACAGACATCAGCTTACCGTCCCTAGTTATGCTGGATGATGCCTCTGAAGAGGAACAGGAAGAGCTGTTCCCAGATAATGGTGATAAGGCCCCATCCGCGAACCGCGAAAGCAAAAAGGACCGAGAGGAGAAACTCAAAAAGATGATGGAAGACGACGACGCCGACGGTTTGGGCCCTTGCGTTAGCGCATTGATTTATCTATGTATTAGCCGCTAACTCCGTTCCAGATGAGGAAATGCCTGATGTCGATGAGGAGCCCCAACGAGAGCCCACTCCGGAGGAGCAACCCCCACCACCCCGGCCAAGCCGGCCGAGCTGAAGGAGGAGGTCACAGTGCAAGGTGGGCGTCGGCGCGGGAAGCGCCAGGTGATGAAGAAGCGGACGGTCAAGGATGAGGAGGGGTACCTGGGTAAGTACCGACCATTCATATAGCTCGTCGAGGCCACAATATTAATACAACGACAGTGACTCGAGAAGAAGCGACCTGGGAGTCATGCTCCGAAGATGAGCCGGCGCCGCCTAAGAAGAAACCCGCCGTGAATGTCGCGAGGGGCAAGGGAGGCAAGCCCGGAGGCCAGGGCAGCATCATGTCGTTCTTCGGGAAAAAGTAGTTGTGAAGTAGTGAAGTAGCGAAATAACGAAATAGCTGATAACCCACCATATCCGATTTTTCGCATCGCATTCTTCCAGGATCCGGGGATGTAACACTGTGTACTATACTCCTAGACTACTACGCTATATACAACTGTACTTTTGCACTGGTTGTACGGTGCCTGGTGTGCCTGAGCACAAAGTAAACAACCGCCGATCTCTTCTCCGCATTTGTGGAGACATTGCGACCATCCCTTGGCCGATGTCACCTCGCCCGCAATCTCCCCAGGACTCGTGATGTGGCCCAGAACACATCTTCTGGATCTCATTTCACGCTTTAATTTAAAACTAATGAGTACATCGTATGACTTCGTGCCGGCAATGGCCTTGGCCCTGGAGGGACCACCGATGGGGGAATGCGCATCCCTGTCTGGATGGGATCGGCATGAGCTATGCCTCCCCTCTTCCTCTTCTTCCTTTATTTACCCCCACCTCCCTCCTGATCTGTGGTGCAAGCATCTTTCATTTTAACCAAATATCACACTATGCCGCTCTCTACGCTTCTGGTTGGCGGGCTGATGGCTCTGCAGGCGCATGGCGTGTCTGGACGCGACACCCCTGCGATACTGCGACGAGCTTGTCCCGATTACACCTCGTACGCCTCAACGCCGCAGTATGTATCTGTACTCTTCTCCGACCTATGCAATCAACTTATCAGCTAACTCTTCCCAAGTGGTCCTTACAGTGGTGGCCCCTTGAATCTCCCTTACCAGCGCCCCGCTGAAGCATGCCGCACCTTCTCGTCGGCATCTGTGGAGAAGGTCATTGAGGACATGACTTCGCGTCTGGTCGACAAGGACCTTGCGCAGCTCTTTCGTAATGCCTACCCCAATACCCTAGACACTACAATTCGATGGCACCAGAACGGCACCACTGCGGCTTCTAAGCGTCGAAGCAAGCGCGATAGCGCACAGTGGACCGGCGCGCAGACCTTCATTGTGACTGGAGACATCAATGCAGAGTGGCTGCGCGACTCAACCAACCAGCTGACCAATTACCAGGCGCTCGCAAGCAAGGACAAGAGCCTGTATGATTTGATTCTGGGTGCGATCAACACCCAGGCGGAGTTTGTCATTCAGTCGCCGTACTGCAATGCCTTCCAGCCACCATCTGCGAGCGGCATCAAACCAGAGAATAACACTCAGGTGGATACCGTTCACCCAGCATACGAGAAATCTTTTGTCTATGAGTGCAAGTACGAGCTTGACTCCCTTGCCCACTTCCTGTTGCTCGGCACTCAGTTCCACGAGCACACCGGCTCGACTGAGTTCCTGAGCGATCGCTGGTTCAAGGCGCTACAGACTGTCCTCGATGTGATCGATGCCCAGTCTCAGCCCACATTCAACTCAGATAACCAATTTGTCACTAACCAGTACACATTTCAACGTAAGACTACTAGTGGCACCGAGACGCTGAACCTGCAGGGTGTTGGGAACCCTCTCAACAGCGGCACAGGACTCATCCGCAGCGCCTTCCGCCCTAGCGACGATGCCACTATCCTGGGCTACTTCATTCCCCCCAATGCCATGATGTCCGTCCAGCTTCAGGAGATCGCCAAGGTCATCAAGGTTGCCGGTGGCCACGACGACTTGGTTGAGGAGCTGGAACAACGCGGCCAAAACCTCGCCAACGCAGTCAAGGAACACGGCATCGTCAGCCACGCCAAGTACGGTGATGTCTACGCCTTCGAGGTTGACGGCTATGGCTCGCGTATTCTAATGGATGACGCCAACATCCCCTCGCTGCTTTCTCTGCCATACCTTGGCTTTCTCGACAAGAGCGACAAGGTCTACCAGAACACCCGCAAAATGATCACGGAGAAGGCTGGTAACCCATACTACCTGGAGGGTCCCGCTTTCCACGGCATTGGTGGTCCTCATAGTAAGTGTCGTATAATGTTGTAATTTCGCACCACTCGATCTCCTGCTCACAATCCATATAGTCGGTCTCGAGAATGCCTGGCCTATGTCCCTCCTCATGCAGGCTATGACCTCCGATGATGACTCGGAGATCCTGGAGTCCATCAACCTGGTCCGCAATTCCAGTTTGCTTGGCCTCGTACACGAGTCGATCAGCGTTACGAATATCAAAACCTACACTCGTCCCTGGTTCTCATGGGCAAACTCTGTATTCGCCCAGACTCTTCTTCAGGTCGCAGAGGAGAGGCCTCATTTGATCTTCGGGGACAATGCCGAACCTTATACTATCTCTTGAACATTCCTAGAGCTGTAGGGATCTCAGTATATGTTAATAGTTCAAGTGGAAATTTTATCATTATGCTGTAGCTCACGGGATCTTGGGAGCATGCACTACTTCTTCAATGCCCATGTCGTTTTATAAAAAATCGCCACGCGAACACTGTCCTTCTGCATTGGATTGACGCGTTCCGAGGGAACATTCTGGAAACTCTGTTTTTTCCATCGTGGCTTACGAAACTTTGGTTGGACGTGGAACTGATCATCGCGGCTAGTGGCCGGAGAGCAGCAGCTATTTGACTGTCGGAACAGAACGGCATCTGGAAGAAGCTGAGATAGCAAGGCGGCCGCTTAGCACATATGTCTGGCAAGGTTCTGGCAATTTAGACTATCCACTGCAAACATGGCCGTGGCTGGGCTGCCACGTCCATGCTGTACTGTGCAGAGAGGTAGGGCCAGGCCTCTGTGCACCAATGAGATTTCGCCATGACTAATCTCGTGCCTAGCCGGGGAGTGATGAGACTGCAAGGCGATCAACACGATGCAAGGAGACCAGGCCCCGACGTGAGTGAGTCAGGGGAGTTCTCGACGGGGGTGTTCAGTTGATCTATTGCAAAATCCGGTGCAGATGTGCTCCGTGCTTCCTGCTGTTCTGACCCTTGAGGGATCAAAACACGCCCTGGACCCACCACCGAGTGTTCTCTCATATGGGCGATGAGCTCACCCCGAAGACCCGATGTCACTTGTGGAGTTTCAAAGGATGGCTGGTATTCCTGGGCTCTGATAGGGCGGTGCTGGTCCACTCCTTGACGATCATAGGTTGCTCCGTCGCCCTGTGGCCGATCACTACCCATTGATCGAGAGCAGAATCCGGAATCAAGCTGCGGCAACGCATATCACCGATCCCCTAGGAGCCGATTCCAGGTCTTCGGTATGCCTGCAGACTCTTTCCACATCCGTCGGTGGTCTCCTTGTTCACGACAACCATTCGCATGGGGGGTTCTTCTCGTACGCTACGATGATGGCCTTCTGGTTGGTACATGCATCGCGAGATACATATACATTCTCTCCCCTCGTTCCGAGGTTGACATTTGACATGCTGAAACGCTTCATGCATGAGACCAACAAATTATGAACCGAACGGCTGCCTGTGAATTGACCTGTCTAGCGATGGATGGTTCTTCCGGACTACGCCATGCCAACCTGCATGCACGGGCAGCTCGGGTAGACCGCGAGTCAACTTACCTAGGGCACTCGAAGACCTTATTAGGCTTTATTTCTGGCCGCGCATGGTGTAATTGGTGATCTCTCAGCCTCATATGATTCGAAAAGCTCCACTCGCATCCACATTTCCTGGACTGTGCACGCTGCCGGTCGCTCTAGGCTATGGGTGACCATCCCTATTGGCTTGATTCCACATCTCCCTTTCTCCACAGCTCTCGGGGAATGCAGTTCCCCTCCCCCGCGTACCACCTATAGGATATTTATCGCGGTAAAGTGAAGAGGTTTATTTAAGGACGTCACCTTTCCTCTATCAAGGGGCTTTTATCATCTGAATTTCAGTCCTTCCCAGACGTTGACAGAAATATTCTCTTGAACGACTCTTCAGTCACGCCAAATCGCCGCAGGATCATCCTGATCATGGCGTCGTCTCCCTACAATAACCGCCTGGCGGGTTTGAACGTCCAGACCAACCAGGACGGCTGGGTATACCCCTGGACTCCTGCCAACACTACAGCACCTGCACTATTAATGCCAGGGCAAAGTGGCTCACCTACGAGCCGTCGAGCAATTCCTGCTCCACTTCCGTCTACTGGGGTCACATCCAATGACCCAATGCTGCATTCACCACCCTACGGTCCACACCCTATTCCGTGGGGGATCAATGCTAGCCCGATACTTGTTCCTAAAACTGCAGCTAGTCCTCCAAACGAGCCATGGGTGAGCTGGGACAATGCCTCTCAGTGCAGCCCCCCATCGCAGGGAAATCCACCACCCGGTCTGTCCTTCCTCTCGACCGGGACACTCTCCCAAACTACCGTCGACGAACGTACGGCCGTCGGTGGGGGTGGGCAGGATTCCCATGCTTGCTGCCATACCAGCTATGCTGAGTACGTTTGGGTGGAGGAGACACTTGACTTCTCGCATTCTGACTGTATCTTAGACGGCCTACGTCCAGCCAGTTCAAGTGCAGATGGGCAGGCTGTACGTACGCGGGAGCTTTCACCCGGGAAACATGCCTATGGCGACACATCAAATCTACGCATGTCTCTCCCGGCATGTTCAAATGCCCCGACCCTCAATGCAACAAAACCTTCGGTCGGAAAGACAAGTACCAGAGTCATATGCGACAAGCCCATATGAAATCTGGCGGACACTGCCCTTCTTGCCATGTCTGATGGGCTGCATTTCCCTTTCGGATGGCGTTGTTTCCCACGTGCTTCGCTGACTTTGTGGGTGTTCTGGGAACTATCATAATGATTTCGGGCTTTTGGTGTTTAGGATTGGCACACCGGGAGGACTAATACTGGGCGTTTTTCCACATTCTATACTTTCCATACTCCAGCAACAATGGGTTTTACAGCTAATTCCATTTAGAGGTATTGCGTCAGGCTACCGGCTTGAGTCTAGAAATGTAAATTGTTCTCCCTAAAATCGTGTCACAGCTGAGGAAAACTATCTTGGATCGCAAAATGATGGCGAACGCTTCCGCGCGACCTATGATACTTTACACTTGCCGATCAAGTCGTAACCTTTTCTAGCTTCTAGAACACCCCATTCGCAATAAGCCCATGGCAAGGCATGGAAAATTAAAATAAATGTCTTCTTAATGTGAGTTGGTCGTGCCAGAGGGCCTCATGGTTGCTCTATAGTGACATCGGTGGCAGGAAACAGTTTGGCTCACTTTTACCCGATAAGATAGTTATCTCGTCCGGGTGAGATCGTAGGGGGTTCAAGTAACTTTGCTTACACAGTGACCTTTTTGTTCACCGGAAAACGAGAGCCTAGATCAAGACTACAGATCACCTTGACCTGGTCCTTTCAGTTTTGCACTGTCAGCCTCGCTACCCACTGAATACTCACCCTGACCCGCAGTGGGTGCGCCGAGGCAGAGTTCAGGCTCCAATCTCGGACTGGATGTCGGGCACACACGATGGACTTCCCCTTGAGGCATAGATCGGGCCGCTACGTCCGAACATTGTCGACAGACACTATAGAAAGACAATGGCTCGGGTTTCCACCACACCAGCATACAATGCCACGTACTCCCACTACAATCCCTTTGCCCGGCTGATTCAGGGTCCCCTTCGTGAATCGTATTACCCAAGGGCTTGGGCATTCGGGGTAACCGATACGTTCAGTCTCCTAATTAAGGGTTCCAACACGATCGCATGTCTATCGCCCCCTCTCTTATTGTAATCAAAGGATGTGCCCATCATGCCCATCACTACTACCATTTCATTCAATGTAGTATGCCAAACCGGCCATAGTCTCCGGAAGTGCGCATCGTATACCATAGAGATCACTAGGATAAAATCCGGATCGATTGCTAGATGGGCTCTGGCGCCGACTTAAGCGTAACTAGTGACCGACCAAGGCTCCTCATGAGGTTAGTACATCGTGTCCCTCCCTTTCGTGGGGCAGCAAAATCGTACGACAAGAGGACGGCCCCCACCAAAACCCGGGTGATGGACTGCTGGCGGGTCCCCGAAGCGCCGTCCCCATCTTGAACCCCCAGGTTGGGCCCGACTGCATACGCCTGCTGACCCCGATCGCTGCGCCAATCTCGGTTGTCGGACTGGCTGGTGATTTGATCGATTAACGGGCGATCTCGTGGTCGAATGACCGTTGGAACGTACAGCTGGGCCCCCGACAATTGGGATTGGGGCGTTGACGGGCCTCTATGGGCCGCAAAGATAGTCTGAGCCGGACCCTTTCGTGGGATCTATCTTTGGGCTTGCATCTGCGTGTGAAGGAATATAAGGCATCGAAATCCCAACCTGCCCCTACTTCCTTGAATATAATCGCTCGCCGGAACGACCTTAATTAATCTCTTTTGTACTATACCCCGGCGCGTTATTACTACTTTCCTCTCCTTTCCCATTTTCCCTCTTTGCACTGCACCCTCTCCACGATGTCCTCGCCTTCGTTGAGCCGTAATGTTGGACACCATCTCCACCACAGACCAGATGAGCAAGAGCAAGACCAGTCCGGAGGAACCTGGATGAATCCCGACCTTTTCCAGAATGTGGCCTCTTCCATACCGGGGATAGAAGGGACCGAAGGCCGTACTGCTCTGCCGGGCCATTTAATCCCACTCCACGGATTTATCCAGCCCCCATTGGCCCATGTTTCGAGGATCGCCACGCCTTCCCAGTGGACCCCCCCGGATGCCAATGATCCCAATCTGTGGCAACCACACGAAGTATGGAACACTCTGGACCAGAATGTAGGCATGCAGGATTTCCCCGTACGGAACCAGGCCCCCCAGTCCCCGGAGAGTGAATAATGGTGCCGTGAACCTCCTGCCCCGCCCAATCCATTTTCTTTTACTGTGACCACACAGTCGATGAGGAACGAGAACCTAATCCAGTGCGAGAGCATCTAGTCCGGCTTATTGTCCTTGACTCCCCACTCCGACGGCCCGCTCGCCGCGGCCAGCAATAGGAATCCCCATGTTCCTCCCACTGATGGCAGGATAGCCCAAAGCAGTCGTCAGGCGACAAGCGCGTACGTGAAGTGCAAAACGAGCGTCGCAGCCCTCGCTTGTTGCTGACATGAGCCTTAGACCGAGTCCGGGCCAAGAACGGAAATGTGGTTGGGAGGGATGCACATCCACCTGCCAATTCTCATGTGAATCTGCTCTTATGCGGCACATCAAATCTATCCACGTTTCCCCGAACTCATACAAATGCCCAGATCCTGGGTGTGAGAAAGCGTTCGGCCGGAAGGACAAGCTCCAGGAACATGTTCGGGCTGCTCACGCCTGCGTGCCCCAACATCAAGGGAGCCAGTGTTCTTGCCCGCACATTTAGTTGGCTTGAAGTACAAAGGTTGGGCTTGGGGATGATCAACATCATTGAGTCGTCCGGAAGACCTCCACAATGGGTGGGGGTGAGCATTGTTTCACTAACGGAGAATAATACACGATGGCGGTGTTGGGAAACGGAAACGGGTGCAGGGGATATTATCTTTTCTTACGTCCTGCCGTTGTTTTTCCCTTTTTTTCGTTCTGATTGTTTTTAACCACACTACCTTAACTAGTTATAGTTGGGGATATTAATAAGCCGACCACCCCCGGCATTCGGTCTGATCTTATACAGCGTTCCGGTCCTAGCGAAGTAAGATATGTACTTGCTAGGAAACAGATGTTATCCTTGTGTTTCAGTTTCGCGAATAATTCCAGTAGACCCTTTCAGACCGTCTCATGACTCGAGTTCTGCTCGCTGTATAGCGGCTCGACTGCTACCCTGTCGGGGATGAAGCGAGTCAACCTACTTCGGGTTTCACCAGTTTCTGTCCACCGTCAACTGCCAACACATATGCCGCCGGTCTCCATTGGATCCTAATTCGAACAATATCTTGGCAGGTTGATGGACCAATAGACCGCAAACTAAAGGGGACCATCATGCATTGATGCATCGACACACTAGTCCCGAAAATGGCATCATGATGAACAACATCGCTTGCACGCCAGCACTCTGCAGGATAGTCATATACGACCACTTGGCCGGCCAGTTCACTGCTACATATAGCCCGTTGTGGGAGGGTCAGAGCACAAGGGAGTATAGCCACGACGATTCTGATTTAACTTTAGGACGGTTACCATAAAACAGCTGGGAAGTGCCGAGTTGCACCCGCAGTGCCACGGTGGGGCCCGCATCAGCCCCAACGACCCTGAAATCTGTAGTTTATGGAGGTTAGGGTTGGTGTGCGTCTGGGTAAAGTGATGGAATTATCGTCCCTTTTCCACGTCAGGCCCGCCTCGGCGAATAGTCTCCCCTTCCTCGGAGTCAGCCAGGCATGTGACGCCTTGGCATTTGATCGCAGTCAATCGGAGGAGGTGGGAGTGACGTAGCCACGGAACTAGAACTCATCTCCAGGGGGGAACCGTTCCACGTGCTCTGCTCGTGATGCATGTCTTATCGTCTCAATTGGGACCGGACCTCGGACCTCCGGGCCTTTGGCAGGGCAACGGCGAGTTCTGTGGGATGTGCACAAAGGCAACCAAGCCCCATCCATGCAGGCCACATCCCTGCAGTCGCGACTGGAAACGGGGCTCGGGCTAAAGATTGCGGATCCAGTGCGAATCTTTGCTGTGCTCCACTTTTCATGCGAGCAAAGCTGCCATCGGGCGATCTAACTCGCCTTGCCCAATGAAGAAGTCGAGGCTCTTTGATTTGCTCTTGAAGATTGTCACCGCAACGCCGTGGTCATTCAGCGGCACCCCCCGAGCCTAACGGTGCCAGACACTCTCACACCGCTTCATGTTGACTTGTTAGGAGCACTGCCTCGAGAGTAGAAGGGGGCGACCTCGCAGCCAGCATTTCGAGTGGGCGTTGGAGTGGCTCCTAGTGCGAACCCAACATGGTATGCGTTGTTACTTAAAGCCCTTCACGCCGTCTCGAGGGAACTGTTTTCCCCCGAACTTCAATCCATCCGAGCGATTCAAGTCTACATACCCACCGTTCCTGGGTCTTGAGTTACTTTTACGCTCGCATCACGCCCCGTTGGCACTTTCGGTCTGCTGCACGGGATCTTTGTCATGGCCTCCGGTTTGACGAATTTCACCCCCGACGGTTACCCTCGCCGGCTCACCCAGGCCAGCCAACAGGACTGGGGGGGAAACAATGGTTATTCAACCTACCATCGGCCTCCACCCCGCGGGGTACAGGCCAGCCATGCGGTACGAAACGCCGCATTGAGTCAGGGACGCAACACGCCAGATGCAGGTGTCGTTCGTGGACCGCCATCTCCTTTCAGTCTCTCATCGAGATCCTCCCGGTCTCCACTGATGGCATCCCCTTGGGCTCCAGCAAACCTGGCTCCTCCGCCTTTGTCCCCCGGCAATTCACCGGCATCGTCCTTTCTCGTGGAAATACGCGATGCGGCGAGTAATTCCTCAATAGACAGGAGGCCGCTCGCCGTTAACAACATGCCGCATAATAGAATGTCCTTCAACTCCTATGATAGGATTGATGGCCCGGTGGCTCAGCGTCCCTATCACCCCGTCGAGGCCGAGTACGTCTTCTGTGTGAGATTATTCACCTGTACCTGATTTGATTGTGCTAACCATTTCCAGGGGTGACGGGTCCAATGTCATCCGGTGCGGATGGCGTGACTGCTCTTACTCTGGGGTATTTTCCCGCAAGGCAAGTCTCTGGAGACATATCCAGGACAGGCATATCGCGCAGAATGAATTCCAATGTCTGATATGTCCCATGGCTTTTGGGCGTCGGGACAAACTCACTGCCCATGTGCGAAACGCCCATAGCGGCATTTGAGGGGAAGAAGAGGAGAACTATTCACCACCTGCCTCGTCCATCGCGGGGAAAGTCTTCGTGTCATTTTCTTTTTGATTCTGGTTGCTGTTCCCTCTATGTTGCTTACGGGGCTTTCCTTTACAATTTTACTTAGGATCCTATTGGTTTAATAGTTGACGGGCTTTGATTATGATCATCTATCGGAGTTAGTATGCCATCGAGACTTTCTAGGCATTTGGGAGAGAGTCATGGGATATCTAGCAATTTGAGCCATTTTTTGTTTTTCCACCCCATCGCCAAGGACTTGAGAAGCGAAATGAACTCAGAATTACGGGCAAAGAGACATTGAGAATAGGAATCTCGGTTGGGGATCAATCCAAAATCAGCGGATGGGATTAGGATTGACCCGGTAGATCTGGAGACTTTGGGAATACGCGACGACAGCCTGATGCGAGGAAAGGCGAGGGGGCTCTAACTGCCATGGGCACAGTAAGTAGCCTCGACATGTCACGAGTTGCACTTCATAGGATTTGGGTACTGATGACGCCCCTGGCTTTTAGCGGTCTGAATTAAAATCTCAACCTTGTCCGGGTATTGGAACACGTCTGTCACGTCCACACGTCCACGTCGCCATCACCAGGGTACTGGATTCCGCCAAGCACTGGAAGCAAACATGTGCTCAGACCACAAACCAAGAACCGTGGTGAAGCACCTTGGGGTGGCTCAGGTCTTGGCTGGCCTTCAGACCAACCAAAGATGGGTTGCTGGAAAAACTCAAGGTACATATCACCCTTGTCGACAGAGTGCTGCGTGACCAACCGGTGTCGATCGGCCGGGGTTGTTGGCGAAATGAACCGCATGGTTCCTCTTCCCGGTTCAGCTGAGGTGGTCCCTCCACGTCACAAAGTACGGTTTGAGAGTACCTTTGTGGCCGTCAATAATTGGTGGCCACTCTAGAGCCCATAGCGTGAGGTCTTTTGCACATGGCCCGTGCCTCAGGGCTAAATGTACCAATTGACTTTTTGGCAACAAACTGTCAACGAGTCCGCGCCAGGGCCGTCTCGTAACCTCGGCTCCTACCACCCAGCCCTCTGAAAACGGTAAAAGAATCGCTCAAAAAATATTTTAAAACAGGTCCTCGTAAGGCATGTAGCCCTCATAAACATACTAGAGTAGCTATAGTGGCCCGATTGTCCTATGAAGCCATTGTCATGAAGAGAGGAAGTCCAAATTTGTGCGAAAGGCATCGTTCCTTGCTACCGAGTCCACACATAAGCCTATTTATCACCACTTTCTAGTCACTCACCAAAGCTTGATCAACACAGTATATGCCATCGATTCTGTTTGATCCATCAAGGTCCTTTGGTTCTAGTCCAAGGTCTAGTCAACCAGACCAGCCCACAGTGTCTTCCAGTGACTTCCACGTACTGTTTTGAGACCCCTTGACAAACTTGGTATCCGCCACTATCAGGCTTTGATGTGACCCAAGGTTGAGTTGTATTCGAATTAGACCTCGCCAGGGACCGCAAGGGACCAGACCAGACCGGGGGTCAAACCGCACTATGTAGGGCTTGGTCATTGATCACTACCCATCCGTTGGTCAGGCCACGCATTCCGGGATAATGTTGGCTAATGGACTAGCCGTTGGCCAGTCAAGGGTAACAAAGGAATGACACAGACAAATTTAGGTTACCAAGGGATATAACATATACCAGCTGATGAAGCCAAATACGGGTAGAGTGACATTCCGCAAGGGCTAACGAATTGGAACAACGATATCTAGAGCGCGTTTCTGTCTATGTCGGAAAATAGAAGGGCACATAATAGGACGAATACCCTAGGAAGCTACAGTATAACCAGACGCCACGGAATGTATATTTGGTAGCTCAAGCAGAAGTACCTATCTAGAGAATGGCTTGTCAGAGCTACCATTTTTACGCTATTGGCTGGAACAACTATCCCCCCACCTGATGGAATCCCAATATTGTCGTTAGAGGAGTAATCAGCTATTTCCATGTCGGGTCCGAAAGGTATATAAAGCTCCACGATACCTGCCTTTATTTGACTATCCCGGGACGTCAACGTTCAACCTGAGCATCGCATTCAATTCTGATTCCTTCTATTTGGAAAGCCAATTCAGAAATGCTCTATTTTATTCTTCAAGTGCTTCTGTTGGCGTTGGCCGCGAGCGCGCAAGATCCCTGTTCCGAAACAGATCGTCCCTTCGGCCACGATACCTCAACTTGTTTGCAAAAGCCATATTGTCCAGGATATGAAGCTAGCGAAGGTCTCCAACGCCACCTATTCGCACAGTTTATGGAGACGTTATACGGCGAGAAAAATATCAGCAAGGCCTTCGAAACCTACGTGTCTTCCAACATAATCGAACATGATCCGGAAGATACACAGGACCGTGATGCTATTGTTGCAAGATTATCCCAAATTATCCCTTTTGCAGATTTCACTATCCTGCGATCGAGTTTTGGCAATAATACTGGTCTGATTCACCTGAAAGTTGAGCAAGATCCGGAGCCGGCCGCTCTTGCAGATATCTATCGCATGGATGGGACTTGTATTGTTGAGCATTGGGATATCGCCCAGTCCAGACCAGCAAATTCGACAAACCCGATTGCCATGTTCTGATTTGCTGCATGCAGCTTCTTTAGCTATTTAAGACATGGTGAGGGACTCAGGTGGCTATCTATCATCTTACGGATGAGATGGAGCTTTGACGCGGGGAGCCTTAAGCCATGTCGTGTGGACTAATCTTGGATAACCTTGGATAATGCTGAAGAGTGATGGGTGAGGAAGCGTGGTTGTTGCCTCGGAAAGGCGAGAGGTGGGAAGGGGCATGGAAGTAGCTATCGAAATATATGGAGTGGTAACTTACCACTAACAACAGGCTTTTTCATCAAGCGCCTACTTCTCTCTTTTTTTTTATGTAATTGTGGTTTACACGTGAACTCGGGCTTTATAGCCGAGTATCGGCCGTACAAGTGGAAAACCACCTGGATGGATAGGGGAAAGACTTCAATCGGTCTTCCCCCACTGTTTTTCTACACTTAATCTGATCAATTCATCTCATTGGACATCTCCCGTACTAGCCTATACGAATAGTGCATAGTTCGATAGCTATAAGCCCAAGTGCACCCTAAATATTATGAAGATATAATCGAAAAAACTATCGCTCTATATTAGACCTCGGCAAGGACTACGTCTAGACTATCTAGTCTTTGGTCTTTTTTAAAGTAGTTAGGATCGTACTAGAGTCCCCTTTAGTCTTTTGTGGTCCTGTATATAGACCCTATAGTTTTATAATCATACTAAGATCTGGCTATATAAGCTAATGGCTATTAGGAATCTATATAATCTACCGTTATAGGTATAGTAGTTTTTTAGTAGTCCTCATAGTCTAAGACTATAACCGTAAAGAGCCATTGGCTGGTTTGTCTCCTTTCCAACCAACGGTCTCCTGCCATCGATACCATGCACCACAACGGTCCTAGCAAGCCCCGTGCGTCGGAGTCTTCACTTTCCACGACTGCAGCAAGGGGCCCATTGATGGAACATACTCCCCATGGTGCCTTGCGACCTCAGTGGACAGCGAGTGTCTGGTAGCTCCACTTTGCACGAGCCATCGTCGAGGCCCATGAACCCTGCGCGACCATTGTATCAGCCAGGAAAGCGGAACAAACACCGTCTAGGTCATTTCAAACATTGCCATGCTACTACTGCGACAACGGATCATTGAGCGGTTGCATGAATGGGCAGAAAAGATGGAGTGTTTGAATTGCTATGGAGTCGGAATCCTGTTGGTTGCCACGGTTGGGTCGTTGATCGAACACAATCTCAAGCTTCTCGCATAGGAACTAATAAGAACATGGCGTCTTTGTTGCAGCATGCTTCTGGCTTGCTCATAATGTCGACTTTGCTAGGAATCACTCTGCTCAAGCCAGTGGGACGCCTAATACACTTGTTAAAAGGAGGCATTGCTATGTGCTTCAGCCTGGGGTATTCAAAAGCTTCTCGTGTCATAAAGTAATTGTGAACTTGTTGGCCGGAATGGAAATTAATCGATCTTCTAAGAGGGCTCGTGGGGGCCTGCGATGTGATAACGAATTGCCGTAGACGAGAGGCCAGATCGGATGATGCCATCAGATAAGCACAAGATTAAGGTTAGGCTTCCGGAACCCACCGCCTCGCCCGCGCGACGAATCTCAAGAGAGGGAAGTAGATATGTACAAGTATAACAACTATGAGCCTCCTCTTGAAGGCTGTGATAATTCTTAAGAACCAAGACCGGTTGTGGTTCCCAGACAGTGTCTCGCCTGTGCTCAGTTCGATTCGGTTGGAATGCCAGCCTCCCGCTTCCAAAGGGACTGCAGGGTACGGATATTGGGTATATGTGAGTGGCAAATGGCCGAGAAATGGAGATCAGTCACCTTTCAGCGTCTTCTTGGGTGCTTTGTTTGGGATGAAAGTCATCATGGAAATCACCCACACCAAGATTCGAAGCAAAAACGGGAACTGGGCCAGCTGGGATGCAAGCTCATTCAAGTCATCATCTGGACCCTGTTCTTCGGCTCGCTCCATTTTCGGGCTGATTCGCACTGCCTTGGAGGCCAGTATCTCCTCGACTTGAGAATCTCGGAACATTTCTTCGTATCTCTCGTTCCGTCGCTTTACAGGTGTTTGAGAGGGAGAATGCTCGGGATGGTGCCTGGCCGTTGCGAATCGTTCCCTCATTGGAGATTCCGCCGGGCGGGTTGTCCGACTCTTCACTGGTATCTCTTGTGTGGGCAGCCGGCCTATTGTGACTTTCTCTTCTTCCGGAAAAGACGCTATTCTCTCTGGGGGACGGAAATGTGGAAGCCTCGGTGCCGCCGTGTGGTTGGTTGCAGAGGCACTGGTATCGTTGTCCTCTACAGCCGTGGACGTAGTCATGCTCTCATCCCGGGATGCTTGAGCTGATTTCTGGAAGGAAACAGGGAGGCTTGTAGGGACTTGGGGCCGAACGGCTTCCAAATTTAGCCTTTCCATGTCAAAAGGTAGCCCTTGCACAATAGCATCGAGTCTCCTTCTAGCTTTCTGGCTCTCATCTGGGAGAACCGCGGTCCACGAGATTCCCTGCTTTTGCCTGGGATCCTTGGGGAACCTGAAAAGGTGTTTCACATGGTTCTTTACTCGTTCGTGTCTTCTTTGCAGTTTTCCTTGAATTTCAATTCGGATCGCAAATGTCTCCATGTCGTGCTCGAGAGTAAAAGCCGTCTGAATGGTGTTGCTGTGAGTAGGCTGGGGTTGGAAATCATCCTCGGAGAGCTCCCACTTAAGGGTGCGATATACAATATCATCGGCAGGACTCCCAAGTTTCGAGCCTCGCAACAAGTTCCCCGTAAAGAGCCATTGGCTGGTTTGCTCAATAGTCTGTTCGCGGTCCCATCCCAGTCCCCCGCCCCCATTGCCCAGCACATTGACATGGGGGGTCAGATAGGTTGTTTTCTTAGTTGTCGCTTTTGTCGGCTCTCCTGCCAGCTGTCGAGGACCAAAGTCGTGGGTGAACTGCAGGAAGCGCACGGTATCATATTCTTCTTGCTCCTCTGCCCTGACGTTGGGTACTTTTGTAGGACCCAAATTCGCTGGCGATCTGGATGTTGACGGCTTCTCGGGTTCTTTTGATCGGCTTGTCTTCTCGGTCAGATTACTCATCTCCTCCAGACTAATCCACACAACTGCATTCGACAATCGGCAGTCTTTGGGTTGCGTGAAGCCCAGGTCCATATAGAGAATGCCGGCTTGGTTTTCCGCCGGGCCTAGCACTCCCCACTGTGTTTTGGACTGGCGAAACCGACAGTCGATTTCGACCTGCCCCAGTTCCTGTGAGCACAGGCTCACATTGGCCAAGTGGTCGAAGGAGTTGAACTTTGCCCCATACCGACGAGCGAATCGAGCAGGAGGACGACGCGTGGAGGATGGCGGAATGGCGCGCATGGCCAGTGTGGAATCGAGAACAACAGCAGAGATGAGTGCAAAATTCTGGGCTTTCGGCGCCCAAGTGATGGTCCACGGTCACAATAGAGTGGATGGCCTGAGGAAATTCCCCTCTCCCAGAGGCGAAGTGTTGGGGCTGCTATTAGAAGAGCCTCCACCACAGCCTCGAGGCGAAGCGCCCCGAATCGCGCCCTGCACCTTCGGCTGAGCTGAGCGGCCCGAGCAACCTCGTTGACTGGTCCATTGCGCGGGGCTTCATGCTGCACTACTGCACTGCCGGTCGCTTGGCCCCCCAATTTTCTCGCGATTGACTCGATGTCGGGCGAATGGCAATTGCAAGGCTTGCCTCGCCCCCCGCAAGACTGTAATCGGGCTGAGACGCCTCTTGAAATATCACCACAGTGCCCGTTTCTGGCCCTCCATCCAATTTGCAGCCTCGGCCCATGCCTGCCATGCCAGATCAGATACTGCACCTTGAATCCCAGACAGCTGGGGAGCGAATATACCCGACCGGGAAACCGATGTCCAACAATCGCCAGGATACATTCTCGCGCATTCCATGGATGCACGACCAACCATCGAAACTGCCCGTTGTCCGACGCGTGCCGACTCTCGGCATGGCGCAACAATCTGCTACACCCGCATCGCCTAAGGATAATGCGAAGGCCCAGTCAACAGAAAAGGTCCGCGAACGGGTGCCGGCCAGTGTTTCCTCCTCGTATGCATCAGAAGCAGAGGATGATTCCGACTCTGAGGTGATGGACATTTTGGATGATCAACTCCAGATCATGCTGATACCAGCCTCCGCTGCAAGTTGCAAAGACACCAGCATACACTTTCTCTTGGATGTGGCCGACGACATCGAAGGTCACCTAGAGGAGGTGTCGCGCTTGAAACGGTGGGGCCATTTCAACGAGGCAATCGAATACTTTGCAGCACATCTAGAAGTTCACCTGGACCTGCCGCTGGTCGTCCTTGAATATGTCGACCTGCTACTCGAACAGGGCTCTTACCAGCAATTGGTTCCTTTCATATCGAATCAACAGTTGAACCCTCCTCAGAGCCAAAAATGTCTTCCCCTCAGCAGTGAGGAGAATGGCCCAGACCTCTATCAGTTACACTCTGAACTACTTGGGCTACGCATGCGGCTGCCCTTCGAAAGCCTTTCAGTGGAGGACTTGGAAGTCTTGCAAACCGACTCCTTCAATGAATACCTCGACAAGCGTGCCAATTCTCGGCATGTGGACCATCCCCAGAGCGATCGGGGGATACCGTTTGACTCAACTGAGGTATCACTATACGATCCAAGCAAAAGCGCTCTCATGCAGACCTCTGACTAAATGCTCCGTTCAATATTCTAGGTCCAAATCATCCGCAACCAGCTCGAGATACGGTCTGATATTAGGTGCAAGGGCAAATCTCAAACGTCAACCTTTCACACAAGCTGTTGGCCTGACTTATATAACGATCTTCTCATGGATGGTCGCATTTGGGAGCTGAGTGATCTTCTGCTTGCCATGTTCCGCTTTTTCGGTCTGTCGGGCACGTTCGAACGCTTCTTCAGTTTGGATGAAAAGACCAAGGACCAAAAGCCTCAGATGATTGATTCACTAGAGCGACTTTTACAAGATTGGATCATTGACGAATATGATGAAGCGACTGAACTGGCTCTGCTAACCATTCTTGTGGAAATGATGTACATGCTCGATATTGGGAGCCAATCACCCTCCGCACTCCAACGAGATCGTACCCTAAGTTGGAGGCGCACCGTTCAGCAGGCCGACAAGTGTGCGGCGGAAATCGCAGCATACAGTCCTCATCTCACGCGATCGCGCCCTTACTTACAATGGACTTTGGCAAAAGAACATTTCGATCGTCAGCAGAATCGGAGCGCATCATATCGCGAAATGCGAAAGCAGCGCGTCGAACGAGTTCCCGGTATCGTTCTCAATAAGTGGTGTTTGCCAGTTTACATACCGGTGGGAACAGAAAACGCAGGCTGGCCATCTCCTGACCCCAAATTCCCGCCTAGTGACTCATTATATTTGGCGTTGAACACGTCTAAGGAGCTCTCTGACTATAAAACTCAGTCCATGGTACTCAGGGAGCTTATATGTCGTGTGGAAGATCCCCGGCCGTTATTCAAGGAGCTGGATCAGTTGCATGGAGGCATACAGGGGGATTTTGTTGAGTCCTACGAATCTTGCATCTCACAGTATTTGCTCGCTACGGACGACATTTCGTGTCGACACCTTCTACAAAGATTGGAGGCAGCCGCAGCCCAGTTCAAACCCACCCCAGAGAACGATGTTTGTGTTGCAACACGCTGGAACGGCCTCATGGTGCAAAATGCTCTTGCTCGCTCGATCTCCGCAGATGCAGAAACCATTGATCAGAATTCTCATATAGCACAGTCCATCTGCCAGAATCTTCCATATTCTCAGAAGGCCATCAACAAATTTGCACAACCTGCCATTGAGAAAGATAAAGGTACCAATGAGCCTGAAGATCAGAACAAAGAAAAAGAACCCACGGCAAAGGGTAGTTCTGCGGAGCAGGAGGCCATCGATCTGGAACTGCCAGAATCACCGCTTGACAGAGCCAAGAACAATCCGTCCGAGGAGGTTCGACAAGCTCGCAAGGAGCTAAGCAGATGGTACGAGGAAGAGGTTCGCCGTCGACTGGACAAACTGGAGCTTTACGAGATGCAAAACAAGAGAGAGAACCTCGAGAAAGAGCTTCGTGAGACGAAGCTCCGCCGGGAGCTCGAGAAATTCGAGGACGAAGAACGGCTGAAGGCTGGTAAAAAGGACATTCGCAGAAAACTGCGCGAGGAAACATCCGGGAATAACCAAAAGTCTATCAATGGAGCAACATCGCGTACTCAGAGGACGTCATACAACCAGAAACAAATAACACAGGGTGACCAAGGAAGAAAGGATGTTGACGGTGGTCGACAAGAAAAGGCAGAAATAAAGCCGAATGAAGATGCAATCCCAATGACCCATGAACCAGAGGAAGTCGACTATGCTTGGCCCCTGGAAAAAGTGCATAAGAAGTCAAAGACCCCACAAAAGCCATACCGTTATGCATCAGTCACAGAGCCTCAAGATGAACCATCAACCTTGGAGGAGCCTGACTCGTCCTCAGTCAGGCCTGGACCACCTCGCGATCTGCGGCGTCGGACGGTCCGTCGGGCCGCACGGCCTCGAGCTGCCTCGCGACAGAATGAGAAGCCCTCGATTGAGGAGAGTGGTACAGATTCAGAGGAGAGGTCTTCGCATCAGATTACAGTGTGGGAGGAGTTCTCTTCGGGAGAAGAGAAGACTTCTGGGCCTGGCTCTTTGGTGCTGTCGCCAAGGCGTGACTCTCTGGATTCAGAGGATCACGAACCGAAGATGATTGAGTATGGCGAGGAAACCGCCCCTTGAGCATTCACTGTGCCTTAGTCTGAAGCGCACATAGATAATACGTATTTGTATAGAAGTCATCATTCACATCTACTTGACGAACGACACGGACACTTCATAAGCGCATTGGGCTTTTGTTATAAGAATACGGTCTTGGTTGGCGACTTGTTCAGTGAGCTTGCAAGACTGGTATGTGTACAAGTATGTGCATGTATCTATATAAACAGGAGAATATCCGCCAGGTTGGCCTTTCCTGGCTGCTCTGCCGCCGCTCTTATGAGGGCGATCAGGCTCAGGCTCACTGAGTGAAGGTTAGTACGGTCTCATGCTCAGTGACCAATCATGGATGGCCAGTGATCGCTTGGTGGTTAATCAGTGATCATCCATCCCTGGGAGAAATAGCAGAGAAGCACACAAATTGAATAGTTCATTCCAATTTTTAGTTTAAAAAGATTACGTCTACAGTTACTAGGAAATCTGAGAATTATATCAAGCGTCATTATGTGCATAGACGTGAGCTAAGGTGTTTTGACTGCATCAGAACGTCCACTCATCTAGTAAAGCTTTCATACACGCAGCACCTGTTGCTGCAGCATACGGTTGCCATATTTTATTTTTATGGCTGTCAGCATAATCACACACCCCCTTGACCACCAGGCAGGGTAGACTATCCCAGACTCCTACACCCTCCATTTCAAAAGCTATCACATTCTCTTGCATAGCGATGAGATCTCTATCTTGTCCAGATTTCATGACTGTATCCCCAGATGCGATAAGACCAAGATGAATAGTAGAAGGAGGCGCATGTCCTTGAGCAAGTGCAGTCTGAAGCCTCTTGCGCTGAACAAGTTTATCCTTGGGGCATTTCAATTCATGACACGATAGGTCAAAGACTTCATCACAGACTGTGCTATTGCTGGAATGGGCACAGCTGATGCAAGCGACGGGGTCATGATGTTTATGTCGACAGGTAGACTGAAAGAGCTCATCTTGCTCTACTCCTGGATATCTGGCGGTGTCATTGCCGAGGGTCTGATTGATGGCTTGCAGATATTTCTCCACATTGCTATCAACGCGCTCCCGTACCATCTTTGCCTTGATTTTCGAAAGAAAACCTCGTATCGCCACGTTAGGTCGACCAATTTCATCGGCAACAGATGTCTTGCGAAGAAATGCCCCCGGCACTCTTCTGCCAAAGTCATGCTGGACAATCCCGTCACTGACCACTATATCCCCGAGTAAAATCTCTGCGCGGCCTTTTTTATACGGAACGCCGCCACAGATTCCGACCACCAGGCCAAGTTTGATGTTCGGATAGGTTGCTCGTACGGATGAGGCAGCTTGGGATGCAACGCTCTTCCCCATGCCCGGAAGGTGTATCAGAACGGCAAGGTGGCGACCTATTCGACCGAGGGTGTATGTGTTTGAGTCTCCTGGCGCGTTTTGATACAGGGTAGAGTCTTGGAAAATACCATCAAAAAGAACGCTAACTGCGTCGACTTCTAGTGGCAAGGCACAGAATATTGCAATCGTAAAATTTGCCGGAAGAGGAGAATCTGAGGTAGGGGTAGTCTTCTCTGAGATGTCTTGGAAAGAAATTGTCTCGGTTATGTTCGTCGTGGGAAGACTCTGTATATCCCAGTCATCTCGGTAGGCGTCGGATAGCCTTTTCAATGGGACAACAATTTTCTCATAGAGAGCATTCTGTCGGGCTCTGATTTCGTCTACCTCTCTAGACTGCTGTATTGAGTAACCACTGAACAGCTCGGGATTGAGACAGTTATTAACAGCCTCTTCATACAGAGAATGTACGGTGTGTTTCAAATTGCATCTGTGGGCTGTTGTCCACGCCCATGTATAGTAATCATTGATGGCGGTTTCACTCAAGGGGTGAGGACACTCCTCATATGTCAAGGGCTGCTTGACGGCAATTTCGATGAGAAGGATCCCTAGTGCAAGAATATGTGGATATTGGTGCATGAGATCACTGGCATAATAAGAGTCCCTAGACTTCACAATCGCTCGAACCAACTTTGTCGTCAGGTATGGATGTGGTTTACCCTGATCTGTCAGGCCAGTTCCTTCATTCAATAATTGAATGCTCTCGTGGGTCCAGGGTGTAATCATCCATGGTGAATTGTAATATTGCCAGACGGACTTGGCAATAGTATAGGCTAGATGAGACTTGCCCTTCTTGGAGATATGGGGAATCTTCTCAAGCCATTGCCCTAGTGAAAGACCTTCATGAGGGCAAATACCGCGGCAGGGGTTGGGATTAGGGGGTTCAATAACCTTGAGTACGTTTGACTGGACATATAATTGAACAGGATTCCCAAGCCGATCGTTGATCAATTTGCAAAATTCTCCCAGCTCTAGTCGTCTCATTCTTTGTGTCACTCCAGAACGATTTTGGTTCGGCGATGAAGGCTCGCGGGGTGAGATGGCGAACCCTGCTTTCTTCCGCTTCTCAATATCAGTCCGCCTGCGAACTCGGCCCTGAGGTTTAGCTGTATTCGTTGGCTTCGTCAGAAGCTGGTCTGCCTCACCTTGGAACTATCACAACCGACTCCTTCCACTGTACAAACGCTTGGGAATGTATCGGAGGAGAATAGTTGGCCTTAAAGACGAGTTCGAATGAAACATCTTCATTCCCGTTTTGGCTGTCGGTGCCTAGTCGCAGCCGTGTCCATTCCAGGTGACCTGTGCGGCACTGACACGTAACATAGATCTGTAATTGCGTGTAAAGCGTTTCATTTAAATGTCCTGGATATCCAATATCGCCGTCATCCTGGTATCCCTCCTCCATATACAACGGCTCCGTTTCATCCACCGTGAAGCAATCCCGAATCAGGCGTAGAAGGGTGTGATATTCTGGGCTTTGTTGGACAAAATATACCAGGTTTTCCTGTGTCTCTTTGATGACGGTCTCTCTGACTTTGCTTGTGGAATCCTTATAAGTACGAATTCTCTTCAGAGCTCGATATCGCTCTGCTTCGTTCTGCGACCTCTGCGAGGTGTGTCAGTGACGGCTGGCTGATTGCATATATATAATGATACCCACTGAACACGCTCGGTTGACAATCTCAAATATCTTCAATAGCTTTTGTCGCGGGGTTGTTGTTTCACTGATCGATTCTACCTGTTGGGATAGAACGAACAGCTCGCATCCTAGAGTACCGTAAACCTTATTACGAGTTTGCTTCCCTATGAGGATGGCCTGGTTGCTGATCCATGGTAGAACCTGACAGCCCAAGTCCAGGGAATCCTCGTCATCCATGAGGCACAATAAAGATGAATTTGCGCGAGATTTGATTGAAGTTCAAGAAAGGCAAGAGTGGTGTCAGCTCGTGCGGGGTAATTTAGTGCCCTACATCACTTTCTGACCTAATCCTCATTTATTGAGAGAAAACCACCCAACCTGTGTGTTTCAGTTCGACGTTATATTTGAAGCTATGGCAGACCAACTTGCCATATACGATGCTACACTGGCCTGTCATCGGGTATTTCGAGACTTGGGTGCTGTGTCTATCTTGGATGAATGGGCAGAGAACTGCCTCGCTGACCTGAACTTGTGGGCCAAGGGGGCCGGTGCTTTGAAGGTAGGAAAGGCATCCCTCGATGCTCGACTATCCTCGAACCTGGACGCGAAGACATTTGTTGCCAACCTTTTGAGAATGCTGCAGGGGTTTGTGGAAAAGTGCATTGGAATAGGTATTATCGAGAGATCACTGTCGAGGGAAACAACCACGACTGACTTCTTCATCAGGAAGCAAGGTGCAAAATCATACATCTGGAACTTCTGAACTATCCCAGGCTATCCAGGATGTTGATGATATTTTAAGCCAACTCAGCAGAATCACAATTTCGATTCGCAGAGCCGGTACAAATTCTCGCATCCAAAAGGCGGATGCTTCCTATGACCCTGAGCATTCCCAGATTGAAGCTTTATCGCAACACCTCCAGCTTTTATTGCTAGTCAAGCCTAGTAAGAATGGCACTCTGCAGGCAAGGGCGTCTTCACAGGGCATAGTATTACATTCATGTATAGATGATGCTACTGTGATCGATTCACAATCTTTGACTGCTATTCAGCAACGACTCATTGAAGCAAATTTGAAACGGAGAAATCGATTTTTGTATGCCCAGCGCCATGCGATGAAATTGTCTGAGATAGATCAGGTCCCCTCAACATCGATACCGGCACCCCAAAAATCACCCCCGCCACCCGTTCTCAACGCTTTCAATGAAGCTACAGAAGAGCATGAGGTACCAAAAGTGTATAGTACAACTACCGCAACCGAAGTACAGGATCCGATTGCGTTACCAACGCAAGTCAGTGCTCAGCCGGCAACGACAGTCATCTCTGCAATCAGCTCTCGTGTGACATATCCAAGGCCTCCTCCACTCAGAAGCGATCAGAATGTATTTCAGTGCCCTTGTTGTTGTCAAACATTGCCAACTTCTATGAGCAGAGGAAGTCAATGGAAGTATGCATTGATGATACCTTGGGCTTTTTTATCATGACTAATCATATAGCAATTTAGGAAACATCTCTCCAAAGATATTCTTCCCTATGCATGTATTCTAGAGGATTGCCCTAACCCCGAAAGGCTTTACCACACCAAGAATCTATGGTTGTCACATATGTTCACGGATCATGGAGGTATATCTAACTGGGCGTGTCTCGCCTGCAATGACTGGAGTACCCGTCCAGTATTTTTCGAGAAATCAGCATTCATCGAACATCTAGAGGAAAGACATTCGAGAGGTATTAAACCCCAGCAAATCCCTATGTTGGTCTCTGCATGGCAACGGGAAATGTCGGTGTCAATCCACTCTTGCCCTCTATGTGGCTTTGAAGATCAAGATTCAGACGCCGTCTTGAACCATACTGCTGAGCATCTTCATTCATTCTCCCTCAGGTCCCTGCCATGGGCACCGGGCGAGGATGAATCCGGTAGTGATTTGTACGGTGGCTATTATGAAGAGCATCCTTATTTCAATACAGGAAGATCGGTCGATACAGAAAGTGAGCGATCAAGAACTACGATGTCATCTGAGCAGAGGGATCCAGAAGAGTTACCTGCCATGAGCTCTGGTGGAAAGTCAACGGAAGAGAATCGGCTGACAGAAGAGAAAATACGGGATATGTTAAAGGATCCGAATTCCGAAAAAGATATGCTGGATGCCTTCTTGAATGGCATTGAAGCCCAGGAGTCCTTCCCAGAGACATCCCCACTTGCCAGCGTCCGAAATAGCAAGATTGGTACAATCATTGACAGCCAGGACAAGCTGACAGAGGCAGAGGAGATGTACCAACCAGCACTGGCAGGCAAGGAGAAGGCCCTTGACCCAGATCATACTCCCGAAACTCTGAACAACCTTGGAAATCTCTATAGAGATCAAAGGAGGTTGAAAGTGGCAGAGGAGATGTATCAGCGAGCACTGGCAGGCTATAAGGAGGCCCTTGGTCCAGATCATATCTGTACTCTCGAAACTATGAACAACCTTGGTCTTCTCTACTCTGAACAGCCCAAGCTGAAAGAGGCAGAGGAGATATTCCAGCGCACACTAGCAGGCAAGGTGAAGAGTCTTGGTCCAGATCATATGTCCACTCTCAAAACGGTCAACAATCTTGGAAATCTCTATAGAGATCAAGGGAGGTTGCAAGAGGCAGAGGAGATGTATCAGCGAGCACTAGCGGGCTATGAGAAGGCCCCTGGTCCAGATCATACGTCTACTCTCAAAATAGTCAACTACCTTGGTCTTCTCTACTCTGATCAGGGCAGACTAAAAGAGGCAGAGGAGATGTACCAGCGAGCACTAGCGGGCTATATAATGGCCCTTGGTCTTGATCATACGTCTACTCTCAAAACGGTCAACAACCTTGGTCTTCTCTACTCTGATCAGGGTAAGCTAAAAGAGGCAGAGGAGATGTTCCAGCGAGCACTAGCGGGCTACGAGAAGGCCCTTGGTCTAGATGATATCTCTACTCTCGAAACGGTCCACAACCTTGGTCTTCTCTACTCTGATCAGGGTAAGCTAAAAGAGGCAGAGGAGATGTTCCAGCGAGCACTAGCGGGCTACGAGAAGGCCCTTGGTCTAGAGGATATCTCTACTCTCGAAACTCTGAACAACCTTGGAAATCTCTATAGAGATCAAGGGAGGTTGAAAGTGGCAGAGGCGATGTATCAGCGAGCACTAGCGGGCTATAAGGAGGCCCTTGGTCCTGATCATATCTCTACTCTCGAAACTATGAACAACCTTGGTCTTCTCTACTCTGATCAGGGCAAGCTAAAAGAGGCAGAGGCGATGTTCCAGCGCGCACTTATGGGCAAGGAGAAGGTTCTTGGTCTAGATCATTCGTCTACTCTCATAACGGTCTACAATCTTGGAAATCTCTATAGAGATCAAGGGAAGTTGAAAGGGGCAGAGGAGATGTATCAGCGAGCACTAGCGGGCTATAAGGAGGCCCTTGGTCCTGATCACCAAACAACCCAAGGTGTTCTGGAGCAGCTCAATATGCTAAACATCACAGATAGAAACTAGTGCTTGACAAGATATCTACTTTCATTACCATATCTTTTGAAGGCTGCACCCTGTTCGTACATGGGTCATTTTACCACTCTCAACCCAAAAAATGCTTCTCTTTTGACAACGGAGAAAACACCTAACGAAAATAAGGACAAAAAATTCCATGTCATGCAACTAATACGACGGGTCCATCGCGACCCACGACAGTCTCCCGACACAGACCCTTAGGACAATGGGTTCACTCTAGAGAGGGTCTAGCGCTGTAATTCTGCCGTAGTTCCTTAGCCCAGACGCTATTATTCTTAGCCAAGAAGAAAGAACGACCACACATATTTCGACATTACTCCTTGACCCTGGGCAGCCAACCAAACTTATATCTTCCGCTTGGGACACCTCGTCATCTTTGTTTTCAAAATTCGTTTCCCATTTTCTCTTCCCTCAAAGGCTTTTTAAATCCTCAAAATGGGCACCCTTGATAGTTATCTGCCTCCTGCCTTGAGCGCGGAGACTATCACCTCGTTGATCCTATCCTTGGATCTGCCTGCGCCAAGCTCCATCGAGCCGCTGCAGGTTAAAGCCACCTTTCATTCCATCTATCTCATCCATTTCGCTTCAGCACAAGGCATCCCAGTACGAGAAAACAAGGATGGTACCGTTGCGCTCGTGCTGCGCATCTCTGGACGGCAGCTACCTGGCATCAAGACACGCAATGAGGTGGGCGTCATGACCTGGATCCGCAAGCATACCTCCATTGCCGTACCGGCCATCATCCGGTACGATGCGACGGAAAATAATGTGATCGGACATGAGTTCACACTACTCGACAAATCGTCTGGCATCAGCGTCGATCAGATCTATGCAACGCTATCCAATGAGGTCAAGACGCAGGTGGTCCACCAACTGACGGATTATCTGATTGAGCTGCATGCGCAGCCCTGGCGTGAGGGGTACGTGGGAGGACTGACCCTGACACCGACGGGCGAGATTACCTCTGGACCACCTATCGACGAAAACTTTTGGCAGACGCCGGACCTGGACAAGTACTGGTCTGCCTCCGCCGGAGTCACAAGTACGGAGACGCTCGACAGTCTCAATCCCATCCCAGCCGAGGGGTTCTCGAGCTACACCGCCTATACGAACGGCTGCCTCGAGCGGTATGTCCACGCGATCGAGATCCATCCCTCTCTGGAGCCCTACCGCGACTTGATCCCCCGGATCCGCGAGTTCATGGCGCAACTGCGGCGGCCGGAAAACCAGACCGAGCTCAACCGCGTCGCCTACATCATGGCACACAAAGACATGCGTTTTGCCAACATCATGTGCGACCCGGACCAGCCAGGGTGTCCTATCACCGCGGTCCTCGACTGGGAGTTTAGCGGGGTGGTTCCTGGCCCGAGGTGGAATCCCCCGCGAGCGTTCCTGTGGAACATGAAATGGGACCCTGACGATAAGGCAGAGCAGACCCGCATGGAGCAACTATTTGAGCAAACCTGCCGCGAAAAGGGGGCCGAGCATATTTTGGAGCAGACTCAGCTGAATGCGAAGCAGGAGATGATGCAGACGGCGGTCAATCACATTCGAGCGGTTGTCGAGGTGTGCCCACGAGGCCAGGCGCAGGACCGCGTGGCCCACTGGCGCGCGGTGGCGGAAGCCGCCATGGAGGGATTTCAGGCGTGTATATGAGGAGAAATACTGTATATATTAATGCATAAATAGAAGTATCGCAAACCGGATTAAGCCTTAGTTAGCGCCCCGATCTTTCCTAGTCGGAAAGGTTCTCGCAGCGCATGACAGTACCTGGTATTGACCCAATCACATATGATCGACTTTCCAGCCACTCATTTTAGGGTAGATCAAATGAGACCCTGAGGGAATGATCTTTCTTCACGGATGCCCGACGAAGGCGCACTTCTGAATGCCAGATACTAACGCGCCGCTAAAACAACTAGCTCTCTAAGGCCGCGTCAGCTATCCCCTTTACCCCACCGTTTGAATTAGGTCTGCCTTCTGTATGACATTTTATTTCCTCCCGTGTTGTGCAGGGTATAAATGTGTTGATTATTGCATCCCGGTCCACCTCGTCTATCAAAAGAAGCAAAGATCAACCAAACATGGGGTCCGATTCAACAATCTACCGAGTCGTCGGGAAACCTGGGGAACCGCACTTTCAACTCCAGTCCAAATCCATCCCCGAGCTGACGCTTCGCGTTCCTACCGACATCGACATTGCTACCGTGATTGATATCCTTGAAAACAAAGCCAATTCAGAGTTCGACAAATCTATCTCAGATGCCACCGCCGAAGAACTTCAATTAATTGCCCAGCGGTGGACGATAGTCAATAAGCCGTTGACTCACGTGAACTTCCTACTTCGGCACAAGGAGCAACCGCTGGGTATCGCAGGGCTAGGTTGGATTGGCCCTGCCAATAGCAATGATGCTAGTCATCAAGCAGAAAGAGCTGGGGCAGCGGGGGTAATGCTTCAACCTTTATGGAGAGGGAAGGGATATGCCTATGAAGCTCTGCGCGTGGTATTTGAGTATGGAATCCGCGAGTTAGGTCTGGTGGAAATTCATGTGGGGAGTCACTCGGGAAATCTTCCGATGAAGAGTTTGATGGAGAAGAAGTTTGGGCTACAGCCGGAGGTAAAGGCGGAAGAATTAGTGGATCAGTTTGGAAATGATCTCTTATGGATTGTGAAAAGAGAAGAGTGGCTTTCGACCAACGACTAAGCCAATCTAGGTCGTATGTTATTGTGTTCGGCCCGTGCTCTAGTTAGACTATTTCAAAGTTAATTAGCTATTAGAAATCTCCCCGTATAGGAGATTTTATATAAAAGGAAAACATTGTACAGGAATTCAGCTAGCGTGTCGCGTTTTATTGAGCCGGCTTACTCATTGAGCAATGGCGGCGAGGGGATGAGCACTAGAACGGAAGAAGACAGCCAGAAGTTGCCGGACATTGTCCGGTATATATACATCAACGATCAAATCAACACTCTCCGTAGGCCGTCTGTTCCACCGAGAACTCTTCTCCCTGTGACTGGGCATCTACCCTTCCCACTCTCCCACTGCCCACCGCGCTTGCGGGAGCCCTTCGCTTCGGCATCATGGCCATCCGAGGACTGCTTCACAGCCTCGTCATCACCAGTTATCTCCTCCTCCCAAGGCGCACCTGCGCCTTCCCCATTGATGAAATCCAGCTGGCGCTGGTGCTCGCCATTGAGCCAGTGGAAGATGCACACGTAGCAGAACACATATCCGGTCTGACAGGCGGTCGGGTTAACAAGCGTGTTCAAGCAGACGGGGCAGGTGTTTGCGCTGGAGATATCGGCCGGCGGTAGTGGCACTGTGAAAATGGGAAGATAGGAGGTTGCGGAGATAGGTGGTTGGTGCCGGCGAGGTGCTTTCAGTGCAGACTTTAATTCTCCAGAAGCCTTCTTTTCCTGCTCTGTTTGCTTCTTCTCATTCTCTTCCTGTCCAGACTTCCGTCGCTCAGCTGGATTCGTCAAGCCCGAAATGACGGGAGCGGGCAAGTCCAGAACCTCAGTCGCCTTGCGAGCCAATTGGCGCGAGAAATCGCTCGCATGCCACCACTCCAGGAACTTCAAAGCAAAAATCGATGCGGGGAGGAAGTAGCGCAGAGAAGTGAGAAGTTGTGGGTAGATATTTTGTGGGCTCAGAAGACCCATCAGGCCCGACCCAGGTCGCTGAGATCGGCTTCCACCAGGCGCAGGCTTTGGTTCTAGCACGGCGGCAATAGCACGGTGATCAGCGGCTCCAAGGCGGCGAATTCGCGTACCAATGAGCCAAAGGAACGGAGAGGAGTATTTGGTATTATCGAAAAGGTAGGCGAGATTGAACGCCAAGACAGAGAAATAGTACGCCGCGTTCACGGACGGATATACATTGCGCAAGAACCATTTATAGTAATGGAAGATGCGCTGGCGGATCGTCGGGCTATGCGAGAGGTCGTCGCTGGGATTATATCGCGGCCCGCCGCCCATCACCAAAGACGCCTGCGGCGCGGCATAGATGTCGTATCCTTCGTCTAGCTTGCGCTTCAAGTAGGGAATACCGACCATGACGAGCAGGTTCTTCCACACGTCTGTTGAGTGCAACTTGAGGGCGTCGCGCACGGGGCCAGCGGCGCCAACCTGGGCGCGTGGAACCTCGCCATTCTTCGTGCGGAGGACGCGCTCGCGCTTGAGAGAGTAAAAGTTCTCTGTGAAAGAGCCGCCGAATGTGCGGAGGTAATAGCGCTCGACGACTAGGGAGAGGAGAGCGTAGACCTCGTCATAGGAGTTGAGGATCCGGAGGAGGTACCGCGGGTGGCGGTGCGTCGCGACTGCGAGGAGGTAGCGGAGGGATGGTGGGAGGAGATCGGAGAGTTGCTGTTCAGCGAGGAGTTCTAGTTATCAGGGATTCCCAGGTTAGCGATTTTCCACAATTCTCCTGACTCCGCATGAGACTGGCAGTTCCCCAGATTCGGGTGGTACTGGAACTCCATTCCCCCGCAAGCGCAAGAGGATGGGGCATCGGGACTCACCGAAGAGCGACGGCTTGTGCTCATCAAATTCTTGTTGAAGACTAGGTAGGTACTCCATGATTTGGAGCACCAGTCATCCTCAGACGGGCGCGGATGGATGGTTGTCAGAGCACGCGGTCGGTCGAGGAGGGAAGTGGCCGTCGCCGGTTCCAGGCGATCGGCGTCAGCCGAGGCCCAACTTGCACGGGCCGCAGTTGACTCCGACTCATTTACAATTTACGAGGCTCGGGAGTGGTGGTCATGACCGTCCTACACAGAATGTACTCGGCGAAGGAGAATATTTTCAGTATTGGTACAATTATATGCTAGGCTATAATACAAGATCCCTTGCTTCAAAAGCTGGGCTGTACAAGCGCCTTCTGGCATCGTCTCCAAAGGTCCAGGAAGTAGCTGGGAGACCCATCATCGACCCGGTTCTGGATATTCGGGTCTGCCACCAGCAGGCAATGCATGATAGAAGTCACAATAGGACCCTTCAGCTCAACGGCGGTAGACTCTCGATCCATCATGGGTACCCATGTCGATAGACAGTCTCGCGCGCGACCCTCTTCGCCGAGGTCTGCGTGCAGCTGGAACAGTTGCCGGTAGTCCTCTTGCGTGCGGCAAGCACCTTTCAGGGGTAACTGGCGCCAGATACGCCAGAAACCATCATAATCCTCGCATCGAAACTGGGTCAACATCAGCTGTCGTGCCTCTTCCACGTCGAATGGAACCTCCGCGGCCGAAACAATCTTCGATAGCCGGTTCAGCATGAGCCGCTGAGCCTTGGTCCACTCTTTACCACTCGTAGCCTGGTCTAGCGGCTCCTGATCTTCTGAAGGCACTGTGGGCGGTTTCGTAGGAGTGTCGACTACTCGGTAGAGCATGTTGAAAATTTTGAAGTTAAAAATCGGCACGCCACGCAAGCTGAGACGATCAAGGACCTGCAAGGCAAGCTCAATATCCTCCTGCGGGAGGTAGTTTACAGGCTGATCGTTCGGGTCCTGAGCTGACCGCGGCGCCAACAGTGCACCAACCGCATCGAATGCGAGGTCGTCTTCCAGCTCATACCCATCCTGAAGAAGTTCGCTGAAGGCCTTGAACAAAGCATCCTTGCTATATGCTGGATGTTGCCGAGAGACTGCAATAGAGTACAGCTTCATGCGAAGAACTGCGATATCTCGAGCGGACATGTCAGCTGTAAGGCTGGCATAGAGGAGCTGCAGGAAAACAGTAGACTTGTAGTCGTCAGGACCAGTTCCGAGCTCAGCTCTGGCATTTTCGTGAGGAAGCGAGACCAGCATGCGAAGCAAGGAATCCGTGCTCATTTCGAGCCCAGGAGCTTCCGCTGTGGCGGAGGTCGCAGCCAAAGCAGCATCCAGACTCAATGTTTCGTGTTCAGTGCCGGGGCTCACAGTGCGGCGAGCGGTATGCATGCTCCTCCTCTGACCATTGGAATTACCGATGCCTCCAAAAGATGGGCGGTTGCTTGTTGAATACTCTTTGCTGGGCTCTGCTTCGGACTCGTCCCGCAGCCGGTTTCGCTCAGCCCGCTCCAAAGTCTTTTGCCACAAACCGTCCAGATCAAGATCAGCCCTTTTCTCCTCCGTGAAAATCTGGACCACCACGTTCGTGCCAGTTTCCAGTTGCCCGAAGCCTTCAAATCCAGCATCCTTGAGATCTGTCTTCGCCGCGTTTCTGTCCACCACGCCTGCATTCACGCAAATCCAGCCTGTGGTAATTCCGTCGTCCTTCTCATCGACGGTGGTGCCAGCGTGGCTCGCCGCACGCGCCCGCTTGGCCTTGCGACGGAGTTTGATCTTCAACTCATTGCGTCCCAGCAGTCCATCGGCATATGGGGAAAGCTTATACTTGCTTCTCAACCACCGGCAAAGACGGTCAGCTGAAACATTCAAATGCTTCACGCTGCGCGCTGTTCCGACAATCATGATCACATTGGCACCCAATGCCGCAGGAATATCAAGGCCTCGTAAGTCGAAGAGCTTCAGTTGATCCAAGCCAAGGTCCTTGTACGTGTAGTCGAGAAGGACGGGGAGTATTTCGGGGGAATTTTCGGGGATCTCTGGAATATGATCACCTGGTACAGGGCGCTCCTCGGTAGCTTGCTGTTCTTCCTGCAAGTACCAGGGGGCGTGCGATGTAGCCGGCGTGCTTGTTTCTGACTTCACAGAGTCTTCTTCCGCCGGCGACGTATTGATCGCTGGGATACTCGAGACAGGGGGTGGATCAGAGCGCAACGATCCTACTGCGGAGAAAGCCCTGGAATTGAAGCTGGGACGTAGGACGTAGGTATATCGGGGCATCGGCACGCCTGTAACAGCAAGGAAGGATCGAAGAACCTCATGGTGACATGAAGGGCATGCAGCCCTTCGTAAAAGAGCCCTGCTCATTGTGGCGCGATTATGTTAAAGCTGCTGAGCACACGACTGCCGCTTGGCGTCGGAGAAATCGCTGGGCGGCCACTATCGCTCAGTGCAAATGGAGCAAACAGCTGAGTCATGCACAAAAAAAGATTCCTATCGAGGCGGGGCAAAAGTTACAAATCGATCTTTTTGAGATTCCCCTCTCTTTCCAGATTATTGATCGGTGTCCTGACTCCAAGATGTCGATGGATCTGGATGCCCCCGTCCCTATGTCGGGGCTGCAAGAGCAGCCTATCATCTCGGCGACGTGAGTCTCTAGCGAGAATTCTTTTGCTGCGGAAGATTTGACTGACTTTCTATAGTATTCTTTGCTGCAACTGTGGTGCTCCTATCGATGGAACCCTCTCTGCCGGTGCACTTTGCCAGGAATGTCTCCGGAATTCAGTAGATGTTACTGGAGGCATTCAACGCGAGGCCACCCTCCACTGCTGCCGAGACTGCGAGCGTTGGTTGCAGCCACCGAACAGCTGGGTTGTCGCAACCCCAGAGTCGAAGGAGCTGTTGGCTGTCTGTCTGCGCCGTCTCCGTGGCCTATCCAAGGGTATCTTATCTTCTACCTAATTCTCAGCTTCTATAGTTATTTATCCATCGCTAATCACTTCTATCTAGTGCGCGTGATTGATGCCAAGTTCCTCTGGACCGAGCCCCATTCTCGCCGCATCAAGGTCAGGATCTCGATCCAAGAGGAGGCTTTCCAGGGCACCATCGTTCAGCAGACATTCGAGGTGGAATATGTGGTTGCATCTCAGCAGTGCGATGACTGCAAAAAGAGTTATACCCACAATACCTGGAGAGCATCGGTTCAAGTTCGGCAGAAGGTGCCACACAAGCGGACGTTCCTGTACCTGGAGCAGTTGATTCTGAAGAATGGCGCCCACAAGGATACAGTCAACATCAAGGAGGCAAAGGATGGATTGGACTTTTACTTCGCGCAACGAAACCACGCTGAGAAGGTGAGCTCTTTTCGATCGGGTTTTTTTCCTACTGAATACGGGTTCACTAACAATATATAGATGGTGGACTTCCTACAGTCTACGATTCCCTGCAAGATGAAAAAGTCCCAGGAGCTGATTTCCATGGATATTCACACCTCAACCAAGTCTTACAAGTTCTCCTACTCTGTCGAGTTGATTCCCATCTGCAAGGATGATTTGGTTGCACTTCCCCTCAAGCTTGCTCGTCAGTTGGGCAACATCTCACCCTTGACCATCTGCCACCGTGTCGGGACTTGCTTGAACATTCTCGACGTCACCACTCTTCAGACGGCCGAGGTTGCCAGTGGAACCTACTGGCGCTCGCCATTCAGAAACTTGGCCGACGTTACGGAGCTGAAGGAGTTCATCATCATGGATATTGAGCCCCTTGGCCACTCGAGCGGCCGGTACCGTCTCGCCGAAGCCACCGTTGCACGGGCCTCTGATCTAGGAAGCAACGACACCACGTACTATACGAGAACTCACCTCGGCGGTATCCTGCACGTCGGTGACTCCGTGCTTGGCTACCATTTGACCGGCACCATCTTCAACGACGACAACTTTGAAGCCATCGAAGCAAGCAGTCAGTACGGCTCGACAATCCCGGACGTCGTCCTCGTTAAGAAGAGCTATGCTCGCAAGAAGAAGCCCAAGAACCGTGCCTGGCGCCTCAAGCGCATGGCTCGCGAGCACGAGGAGGAAGCTCTTGCTGCTGGCGGCCAGCAGAATCGCCGCCAGGAGCAGGAGCAGGACCGCCTCGAGCAGGACTTCGAGATGTTCTTGCGTGATGTCGAGGAAGATCAGGAGCTGCGGCATACTCTGGACCTGTACAAAGCCCGCGCTAAGCCCCAACAAGAGCATGAGATGGATGAGGACAGTGAGAGCGGTGAGGATGAGGTGCCGAAGATCAACATGGACGAGCTGCTTGATGACTTTGATGAGCTGAACATGGGCGACGAATGAGCTTTCTGCGAGTGATATCCTTCTGACGATCATGGCTGGCGTTCTTCATTTTTGGTCTCAGTGTTCTTTTATTTCACGGGTTGGGTGGTCCAGAAACAAAAGTTTTGCAAATAGATAGCATGGAAATGGATGCAAATATTCTCATCGTCACAAGAACAAAAATATGGATATCTGAAACCTAGTAAATCATAGGATGCCCCGAGTTGATAGCAGGGTTCGGAAACAATGTACATGGATCAAGACCTCAAAAGATCTTCCCAAGCACTCTCTTTGCATCATTCCCAATCGCCTTCTCGTCCTTCCCAGTAGCAGAAACAACATCATTTTGCACGAACCGCCTCCGTACAGGCGCAGACTTTCTCGGCGCAGCATCCGCAGCCTCGCCTTGCCCATCAGCCTCAGCCTTCCGCTTCCTCTTCTCCTCGTTCTTCCTTGCCATCCCATCCGCAACACGGCCCGCCTCCACACCGGCCAAGAAAGCCTTCTCCTCTTTGCGTGCGCGCATATCGGCAATCCGTTGTTTCGACTCTCTCTCGGATCTCTCCCTTTGCATGGTCTCCATCAAATCCGCCCATCGGAACCCACGCAGATATTTCATGTTCCAGATATCGTCATGATAAAAGCTGCCCTTTTTTCCACCAATGATGCGAGAATTAAGGGTCTCGGCTGTGATACGAGCCGTCTTCTTTGATTCGAATTCAATCCAGCCTTCGGAGTAGAGTTTGCGCTTGTTACTGCGCCGTGGGGTCGAGGAGTTGTTGGGGACTAGCGGCGACAAAAACAGCTTGGTAATGGGACCAAACCCACGTGTCTCCAGGAGATTCTTAAGCGCAAAGCTAAAATAAGAGGTCAGTCTCAGTCAAGCATCATAATCCCAGCACAGAAAGCAGCTCACGGTTTGAGGTATGGTGGAAGGGAAGACAAGTACACAACCCCAGTCTTGTCCTTTTTGGGCGCTTTGAGAGGCTTAGTGGATAGGAGTTTGCCAGATTTCGTCTTTTCTTTGGAGCTCGAATTTGGAGAGGACTTGGTCACTTCAAGGTATGCGCCTTCGTTTTCGGCTTCATCTTCATCTTCGTCCTCGTCCTCTTCTGAGGCGGCCTCTGGTTTCTTCACTTTTGATTGCTTGCGGGTCTTACCCTTGACCTCGGATCGTGACTCCTCCACCTCATCCTCATCTGCAGATTCATCTTTATCCGACTCTAGGCCAAAGAAGTCCTGTGTGTCGGTCCGTCGCTTCTTCATCGGCCGACCTTTGGTCCCCATCACATGCTCCTCAGAATCGTAGCCGCGAACACTGGCCTCGTCTTCATCGCTGCGCGCAATGTCCAGGAATTCGTTATGCTTTCTAGTCGTCATTATGCGGAGTGTGCGGAGGTGTAGTGGTGGAGGGGAATGAAAGAACCTCGTGGAGCGCAAGAAGATCGAGGTCTCCAACTTTTTTTTGCGGCAAATTATGTGGTCCGTGCGTCTCTCCGCTCCGACTCCCCGACTTTGCGTTGCGATCTACAGCTACTACAACAGTACAGAGTGCGCACCCATCAAAATCAAGAGATTTGTCGAAGAAACAGAATATATGTACGGTCCTGGGGTAGTTTATCCACATGAGCCACCCCGGGCTCCTTTAATGCTGACAAAATGAAGTCCAAATGTCCACACAACGCCAACGGTGGGAATCACAAAAATGATGCCATGACTACATCGCTGCCTCCGCAGCAAAAATCATGTGTTCTATCGCGCAAATGTATATAGTATATGTGGCGAAGAGAAAAGACGGTGTAAGGCGGAAAAGGAGGAAACTCAATCGAGCCGAAATAAGGGCAGCAAGCGATAAGTCTAGATTCCCAATGACCACTTCAATCGCTCATAGACAAAGAAGCTGGTCGCGGACATGGGTATGATCTTCATGTACCCGATCGTCAAGCCAACCCAGAAACCACGGATGCCTCGTTCAAGCAAAATCTTGCGGCCGGTCTCGATAATGCCGAGCCGTTGGCCGCCGCCCACAGCGCCGCTGACTTGCATCCGCCGCCGGATCACCTCGAGTGGGTATGAAAATGATTGTGAGACGAGGCCGGCAGTGGCGCCAGAGAAAAAAGCTCTGCTGCAGCTGTAAGCTGGGGCTGTCGTGAACCCTTCTTCGGTTTCGATTCTGAAGCTGGAATGGTCGTGTATTGTGCTAGAGCAGGGTGGCGGAGCCAGTCGCCTACTGTATCGTGTGTGAGGAAAGACATTCCCGCGTAGGGCAACATGCCGAGGATGGTGGGGCCAAAACCACGGTAGAAGTTGGCGATGCCAGAGCGTAGCCCGGCCTGTTTGACGGTCGAAGCGACAGTCTCAGCAGTAGCAACCGTGGCCGAGGCTGTTTTAGCTGTCGCTGGTGGCAAGGTGCGCTCATTGTAGATTTGCCGACAAATATCCGTCAGAGAGGAACGGGACGACTGTTTTGTTTCGAACGCTAGTCGTACTCGCACAAGTTCGAGGGGGTATGTGAAAAAGACGGAGGTAATGCCTGCCAGGCTGCCAGACACCAGGCGGCGGAACGAGGTCTCTTTGTCGTGGGACGGGATCACGGCTGCACGGATCTGCTCGTAGGCAAGGAACTTGATGGCGGCATAGGGGAAGATACGGAGAAGCGTGGCGGAGTGGCCTTTGTACAAGCCTCGTGCACCTTCGTGTCGCTTAATATCGCGAATTGCAGCCGCAAGACCGGCCCAACTGCCCGTGTATTTGGCAAATTGAGGATTTGAAGCTTGGAAGAGGATCTTAACGCGGTCCAGAGGTGCGACGACGGTTTTGGCCTATATGCCACCCCGATCAATATGTATTTCCCTCAAGCCATTTTTGATTGTGTGTACTTACCGCACAGCCCGCTAGTCCTCCGGCGAGACCGCTTCGTAGAACATAGTCTACACTCCTTTTCGTCACGGCCTCGCCACTCTTCTGTGTGTCTACACCAGCTTTCGGGGAAACCTGTGCACTGGCGCCGCCAGCAATGGGCCCAGGCGATGATCTGCTTTGAGCGATCCCACTCATCTGAGAGTCGGACTGCGGATTGGACTCCGGGCTTGGGTGAAAACCGTGGCGTGGCGTGCGAACGACAGAATCAAACTGCGCATGGTCTGGAAACCCAGTCGACATGGGAAGGAAGTCGTGGAAGGTGAAGGGCGATCTTGTGCAGCCGAGGCGCACTGAGGCGGGGGGGTTTAAAGGAGGGTCTGGGGAATTTACGGTGGTTCTGCCCCCTCGTGATCACTCGGCGATGTTCTGGCAGAAAAGTTTCGGGTTACCGGAGGATCGTCGGACAGGGCAATGCAGGTATTGGTCGGGGTGGGTGAGATGTTGAAGGTGTCAAATATGTCCGCGCAGCGACTGCTGGGCGCTTAGAGAGAATGCGAGGGTGACAAGGCCAAGCAGAGATGTGGTTTGTCTGAACTTCGCCGTCGCTGACGTCGGTTTGCCATGGGGGAATTCGGCGTACGGGCTGACATGCCGATACCAGCCGCACCCCGCGTGTAGCCGCAGAATTACGGTACCATTACCGTTATCAACGGCGGGCCCGGTGGCGAGCACGAAAACCGCCAGTCCCGAGAAGCCGAATTGTCAGCGCGAATCTTCAGTAAGTTACTCTTCTCCATAACGTTCGTTCAAGTACACCGTGGTTCGGTAACGATTTGGTCGATCTATGTGCCTCATTTTGTCTATCTAATGCTCGAACCGCGGGAAACAACACCAAGCATAACACCCCCTTAACCATCCCGACTTGCCAGAGATGCGAGGAACTGTATACAAACCCCCCCCTAGAAATAGTACACTAACAAATTCGTGGTCGCGTGAGCGGGTAGAAACACACAAAAAAAATGGAACGAGAACAATCAGATTCACCTCAACCGTTACTAAACCCCGCGCCGCGAGCCCCGTCGGGTCAACGTCTTTCCCCGCGTTCCTCGGCCTCCTCGCGTATCCTCAGTGTTCCGCTTGTACCGCTTGGCGGGCCGCTCAGGATCGACGTGCAGCTGGCCATTCTCACTGAGAGACGTGCTGTTCCTCCACCGTAGGCAGCGGAGGCGGTGATCATTGACATCCACGTAGGTCTTATTGCGCGTAGTGACACGTTTGGTGGGCAACTCCTCCGACTCGGCCCGCTCGGCGGTCTCGGCCAGGTACTCCTGGCGGTTCTTCATGTACTTCACAATGATATGCCGCTGCAGGTGGAGTTCCTTGAGCAATTTGCACTCCCGGTTGCCTCGCCCATCCAGCCACTCGATCAGCTGTTCGATCGCCTCGGGATCATCGTAGTAGCCCCATTCGCGGGCATTCGAGACATGCGTGGGACCCTCTTCGTGCTTCTTGCGTTCGGCCGGGGTCGTGTGGAAATGCTTCTGATACTGCTTGCGTTGGTCGTCGGTCAGGTCGATAAAGCCTGCACGCTCCATGTCATCCGGGCCCTGAACCCAAAGGCGACCATTGGCATACCGGGCCTCGGCGGTTGAGCTGTCCGGCATCCCTGCGTGGGGCATCGCATTGCGCTCAAACCACCAGTAGCGATTGCAGAAACGGTCCAATCCCAGGCACTTCGTGCGTGGGCAGTCGGCCTCTCGCAATTCGTTATCTACCGTCTCGATCTTCTCTTCGATTTTCTCAATCTTGGCCTTTTGGTCGTCGATTTTCTTGAGAACCCGCTGATACTGCTTGGATCCTTTAGGCTGTTTGGCCAGCTGCTCCTTTCGCTCTCGCTCCTCGTCTTGCTTCCGCTTGCGTTCGGCTGCGCGATCCGCACCGCCACGGAGTGCACGCGGCCGAGGAGTGTCTTCGTCGTCTGTATCCATGGGAATCTCGGAATCACCCTCCAGGCCAGTCATCTTTGAGTCATCCAACCCGTCAAGCTCTGGCAGAGGGGTCGGCGATTTCTCAGTGGTCTTCTCGGGTTCTGGCTGAAGTGCCTTTCGCTCCTGGTGCAATTGTCGCAGTTCTTGGACGCTGAACATCAAACGCGTTAGCCTCTGGTAGCTTGATAGCTAGTCGTAAAAGCAGTTCAAACTTACGCTGCCTTGCGAGCCTTCTGGTGCTCAATCTTCACCTTGCGGAACTCAGTCATCTGAACACTGCATTCCTCCATGTAATTCCGGATGGCCTTAGTTTCCAGGCTCAGCATACAGATAATCTGGAGAGCCTTGATGCGCAAGTTGACATCAAGGGTGCGGTATTGCACCTGTGCTGTCTTCTGGGTAGCGGGCTCATCGAGCGGTGCCAGGTGCTCGAGAACGTCATTGCAGGTCTTCTCAAGGCGAGGCCGAACAGACAGCTGGTGCAGCAGGCCGATCATTACCAATTCCCACCCACCGTTGCGGAAGTCTCGCCGGCGCAGGCGATCAATCCAGCTATAGTTGCCGAACATCTCGGCGGCACGATGAATCCGTTCATCTTCCTGGGGCTCCTCTAGCTGTGCCTTCAAGCTCTCGGCCTCTTTCCTTGCCAAGCTTCCACGAGTGGCCATTCGCCCTCCACGCCCAGGCTCTTCTTCTTTCTCTTCGCTCTCTTCGTCTTCCTCCTCTCCAGAGTCATCATCTTCAGAGTCGTCCTCGGAGTCGTCCGATTCTTCAGATGGGAAATCCGGGAGAGAAATCTGGGCAGCACCGCCATTGTCGTCTGAATTGACCAGCTTCTTCAGGAGAGCGCAATGGATTTCAACGAAAAGTTCACATTCCATTTCCTCGGATGAAAAGCGCATGGCCTGAACGAAGTCGTCGAAGGTGAACGAATCCAGCTGGAACACCTCACAGTAGACATTGAGCGTGTCCCAAGTTTCAAGAAGCAAACCTACCGATTCGGGCTCCAGATCGTCCGGTAGCAGGTCATCAGCACCATCGTCGTCTGTCTCCCCCACCATCAGGAATTTCAGGGTAGGACGGTGAGTTTTATCCTTGTTGGGAGCGAGCTCAAGATCTTCAATGGGGTATTTGATCGGGGGTGGCGACGGTGGCCGAGATTCATTCTTGATAACGACAGAGGGAGGAGCCATCTTCTTGTCGCCGACCAGCGGCGGCTTGCTTGGCCGAAGGGGGTTGCTTGGTGAGAGGAATGAAGGATTCCCGTTCAGCGATCGCTGATATTCAAGGTACTGTGCTTCGCGCGATTTGGCCAAATCCTGTGCGGAGATCTTCGACTTCGATCCCTTCACTGCAGGCTTCAGTTCAGGCAACTGCTGCGAAGAAAAAAAGCCGAAGAAGCCTTCCTGGTCAGCCTTCTTCATCGCCTTCTTTTCGGCCACCTTCGCACCATATTGCAGGTGCTTGGGGACCTCTGTGGAAATCTTATACTCCTCCGCTACCGACGGTTTCACCAGCCAAGGAGCGCCAGTCCACGACTCTCGGGTGACGTTATTTTTGATGAAACCACGCAGCATCAATTTAGTGAATGACTTCCGATCACGTGTGATATGGTCCTGATCCAACAGGGCCTCTTCGTTTGGTCGGTCCGAAATCTTAACAAGGTACCTGGCATATGCCGGCGTCTTGATGGTGCCATCCGCATATAGCTGTTCGGCAAAGTTGGCCTTGTCTCTAATCGTTCCGTGAAGTCTGCTGCTGTCTTCAAGTAGAATAAGGACCGGCTCTCCCGGGTAGAAGTCTGATTTGAATTCCTGTTGAATTTTCGTTAGAGGCGAAGGAGAGATTTCCGGTGCACGACATTCAATGTAGTCTTACTTCATAAATTTCGTCCACTGCCAAGTAACGTCCAATTGTTAGCCCACAGTCCTCGAGTGATTTACCCTTCATAGAAAAACATACCCAAGCTGTCAACCCGGGAGACCGTCGAAAACTGAATCCGGCGCAGAATCGGCTCCTTCAACGCTTCCGGGAAACTATTATTGACCTCGCGCGATTCTTCTAACTGATCCGAATGTTCAGCACCTATCCGTTGGCGCGCCTCGGCTCTTCCACGGATTTCCACCTACCTCGCTCCGGAGCGCCTCAAAAAAGTTCATTCCCGAGTGACCAGTGATCTCGCAGATAAATCGGCGCGATTTATAAAAGTCCATCCGCTGGAGGTACGGCTCATAGCTCGTGAAGACCTCGTTGGTCTCTGGGATAACCCAGATCTAAAGAAGAAAAGCGGAAGTGTCAACCAAGCAATTCCTTCACGCGTCAAGGCTTCGGTATAGCACACCTCGGAACTATCATCTTCGATAACTGGTCGCGGGAGGTATTGGACCGGTTTGCGTTTGAATAGGACCTAGGCGACAGTGAGCTTGCGCCTCATCACTACCGTGATTGTTCCACCGCCAGTGACCTCATAATCAATATCTTCCAGGAACAGGCGAGGTCGCGTACCATTATCCTTTATACACTGGGCGAACACGCGCCAGCCTACCGGAGACTTCCGCGAGCAACCTCGAACATGAACTAACTAAAAAGCACGCGACTCGTCAGCGACTGTATCGGGTCATGTCAAAGTTATATACGGCCATGACAGGCTCGAATAGAAAGATAAACGAGAGCGAATAAGATCTGCGACGCAGCAGCCACGATGGGGTACCCGAGATCTTAAGACGGCACCTCGTCGAGGTTGCGGTCGAAGCGACACGGGCCCAAGCAAGTGTGGGGACAGCGAGATGGGTAGTAAATCGTGGACATACCGGAGAAACGCGTCGGAGATGGCACAGAGTCCCAGACAATTGCCAGTTATGGACGAGACCGATGGTAAGTGGACGGGGTGGTAGAGAACGCGCAAGGCGAAGAGAAGAATTGAAGGGGAAAGAAAGCAGAGAAGAAGAAGCGCAGAAGAGGAGCGGTCGATCAACCGCGCCTCCGACAGCGGGCGCTGATTGGCGGAGAGGAGGAGCAGCGGGAGCCAAAGGCAGAAAACCGCCGCTTTCCTCGGCGACCCTCTTTGACCCTCCTTTTCGGCTTGCGCTGCGTATGCTGCCCGCCGTGAGCATCCACCCCCCTTTTTCATCCCAACACCACCCGTATTTATACTCGTTATACTCGTCGGGTGCTGTAGATTTTGCTTACAGGTATTTTCTGCCAACAAATCGCGAAATTTATCTCTTTCAGCGCGATTATCAACTATACCGTTATAGCCTTGGATCAGCGACTAGGCTGAATTAATAACAAAAGCTGCGAGATGCGTCCCAAAATACCTTCTTTAACCACCACCATATTTGTTAGAGCTTGTTAGACCATATATCAACCTGCTCCATCGTTCTTTCTGTTTGGGAAGTGGCTCCAACCCTTTCTCAACAATATCAGCAGTATCTTCATCTGCTAACATATGGGTTATACTAACCCCCACTCCTTCGCCCCATTCTTTACTTAGAACCTTTCTCATGGTAATAGCCATAACTATCCTCGGTGTTAACAAATAGTATGCGACAAAGTGTTTCATTGTCGTCGAAGATGCTTCGCTGAGAGAAAATCACTTCTGGACATGATGAAACATAAACAAAGCTGGAGCTACAGCTATCTGTCAAATTACAAAAGCCTTGTATTTCTTAGCAATTTTATGTGTCAAGGCATATTTTTTTTCTCGAAAATTATCTCTCACATATCCAGTATATGTCTTTCGTTAACGACAAAGGATCGAGTTTTTCTTACAATCATGTCCATGATGATCAATCTCCCCATTGGCCATCCTCACTCCCATGGTTCCGCTACAAGAAGAGCTTTCAGAGCTCTACATCCTTCTCTAATATTTGACTATTTATCCCGAATAAAAGAAAAGCTCCATCTGCTGCGTCAGTTTACAGCCCTCTCGTTCTGGTGAAAGACTAGACCCGGTCCAATATTCATCTTAAAGCTGGCGATTGCTAGCAATTGAACTGGTCGAAAATACAGCACATATCCTTTTGCCAAAGAGCATAGCTGCCTTGGTACTAGCTCACCTGCCTCGCGCATTCTTTCAAACTATTGCGATGCAGCGGCTGCCCTGCTCTCTAGTCTTGAAGTTTATTATATCCCGTTTGATTGAAGGACAACACTTTCCGGGTAGATTCCACTAGAATACAGATTGCTTGCACAGAACATTGCATTCCAAAAGCACAAGGTGATGATAGGCTTTGCTGTAACGCGTTGAGGGAGAAATCGCCTCTCTGCATCATTATTTTGCGGCGATATTTCTGCGGTCCCGGCGAGGTTTGAGAATTTGATTTATTTGCTTCGTCTGTGAAATCAGGTCCCTTCGTGAGGAGGGGCGATTTTACATGATGTGAGCCCGAATTACTGGAAGTATTCTATTCCAGGGTGGTTAATTTCCGAAGTTGGGAAGTAGTATTCTGCAGAAACTATCAGATATTGCACACGATCGGATACGCCACATTCCACCCGAAAAATGCCCAGAATGCTTTTCCAGAAATAGCAAACTCAAGTTAACGATGTGGTGACTCAATATAAACCTTCAGAACTTCCCAGGCTGGGTGTTACACACACCCGATTTGTATCCAGCATGCAGCTCCCAGACGGCAACCTGCATGGATTCACGAGGGGAGACTAGCCTCTTTCGGCGAGGTGCAGAATAGACTCCGTGGTTGGGTGGGTCGCGGCCCACGTGGCTTGCCAAACATGGCAAACAGTTTACGTCACCCTATCCTGGATTGGCCCACGGATGCGATGATTTGGAGCAGAAGAAAAAGTGTCCAAGTGTTAAGGTGTCTATTTTGGATAATTCTATCTAGGGATACACTCACGTGGTAAAGTATACCACCATAAACCCGACCCAGCTTCCTAAAACCCCAATTGCACAGTAAGTACTCATAAACATCAACGGGAGGAACTGCAGCCGATCCGATCCGAAGATCAGGTGGTGAAGCAGCGAGGTGTACAAGACCAGGGGTATCGACATGGTCAAGTAAATCAAAGAGAAGCGGTCAAACACAAAGACCCGTGGCCGTTCTGGGACTGGCGCAATGCGGTCGAAAACGAAGAGGAACAGAACCAGCCAGAAGATTGTATACACGGTCTTCAGAGGGAACTCGGCTGTTGTGAATAGTAATGGGAATAGAGAGACGTGGCCCGCAACCGCGAGGGGCCTGAAGGCACTGAAGTGTCGGCGGTCCTTCAAAGCAATCAAGCTAAAGGGAATAATAATCAAAAGGATGGCTTTCTCATGGACGTGCCAGCCAAAGAGAAATGAAGCATAGCCACAAAGGGTTATTGCTCCGATGAAAGTATCCCAGTCATCTCGGTTCAGCCAAAGCTTCACCAAGGGGACCAGCTGAAAGACGAAAGTCAGGAGGAAAGTCTGCTCCTTGGTCACCTCCGGAAGAATAGCAAAGGAGGTGTCCCCAACAAGGCCTCGAGTAACACTATTGAGGGCCTCGTGGTTCACAGGCAGACCTAGGCGAGGAGCAACTATAGACCATGTTAGAGGATCCAGGCACACGAATGGTTAGATATATCGCACAACTTACGTGGGATCAATGCACGGTCGGCAAACGAGTAGATTGCCCAGAAGTTGGGCGCCCAGTACGCATGGCACAGACCTCTTGAAAAAGGGAAGAGACGATCCTTTAACTGGAGGATTGAATCTGCAAAAGGCCCAAAAGCAATGCCGAAGACGCCCACCACACAGACCCCGAGCTTGATAATATTCAGGAAACGTGGGCGTAGAGCATTCTTAGGATCCAAGCAGTAAGCGCGCAGGAGGTAGACGAAGTAGGCGAGCGAGAGGTAGAGGTAGATATGCTTGAAGCAGAGCAGAACAGCGAACAGGAACCCACTGGCGAGGAGTTGCTTGCGAGCAAGAACAAGCGACAGGATTAAAATGCCATACATAAATCCATTGTATTGAAAGTGGATGTGATCGATGATAAAGAGACCCGGTGAGAGAAGGATCGAGAGACTAGCCACATGCGCCGCCTGTTTGTTCGGCAGAGGAGCAGTTTTGATGAACCTAAGCAGCCAGAGGCAGTTAGCTTCGCTCCATTCGAGGTATGTGCGCGAGGGGTAATTTCGTACCGGCTCAAAGCGTACACAAGGACTAGCTCCGTCAGGATAACAGTAGTCCTTTGGAAGTAGACGGTCTGCCAGGAATCATATTCCAAATTTTGAACCACCAGCATTGCAGGATCCACAAAAGCGGCAAGTTGCGACATCAGCCATTCGAAAGCCGCAAAGAACGGGGGGTAATCGAGAGTCCATTCGGAAGTTTTCTATAGCATTTTAGAACCATGGATTGAGCGCGCCCGGTGTACCAACCTCGTAGTACCACTCCTTGACAGGAAGAGAATGTGTAATGGCAAGCCAGTTGCGGTGCACCTCAAAATCGGTCGATTTGCTATAAAGACACACGGTCAGTATCGCGCCGATCACATCTGGGGTCCGGACAGAGCTCACTAAGCTGGAAACAGCAGTACCTTGAAGGCAGCTGCCACGATGGCACACTGCGCCAATGACGGATAGAGCTCAGCCATGGCCGCAGCGCATCTTTTGCAAGTGGAGGGAGGCATCGAGGAACGGGCAGAATGCGGACGTGGAAGCTCTCCGCAGTCACGTGCGGCCCTGTGCGGAGATCAACTGGTCAGGAGTAAAGCCCGCCCTGCACAACACTAGGACGCTAAGGCCAGCGTATCAACAGTAATCCTCCCGCATGGACTTCACGGACGTCGGCATCCGCCACACCATTCTCAACAGTATCCAGCTGCACCACTTCATTGACTTCTCTCCCTCCGCCGCTGCGATTGCTAAGGAGGCCCGACTCTGCGTCATTGCCGTTGTGGTTGGCTGGATTACCACTCGCGTCGTCGCTAGCCTGTGCGAGTCCGACAAATCGTGCCGTTGCGACCGCGGAGCTTCCTGTCGATCGAAAGGCTCCGGTGCCGACTAATTGGTGATTGGGGCTGTGTTATTGAGGCCCACGTGAAGCGTCCGTCTATACTGCATTTGGCGAAGGGCGTTCGAGGGTTCGTTGTTTGGCCCACTAGCATACCGAAAGACTGCTTTATTTCGCTCTTCCAACAATGAAGGCGTTCATTTCGCTTGCTCTGCTCGCTATCGGGGCCACCGCTCAGGTAATTGAGAGTGCTAGCTTTGGCTATGGCAAAACGTAAGCTGCGAGAACTTGTCGTGTGTCCCTTTCCCGTTATTAGACCTAACTGTGATCGGTAGGATTTCGCCCAGTCGAGACTCGATTCCGGGGTGGAACATCGGCGGAGAGGGCCATGAGCCATCCGTTGTGAGTTCAATCCCTAAATCCCTTGTATGATGCTGCTCTAACATCCAAGCTAGCTCTCCGATAAGCTCATCTTGACCCCGCCCTACCCTGGTAATACTCGAGGATCTGCATGGGCACAGAGTCCGTATGTGATACATCATGCTCGACTTCTGCAAAGGAGATTTTGTTAACTTGTGCGTAGCGTTTCCCAACAAGAATGGTCGGCCGAATTCCAATTCCGCGCCAGCGGACCCGAACGAGCAGGCGGCATCCTTCAGTTATGGTATACCAAGGACGGACAAGCCCGAGTCGGCACTTCTAGCATCTATACTGTGAGCCAGTTTGACGGCTTCGCGCTTGTCATTGATACTCACGGTGGTCGGGTACGTTTTACCTCCCACATGTATCCTATTGACATGGCGGACATTCGCTAACAGAAGTTCATAGGGTGGAAGTGTTCGTGGGTTCCTGAACGATGGCACAACAGACTACAAGAGCCACGGTAGCGTCGACAGCCTTGCTTTCGGCCACTGTGATTATGCCTACCGTAACTTAGGCAGGCCCTCCGTAGTGAAGCTCAAGCACACCAACTCGATCTTCGAGGTCACTGTCGATGACAAGATCTGTTTCTCGACGAACAAGGTATGCAGCGTCCTTCACGATCCCTTCATGCGTCCTACCTAACTTCAGAAAGGTCAATCTGCCAGCTGGCAACACCTTCGGCTTCACAGCCGCCACCCCTGAGAACCCCGACTCCTTCGAGATCTTCAAGTTCGTTCTGGCATCTGCCACGGGCCAGGACCAGGGCCAGACCATTCCTTCCTACCAAGGTAGCGCTCAGCAGCAGCAGCAGCCGCCGCCGATCACGAACCAGAACCCGCCCGCCGTCGTGGATGCAGGTATTGCTGCACAGTTTGTCGAGGTCCAGAGCCGCATCCAGCTCCAGAACAAGGCCACCAATACCATCATCCAAGACCTTCGGGCTCAGGCTGGCAAGAATGATGCCCGCCACACGGAAATTATGCAAAAGCTGGCTTCAAAGGACCAGGTTGCTGCCCTTGATGCCCGACTCCAGCGCATCGAGTCGCTGCTCCAAAACATCCAGCGTGATCTGGAGGGCAAGGATTATAGCAGCCGCTTCAATCAGCTTCACGACACTCTGCGGTCGTCCCATCTCAGTCTGACTGAGAGCCTCCAGGGACACCTTCTGAATGGTAAGTCATTCCAATAATCTCGTCTTTCGACATCGCAGAAGCAACTAATAGCCTTTTCAGCCATCACCGCCTCCACTCCCCGCATGGGCTTCTTCATCTTCCTAGTCATCGCCTTCCAGGTTCTCCTCGCCGTTTCATACATCATCTACAAGCGTCGCCGTGCCAATATGCCCAAGAAGTTTCTATAAACGCGTCCTCAGTCCCGTCTCCTCTCGTGCCCGGTCACACATCTCGGGCGCTCTCTGTGGCGAATAACACTATACTATTCTCGCGTGTCGTTTACTAACTCTGGCGTTCTTCCTACTAAAGCGTTAGGCCTGTATGCCGTTTCGGATCTGTCATGTAGAGCACGAATTTACACTGCAATTACTATTGCTTTTACTACACAAGTTGCTATTCCAAGAGGTGCTACTAGAATATTGCAAAATAATGAAACTGCAAAATACCCATTGGGCCCATGCTAATCGTACACAGATTCTTCGAGTTTTGAATGCGCCTCCCGATGCTCATGACAATCTCGCGAAACCAGAAACCAGGGGAAATGAAAAGAAAAATGCAAGAAACAGTAGAACCCGGGCCTTGGGGTACAACGTGATCCGTACTTAGACACCTCGAAGAATGGGAGACCATATTAAAAAATGGAAATAAAACCGCCATCCAGAACGCGAAAGTCTCGATCTCATGAAGAGAGAAAAAAAGCGAAGGGCCCCTGGGGTGATGAATGACCCAATCTCATCAAAAACGCCACTGTGCATTGTTGTGCAGGCAACATGATCTTTGTACTGCGCTGGTGCTGTGTGTGTGTGTGTGTGCTGAGGGGAAATGAGAATAGGAAGAAGTTGTTGTGGCGAGAGTGGTAGAGTGGTAAAACCTGATGTGTGCGGGGCGTCCGGCCCCCTGTGTACCGATCTGAAAACGTGCCTCCGGCGTAGCCGTGAGGCTGTCTTGCACGAACGATCTGATGAATCACATAGACTCAATAAATTTGCTCCTTGCTCGGTTCATCGAGTATATTAATCGGAGTCAGTGTGCCGTCGCTTTTGGGCGCGCTCTTTGTCCTCGACAGGTGCTTCAGAGGCTGCGCGCGATCGCTTGCTCTTGCGGGTGCTCTTAGGGGTAGATCGAGTAATGAATTCATTGTCGGAGACTGCCGCCTGCGAAACTCGGAATGCCCGGGACCGTGTCCTGGGAGACTTGGGGTTCTTGCGGGAAAGAGGGGGTGAAGTATGACGAGGTATTGAGATAACAGGTTCTTTGGGGTCTGTGCCAGCCTTGATCGCTGGGGATGGGGCGGCAGCAACAGTTTCTGTGTCGCCCGTGAGAATAGAAGGAGGAGAGACCTCAAGGGGTGCCACAACGGGTGGATCATCAGATTTAGCACTGGATTCGTTGGGGTGAGATGATATCGTGGCGTCATTATCGCCGACCGTAGGAATCTTTTCGGCCTTTGCGAATCCGACAAGAGTAAGAGCAGCATCGTACTGATCTTTGGTCATTTTGCCAGTTTGGAGATTGTCGATAGCCTCATTGATGCTTGGAGCAAGTTTGGCGGTGATTTCATTAGCAGAGATGGAGCTGTTCTCTTGGAGCCGCTCTTCAACCATGTTCCTAGCCAGGTTGATGCATGTATTGGCCAGACCAGCGAAGAACGCTTTCTGCTGACGGCCGGAGTCATTGTGAACGGCGGAGATAAAGTCCAGGACGAGATCTCCGGCAGGAAGGAGGTGCCGCTTCTCACGGAAGTCATCATCGAAAGTAGTCTCATGAGCATCATCATATGGAATAGGCTCCACGTCAACCGAGGCCACAGTGTGCTTAGGACGGCGCACGCGGCGCTCTTGCAAGCGTCCATCAACCATTTTGGTCACGACCATATCATCAGGTCGGACATGGTTGGGGCACATCCACCCAACGTGAGGGTTAGGGGGATTCGCGCGGGGAGGATCAAGACAGTCCAGGTGGAAGCGAGCAGGGCAGTAGTCACAGCGAATGATCGGGCGCTCACCATCAGAGGAGCGACCACACTTGTTGCAGAGGATGACATGCCCATTTTCCATCAGCTTCAGCAGGTTCGCATCGTGGTAGGCAGGAGTTTCGGCTCCGGGCTTCGCTGGCTTAGTCAGACGCGGTATGTGGGGAACCGACCTGTAGAAGCGCTGGTTCTTCAGGTCCTTCTCGTTGGTAGGGTCAAACTGCACGCCCTCGCCAACTCCGATGAAGTACTCCTTGATTTCAGTAGGGGGGAGTATTCGGTCTTGCGCTTCTTGTGGCGTCCATGCGCGATCGCGGTGGTGAGAGGGTTGCGAACTCCGCAGCGCGGGCAGTGCCACTCACCCTGCGGCGGGTTTTTGGGATCCACGACCGGACGCAGGCATTTAAAATGGAATGCGTTTTCACAGGTATCGCAGCAAAGGAGGCTGCCACCCCGGTCACACTCATAGCAGTTGTCGCTGTTCTCAGGTGGCTCACTGTAGAAGGGATTGAAGGTTAGCGTAAGGGGGTCTTCGTCGATCATATCCCATATAGAAGGCATGACATACATCGAATTCGGCATTTGCCGCCGGGTGAAATCGCCGTGCCATTCGTTTTCACGTTCAGAGTAACACTCATTGGAGAGAGTGGACTCGGCGGAGACGGTAGTGTCGAGGGACAACTCGCGAATGCGCTTGCCCAAAACCTGCGTAGGGATATTCGGCGACTCAGCCTGCTGGTTTCTTGCTGGCTGGATCAGCTTCACCAGCCCTCCACGGCTTCTTCCGCGTCCCCTGCCTCTGGCACCTCTCTGCATGCGTGAAGGGGTTGGGACTGAAGCAGTCTCCACGGATGGAGTGATCTCTTCCGCGTCAGTCAGGTCGGCCGTTTGGCCAAGAGTGTAAGGTTGCTGGATGCCATCAGGCTGACCTCTCCGAGCACGAACTGAGCTGTTCTGAGCCATGGCTTCCACAGGTTCAACCTCCTGCGCAAGGCGAGTGCGCTTTTCGTGCAAAGTCTCATCCAGCGTGAGATCAGCTTCCCACTCACGTCGGCGCTTGAAGGAGTTTTCATTCACTCGGCACGGCTTCTTAGGTCTTTTGAGAGGAGCAGTGTTGGTCTTGCCGGTCATAAATAACTCCTCAAGGCGGGGGCCAGACGTGTCACGGTAGATGTCCGCGACTTTGAAAGTCCGACCCAGAGGCTCGATCTCAAGAGATTTAGCAGACGACAGGCTGGAGTCGCTGCCTGAATCGTGACGGGTCAACGCTGCGGGGTGCTTTGTACTGTAGGCTTTGTACCACTCCGTAGCATCCTCTACTGAATGGCGCAGCATGGTTTTCAGCGCCAGTTCCAGGCTGTGATCAGTATCCGCGCGACCGATGTTGTGGATCAGCGACAACTTGAAATCATCGCTAGAGATGTCAGACCAGTAGTAAACGAGGCTCAAGGCCACATCATCGTCCCCGATATCATGAGAGTGAGAAATTGCGAATTCGACGACTCGCTTTAGTTGGGTGACATCGTATCTACTAGACTTTGGAACAGGAAGCGAGTTCAACAGAGCAATAAAATCGCGGTCGAGGGGCTTCTCATTCTCGGATGCCATTGCGTCCATGTCGGTTGTAATGGCAGGTAATCGTGCCTTGTGCAAAGGCTTGTCCTCCGCGTCGGGCGCAGTCAGAACAGGGTCGATCAAGGTCTCGTCAGCAGGGCTATCCACCGGCGTCTCGACAGGAGACAAAGAGGAGTGTGCTGGTTGAAACCCGATTGCTTCGGAAACGGGTGTCGCCATGTTTGTGCCCACGACGTCGTCCACGTCCGCACCTCCCACCACTTCCTCCACCACAACATCTTCAACAGAGCCGTTGAGGGCCACGAGATTCTCAACCGCGCTCTCCTCATCGTCCTTGACACGGGGTTCGTCCAAACTGGTCGCGTCCTCGGCCACGGGCGTGATGGGCGTCGACGTGTCGGCAAAGAGAGCATCACCGAACTCGTCGACGGCGCGCACCGTCAGCTTGGCCACGCGTTTGGCGGCGCCCTTCGTAGGGGGCGTTAGGCCAACGCTCTTGTAGTCGCCGGCCGTCGGGTACTGCCCGATCGGCTTCATGGTGTTGAGGCAGGCGTTCTCCCGCGGCGTACAGTAGGAATCGGGGTTCGCCCAGGTTGGGCGCGCGCGTGCTCGGGACGGCTCTTCCCATGCAGTTTGGAGGGGCTGCGCGTTCTCGATCACGGGCGCATTGCCCGGCGCGGTCGTTTCGGCGCGTGTCTGACGCGGGTTCGTCTTCTGAAGCTTGTTAGGCTTCGCGGTTTTCGCGGGTTCCGCGGGTTGAGAATTCGCCCGGCGGCTGCTGGACCGAGTAAAGTACCCCATCCCGGCAGGCGGAACGGCCCTGCCGAGGATTAGTGCCACCCGCGCCAAAGCAACCCTAATTGCTTCGGCTTGCTTCTTGCTTGCCAATTCAGACGAAAAGACGCAAACACGCAAGACCAAAGGGAATAAAAGTACCCACGCAATAAGGTGCTTAATGGTGATTTTCTCGGTATGAGCCAGCTTCCAAAAAGTCGTTAGTATCTAGTTGATTTCAAAGTGACGGTCATCAGCGCAAAGCCACCAGGTAGAGACGTATCCGATTACTCTGAGGTGCAGGAGATATCTGGACCTGATGGTGTGCTCTCACACACGCCGCAGGTAGATAATCTGGCCTGATATGTGCCTCTTTTGAAGATGTTGAGGGAGTTTCGAGTTCGCAAAAACAGGGTATCCAAGCATTTGCTGGATGAGAGCGTGAGTTGGCTCAGAAAGGAAGCACGGAGAGGCAGAAAGGGAAGAGGAGAGATGCGAGCCATGGGGAATTATTTCGCAGTGATAGGATGACTCAAAGTCAGAAAAATGCTATTCAGAGACTCTCAAGACGGCAGCTTCCTCTGTGGATACTGTAGCGCTGCCAGGAGTGAATAGACGGCTGCGAGTGATCCGAGAGACAAAGACGACTAAAGTTCAATACCCACCTCTCACAATGACACCTGGATATAAGTTGTCGATGCCTCAATATCATTCAGGCCACCGTGTCCCTGCTCAGTAAATTGATTCACTTCTGCAAGCTTTTTGGAATCGTGGGCATAGCATCAGTGAATGGGCTCCGGCTTGTTATTTCTACGAGAGAAACCATGGACCACTACACGCTCCAGGCAATTCCCAGGTGAGAACAATAGAAGTAGACCAACTGTACCGATGACAACGGAGCTGATGTTACGGGCAGCTCCAATTCGCCGTAGATACTTTCTACCGTTCTCGGATATAGGCGCTATAGTAGTCCCCCAAGGACGTTTTGTAGGACGTTTTGTAGGCCGACAACGTCTCCATTTGACTCGTGGCATTCTGCCCTTGCTGTTAATTACATGTTGCTGTTAATTACATGACAGCATGCCAGAAAATTCAAGAGGCTCTTTGCTTGCACATCGCCGACTCTATCGGATATATACCGAAGTCTTCAATGAATGGGCATTGCCGGCCCCTTCCTGCACACCACACTTAGAACCATCACCTAATTTTCAGCTGGTATTTCAAGGCAGGAACTTCGTATAACCCGTGATGGGACGATTCGTCATTGGATATCTTTTTGATTTTTGAAAATTGCAAATTCGAACAAGGAGTGTTGGCCAACATGTAGATTAAATGTATCCCACATGAGCCAGACAACAAAATTCGTGTCGAAGGCATTTACTCGTCACCACCAGTGACCTTCTTCTTCTTGTTCTTGTTCTTCTTGTTGCCGGTCGAGCGGGCCAGAGGCTGCTCGAGGATCTTCAGAATCTCCTCATCCTCGATCTTTTTGTCGGACTTGAACTGCTCCAGGTTGACGTTGGGCGCAGCAAGCTTGGTGAGACCGTTCTTGGTGATGGCTACAGGAGAACAATCAGCATTGTTTTGCTTCGAAGGAATATCAGGTTAGAACTCCAGGACTTACCGATGGTGCTCAACAGACGGGAGACAGGGGCGTTCTCGGCGTCACCGGCAGGCTCGTACTGGCGCAGGACACCGTTGCGGACGCACTCGACAACACCGACCTTGGCGGCCTTCTCGTCATCAAGCTGGCGCAAGCTGAAGGGGAAGGTACCGAACTTCTTGACAACTTCGGACAGAATCTGGCGGGAGCTAGGACGCTTGAGGATGTAGGTGGTGGTGGTACGGCGGTGCAGGGTGGCACGGTGGTCGAGGTTCTTGACCTTGCCGGAGCCCAAGCTGAGGCCAATCTCAACACCCCAGACCTCGCCAACCTCGGGAACACCATCACCACGGACACCCTCACCGGGAGACAGGATGATCTTCTTGGTTCCCTCGATCTCGTTACGGTCAAACAGCCAGCTGGTGGTGTTCTCAACAACCTTGCAGTCGTAGGCCTTGGCGACCTTCTCCACAAGAGCGGAGATCTGAGCCTGGGTAGGGGGACGCTGAGCAGCGGCTTTCTGCTTCTCCTCATCGGTGCCTTGGACCAGCAGACCCTGGGGAATCATCAGGCGCAGCAGGAGCTCGTTGGCGTAGTGGGTCGCGAGAATGAGGTCAGCCTCACGGCCGGTGACAACCTCATTAGCGGCATCCTTCTTGGCAATGACAACCATGTCACAGACAATGGTACCGAAGCCATCGATCTGAGCACCCAACTGGATCTTGACGACCTCGCCGGCCTTCAGAGTAATCTCGGCCTCGGCGGCATCGGAGGTGAGAGGAGTGTAGGGAGTCACATAGGAGCTGGGAGAGACAGTAGTGGGATGAGCGATACCTTTACAAGCATAAATTAGCACCTGCTAGGTTGAATGTAGGCTATGATGGGGCAATGGACTTACTCTTGGCGATCTTCTTGCCCTTGTAGACCTTGGCGATTTCCTCGTCGAGGAGCTTGTCACCCTTCTGGCAGATCTCGACAATCTTCTCGCCCTCGACGCACAGAGCTATAGATACAGTGTTAGATCGGATACAACGAATGAGAATGACTGGTGAGAGCATAACATACCGGTGACGGCCTCGAGCACTTTGTGCGAAATCTGAGCAGCGGTCTTGTACTTGGTCAAAGTATCCGGGTTGTTGAGGGTGTAGTCTAAACGACAAACATAGAGCAATTAGTTTACTGAACGAGATAGAGAGTGGTTTACAAGCATAGTTGTTTTGACTTGGGCTGCCCCCGCGGCAAAGCTCTGAACGAAGGTCCGGCAACCGACACCCACAAAACGTCAGAGCTTTCGCGGGAGCACCTCGAGGACTGCACATACCAACCTCGGGCGCTTGAGTAGTATCCGCCATTGTGAAAAGAATTGGGCCCGCAGAAGGAGCGAGGAGATAATATAAGCTGGTAGTAGCGAGCAGCAGATCCTAAATCTGCGGGGAGCTGGAGAGGAATGGATCAAGAGTAAGTCGTGTGCAGCGAACGAGAGAGCGTTTAGCGGTGGTGGGGGGACGGCTTGGCGACCTGACGATTCAGGCCGCTCCCGCCTAGGGTTACGGCGGGCAAAGACGTCATGGCCAGCTGCTGGGCGACTCCGGCTTGCCCCAGCAGAAAGCAACAGAGTTGCAGTGAACCCCGCAAAAACGAGGAGCTATGCCGGCTTTCCGTTTCGCATACACGACTTCCGTTTCGAGGTCTCGTGAGCTCCACGCCCGCAGGGACCGTCCAGGGTCTCCTCCAATCACCCCCTCCTTCCCCTCGAGCTTCTCCTCTTTGGTCTCGGCTTCTCTCCCCCTCTTTGTTTCATATACTCACGGTCTTACGCGCAGAAGCATAGCGCGGTTTCTGGTTGACTTTTCGCTCCGCAGTGGTATAAAATGAGATCCGCTCCAGAGCTTCCCGTCCGTGTGTTGACCCATAACATCCGGTATGCCACCAGCTCCCCAGTCAAAGGAGAGCTGCGCTGGGCCCAACGCAAGCAACGGCTGCTAAACGAGCTCGAGTATCATACTCGTCATGTTGGCGACACCTTCATCTGTCTGCAGGAGGTACTTCATAGTCAGCTCGAAGACATCCATGCGGGACTAAATCCAGGGGCGGTCTCCTCAGTCCTGGACTGGGCGTTTATTGGAGTCGGTCGGGACGACGGCTATCAGGCGGGTGAGTATTCTCCCATCTTTTATCGGCCCTCGGTGTGGGACCTTCAGGGATGGGAGACAGTGTGGTTGTCCGAGACTCCTTCGAAGCCCTCCAAAGGCTGGGACGCCGCTTGCATTCGCATTGTCACCATCGGTGTTTTCACTCACCGCGGGAGTGGCAACACGGTTCTCGCCATGAACGCTCACTTAGATCATCGGGGATCACGCTCCCGTTTGGAGGCCGCGCGTATCATCCGGGCCAAGATCCATGAGTACCGCCAGGGCAAGTTTGGGCGCCTAATCGCAGGCACGTTGTTGGCTGGTGATCTGAACAGCCAGGAGGATCAAGAAGCTTATTCTGATTTGACCGGATCTGGGGATCTGCAAGATACCTATAGGTTGGTTGATACTTCTCGCCGATATGGCAACCACAATACCTTCACCGGGTTTGGGTATGAGAAAGAGCCACCCTCGCGGATTGATTACGTTCTCCTAGCTTCTGAGGGAAGCCAGACATGGAGAGTAGACGGTTATTCTGTCATGGCCAACCGGTTCGATGATGGGATATTTGACTCGGATCATTGTGCCGTCATTGCGGATCTCAGGCTGGTGGGCTAGTTCAGCTATTTGGATACCTCGGCCTGAAAAGAAATTTATTTACTACATGTCTACCTCCAACAGCAAGCCCTCGGTGTCCTATCTGTCTCATGATAGATTGGATCCATGGACTTTATAGGAGCCGCAGCTCAAGCATGGAGGAGCTAAGCGCAAATATGGGGATCATTAGTGCGTTACTTTTCATTTATATATTTTCGCAATTGAGCTCACCATATAGAATCGGATTATCCGTAGAGGCCTTAGCAAACAACAAATGCTGGCTCAAGCTTTGTAGCAGTTCGATATAGCTTGCTGCCCGGCCCCCTAAACATAGCACTAGAATAGCAACAAATTCGTCGACCAACCCGTGTTCTTCGTAACTGATATCCTTAGCGAACCAGTAGTTAATTTCTGATGTGGTGCCTTATAGAAAAGGCACCAAACACCAGCCTCCTCCAGCAGATCACATGACTTCCACATGCCGTCGAGCCGAAGCTGGCGCAGCCCCTAACCAGCATAAAACAGCAAGCTAGAAAGTCCATAGCTGTCGAAAACCTTCCCCTAGTATACCTGATATCTTTAGCTTGTAATCTCTGCCTGTTGTGGGCGTTGAAGGGGGTCACCGAGGCTTTTCCTTGCTTTTGCACGGGAGCGGACAACTCGTAATCCTCCCTCTCTCCTTTGAACTTTCTCACACCCGCGCGCTCCAAGGCACCACCACCCAAGCCTCCCAACACCAACTGCTACCGGGAGAAACCGACGTCGTCTCTGCACTCAGCTTTTGTAGATCAGCTGATTCTTTTCCCTGATCCGATCCAGTTCCCGCTGGATCCTGCTTGGACGTTGGCGTTACCCGTGAACAGAGAGCGCAATCGGCCTCCATATTCCCCCTTCTGCTGCGGTATGTTGATTCCCTGTCCATTGATTGAGGTTAGCCCTGGTCGCTTGTTATCAATGCCACACCTCCAATTTCCCCTCGAACACGCGCAGCTGTTGTTTGTCAGTCATCACTGTGGCTGTCTGGGACATGTGCCCGTCGCGACACGTCCATCGACCGGCATCACACATGACAAGTGTCGCTGCGTGGTCGCGTCGATGATGGAAGCAGACCAATCCGCCAACAACTTGGGATCATTGAACTGACATAGATGGAATCGCGCTTTAGATATCGCTTAATGATGCTGCCTTGATTGGCTTGGCCCTTATCCCTATCGCGCTCAGTGCCACTCCCTAATCGACCACCTCCGCGAGCGAGCATCGAACGTTCGAATTATTTTTATCCGATAATTGGCCATGCCATCACCTGAATTGGCCAGTGGCCCGTTGGTGCCACAGAAATCTCCAGTGAGCTCCCAGTCGGCCATGCAGAACGGCACCGGCGCGTCGGACACGGGGCCCGGAGGTGCAGACTCCCTGGACAATGGAACGGACCAGACGGCCAACGGACCCTCATCAGACACCATTGCAGATGGAAAGCAGAGTGTGCAGGCCAAGATGGGAGCTTCAGGTGCGGATTACGCCAACGACACCAATGGAACTCCCCAGTCGAATGGCACAAATGGCTCCGCGCAAAGTAGGAAACGATCGCGTGATGGATCCGTGATCCATTCCGGCGAGGTTTCCGGGACGATACCCGTTCGCACGCGTGAGACACCTGTCGACAAGATCCTGCTGGACCAATATGTCAACCGCGAATTTCAGTACTCCGCGGCAGTCGCTTGGGAGAACCCAAGTCAAGAATTGCAACAACAGAAGCGGACGGAACGAAATTTCTATCTGGCCCTGCGCCGCGATACCCAAGGGAACCCAGCTGCTTTGTTTGGAGTGGGCTACGAAGGATTTGGAAATCCGCGAACCGACTTGCGGAATCAACACCCACAGCTTCTGTATCCGTCCAATCGACGTCGGCCTGGGAATCGGAAAACTCGAGAATTGCGAGTTTCTCGCCGAGATATGAAGTTGCAGAACGACCAGATCGAAGATCTTGTACCCATTCGCCTTGACATCGACTGGGAGAAGATCAAGATCCGAGATACGTTCACCTGGAATCTTCACGATCGTGTTGTATCACCGGATCTGTTCGCCGAAAAACTGGTTGAGGATCTGGGCCTGCCTCTGGAGACCTCGGCGCCGTTGATGCGTACAATTTCGCAGAGCATTCAGGAGCAGATCATGGATTACTACCCCCAAATATACATGCAGGAGGAGCCTCTTGATCCCCACCTCCCGTACTCAGCATACCGAAATGATGAGATGCGTATTCTGATCAAATTGAACATCACTATTGGTCAGCACACGCTCATTGACCAATTTGAGTGGGACATCAACGATCCGCAAAATTCGCCAGAGGAATTTGCCATGCGCATGACGAACGACCTTTCGTTGTCGGGAGAATTCACCACTGCCATTGCGCACTCCATTCGTGAGCAATCTCAATTGTTTACCAAGTCTCTTTATATTGTTAGCCACCCCTTCGATGGTCGCCCCATCGAGGATCCCGATCTCAGCACGTCCTTCCTACCCACTCCTGTATCTTCCGCCTTCCGCCCCTTCCAAGCAGCTAAGGAGCACACGCCATACCTTTACGAATTGAACGAGGCCGATCTTGAGCGCACCGAGATCTCGATTTCGCGAGAGCAACGTCGCCAGAAGCGATCGATAAACCGTCGTGGTGGCCCTGCTCTGCCAGACCTCAAGGACCGACAACGCACAATTCGGACCCTCATTGTTTCGTCTGTTATTCCCAATTCCGCAGAATCCTTCGAAGAGAGCAATGTCACCAAGCGTTCTGGCTCTAGCCGCCGTCGTGGATTGGCAGGAACTCGGGGAGATGACGAGTCCGATGAATTCGATAGTGATGATTCGGATGAAGGATCGCCGGCTATCGGCCCCCATCTTTCTCAGGGTACCGCTCGCACAAGAGGCATGAGGGGTGCCGCCACAGCAGCCCACGCAGCTCTGCGCGCCAGCCTAGGGCAATCGGCAACACCAGAACCTGTATTGCAAGAGCCTATCCGGGCGTCTTCACGCCGTCAACAGCAATTCCGAGAAGAAACTGTGGAAGAGCCTGATAAGTTGATAGTGAAGTTCAAAATCCCACGAGAAAAACTGGCAGATTTACGGAACGGGAAACGCATTTTCGATCCTGCGGCGCAAGCTGGCGCCATGGCACCCCCCTCAGACAAACAAAACCGACAGCACCCCCCGCGACCTCAGCAAACCGGAGCCGTCGACGCACCGAACCCTCCCCAGCAAGGGGTCCCTGGTGTGAGTAGATATTGAAACTCCTCGGATTTTCGTGCCCTTGGCTGACCCGTGTGCGCGCTTTCAGCCCCCTCCGCCTAGCTGGCTCCAGGCCGGTCTGAACCGTTTAAAGCAAGCTCATCCCAATGACTCGTTTGAGGGGGTGATGCGTTATTCTGCCGTGGATCTGGAAACCCTCGCGCCTGTCTCCAACCCATCCAGCCTAGATGCCGGCCAGAAGATCAAATATCAATACCTGCCCCGTATCCGCTGCCATGACTGCCCCGGAAAGCTGTATACCCCGGGCCCAGGCATGACAGTGGACAACTTTGAAGTTCACTTGCGCAACCGACACCACAAAGAACGTGTCGAAGAACGGATCACCAGGACTGGAGGGGGCGTGCCGGTTCCCCCAGACATGAGTGGCAGCGCCAGCGCCAGCCCAGCACCGGGTGCAATCACCTCCGCCAGCGCCAGCCCGGCCCTGGGTGCTGCTGCGATTCCCGGAGCCTCCCCTTCCCCTGCCACAGGGCAACATCCCTAAGTCATAGAGCATTCTCGAAGTAGTCATGACCACCGCGCGTTGTGTGGGTGTATGAGGCCATCTGGTCTGGAAACCACCCTCCTTCGAATGGCCTGTATTCTTCCATTTACATCATTTGATCGAGGTCTCTACCCGATTTAAAGAATACATTACTCCAGCCTTTTCCCTTATCCCTCTACGTTTGTTGTGTTGTATAGGAGTTTACCACGAGTCTGCCGCGACAGACTGATTTGACTGATGGTCCTTTTTGTTATGGATAGCGCGCGATGCCGCAGCATCATGGTGTTTTGTTACTTTCAGTAAATACAGCAAGTTCCTTCGAATGCCCGTTTGATTCCTGCACTGCGTGCCAAATCCTCGGTAGAACAATGTGTTTGCAAAAGGCTCGTCCCTACTACTCTCGGGTGCCGCGCGCGATGTGCCGCCTCACGTCAGCCTCCAGCTGAACACAAGAAAGCCCCGCACACGGCGTAGCGAGCTAACATTCAGCAGTTAGCCAGCTGGTTATTTGTTTATATCTAACATAGCAGGGCTTCCCCGATGCAAGCGTGAAAGCGCCTGAGTTTTATTTGCTTACGAATCGAATAAGACTTAATCATGAGCGAACAAGAGGATCCTACTTCTATCTCGGATATCTGGGAGAGCGCGAGGCGGGAATTCGAACGGTTGACTGGGAAACAGCTCCAGCCAACTTCGGCTGCCTCGCTTCAAGGAATTCGTGACACAATCGCAGCCTCTCGTACCTCGAAAGACCCAGATACAGAGAAGGCAAAGGCAGCTGGACTGCGGATTGTCAAGTGCTTGCAGCTGCTGGGTGGAGTGGCCTCCCAGGCCGCGTCGCTGGTAAGAGTTCTCTTTCATAAGGGTAACACGAACATGAAGAGTACTCAGATCAATGACTCAGGTTTTTCCCCCGGCGGGAGTTTGCTTCAGTGCTTTGTCGTTTCTGCTCGATATTCCGCCAAAGCTTCATGGCTTTCACGCTGCAGTCGACAGCATTTTCATCGAGATTGAGCCGACCCTCGTGCAGTTTGAGATGTATCGAGACATCGAGAGCAAGGATGCAGTCCATCCTGATATGATACTGGCAATCAATAAAGTCATGATCAGCTTTGTGACTCTCTGTGCCATATGTATCAAGTTCAGGGATGGCGGCTTTTTAGTGCGCCTCAAGGCCAACCTCAAAAAGGCCATGTTTGACGAGGCGGCCATCCAAGATGAACTGGCTCATTTCAAAGATTTGATTCAAACCCAGAAGGTTATCGAAGGTACCTGGACAATCCAACAGGTCATCGAAACCAAGCGATCGCTCCGCTTGGTCAAAGATGACACGGAAAGGATTTTGAAGCTCGCTGATGACATCAAGGACAAGGTTGGGATTATGTCTTCGGACCAACAGAAGCGCCGAACGGAACAGACGACAAAAAACTATCTGGAAAAGATTCGCAATACACTGGGGATTTCTGACAATCAGGTCACGAGTGCGATCAGTGTTTGCGACAACATGTGGAAAAGTACCGTCAAGGGCAGTGGAGACTGGCTGAACCGGATGGACGAATACGTGAACTGGGTGAAGGGAGAACCCCCTGAAACGAGCCCTTTACTCCTCTTGACCGGCGACGGAGGCTGTGGAAAATCAGTCATCACATCGGTCGTGTACAAGAACCTTGACAAACGATCGTCTCTGACTGAGGAGACCGGACGCACGCTGGTGCAAAGTGCTGGGCGCGCACTTGTTGCGTATTATGCCTTCTCTCCGACTGGAAAGATCGACGACGATAAAACCCCCGCGGAGACTGCACTGAAATGCCTATGTGTCCAACTTGCCCAACAAGATGCCGCATATGCGAAGCAGCTCGCGGAGAGCTTCAAAGATAATACCGATTGCGCCAAAGACGCACCCGAGAGCTTCAGAGACCAAACGAGAGATACGAAATACTTCCGAGATGCAGATTGTCAGCAGCTCTGGACCGACTTGAAACTTGGAGCCCCCACACAGACCGCAACCCACTTCCTGTTGCTGGATGGGATTGATAACCTCCCTGTCAACAAGCTGCAGGAGCTGGGAGATATCTTCCAAGGAATCAACGAGCCTCCGGAGGCAGATTCTCGGAAGGAGACACGGAGCGGTGCGCGAGTCCTTGTGTGTGGGAGCATGCAAAAGCTGGAAAGCCTGGGAGAAGCACCGGATGGAGGATCACAGTTCCCTACAATTGATGTTGGGGCATGCAATGGCGATGATATCGATAAATACATTGAGAGAGAGCTGCAAAACGCCGACCTCTTCCAAGCCGCCAATGCACAAAATCGGCGACTAAAAGAGGATGTGCAGGCCGGACTCAAGTCTCGAGCGGAAGGTTCTTTTACCCAAGTACGAAGCGATATCAGTATGGTCAAGGGGATTGTGGAATCCGAGATGACTGAAGATGATCTGAAGAAAGCCCTGAGCGCAACCAAAAAGAACGCAAAAGCGACAGTCACGGATGACATCGCATCCCTCGAGGCCTTACCCAACAACCAGAAGCTGATCGAAGAGGTGAATGAACTGCTCCTGTGGGTCGATTTTGGGCCCTACTATTACAATGTCGCAGAGCTCGAAGCACTCTTGCTCCTTCGCTTTGAAGCGACGTCTCTCAAGTCCTTGCAAGAAAAGCTTCAGGGGACCTACTCGAAACTTCTCTTCGTCAACCAGGATGGAGACGTCTTGCTAATGGACCACGTCAAGGAGCACGTGGAACTGGCTGAACGAGCGGAGAAAAGGGCGTCCAATGAGCGCACCATTAGCATTAACATCACCATTACCAATGCGGATACAGAAAGTATCCAGCGCTTCTTCTGGGACTTGGGCCGGTTTGGCGCCATTGACCAGTTCAAATTCGCCCCGAGTGGCATCTCGGCCGATTCATCGGGCTTCAGTCCCACCCAGAAGAAGCGTATTGGGATCAATGAAACCGACTCCCATCTTATCATGCTCAAAACGACCTTTTCCCTCCTGTTCAGTTCACCGACAGAAACGACGGAGCTTGTTGGACCAAAACTCTTGGCCGGCCTCATCTCTCATTTGAGCCATTTGCGCACAGCAACCGAGGCAGACGAGCTAAGCGCTGAGGACCGACGGTTCGTCGCTAGGAACCTTCTTGATGTATTTCACAACCCGGAACATCTTGAAAACCATTGGAAGAGTACCGAGCTCATTGGCTGGACAGAAAACCAATCAGAAATGGACTCTGTTTGGGGTTGGTTGAAGGATCCTGTGGCCATCAGCAAGCTTGACTCGCCACGGTCGGAGTGGCTCGCTGCTGCGACAGAAGATTGGAATCCATCGAGGAAGTTGCTGACCCCATTCATGACAATGCTTGCGCGTCGATGGCTGCAAGACCGAGAGTGGCAGCCTCTTCGACCGTGTACTACAATTCTCAACGTGCTCATCATGGTATGTTTGATCCCGAAGATTTATTTCTTATGCTTGTTTTTTTTTAACCAAACACGATCTGACTTGAATTCTCTATTGCAGACTTCTGAGGACAACCGGGGTCTTACAGATGCAGTGAACCTGGAGAATGATGCATATGTATCCATCAAACATGATGAACTCGATCAGATTCGACCGTTATTGATTGAGAAGGCGTCCAAATGGTGCAAAGTTGCCCTTGAAGTCGAAGAAACCGATTTCCTGTGGCATCTACGGCTAGGAGAGACTTACAGTGGATGTCAGCAGCTAGAAAAGGCACGCGAGGAATATGGAAAGGTAAGATCACTCGCTTGAGAGGTTGAACATAGAATTGGAATCGAGCTGTGTAGCGCAATCAATGCTAACATTGTCATAGGCCGTGCAAATACTTCAGGAAACTGAGGCGTCTGGAAAGGAAATCGACAAGAATGAGCTTCGAGATCTCTTCCTTCGAATGGGAAGACTGTCCATCGAAACAGAGCAGCTTGGTTATTACGAGCAAGCACTTCAGCTCGATCCCGACAACATTGAGACTCGGTACCGCATTCTCAAGAATCAGATTTCCAGCTGTACGGTAGAAGAGCAGGCGGCTAGGGTTCGAGAGGCACTTACAATCGGCGACGGACTTCAACCAGGCTCATTGGAACCCATCTTGGACTTGGTAGTTGAGGACTATAAAGATGGCAGTGACTTGTCTATATTTGCTGTATTCAACGCAGTCATCTCTGGCGCATCACTCATACCGGAATGCTGGCCAGAGCTACTCCGATGCATGGACAACGCGATTGAGAAGGCTGAAAGTGAGGGTCGTTTCGACGACCTTGCAATTCTTCATCTGCACAAGGGAATTGCGGCTTCGCTGTGTGGCAAAGACTACACGTCAAGGTCGGAATTAGAGCATTGGCAAGAGTGCTGGACAGTCGCCAAGGAGAATAACATAGTGCAGCCGGATAGCGCCGTCACGGCTCTTTTGGTCGGGGAGAATAGTGATAGCAGAAGCATTTTCAGCATTCTGCTAATGCTTGCCGGCGATATACTCAGCAAGTATTACTTTGACCAAACGCGGCTCTTACTGGAGGAGGACGAACAATTCTACCAGAACCAGATCAAGCAACTTGAGAGGATTGCCACTGACCAACTGCCTGACGGAATGTCGAGTTGGACAAAAGCTAAGTGTTACCTGGCTTCTCAATACGTGCTGCGAGATCAGCTCTCTCAGGCGCAGGCGCTCTTCCGGTGGGATATGGCGGCCGTGTTCAATATTCTTACCGATGATGATGCTGGCAACGATTGGTTGGGCTACGGCACGCTTGCTCATATTCTGACGCACTGCGGTGATTATGAGAATGCGGGCATAGCTTACAAACTCATCCCACCTGCTTTCCTGGATCAAGAGGTTCTGACTGAGCTTTTGAACATCGGCGATGAAGGAGCAGCAGCAACCCAGGAGATCATTCGCTTCTATGCCTCCAATTGCCCAGAAGAGGCAACTCCCCTGATGCAAGTCATGGCACTCCAGAGTCAAGTTGCCAAACTCTCTGAACAAGCAGCAGAAGAGGATTCTCAGCACTGGCAGGAGATCGCAAAGATTCTTCAGGAGTTCAAAGACGTCCTCGAGGTGGACTGGTACCTGATGTGCGATTCCTGCGAGGTCCGCTGCGGATTTAATGAGACCTTTTGGTCCTGCGGGTTCTGCTACTGCACTCATTTCTGCGAGAGCTGTTACCAAAAGCTATCTGCTAAGCAAAAGCCCAGGCCATTTGTCTGCAGCGAGGCACATGACTGGTTCCGCCTACCCGTGTGGGACTCGAAACGTTTTGCATTGGCATGTCGCGGACGGCTCCCAGGCATAGAGTCGGACGGGAAGATTGTGGTTTCAGCTTCAGCGGAGGGTGAAGCTATTTCTGCGCGGAAATGGCTTGGATATCTGTGTGGAAAATGGGATCTGAACAAGGAAGACTGGGGGTTTGAATGATTTTTGATGGAGAGCTAACGGTAAGCGAGAGCTTTCAATGCCTGCCTGTCACGAATGGCCACGTAGTCAAGCGACTGTAATGGACGTGTCTAATTGAGGGCTGTGCGAATACCAACTTGCAATGCAGGGGTTTACTGTTTGTTATCACCTTCCCGATGTGCTAGCCGCCCTCATCCTGGTCAATGTGGTGGGGTCACGTCTCATACCAGAGACCTAATATTTCTTCAATACACATGCACATTCACTAGTTGACTGGGAGCAATCTGCACCGTTTTTAGGGACAAAAGCCACCTTCACATGGGGTTTTGGACGCCTCTAACATCCTAAATGGGTGATCATAGTGGCCGCCGAACTGCAATTTTCTACGCCGGTCAGGCCAGGCACAAAGAGATGGCCGAACTGCTTGGAGGGACTCAGGAAGTGCTTATGTCCATTCAGGCAGCCCTAGGCAAATTGCACAATGTACGCCCATCTATGCTAAGGAGAAGGGGCCTGCACTCACTGTGCTAGCCCGAGGAGGTTGAGATGAATGTAGTGATAGCTTGATGGATCTGGACTAGATACATGTCCATACAAATGATATTGACTGGTTTGTAAATAGCAGAAGCACAGACATACTCATGGAAGAAAAACATCAATTCAGCAGGCTGATGGGAAAAAAAACATCAAAGACGGATTGGGTATACATCTCGAATTGTCATCAACTGTAAGGAAAAGTAACACAAGATGGCGATAAAAATATGAAGCGGACTGGCAATTGAATCACACGAACGAAACAGAAAAGCGTTGAAGGTGGGAGGAGGACATTGGAAGGAAGAAAAAGAGGGCACATATTCTGTATAGCTGGTGTTGGAAAGAAAAACCACCCCTATCATCCCCGACGCGAGGAACGGCGCGTCGGCAATGTCGTTGTGGCCGGCTGCTTTGCACGACGGTTGCTCTTTACCTCGGCCGCCTTCGCCTTAAGGCCACGCTTTGGCGGGATTGGAGGCGAGTTTTCTTTCTCGCTGGCCTCCTCCTCGGCCTTTTCCTTGTCTTGATCGTTGTCTTCATCATCGTCATCCGGCATCTCCTCGTCCGAGTCTTCCACTTCCCCTTCATCGTCGTTTTGTCCAGCCTCCTGGGCCTTATTCCACTGCTGCATCTCCTCATCGTCCTCATCGCTGTCCTTGTCAGCATAGCTGACTCCTTGCTTAACGGTTCCGCGGCTACTACGCCGGCGGGCTGAGGTAGATTTGGGCTTTTCGTCTTCGGAGCCACCATCAGACGGCCATTCGTCATCGCCCGTCCGCTTGCGTCTGGCGGACTTCATCGACGGATCGGCACCGACTGAGGACGTTGATTTGCGGGGTGGGCGGGCAGATGTGGATTTGCGGGCCTTCTTAGATGCAGACGAGCTGCGGTTCGCATCAAGAGACTCGGGCTTGCGCTTCTTGACGGAGCTGTTATGTGTACTGTGAGAAGAGCTCTTGGGCTTCATCGCAGTCCGCACCACGCGGTCAAGCAGATCGTCAATCTCATCGGGGAGGAAATTCTTGTCTGCGACATCTTGGGCCTCGCGGTGGCTGGACATGGAGGCGAAAAGTGAGCCGGGAACACCCATCTTGCCAGGATAGGTTTGCAAGATGTTCGTTGCGCCGCTGCTACCGCCGCCAAACTTGTGTTGTTGAGAATAGATGTCGGCAAAGCGTCTGATCACGCCCTGAGCTAGGTCGGACAAAGTGTGGAGGCGAGTCGAGACCTCATCGGACTTGGTGATGCCGTCACGGAATTGCTTGACGCGCTGGGCGACGTGGAAAATCAGAGATATGTTGTGCTCGTTGGCCACGGCAGTAAGATAGTAGATGATGTACTGGGCAAAGTCGCTCAGATCACCAAGCCTCGTCGATTCATCAAGCTCATCAGAGGGGTAGTCAGGGTGGTAAGCAAGCAGGGACAGAAGACGCGAGAAGATCAATTCCATCACCATTGTTTGCTCAGTGCGCTTCCCACTTGCCTGGGCCTGCTGAGAGTAAAAGGCGGCCCGCGATCGCAGCCAAGTGAGCGTACTTTCCTTCAAGGTCTTGCTGGGCTCGAAAGCAAGCAGACAGGGAATAATGTACCAGCGCTGACCCAAGTGTGACCGTTGCACCAATTTCTTCTTTAGATGATTGATAAACGCACTCCGCACCTGAAGAAGGCGATCCTGGGCCATCAAGGCAATCGAATTAAAGTTTGTTGGAGTAAGCAGCTGGTCGCACAGAACCCTGGAAGCACACAGCTTGACGAGGGACTTGGCAGCGAGAAGGCGAAGGCGCGATTTTTGGCTCGCTGGGGTGTCCTTTTTCTCAGACAATTCACCTTCGCCTGCAACCAGTTTGTTTAAAATGTCATAGACAGGCTCGGCATGCGCACGGAAGTCATCGTCCCCATCCGATCCGTCCTTGGCTCGAAGGCGGTTAACAATGATCTTGAGCGCCCACTCTTTAGCTTGAGTTTCCTCATCTGTGGTCTCAGACCAGACGTATTCGGGGTCTTTCTCAGGGGCGCGGTTGGTCAGAAGGATCTGGTTGATGGCAATGGAAATAATCGCGTCATTCTCTTCGTCTGCTTCCCTTGGCGCAAGAAGGTTCAGCTGGGACAGGGCAGCGAGGCGAGTGAGGAAGTGGTCAGAGCCATAGGTCCACTTTTTGACGCATTTTTGCACAAGATCCTTTGCATACATTTCCTTTCGGTCCGCGGTAGCCATGAGAATAGAGACAGCATGCTTAGCAGACGCGGGGGAGGTACTATACAGGGCATAGTTGGTAAGGGCCTGGAAAAACTTGCGTTCTCTGGGAAGTTTGGCCGGGAGTTTCTTAGCAAAGCCAGCACAAGCCTTGAGAATCTCCTCAGTACTAGCATCGCCAGGAGTGTTTGCCTTCGGGGCTTGTGCCTCGAGGTCCTTGCACATTTCTTGGACTTGTGCCTCCAAGACCTCCGGGTTTTGAGAGGAGATTTGTTTGAGCATCTCCTGTGCGGCGTTGGCCAAACCATTCTCGTCGGTTCGAGAGAGGCTCATGATGGCCGGGATGTGACTCCGATTGAAGATCAGCGAGCCGGAGCGATACAGCAGAGGTGTGATGGTTTCGAGGAGAGGGGAGTTGTTGGCGCTCTGTGCACGTCGCTGAAGTTCTCTGATAGCCTTGATCACAGTACGATAATCACTGACAGCGGCCATAGCAAAGCGAATTAGCTGGTAACTGCGGCGGTCATGGACCTTCGCAAATTTCCACAAATCCGCCGATGCACGCGACGCATCCGGGAAAGTTTTGGACAGCGAGTCAATGATCCTCGACAGCTGGGCCTTGACCTGGTCCTCGTCTTTATCGATAACACCACCCTGATTGGTCTACTGTTAGTGGTCGCATTCCGATTAATAGCTCGGAGCAAGCAAAACGCAGAAATACTCACATTGTACTTCTCACATGCCTCCAGATAGAGCGTCATCGCTGATCTCATGGACAACTGACGCGCGAGCATGACAAAGAACACTCGGCGCGCCTTCTCATCCAGGCCTCGGAGCAATGTAAGAATTCGACGGACACGGATCTTATCAACATCATTTTCTTGGTCGGCCTCAGAGGCCTGGCTATCCTTTTGCTTTTGTGATTGGTTCGACGCGGACCGAGACAGCTTCGACTTGATAGGGGGATAACTGAGAGGGAGAAGGGTTTCGAACAGGACACGGTCAATCAAAATATGGATCTCCTGGTCGTTGGTGTAGAAAGCATCAAAAATCTTGGATGGCGCGTCCTTCAATAGAGACACAACAGGCTCCGTATTCTGCTCAATTTCGCCAGCTGCAACTGCCCACATACGGGCAAGAATTTTCATCGCATGCTCACGGACCTGTGGCTTACGATCCTTGACTCGCTCTGCGAGGATCGCAAGTATCGAGTTCTCGGTAGAGCAGCCGCCCTTCATACCCAGCTTGTGAACGACGTGGGATAATCCAAACTGTCCGACGGTATTGACTGCAGCGACACGAACTTTCTCGTCGGCATCGCGGAGCATCGAGGCAAGGCTCTCCATAAGCGATTGTTCCTCATTCTCACTTAAACCAGAACCTCCGGCAGAAGTCAGCAAGATCCGACCCACCACAGTGGCCCATGCAGCGCGCACCGAAGGGGTCTTGTCAAGTCTTCGGCTCAGGAAGGCCTCGTAGGCTGAGACGTGCACTTGAGAAAAGGGCTTGGGGGAGACCGGTGTGAGAAGGACGCTGGGCTGAGTGATGGTCTGCGTATATTCCTCCAGCGTGACAGGTGGGTATGCCGCGGGGTCCATAGGTGGAGGCGGAGGAGGTCCAGCAACGCCAATGCCCGCCGCGAGGTCTCCGATAGTTTGCGTGGCCAGCAGCCGCAGAGCGACAGATTCCGCAGACAATTCGGCTTCAACCTGCGGGATGACGTTCTGCAAGACCTCCGGGCAGGCGCGCCACAGCTCTCGGATCAAACGATGCGCCTTGCTCAATTCCATGATATCCTCTCCCTCCTCATCGGAGTCATCGAGGTTCGGTTTGCGGGAGCTGCCTTTGGAACCATTTGCTTGATTGACCGGGGCGGACGCATCGATAATGACGTTGTTGAAGTATTGGCTGATGTGGCTCGTCATTCGCTCGGGACAAGCCTGGCAAATGGCCTTGGCCATGTTGTAGGCTGGGGGGTAATCCTTCAACAGGAGGGTATCCTGCTTGGTGTCGACTGGTGTGTCGGCCCGACGGCTCTTCTTGCGGTTGTCCAGCACCCGAGGGTCAACCCGCAAGAATTGTGCCACGATTGTGTCCACAACTTCCGCAGCCAGAACTGGCGTTTCGTCGATGACTGTCACCAGGAGCCGAGTCATATCAAACTCTACGCCCTTTGCGACTTCTTCGCCGGTCGAGGCTTTGGACGACCCCGAGACTAGGTCGAAGCAGCCGGTGAATAGGGGAACGATGAGCGAGTCAGGGTGGTCCAGATCTGTCATGAGAACAATACTCTTGACCTCGGCGAGTGAACCCAAGACGTAGATGTGTTGCGCATTGTAGGCGTTAGCTGGATCGGCCAGTGCGGGGATGATGGAGGTGACGATGCATGTGAAGATATCCTAACAATTAAATCACGGTGTCAGCGCACATCCATTCCATCGAAATGGTGTCCGGTATTCGCATCCTCAATTGTCTAATCGAACGCACCTTGAGCTGATTTCTCGTGAAAGGCGCGTCTGGCGCGCAGAGTCGCAAGACGTCAACGATGCAGCACGTGGCCCACGCCCTCACTCCCTTATCCTTATGCGCCAGCAAGTGCGCACTGGCGAGCTCCTGCGAGACTTTGGTGAGAGATTCCTTGTCGATTTCCTCCTGTTCGAGCTTGCGAAGTTCCTGGGCGAGCGACTGCAACCGTTCGAGGAGATCTGCGATGGGGATGGCGGAGCGCCCCACGCGCCAGGAGAGCGGCTGGTTGAAGGCCAGGCTGCGAAGGCCAGTCTCCTCCTCAGCCTCATCGGCAGGACCTTGGCGAGTGCGCGAAGGCATGACGGAAACGACGCTCACATGGGACTATGTGGGAGGTGGGAGAGTCGACGCGGTGTAAAAAGGGTGGAGAGTGGAGGTTGACCGCCCGGCGACGCGTCGCACGGGATCGCGTCTGCCCTACCAAAGACCGTCATGGCAGGGACTTCATGATTACTCCAAGGATTTTATGAGAGAGAATATTTCGAGGAAAGCATTTCAGTATATCATTCCCAAGATCCGACTGTTCTACTTCGGCTATTTTGTGCATGATCTGACCAGAAACCGGAAAATTCCATTCGACAGCATGAGTACCTCGTACCAAGGTGGCTCTAAGATTAGCACCCGTATGTCGTACCTTTTGCAACGTCTTCAGCACCTTCAGCTCGACTAGGGGTCCTAGCCAGTCAAACAAAACCGAAACGACATGTACCATCTGCCGAGGCCAGGAAGATACTGCAGTGAACCATGGTCATGCAAACGAACAAACCGCCTCGGCATTTTCACAGCTATATATCCGAGCCGTCGCGGAGAAGGGAGCCAGACGGACCCCACGACGTGGGGCTCGGATTTACTAATTGATATCCTCCGTACCGAGGGTCAGTCCGGTCATTCGGACATAAGGACATAAGACACCATGAGTCAGAATCATAATGATGACTATCAGATCAAGAGCCTGTTTTCTGGGGAGCACGGCATCTGTCCAAGCGATCTACTCGGTTGTTCGGGCCCACCGAAGACCGACCCCGAAACGCCCGCCAACGAGCTTTTTTCACCGGCCTGTGGCGACACCCGGAATTTGGACCCTGGCGGCAAAAAGCTTTACACTGCTGTTCCCGCTATTCGCCCGCTAGGAACCATAAGTGAGCCCAAATATGAGTAACATGCCGATTCCACGTTTTAGCTGCAACGCGCGAGCTGGCGCCTTGCAGACGGAACAGCTCGAGCCCCGGTATATCGGAAGACCGGCACGCGGCCTGAGCTTCAGTAATCGGCGTACCTGCTCGCGTCGTCGGGCTCAATGAGTTCTAGACGGAGCCTCCTTGGGCAGAGTGGAGCCTGTACTCCGTAATGGCCGCTGAGATTTGGTTCCAGCCAACCTGATGGGTCTGCCCCCGAGATTTTCTGTTAGCTTCGGACGTCCTCTGGACCACCCACGAGGGAGGGCAATTGTGTGGTGCTTAAAGTCTGAGCCATGTCCACCTGCCTAGAGGATCCCATCCTCCTGGTCAGTGACACCAAATACGTCATTTGTTGTGGGAAACTGCGTTGATATAGCACATACTCCTGTCAATCTATCTACAGCGTTGGGCCGTCCACGCATCTCTATCTACTATTGTCCACCATAGTCCCAGAGAGCTTGTGCGAAATGGCCATCAATCAACAATTTGATTCTACCGCGACTACTCCCCGCCTCAGTATGGAGCATCGCGAGCCTGCGAACCAACCGGATGTGGACACCGAAGCTGCAGCCAAGGAGACCTCGTACAATCTCCAGGATGGCAACGACAACGAGACCGACGTTGAGACTGCACAGAACCCACCACTACCAGAGAAGTCCATTGAGAAGGACCCAAATCTCATCGAATGGGATGGACCTGACGATCCCGAGAACCCACAGAACTTCCCGCGCCCTCGCAAATGGCTCATCACAGTGACCATGTCCTTGATGACGATTTGGGTCACCTTTTCTAGCAGTGTCTTCTCGACCGCAACGCTGGTGACTTCCAAGGAGTTCGGCGTGTCGACTGAAGTCATGATTTTGGGAACAAGTCTGACCGTTTTCGGCTTCGCATTGGGTCCTCTCTTCTGGGCCCCGTTGAGTGAATTGTACGGACGTCGTCTGCCGCTGTTCTCGGGCTATATCATCTTCGCCATCTTTCAGATCCCGGTGGCCGTTGCGCAGAACCTTCAAACCATCATGGTTTGCCGATTCCTAGTCGGGGTCTTTGGTTGCTCCCCTCTCGCTGTCGTGGGAGGCGCCATGGCTGACATTTGGGACCCCGTGGACCGCGCCATCGCCATCGCCATGTTCAGCTCAGCCACCTTCCTGGGCCCCGTCCTCGGCCCCATTGTCGGTGGCTTCATTACCGACTCATATCTGGGCTGGCGCTGGACTGCCTGGATCACTCTGATCGCCTCATCTTTCTTCGGCCTGATCGCCCTCATCATCGTCCCCGAGACCTACTCCCCCAAGCTCCTGCAGCTACGTGCGGCCCGCCTGCGCCGGGAGACCAAGAACTGGGCTTTACACTCCTTCCTCGACGAACACGAGCCGACCTTCGCCGAGATCGGCCAGAAGTACCTGCTGCGCCCCTTCAAGATGCTCGCCCTGGAGCCAATCCTCGCCTGCATGACCATCTACTTGGCCTTGGTCTACGGCATCCTCTACCTCTTCTTCGAAGCCTACCCCATTTCGTTCAACGAAGTGCGCGGCTGGAAGAGCTTGGGCGTCGCCGCCCTCCCCTTCATCGGCATCATGATCGGTGTTATCTGCGGCGCTGCCCTGATTATCTACACCACCAAGACCCGCTTCGCCCGCAAACTGGCCAAGCACGGCAGAGTCGTCCCCGAGGAGCGTCTCGTGCCCATGATGATCGCCTCCGTCTTGCTGCCTATCGGCCTCTTCTGGTTCGGGTGGACCTCCAGCCCGCACATCCACTGGGCGCCGCAGGTAATTGCCGGTGTGCCCATCGGCCTGGGCATCCTGGTTATTTTCATGCAGGGGCTGAACTACATCATCGATGTGTACATGATGTTTGCCAACTCTGCCATTGCAGCGAACACTCTGATTCGTTCTGTGCTCGGCGGTGCGTTCCCCCTCTTCGCAACCCAGATGTACACCAACCTGGGTGTCGACTGGGCCTCCAGCGTGCTGGGTTTCATTACCGCCGCGATGATTCCTATTCCCATCCTATTCTTCGTCTATGGCGCTAAGATTCGTGCTATGAGCCGCTTCAGTCCTAAGTTCTAATGTTTTTGTTTTTGGGGTACATGCTCCGGTGAGGCTGATATAGTGATGCTCATCGCCTCTTGCACAGTTGGAGTTAGGGCCTCTTTGCCATCGTTGTTTTCTGGCGCTGCATTCCTCTTAACGATTTAGAGCTTACGTGCATATGTAATAGATCTAATGATACCTTAATGCCTCTCATACATTATGGAGTCCTTTTAGCAAAGCCCTAAGCCAGTTAGTTTATCGGGACATAACCAGGAATGGCCCTCTTGTACAATCAAGCCCAAGCGGAAGATAGGACTGCTACGCTTGCACCCATGCCCACTGCAACCACCACTACCACCACTACTTGGTAACTGGAGGGGATCACGAAAGGAAAGCACCGTTCAACGTAAAGATTTCTCTTGCATGGCTATTATGGCACATTGTATGAGGGAAAGGGCAAGGAATAACACATCAAAGGGAAGAACCTGGCAGTCCATATCTCAAGCAAGGCCCCCAGCCATCAGAAAAACACGATCTACCCATGATGAATCTTCAGCGCAGGATAAAGCCCCGGCCAAGAACGTTCTGAACGGCCTGTTAAGGAAAAAGAAAAGCACAAATCGCGAACCCGCGGGGGAATATCAAGAACCCATTTAGTCGTAGAGGCTGTCATCATTACCGGCTTCGCCGAAGGTGTCGTTGTTCTCAACCTCACCGGCACCCGGGAAGCGGAAGAAGCTGCTGGCACCGGAGTTCTTCAGGCTCTGGGCGAAGGCCTCGTAGCGGCGGATCTCGACATCGCTGACGGAGCGGCGAGCAGTCTTCATGGCCTCCTCGAAGTGGGCGCGGGTCAGCTCGGGGACGGGATCCTCCTCTTCAGCATCCTCATCGCCCATGGTGACATCCTCGCCAGCAGCCTCGCGGGCCTTGGTGCGCTCAATATCAATCGAGATGGCCTCCTTGATGGCAAGCTTGACGGCTCGCTGGGTCACGAATCCAAGATCGGCACCAGAGAAGCCGTGGGTCTTGCTGGCAATGAAGGGGATGTCGACATCGCCGGCAACAGGGGTCTTGCGCAGCTGGGCCCTGAGGATACCTTCACGGGACTCCTGATCGGGCAGGGGAACGTAGACCAGGGTATCAAGACGGCCGGGACGGACTAAGGCAGCGTCCAGCTGCTCGGGACGGTTGGTAGCACCAATGACGAAAACGTTCTTCTTGGAGGTCATACCATCCATCTCTGCAGGTTTATTAGTACAAGTTCATGACGGTTGACTACTTTATAGCTAGCTGGGAAAAACTCACCAGTCAGAAGCTGGTTGACAACACGGTCAGAAGCACCACCAGCATCACCAACAGAGCCACCACGAGACTTGGCAATGGAGTCCAGCTCATCCAGGAAGACGACGCAAGGAGCAGCAGCACGGGCCTTGTCGAAGATATCACGGATGTTGCTCTCAGATTCACCGAACCACATGCTCAGAAGCTCAGGACCCTTGACGGAGATGAAGTTGGCAGCACACTCGTTGGCGACGGCCTTGGCCAACATGGTCTTACCGGTACCAGGGGGGCCATAGAACAGAACACCACGAGAAGGCGAGAGACCGAACTTCTGGAACTTCTCGGGGTGGTCCACGGGGTACTGGACAGACTCGATAAGCTCGCGCTTGACCTCCTCGAGACCACCAATGTCGTCCCAGCGGACGTTGGGGACCTCGACAACGGCAACTTCGCGCAGAGCCGAGGGGTTGGAGACACCCAGGGCGTAGCGGAAGTTCTCCATGGTGACACCAAGAGAATCGAGGACCTCGGCGTCGATGGTGTCCTCGTCCAAATCAATCAGATCCATCTTCTCACGGATCTGTTGCATGGCAGCCTCAGAGCAGAGAGAGGCCAGATCCGAACCGACGTAACCGTGGGTCTCGGCAGCGATGGTCTCCAGATCAACATCCTCACCCAGCTTCATGTTCTTAGTGTGGATCTGCATGATCTCCAGACGGCCAGTGGGGTCGGGAATGCCAATGTCGACCTCACGGTCGAAACGGCCGAAACGACGGAGAGCAGGGTCGATGGAGTTAGGGCGGTTGGTGGCGGCCATAACAACGACATTGGAGCGGGCCTTCATGCCGTCCATGAGAGTCAGGAGTTGGGAGACGACGCGGCGCTCGACCTCACCGTTGGTCTTCTCACGCTTGGGGGCGATCGAGTCGATCTCGTCGATGAAGATGATGGCAGGGGAGTTCTTCTCGGCCTCCTCGAAGGCCTTGCGAAGGTTGGACTCGGACTCACCGGCCATCTTGGACATGATTTCAGGACCGTTGATAAGGAAGAAGAAAGCGCCGGTCTCGTTGGCGACAGCACGGGCCATCAGGGTCTTACCAGTACCCGGAGGACCGTACATGAGAATACCACGAGGCGGCTTGATACCGATGGACTTGAAGAGCTGGGGGTGGCGGAGGGGCAGCTCAACCAGTTCACGGATCTGAGCCATCTGTTTCCGGCAGCCACCAATATCATCGTAGCCAACCTCGTTGAGGTTGCCCTCCTCATCCTCTCTTTGGATGGGCTCACCCTCGCAGTGAATAATTGTGTCCTGTGCAACAATACCATACTCGGGAGGGTCGACCTCGACCACCTTGAATTCCACCTGTCGCATACCACCTCGAACGGTGAAGGTATCCGAGATTCTCAGAGGACGGTAGGCTTCACGGAAATAAGGAGCAAGGTAGACATCGAAGAGGGAGCCGGTGAGACCCTCAATGGTATCGGCAATGGGGAGGACGGCGATGCGCTTGGCCTATATTACCAAAGGTAAAAGAGGTTAGTAAGTGATTTCTTGCGCGATGGGAAAAGACCAAGGAAGCGTAGGAGCTCGTCCCAAGCTCTCGCTAGACATACATATTTAATATCGGGGCAAGGGTGGACAGTGATGATGTCGCCATGCTTGACACGGAGGTTGTGGCGCACAACCCGGTTGATGCGGGCACTGCCGTCATCGAGATCATCATCGGCCAGGACAATCAGCACAGTGTCCTTGCGCTTCTTGCCCTTGACCAGAACTGTATCACCCCGGAAAAGCTGAAGAGTTTCCATGGTGTTGTTTGAAAGAGCGATAACTGAGTTGTCGTCGTTCACGGCATCGGTCACACTGTGATGGAAGAGCCGTCAGCTTCCTTTCCTCGGCAATGGCAGGATGCCAAACCGGAGGGCTTTCTTACATCAACGAGTTGGGCTTCTTCTTCTTCTTGAGAATGGCAGTGGCGGTATCGAGCTCCTGTTGATATTCTGTCAGCTATTGGGGAATTGCTAGGGTGGCTGGTTGTTGGTTGGGGGTCCAACTGACATCCTTCTTCTCGGCGCCCGAGGCGTCCCTTTAGGTTCGGTAGTTAGCAAAGAGCCATCAATCACGGTCTGCGCAGCAATGAACATACTGGAGGTTAACCCTCTTCTTCTCGTGAGTGTGATCGGGTTCCGCAGACATCGTGAAGGATCTGAGGTTGTGACGGTGATGGAAGCCGAGCTTGGAGAACGGGAAAGGTCCAGGTGTCCACAAGCGAGCAGATCAGCTCGAGCTAGTGGGATAGTAGATCAAATAAATCGAAGACAGAGATAGGAAAATGGAGAACCGGCAGATCAGCGAGCGAACCTGACGGCGGGAGGAGATGTGCGAGGTGTGGTGTTGAGCTTCACAGGTACCCGTAGAGTGGTCAGTGAGTGACGATATGTGATGACTTAAGCTCCGGTCCGAGGCTTATGTCAGCTGCCCGTCCGCCACCAGCGAATCTGATGGAAGTTGGTCGATTTTGGATGCCTGAGTGCCTGAGTGCCTGAAGCGGGTGTCGGGGTGCTCGGGTGGGCTTAGTGGCGGAGATCACCTGAGATCGCCTGGGTGACGGGCAAGAGCCTCAAATGAACTAAGTTGGTATAGTTTACTGCAGCTAGTCCAACCCGGGCAAATCACCTACGTTTGTCCTGTCCATGGGAGCCGCTATAAGGCCCCTGGTGGCCCTCGGTTTGGTCCACGGTTCATCTGCTCAAACAGAAGCCGCCGTCTATGGTATATACTCCCCCAAGGACGGTCTTTGTCACAGCTATTCTGTACTGAGATTTGCATCTTATCAAATCGGACAATGCTCGCTTCATTTACACCTGGAAAATGGCTTGATTGATTTTTAATCTACATCCCGCCCCATTCAGTGTACTTCACCCATTCTATTCTATTCACCTTCAAGCTGGAACTGAGGCGAATGAGTCCTTGACGTCCGAGATTCATGAATGTCGATCTTTAACAAGACCAGCCCCATGGAGATTGATCTTTTCGTTCAACACTACGCTTTCCCAACTCAAATGTGCTTCTCGTTTCCCACCGCTTCTAGTTCATCTATTCCTGTCTACCGCAGATCTACCTACGCATCCGCGCCTTTCCAGCCGCCTGAACCTTTCTTTCGTCCAGAACGAAATTATATCAAAAGAGCAATATAGGGTGCCAGCTATGAAGCTCCCCGGAGACTTCCAGGCGGCCCGAGCCAATATCTTCTCGCATGAACAAGTGGATCGTTTCGTTCAGCGGCCCGGCTGCTCGCCCCGCTTCGTTTATGGGGCTCTTATGCTCCCTACAGTCCTGAAATACTACACCGACTCGCCCAAGACATACCCCAGGACAAGTACATGACCAAAGCCGTTCTGTATGGGTACAAGCTCTACCAGATCAGCGAGGACAGCACTCCCGTGATTGCTCCTTCGGACGATTCTGCATCCGCCGTCGACGGTATGTTGGTGTTCAACCTGGATGAGAGCAAACGGAATGGCATCTCCGAATTGGAGTCCGGCCTCACGCACCTTAAGATTATTCAAGCGGAACTCACGTGCAAGCACAAGTTCGCCGTGATTGACGCGGGTGTGTTTGTGTGGTCGGGATCTGTGGATGGCTTAATCCCCATCGAGTCTACCTTTTGGGAGCCCACCAAATTCGTTATTAGCTCCTTTTACGGGACCATCAAAGAGTCGATATACAGATCTGCAAACGACGTCCTTGACTCAGAAAAGGAAAAGTTGGGGAATGATACTTGGGCCAAGTCTTGCCGCTCCGAGCGTGGCCCTATTTCCAATCCCAGTAGTGACGACTACGAAATTGTATAATTGGACACGGAGACAACATGGCATTAGCCGACGAGGCCCGTCTGCAAAGCAAATAGCAAGCCGATACATACAAATCAGGAGAAATCTGTAGGAGAATCTAGTCTTTGTGGAAACGATTCTATCTTGATGCCAAGTTCTAGTTTGCCTCACGGTGAGCATTATATGCCAATGAATTTTTCCTCTTCGTGTCAAATAGTTGATGGATTTGCCCCTAAGCACGGATACCAGAGGCGATAGGGCGGCAGGGATGTTTCGGTTGAAAATGAGGAAATCGTTGTTTGAACCGTTTCCGTAGGAATGGGTTAGCTAACCATTAATATTAGAGGGTGACCGCATGCGTTGGAGAAATGGATCTTTTTGGATCGAGAGTGGCCCCTGGATAAACCAGCATTGGGACTGTAATAGCCAATGCTATCGAGCTCCTGTTTGCGGCTCTACAGGCCACTTAAGCAACGTAATGAGGGATACACCGTCAACCTCAAATCTCTCGTCAATAGTATCACTGCTGCTGCCTTGAATAACACTTCTGCTGTCTGAGCTAAAATTTTGAGAGGGAATAAGTGCTGTGAAGTGGAGGAAACTCGCCAGGGGGATCAGAAAGATATAGGCTTCTCTATCACGATCTGTGGAGCATTATTGTGGGAATCGTCTTGGTTTGTTCGTGAGCATAGTAATCCGAATTGAAGGATTGTTCTTACTTCAATTGAGGAGGTCGACAAATATAGGAAATTATATGTCCCAAGGCTGTGAGCCCTCGAGCAATTTACATTGCATGGCACCTTGCAAACAAACCAGGAAATGGCAAGATACCCGATCTCATAAAGACGAAAATAAATCTCTTCCAACAATTTGTATTGATAAACCGCCGAAAGAAACCCTCATCCATTACGTCAACCCCAACAACCCCCGTTCTGCCCTATCGCGTGAGGATACCCTTTTCAACCGCCAGCCTCTCCACGTCCGCCTACCATTCCCCACAGCGACAAGGCACGGACGCCACGGATCCAATTTTATGCCGCCAATGAGACTTGAGCGCGCGGCGAAGTGCCTGCAAGATAGCACTTGTTCTCGAATTTAGCCAGGTCCTGCCGAGCGATGGTCGCGATTTGCTTCTCTTTAAGCCTGGGATGGGCTCGGGCAGGAGCGCTGCGTCTCCACTTTCTCGAGGGTCGTCGGTCATTCTGGTGAGGAAGCCCTGTTACATAGTACAGTTTGCCGCGATTAAAAGAGTGCGGAGGCAGGGAGAGGCCGTTGTCGCGAGATTCGACCGCGTAGACGGGGAGTGCCATTGCTATTTTGAGGAGATTTTGAATGGTGATGAGTTTCTACAACATCGACATATCTATTTGACTTGGTTGTGTGGTCTAGGTTAAGCATCGGCGGCTACATGGACGAGGCGTTCCTCGCCGAGTTGACCGGCACCGAACTGAAAGTCTCCCAAGGACAAAGCATTGCAAGATCCTACAGTATTGAAAGAATTCATTTACATGCATGATAAGGTCACACAAGCCGAGAAGTTCCTGCATTGAGAAAGAAAAAAGAAATGGTATATTCGAACAAATGAAAATGCAGGTCTAGACAATGAACAAGAATTTGCGCAATCATGCCTTGGCTGTACCAGCCCAGTGGTCATGCAGACTCCAGGCGCCGGCCATGAAACTGATGAGCCCGGTCAGGCTCTCCGGGATGCCAATCCCCTTTTCGAGACACCAGTGCAAACACAACGGAGCCCAGATGGTGTTGTTGACAAGGCTCTTGCGCCACGAGCGGATCTCCAGGCGAAGGGCTTCCTTATCCTCCGCTTTAATCTCCTTCGTTTCGATGTTGCCGGCCGCCGTGCGCTGGGTCGCAAGGCGTCGTTTCCGGAGGATATGCTGCCGCCAGAGCACGAAGAATTCAAAGAAGATGTGCCCGAACCATCCGCGGGTGCTCCAGATGTACCATTTGTCGATCCCGCCGTACTTGTCAACGAACCGCTTCGACACCACACCCTTGGAGGCCAGGTAGGCCACGTTCTCGAGAAATTGGTAGATGACGTTCGAGATGACTTGGAGGGCTGTCAGGGCGTGGATGATGGGGTCGGCAGGCGGCGACTTGAGCGTCTCCGAGCCCCAAATCCACAGTGGAAGCAGGCCGAACAAGCGGAGGTTGCATCGGGTCTCCGAGGCGAGCGATGACAGGGACGCCCATTTCGAGGCGGTTTGGCCGGTTTTGCCGGCTGGTGATGCGGCGCGGCCTTTCAACCGCGCGAGAAGGCGGAGTCGTGTTTGAACTGCGATCCATGGCATTGAGGCGCAGAGATGGTGGAGGATTGACGCGACGTAATTCACCGTCGCCAGTACTCTCTCTTGCCCGCCGGCGGTGGACAGGAGACTGCGGCGTCGGGTCAGCGGGCGATACCCAAACCAGAACTGCGTCGGATCGCAAATAATGCGCAAACCGACCAGCCCGACATACCGGGAAAGAATGTACTTACAGATCTAGCCGCCGAATGGTTACATCCACCGCTGTCAACGTCGCCATCACCTGTTGCTGTGTAGCCGATTTCCCCGCGGCTATCGGGCTCTTCCCCACATGCTGAACGTGATCCGCTGCTTTGGAGGTGTCGGGAGGATGCTCAGGGTCCGCCATCGTTTAAGGTGGGTGAGGGGCGTGAGAATGAGAAAGACCAGCTTTTTCTAATATTAAGGAATGACGAGAAGATGAAACACAAAAGATGGCGCTTACGACGGAGATCGCGCGCGTTGTGACCCGCGGTAAGCAACCGAGGCTCGGCGCTGCCACGGCCCTCACGGGGAGAAGAAGGTTCGGACTGCCTCGTTCGGCGGCCGCCTTCGCGCGGGTTAGGGCGCCCCACTTCCTGTCAGCCGTGGATCCTCGGCGACTTGTCGTTCTGATTGTGCTCTTGTGCTCTCGTATACTCATCCGCCGCTCTGTTCTTGATGTACTGGTGCCGGCGGACTTTTGTTGTGCTGCCTTTTTTTTGGTTCTTTTTTCTCGCGACCGGCGGCGATATTCGTAATGGCGGGGTGCAGTCCCTTCGCATCACTCTCCGACTCTCCCTTTCGTCTCCTCCAATTGACGACCAGAAGTCCTCATACCCCGGCTAGGCGTGTGTGAGGGCAAATCTCCCAAGCATCTCTTACCACCGATCACCAGGACGCCTCATCGCACCTTCAGCTTACCCTTAGCAGACTGTTGCGTACCCTTCACCACCCGTAAATTATTGAATATGTCTGCTTCGGGGGCATCGGGCGATTGGATCAGCACCTGGGGTTCACCGGCTGTGGACTGGGTGCATGTGGGCCCTGGTTCGAAGCATACTGCCGAAGCAGCATGTCAAGTAGGGCGCTGGATGACCGCGTATTTTCCCGATGAAGTTGATGGTTCATTGTTAAGCCGCCAACCCCATCGAGATAATCCCAGCGAGAAACCACAACCGACTCACCCTAACTCTTCTCCTCCTACAGGGGCTGGAAGCTGACCTCCGCAACCGTATTTGGCTGGGGAGCAGGAAGGGAGCCAGGGTCGGTGCTGAAGATGTGGGATATTTGCGATAGGGATTGCGGACCGATCCAGTTGAGGAATTGTCCCATCTCGGGGTAGGTCATGGCGCGGTGGATGATGTGCCGCACCAACTGGGTGAAGTCCGCCTGGGGAATCCCCATCATCTCGGCCGTCAACAGCACAGGAAGGAGGTCGTGCCCTCCCGTGAACCGGTTCTCGTCCCACCACTGCTGGAACTCGGGGGTCCAGTTCCAGTGCCGGCAGTGCTCGTTCATCGCACGCAGCGTGGTGGCATCCGAGATCGGTCGGGTCAGGTATTCTGGAATCCGAGGTGACTCGATGTAGGGCCCGTTGACGATGGCATCGATGCTCCCCCATCCCTGCTCGATACACCGCGGGTAGCAGTAAGCGCAGACGAGCAGACGGCAAATTGTAGCTCTGCTGAGTGCCTCTGGCGGGCTGGTAATGATGGCCTCGCCAGAAGTGCTTAGGCCGCTGTCGTCGTTGTCGGTAGGCTGCCGTGCTCTGCTGCCGGTTGCCGATGCAAGCCATGCCTCGCCTGCCGCGTCCGCAATTCCCGTCGATCCTCCTGCCTGTTGCTGGGTGGCTCGGCACCGCTCTTGTGCTGCGAGCTCTAGTACCTTGACCTTCTGGTCTAACAGCTTCTCCACCTGCGCCTCGGTATACTCGCCCTTGGCGATCGCCTTCTGCATCCACGGCGCGAGGATGCTTACGTCTCGGCGGACTGGCTCAGGGTGGGAATCAAAAGGTGAGTTGTCTGGCGTGTCTGCTGTACACGTCCAGAGCCACCGGGCAGTATTGCCACACTTCTGGCATTTAAAGGTGGAGGCCAGGGCCCAACTTCGCAGCAGTGTCTCGTGGGTGCAGAATGGACCCGAGCGAGGCGTGTAACGCTGCTCTCTGGTGTCTTCTGGGCTGCCAGGTGGAAGGATTGGCCGGCATGCCACAGGTGGCCCCCTGGTTGGTACCTCAGGCTCGGTGCCGTACTCAAGATCGTAAGAGGCGTACTCGATCAAGCCGTCGATGATCTCCAGGTTGTTATCCTGGACGCTAGTGTCGTAATCACCGGGTTGCATGGCTTCGTCTGCCGGAGTAGTTTGAGGGATACGCCCCTCCATTTTGCTGCTGCGACTCGTCTCGCTCTCGGAGTCGTCGATGTTTTCTTGATGCACTACGACCGTTTCTTCGGCCGTCGGGGTGAGACGATGGTGATGGTCGCGTGAAAACGAACGACCCTCGCCAGAAACAGAGGATATGTGGACGGACAGATGGTTTAGGTCCTCTCCAGCTGAGGAAAGGCTGGGAATAGCCTCAGAGGGATGATGGAGGTGAAACAAAGGGTGAGTCTGACCTGGGAGTGGGCGATTCGGGCGAATAAAAGGGTCAACACTGGTGCAAGTGTGTCTTTCAGAAGAGGAAGCAAGAGGGAAACGCAGGGGGGCCAACTGGTGAGGTCGACGAGGGAGAGGGCGACGTGGGGTGAGGTCAGAAGAGGAAGAGAGAGTGTGAGTGCGGTCGACAGGAAGGTCGTCGTCGTTGTCGTCGTCTGCTGGGGTAACGAGGTGACTTCTCAAAGGGTGTGGATGCCCTCTGAAGATGTCATTCGAACTGCTGGGACCTGCCGGCTCACCTCGATCCTCACTATCACCATGATGGCCCTTACCATGATCCTCCATTTTCTCGATGGACTCGCTCGCCATGAGTTGGGCCATTGTCCGATCAAACACCTCTTGTTCCTCACAGCTAATGATATCTTCATCCATCCAAAAGACCTCTTCAGGCTGTTCATTCTCAGTGGTATGAATGACCGTGTCATTGCTGCTGCTGCTGCTGCTGCTGCTGCTGGACCAGCGCGACACTCCATCGCCAAAGGGGATGTCAATTGGCTGAGTGGCTGGATGCTCCGCGATATCCTCGTTGACGGCCACTGCGTGAGACTCTTCTTCGCCATCATCTTTGCTCGACGATTGGACCATACCATATTCACAGTGCTGGCCTACCCCACGGACTGTGCTCTCGTCAACACCGCCGCTGCGAAGCACCCGAGGCTCGACCAGACTAGGACTGACATCTTCTAGCCGGTAGGGCTTGCCAGGAGATGCGGTCACCCAGCTTTCTTCTCCGGAACTGCTGCTTGACACCACCTCATCATGCTTTGGGGAATCATCAGTGGCAGGGAACATGAGTGCTTCAAAGTATTGAGATGAAACCATGTCGCCCGAGGGGTCTTCGGCCTGGGGTGCATGCTCGAGGTCATCCTCCGCCAGCGACAGCACTCGCAGCCCAAACTGTTCCGGCAAAGGGGAAGACATCTTGAACAAGGTTCTCACTCATCAGGGACTCGATAGAGATTGTTTTAACGCAATTGAGCGAGGTTGATATGCAAAATCTAGATGAGGAGATCGTTTGGGGCGGATGAAAGTGAGGGAAAGACCGGAGGGCGACGAGGGGAGGTCTCGCGACATGTGGGAAGCATTCATGGATTTGCTGCCGACTAATCGACCCCACAGTCACGCCATGAGATGGTGCGTATTTCAATGCCTCATCCAGCCTCGAATCAGTTGCTATACGGAAGTTGAGCGTGCTTTGCGGCGGCTGCGCGGTTCCCGCCACCGCGCACTGGCACCAGGAGGGAAGCCGTCTCATCTCTACATTTCCACGGCACAGTGAGAACTATGAGGTGTGCTACAGGCGGCTTTGCTTGATCACCTTCTGAACTCTTAGTGTGCCCACTATCATCTTTTGGTATAAACCGTGGCCCTGTGGGCCATCAACCGTCGGTGGCGGGTATAGATGGTGAGTATGTGGGCCAGTGGCCCGTTTTGATCCATGTTCTTTGTGATATCTCCGGCAGACCCGCGGAGTAGGGCATCTTTGAATTCCTATCAGAAAAATTGAAGACCTAGGTCATTCATGGCAGGCAAAGATACGAACAAAGTGAGAAGCATGAACGGCATGCATCCGACTAGGGCCAAGGTGTGACAGTCGGCCACCTACATGAGCCTTCCTGTCGCTGGGCCAGTCATACTCTCGACAATCATAAATTGCTTCTACTGGGTTCAGTTGTTGGAAAGCGGCAAAAGCTACATCCGGCGCATTTTGGACTGCTAGCTATTATATGGCCCCTCTATGACCCTGTAATCTACGATCTCAACATGCCGCAGGGAAGATAGAAAAATTGACCGATGGCAACTCATGAATAATGGGACGAGCATGATCCGATTGATACACCAGGCCTCAGAAGGTTTGTACATGTGCAATGCCGAGCAGAGTAATAACGCGATATAATGGGCAAAATAACCGCTCGACCAGAAATGCTCCATGGGTTGTATTTTTAGTCTGTACAGTCATCTTCCAGTGCGACAATGCGACAAGCGGTACAGTAACTCGGCGTTTCTTGCCGCAATGACCTCGGCATGGGCGGACAAACTGATCTTGATCGGAAAAAAGCCAGGGGGGATTGAGGACAGAGAACCCAAAGAAAGAATATAAAGAGACACCAGATAGCCTCTACCAATCATATGTACCAGTACATATCCTAATCGCTAGTCTTTGACTGTCGTTTGTGGGGGGAGGGTGGGTTTGGTTTGGAAGAAATGCGGAGAACGGCCCTAATTGCTGCCGAGGGATATAGTTGATGGTCGCCATGGTAAGTCCGGCCAAATTCCCCTAGCAACAGTGCGTTAGGGGGGAAGGACCGGAGAAGAGCGTCGGGGGGTTCCGATGGGCTCGGCCAATGGCACGATGGATCTCGCCGGGGACAGCCCCATCGCCATCTGCCGAGCTCTCGACCGCTTCTCTTATACACGGCCTTACCCCAGTTGCGGCGGTCTAGAGTTCCTGCAATTGTGGTCTGTCCCGGTCTGTCCATTGTGCGCATTTTAGCAGCTCTGCAGTACCCTCTTATACCCTTTATACCGGTACTCTTGCCCTAGGTACGTATCTACGCGCTGCCTCGGATGTCCCGCCCATTCTGGCCAGTCCAGTCCAGCTAGCCCAGCCTTCCGCCGAACTCCCCTCGGGCCCCAACTTCATAAACAAACACGTCCCATCCACCCCCCCTCTCGCCCTGCTCCCCACTCCCATCCACCTCCATCCACTCCTCCCACGCGATATCTATCATCGCAGTCCTCTTCTTCTTGCCCGCCCAATTTGGCTGCTGTTCAATTGACTCAACTTCCTCCCTGCTGACAGGCGCATCGGGCATTCCGAGTCCGCTACTCGTCCCCCAACCACTCGGTCCGATCATTTCGCATTCATCATGTCTGTCAAGTTCCAGGAGGAGACCTTCCGCACGGTGACGGGCGGCAAGCCCGAGGACCTGGCGCACCGCGTCGGCGAGCGATTGACCGGCGGAAAGACCCAGACCGGCTATCTCCAGGTATGTAGAGATGACAGGCGGGAGAATGCCACCCCCCGGCCGCTCGAGAACCGAGACCACCGCCCCGACTAACGCCGAGGAATGGATCGCCACAGGCCTACCTGCAGCAGCTGCAAAAGAACCCTCTGCGCACCAAGATGCTCACCTCCGGTGTGCTGTCCGGTCTGCAAGAGCTGCTCGCCTCGGTCCTCGCCCACGATGTCGGCAAGCACGGCCACTACTTCAGCTCGCGCATCCCTAAGATGTCGCTGTATGGCATGTTCATTGCCGCGCCGCTGGGCCATGTTCTCATCGGCATTCTCCAGAAGATCTTCGCGGGTCGCACCAGCCTGAAGGCGAAGATCCTCCAGATCCTCGTCAGCAATCTGATCGTACGTATCGCCGACCTCCTCCACCTCCCGGGTCGCCGCCCCGACCGGACGCGACAACTCGTGCTGATAACCTCTCTTTTCTTTCGCAGATCTCCCCTATCCAGAACGGCGTCTATCTGACCTCGATGGCCATCATCGCTGGCGCGCGTACCTTCCACCAGGTCCGCGCCACCGTCAAGGCGGGCTTCTTCCCCGTCATGAAGGTCAGCTGGATTACCTCCCCGCTGGCTCTTGCCTTTGCCCAGAAGTTCCTGCCCGAGCACACTTGGGTCCCATTCTTCAACATCATGGGCTTCTTCATCGGCACCTACGTCAACACTCATACCAAGAAGAAGCGCCTCGAGGCCCTGCGGAAGGTATGTACTTATCCCCATCGTCGTGTACAGCCATGAACATATACTGAACTCCAATTGCAGCGCTACGACCAGCGTCGTGGGCCCGGCGGCGAGTTCGAGAAGCGCGGCGACTACCCTTAGAATGGACCAAGTCTGCGAAACTCCTGCCGATGACATGAACTCGATACGGCGGAGGATCACGCTCTGCACCACGCGTCCAACGCACTGGCTCCTCCACGACTCGTAACGCCGATCGCATCTGCAATAATTGACCCGATTTCACTTTCCTTTGTATCTCACGTTTTTTTGGGGTGTTCCGCCCTTCGGTGTTTTGACCGTGATCTTGAAGCCCTCCCCCTCCATGTACACATCCTTGCATCGTTGCATGCACCCGATATCTTTCTCCCCTGATGTTACTTCCCAATGTTATGACGAATGGCCTTGCCATTCACTTCCCATATATAAATAAGACGAGACTTGTCGCTGTGATCTTGGAGACGCGGCACATATGCTAGCATTTTCTTCTTTGATAACGTACGTACTACGCACATGGGTTTCTTTGCCGGGTAGAGATAGGCCTCCAGAACGCAGCTGCTGTTCCTTCGGCACGTCGGATCCTTTGTACATCCACAAGCCACGCTAAAATTGCACATGTCTCCGTACTTTCCTTACCAGAGAGGACTCACTAGCCGATAAGGGCCCGTGGACGTCAACCCACCACGAACCATGGCATAGCCACGGCGTAGCTTGTCCCATAGCACCTGTTTACGAGAGCTCCATCTCACTCCCCTTCCCCCTCTTCCCCTGCACAAACGCCACAAAATCATCCAGCGCCCCAGGCCACGCCCCATCCGCACTCCACCACCCGAACGCCTCATCCTCGCGCGTCTTCCGCATAAACACCTCCACCTGCTCCCACAAATCCTTGTTCACAGGCTTCTTGCCACGGCCCTCCAGGAACTCGAGCCACCAGTCCAGCCACGGCGTACTCTCTGTGTTCCAGGGGACGCCGCCGCGGTCTGCGGTGAAGAAGAGCCGCCACTGCTCGGCGGCGAGGTCGAATTGCAGGTTGCGCTGGCCTTGCATGCGCGAGATTGGGAAAGAGTACCGGTATACGCGCCGGAAGAGCTCGGCATCTGTGGGGATTTTGGCGCGAAGGGTCGCAGCGTAGCTGCTCATTTTTGTAGTTGTGTCGCATCTGCGGATGTTAGTATGAAATGCTTGAGCTTGAGCTTGGGGTGGTGTTGGTCGGGTTTTGGTTCGGGTGGGGGTATGGTGAATGTGGGAGTGTTGGTAGCGCTCACCCTGCCTCTCTCCAGCCGGTCAGGAAGCCCTCCCGGTTGAACTCGCCCATTGCTGGGCACTTGCACAGCTCCATGATGCCGAGACAGGTGACCTCGTCCAGTTGGACGTCGATGTCGCCGAGGTACTTCATCGCACCTTCGATGCCGACGGTGTCAGGACTGTCGGCTGGGTTCTCTGGATTGAAGTCAGTATATGATGATATGTCGATGGGGTTGGAGATTGTACCTCGGTATTCATCGAAGATATGGCCCACGGACTGCCGGGATGATTGTTGGTTGGCGTGTGCGGTATTGGAGTAGAAGCTAAAGATGACGAAAGAGAATTAGCTGTGTTCCCGGTACAAAGCTATGCATATTTGGGCATATTGCATCTCCGATTTAGAAGGTCCGCCGAGAGGGTTCACTCGCGGACACTGGGTAGAAAGTCCTCGGGAAGGCGACAGCCGTATTGAGATGGCATCGAGATGAGTATGATCACTCGCTTAAGATATGAGCGCAAACTTTCAAATGACCATCCACACCCAAGGAAATTCTGCGAAGTGGCGAGGCGCAGCAGAGAACCCGGTCTGCGGAACAGGCACTCAAGACCAAACGAGAGCAGCAGCCAATTCCATGTATGAATGTGCCACAGCGACTTGGTAACAGAAACATGGAACAGTACTCACGCATCAACCGCTCGCTCAAGGCTCCATGACACGCCTTTCAGGAACTATAGGGTCTCGTCAGTTACAGCGCGGGTCACGAGACAGATATCCTGCTGCATAATACAGTACGCGCGCAAATTGCGGAATGTTCCGGAAGCGCGGAGTCGAACACATACCTTAGCAGCCACTGAGTCCTTGGTGTCCGTCAGAGCCACAAACTGCTGGATGGTCTGCTTCTGCGCCGCCGTGTAAGGTGGCATGGTGGGGTTGTGATATCTGAGCCCCGCTGCGTGAGCTGGGCGTGTTTCGGGGAGATGGGCAGCAATACAATAGGTGCGAGGGTCAAATAAGAGGAGTGCCAAGGGCAAAGATGAGATATATCAGCGGGGAGAGGTCTTTTGAGCAGTGAAGTTCCCAGCGCTGCGACGGTGGGCTCCATGATGGCCATCACGTTAGAGAAGCGATGAGTCAGCATAATTGCCTGAGGCCCCATATCATGACATGTGTGCACAATGACTACAGCAAGAAACACAGGACGTGGGCTAATGAAAATCTCGAGGATTGAACTGTGCTGATGAAGATGACTATTAAAACATCGTATCTGGAAGCAACTCGAGTATCGAGCAGTTGTGAATTGCTACTGCGCGCTACAACAAAACAACAGCGCTAGTATATCCAAACCCATAATTTGCCCAGACAGGGAGAGGTAGCACTGGACATGCATACTGGCCACTTGAAGTCAAATTTTCCAAAGAGAAATTGAAATAAATACATTATAAGTGCAGGAGATTGACTGTACGGACATTTGTTGAAATACAAGTCGTGATCAAACAATCCATCCGAGCCCAGGTACACACATCAATGTCAAGACGGACAAAGCACTTTTTACGTGATATAAATGACTCCATAAACTCCAGTCCCAGATCGAGTATGCCAACATCAACATGCAAGATTCCAGCCGCCGAAATCTCCTTTCTAGGTGGTGAACAGGGAATCCTCCTGTTAGGGCATTAGCAACCATTCAAGGCGAATATGAACACAGCTTAGATGTGCAAGTCGGTGTTTTGTTCTTACCTCTCTCAGATACTCGCCAGCATCGGCCTGGCGGAAGACCACGATACCGGTCGGATCGAGCTTCTTGGCTTCGGCAGTGGAGCGCGCTGTAACGCCGAACCCAAGAGGCTCGTCGTTCATACTGTACACAACTACACCCGAGTGCTCAGGACAATCCTCAGACCAACGTGCGACGCTTGTGTATGTCAGCAAGTGCATTACCTTCGATAGATCATATTAAACTCACTGGGCCTTTAATGCGCTGTTTTGCGTGTTAGCTTTAGCATTACGTCTGATGGATCGCGTAAAACTTACTTTCCGCCGTACAAGAAGGGCATTTCTCCGTTAGGCTTGATCCAGACCTTGTACCGGGCGTGCCCCGAGATGACAGATAGAGCCTATCAAAATCCACCATTAGCATGCTAGTCAGACGGACCTGTACCGGACAAGATGACAAGACTGGGAGACGTACGGTGATGTGAAGTCTGAACTTCATCGTCTTCGTGAATTTACCCTGCTAGCCGTTAGTGGATATGAAGAGGGAATGAAGAGCCGAGTAGAGACTCACAATAATGGTACCCGCAGATAATAAGTTTGCGCGGGGAATGGAAGTTGCGAAATTCGCTAGTCGGAGAGGAAGGTAAAAGACCTAAATGGTAGTTAGATCTCGAGACTAGACAATATCTCCGTGAGTTGACCGTACGCGAGAGCCTTGGAGGCGGAAAACATGGCGCTCTGAATTCTCGCCTTCTGGGGGTGCGATTAAGTTATTGAGAGAGCGGCCAGTGTAATGGGCGAGCTTCTTGAAAAGCCTGGTGGCACAGAGTATTAGCAGGGTTTATGCTGGTTCAAGAAACACGTGGACTCACACGGTGGCTTCTTCCTCTGTCAATTCACGCATGTTGGCTGGGATGAAACGACTGTCCTTGGGTGGGGAGGTTCGAATTGATCCAGGTTCAGCAAGACTCGCGGAGGCTGTTCCTGACCCTCATCAGAGAAAAAAGTTGGGCGGTGTGATTATGTCCGGCAGATAAAGTTTTGGCGTGAAATTTTATGGTCTGGTCCGCTTTCCGCCCGCAGGCCTTTCCAGCCTTCAACATTAGCAAACACACCACGAAAACCAACAGAATGGCTCGCGGCCAGAGTGTGAAAAGGAGGCGTCTCAGCCCTCCCGCCGATGGAGGGGCTCCTGAGTCTCAAAGCAATGCCGAGTTGTACAGTGGCCCCGGCGAGTGGGACGCCGAACAAGACTACGAGCGTCGCCCGCGCAAAACGAACAAGAAAGACAACGAGCGCACCCGATTACCCATTAAGACTTCGGAGGGATTCGTTCACGCAGTCAATGAGCCGGAGGATGCGGCGGAGGAAACCGACAGCTTCTTGGGTACCGACGATGACGAGATGGAGGATGGTTCCGGAGAGGACGATGATAGCGAGGAAGCAGAGGCAGAGAAAAAGCCCAAGATTCCCGTGAAGGTCCAAATAATGCAAGCGAAGGAGGACCTGGCTCGCATCGCTACTCTAATCAATGAGGACCCCGAGGAGCACATTGCGCTGTTCAAGACAATGGCCGACATGGTGGAGAAACCCGATGCGCCTGTCACGGTCAAAAAGCTGGCCCTGGCATCGCAGGCCGCCGTCTTCAAGGATGTCATCCCAGGCTATCGGATTCGTCCCCTCACCGAGGAAGACATGGCAGGCAAGCATTCGAAGGAAGTACGCAAGCTGCGAAATTTTGAGCAAGGTCTGGTTTCTGGATACAAGAACTACGTCCAGAGGCTAGCAACCCTAATCAAGCCCGGCCGGTTTAATCCGCCGACCGACCCTGGTTTGAAGAGCCTTGCCATCAACTGTGCTTGCAGCATGCTTCAAGCTGTCCCACACTTCAACTTCCGCAGCGAGTTGATCAAGATTCTTGTCAATCGTCTTGCGAGGAAGCAGGTGGATGATGATTTCATCAAGTGTCGGGAAACCATGGAAGAGATCTTTGCCAAGGACAATGATGGAATTGTTTCTCTGGAAGCGACCCGCCTTCTGTCCAAGATGATGAAGGCACGCGAGTTCAATGTCCACGAGAGTGTTTTGGATACTTTCCTCCATCTACGTCTCCTCGGAGAGTTCCATAAGAAGGCGTCGCATCACCGGGTGGACCGAGATGAGCCCGAGGAAGATACTCCTCACGGCAAGAAGCAGAAGCAGAAGCGCGAGTTCCGCACAAAGCGAGAGCGCAAGGTGATGAAGGAACGCAAGGTTGTCGAAAAGGATATGAAGGTTGCAGACGCACTGGTCTCCCATGAAGAAAGAGACAAGAACCAGGCCGAGACTCTGAAGCTTGTGTTTGGTCTCTACTTCCGCATCCTGAAGCAGCGAATTCCCAACCTGATGGGCCCTGTGCTTGAGGGTTTGGCGAAGTATGCCCATCTCATTAACCAGGACTTCTTTGGTGATCTCCTGGAGGCCATGAAGGACCTTATCGGCCACGCAGAGCGCGATGAACTTGATCAAGCCGGCGAAGACGCCTCTGATGATGAGGAAGAACCGGAACACAACATCGTATCCGAAGCCACAAAACGGGACGCCCGCCGTGAGACGCTCCTTTGCACGGTTACTGCATTTGCCCTGCTCGAAGGACAGGATGCTGCCAAAGCCGCTACAACCCTCCACCTGGATCTGAGTTTCTTCATCAAGCACCTCTACCGGTCCCTCTACGCCCTCTCCATCAACCCCGACGTCGAGTTCAACCCCAGCACCTCCCTGCGGCTCCCCGACCCGAGTCCCCGTGAGGACTACGCCCAATCTGCGACCCGTTTCAGAGCAAAGAACAAGGTGAACTTCCAGACCCCTATGGTTCTGCTCCTCCGCTGCCTCCAGTCGGCTCTGCTCTCCCGTGCGCACGGCAACCCGCCACCGGTCCGACTGGCCACTTTCGCCAAGCGCCTCATGACAACCTCCCTCCAGCTACCCGAGAAATCGGCTCTCGCGACATTGTCGCTGATGAGCCAGGTATCCAAGCACCACGCCCGCCGCATCTCGCCGCTGTGGCACTCAGACGAGCGGAAGGGAGACGGTGTATTCAATGCGTATGCGACTGATGTCGAGGCTACGAATGTTTATGCGGGCTCGGTCTGGGAAGGTGAGCTGTTGCGTCATCACTACTGCCCCCAGGTGCGGGACACCGTGCTTGATATCGAGAAGTTGGTGACCGGCAACGGCACGAAATGAGTGCGATATTTCTGTGAATAGACAAATGGAACGTGATGTTTCTACTTGAGAATTTTTTGGTAAATGGCAAAAGCGATTGAATATCAAAGATGTTAGACATACACTGGCATGGGCATTCCTCCATATTTTTGTATTTGTACATTTGAAGTTGAAGTATCACCGGAAAGATCCTTGTCACCACCGAAAGACATTGTATACACATGTCTTGTCCCTGCATGTAGATCACTTGACCAAGTGGCTTGGAACACCCAGAACTCCCAGTTACCGGAGGTAACCTCCAGTACACACCAACTTTGCTGAATTTATTTCACATTAAAAAGCTAATGCCGTCAGATCCTGGTACCGTAGATCCTAACTGCATTGCACTGCATGCGCCATGAAGAACAATACCGGAAACCGTATCACCCTGAACACCACAACAAACCTGGGTATCCTTAAATTTCGAAAAGAAAAAGCGTCGTGATGCACATGTGCGTCTACTGCAAATACTCAGTAGTTTTGGCCTCATGCAATGAAACCCGGTCCCAGGCATGATCCTCTTCCTCCGCCTCCCCGAGAAGTGGCTTCCGCATGCCCTCAATGGGACGGAGAGGAGTGAGCGACTCAGAGTCTTGGACGAGTAATTCCTGCGCCTCATACTTATCCGGAGACGGAATCTCTCCATTCGAAGCCTTGTTATCTTGGGAGGAAGCTGGACTGGGAGTCATCGATGCCGAGACAATACTTGAATTCTGACCATCATGGTGAGAAAGTCGGGTCATTAGTGGCGACATAATTGAAGTGTGCACAGGAGCAATCGGGGAAACCAAGGACTTGTCTTTCATGCAGGATTGCTGAACCACGTTCCGGAATGCGGGATGCACTTTACTTGCAGCGTGGATGTTACTCTCAATGTTCTGGAGCACATTGCGAGGGATTGGCGGAGGGGGAGTCGTTGAACGCGAGCTGCCATTGTCCGAGGCTGCACCATCCTTTGAGCGGCGGGAATATGCCCAAGAGAACTTGCCGGGACTAGTTGAGCCCTGGCTGGTTGTCCTATGGCGGCGGCGGAAGTTGAAGACGTTCCATTTCTTTGTGTCCTCAGTGCTGCCGGTCGGCCCATGGTTCTTGTTTTCACAGTCTGAAGTGCCGGATATGACTTTGGTGAGCCCTCTTTTGAACGATAGGCTACGCGAGAAAACATTGCTGGCCTTGCTTTTCGCCGCCGGGGGTAGCTTAGGCCGGGATGGGGTGGTTGGCACTGATTGTGGCATGGGAAGAGGCGGCGAGGCAGAAACTGGCGGTCTAATCAAGAGCTCGGTGCTCGCAATGGTAGACTGGCTTACGCACGGCTGAGCCTGGAGGGGCCAAATGGCCTTGAGGTTAGCCTCTCGCTGCTCTTTGAGGTACGCGATCTCGTTATCGATCTCGACATTCTTCTGCCGCTGATCCTTGATGAATTTCTGAGTGGCATCGGAGGAGTATTTTTCCACCAAGTAGGCAGTCTTCATGTGCAGTTCATCATAGGAAGCAGCCAAGTTTCGGATTTCGGTTTGTAGCTCGTCCAGAAGTTTCATCTCGAAGACATTCATACGCCGCTCCATCACGCCAGTCTCAAGGCGAATGTCTAGATGGAACTTCATGAGGTCCCGAGAAAGTTCATACTGCCGGGAGGAAATCTCGTTGTTGGCGCGGTTAAGGTCGCTGACAGTTTCAATCTGGTTCCTGAGATGGTCGCCAATCCAAAGAGACAGCTCCTCGAGTTTTTTGTTTAGGCTACTGATCCCAGAGTCGGCTTGTCGCTGGATGGACCAGACCATTTCCACGACATCATCCACGTGCGTGGCAGTGCGGTGGTTTCTGATCTCTGCAGTAGTCTTGTCGTTGGGCAGATTGGCATCGTCAAGACGCTCTATGAAGGAAGGCATGTAGTCGGGCTGCGAAGTCACGGGTAGCTCATCGTTGCTGTGCATAGTTTCCGAGTGGCGCTTCGTCTTAATAGTCGGCGAGGGTGACAAAGGGGATGTTCCCTCCAGCCAATCCTTAGGAAGATAGCTGACTCTTCCGGTACCTTCTGTAAGCTCACCAATCATGATAGGCAAGTCTCCAGTTGGAGCGTACTTGGGCACATGAGGCTTTGATGTTGATGATTCACGATTCTTGGCGGGAGTGTCAAGGCTGGGACGGCTTACGACGATGTTGGGTTGACGTGTTTCAGAAGGCTGTGCCGTATTGACTTTGATGCCTTTGGTGGCAGCGCCCAACTTCTCCTGGGTTTCCCCAAGCTCGGCAGTAGCTTTTACCTGCCCCCAGCTACTAACCTGGCGGCCAGTAGAAGACCTGGAGGTAGCCATTTGCGCGTGGGCATGTGTTCCTGAAGGAGGAAGTGGGATTCTGCTTGGTGCAGAGTTTGCCTGAGGGGTAAATATTGCAGATGCAACATTCGATGGAGAAGACGTGCCAGTCTCCACAGGCTTGGACTCAGTCTTGAGAGCATATGTGCTAGGTGAGAACGCTGAAATACCACTACTAGCAGACGGACGGTGGAGGCCACTCTTGGTCTGAATGAAGGGTACATGAGGAATAGTGTTTGCACCATCATCCTTGACAGACTCCTTGCGTAGATCCTTGAAGCTCAGCTTCAACTTGATAAGATCAAGACGAGACTTCTTCTTGCCATCCCCGGATGTGACTGGTTCACACGCAGGCGAGGCTTTCGAATAAGCCGTGTCTGTCATGGAACGCTTCTTCAGCAGATGGGGCTGGGGCTTGAGGTTTTCTGCTCCCGACGGGGGCATTATGTTAACGAAAGGTTCAGGTTTGGGGTGACGTGGTTTGGGCATGGGCAGTGCGAGATCCTGGTCGTAGTCAAGGCCAGAGCGCTTTCGAGTCATGCTGGGCCGACAACTTCCTTCCATTGGACTTGCAGGTTTCGAGCTCTCTGAACGAAGATGCATGGTTAGTTCTCTTTGCAGCAATGTAAAAACAGCCTTTATTGTAGTAGACAGATCAATGACTGTATGGAAACGTGTCTGGGCTTGATATCCTACCAGTGCTCTGGCGAGGCAGCTTGATAGTGTCCATGCCTCTTGCCTTCATAATGGCAAATGCGTTTCCAGGACGGATGGACGTGTTTGAGCTACCCAGTCCAGCTCCGGACAGACGCTTTGCAGGAGGATTTTTGGTAGTAAGCCCATCTTCATCAGGAGGGTCAGCTTGGTCGTCCATGCTTGATACAGGCAGTATGAAGGAGAGAACGGAGTTGATAAGGGACAGGACAAGGTTGAAGGATAACAATGCAGTTGGCCGGGGGAGAATTTGAAGGAACAAGAGGTGAGCAGGCGGATCATTTGTGGGGGGGAGGGAGAGAGTGAGAGAGTGGGAGAGTGAAGAGGGCGTGAAGTAACCAAACCAAGGTGGGAAGGCAGTTCCAGCAACCTACAATGTCGACTCGAAGAACAAACACATTTGAACTGATCATCTCCATTCATTAACTTCATAAGAGTAGGCCTCATTAGATACATCCTGGCGACGAGCCGCATCTCGGAGACTAAATCTATCCCGAGCATGAACCTTGTCCACCAACATGAGAGACAAAAGAAAATTATAACCCCATAAAAGGAGACAACTTGAGCACAAAAAGTCTCCCATTAGGAGAAAAAACAAGCAAAGCAAGAAAAAACCGAGAGAAACAAAAAGGAAAATCGTAAACAATACAGGGGAATCAATAGTGGAGAGAAATTTGAAACATTCTGACAACTTTTGTCAGAGCAACGCGACGAGTTGCCCTCAATTCCGCCGTCTGCGAACACCGGCGAGGAAGACACTCAACGGGTCAAGGCGTGGAAAAGCAGTATCGCAAGAAGAGGCGCCGCAGCAATGGCAATCCAGAACAGGGCTCTGATCAAAGCAATGTCAGTAACTGCGAGCTGGAGTGCGCACCAAAGAAAATCACAGATTGTCTCTTCTTCAGGTGCAGCGTCAAGGGACAGACGGGGGCACAACTATAGCTAGAGAGGCTTCTCATTCTAGCACAAGCTTATTTGGCATCCCTTCCACGGCGGCGGAAGGGGGTCAAGATAGAGCCGAAGAAGTTCACAAAGACGGCGCGCAGGAACGCCTTGAGCCAATTGTCATGTGCACTATTCAGAGAAACAGCAGCCACTGACCGGTTCTGGCTCACGGGACGAGCCTCTTCCTCGTTCGAATTGTCCAGGTGGTCGGTAGTCTTCTGAGTAGGCTCAGCGGTGGACTCAGCCTCAAACTCAGCCTCAATACGGGCCGTCGTTTCGTCAACGGTGGATATCTGCTCAGCAGTGGCAGTGGCCAATTGATCCGTCGAAGGCTGGGCGAGCTTGTGGAGCAGGGCTTCACGATCGCCTGCGAGCGCTGCGAGAATCGGATCAGCTTCGAAGGACGGTACGGACACGTTGTGCGAGATAGAGAATGGCGTCGGCTTACAGTCATCGGGCTGTTGTTCTACAACAGGAGCCTTGTTCTCGGTCGTGTCGTCGGAAGGACCATCGCTGGTAGGGGTAACAGTCGCGTCCTTAGGCTCAGGCTCTGTCTTCGTGTGCAATACCGACGACACACCGACCGCAGCAACGCCGGCGGCAGCAGCAGCCGCTCCGGCGCCAAGAAGCTCGGGTGTCAAAATGCTGTCCTTAGCAGTTTCTTCTTGCTTCTCTTCTTGAGGAGCCGGGCTGTCCTCGGCCTGGTTTTCAGGTTGGACAGGGGCGGAGGTCTCTTCGGCGACAGCAGCTGGAGCAGGCTGCTCAAGGGTATCATCCTGCGTATTCTCAGGCTCGGGCTCCTTCACATCCTCCTCAACCTTAGCAGGCTCCTCAATCTGAGCAACAGTCTCGGGCTCTTCCACAGTGGGGGTGGACTGAGCCTCAGTACTTTCATTTACAGCCTGCTCCTCAGCGGCCTTAGCAGGCTCTTCCACGAAAACGGCCTCCTCAACAGGGGCAGACGCTTCGGTGGCAGGGGCGGATTCTTCGAGGGTCGGGACAGACTCCTCGGTATCGGGGATATGCGCCTCCTCGGTAACCTCCTTTGTTGGTTCCTCTACAGTAGGCTCCTCGATAGTGACGGGCTCTTCGATAGCAGCGGGTTCCTCAGCAATGGGTTCCTCGACAGCAACCGGCTCCTCGACAGTGACGGGCTCCTCGACAGCAGCGGGTTCCTCAGCAATAGGTTCCTCGACAGCAACCGGCTCCTCGACAGCAACCGGTTCCTCGATAGTAACAGGCTCCTCGGCAGCAGCGGGTTCCTCAGTAATAGGTTCCTCGGTAGCGGCGGGCTCTTCGACAGTAGCGGGCTCCTTAATAGCAGCGGGCTCTTCGACGGTAATAGGCTCCTCGACAGCAGCAGGCTCTTCGACGGTAATAACAGGCTCCTCGATAGCAGCGGTAGGCTCCTCGACAGCAGCGGTAGGCTCCTCGATAGCAGCGGCGGGCTCTTCGACGGCAACAGGCTCCTCGACAGCAGCAGGCTCTTCGACGGTAGCGGGCTCCTCGACAACAGCGGGCTCTTCGACAGTAGCAGGCTCCTCGATAGCAGCGGGCTCTTCGACAGCAGCGGGCTCTTCGACGGCAACAGGCTCCTCGACAGCAGCAGGTTCTTCGACGGTAGCGGGCTCCTCGACAACAGCGGGCTCTTCGACAGTAGCAGGCTCCTCGATAGCAGCGGGCTCTTCGGCAGCGGCCGGCTCCTCAACAGCAGTAGGCTCCTCGATAGCGGCCGGCTCTTCGACAGCGACAGGCTCCTCGACAGCAGCCGGCTCTTCGACAGCAGCGGGCTCTTCGACGGCAACAGGCTCCTCGACAGCAGCAGGCTCTTCGACGGTAGCGGGCTCCTCGACAACAGCGGGCTCTTCGACAGTAGCAGGCTCCTCGATAGCAGCGGGCTCTTCGACAGCGGCCGGCTCCTCAACAGCAGTAGGCTCCTCGATAGCGGCCGGCTCTTCGACAGCGACAGGCTCCTCGACAGCAGCCGGCTCTTCGACAGCAGCGGGCTCTTCGATAGCGGCGGGCTCCTCGACAGCAGCGGCGGGCTCCTCAACAGCAGCAGGCTCTTCGATAGCGGCCGGCTCTTCGACAGCAGCGGTAGGCTCCTCGACAGCAGCGGCGGGCTCCTCTACAGCAGCGACAGGCTCCTCGACAGCAGCCGGCTCTTCGACAGCAGCGGGCTCTTCGATAGCGGCGGGCTCCTCGACAGCAGCGGCGGGCTCCTCGACAGCAGCGGCGGGCTCCTCGACAGCAGCAGCGGGCTCCTCGACAGCAGCGGCGGGCTCCTCGACAGCAGCAGCGGGCTCCTCGACAGCAGCGGCGGGCTCCTCGACAGCAGCGGCGGGCTCCTCGACAGCAGCAGGCTCCTCGACAGCGGTAGGCTCTTCGATAGTAATAGGCTCCTCGATAGCGGCGGGCTCCTCGATAGCAGCGGCGGGCTCCTCGACAGCAGCGGTGGGCTCCTCGACAGCAGCGGCGGGCTCCTCGATAGCAGCAGCGGGCTCCTCGATAGCAGCGGGCTCTTCGATAGCAGCCGGCTCCTCGACAGCAGCGGCGGGCTCCTCGATAATAGCGGCGGGCTCCTCGACAGCAGCGGGCTCCTCGACAGCGGCGGGCTCTTCGACAGCAGCAGCCGGCTCTTCGATGGCAGCGGCGGGCTCTTCGACAGTAACAGGTTCCTCGACAGCAGCGGGCTCCTCGACGACAGGCACTGCTTCGGCCTCCTTCTCCTTAGCATGCTCCTCGTGGACCTCCTCCTTAACAGCAGGGGTCTCAATAGGCTCCTCTACCTTAGTCTCGGGAGCCAGCTCCTCGTGAGGAGGTTCTTCGGCGACGACAGCTTCAGACGCTTCCTCCTTAGGTGCCTCCTCAATAGGCTCCCCGGTCTTGGCAGGCTCGGCAATAGCCTCCTCAACGGCCGGTTCAGCAAGCTTCTCGGAAGACTCGGCAGTGGCAGAAATAGCTTCTTCAGCCGTTTCGGTGACTGGAGCTTCGGCAGTGGCCAATTCAGCAGCCTTGGTCTCTTCCTCGACAGGGGTAGCATCCACAACAGCGGCTTCAGTAGGAGCAGCAACCTCAGTGGTAGTAGGTGCCTCAACAACAAGGTCCTCGGTCTTCTGCTCTTCAGTAGCAGCGGCTTCAGACTCCTGGATAGCTACCTCCTCAGCAGAAGCAGGCTCAGCAGCAATAGGCTCGGGAGCAACAGTCTCGGGAGCAACAGTCTCGGGAGCAACAGTCTCGGGAGCAACAGTCTCGGGAGCAACAGTCTCGGGAGCAACAGTCTCGGCTTCGACCACCTTCTCCTCAGCTGGCACCGACGCAGCCTCGGCAGCGAGGCTTTCGATAGGCTCCTCGGCGACAACAGGCGCCGCGGTAGCAGCTTCGACGGACTTCTCGACTGGGGTCTCCTTCAATGGCTCCTCGACAGGCTCCTCATTCTCAATCGGTGCCTCGGCGGGGGTTTCAGAAGCAGATTCCTTAGGAGCTTTCTCAGCTAGAGTCTCCGCGTTAGCGGCGATTCCGGTGGCTTCTTCGACGATAGCCTCCTTGGAGGATTCTTCGGCTCCGTGCTCGACCTTAGGCTCCTCCACCTTAGGTTCTTCAACCACAGGCTCTTCAACCTGGGGTTCTTCAACCACAGGCTCTTCAACCACAGTCTCCTCAACCTTAGATTCCTCAGCTGGGGACTCCTCCTCCCGAGGCGCCTCGAGGGTTGCCTCAGGGATCACCTCAGCGACGGGCTCGGCGACGGTAGTCTCTTGGGTGGCAGAGGGCTCGGAGATTGCAGCGGCAGGTGCGGGAGTTTCCTCAGTCTTAGAAGTGGCCTCCTCAGTTGTCTCGGGTGCAATAGAGGGCTCTTCGGTCTTGGAATCTTCCTTGAGCTCCTCGATAGCAGCCTTTTCGGCAACGGGCTCTTCAACAGCGGGTTGCTCAACGACAACATCGCCGGCAGAACTGGGCTCCTCGACCGTCTCCGCCGTAGAAGGAACTTCAGTCGATTCCTCGGTGATTTCGGGGGCTTCTCCAGTGACGGGTTCCTGAGCAGCGGGCTCCTCAGCGGCGACAGCCTCGGTGGCAGTAGGTTCCTCAATCTTCTCCTCGGTAGAAGGAGTTTCTGTCGACTCCTCGGCGACAGTCTCATTGGCGATAGGGTCCTCGGCGTCGACGGTTTCGGTAGTGGTCGGTTCCTCAACCTTCTCCTCGGCGGAGGGAGTCTCGGTCTCGGTCGACTCAACGGCGTTAGGGGCCGCCTCGATAACGGTCTCCTTGGTAGTAGGCTCCTCAACAGGCTCTTCGCTAGTGGAAACCTCAGCCGATTCCTCTGCGATAGGCTTATCTTCGGAGACCTCCTTAGGCTCGACGGTGGGGGTTTCGGTGGGAGGCGCCTCGGCAAGCACTTCCTTGGCTGGCTCCTCGACGACAGTCTCTTCAGCAGGAGCTTCCTTGGCAACCTCCGGGGTCACCTCTTCGACCGTCGACTCTTCAGTAGTAGGCGCCTCTGTGGCGGTCTCGACGGTCTCCGAGGTAGCCTCCGTCTTCTCTTCGGCCGTCGGTTGAATCTCGTCCTTGGTCACTGGCTCTTGGACGGACTCGGTGGCCTTCGGCTCGTCGGCGACCGGCTCAGGGGCAGATTCCTCCGTCTCTGCGGGTGCTGTGGCAGGCTCCTCGGTCGAAGCAGCTTCCGGCGCAGAGTCTGTCGCAGAGGCATCGGGAGCAGCCGAGCTGATGCTCTCCTGTCGCTTCTGCTGCTTCTTCTTCGCCTTCTTGGCCTTTTTCTTTTGTGCTGCTGTCAAAGGAACTTCCGGTTCAGCAGGGATATCCCCGCCATTGGTCGCTGGCTTCTCGTCGAGTGTGATTGGGGTGGGTGCGGCCTGAACGGGCTCCACCGCGATAGGGTCTTTAGGCAGCTGCTCGTCCGAAACTGCCGGATCGTCAGTCACTGTGCACCTGGTCGTGAGTCCAATCTATTGGAGGGAAGTCACTTACCATTCTGAATCGCAGCAGTAGCCATGGTGGTAGGTCGTTAAATCGTAACGGGTCGTGAAGAGGTAAGGGGAAACAGAACAATGGAAAACAGATTCGCAATTTGACCAGCAAAGCAGACTAACGCAGGACCCAACAGATGAGCTGTACAGACAAGTTGCTCGCAGAGCAGACGAGGAAAGGGGAGGTGGAGGGAGGTGGGAGAGAGGTAGAGGTAGAGGTAGTAGCAGATTTGATTATGAGAGTTGAGGAAGAGAGAAAGGGAAGAGGGGAACCAGGGGAAAAAAAAGGCAGCAAGAAGCTAGGACCACCGGCCTGAGATAATGAATTATTTAATGAAAGAAAATAATAACACAACACTGACACCTACGGCCTACGGGGTATGGATGGCGTATGGAGTACGAGTGCTCCATCCGGGACGCCAAATGAGAAAAATGGATTGAAGACCCCCAAAAAAAACAAAGATGCCCAACTCAGCCATCGCAACAACACCCCATCCCAAGTACAACAAGTACAACAGTGGCTGGCATATGATTGACGCATCCCCAAGGGAAAAAGTCGAGTCGGTGGAGCCAGTTGTCACAGTGACCAGCTCGTGCTAGCCTCCAATGGCTCGAACGGCCTTGTTTAGCCTCGCTAGCACCGGCCAGGTGTTAACCAGAAATTCTTTAGATACCCAATGGCCGCTGGGCCGTCGGGCCCACCAAAGGGTGTCCAACATGCGGTGAAGCTGCCTGCCGCCGAGGTTCCTTTGGCCTGTTCGTCGGTCCTGTCCTCTGGCCGCTTTGGGTGCTGGGGAAGTCGGCATCCAATGGATCCAGTCACCATGCATGGCCGATCCTCCCCTTTAGCGCTTTTTCCTCTGGCCTTTTTTTCAGGGCCCCGAGCACCCTACGCACTGAACAGCTACTAGCAGCGCACTAGGAACTCTGAGATGGGGGACAATGTGCGACGAGCTGGACGGGCCATGCTTCCTGGTGGTACTCTGGTCTTGAAGTACCTCTGGATGTACATCGTGCTTCATCTGTTCCGGTCGCACGACCTCTCCCGACCAACTGGCCTGGGCAATATCGTCATGGGCGAGAAAAAAAATATTGGGTGGAGCCGACACAAGTACGCTAGCGACTAGCGCAGACCCAGCAGTCGCCGATAATGCGAGGCCAATAATGGGCCGCAGCCCAAAGGTTCTTCTCCACCCTGGCTACGGATCACCTGTGCGCGGTATCGAAGGATGGGATGGGCATGGGCATGGGCAAGAGTGAGCACTCAGCACCCATCCACACGTCGGAAGAGTCCGACAGCTCTCTCGCCTGATGGTTCTCTCGTCCGATAGTTCTATCGTTCTATAGTTCAGCATTGGGCAAAAAACGCTCGGGTCAGGGACTACCCAACCCAACCCAGTGCCCGGAACCTCACGGGAAATGCCTAAGGTTCTTGGTCAACGGAGACCCGTGGGACTCGGCCGGGGCGGGTTGAGTGGCCTGACACATCGTGGCCATACGGAGACCCGTTTATATCCTCAAAGTCCCGCAGCTCGGGATTCGGATTGGTTCCAGGACCAGAGATCGAAACATCTGCCGGAAAGAAACCTAAACAAATATGCACGAAAGGACGGGGAAAAGAACCGAGGCCGGCCCGTCATGGAGTCATGTGACCTCCACGGTTGGATGCCCAAGGCCGCTGGCCAGCTGGCAGTGCCAACAAACTCATGTCTCAGTTGCGTCGATGGTTCATCGATATACTGGGCATCATTGCCAAGTCAGGTAGTCCGATAGGCGAAAATCTTGGCTGTTATTTTTCTTGGCCATTTTTGCAAGGAGAGATCATGCCTGGAAAGGTTCTCCGTACACCAGGGCCCGAGAGATCCCCTTGGCATATCTGGTGGATGGCATTGAAAGAGTAGCTCTGTTCCACAGCCGAGGTGAACGGTTATCATGTCTGGAGTCCAGGATCTGCATCGCGTAAGGGACTGCCGGTACCAAGTAAAAGTGCAGGCGGACCATGTCTAGCGAGAGGGACTCGGGGCTTCACCCAACCGCATGACCGCATGACCTCGATATGAACTCAGGAATCACGGCTCAAGTCAGATTATATTCGTTAAGATATGGGGATCTGTAAGTTGCATTTGTTTTGGATCCCTAGCAGCTACCCGCAATCTGAACGACCTCAGATTGGGTGCGAAGGGAGCCCACAATGGCCTGAACCATAGTATAGTCCTGTCTCAACCCCATTACGGGCCGCAGTGGTCACTTTCTGCAGATTGCTCTCATCCTTACCCAAAGTAACTGTCCCAGGGCTGCACCTCGGTTGCCCCTTGCCAACTAGCATACACCCGCACCTGTTCGATGCTCGTGCTCGTTTTTCCAGTGCAAGCATATACACTCGGCTTCATAGTTGGCGTTCCGTCCCAGGCTGCCCGGAAAGTGCGATATAGCATCATGAGATCATCGCAGCCGAAACACGCCCGCATCACCACGCTCCCTGCGTCGTCGTACTCCTGCAGCTTGCGGTCTCGTCGTGACCGCGCAAGACATGACCATTGGCACGACTCTGATAACTACCCTGTGAAACGACGTGGACGATTCTGTCTGCATCCCATCGGCGGCGGTCAAGGCTCTCTGTCTTTGCATCCAAGACCAGATCGAGAAGAAGTCCGGTGGTGGCCGCTGTCCCCCGTCACAACGGGGTGTCATGGTTCTTATAGGTGCGCAGCGTAATCGTGTTGTTCGTTTGTCACTCCACCCTTCCGTCGTGCAAGAAGCAACATGTTGTATCGAGAGTTCATGTGAAATCACCGCCAGTCCGCCCCTATCGATATCGAGATCAGTATACATCTAGTTATTTTCAAATGGGCAATGGACATACAATCAAGGTTCCATATTCTCATTCGAATCAATCGCATAGGCAATGCAGTACGAATGTGACGAAAGAAGATATCAATGGCATAAGAAAAAGCTATCGAAGATCCCACCGTGGTTGGATCCACAGACGCTTTATAGATCCAAACGCGTCACGACTCAGCACGATTTGTGGTAGCTTCCTCGTGAAGATCTATATAGGTTCTATCTCTACTATGCCATCAACTTGGTCGTGGACGTAAGTAGTCATACAAAGGGGACCTGAATTGACGGCTAATGTGTGCTAGCTACACTGGGGAAAACATTGTTGGTGATGTGTCCTATGACGCATTTGTGTCATCCCAACCCTCCACGAGTGCCTCGCACGACTACGAGATTATGATTTGGCTTGCTTCTTACGGAGGGGCCGAACCCATCGGGTATGGCTCTGGCCCCATTGCCTCTCCTATTATTGGGGGCATCACTTGGGATTTGTACAAGGGGCCAAACACGTGGACGGTCTTCAGCTTTGTGGCAAGAGACACGATAACAGATTATTCGGGAGACATTAACGATTTCTTCGGGTATCTTACTACGAACGAAGGAGTACCCTCGAGTTACTATCTTCAGACTATTGGCGCAGGCACGGAGCCCTTTACAGGCTCGAATGCTTGGTTTACCGTTAACCCTTATACTATTAGTCTGATCTAGAGCCTCGAGAGACAAAGAGCCTGTCATTCATTTCAGCGATCAAATGTACAAAGAGAAAATGCAACAAACTCCGTTCTTTTAGAAATCACGAACGGACCCTCCTCTATGCCACTTGTGATTTTAGGTCCAATTCCCAAAACTCCCCCATTAACTTGATCCCAAACGTCTCGTGCTCTTCCTCCTGTACACATTTAAATCCTTCGGAGGTATATAGTTGACGAGCAGATGTCAAGATTTGGTTGGTCCACAGCACGATTCGCTCGTAGCCGACCTCTGCAGCGAATGTCTTGCATTGCCGCACTAGTGCGCGAGCAACACCCAGGCCGCGCGCACTCGGCTCCACCAGTAACAAGCGAAGCTTGGCTGTATCTTCTCTTGGGCGGTCTTTGACGAGCATGATGCATCCGAGGGGCTTGCCGTCTTTCTCCGCAATCCAACAACGTTCTGATTTGGGATCGTATTCTTTGATAAAGTCTGCGGCGATGCTGGCTACTAGAGCCTTGAACCGCTCGTCCCAGCCATATTCTTGATCATAAAGAATTCCGTGCCTGTGGACGATCCATTCTATATCATCCGGTCGGTGGGTGCGGAGGACGAATTGGCGACCGGGTATTTGAACGGTGCTACCCATTGTACTGACAGGTCGTAGAAGAGCGTGTTTCAGAATAAAAGAGAAATCGATTAGTTGCTAAATATTTTGCAGCTATCATTTACAATAAAACTCCCACGTCGGGGCTTTTCAGAGTTATTAGTATCAATTTTCCTTCCAGACTTTTCTATGTCAACGGAAGGGCGCGAGCTTCTTTTGGGTGGGGAATTAGAAACCGGAAAGCTCGGAGCCTGATAAGGGCAACACGATTGTCCGAGATTATTGGCCAACTGGTTCCCTATCAAGGGATTATTATTATTAGAGCCCAGAAGAATGTGCATCCTGGCTTGTTATTTCCACCACGTAACTAAATTCTCCTCCATCTGAGTAGCATTTTCCTCCAACTTGCCTCTGCCCGTCCTTTCGCTACCCAATGAAATTTTGTCGGCGAAGGGGGTACTATAACCAGCACCCACAAGGCCATTCTATTTCCGTATGCCCAAATACATGCACCCTGTAGCTGGTTTATCCTTGAGAAGGTTGACTTGGTTATTCCTGGAGCTTGGTATTGGCCGAAAGTGAAGCACTTGCTGAATGGCCTTAGGGCGTGATATAAACCTAGTGCCAGACTTCACACACAGTGAGTACTCTACGAAGACGGTATATGCATCATGATTGAATCATGGTCTCCATAGATTCAAATAGAAGACAGACATACTATCAAACTGGCCGCGGGCCTGCTCCTCATACGCAGCTTCTGCCTCAATTGGTCTTTCTGCGTGGAATATTTGCGCCACACAACCGGCCCAGCAATGACTGGCTTCCGGTGCCGCCAGCGTCGTACGGTCTGATGTCGAGCCAGTCGCTAGTTTGATCTTATGGAAACCATCTTCCTGTTGTGGAGTGCACTTGCTGCTTGACAGACCAAGGGTGCTTTATGAATTGTAACTTTCCAGAGGGGTAGCGACATGCGACACCCGGTAATCCAGCGCGGACATGTTCCCCTCACGCCACCCTAAGGTCCCAGGGACTGGTCGGCAAACAGATCAGAGGTCATAGCCAATTATTGTGGTGACTTGGAAGTCTCGGCCAAGAGATGCAACGTACCGATAGGACCGATGCCACCCCCTGATACCCCAGGGGTGCCCTAGGTTTGCTGGAGTTGAAGGGGTCGCTCATAGGCGAGTGGTATTTGGTGGCAAGTATCTCTCCTCAATGAAAATTTTAACAGAGATGAAACTCACCTTTCATGAATTCCGGGCTGAATTATTCTTCCTTGTCAGACTAAATAGTACGCTCATATGCTGCTTCTAGCTCAATTCATTGAGAAAGGGACTATGTCGAAACCAGACGACCTGGAGCAGCTCCCAAGTTGTCAGCACTTAGGGGGCGATGAGTAAATGAGCCAAGAGCAGGATCAGGAGGGGGCAGCCTCTCCACTCAGGAATCATGGCCTCGTGAGTTTCAAGGGACTCTGCGGACTTTCATTCCTCCGAGTTGAGGTCCGCAAGCCAGGATGAAACTTGATCGCGTCCGTTGGCTCGACACGTCGCCTCTTGAGGCATATCGATTGGTGTGAGCGAGTTGCGAGCCATATTAGGATACTTTCACGGTTAGGATCAAAGCACAAGTTGGGGAACGGCACAGCCTATTACCTCTGTGGGCAAGGAGTGCGTAAAGCGATAAACAGGATCGAGTAGAAGGGCCCACAGCAAGCGGGTGTCAATAAGTTTTGATGGAAAGAGGAGAGAATACGAAGATAGCAGGAGAGAAGGGAGAAAGTTAAACGAGGGCGGTAGGTGAAGAAAGGAAAGGAGAAAGATATTAACAGCATGCTTATGATTGACATCAGAAATTTCCATAAAAGTATCTGCGATTGCTATCAGCGCATGACATCGCCCGGAATCTGGAGACAGGCAAAACCAAGCCTATACACTTCCCACCTCATATTTCATATCTTATCCCCTTTCTCCATCCATCAAGATGCGTAGCTCCCTCATGAGATCATGGGTATGTTGTTGAAATCATCGAATATTGCATTGGGTCATCATGTCGTGTGACGCAAAAGACTGGTCGCAGGTAGCGGTCTGCTGCATAGCGTCGATAGAAGAGAGCAGTGCTTCAAGATCCGAGTCGAGCATCCTGGTGCGGAGTTTGTGCATGCGAGCGTGCAGCTGAACGCGAATACGGCGCATCAAGTCCTCGTGGGACAGTATCGCGTTGATGACAAGACTCAGGACCACCTTTGCCGCGTATTCGGCATCCTGCAACAAGAGCCCGGCTTGAACTGAGGCAGCGGATTGGATCTGGTCACATTGCCGTCGGAGTGTAATGATATCGCGGTACATGTTCTCGGCGTGGTCAACATAAAGATTCAGCTCCTCTCGAGTCAATTCCTCGACTGTACTGAGCATAGCAGGGACGAAGGAGTCGACGGCGGCTTGAAAGTTCCTGGCAAGTTCAAGGCCTAGTCTGAATGACATAGTGAAGTTATTCAGGTAAGACCTTTGTCAAGTCAGCTTCGCTTGGCTTGAAGGCGATGTTCTGAGTGGACCAAGATTGTGAGCGAATGAAAGAGGCAAGGGAGCAGGAGGGTTGCAAAAATGTTAATTTCGAGGCACTTGCGTTCCCTCAGGTGCAAAGACGGAAGATTCCTATGTTTGCGTAGAGTTCTAATAAACCTCACCGTAGTAACACTCCCGTAGATTCTTTTCTGGGGTAGCACTTCCAGAGTGAGTCTCATACGGATCAAGCATCTGGTCCTGCTTAAAACGCGAACACTTCTTCACTTGGAACAGGATTCAAAAAAGCATAGATAGTATCTGACTGGTATTGCACTCTCGATGAAATCTCCATGTCTATTCAGAATCACCCACCGACTTTAACTATGTAGCCATGGCTTGACCACACAACTGAACCTGTTACCATTGGTATCGACTCTAGCTATTCAGCTTCGCCTATCAAAGATATAAAGATGCCAGATCCCGTAGCAGGACAGTCGCTGACCGGAGACCAGGAAGCTCATCCGGTTGATTCGATTGGTCCGGTTGTTATAGTGTCCCTCCACCCAATCAGCGTGGTCTCAGTCCACAATATGTGCGCTAAACCCAAACAGGACAGATTTCGCGAACACTCTCTCCACACCCAATCAAGGCGTGTTTATCGTAGGAGCCTGGGGCTCAAAGCTCAGCTAAACTAATAGCCAACGACATGGTGCCTGCACCGCCACCGAGCATGAGCCATGATTCATGGCTGCCCGCTGGTTTTAAAATAAAGCTGATGTCCGCTGGGCACCTCACTGGAAAAGCTGATAACTTCAAGATCGCGATCATAGCAACCCCCTTTCTATCGAAACCATGGGCCTTCCGAGAGACAATGACCCCGCGCCCGATTATGAGGAAGTCTTCGAGCAGCAGCCGTCAAATCCGCTGATGGGAGTAACCTCAGAGCCATTTTCCCTTGGCATGCGGCTGGCAGACATGCGGGGCCAACTGCAAGACCAACTGCGTGGCTTTTCTGGACCGGTATAGCGGTTTCTTTTCACGGGCACTGCGATTCAAACACCTTGCTGACCTCTCTGGTGGGCTAGTACGCACGCGTCGTCCAATCAGACCAAGACATCGATGTCGAGCCTGGAGAATCACACCATCACAACTCCTCGACTTCTCCTCTACAGCAGGGAATCGCGCTAGGTGCCGGGCCTAGTGATGGCCAGCCGCATGTCCACTGCAAAGTGTGTGATGCACAAATGGAGCGGCGTGAGAAGAGGCGAGCTGAAACGGAACATTGCCAAATTGTTTCCAGGACATTCATTTTGATTACTTTATTTCTGATGATTGTTGCCATCATTGCGGTGACTTCCGCGCTGAAGAAGAAGCATTAGATATCCCCTTGAACCTTTTTATTTTTATACAAATTCTCATCCTGTTTGTGCCCGTCATAAAAGTCTGGATGTCGCCGTGAATCCAGAGAGCAGTTTCTCCTATGCCGCTAACTAAAACAGCGCTCAACTTCGCCAGTGACCAGGCTCTATGCTGTTTACGCCGCAGAAATGACGGCACAATAGTCACTGCAAATGTGTGCAGTCTCCCGTCCATGCAAGCGGCTTCGTTCCTTCCTAGGGAACCCTTTTTTTTGTCTTTCCTTGCTCCTTGCTTCTTCTTTCTCAACAACCTCGTACTATGTGCCGAATCACTGCAGGATATTGTGTAAATTTAAGGCAAGTCAAACTTGCGCGGTATCTTCTGAAGCATTAAAGCAAATAGTAGCACCTTTCATCCTGAGTACACCCTTCCAGAGCCCCGGCTGGCTATCCGTCTGCTTGTAGATTATAAATCTAGCATTCTCCTGTTCACGACTGCACGTACCGCTCGTCTAGATGCTCATGCTGCGCATTTCATGTAGGTTCGATTTTCAGCTTCGTGGGCCGTTGTTCATCGATGCTCGATACTGGGGATTGGCGGTGGACGCATCGTCTGCTCGAAGAGCCTCAACATTCGAAATTGGATAATAGCCCCATATTGCACGCGTCGACTGGGGGTAGTGAGTGATCATGGAATGCCGATCCAAGGATGAAAAATCCGTCGAGGGAAAGGTGCTTGGTGCGGACGCCTGACGCAGCGCAACGGAGTCGGAAAAAAGAGGACCCTGGCCAACAAATTGCTGGAACGATGCCAGTGAAGCAGCGGAGATATCTGGGTCATTCCGGTAAATCCCATGCAGAGGCGTCATGGTAGTGTCGAAAATAGGGTCGTCCAGAAGCGATTTGACCAAAGACGCCTGTTGGAACATTTGATTTCGGAATTTGTCAACCCAGGCTTCGTAGAAAATGGCCTGGTTCCAGTACCATTCGCATAATTGCCTCGCCGCATATTCCAGCTCCTGTACTCTCTGTTTCAGTCCGAAGAAGGCGGTTGACTCGATGCGTTCGAGCTGCTCGCGAAGCGTGGACACTCTGGATCGCACCGTTTCTGCCATGTGGTGGTACTCGAGGATCTCGTGGCGAGTCATCATACCGACATTTCGGAGCATATGGGGAATGGCTGACTGCAGGTTTTCGTGCAGTTCCCGGACTTCCTTCATTTCAATGAGGAATTCGTCTGTCGGTCCAGGGAGTCCCCCGTGGGCAGCATTCATGACGCTCATGATCACGCAGGTTGGCAAGGAGAGTGGATGCGGGAGAAACTTCTTCGGTCGCAGGTGATGTGAAGGGTGAAGTGGAATCTTCCCAGAGAGGTAGAAAAGACAGGATGGTGTCGTAGGTTTCTGTGTCGGATCAGCCAGCAGCTTTCAAGGAGTCTATCCATTCAGGTAACGTTGCCGCGAAATATCTTCGTTGTACGCGACCTCTGTTGCTATCCGTTATGGTCACTACTAACAAAGAACAATGACAGCCATCTACCCCAATTTTGAAATAATGAAACAGACAATATACGCAATACTCAATAGGTGTTGAAATTAGGGGGGTAGAAATTAGATTTGACGGGTATTTGCCACAAGGAAGGCTCAATCGTTTCCAGGAATCCGAATCCTGAAATGATACTCGCTATCCGTAGATATTACCAGGCATCACTAGGAAATGCTGGAAGAACTAACCGCTCGCCAGTTTACGAATTTATTTGCAATCAAATTTTGGTTAGTTTGACCATTTGTGATACGTGTGGTATCAGGGGACTTGAACACCACCTCCTCATCCTCAATATTGGGAGACAGTCATTGAAAAGGGTATAAACTCATCTAGCGAAACCGTTGGTTGACCAAGGCACTGATATGAAGAGACGGATGCATTTATTCTGCGTGGATCAAACCTAGGTGTCACGAGAGGTTTCATAGTACCTTCTCGGGCTATTTGAGGCTCCAGTCGTGGGGTATCGACATCGAGGTGACGGGCAAACTTAGCAAAAGACCTCTTCAACAAAACGGGCCAAATGAAGATTTGAGGAAATATCTACCCGAACGTGTACTGGTAGGGGAGGTGATATGAGGGGTTGGATGATAATCATTTTTTTCAGTAGGCCCATAAAATACGAGGATGACCACTTGCAACAAAAGCCAGGCAAACGGTAATATTTTTGCTGGTTGTTAATGATATGGAAGTACAAATCTATCAATCAAGGCAATGATAAGCCCGGTTTATGGCACGGCCAATTCACTCTGAGATTTTGAGGGAAATTTCCAATTTTTGGTCTGAGTAATTTCTCACGAAAAAATGCACACCACTTATCCAGAACAGGCAACTACGAAAATCGGCCTTGGAATCAGGCCAGAATAAATAGCAGGTACAGTACTATTGTGTGGCAAAGCCACTGCAACGAGGGTCCACGGGCGATGGCCACCCACATCTATTGGTCAACGCGCGATTACACAATGAAAGGAAGCAGGCAAGCCCAGAATAACTTCACACAAAATACGCTATGCCCATTGAGTCTAGCAAAAAAAAAATAAAGGTGGTGGATCTCTCATGGAAGAAGATCTGGGGAAAGCTCGTCTCCAGACAGAAGTGGCACTTCTGCCGCCGTGCTAGACGAATGGGTGCTTGGACTGGAGACACAAACCCCGTTGTGGCTTTGAGGGTAGTTAGGGCACGGAGGGAGGCTGCCCCAGCCAGGCACGGATGGGTCCCCTCTTCCTCGTGAGATGTTCGTATCAATGCGTCGACCACGCCAGGGGATCTTTCGCTAGTGCAGCTTCGGCGTGTACAGATGTTCCTGCAGCAGGCTCTGCGCATGCCCATCCCTACGATGCTTATGCCTACATACAGAAGTCTTGCATACGGGTGCGATTACATGCCCAGCATTCCTCAGATCTGCTGTGGCTCCTCGCTCCTCGTGGAAGCCACTCTGACGATGATTCGTCTGCAGGATCGAAAACAGCGTGGAAGCTCCATTCTTGGAGGACGTACAGCATGACTCTCCCGCAGAGAGCTCCGGTTTCCAAAGAAACCGCCGATTCACCAGATACCGAGCCTAAGGGTGAAATTTATCCAGAATTATCGCTGTTCCAAACCAGCGTGTCTGGTGAATTTCAAGACCTGCTGTACCTGAGAACACACCTGATACATCCCCTGTACGGCGAGGATGGGGGCATACCGGTCCACAGGAGACCCATCGAGTGGATTCCGTTGCCACCCACCCATCCTCTTTGAGACAGGTGAAGCCGAGCTTCGTAGGTCGGAGGTGGACGTTGCGCGACGTCTCATCTCGCAGCATTCCAATGTTAGATGCGAAGTATAGATAGATAGGGTCCCTGATGCAGACATCACGCATCAGCATGGGTTGTTTGTTTTGGCCTTTTAAAGACGTGGATGATGTTTCCGCGACCTGATAGATAACAGCGGAGGGAGAGGACTCCGTAGTGGATGCCAGCTGGCCTCAGCCGGGGGTAGCGGTCTTTCGCATGACCTCACGGCGGGTCGATGATGCTTCGATGAATAGAGTAGTACCGTATCGTGTAATATACGTACCCGCAAACACCCGATACCCGCCCCTTTCCTCCACTCCGCTTCGCAAACGCTGATGCCCGTCAGCGCGTCCCGTACGGAGTATTCCCCAACGACTGTACAGTATAAGATAATTTACCACCTCAGTTGCGACTCGCCTACCAGGATATAAATACGGTCTACTTCTCCCCAGCCTCGTAACTGCACCATTCAACCTCCCGCTGCAAGGGCCTGTTTGCTAACGGTGCCGGGCATAACCCTGCCAATTGAGCTTGTGTGGGTCCCGCCAAGCTCATTCGCAGCGCCTAGCTGCAGCCGGCGACTCTCCCACGGAATAAAGCAGAGCCTCCGGACCCCTTTTCGGCCACTTTGGCAGCGTATGGTGGCCAGCGAGGGCGCTCCGACCCGTCTATATGCATGTCAGAAGACTCCGCGCAATGCGCCTGATCATATAGGCCAGGTTATGGGCCAGCGGTTACTGGTCTGGGGTGAACCGGTAGGGGCCCATGTTTTGTGCGCGTGAAGGTCGGGTTCTGGCGGGTCCGGTCCGTTGAGGTGGTGGCCGAGGAAGCGACGCCGCGAACCCGTAATTTTCCCTTTTGCTGTTTTGTTCGCGGTTATTTATTTTCTGAAACTTTTTTTTCTCCGCTGGATTTTCTCCGGGCCAGCGGATTGCATCTTGCGAGCGATCACTATAAAAGCCGCCCGAGATCCCCCTCCCCCGACTGCAGGTTCATGCGGGAGGGGGACTTCTGGCGCATCACGTTGGCCCGGGAAAACAGCGTGAGCCGAGGGAATTAATTACGTCCCGTAAATGAGCGGAACGAAAGCGCCCAGGAGGGCTGGCACTGGTGCCGGATCCGGGCTCCAAAATTACGTGGCTCCCCAATTGACCACTCGGTGAGGTGACTTCCCGAGGAAAGGGGATCCCAAGAATCCACCGAGACCACCCTTTCAGCCGAATGGTTGCCCAGTGAATCTGTCGTTGGTGGACCTGGAATCCGAGTCGGCCCGAATTGGGCGACGCCGGGAAGTAATCCAGAAACAAAGTGGACTATCCGGTGGTTATGATTGGTTGCCAGTGGAGTGGGTCTAATGGATCGGCCCACTCGATTGGAACTGACGATCCACTGCAGGGCAGGGAAAGAGATGCGTAGAAAAACAACACAGAAAAGGTTGAGCTCTGTACTTCTGCTGGCCCCAGGGAGTGTTTGCTGGGCGAAATTGTGACCGATAGACTATCGTTGCGAGACATATGCAGGGGGGAATCGCCATTGGTGGTCATCTATCTTCCCTCCTATCCATCCACGGCATCCACTGGGAGGAGACCAGCTCCGTTCCATGGTGGATCCAGCCAGGATCCGAACGAACCCGACCAGCAACCCAGCAACCCCCAGCAATACCGTCAGAAATGAAAAACCTGGAAAAACCAGCTGGAAACACAAATCCCCAGCATTCCATGTACAGTATGGGTACAGTATAGGTACAGTATTCCATGAAAAGACTCCGGTCCGCACAGAGTAGGGCTTTTTCACGCGCGCACTAGCCTCGACTGGGAGGCGGACGGGCGAAAATTTGCCCGTAGAGTATTTATGTCCTGGGCAGACCTTCTTCCGTAGTTTCCCAGCTTTTTCTCCCTGAAAAGTTCCCTTTCCATCCTATCCTCCGCAACCACTCCTCTCTTTCGGTCCTCCCCTAGACCTATACCATTCACAATGGCCACCTCTCGTGTCTTCGCCCAGCGCCTGGCTTCCACCATGGCCCAGACCTCCAAGGTCGCCCGCCCCGCTGCCCGCTTCCAGCTGAACGCTGCCACCAAGCGCACCTTCACCACCCAGAAGAAGGCCCCCGTTGCCACCTTCGCCGCCCCCAAGCGCGTCTCCTCGCCCACTCTCCTCCAGGCCAACGCCCGCCAGGCCTTCCAGTCCGCTGCCCGCCGCCAGTACTCCTCTGAGGTCGCCACCGCCATGGTCGAGGTCTCCAAGAACCTGGGCATGGGTTCCGCTGCCATCGGTCTCGGTGGTGCCGGTATCGGTATCGGTCTCGTCTTCGCCGCTCTCCTCATGAGTGTTTCCCGCAACCCTGCTCTGCGTGGCCAGCTCTTCTCCTACGCCATTCTGGGTTTCGCCTTCGTCGAGGCCATGGGTCTGTTCGACCTCATGGTTGCCATGATGTGCAAGTACGTCTAAGCGTTTGATCGGAGGCCTTTTTTAAGGAACAAAGAAACAAGAAAAAACTTGTTATAGACTTTTCTTTTTCCTTTGTCCGCCGGGGAGGGTATTTGGTCGTGATGTATTACCATGTACTACTTTTCAGCGTCATCTACAACACCTTTTTCTTTATGTACATATAGAGTCTTTATATGGCCACCCAACCCAACTTTCAAAGAGCCAAACCAAAACTCTGTGTGTTGAGGAGTCTCGCTCTCCGGCTGTGTATCACCACCAAACTCTCCTCCCTTAATTGTGTGTTGTTTGTTTCGCTATCTACGACTCTCTTTTGTCACTCTGTGCACTGTCTTGCTTCCATTCGGCCGGGGGAGAAAGGGGGAGGAGAGGAGAGAAATCCCCTGTGCCGGTAATCACGTATATTGTCCATTGTTCAATGCTCCAGAACGAACCGTGTCGTCAGAGCTTCGTCCAGCTCCATGAGCTCCGTCTACCAGGTGTCAGGCTATGTTTGGGGAAATCGAATCGCCCCTTTGCTCTCCAGGTTTTGCTGCTTCCGGGCTACCGGGGGGGGAGACGTGTAAAATTCGACCACCAACGACACAGCCACACCACCACACCAAGGCATTGATGCTCAATGCTGGGATGGTACACACAACACATCGCATTGGATCGATTGTCCTACTTTTTATACCTCCATCACCCAGCTGGAGCTTGAAATCCCCCAGCGCAAAACTCGCACTAAGCTCCGGGACCTCGGGGAAGCGCTGCCGCTGGGTCCGGCTGACTCATCCTCATGACATCAACGACGGGTGCTCGAGACGCCTTCTAGCGAAAAAAAAATCTTATTTTGAGGGATCCTTTGCGCCGAGTGTAGATAAGAAATATAACTTGCGTGTGATGATTGTCATGTGGAAAGTTTGGTACAGGGCTGGTTGTGGATGTCACTGTAGCTGTCCACCTTGGTCGCGGTAACTACCGAACTTTATATCTGGCGAGTGCCAAGTCTATTCCAATTGCAGGGTAAACCGGCTAGTTCTCTCAGCATGGGCGTTTTTCAGTACCGAAGAAGCGTTTTCAGGCCTACATAGCATTTAATAGCTGTTGGATTTGTTCGTTTTTAGTTCTTGGCCGTTGACACGGTTAAATATACGCTCTTTCCTAAGCAATCGAAGTCGACAAGTGCCCGAGTGGAGTGCCAATATATACATGCTAGTTTTGCATCCGATTCCATAGGTGGCAAATATGGGGGTTTGTCAAGCCCAGGGGATTAACCCAATTTGACCACGTGTAGCTCACCCCGAGTAGGCTTTCTGCACATTTTTTATTTCAATTTGTCCGCTGTGGCATTTTCACACACTAGTAAAGTAAACCCTGTTGCCCCGGTATCCTGCGCCCATGTACAGACTGAAGTTAGAGCATTACCCCTTCAACGAAAACCCAGCTCATTGATTATATCAACAAGAAGACTAGTAGGATAGATGCACTACCTAGAGCTATCGACTTGATCAAATGGACAAAGAATAAAAAGGCAGTCGACTCCGATAGACTCGCTTGCTCCAACACTGACGGTAAAAAGAGGTATCACGACATGGGGATGGGGGAAAAGACATGGATAAGAAGACCAGAGCTTCCAATGCTCCCGAGAAAAGAAAGAGAAAGAAGTCAGACGGAAGAAAAACGTTCCCCAGGTAAATGAGTAGATGGACGAGAAGAAGGTGACAACGAAATTGAACTTCCCATGCGCGCCAGGCTAGAAGATTTCCAGATCTTCAAACTCAACGACCAACCCGTCGGACGGCCCAGCCGCTGATGAGTTCTCCAGCGTCAGCCCGTGCATCGCATCCCACATCGTCTCGCCGCGCGCAATATTCGTCGGCCGACTGGCATACACGCCCACATGCACGAACTTGTCCTCCACGCCGTAGAAGAACCACGTCACCTCCCGCAGCTTCTTCCACGTACTCCCGACCGCCCCCGGAGTCATCGCATACGGCGAGGCCGATGGAACCTGGTACCAGATCCAAAGGCCATGGCCGATGCGCTCGAGCTTGATGCGCAGCGACTGGATCCCCGGCCCGGACACGGACTGCACCAGCGGCGACAGACACCAATCTGCGCCGTCTGCCGTCGCGCTCACGGACGACGCATTGACGGTCCCCGATGAGAACTCCATGCCGGCCTTGACCCATTTGCATGGTGGTCGGGCGCATGATCGGCGGTCTGCGGTGAGCGCTGGCGCATCCGATGAGAACGACTGGGGCGCGGCGCCGGCGAAGATCACTAGCCCGCCCTGATCCCATTCCATCTCCCAGTCCGCGCTGACGGTGACCTCGGCCACGACGAATGGGTGTCGAAGTGATGTGAAGACGATCGGGGCGGTGGAGGTGTCGCCGTTAGGCGGCTTGCGCCACAGGTCCGTGTTCGGGCCGGCGGTCAGTTCGAAGTATTCCATGCATTGGGGGAGGGCGAATGTGGGCGGGAGGTTCAAGGCCGTGAACGACGAGCCATCTAGGGGCATGGTGAGGGATGACGATTGTCTCCTTCTATGCGCTTTGCTCGTTTTTCGGCCCGTACAATCGCTTTGTCGTTTCGTTTCTTTTTCGTTTCTTTTCTTTCTCTCTCTTTTTTTGCTGTCGCTAAACCAGAGCTCGCTATCTAGTTGATGGCTGTCGGTGATAAGATAGCTCGAGACACGAAATACTGATGCTGTGGGTCAATGAGAAGACCGAGGCAGAGTTTCCAGCACTTGATTGCCCTTGATGTTCTCTGCAGATCATAGACGGGTCGGCCAGGTGTCGCGGCGCAGAGACGCGTCTTCACAGCATTTGTTTCAGGATATAGATAGCAGCCGATCCGTAGACGAAGCTAGGAGGAATAGTTTCAAAAGGAGGATAGCTGCCGGTCTTGCGGGGAAATTGTTGGGATATGATCTCAGAAATGCAGGTGAGCAGCACCCTCGCGGTGCGGGTTTATGCGGATGCGCCGAATGCGGCAGAAGGAAGCATCGAGGGAACACGACGCAAGAAGGGACCCAGGAAAAAAAACAAAAACCCCGATTAAATTTCCGAGATGGCGAAAGATGATTCTAGGCTTTCAAATTCCAGAGCAATCCAGGGAATCCAGAAAACAAGAAAAAGGAGCCAAAAGCAAAGGGGACAGTGATTAATCGCATCGTGAAATTTGACTTATTTATATGAAATGCTTCCCCATCACACCCCCCCCCCCCCCTTCTCCTCGACCCCCTGGGCGTTAAAAAGGTCCCTTCATTCAGGGGAGACCAAAGGAGCGAGGACCGCGGGGCGAACCCCCCACCAACAAACCAAAACGATGACTGAGACAATTGAGCGAGCACTAGGATGCCCCCATAGGGTAAAAAAACAAAAAAACAAAAAAAGAGAATCGGTTCTCCAATGCTCCGGCATGGCAGAGCAGGAGCTGTCCACTGTGAACTGCGAACTGCGAAGTGTAAGCTGTGGCCAGTCGCTTGATCGCGTCGGCTACCGGTGGCGTCCTGCGGACCAGGCCGCAAATGGCGGGTCACTATGCATCTCCGGGGGATCAATCACGTCACGGGCGATCGAGGGGGAAGTGGGAAGGGGGCAAAAAGCTCCATTGTCAACCCAGTCGGAACCGAGTAAAGGAGCGGTAGGACGGAGAAGAGCGCCCATGCCCGGCCCTTTGACAGCGAGGAGCTGAGCAGAGATATCCACAGATTCGAATCGGTGGATTCGGTGGATTCGGTGGATGACTTGCTGCTGAACCCCCGTGCGACTGTGGGCAGGTTTGCCACGGGCGTGGATGAGAATTCTGATTATACTTTTGGATCTATTCCAAGACGATCAGTCGGGTCAATGCATTGGCGAACATGCTGCTAGTAGACGCTAGTGTCTCTTCTGTTCTTGGGTTTTGGGGGGGGGGGGCAAGTGGACTGCGGAGTTGTGTTGATGGGCGTACTCCGTCGACTTGGTGAGCTGAGCCACGACGGGATGGTCGCGAGTGGCCGGACAGCTGTCTTGGCCTCGGGCATTGGCTCCTCTGGTCTCTAGTCTCCGGCCTCGGCCTGGTTGCGTCGCGTCTCAGCTGGGGTGGCGGTGGTGCAACACAGCCACAGTCTCCACGCAGCTGGCTGAAGAAGGTAATCGTGGTGAATGCGAAGGAACACTGGCTCGGAGAGGCCGTGGTTCTGTTCAGCCCAAGATCCTGGTCTTTGGGAGCGCCGACCTGTCCGGGAAGCCGGGCTGGTTCATACTTCAAGGGCCCTCTGTTCCTGTATCCAGTTCACCATCTCCCCTTCTGATGAGCATGATAGTATGGCCTTTCTCATTTTGCTCGTTCCTCGTCCTCACGAATGATGAGCTGGCACCAGGAGGCGCCACCAGGTCAAAGCGATTCGGTGATTCTCTCGCCTTACGAGCTACCCACTGGAGGCCCCATTCCACTGTGTCGACCCGTCTTCCATGCGAATGAAGTCGGTCTGCGGACTGCGAACACAACGCTTGTTCATGATCGACCCTTCCCCCCAGACGCCTCAGTCTGGGGCTGAGCCGCACGAGAGGCCTAAAAATAGGGCCCACCTGCCGATGCTTTCTTGAACTCGTGCTTGTGCGAGTTTGGGGGCCAAAGAGCAGGGACCACGAGAAAAAGGGGCCGGAAAAAGACAAGCAGGCCCTCTCAAGGCCCCCAACCTTTGCCAAACTCGCCAAACTCATCCCGTGCATTTGGCCAAGAGCTTGGCCCCCGAGTTGTTCGTATTGTTGGCGGCCCGCGTCTTTGCCTAAGCACTCGTGGGCCAATGACGGGCCTCCACCGTTGCCGCAGCGGCTTAGCCTCGTATTCAGGGTCTAGGAGCCTCGAGTCCAGGCGCTGGGGAAAAAGACTCTTTAAAGTTGTGATGACTCGAAACATTGGCGGTTCGACCTTCGATTTGTTTTCTTCCTTGCTGGCACGCGTCTTTGCTACATGCCGCCCCTGCCCACAACCGCGCACAACAGCTACTCTCGAGAGCGAGAAGGATTCAACTGAGCTTTTTTTTTTATTTCTATTTTTTTATTTCTTTGCTATATATTTATATAAAACTGTCTTTCGACTCGAGATTGATTCGATCCCAGCCAAGACCTCATCATGGCCCCACGACGCAGCTCGGGAGGCTCCAGTAGCTCCAGCAGCTACTACAGCGACGACAACCCCTGGTCCCAAGAGATCCAGTTCTCCTTGGATGCCGTGCGGTCCAAGAGTTTATTCATCGCGGGATTCGCATTTGACGTCCTCACCATCCTAGCCCTGATTATCTTCCTCGTTTGGGCTTGCATCATCCCCAATGGCCGAGGACAGCTGAAGGGCGTCCTATCTGCCCTGTTCGCTTACCTTACGTATGTGTGATGTGCCTGGCAACATAACCCGTAAATACTGCTAACTCGCGACAACTAGTGCCATGATTTGTATCCTGATTTATGAGATCTTCTTCCTTGCAGACGCCACCGTCACCATGTACTATGTCATCGACTTGATGCTGAACGAGCTGTTCTTCTTGTTGGCCGGTTGTCTTCTCTTCTTCGTCTTCTACAATCTCATCCACAGTCTCTTGGATCGCCTCACCGATTCGGGAAAGCCATACGCGGTGGTGGCTGTCGTCCATTGGGTCCTTCTCGGCTTGGTGTCCCTGCTCTCGCTGGCGACCTTTGCCTTGTTCGTGGCGGTTGAGGTGCAGTTTGTCCAGGAAAACTACAATTCGTCCCTGGGCAACCACTATTTCAAGATGGAAAGCGCACGCGGTATCATTTGGTGGATTCTGTCGCTGGAGATCGTGGCTTGGTTCATCTTCATTGCCGTCAAGGCTGGATCGCATCGCTTTACGTCCAAGGTAAGCCAGCGCCGGTTCTACTGACACTTTCCTCGAGGGAGATTGAGGCTAACCCGGTATCCGCGCAGCTCCCCGTCTTCTCTCTGATTGTCGGCAGTGTCTCCTGGATGGCACTGAACATGATGTATGCCGTCATTTACATCCGCTACACGCTGGAAACCAACACCTCCATCGCACCGAAGTACCTGAACACCGTGGAATCGGTGTGCCAGTTCTTCTTCGTGGTGGGTATCTTCGGGGGGATTCTTCTGGCGTGCATGAAGTGGCGCAACGTGGATGATCGCCCGGACAAGCATGGCCCAGAGCAGTATCCCGCCGGCACGGGCCCCTACCAGTCCTACCAGCACTACCAGCAACAGTATCCGCCGCAGGCGCAGCAGTACTATCAGCAACAACCTTACCAACAGCCCTATTCGCAGCCGCCTCCCCAGCAGCCTCTGCCCCAGGCACAACCGCACCAAGACAAATAGATGCTTCCGCGAGACGAAGACAGGCTGATGGCTACACTCATGACGGGAAATGACAACCCGAATGTTCCTGCTTGCTTTGCCGCGTGATACTGCGATTATGCGTTTAGCACGGAGGCCGCAACGGATGTCGCCGCGGTCTGATGAAAATCGCTCCACAATGTTTTGTCTTTTTTTTGCTTTGATTCGTAAACGATACCTCTGTGCTGCTGTGTCATGCTATTTCCTTTTGCTCGCAATACCCTGTCCTTGATCTTCAATACCCAAGCAACAATACTTGAATTTACTGTTAATTTAAGCTGGTTATTTACCTCTCTTGTAAAACTACCACCCATAGCACTTCTGACTAAGGCGAGAACTATGAATCAAGGGGAATCTCGGTCGGTGGCTCAGTCTGTCTTATTTTCTTCCTCCTCTTTTTCTTTTTTCTTTTTCCCTTTTTGCCTTCTTTCTCTTCGATTGATGAAAATATCGCAGGATAGAAAACAACTTGTCCCAATATACCCTTTCGCTCACATCTCTCCACCACCGCCACCAAAGGCTTGGCATCAAGGCCAGGCGGTGGCGGCTCCGATGATAATCTCTCCATCTCCAGCCTCTCTCGGCGCAACGCCAAATACCAACCAGCCTCTCGCTTCACCCATTCCAGCCAGACAGCGACCATGGTTTGCGCCAAGTGCCAGAAAAAGCTAAAGGCCACCGAACTTGCCACGCCAGGCGTCAAGCGCAAGAATGACATGTACTACGGCTCGCCGTCTACCACGCTAGGCGGGTCGTCAGCGGACCAAGCAAAGAGCAAGCCGACGTTGGGCGCGACGGGTGTGGGCAAGGTATGTTTATGTTTTCTTTTCCGTCTATATTCACGCGCTGACCGTGTGCAGAGCAAACTTCTCAGCGCAAAGGCAAAGAATCCGTACGCGGCGTATGCCTCGTCTTGCGAGTTGTGCAAGACCAAGACGGAGCAGGGGAAGAAGTACTGCCAGCGCTGCGCGTATCGGAAAAATGGTACGTACAACCTGGCGCATCCGCGGTCACTCTGGTCTGGAGCGTGCTGACTTTGTCTAGCTTGCCCCATGTGCGGCAAGAATCTGGCCGGTAAATCGGCCAAGGACCAGCCCATTGTGCAAGGTCAAAAGTTCAACTTGAAGTGAGAGGTGATCAAGTTGTCTTAATGGGCGGGGGAATTCTGATTCGCTGTTTTTTTTACGACATGGCATGGCGCTTGGAGTTGGCGAGGGTGTATTTAAGATTTTTGATGAAAGGAATTCATTTGACAGTACAATGGAAAGGGAAATATCTAGTTATACATGGCATGCGCGGGAAGAGTATATGCAGTGCGTTGCCAATCACGCTTTGTGCCAGGAACAAAGGCACCACTCGCGGGCTGGGAATGGCTGGGCGCTATGCTCTCGCTTCCCCTGTTCATACACCTCGGCTTCAACGATGGCCAACATCTCGACATTCAGTTGGGCAAATGGCTCTGGGACGTTCTTCCGGAAAGCCAATCTACCGGTCGGCCAGCATGTTTTTGATGTTGCTGTAGTACTGCGGCAGCACGAACTGCGCAATCTCGTCCTTGGACAGCCACTTGAAGTCCTGGAGCTTCTCTACGCTGCTGGACAGATCGGCCTGGCCGGCCATGATACGCGTCTTCATGAAGAAGGTCTTCTCGCCGTGAAGCTCGGCGCCCGTGGCCTGGTCGACGTGGGGCTTGCGGTTGGTGTAGACGTGGTGACCGGCCGGGTGGAAACCGACCATCCAGGTGTTCATGTTCACACCAGCGGTCTGGGCAAGGGTACGCTCAGCGGCCTAGGAGAGTAGATATGTCATGTTAGCAAATTCCGCAACGGTATCTCGACATGCATCATTCGAGCCGAAAACCCACCTGGCGCAGGGTCTCATCCCCCTCAATGGGCAAACTGGGGAACTTCCAGTACCCCTCTTTCGACTGGACCAGCAGGTACAGAGTCCGAGGCAGCAGCCGGTTCAGACTCTTGTGGTCGCCTTTCTTATCCGCCTCCGTCACCCGCGAGAGTGGCCGCGGGATCTCTTCCTTCTTGCTGGTATCCTGGGAAGTCGCATTGGCCGTCGACTCGGCGTCCTGCACCAGTGCTTCCACCTGATGTTCGGGATCGGACTCCTTTGATCCGAGAAGAAGCTCGTCGTTCCAGGCGTCGCTGGCGTACGCGTTATAGTTGCCGATGTCGCGGGCGGGAGTCCGGCGCTCCTTAATCTTGTTTTTCCAGTCCACATCTGCTGGTGTGCCGCGCTTGAAGTAGAAGTATTTGGTGAAAGGAAGAGCCAGGCGCTCATTCAGGCGCTTTTGGTAGAAATGATAGGCTTTCTCGAATGGCTCGAGGTCGCGGGTGACCTGGGGAGGACGGGAGAGGACCACACCGGCATTGATAGTGTAGACGGGTTTCACGACGGGGAAGGTAGAAGGGTTTGGCGAAGAAGAAGTCGCCAATTCGCTCGCAGCAGCAGCAGAGGCATACTGGCGGCGACCCAGAGTCTCTTGACAGCTTATGCACACGCCGGAGTCGAGTCTCGACGGTCCTGTTTGTAGACGGGGTCGTCAGCACCTTATCTTCAACCTGGAATATCAGCGATTTCACATACGCATCAGCGACGCTATGCGCCGAGCACCATTGGATCCTGTCAACATCGCCGTGGTGTGGATAATGGCGTTTTGTTGCTATCTGCTCCAGTGACCCTTGGGGGACTCCGAGAAAAGTTCCAGCAGGCGGTCACGTTTGCACTAGTCCCAGTTTGGGCTAGCGGATCCTGTTCCGCTTTAAAAAAACTCCGCGTCTCATTCTCTTTTTCTCCTCCTCATGCACCCATTTCCTTATCGTCACTGTCCTCGGAATTTCTCACGGCCAGTAGATCATTAAGCGGTGCTCAGAATGAATTGCGGCTATTTTTCGCTAGCGGTACCTTCACACAATCCAAGGTGTACTGTTAGATAGCTGTTGCAAACATCTCGGCACCCGTCAAGGCTGTTTGGTATCCTTATGCTACCTGCTGCCTGCTCCCGTTTCTTACGTCCAGTAATCTCAAATATGAAAATTGTTACCGATCGCATTTCTCCCATTGTCTAAGAATCTAAGAAGTTCACTCGTGTGCAAACGAAGGATGCAGGCTCGAACGAAACAAATCAGTCCTGACCGAGCCAGTGCTGCATTTCGATTCTCTCGTTCGCCCCGCCGTCCTCTCCAAAGTATACCACCTTCTCCTTCGTGCCGAATACTCGCAACCTATTCCCGTAAACGCGCCAGAACTCACTATCCAACCGGGGAATCAACAGGCCATGGCGGACCATGGTGTCGACTTCCTCCGATCCGGTGTTGGCGAGAGGGATGGGTGACACCGCCCCAGGTGGTGCCGCTGGCATAGGAGGCTTCTCCTCTGCCTCCCCTTCTTCGTCCTCCGTATCAAAGAAGTCTCGGAATCGATGTTCTGAGGCACTTGGCACACTGCTTGGAAACAGTTCCAGCACCGCACTGGTGGGAAGTGGGTTGTTGGCAAGCCCAATGACCATGTCCTCGAGGCGCCCCCTTTTCCCCTTGGGGAATTTTCCTCGCTGTAGCTGGACGGACAGCTTAATGAAAGCAATCGCGGTCAGCATACTGTCATAACCTGCTTCGTGGGCGCTTCTCCTGTACAGGTACTTGGAGTGGATACTGTCGACATCTACACAAATGTCAGTGTTCTTTCAGGCACAGTCGAAAAGCAGACATACCGATCTTGGGGCTCGAGATCTTCGCCAGTGTCTTGTTCAACTCCTCCAGGGAGGATGCTGCGTTCATGGCGTCACAATCATGGGTAGCCAAATACTTGGTGTCAATCAGCATAGGGAATGTCTGGTGAATCAAGAATGTGAACTCCTCTACCGTGTCGGGCAGAGGGCCCAGAAAACAACTGTAGAAGAAGACCATGTCGGTAAAGCTGTTGTGACCGATCAAAATAGGCTGATTTTCCAAGAGGCGCTTCTTCAGCCGATCCGAGAGTTCTTTCACCGTGAAGGATGGGTTCTCAATGTTTGGCATGAGGGCTTTGAATGTCGTTGGCTCTAGGTCTGACAGATCTCCGCCGGCCAGAGCCTCTGCGATCCATCGAAATCCCACGTGTTTTCGAATTCGGAGGTTACTCTCTTTCATTCTTTCATCAAACGCCATGTTCTCGCGATTGTGTTGCTCGACTTGAACGAAAGTAGGCATGCCTCGTGACTTGATATTCGGGTACTCAGTTTCGACCAAGTGGTGGACAAGCCACTTCTGCATGTTGTTCAGCTGGCTGGGCAAAGTCTGATGGGGTTTTCTCTGACTGGTCGTTTGTGGAGGGATGTTGAGATACGCGCTGCGTGTCTTGCCAACGGGTCAGCTTGATGAAAGTATGCTGGTGGTTTGAAAAGAGAGAAGACTTACCGCGCCTCTGGCTATCCAGTTGTCTATCTCACGACGCACAGCCTGCAGGAACCCCACCGTTTCCTCGTTGCTGAGCTGTGCGTCCTCAAGGGGGTCCCGAGGGGCCCATCTCCTAGCGGCTTGGTCCCGAGCTTCGATCTCTTCCTCTCGGGACAAATAGCGCACACCCTGGCGAAAAATAGCGCTCACGTCAAACTTGTTACCTATGAGGAATTCCATCGCTATATCAAGTAAGTTAAACTGTCAGGCAAACCGGGGACTATCTGCTGGGAGCAAACATACACCAACCCATGAAAGTGCAGTCACGATTGACATCCAGATTTCGGTCTAGAATCGGGTTGAGGTCAACGTTGTAGGGTCGGAGGACATAGCTTGCTATTAACGTTAGCTTCTGCATAGGACAAAAAGTAGCAAATGTACAGCTCAAGCCATGTGCCTGGGCACTCACCGTTCTTTTTGTCTTCATGGCAAACTGTCAAGCCCACCTGCAGCACCTGGTATTTTTCCGCTGCGGCTTTGTTGTTTTCATAGTGCTTCTGTAGAGTCTTGAAACCCTGATTCCTGACAGACAGGGCGATTCCAGACATCTCGAGGTCGAGAGCGACGAAGCAACAGGAAGACAGCTCATGCAGCACCCAGGGCAGGTAGTTGGCGAAGTTTGCTGCCGTGAGATCCATGGCGGAGGAGCTTTGTGGCCGAGCAAAGGATGAAATGGAAGAGGATTGAAGAATAGAAACCATGCAGAGGGATAGTAATTTGTAGATCGAAAGGCGTTGAGAACGTTACCTATGGGGTCATCGCCCTTCACTCTCATGTCAACTCGCTCTCATAGGTCAGTACCCACCATGGACTGCGGTGACTTAGGTCTGTCTGCCGAGTCAAGGATAATAGCTGAATAAACAGCACTTGGGAGAGTGATTTCAGCCGCTGGTTCCAGATGGAAGCTGTGGAATGTAGTCATCGGATATGGTCTGCATGAAGAGAAATGACTGAGAAGGGCAATGCACACTTTCACTATCATCTATATTTGCTAGTACTATCATTGGACTTTCGGTCCTCCGCACTCTCACGTGTAAGATTGCTTGCCTTTAGACGAACGCAGTAAGATGGTGGTACTTGTTTCCGAAATCTTAGCGTACTGTCAGAGCAGGGTGTTTTTGGTGCTATTTACGGACTTGTATAGGGTTTGGGTTCTGTCTCCTTCACACTGGCCAACTCGGCTTGTATTGTTGCTGTCACGTGTTGGAATACGAGGCTTCTCTGGAGTGTTATTCTCGACATCACGACGTCAGCTCAAATCAAGTTAAAAATTCCATTGCAAGCGTTCCATCTCCACAGCTATTCCCATTATACACTCTTTACTCTCGTTCCGGCTAAGGAATGCCTGCCTCAAGATGACTGACGGAAATGCGTTCGCGTGGATGATAAGAACGGCCAAGAACGTGGCTAGGACCACGATAGTATACGTCGTGGTTGTTCCTATGTTCGTCAGCGCTACATGGACAGCCTGGGGTGTTATGAGAATCACCAAACTCATTAAACGATACAATCCAAAGAGTATCCTGGATAGGAGTCGCAGGCGCGCAAACTGGGAGCTGGAACCATTCACACGTCCTCGCGCCCTCACGAATCCCCTGAGAGGGATCGTTACGCAGCGCAACTTCAGCCAACTACAGTCGGACTTGTTCAAACTGCCTCTCGACATTCGTCAGCGAATCTACCGCGAGTCCATCGAGCACACGCGGCCAATCCACGTTTGGCGAACCAATAGGCGGCTATGCAGTATCTATTGTGTTGCTGCAAATCCAGGTCGGATGGATGGCAACGTTGTCCACTGGCGTTGCTCTCCCGCCCTTGATCAGAACGGCTTAGTAGCAGCGCCTTTCCCTCGGAAATGGCGTTCGTATCGATTCGAGGGACTGCTGCGCTCATGTCGCAGGATGTAAGTGCAATCCACCGTTCACCTGATTATGATCGAGTGAGCGGAGTGAATGACGTCGGACAGATACTCCGAAGCCCTTGGTGCTCTCTATAGCAGTAATGTTCTTCACTTCGACGATCCATATAACCTTCACAAACTATCCGAATCTGTCCCCCCACAAAGGTTGGCCTCTATTCGGTATGTCCATATGGAGGTGCTCGCTTTCCACAATGGTCAGGAGCTTTCCCCGGTTCTGGCAAACTGGAAAAAGACCTGCATTGTTTTGGTGTGGATGACGGGTCTGCAAAGGCTGCATGTGGCATTAGGCGCCGATCATCCGGAGACAGACACTCCCAGTCCCCGTGTGGGGCCCTTTCTAGAGATATTGAGAAAGGTTAAGGTCCCGAAATTTCTGGTGGAAATCCCGTCCAATGCAACTCTGGATGGTATGACAGTTGAAGATGGTTTGCCTTTTGTTCTGGTGCGCAAAGAGTGGCCGCATGGGGAATGGATGCAAGGAGGTCAGCACGATGATCCTCGGGTTCGACAGACAGGTTTAAGCATACTTCCCCCATGTGTGTAGCCTTCCAGTTGATTGCAAGTCCAGAGAGAACGTTATTTGAACGGAGCCTAGAGTTAGTGTGAGACTCTAGAGTCTAAGTGAAGTAACTTGAGAAACGCACATCACCAGGTTCTGCCAGTAGAACTGGGCGACCTAGGGTATTCGGAACTGCACTTGGGCAGAGCCCTGGATGGGGTCTTCTCTGGTGTTTAGAAACAAGATTTGATAAAAAACTTTAAGGGAGAGAAATCGGAGAAAGTCAAGGGAGTTGATTGTTGTGGAGATAGATGCTGTGGGGAAAAAGGAGCCAAGCTAAGGTGAGTTTATCTAATTTACAAATTTATGAAGGCCTCGACATACTATGTTACACGGGCTATGACGCGGGAGCCTTGACCTCGACAAGGAGCTTTCCTGTTGAACAATCAGCATGAAGTTTAAGTAGCGGCTTCAAGTAGGGGATTCGTACCTGTGTTGATACCCTGATACAACTGCATCAATGCGCTCTCAGCCTTTTCAATACCACCACGAACAATAGTCTGCCGGCTTTTCAGCGAACCTTCCTCAAGCCACTGACTGAGCTGCTGTCTGATATCGTCGAATCGGTCGGGATGGTCGAAAATGATGAACCCTTCCATGCGAATCCGGGATCTCCAGATATACTGGTAGTTCTTCGGCCCCTGGACATCCTGCGTATTGAATTGGCTCACGCCTCCGCACATAACAAATCGAGCATTCTTGTTGGCGCAAACAAGTGCCAGATCCAAGACTTCTCCACCCACGTTATCATAGAAGAGATCGATCTTTCCCAGGGCCTTTGCCTTGAAGTCTTCCGCAAACGTTGAGCTCTTGTAGTTGAAGGCTCCGTCGAAACCGAGGTTTTCAACCAACCAACGGCATTTATCATCTGAGCCCGCAATTCCGTAAACGGTAGCCCCGCGAATCTTAGCGATTTGACCAGCAATAGACCCAGTCGCTCCTGCCGCACCAGACACAACCACGAAATCACCAGCCTTGACACGACCAACCTCCATCATGCCCCAGTACGCGGTGAGCCCAGTGAAGCCAAGGACACCCAGAATGTCAGTCAACTGGCTTCCGGAAGCAGAATCTGGCACCGGTGCAGCCTCCAGGAGGGCTTCGTCCACAATCGCCTTTTCGGACCAGCCGATCAAACCAGTGACATGGGAACCAACTGCAAAACGCTGAGACTGAGAGGCAAGCACTCGCGCTAAAGCGTGACCACGCATGACCTCGCCAATGGCCACTGGCGGAATGTACGAAGGTCGGTCATCGAGCCAGCCACGCATGGCCGGATCAAGACTCAAGTAAAGGGTCTCCACAAGGACTTGCCCATCTAGAAGCTTCTCGACATCAGGGGCCTCGTTAAACTGAGTAGCGAATGTTTCACCGGGAACAATGGTGGTCTCGGGTCGCTTTGCGAGATGGATTGAAATGTGTTTAGAGGCCATGGCTAAGTCGGACATTTTAGCGGATGAATAGAGAGAGAAAAACGTAGTTCCAGCAGCTCTAGTAGCTTCTTGCAGTTTAGGTGCTGCTCTCAACTTTTAAGAGCTGGCGATAACGTTAAGATTGGATTTCTTACCTTAGGTAGTCTCTCCGTTTGGTTCTGTAGAAAAGCAGCTTGGTTATTGTGAAGAATCGATAAGCTCTCCGGAAGCCCATGGGAGACAGCTCTTCTTATATGATCTAGCGCCTGGGCTGAGAGCGCGGCCTGCGGCAGTAAAGTTCCTCGGCATTTCCCGGCGTCAAGAAGCTTAAAGGTTAAACATTTACCGTAATTTACGCCCTCTCGATATAATTGCCGCCTAGGATAGTCGCCATCATTTCAGTAGGTAGATCTCACCAGTTCGAGAGTGCGAATTCTCATTCCAATTGGTCTTGCACTCGTGCTAATTCTTATAATCCGGCTAATATGCGAACTATGTACTGTAGATGGGTGATAGTGTATGACATAGTAAGAACGGCAAGCGTTACCAAAGCGGTCAGATAGTATGATAAACTACAAGACAAAGCAATTTTGATTATTCAACAGGGGGACTACTAGGGAACATTTGTGATTATTCAACAAGGGGGCTTCTAGGGAACAATTTTGATTATTCAACAAGAGGACTTCTAGAAGGCTTCACTATCTTGGCGATTCTGGAACTCGGCACGGGCACGGATGGCCGCGGAAAGGAAGTATCGGCTCGGTCCATTTCAACGTCATTAAGCGCCGCGTTTATTATAAGCTATCTGCCTCGTAGCCTCGGCCTCTCTAGCTTATCACCGCACCATAAATTGCCGCATTTACAAGTCATCCACTCCCTTGACCGACTGTTTATCCATCATTTGTTTTGACAATCACTGTTTCAATATCCTTTGCAATAATGCCTCACACCGCAATCTCCTTCTCGGGGCCTCTCACCCCTGCGATTCTCTCTTCGCATCCGGTTATTACTTGGTACGCGAAATACGCTGCTGAATTTGTCGTCAACAAACACACCACAGCGCCAACCAAGTACTACGCACGGGAAGCCAAGCTAGTGAACACTGACAACTCGACGATTCATGGCGCGCGGGAAATTTGGGATTATTATATCGCCCTCTATGGACAGTTTGAACGATGCAGCCACGAGATGGTTTCGGTCACACTTTTGACCGACGAGCAGACTGGAAAGCACACACTGCACATTGAATGTATCACATCGCTTCATTTGAAAGGAAGCCAAGAGGTAGTGCCGCTTCCTCAGTCGTTCGTGTATGAGATTTCGGAGGCAGAAGCTGGTTACGGATGTGACGGATTGCAGATTTGGGAAATCAGATGTTACTACGACAGGGGATTGTTGCAGAGGGCGGCTGAGAGGTCATAAAAAGGAGACACGCTCAACCACAACAGTCATTTTTGGTGACCCCTTCCACGCCGGCCTGATAAAATATGCCGGGTGGTTTGATCAGCACGATGCGAACATTTTGGGACTAGAAATGGTCAGACAAAACCTCTGTATTCTTAACGCGATGTCATACAGTTCCATTAGCCCACTTTGAAAATGAGTACATTTTGTGGTGATATGCGGCTGGTGTACGTCAGGAGGGTTGACCTGTTTTATTCCCCATCCATTCTGCGAAAGACCTCTGTATGCCCAAGTCTTCAGGGATTTGACTTCATGCAGTTCACCGGGGGACCTCATGGAAGATGAAAGAGACATACCTGCATTGTCTAGGGAATATATTCCTCGTCAGGCAATACCTGGTCTCTTGAATGAGATAGGTTGAAATGCCCTGGCTGTCAGGACCCGCGACAAGAGCAGACCTGTGCGAGGTATTTAAAGGCGCAGGCTTTGCTTACTACTGATAGTCTACCTATGATTGAGCCCTCAAGTCTGCGCGGGCGTTAATTGCAAAACCGATGGGGAAAAAAAGGGAAGTTGATGGGGTAATAAATCGCATCAAAAAATAACCATCTTCATTATTAGCTGAAGCTTGCAAGAAATCCCCTTTGAGTTTCACTAGCTACAATATAGACCTTGTAATTTTTATCTTTCTGTCTACTCCTTTTAGAGCTCTGCTTCTACGAACAGAATCGTTTCTTCCATACTAAGGACAAAGGCTACAGTACTTCCTCCTACCAATCTCAAAACAGTTTGTATTAGAGGAGCGCTTAACTTGAAACGGTAAAACTAACTCGAAGCGGCGATTCACAGGTCCGCCGTTGACAACACCTATCATGGAACTTGTCGCTCTTGGAGAAAGCCAGTCTACAAGGGCCTGATGAACAGCAGTAGACAGAATAATTGAGGACAAATACTGTCTATATGAAGACAAGGAATTCTCCCAACAAGAGAAGTACCATACCTAGCAGAATTAATGGACACATGTTGGGGAAGCCACACAAACGTCACACGCCCCCGGAAAGCGATCCCGTGACCAACCCCGGACTCGAGCGAGCCGAGGGAAAACAACAGCCGATCGCAGACCGCAGCTGCTCTCCCCGATCTCCATCTTCATCTCCAGTTCTCATTCCCATGGCCTCTTATCCTCCTGTCCTCGCCTTATAAACCTTAATCCGCCTTAGTTGACTCCCGTCCCATGATCCTGGGACGCAATGGCTGACGGAATGTCGTTGTCTCACACCCAACTCTCCTCCCCGTCCTCCGCCTCCGCCTCCCCCACGAAGCTTTGCTCCAAGACCTACAAGAAAGCCTCCCAACTTTACCTCACGCGACGCCTGCCGGAATCGCTTGCTATTCTCCAGCCGATTATCACCGTCTCAACACCTCCAGATGAGCAGCTCACCAATGGCGATTGTTCCGCCGCGGTCGCGCCGATCGCCACTGCTCCCAGCACGTGGAGGATCAAGGTGTGGAACCTCTACATCACGCTTCTCAGCGGAATAGTAGACCTCGGCGCAGAAGAGGGCAAGAACCAATTTGGCCAGAGAGAATGGAAAGCGATCGCGACCCAAGTACGCGAAGGCGGCATCTGGGAGACCGTTGTGCAGGTCGGCTATCGGGGCCGGGAAGGTTCCGTGGACGCAGAGGTGGTCTACAACTTGTCAGTGATTGTTTCGAATCTTGTCGGTTTGACCCGCAAAGCAATCGAATGCTAACTAGATTCTCCAGGGCTACTTTAATTCTGAATCACTCTTCCTCCCAGTCGCTCAACCAACAACGTCTCGAGACCTATCTGTCATCCTACGGGCAACCAAACCTAGACCTCGCGGATCGCCTTCGCGATGCATCAGATGGGCTTCAGCAGCACCGCATTTCTGCCGCTAATGGCACTGATACTCCGAAGGACCTGGCCGCTCGCGTACGGATTATCGAGCTGTTCACTCTGCATGTTCTTCCCCGGAACGAAGAATGGGAATATGCTCATGAATTCATTAACCTGAGCGAAGTTCTGGATGAGGAGCGCAAAGAGTTGTTTATTCAAACACTGGAGGGGTTGAAGGAAGAGAAGGAACGAGGAGAAATGCGTGCGGCCGAGCTACAGCGCCAGAAAGACGCCGAACTTGAGCGCCAGCGGGATGACGAGCGTCGGCAAGCGGAGGAAGAAGCAGCCGCAGCTGCACGGACCCAAGCGAATGCCCACAAGCGCAGTACTAGTGATGTCGACTCCGGAATTGAAAAGGGTAGCTCGCGCAGCTCTCACAAGGGCAAGGGATCCAAATCGTCAGAGAAGTCACCAAGCGGTAAATCCAACACAAGAACAGCGCTTTCATCGTCAGGCTCCAAAGGCTCGAAGAAGCAGGTCAAGTCAGAATCTCGGACGGGCCAAACTCGGGCTGTGTCGACCATGCTGCACAATCTGTTCAAGAAAATTATCGAGAGCGTGTCCGGTAACCCGCTCTCAATAGCGCGCACTTTGCTCTTTGTAATTGGTATCCTGATGGCTATGAGCCGGCAGGATGTGCGCGAACGAGTCCGCCGGATTACGGGCTCTGCGTGGCAGAAGGTGAAGAGTACCGTTGGGATGGGTGTGAAGGTGAGCTATATCTGAGATAAATGCTCACCATGTGGATTTCTATTATTGTGCTGCCCTCTAAATTGCATGATTTACATGTGCATTTTATGTCCTGATTTGGATACGGCCCAATTGGCCATCGAGAACTTGATGTGGATACAGTTCCTTCAGCTGTGATTCTTTTCTCTATTTATGTATTTTGTCATAAAGACCGGATTTTCCGCAGGCGTTCCCGAATGGATATGCGTTTGCCTGGGCCACTTCTCTCCTCAAGTTGCAAATATTTTCAAATATTAATATAGGCATCTACGGTCCCCCCTGGGACGGATAGCTCATCGACCAAACAGTCAAGCATCTAGTATAATGGTCATATTTGTTACTTCCTGAATATACAGGTACTTGTGCATGCACAAGGTGGGAAGAGTCTTCGATTGCACGGATAAAAGGAGCCACCGAAAGCAGCCGCAGACGAGCTAGTCCTGCGATCAATTCATACCAGTCATCTCATTCAGTCTTTTGGTGGGGATCTCAATCATCGGCGCTCATTCTCAGTCACGCGAGCATGGCACTCTGCCGGTCTTTCCGTCATATCCACTTCGACCTCATCTGGGTGATTCCCATGCTCCACATCCTGTTTCTCGGCTAATTGAGCATGCCATCGACGGAACAACTGGACAAAGAATTGCGCCACACAAATCTGCTCGGTGGTGTATAACAACACCGGTATTGATGTTTTAGCCTTGGTATACAGGTCAACCGGTGCCCACATCGCATATAACAGTGGCAATCCTAGAGCAGTACTCTTCGCTGGGGAGCAGAAGCAAACTGCGATTGTTTCCTCAGGAGGCATACACTTCAAGACCGATTCAAACCAACGATGATTTAGAAGGAACTTCGGAGGGCGTGAGCTGAAGAACGAAATGACTGTAAGAGCAATATACAGCGCGATGTTGAACAGCACAACGAAGATAATGCTTTGCGCAGAGAGGCTCTGCAGAGCCCCCGTCGCAAAGCAGGAAGAGAAGGTGGTCCTAAGACACCAGTCAGTTCTACGCTCATTTCCAGAGATCCTGCCACGTTTACCACGTGGAGCACCTACCATATCAGCAAGAGCATGCAAACACTTGACAGTTTGGGCAGGCGCGTCTTCTGCATCACCCATGCTGTGCGTTCAGGCCAGGTCCATCGTACCAACTGTCCCACGAACAGAGGAAGCAGCACGCTTAGGCCTAGCTGTTGAAACACATGTTTATACATGCTGCCCAAGCTCCCACCGCCGTATCTCCATATGTCAAACTCAGCTGACTTGGGCAGCAGAGTCACCGTCCAGACCGCCGTGATGAAGGGTCCCAGAACATTGGCCAGCAAGACTTCCACCAGCGCGGCTGCATCGTCACCACCTGCGGCCCTCGTCATGACCACATTTGAGGCAATAGTGGTCGGGATACACGCGGTGAGGATATAACCAGCCAACACGGCGCGATCGATATACCCCGCTGGATCGGCTACCAAAATGATGTGCACCACTGCCAGGACCACTGCTGGGATCAACAGGAAAGATATCACCTGGACCAGAACATGCAGCCGCCAGTTCAGAAACTGTTTGAACAGCTTCTGCCGTGGAATACTGAGTCCAGAGATGAGGAAGATGATGGCGATCACCCCGTACAGCACGGTGTATTCACTTCGAATCACCCCGCCATCTGTCTTAGCAACATCGGGGAAGAAATAGGCTAGGACACAGGCAATCCCCATTCCGATCAGGAGCCACTGGCGCAAGATCATCATCAACACCCGCTTGGCGGCTGCCAGCAACCGGTCTGCAGTTCGGCGGGGCCCCGGGTCTGCGGCGACCGTGGAGTCCTCCATGTTCGCTCTCTAGAAAGACATCAACGCACAAAGCGGGCGTGCTTGGAGTGTCTTAAGCATCTGCATCGGTCTGTCAAGGGCTGTTTGAGCGGTGAGTTCGCGAACGTTGGTGCAGAACTCGCGCAATCGGATTTTGTCCGATGATCGCGGAGTTGATTGCGGCGGTTCTTTCAACCGCAGCGTCGCATCTACAGCATCTACGATCAGTCCAGCAACAGCATCTCGTTATAGGCTTCCAACACAAGCTATACTTCAGAACGATATAGATATACCGAACCCTACGCTCGGTCCGTGCCAAACGGGCTGGAACGCCGAAATCGGGTACCCGACGGGATCAGGCCGAGAGTCGGGGGAGGCCTGGGGCAGCGAAGCGTGTAGCGCACGTGTGGATGATGCAAGTCCAGCGCCTGTCAGGAACCCCTTTCACCCCCTTTCGCCCCCTTTCACTGCTCGGTGCCTGGAGCATGATGAGAGACATCGGGGGTGCTACTGCAGAACTAGAATCCACGGCACGACTCTCTCGACTCCGCCTAAAAAGTGGGTAAAACATTCAACCGCGAGAACCCGGCGAATTCGCCCCGAACGCTTGCATGCCTGCAAGCAGCGACCCCGGACTTTTCGTATCAGATGACATGAGCCACCAAGGTCTCAACCAAACGGGTCAACAGGTTCCAACGGTTCGAGGGTGTCGTACTCCGCGAAAAAGAACCTCGGCTGAGGGGAGCTCGGCAGCGGGTCCGAAATGTCCCGGGCAAGAACCGCTGTTCGAGCGGAACTCGCTGCGATTTGCGGACATTAAGCCTGCGGTTTCCTATCGCTGGTCGCGCAACTCAGCGCCCCGGCCGGGGCACCCCTAGCCGGAGGGAAGCGCTGTTCAAACTGGACTCCGTAGACTGGAAGTAATAGCCATTCTGGCAAGAGGGAAGTGTTCGTACTTGTTTAAGCTCTACCTATGACGTGCCACCGAGAAAATAAAGGCCTGCATGTGAAGTCAGATCAGTGGGCGATCTGGGGGATCCATGGCAGTGCCGTAGCCCGTGCAAAGTCATCCGCCCTCCCGAAGGCCTCGGGATGGGACTGGCGCGCTGGTCGGAACAGAACCACCGCCTCGAAATTATAAGATCACTGAATCGCCTCGGTGATTTTCGTTTTATTTATTCTGTTTCTCCTTGTTGCGCGAGATCCCTCAGTCCCCTGTGTGTGTTGCGCCAAATCCGTGCCAGCGGCAAAGAACTATACGCTTCCGCTCGTCCAGCTCCCTCCGCTTCTCCGTCATAGCTGCCCGCAAGGTTTTGGGAACCGCCACTTGAGCCGAGCTGAATTTCCCCGGGTCGCTTCTTAAGACAGAGAGAGAGAGAGATTCAGATCTTCACTCATTGACTACTCTCGTTACACTGCACTGTGAACACTTCAGCCGAGTTACTGATTACTGTCCCCAACTTCGGCATCGGCTTCTTCCCGGGATTGTATACTTCCGACTCCCTCCGCATTTCGGATTCCCGCAACGTCCAATTGGGCCCAGTCTGTCCGCTGCGGCAATTGATCTCCTTTTTGTTGGTCGCGAAGCCAAAACTTTCTGGGACATCTTTCATCCTGTCCATTGGCTTTGCATGAACTGGCTGCAGTTTGCAAGCTACATCTAATTGTTGGATTGACATCATGTCCGCCAAAAATGTGCAGAACAAGAGGGCCTCGCCCGCGGTAAACCTGATCGGTAGGCCTCACCCTCACTACTGGAGAGCTTGGGAACCGGTGCTAACCTGGGTGCTATAGCGGGTGGTGGTGCCGGTATGATGGAGGCTCTCGTGTGTCACCCTCTGGATACGATTAAGGTCCGAATGCAGCTCTCCCGGAGAGCGACTGCCCCCGGAGTAAGTCCTACCACGCGCGTGATTCCTCAATGCTATCGCTGACCAGCTTGGGGTGGAACAGGTGAAGGCCCGTGGGTTCGTCGCTACAGGTGCAGAGATCGTGCGCAAGGAGACAGCCCTGGGTCTATACAAGGGTTTGGGTGCCGTGCTGGGAGGTATCATCCCCAAGATGGCCATCCGGTTCACCTCCTACGAGTCGTACAAGGCTGCTCTCGCCGATAAGGAGACTGGCAATGTCACCAGCAAGGCCACGTTCCTGGGTAGGTCAACCCCCCAACGCAAAAAGTCTCCCTGTGGGATTGGGATCCATTGGCTCACTCGTTCCTTCTAGCTGGTCTCGCCGCCGGTGTGACCGAAGCCGTTGCCGTCGTCAACCCCATGGAGGTGGTCAAGATTCGTCTCCAAGCCCAACACCACAGTCTGGCCGATCCCCTCGATGCCCCCAAATACCGCAGCGCTCCCCATGCCCTCTTCACCATCATCCGCGAGGAAGGGTTCAGCGTGCTGTACCGCGGCGTGTCCCTCACAGCTCTGCGACAAGGAACCAACCAGGCGGCCAACTTCACCGCATACACTGAGCTCAAGGCCGCGCTCCAGCGGGCCCAGCCCGAGTTCGCCGACGCTCAGCTGCCCTCATACCAAACCACCCTCATCGGTCTCATCTCCGGCGCTGTCGGCCCCTTCTCCAACGCCCCGATCGACACCATCAAGACCCGCCTCCAAAGGACCCGCGCTGAGCCCGGCCAGTCGGCCGTGACTCGCATCGTGGTGATTGCCAAGGACATGTGGAAGACTGAGGGCACCCGCGCCTTCTACAAGGGTATTACCCCCCGTGTGATGCGTGTGGCGCCCGGTCAGGCCGTCACGTTCACCGTGTACGAGTTCCTTAAGGGCAAGCTGGAGAAGTCCAACTGGGCCTTCGTGGGTGGTTCATTTGGGGAGTAAACCGAAAAGGGGAGCCAGAGCTTGTTGGTTGTGGGAAGCATGTGATACCATCTCCGAGCATGGCGTTGCGTTTCCTCGTCTTTTTGTTTGGGTCTTTGCCAGCGTGGGTTTTGGATACCTGCGAGGGACTTCGTTCAGATGCATGCGGGTTCGGAACGGTTCCTGTACATATTTGTTTTCCTTTAGTTCTGTGTATAACCACATTGTTGGATCAGTCTGTTCTGAGATTCGGATGCAGTAGAGTGGGCTGGCTTCCTGTAGATCACCTGTTTCGGGCAAGAGTAGCATGAGACAGAGGGCCAGGCATGCCAGTGGCTAGAATCTCCAGAATCTTGAATCATCAGGTTGACACTTTCTTGACGAAGTTGTCGTGCTCTGTTGGTCTTGTATCGACGACATCTGGCACGGAAGAGCAGATAGAAGGACGGAGTGGCCGCTGAGCACCCACCAGGCCAGCCCCTCCCCCCCTCATTCACCGCTTCCCCTCTCTCCGTAAACAACCACTCGACCAAGCAAGCACAAGGCCCAGGATTGTACACCATCATGCAGTCGGGAATCTCGGGTACGTCCAGGAGACTCCCATCTATTATCCTCCCATTTCATCCCACCCATTGGTGATTTCTTCCAAGTTCTAAGCTAACCACAACGGCCCCAGTCTCCTCGGAGCTTCAGGATGCATTCAGTCGTTTCAGCTCCGATAACTCGATTTTCTGTCTTCCGGTAACCATCACAGGAGAGCGCCTGACTCCGCTCGATTCAATTCCCTTTTCTGGCTCTTCCTCCGGCCCAGATGCATTCTTCGCCTCGCTATCTCAGGTCTCTCCTATCCTACAGCCCAAGACGCCGATCTATCTCCTGCTCCGCCGCCCACTCCCAACCAAGACCACCCTCGTCGCCTTGACCTATATTCCATCCAATGCCCCCGTACGCCCCAAAATGCTGTTTGCCTCGACCCGCTCAACGTTGGTCCGGGAGCTTGGAACCGAGAAGTTCGACGACACGGTGTTCGCCACGGAAGAGGACGAGATTGTAGGCCAGGATGCTTGGCTCGAGCGCGATGGCGATAAGGCTGGTGTTGGCCGTGAAGCCCTCATGGGCGACAAGGAGCGTGAGCTCGAAAAGGTTCGCAGGGCAGAGGCGGAGGCCCGCAGCGGCACGCCGCAGCGAGATATCGGCATCGGAGGCACATTCGGGCCTGGCACGGGATCCGGCATGAGAGTGTCTATGCCGGTTGATGACGCCGCGAAGGCGGCTTTGAAGGAACTGCAAGACGGAGGCCTCGTACAACTGGTATGGAAACTCGCCCTCTTACTTTGCTGGCTACGAGTCTACATGGATTCGACGGGACATGGAGGAAAATGTTTCATTTGCAGAGCTAATGTTGGAATTATGATGCAGACCGTTGATATCCCCACGGAGACGATTACGCTTGCCGACACCCAGTCTGGTGTCCAAGCCGACTCCGTTGCCACCTACATCTCTTCCTCGTCGCCCCGGTATTCCTTCTATCACTATCCCGGCTCGGACGTGGTGGTGTTCGTGTACACTTGTCCCACTGGATCGTCGATTAAGGAGCGCATGCTGCATGCAAGCTCGCGGAGGAATGCCCTCACGATTGCTGAAGGGGAAGGACTCAAGATCACGAAAAAGGTACGGAGTCCCGTGGACCATTTGCAAAGGGAGGTGCTAACGCTCGTGGATGACAGATCGAGGCGTCGGGGCCAGACGAGATCACTGGAGACCGGCTGAGGGAAGAGGTGCACCCGGCACAGGATCAGGGTCCTGCGCGGGGATTTGCTCGCCCTAGACGTCCAGGCCGGTAAATCACGACGATGACGAGACCGTCCCGGGTACACACACACACGTATTTGTAGTGGCGTTATATAGCCTGCCAATCTTGATGAATTGAATCTCGCTCGTCCTTCTTGGTCGGGTGTGTAAATGCCACCTCTCAAGCCATAAGCTTGAAATCTCGTAAGACCCGCGAGGCCCGCGCATACCTCGCCTCCCCCTTGATGCAGAGAAAAGCACCAAGCTGGCCACGGAGGGAGAGGGCGCAAGCCTTGATCAATGATTTCGGAAACTTTTCTTTTGGTAAAATAGATCTGTCCTTGAACTTCCGAGATTGATAATCTTCGGACACCCGTCGCGGTCCTTCTCTAGACGCGTGCATTCGAAGCAGTAGAAGGCGTCGCTGATGCCCTCGCCACCACAGACAACGCACTTGTTCTGGTAGTTGCCAAAGGAGCACTCGTCGCAGATCCGCACTAGGGTAGTCGGGCGCACATAGGAATCGCACACGGGGCATTTGCCGTCGCACTTATCGCAGAGGCGGCCGATGGAGATGCCGGGCTGCTTGCGGCACATAACGAGATCGGGGTGATGGCGAGACATGATGGATGAGAGGATAGAGTTAGGTGAGTGTGAGGTTGAGAGGAGCTCCTGGCCTGAGGAGAAGAGGTGTGGTGAATGGCAAGTACGGAGTAGCTAGAGAGGAAAAGAAGCCGGCAGAAGGACGGGTCCGTGCACGTGCCCCCAGTAATACCCGGCTCTGAGCTACTTGCTCGTGTCCACTGCTGAGTCGAGTCAAGTGTGTCCGGGAATCAGGCTAGATTGCTGATAAATAGGACTGGGTTTCGCTTCTGGAAGTCTCTTTGCCACCGTCAATCACTCATCCGGGGATACCCCCGTCTCTCGGTCCAATATGTCTGAAGGGTACGGCGACTTTTCCGACGCCAGCGTCAACGCGAACCCGCGCTTGAGCTTTTGCGCTGACACTAGACTTTTCTTCATTTGCAGGACCCTCGCATCGGCAGTTGCCGTGCCAGAGCAGGATCATGAACGCCAATCGCCTGAGGTTTCCGCGAAACGAAGACAATCCTCGGTATCGGAGCACGAAACAAAGCGGCGCCGCCTAAGTTCGCAAGGCGATATCTCCCCGCATGCCCAGCGACAGCGGCATTCGCCACCGGCGCCAGCAGCTGAACGAAGGCCTCCCAGGCAAGGCCGCGAAGAGGACCGCAAGCGGGGGCAGCGGCTGTTCGGCGCGCTGCTGGGCACACTCTCGCAGAGCTCCACCTCGGCGGCGCAGAAGCGGCGTGCTGATATTGAGAAGCGGCAGCAGGATAAGCTGAAGTCTCAGGCTGATGAGTATGATGGGCTGAAGAAGCGTCGGAAAGAACGTCGCGCTCTGATTCGGAGGAAAGAGCAGCCATTCTACGAACGGGAGGCTGTATGTTGCTTATCACCGCTTGCTCTTCGCATTACCAAGCATAGCTGACAATGTGCGCTTTACAGCTGCAGACTCGGCATTCGAACTTGACTGCCGCGGCGCATTTCCTGAAGACCCGAGCAGAACCAGTCTTAGTTCGTTACGCCCGCCCTTACCATCTAGATTCAATGGCTAACTCCAGTGTCGTGCAGTTCTATAAGCCGTGGCAGTTACGAGCTGGTGATGAAGCGGTGATACAGGAACAAATCGAGGAAGCCGAAGCGACAGTTATTCGGGAAATTGCCGAATTTGATGCCCGATATCCACCCGAGGCCTTCGTGGTCGAGAAAATAGACCCAATATCGCAGGAATCGGCCGGACCTCAGGGAGACTCAGATGGAGCACAGCAGCAGGCTGAGCTCGCCTCGGCGCAACCCTCGGCCCCAGAGCCTGCGGCAATTGCAAAAGAGCCCGAGGAGACTCAAGTGAAAACAGATGCATATCCTCGTCAAGAGCTAAGCTCTGAGCCCACTAAAACCGACACAGTACCTACCAGCGAGGACGATGCTGCTGATCCGAAGGATGCTCACCGGGGCCACCACGACGATGATGGCGGTGAAATGATGGAAGATAACGAGGATACCGTGATTTACTAGCGATCCGTATATTATTTATTTTATTTCATGATATGACATTAATACCTGCTCATACTGTGACTTTCCTCTCCATCTATTGACATGCTATGCCGTGGGAGCTGCACCTCTCTTCAGCCGAGGTATGCCGATCGCCCAGAGAGGGGCCCTCGGTCTGCCACAACCCGTCAAAGAGGGGTTCTATTGTGAACATTGGATCATGAATCATCTCGCCATCTGATAACTAAGCTAGTTGTCTTTGTTTCTGATTCTTCATCAAGGAAGCTAGCTAGTTCCTTTCATCATTTGATTTTCATCTATACTGTTTTATGTGATGACTGGCGGGTCTAGGCCTGGATATATATCAGTTCCTTACCATATCAGCGCACCGTCATTCTAGCTGAACCAGCCAACTCTAAGCTCACATATTGTTCTTGACGACCACTAAGAGCCAAAGATAATTGTTGCCACGGAGCGCCACCATGCCGGTTGATAAGATCTGTGTCTCTGGTGATGCTCGCATCCAGTACCAATCGGCGACGCTGAACGGCCATAAATACAGTACGTCTGCCTGCCTGAAAACCTTTCAATCCGACCACGAGAACCTGGTAATGGGAAATTTGGGAAAGCCATTGCAGCATCTGACAGCACATTCGTTTTGTACAGGCTATCTCCTCAGTCAACCCCAGTCAGGCAAATATCGAGCTACGATCTTCCTAGTGAGCCGCATACCACCTTTGGGACTTTATTAAAAGCGTCCTCTTTGCTGACTCCGTTACTAGATCCATGGCTTCCCAGACATCTCAATGGGATGGCGCTACCAAATTCCCATGCTGGTTGACTTGGGATTGAGGGTCGTCGCGCCAGACTGCCTCGGCTATGGCCGAACGGTGGGCAAATCGAACTGAGATTCAAGCATTCAGAGAACATAGCTAACGAAGTACTAGGAAGCGCCTGATGACTTCGTATATTATTCGCACAAACGCTGCGCTAACGACATGAAGTTGCTCGCCTCTCATCTCGGGGAATCCAAAATCATCCTAGGCGGTCATGACTGGTAAGACACCGGGCCTCACCACCACGAAACTCACATCGGCTGATGATCACATAAGGGGCGCTGGCCTCGCGTATCGCATTGCCCTCTGGCACCCGGAGCTGATCAGCCACCTCTTCACCGTCTGTGTTCCTTACGCACGACCCCAGCCACAGTATCTGCCACTCGAGGACCTCGTGCGCAATGCTGCCCCGCACTTTGCGTATCAGCTGCAGTTTGCTAGCGGCGACCTTGAGAAGGTTATTCATTCCAAGACAGACATTAGGCAGTTCCTCTGTGCGCTTTACGGTGGGCGCACGGAGAAGGGCGAGGTGGGGTTTGATGCTGAGAAGGGCGTGCTGTTGGATAAGGTGTCAGCTTTGAAGCCGTCGCGGCTATTGAGCGAGGAAGTAAGTTCTTGTGCACGTCTAATTAACAAGGAAAGACATTGATTATATCAAGGAATTGGACTACTATTCGACCGAGTTCTCTAGAAATGGCGTTCATGGACCACGTACGTCATCGCCTATTCTGCTTTTCGATAGATGTCCAGCTAATGGGTGATAGTGAATTGGTACCGAACCCGCAAAGTCAACTATGAAGATGAACTGGCGATTCTCGACCGCAAGATCACCATTCCCGTGCTTTTCATCCAAGCCCTGAAGGACCAAGCTCTCCCGCCTCACCTGGGCAAATCCATGGCTAAGCACCTTCCCAACTTGACCCTGAAACAGGTGAACGCTTCGCACTGGGCGTTGTGGGAAAAGCCCGAGGAGGTAAACACCATCATTTCGACCTGGTTGAAGGATGTCGTGTGTGCGGATGGACGCTCCGGGAAGCTTTAATGGATGTCCATAGGATTCATTTCACATGCTAAGGGTAGCTAGGAGCCATATTTGAGCCGAAATCATCTTTGCGTAAATTTCATTACGAAAATGCACATTGGGATTCATCAGAGCGTAAAAGGGGAACAGAGCGTGTCATCACCGAACATAAGAAAAGAATACCGCGAGAAGCCACTGATTGCAGGCGCTTCACTAGACAGGAAAGCCAGGTTTTGACATGCACGCAGACTTTTTAATACTGGAAGGTTTTGGTATCGATGTGACACCCGACATTTTCAATGCGATCGACAAAGTCTTGGCCCAGGGTTGCCGATGTCACAATACCACCACGCGAGACCTTCTTCACCTTCTCCTCCTCCTTGAGAATGACCATCGCAGCCTCGGCCAAGAGCAGGCCGGTGAGAACGTACATGCTACCCTCGTAAGTAAACTTGCCAAAGACGCGCTTGGGAACAGGGGCTTCTTGATCGGCCGTTGCAACGGCATGGTACTCGAGGCGGTCATTCTTCGAGGCCTCCATAGTAGGACCTTGCCCAGGCGTGAAAACGAACCTGCGAACTAGGGCGCGGATAGGCGGGAGCATCAGCAGCGAGATACCGACGATGAGACCGAGGTGCACGATGACGCCGATGAGAGCGTTACGCACGTGCAGGAACTGGCGGAAGTAGAAGCGCTTGCCGTATAGCTCGGGCATCAGGGTGCTGCTGCGATGCACGATCGTGATGTCCGCGATGCCGGATGGGGCGGTAGTCACAGTGCCCAGGTCCCGGATGGTGCGCGCGCCAAAGAGCTTTGCAAGGATGGAGTCGCCAGGGATATCCTTTGGCGGCGTGGATGCTGCCAGGGAGAAGGGGGTCATGGACTTCATCAGCTCGGAGGAGGGGAGCCAGTCGAAGATGCTCAAGATGGTGTTGAGAGTGCCACCGCTGGCGCCGGAGGACCTGTGCTCCTTTGATCAGAAAATGGGGCATTATTTTGGGGTTGATGGACCTTACTTCATCTCCTTGATGCAGCAGTCGATCTCTTTCGTCTGGGATGCGAGTTCTTCCCGGACGTGCTTGACAAGAGCCCAGGCCAGCATGTCCGCTGGGGCACTCTCGACTCCAACCGAAGGGATGATCTTGTTGTAATCAGCACATGTATCAGTGGGAATACACAACATTCAGCATCCTCACAATTGCGCCGTTGCTCTTTGCCTTCTCGTGGTACTTGTCAATAATTAGCTTGACCCACGGAGTCTCTCCGGTCCTGCCAATGATCAATGAACGTCCCTCACAGCTGTTAGAATACATTGACTTACGCATCCACGTAGTGCGTTCCATGGGTAGCACAAGCTTCGACCACCGGAGTGGAGTACAGGTGGTAGGGGCCAATGCAGTTAATGATGAGCTTAGTCTTCTGCGCCAGCTCGTTCAACTCGGTGGAGTTGAGCTGGACAGCAATGACGTCTATGAAACGGCCCCAGGTCAGCGAAAGCCCAAGGACAGAGGGGCATTAAACTGAAGGGGAAGCTGCTGCTGCTCCATACCTGGCTGGACGCGATCCGAGTTAAGCTGCTTCAGCTCCTCAGCGATAGGCTCGATCTTCTGTGGCGAACGGCCCGCGATAGCCCATTTGAGATCAGTGGGATGGTTTTTCACAATGTGCTCTGCACAAAAACGGCCAGTGTAGCCGGTGGGACCTAAAAGGACCAGGTCATACTGCCTGCTGGAAGCCATGGTGCTGGGCTGGAATGTGCTGTTTGCGCAGATAGTATCTTCGCAGGGGGAGCTCTCGGTATGATCACAAGCTCCTCGGCCCGATGATTTAAGCAGGTTGAGGAAGGTAGAAGGGGATTTGCGGGCAGAGAAAGGATTGCTAAGGATGTTAGGCCGTGCTTAGGGATTCTCGCTAGGTTACACCGCGGAGATAGCTTGCTGGTCAAGCTGGAAATGTCGTCAAGATGTTGATCGAGCTGCGGGAGCTCCCACGTGACCGGATAGTTAAGTCTCGCCGACGGGTGGCTCGTGCTGGATTCATTGGATTTGCACCATAGTGTGGAGGTAGAGGAAGTATACTAGACGTATATGAAATTGAAGGGGGAAACTGCGTAGACAAACTACCTCTGTATTCCATATACTGACATGAGATTATCTGACCCATCTGTACTATACTGTCTGTCCCCCAATCAGTACTGCTCACCACATCAACTGCAGGGCCAAGCACCGAGAGGACCCGCCTTGGCTGATGCAGGATGTGCCCCGTGCATGCACGTGATCACAAATGACATAAGCAGAAAGGAAGGTCACCAACTCACCGCCCTGCCCTCCATTACCTCACCCAGTCAGGTGACCACACTCAGCCAAGGCCCCGAGCCCTAAGCGAGCCCACCCACAACCACTCTTCTAAAGCCGCTTTTCGATCCCTTCGCTATCCATCTTCACGCTCAACAGCCGCCATACAGCCAAGATGACCAAGCGCACCAAGAGTATGTTGAACCTCCTGAATCGATCACTGCCCTTTATCCTTTTAATATCCCGTTGCTAACTTTCCCTCAGAGGTCGGTATCACCGGAAAGTACGGTGTCAGGTATGCTCAACACCCATAACCCTCCCTCGCCCACAACACTCGGACGACCGTGATCACTTCGACGCATCGAACGACTGTGTTTTACCGAACGGGAACCGGCGAACCCGAACCAAAAGACGCGATATTGATCAAGATTTCTCTTTTCAACAGATACGGTGCCTCTCTGCGTAAGCAGGTCAAGAAGGCCGAAGTTTCGCAGCACGCCCGTTACATCTGCACCTTCTGCGGCAAGAACACCGTGAAGCGCAAGGCTGTTGGCATCTGGGAGTGCAAGGGCTGCAACAAGACCGTCGCCGGTGGTGCCTACACCGTCTCGTAAGTCGCATCCGAACCCCAAAAAATCGAGCTCGACTGGGAAGAGGGGATGGGGGTCGAATCGAGATGGAGGCATTGTCGACTCGAGGATGCTGTGATCACAGACGCTGACTGAAGGTACAATTTACAGGACCCCTGCCGCCGCCGCTACCCGCTCGACCATCCGTCGTCTCCGTGAGATCGTTGAGATCTAAGTGCGATGAATATGGTTTCCTTTCTCTTTACGGCTACGTCTGAATACCAAAAATGAAAACTTCGGAATCATAAAAGATTTTGCATCCTCGTTTCCCCACGGACTTCTACGTAAACGGTGGGATTACCCTCCCATGCTGGCCCACAGCCGACAGAATAGTTTCCCACAGACCATTGCATTGCATCATGATGCCGAAATCGATTGCCCCGACCGTCCTGATTCGACCTTCCGTGCCAGCCAACCGCAGTTTTCTTGCAGGGTTCGGCTTACGGGCGTCAACCATTCTATGCAGGCATCGGGCAGTCACTGTAGAAATCGGTCTCCGATCCCAAGCCCCCTACCCTTTTGACTAGCAGCCACCCGACCGCGCACCTTTTTTGACATTATGCACTGTCCATTTTTGCATTATTGAATGGACTACATGACAGCGAGGCCGACAAATTCCCAGTCGCTCACATTGGCCCGGTGTCAAGCAGAGTGCCTGAGATGTCTGGAATCTTGCAACAACCCACCAACCCGCCCAGATGCTCACCTGTATGACTCAGATGATGCTGGACCAGCTCTTGAGGTACTATGAAACATGGCCGCTAGGGATATTGTAGACTTGTCTGTCTTGACCTCCATGGAGGATGGACTAACTATCGTGTAGTATGGGTATGCAGGACAAGCCGCACCGCACCGTCTTGCAGCAAGGGCGCAGACTACCACAAGATTTCCAGATCGATACGATCCAGGATTTCAGCCAAACCTGGAACGTCACTGAATCATCTTGCAGCCAACTAATTCAAGTTGCCGGGGCCTCTCATTTGCATGCGCCCGCGGGCGGGTGATTCGCCTCCGTCACGTTGGCGCCCTGCTTTGCGTTAGACTGGAAATCCCGGCCCACCTTCAAAAGGCCCGGCTGCTTCTTCTCCACCTTACACTCTACACACACCTCCCTGCTCTCGCCCCTCCCTTTTCTGCTTCATGCCGCCCTTTAGCCGATCTTCCCCTGCTGTCTATACTGCCCATGTCCGACACCTGTATTGTTTGTTTAGGAGACCTTGGCGAAAGCGCCAGTGATCCCCTCGCCGTCGAGCCCGTGCCAAGACACCATCTCCAGGACCATGCCGACCCAACGGCTAAGGCGCCTGCGCTCGACGACGTGGAGGCTTCGAGTGAAATCGCCCAGTTACTTCCCTGCGGACATATTTTACACAATAATTGCCTGAAGCCCTGGGTAGAAAGGGCAAACAGCTGTCCAATATGTCGGCGCAGCTTCAATATGGTTGAGCTAAGTGACCGGCTTGGAGGTATGTACTTGCTCCCCTTGTTTCGGCCTCAACCTATCTAGGTCTTTGATGTTTCGGAAAGACTCTTATCGCTGACTATTTCGATTTTCTTATAGGGCCTGTGGTTTCATCATATGCCGTCCAAGACCGGATCCAGGTGGCCGAGATCGACCCGTCGATGGTTATCGACTATGTGGAGGACGACTTCACCGACTACCAACCATGCACAATATGTGGAGAGACAGATAACGAGGATGTCCTCCTTCTCTGCGATGGTTGTGACGCGGCCTCGCATTTATACTGCGTTGGATTAGATGAGATTCCCGCTGGGTCATGGTATTGCCAGCAATGTGAGTCCCAACGTGCCTTGGGACCAGCCATGGAGACATCTGCTCGGCCTTCTCGTACATCCGAGCGCCGGTCTCGTCGAACTCGGGGTCAACAGCGTCAGGTGCAGAGCAGGAATCAGATTAACTCACTACACTGGGCCCGAGTATGGCAATCCGTCTGGGACCATCTGAACCTCGACCTGGACTTCCCATTCGACGATGACCGATCGGCTGAGCGCATGATCCAGCAACGCCGTCGCGAGGAGGCGAACCAGCGTGAATTTCTTGCCTGGCAGCGTCGGTTTGAGGTTGCTGAGCGACAGGGTGGTGGTAGTCGCTTTCGGGACACTGCTTCTCTATTTGATATTGAGCCTGCTCGGCCATCACGACCTCGTGTGCCTAGGGAGCCGACGCCCGAACCAGAGTCCCTAGAGGAAATGCGAGCGTGGAATGCTTTCGAAAGGGCTCGTGAGATCGAGAATAATCCGAGCGCCGCTCGCAAGCGCAAGGAACCGACTCTATCACCGTCGCCTGAGCCTACGGAACCACAGCGCAAGCTTAAGCGTCCGCGCACAAGGCGACCCCAAGAACTCGCTGCACTGGCCCAACAGAACGGGGAATCCTCTAGAGCTGCGGGCGTGTATGCCAACGCCAACGCGAGTGCTAGCGCGAACACCCGGCTCAACGGGGATATCACGGCCGAGCCGAGCTTCTTGTCATCCCTTTTGAAAGAAGTGGAAGATGCCTCGGTCACCGAGCGTACAACACCCCGTATGCAATCAGCTCCTACATCAATTGCGCCTACCGACCATGCGACCCCCGGACCTTCTTCTCCATCTATTTCTCCCTCCTCGTCTAATCGCTCCTCCCCTCGACTATCCTCTACAACTCCACCTCCTTTTTCTCGCAGTCGACCTACCTCTCCATTCCAACTCTCTCCTGCCGAGCCTTCTTCACCTTCATTTTCTCCCGAAGTATCATTCTCCGGTAGCCCGATCTCCCCAATTGCCAATCAGGAGAAGCCCTCACCTCAGCGTGATACCAACCGCCCGCGCTCCCGCATTCCGCGGCGAGCCATCCCACTGGCCCATTCTCGCTCGCCAGATTCATCACCCACTCGCCCCGGCCCCTCTTTGGCACTCAAGTCCGCCATCCGCGAGATGGTCAGCACGGCTCTGAAGCCGCACTACCGCTCCAAGACCATCTCCAAAGACCAGTATACCGAGACCAACCGAACCATCTCGCGGATGTTGTATGAGCGCGTCGCAACCGCTGATTCGCTCACTTCAGAAGCCCGCACAGACCTGGAAAATGCTGCCAACTTTGAAGTGCAGAAAACTGTCGGCGCGCTACATAAGAAGAATAAAGAAAACAGGCAGAAGCTGAAGCAGAAACAGCCTATGGCATCTGCATGCTCTGATGGCGAGATACAGTGACTCACTGCTATGATCCGACCTTCCCTCTTTATGGCATATTGTGGCGTTTTGATTTTGACGGTGGATCCGTAGTGGGGCATTTCTGGCCTTTCGCGACGCGATGGGTGCTCAGGTACGCTACGGAATATTATTTGTTTACCTGGCGTTTGATCGGTTCGGTTCCCACCTCATTGGAGATGGAGTCTCTATTGTTCTTGTTCTTTAGCGAGATATGACCTGGGTTCCCTGGTTTTCTCATACCCATGACGTGACGATAGCGACCTGGATTGTTGTTTCCTTCTCTCTACTCCTTCCGTATCTGACGGATTCTGTTCGATATCCTAAACTCTGTTCACATATTGAACTTTGAAGACTTTGCATTGTGATGATCTCTTCTTACCGAGTGCTTGTTCCCCTCTTCTGTAGACAGTTCTAGATGTGCATTTCCAACGACCGTGTATGTTTAGTGACCTCTCACTGGACGAACTCTCTTGACTTTCCAACTATCCTCGTAAGCCTCAAGTCGTCGATCCGCAGTCGCCCTGGAAGTTGTTTTACCCACCCCCAGTCCTTATGCACTAAAGGGTCGTTCAAGACGCGACCCGGCCGTTTGCTCTGTGCCCTTTGTTCGCTAAGTGCCGAGAGACCTTTGTTTGCGCTAAGTCGAGTTGGCCAGGGGCGCCGGAGAGTGTCTTGCTTGCGCCTGTTTCTTTCAATTTCAATTTTGGAAACTCCTTCATCCCTTCAGATGCGCCTCGAAAAATGACCCGACACCATTTATCCTACTGCGACTGCGAGCGGTGCCACCCTTCCAACGAAGTGCTGGAATTTCTCGTGGATGAGCATATCCAGGAACCGCTAGACGCAGAGACTTTATATTCCCGGCGCAAGAAGCAGGAGCTCCGTGTGATAATAGAATTGTGCGTATGGCTACGAGCAGACTCTCAACCTACTCTTCAATTTGGACGATCCGCCCCCACGGATGAAGCGCTCACAGTCGTGCGAAATATATTGAATCGATTCGAAAATCATGGAGATTTCTTCACACATCCGGAAATCCAGATCATATTTTACTGGCGAGATTGCAAAGCCAAGGCTGGAGATCCTATATGTCCAGTGCTATCACTGATGATTGCCGGTATTTTGACGCCTTATGCGGTGGACGAAGAACTTCGGACCCGAGCTACGAAAGCACTTCGCGGTAAACGTCGCGATATTGATCAAAAACGAACCTCCGAGCTTCATCAAGTGGTACGACTCCTAGTTGCAAATGACGCCGCAAAACGAATGTCCGCGGCCCTGGTCCAAGGGACTCTTTTCATCTACGAGCCTTCGAATCATGCAACCGCGCAATTACCTTCCTCCGGACCACCTACCTCTGTCCCATTATCTATTGAGAATTCCGATGGGAACCCTTGTCATTATGAGCCGAACGTCATCGAGACACATGGTCCTCCAGCTCAGAATAATGCGATGGAGATCCGATCGGTGGAGGTGCGAATGCGGCAGCTTGAACACGATAACCGTCTCCTCCGAGACAAGATGGGACGTTTGCGAGATGAACAAGCCCGTCTGCAAGAGAAGCAGCATCTTTTGGAACAGGAACTCATCTATTTGAGGGAAGATAGCCGATGTGCTAAACAATGCCTGAGAGACACGCTGGAGATTCTTAGGAAACCATGGCCCGGCAATGGCGCACAGTGGTAAGCCCCGCGATACAGTGATGAAATAACCGCAAAGCAAAGATGGAAAGGAAGGATAGAACTATATAGATTATTCAACACTATGCATGCTGGAAATGACACGACCGTCTAGAAATGGCAGGTTTCATCTAGATATCTTCTATCTGGAACGACTTGAACGCAGTTTCATATGGCTGGCTGACTTCAAGATGTGCCGGAGGGCCGATTAAGTTGGGCTTTGAGGTCACACTCGCATAACCCTTGCTGTGGAATAGCTCTACAACTGTATCTCGGCCTTTTGAGACTGCATAATCCAACGGAGTAAGATGGCAGAGGTCCTCGTCGCAAGCTGTTTGAGTACTGTGGTCCAGCAAAGCTTCAACTACCTTGCAATGCCCATACTCTGCTGCCCATGATAACGCGGTGCGAGCTTGTATGTCTTTGCGATTAGGATCTGCACCCCTTTGGAGCAGCATTTCGACGATGTCCAGATACCCGTTCCACGCTGCATAGGACAGAGCCGTTTTCCCGTAGAACTTATCTTGGAGATTCGGGTCTGCACCTCCTTCTAGGAGAATGCGGACCATTGACGTGTGCCCACGCTGCGCAGACGCTGATAGCGGTACATAACCGTCCTGATCTTCCGACTCTGGGTCTGCATCCCATTCAAGGAGAACCTGAACGACGTCTTCATATCCTCGTCCAACTGCGACTGCCAAGGGCGCCAGACCTTGCGAATCTTCATTTTCGAAGCTGGCTCCGGCTTCTAGAAGCATTTTAACAAATATGGTCTTTCCGTCTTGTACAGCATAAGCTAAGGCACTCTGCCCAGCCTTGTCTTGGCAATTCAAATCGGGGCCTTTCTGCAACAATGTCTCCACGATCGCCACCCGAGTATTTGTTTCAAATCGACCCCCGAAGCTATGTTGTATGGCGTGGATGAGAGGTGTCTTTCCGTGCTCGTCTTTGCCGTTGACATCGATGCCTTCCCCGAGAAGTAAATCGACGATTGTCTCGTGGCCGCCCCAAATTGCGTAGACTAACGGGGTTCGCCCTTGTCGGTCTTTAGAATCCATGCGAACGCCATGATTCCTCAGGCGAGCAACAACAGATTCACGACCTTGGAGCACCGCATATGATAGGGGTGTTCGGCCGTCGATGTCTGTGCAGTTCGGATTTGCTCCCATCCCCAGGAGGAGCTCGACCGCTCCGTCGCGACCTATCTCGGCCATCCACGATAGAGGTGTTCGTTGCAGTCCATCATGGATGTCAACTGTGAGTTCCTCGATAGCAATCGCTTTGGCAGCTTCATCCAACCCAAGATAAGCTGCAAGGTGTAGCCCTCTGATTTCTTGGATCATGCGTTGACTGGCATTTCGTGGCTCGTTTTCTATTAGCAGGGCCTGGGAACAAGCGGTGACGAGCTGTTTGTCGCTAAGAAGACCCATCGCCAACTCTAACTGCATGTCCTGGCTCTTGATATGGTACGACCAGTTAAGCGCCGAGTAGGAATATAGCGGGTATTCGTCGAGGCGTGATTCAAATTCCTCTGGGGAGGGGGTGAATCCACTCTGAAAAGCATCAAAGGCCAGATAGGTAACACAGGAAGCACCGAGCAAATAATGAGCATCTGGAAACAGTGTAGCCCAATTGTTTGTCAGGTACTCCTGAGTGGTGTAGTGGGCCAATCTCACTACATGACTTTGCTCGTCAATTGCCACCAGTCCAGCGCAGACGGAGACGATATCCTGTATTTCGGGGAGATTTTCTTCATCTAGGCAGGGCTCGCCAATCTCGATACCGAGAGCATGTTGTAGCTCAAGGGGGGTCAAAGGCCGCGCTGCACAGACGATCCATGAAAGAGCGTCTTTTGCAGTTTTGCTTTGGTCTGGCATTTGACTCTCAATCCTCTTGATGGCCTCTTCATAAGCGGCATCTAGTCCTGCCGGGAGAGTGTGGAGTTCGTTTATAATTTTCTTGGGAGACATCTTCCCTTGAAGAGAATCGAGATGTAGCCGCGCAAGCAGGAACCTATTCAAGTCAGTCTATCAACAGCATTTCCTGTCCAATAGCGTCCTCACATTCCATCTACCGCCTGTGAAATATGAAGAATAATCTCCTCTTGCAAGTCCACTCTCTGCTGGACAAAATTCGGGAGGATATTCATCTGGCCCCGTAGAAACCTTTCGATGTCCCCAGGATCCGCTCGGATCTTCACACACGGATTCCTGTGAAATTTGACAGCAATGTCCGGATAATCTCTTGAGGTGGCGAGGAATCCCACATTATGACTCTTCTGAAGCCCGAAGATGTTGTCGAGGAGGGTCATTAGAGTTCCACTAGAAAGCCGACACTCGTCAAGTGCATCGACCACGATAAACGTTTTTGAAAGCCTCGAGGCCGCCACGCCGAGCAGTTCGATGAGCTCACCGAGTGACGCTCGCGTTTTGGTTTCCAAGTGATCATCATAAAGGTCTTCAAGGGGTTCTGGAATGACCGGTAGTCGGTGGACTAGCTGTTTGAGAAGACACCCAAGGATCGCTTCCAGGGTCACTCTCTCACGGAAATCACAATAGAAAAAGGACAACCCAATACTCCTATCTGGCCCAAAGCGTCGTTGTAGCTCATCCACTATCGTTGATGCCAGTAGAGTCTTGCCTGCACCTGGAATACCTGGGCAGAAGAGAGTGCGCTGGTCTTTGACAGTGTGCTGGGACTGCTCAATCCATTGTTGAAAGCACTGGGTTTCGAGAAACCATTGACCAGTGCCTTGTTGTCGGCCACGCCGAAGATCAGCTTGTTTGGCTGCGGGATTGATTGGAGAGAGCCAGTCAAATATCTTCTCTATCTTTTCCTGGTCTTGATGACGAACAAGATACTCGACTCTTTGGTTGGTGAAATGTACTAGAGCCCTGGTTTGAAAGGCCGTATGACTGGAGAACTATCAGCGGTGGCCTCATACCGAGGCATGGACGTGTATACCTGTTGATTCCGGTTAACAGCAAATTTAGTGCGTCAGTGCTTGCGTTTATGCGTGAGCGGAAATCGTCGATCTCTCCTTGGTCCCATTTCAATCCCTTCCAGACGCGAATACTAAATCCTTTCAGGCTGTGAGACTTGCGATCACCCGCCAGCTCTTGGTACTTATCGAGCGTTTGGCCGACTTCCTCCAATACACCCAGACAGGTTCGGGAGACGCTATTAAGGCTCTTCAGTTGTGGCATGTCCAGGCTTTCTTCAGGTTCATAATCATCAATGTCTCGGAGAACATTTGAAAGTGTTTTCACACTATTTACGTGTTAACATCCTCTATGCCCATCTCTGGACCTCTCACTCACTCCTCTGTTATAGCCCGGAATTGCACCGGCGCATCTTTAAATCGTTTTCGCACTCGATTTGCCAGGTCCACAAGTGCAATAAAGTCACTAGCACCAAAGTTGAGACTCATTTTGTGGCCTATAATCACAACGATTGAGCCCAAGCCGATGATGGGATCGCGGGATGCTGGCGCGGGGTTCTTCAGCTTATTGATGAGCCTGAGTTGTTACGGGGCGGAAGCCACCACCCTGATAGGCTATGAGTGAATCCAGTTACAGGAGTGTGCAAAACCAGCTTCACCGTTTTACTCTTGATGTCAGGAACCAAGGGCAAATACGCCCGATTTTGAGCGAAAACAGGGGAACCGAGCAGAGTCGTGCGAAGGAAAGCAGCGCAGACTGCACTCGAGTGCTCAGAGAGGGATCGCAAAGGATCGGCTAGTTTGTATTGGAGGCAAATAGGACGGGGGACGGTGAAGTCAGTGGCAAAAATGTCTCATTATTAAAGCGCGCATAGGGGAAGGGTGATGAGAAAGGAGGAAAGGTGAGAGAAGTAATACCTAATGAGAAGTTGAGGCGGCGATTGAGGGGATGAACTGAACCAAAATATACACGCTAAATTGCATCACGTGCATAGCTTCTATCTTTCATCGTCACTCTTGTTACTCCTCACGATTTTCTAGAAAGCGTGGTGTATACCATGCGCCCCCCTCTCGCGGGTCACCCCCGAAAGCATCTCGAGAGGACTATGCTCAATTTCCGGATTTGGTGGGACAACAAGCTCCAGCATCACCTGCTCATACACTGCACTACAGAGCTTCCGCATACAATTCGCTAGTATGTATAGAGGCCGCTGTATTTTTCCTACAACGCATCATAAATTTGAATTGTTGGTTATTGATATGGTGCACTGGTGCTCAACCACATAAGGTGATCTGAGTCAGTACAAGGGCGCACCTCATGGCGCGCCCTCAGAGCGACCCCTAATCATACTACTCCAGTAGGTACCGGTCCTCCCGGTCATACGACACAAGACCGTCGAAACAGCACAAAAGCCACCAACATAAGGATGCTGTTTGCGAGACCTAATGTGTCTATGAAGAGACTCCCACGCAGACTCCATATCCAAGCCCCATTGAGGAGCAATCACTTCCAACCTCTTGGTTCCATTCGTAGAAAGTACTCGGGGATATGTCTGCCCCGTCCGCGATGCTTTGACACGTATCCCCGTCTACTACCACATGCCACTCATCAAACGTATCGATGATTCCTGGTTGTGCAGTTACTGATGCACCTGCGGAGGTCGATGTGGCTGTTTTTACGTATTGCCCGTCTGAAATCATCGTAATTTATGAAACGGGTCGGTTAGCGGTAATCCAGGATCATGCCAACTCTTCGAATGTCAGGGCACCCCTTTTTCCTTCCTCTGTCTTGCTCTCACTTCTTGATGAGACTGAGATCAATACACCAGTCTCAAATGGGTCTATCCAGTCAATCAGTATTATCAGTCATAGTCTGTCGACAAATTACCCGCCGCACAGCTACCTACGCGCTATCCGTGCAACACCCTTTACTCGGAAGAGCGTGGAGAACGGGAATCCATGTGAACTCGCCATCGAATGTGACGGCTAGTTTTCAGCGAGCTCGAGGCGTTCATCTGGTTTCCAATGTGGTAGAGGAGCAAAAATATCGACGGGTGCGGCTGGGAGTCGGGTTGGATCTCGAAAATGCATTTCAAACCTTGTTGTTTTTCATGAAGAATCCAGCTATTGCCGGTCAGCTTCGCCAGCTAGAAGTGTACGGGAGTATAGATGTGCTGTCTGATGGTGATTTCGACTTCAATATCCCACCCAAGGAGCCTCGACAGCTCGGTCTTGATGATCTTGACAGACTGAAAATGACCATCAAGAAAGCTGGGTTTACAGAAGGAAATGAGGCGCAAATTTTGCAGCATATACTGCTGCAAAATCCCGAAGGACGAGATATGTACGTGACTCAACCTTGTCCTTGACCGAACTAGCTTGTAAATGATTGACTAATCGACCTGCTAGACGTGGATCCCACCGTTTAGCCAATACTGCATTTAAGCAAGCCATCGCAGCGCTCTTGATTACTATCTCACCGAACCTGGAGTCCCTTTCAGTCTGTCCTGTTGGAGAATATTGCCGCCACATCAAAGGATATGCTTTACTGTCATTATTCCGTCGTGCAAACACGGCCCGAAGCGCACTTCCTTATCTCCAGAACCTCAAAGAGATCATTTTCCTTCCCGACAACTGCTCAACGGGTAATGATGGCTTCCATTACAATATATGTGAGAATGATCATGATCGATTGAATCTTGTCCGACGACTCCCCGCTTTGGAATCTGTTTCTTTCATGATAGCTTCATGGAACAATGAGGCTGGGAATCCTCCGCCGCCGAAATCGGCGAATTATAGCGATATCAGCTTTACGCACTCGAATATCGTGGAGGCTGATTTGTGTTATATCATTGATTCTTCGAAGGCGTTGCGAAAATTCACATACACTATTGGTGGGCGTGCGTATCCAGAAGGAGGCAAGGCCCTTGTTGACCTTTCAACACTTATAAGATCTCTCTGGAGACACCGCCATACTTTAGAAGAGCTTGATCTTGACGTTGAGGATAATCTCTCATGGGGAGAGATCTATGGAGTGGATGGTGTGAAACCTCATGAGCAGATATACGATGACGAGTACCTGCAGTATGAAGAATTATGGGAAGGTGAGATGGCCGAGCTCGATACGAGTCTCGAAACGGTACCGTCAGATATTTCTCTGATGGATTTCCCTAAATTGAAATACCTGAGTCTAGGTGTTCATACACTTTGCTTTCTAGCGCGGGGTATAGGCCCTAATCGACACGGTGCGGAATCAATCTCTCTTTTGGACAGGTTGCCAGGCTCTTTACAAAGTCTACGACTTTATGGGAAGGGGGAAGAGGGTGATCCACTGCTTGACCGTGGAAAACATCAGCCAGATTTGGATGTTGATGCTCTCTTGGAGACGCTGGTGGCGGAGAAAGACGAGAAACGGCCAGGATTGAAAACGATAGAAGGGCTTGACCCTATCATTCCACGAGCAAAGGAGGTTCCTGACCATGCCTATGCGGATGGCGATCATCCACTTCTTTGGAAGGAGCCCGAGGATTGGCTAGGTTGATAGGTAAAGCACTGAGTATTCTAAGTGATATTCCGATAGTCAACCAATCAATCAAAGCAATTTCGGCGCCGGGCACCAAGGCTTCCATCGCGGTGCATTTGCATGCTTCTAAAATCCCGGAATCCCGGAAACCGTCACCATGTCCGACCCGGCGAGGAACTTTCGTATTATTCAATCCGACTCATCGATGCCTTGCCCAAAAGAATAGGCGCTAGCCGGAAAGCAGGGTCAAGATGGTCGAATTTATGCATGTGTATAGCTTATAAATTATGTTTTGCCTTATGGCTTCTATAGCCGCCGCACTTTGATGTAGACCACTTTCCGATATGATCTGAAGTCACCAGGTTTGCTCTGTTCTTCCCCTCTCTCTTCTCGTGAGGCATTAAATTCCGGCAGCTTGATAATCAGGAGAGGGTTAGGTAGGAAGGGAAAGCTGACAAGGAGGAACTAGCCCTGGTTACCCTTGTCTGAATAGGCGTATTGCTACCTATTTGGCCGATACTCGGTTATTACAAAGCCTAAGTTCGCGCATAAACTAGAAATATATACAAAAACATAAGAGAAGTGGGCATTTAATGAAAAAGCCCGTTATTAGTGGTAAGTTACACTCTACATATTTAGACAACTACTATAATGTCGGCTCGGCGTAAAAGTCCCAGTGCCGTAACGCACCGTGTGTGAAGATGGAGTTGCAACACTAGAAGAAGTACTATGAAATTAAACATATTACCCCTGCAGGAGCTTGTCTTTGTATTGTTGAATGAAACGGCGAGATCAGAAGATGTTTAGTATGAGATTCTCATTCAGCAAGTAGCACATGACATGTCACCTGATGGCGGGGCTATGTTGAAGTGTCAAGACTGCCCCTTGGATGCCCTGTTCCCCGCATGGTTCCTGAACCCCATCGAGTATCTTCTATCATTGTGATCATGGGAGCCACGCTATCATTCGGTGAATCGAATTATGGATCTCAGGTCGCGATCAATCACGGCCAAATCATTAACCAGGTCTATCAACCAAGTGGGTCGCGAGTCGTTAGTCGTTACATAGGATGGACCGTGCTGACTCTTAGTTTTAGATCTCGATGACAAGTTGCGTGTAGTGCATGGGGCAGCTTTTGATTCATATGTGGATCAGCATGAAGATGAATGCTTCCCCGGCACTAGAACCGATATCCTTCGTCAAATTAAAGATTGGGCTTCATCACCGCAGGGAAGATGCATCTTTTGGTTAAATGGAATGGCCGGGACAGGGAAGTCTACTATCTCCCGGACCATAGCTCAAGCATTCAGAATGGAAGGCCAATTGGGCGCTAGTTTCTTCTTCCAAAGAGGCGAAGGTGATCGCGGGAATGCAACGAGGTTCTTCACGACTGTGGCTAACCAGCTTATGGCCCACATACCTGAGTTGCGCCCTTTGATCCAAAAAGTTCTCCAAAATGACCCAAATATTTCCACGAAGTCCCTTAGCGAACAATTCAAGCAGCTTATCCTTCAACCTTTGGGCGAGATAGCTCAAACAGTCCCACAAGTACAGAGGGTGGTCGTCGTGGTCGATGCATTAGATGAGTGCGCACCTGAGCAGGACGTGAGGATGCTTCTCCACTTATTACCTCAGATCAAGAAATCACCTGTTATCCAAATACGAATCTTTGTCACTAGCAGACCAGAGTTGCCGATCCGTCTTGGTTTTCGAAAGATATCACAGGTGGAGTATCAGGACATCATTCTTCACAATATTCCGAGACCCGTGATCGAACATGACATGTCAATATTCATACATCACAAACTCATGACAATACGGGAGGAGCATGATTTGCCTAGCTTATGGCCTGACCAGAAAAGCATCCGAGCTCTGATACAGATGGCAGTCCCGTTGTTTATCTTCGCGACTACTATATGCCGGTTTATCGCAGACCATAACTGGGACCCAGAAGAGCGACTCAACAAGGTGCTGGAATACCAAAATCTGAGCCTAAGTTCCAAGCTAGATGGTACCTACCTCCCTATCTTAGACCAGCTTCTTATCGACGTGGATGGTATGACCGAAAAGCAAGAACTGATTTCAGATTTTCAACGCATTATTGGGGCTATTATTCTCCTCTTCGAACCGCTCTCTCTTGAAGCACTTGCGAAAATGCTTGATATCCCCGAATCAAAAATTTGCGTCCGATTAAAGTCATTGCACTCCGTTCTTCACATACCAGAAAATAAGACCAGTCCTGTGAGAATGTTACATCTATCATTTCGAGATTTTCTAGTTGACTCCAACGCTTGTGATAAGACACCGTTCTATGTGGACGAGAATCAAACACATCAACAATTGACCACAAGATGCCTTGCTGTATGTCGCAGCATGAGGAAAAATATGTGTGCGCTATCGAGTGACGGAATTCGACGAGTGGATATTTGTCCCAAAGCTATCAATCATTATCTCTCTCCAGAACTACAATACGCCTGTCGCTATTGGGCGTACCATCTTATAGAAATTAAGGACGTGGATTCTATGATAGATGAAGCACTTATATTTCTCCAGAAGCACTTTTTGCACTGGGTTGAAGGAATGAGCCTACTAGGTCTTATCTCGGAAGTACTAGGGAGTCTTGATCATCTCCAATCGGCTATACCGGTAAGTGGGGTAGAGTTCCATCAATTATTTATACTAATAAGTTTAGGACCACAAACATTCTGGCATGTCGGCTTTTCTTCAAGATGCAAAGCGCTTTATACGTAAGAATCGTCAGATAGCGGATGAGGCGCCTCTTCAGCTCTATTGTGCAGGACTTATATTTGCCCCTCAAAAATCAATAATACGCAAAGAGTTCGAATCAGAGCTTCCCAACTGGATATACCAAGTTCCTGAGATCAACAAAAACTGGAGTGCAGAATTACAGGCTCTCGAGAGCCAGTCCAACTCGGTCCACTGGGTAGCCAACTCGGTCCACTCGGTAGTAAGCTCTGTCCACTCGGTAGCCCTCTCGCCTGACGGCCGGATACTAGCGTCCAGCTCTGGCGATCAGACAGTGCGGCTCTGGGATACGGCGACAGGCGGCTTGCAACAAACTCTTGAGGGCCATCGAGTCTACCTATCTCAGTAGCCTTCTCACCTGACGGCCTGCTACTCGCGTCTAGCGATGAGATAGTACGGCTCTGGGACACGGCGACGGGAGCCCTGCAGCAGACTCTTGAGGGCCATTCGAACACAGTCGACTTAGTAGCCAACTCGCTCCATTCGGTGACTTTCTCGCCCGATGGCCGGATACTAGCGTCCGGCGCTAACGATAAGACAGTGCGGCTCTGGAACACGGTGACAGGCGGCCTGCAACAGACTCTCGAGGGCCATTCGGGCTCAGTCTACTCGGTGGCCTTCTCGCCCGACGGCCGGCTACTAGCGTCCGGCTCTCGGGATCTGACAGTACGGCTCTGGAATACAGCCACGGGCGGCCTACAACAGACTCTCGAGGGCCATTTCGAGCTAGTCAGCTCGGTGACCTTCTCGCCTAACGGCCGGCTATTAGCGTCCGGCTCTTGGGATCATATAGTACAGCTCTGGGATACAGCGATAGGCGGCCTACAGTATACTCTTAAGGGCCATTCGGGCCCGGTCAGCTCGGTGGCTTTCTCGCCAGACGGCCGGCTGCTAGCTTCGGGCTCTTACGATAGTACAGTACGGCTCTGGGATTCAACAATAAGCGGCCTACAACAGACTCTCGAGGGCCATTCGGACCCAGTCCAATCGGTAGCCTTCTCGCCTAACGGCCAGCTACTAGCGTCCGGCTCTTGGGATTATATAGTACGGCTCTGGGATCCAGCCACGGGCGACCTACAGCAGACTCTCGAGGGCCATTCGGACACAGTCCACTTAGTAGCCTTCTCGCCCGACGGCGGGCTACTTGCGTCTAGTTCTTGGGACCACACAATACGGCTCTGGAATATAGCGACGGGCGGCCTACAACAGACTCTCAAGGGCCATTCGACTATTATCTCGATAGCCTTCTCGCCCGACGGCCGACTACTAGCGTCCAGCTCTGGCGATAAGATATTACGGCTCTGGGACACAGCGACGGGAGCGCTACAACAGACTCTTAAGGGACATTCGAGTATAGTTTTCTCAGTAGCCTTCTCGCCCGACGGTCGGCTACTAGCGTCCGGCTCTAGCGATGAGACAGTGCGGCTCTGGGACACAGCCATAGGCGGCCTGCAACAGACTCTCGAGGGCCATTCGAGTATAGTTTTCTCAGTAGCCTTCTCGCCCGACTGTCGGCTACTAGCGTCCGGCTCTAGCGATAAGACAGTGCGGCTCTGGGACATACCGACGGGTAACCTACAAGCGACTCTAGATACAGAGGGAACTGTCACCAAACTCAAATTTTCCCGAGATGGTTCAAATCTAATCACAAACCTTGGCACCTTTGGTTTTCAGTCCAGGCATATAAAGCATGCTGCTAATGCATTTTTTAAGACTCCGGCGATCTCTATTGAGCAAGGACAGTGGATTAACATGAACGGCAAAAATATATTATGGCTTCATCCTGAGTTTCGGCCTAGCTGTTCCGCGATTCATGGAGATTCAATTGCCCTGGGACACGATTCAGGGCGGATTTCTTTCCTACGATTTCGTCTATAGCACGCGTCAATGATTTCAATTTTCATTTCTCTCCCTATTTTCTAATCTCCCTGTAAAAGAAAGGGTTAGGAGAGAAATAGAATCCACATCACCCTTGGCAGTGGGAGAATCAAGCGAAGAGAGCAAAATGGTGATGCTGGCTTTGCGCTTTAGTACTCGCAGCCCCTCGTTCCACAACCTCCGGGAGAGCGACAAAATTTGTCCGAAGTTAACCCTAAATTTCACATAGTTTCATAAAAGTGCTGAAGTTTTGGGTGATAAAGAAGAAAGAAATGCATCCGGACGGCCTCAAAAGTGGTTCCGAATTGAAAATTTTCGGTCTATTGTCGTAATCAACTCAGCACCAAGAGATGCCAAAAACGAACTAATTACTGACGAGGGAAGTTTCCATCTCTAAGGCCAAAAGTCTAGATAGTTATAGAAGTACCTGCACGTTTAGAAACTGGAAACAGGGGCTCCAAGTAATGGAAAGCGACGGTCTTGATACCACTCCGAGCCTGTTACGAGTCTTCGTGCATCTGGCACTGAGTAAATCACATAGTTCTCAGCGGGGTCTGGTTGCGCGGTGCAACTCCGAGTTGCGGGCCGTCCGCCATCGTGATCTCATTTCCCCGCATCGTAAACCCGCAACATGCCCTACTAATACTAATTCTCTCAACTATCTCGTCATTACTTTTGATAGTCCAAATGGATTCTCAAAGTGTGGATAATATGAGCCCTCGTGTAGCCTTATCCCTTGGCTATCTGGGCAACACGCCCGCGTGGACCTCCATCGCCGACACCCGCATGTGCTATTTTCTCTATGTGCCGCAGAACTACCATGCACTCAAACGCCTCCAACTGATTGTCCTCATCCATTCAAGTTACCGAACAGCCTCTGAGCTACGGACCCATTTTGCCGAATTCGCTGAAAAGTACTCATGTCTTGTCCTTGCACCCCTCTTCCCAGTTCGGCCGGACGATCCCAAAGACTGCAGGGGCTATAAAAAGCTCAAAGATGGAGATATACGATATGACAAGATTGTTCTTTCAATGGCTGAAGAAGTCCAAGCGCGATATAAAAAAGTGGACATTGACCGATTCTTAATGTTTGGCTTCAGTGGCGGTGGTCAGTTCGTGCATCGTTTTGCATACCTGCATCCGCAGCGCTTAAGAGCGATTGCATGCTGCGCTCCAGGCTCACAAACATTACCTGATGAGACACGATCATTCCCAGAGGGAGTGAAGGATCTCCAAGAGGTCTTTGGCATTTCAATCCAGTGGGAGGTGCTGCGAAGGGTCCCGGCAATGTTTATCGTGGGAGGTGACGATACCGATACATTTTATGTGACGGCTCGCGGGAGAACTCTAGACCCTGAGGTTCAGAACGGCCGAGTGGGGGCCACAGTCCGGCTTGAGAAGTACTGGCGGGAGGCGGGTGCTCAATCCCACCTGCTTGTCGTTCCTGGAGTCTCGCACCAGGAAGATCAACTGCTAGGGCATGTGATGTTGTTTTTCCAAAGATGTCTGGAAGACCGTCACGAAGATGCGGAACTCAAATAGTAACTTGTATTCTGTTACCCGAAAAGTATAGACTGGAGAGAGCTTATCCGTAAAGTTCCAAATACATGCCTGCCATCGTCTCTACCCAGCGCAGGAGAGATGCTTCGCTTTATTCAGCTACCAGTGTTAGATATTAGTCTGCCTTGATTTCAAAAGACCCAGCCGCAGGGTTGCTAAGAGCCCAAGTAATGCCACCGCTCATCACCTCATCCCATCTCTTACTGGCAGTCAGTTTGTCGCCGTACCGTCTAAATCCATGTGGCACACCACGGAAGACGGTGACATTGGTTGGTACCCTGGTGGCATCGTTGTCAGCAAAGAGTTTGATCAATCCATCGGGGCCAGACGTACCCATTTTCACTCAGCAGCTTGCCATAGAAAAGACCCTCATCCCGAAGGGGGGTCATTACCGGCGATGCCAAAGGTGGTGGGAGGTAGGTTCTTCACTTCCTCTGCGGTCGCATTACCCGGGTTCATCCGGAGGTTGCGACCAGCGTCGGGAAAGTTATTCACCTTGAGTAGAGACATGAAGAGATTGATGCGGGAGATAGGCAGTATTGGCGCTTCCGCACATGTCACGAGGCTCGAGATCTCTGCGCTGCGCAGCCATTCTTTGCGAGGTGCGTAATAGTCTAAGATGACGAGGCAAGGAATCATGAGGACCTGACCTCGAATCTTGGGGCAGGCCTTGAGCTTCTCGTTATCTCCGTAAAGCTGTGCAAGCGCTAAAGATGCAGTCAGGGTGGCTCCAGCGGAAATTCCGCCCACCACGACCTGGTCGCTCTGTCCACCGATCTCGGCCATGTGTCCATGAAGCCAGACGAAAGCATCCTCAACATCGTTCCAAGCCGTGGGGAATGGGTGTTCCGGAGTATGGCGGTAGTTCACATTGAATACGACCACTGGCGTGCCATTATTCACACGCGAAACAAGAATACGGGAGCAAATCGCGTCTTCAGAAGAGAGGGTACCAAAGAGAAAGCCTCCGCCGTGGAGATGAATATACACTGGGAGCCTTTGGGAGGCAGGAATGCCGGCCAGACGATATGTTCGCGCTTCGATTGTGGCTCCGTCGCGAGTCGTAATTGTATAGTCTTGGATTTCAACCTGAGAAGCTGTTCCGAGAAAGGAGTCAGTCTGTGCCATCGAGAGTTGAAGTGTTTTGTTACCAGCGAACTGGACTACCCTGGCACTCAGATATTGAGTTCAGGACCTGCAGAGGCATACCTAAGTTGATCATGCCTTGAGCAGCAAGTTCCTCGCGACCTTTGTTGATCATCTGCCTCAGTTCCAGGAGTGGCAGACTGGGCATGGGAGGCAGCGTGGGCTCCAGGGCGAGCCAGTCTTCACTGGGACCCGTATACTCAGAGAAGTCGGCCATCACGGTGTGAATACAGAAAATGGTCTAGAAGGTTTATCTTGGGTGGTCGCGGTGGTTGTGATGCGAGGGGGTAGGAGAGGGTGGCGCACGAACCGTCTCCACTCCCCCGCCTCGGCTCGGCTATCAACAGATTGATACCCCGCATAGTCAGTCTACCGGGGTAAATCAGTGTTCGAGGTTTATATTCAGGATAATTTTTAGCAGGCATATAATTAACTTCTAGTCTGGTTGAAACCTAATCGTGAACCATGGATTCCAGCGTGCCTCCCGAACCACCCTCACGGTCGCTGCAGGGCAAAGTAGCTATTGTGACAGGTGCAGGCTGTCTAGATGATGGTATAGGCAACGGACGCGCTATCTCAATTCTCCTAGCCGATGATGGCTGCGACGTGCTATGCGTTGATCTCAATTTAGACTGGGCGAACAAAACCGCCGAGATGATTACATCCAAACCCAACCGAGGGCGGGCCGTTCCATTCCGTGCGGACGTAACCTCGGAAAAGGACTGCGAATCTGTTGTCCAGGCGGCGGTTGAACAATTTGGTCGGCTGGATATCCTCATCAACAACGTGGGCACCGGAGGTGCGCCGGGCACGGCTGTCGACGTCGATATGGCGCAATGGGCCAAGAGCATGGAGATTAATGTCGCGAGCATGGTGCAAATGAGCAAGTATGCAATTCCCATGATGACCCGAAATGAGGGGGAAATAAAGGGGAGTATCGTCAATATGGGCAGTGTCGCTGGCCTGAAGGGCGGCACTCCGCATCTGCTATATCCCACATCTAAAGGTGCAGTTGTGAACCTAACGCGGGCCATGGCCGCGCATCATGCTGCGGAGGGGATTCGAGTCAATTGCGTCTGCCCAGGGGTAAGTAAAAATCTCATAATCATGTCTGAGCTGTTCCTGATTCCCTATTCGATAGATGCTTTATACTCCGATGATGTACGGGAAGGGGATGAGCGAGGAGGCCAGAGAGGCTCGTCGGAAGCGCAGTCTGTTGGGCACCGAGGGCAATGGATGGGACTGTGCCGGTGCCGTCGTGTTTCTTGCTGGCCCGCATGCCCGGTGGATAACTGGGGTCATTCTGCCTGTTGATGCAGGGACAACAGCGGCTGTAGGAATTGGAATGACCAAGAGTGCTAGCGTCAACGCTTAGCTTGAAGATCATATGTACCTCAATATTCTACAAGGCAAAAAATTCTGCATGTGAGAGCCATTTTGTATTTGACAAAGCACAAGAAGCAATACAAATCCGAATCAGCTGAAGCATTCTCTCGAGAGGCGGTCTTGCCACAAAAATAATATGGACTTCCGTGTTACTGGTCGATCATGTCTTCAGAGCCTGCCGTATGAGTAATTTGGAAAACAACGAGCCCCCGGTTCCATAGGTGTTGACGAAGAAAAAAAGCAAAAGAAAAAGAGGAAATCCCTATGCTTTTTCTCCCAGAGGATGCATAGAGGTGGACCGGTGCATCATTTTTGGCAACGTGCGTGGTGTGATAGCGTGATCGGCGACGTGTTTACTAAATCGAGATTCAATAGTCAGGTCGCGAGAAAAATTGGTTTGCTGTGCCGCGGGAAACCCTGTCTCATATTCCGCTCATCCTTCCACATGCTTGCCCACATGCTTGTCCACATGGGGTAGGTGGGGGCCTGCAGCAAGGCCTTACTGGCTTTTTTTATCGGCGATAGCCGTGCGCCTCAGCTGAATAGTTGGCGGTCGGGTCAGATCATCACAACTTTGGTGGAACGCACCCAGAACGCATCGGCCTAATATAATGTGATAACTCAGATAGCGGGCAATTGATAACTATCGACGAGCCCGAAACATTATGTGAGCACCAATGATGAAATGCTGTCTCTAGGCTAATAACAAGCCTTGTTCTGTGGCTCCTCATTGCGTCAGTGTTTCAGGTAGGGCCCATGGGCCAGGAAGGAAATATGGAGATTGGGTGGAAACAATGAGTTGGCAGAAGAGTGGGCTGAACGGGGCGGAAGCTGATCATGATATGGGCGGGGCGATAGGTCTCTAACGGATCTTATTTGTGGATCTAATTCAGACAATTCTGCTCACAAAAAACCCTTGTCCAGTCCGTGGTTCCAGACCGTGCCTATCATGCGCAATTTTGAGACTATCCGTAGTAGCGTGGTACACAATAAGCTTTCCCAGTTCCAGATTTACACCAGTAAGTTGCCAGTTAGTTGCCCCGGGTACCTGGCCCGATGGTCAGGGGCAGTTTTCTTTGTGGATTTTGAATCGAAAGATCCCCGCGACCGCGATCTTTTGATGTTGATTGCGGGCTTATTCCTTACGCACCATTAATTGCTGGCACAAAATGCGCCCTGGTCTGACCACTGCGCGGGCCATTGCCAGTCTCGCTCTCGCTCTTCCGCTCTCGCACGCCTTATCGCCGCGGACGGAGATATCTGACTCGTACGACTTTGTTATTATCGGCGGAGGCCAAGCTGGTCTCGTGGTCGGTGGTCGCCTTTCAGAAGATTCGAATCATACCGTGCTTGTCCTCGAGTCAGGCGGCAATGGGGATGACTATCGAGAACGGATAGGTGCGCACAGAATCTGTTTGCTTCACTTGCAGAGCGTGCTGTGAGTCTAACAACTCGGAAGATACCCCGGCATACGCCTACTTTGATTCCCTCTGGACGACCCCTTTGAACTGGGAATTCTATACGGTCCCCCAGCCCAATGCGAATGATCGCGAGATCTACTGGCCTCGCGGCAAGGTTCTTGGAGGTTCGTCATTGCGCCCGTACATGGGAAATGGGATTTAACTGGGAGAAATGCAGGCAGTTCCGCCATCAACGGGCTGTATCTGACCCGCCCGGGCGAAATCGAAATCAATGCGTGGAAAGACATGCTGGGGAACATGGACGGTGCCGACAATTGGGGTTGGGATTCATTCTACGCGGCGATGAAGAAAAGCGAGACATTCACTGCCCCATCTGACAGCATTGCCCAAGAAGCAAATATTACGTGGGACTCATCCGACCACGGCACGGAGGGCCCGATCCACGCATCGTATCCTACCTTGTATGCTCAGTCCTCCTTTTCGATAGCTATGGGAAGCTAATATTGATCCAGCACGTTCGCTCAAGTTGGCCAATGGGTATCATCTTTGGTGAACATGGGTATTGCCGCTTCCCAGGACATGTATGGTGGTCAGCCCTGGGGTGCTGAGGTTTCAACCTCAACCATCAACCCTACGAACGGGACGCGGTCCTACAGTCGCACCGGATATCTTGACTCACTTGCAGACCGGGGTAACTACGATGTGCTGGCCAACGCCCATGTCACCCGCATTCTTTTCGACAGCTCGTCCGCGGCTGGTAACCTCACAGCAAATGCTGTTGAGTACACAATAGATAACGGAACGACGACACTGACAGTCAAAGTCAAGAAGGAGGTCGTTCTTGCAGCTGGCACAGTCGGTAGCCCGACTGTCCTGCTTCATAGTGGGATTGGCCCTAAGGACGTCCTATCTGACGCTGGTGTTGATCTTGTTTCTGAACTTCCTGGTGTTGGCCAACATCTGCAAGACCACCTAGTGAGCTCTCCCTATGACCATGAAGTGAACTTCCTCAAGCTAACCTAGATAGAGTGCTACTGTAAAATGGACTACCAATGTCGAGACCGCAGGTTCAATATTTTACGATGACGGCAGCGAAAAGGTTCGTCTTTTGATTGCAACTGAAGCATGTTCGATTTTCTCACTACTATAGAATAATCCGCTCTTTCTCACATATATCGACTCTGCTGTTGCCTACGTGAACGCCACCGGTATGTATGGCAGTCAGGTCGAGGAATTCGAGGCCAGCATTCTGGCTCAAATTGATCAGTACAAACCGAACACGACTTACGACGACGGCGTGATCAACGGATACAAGGCAATCTACAACACGACAGCATCAACAATATTCAACAGCCCGATTGGTCAGATCGAGCTCCTCCTTATGAATAGCGACGCAAACGGCGATTTCGGTATCACGGCAGCTCTCCAGCATCCTTACAGCCATGGTCGTATCTACATCAACTCCTCGAACCCAATGGACTATCCGGTCATTGACCCGAATTATCTTTATAACCCAGTTGGTATGATACGAGGTTACGTTCGTTTTCGGCTCTCCCATGCTGATATACTTTACAGATCATGCAATTCTGCGAGAAGGGCTGAAACTTGCACGTCAATTGGGTGAAACTGCCCCTATCAGCAGCACCCTCACAAACGAAACATCACCAGGCACTTCCGTCCAAACGGATGACGAATGGCTGGACTGGATAATGGAGTCCGCTGGTACCGAATTCCATCCCTCGTCGTCCTGCGCAATGCTCCCCCGCGATCAAGGTGGCGTAGTTGACGCAAATCTTCGCGTATACGGCCTTGCGAATGTTCGAGTCGCGGACGCTAGTATTCCTCCAATTGCCTTGTCCACGCATTTGATGGCTTCAACGTATGGTATTGCCGAGCAAGCGAGCAACATAATTCGCAAATACTATGATGCAGTGAGCTCGACGACACAGCCTTCCTTCACCTCTACAACCTCCACGACCTCCACGACCTCCAACACTTCAAAAAGCACCACTGGCTCTGGGAGTCAGAAAAATAGCAGCCCCAAAGGTACCGGATACTCTATCATGTCGCTCACCTGGATACCCTTGCTTATTGCTGCTGCTCATGTGTTCGGCGGTATGAATTGACGTTCTGCACTCGGGATGGGGGTTTTGGGCGCATCATGAAAGCCATCTAGGCTAGACCGCTGGCCGTTGACAAATCTTATGTACGACGTTACGCAGCGATACACTCACCAGATACCATAATTGAATATGAATTGCAAAGAGACTATAATCAGTATAAACAAACGGATAACACCAGGTTATAATGGGCGTCTATGCTATTTTCTATATTTTTTTTATTCTCTCATGGCAACGTTTCCGTTGCTGGCCGCTGCGCCCCGGCATCTTGGGCTGATGTAAGAGGCTTCTGTTTGTGAACCAGGCATTTGCTTACACCGGTCATCTTGTGCATGGGCTCACAGATTGGGTTATACACTCAATGGGTTCGACTTGATCAGGCTAGCCCAATCGATGCCAAGGGGGACTGGGCGTCGCCAAGACTCCCGCGGTCTACTCGCTTTCGCTCTCCACCTTTCCAATTGTTGAATTCCTTCTTTGTCATTTCCCCCCAATCCTCCATAATACCTTCGAGATGGCTTCTATCCTCTCACTTCCCATCGATTGCATTCTTCTTATCTTGCAAAGCTGCGATAAATTGTCTCAAGCGATCGCTCTGTCTTCAACATGCAAGCTCCTCCACACCGTCTACTCCTCGAATTCGTACGGTGTACTTCGTCATGTGGGACCACGCGATATATTTGCCTTCAATGAGGCCTTGATGACAGTAGGCAATATCCCCAAAGGTTCTTCAGTCGATGATTCACCCTTCTGATAATAGATTCGCGCAACGAGAATCGTGGTAGAGCATTTCGACAGAGGACAATTCCCACCACAGCCTTTCCCACTTGATTCACTGAGTGCCCCCGCAATTTCCTCAGATGATATCCGGCAGGTCTTGGATTGGGAAATCCTTATGAGATGTATCGAAGATATCTACTTGAACAATGTTGAATGGGCTGGAGAGATGTATACCGACCTGGGAATACCCGATCCCGGACAGCTTCCTCCGGAATGGCTCATTTGGAAAGAGAATTTTCGTCGCTCCATATATCATTTCTTTCTCATGGGCGCGGTCTTATGCCGATCACACCAGGAGCCTCTTTCAGAGTCCCCCAAGCACCTTTTCCAGGACAGAGACAAACGACTTGAAAAACCAGATGAACCATTACTGAAGAGTGAAGAGATGGCGCATTTACTGAAATATCCGGTCTTCAACTTTGAGGACTACACTCGCCATGAGTCCATTTACAAGGACCTAGCGGAGTTCTTCGGGAAGCAAACAGAGCACCGCCCACCATCCCTTGACGACCCAGAGCTACTGGATGCGTACCCAGAAGATGCCGTCTCTCCTCAACTAGACAGGTATCACGCCGAAACTCTTCATGTGGAGATGATCCAATGCCTTCTATCAAGTATGACTTTACTGAACCACACCGAACAATCAAAAATATTCGAAGAACAGACCGGGACTGTCGAAGAGCCCTTGAAGAAAATCACCGTTGTGTGTCTAGGGTCATTCTACCCCGAAACCATCACCTTGCCACGCAATCCGAAGAATGCACACAAAACACTTCTTTTGAAACAAGCCATACCCCGATCCAAGGATTCCGTGTGGCGCTCATGCTCTCCGTTGATGAATCGCATTCTCGAGATCATGCATTCGTTCTCTGGTCAGCCAAATCATTACGACGAGCAATATCCCACCCCACCTCCTCCCCTGCAGATCTTCCAGTACATCTTACGCAAGTACCTCGGACTTCGATTTTCAGAGGATGCATTTGAGCGAGAGGATCTTGATGCACCACATCACCTCTTCGTGCATCATCTAGAGATGGGACAACTTTTTTTGGATGGGTGGCCTCAAGTGGTCCCAACACTATTTGATTTGGACGACGGTACCGAATATGAAGCGTATTATGCCTAAACAGAACGGGTGGATTATGGCCCTGCGAGAAAAACTTCGGCTCGAGAATAGACCGAGACTATCGGAACACCTCGGACCTTGATTTGCCAAGAAGCCATGATTTGCCGGAGAGGAGCATGGGAAGGGGTTTTGATAAACGCCTCATTGCGGATGTAACGGCAATGGGGGGGGGTTCAAGGGTACCTCGCTTTGGTGCAAGGGACAAAACCCATGCGGAGAAGTGAAGAGTTTCAGAATCCATCGAAGTTACCAAAACTACCGCACTAACATCTCCGAAGCGCCTGCTCGTGTCAGCATTGTCTTTGCTAATTAATCGAGCAAAAGAGGGGTTTTCCTTGGCACTTGACCACCAACTACTGCATTGCAAGACTACTACGGATGCCTCCACGAGAAAAGACAACTGCACCTGCAGGGAAACCTTCACGGGGTTCGCCTGTGTGCGGAAATCAGCCATGCCAAGGCCAAACCCAATTTATTAGTAGCTTGACGCTATGGTTTCTAGGAGGATGCAAGCTATCTTGTGCCTGTACGAAAATACTTGTGCACGGAATCAGACTTTGGCTATAATAAGGTGCAGCTTGTTTTTTGATTCGCCTAGGTGTACGTTGGCCACGGTGAAGAGCTTTGGCGAGTAGGAAAGAACCAGCCCGATCTGGCATCCTACTTTGGCTTTTCTTTACAATTTTTGAAATTTTTGAAAACTCATGCCTTCTCTTCTGCTCTCACTGTGCACATTGCATTAGAGTAGAAAGTGCCATCAAATCGACTCTCGAAATGTGGTGGACCTCCTTTAACTCTGCGTCTGCCTTAGCGTTGGCCACATTGTTGGCTTCAAGAGTTGGGCTTTCGTGAAACGACACTTTGCACCCGCTAAATATGATAATGAGTCCATAGGTACATGAGTAGACTTAGTCCAATTGAGAAGGGGTTTCAGCTTATTTCGTAGTGGATGTGGAATTTTGATATATCTTTTCCGGCTATATTCGTCGATCGAACACGATGGACCCTCAGCTTACCTGAAAGACTTGTTTTAATGGAGTCCCTAGAATCCATAATCAACATTTGGAGACGAGTGCAAGAGAATTTCAAGCTCCTGGGAGTAAGTAAAAAGGCAAATTCTGTTTGCATGTGCATGTTGCTGGCTGCTTCTGGAAAGTTTGCTGAGCGTCCAGCAATAAGATAATTACTTTGTGTGTGATGTTATATTTTGTGACGAGACTTTTGTCACCCGCAGCATCTCTCGCCGTAAAAACGATTTTGCGTCCTCATAGCCTAAGGTTTTGACTTTAATGATTCGTGTTCAACATTAGACACTGCAGATAGTTGACACCAAATGCCCTGGCTGTCGAAATTCGGCACGTATCATGCAAAGGCAAAATAGACGAAATATTCCCCGGAGTCTGCAGTCTCCAGCGGGAGTCCGATAGGCCAGCAAGGCGAGATTCTTCATGTATTTGCTCCTAGGAGGTAGTAACGTTGTATGGAATTTCGCAGGTGTGAATTATGCGTACGTTTTTGATGGGCAATTTGAGACAATCTAGAAGTGAGGGGACTCTCGCTAGGATAGATAGCGTGTCGCATCTTATTGAGGTGCCTTAGACTGCCGGCTCCCTTCGTAAGCATCACTCAGAGACGTGCGCAGATCTACTCAAATCGCAAAAAGCGGTGCTCAGTGACCACCAGAACGGAAAGGGAAAGCCAAGACGTGGCGTAGAATCAACTAGGTAGGCACGTTCCCGCGGTTATGCGCACTCCATCTGACCCATCCTACCAGTGATGCTGTCCCCTTACCCCGAGCCCACCAAAGTCATCGGCCCCGTTCCTGCACCGGACCATCTGTGTATCCAAGTCACAGCTCCTGTCCTAGGGATGATCCGCTCCGGTTGAGAGGTTAGGAGGATCAAGTTAGCCAAGTGGACCAAGGAACAGACTGCAGAATGCAGCTCGACAATATGAAAGAAGAAGTGGACCCAGTGGGCGAGGGCTGGGTCCACGCTGGGTCGACTTGGCTAACTTGATCCTCCTAACCTCTCAACCAGAACATAGCCCATTCGTTCCACGCCTTTTTCCGCTGGTGGTGGTTCGGCGGGTATGGAATTTGGCGTTGAAGCAGGTACTGACCACAGATGCTGGACTGAGACCATTTCATTTCGAAAATACCACCTGGTGAGGAATGGGTGACGGCAAGGAGACGGGCACGGGCTTGAACACCAACCATGAAGGACACTGTTTGCTTCAGGGAGACTGATGCAGTGATATCATCTTCGGAGGAGATTGATGGCATAAACACAAATGCATCGCGGCCCGGGTTACCCAAAAGAAGCGGAGTGAACACAGCGATCAGGATAAGCGAGAGCCAGGACTCCGGGGCTGGGTGCAAGGAGGAGTTGGCGGTGAATTCCCAGGCATACCACACGATTTCGATTTCAGTGGGAGTGAAGAAAGAGGCTCGGCCTTTGAATCGAGCTTGGATAGCTTCGAGGACGCCCTGGGTCTCATGGTCAAAGCGGCACTTCCGAAGCTTGTCGTATACGCGGGCTTCCTGCTCTTCTCGGAGGCGACGTATCTCGTCACAATCCACGGGCTGTTCGTCGATTTCCAGTAACAGCAAGGTGGTGGCCAACGGACTACACTGCTCACAGTCACAATGGGCAAAGTGACCGGCCAACATTTTGGAGACTTGTGTTCAGCAAAAGTTCGTGAAATCCGATCGTGCTGCTTTTGATTGCAGAATGATAAGTCAAAATGGAAGGTACGAGGAAAGGAGAGACAGAGGCAAGGGTTCGTCTAACTCACCGGTCATTCTCGAGACGACGGTATGTTGAGAATGGAGGTTGAGGAAGGTGGGCAAGGTTAAAATCCAGGTGAACTAGACCATGTCAGCTTGATATTTGCACTCGTGAAGATAGGTGATGGAGGTAGGGGTGAGGTGATACTGAGAATGGGCGTAAAGGATGGGACATACAAGAACTAGAATACTGATCACAGAAACCAGGCTGTTGGAAGTGGCGAGAGAGTAGTGGGTGAAGGGAAGAGAGAAGGAGAGAGGGAGAGGAGAGGTCTCTCAATGATATGCCAGTTTCTGAAGCCTCACAGGAGCCAACCACAAAAATCTAGATACTATCAGCGAACTTAGAGAGTATCATAAGATGGAATCACAGTTCAGTTAAGCTCACTTTCCTTTGACAGCACATGCAGCTCATCCCGATGATCACAACATAATGACAATGAACTCCCTAGAGAATTAAATTCGCTTCACAGTCAATTATGCGACTGAGAGCTGTCTATCCATGACCAGCCCATCTCTCTACTGTTTTCCGGCCGGCTCTGTAAATCCGGTATTACTCGATCAGGCTGATGATACTGGTTGGATCCGGGGAAAAGATGCTGGCGAACCAGCAGAAAGACCACTAGGAGAGGACATCTTTGATATTGACAAGCATTTGCTTTGGGCCTAGGCTGACTTGCACAGACTTGGTCATTTTTTGCATGAAGCCAAGCCAGTGTTTGAGGAGGCATAATGCCGTCCTCTGCCTTGTTTACCAACTGGATCAATAAGTTCATATGTGCAGCTGTTGCTCTGATGCATCGATCGTGATTATAGATAGGACCCAGCGTCCGATTGATGAAGCTGTGGAACCGCTGCGCATCATGCATGCGAGTCGTGAAAGGTTCATTGCTTGATTCAGCCCGGGAGGCTGGCGGTGTTGTTCTTCAGGATAATCAGTAGGCTCTAGCGTGCGATCTTCAAACCTATTTTTGGAAGCGTAATTCTCTCAGGCGTCTGAGGTACTTTACTGTAGCGCTTGCTCAATGTGGCACCGCGTCGTGCCCATAGGGCCAGTCATTTTCCCTAGTTTATGTTAAAAGAATCAGCTCTAGCATGGAGCAGTCAAAGCTCTGAGCAATGACAAGTCCGATCTCGGGGTACCTAACTTGAAACGTGCGTTAGAGTATTAAATCTAAAAGTGAGTTTCTATGAGCGTAGTTGATTGCCATGCTGATGACTCCTGCTACGTTCATCACTGCTATCACGACCGTAGTTATCTCCTACTATCTTCAGTGTCGATATTGCCACTGAATTTGGATTAAAAAAAGTCCATAAAACCATCATCTTTGGAGAATACAGAGGATTTGGCTAGCCCCCGCCGGATTTCTTCCAGGGTTTTGTGGTATCGTGCGCTTTGATCCTCCAATGATTTGAAAGGACTTGCCGTGAAGAAAAGTAAAGTTTCATGATTCCAAGCGAAGGGAGCAACTGCTTGTGCTGTGGATAAGAGCTCGCAGGCAAGTAAGAATGCCTTTAGAAACATGATCACTTTCTCTTCTGGCTGGTTGGGTTGCTTTTCATTGATTGAAGCCTTGGGGCAATTCCTGTATACATCCAAGCTGTTTTATATAGCTAGGGCCCTTTGCTAAGATTTAGCTGGCTGAGACACTTTTATGCCTCGCAATATTCTCCTCTGTGGTTGGTTCAGCCTCGCCCAGCGTAATGCAATTGTCTATTCAATTCGATGCGAGAGCATCCAGTATGCACGCAAACCCAAGGATCTTAAAGAATGGGATACATGCCAGATCCGATGCCGTAGCCATTCCCGAAACCATGTCAAGTACTCCACAAACACGAAGAAAACAAGAAAGAGAAAGAGAAAGGGAATTACCGCCATGCAGGTTCGTATCTTCAAGTAATCCCTCATGCCAGCCTCGTTACTTCTTGTCGCCGTTCGAAGTATTCTCATCTTCAAGGTCAACCATCTCCCGTAGTATGTCCTTCAAGCCACGCACGCCCTCGTCCACAATGGTTTCCGGGATACGCACGTCCACCTCTTCGATATACTTCACCGGGTCATAAGGGGTATTCTCTGAGTGGCTAGCACCGGCAGCATTGCCCTTTTTGGTCCCGTTGGACTTTGATGCTTTTGTCCCATTTGGCGTCGCGTCGCCATTCTTTTCTGAATTTTTTGATCCCAAAGCAGGATGAGCCCTGCCTTCAGCGGAAGCAACGACCGCCTCCATCATATCATCGAAGGTCTCACAGCGACCCGCGCGAAGGAGCTCAGTAGCAAGGTTGGTAATCCTTTCCGTCCATCCCACGCGGTGAAGTGAGCTGAGTAGATTTTCTTGTAGGTCCTCCAGAGCGGATGTAGCAGATAGTTTTGTAAGGAGGTCGGATTCAAGGGCATCGGGGGTAGCCGAGGCGCCGCCGGCGGGGGTAGAGGCTGGCATGGTGGAGAGAGAGAGAGGCTCAGCCGGTTTTCAGGCGGCTGCTAAGCCTGTAGAGGGGGATAAATCTGTCGCAGGAATCGAAGGGAACCAATTTTCCCGTAATCCCTGGGGTATAAACCTTGGAAGAGAGACTTTGTCTGCTTGTTCTGCGGAGCTCGAGGTCGCAGGTTGCGATCCGTCGCACGCGCTAGTAGCTGGCGGGGGAAGGCTTTGCGACACGATTCAACAGCCGGGGAAAAGGGGTCCTGCCCCTGGTATAAACAGTTTTGGTCTCGAAGAAACGGATTAGGATTAACAGGCGGTACCGGAGAGAAAGGTGGTTGCAGCGCGCGAAAAAGTGGATATTGGAGAATGACGATGGTTCCGCGGTCCGGCCTGTCATTGCGGCGATCGCGGTTAGCGCTGAAGCGAGCAGGCCCATGCGACGCGAGATATAAGGGAAATGATGCCACTGGCACAAAACTGGAAGCCCATACTGACCTGATTGGCGCGGCGCACTAGGAAGCGCTGAGTTGAGCCGCGTTGACCCAGCGCAACCCGGGTGGCTTGTTGCGGAGGTCGGGTTGTAGTTGCTCGGACTCGAGGACAGAGAAGGAGAGAACAGGGTCGGCCAAGAGAACAGACACCGGGTTAGAGAAATGCGCCCATCGCACACGCAGAGAATAATCAGCATGCACTGAAGAAGAGCTCTTGCGATTGTCAATTGGCGATATGCGAAGAGGAAGATTCAATCCCTCTCCGATCGGAGGACGATGCAAGGCCAATCGGCATTGAGCACAGGCGATGCGGGCGGTGAATCCAGTCAGTTTGGGGGCGTACATTCACGCAATAGGCAAATACGCCGGACTTTCCGATTATTCAGTTATACGGGAATAGATTGAGTCTTCGCCTGCTAGATTGTATCTCTGTGATTGCCTATTCCAAGCGTCCAATTCACTATCGCAAGTGGCCGGAGGATAGAGTTCATTTTCTTTGCCTAACTATAGGATAGGCACTTGGACGGGCAGCGGCGAAATATGTAGGTGAGTGCTACGAGAGAAGCGTGGTATAATTGTTAACATTCATCCCATCTAGATTTGACTATCTTCCATCTCAAGTCAGACACTTCCGTCTCATTTAGACAACCCTTTCAGATATTTTGGTCTGATTAGGCCTCTTTTCCCCATCTTAATCATTCATTATTCTAGCGTTCTTGCTTAACCTGGATCCGCTCGATTGCAGGACCGGACCTTTCGTATTAATTGAGCACATCCTAAGATCTTGCCTTTATGTGCTTTCTGGCGTAAGCCCCAGACCAAGGTGGTTCTGGAACAGTCTGATCTTGGGGGTTGTGCTACGGGTGGGGACCTCAAAGTTGCCAGCACGTTCTGCACTCTATTTTGCTGATCTTCCGCGAAATCTAAGACATCTGGGGGCAAGCGCAGGGCTTGAGGTAAGCAAACTGTGCTGCCATGTCCCTGCCTGAGAATAATACTCAGTCTAGTTTCGCTAATGGTAGAACTTGGGCTGGGTGATGAGGTTATACTGATTGAGCTCGTTGATCAGTCGGGAAAGGGTTCAAGCGCATCCGAGTCCAGACCTAGTCACGTGCGCGCCATCGATTCGTCCCATTTGCGACGCCGTCTTCGTCGTCAACTTGGACTCAGCTGGCTAATTCCATCGCTGTCGCTTGCTAGCGTCTGAACTCAAGAGCCAGTGTATCTGTTACCCCGATCTACCTTCGCCCAGCCTCCCTGGCGCCGAAAGAACCACTTCCCGTTCCTGGACGAGCTTCCCCGCTCTGCTTCCGCGTTTACCTTCGGCTTCACCCACACCGGCGCCTATCGTCATAAGGGGCTGAGCGACAAGACACACACACACACACACCACCACCTGCAAACATCATTTCGGGCCCTTCAACACTATCTCCTTTGATCCATGCTCTCCTGGCAACGCTCGGGACTTTCTTTCGGTGTTCCTAGCGGCGCGCTCCCATGAGCCAGACCACTCGCCGCATCGCGCCAAAGAATCCTTTTCTCCCGTCAGACTCGCTTGCCAACCCTTCGCTCCGCTTTGGCGGTGGTGCAGGTGCACATTCATCCCACCCAGACTATCGTGCATCTTGAATCGTGAGATTACTCGGCATCATGTCCCTCCAGACCTCTCTTTACCACGCCGATTCCGACGCGGATGACGAGTACGAGCGCAGCGTGATCACCTCCCCGCACCTTCAAACAGACTCCGAGGCTTCTCCTACCGATTCCGACATTCTCTCAACTGAACATACTCCGACGAAGTTCGGAAATGACGGCTCGCGCACCCCGCGAACAATGATCTCAGAATGGACAGCAGACGAATGTGTGGACTTCTTGACGTCACTGGGGCTACTGCAGTACTGCGGCACTTTCCGAGGTGGGTTTAATATATGTAATTACCGACGCGAAAGCTGCTGACAGTATATTCTTTAGAGAATGGAATTGTGGGCGAAGCACTCGTCGCGCTGAAGCACGATGAACTCAAGGAGATGGGAATCAATAGCGTGGGCCATCGGTTGACGATCTTGAAAAGTGTCTATGAGATCAAGACTCGGCAGCATGTGCCCCTTGATGTTGACCACTACATTCCACTCTGTATGTCTTTCTTACCTTCGGCCATCCACCTTAGGCTCTGGCTAACCTTCCATTATAGCTGCGGATCAGAGCATGAACGAGAATGCTACACAGGATGATATCGCCCGCTTGATCCAGTCAATCCAACGCCGTGACGAAAAGATCATGTCGGTTGAGGCAGAAATGCATCGCCTCGCGGAGGATTATAGACGTTTAAGAGAAGAAATACTGCCGGCCATCAAAATCGCCAAGGATCGATCCCAGCCACTACCTCCCCCGTCTTCGCTGGGGCCATCTTCAGACACATATCATGACAGCACAACACTCATATCACCCTCACAACTCACTCTTGTCGACAATTCTACCAGTGCGAAATTGCACCGAGCTTTCTCGAAGCGCACCTATACCGGAGGCACCACGCCAAAGAATAGCTCTCCCACGCACATCCCACCTTCTGTGTATGAAGGACGGAATTACCATGAGAACCAAAATCTCGACCCATCCGCGGCGGCTGTGGCTGCTTCGTCTCACCTGACCGCCTCGATGAATGGAGGCCTTCAACATTCCCCGGGCGTCCCGTCACCGACCTCTCCCAACACACATACGTCCCAACACCAAACGCTGAATCCGCGATCCTATTCTCAGCCTAGCTCTGCTGGTCGTAGCATACATGACCACGCAGAGGATATACCACCTCGGGCTTCATCGCGAACCGACCGGCTTACCCCAAGCCAGCAACCTTCCCGCACAGACACACCTTCCGGGGCACGGGTTGAATCACAGGCACCACCTGGTCAACCATCCAGCGTGGAAATATTCAAGTCTTTCCGTGTTTCCTGGGATGATCCATGCTACAAAGTGCTACCCGCTGCGCTGAAGAAGTACAATATCCACTCTGATCCCAAACTCTACGCACTGTATATCGTGTACGGAGACCAGGAACGATGCTTGGCGTTGGATGAGAAACCTCTTATCCTCTTCAAGCAGCTTGAAAAGGAAGGGCGGAAACCGATGTTCATGCTCCGGAAGATCCACCCGGATAATCCAACGTACCCAATCCCAGGGTCGGCCCCCAGCAGCGCAGGATTTGAAGGTGGGCGGCAGGCGCAGATAAATTTACCAGGAGGTGTTCTGTGATTTGCTCTCCTCTCTCATAAGCATGCATTTGCTTCTGTGCCTTGAAGATACCCGGTGACTTGTGGCAATGCCTTGTATGTGTCTTTCTGTTGGTTGCATCTGGTTTCACTGGTTTTAGTGGGACTTACTTATTCTTGAGTCGACGGCTCTCTTGGTGTTATGAGTCCCTACGGATGGTTGGCATTCTACCATAAACCTTTTGTGGGTGATTCAGGCGTTTGGCTCTACTGTGCACATTATCTGTTGCGTCAGATTGGTCGTCTTCACTATCCCGCATCTTGCATAAGCCTTGCTCTTCTGTTCCTAGATATTCTTGCCCCCGGGCCTCAAGACTTGAATATAAATGGCGCATCACCTGTGACGTATACATGTCATCCATCTGCTTCTACCAATTTTAAACCCTGTAGATGCTTTTACTGCTTTGTTCCAGCTCAAGTCTATACCCGGTCACTCATTATCACCACGTGACAGCGTGTCTATCCGGCACGCGTCGATAAGCCCGGCCATTTCCCCTCGCGCATTCGCGACATCGCACTAAATGGGCTGGGATCAAGTCATCCAGGACTCCGACGAGGACGAGCCTCTTATGGAGGATGAGGCTCCGACCTCAATTGGACCACTGCAAGGTCACGAGTCCCCGAAGCAACAGCTTTTTGACAACCTGGACTGTCATGTCGCGGAACAACAAGCAAGATACCCAATCGACCAACCAGCAGCTAGGGAAGTCAGCACGGAACCGCAGCTAAGCGTCAATTTCGACCAATTCTTGCAGTCACAGGAATTGTCGCAGTCGGCAATTACTTCGTCGCAGCTGCGCCGGGAGGAACGCTGGATTCCCTCGACTGGGGACGGCGGGGGTGGATCAATTGGTGCGTTGCAGTCACAATACGGTTGTCTTTCACGACTGCTGAACCGTTCATCAAATACACAGCATGCGCACTAACACGACTAGGTACAGGGGCGATGATGACCGAGATCGGGCGTGCACAACGGCGACTACTCAATGACGACTCCACGAGCAGTGTCCAACCTCTTCCCTCCACCGCCACTCCATACCAGAGCGAGATCTCCCTACCCGGCTCGTTTCCTACACTTCCGACCTACCAATACCAGCATACCAACGAGACTGTCAAGAAGACTTTGAACGACAATTTCGCGTATAGTCGGCCAGCCCTAGATGCCTCGTACGAGGCGACCCAGCTTGTTCCCCAGATCCATACGAACATCTATGAATACAGCACACCTGCAGACTCGAATGATGTAGAATTGCCGTATGGCGACTCGAACGAACGGGCCGCGACATTCTCTACGTCCGTCCAACCACCTGAGGGCGTATGCGCAAATCAAGAGCACAAGTTGTCCCAACGGTCCAAATCTATGCAGTCGCAACCATGGTCTCCGCATGACACCGAGCCTTTATCATCCGTTGTTTCCCCTGGATTGAACAGATCCAAAAGCGAAAATGCCAAGTCTGCTCTCATGTCACCGCAGCATTCTCCGACCAGCGCGTACGATGAGCTTTCTCTTTCCGTTGTTGCGCCTGTAACGGCACTGGAGCCTTCCACTGTCAAGAAGAAGCGTGGCCGCCCGAAGAAGCATTCCTTGCCGGAGCATGATGAAGATGATGAGCTTGCAGCGCCTCGGGATTACGGGTTTGAACTCAGTAAGGCGGCTGAAAAGCGGCGACCTGGGCGTCCTCGCAAGAATTCAGAAGCAGCGACTGGCAAGACAGAAATCACCGAGATCGCCGCCGATGGAGACGAGCCTTCAAATAATGAAGTCAAGGCAAATAGTGGGCCAGGGCTTATGGTCGTCCTTCCTGTTGCTCTGGGTGGACTGAGCAAAGGGACGGTACGGGCAGCAGAGTCCGGAAAGTGGGCTACAAAGGAGCCCAAGAAAATGAAAGTCAAAAGAAGCAAGACCGCCTCGACCGTGCTGGACAAGTCTCATGGAGCGGATTTTGAGGACGATGTCATATGGGTAGACTCGAGACCTCTCCAAGTGGATGAGAACAACACCGCCGAGCTAGTAGCCGGTGCCCCCCTGCAGGCGCAAAATGATCCCAATGGAGCCAGCACTGACGAAGCGCCTGGGCCGAAAAAGCGCGGGCGTAAGCGAAAGAAGACTGCCGAGCAGCTCGGATCTGAAGCTGCGCCAGCATCAAAAGACCAACAGCAACCCCCAGAGGCTGAAGCCACCGCTTCAAACAACGCCCCCACAGACACAAGCACATTGAACCCGGACCCGGAACCTCAAAATGAACCCACAGAGCCTGTCAAAGAGGATAATCCTCGTCAACCCGAGTCCACTACTTTTAACACAGTCCCATGCGAACCTCTCCCACAAACGCCACAGCCGACAAAAGGAAAAGATATCAACTCAACAACAGCAAAGGATTCCCACAAGGGACCAACCAAGCACAGCCCGATACTGTCCACAACTAAAGTGCCGTATCGCGTCGGTTTGAGCAAGCGGGCTCGGATTGCGCCTCTGCTGAAGGTCGTGCGGAAATGATAGAACTTAATCGGCAGCGCTGCTTACGACACTCTGGTGGTACTGGCCTGGTTTCTTGTTGTAATGCTGCTTATTTTATTAGTATACCCCTTGATTTGCATTAACCTGATATTCTCCTATCTGATTTACTACTCGGGAAGACCTTTGCCACTGAGGATGTTGTTTACGTATTGGGTATCGTGCATTGTCAATTGTGCTTATACGCAGGACAACGGTTGGCAGTCCCCTATCTCCTTCGGTATAGAGGACTAAAGTAGTTAGTAACTAGTTAATCTTGTGGTTCAGTATAGATATATGTATATTGACCTCCAGTCTGGGACCCCCCTCAATACTGTAGTTATAAGCCCTTCTTGATCAGTACTGTACGAACGAGGAAAATCCACTAGCTCATACTAAACCTAACTAGAATGTAATAAAAAAGATGAGTTGAGCTGAACTTTAGGTGCTTATCGGTCTTATCATCACGTTATAGCTAAGCTCCCCTAAAAGATGGGCCGAGCCGACCTGTAAACTCTGCTTGGACCTACTTAAGGGCCAGCTCTGCTATGGTAACTCCCTACTTTGCAACGTCACTTTCCATTTGACACTGTTATGTCTGAATCAAACACGGATGGAGAGGCTCTTAACCAGCTGCAAGTCGAACAGGGCTGGCTTCTTGACAAAATCGATGAGTTACGCAACATTGGCATTAGCGGTCTTGTTGACCTGCCACAGCTGATAGTTTGTGGTAACCAATCAAGTGGGAAGAGCTCCGTTCTAGAAGCTATATCCCGTGTACGCTTTCCAGTGAAAAGCAACATCTGTACCCGATTTGCCACCGAGGTCAGCCTGCGACGCCATCCAGTAACCCGTTTCAAAATTTCCATCGAGCCTGGACCTTCGCGGGCGACTGAGGCGGACCGACGGAAAGTTATAGAGTTTGCTCCAGAGGCTTTTACAAACAGCGACCAACTGCCAACGCTGATCGAGCAAGCCAAAGAATGCATGGGTATTGAGAGTGAGAAAGGAGTCAGCGACGACATTCTCAAAATTGAGATATCTGGTCCCCACAAACCGGAGCTGACGCTTGTGGATCTCCCCGGCCTTTACTACTCAACAAGTACCAACCAAGGAGCTGAAGGGATCAGAATTGCTCGTAGCCTCACAGAGCAATACATGAAAAACCCTCGCAGTATTATCTTGGCCACTGTGTCCGCTAAGGCCGACTATCACCTTCAAGAGGTTCTCAATATTGCGGCAACCTTTGACCCGACCCGCGACAGAACGATTGGCATTATCACCCAGCCGGATACGCTGGCACAGCATTCCGAAGACGAAGATTTTTGGCTGCAAATCGCAAAGAATGAAAAAGTGCGCCTGCAGCTTGGGTGGCATGTGTTGCGGAACCGGTCTTTTGAGACTTATGACGCCTCCGATGACGATCGAGACAGCAACGAAAAGGAATTCTTCAACCGGGGAAGGTGGAGCACGGTGGCCAGGGACTGTGTTGGAATCGATAGCCTGAGACGTCGACTCAGCGGCATCTTGTTAAAACATATTCGGCACAACCTTCCAAGCTTGATCGAAGATATCGAAAGAAAGTTGCTTGATCGGCAGACAAGACTAGCAAAACTTGGTGCTCCTCGATCGACCCTTCAACAGCAGAAGGGATTTCTGCTTGCCTTGAGCAGCAACTTTGAGCGTATCACCAATCAGGCTTTGATTGGAATGTACACGGATGGTTTCTTTGGCGAGCTTGGTAATTCCCATTCTTCCCCTCTCTCCGACCCTCGCCGTCTTCGTGCTATTATTCGTCAGTTGAATGAATATTTTGCGGAAGCCATGGAAAGAATTGGTTGCAAATATTCCATCTTCGGAGCCAATGAACAGAAGGTTGATTTTACCTTCTTGTCCAACCCTTATGCGCCACTCAGACATCCGCCGGTCAAGTATCGGCAAGATCTCGAGAAAGAGGTAGATCAACAGGCTCGCCAAAATCGTGGAATTGAACTACCAGGAACCGCCAATCAGCTTTTGGTCGGCAGTCTTTTTCGAGACCAGTCGCAACCGTGGGAAGAAATTGCGCGGTTCCACTTAGTGAGGGTGTGGGAGACAGTGGGTAAATTCGTCGATTTAGCCTTGCAACACCTAACGGACGAACATACCTACCAGCTCTTGTTGGGTACCATTCTTGCTCCAAAACTTCAAAGCGTAAAGGAAGGCCTGCTTTCAAAGCTTGATGAGTTGACAGCATACAACAAGCGAGGACACCCCCTCCCTCTTGGCAAAAGCTTCCTCCAGCGAATCCACAAGTCCCGGGCTGATCGGCAGGGCATGTCATTGGAGAATGCTCTCGGGCAAAAAGTGGCAAGAAAGGACGGAGGATATGCATTGTCGGACATTAGGTCAGCCGTTGACAACTTGGGCAAAACTGAGGATGAGTTCGCTGCGGCCGAAGTTATCGACCAGATGCAAGCATACTACGATGTAAGTGAATAGGACCGGCATTTGATTTTCAAAGGCAATAAAGCTAATATTTGCAGACGGCGATTATAACATTCATTGATAATGTTGCAACATTGGGGATTGAAAATTGCCTTCTTTGCCCTTTGAGCGGCATTCTAACAAGCCAGACGATCAACAACATGGAAGACAAACAAGTCAAGGACTTGGCTGGGGAGGCTTCCTTCATAACAGAGGAGCGTGACCGTCTGATCCGAGAACAAGAAAAGCTGCAAAACAGCTTGATTGTTCTAAATCAATGCAAAATACAGAAGAAGCCTAGCTCGAACCTCTTTACCGCAGGGTCTCACACATCTGCAGGGGTTCCTCAACAGACAGTCACTGCTCAGTCTTCGAAACAGACCGCTGCAAGATCCAATGGAGATACTATCCTCAACCCTGGTTTAAACCCAACCTTGAACCCCGGTGCCAATGGTTTTGGTCAGCAACAAAAATCCCTGCCCATTGGTTCCCCCTCAATGCGCTCTGGAGAAAGCTTTGGCACCTCGGGGGTTGGGACTGCAAATACGCAGAATAAAGGGCTGTTTGGAGGAAATGATGGGTTCAACAAGGCACCCAACGGCGCTCTATTCACTAAAAGGTAGCTTGCATTTAATTTCCCATGTGGCATATTCTCAGGGGTTATGAATTTTTCGCTATCGTATGCTGGAGCTGTCATCAGTCTTTTTCCTTTTCATTCAGACTTTTCTGTTACCCAGCGCAGATTTCTATTCAGATTCAATATCGCAATATACGGTTTTCGGTGCAATTGAGAAGTTTATTGTAAGGTGGCTGACGTATACACTTCCTTCATAGTGATTTTTTCTATCAGGAATTCGATTCTGGCACAACACAGAACAACAATTACATGAGCATCAGCGCGGCACGAGAATTTAGTGCGGTGTCCCACGAGGTAATGTTACATTTCTCACAATATTTAGCGAATGACTCCTAATGTTTAAATAGGAATTACGATTGAGGCATTACTAGGCAATGGGATACACAAATGTGGAGGCCAAGAAGCTGGATACCATGTAATTTCCTCGCGTTCTCTAGAACCATGTACAAGCAACTTCGATGCGATGTCTTTGATCTTAAGGTTCCTGGGTTTCCGATCAAGAAAATCACACTGCTCGATCCGAAAAGATTAGCAGCTACACAATACATGCGACCGATGAAAACCTGGCCACTATCGATAATCGAGAAAGAACAGAAAGATTTACGGTCTCACTGTGGAAAACACCAAGGCTATCGTTATGATGGATTGTGGTGTGGGATATGCCTTACAACAGAGGTTCGGAGAACAGTAGACACTCATTCAGGGGTGAAGCTACCTCATCTATTCATGAGTCTCAATCCACAAAGGCATCAAATAATGAATGACGGGTGGGAGACCACAGTGCGTAAGTAAAAATATAAACTCAAAGTCCCCAAGCTCGGAGCTTCGTCAAAAACACACTATCACGCCCATCCTATCAACAACCCGACTGGCGAGCCGATCATATCCACAAAGCTACGATGAGGGCCAGCACTAACGACGTGACAGCCGCAGTCCTAACGGATCGAACGCTGGAGTCTGCTTCAGATTTGCCACTCCTCCCTTCAGAGAAATCTGGGTCCCAAGCGTCGCCGTTTGAGGGCATCTGAACCGCGCAGTACCCAGCTTCCTTCTTGCAGCCAAAGCCGCAGTGAGTGGTGGAATTTCCACAAAGGTTCATGCTGCCACAGCACAATCCGAAAGGCGAGCCAAGACAGGTATAGTTTGCGCCACAGGTGCCATCAGCGGATATTTGCTGCGCAATATTGAACTTTTTCGGGCCTTTCTTTGGGATTTTGCTCTTATTCATGTGCCCGGACCAGCGGACGTCTCTGCGATACCAGTTATCGCGGGGGTCACGGAGGCAGTCGCCGACAGTGACCGGCCGGTAACCAAGTCTCCCACTCGTTTCCAGCATGTGCTCGGTGAGGTTATGGACGGTCTGTTCGTGTGCATCGTGCGCGATGACCAACCAAGACTTCGTAGCTGGACTTCCAGTAGACAGGGCGCGATCAAAAATGTCCTTTGAAAGCTGGATGAGGTACGGACTGTCGTTCTTGTAATCATCCGTGTCGATATCGTACAGAGTGATATGGTATCCTAGATCGCCCAGATCCTCGGGACAACCTGAACCGGGGATACAACTAGAGTAGGGGGGACGCATGTAAGTAGGGAAGCTGCCCATGATATTCCGAATCGCAACCTCGTTCTTGAGCATCTGCTCATGACGCTGTTGGCTTGTCACCTTACTGAGGTCCTCGTGTGACCAAGTGTGACTCGCAATTTGATGGCCACTGAGAGTCATTCGCTCAATCAATTCGGCCCAGGGCAAACTCGGGTCATCAATAGCCCCCTTGCCATTGTTGATACCAGTGATAAAAAAAGTTGCTGGCGCTTCGTACCGATCGAGGAGGTCAAGGAGGTCACCGGTGTAACGAGTCGGACCGTCATCGAAAGTAAAAGCAATCGTCCCAGGAACTGTGCAGGAGCGAATCTGTTGCGGACCATAAGGAACCTGGCCGATGTGAGGTCGAAGGATTTCCTTCGTGGGTGGTCCCTTCGGGGCTTTGTTGGAATCACAGTTGCCAAAGTCAATCATGCACTCGGGAGAACGGCAGTGAGCCTTGGTGGTTCCGCAGAAGCCTGGTATCCAGACCATGTAAGTGACTCGAACCATCAAACAGGGTGCATGACTTGGCCTACCTGCACCGGAGCAGCAAGTACCACTGGGGCATTTGCCCCATTTCGGACCGCATTTGTAGTCGAGCTGTTTGGTGACACCGCTGATGGCGCGCAACCTCAGATGAACACCCTCAGATTGATCCTCGCCATTCGCAGACACAGACTGTTCGTAAAACGGGTTGGGCACAGAAGTTTGTATCGACTCTGGCTGGGGTTGGCCTTGGATAGTTGCGGGCTCTTCGAGGACGACGACCGTTTGGTGCACCGTTCTGAGGTCGAGACAGCTATAAGATAGACCGACTTGAAGAGCGAGGATAATTAGAAGCCGATGCAAATGCATCGTGAAATCCAGATAACGAGGAGTAAGAGAAGTATAATATGTAAGGTAACCCGGGTATGCAAACAAGAGGATGGATGTGGAGGACAGAAATGTGTCGAACGAAGATTGGACATGGTCCTGACTGCAAGGTAGTTAAGAGAGGAAGGCGGGTAATACGAGGAAGCCACGAGGAGGAGCCGCAAGCAAAATTGGCATTGACGGTTTCTAACATAGCTATTTGTAAAGCCACGAAGGGCGGGCACGCCTGGGGCTTGGGGCGCCTTCAGATGTACTCCATGGAAATGCAATGGCTTTTCACCTTGAGACGGTTGGATAAGATGATGGTGTGTGTGGATGAAAGAAACGGTCAACATGGGTATCGTTAAAAAATGGTCACGCTGGACACCATGTGTACCCTGGTCGCGGCGTTTAGCTCGGCCAGTCCTTCAAAAAAGCAGCTGCGCCTGGCAAACCCAGCCGACTGATTCCTGCACGAAGCCTGTACATACGCAGTGTGGGTCACTTGACCTCGATACGTGAGGGTCAAATTATTATAATTTGCGAGGAGTACTGCTTCATCCATGGTGGTAGTTTCCGCAGAACAGAGGGCGATAACAAGCCTTGAGTCACTTAGTTTGCCCGTTCAACATCGTCCTCTCCCACAGCAGAGAAAACAAATGGCGCGAGACTGTCGATGTGCGGGCCAAGTTTGGCCGGGGCACTGCGAGCAATGACGCCGATAGCCGCGATCAAGTGGCGGCGGTGGACAATGGAGATATTTGGCGAAGAAAGGGTCTCTGTCATTCGCTTCACAAAGGCATTGAGCTGGTTGTCAGAAAAGTAGAGCACCAGCGCCGAGATGGCAGCTAGCGCACGCTTAGTGACCACAGTACCCGCCGTGTCATTGTGAATAATGGCCATGACAGGCTCCTGTAAATCAGCCAGCTCCGACTCTGAAAGGAGGGGGCCGAAGCATGTGACAACTTTTATGAGCACGTCGATGGCGTCGCTGCTGAAACCCTTAGACGGATCCTTTTCCAACATTCCTCGCACGACTGAGCCTCGTCTGCCGGACGCCGACGCAGTTGGGCCAGTAAGCCTTGGAATCAAGACCTTGGAAACGGCCTGATATGCTGTGAGTGTATTTTGCGGCGCGGGCTGGCCGGCTTGGGGGCGAGGAAGCATGTCAACAATGGTGCGAATGGCGGTGTTGGGCACAGAGGTATCAATCGTTTGGGACGCTGTCAGGTTACTCAATTTCTCGAGCAAGGGAACAAGGGACTCGAATGGGAGCCGGACTGCCAGTGGACCGAGACTGTCATGTTTACAAAGAGTTAGTCCCTGCGGCTGCGTTTCCACGGAGCGGTCGTGGGTGCCTACCATTTCAGCGCTTGGTTCTGCACATCGCCGTGCTGGTCATCCAATGCTTTTAGAAGACCCTCAGCAAGCTTGGTCGAGGAGCGGCCATCGCCGGAGAGGAAGCTTGAGCTCTGACTGCTCAAAATGTTGAACAAGTCATTAAGGGACATGTATCGCAAATCAGCATCCGGGTCATCGAGCTTGGCCAAATGACTGAGGATGGTCTGTTGGGTGGCCTGCCGGTCTGCCATGGCTGCGGGTGCGCTTTGCGAGAGGGTAGAATGAGGGATGGAGTGTGAGATGGGTGACGACCGAAGCTTGGAGGGAGGGGAAGTCAAGCTGCTATCGCCGACGAAAGGCGGACTGATAGCTGCGGGAAACGTGGGGTGTCGTGGCCTGAGGGATTAGGATGCCAAGCGGGACCCCCTGCAGAAATTTGACGGGGCAACAATACCCATTAGTTGACTCAACTAACTTGACTAACTTAACTAACAGGAAGTAATTCATTGGCGACCCGCGGTACGGGCGAGCTACGCACCCCAAAATACCATAGAACAGTAAATACGATATATTAAAATGATGTTTTGAGGTGCGTAGCTCGCCCGTGTGTGCAACTCGCCAGTGAATAATTACATTATCGTGGTTAACTAGTCATCTATTCAACGACCACATTCAAGGCATGACCCATCCGGCAATAGACACTATCCGTAGTCCTTCAGTTCATTTATCATTGAATTGACTGTATGTTAGTTTTCGTATAGGTCCTACGAATAAAAACAGCACGAGCATATTAGGAGCGGGCCGATCTAATCTGATACGCGGGAACTCCATCCACCTCTCCGCGGACTTGAACTCCTGTCCAAGCAGGAAATGCCACTCGTGGAACCAAAACTCTCCTACGCTTGATACCGAACAAGATTCATGGTTCGTGGGGTAGTCAGAGCCTGCCAACTGTTCGTGGTTGAGGAACGCAGCGCCAGAATCTGCTCTTGTGCCAGCATTACATCATCGATGCAATCGCGCACAGACCAATGGAAAACGGCTGGCCAGTGGTCTTACGACGCCGGAAGTAGCGAATGACATGCTTAGTGCCATGTCGTATCGGCGAGGGATGGCTCGGATGGGGAGCTGCTGGGAAACTAGGAAGCTCTGTACCTGTGCGATGAGTATCTGACTTACTCCGGCCGACACTTCCGTCCTCTTCTCCTCACCCTATCACGCCAGCCCAATCCTCGATACATCCCATGCCTTTCGCAATGGTCTTTGCACGCCGCTCGGTCCTGCATATCGCAACTGCAGCCCAGTCCTTCCGTGCGGCCCCAGCTGTTCGGCATACTGCTCAGCTGCTGAGCCGTCGGTCCTATGCCAGTGGAAAGGGCTACCAGGAGCATAAGACGAGTGATCTTCCATGGTATGTGCTTTTCTACGCCAAACCAGACTTCCCACCGTCTACGAAATTCGCTGACTTCTTTTGTGTTCCTTCATAGGCTCCTTGGATCTGTCGGGCTGGGCGGTCCCATGATCGTCTACATTATTCAATCTGGCCCCAAGAAGAAGCAGCACAATGATGGTCACAGCGTTGAACATGGTGCCGAACATACAGAAGACCACGAACAGACGGTTGATGCTACTCAGGGAGAGGAGGAAGTCAAACCTGACGACCCGATGGCTGGGGAGGAACAGCTGTCTGACGAGCCATTGGAGAAGCCAAAGCAGGAAAGGGAAACCCAGGCCCCTAAGAAGGAAGAAAAGGAAAAGGTTGAACATTCGTCCGCTGAAAAGGAGACTAAGACCAAGGAGCCAAAGAAAGAAGAGTCTGGAGAATCAAGTAGCGACGAGGTGAGCTTGTTTCTTACTATTATTCCATTTTTTATATTAATGTTCGCAGCCCGCTGGTACGAAGCCCCCCAGTGGCCCTGAAAGTACATCATCCAAGCAGGACAATGACGATTCTACGAGCCCCCACACTGACGCCTCCAAAAAGAGCGAGAAGGGCGAGCAGAGCTAGATGGTGAGGGTGAAAGAAACCGTTCTGCATGAGCGATCCTAGGAGTGTAACCTTTATCTGTGCGTGATGTAATATAGTCCATACTAGAGACAGGTAAAGCCGGATTCACCCCATGCCCCTTTGGTTGTCTCCCACCGCTCCCTACCAACATCTTTGTCTATTAACGTCCGGATTTCGGTTCGTAACATAGCGCCAAGACTACCTCTCTTAAAGCTCAAAATAATTCAAGGACATAAGATTGAGCAGATCATAAGAGCGAGGAAGCCATCTTTTCCCCTTTTGCTATTATATGAAACCAAGGCTGAATCGTTAGTTCAGCGCCGCATATAATCAGAAGGCTATTATCCATTTGAAAATGATGTTATGCACATACGACCATAGGGTGTGGAAAACAGGGCTTCCTGTCCGCTCAGCCGTAATTAAGGCACATATAGTGCGCGGCCAGTTCTCAACCTGTGGCGCCCACCACGAGAAAAGGAAGTTGACTGTCTTCCTGGAATAGGAAGCTACGGACGTAGTTACGACGTACCTACTAGTACACATTCAGCAGCCACAAACCTGCCCGCTTAGTAGATAATAGATCGTGTTTCCCCCAGAGCCCCAGATGTTAGTCGTGTGCCGCTGGAAGTAGGCGGGGTATAGGCCGCCTGAGGGAGCAGGCGAGGCTTCGCTAGCCGAGGGAGCAGGAGGGGGCTCGACTCCGGGGACTGGACAGACGGAATAGCGTTGTCGCTAGTCTGGCTGTTGGCAGCCGGCTGGTCAACATTTGGGCCGATAAGGTGGAGGGGGTGGCTGGTGTCGCCTTCAACATGATCCACAATGGTTAGCGTTTCCTACTAGGGCATAGGGGCAATGATGAGGCTCTTGAGCTGTAACTTACCTACCCCTCCTGCAGCCTCTGGGCGTTGGCCGTTTGGAGGCCTGTAACCATCGCAGTCAAGTTGTCCTTCCGCCAAAAGAGGTAATCAAGGCCACTAACGATGCACAAAAAAATAGCACAAACAGCCCAAAAGCCGCCTTGTACTCGGACAAAGTTATCTATGCTTAACAGGGCTACCGGGGCGGCCGGGACGGCCGGGACGGCGGAGGGAGCCAGCGATGGGAGCTTTGACGGCGCACACGGGATTGTGGTAATTCCGAGCGCCATAGTGAAGATGTTGTTGAGAAGAAAGAAATTTGGACAGGCGTCCGGTAGGAGCCGGATCACCAGCTCGAGGACTGTCGAAAGCCCAGCTGCACCCTGCTCACAAGGACACTTCACCTGCATTAAAACCTCCTTTCTTTTCTCGAATAGATCCCTCGAGTCGCTGAAAGCCACATGCAGAGCAAGAATAAATCGTTGTAGTGTCTCCCAGCTTCTAAGCTGCCCACTTGCCTCCTATTTTTCCGACTGCTTGGTCTCTTTCCAACTCCGCCATATTATACTCAGTACGTATATCTTTGATTTGATGGCGAAGAGCGAGCAGGTTGGTGCGCTCGATTTCGAGTTGTTCGACCAGCTTCACCTGTTCATTCAGCAATACATCCATGTCCTTGCGTCTGGAACAGGAAGCTACAGACGTAGTTACCACGTACATAAGACAGATGCACCAGGCACAAACCTGCCAGATAGAGGGTAGATCAGTTTCCCCCCTGGCCCCAGATGTTCTTTTCAACAACATTTCCACTATGGCATCCAGCATTACGACGATCCTCCGAGTGCCCTCCTCGCTCCCATCTCATCTCCCATCCGCCCCGTCGGCCCCGTCGGCGATGGAAAATTTTACCAGGATGCCAGTAGGTTTCTGGGCCCTCGGTTCTCTTGTGGTCTGCGTTGGTGGTGGGTTGTGTTTCTTCTTTTGAAGAAGAATGGGCCCAAGAAGCCCAAAAACATCGAGGCAGCTTTGTAAGCAAAGCACCATGATCCCAGTGGAAGCTCTTCTGGGGGGTCTTCTGGGGTTTCTGGGGGTCTGGGGGGTCTTAATGCACATGGGCTGACGTCTTATGGCATAGGGAGCAGGACTTGAAGCCCTATACTACTGGGGTGCCCCTGTAAGTGAAAAACCATGCTCCCTATAGAAGCTCTTCTGCAGGGTCTTCTTCTCGGAGTGAAGAAAATGGTCAAAACAACTGACGAACGCCGTCGACTTAATAGCCCCTTATGCCGATCCATTTGGCAAGTGTATGAACTCTTTGGCCGAGAGCGCGCCTAGCGGTGTTAGCATCGCCGATGAATACTCGTAGGCGGGATTGGCGGCGGGGAGTAGGCGAGGCTGCGCCGGCTGAGGGAGTAGGTAGACAGGAGGGGGTGGACTCCGGGGACTGGACGGACATAATAGTCTCAATGCTAGTCTGGCTGGCGGTAGCCGCCTAGGCGACATTAGGGCTAATTACCACTATCGGGATAGGGTTACTACCTTTACCATGATCTACAATAGTTAGCATTTACTACTAGGGCATAGGGGTAATGATGAGGCTCTTGAGCTATAACTTACTTACCCGCTGCTCCTGCAGCCCCTCGGTGTTAGCCCTGTGGAGGCCCGTAACAACCGCAGTCAAGTTGGCCCTATGCCACAAGATGTCAGCCCATGTGCATTAAGGCCCCATAGAAGACCCTGCAGAAGAGTATCTATAGGGATCATGGTTTTTCACTTACGCTGATTCTTCTTTAAAAAGAAGTAACCGAACCCACCTCCGACGCACACCACGAGAGAACCCAAGGCCCAAAGGCCTGCTGGTACCTTGGCCAGATTGTCGATGGCGGAGGCGGTGGACGGGGCGGAACCAAACAACATCCCCTCTCCCCCTTTCCACCCTTCCCTTCCCCATCCCCTGTATGTGTAGTACTTCCGTTTTCATTCAGCTCACCTCGCTAAGGTTCTCGGAGTGAAGAAAATGGGTCAAAACAACTGAGGAACGCCGTCGACTCAACTCCAGCTCATGCCGGGTTGGTCACAACGATGATCTTCTCGCCACCATGCCAGATGGTGGTGTCTTGCCAGCTGGTTGGCAGGGGAGGCGGGAGCAGGCGAGGTAGGAGGTGAATGGGGACCAGACGCAACCGGGGTGGCACCCAGGGGCACGATAGACACGACGGCATCGTAGCCAGTCCGGCTGTTGGTAGCGGCCGGCTGAGCGGCATTTGAGCCAACAGGCTCGAGAGCATGCCTGCTGTCGCCTTCAACATAAACTACAATTGTTAGCGCTTCCTACTAGGGCATAGGGGCAATGATGAGGCTCTTGAGCTGTAACTTACCTGCCCGCCTCTCCTTCAACCAGGTGGTGAGGGCCGTCAGGGGGTCCGCAACAACCCCAAACCAGTCACCAGAGCTATGCCACAAGATGTCAGCCCATGTACATAAAGACAGACTCTCCAGGACAGCTTCTACGGGGATCATAGTCTTTGGTCTTTGACTTACGGGGTCTCCTTCTTCAACAGGAAGACACAGAAACAACCTGCGACACACACCACAACACACATCAAGGCCCAAAAGCCTGCTGGCATCTTGGCAAAATTGTCCATGGCGGACGCGGCGGAGCGGGGAGAGGATGGGGTGGTCATGGTGTTGCTGTACACCCGGGTGAGAATGTTGTTGAGACCAAAAACTGCTGGGGCCCTGGGGGAAACACGATCTACCCTCTACCCAGCGGGCAGGGTTGTGCCTGCTGAATCTGTACTAGTAAGTACATCGTAACTACGTCCGTAGCTTCCTTCCACAAAGACAGTCAACTTCCAGCTGGTGGTTCGGCAGGCATGTGTGACGACGAATCAAGGAAGATGGGCACAAGAGTGGAAGGAATCAACTAACAAGCCGAACCAACAACTGGTAAAGGCGCCCGACAAGAAGGTGCTACAGCTATTTGAGTCCTCTCGAAGCCGTACACCTTCCAGGTCAAATATGCTCTATGCTTATTGCATTGGACCATTTCTTGTTAAAATTAAAGCAGTCGGATCAGATGAGTGCGACTGTGGGGAAGGGTTGGTACTGGGAATTCAAATCAAGCACACAGGAACAACCCATACACGAAGCATATACATCCACATGGATCGTTCAAGTTGGTATAAAGCAAGATAAAATTCAGCAGCCTTATCATAATCTGATCACTCCAAAGACCCCCATTCCACTTTACTATTAAGGCCGAGCTGACCGCCTCATAATTCTCTTCCAAAAGTTCCAATGTGGCTTTGCGGCAGCATCATCAGTCGTCTTCGAAACATTAACCGTATCATGGGATTGAAGGTTTTGGCCAAGTTTGTCATTGATCTTATCCACCTTTGCCAACAGCTCGAAGAACTGGTCATGAGAGCAAGGAGAGTCGAACGTAGAGTCTCCAGTTCCGTCTATTTGCTTGCTCCCTGAATAGCGTTGAGAATTGGATCCACAATCTCTGTCATAGCAGTCGCAGCGGTCCTGAGCCAGCTTGTGTCTCATCTGCCGGCTTGGATCCCGCTTTAAAGAAGCATACATCTGGTCAAACTCACTATCAGTGAGCCTTCCCATGGTGGTATAGAGTTTGGTGTTTTGAACAGCGCGTTCCTTGTAAAGATTTGCCGTCTCTGTAGATATATGCCCAAGCTCTGTAAATAGCTGACCTATCTCTAGGAAAAGCTCCGCGACAAAAAGGCAATCAGTGTGGGTAGGCTTCTTATCTATCTCATCTGCCCAGTTGTCGAACTTGTCCGTTATATGAATTCCTTGCTGGGTTAATGTCCGGCGAGCATGCTCGTTCTCAATGAGAGAGGTGAGTAGATCTTGGCTTGGCTGGCCTGAGTCGTACTGTGGAGGGCGGTCGTGGCAGGAGGGGACTGTCTTCGATTCTTGGCCTTCAGAAAATACTTCAGACATTTTCAGGGATGATGAAACGATTCTTGTATAGTAAATGTTGGTATCAGGGAGGAAATGGAATATTTTGAGAAAAAAGAAATATGGGATTGGGTTTTGAAATGGCAGAAGAATATATACGTATCCTGGCTTCTGCTGCCAACCAGCCGCCGCCTAATATGGATCCAGAGCCATGGGCTACCCTACGCTACTAAACTAATTCGAGCTCTGCTAACCTAGAAAACTTCTGTATAACCTTTTCATATAGCCGCAGATTCTCCTTTAAGTATGGTATATTTTGATGAGGGGCTCCTTGCTCCGAAATTGGCAAAGGCATGGACCATGAGTATACTAGTCCTTTCAAACAAATGACGACAGGTTTGCGACTCCACAATATAATATATCGACGGGCACAGCATGCTTCCTTAGCATAACTAAATTTAGACGAATCCTGTGGCAGTTTGATGTTATATAGAAATATATCAGGAAGGAGGTGGACGGACAGGTAGAATGAGTATCAACAACACCATATTACTATTTGTTCAAGGCTCTAATGCTTTTGCAATATCCCAATTCCCTCTCTCAGTAGTAATCGACCAGCTCTATCTTTTTCGCACCCGGACTTACCGCAGTCACGACTTTGACCACACCAAATACCGTCGTTGCAGTTGGTTCCATACTTGCGAGCGGACTTGCGAGGTCCAATGCTAGCTTGAATTTCTCGAGGGGTATTTGTAGTGATTGCAAATATTTCACGCCCCTTAAGAAGGAAGATTCATTTGTTACCTCTTTTTCAATCTCGTCCAGTTTTTGGAATAGCTGAGAGACATTCCTTTCTTCAAGTATAGCAACGTCACCTTTCTCTCCAAATTTTTCAACTACCTCACGGTATGCTGCACTCCATAGGTATGAAGGAAGAACAACACTACCAATGTCATTGCCAAGAGCCGGTAGGTCGGTGGTCAAAATCAGTTCAAGGCTTTGCCGATGTAGACCGCTCTCGCCGATTTCCAACTCGGATTTGTAATCGTCCGTGGCGTTAATTCCCGACTGGCCAGTGGAGAGTTTTGTACCCGGAAAGCCCTACGCATGGCTTGCATTGCTATACACCAATAGAAAGATGTCCGATGAAGCCGGGGTAGTTCTGTATGGTTCGAATATATTTACCCTCCAGGAGTGGAAACTACGCAGCCCCGAGTCAATCTCCTAACATCCTTTATACACTGCATCGGGGCTGCTAATGCAGCATCTCTGTGCCACCTATGCATCAACTTCCCAGCTACGGAGACGATACATGGTCAAATGGGAGAAACCAGGCTCAGGGAGGACAGTCTGCAGAGTTTGCTACTTCTCCAGAAGGAATGCACTAAATTGCACACTCTGGAAGCCCTCATTTACAGCAAAAGTTCCAAAAGTCTGATCAAGGAGGACCGGAAGGTTGTTCGAGAGGCATTACTGGAAATCGATGGGCACCTTAGGGGCATCAGTTCCCTGAACAAAATCATTGTTAGGGTCCACAGCGGATCTCTAGCACCTTCGATCGGAGAATTTTTGGAAGGGCTAGGATGGATTGTCTTGGTCGGAGGTATATAGGCCCACCATAGAACAAAGAAGTGGGGAACGAGTGGTAGTGAGCATCCACGACCACGCAAACTAACGGAATGATATCCCTGCTAAATTATATAGCGACTACAGGGAGCAAAGAGACAGACAGCCAGGTGGAGATACTAGCTAGAAAGCATTTACGCGTACTAGGTATAATATATACTTGTATTTGTCGTAGAAGAGTTTATGTTCAAAGCATGAATCGCGGCCCAAATTAAGTTGTATAACCAATCTACTAAACCTGCTACCTACACTTAGCCTACTGTAACAAAAGTTCGCCCACTCCAACCCTTCTTAGGAACCGACTAGTACAGATCTCAATATAGACGGCTCCCTTAGTGTTGGTTTATATAGGGGACGGGGACAGGAAGGGTGGAAACGGGGAGGGGGGATGTTAGGGCGTTCCTCTGGGGCTTTTTGACCGTTTTTGCTTCTCTCCGAGGACCTCAGTGAAGTGGGATGAAACTGGAAGATGTGAGGTGGGGGTAAGAGAGGAAGAAGCTATTGCTTTTTGGTTTCCTTCCTTCGTTTTACTTTCCTTTTGTTATTCTCTTGAGGTGTGAGAGAGAGGGGGAGAGGGGTGGTTTATTCTTTGTTTATTCTTGTGCTCGACTGACCCTTTCCGGAGGTGACTATATCTGAACGTACACTGTCGGTGCCTTGGGGCACCTTGCTTCAAAATTTCAGAACTCCTGGACCGCCCAGATCGATTCAGCAATATCCTTTAGCTCTTTCTGTCCAATGCTTATATCAGTTTCAACTGGGGATGATGTTGGTCGCCGAAATAAGAGGTGAAATGGGATAGTGAGTGGAGATCCAGACACTGTAACTCTTTCTCCATTTGGATCCTCCGCGATAGTAATATGCTGCATCCGCTGAGATTGCTGGTTTTGGTATTCCCACTTCTCAATTGTGATCAATGGCTTGTTCCGATTGACTCTTAGCGTTATCGCTATGTTGGCATTTCCTCGATTTGGATCAAGCCAAAAGAGCACATCCTGCCGTATCTTTGCCGGCGTCTCTGATACTGTAACCTCCAGAGCGATAGTGGGCTTGCGTGCATAACCAGGTGGTGGTCTTAAAGGTCCCCATCCATAGTCTGCCTCCTTGCCCCTACCGTCACTTCTGATTGTTACCCCCGAGAAGGCCTGGATGGTTGTTTCAAGCTTCATGGGTTGTAGCGCTTTAGAAATCGCCTGGTTCATGGCGTGGGCTGCTTGGGAATGCTCTTCGGTGACCATTTTGACCAGGAGAAGGCCCTTCGTGATATCAAATGAGGAGCAACGAAATGGAATAGGCGTCACGTTCGGATTGAAGATATCGTGTTCGAGAGTCGTAGGGTCGATGTCGAAAAGTATGTATTCTGTTGCGCTGCCGTCTGAGCGATGTTGTGAATGGTCTGAGGGGAGATGGCACGTGAGAAGTTGGAAACGGTCAAATTCGAGATCGTATATCTGACGAAGTTTTTGTCTCCCGGGATATGGATACCTCCTGATTGATGAAGGTAGATTCTCTAGGAACCTAGGGGAGCTACCCGAATCATATTGGGTAGCATGAAGATCGTTCGACATTTTTGCGTGACTAGCACTTAATGTCACTCTTGAGGAATCAATGGAAAAAAGGATTCTGGGTGGACAATGGCCTTTTAATAATTTTCGGTTATCGAAATTGGTTATCTCATTGTGAGCGCATTGCGGTAAGTAAATGCTTGGTTTTGTCCGAGTTGAGAGCTCATTATGGTTGCCTTGGATAGTCAAGGTGCCTATAGTTTATTAGAGTATAGTGAAGGCTCGCTCGGAGTAGCCAAGGATATTATCCAGCGAGAGATATGATGATTGTGACCATCCGAACTTGCAAATCTCGGACCCATTGCTCGGGAATGAAGTCCCAAGTGTGTGGAGGCGTAACTGACGTTGAAGACTACTGTAACAAATTTTGACCCACTCCAGCCCTTCTTAGGGACCGATTATAACAGAGCTCAAAGTGGACGGCTCCCTTGGGGTTGGTGTTAGTTTTCGTTTGTCCTTCGAATGGAAGCACTGGTGACTGTTTCTTTATTATGACCCCTTTGTATCACAACTTCAAAGAAAATGTATTGATATGGATACTATAGAAAACCCCCTCTTTGTTCTTTTCAAGAAGACAAGGAAACATGAGGAAACGCCCCTAAGCTGACTTGAATAATTCAAAATTTGCTCCGACCTGGCCTCAGGTATATATATGGCCCTCTCCTCCCAGGTAACGCATCATCCAGCAGACTCAAGACCCGAGCTGAAAACGTACTGCAATAATCTATTGCATCAACTTTATCACTTCACAGCAAGCAGGCTAGAACATACAATCCACGATTGCAATGTCGTCTTATACAAACTTTCCAACAGGTAAGGATGAGCAAATCAGTATGTTCCTCGCGCAGCGAGAGAATATGTTCCACGCGCTTATGGGATGGCACAACGAGCTCCTACAGAATCCCTACAGCCGCGCAAATGTCGCTTCTCAGTTGGAGCACTTCCAGAACGATTTTCCCCATTTGTCTGCCCTGGTACGAGTCATTCGAGTGAGTCGGGGGCCCGTACCGGAAGACGAGCGATTGGGATGGGAAACTTGCTGGAATGACAAGGTTCGGTGCATCCAGCATTATCTTGACATTTGCATTAAATACATGCGAGACCTAGAGAAGGGGTGGGGGACCGGGAACTTGGCAATCTTCGTGTCGATGATTGCCGTGAGTATTGGACGGCTTCATTATGAGAAGGGATTCGATGAATTTACGACCAAAATGTTCCAGCTAGCAGCCAGTATGAGTCACCATGAATACTCTAGTGGTTTGTGGAGCGTCTGGACGGAAATGGTCAAAATTGTTCATCGCGGTTGCGACTACTGCCTGGATTAGGAATAAATGGCTCGAGAACCCTAGTTGAGTAAGTGATAGTGTAAGTCAAAAGTTTGTTTTCCTACCACCTGGCATTTCCTTTGAATCTTCAAATGGTGAGTGATAGACCTCTGTTCTCATGGAACTTTTGGTGCAGATGGGGGAAAGGTAATCTATGAACTCGGTGCGAATGATCTGCATCACTGAAGACATCAAGGTTGTATAAACTGTAGAGAATTGTAGTTGAGTAAAAAATAAGGGCTACCATTGGGGCTCTTTTAGAGCCCTGCCCCTCATTACTTGGAAGCCAACCTAGTAGCACTTACTGTAGCTGCTTTGTCTTAGCTGTGCCTCTTGCAGCTAGCCGTGTTGCATGGTGCGATATTCCTTCATGTATGCCAGTCCCCGTATTGTGGTTGAGACTTTCACTGTCAACAGTTTCTCATCCACTAAGATAGGCCCATTGCAGCACAAAGGAGTTGCCAACTAAAAGAAGTGAATCATGGGAGTTGGCCAGTATTGGCAGCAGATTGACCTATCCATGGACCGTCTATCCGTCCGCGAGACTACGACAGCTGAAATATGACATAAAGATCATTGATATATTCGTCTCATCCGCACAGCCACTCCCCTCATAAACAAAACACCAACAGACAGGTAAAGAAAAAAAGAACAAGGGAAAAGTGTAGAGATAAACACAATGAAGAATTAGAAACAAACTGTGCACGAATCGAAAGAAAAACCCCCCACATCCACCCAGATGTTTCACATGACGTTATCCAGCAGTGCGCGTTCGTCCCAGTACATTCAATATCACCATGATCGTGGGGAAGCGAAGCAAACGAACTGACTTGTTCCAAACACGTCATGCTAAACATGCATAAATGCAAACACCATGCCTCATGCCCATGCCTGAATCGTTCAATTCTCGTCCTATCCAATACGTTCCATTAATGCGTTCCGCCAATGCGTAATTATAAACAGAGAAGCTTCGCGCTACCCGAGTGCCGGCTGTATGTGGAACCGATGAGCGACAAACAGTAAAACTTGTCAAAGAACAAGTAGGGGGAGACGCCCTCCCGAGAGGAGGGTCCATTATAGTAAGATGTGGGATAGTCTCATGACCGGGTGGCCCAATCGCGCGTCCCTCATGCCTTCCTGCTGCGCGTCCGTGGACCTCGCTGCTCAGGCACGGGCTCGCCGTTGACTTGTACTTGGGGAGTCAGGTTCGCCTTGGCAACGCCGGTGGCAATGGTAGCTTTGGATTGATCCTCATTCTCAATCTCTTCCTCGTCCTCGTCGTCTGAGCGCTCGTCCTTTGTAACGCTGTTGAAGATGTAGTTGGCCAGAATGCGCAGGATCAGGAAGAGCCAAAACAGGTTGACAGCCTGCAGACTGGCCAATAGACCGAAGGTGATGTACTGGCTGATCCAGCACTTGTACTGCTGGGTCTCCCAGTTGAGCTCGAAGGGGCCGACGGTGCGGAACTCGGTCAGGACGGCCCACAGGATCTTGAGGTTCAGAACGTGGCGGAGGTAGATCCAGATGCCAACGAACATGCAAAAGTAGGGGGCGACGATGACGGAGTCGAGGTAGTTGAAGGTTTTCGAGGTCTAGAGCGGGGTTAGCGTTTGTGGGGAGTTCCTCAGCGAAAATTTGCGGTATGGTGTAAGCTTACAGCGAGGAAAAAGTCCGAGATGTCGTGGGTAATGTACACAGCCAGACCTATGTAAGTAAAGTGGAAGCGGTAGCTCAACGCAATCAGAGCCAGAGTGATGATGTGGTGCCCAACCAGCTCCTTGAAATCCTTGCGGGGCTTCTCCAGCTGCAGCAACAGCACAATAGCCTGCTGTGCCCAGTAACTCGCCTCCAGCAGATAGTACGCCTTGAACAAACCCTCGTGCTCGCGGTGCGGGAAGCCCTCAAACATGGCTGTCGTGTTGAAGTACCAAATATCCGACCGCCTCATGACATACAGCCCAAATGGGCCGAAGATGCCAAAGTACATCGCCGTGTAGACCTGTTCCATGAAGCGGGCGGTCTTGCCCTTGCCCCGAATCCCGCACCACACGGCGAGCGGGCGGATCACCTGCTGCATCATGAACTCGCGCGTGAAGGACAGAACAATCGTGTAGAAGGCCACGAAGGCAATGTCCTTCTTGCCCTTGCCGTACATGATAGGCCCGCCGGGGGTCTTCGGGGACTGAGGGTACGAGAGGAAGATGGCGCTGTGCATGGGGTTGGACGTAGTCGGGTTGACGGCATACAGCGCCAGCAGGAAGAGCATGATAAGCAGCGGGAGCAGCCAGGTATACTTAAGACAGGTGTCGGCGAAACGGTGGAGGAGCGAGCGACTGCGGCGCTTCTTCGACTGTGCCTTGCCGGCGGACTTGTCCGACAGACGATTATCCAATTGCTGTGCGCCATGGTTGTTAGCTTTCGCCGGTTCCCGCTATGCTTCTGCTCCCATCCTTCTCCTTCTTCTTGTCTTGTCGCGGCAAGGGATCTCCCGCGGGAGGTACGCACCTTGCCCCAGTCCGGGGACGTCGGCTCAATCGGGCTCACTTCGTTCATGGTGGACATCGCGGGCGCGCTGGTATCGCCGCGAATGTCCACGCCCAGTTGCGACCGGCCGCGGGGACGAACCATGGCGGGAAACAGTGTAGTCGTTCGAAGACGGGGAGGGATGAGCGGGCTTTGCACGATTGGGTGGAGAAGAGGAGGACGTCACTGCGGCGAGCGCGAGTTCGGAGAGAAGGCGTTGGGCTCTCACGTGCGAGCGGTCGGCGCAAAAGAAGTCGCGACGGAAGGAACGAGAACAGGGCCAGGAAGGGAGAAGACGAGATCGTAAACTTCTACTTGAAAGGAAAAGAACACGAACATCCGGTGGAGGCCCAATTCGTCAATTCGTCCAATTCGTCCAATAGTGGTGTTCTTGGCTTCCTTTTGCTTCCGAGCAATCCGTAGTTTTTTGACCAGGGGGCTCAACAGCTTGCCAAATTTCCTCCCCCCTAAACTCCACCCGTCCTCTCTCAGCCACCCACAAGCCGCCAGGCGGCCCGCCCTTCGGGCACCGGAATCCTTGGCGTGGATCGCATCGTCACCATCTGCCTCGTCAGACACAGCACAATGGCGCTGCTAGGACACTCGTCTGATCCGCACTTCTCAATCGGTTCCTGTCCGCTGCATTTCCAACCTGCTTTCTGTGCGAGCTCACGCGGGCCGAGTGAACTCAATCAATGGACGGGTTGTGCTTCTCGGGGTACACGGCCAAGACGACGCCCCGACGGAGTCGTGCGCGACCCTCCCAAGCTCCGATGGTGGTAGCCTCAATAGGGCACCTCCATACAGCTAGCTCCTCCAATTGTGTAACTCACCGATCGTAAGCTGGACAGCATCCGTTTGTACCATCTATCTTCAGCACAAAACACCCTTCGGTTGGGAGGTTCGACGCTTGACGCGCTCTACCCCGGAAAGTATATTTTAAGCATAGATTTCCCTCGCGCTTACCAGTACTCGGCGTCTATCTTACCACAATCACACAGACCACGGAGTCAAACCCGAAACGGATTAATTAACCAAGTACATAGGCTCTATATCCAGGTGCATCTCATCATTCTTATCATTCTTATTATACATGACATCATCCAGAGCGCCAGCGAGTTCTTCACTCATCACTCAACCAGGGGAAGCAAAAAAAAAAAAGAAAAAGAAAAAGAAGGAATAGAAAAGTCGGGAATTTGATACCATCCTTTTCTCAACGCTTCTCTGCCCAGCCACATCCTGACGAGCTGGGGTATTTAAGCGGTCTCGGAGTGGGTGACGGCGGTCTTCTCACCGAAGGCCAGCCTCTCGCCTAGAACCTCGAGATCGCCACGCTCAGCAGCGGCAGTGCGCTTGGTGTCATGGCTCGTTTTCCAGGCCGGGGTACCAATGTACGGAATGCCGTTGGGATCCTCGAAGATCTGCTCCGTCTCCTCAAGAGTCTTGCCAGCAGTCTCGGGGAACATGAAGAAGACGTGGATCCACATGGCGGTGAGGAACACGCCGAAGATAATGTAGGTCTCCCAGCGGATGTTGGTGAACGCAACGGGTGTGAACAGACCGAGCGCAGTGTTGAAGGCCCAGTTGGCCGAAGTCGCCAGCGCGACAGCCTTGCCGCGCACCCGCAGGGGGTACAGCTCGGGTGGATAGACCCACGAGACGGGGCCCCAAGTAGGCGCGTACGAGGCGACGAAGAGATAGGTGCAGGCAATCAGGCCCTTGGCGGGAGCACCGGACAGGCGCATCGATGCCTCAGGGACGCCGTCGATCCCGCCGGGAACCACCACGCCATAGTTGGCCATGATACCGGCGTTGGCATACATCCAGGTCATCATCAGCGCGGCACCGATCAGGAGAGTCGGACGACGGCCCCAGCGGTCCACCCAGATCAGGGCGGGGACGGTCATGACGACGTTAATGATATACTGGATGGACGAGGCGAGCAGAGTGGCGTTGCCGGTGTAGCCGGCCATGCTGAACACGTAGGTGATGTAGTACATCATGACGTTCATACCGGTCAGCTGAGACCAGATCTGGGTCCAGATACCGATGCAGGTGCGGTTGATCATCTTGGGCTTGAACAGTTCCAGGTAGGAGACGTCCGCGTTGCGCCGCTCGAACTCGCACATCTCGCCGATCTCCTGCATCTCGGCCTGCACGAACGGGCTGTTGGGGTCACCCTTGCCGTGGACTAGGGCCAGGACGTCCTTGCACTCCTCCCAGCGATCCTTGCGGGCCAGCCAGCGGGGGGACTCGGGGAGGAACATCATGCCCGCGAAGAGCAGGACGGCAGGGACCATCTGAACACCCCAAGGAATGCGGAAGACGGACTCGCTGTAGGTGGTGGCCGTCTTGCCGCCGATGTAGGAGCAGCCGAAGGAGATATAGTACATGATCAGGATACCCCAGGTGATGGCCCACTGCTGGGAGCCGACAAGACGGCCGCGCAGAGAGGGAGGGGAGATCTCGGAGATGTAGACGGGAACCTGAGCCGACTCGATGCCGACGGAGAGACCGTTGATAACACGGCCCGCAATGAGCATGCCCATATTTTGTGAGGCGCAGATAATCGCGGAACCAATGACCCTATATAAAGGAGACAGGTGAGTTTCACTTCTACTGCGAGGATATTCCCCCTCTTATCCCCCCAAGGGCTCGGCTCAATGCTGCACTTACCAGATAATACATCCCACCATAATCGAGTACTTGCGACCCAGACGATCCGAAATGAAACCAGAAATCAAAGCACCAAGCCACGAACCAGCGGGCATAGCAGCAGTCACACCACCCTGGGCCAGCGAGTTGAGACCCGAGCAGGTTTCCGAATCATTGAAGGGTGGGCCCTCAGGGCCATGGTTGAAGTAGCACTTGTACGCAGTCGTACCGAGAATGGCGGACATCGACGAGATATCGAAGCCAAACAGACCGCCTCCAATAACGGAGACGGCTGCAATTACATAGATGTTCCCGACGACGACCATGATGGCGGACAGTCTCTTAGGGGCAAGCGGAATCCCTGATCCCAAACAACTTGGGTTTGGGTGGGGTGGAGGGGGAATGGAAGGGAAGGGAGGGGGAGGTTGGGAGTAGAAACAAATTCCACGATCAACACCGAGGGTCACGCCGGAAGAGGGAGGTCTTAAATAGATGAGATCTACTTCAATTCTTTCTCTACTGGGAGCAGCCTGGCTTCACTTGACTGACAAGCCACTTGCCGTGGGTGGGCCGAATGCCGGGCCGGACGCCATTTCGAGACCGGAATCCACCCGGAAGAGGGCAGAAATGTGGTAAGGTTCATTTCGGATAGTCTCCAGGGGGCAGCAGTCTGGGGAGAATACAAAATACTGGATGTATGGGGGCATACCATCGAGTAACAATTGCATAATGGCAAGGTGAGTGCAACGTTCCCAGCCGATGCCAAGACTCCGCTCGCGAACGGGCTGGGAGAGACATGATTGGTGGATATACCCTTGTATAGATCCACTATTAGGACTCTGATTGGTGCACGCAAGGCGATCGCTGGCAGGATCCGGGGAATCGGCCACGAGGCGACGGCTTTTACCCAAAACAGTCTGGCGCTGTACGAAAAACGGCAGCATGCCGGTTCGGGGGGGAATTCGGGGGCCAGCCGCATGTCCAGTCGGCATCAGCGCGATGCCGTGTTCGGCTGCCGAGTCTTTGGGAAGCAACACACGACGTACTCCGGGTACTCGTGTACGAAGTATATACTGTAGGTGGGAAGGCTGAGAAAGATCTGGCTGGGTAAGATTCGGAATAGCTTAAGGGATCTCTCCTAGGAGGGAAACCCTGGATTTGGCTGCAAATCGTGCCGTCAATCGCCATCATCGCACAGCTACACAGCTACACAGCTCGTCGGCAACCGACCCGAGCACAAGCAGGCACGACTCGCGTTGCGCCTGGTTTCTCGCAGTTTTTCCTCTGTCCGTACGGTAATGTAATCCAGTAAATCTTTCCCTTCGCTGGCATATTAAGAGATTAACCGGGTCAGAACCCACTTAGTCTTGCACCACGACAAATCTCTGCCTGAAGGCCAGTCCGGGGCCCCAAGTGCGGGCATTTAGCCAGAACAGGACGGCCTGGCATGCATTTACTCGGCACTATCGGGCCCTCACTGGCCGGCGCTCGCCGAATGTGGGCCCTCGGAATTGGCCCTGCCAGACGGGCTGTTGGCTGGCGGTCCTCCCCGTGGTTACCGCGTGGCTCACGTAGTCGTGGTTCCCAAGCATCGTCTTTAATCCCTGCCAAGCACGGGAGGCGTTGGAGGCGCCGCAGAGGGCGTCATCTGTGCCAGATGGCGCCGATTTCCCACATCACACCATGCGACTCTGTAGAGCCCGGTGCAGCCGGTTAAAATCGCGACTTGCAGTGTGGTGGGCGAGGTGGGCTGGTGGGCCTCAGGCTGATTTAGCCTCCAGCCTGCAAAAGGGGGACGAGGCATTTCCAAGGTTTCCCGGGGTCTGTCCCTCCTCGCCTCCCCGGCATCCCCACCTCCAAGTCGCACGGCTTCTGCGGAGAGCCTTTGTCCGCATTTGTACACCGGGAGATTATTCCCCAGACCAAATGCCTCCTCCACATGGAACGCGAGGCGGGGAAATCCTGGATAGGGAAATTGAAGTTCCCTTCATCTAACAGTCCCAACTTCCCTGGTATGAATCCCGTACGGACTATCTATGACCGACGCGTCCAGCAACCCGCCCCGCTCATCGCTAGCAAACTTTGAACTTTGATACTAAACTGCACGGACCCGACATTTTTCCTTCACCCCGACATTTAGCCAGTAATATGGCCGTACCCTCGCGTTGCACGATGCAATGACCGGCCGTTCGGGCGCAGATAAGCCTTTGGCGCGGCCGAGGCGTTTTTGTCCTGCGCCATTCCGTCTGGTGCCCTTCTCAATGCAACTCCAGGGCTGGTGCGCCATACTGCGCTAGCGCGTGAATGGGACGCCTCCGCGTCATCAGGGTGCACGGTCGCTTCCCGGGATCCACGGCAGAACGGATGGTTTCACGTTCGGGAGTTGAGACCTTGGTTGCGGTGTGTCGAGTTGTGTGATGTCAACCCCAGCGGGAGTTGCATTCGAGGAGTGGGGGTCTGGGACCACGCCTGAACGAGGCAGGAGTTGAATTCTGCCGCTTCTTGTGCTGGAGGTTTTCTTCCATGCTTGCTGTGTACCAAGGACGTTAATGCGATTCTATGGATAGCGTTGGTCGTCATACTAAAAGCGCAAAGATCAGCCTCAGCCGGCCAGTTCTCAAAAAATTAGATTTGCGTCATCTTCAGAAAGCTGATATAGTTGCCTTGACATACGGCAGAAAGGGGAGTGGGAGGGGAGTGCGAGGCCAATCTGGGTAGTTTCTAGATTTATTGGTGCCTTGAAAAAAGATCGCGTCACAGGGGACGCGCAACACTACCACCTATTCACTTTCGTCAACAATCTTGCAGAACAGGCTCTGAATACCTCATGACACCACTTTCCATTCAAGGGCTTACTGGAAAGGAAGAAAATGAAAGTGTATCGTCCAGTCCTCTGAAAAGCCGACACGACTCCTCTATATCGTATAGCTCGCCAATAGACATTCCCCATCCGCCCAAATGCTACTCCTGTCAATGCCACCCGGGAACAGTGCATGGTCAAACCTCAAAAGATCGAATATCTCTAGCAAGGGTGGCAACTGTCCGACCCCAGAGGAGGCGCAAGATCTCTTCTACAGCTCCGTCCAATATTCTCTGGGGATTGGACGTTATAGCGCACACCTGAGTTGTTTCGCCTTTACTAGGGAAAATTCTCATATTGATGAGTATCCACCTTGGATCAATACCAATATATCTCTTAAAGAAAGACTGTGAATGATCTCGTGATCTTGAAGCTGTGCTCTGTCTGCTCTCTAAGCTTCTGAGCTACATCAAGCATAGCTATTTTGATTATGTCTTTAGATCGGACTGGCCAAACTAGGTATATCGTGGTGGTGGTATACTTATCACAACCCTTCGCAAGCCGGACAATCTAGGCTAGCACGGCTCTTGAGATTCAAATTTCCATCAAACTAACAGAATTACCATTCAAGGTTCAGCCGCCACAAATGTGCTAGTTGTCACTAGCCTCCCATTGGGTATCATAATGGAAAGATTAGCTGTTCTCCACAGCATTACATTGCAGGCTTTGTTGATCGCTGTTATAGGTCTACTTTACGGGCAGTCGGTGGCAGGCTTTAAAAATTTAGCTATGAAGCATTCAACGTAAGTCTTTCGGAGATCAAATGGGATTCAATTTGTCACCGTATGTGCACCAGGACCATTGCATACCATAGTTGTGACCTCATTTGTGATTATAGATCCAACGGAAACTGATCCGTAGAAAGAAGAACATATCGAGAGTCAAAATGCAGATTCGTATTACCGCGTAGGAGCCAATAAACTAGGAATGTCGCTATCACTAACGCCGGAAAGAAGAAACACACCAAAAAGGTATAAAGCAACTACCGTCCCAACACCCACTCTGCAATATACGCCCAAGACATCCCTACTCGGCCCACCTGCGACTGATACTCCTGGGCAGTAACACCACGGCAGTCATGACGGTCGCCAAGGGTTGTCAAAACAGCAATTTGCACCTTCTGGCCCGGGGCGCCGAGCTGACGGGCGTCTGGAACATCTACATACCACATCTCGCCGCCGCCTCCGGGGCCAGACCCGGGGACATGTTTGAAAGGAAGACGATCTTCTTCGCGGCCATCCACACCGTGGATCATGAGGAGGAAGAGGCCGGGCTTTTGGCGGCTGTGCCTGAGGAGAGTCCAGTGTTCGCATAGCAGTCCAAATTGAAAACGGATAGGGCCGGGGGTGTTGTAGATGGAGATATTGCCACCGGCCGGGTAGAGGGTCTTCCGGCCAATGCTGTGCTTGTCGGCATCATTATAGATTTGCATCGGCTTGAGGCCGGACGGCATGTCCGCGTTCGTAGTGATATATTCCTCCCAGCTAATTTGGCGCCTGTCATTGCGGAAGAAGTGGTCTCTATTCCCGGGGAAGTGTTTTAGGCCGAACTCTTCGTTTGAGATGGTGAACATGGCTGGCTCGAAACGCTGAATATATGGCTGCCCACGGCCATTGACGGCACCGGCACCCCAGCATGCGTCAATCAACTTCCACTGACCCCCATCAATCTTGACTGCATTCCAAGCATGGCCGGCATTGTATGGTGGTACGGGTTGACCTGGGGCGAGGTCCGAGTGACCATATCCCTTGCCGTGGCCTGAGACCACGATGGCTTCAAGCCCTGCCTTCGTGGCTAATGCTGCGAAAAGACCCGCGTAACCCTCGCACACTGCCAATCCGGTGGCTAATGTGCTGGCTGGTGTTGATGGCTTGATATTCTCATTAAAGAAGGCGACTACATCGTATTGGATGTTGTGGTGCAGCCACGTGAAGATAACTCTTGCCTTGTCGGTCAAGGATGGGAATGGTGCAGTTAGCTCGTTCGCCAGCCAGCCCAGATCTTGAGTCGGAAGTGATGCGCGCGGATACTGAGCCGCCCGAGTATCCGGACCAGAGAAGTCTCGGCACACCAGACATTCTGTGCTTGGGTTTCCAGCAGGTGCAGTGGCACCGGGAACAGAACCATGAAAGCGAGGCTTAGTTGTATTCAGCTGGGAAAGATCAGGACGAGATCCAGTCGGCACCGGCGGCGGCAGTCCATTGGAGGCTCCGTTCTCAGCTGGGGTGCTGCTCGGCCTTCGAGGAATATTAGGGCTTTTGTTCAGTCCACCAAACCCTAATATTCGAGGATCCGGAAGATTGTTTGCGGTTGATGGTGGAGGCAACGGACGGGCCGGCAGCCTGGGTCTGAATTCTTCTGCATCCTCATCCGTTCTATCTGGCTGTGTCTCAACTCCAGACGGCCGGCGCGATGGAAGTCGAGGGGCAGGTGATGGATCTCTAGCCGATGGACGGGAAGCCAAGCTAGGACGAGACGGAGTAGAGGAAGACGAAGACGAAGATCCAGGAATTTTGCCCCGCAAGGCTGATAGTTTCGCAGTCAATCCACCCGTCAATCCACCCGTCAATCCACCAGCACTTGGCTTGGACTCGGAGCGCGCAGCCGGTTGCAGATCGACGAGGTCTTCCTTTGGCCGCCTAGGAGGTAGCACAGGTAAATCAGTCTCACCCCATGCGGGGGCCTTGATCCGGCCGGTACCATTGGAATTCACAGATGTCGTCGAAGCACCACGACCAATGCTAGTAGCAGCTGTCGAGTGCGACGCGTCAGACAAGACCGATTCCTGCGAAGGTCTCCGCGATGGTTCCGTGGGCCGACGGGGCGGCAATGAAGGGCGGGCTTCTGAACACACCGGGGGCTGTCGTCGCGCTGGAGGATCTGGTCGCGTCGGCAGCTCTGGGCGAGAGGGCGGCGGAGGGGGAGGTCGGCGATCTGATCGGCGCGTAGGCAAGGGCGGTGGGGCTTTCTTGGGTTTCAACTCTGGCTTCGGCGATGGCGTGGGAGGTGGCCGCGGGGCCGGCCGTTGTGTCTGCAAGCCTGCAGGCTCATTTCCGATCGATACGCCGTCCAGAACGGAGCCGGCCACGTCGTAGGAGGGAGGGTTGTTGGCCGATCTGCTTCGCTCGGTGGGCGGGCGGAGGAAAAGAGGCGGTTCAGTGCCTCCGGCCGACTGGGCCTGCTTGAGAGCGGCGATCCGCTGCTGGATCGAGCCCAGCTGTGGTTCTTCAGTCATCGCAATCTGCTCGAGCCAACTCCTCGGCTGTAGGACTGCGACTGCGACTGCGATTGTGGAGGGGAATGATTAAAAGAAGTTGAATCACAGCTGTAACAACGGTCACCCCCAAGCACACTACTTGGGGGGCTTGGTGGGGGCCGAAGCGTAGCCTCGTTGGGGCTAGAGTAGCCTGAGTCGCTACGGGGTGGGGCGAGAAAGCGATCAGGAGCAACGGAGCGATAACCCTGGACACAACCTGCGGGGCGCAGTCGAGAGGGAAGTGGAAAGGCGGCTCAAGCAGACGACACGGGCCGACGTCGGGGGCGAGACTCCGCCTCGAACCGTGGCTCGCCATCTTGAGGGTAAACAGACTCAGGCACAAACTCAGGAACCACGCCAGGACAACTCTAGGTGTTGCCTTACGTGGTGCTTTTCAACAATCTTGGATGGAAGCAGTTATGCTTTGAAGTTTAATTCCAACATGCCTTCCTCCACCACTCCGACTCCTAAACGCCTGAGACGGCTAGAGGAGCCCCCGTCGAGGGAATAGGTTTGAACACAAAGAGAAGACCTAGATACATCCAGACGAAGCATGGGAAAATAGGCCCATCATGAAAGGTAACAATGCACACAAAGAATAATAACCATCGGCTGCGTGACTAGCTGCTCTGATCGCTGGATGGGGATCCTCACAACCAGGCGTCAAGAGGATGGCTACGAGCGATGGACGTGAGAAACATGGAATACATCAGTGGGGAGAAAGGAAAAGGAATTCACAATGAAGAAGACCGCAAGGGCCAGGAGTCAGGATCGATCATCAAGAAGCATCACATCATCCCAATGGACATAATCGTCAAAGCGGGCGTCCGGGGCTCCTAAACGTTCTTGTACAAGAGCAGCGGCTCACCGACGTTCTCGATCTCGGGGATGGTACACTTGAGGTCAAATGCCTTAGCCAGTACGATCTTGAAGATCTAAGGGACGGTTAGTAAGGCAGTCTGATGGATCCAATCAGGGAAACGAACCTTCTGCACGTTGATACTGTGACTGGTGCTACTGAAGATCAAGCTGGCCTTCATCGCCTTCGCAAATCGCTTAGCCTGAGATTTGTCAGTTTCAAACGACTTCTAAACTAGGACCGATATAAGGGAGGGTATACCTGAAGTGAGATTTCCTCTTGGTCCTCCCGGGGAAAATTGACAAAGTGGTCGTACTTGGTACCAACCAAGAACGGAATGGCGGTCTTGTTGAAGCCCCGACCTTGGCGATACCATTCCTTAATGGAGTTGAGGGTGCTCTTGCGGGTAAGATCGAACATGAAAAGAATGGCCACGGCGTCGTTGCAGACAAGCGGAAGCATGTTCACAAACTCGCGTTGGCCACCAAGGTCCCAAATCGAAAATGTAATCTCGGTGTTGCGAATTGAGATGGTCTTCTCCATGAAGTTGACACCTGTGATCCCCTAGTCAGACGAAAAGGCTATTTTACCTCAATTGAGGGTAATATGTCAATACGTACCCAATGTCTGAATGTAGTCCTCATCCCAGCTGCCCTCCACGTATTTGACCATCAGACTGGTCTTCCCGATTTGCGCATCGCCAACCATGCCGACCTTGATGACAACGCTATTCTTCGAGGACTGCGAGGCTTGTCGTTGGGCAGCTTCCGCGGGCTGGGGCTGCTGAGACAGCGCATGTCGTTCCGCGCCACTGGAGAACCCCCGAGCCAGGTCTGGAGGGGTGCGGCTGAGGCTGCTGGTTGGCTGATGGGGATGAAGTGAGCCGAACCGCAGGATCGGCATCTTGGGGGGTGTATTCAGGAGCAGAGTGGTGGAAGTCAGTCGAGCGCGAGTGATAGTGGGCCTTGGAGTCGCTGTTGTAGCCGTTGTCCACGCCTACGTGGCCGGCAGGCTGATCGGCTGGGACTGGTTCCTCAACATTAACACTGACAGGCGCCAGCGCCGGGTCCTCCAGAGGTTGGTGTTCGGATGAGAGGGCTTCTGGCGGCGCAGATGCCTCCGGCGCTTGGCCTTCCACAGGAGGTTGCTGCGGCTCCGCAACAGCAAGGACCTCCGAGACAGGTTGCTGCAGCGGATCCATGCTTGATGATCGGAGTTGGTTGTTCGGGGGAGGGAGAGTTCGAGGGTACAACCTCTGCTCAGCATATTGCTGTTAGCACCTGCGGGGAAAGGAGAGAGACCCTTGTGTGATATGTCACTAACCAATGCCGTACGTCTTGGGCGCCACTGGACCGTCCAGCCAGAGCACGTCTACCGCAGTAGGCTGTCTGTAGGTGTCAAAACCCTGGCCAAGAAGAAAAGGCGAAGGGTGTGGTGGTCGGATAAGATGCGAACAAATGAATCGGGTTCGGCGTAAACAGTGCTCAGACGGGTAGCGAGATTGCGACGAGAAGGATGACGGAGGGCGGTGATGGCCCACGAAGCAAACGAGGGTACGCAAACGCGGGAACACAAATGAAGGTCGTGGCCGTTCCTTGCAGAGTTGCAGAGCAGTCCAGACAAGTCACGTCGGTCACGTCGGTCCAGTCCCAATCAGCCCAGGCCGGTTGTTCAGCTCACCTTCGACTGCGGGAACAGTGGGATCTGCGCTAGTCCCCGATAGGCTTAGTGTATATCCCACCAGCCGCCCAAAATTTACAGAAAAAGTTCTTATCGGCCGCCAGTACCCCCCATCCTAACATTCCCCCATCGCTGTCAGTGCCTCTTTCACTCGTCCACGATGTCGAAGAGAGCTGCGGATGCAGGCGACGAGCAGTCGGCTGCGCTCAAGGCCGGCGAGCGCCCAATTGCCAATGCCCCTGCGGACGAAGTGGGGGAGTTTGAAGACGAGTTCGAGGACGAGTTTGAGAGCGAGGATGAGATTCTGGAGGCCGGCGTGGATGGTCGCCCGGATGCTGAGCGTGAGGAGGAGGAGCGAGGTTTGTCCATTCTTACCGCTTGTGTCGTCCGACGCCCGCAATGGATAGTAGGAAGCTGATTTTTATCTGAATTGGGCAGAGGCCATGGATGTCGACAAGCAGACCTTCATTCCTGGACGGACGAAACTGGCACCTGGAGAGACACTCTCCCCCGATCCATCCACCTACGATATGCTGCACACCCTGAGCACGCCCTGGCCTTGCCTGTCGTTCGACATTGTGCGCGATACCCTTGGCGACAGCCGCAAAACCTTCCCCGCAACCGTCTACGCCGTTGCCGGTACACAGGCCGAGGGCTCTCGGGCAAAGGACAACGAGCTGATGGTGCTCAAGATGAGCGGCCTGAGCAGAATGGAGCGGGAAGGGGGGATTCGGACGATGAGTCGGACTCGGATGACGATATGGGCGAGCCCATCCTCGAGCACAAGTCCATCCCGCTGGGCTCAACGACCAACCGCATTCGCTGCCACCAGACGCCATCCCAGTCGGCAGATTACTCGAAACCCCCACAGACGCTGACCGCGACTATGCTCGAGAACTCGCAAGTCCTCATTCACGACGTTACCGCCCACCTTACCAGTTTCGATGTACCTGGCACTATTCTCCCTCCCTCTGCCTCCAAACCTCTCTCTACTCTCCGCATGCACAAGTCCGAAGGTTACGCCCTGGACTGGTCGCCGCTCCAGCCTCTTGGCAAGCTGTTGACCGGTGACAACGACGGCCTCATCTACGTGACAACCCGCACCGAGGGCGGCGGCTGGGTCACCGACACCCGGCCCTTCACGGGCCACCAGTCTTCCGTAGAGGAGCTGCAGTGGTCGCCGAACGAGAAGAACGTGTTTGCCTCCGCCAGCAGCGACGGCAGCGTTAAGGTCTGGGATGTGCGGTCCAAGTCCCGCAAGCCGGCCGTGGACGTGCAGATCTCCAAGACGGATGTCAATGTCATGAGCTGGTCTAACCAGACCTTCCACCTTCTCGCGACTGGTGCTGATGACGGCCAGTGGGCCGTGTGGGACCTGCGGCACTGGAAGCCCAATGATGCAGGCCAGATCCGCGCCACGCCCGTTGCGTCGTTCGACTTCCACAAGGAACCTGTCACCAGCATTGAGTGGCATCCCTCGGACGACAGTGTGGTGGCAGTGGGCTCGGCTGACAACACTGTCACTCTGTGGGATCTGGCTGTCGAGCTGGACGATGAGGAGAGTCGCCAGGCGGGCATGGCCGACATCCCACCACAACTACTCTTCGTGCACTACATGGAGTCTGTGAAGGAGGTGCACTGGCAAGCTCAGATGCCGGGTACTCTCATGGCGACTGGCGGCAGTGGCTTCAGGTATGTATTTTCGTCTCGCATAGCGTTCTTGGCGTATGCGCTCAGTATTAACCTTCTTCTCTCAACAGTGTCTTCAAGACCATCAGTGTCTAGACGAACGCACACCCAGTCCCCACCCTTTCGCCAACCACTCCAAAATAGAAAAAAGTATTTCATGTGTGATGTCCTGCTCATATACCATTCGAGTACCGCGGCATGCGACTCGTCTACATCGGTTCCGGAGTTGATGAGTTGAGAGGCCCTGCCATTGCGACGAACCCGGGTGGCAGGGCAATGAACCAAACCATTATTTTATTCTCTTGTCTGTCTGTGTCTACATTTTGCGGGCGCGGACTAGATAGACATGCATTTCCCACGAGTTCTATCTGTCCCATACTCTTGATTCTTTGTGCTCCTGTACCACTATTAGTTTATGTCTCTGTCTTGGGACCCTGTAAGATAGTCGCTAGTCCAAGGCTTCAATCGCTATAAAAAGAATATTCAGCAGGCCAATGCTATTACTGCGGAACGAACAGCCTCCCAATTCCGCCCTCACCCTGGCAATCAGCCGAGGCGCAGCGATAACCAGGGGACTGTGTTATCAGAGGGAGGGGGAGGGGCAATGAGCCCTTGCTCGGGGAGCTACAGTACGGTAGCCGCACCTGCACAACATGTCTCGTACTAGCGTGGGCAGGGCCAGTCAATCCCAGGGCAGGCTAAATGTTCGGACGGGCAAGGGCAAGAGAGTCATGATCACCCTAGGACCGCTGGGTAATTGGCAGGATGAAGGATAGGAGCTAAACTGGTAGCACAGACTAGCAAGCGTATCGCCCGGCAGGGGGCATGTATGGCGTAGCGCGGATCAACTAAAGGATGAAGTACAGTAGATGTACAGCCGCCGGATCTAACGGCACGCAGTACTCCGGTCCATGTACACGCCCTGCGCATGCAGGCGCACTGCTTGTCCTCGTGTACGGGGTACGGAGTACAGTGGGAGTGCAAAAGTTTGAAACTATTCCCTTAGTGCCAAGCTTTTTCTGCCGGATAAAAATCTACTGAAATAGCTGAAATTAAACCGCAACAACGTATATGTTTTGTATTTATACCACCTATCGGCCTCAGTAATTGCCGGGCCTGCCCGGAGAGCCATCATAGCCGGTAAATCAGCTAGCATTAATAATATGTCGAGTGTTGGAAGGACACGGTATAGGCGGTGGGCAGTAGGCGGTGAGTAGAAAATAGTTTCAAACTTTTGCACTGCCACTGTACCTACAGTACAGTACAGTACGTCTCATACAGCGTGCCCACCTGTCAGCGCACGCCTGGACGAGGGTCTATAGATTACAGCTATGTATACGGTACATGCACCGGCAGGTGGTGCCGCTGCAGCCAGTAGCAAGTGAATACGTACCTATACTTTGTCGCCCGACTATAGTACTGTAACTTACCACGCCGTAAGCAGGTACAGTACAGTATACTACGGAATCATGCCTTGGCGCTGGCCCCAGGCCGTCCATGCGCCATTATTCTCGGCGCCGTGCTGGACCCGACTCGGGTGCGACCGTGCAGACTGGACCAGTCGGTCTCTCACATCCTGGGCTGGTGGCAGGTCGTGGAGCCTGGGTTAGCGTTGCCGGTGGGGCCTTGGAGATGGTGCGATGCTGGTGGTGCTGGTGGGTAATCTTGCATACACTGTGCGCCAGTCTGGGCGATCGTGGGCGATTCTCATGCGTATGGCTTAGACGTTTGGCCTTGGGGTTGGTCGTGGCGATAGGATGAGGTCGGTGGATGGTTGCGGGGAGTTTCTATTCGTTTTGGGAGCGTGTGTGGTGCTGTGTTGTCTGTGAGATCTGCGCGGATTCGTAGGGGGTTGTTGCGGTGACCACGGCGCCGTGAACTTTCGCGGCATACTATCGATATTCTTTGGTTGGAGGGGCAAAGTGGGTTGGCCGAGGTATGAGATGCATGGGCTTGGCGGTCCTGTTGGTGGGAGCGACTGCGCGTCCGAAAAGAAAGACCAGAGTAGAGACGAGGCGGAACACAAAGGGTATAAGCTCGGAGAGGCATCAATGTATGGAGTACAGTCAAGCGATTGGTTTGGTCTATGGCGCCAGGTGTAGGATCTTCCTCCTCCTCGCCCTCAATTGTAGAAATAAGAAATCAGCTACATTGCCGCCGTCGATCTCGACTAGCTATACTGGTCGCTGAAACTCGAGCTGTTGCAGCGCTAGGATGTACATCTACAAGGGTATACAGCTAGATTTTACTAGTTGCAGGGTCGCAAAAAAGGCTACATGCCTATACATCGTCCATACATCCGTCCATACATCCCGGCGAATATACACAGTCGCTCTCCTGTTGTGAACACAGAATACTTCGGAATGGATACAGGAATACCTGGATACCGGAATACCGCTAATGCATGAGGAGGAAATTGGCCAATCGTATCAGATCTAGACGCTCTTGCCATCCGGCGCATGCACGTTCCGTGGGTGATCATGCACTGCGACCAAGTAGAGTTCGTTTTTCCTGCAGGCTCTCAGGCTAAGACTGTTTCTACGGTCGGCATTTCTCCGGTGAAATCGATCGCATAACGATATCAACTTGCGCTAGGTAGGAAGGATGCTACCAAAAGGACCGCGGTGCTCGGGACTAGTGCGGGCTGCTGGGGGAATTTCCCGGGATACTAGTCAAGCTACGCAGCAGGTACAGCGCAAATAGAATTCAATCCGCTGGCGACTACGGAATAGAAGGCTTCCGTGCGGCGTGCTCTTATCGGAGAATCTCGCGATTTCCAGTCCGAGCTCCTTTATTAGGACACCGCTAAGGTACGAGCGCCCGTGTCCACCAATGGGTCCCACCAATGGGTTCCACAGGGGGTGGGGGGGATTCGCAAGGTCAAGACAAGCCAAGGCACTGACTGTAGTACTGACTGGGTCTCTATGCGCCAACAATCGCCGTCGTTCCGTCCTAAATATAATTTCTTCACTGATCTGAATTGTTAGCGCTGGGTACGCTCCCGAGACTGAGTTTCTGGACGTAGATCAGTAAGTACATCGCCCGGCAGTGTCCGTCGACTGTCCTCGGTCGGTACTATCCTCGCCACCACCTTCCTGGTGATCACTCCCCCTGGCTCTCCTGAGGCGTGAACGTGCGCATCATGCCATTGGCCCATTTTTTCAAGGCTGCGCCCTGATGCTCGCCTGTATAGGTTTTGGTCAGCGCAGGGACTCGGCGGGCGTCCTGTAGGGATTCACCGGGAATTCATCTTCCCAACCAGTAGCTCCCAGTGGCAAGCTGCATGTAATATCGCATTGTGCCGTTTCATGCTCATGCGATATCAGGCCGGCTACGACATTTGCCGTCTGCTGTCTTGACTGGGGATCGTAGTGCTCGAAGGCGTCAACTGACCGACTAGCACGAAGTTGGTACTCGGTGAGGTTAACTATCAGCCGCCTTGTCGTCTTCTAGTACCATTTTCACGAAAAAGAGAAGGAAAAAGCCGCGCCTTTCAAGACTCGTCTCGTCGCTTATTGGGATGGATATGCGATATACGGCTACATGTTCCTTCTTCCCGCATTCGGTAACTGGCTTACAGTCTACTGCTGCGGTGCGGCCATCGTATCGAGTACTGCACTCCCATGTGGCGGGCCATCTCGAATTCACTATGATAAGGTTCGATTCGTGGGATTGGACCGCGCGTACAAAATTTAATCTTCTAGCCCGATTCGTCGGTCAATGTTCTCCATGCCGATAGGCAAAATGTACGGGCCACCAAATCTCGAGATGCGAGATCGCGAATGACGTTGGGAGGGCGTTTGATGTACAACTTCTCTAAGGGTCATGAAGCCGGGTATAATGGCGCTGCGCAAACCGATGGTGACGGTATCACCGACGGCTCGAACGTCGGCCTGTCCGAACTGCATGGAATCAACGGCCCCGGTTCCACCTGGCCTGACAGGATCCATCGCGATCCTTCGAATCCACCACACCCGCCACAATCGGTGGACACTCGCCCGCTCGTTCTGCCTTGCTAACACTATCTCACTATTGAAGGTGGGCCGCAAGCGACGATGACGCGCAGGGCCAGCGAATCCTAGAGCCTCAGGGCCACTGATGCTGCCTGCGGCCGACCCTTACTGGGGACACTCAACACTGACACGGATAGGCGACCCGTCAGCCTATCGCTTTCCGCGTGACATGCACAGACCCAGAACCCAAAAGCACGGAGATCGACCGGTGGCCACGACTTGGGGGCCGTAGGACTGCTTTATTGCAGACACGTCGCGCTTTGGGCGTTCTGCGAGATCGTCGGGCGGGCCAATAGGCGCGGCGTGTCACGCCTTGTGGGCATTCATCCACGGGCGACCAGATTCGAAGAACTCTCGTCTCGATTGTTCGGGCCGGCTCTCCTCAGGAACCATGTGCGAAGGGAGATACCGCTGGCTCCGGAGGGGATGGCGTGAAAGCCGTCCGGTGCAAATGAGGGCGAGCGCAAGCGGACGAGAGTTAATATCCGAGCCGTGAGCGCATCCCACGCGCTATCGGCAGACTTGATGCCATCGTGCACAAGCGGCGAGCACAGGCCACGCAGGGATCAACCCGTAGCATGGCGGATGGGGATAAGGATGCGTGCATCGGAGAATTTCTGGTGGCTGTGTTATTCAGGTGGTACCTGGTGCTTAGGCGATTCTGTTGTTGCTGCAGCGAGGATGCGCAAGGTGCATACAGGCCAAGGTTTCATGGCTTGTAATTAATAATTGATCCCGCGACTGGGATTGCTTGGATGGGCCGGTCTGCTGTGTGTCGCCGTTTGGGCCAGTCTGGTCCAGTCCAGTCCGGTCTGGTCTGGGGTTGTTGCACCAGCGATAGCTCGACGGCAAAGGCCTGTGTCAGCGATCCCCCGCAAAGCGCGGTTACGCAATAACGTTCTTTCGCCGAGTCGATTCGGATGAGGGGACTGTCTTCTGGAATGGATCGGCGGTCTGTGTCTGTTCACCAGGGGGACGACTGCCTATGACTGGTAAATGTGTCCGTGGCGCTCTGCTGGCCCTGCCCTAGGGATGGATTTGGCCTAGGGGAAGTGAGCGCACGAGGGATTGACTTCTGCGGGATGCGAGGGACTGTTTTGACCTACATTTACTGAACAAACCTGGCCGTACAAGCAGAGGAGGAGCAGAGGAAGTACAGTATATGGACCGTTTTTCTACCATAGTGCTGCCCGCAGCCTAGGCAACGGCCCGGGCAACGACCCCATCAATCCCGGCCGGCCTTCACCTTTGACAGTCATGTTGATTGGACTAATCGGCCGCATAGTGGTACAATAAGTCCTCTCCGGATCAATAGAAAAAGCAAAACTCAAGCAGCAGCGCTTTCTGGTGCGGTCTGTGTTGACCTGTATGCCTGCATGGCCCTGTACTTTACCTCTGTCCTCCGTATCCCTTGAGGTACGTCCACTCGAGTTTAAATCGCGCATCGGGCCCGCTGGTCGATGTTTAGCCCTCGACAAGCCCGTCCACTCGGCTGGTTGGAAGTGCCGATGTGCGTCGGGAGTACTGAGCGTGGGATAGTATGTATTTCGTCCTCAAGCGCGGACCAGTGGTGGTCGCTGGACGCCGAAACTCTTAAGGCTGCCAGCATCAAACTAGTGAACTAAATATCGCATATTGAATGGGCAATAGGACAATGCAGCTTGCTCTCTCCACAGAACTTATTTCTATTATTCACCCTGGCCATCTTGATTATCAATCCTATCTCTTTTTCAACACACTGCTCCGTCCTGGCCGACCCTCCACGCTAGAGCCCCCAAGATCATCCCGCGTCGCCGCGGCGAAGGTGGGCAGGGTGGCTGGTCATGCAGCCGTTTCATTTGTCCCTCGACACGCCTTGAGTCATCTCGGGTCACCTGCAGCGTCTCTCAGACTCTCCCTAGTGGCCTTGGCCTGCCTAGTCCGGCTTTAGCGGCGCATGGGCAGGTCTGGGGATTCTGCAAACGAGATGTCCGTGCGCGACTCCGTACAGTAAGACGATGGAGAGTATCGTATTCCGACGTGCCAACAGAGGGCATGAATGGCCTGTCTTAGCTTCACGATCATGATCTGTCTGTGTTTCAGAATAATCACCCTTCCAAATGAACAAGAGTACTCATGACTTCGCTTCCCAAGTCGTTTGTCTCTGATTTTTCCACCAGCGATTCGAAACCCACGCCCTTCCAGCCCCAACCACTTTACACAGTGTATTTGGTAATTTGGTCTGGTCTTCTGGTGAATGAAAGAGAGAGAAAGGCACTCAACCCATCGAATCACCTGCGGCGATCGTGGTCAGTCCACATCCGCCCCACCCCCGACCAGGAATAACTTATCCCAACCCCAGATCCAGCCGCATCGACCCTACCGATCCGGGGGATCCAGCACGCCAATGAAGCGGCGCACTCTCGTCTGCTCACCTCATTTCGTGCAACCAAACTCAAACAGACTTGACTGCGTCGGTGAAGGCACAGGGCAGTTTAACCGATGGGGCGAGTTCTAGAAAGTTTCCGGCCAAGGGGGCGCGAGCGGCCCATGGAATCCGGGGAGAGACCCCGTCACCACGAGAATCTTTACCCGGTCCTTAACCTACGAGACCACCTCAGGTACGGAGGACAAGTGCCGGGTTTGGTAAACTCCCTTTCCGCATGCAATCTTGTCCCTTCCATGATGTCCCTTCTTCAGCTTTTCGCCACACTAGCCACCAGACCACGGGGCCATGTGCCCCGGCAAAAGCAACCGGAGACTGCTGGCCCCAACGGCCCAACAGCCACACCCCAGAGTTGCAGGTGCAACCAGACGTGCTAGCCCGCGGATGGCATTGATTCGATTGGCGAGCATCGAGCGGCCTGGAGGAAATCCCCCACACGAACCTCTTCGGTCGTGGGCTCCCCCACAAAAATGGCGCATGGCCCTCTCTTATTTTGGGCCTTTGTTGCGGATCCTTCCGCTATTGGAGCGCCGCCCCAGCCTCGTCGGTGGATCTGGGTACCTGGGCCACCTCATAGCCGGTCCAGTACGGAGTATGGAGTACGGAGTACGGCGCACCATTGGAGGTCGGCCTTGCGACCGATGGTCTTGCTGAAGCTTTTCGCCCTCGCCCTTTGCAACCGCCGATCGTGACCGAAGGCAGAACCCGTCACGAGGGATGTTTGATTATAATCGCCCGCTCCTATGGTTTTATGAGCTAGTCTTATGCCGCAGGACGGTGTACGAGTGATTCAATTATTTCCATTATTCGACCTCAAGGTCCGTGGCGGACCATACGAGTTGGGAACAGGAACCTTTTCTTTTTTTTTTTTTTTTTTTGGCTTTCCCCAGCCATAAGACTGACCCATCTTAGTAGTTGTACGGAGGACTCCGTACGGTCAGCACGCTGGCGCAACATCGGCTCTGCCAGTCCGTACCTTGCTGGGCGAAGCACGAGGCATTCTTACTGCCAACTAGCATGTACTCCAACATCAGTAAATCAGTTCAGTAGTCCCACCTTCAGATCGGTGCTTTAGTTTGCTCGTTTGCTCGCTTGCTCGTTTGCTCGTTTGCCTGAAGCGTGCTCCAGTGTGCTGCTCTCCTAGCCGTAACTCGCAGTCTGTATCTCGCAGTATCTCTTATCATGGCGCTCCACCGGCGGTTTCAGCTCCTAAAGCGGGACGCCTCGCAACACCCACCTCGGCCTAAACCCCGGAGTTAACCAGGGAAGGTCGTTACCGTTACGAGGGATACAGTATGCCATGACGGGACTATACCCGACCGATTGCTAGTCCGGCCAGTGACGCCACTGCCCCCAAGCAGGCACCTGCATGGAGGCCTCTGGGCAGGCCGCGCGATGGCCTTCCCATGGCCCCGCCATGAGGCTGGACGATAACCAGCGCCAGGAACTGAACTGGTGAACTGGTGGGCTGCTCGGCTGAGCGAAGTGGGCAAGGCCCAGTGCGTGGCGCGAACATTTGGGACTACGCCGGTTCCGGCAGTACCCTGGCTCAGCATTGGCAGACGGCCACTCATGGTGCCGGTTAGCGTTCACCTGGACGTTGTCTGATCCTGGCTGGTCAAGTCGATAATCGGGGCCGAGTGATTGGCTCCGCACGCCGCCCACCCGTGGGCTGGCCCCACTGTGGCCGGTGGTATCTGCGGTATCGTGGGGTATTGCCAGGTATTGGGACCGTCACGCCGCGGCTGGCGCTCTGGGCCTGTTATCGGCCTTGTGGAGAAGGTGAACACTGGCAATATCGTGCTGGGTGCATGGTAGGATATTCGCAGGGTATCATCTGAAAGTGAGCCACTATTGCCACGGCTCCTGCCACGGTTGCCGTCCGTCGTACCAGCTTTACCCCGATGGCACCAACGGTATCAGTCATCGTATCAGGTTTCCCACGCTAAGCTCTGTCGGGTCCCTCCTTTGGCCGTAAGGTACGGCGATGCTCGGTACGTACAGGAGAGTACTGCGAGTACTTAGGTACTTGGAGTCCAGCGAGGCCAAACTGCTGTTGCTCGGAGGCAATTTACGTCCTCAACTTCTCCAAACTTCATCTCTTCTTTCTTCCATCTTCCTCATCCACCTTGCTCCTATCCCTTCCCCCTTGCTTCGTTCCCCCGTCCTCGTGTGTCGCGCCACTTATCTGGCTTATCTGCAATTGCCCGCCTCGGTTATCTCCGGCGTCATCAACTGCGCCAGCTCCGTGAGAGCTTCCAGAGGAGGTGATCCGCATTCTCGCTATTTTCCAATGGATGCTTGAGAAGGACAGGAATCTCGATTCGAATCACTTCACTTCCAGTGAGTTATCCCACCCGCCACAAGCCACCCCGTTTCCTCCCTTCCTCGTGGCGGGCGGACTTGTTCCCGGTTGCCTTGCTGATGATCCGAGCCTCTCCCTTCAAAAGACGTCCCAACGTCCACGCATCATCCCACCCACCGGCTGCAGGTCCTCAGATCCTGTTCTATTGCCCTCCGACTCCTGTGGCCTCCCCACTCGAGGCGCAAACTCATCCCCCTCCCCTCCCCCTGGACGATAGACCTTGTACATTGCCCACGTTCGCAATCATCTGGTGGGTCTTGGATGCTACCCCGGCACCGCTCCGATAAGCCTCGCCCGTTACCCTGGATCGGGGCAACAAACGACGCTGGTCTTTTCACACACTCTCTCTATTCCTCTCACTTTCGCACATACAAAAAAGGAACATGCTAACCTGATGTCATTCCGTTCGCGCAGTCATTGATGCGACATTTTGTTGTGTAAAATCTGTCGACAGACCACGCCAATCCGCGCTTATCGTCCCCTCTGCGAAGAGTGACGAATATCATTCCTTCCAAAAAAAAAAAAAAAAAACCCCCCGTATCGCTTGTCCAATTCCACAAGTTCAGATTCCCGCCAGCATCGCAAGCTGTGATCGTCCCTCCGTTCACCCCTAACAGAGACCAGTGCAGTGATCCTGGTTCGTCGGGGGCAACAGACACGCTTTCTAGGATGCTGTCGGATGTTATGGTCGGCCACGAACGAGACCATAGCCCAAAAGTGGTAGATCTCGCTAGTATCAACGAAATCCCGGGAAATATGCCTGGTAAGTCACCTCGGCGGCCCCCAGTCGGTCAGCTCACTCAAGTTGCCCACGAAATCTGAACTTTTCTTTTCCCATCGGCAGCTCCTCCGTCGAAGGAGAATAAGAAGCAGGTCGAAGCCAATGGTCAGACCGGCGCAAATGGCAATATTCCTCCGCCAAAGACAGACAAGCCGAGACCTCATGTCTGCACCACCTGCGGTCGCTCCTTCGCGCGATTGGAGCACTTGAAGCGTCATGAGCGCTCGCACACCAAGGAGAAGCCCTTCGAATGTCCTGATTGCGCGCGATGCTTTGCTCGCCGTGATCTGTTGCTGCGGCACCAGCAGAAGTTGCATATGACGACGACTCCGTCCTCCCGGCCCAGGAATGGTCGCCGAGAGAGTACGGGGGCTGCGGGTGCGGGTGCGGGCGCCAATCGGGTGCGCAAGAACTCTATCGCTAACAACTCCTCCTCGATGCGGCCTCGTGCCAATACTATTAGCCACATCGGTGGAACGGCGTTGGGCCTTCCCGATGCGAGCAATCAGTCTTCTGCGCCTGGTCAATCCGGCCACGCATACCACCCCAGCCTAGGATCTTCGCTCGGCTCCAGTGTGGACTATAGGGGGTTCAGCTCCGGCCATCCCCCCGTGAATGGCCTGACCAAGCTGGAAACGTCGGGCCTCCCCGTGGATATGTCCGGGGGATTGCGAACAGCGCCCGTGTACGGGAGCTTCGACATGGGTATCGATGGTATGCTCATGGGTCATGGCAGTACCATCAATCCTGCTCAATTACACTTTGCAGGTTCTCCACAGGGCTTTGGTGACTCCCCTTCCTCCCCATTTGGCCACCACCCCCATGGCTTGCCTTCCCACGCGGATCCCATGATGGACGAGGAAATGAACTTTGACTGGATGAATGGCTTCGACGCGGCCGTGGCGTTGGGAAACGGTAATGACTCGGTCATCGACGAGTCCTCGCCGTCGGCAATGAGCACGGGCAGCCAGAGCGGCATCAGTGAGGCCATGCTGGACGGACCCAATCGCATTCCCATTTCTAACGGTTGGCACAACCCGTTCCCCTCACACACGGCGGCTGCAGCCAACCAATTTGCGATCGACTTCTCGCCGACGACGCTGAATGAATTGGGGATCCCGCCAGAGACCGTCTCGCCCAAGTCGCTGATGGCCCAGAACCCGTTCGCGGAGACCTATGCCACACCCCCATCCATGACCTCGGTCGGCCAGCCCATCTTGGGAGGACACTCGCAGAGTATGTTTTCATCCTCTATGGCAACAAGCGGAGAATCTCCTAATCCTTTCAACGTTCCTTTCCCGAATAGTGCCCTACGAAGTCAACATTCCCCCATCTCAACGGATACCTTTACAGACTCCACACGACAGGCTCTATTAGCGAGCATGTCCAAACCCGCTGGCTTCAATCATCGCAAGTACTCTCAACCCGCTTCTGGACTCCTCCATAGTCGTGAGCTGTTTACCCGCTCGACTGGCTTCAACAGCTCCGGTCAATTGCCCAGCACCTCGGATATGCAGCGCTACATCTCGGCCTACATCACATATTTCCACCCCCACTCACCGTTTCTTCATATCCCAACCCTCAATTTCCAGGCCCCCGAATATACGAGTAGCCTGCGCATGCCTAGCGGGCATCTCAACCTTAGTTCAACCGGCGTCGCAGGAGGCGGTGGCTGCTTGATTCTCTCAATGGCTGCCATCGGTGCTTTGTACGAATACGACACTGCTGCGTCCAAGGATTTATTCGAGGCCGCGAAAAAGATGATTCAATTGTATCTGGAAGAGCGACGAAAGGCTGACATGTCTGCTGCGTTGAGCCGTTCCAACTCTGTCCGGGATAACTCGGTGCACAACACTCCACTGTGGCTCGTACAAGCTATGCTGTTGAATGTGATTTACGGTCATACGTGCGGGGACAAGACGTCTGCAGATATTGCTAGTACCCACTGTGCTGCTCTTGTTAGCTTGGCACGCGCTGCAGAGTTGACCCATCATCTGGGTCCCAAGAACCTGCCGCAAGACCATCTTAACTCTGGATTTGCCACGTCGGGTTCATCGGATATGGAGAACTGGATGTCAAACTCATTTGGCCAGCCAGAGGAACGACGTGATTGGTTAAACTGGAAAGTGGTGGAGGAACGGAAGCGTACACTCTACGCAATCTTTGTCCTCTCCAGCTTCCTGGTTTCCGCATACAACCACGCGCCCGCTCTGACAAACTCTGAGATCAGGCTTGAATTGCCTTGTGAAGAGGACCTCTGGGCAGCCGAGTCGCCCCAGGCGTGGAAGAAGATGGGCGGGCAGACCGCCACCACGAAGGGCGTTTCTTTCTCGGCTGCTTTGACGTCTCTTTTGACCGCCAGTCAACGTGAGCAGCAGAACCAATCTTCGAACTCGTTCTTCGGTGGCGATAGCGCGGATGATCCGACGAATGCTGAGAACCGGCCTAGTACGTTTGGCTGTCTAGTTCTCATCTATTCTCTGCACAACTATATCTGGGAAACGAGGCAGAGGCATATGGGCCGTCAGTGGACCGCCCAAGAGACCGACGCCATGCAATCACATATCGAGCCGGCCTTAAGAGCATGGCAGGCAGCGTGGGCTAGCAACCCTGTCCACAGCCTGGAACGTCCCAATCCATTCGGAGCGGGTCCGCTGTCAGCGGATAGCATCCCGCTCCTGGATTTGGCATATGTTCGGCTGTTCGTCAACCTGGGCCGGTGCAAGGAGGCGTTCTGGCAACGGGATTGGAACGGCATGGCGGATGAGCTTGCACGGGGCACAGAGGTCTTCCAGCAAGCCGACGGCCCCATCAATGATGTGGTAGACCCTTCTCTCACCGGCTCGCTCGATGCTCGGAGAGGGTCTATGAACGACTTGGGCGTCGGCGAGCTAGCGATTTCCAAAAATGACCAGCCCATGCAGTCTCTTTCAAGTGTGTACAAGACTGGTCAGTCCAAGCGAGAGAAGCACCTCCGCAAAGCAGCCTTCTATGCTGCAGACTCGATCTCCATGTCCGACCGCCTTGGCAACACATTCGCCGAGTTCTCATCCCGGGAACTTCCCATCCAATGCGCGATGTGCGCCTTTGACTGTGCCCAAGTCCTCGCCGAATGGATCACCACCGTTCAGGAACGTGTTGGTCCCTATCTCGGCATCCTAGGGCGTGATGACATCGACCTGACCCAGGTCCCGGGGGTCATGCTTCTCGAAGACGAGGACTGCAAACTCATCGAAAAGATCAAGGATATCCTCAGCAGCATTGAGACGAAGATGCAGCGCACTGTGCAGAACAGCAACTCCATGTCTGTGCTGAGCGTCATGCAACGCCTGCCCAGCGTCGTGGAGGGTGGGTACGGGTGTAAAATATTGATTGCTACGGCAAGTCTGCTTGACCGGGCGGCTGTGTGGCCGGTGACGAAGTTGATGGCGCGTTCGCTCGAGGCGCAGGCCATGCGAATGAAAGAGCGTGCGGAGCATTCGAGCTCGCATGGTGCTATGATGACTTCTTAATGATGACCTCCATGTTTTCACCCGCATCCTTTCATTTTTTTTTTCTTTCATTGATTTTTGTCTTGTTTTGTTGAGTCGTGCAGCCGGTGTGTCACGATTACCTAAAGATCCGAGAAAAGGCCAGACCAGGCAAGGCAAGGCATCCCATCTATCTCATTCACCCATCTCATCAACCGAACAAATCCATTACATTTCCCTTCAACACATTTCACGTTCACATTGTTACTGCCTCTTGCCTCGGCCTGCCTGATGATGATCCACTGCTTCGATATCGATACGATACCCCGATCGAATCTGTCATAGACGAATGCCATGTCATGTCATTTTGTTTATTGCCTTTACTTTGTTGAGTTATATGCACTGTGCTAGCGTTGTCATATTTATGGTTCTTCGGTTCGATTCTTTCATCGATTGTCGGTATCGCCCACTGATGATGGACAAGTCTGCTCTTACGGGTGTGGTGTGGTTGGTGTACTGGGCTATGTCTTTTATCTTCTTCCTTTTTTCTCTCTCTGTTGCCCCGCCAGTGTTTAACTATGCAAATTCTTACTTCATGTGAATATGATTTGACTGATATTTGAATTGATCGCTCTCCAATTATCCCTATTAGTATCGGTACTAACTTTGGTATTTGAACAACAGCGATTTCACTAGTGCCGCTCACGGTAATCACCTCAGGGCCAACGTGCTGAGTGAACGTGAGTGCTTTGCTGCATCGAAGCAATAGTTATCTGCAGCAAAGTCGGAGTTTCGAGCCGAGCGCCCGGTACCTCTTGGATTATCATGAGGGGGAGTTACCCTATTTGAAAGGAAATATTTGCGAATCATGACGGAGGCACTCGCCGTCAAATTCTGCGACTGGTTGAGTCTCGTAGTAGAATGGCGTGCCAGCAACGCCACATACATGGACCTGGATACTTCCTAGGCACGGCACGCTATGCTGTCCGGCAGTCAGTCCATTTGAATCATGAAATCCTGTTCTTCCAGTGAAGCCAGTGCAAGTTGCCTATGCCAGCTACTACATGGTTTCTCGCTCGAGCATAGTAGGAGTAAACAATCCAACGATAACCCCCAAACGCTCAAGTCTTATGAGATAATTGAAGGTCAAGTGAAAAGGGCAAAACGATTTCTCAAACGTTCTTAGTTTATTTATCAGCACTCGTTATGACATGTAAGGTGCGTGGGTTCATGATTTAGTATAGAATAAATGTGAGGATTCGATGCTGTCAGCCGATGTAAGAGTCCACGGACCGCATAATGCTTTCTACATGCAATTGATCCGCAAGATCCAACAATTCCCTCGGTGGTAAGCTGACGGACGAATTGATCCCCAGCATGTCCCATTCAAAGCCTTCACCCACGTCCACTTGATCCAATCCGTATGTCTCTCCAATTTCTTCTCCATTCTGATTGACGTCCATGGGAGGGGGGGACCGAGTAGTAGAGCAAGGTGTCAAGGGGGCTAAGATCTGCTCCAGCTGCCTCAGCTCCCGTCTTCTGAGTGGTGCAGCTGGATTGCCCTTTGAAATTAGTTTATCTAGAACGCACGTCAAGTGATCGCACCAATTATCACTATGAATTAGTGAAGGCGCGATGGCTCGAATCAAGTAGAGCACGAAGGCAGACGAGGAGGCGTCTTCAATTTGGAAAGGTAGAAATGCATCTGCAGATTATCAATTCAGCAGGCTGATACAGTCACAACTGCTAAAGAGGGGCACATACCAATTAAGTCGTCGTCAGCGAGTGTTTGAAGAGTCTGGAGTATGGTCTGGGCTGAATCTGCACAACACTGAAGTAGAGAGGCGACTGGGGGAGAGATAGCGATGCTTTGGGATGCTTGTCTCTCTGTACGTTCGATATGCATATTCAGCGCACACATCACCAAAGGCCTTGTTGTAAGAACAATACACTGTGCCAATTAGTTCGCGAGACAACAAATTGCTAGTCCGATTCACTCACGTGATGATGTGCTAGCATAAGTCGGATTGCCATCTTCGAAGCTCGGCTAATGAGCCCATGGAAATGAGTGTCAAGAAAAGCCGTGAGATCATGAGAAAGCTCTGCCATACTATGGAGAATTGACTGGGTATTTCGGATGAGTGATCCATTGAACTCATCTCCCACTCCATACACAGCTGAGCAAATACGGAAGTTAGCAAAATATTGCCTCAAACAGGTAAGCTAGGTGTACTTGTCAAGATCTGCGACATCAGCCTTGAAAGCCGCACGTGTAACGTCAAGTTGACATGCTCCACCGAGTTTTCAACATCTGCCGGCAATCTGACCGTGATATCCTCATCTCGGATGGAGCTGGGCGCGCCGATCAAGGCTGAAAATTCACGGTCCAGCATGTAGACCACCCAGAATATTGTTCTACAGCGGCTTGAAAGTTCTGGGCCTCCAAGCTGCACCGGCACGTGTCTATGAATGCCTTCAATGATGCAACCACGCAAAGCCTGCCCGATCTAGTTCATTGTCAGAGCTAAGCGTCTTTTTGAGGGGGGCAGAGGATATTCAAGAAAAAGTAATTGCCCACATGCTGAAATGCTGCCCGTCTCATGTCAATAGATTGCAGATACACTGCCCCAAGACTGAGTGCCTGGATGCACGTCAAGGGATCTTCATGCATTCCAGACAGGTCTGGTAGTAATGCCATTGCCCTGGACGCATATTGATGACCTGGAGGAGTTCCAGAGGGATTTTTGTGCGTAAGGAAGGCTTTCCCAAAGGCGAGAACGAGAAGATATTGGACATACCAATATCTTGCTGAGGCGGCCTTCACCGTCGGGTTCTTATAAAATTCATGCAAATCTCGCAAGTAAGCTTCTTCATCAATTATAAGCGAGAGGAAGCCAAAATAGAATTTGACAGTGCTGAAAAGAAACAGGGCGTAATCAAGGGGTGGGAGATTTGTGACATCAGGCACCTCATCTGGGGGCAGTGGTCTCCACTGAAGCTTGAATGCCATGCCATCCAGGTGCCATGGGTCTGGCGGGCAGTTGGATTCCGGAACCCGTCTTCCAATGAGACGCAAAACACGGCGACAAAAGGACCATGATGACGTTGGGCCCATATACCCTAGATAAGATTCGTCAGCAGTATAAATAAGTAGATTTCGTTTAGCTACTCACAAAACCGGCCATCTGGAGTCCGCGCAAAGGACGGGTCCTTATCTACGAGGGGATTCCGAGAGAACCGTGATCGACGGCCGTCTTGCTCAATATCGGGGTCTTCCCCAGTATGCGCTCGCTGGAGATATGTTGTGTTAGGCGGATGGAGAGAGGTGTCCAGATCTTGAGATGAGTATCATCAGTCAGGATAAATCAATCATGGGTAGGATAGCTTTGATTTACCATGCGTCATTTCCCTCCAGCGGATACCTGTCTGATCCTCTAAGAGAAACCGAGGATGATTAGGTGTAGAGAGATCAATTTCACTCTCTCCAACGTAAGGGGATTCGATGAGGGCATCTTGGCGGGGGGTGTCCTGATGATGCACAGTGCTAGCACTTTTTGCTAGCTGTTCTTCTAGATGCCGGAGATACCTACGCAGACGATTTAGCCATACACCCCGACCTTATGTACAGATAAGGAATTACCGCTCCGACACTGAGATCCGCACATCCTCTGCAGGAAAATGGCAGTGGTGTTTCTTCCGAGCACATCGTGTACAGGGATAGGATCCCGAGCATTTGACCTTCATACCTCGACATCGTATACATCTTGAATCAATGTTAGGTACAGCGTTCACAGTGCCCGTTCAGTGCAACTCACGCTTTCTGGCATTTCTTCGCCTTCAATTTACTAGATGTTGCAGGCATACCGGCCGGTAGATCCGAGGTGGAAGAGATCCCAAAAACAGTTCCAACACCCGGCGCGTGTCTCCGATATCAAGTGGATTGGGTGTTGCGGGGTTGATGTCAGTTAAATGAAGGCATGTCGGAATGGTCCTCCGACCCCTTCTTATCTTCTTATCGCCATTGCTTATCCATCACCAGCAACGCCAGTAGCATTTTTTTCAAACTTAGTACCATTCATTCGGCTTAGCTAGCTCAATTCGGGTGAAAATGGGTTGTTCAACCGAAAGTCCTCCGCCACAGCTCCCGTCGCAACGCAGCTACCATGTGTTGTGTCCGCTCAACAGCACCCTTATTCTCAATGGCCCGACGATGAAGATATTGCATACACTCGGCTACCGACCCCCAAGCCATACATTTGAAGGCTTTGGGGACTGACATATTCGCAGCATTTGACTCTTTCAAGGCGCGTTCGTAATTCTGCACTAATTCACAGCTCAGCTCATCCGCCATCCCTTGTATCTGTCCACACTCGAGCATGACGGTAGGTTCATTGGAAAGGAGGCGAGCCTGATGAGTGGCAATCGCTTTGGCAGCACTTGCCGCGTTGTGGGTCGCGAGGAAAAGAGCGGCATTGGGAAACTTGAGATGCTCCATATGAGCCGGCATTCTTCGGCACAGCATGGTGTCTGCAATAAGATCATACGAACGATCCGTATCTTCCTTGAAATCATGAATGAGAAACTGCGCTTCATGTTCGATGTATGCCCCTCGGACCAGCTTGATCCCAAGTGTCCACCCCTCCTGCGCTGCCAGACTGATATGACGGTCAAGGTTTGCCTTTGATCCCTTGAGATATGCTTGGATAGTATTGTATACGAGCGGGGTCTCGGAGTTGTTGTGTTTGCGCATAATATCAATTGCCCAGTCATCCAATCCATGCTGGAGGAGCTGCTGCTCGGCATCTAACCATAATCGTGATCCCTGGTTTTTCGCCGCAAGGCAGATTTCATCTATGGCATCTTCCATAGCTTCAGGCATGGATTTTCGTTCGGCCATTGAGTCAATAGCAATGGGACCGGCGCCCGTGAGCCTGAAGACCAAATATTAACAAGTGAACCATATGCAATCTAAAGCTGCCGCACGTACTTCACTGCGAGAATATCCCCAGGTCCGACCATGCGCAGGGTCTCCAGCGTTCCAGTTTTCCACTCCTTCACCATGTCAGAGCATTTATCACTGTATGTCATAGATCCAGTCTCATCGTGGATCAGCTTCTCGTTGGGGTCCAGAACAATCTCTTTAGAGTATCCTAGAATGACCCCTTGGTATCCAATTGTCTTTATCTCTGCCACGGTCTTGGATACTTCTTCGCGATTCGTTCCAGCACAAAAGTGATCGTAAACAGTCCATCGAAGGAGCTTGTTCAGAATACGGTTTCGATCGGGGTTGAGGAGTGCCGACTTGGAGTTGGTGACAACATTCAAGATAGCCAAAGCAGGCTTGAGAAATAATTTCGAAGACATCAGAGAGGTTAAAACCAGAGACCGCAGTACCAACTTGGTCGGAAGTCTCGCCATCGCTGACACCTCCAAGGGTGGTATGGCCTGCGCTGCAACAGCCCCATCGCGAAATATTTGTTTAGTTGAGCGGTGCCGCTGAGAGACTGTGTGCTGTACTGGCCAAATGCGGGGCTTCAAGGAAATATGGTGGAGGCAAGTAGATCGAGGAAGCATTTTGGCTGGGTATACTCCTGGGATATGAACTGTGTAATCGTTTTCTGGACCTGTCTTACTAGTTGGGTCTTAAAGTGAATGTCAACTTGGCCATTGTATATAGCTACTCACCCTATATGCAATCAAGGTTTGATTCATGATATCCTTCGTCAATTCAATCGCCAGTGTCTGCCGATAGACTCCCTGTGGGTCAGCCGACCTTGGTCGGTATTGCCTTCCGATGGTGGGAGGGGCATCGGAGCAGACCCTCGGCCAGCCAGAACAACATCTCAATGAGGGGCTTTCTGTTATCAACGTATTCTGATTGAATCAGCCCGACTATGGCCTTTTCCTTCCCCAAGACCGGCCCGGTCCATGTGGTTCTGGGGTGTTGGCACTGTTACATCGAGTTCAAGGCCAGCCAAACATGTAATCCATACTGTTTCTATACTTTTGTGCCTCTGCACGCTAAGCATCTGCTACAGCCATTTGGTATGCTTGTGTCCCAGAAAGGAAAGCTTAAGCTACGAACATGTTTGCGCTTTTCCCATGTGTCCTGTATCTCGGCGTAATCACCCTGGCTGCAAGTCTACCCGCTGCCGCCACGCAAAGCGTTCAACTACTATGGCAAGTCTGATATCCAAATGCAATTGGCATATTTTTTATTGAATAAAGGTTTCCATCTCTGAAAGTATCAGATGCTTTTTCTGTATATAACTCGCAAAATCAACAAATTACATATTGACAGGTTCCACTCGGTTCCACTCGCACGTTTAATATTTGGACCCTCATTAAACCTCATTGGAGGGATACTCGACCTGCTCCAGAGGCACAAACTCCTCTTTAATTGTGCGAGTGCTCACAAAACGTTGAAGATGAGCCATAGTGCCAGTCTTGTCATTTGTGCCCGAATCACGGCTACCCCCGAAGGGCTGCTGTGCCACGGTGGCTCCAGTGCATTTGGTGTTCAAGTAAAGCATACCAGCAGCATGCCTCAGGATGGTCTGTGCCTGACGACTAGCATAGGGATCCTTTGCAAAGATACTTCCGGTAAGACCGTAGCGGGACGTGGTATCTATCAGCTTGAGAGTCTGCTCCCATTCCGCATCGGGGTAGACATAGACACCAAGGATGGGACCAAACAATTCGGTAGACATGATCTCGTGGCGGGGATCGGATGTGCGGTAGATAGTCGGATGCACGTAGAAGCCCTCCTCCTTGGAGGCATTGCCGCCTACAATGAGCTCTAGCTCCGAGTCCGTCTTGGCATCCTCGATGAACTTATTCAGCTTATTGAAAGAACTTTCGTGGATCACAGGGTTGACGAAGTTTCCATAGTCCTCAACCGTTCCAACCTTCAGGGCCGCAGTCTCCTCAGCAAGAATCTTCTGGAACTCAGGCCATACAGACTCTGCCACGTAAACACGTGAGTTGGCAGAACATTTTTGACCTTGATATTCGAAGGCTGCCCGTATAGTGTTCAAAGCAGCACTCCTGACGTCTGCAGAGGGATGCACAACACCCCAGTTCTTGCCGCCTGTTTCACCAACCACGCGAGGATAGGAGTTGTAGATACCCTTGCCAATGCCATCGCCGATCTTCTTTTGGAGGCCCTTGAATGTGGCGGTAGATCCAATGAAAGTAAGAGCGCCGAACTCGGGTCTCTTCAGGATAGTATTGGTCACTTCCTCGGCGTCACCAGGTAAAAATTGTATGACATCCTTGGGCAGACCAGCTTCCAGTAGAATCTTATGAAGCAACCAGCTAGCATGCAGGGCCGAGTCTGAGGGCTTCCAGATGACAACATTGCCCAGCAGCGCCGCTGGTCCAACGAGTGTAGCGCCCAGTGCAGTGAAATTAAAAGGTGCGATTGCATATGTAAACCCTTCCAGAGGGCGGTACTCCATCTTATTCCAGTTTCCGTGCAGTTGGACTCGGGGCTGCTGGGAGTAGAGAGCCCAGGCCTCTTGGACGTAATGGCGGAAGAAATCAGCCGTTTCGGCTGGGGCATCAATCTCTGCTTGCCAAATATTTTTACCCTGTCCCAACATTGTTGCCGCAACGATCTCAGCACGAAATTTTCCAGTGACGAGCTCGCTAGCACGAAGGAAAATAGCGGCACGATCCTCGAAAGGGGTAGCCTCCCAGGCAGGTTTAGCCTTTAGGGCAGCATCTATTGATGCGTTTACTTGATCTGGTGTTGCCGATGCATAGTTTGCAACAATCTCGCGGTGTCTGGAAGGGTTAATCTGGACTCGGGACTGCTTTGTCTCACTCTAAATGCACCATACTTAGTGCGCTCCCTCACAAAGCTATCATTTTTTCAAACATACCTCGGCGCCGTTGATCTTAATAGGAATGGTAACAGGGAACTCGCTCTTCAACTTTTGGATGGCCTTGGTCAATTCGGCCCTCTCAGGTGAGCCTTTGGCGTAATGCAACTGTGATAGGTGTTAGTAAATTATATAAAAACCAATCCATCGCCGCAGGCTCACCATCTTCTCATTCTCGAATTTGGGAGGATGAAGCATGGTCAAACATAGGCGGGCGCCTCCATTTCTGGACGTAAGCCTCGGACCAATTCGGCCAGCCACACGGGTAATTGGTGCAGGTCGCATATCTACCGTATCGAAGAGTGAGACGGAAGAGGGGGGGGAGGAGATAATATTTTACTGGTTTTAGATTATCCTCTCGTCATTCCACAAATCCTTAAATATGGCTCTAGGATCTGTACATGTTGAACTACTTACTTGAATCTTCGGAGGCCTATACCGACCCGACAGATGCTATCACAGTATGCTTCTTCCTGCAGAAGCATGCGGGTCCCACTGCTGCGGGGAGCGTGGAGATCACAAATCGTGATCTCGGGATAGGCCTCCGACTTGTTGATAAGCACGCCCCCACGTCATTAGTTCCACCATGCAGATGCCAGTCTTGTTTAATCTGGTGACTTGGAAGCTGGAGATACTATTGGCAATGATCGCTAGTCTTGGCCCGTGCATGGGTGATACATACATGGCTGATCATTTGCTCCCCTCGTCAAGGTATACAGCAGTGCCATCAAAAAAATCCAAGATTCGATGGTTCAGCTTAGGTTTCAAGGTCTATTTACCCATCTTTCTATTACTTTCAGACCGAGATCTTGGTGTACTTCTGAAGGCATTATTTCCAGACATCCAATCCAAAGGATTCCGGGATTTCAAACTTTCGAGATGCCACTTGTACCTGGGTGGGCCTCTCGAGTTCTTGGTTAACAGCTGGCTAAACCAGTCATTTACCCATAGGTACCAGCCAGCTATATTGGTATATGCCCATCTGATTGATACTACTCCTGTCTGAGGTGCAATTCAGGCCTCGTGTTAATACTTCTAGACATTGGTGTAGTAATTACTCGTCCAACATGGGTTCGTAGCGAACTGTATATATATTTGAAGGTTACAGAGAGGAGATACTTTGCACGGCCATGGCACACCTTGGCAAATTCAATCACAATTACCTGCCAGTAGATTAGTTTAGTTCAAAATATTTTCAAGATAGAGACTCGGTAATAGAAAGGTGTGCAGCAATAGCATTTGGCCTAGACAGCTTAGCGAGAGCGCTGACATTGAAGCTAGGAAGGAAGATCTCGGAAAATAATTCAAAGAATGAGAATCAAGCTGATATGGTAGTTGAAATGATCTAAAAGGGACTATCAATTCACATCCAGGGGTGATTTTTCATCTTTGCTGGGTTGAGTGTTGCTGTCACTGGGGAATTGCTAGCGATTGCGCTAAGCGGCAACGGGAACTCACCGTGGATCGTCGAGGTTCCAGGGTTGAGGGATGGAGTCACCCGTTATCTCCCCTCAAGGCAACACTCCAGCCCACTTTTCCCCCATCACCTCCTCATCTCGCAAGCAATCGAGGCAAGGCCTTTCTTCCCATTGTAACCTCGCTGCCTGCGATTGATGCGACACCCCGAGCCGTAACACCAAGCTTGATCCCACGCGGTGTTGTGTGCGACCCAGCCACCACCTCCGACCGAGCTCCGCTTGATCGTTGACCACATTCGTCATTGCGGCCAGCAATCACCAACACACCTGCCTGCCTTGATCACTCTCATACCCGCACTCCCCGCGCAACCACCCCACAAGTGGCGACCTCCTGATGTCCCTCTTCGGAACATCGCCGGAAGAGCCCTCTGCGGCGACCTCCGCCCAGAGATCCAAGTCGTCGCTCTTCGCTGACGAATCCGCTGGGGGCGCCTCGTCCCTCTTCGCGGATGACACCGGTGACGATAGCTCTTCGTCGCCATGGAACCCGCAGAATAACACGAAGCGCCGGGCTCGGCGCGATCTGGTCCGGACCTTGCTACCCGCTGCTGATGTGCCAGAGAGCTATGTTGAAGCATACGATCTGATTCTGAACAGCGGGGATAGGGTCGGATCTGGTGTCGGCCTGACCTCGATCCGGGAGCTCCTGTTCAGCAGTGGGCTGAGCGCGTCGGACCAGAGCAAGATTCTGAATCTTGTAGTTCCTGGTGGTGACGAGAGCTCCGGCGGGTTGGGTCGCGACGAGTTCAATGTGTTGCTAGCGCTGATTGGTCTTGCGCAGAAAAGAGAAGACCTATCCTTTGATTCTGTTGACGACCATCGTAAAAGTGAGTAATACAAGCGACAATACTTACACCAGAACAAGACTACAGTCATATTGCTGTTTGTTTGCTCTGATCATCCCGGTCGCCATCTCTGACGCAAGCTACATTTAGACCTGCCGCCGCCCAATAGTGGCTTCCTTCAAGAGCTACGAGCTGCAAACCAGTCCTCACCTGGCGCTACGTTTCAACGACCGATTACACCCCCAGCACAGTCATCTCCACTACAGGAGCCGAATTCCGCACGGTCTCGGCGCTCGCGACGGGAGTCCCTAGGCGGCCTAGATTCTGATCCCTGGGGCAGCCCGGAGTTACACCGGAATCATAACCACGAGTCCTTAACTTCCGAACCACGCGTTGCAAACGGTTATGGGAGCATGCGTTCTACGACAAACGCCTGGTCAGCTCCCAAGCTGGTAGAGGAGACAAGTCAGAGCCCGAATGAGGTGCCTCAGCAGGAACCTAGCCACAGCCGGACCGAGGCAGTGCCACCGCCCAGCAGCTCTGGGTCCGGATGGGGAGGCCACATCGGGACCGCACCAGATGAGAGTGGATATGGGGACGGTGCGCCGCGTCCAGCCCTTGGTGGCTTCGGGCCTCCCGGTGACGATCCGGGTGATACTGCGCCTCAACGTCGGTCACTCGGTATCACCCGCGCCACGAACCCACAGGTGGAAGAGACGGTGGCGATCACTCTTCTCCCCGAGAAAGAGGGAATGTTTTTGTTTCAACACCGAAACTATGAGGTCAAGTCGGCACGACGAGGCAGCACTGTCGTCCGCCGGTACAGCGACTTTGTTTGGCTTCTGGACTGCCTCCAAAAGCGATTTCCGTTCCGACAATTGCCCCTTCTTCCGCCGAAGCGGGTTTCAGGTACGTCTTAAGCTGGTGGAAGCGCTCGCAAATTGCTTGCTCACCTATGTTTAAGTGAATGGTACTCACCTATCAGCGGATTCGAACTCTTTTCTGGAGAAGCGGCGCCGTGGACTCATTAGATTTACCAATTCCCTTGTTCGGCACCCGATTCTTGGCCAGGAGCAACTGGTGGTGATGTTCCTGACTGTTCCGACGGTAGGTCTCCATGTGTACTTGGGATCAATCCACCCGTCATGAGACAGATCTCTGACCTATCATCCAGGAACTCTCGGTATGGCGCAAGCAGGCGACGATATCAGTCCAGGACGAATTCGTTGGCCGTGTTCTCCCAGGTGACCTCGAAGACTCATTACCCGCCGATCTCAACGATACTTTTGAGACCGTCCGCAGTGGTGTGAAACGCTCTGCCGAAATCTATATTAACCTTTGCACTCTGCTCGAGCGACTGGCCAAACGCAATGACGGCCTGGCTGCTGATCACTTGCGGTTTTCCCTGGCGTTGCAGTCCCTGACGGAGGTGACCAAGGACACGTACGCCGTTGACACCAATGATATCCCGGGCCTGAATACCGGTATCACAGCCACCGCACGACACCTCTCTGCTAGCCAAAGCTTGCTGGAGGATGAGGCCCGGGCCTGGAACGACGGTGTACTGGAGGACCTCAAGGCCCAGCGGGACTGCCTTGTCAGCGTACGGGAGATGTTTGATCGGCGGGATCGGCTCGCGCGGAACAACATCCCACAGCTGGAGCGGCGCATTGAGGCCAATGAGCGTAAGCTGCAGGAACTGCGGGCACGACCGTCGGGCACCGCCAAGCCCGGAGAGATCGAGAAGGTGGAGGACTCCATTTTCAAGGTACATGTCACACGCCCCATATAGCCAGTTCCGTGATCCCTGCCTCGTGAGAAACTAACCCCGGCCATCGTGTAGGACAAGGAATCGATTGTGGAGCAGCACGCGCGCGGGGTGTTCATCAAGGAGTGCATCCGCGACGAACTAGTTCACTTCCAGCAAAGCCAGTATCACATCAGCCGGCTGCACCAGGACTGGAGCCAGGAGCGCGTCAAATACTCTGAGTTGCAGGCAGACAATTGGCGGCGGCTCAGTGATGAAATCGAGGGGATGCCGACGGGAGAGTAGGCAAAGAGAAGTGACTCCTCCCATGGTACTGCGGCCGGGATTGTACATACATCCACTGAGGGAACTAAGCCCGGGCCAGACCCGCGAGAAGGGTTCTTTTTTCCGCTGTACGCGCGAAGTGCGCGGGGGCCGCGACCCGACCCGGCAGGATGAAGAGCTTGACTCGTTGTTTGCTTTTTCCTGATCCCCACTCTCTTCCCAGAACTCCTTCGGTATGTTGGGCAGTGGCCTAGGCCTTGCATCTCGATCCTTTTGTATTCTCGGGCTTTGTAGCGGTCTGGAATTTGCCTGAAACCGCTACGTGTTTCTCAATGCTTCTTACAGTCGTATGTTCGGATTTACCGCGGTTTGCGCATGTTTATCTCTTTTTTCAATTCCCCCCATTTGTTTGATTGTGTGTATGCATAGGTGATTTTACTGTTAAGTCGATATATACTCCACGAACTATGCTTTTTCGGTGCATGATCTTAGCCTGAAGTAGACAGGTGGTGGATGTATAGTTTAACTACTCCGTCTGGGTGTCTCGTGCTGCTGATGTACAAGCCCGGGTATTGTCCCATGGCTTACCGCACCGCGATTTCCAGAAGGCCCACAAACTGCGACCCATGGTGGGCCGTTAGGGGTTACTAGTCCAATCAGGGTGGAAGCGGAGGCAATCCGGGCTTGGCGACTCGCAGGGCTGGGAAAAGTTTGGGAGATTCCGAAGGCTGGATGGGCGCGGACCTTGGCCGCATCCGTACGGTATCGTAAGCTCGATACGCCGTGTACATGCCGTTGATCGACATGCTGAAAATCTCCGAATATAAACAGTTCTTGAGGCCTGCATCCAGTGGTTGTCTTTTTTGTTTCACTCAGTCCCTCCCCATCAATTGTCCTTTCTACACATACCTCCCGACCCTAATCACCAGCGGATCCTCTCGCTCCCCAGCCGGCCCTGCTCCTCCGCCCGGCCAAGACCCATTCCGCCTTGTTAGTGGGGGCCCCAAAGTCTCGGCTGACGAATCCCGCTGGTTCCAAGCCGACCTTCGTTTCTGGGCAATCTCCCTCAAGCGCGTAATCGCTTGCTCTTCGACCATCGGCCAAGAGTCCCCAAGACTCTGTCGCCCGGTTCTAGCATCCGCCTTCTCTTCTTCTGTTTATTTCCCTTCTCTTTCCTTTCCCTGCATGGCACGTACTCTGGGCTTGCCTCTTTGATCCCCAGGGTCCAGCAGCCAACATCCAACGAGCGAACGCCCCTCCCTCCCCAGCGTCCACCTCCACCCGCCTCGCGCGCCCGAACACGCTCGGACGGTCGGCCAACGCCGCTGTAATCTCTGAACTCCCAGAGCTTCTCGGCGGACAAAACCGCTACTCCTACGCAGGCTGCTCTATTCAGCCCTACAGGGCTCGACGATTGTTCATCTCCACTCCACCACCCTCCCCCAAGGCATGAGGCTACTCAGATCAACGACGTTCGAGGTGGATATCCAACTGGTAATTGATTGCTGCAGATTGGGGCAGGAGAATCTCTATATATAAGCTCGGGGTGAGAAGAAAAACACCCTACATACCTTATCGCAGACGATCAGCATTCTTCCGAGACCGCAGCGGTCCCAATTTCGCCATGGTGTGGGATCACCTTGATATCGACAAGCCGCACTTGGCCTACATGATACTTGGTGGCTTCACGGGCCTGTTCATGCTGTGCTCGCTTTTTGTGAAAGAGAAGCTCTACATTGGCGAAGCCACAGTCGCCACCCTTTGCGGCATCATCTTCGGTCCGCATGCTGCAAATCTATTCAACCCCAACGAGTGGGGGAACGTCGACAAGATTACGCTCGAGTGCTCGCGCATTGTACTAGTCGTACAATGTTTCGCTGTCGGCGTCGAGTTGCCCAAGGCCTACATGGAGCGCCATTGGAAATCGGTCACCCTGTTGTTGGTTCCCGTGATGACCTGGGGCTGGTTGATGACCAGCCTGTTTATTTGGTGGATAGTGCCTCCATTGAACTGGCTCGAGAGTCTAGTGTGTGCCGCCTGCGTCACAGCTACCGATCCTGTCTTGGCATCATCCGTTGTCGGTAAGGGCAAGTTCGCCAAACGTGTTCCCAAACATTTGCGTGACATCTTGTCCGCCGAGTCGGGATGTAACGATGGCATGGCCTTTCCGTTCATTTACCTGTCATTTTACATTCTGCGCTATCGACCCGATGCTAGTACGATATCTCTGAACTGGTTCTGCGTGACAATTCTCTATGAGTGTATCTTTGGTGCCATCTTCGGCTTCGTCGTTGGATATCTGGCCCGTCATGCCATCAAATTGGCCGAACGCAAGAGCCTGATTGACCGAGAGAGTTTCCTTGTCTTCTACTTCGTTCTGGCCGTCTTTTGTGCCGGTGCTGGCAGTCTGCTGGGCATGGACGATCTACTTATTGGGTTTTCATGCGGTGTCGGCTTCAGTAATGACGGTTGGTTTACGGAGAAGACAGAAGAATCGCACGTCTCTAATGTCATCGACTTGCTGCTCAACTTGGCCTACTTCGTCTATTTCGGTTCCATCATTCCCTGGGAGGACTACAACGCCCCCGACCTCGGCCTGACTCCCTGGAGACTCGTGGTAATCGCGATATTGGTCATTTTCTTCCGTCGCATTCCAATTATGCTTATGTTAAAACCCATCATACCAGACGTCAAAACCTGGCGGGAAGCGCTCTTCGCAGGTCACTTTGGTCCGATTGGCGTGGGCGCCATCTTTGCTGCGATTCTTGCAAAAGCGGAACTAGAACATGACAGCACACAGCCACTGCCCCAGAAGGACGTCACTGCAAGTTCGATAGAGGATCCGGCGGACTTTGATGTTGTCCAGCTTATCTGGCCCATTACAACGTTCATGGTTATCTCGTCAATCCTGGTACACGGATCATCCATCGCTGTGTTCACTCTGGGCAAACGCATCAATACGCTGACAATTACCTTATCCTACACGCAAGCCAACGAGGATGGCCCGTCATGGATGAACCGCTTGCCTCGTGTTCAATCGTTGGCCAAAGGATCCATGTCGTTTCGCAAGGCGGATGAGCTTGAAGGTTCTTCTGAAGAGAAACTGCCCGAGTATCCTCCCGGAACTTTACCGCCTATTGGCATGCCCGGTAACTTTTTGCGTCGCGTTCGTGAAGAGGATAGCGAAACCCAGAGCACACAATCGGCTCCCCGGAAGCCTCTCGGTCGCCGCAAGCGTCGCAAGCGCAGCGATGGCGCTGGTGGTCCAATTAGCCAGTCTGCTATCATGCCCCAGCGACGAACAGAGAGCGAACTCGATGAAGAACGGAAAGAAGAGCTCGAAGAACGGGACCGCGTGGAACGCGGCGCTTCGCCGCCTACTGCTGAGCGGGATCGCTTTGGCCGGGAGCCTGAGTTGGAGGTCTTCCAAGAAGGCCATCACATGGTCATCGAGGATGAAGAAGGCAATGTGCTCAAGACCGAGGATACTAGCCACCTGACCCCCGAGGAGCAGGCGCGTCACATTGAGCAACAGCGCAAACGACTGGAGGAAGACCGGTCTGGCGAGCTTGCTCAGTCTCTAAACCAGCCGCATGACAAGACGGAGGGCGAGAAGATTGAGGAGACTATTGGCGAGAAGACCGGACACCCTGTTGGGAAGGCTCGCTCTCGCTGGACCAATTGGACCGCTTTCGGAAAGGATAAGTCCAAGGAGCAGCCGGAGGAAGCCAAACCCAAGCCCAAGCCAAAACCCACAGAGGGTGAGAAGCCAAAGGCCCGCTCTGCTCATGCATACCAGTTTGGCAACACTATTATCGTCGAGGATGAGGATGGTGAGGTGATCAAGAAATACACCATCCCAGCTGGAGACAAACCCGCCAAGCCCAAGCCCCAACCCCAGCCAGAAGAGCGGCTACCTGGAAAGGAGCAAGCGCCGCTCCGCACGGGCTTGAAGCGCATGGGTACCTGGTTCGGTAAGGAAGAGGAGGGTGAGTCTTCGCAGGCCGGTGGCCAAAAGAAGAAACCTGTACCTCGCACCGAGACCGACGACTGGGCTACGGATGACGGTCTACGGTTCACCCTTGCTCAGAACCAGGAGGTTGACTCCAAAGGCATTGGCCACAAGGGCCGCCGTATGACCAAGCATGAGTTCTTCCAGCAGATCAAGGGTCTGGATCCGAAGACTCGCCGCGACTTGGTGCAGCAGACCGACGCACCTGCTCCTGTCAAGGTGGCCGCCCACGAAGACGTCAAGCAGGATGAGAAACAAGAGCGTCGCCTCTCTGCCGCCGCCGCTTCTGCTGCCACCGGCGCAATCCCTGGGAAAGTAGACGAAGGTCTCGAGTCCGCGTCCGTCACCGATAGCGACCTCAGCGACGAGGGGAACCAGTCGAACGATGACCGCGGCGAGTCTGGCCCCAATGTCGCAGATTCCCTGGCCAAATTCACTCGTGGCAGCTCTGCCCAAGAGCGCCGCAGCAATCTGAGCCCTACGGCTCGTCCTCGGGACCGCCACCGCCGTGACTCGGACGATGACGGTACTGAGCGTATCCCGCCCTCACATCTGCGCCAAGTAGCCGGCCTGGCAGCGCCACCACGCCAGGCTGATGATGATACTGGTGAGACGCCGGCTGAAAGACGTCGCCGCCTCGCCGCGTTGGGCGAAATCCACAACGATTCATCCGACTCTGAAGGCGATGTTGCTGTCGTGGATTCCGATAGTGAGGGCAATGACGAGCGTAATCAGTCGCTGGGCAAGATACAGTTTGCCGATGAGCCCAGGCCGTCCGAGCGGTCCAGCCCAGGTGGCGAGCAGTCCTCGTCTGGCTCCGGATCGGGCAAGTTTACTCCCGGCCACCGACCACGTGTGTCTTGGGGAGGCGAGAAGGGGCGTGATATTTAAGGCTTCTCCGCCTATGATGCTCAATCCTTATCCGTGTAATTCCACCTCATGTACCTGGAATTATTTGAATCCGCGCTGCCTTTTTTCTCAACCCTTCCGTGTACCTTCTTTTCTTTGCTTTCCTTCCCGGCCTGTGAATAGTACTTTGCCCCGGGCACATAACGATCGGTCGATGAAGCGATTTGTGAATTGTTGGATATGACGGTTTGTCATTGTTTTGCTTTTGCTTCATTATTGAAGCTATGGATATTGCTAGAGTAGAGCGAGATCATTCATACAATGCACGTAAACTTTGTGCATAATCATCTATCCCGCTTGACTTGGTAAAGAGTAATACCCGTGTACAGTGCGGTCTACCTTGTAATTGATTTGAAGACAACAGTGTATGTAATTGAGATAAAAACCGGAGGTATAAAGCAAAACGAAAGAAGGAGGCCCTCTACAACAAATCCCTTGCCATAATATATTAAAAATTTGCAATCCCTCACCCTTCCATAGTACTGGAAGCCCTCATAACCCCCCTCCCGAAGAAGTCACTCACAACACCGAACCGATCTCTCGACCTCGACAACTCAGCCTTGAATAACTCATGCTGATCCGCCGAATCAACCTGCCGCTGGCGAATAGCTCGGAGAGTGGCATTCGTCGGCGCGCAGACGGGGCACTGGGCGTCTTCATCGACGCGGTTAAGACAGCGCTCATGGAAGGAGTGACGGCAGAGGAAGTGGATAGTGGGTAGGTCGAGGGTGCCTCCACAGGATTGGCAGCGGCGGGACTGGAAAACGACGGGTTGAGTGGCGAGGTTCGCGAGTTCTTGTTGCTTCGTAGCAGTTTCGGACTTGTAGCTTGTGATTAACCGTTGGTTCTGCAGTACGTTATTGTTAGTTGAGGTTGGAGAAAGCGAGACGGGTGCGGGAGAGTGTACCGTTTTAATTTCCTTGTCTTCGCTTGCGATGTTGTCGCCCAAGTACTTCTTGAGTCTGCCCATCGTTACCACGGCGTTGTTGCTGACAGCCTGAATCACCTGCAACGGGGAGAGAAGACCATCTTCATGAATACGCTGCAGAACCTTGTCCAATTCATCACCTGCTTCCTCGAGAATAAGCGGGCTCGAAGCAAAATAGGTCAATGCATCGACATAGAGCTGTGGCTCATCAGGCCCGTACCGCCGTAGTGCTTGGATGGCGCCTTGTGTGTCCTTGGCAGAAGTGAACGAGCGGAATATGTCGAGACGCAGGCCTTCTTGCTCACGAACAAGTGTGGAACCTTCTCGAAAATTGGATAGGTCGGAGAGGAGAAGGACATTGGAGGTAGAGATTGGAATCTAGTGATGTTAATTGAGATGCAAAGGCTGATTGAGTTACATATACTCACATCTTTGCCTTCAATCAGCTTCTTAGCCTTGTTTTCCCATTCTTGCTTCTGACCTGCATCTTTCTTGGTCTTTGCTGTGTCCAGATACATTTCGAACAGCGTTGTGAAGAGGTCCACCTTGGCCTCTTTTTTGAGCTCAGGCTGTTGCACAAGTGTCTCCAGAAAACTGACAAACTCTTGCGGGTGGTCTACAAATGCAGAGAACGCTGTTCGTGGTTTCGGGACCTCGTATTGTGGTGCTAGGTCTGCGGGTGGTTCCTCTGCGACCGTGACATTCTGCGACTCTGGAGCCTGGGTTTGTGAGCCAGAACCCCCAGTCACATACCGCAATGGAAGAAGAGCGGCAAGGCTTTGAACAGCACTTGTTGGCTGCGCTTGAGGCTCTGGCGGTATCTCTACCGTAGTGCGTGGCTGGTACTGGCCTGTGTAGTAAACCTTGAAGAGCTCGGTTACCTGTTCGGGGCAATGGACCAGAAGGACCCGGGCATATTTCATTAGGTTATGATAAGCCTGGGTAGATTAGTATATAAGCGCGCAGTTGACCATGTCACCAGTATGTTACGTACCACTTCGGGATCTAATCGCCAGATATACTCCACCGCCTCCGCATACTTCTTTGAGTCCTCAATCAAGATATCGACAACCATGTCATTCTCGCCATGCTTTGTGGCCAGGTAGGCTGCTTGTTCATAGTATCCTCCCTGGCGACACATAGCAATAGCAGTTTCAAGATCAAATTTAAGCTCGCCAGGAGCTTTAATAAACGAGTCCAGCTTGCTGGTATCTTTCAACTTTGCATAGCAGTTCAATAGCAGGGTGGTGTGATCCACTGTTGCACGGCCGTGGTCATGGAGCTCCTCGAGATACTCGATCAAATTATGGATTCGTTCGGTATCCAGGTACTTTATTCTAGGTTAGAAAAGGATTCTCAATAACTGATTGGGAAAACAAACCTTGCGAATAACTTGTGATGGCTCAGTATTGTCGATTGCCCGGAGATACTGCTGCATAGCAGTATCGTAGTCGCCGCGCTGGTAAAGGAAATCACCATATTTGCGGTAGATAGCATTCTGCTGCAGGGGATCAATTCCAATCTTTTGCGCAAGATTGATGGCCAAAATGTAGAGGTTGCGCTCGTAAAGAATCTCCAGCCTCTGCTGAAGGCTCTTCTCCCGATATCGAAACACCTGCAACAAGGTCAATAACTCATGATGGTTGCATATAAGATGGGAACGGACCTTTCCATCCGTTGTGAGTAGGAATAGATCTCCCCATTCCATGAAAATATGCTTCATTGGTGACACCAACGACTGGCTATGCGCAATGAACTTCAAATCGGTATCGAGCAGAGTGAACGTCGTCGTACCAAGGATTTCATCCGCAGGATTAACTCCATATTTGCGCAACGGATCGCCCTTCCCTGTGACTACTTTCGGTGGACAAACCAGTGCCACGTAGTCCCGGAAAGCCCTGATAGACGTTTTTGGGCTCTCAAATGCATAACTCGGACCCCGGCCCCTTGGACCATAAGTATAAACGGCGTCCTCTCGGGCAATCAGAATATCTCCCGTCTCCTTGTCAAGCGTCATACATCCCAGACCGCAACCGGTATCTTCCAAAACGCGCGCAGGCTGGCCTTGTCCCCGCCCCGCAATGACTAGCGTCAAAATACGGCTCGTCGTCGAGATATACAGAACATTCACCGCACCGCTCTGTATCTCGAGACCTGTAATTGGCTCCTCCGACTCGAAAACAATGCGCTGCCGCGCTCCACGGTCGTGAATCAAATCGCCACGGATAATCGTCACGGATCCATTAGCAAACCCAACCACGACCTGCGAGAGATCATCAACGGCTGCGAATGCAGTAATCTGCTCCATCGGTTAGGTATCCAGCCTACTTGTTTTCTTGAAGTGTAGCGCACCGGAAACTGCCTCCTCGCGTTCTGCACCAACACGGTGGACAAGCATTTCGGCCCGCCATCTTTCTTCTCCGTATCTAGCGCCCAGACCTTGAGCACCGGCTCGTTCGAAAGGTCCTCCGCAACCGTAACAAGTAATGAAGTTCCGGGGATCTGTTTCATATGCGTGATCCCAACATCATGCGCCTGGAATGAGCGCTGGATACGGAAGGACGAGGAGACGATATGGACGAGGCCCTCGCTGGTGCCGAGAAAGAGGTTTGCGGATCCGGTACAAAGGCTACATAGGTCGCTCTAAAGAATTTTTCAGCGGTGAGAGGGGTCAAGGTGGGCGCAGTGGATTGAGGGCCTTACGCCGAATAGCGCGGAGCTGTCCTCCGGCAGCTTGACCGGGCCGACGTCGATGAAGTTGAACGCTTTCCACTGTCACATCGTCAGCTATTCTTCAAGAAGCAGGATACCAAGGGTTCCTACTGATGTCAGTGCCATTTGCGCTGCTGGCCATGGGTGGTGGGCATTGACGTTGGAGACGGAGCTGGCGATGGAGGCGGCCTGGAGCAGCTCCCCCCACAGGACGCTCGGACCACCCACCGTTCCGCGGAGCGAAGTCTACAGATATTAAAAGGTCAAGATAGAACGCAATGCATGAAAAAGCACTCTTGCCTCTAAAAGTAGTGTATTGTGTATGAGAATATAAATGCAGCACATCATAGCCACTGAGGCCAATCCGGCCCAAATCTCGCTGTCCATATCGCGGCAAAAATGGGGGAATCAATGCAACTTAGAAACTCGCTATGCTAATAGACTGTATGCAATTAAAAACAATTGAACAAAAATTGTCCTGCCTCAAAACAGACATGTCACATCCGGTTACTACGCCGGCCTTGTAGCCTGACTGGGACGCCCGATTTCTTTCATAAAGTCGAAGCTCTGCTGCAGCCAACTACCGGCGTCAGCGATGGCCTGACTGAGGTCGAAGCTTTCTGGGCCTTGGTGGGCGCCTTGGCCATCTTGGGCTGTAGTGGGTGTGGAGCCACTCAGTGCAAATGGGAGAAGGGTCCTTTGGGTGGCTGATCGGTGGGTATATTCAGGTTCTGGGTGGGCTTCTGGCCGGGAAGGGCTTGCATGAGCAGTGTGAAATTCTTTCTCCTGAGAAGGCGAAGGCACCCGAGGCGAGGGAGACGAAAGCTCTGCGTTAGGAGCAGCTCCATTTTTTTTGCTGCTGCGCGGGTCGAGGGAAATCTCCCGAAAGGGCTTAATTTGCTTTTCCGTGCTGAAGGTATAAGGACTGGCGGCGTCGATCATGTACTGCGTGCTCATAGCCTGTACCTTGCCCTTGGAAAATCCTCTCAGGCTTAGATCTGGAACTCGCTCAAAATACTGGGGCCCGTTGTACGGTGTTTCATGTGCCAGGAGTGACTCCTCGCCAGGTCCCCACACAGTATCCTCCGGGTCTGCAAGATGGGGATATTCAGGTTCAGGGCTTTCCAGGTCTTCTTGGAACGATCTTTGAGCATGAAGCAAGGCGGCTTGAGTCGATAACTGGGTATCCGCACCGTGTTCTGTCTTCTGCTCAGGGTTTTTTCTCGGCATAGCGGTCGAGTGCAACGATGGTATGCGATCTGAAACCCCTGGAGGAACTGCTATTTGTTGAGCAGACGGGAAGCTCTCATGAGTGTTTTGCTCAGTCTGGAGCCACACTCCTTCAGTGGAAGATGAGCCATTCGCCTCATCGATGAAGGTGAGATCCCTGGGTGTCCGGACAGGTTCGTCGGCACCCTCTCTATCGTTTTTGGCCAGTGGCTCACTGGACTCTTCTGGAACGTCCGGGATAGCTATATCGTCTTCTTGAAGAGTGAGTTCAGAATCAACCTGAATACCTATGGGACCAATCGCGGCCCGAAGGTTGCCTTCGATATCTGGAAGGACTATATCTCCATGACCGTTGACATCTGATGCATCCCGATTCGCGGCCGATCTCTCCACAGAAACAACTTGTTGGGCTTCTTTTGCAGCCGACTCCGCAGCTGCAGGTCGCTCAGCATGAGATTCATTCTCAGCAGGACCAAGAGATTCAACGGGAAGGATTTCCTCCGACTCGGGATTCTTATATTTCCGGTGCGGCCTTCGATACTCAAAGCGCGGCAACTGAGATGACGAAGAAATGACACGAAATGAGGATTGCGCAGGGCCATTTGCCTTGACCTTTAGTGAGCCCTTGGCTATCGGTGATTGTCTGGGAATCGGGGATTTTTCAGAATTAGCAGGGTCTTGGATTTGCTGCATTGGTACCTCTAATGGAGTATTTTCCGGTGAGATGTCCATAGCCTCGGCCATTGTGACCTTGTCATCGATCGCAGTGGCTCCTGAATTCCTTATGGGCGAAGGAGTAACTGGAACGCGCACCTCCATGGCGCGCGAAAACCCCACCCCCGTCTTGTTCTCTGCCTGTCGACATGCATTCTTCGGCGTCGGGGAGCTAGGAGGCTCGAACCGCGTAAAGTCCATCCGTCTCCGGTCTTTCTTCAGCCAATCCGCTGGTCCACCGGTAGCGAACGAGTAGTCGTCGATTCGCGATGAATATGTCTCTTTGGTTCTTTTGATGGAGCGTGGTGGAGCGCGATTTTGTTCGTCGTAGGCTGTGGTTTGGAGGGTTCTTTTCTGTGCTGATCGGGGCGTGACAGAGGGACTGGCATTGGGTGCTAGCGCAGTAGGGGGTGGGATAGTAATAGTTCTAGCCTCTGATCGGCATCGAGAAGCAACAGCTAAATCCTCGCGGTACTTCGGCTTCCCTAAGTCGGTCTCTTGTATGACATGGCCCGCATTTTCCATCGCCTTTTTCCCATGCTTCTTTGCCGCACCGTTGACGATCACCCTTCGATCCTTCTTCCATGGGTTTTTCCAGTCCTTCTCGAACGGTCCCCGTAGAGCAGCAGAGAGGATTAACAGCGGCCGGCCCTGCAGGTATGATTCTGCCAACTTCTCGATTCTCTGCTGTTGAGCGGCGCGGCCAGTCTCGTTCAGCTCATCATCAGACCCAAGTAACTCATCGCCAGTTATATCGTCGATAGGAGCCGTATGTGTCTCAAGTCTGAGCGACGAGACGGGCCGCGGGTAGGGCATCGGGCTGGATCTAGATGAGACGTTTAGGGTCGGAGTTGATGGTGCAGAACGACTTCGTAGCTGCAGCGGTGGGGTTCTGCGGCGAGGCAGCGGGGTGGAAACCTTTGGGGAGGTTTCTCGTCATTTCTGCACGTATAAGAGGGAGCAGAGAGAGGTCGCTGGCGCGGAGTTGGCGCCGGCCGCGAATAGCACTTACCGCGCGCGGAGGTGTCCCAGCAACCGCAGGGGATTATGTAATTGGCTGCCTCCCGGCCAGGGTCCATCAAGAGGGTAACGAACTATGGAGTTTCACAGACTTCCTCCTACTTCTGTCAGCCTCCTATCACAGATAAAATTGGATGCCATGGTTAACATTATAATTTCCTAGGGTCTCGCAGACCTAGCACTAGGTATCGCAACACATCCCTCAATGTTTATCTGGAACCTAGGGGTCGCCCGGATGGAATATTTACCTCATGGAGTAATTTAACAGCACCGATAATTTAAGTGGCTGTTTCGGATATTGAAGCAATCATCTGAAGCAATCACTAGAGGCTTTGGAACGCCAAACGCATCATGGTACATATCGTCGACTACCACACCGCTACCGGCCTTGTTAGGGGCCGAGTGAGGACAATGATGACCACACCTCTCCCTAGGGACCGCGAGAGCGACAGCGTTTGCTTATGCCCACGCTACGATTGGCACGGGCCAGGGCAATCTTTTTATCTCGAACCATTGCTCATTTCAATCGATTTCGGCAACCTTTCTGGTGTCAGACCCGAACGTAAAAAGCCGTGGGTTGGATGTGTTCATGAAGCTTGTTCTTGATGAGCATACATCGGGGCTTTCCAAACTGTTCAAATCCTAGATTTCGAAATAGCACTTCACGAGTGAAGCCGAGTCAGAATCACGCACTAGTCTCATTTCACAATATCATTGCAGAGGTAGAAATTTCATTCGTAAGAGGTTATATAGGTATTGTAGCGTCTTATACTAGATCAGTTGCCGAAGGCATCATGATAACTAGCTTTCCAGGGTTAGTTACTAGAAGCTTGGTCACTGTTCCCTCCATTCGCTTCCAAAACAGGCTGAACGTGGAAGTGGCCCATCTGAAACAAAATATGCTGCCACTCGGGCCGACCCGTGCTTTGCACCCAGTAGTAGTTGATGTCATCAGAAAACCACCTATCCTTGCGAGTCGAGGTCTTGTCGCCTCCCTCCAAAGCAGCCCGACTGGCACGGGTAGTCCGCATGCGTTTTTCACCAACTCCTTGTTCTTGTGCCCAAGCCGCAAAAAGATTGTCTCGGTACACCTTCAGGCGACCATCGAATACCATGATCGCGCGAACATAGGGAGCAATGTCCTCGGTGATAGGCGCAAGACCATTTTCGAAGGACGGGGCGAGCCGCCCTGTCGCTACAGGCATGGTATGATTTACTCGCATGATAGGCTCAAAGACCTTTCGAAAGCCGTTCACGGTCGAAGGTAAAACGCTTCGGCGAGCGGCAGACTTGGCCCAACCACTGAAGATACGATCTGCACTGGCAGATTCGATATCCTCAGCACCAGGGCGGAAAACTCGAGAGAGTAAGGAATCGAATGTGGTGCAAACTGACTCGCTCAGCAAAGAGTACTCAGGTCGCAAATCAGCTTGCAAAAGTGGGTAAGCGTCGACGTAATTGGAGCGGTGACAATCCGGAATTGGTGGAGACGAGATATCGAGAACATCCTAATGTACAGTCAACCTGGAATCCATTGAATGGAATTGAGAGGAGTTAAAATTACCTTGAACGTATCAATTGGACATTCAGAACAAAGAATATCGAGTGAGCTCCTCATGTCCAAGTAGTCTGCTTCACGGCCAAGCAAGTCCAGCTGATCAAGCTTGGACATCGACTGATACTGATCAGGGGGCAGCAACTCCATTGTACTCGCACCAACTGCATCTTCTGCATCCTGAATGCCGAGTCTCCACCAATGAAATGTGTTCTCCAGAGCCTGTGTCTCTTTTGCCAGGGAATCATCGCCAAGGAAAGTGTCCCGGTTGAACCAACCCATATACGGCTCGTAGGTGTTCAAACTGAGGACTCGCACCCGTTCCCCATTCTGATCCACATTGGCTCCCGGCGGCCAAATGGGTAGGATCCAATCCAACCCTCCCTTTTCGCTCCCGACAGCCATCTGACACCAAAAATTCAGATCCATCAGTGACCTTCGAATGTCCATGCCAGACGCATTATAGAGCTTGCTGACGGCATCTCGCTTCAGCACGTGTCCTTCGTTGGCTGCAACCAGAAGCAAGTAGTCAAGCGCAAGATCGTGAGGGGGGCGCTGGTAACGCAAAATGGCATGTAGAGACATGTCTTGAATTGGGATAAGACTTTCATCGTTGCAAGTAATGATTATGGGTCTTCTGGACTGGCTGATGAGTGTCATCACTCCAGTCCAAAATTGGCGATCTTCATCGAAAAGAAGATCAGCTTCTTCAAGCAGGATCAAAGACTGTTTCTGCTCACGGGTGCGCTTACCCTCACTCTCAGGTGAGGGTCTTGACTTTGATGTGGTGGCGTTGCTGGGCTTTGTATTTTTCGATGGTTGACCTTTGAAGAAGGTCATCAACTTGTTTTGCTTGGTGTCCTCTGTCGTGGTATTATCTCGAGACCTGGACGAGGAATCATCGGTCTCATTGAGCAAATGAACAAGATGATTTTGGGTCATGTCGCCAACTCTCTCGAGCATGTCTCTGGCACTTCGGCGGCTACCGGCGTTAATCTCGAACACCTCAAAATCAAGCTCCTTGGCAACCGCATACACAGAAGCGGTTTTTCCACAGCCGGGAGGGCCACTCAGTACGATGGAGTTGGCTAACCGACCTTTCTCGCCTCCATGTTGGCTATGAACGGCAAGATCTCCTGATCGTACGACGGTCTTCTGTGCTGAGACTGTAACATTGCCCGCCAGCTCATCATCCGAGCCCGAAATTGCATCCATTTCGGACGCTTCCTCTTCACTGGAGACAATAAAGCCCTCAAGCTCGTTGTTTGCCTTGCGCTTCTTCCGTTTCTTATCGCAGGTGGCCTTCGACTTTGCGCTTTCTTTACATGGCCTGCCGGTATCCACCGCCGTGATTTTCAGGTGCCGAAGCCAGTCGCGAAGCACATGGGCCTCCTGGCCGACTTGAAGAACATCTGCTGCCATCGTGGGGCTGTACTTTTGAGCCCAAAGCCGCGATTCATACTTCCCACAGTCGAAGGCAGAAACGGATGAGAGCAAGGAAGAATGTAGCTTTTTGATCACTGGAAGAGGGGAACGGCAAGATGAATGTTGAGCAGGCAAAGACCAAGACATTTGACTATTGATCGCAGTTTGCAGAATACGCCCACTGGCAGCATGTCGCCCTGGCAGGCGTAACGTTGGCTTGTTTTCATTTGGCAAATGCAATGACAGGCTAGCAGCCTTCCGTGCCCAAGCAGTGCTCGCTAGGAGAGCATTCTCTTCATCGGGCACAGTGATCGCTGGCGATTTGGATTTCTTATGGTCATTTTCGAGATTGGCCAGGAGCGTCTGCGTGATTTGGGACGGATCAAAGGCTCTGACATGGACGAGATCTTGGGGTGGCCAGAGTGGATGAACCAATTCTGGAAATTTGTTTGTTCGACGGCCAAAAACAGAGGATAATGCTCTCAATGGCCGTTGTTCTCTTGCTTCCATGGTGCTCGTTTGCGCTTGGTTGGAAGATCCCTTATGATCCGGGCTGTGTGTGCTCAATTGAGGATCCTGAGTGTCCTCTCCAGGTGGCTTCTGAGGTGCCTTTTTAAGGAAAAATGGATGTGTCGGTTTGTTCCCGTTGACTTGAGGTTGGACGGGGCGTCGTAAAGGCACAGTGGGAGGAAGGGGGCGTGGATTGTGCTTCATCCGGCCGCTGAGTATGTCGTCTAGAATTTTCCCAATGCTACCTTCAGCTCCAGTTGTGTATCTGATGATCACCAGTCTGCCTTCCATCTTGCGAGGCCGGCCACGTTTGCCACCTGTTCGCTTTGGAGCAGTAGTATCAGGAGGGCTGCGTGGAGGCGAGCTGAGCAATCGTCCATTAGTGTTTAACTTGACAATTTTCCGCGGCCTGGCAGAGCCATCTGGTATCGCTGTATTATCTTTGGAAGCTGATTCTGTATCGAAGCTCTTCTTGGCAGACTCGAGTTCGGCTGGAGCTGGTGTCGGTTCAATAGATATGATACCCGGCTCCACACCCATACTTGGCATTTGGGGAGCAACAGAACCGGGCATTTCCAACCCTAGCCAGCCAGATAAGCCTGCTTGGAGAGGCTGTTCCTGTTCTGGTTGCTTGGTCCGCTCGATCTTCCGCCTCTTGCTTCTGCTAGCATTGAGGTCCTCATCTTGACTCAAGAGAGTCGTCGCGTGAGTTCCCGATGGTTGCAGGGCATATGGCAATGACATCTGAGCGGTGTTGGTTGGGTCGGAAGATGAGAATAAAGGCGAAGACACGTTTGGAGGAAGGGTGTTGGGTCCGGCCGGGGGAACAGTAGCATTTTCTAAAGAGGGCGGAGGTCTGGATGGCGTTCCGAAATCTATAACTCAATGTGAGCCGATGAAAGTCAAGTCGTCCAGCTTGTTCATACCTTTCCGGAAAAAAGGGTGAACTACAGGCTGTTCGCCTTGCGGCATGGCCACAGGTGAATTGGAAAGAACGGTATCCATGTGAGAAACAGCTGAAAAGTCATGAAGGAAGAACCGCCGGTGAAGGAGAGAAGGTCAATGCATCCGGACCACCGGCGGTCGTAGATCTGGCCGTCTGCACCAGAGATGCAGAGTCAAGCCAGAATGGTCTTTATCGTAGTTATCGAGTCCAACACGTCCGACGCGAAAGGCGCGTCTAAATAGCTTATGTCATCTTGATTACATCACCAGGCGAATCGCACTCTAATCCACATTAGGACTAGTTTATGATGGGTCCGGCCCGCTGTTATTCCGAAAATTTTTCAGATTTCCCCGTTAGGATGGCTTTGCAGCTTCACTGATTCAGGCTCTGAAGGGAGACAGAATCAAGGCTTCTTCGAGGTTGTGATTTTGCTAGTCATGGATTTGCAGTCCCCGTCAGTTCTGGCACAATTGCCGCGCCCCCTTCACGCCTCAACGGGCAAAACCCGTATCGGAGATGTCAACAGCCTCGCCGATGCCAAAAAACGCAAGCGCTACGAAGTTGCGGTCGCTGTCGATGGTGAGGCCGTCAACATTTATAACGTATGTCTATTTCACACAATCTTCACTTCAACACATGCTTACTTACTGCTTTCTATCTCTAGATCCAAACGCCCAAGCTTGTGACCTCGTATGCCGTCCCGCCGCAGTCGACATTTTCTTGTCGGCCTTGCTCCGTGCGCCGCAAGCTGCCCAAGAAGTCGGCGGTGAAAAGACAAACCTATACTGCAGCAACAAAGCCTGAGCACCAGATCAAGTGCTTTGTGGAAGAGATTGGCAATGGCTCAAGTGCGCCAACAATCTCATCCTCCAGCGCTACCATCACAGACTCCAAGAGCCCCACAACATTCCTGGGCATTGTTCCTTTCAGCGCCGAGAACGACAGTGAGACGGATCCCTTCAATATCCTCGCCGTTCATACGGACGGTCGCATGCGCCGGTTGTCCTCGGACTTAAAAACCCAGCACTGGAGCATTCATCACAGTGAAATTGCCAAAGTCTGCTCCACTCACATCGTTCACTCCTGTTTCCTGATTGATCTTGAGGATGCGAAGAAGAGTCTCTTCAAGAGGAGGCAGGATTTAGCTGCTCTTGCTCTCGGAGATTCGCACTCCGTTGGATCCGACGAACCCTCCATTCTGCTTGTTGTTTCTCACCCCAGGGAAGCTGATACAATTGCGTTGAAGGATGTCAATGTTCAAATGTTTTCTGTTCCTGCCAACTCCAAACCCAGATCCCACGGTCTTGAAGAGAGCCAGCGGCTACGACACCTGCAGACCATTCAAGTTCCCACTCCAGCTGGGCTTGACAAGGTGAAGAGCAACAGTCTACTGCAGTGGAACTTTCACTCTGGAACAGCAGGTTTGCAGCTTTCGTTTGCGAATGGATTTGTGAATTTCGACCTGTCACAATATTCTCCCAGCGTAAGCTCGCAGATTGTTCTGGATGAGCATTTCACTTCGATTATGCGCATTTCACCCCAGTGCGTTATTGGAGCAAGCGAATCTCTTATTGCAGTTTACGACACTCAATACCACTCTGTGCAACGGAGCATCGCCGCAAGAGATGTTATTACGGGTGCTGGATCAAACACTGATGGGTCCACAGTATTTATCAGCTACTTTGCAAAGTTGGGTATTGCAGTGGCGACTAAAGGAAATACTCTGATTGCGTTCGACCTGACTTCTCTGCATGGTAACTCCGGGCCTTCTCTCAAACGTTCGCGAGATGGTCTTCTTATCGACGCCATTGGCCGGGGTATCGGATCATCCGCTGCGCAATGGGACGTGTCCAAAAGGCACCGAACCGAGAACATGGCATCTCTGCACCTCAAGACCCCCGAGCAGGCGGAAAAGTGGAGCCAGCTGACGAAAGCAGTCAATGAAGCCACCCAAATGCAGAAGCCCGATCTTTTTGATAAGGCAGTTATCGGTTATTTTTGCACTCCTGAGGCGCCCAAGAAGCTTCCGCGTGAGCATGTGAACCCTGAATCCACGCTTTTCCTGCTGTCGAAGATCTTCGCTATCGAGGATTGCACCGTCAATGACAAAGTTTCCGCATCCTCTTCGTCTCAATTGCGCGTCGTCCTTTGGCCTGCCACCACATGTGACTGGCTCATTCGACTCGGACACCTGTCGTTAGACAATGTTGAGATTGCGCTGCGGCGAGCTTGCAAGCCGCGTATCCTTCAGCCACTTCCGATCGGATCTTTTATTCAGGCTCTCATCGACTCTGATTCCTCATTGAAGCATGTCAACCATGTTCTTGGTGGACCAGCTGTCATTTCCTCTGATGAGCTAGCTCACGCGCTCAAGTACTTCCTCAATCAGGCACGCTTGCATTCCGGTGCTTTGGAAGAAACGGCCCGAGCTATCACGAATGGCGATGCTGCTACCCCTACACAGGAGCTTACTCGTCACCTCGGAAGTGAAGTTGCGAGTCTAAAGGATATCTTCACGGGTCTCAATAGGTCCCTCCTGAAGATTCACTCGCAGCCTTTGCCATCGGTTGTCAAATCACTCCGCTCCAACTTGTCTAGGACAGAGCTCATCTCCATGGTTCATCACCTCCGCCTCTCCCTTGCTACTGGTGGCTACACCTCCCGCTTCACCGAAAACCCTCCCACCCCCATCACTCTGGACCAGATCACCCCTACCCTCTCACTGAATACCATTGTGGATCTGATCACTGCATCTGTGGATGCCGTCGGCCCGTCCGGTTGGATTTCTGCCATTCCCGCCGTCAATAACCTCGATGAAGGATCCGATTCGGCCATCGCTGCGGCGAGCCGTGAAATGGAGCTTATTGCAGATATGAAGTCTGAGGTGTCGGCCGCGCTTGCCGGCGTTGAGGAAGCAACTTATCTGAAGGGCATCCTCCGTGAGTATCTCCGCTTTGCGGATCAGGTTGCCGCCCCGTCTACCGCTTCCACGGACGCAGTTGCCAAGATTAGCGATGCTGCCACGTCGGCACCATCCCACTTGGTCCGCCATGAGAGGCTCAACGGTGCTGATCTCATGGTATTCACTCGTCCCGAAGAGGGCGAGGAGGGCTATGGTGGTGACGCTAGTGGCAAGATGCTGCCGCTGTCGCTCAAGCCTCCTTCGGCAGACGTCTCCCGCACGAAGATCATGAAGTCTACTGGCGAGACTAAGACCCGTACTAGTCGTGAGGTTGGATATCTCCGACGTAAAGCGGCTGGCAAATACTCTTTCGAAAGGCTGGTTATATAAAGGACGAGCGCGATTGCATTCTTATTTCATGTGTCATATTGTAACAAACATCCACGGAAGAGTACCATACTAGGAGTTTGACGGTCAATAAACATTTCATCGATTCGTGCATTACCTTAAATCAATTACCGACCCTTTAGACATCGAATGCTTTACGAAGTGGGATCATAAGAAGTCAAAGAAAATTCAACTCACCTTTCTAATACAATGTAGAGTGAATTACCTCAGGGTATTTATGGAGGTGACACAGCAGGGAACGGTAGAGCATTCTATGCTGTTGCAAAAACTGGTCGATCCCAGCCGTGGGGTACCCAAGTGAGGCGCGCACCATCTCTTCAGCTGGCTGACCTCCCATGTTCGCTTGAGCTCACTGTTAAGTCCATATAGTACAGGTGGATGGCTAGTGCTATAGAATCGATACCCATAAGTACTGAAGCACAGAAGAAAAACGGTGGTTAACGCGGGGAGACAGTGGTGCGGATTTCGATTCAAGTTGAGGTAATCTTTTCTGCCGATCAGTTGAGGCTCTTTCCTGATTTGTTTCCGCCTACAGTCCTGGCTCACCAGGCGCATACACGAACTTGGCCACGCACAGATAGGCGCAGCACCGGCAGGGATCCCTCGATGCTGTTCAATGTTTGCTCTTGTTGTCCAATGTTGCCCATCGGGAAGTGGGGCCATGTTCCCGCCCACCTATGGCCGACTTAGATTTAGATAGACCCATGCAATTAGGAGTGGGAGTGCAGGTCAATCCACACGGTGGTCCGGAAATTTCCCCATCACAACATCACTACGGTCTGCGCTCGTCGTGGTGAAAATTAAGTTTGTGAATTCAAATTATATGGCACTGTCGCTAGAATCAGAGCCCGCGATGGAGCATCAAAAATCAAACTCCAGTAATGCGATCATGCATATGTTGTGTGTGCCGACACCAAACGCCAGATACCATGGTCACGTCCAGCCCAGACCACGTCATGAAGGAAAAAAAACCAAGATACACCATACACGCTGCCAACAATGCCCAAACACAAATTCCTCCTCCGTATCCGGTGATGCGAATCTAGGCATTTAGTCCTTAGTTTGTGATGGCCTTCCGGCGAAGTACACCCAGCTCCTCCAATTTTGCCCAGGCTTGACCCATGTCTGGATGGTCCTCGCCTAACGACGGTCGCAGCTCCAACCCGTCGAGATTGTGTAATGATCCACTAGTGCCAGCATAGAGGAGTAGTTCCAATACCCTTCGCCGCAGTCGAGTGGCACGATCCAGGTGAGTAACGTATTTCTCATCCGCCCGTGGATCGGCGGCTGGCAGGGTGAAGGGATCGTTGACTTCAACGTCTCGATCGGGCTTGGTGCCGTCATCCCAGGCGACTGCCTGAGCAACATGGTCGTTCTGGTCCAGATCAGCAAGAGCATCAGACAAGTCCCGGCGATAATCGGGTTGCTGGACAACTGCTTTTTCCTGATCCTTCAACTTCTTCCGGTCTGCATTTGATCCATTCCCAGTAAGTGCCGGGGGATAAAAGCCTATAGTAAGGGGATTGCCGCGAATATCAAGCTTTCGAAGTGAACAAGGATTTCCTTTGCTTGTCCTTCCAAGACGACTTAAGATTTGACAAACACGTCGCATTCGCGCAAGACGGTTTCCAGCGATAGTCAGCCTGGTCAGGCAGTTCATGCCCACCAATGGCTCTAGCTCTGTAACGGAGTTGAAATTCATATTCAACACCTTGAGGTTGGGGAAGCAAGAAGCGAATTCGCTGGGAAGCGCATTCAATGTGCAAGCAGCGATGTCGAGAAGCTGGAGTCGTAGCAGAGGAGCGGATGGGGAAAGAGAGCTACGCGAGAGCTTGTTGGATGACAAGAAAACTTTGCGAATATCTTTCACATGGCCCAAGTCAATAGCCAGGGCAGTGGCAGAATCAGCCTGCTCGCGGACCGAAAGTACCTCAAGGTTGTGACAATGTTCCAGTCCGTCAATAGTCGACAGGCAATTCTGATCCAGATAGAGGAGATTTACAGACGAGAAATTCTTCATGTCGAGAACATTCAAACGGTTTCCGGAGAGTCTTAAAGCACGGAGGCTAATCAGGGATGCTGACGACTCGAATCGAGTAATTTGGTTCGCGCTAAGATCAAGAGTCGCAAGTGACGGGAGCCATTCAATATTGCGCACAGAAGTCAAGCCGTTGTGACTCAAGTCGAGATCCCGAAGTCGGGTTCTATAATTTTCATTAATATCTGCAGTTAAAACTCGGTTCTGCGGAAGAAGACTCACAATTCGGTCGCCTGGAAGTCCACGGCGGTCATCGAGTTGTTACTCAGCTTCAAGCTCAACAACCCATTCAGTTCTAGGATACCGTCGATATTGCGAATCCGATTGTCATTCGCCTTTAGCTCTCTGAGATGGATGAGACCGGAAAAGCCGTCCAAAGTCTCGATCTCATTTCCAGAAATGTCCAAGTATTGCAGGTTGGTCAAGTGACTCCATGGAGTGAGGTTGGAGAGGCGGTTCCTAGGAGCCTTGAGGGTGCGGAGGCTTGAGGGTACCCCACTCAACTGACCAATGTCATTGTCGGAGACATCCAAGTCCTCAAGGCGCGGACAAAAGTGACTTAGCTTGTGCAAAGTGATCAATCCCTTTTGACGAAGCACCAGGCGGCGGACATGCTCCCAGAACGGCTCATATGGCTCTACATCAGTGATGTGCTTGATCAGATCTTCCGTTGCAAGTGCAAAGGTACCGTGCACCTGTCTCAGGGATGTCGGATTTGTTCGCTGCGCCACATAGCTCATTTCAAGATTCAGAGGACGGTCCGGCTGGTTGACGGAGAATTCAGGAAGCGGACTAAGGTGGAAAGTGTAGCTGGTCTCCTGGTCAGGGGATAGAAGAGGGACCAGCGATTGTTCTGCAGCATTCCCGCCAGCGGTATTCTGGACAACCAGTGAATCATCTATCCGAACAAGGCTAAGATCATCTCCGCAGTCCTCGTTGCGCTCATCGATCCTAGAAACCGGTCGTCGAACGAATGGCTGCCCTGCAACCGAGGTTTCACGCGCTCTTGGGGGAGCAGAAGAACGTGCAGAAGCGCCGTTTGGATCTGCCGCGTCGGAAATTTCGGCCTTTGGTTCTCCTTGCTCGATGTTCGATTCCGGCTGGGTGGGATCATCTGGATACGCAACATGCGAGACGAGGGGCGATGAGAAGGAGATGGTCGCGATACGCGACTTTTGGGGTTGTTGTTGAGAGGCAGTTGCAGAAGCGACCCGCATGGAAGGTTTGGCTCCCGCATCTTTTTTTTCGCGCATCTCGTCAGTCCCCCATGACGTAGCTCGGGTCCCGGAGTTGGGAACACTCGATGTGAAGGGTGTGTTTCTAGACTGCATGGAACTTGCATTGACCGATCCATCCCTTGTGTGCGGCCGGTGATCAGCTTTCGTCGGCGAGGTGCTTGCACCCGGTGGATGACGCTGATCCTCCATTTGATCCCCAGTCTGGCTCTTCGGAGGGGAACTCAAACCATGAACCCGCATCATTTCCTGGAGTTCATCCACGCTCAAGTCTGGGATATCTCGGAACGGGTCGTCATGGTCATCTTCGCGCAAGGACTTGCGGACGGGCGGTTTCGCATCGTCCTTCACCCATTGATGCTTCGATCGATCATAAACAAAGCCGTTCACCTGTTCCGGAATCAAATGCGCTACGAGATCAGAAGACAACATCCCTTTCGCTTGAGAGTTCTGTGAGGACCCAGTTGGAACGGAGTGAATGCTGAAACCAGACATTTGGGTATTAATTGTCATCAAATCATGAGCAATATCATCCGCAATGTCATAAATCGATCCGCTAGGCTTTCGTTTCCTCTGCTCGGGTGCCAGCCCTCGGGTTTGCTGATCGTCTGGCTTGAGCTGAACGTCGCGGTCCAATGTCATTTTCAGAGACATATCGGACTCAATTGCACCGAATTCTAAATCGTCTCTCTCTTGGTATTTCTTCAGGTAGCTCAAGATCTGTGGGTTCAGCTCTTTCGGCTCGCGCTGCTTCCGAAGGTCTGTCCCTTCCCGGCTGGGGGGCGAGAAAAAGCCTCTCGCGTGGATTCATCCTCATAGCTGAGATCCCCTTCCTCACTGTCCGGGTCAGACTCCTGCACACTTGTCAATCCCGCTGCTGGTCGGCCTTTGGATCTGATCAGCTCCATGATCTTCGTCGCCTCGTTGAAATAATCCTGGGTCGTAATGGACCCTTTTCGGGACGAGTCACTAGTGCCAGTTATCTTAACCAGCGGGATGTCACCCTCAAGAGAAAAAGAATCTGAATAGTCGCGCTCATCGAAGTTGCTTTCCGAATACACTCCACTCGGTGCAACCTTGGATTCGTGAGCAGATCGAATTTGACTAGGAGTGGGCGTTCTTGGACGTTGCATAGATCGAGAAGGACCGTGAGGGGCAAGGTAGTCTCCATTCTCAAATTGCATCCCATGCTGCAACAAGCTTCTCTGCAACAAAGACATGCTGTCACCGAATCTTGAGGGCGGGTCGCCCTTGGTATGAGCTTGCTCAGGCTCAGCGCTGTCATTTCGCAATATTGTTCGGCGCCGTTTTGGAGTAGGATCCATTGCTGCAGCCTTGGGCACTCTTTTGGTCTCGGGGATCCCGACATTCTCTTTCCTGTTGACTCGAGATGACCATGAAGCGTCACGCAGGTGATCAAAGTAACTCTGTCTCGTCCAAGCGGATGGCTTTCGAGTGAAGCCGGAACTGGCAGACCTGGCGTATCGGAGAGACTCTTGCTGCTGCGATGGCCGTCGCAGGTACTGTTGCCGACCTGATGATCGCTTCCGTGAAGTGGGCCGAGATCCAAATCCATGTATTTCATCATAGACCAACTTATTCTCGTAGGGACTGGCGTCCGAGAAGTCGAACTTGTCCAATTCCCCGTCTCCGAATCGACTTATCCGAGGACGATTCACATTTCGCGAAGCTAGGCGCTCGTTCAGTCGTGATGAAACTTCACTCAGCGGCTCGTGTCTAGCATTCAAAAAGCTGCGACTCTCTCCTTTGCGACGTGCTTCCTCAGATGGTGAAGGTGGTTCATCCCCATCGGAGCCGTCACCGAAGGTCTCTTCAAACTGACTCATACGTCGCAGTAGTCGATTGTTCGTGAATGTATCATGCTCACCAAACAATTTCAGGGGACTACCCGACGAAGGCATTGTTCCCTCCTTGGATGTTGCATTCCCTGATGTTGATGGACGAACGTGAGAAGAGGAAGGGCGAGGTAAGGCAGGCGAACCGTTGGTCTGCGAGCGGCTGAAGAGGGGTGAACTGCGAATTTTGGCGTGTGCGAGGGCTGCGGGCGTTTTGCGGTAGGAGGGAAACGGCGAAGGGGAGAAGCGGTGGTGGAAAGCACGGCTGGCGCCGCGGCGGCTGAAATCGACGGTGCCCATCGATAGGTCCTGCGGCAAGGAGTGACTCGTCACATCCAGCAGGCTGTCATCTCGCGGTGAGCCCTCGGGCCGGGGTTCGCTGTGGTTGTAGAATAGGACGCTGTCGCTAGCCGCTGAATGAGGGCGGCTGTTGGGATCCATTGACAGACTCTCGAGTTTGTTGGTGACCTGCTTCAGCGCGGACTTGATCACTTCGGACGTAGCACCGCTTTCAAGCGTATTCGGTCGATTGAACGTGATTGGAGTTATCCCCTCATTGCGAAGGTCTTCCAGTCCACTGGCAGTTCGGGTCCCAGTATCTTCCCCCTGCGAATGTCCCTCCTGGGTACAACCAGGGCCGCCGGGCAAGTTCTCCGCCCAGGGTGCGCGGTTGACTGTGCCCATTGGTGATTCCATTCCCGTGCCCGAGACTTCGTCGATCAGATGTTCCGGCGCGTCGTTGATCTCCTCTTCTTCCTTTGTCACGCTCCCGCGCCGGGAAGTCGCGTCGTTAAATTCCCACAGCTGATCGTCCTGCCGCGTAAACGGAATGTAGCCTTGCTGGCCGGTTCCAGAGCCAGGTGACGGCGGCTTGAACACACTCTCGAGCCCCATTGGCGCAAAGAGGTCGCGTTGTTCGCCCGCCGATATCTCCCCACGCACGAGGCGCTTCCGCCATTCAGGTGTAGCTCCTCCTTCATCTTGAGCTTTCTTTGGTTTAATCTGCACGGTATCCGTGGTCTGGTAGCCCGATTGAGCACCGGATTGACTGGAGACATTCGAGACCGATCGGAGCGGAGAACGCGTGTCCATCGTCGGCCGTGGTTTGCCAGCCGCACCCGAGGTGGGCTTCGAGGTGGGCTTCGGGCTGCGCTTCGGTGTTGGTCTCGGGGCAGGCTTCGGAGAGGGCAGCGGACTCGTTGTTCTGGTCTTCACGGGGGTCGTCGATCGCGACTTCAGGGGTGTTTTAGGAGTTCGGGGTGTCTTCGGGGTGGGAGGTTCTCTCCTAATGAAATGACATGGCCGGGTCACCTTTTTCAGGCTGTCGGCCGGCGACGACTGTTGTGCCACAGATCGGCGGGCAGCCACTGGAATGCGACTGGGGGTAACCTGTGCACCACGCCGGGGAGAAGATGGAAGATTGGACTTGGCCGGCCCAGGCGTAGTAGGAGTCGTAGGCGTCGATGGCCAGTCGTCGGAAAGACTATCGAGCCATGGTTCGTCGCCCATTTTCTCGAGTCTTGTTATGATGCGGCCCCGAAGGCGCGCGTCACGTTGGTCAGCTCACGGTCCACGAGGAAAAGCAAAGGGACGGAAACAAAAGGGCTATCTGTCCGACATGGAGACATTGACTGCACAAAACACAACGCACAAAACACAACGCACAAAACACGGGTTCATCGACAGGGAGAACGGTGGATAGCGAGTGCGGAGATGTGGTGTTGGTCCGAGCGGGCTCAGCTCCACTGGAGCTCCTTGTTTATTATTGTTTGCCCTCAACGCCCGCCACACGTCCCCGTTGCTGGCTGGATTTGAATCACTTAATTTGAAATCAGGGTATCTATCTAGGCCACCCTGAGCGCTCGACTATGTTCTTTACTAATGCAATTCAAGCGAAAAGTTCAAGAAATTTTCTCTAGCCGTCAGTGGTTATAGCCCAGGATGGAAAAAGCAGTAGTCTGATTGGCGCCCCCTAGTGGCAGCCCGATGTTTTGTTCCGGTCCCACAGCAACCCGATCGCCCCAAATGGCTGGTGGTGTTTTTGTTGAGCCGACACAAAATTGCCCGCGCAATTTTCTGTCGGCCTGTCCAGTCATACCTCTATCGTGATGCCCATTGCCTTGACTCTCGGGCTGGGATCTAACTTGTGAACCCTGGTGCTCGCTACATTGTTCTATCCCGTCCAAACATCATTCATAATAGGTCTTACCTAGGGACGCATGTAGTTTACTAGGTTCCTCTTCCGCCTCCGCCGTCTCGCGATTCTCACACATCTATGGATACCAGACCCTGGCCCACTCAATAGCGCCGAAGCGCGGGGTGGCCAACTCCGGGTTCGTGGCCTCAACGCGCATGCGGTGCTGCTCGCGCAGTGCGGGACACTTCTTCTCCTTAAGGAAATAGTAGAACTTGCAATGCCCTGGGCGCCATGGCTCTAGTTAGGGAACTGCTGGCCAAAGAGCTTCTGGGCCTTTTCTCCACCTCTAGCAGAGGTTGACGTGGTGGTACCAGACGAAGTAAATCTCATCCTCGTACCTGTGGCGCTGCTTGCCGCGCCAGTCGGAGCCGTTATTGTTGGAGCTGGCGCCCGCGCTGCCGTAGCGCTGGCACGAGTGGTACGGGTTGGGCGAGGAGCCCATGGGCGGCCGGGAGGGAGGCCGAATTTTGCATGATACCTATCCCAATTATCACAGAACCTCCGAGAAGTTTAGCGCGATATAGCCAGTGACAACTTAGGATTTGGGGATTAATATTTCAATACTATCCTATGTAGTTCCCTTGAGATGATGGGGTGTATGCATTGAGGATAATTCAGTGTCATCCTATGTTTTATTTCTCCGCAGAGGCTCCAATGCCAAGTCAGGTAGTGTTTTAAAAGGTTGGGGGAGTGTTGGGTGCTGGTAGGGCGAGGAGTCAATCGTGCAGCTAAGCAGGGCACACGATGCGCCGAGGCAGATACAACTTAACGGCCCCCGATCTCACGTACCCCTGGCAGAACCCAGAAAGGATACACAGCGACCTTCCTTGGCGTGTTGACGTTGTGAATATATTAGAGCCCACTGCGCGGCGGAGATCTGTGGCCTGCACAACGGTGAGAGCGGCCCAGGCCTTCCCGGTGGGGCCGGTTAGATCAGGAGTGGATGGTGAAACCAAGCAAGCAGGGATCTTGTGAGGATTTTTTTGCAAAAATCCTCACAAGATCCCTGCTTGCTATTTACCTTGGTGGAGCAGTAGAGGGTCCGAGAGCCGAATGCCCTTATTGCTGGGTGGCGGAGGTAGGTGGGCGATACTAAGGGAGCCTGATGTCTCCGTCAGGTTATTCAATGGCCACACGCGTAACCCGACTGGATGGTAACTCTGCTGGGAACGGCCCGACGGACCCGGGACGCTGGGTCCTGGAGCCACTCCTGGACACCCTGGACACCCTGGACACCATGGACGCAGTTTTGGGACCATTAGCCATCCCATTCTAGGTTTCTATTGCTCGGGGAACCGTAGGAAATGCATGACAGTGCATGAGCGTCTTTCGCCGGAGGGAGACGATCTTGGATTTGCTGGCAGTATCAGAAAAGGAAAGAGCCATTCTCTGCCCGTGTCGCTAAACCTTTTCTAGAAGTGATTTTCAGTGAGATCGGAGTCAAGAGGTGGTTTCTACTGATATGTCTCCGGATTAGCGTAGAATGATTTAACGCCCTGACATTATTGTCACTGTTCTGTCTGTCCCTTCTGTCTTCCCATTCGTCCCATTCTTCCCATCCCCCCAAGCGTTCGCAGCCGCGCTAAAGGTTCCCATCCCCCATGGTGACTTACTTTTGTCGTACATTATATTCTACAAGAATAATGATCTGTCATCTTCGCTTATGAGAATCTCTGTCCCTCTCATATATAGCTTCAGTCCCTCGAGCCTAGAAAATTATTTCGGTTTTTGTGACTAGGTCCGCTACTTGCTAACGACTAGCCATGCTACGCTTGTTATATCAGAGAGTCCGTGTGGTTGTCGCTATTTGGGTAAAAATCCTATGGCCATCTACAGACAACCAAAACAGCAGTCCGGCTGTGAGTATTTCCCAAAAAAACGCTACAGCTGTTAATACCTCTGCAATGTCTAGAGCGATATATTACCCGTCGATCGAGTCCAAGATGCACCCTCTCAGGAGGGACTACGCCGGCGTAAGCCTCATAAATGTCAGTTCAGTTAGCTCGGTCCGATATGCTCACCAAAGGGTTGCTCACGGACTACAGTTCGAGAAGAATGATTTGTCCTGCCTCAGAAAACCTTTGGATGGGGCGTGTCAAAGACAGAAGATAATGTGTTCGGGTTGATTCATTGTGGCTATCCTGTTACATATACCTCGTTCTCTACTCCGGATGGTAACGAAGCCAAAGAGGTTCCTTCAGTACTGCCCCATGTTCTCCCCAAGGTCTCTTGCATTCTCTTGTAATGTCTCATATAGAAAGGCTTCTATAGCCTCGGTCGACGCTGAATGATATGTCCTCTTTCAATATTGCTCATTTTGACGCAATGCTGGCCATGGTGAGGGTGAATAACGGAGGTGTAGTAAAAGCGCTTTGTGTTTTTCGACTTTAGGAGAAGAAATGGGCTTAAGAAAAAGTCCGCAGCCAGGCATTCGCCGTGTTTACCACTTCTACAAGGACGTAAGGTTGACCTTCCAAGGATCAAGAATCAAAATATAATATAAGCTATCTATAAGATCAAGGCTTCATCCGGAGTTGATTTAGGAGCTGGACAGGAATGTGGCTAGAACTTACCACTCTGCTTTGTGGACGCAATAGGTGGAGGAGTTCAATATGTCTCCACACAGACACCTGTCATCTTACCTACAGAGGACGCGCTGTGAGCCGACACGCCTGAGGTTCGAGTGAAGAGGGAACTCACAAAACTAGTCCCCAGCGATATCGTGCAGGCCCCCTGAGGAACGAGACTATCCAACCTAGAGAAGCGTCCTCTATCGCTATGGCCAGTCTTTTACGCAATATAACATCCGCCGACGATCAATCTATGCTACACTATCTACAGTAGTGCCTCGTCGTGCATTCCCTCCTCCTTCGCACCCTACATCAGAAAGGTGCCAATTCGGTAGAAACTGCCGCTGCCGCGATGCAGTCCGTGTTTGTGCAGCATTCCACGAATTCGCGAAACAGTGTGATCTATACTATATGAGCATAGAACGACGTGCTACTAAAATCCCCCAAGCTACCGCCATCGTGCAAGATACCCTATAGACTTTGCAGCTCCCCAGTAGACGATAGCTTAGAGGCACCCAAGGACGTCGCTAAGCGCCACGGACTACAGCTATTGAAAAGTCACGAAATCGACTACTTCAACACCGACAATGGTATCACTATATACGCGGAATCGGAAGAGGAATATACCAAGATAAAAGAATTACCAAATTACCCGAGGAGATTGCGGATATCTCTACGGATAAACTAGGCTTTGCCGTTGTTCCGCGCACACAGCGTTTAAAGGTTCGGCTGAAGAACGATACCGAAAAACCGCCGACGAAGCTATACCTGCTTTCCGCGAAGGACAAGGAAGTCGTCGATGACTACTTCGACAAGCTCCACGAAAAAGGCCATATGATTTGGAGCCACATCGCCATTTACTTCGGATTCCCTGTCTTGGTTGTTTGGCGCACCTTACCTTATCTACCGGCGAAGAAAGCCGCGCGTCGTGGTGGATTGCCGTGGTCTAAACAAGCTGTCGGTCTGAGACTCGTACCCTCTACCGCGTCAAGAGGATGTAATGAACTTTACACAAGGTGCCACACATCCATCGGCGTTCGACTCTCTACAGTTCTTTTACCAATGTGGCGCGAACCATGTAGATTGGCACAAAAGTATTGCTGTCAGATAGTGCCATTTTAGACCTATGAGCCTTGAACTGTCTCGGTAGCCAGGTTATTATTTTGATTTGTCAATCGCGCAGTGAGTTCTACTGGGCCATTCAAGTTCTATAGTTCTTGTTATTTCCCGGAAAGGAGCTCGTGCTTGGACTAGCTTCACGAGCCTTGAGCTACATATTAAAGGTCGTTGGATTAAGTAGTGATATATAATGGAAATATATATAGCTTAGCAAGAACTGGACACAGAAGTCCGAACTTACTGTAATCGTCACGGCGATGCCACTATGATCAAAGAGTGATATCCGCTTCCCTTATTTACCCGGAACGAGGAGCTGCTTCTGTTTCTTGATGTGGTGGATCACGTCGATATCCACCTTCAAAACGTTCGCGACAGTATCGGCCGGAGTCAGCGCGAGCCACTGAGCCAACGAAATATCGGCCACACGGTCGCTCTTATACAGCTCGATCCATATCAACTTTTCAGTCTCGGAGGTATTCTCGATATAGTGGCCTGAACCGAAACGTTAATTTCGAGATTACAATCAACGCATGAGAGGGGTTACCAACCGCTGTTGTCCGGGAAGACAGCGGTGTCTCCGGCCGTAAAGTCAAACGTCCGGGCCTTCGAGTCGCCGATGAAGACTGTTGCCCGTGCATTGCCCTGGTGGAAGTAGAGCCACTCCTCAGCCTAAACAGACGCGTTAATCAGTCTCAATTCACGCCCTCCAAAATATCGAGAAGCTTACGTTTGGGTGCCAGTGAAGCTCACGCAGACCCTTGGGCTCAAGCTCGACGATGGCAGCCGCAATAGTCTTTGAGATGGGGAAGTTGGTCGAGTCTACCTTGCGAAAAGTCCCACCATGACCAGGGACGGGCTCTGAGGGGTGCTTATACGTGTGGTAGACATAAGAGCTGTCCCCCTTCAGAGTACCCTCAGGCGCCGTGTTGGCATCTGAGCTGACGGTACCGTTCAGAATATACGGGAACTTGGTGGGAACATTATCAAAGACATCGGCATCGACGCCGAAGTTCTTCGCAAGGACTTCCTTGGGGGTGTGAGCAATCCAGTCATCGACCATGAAAGTAGTTCTAATAGAATGTCAACTTGGTGTGCGTGTAGGTTGACAAACACAAAGTACTAACCCGATCTTCTCAAAGTCACCGTCATCGAAGGCAAGCAGGTACTCGTTCTCGTCATCCAGGCCCTGGACATTGTGGGCAACCCCCTTGGGGAAATACCAAATGTCACCGGTCTCGAGCTTCTCGGTGGTGAAACCTCCGTTCTCATCAACCCCAGTGAGAAGTAGAGATCCGTTGTAAACAAATCCCCATTCAGCCTATCAATATAGGTCAATAACAGGATTTGCGAACTCCCTCTGAAGAAATTTGCATACCACTCTGTGCCAATGCAGTTCACGGATGGCCCCCTTCTTCAGATGCTGTTGAGCACCAGCGATATCATGGCTTTGTGGCAGATCTTGAATGACTTGCTCACGCGACCAACCGCCAGGAAATAACCTTGTCTGAGACTGGGAGAAACTCCATTTGACATTGGGGACAAAGCCATTATCAGTGCTTGGAGTGCGCAGCTGATCTGGGTTCTGAAGATCCACCGGTTTATTAGTTCCTCCTAATATACAACATTGTGAGTATAGAGCGATAGAAAGAGAATCGAAGGGGAGGACTACCTAGTAGAGGAGCACCTTTCCCATTTTCATTGTTGATGGGCTGCCCGCTGTTCCCAGGATCAGACCGTTTGTTGAACTTGGGTACAGCTAGCACAGAGCTTGACAGAAGACCAACAAGGGCAAGGCTTGGGAACCGCATCTTGGAAATATTAGAAAAAAAGTGAATGGAAGGCAGTAGCCTGGGGAAAGCCTTGGTTAATTTCTGTGGGTGACCCTTGCCTGGAGCATTATATAGACACATTCCTAAATCTTGCATCATCACTATTTGACCTCGTGGCGCATGAGCGACAGCCAAATTGCGATCACAACATAATCAATAAATATCGCGATATGCTACGAATATTGCGATGCAATAAAGCCAACATCCCGTATAGTGGAGAGTATACATTCTCCTCGTGCGAGAAGATGGTGCAACAAAGGGACCGTGGGTAATTTCAAATTCCGCGCGATAGCCCACAAAAAGTCGGACCCTGATCGGCAACCAAGGATTCAAGAGCCTGTACACGATTCTGTGGATGGGTAAATTAGCGTGGCTGTATGTATAGCAACATTCTTGGCATACTGGCGAAATCAACGAGGTTTCGCCCGTGCCCTTGGGCCCCATGGGGAAATGTCAGCGCCGATCAGGGACCTGACAGAACCCTTTCGCGAACTCAAAGTCTGCATTAGTTTTGAATCGAGGAAGGTCAAGGTTCAGCCCGCATTCGATCACCTCATCTATTGCTTGATCTACTGGTCCAAGGCTTTCTTGGTGATGTCTTGGCGGTTGCAGGTCATCATCACACTGCATGGGATGGTTCACGAGGCGCGATGTCTAAGCTTTGCATTGATCTTTTACCAAGAAATTGGGCTGTTGATAGTCTCTCGGGGCCTTTTCTGAGTCACTTACCGGATGACCCATCGGATATTCACTGAATAGAGATTGATGCGCTTTCGGTTATTGAGAATTTAGTGGGAGGTGAATGTCCCAATCTGACTGCAAAGCTAGAGTATATCTATATCTCAACGAGGGCTGATCGTACACGCCGGATACAATGAGATGAATAGGTATTAAGACTACAAAGGCCATTTAACTTGACCGCAAAGCAACCCATCGGCTTTAGCCAGGAAATTCGGGGATCAGAGACTATCGGGGACCACCGAGCGAACTATCGATTTCCCGGGGTTCTGACCCTGCAGGAGTTCGTCGTTCCTCGCCCAAGAAACGGGCTTTGACTTCAATCACGACATCCCATCGGCATTAGCTGGGCCTTGGCTCTGCATAGCACAGGCATGTGGTGATGAAGCGGGCTCGACCTACCATCCGAATATGCTCATCTGCTCTTCTCACACTCTTGATGGTATTGGAAATTCGCAATTCCGCAGATCAAATTCGTCTTGAAGTTATTTGATATTTGGCAATACCTTCCCGGCCAAAATGCAAGCATTGCGTGCTTGGGCTTCGGAAATCTGAAGGCTGAAGGGATGTGAAGGAGGGAAGTGATTGTTTCTGTTGCTGAGGAGAATCCAATGTCTATATAAGCTGCAGTAATTCCCGCAAATATGCTCACCAGAACGTTCATCTGAGGCAGTTTTCTCCATTCCTATTTGCCCTTGATATCGGTACCGACAAGATGAAGTACTCGCTTGCTTCTGCTGCATACTTGCTCTCCCTTGCGGAGTGTCTGTCTCTCCCCCCACTCATTCCCACTATCCCGGGGATTACGGAGCCTCTGACTACGAATGCACCGCCATTGCCGATCTTGCAAATTCCGACCCCTCCCCTGGAGAGTCCTCCCTTTACTCCAAGTAATATCAAGCCCAAGAAGATAGGTTACTTCTGGACTGGATCCGGAGACAAGTTCCACAAGGACTTCCTTGCTACCTACAGCTTGGATGATGTTAGTCGACTACCGTTGCCGGCCTGGGCGCCGTGGCTAACTTTGCGTTTGCCCTAGGATACTTTTGGAACCCTTTTATGGGTGACTGATGTGCCGTCCAGTGGCAATGATCCTCATCACTTGGGACCCTCCCTCGATGGAAAGACGCTATTTGGTGGTGGGTTGCTCTCGCTTCTCAAGACACAGGTAAGTTTCGATACTCCGCAATTGCATAACAACGTAATGACGCCTGTTCTGGTAGGACACTGCGTTCTACTTCGATACCTCCAACCCATATCGCCCGACGTTCAAGAAGAGCAACCGTGCCCTGCTGTCATCAATTGCGGATGAGGTTCGAGCTAAACCCGACGGGGGATTCTTCATTACCTACATGGGCTCTGCTCTGGGCACCACGCCCGGCCGTCTGATCGAGACTGATGAGAACTTCGATATCATCCACGAATGGCCGGAGGATGTGGAGGGCACCTTGAATATCTTGGGAGAGCAATTCTCTCCTCACGGACTGAGCATTGACTGGAAGAATAAGCTAATTCTCACGTCGGACTTTGTGGAGCCTATCTCGATTCTGAAGCCTACTACTGGTGTCCGCCGTGCTAACACTCTTCGCCTCTGGGATCTTGACAGCCGCAAGATTCTCAGCACTTTGACTATTCCTGACGTAAGCGTTTGACGCCCAAGATTTTTACTTAGGAGTTGGTTACTAATTATATGCACAGGGTGGCGGTATACAAGACGTCAAATTCATCCCTGGTCACCCAGAAGCTGCTGCTCTCGCGACTGCCGTCCACCTTGGCCAGGTTTGGGTCATCTACCCTCTGCGCAAGGATTCGAATGGGAATCAGGGTGTTATCGAGGAGCTCTACGACCTTGGACCCAAGGCTCGAGACACTGTTGCTATCTAGTATGTGATAGCTCTCTATCCATGGATAAAGATGGTAGCTAACCGTTCTCTCCTATAGCACGGACATTAGCCAGGATGGGCGCTTCTACTACCTGACCCTCACCACCGCCAATCACATTGCTGCTCTCGATATCAGCGACTTGAGCAACGTTAAGCGGCTGGACGACCCTGATGAGGATCAGCCTACCGTGGGTCCCCACTACGTTAAGGTGACTCCTGACCAGAAGCATCTGGTTGTCACCGACTACTTCGTTCAGACCGGCGAGATTGGCATTATCAATACGCCCGCTGATTTCAAGGCGCTGTACATCGACATCAACGACGATGGTAGCCTGAGCTTCAACCGCACTATTGACTTCAGTAAGGAGTTCTCCGACCGCGGTGGTGCCAAACCCCACTCCAGCGTCATCTTTGACCTTAGCGACCCCGAAAACCCTCTCTATTACTAAAGCGGGAACACGTTAGTTAGCTTAACTAGCCCTACCTAGCCTTACATAATATGAGAATGAGTTTTCCTTTGCTCCAACCCCCTATCCATCTTTCAGAGATTAATGGAAGGACCCTAATATACAGACTACATTAATTGACCTCACTCATGGCGATGTTCTAATACACAGTCTCTGCTCTATCGCTCTGTGACAACCCAGTAGATTTGATGCCGGGGTCTACAGTACTGATACGGAGGTAGGTACACCTTTCAATGATTAGCCATGTATAGGAAGTCTAAAAAACAAGTCGCTTTTGTACACCATTATTGTAGTGCACAGCAACATAGATCCTGTCTCGCACCCCCCAAAAGTTCCCTCTTATGGCACAGTGTGCGATGTTCCCCCCACCCCCCGGCTGTTTTCCGGCCCGGGCGGCTAGGGGAGGGGGAAAGAGGAGATAACCCACATTCCGTGCTCCCCGAAATTACAGATCGCCAATGGCACCTAATGTTATTGTGTTATTGCAAGACCATCCTCGCTCCGATGAGATTGGCTCCCATGCGTTCGCGAGATGCACTGCCGAGCCCTTCCGAACTTCTTACTAAAACGCCGTCTGTCACCAGCTCTTTGCTTCCCTCTGCTGATTTACAGGCATTACTAGCAGGATCGACTATACGACCGATCCGGCTGGAGTCCGGGCGGACTCCGGCCGGACGGCTAAAGGTTCAGATCCTAGACTTTGTCATCTAGATTCCTTCGAAGGTAGTATTTATATCACAAGGAATTATCCTACCTTTGTTGGTATCTGATCAATCTACCATGTCGACTCCAGACTACTTCACCAGCGACCCGGACTGGGAAGCATTCGCCACTAAAAATGACATTCCGCTTCCCTCGACCACTTCCCGCCCACTGTCCGCCCCAATCGACTTCACCCAACTTGATTTCGCTTCAATTCGAGCATACGAGGCGACATCTAACACCAAATGGGCCGAAAGTCACCCCATGGAAGAGGTCGGCTATACTGCAAAGTCAGTCACAGTCCGAGCCCGCGATGGTGCCGATATCAACGTGAAAGTGTCCTTTCCACTGTCCGACCGTCTCCACGCTAGAGGGAAAGATAAGGCTTCTCTACCGATCCTCTTAGTCACGCATGGTGGGGGCTGGATTCAAGGCAATCACACCTCAGAGGAACTTTGGCTCTTATACCCATTGTACGAGCGCTTCGATCTTGTGATTGTCAGTGTAGAATACCGGCTGGCTCCTGAGAACCGCTTCCCGATCTGGATCGAAGATTCGGAGGATGTACTAGATGCCCTACTCGATTCCCCCGAGAGGCTTCTCAGTTTAAACGCAAATATCAAGGTCGATCTTAATCGACTTATCCTGGCTGGTTCCTCCTCTGGAGCGGGAATCAGTGCCGCTCTCTCTCAGATCTGTCGTGACAAAGGTATCCCCGTCAATGGTGTCATCCTCAATGCTCCCATGCTCTGCGACCCCCGTCATTTCCCAGCCGCCGAGTACGGTCCTTCTGAAGAGTGCCTTCGCTCATACGCCCAGTGCATGGATATATTCATGGGCTCAAGTGGGTTGCTCGCCGTGTGGAACCTGATTCATCCGGATCCCGCCTCGGGCTTGAACAGTAAAGCGTCTCCGTTGCTCGGGGATATGAAAAGACTTCCACGACACTTGATCTTTGTCTCAGGACAGGATCCGTTACGAGATGAGGGGATCGCGTATGCCAGAAAGCTAGAAGAGGGAAATGTCCCGGTTACGCTTCATGTCTATAAGGGTGTCCCGCATAATTTTGGGCACTTTTGGGAGTTACAAGCGACAAAGAGATTTTGGGGGGATTTAAGAGCTACTCTGGAGGAATGGTTGCTTTAAAGATATCATGTCTTTGAATAACTAACGAAGGACTAACATGAATCTCGCCTATGTGCTTTGGAATCCTTCCCCGATCCAATAATCTCATATTTGACTCTCCATACATAGTTTGAGGACAAGATAGGAATTGTAAATACGGACTTGCCATGCTTGTCTTGTGACAAGCTTGTCTCTAGTAGTAGCTAATAGACCTTGGCAAAGACCAGGTCTAGTCCCAAATCTTAGGACTAGGACTTAGAGCATCTAGTCTTTAGTCTTTTTTCGAAGTAGTTAGGACCGCACCACGATCCCCTATAGTCCTTTGCGGTCCTTGGCGAGGTCTAGCCTTGACAGGGGCCTCTCGCGCTCTTGTACTAGATATTAGTGCCAATTGCATTCTCCAGTACTTAATTTCTGAGTATTGCCAACCCAAACGGTTCATCTGTAGAGATTCGCATACAATTACAATATCTCCGCCGTGAATACTTGGTATCGTCGAATGGTTTTAAGTAGGTCAGTCCGATGCAAGAACCGCCCGCACTTGTTCCTGACGACTCACTTGTCTACAATATCCATCGAGGACGTACAGTGAAGTTATGAACTCATTTCATTTAGCGGTCATGGCGTGTTTCAAATCTCATCCACAATCGCCCTGTGGGGAGATTTCCGATCGGGATCCGAACTTGGCCCTTGGGCGTGGTCGCGATCAGCTAGAGGGGATACACTATCTTTCCTTCCAACCGCCTCACCTTCTATGGTTGCCTGGAAGGCCTCACGCTTGCGAAGAAGATATCTCACATCAATCCAGCGCAGCGTGCATGTCATGATAATGACCAAGACCAACAACGCGAGCGCGGACTGCCAACCGTACTTGTAAAAGGGCGCTTGTGATGCCGGCCATACCAGCACCTGCGACCACGCCGAGATAGCATAGTAACCAGCAACCGAGACACCCACAACCAGTGAACGTGCTTCGGGATCTTGAGGGATCAGATCTGCCAGCCAAGCAAAGATGAGGGGGGCTGTGCCAAGGCAGATGTAAGCTATAAAGTATGACGCATACGCGCCCGAGATCGGGACTGCGGTCGGGTGCGAAGTCCAGATGCTCATAATGATACACGGAATAATGCCAATGATACCCTGGAAGACGATGAGAGTCCATCTCGTTTGCAAGAAATCAGACAGCAAAGCCCAGATCCACACGAAAACCACGTTGATGGCGGAGCCTCCGATCGGAATGGCATTCACTTCGGACACCGTCCATCTCGGTGTCCCGTCGGGGTTCTTCAGGGACTTGAGGAAGAGCGAGAAATAGACATAGCCGTATGTACCCAGGACGGTGGAAATGTAGAGAATCGCGATGAAATAAACCACCCAGCCAGAGAAGGTGCGCTTCACACCGGCCCATGTCATCCTCTTTGGCTCAGCACGGCCGTTGCGAGCCAGTCGCTCCATTGCAAGCTCCGCATGTACCTTGTGGAACCAGAATGCGCGGGGATTGGGTCTGTTGGGAAGGTCGGGGATCATGAAGAATCCGGCGAATCCCCAAACGACGGTGATGATCGCATTGATGACAAAAAGCCATCGCCATCCGGCCAGCCCTCCGTGGCCGTCGAGTGTGTCGGAAATTGCGGCCTGCAATGCCCCAGACATCATTTGACCGACTGCTTGACAAGAATGGTAGAAACCCATGCGTTTTGCCAGTTCGGTCGGGGTGTACCAGTACACTACCAGCCATTAGTCACTGTGGAATGCCAAAGTGCAGACGGAGACGGTTGGCGAGAGATAGACTTACTGAGTAAAGTCATCATTCCCGGCCACGCACTGCTTTCACAAAGGCCCAAGAAGACCCGCAGGACATAGATCTGCCTCGCATGCGACGCCATCGCAATCAAGCCGGTCAAGACACCCCACACAATCTCCAGGCCAGGGAGCCAAATGCTCGGCCGAATGTAGGTCAGAATGATTTGTGAGGGAATAAGCATAACACAGTATGCAGCATTGAAGTAAGTTGTAAACCTAGGGTATATGCCGTTAGCCGGCGTTGCAATCTCGCCGAGTTGGGGTTGGGGAGTTTTGTTTCCATACAGATTCAATTCATTGCCATGTAGATTTAGATCTTCCTGCATACCCGAGACGTACGCATTATTGATGTTTTGCTGATCGAGGTATTTGATCACTACAATCAGTCAGCTCATTGAGTTTCCTGAATCGCGTCGCGCCATCGTACCTTGCGAAAGACAGCCGAATGTCAGGAGGAAGGTATCCAGACGCCGGACCAGGGCCTGCTCGTCCGCAGTGCGCACAAAGCCATCCGTCGGGCCATCGCGCCGGAAGAGCTTGGACAGCCCCATCATAGCTGGGGCGAGGATTCTAGGTGAGCGGGGGAAAGGGAGGGATGGGGGGATGGGGATAAGTTCGCGCCTCTTTAAGCACGAAACGACCGTCCCGATAAGCTCGCACATCCCACTTGGGGTATACACGCCCGCGCAGATCGGCGGGGCGGTCGTGTGATAAGAGCTCCGGCAAGCCAGCACCAATGATGGGACGGAACCACTCCTAGGGCGGACCCCGGGAATGCTCCGAGGCTCTAGAAACTTGCAGATCGCGCCCGATCTTGTTGGTCGCTTGGCTTGGTCCGACCTCGCTGGTCTTTGGTGCAGGTCGAGGCGAGGTTGCGCCGGCCGCCAAGCGCCCCTTCCACGAATGACCACGATAGGCGATGTGTCTCTTCCGTAAACCCATAGACCACGAGCTGCTCTGCAGTTAATATCGCCATGGAGAGTCTCCGAGATGGCGGAATGGGCTTGGTTTACGCGATAGGAAAGCTGCAGCTGCATCTGCATCTCCACAGGCCCCCCGGTTGATCGGCACCTGCCGACGCTGCGCCGAAACCAGTTCAGGTGGCTCGGGTATATAGACGGCGGTCGATTGCCGGACTCTCGTAATGGTTTCCCCGCGACACCACATTGACCACCATGCCGGGGATAGAAACCAAGGCCACGGTTGGATCCAGCAGGAGTCTGCCTAACAGCACCCCCTGCTTGAGCTATTGGCAGCGCACGACGCGTGCATTTCCCCACCTCTTCGCCAACCAGCAGAATGCGGTTCCCTCCACCAGAAAATATGTCATCATCGGCTCTGGAATAGCCGGCGGACTCACCGCGTTCGAGCTTCTCGAAGCAGGGGTCGCGGGTGAAGACATCGTGATTTTGGAGGCGCGCGAGGCAGCAAGCGGCGCCAGTTCGCGCAACGCGGGCCATGTCCGACCGGGTATGTGGAGATGAACAGACGAACTCTATGGGAGCGACCACTGATCGCTGGCCTTTGTAGATGCCTTTCGTGGGTTCAATGCCTACTCCAAAGTCCACGGCCCGGAACAAGCTCTGAAAATCATTGCCAACGAGCGGCTGGTCCTCCAGAAGGTAGACGAGTTTGTCAACAAGCACAACGTACCGTGCGACTTCAACCTGACCACGACTTTCGATGTCTGCATGACACCCGACTTTGCGAAGTATGAAGCAGACAGCCTCCAGGCATATCAACAGGCCGGAGGTGATGTGTCGCACATTCGATTCTATGAAGGAGCAGAGGCCCAGGCGAAAACAAGAATTCCTGGGGCGATGGCGGCCTACGAATGGCCCGCTGGGTCCAGCCACCCAGCCAAGCTGGCTCAATTTCTGCTGCAATCCGCCATAAGCCGCGGGGCAGAACTCCTTACCTTTTGTCCAGCCATGGAGGTGACTCGAAATGGCGCCTTGTGGGATGTCCACAGCCCCCGTGGGGTGATCACGGCGGAGAAAGTCATTCACTGCACCAACGCTCATGCCGCTCTCTTGCTGCCACTACTCGAAGCTTACGTTCGACCGAATCGTGCGCAGGCCCACTCGCTAGTTCCAACCCCGGCCTTTGCAGCCGAGAAAGCCCTTCAATCCACATTTTCGCTGCGGTACAGCCTCTACCACTTCTATTCTCTCATCCAGCGCAAAGGGGATGGTACCCTCATCCTGGGAGTGTCTCGATCCAACCCGACGTTGAGTGCAGACACCCTAGCTGGTCGCTTCAGCACCGATGATTCTCGGTATAGCGAGGAAATCGCCCAGGATGCCTTGCGGAGCTTCAGCGCGCTGTTCCCCGAATACGGCTCGGGTGACCAGGAGATTATGCACGGCGAAGGCTTAGATCATGCCTGGACGGGAATCATCGCGATGACGACGGACTCAGTTCCCTTTGTTGGTGCAATCAATTCATTGCCAGGTCAATACATTTGTGCAGGGTTTAACGGACATGGTAAGCTTGAGAAGTGCGGGAAGCAAGTAGCAGCAGCTGTGACTCACATATTTTAGGGATGGCGCGTATCTTTACCTGTGCTCCAGGGGTTGCGAAGATTGTGCTTGGGCATGATTGGAGCGAAACTGGCCTGCCGGAGTGTTTCCAATTCAGCCATGAAAGGCTCACTCGACTTGCCAATGGGAATGTGCCTTCAATATGGTGAATGACGGAAAGGGGATGGTCGATGAAGGTGGTATTCGAACATGGCGTTTGGCCTTAAGTTAGTATATGGCTCGGGAACCTTTCCAGACTCGTGGGTGAAATGTGACAATTTAATTTCAAGCTGAGAGGTGCGAAATCTTGTTTAGATACTGGTCTTTTGCGAAGAGTTGCAACACGAGATCTATCAGAGATTGCCATGGTGGTATGCTACGAATGGCGGACAATCAATGGCCGCCGGTCCTCCCTCCGATGGGTTGGGTTACTAGTTACTGCCGTGATCTTTTGGCTTGCAACCCGTTCTTGGAAAATACACTTATTAATGCCGAAGTCACCGTGTTGAAAACAAAATTTACTTGAATAAAGTTGTTTGATAAGCCATAGGATTTTGGGGCACGCAAATCAATCATAATACAAATAATACCAATCCGTCTGTTCCTCCTTCCCACGAGCTTCATAAAGTGTCCTAATTCTCTCAACCAGCGCATCTCGAAGGGTAATTTCTTCTTGACCTAGCTTACTTTGATAGATGCTGCCTACGGGTACGACAAATACCTACGATATCACCAACTTACTACTATGGTTAGCTATGTGGGCGCCGAACTCAACAAGGCAAACCTAAGCGTAAAAGGGACATCCCAGGTCTGCGCTTTCCATGCTGAAGATTGATAATATCCTTCGCTCATAATCTGTTTATATTTGGTTTTGCGCATGTGGTTGTTTAGTCAACGCTGGCCAATCGAGCCTTCTGCGCAAAGCCGCTCTGAGAGGAGAGGCCAACCACCCCACTTCGGCCCATGATCGGCTAGGCCCTCGGAGGTTCGGCGGCTATTTATTGTCCACCTTATCCTACCACCGCGCAACAGGGGAATGGGCAGGGTTGAACACCCATTTCTCGGCCCTTAAGCGCCTGGTTCATCCATAAAACACGCAATGGAAACTCAACCCAGTATGCATGAGAGGAAGCCCAAGAGGCGAGCTCGCCCCCGGCCTCTACCCCCCGCTGTCAACGCCCACAATTTAGCCCTTGAAAAAGGGCGCCGAGAGGATATGAAAAGAGACCTTCTGGTAAGCTTCCGGTATAGCGAAAGCGCTCTTCCGCTTTTCATGGAGTAGGCTAACCGAGGGTATTCGATTCGATTGTGGCTGTAGGATCTAGCGCGCCTGGTGCCTGCTCTGGCGCCTGTCCGACGCCTTTCAAAGACGCTCGTTGTCAAAGAAAGCCTTCGGCATTTCAAACAGCAACGCGAAATGTGCCTTGCAGCCGCAGAAGATGTGCGAGACCTGGTAGCAGAGAACCATCGATTGATTGCCCAGCTCAATGAGTTGCGCTTCCTAGCCGGCAAACCAAGCACACTGGCCTCGCAGCCCAAGCCCCTCACAGAGGGAATTCTCCAGCTAATGGATGTACCAAATCAAGTCTGTGGGCAATTCCCAGCGGGATTCGGGGATAACTGGGCCTGTGAAACCCATGAAGCCAAAGCCCAGCCCACACGAAGCACTACGTCTGCGATCGAAGATGCGGAACCTTTCGCGTCTGCAGGTGTCATACCATGGGAAGTGGGCCCGCCAATTCACGGACAAGCCGTGGATAATCATGAAAATGCGACGTCTTTTGCACACCATTATAAATTCCCCCTGCCTATTGAAATGGGCGCTCGCCACTCCTTGGATTTTGTTTCCGCTCCAGATACACCCATCGATTTCTCACATGAAGCGAGTCAAGAGGAGCTTATCTCGACTCGAGGTCAACTTGAATGCTATATGCCATTGAACTTCGGAGAATATCCCATTGAACCATTGGAACCGACATCGATCAATATACCCGCAAGCATGTGGATGCACGGGGTGAATATGTCACCAATTGCTCAATACATACCATTAGGAGATACGGGACCGCTGGATGTGACCTACAATAGCGCATATACTCCTCAATGAACTGGCTAAGTACGGAGGTAAATGACTTCTAATGCCTCACCGCTCTCCTGCACAACAAGTGAATTAATTCAACAAATATAATAATATAACCATTGAGAGATCACACCAGAAACGAAGATGCAAGAAATTTGACAGTCTCTGGGTGATTTTCTGTGATGATATTCTCTCCGCATGGGACATCCTCCGCTTCAGAATAAGCGTCTCAAATGGGACGGAGGCTTGAGCTTCCCAGACCCCCGACATCGGCCACAACCCCCATCGTAACAAAAGGAACGAGACTCTTCTTATCGGACGTAAAAATCCCCCAGAGTAGGTGGAATGAGATTCCACAAGTATTCCAGAGCCAATAATAACCCCTTTGAAACAGTATGATTCATGCGGTGGGAACTAGCCACTCAGCTTTCACGTCCGATATCGGGGGCCGAACTACATGTCATCCAGAACGTTATCTAAGGTATATAAATCGACAGAATCGCCAATAAAAGTGCAACAAAGACAAATCAAATATTATTCACTCAGCCCAGGTTCAAAACCGCTCCATTTCCATTACCTCCGTTCTATCCATTTTTCTCCAAACATAACCGCACCTCATGGCCGCCAAGACAGAATCAGCAATATACACCCACGGCCACCACGCCTCCGTCGTGCGCTCGCACAGCTGGCGAACAGCTAAGAACTCCATCGGCTTCCTCCTCCCCCATCTGAAGCCTGACATGAAAATCCTTGACATCGGCTGCGGGCCGGGCACAATCACCATCGACGTAGCATCCTACGTGCCGCAAGGTCACATCACGGGCCTGGAGCGAGCGGGCGGAATCCTGAGCCAAGCGCGCGCACTCGCGGAAGAAAAGGGCGTGACGAATATTGATTTTGTCGAGGGCGATGCGAATGCGCTGTCTTATGGGGATGATACTTTTGACGTGGTATTTTGCCACCAGGTCCTGCAGCACGTCGGGGATCCAGTCGGTATGCTCGCGGAAATGAAGCGTGTCACGAAGCCGGGCGGGATAGTTGCGGCGAGGGAGGCGGATTACGGCGTTTTCGTGTGGTATCCTGAGTTGCCGGGCCTTAAGGATTGGCAGGATATGTATGACCGTGTTGCGCGGCGGAATGGTGGCGAGCCGAATGCGGGGCGTGTACTGCATGCTTGGGCTCGGAAGGCTGGCTTTAGTGACGTGCAATGCAGTTGCACGATGTGGTGCTATGCTAGTCCGGGGGACGTCAAGTGGTGGAGCGAATCGTGGGTTGAACGGGCAGTGGCGTCGTCGTTTGCGACCACCGCGATTGAGCATGGGTTGGCGACGAAGGAGGATCTGCAGAAGATCTCGCAGGCTTGGGAGGAATGGGGGCAGGATGAGGATGCGTGGATATCTATTCCAAGTGCGGAAATTGTGTGCACTAAGTCGTAGTAGATTCCAATTACTGTGGAGATAAATGACAACGATCCTGAACAGGATGCCCTGGATTGGTCGATGCAAAGTGGTGTAGGTCACTTGGAGTCATGATTAAAGAATTTCAACGGTCGTCGTCGCTCTAGTATACCAGAATGGGGTGGAGCCCCAGTAAAACACATCATATGCACCCATATCCCTTATTATATATACACCCAATGACTCCAGATCGGTCCCAAAGGAATAGCTATATCATCACGTAGCAACTGCGACCAAGTGGTCTAGCGGAATGCTACCTATAGCCGCCAGAGGGAACTCATGACTCCGGCTTGTATTCATAACGGCGCCAATTCTCTCCGACCCACCACTGGGTAACATGAGCTGCATCAATCACCCATTGCAGGGCCTCTTCGCCGTGCGCCGCGGCAACTTGGTCCAGAAGTGGGGGCAGGCTGAACGACTGAAGGGTGTGCAATTCGTGGGGGTCTTTATCCACATCCGAGAAGCGCCACTCGACATCGGGAACGAGTGGAATGACCAAGCGGTATGGCTTCGGGGCGGACCGAAGCGCAAGCCATGTGGCTCCGGTGTTCATGACGGTGAATTGCCAGTCGAGTTTTCCATCCTTCTCTGGGACAAGGTCTCGGATTATTGATTGGCCTTCATAAAGAGGGAGGAGGTCCTTGATTGCATCCGTAGCCTTCTCGTCCAGAGACCCAGATTCCACGAGGAGGTCCATGATGGTAGGCAGGATTTGCATGGATGTGACACGGCCGTCGATCTTGATTGGGGGAAGCTGCGGGTGTGAGAAGACGAGGGGGACATGGAAGTTGGAAACGTGCGGGTTGTCATAGGGAGTCACACCACCGTCCTCGACCAGAGAGATGCCGCTATGAGTATGTTAGAAAACGAGCGGCTGTAGCAAACACGGGGGAGGGGATCAACTCACTGGTCACCAACCATGACTACCAGGGTCTCATTCGCAACACCAGCTTCCTGAAGAACGTCCATGACCTCTCCAAGCCATCTGTCTGCAACCCCAATAGTGTTCAGGTAGCGGTTCACATTCCCATTGTGGTTAAAAATGCTGTGGTGAATCAACTCCTCATACTTGTCGCCCTTTGGCATTTGCCATGGATGGTGTGTTTGCCCCGTCAGGTGAGTGAGGAAGATGCGCTCATGATGTTTCTCCGCATGATTCAAAGCATTGAGGAAATACGACCGCAGTTCATGCTCGGGATAACCCCAGAAATTGTACTTCTCCGGTGCATCGCCAGGCTTTTTCTTCCAGTCCTTGGTAATCTTCTTGTCGGTAACCTTGTCCTTGAAACCCAAAACAGGGAGCAAGAGGTCCTGGTTGTCGTAGTTATCTGTGATACTCTGCATAAAGGTCGAATGCCAGGGCCAGGTGGTATAATCATCTTTCTTTACCTGGCTGGTGTTGTGTTCGCTAGACAAGGAGTTCAATGCGCTCAGAATATGCGGCATGCACGGCTCGTAGATATGATGCAGGTATTCGCGGTTGAAGTCGACCACCAAGGGTGCGATGCCGCATACACTGGCGAGAATACTCTTGAGAGTGAAGGTGTCGCCAGTGTAGGCGTTCGACGCATACATGCCTCCGTATGGCTCCCATGAATCGTTGCTGTGCTCCCAACCGGCCGGGATGCCCGTCAGTCGCTCGGCATGAACGGTTAGGTTGGCGAGGCGCTGATCCACGTCATCTGGAATGCTGCCACCAAAGGATTCGCGGATCAAATCGCCGAGATGGGACTCCTTGCGAACCGGGAAGACGTCGTGACGGGTACTTTCTAACTTCAGCAGGAAAACGTGCTTGATGTTCACATGGCCATCCATGAGAGCGTCGCGTAATGGCTCCAGAACATCGCGGTCGAGGTTGGAAATCTTCAGCGGGTCATGGGCGGGGTCGTAGTGTAAAGCTGTTCCTTCCATTCCTTCCTCATACCAGTCCCTGAACCCAGCCATCTTCTTCGTTGGCAGCCAGTCGAAACTGGAGGGTGCGGCCAGCGCGGTATGGTTGTAGAGCCAGCTGTAGTCACCGGGCAGGTCCGGCGGGAGATCGACGGAGGAAGTCTTCACTGACTGTGGGGGCTTCTCAAAGGGGGTGATGAGTACGGTCTGCGACAGAAAGGAGTATGCGGTAGCAGTCGGGCGAATGCAACGTAGAAGGAGCAGAAGGGCGATCGCCGCGGCCACGAGCACGCGCCCTGACAGGGACGGCGGAGGGTGCGATGAGGGTTTCTGGGATGCGGCCACGGGTTCCTGCCAGCCCATCATGGCCTCTGATTCCGCATGCTCCTCATCCCAGTCCGTGTTGGCAACTTGCCCATAGTCCTTGTCGGAGGTGCGGTTCCGCTTCCAGCACATGAGGACTGGGGCAACGGTCGCTTTCCAAACCCGAACAACTGCGCGGACCCCATTGTACAGGTAAGGCGACGAGATCCATGCAGCAGCACTGAACAGCACCTCCACGATCACAATGCCGGTTAATCCGGTCAGCAAAGTCTTAATCGAGGCCGCGTCGCGATGGAAATAATGCGCTTGTCGCCAATGTAATTCGGCGCCCGTCTGCGTATAGAACGAGATGTTGGCGGCGGCAAGAATGGAGATCATCAGACTAAAAGAAAGGGTGGACGAGAGCCAGGGTTAGCCACTCACGATCCATGCTCCTTTGTTGATCGCTTCTAGAGCTTCTCGTACCTGGTCATGATGACCACCAGCGCGGAGATGACATTGATCCATCGCCGGTGGAACGTTTGGCAGAGGGTCTGCGCAATGAGAATACATGCGATATCCTGGACAAAGAAGGTTGGGCCCCAGAGGAGAAATTGGCCGGGCGAGAGAGAGTTCCGGTGGGAGTAGATGTGGAGGATTTTGGCGCTGATCACGCCAATGAACAGGAGCGAGAACCAGTACTTGCGCGAGGCAGGCCAGTAGACGTCGAACCAGAGACTTGGAGATAGAAGAATACGGACAAAGCCCTTCCAGCGCTGGCGGACGTCGAGCGTCATCTTCATAGTAAGCGGATGCTCCACGGGGGGAGTTCTTTTCATGCAGCAACCACACGCAAACCCTCCATTCCACCTCGGGTCAAACAGGCGAGACCGTCCAAACACAGGGGGTTCGGAAGAAAAACCGGAGGAGAGGCAAGTGTCAGGAGGGAATTCAAGGAATGAAAGACGAGAAAATCAGCGGACACGAGCCCCGGAGGGCGAAGTAGCTGGCTGGGTCTGACAAGGAAAGGTGAAAGTTACCCGTACGGAGGAGGGAACAGCCTCGCGAACAAGCTACTGTAATAAGCTAAGACAAAGACTAATAGTTATCATTCCAGACAGTGGAAGAAGGACTTGACCTCCATCACAGATGGCGTTATTTGACGAGTCTATTTTTCAATGGTTCGAGAGGTTCATGAATCCCCTCATTGGAGGGGATGGGCACAAGCGCTTTTACTCCTTTGGGCGCGAGCTCGCGTGTCGGCAGTCGAACACTTTTCTGCTGAGACTTTACTGTACACCGTCCACTGTTTATTCCGTACGGAGTACCGAGTACGGTTGACACTGTTACGCTGTTACGGCCAGTGTCCCCGTATACTGTAAACATCGACTTCCCCATTGGCAGGACCTTGAATCGACATCCACCTTCCTCTCGTATGAGAGAGGTTTCTGAGCCAATAAGGTCGGAACCTCCGGGAGGGTCCAAACTCTCCCTTTCCACCAACGAAACCGTCAGCACGACATGCCAATCAGATCCATCCACCCCGCCTGACCTCGGGACCCTGCATCGCAGACGAAGCTAAGGGAGTGGGGTGCGCGGGAGGAGGGTCCTCGCCGCCATAGGGCGTCAAATGATTCCGATACCATGGCGGAACGGCCGTTCGGCCTCCCGTCAGGACGCCTGTCCTCTTGTTCTGTCCGGCCAAAGGGTGTTAGTAGTCAACACGCCTCCCGTCTCAGGCCGGGAACCTGCAGACCCGCCCCTATCCGCATCGCTGGGGTGGATGTGTGGGTGGCCGTATACGGCACCAGTCAGATCGTTTCATCCATCTCACCGGTGGAAAAGAGGCTCTGATTCCGAGGCTAAGAGCTAGGGCTGGATGATCGCCCTGAAACTAATCGAGTCAGCAAGCACACGCCGACCATCTGATTGCCTCGCGCCGATTCCCCTCGGGAACGCAGTCGTGTCGACAATGCTGTGCACATCTGCGCCGAAAGGCTTCTCAGTGGGTCTCCACCAGGCTCTTGGGGGGAAGTCTTTGGGGGTCTGATGGGTGGAATGGCCCTCGCACGCCTCCCAGCAGCCACCCCCAATGGCACACATACAGTCAGTTAGGGCTGTATCGTCGCGCCGTGTCGCCATGTTGTCCCAGTCGCGATCGGCACCAGCAGTGAATCACGGCGTAGTGAGCTCGCTAGGCCGCGTCGCAATTGCCCACTGTCAAGGTCCTAGAACCTACATCGCCGCGGCGCCCAATCAATTCTTCCAACTGCATCTTGTCGTGTTGGCTGGAGCAGGGTTACCGGGGAATTCCCCTGGAAAGTCTCTATAGTGTAGCAGTCATACCGACAATAAATGAGTACAGTAAGACGGCTGCGGAAGCGGCATTGAGAGCACGAAAGATATATATAAATTCCGACAATTTGCTTGTTTTAATTCTCTTTCTTGGGACTATCGACAGGATATAGGTATATACATATTCCTTGTATCTAATTTGTTTGCGATTGATATCCACTCCACTTGACGGCTTGTCAGCTCTTGATTCGGGATTCAATTCCAAACAGCACAATTCAGTACGCTTAACTTCTTCAGCCCTCCATTCGACCCCAGAATGAGATTGCATCATGATGACTCGCTTTGGTAAGTATACAATCTTGCCATCGACAAACACGACCAAACAATCAGTTACTGGTTCAGTGTCAGCACACCCGGCCTGTAAGGTAGGAGATTGTAGTCGGCGCTGATGCTCGGGTCTCGTCCATGATACAAGAACTGCAGATTGCACGGATCGATCGTCATGGTTTGATCAGGGTTGCTGCGAACCAGATCGCCATGACTAATATCATGCGTCCAGGTGGCGCCACTGTTGGCCTTTCCAGCGAAGGGCTGGCTCTCGGTTGCTGCCTGTGCGGTCCACGCACCATCCAGACTGTCGGCCGTGAATGAGCGGAAATACCGCCCGTTCGAGCCAATTGCCTCGACGATCATGAGATACTTGCTTTGATTCTGAACTGTGTACACCTGGACTGCTTCAAATAGGCGGGCGGAAGTGTCACTCAGGATGATTTCGGATTCGGCGCCGAAGTCGCCTGGGAAATCATCTATGGACATGCTGGCTCGATAGATCTTGCCATTGTCCCCAGCGAAGAACAGGTACATGTGTGTATCATCGCCGATGACGGTCTGATCCATCACGCCCGTATCAGAGTCGGAAATAGTTCCCGAGAAAAGCGCATACTCCGGTGACCATCCATTGGCAGCGGTGGGATCGCTTGAGGTTCGATAAGAAAACCGGTCGATCCCCACTGGTAGGCTAGGACGCAGATGTCCTTCGGTTCAAAGTAAAACAGTGTGGGCGCAACAGCTGCCTTGGTCATTGTGTTCTGACTCGCCGAGGCCATGTCCGACCAGTCTGAGAAGAGGCCAAAGTTCATCCAGCCATACGTCCCGGACATATCGGCGACAGAGCCATATACGAGATGCTGGCCGTTGTAGACCACATTGGTGAAATCCTTAAGCGATGCCCATCCCGACTTGGGTTCTGCTAGCGCCCCAGTTGATGTCCAACTGTATGTTGACGGTAGATCTCAGTCTGCCACAATGCCACATGCTAAAGCAATTGAGACCACAACATATGACCTTAAGTCGCTGGTGCTCATTGGAGATCTCATTGTGATGCGTGCTTTTGGAAATTGCAAGAAGAAGAGAAAGAGAGAATCCTGAATAAATGGGTATAGCGAGGGGAAAGCGAAAGAGGCAGTCAATCGGCATTACATATATATGCTACGGAGAACGAACTTTGGCCATTAATTGACCGAAGAACCTAAAGAGACATCCGGGTAGCCTTCATGCGCGCCTCACCCTCATGCTTCCATTAACCGGGAAATTGGAGCATGTACCGATTCTATCTGCGGTGTTAGTAGCAACATGAACCCTGTTTTGCGACAGCATTGCGGAGAAACAGCCATTCTGCAGAGGGTTACGTTCAACCCATCAGGGTTTTGCCAATCTGGATGTGGCCGCCAAGTCAACCTCCGTGTCCATCTCTGCCTTTCAGAAATTAGCGCATCATAATGCAGAGCTAGTTCTGGGGATTACCTCCTGATCCCGAGTAAGTATACCGGATAAAATAATCACAACACGTGTGGTATAACCTGGACGGTAAAGTTGTTGGGTTGGTGTGGATTCTATAGAACTCACTATATTCTGCCGCTGGCTGATTCTCTCCGAAACATATCAGTATGTTATTGTAGTCTATCTAATGACTGCGCTATATCCGACATGATAGCTGTTTTGCTTGAAATATTCTCAAACCGCCAAAAAACTCAGATACTAGAACCATTTGTGGGGTCGAGTGAATAGGGTGTCATTGTCTTTTGTCTCCCAGCCACAGTATTCTCGTGTAAAAGCGGACTTCAATCGCACAAACGTGGAATGTGTCAGAGAAATAGGTAACCTTAATATGAATGCGAGGAGGAGAAAGGGCAGTCCATTAAGCTCTTCTGCATCTTAAGTGATTATGTGCTATTTCAGGGCAAAAGTGCTGGACATGAACGAGTTTTCTTGGAAGAATCTCCATTTAAAAATAAAGTAGTAAGCCAGTGAGACCGACTTGCTTGGGAATTTTACGTTACGTGATTTCGTGAGCATGACTCTTAGCGGCTGTGGTCAAAAGCGGCTGTAGCTAGCTCAGATAGCAGATGCAGTACCTAGAAACATCTAGGGAACGGGTCAGAACTCCGAATCCAGAGTCTGCCACTGCGACGCAAAGGTCTTCCGAACCCACTCCATGTACCCCTTCCACTTGTGCAACTCGCCCGAGGCCTCTGCACCAGGAAATGCCTGACTCAGCTCTTTTGTGATCTTCAAGATACCCAGGGACGCCTCCTGCGCCTTCTCGAGCTCCTGCTTGACAGCGTTCTCTTTGGGCTTGAAGGACAGCACGGCTGTGTAGCGCTCTGATAGCGCGTCGAGCCGGCGCTCGGTGTCCTCCGGCGCAATAATAATGAGCTTGGAGGTCATCAGGTTGCTGATGGCGCGGATGTCTTGTTCATCTTCCACGCCCGCGATTACGCGGTCGAAAATCTCGGAGATGTGGCTGCGGGCGAAGGTTGTATCGAGAGAGGCGTAGAGAGTCTCGTAGGCGCTCTGGAAAACATGTTAGAATGTCCTTGGGATGATAGAGATAGAGTATGAGAGGACAGCGTACCTTGCGCAGGTCTAGTCCATCGTCAACCTTGTGCTTGAACGGACCCATTTGCACCTCGCGGATCAGCTCAGGCTTGATCTGGGTGTCGCCGAAGACGGCGGGGAGTAGTTCGCCCAGGTGTGGAAGGAGCAGGTTCATCTTGTTGTGGATGGCGGAGTTGAGGGTGGTCAATGCAAGACGATGGTTGCCCAAGTCGCTGTCGCTGAGCATGTTGGTGAGCAGAGGCACCATCAACGGGCGCAAGACATCGTTGTATCCATCGCTGGGGTCAGCGAGTGTGTAGCGGAAGGCCGAGATGACCACGCCACGGATCACTGGGTCGGAGCTGGCCAGATACGACTGGAAGTGGGGGATGTAGTTCACAGGGTCGATTAGAGCCAGGCGGCCAACACACTCGGCGCCAACGGCGCGGTTGTCTTCCTCCTCGGAGACGATGAGAAGTGCCTGCCACAGTTTGAGGGCAGACGGGGCAAGGTCAGGACGGACGACCTCAGAATGCTGAAGCAATTCTCGCACTGAATGCAGTAGCAAATAGCTTTGCGAATTAGATTTTTCGAGACCATTGAGAAGTATGGGGAGATAGGCCTTGACGTTTCCCGCCGCCGCATTTCCGAGAGCAGTAGCTGCAGCCAGGCGTACATGATCCGAGCCCGAGCCGAAGTGTGCAATGAAAATGTCGGGGGTCAGCGAGCACTGGGCACCCATGCGCAATCCAATCTCGCCTAGAATTGCAAGCGCAAGGCACTTACGGCTGTCATCCTTGGCGGTTCTCAACTCATTAGAGAAGTCATCCATAGTGACGTCGAGGTTGGATCCACCGTGCACCAAAAGGGTACCGATAGCCCGGCCAACAACCGAAGAGTCACCAGTGATGCCAACATTCAGCAAGAGGCTCTGCATCAACTGAGCACCTGCGCCTTCGTCGCCGATTACTTTTACCAGGAGGAGCAGAGCCTTCAAGACGGTACCGACGAGTGGTTGTTTGACGATAGAGCAAATTGAGGAGATCAACGCCTCGTTGACAAGCGACTTCGAGTTGCCAGGGACAAGCTTGGCCATGATAATCAGGGTTGGTGTGAGAAGATGGAAATCGGGCGCAGACAATAGAGGAAGGAGAGCATTCTCCAGAGTGACGATGGTGTCGGTGTTTAGCTGTGACCTGGTGCTCGAGTTCATGGCCACGCTGCGAAGCGCCTCCAAACACGATCCTCGCAAGGCACGGTCCGACTTCCTAAGATTGGATCCGAGCTCGAGGGTGACATCGTTGACCCAACCCGCACTGACATCCTCTGGCCGGGCGGCCAGAACCACGACATCGTCGATGGCGCGCACAGCAGCCAGACGAGTCGTCTCGTTCCTGACACGGTCGACTAAAATTGAGAGGCCCTTGACCCTCCGATCCGCAGAAAGGTACTCGGTGCCCTTTTCGCCCGACGTCCGGGCTAAGATCACACCGAAGACATGGATCGCTCGCTGGCGGACTTCCAAGTCGGCACTGGTGTCAGTAATGCGGGCGAGAATGACTTCGTAGAGCTTGTCCAGCTGTTTTGCAACCTCGGGGGTATTCGCAGATGCACGAGGCGGGGTCAGTGCCTTCACAATCTGCTCCACGGCCCCCAGAGCCTCGCTGCTGACCTTGTAGTTGCGCTCGTTGACAGCCCCAATAACTCCCGGGACCAGCGCAATGAGGAAGGGGAGAAGCGCATCGGACAGGTGGGTCTCCGCGATGGCGGAAATGAGGCCTAATGTCTCAATCTGCAGAGAGCCGGCGCTGACGGCGGCGCCGGAATGGGCGGCAGAGCTGCCGGCAAGGGAGGAGGTATTGAGGGCGTCCGCAATAAGGTATTCGATCTGCTGGAGATGATCGGCCAGTCCGCCGTAGCGAACGAGCGAAAGGCTTTTCAGAAGCACAATGGCGGCCTGCCGTAGGGGCATGGAGGCTAGCTTCCATGCTTTCACCAAACTCTGTACAATCAAGGGCACGGAACGGGCCAGGTCGGCCTGGGGACCCGATTTCGGAGAGGATGGGATGACGGGCGAGTCGATGGCAGAGGAGGTACCGGCACTGGGTTCAAAGTCGACCATGCTGGCGTCACTGTCCTGGCGTCTTCGCTTGCGGGAGTTCTTTGACCCACCGACGGTCTCCAGGAAGCCGTTCGAGGTGATCACTACCGAGCCCTCACTGGTCTTGCGCACCAAGGCCGTCAGGGTCGAAACGACTTCCAGCTTCACACTCTCTTCCCGCTCGCGGCCGATGCGGGATATCAAGGCGGAGGCGATCTGCTGGTAGAGAGTGGCATCGTCCAGGGCGCGACCGCGGCCGTAGGTCGAGATGAGGGTATAGAGCAGCTTGGCCGCACACCGACGGACCTTCCAGCTCATATCATCAATATCACTGTATCCCCCTTCCTCTTCAAAGTCCTCAAACTCATCGTCGTCCTGGTCGGCGGTGGCATCGTCCTCACTGCCATCGTCCTGGGTCCCGCCCATTTCCTCATCGTCTTCCATTTCAGCGACATTGGGATCGTATTTCAGGAATCGAAGGGCGGCTCGGCTGGTGTTGGTGAGGTATGGCTGCATCTGCTGGTTGCACGAACTAACCAAGGCTTCGAGCGTGACCAGCGCCGTCTCGCGGAGCTCGTCCGCCTGCGGGTCATGCTCTTCCGCGTCGGAATAAACCGACATGGTGGTGGAATCTAGAGCTAGAGGATCACCAATGCAGAGGTGAAGCTGGTTGAGCAGGTGGGGAAGGTGGTCGATCCAGCAGAGAAGCTGAGGGAATAAGGGAAGCTGCGAGCTGCCACCCCGCGCGAGTTCCCCGACGCCGGAAAAATAAGTGGGACCGGTCCGACCACGCAGAGCCGCGTGGGGGAGTTTTCAGTGCAAAAAGTCGAGCAGGTCCAGGGAGGGTTGGATGTTCTTTTTGGAGGCGAGCAGGGCTTGCAGGCCACCTTGCTTTCGGGCCTTGGCTCGTTTCTTGCTGTTCGCGTTATCAGCTGTTTTAGCCGGCTCGGTGTTGGCAGGCACGGCTTGCGGAGTTGAAGACTCAGCCGGAGAGGAGGTCGAAGGGATAGAACTGGGTGTGGCGGGGGAAGTAGAAGCAGTAGCTAGAAGGGTACGAGAAGACAGCTTGGACGAAACCTTCGGGGCTGTTCCTTTGCGTGGATTGATCGCGCGTTGGTTACATCGCAAACACTTGTAGACCGTCGCACCCCCAATCGACCTCGCGCCCAACTTAGAAGCAACCCGCGTCTTGGCCCTGGGCTTTACCTGAGTAACTCTGGTGCCTTGAGGCTGTCTAAGACTACCACATCCTCCACAGTGATGTTTCTGCTGACGCGAGTTGAGCGGCCTCAGCTCGTCATGCAAGATCCGCGTGTGCGCCGAGAACAGATGCGCGGCCGTGGATGGACTCCGCGCTGCCAGCAAAGCGGCTGCCTCGCTAAGGAATCGCAGTTGGGGGGCCTCTAGCGGTGCCATTTTCACTTTGAGGAAGCCAGTTGAGAGTAAGTCACGGCGGGAGTCAACAATAGAAAGAAGAGGAAATATCAGGATGAGTGCACCGGCAAGTGGTGTGAGGGTAGACTACAGTTATTCCGTTAAGTTTTAAAGTTGGGAGGTGCGGCGTGGCCAGTTGGCGGCAGTTGTGGGCGCCAGCGCTGCTCCCGCAAAATGCGCCTTCCGCAGATTGCAAGTTCAGAACTTCCAGTCGTGCCTTCCCCACGGCTGGCTTCCTCCAGCAACTCCTCTAATTCCTTTCACTCCCCTTCGCGCCGATTGTGTCATTCTTCTTCACCCCAACCTCATCTTCCTCCTCTGCCTCCTCCCCTTGTCTTTGCTGCTTCCTCCAAACATCTCCATTCGTGTTTCTCGTACCCACCAACCTCGGGCTGCCCGTGTACCTCGCAGGTCCAACGTCCCACTCTCAAACATACATGCAAAGTCATACATCGCTCACCTCATCATCCTCTCATCATGCTGTCTGAGATGGACGGCATCCGCGTTGCCCTTGTCGGCTGTGTAAGTTTTCCTGACTCGCCACTCATCGTGACCAATTGCCCCCACGAGAAAAGAATAAAAATCAAAATCCAAAAACACTGATAGTGATACTGACTGGACCTGCAGGGCCATGGTGGCCTCGATGAAATCTACCAGAGCCTCAAGACGCAAGCGGAGGCCAAAGGCTGGGAGACCATCGATCTGGTGGTGATTGGCGGAGATTTCCAAGTTTGTTTCATCCTACTTCGTCCTTTTGAGCAGTGCAAAGAGGAGTCGAACTGACTGATACCAGGCTCTGCGTAATGCAAATGATGCCGCCTGCATCTCGGTGCCGTCCAAGTGGAAGAAGATGGGTGACTTCCACAAGTACTACGCGGGCCAGAGCATCGCCCCGTACTTGACCATCTTCTGTGGTGGCAATCATGAAGCTAGCAACTTCATGTACGAACTTTATTACGGTGGCTGGGTGGCCCACAACATTTACTACCTAGGTGCTGCCAACCTCGTCCGCTTCGGCCCTCTGCGCATCTCTGCCATGTCTGGCATTTGGAAGGGCTATGACTACCGCAAGCCTCACTACGAACGTCTGCCCTACAACGCAGATGACCTGCACAGCATCTACCATATTCGCGAGCTGGATGTGCGCAAGCTGCTGCAGATCCGTACTCAGGTGGACATTGGTCTGTCCCACGACTGGCCCCGCGGCATTGAGTACTTCGGTGACTACAAAGAACTGTTCAGGAAAAAGCGCGGGTTCAAGGAGGACTCAGAGCATGGCCGCCTGGGCAATGTGGCTGCTAGGGATGTCTTGGACCGTCTGCGCCCTCCATATTGGTTCTCCGCCCACTTGCACGTCAAATTTCCTGCGGCTATGCCTCACGATGGGGCCAGCCTCCGGAAGATCGAATTTCCAGCTGACCAGCCCCCTGTCTGGGGAGTCGAGGCTCAGGCACCCGTAGCCTCGTCCAGTGTTGTTTCTCCCGTCAGTGCTCCCTTGAAAACCAAGGCTCGTTCACCCGCTCCTGCTAACATTCGCTCTCCCTTCAAGGCCGAGCCTCAGCCTGAGAGTGTCGGCTCCACCACGGACTCTATTTTCGATAGTCACGGTGGCCCGTCGATGGCTAGTAACCAGGTTCGCGAAGCCTCTGGTCTAGATCATGAACGTCGAAACGCTTGGATGCAGATGGCCGGTGGTGCCGCGCAGGCATTCGAACATCAGACCCGCGTTGATCACCAGCAGGCCTTCCTGGCCATGATCCAGGAGATGAAGAAGGGCAACTCCGAGACCAAGGCAGAGGCGCCCGCCCCGAATGATGCCCCCAAGAATGATGACGAGATTGACTTGGATTCTGGGAGTGAGTCCGATAAATCTGGCTCTGGCAACCCTTCGCCCGTCAAAGCTGCGAAGCTCATCATTCCCATTTCCACGGATGGCTCGGACGATGCTGGGCCCACGCCGGAGGAGCCTCTGGTCGATCGAGCCGTCGCTGAGGGCATGCGCAGCAAGCTGCCCTCCAGCTTCTCACGGCCCGCGGCTCCTGCCAACGTGCACGAAAACAGCAGCAACAACAACAGCCGGCCCAGGAAGCCTGTCCCTGCCGCTATTTCCAACAAGCTGACCCGGTTTCTGGCCTTGGACAAACCTCACAATCGCGACGACTTCCTTCACCTGACGAACATCAGGCCGTTCAAGACTGGGGTTGGCGAAGAATCTCCAACGTCCAAGAGCCTCTTGCGCCTGCAGTACGACAAAGAGTGGCTGGCAATCACCCGAGTTTTCGCTAACGACCTGGCCCTGGGTGACGTCGCTGCCGATGTCCCAGCCGACCAGGGCGAGGATTTCTACCTGTCCCGCATCATGGAGGAGGAGAAATGGGTCGAGGAGCACCTCGTGCAGCAAGACCTGATGAACATTCCCTATAACTTCCAGCACAGCGCACCCAAGTTCGACCCTGAGGTCTCGATAACCACCCCCAGCAGCCTCAGGAGTACACCAACAGTCAGACCGCCGAATTCTGTCAGCTTCTGAATATCCAGAACAAGTTTGACCTCTCTGACGATGAACGCTGGGCCCGTATAAGTAATGGCCCTCGTCCTCCGGCTGGTAATAGTGAGGGCCGTCGTCCTCGCCGCGGTGGCGGTGATCAACGTCGCCATCGTGGTGGTGCCCGCCGTGGCTTTGGCCGCGGTGCTAACCGTACCTAAGCACGCATTCACAATTACTACGACAATCATCCTAACTCAACCCAATTGTGAAAACGGAGTCAAGGGCTCGGCGGCCACGGTGATATCGGTTGTTCTTCTTCTTTTCCTTATCTTTTCCTCCGCAAGGCGTTCCCGTTAAACGTTATGAATTCCCAGTTCGAACTGAATGTTTCCAAAGGATGGACGGTTTGACTCTCCCATGTTTTCATTGACCCCATCTGTGATCGAATCTGTACCCTTTGAGGCTGTTGTGGAGACCGTCGCGGACGCAGATGAGTTCATGGTTTTATTGCATCATGGGACATATGTATCTAGAATTTATCTGTCTGGTCCTAAATTTGCTAGTTATGAAAGACACAAATGTAACTTCAAAATTTTCCACGGGGAACAGGATCCGTAAGGAGGACCGTCTTGGCCGAGTGCCGCGGGAGTTGCTACAAAATCGGACACTCGAATGCTGGTAGACAGTATATATACGCATACTTGAAGATGTCAAATCTACTCAATCTCCTCAATCCGGCCCCTTGCCGAACCACTTGCAGCCAAAGGATCAACACTGAGCCCAGCAATCCGATCCCCAAGCTCCAGTCTTGGCTCATGCTCCCCCTGGGCCCCAATCCCCCACATCAGAGACTTCTCCAGCCAAGCCTCCAAACTCTCAATCAGTGCCCGCAAATGTCCCCGCACAATCCCATCCGTCTCCACGCTCTCGACGAAGCCAAGCGTGCGTAACATAGACGGTATATTGCCCACCGTCGATGGACTCCGCACATAAGCATCCCGAAGACCAGCCATGGCCCCGTCCTCGGTGAGAGAGAATCCAAACCCAATGTCCCGCCCGTTCCGCGCTTCCCGCGCCGTGTCAAGTGCCTTCAGAATGTCAAGTATGAGAACTACACTGGCGCGCCGCAGGATTGCGCTTTCTCGGGCCGGTTCCAGGGTAAGTGTGGCGAGGGCTAGGTCCACGGCTGACGCGATGATAGTAGGACCGAGACCGATGATATTGGTTTGTACTGCCGATGCGAGGATGGAAAGGGCCGAGGCGCGGACGCGAAGGTCATCCGGCTCTGCGTCAGTGGATGCGCCGGTGGCCCAGGCGGCGATGATATTTGCTGCGTGGACGTTTTGTTCTGGCGTTTCGAACTCGGAGTCGGAGTCGTGGAGGTCCTCAAGTTTTGGTGCAGGTGGGCCGGGGTGTGACATGGCGGATTCCTTCTGCTTCCGCTCTTCACGCTGTTTGCGTCTTCTTTCTTTTTCTTGGTTTTGTTGGCGGGTCTTCTGGGTCTGTGGTTTGCGGCCGCGGCGTCCGGCGACGGCAATGATATTTTCGCCGAATACCTTGGCTGTTTCACCGGCCAGTGCCTCGCCCAGGTCTTGAACAGTGCGTAGTAGTGATTCACCAATCTTGAGACGCTGGTCGAGGGTTCGTTGTTCGCTCTTGTCAGCATAGCTGTCAACAAGCGTCTTGACAACTGTGCGTGGATGGCGTGAGGCAAGAGTGCCGATGAGTTTGATTGCATTGAGATAGATGAACTCGTCGTTCGCGGTCGACTCGGAAACATCGGTGATGATTGATAGGAGTAGGGTCAAGGTTGAGGGGATGTCGAGCACGGGGGACGAGTTCAGAATTAGCTTTGATAGGAGGGAGAATCCCTCCGCTTGGATTGGTGGCATCTCTGAGTTCAGATTCACCAACGCTTGACGGTGTGTTTCGAGGTCCGTGATGTGGGGAGGAGTTGGCTTGGTATCGTCGTGCTCCGGGGATGTTAGTTGAATCTCGAGCAGCATAGATGATGTGGTTGCGGGTTTTGATAGTGCGCTTGGGAGGAATGGGATGAGCTGATCGAGACGATCTTTGATGAATTCGAGAAGCGGCTTCGTCTCGTGGGATATGGAGAATTCTGGAGATGCAAGAACCGTAGACAATAAGCTGAATGCAGTTGATAGCGACTCGGAGGTATCTTGATCAGGTGCGTCGCCCTGATTTTGGGTGTCCTCGGGCACAATATTGGCAAGGGTTGATAATGAAACTTTGCCGGGCATGTGACTTCCTTTTGTTGATGCTTTCCTGTTAAGCGCATGCAGCTCACCATCAATGACGTGCTTAATGAGTTCCAGGACTCGTAACGGACGCCGTGACAAGATGTCCTTGAAATTGTCAAGCAGCTTCTCGGCCACCTTCGCGCTAACGAGCTTCTGTATAATGTTCTCGGAGTCACCAATACTTGGTGACTTGGCCGAGGTGCCAGTCTTCACAGAGTCATGGGATTGTACGAGCCAGGACTCACTCACATAGAGAAAGATATCACCGGTTCGCTCCTCGGTACTAGGGTCGGAGCCTAACAAGCTGACGAAAAGGTCGACTCGGCTTTGCAGAGAATCAATCAGTTTAATAACATTAGACTGATTCCCCTCTTGTGCTGTCCGCCTTGTCAATGCAGCTCGCCCGTGCGTATCTGTGGTGTATGTCCAAGTCGATCCCCCATCCCAGAGCAGATTGTCGACAAGTTTTTTTAACGGTTGGATGCCGACAGATATGCTGAAGTATGTCTGCAAAAGAGCCATTATGTTTTCGTGAAAGGCTTCCAGCTGCTGTTCTTGGGAGTAGCAAGCCAAGCCCCAGAGCGGAAGAAGGATGGGGTACACGATCCTTTTCACAAGTCCAGGATTGGGATGCTGCAGCGCCAGGCTTCTGAGCCTGTTTAGCGCCAGTTCCACTGTATCTCCATTAACGACGATATCTAACGGCGACCCCCTTCCAGGTTTGAGGTGGATGAATCCTCCACCCTCGGAAGGGTGTGATAACCAGCGCTTTGAAACGCTATCAAGCTCTCCAGTCAGCGCCGCGAAGCTTGGCTCGATAAATATCGAGTGTCCAATAGTTCCCGGTGCGCCGTAGGCGCGTTTTCCCAGAATGCCATTTCCAATGGCATAAGATGCAGTTTTCCTCAGCTCCGGGTCATCTCCATCAAGTAGTTCCAGCAGTTGTGGAGCGATGGCGTTGAAGTATGATGAAGGCTCAATGTCCTGTGGGACTGACGAAAGCAACTTCGAAATCTGCATAATGGCCTGCACAGTAAAATGAGGACCGTTCGATGGCTCGCTTTGAGCTTCCCGACCGAGGGATGGGGCGATTTGCGACGCGATGAACATGATAGTTTGCAGCACACCGCCAGGGCGGAGCGGTATACGAGCCATCTGGCCTGACACAGTTGTTTTAAACCATACTGAAATGTCTGCCTGAAGGAATGCAGAGAGTGTGGGCAGTAGAACCGAGCTTGCAGTGCTATTACTCGTTAGTGCTGACAAGTTTTGTTAGGTGTTGGAACGTACTCATCAATAATCTTGCTGAATCCTTCTTTATAGTTTATCCTGTCATCAGCAGGAACAAAATTTGGATTGAACGCAAGATCTGCTGCGCCACTGATGATGTCGCTCAAAATGCGACCTCGTATGATAGACTGGATGCTAGGTCTAACATCCAATGTGATGCTGAGAAGCACCCTCATGATGCGATCTAGAAGAACCTCATCATGTGGTGTACTACTAGCAGGCACCAAAGTCTGCTTTGCAATAACTCCAGCTGGCAACACCGAAATCACTCTCTGTTGCAAAGGAATTCCAACCCCAGATGAAAGCGACGGGTAGATGCCTTCTAGAGAGATCAGGTCCAGCAACGCATGAAGCATCCGACGACGTTTGGCATCTTCGAGGTCTGCATTCTCGACCTCAAGTTGAGGTTGCCGTGACGGTTCTTCATGCTCTATCGGCGTGACAAAGGCAGCGTGGATTGCACTCAGAATATCCAATGCCTTGCCGACAACAGCCGTTCTTGCATTCCCAGCACTGGTTGATGGGGCTTCCAGAGAATGGTTCAAGATTTCCACGAGTGATTGCCCCTGGCGTCTTTGGATTTCATCTTCATCACAGTCAGCTTCGTAACGAGATATACGGGAAGTGTGGGATGTGCATGCCTCTATTAAGCACTGGGTTCAAAAACTCGCTGGCTGCATCGAACGCATACCGGAGCTGTTCGGGGTCGCTCATCATGGATGGGAAAGTTGTAGACCTATATCATTGTAGATTGATAATAGAAAAATATCTGCTCTGATATACCAGAAGTAATTGTAAATGTCGCCTGGAAGAGGCAGAAAGGGCCTTGTCTTGGCAGCGGCCATCAATGTGATTATGTAATAAAACAATCATCAACGGGAATTTCAACGCTTAGGTAAGACGCGTCAGTCCCGTGACCACCCGTCGCGCAGCGCTGTTGTCAGACATACCACGCCCTTTCCCAGTGTGTTTCTCCCCCTTTGACAACGGTTTTTGCCTCATGCAATCCCTTCAGCTCTATTGTCACATACAATCGCGATGGCCATGTTTAATCAATCAATCATTTGAATCGATCTTGTTCGGAAATGGCCTCCGTCGGCCCGAAGCTTTGTTCACGCGCGTCCATGTTCTTATATCGCGTCCTGTTATGAGTGTGGAGCCACCAAATCTCTCGCCTCTCCGAGGCACCCTTGCACAGCGATTCCCTCCTGGTGTCAGCTGCTCCGGCGGTTGGATCCTAACCCTAAAGCTACTCCAGTCGGATATCTTTACGATAGCAGTTTCACGGAAAACGCATGGCGAACACCACGACTAGTCGAATTGGTCTATGATGGACCAAGGGTGCGAAAGTTGTTCGATGTCCAGAGCCTTCACCGGTACAAAAGACGGTCTACTATGCAGGGTCCCTACGGGCTATGCGTCGGTTCTCCTATGCTGGATCTTCATGCTGGTCAAAATCGGATGGTCGCCCTATGCGTTCAACGACAGGAATCCTCAGCAGAAAAAGTGGGTGGAGTACGTCGGGCACCTCAGCATGGAGGTTGTCTTTGGGGGCATCAAAGACAGTGCGACAGACTTAGTTTAATCGCGACGTTCACTTTTCGAATATCCTAGGGCATCACCTGGGTTGGTTCAGAGCTACGGCGCCTAGAACACAGCAGATGCATGCCATTACACACAGCCATATCTTCAACAATCAGAAGGATCCACTCGCCGGAATCAACTTTTTCTCCCTGTTACTGCCCAGGCAGTTCTCACAGTTAAAGCTGCTGCGAGGTCGTTCTGTATTGCCTGTGGTTATGGTTCCTTGATGTCAATCAAGGTTTCTGGACTATTGTCACGTTCCGGCCGGCAATGTTTCTCTCCCATCCAGCATGGTGTTTTTCGATCTTGTTCGCCTGCATTTAAATTCGACTCTGTTTGCATCAGACTGTCTGCCATCCCGCACGTACTCCCACAATGGAGATACCTGGGTATCTTGCCCCTCTTTTCACCTCTGAGTCCTGTCGGATGGCTTTAAGCCAGCTAGGCACCTCGTATCCTGGTACCCGCCAATTGATGCGACTTCACTCGAAGATCCTGACCGTCCGTGTTAGCCATCTCTTTGCAATGCAGTTTGCAAATCGATTGATGGGCGCTGACTACCCCAACGATGACTTTCCTCATTGTTCCTTCCTCCGGGGAGAAGGAAGCGGTTTTTCCTGGATGTTCTTTGTCCGCTTCATCTAATGCCCTCCTGTCATACCCTCGGCATGATTGGGAGAGGAATCAAAAACTTGTCCCAGAGGATACTGTGCTACACATGAGAGACTGGTTCCACATTCTTGACAAGCCGCTAATGAGATACTGGCGCTTTTGAGCAGATCTGAGGAGACGAGGGGTCTTCAAGGCTGATTGGATTAATTGTATTGCCACGGCCCGAGTCCGACTTGTTCGTACAGTGTGCCGGGATGTTGCATATTGCAAACTGTGTTGATCCGTATTTGTCCAAGTTCTACTTGTTCTTTAAGACCTTGTCATGTTCTCAAGAGCTGTTCACCTTCTCAAACGACCGCAGTCGTTCTGGTTGGAATTCGCGGGCTTCTCATTCCTCGACCTCTATCTTCTGTGGCTTCATCTTCAGATTAGCCTGGAGTGTGTGGTTCTGTCGGTTCGAGCATGTGGTGCATTGCGGAACGTCGATGTGGGACCTCTCTCGAGTGAGGATCAAAGCTTCGGCTTGTCCATATTGCGTTCTGTTGCCATGTACTTTCGGCTGAGCCTCGCAGTCTGGGTTTTGCTGGGATGGGTTCGCAAGAATCGGGCGAGAATCACTTGTATTTCCGGCTGCCAAGGAACTTCTGATGTGTCTTTGAGATATTGGCTTCTCTGGGGATGTGGGAAAGGAGCAGAATGCGAGAACGGGGCCAACGCGGGTGGACCACAGCTTCCTCTGCTTCGGCGGGGGGAGCAACTTTTTTTTTTATAAGTCCACCCTCCCTAGAATAACTTTATTCTGTCTAGTCGCGGCTAACTATCATTGCAGGTAATTGAGCCAATGCTTTTGGGCAACAAAATTCAGCCTCCACAACTCGCCCAGTTTCAAATAGAATTTTACTAGTGTTCTGAACCGACTACTCATTGCACTCTACGATCCTGCATCCCTTTAAATCCTCCTGTATTTCTCGTCCTCGTAAAAAAAGGCCAGTCCAAGACAACAATAAAGACAAGGAGTTCCTTAATTAGAGCTGTCAACTGCGTCCCGGTCTATACTTCCGAAGTGGAAGGCAGAGTTATGAATATCATTATTAGTCAGCAACATAAGCCCCTCCATGCACAAGGGTTCACCCCCGCCACGCAGAACAGAAAGGAATGTTCCGGCGGGCGTTGGAGATTTTTTTGACGATAGGGATCTCGTGCTCTCAACCACTTCCCACTAGCTTCTCGCACCTCACCCTCCACTCCGGTACACCCTTTCACCATGTCGACAGACGCCGAGAAGAATGCGCCCGAGTCGCAATTCCAGAACATTGGAGATTTGGTGGAGCGCAATGACGAGACTGGTGTGATGTCCGTCGAGAGCATGTGCATGAATTGCCATGAGAATGTATGTGATTTCACCCTTTCTCGCAACGCTTTGATTTCCTTTTGTACTGACTTAGAGTTATAAGGGCATAACTCGCATCCTGCTCCTCCGAGTCCCGTTTTTCAAGGATATTGTCGTCGACTCCTTTTACTGCGAGCACTGCAACTTTGCGAACAATACCGTAAAGCCCGCCGGATCGATTTCACCACTTGGTATTAAATACACCCTTGATGTCACTTGCGAAAATGATCTTCAGCGCCAGGTTATCCGCAGTGATGCCGCTACCTTCAAGTTGGATACCCTCGGCATTGAGATGCCAAAGGGCGGAGAAATTAGCAATATCGAGGGAATGATCCAGCGCACTCATGAATCTCTCGCAGGCGAGCAGCCTCTGCGCAAGGAGCAAGCCCCGGAATTGCATGATGCTCTTGAGCCTCTCATCCAGAAGCTCCAGGATATTTTGGACCGCCGCGACGACTGTTTCCCCTTCACTGTTTCTCTGGACGATCCCACCGGTAATTCTTGGATTGCGCCCAACCCCAGTGACAAGACCAACTACCGGCGCATCGAGTACCCTCGCACTCATGAACAGAACGAAGAACTGGGTATTACTGCCGAAGCTTCTGAGCAGCAAACGGTCAACCCAATGGATATGGGTGATCCTGAGGATTCTGAAATTGTTGACGGACAGGTCTATACCCTGCCTGCCGAGTGCCCTGGCTGCACCAGGCCCGTTGATCTCAAAATTAAGAAGGTGTCAATTCCTTATTTCAAGGATGTTCTGATTATGGCTAGTTCCTGCGCCCCCGAGGATGGTGGCTGCTCTTATAAGCAGAATGAAGTCAAGGTCGGCGGAGAGATTCCCGAGAAGGGTCGACGCATTACTCTGAAGGTTGAAACCATCACCGATCTTAGCCGTGACGTCTTGAAGTCTGGCACCTGCGCTCTGCACAGCGAGGATCTCGAACTGTATTTGGGCGCATCCTCAATTTCGAGTCGTTTCACCACCATTGAAGGCCTTCTTACCGCTATGCGTGATCAATTGCATGGAAACCTCTACGACCTGGGAGCAGGAGGCGGTGACAGCATGGTTTCCGACGACAAGGCGAAGTGGGACCGCTTCTTTGCTCGACTTGACCAGGCCATTAATGGCGAATTGAAATTCACCATTGTTTTGGAGGACCCCTTGGCCAACAGCTACGTTCAAGATCTGTGCTCGCCCGCCAAGGATCCACAGTTGGAGGTCGTGGATTATGAGCGCACTGAGGAGGAGGAGGAGGAGCTCGGCTTAACGGACATGAAGACTGAGGGTTACGAGGAGGATGCGGAAACTCAGGAAGCGTAAATGCCTGCTTGGTGTATGTTCTCTGTTTTGGCCATGACTCTCGATATCCGTTTTTATGATACTCAGACGCTTTCCGTTTGCTTTACTGTTATTGCATGATGGCGTCTTTGCGGCTTTACAATGTTCTCCTTGTTTATAGATATCCGGTGATGGTGGTGATACATAACGTTTTTGTTTCGTTCTTAATTCCATCTCGAATATGTATGTTCATTTCAGTCGAGGATGAATCGGTTCAGCTAAAGGCTATCTAAACCCCAATCATGCTCATAATTACGGAGTAGACCGAAAGCTTCAGGAAGCTGCATGGAACGTATTCTGAGGTGATTCTGTCATGCATCGCCAGAATGTCACCAGTCTCGCTTTCCCGTAGCATGGGCCGCGCCCTGGTACGGGGTGCTAAGAATTCAATGTCAATTTGCCTTTGACGGGTTTCCTGACGGGAGTCTGGAGAAGGATATGCAGACGGTAAGAGGCAATATCCAAGCTCGTCCTAGCTGTTGGAGCTGAATCTTCAGGTCTCTAAGAAGGAGATCAAGATATATACTGGTTAAGACACTCATGTCGCGAAAGGGTTTGCATGAATCGTAACACTGTTGATGCGAAGAGCCTCAAATTCATCCCCCTCCTTTGGTTGAGAAACCTTGCCCTTCTTATCAACCTTCACGTTGGCCTTCTCCAGCTGGGAAAGCACATCCCCACCCTCATCCTGAGCGCTCAAATTCAACACCTTCCCAAAGACTGTACTCGAGCCATCAAGATGTGGCGCCGGTGCAAATGTGATAAAGAATTGACTTCCATTGATGGTGGCACCAGTTGCGTTCTGTGAGCCAGGTGCTGTCTTATCCTTGACGGGGCGGGAAGCCATAGACAAGACACCCCGCGCATTATGTCGCAGTGCCGGGATTTGTATTTCTTGATTTAGCGCAGAGGGATGGTATATGGACGTGCCGCCCTTCGGGATTTCGTGCGAGAGCATGGGCTTGTTGGAAGCTGATTGTTGCGCGGCTGGGCCGAGGGAGATGTCGCCGCCCTGGATCATGAAGCCTGGAATAAGGCGGTGGAATGGAGTCTCATTGTATGCGCCACATGCGCACAGAGCAATGAAATTCTCAGCGGTCTGGGGGACTGCTTCGCAGAATAGCTCGACCTTGAGGTCGCCTTGAGTCGTGTGGAGCTGCACGACCGGAGAGATCAGCACGCCGTTCGAAGTCTAGGAGTTTGGCGAGATGTTTTCTCCTGGTGATCTTTTTACTTACTGTGACAGACATATTGGTCAGGCTGTTTCTGTCTGGGGGTCAATGAACGGCGAGAAATCGAGAAAATGAAGGTGATTAATGCGGGCGAGCTCCCAGGCCGGTGATATATCGCTTAGTCATGGCTTGCGCCGTCGCCCTGGAACGGTCGTTGGCTATGAATTATTGATGCGTCCTTCGCAGCCGCGATTACAGGATAAGACCTTGCTATTGCTACAATCGGCCTCTGCCGTAGCGCTGACCCTTGACTTATCACCCCGGCCTTGTCACTCGCTTTGCCCGTCCCTTCGATCCACACCTAACAGCTCCCTTCCGCCAAGGCACGCCGACCTCTCTGCAGTCGCAACATCAACAATGAATAACCGGCCGGTCGAGCAGGCGTTGGCCACACTAGTCCCGACCCATGCTGGCGATCTTCCTCAAGAGCTTCTCGGCTTGGCCTTGAATCTTGTCGCCCAGTCCCGTGCTTTCTCCGCCAGTCTGAAACCCGAGGAAGAAATCGCCCGACCTTACGCCTGTGCGGAGATTGCTTGTAGGAGGTATGTCTTAGAATCTGTTCATGACTCTATCTCCAGTATGCGGAGTCATTTCATTAACTATCTTGGTGAATTGTCAGGTTAAGTCGAGCTCTCAAACTTCCTCCGTTACTGGGCCACGCACCATGTCCGCCACGCGTTTACAAGAAGCTCTATACATACCTGGACAAGTCTCTTTCTGCTAGCTCAGCAGGTATCAAACGATCTACGGGTGGCTCGGTCACTGGGACACCCTCGAGGGCTGGCTCTGCGCAGACCACTCCAACCAAGACAGGGAATACTCCTTCCAAGGCGGCACCGACGCCTCGCGGCCTCCAGAACGCCCCATCCAAGTCCACACCCTTGAAGCGGAGTGTCAGTGTTGCGAATAAACTCGGATCGCCGTCAAAATCGGCTCTGAAAGCTGCCCCCGCCCAGTCTAATGGGCTTTCTAACTCAACTGTCATTCCGGATGCACCGGCCTGGGTGATGACAGCCATTCGAACAGTCTGCAAAACACTTTCTACACCTGCACCACGAACAAACACCTGGTCTCGACCTCCAATTTCAAGGACATTGCCTCCTCATATCTTCGCTGGTGTTTCATCCATTCTCTATCTCACGGCAAGCATGTCCAATGACGAGGAAGGCATGGACGAGGAAACACTGGAATTCCTGGAACCAATTGTGTCTATCCAAGGCAACGAAGATGATTTCAAGGAACTTGTCTACGCGATGATCGTCGCCGTATACTTCATCGTTTTAGCCCGGCGACGGAACCCAGCATCCTCGGCGGACGGCGAGGAAACGAACTCGGAAGGGCAGAAAATGGACAAGAAGACATTCACAGAAATGCGCCAAACCGCATTGACCAGCCTCAGTCTTCCCAATGACAGGCGGCATCGCGATGATGTTGATCAGTGGATTGCCTTGATCATGGAACAGAACTGGGCGAACGGGCAGGAATGGTTTGAGAATATCCCTCTTGCCGGCGAGCTGCATGGCGAGGATGATGAGGGCAACTCATACCGACATCTTGATGAGGAGGATGCAGCGTTCAGGGGCGTCAAGTTGCCCAAGCGCAATGATGGCTCCAGTGGGCGTGGACTCCGCGCCGACCCGTCCGGTCAGCCTGCTCATGGAGGGCTTTTGCCTGGTCTAGGCACTATGATGCAAGATCGGGTGGACTATCTAAGTGAAGATCGTCGGGAGGACTTTGTGGAATGGAAGGCTGGTCTCTTAGCTCGTATTGAGGGTGAGCAGGCTAGGACTGGGCGAGCTACTGCATGAGATGTATTCCTCGATGCGAAGGACTTGGAGAAAACCGGCGCTCGGGCTATGATTGATACCCTTTGCAATGAAACCAACTAAGATGCGCCAATTTCAAGCGTGCCAAAACTATGAACAAAATAATCTATCTATGAATGAATATCCTTCAAGTCCATCCGAATAACGTCGAATCTATTCGCTGTATCCAACCAAAATAAAAAGGACCTTCTATAGAGGTGCCGGGCTTCCAGAGCCAAACTTAGCCACGAAAAATATCTGACTAAATCACAAGTATGACCAAATAAGACGCCATGTACCGTGAGGCTGGGTGCGCCTCAATACCAAATGCTCCGAGTCCGATGATGCGGGATGCTCTCGTTCTTCTCCTCCTCCAACCCCTTCATCGTATCGTACAAAAAGAAGTCGATCAAGATTGCATTGATGCCATATGTCTTCTTTGCATGTTCGTCCTTTTCAACGAGCTCCTGGGCGTCCTGGGCGTCGCTCTCGTTATTCTCGTCGGTCTTGCGGACGCCTTTCTTACCAGCTAATTTCACTTCCGGGTGGCGTTTCTCGATTTCCCGCTTGATCAGCTCCACACACCAGATACTGGCACCGCGAAGCTCGATCTCCCAGTTTGATCCGGGTACTATGGGTTTCAGGCTGCGGATGTGAGACTCCAGGGGTGGCGAATAGCGCATGCAGCCGAGTTGGTGCAGCATCTGGGGGATACGGTAGTCTGTAGAGAATGTTTAGATCAAGTCTAGCCAAATATCGTAGTGGCGGCTTAACGCTTACCTGCAAACATGGTGATTTTGTCAATGTCGTGGAACTCGCCGAAGTCTTCACCATTGAAACAGGCCCAAAGGTCCGCAACGAGGATCTGGGCACGCTTGTACAGCCGCACCCTTCTGCCGTGGAAGACAGTCTCGTCGCGGAAGCAGTCGAAATTCTCGGCAACTAGATTGACAAGGCCGGCAGCAGAGTAGTCAACGCTGTCGATGCAGTTGGCAAAACTGCCACCGAATTCCTGGACCAAAGTTAGGAGAGTCCATCCAAAAAATAAGGAAGAGAGGGCGTACATTGCAAAGGACATCGCCAGCCTCGCGCAGGCACTGTACTCGCTCTTTGAACAAGGGGATGTCCTCATCTGTGGCAGAGCGGAAGACATGCCGGAGTAGCTCCTCTGTACACTCTTCCTCGTTAACCCAGAAGTCTGGCGTAGTAATCGGAATATCTGTGGCAGCAACGTGAGCCTATGCTTCCAGCGCTGATGTCAGAAATAACGGGAAATACCTTCATCGAGAGCCCGCTGGAGAGCAGCGACCAAGCTCCAGTAGCCGGTCCACCGCTTCCCCTTATACTCAATGGAAAATCGCTTCGACTGATCCTTCTCCTCAGACCAAAAGCTGAAGTTCAAGAGGTCCATTGTGAAGATGAAATCCACCGTGCTCTCATCCTTGATCTTCGGATGGAGCTCATGCTCCGACCAGGTCTGCGTGGAATAGGCCTTCTTCTGCATCAGCCGCCATATCGTCTCGGCAGCTTCCTTCGTCTGGGCCGGGCTGAGAGCCACGTCAATGGCATTGTCGAACACGTATTGGGCACTCTCAAGCACCTTGGTCTCCGGTGGGAGATTCTTGTTTTGTTTCCCGCCCAATCCGAAGTGCTGTCGGAGCAGCTCCACCAACTCCGGGTCCGCTTCGTCGTCAGAACCTGCGTCCAAGGGCTCGCTCCTTTTAGGAGTAATTGGCTCCAATGACGGCATGGTCGCGCACAGTGGTTTTTCAAGGTCGCTGGTAGTAATGAAGGGATGAGTCAATGGTTCATGCGCAGTTCATCCCCTATATCTCGTGCTCTGGCGGATCGGGGTTAAGGGTGCGGCAGCGACCAGATACAGGGCCAGAAGGATCGGCCAAGGAACAAAGCTCCGGTCCACGATGGTGGAATGGACTCGGGATTGAAGCAGTGGGATGATGGCTTTTGATTCTATCCAGCCCCTCGCGTTTCAAATACGCAAACTTTCACAATCTTCGACAGAGAGAGATTTCTTTATCGCCACGGGGGAAATTTCATCGACGCGCGAACCTTGAGGCTTATTACCTAAGCATTGGTCGCCTCCGGTCGCGATCTATCGAATTAAGAGGGTAATCAATCAGGGCACGAGGCTTGATTGGACTTAGATAGTTATATACTGCCGGAAATGGATTATGAATACCGCGTTCTGTCGGTTTGTGGTACTTTTTTACACTCATCATCCATGTCGATGTCCTGCTGCTGCGCAAGCAACCTCCAATATAACCTGGTGCGATCACGAACATACTACCCGCCACTTTGATAAAATAACGTAACGAAAGATCACACCCAATAGAAACAAACAGGGCCAGGAATGGGTCGCTAGCCATGGTAAATTTGATCAGGGATCCTAACTGTACAAAGTGCTGGGATTAGCAGCGAAGGAGGTGGTATAGATCCATGCAAGGCCCTATACGCGGCTGCAAGCAGGGCGCACCCATTTCCCATGGAGGTAATTGCGCAGACAGACAACAAAAAAAAGATCTATGCAGTTTGACTGACACACCGAAGCAATTTCCCTGCAAACCATTATATGTTATGAAATAACCCAGGCAAAAAAGGACTTTTGGGTCGTGTGGCCGCCGCCGATCGTCTCCGCTGCGGCTCCGCCCAGAAGCTCTGCCGTCATCGCGATCGCACCTCACCTCGGCCTCTCATCCGGACCGCAACGCCTTTCTTCGCTCCCTCTCTTCCTCATTCCCCGCCGCTCCTCCTTCTTTTCTTTTGTACCTGTCCCGTAATGATTTTCTAGGCCTCTGGCCTCCCTCACACACGGATCGCGATTGCTCTCTCTGACCGCCCGCCACCATGCGAGCGAGCTCCATCAAGCGCTCCCTCGGAGTCGACCTGACCAACAGGATCAAGGAGGTATGAATCCTTGGATATCTGAGAAATCGCTTGTCGTGCTTGACTGAATTACTGCGATTGGGTACTGACACGCTCTCTTCGACCCCCTTAGTCGCGTGTGCTCCTCGTTGGCGCTGGCGGCATCGGCTGCGAGCTGCTGAAAAACCTCGTCCTCACCGGCTTCGGCGAAGTCCACATCATCGACCTGGATACCATCGACCTCAGTAACCTGAACCGCCAGTTCCTCTTCCGACATGAACACATCAAGAAACCCAAAGCCCTGGTGCGTCTCGTGAGATCTCTCCACCAACTCCTTTTATGCCTCCCTCCCTTGCGACACTGCCATCGCGCTTTCTGCGCCGCGACCTGGTTGGAAATAACGGATTGATGTTCTGACAATGGAACAATGATTCATAGGTAGCGAAAGAAGTTGCGCACCACTTCCAGCCCGGCGCAAAGTTGGAGGCCTATCATGCGAACATCATGGACAGCCAATTCAATGTCGGCTGGTTCAAGACGTTCGACATGGTCTTCAATGCACTAGACAACCTGGCTGCTCGACGCCACGTGAACCGAATGTGTCTTGCAGCCGGTGTGCCTCTGATTGAGAGCGGAACCACTGGCTTCAACGGCCAGGTTCAGGTCATTGAAAAGGTTCGCATCCGTTCTAGCTCCAGCCTAAGATTCTCAAAATGAAACTGATATTGATTATCATAGGGGAAAACCGAATGTTACGACTGCAATCCGAAAGAAACACCGAAATCCTACCCCATATGCACAATCCGCAGCACGCCGACACAACCCATTCATTGCATTGTATGGGCCAAGAGCTATCTGTTACCGTACGACTCCTTTGATGCGTTTTTTCTTCATATACTGAACCATATATAGGGAGCTTTTTGGGGTAAGTGAAGATGAGGCGGTCGAGCTTGACACCACGGAAAACACGGAAAATGGTTAGTGTATTCCACCAGACTATACCTATTCATTGAGCAGGAAGACTGAGTATGCGTAGCGAAAGAGATTGCGAACTTGAGGAAAGAGGCAGAGGCTCTCAAAGAGATTCGCCAGTCAATGGGCTCTGATGACTTCGTTAAGAACGTTTTTGGGAAGGTCTTCGAGACCGACATAAAGCGATTATGTGAAATGGATGACATGTGGAAGGAACGCCAGGCGCCGGAAGCACTTGAATACGATAAGCTCCAAGAAAGCTCCGCCTCCATCGAGCCGACAATTTCGAAATGCGATCAAAGAGCCTGGAGCCTGGAGGAGAACTTGGTTGTATTCACAGATAGGTGCGTGTTCTGCGATCCATGTGACATATGCAGCGAGACTGACTTTAGTGTAGCTTGAACCGCTTAAGCAAACGATTGAGAGAGCTTCAAGCGAAGAAGTCGCCGGAAGACTCTGAGCCAATCTTGACATTTGACAAGGATGACGAAGACACTCTTGATTTTGTCACCTCTACAGCAAATCTACGGGCTGAGGTATTCCACATTGATCTCCAGTCTAAGTTTGACACCAAACGTGAGTCGATGATACAAATGTGTTAGAGCATGGCAACTAACAGTTGACAGAAATGGCCGGCAACATCATCCCTGCCATTGCCACCACCAATGCCATGACTGCTAGTCTCTGTGTTCTGCAAGCCTTCAAGGTGCTCCAAGGTGACTTATCACACGCCAAAATGGTAAAGCTTCCTTTTCCGTGGTCTGGACTGTGTAGCTCAGAAACTGACATTGAATGTTAAAAGGTTTTCCTCGAGAGATCTGGACCACGTGCAATCAACTCTGAAGCTTTAAGGCCTCCCAACCCCGACTGTCAAGTATGCTCAGTCGTACGCGCAGAAGTCGCAGTTGACTCCAGTGCCACACTCCAAGATCTTGTTGAAGGTGTACTTCAGCAGAAACTTGGCTATACGGACGAATTTTCCATGAGAAATGATGATGACCTCATCTACGATCCTGATGAGCAGGGAAATCTTTCCAAGAGGCTCTCAGAGCTGGGAATAGGGAACAATTGTCTGTTGACTGTCGCTGATGACGACGACGTAGAGAAGGATCCGCGCGTTGTCCTGGAACTGGAGATCATTGAAAGGTATGCGCCAGTCCTTGCAAGCCCGTTGAGCTACTGCTGATATTTTTTTTCAAGAACCGAACCCTCCACAGATGGGAAGCATGTTGTTCTACAGAAGTCAATTGATATACCAAGGAGGCCAAAGAAGTCCATTTTGCCGGAGCATGAAGATGCACCCACGACCAATGGCACAGGCGTCACTGGTAAACGCAAGCGCGAAGGCGAAGAGGAGCCTTTCATGAATGGCCACGTCGCCAAAAGGGTTGCTGCCGGGTCGGCGCAGAACGGTGATGATGCTGTCATAATTGACCTAGATGAACCTTCAAATCAAGGAGGTGCCATCATGATCGATGATGATTAGATCTACCTCTTGATTTACGTGAATCGGTAAATGTGTGCATCCCACTTGGGATTCTTTAACAGGAGTAGCGACGTGGTGGGCAAGCAAAGCAGGTTCTGGCTTTATTCTTTTTATTAGCCCCTGTATCATACATATGGCATATTCCGAGAGAAACCGGAAATCGGAAAAGATGTTCATGATTACAATCTAATGACATTGTATTGGGGCTGAGTGAGGGAACCTTCTCTAAACTCTGCAACAGGAAGACATCAACATCCCTATAGTTCAAACCTCCCTTCCAGGATCTGTTATCCGCTTTGGGGGCTAGTGTCAGAATTCTGCGGGTGGATATGATTACAGGAATATGAAAGTCTCACTCGCGGGATGAAAAGCAGGGACGGTCAAAAGATATAGCGGGATGAAGCAGAAAAAAGGACGCTCTTCGTGTTTCAGCCCGCCAGTGTCAACACTCTTCCCGAGCCTGGTGTTTCGTTGGCCATCATGCCTTTCTATCTTTGTTACTCCATCATAATCTGCAGTGTAACACCGGATTGGGAATAGCGTCACTCTGAACTATAAAAACAGAGACGCTAACAGCATTGAGCAAACTTACAAAAAGAATGCACACAATTAAGACAGTGAACGGAAAGAAGAGTAATCAGGCAAAGATAACGTCCAAAGAAACTGTTCATAGAGGCATGAAGTTGATGAACAATAGCAAACAATGGTTAGTTTGGTCAAAGATGCTATCTTTCTGCCATATTGCCCAGGCCCCCAATCCAAGTTCTCTTCCCATGCGTTTTCACAAGCTTCCACGGTTCTACCATGCAGCAGGATCCGCATCGGCAAAAGTAGTACCAACAGAAATCTGATCAAACCAGATTTGCCGCGTGCCTTGGGTTCCTTTCATGCCACCGTCGTCGTGCCAGCCGTTGGCGTAGATACCAACGTGGTAGTCAAAAGGTCGAGCATCGTTGATCATCGTCGGCACGTTGTATATTTCGACGACTTTGTTGCCGTCAAACCAAACTTTGTAGAACCCGGTATTGTCGGACTGCCAGTTGGCCTGGATGGTGACCCGATGCCACGCTCCTGGTGTCACTGTAGCGATATTGCTGAAGGTGCGAGTCTGCTGCTTGCAGATCGTGCCGTACTTCAGACGAGTATAGAGCTGGTTACCAACGATCCAGACCATGCTGGATGGCATCCAATCATCGCACCCAGTGTCTGTGAAGTCGGCGATGAACTGGCCCAAGTTGTACGATTGGGCTGGGGAGAATTGCCAGTCATCTTGCAGGCGGAAAGCGAACCCATAGAAACCTTGGTCGCCGAGCTTGTAGACTGCAGACTTGGCCTTTTCCGAGTGGAAACGGCCGGTCCAGTTGGAATCATAGACCTGGGTCATCTTGAGAGCGGTGGGGCCCTTGTAGACGACATTTGTAACCTCCTGGATGCTGCCCTTGTCCTCAATTGTCTGCGCATTCCAGCCTGCAAGTGTGCCGGTGTTGCTAAAAGTCTGGGTAGCGGACGCTACAAGGCTAGATGCCAAGATAGCTATGGTTGGAATGGTCTTGAGAAACATGTCTTTCTGCTATCTATAGCAGATTGATGAAAGGTGAAGGTGTAGTGATACTGTGCAGTGCTGAACAGCATGCTGGACCCCTTTTATATAGGACACAGATAACTACACGGTGCCATGAGTCCTACCAAAGTCGGAGAGTGTGTGTTTCGAGCTAGTGCATTGGGCCTCGCCATGCGCGTGGGCTGGTCTTCGCTTTGCTCAGCAATCCGAATGTAGATGTAACTCACCTTGGCATCGTTTCAATAGCTGAGGGGTAGCCTGAAGGCCCATACCCCTGTTACCCAGTGAGCTATTCAAGCCTTCTGGACTCATCGGTGGGGAGAGATTTTCTTCTGTCTATTCTGGTCTATTCTGCATGATCTCCCGTCCTCATTCCATGGGTTTCAGCTAGTGGGAATCGGACTGGCCCCACTTTCAAGCCTATGTAACCTGGACCCCTGAAGTGGAGAAGTAATAACACTTGATTAGAGGAACCGCCATCTGGCTGGCTCTCGCCTCTTGTTACTCCAACTTAGAGTAGCATCAATCCCGGCCCTTTTGCTTTCGAAAGTTGCAGAATGATCCTCGGCATTTGCTATCGAATTCGGCATAGCTGTACGAACAGACACTCTCGTAATGCCCCAGAGCAACAGTCCCGGCTTTTAATTCTTGCACAAATAGAGTGTCGCAAAATGGAATCGAAAAGAAGTATATTTCTTGCTATCCTGAGGAAATTTCAGACCAATCGGTCTACCAAGCACCGTTGTATCAGTCAGACAATGGTTGCAAATGATAATAAAACCCGGAATTTCGATCAGAACTCGGCGGAATCAATACAATGGAAATAGGTATTATATGATATTTTATGCGAACAGGCAAGACGTCGTGGCTTGTCTAGTCCTTCCAAACTGGGAGAACTGTGGAGCGGAAGACCTGGTAGGTTACCACCGTGGACCCTGGCATCATGTTCATTCAGCGTCCACCCATCTCAGGATGCAGTTCTGTATGGTGTCCTAAATGATTACAGTTGGGAGTGTAATAAAGTCTTGTTGACTTGTTGACTCTCACTTTGTCTTGTGTTGTCCAATGAACTAGAACCGGGATTCTGGGTGCTTTTCTCCAGGGTGCGGGCATTCTCGCCAATGCTGTATTCCCCACTGTGCGAAAAGCCCGGAATCCCTTCAATGGAGCGAGCGCGAACTTCGCCTAAATCAGTTGCGGATCGCAGCAATCGACCAGTGCACCGACTTCCAATTCGTAGAACAACCAGCGGGATAACATGCCAAAGTGATGCCTTGGAAATAGGGCATCAAGTGCACTAGGACTACGTAGTTAACTAGTGTTAGTTGGTCAGTATTCTCAACATGGTAATCCGGGAAATCCGGGGATTACGGTGCCGTGACGCACTATCTTCGTCCGAAGGAGACCTGTTGAGTCCGGCAGAGATCTATCAACAGATCTCCGCTTCTACCCAGGTCAGTTCAATCATCAATCAACCTCCCATTCAGTAGACCATCTCCAGTGATACCCAGTACACTGATCCTACTGTCGGATAGGATGGTTCGGCATTGGTGGAATGTCTATTTTCCGTCGAGAAAAATATGGGGACATGGTCTGTGATCATCATTCGAACAAACTATAATTAAAAGCAGCCGTTGAATCTATTTTTCGACTTTGAAGAAAGTTCGCACGATTACTCCCGCGGTATATCTCTTTTACATACTATTTTTCTCAGATACTAAAAGAACATGTTATCCTCAAATTCTCTCTTATATTGCACAACTGGTATTCTCTCGGCTGTGGCTGTATGTAATGCGTTTGCAGTGCCTCCAGAAGCGAATCGACAGCCCCACTCCACAACTGCCAGCTTGATACCAATCCCCACTGAAGCTCCCGAAAGATGGATTCATCCTGGAGTATTTGTCAGCGCCAAACAGCTGAATTTCGTTGCTGAGAAAGTTGCTCATCATGGGGAACCATGGAGTAATGCATTTACCAGCATGATGAACTACAATTACTCATCTCCGACAAGGACTGCTGTCCCGTACAAAACCGTTGAGTGTGGGCCAACATCCACGCCCAACATTGGCTGTTACCAGGAGCGTGAAGACTCTATGGCAGCGTACATTAACTCGCTAGCTTACTGGATCACCAAGGAGAAGAAATACGCAAAGAAAGCAATTTACTACATGGACGCTTGGTCCAGCACAATCCAAGGCCATAACAACACTAATGCGCCATTGCAGGCGGCATGGTCTGCTGCCAACTGGGTTCGTGCGGGTGAACTCATGCGCTATGCCCCCGGTGCAAGCTGGTCATGGAAGGGCATCCGGCAATTTGAGGATATGTTGACAAAAGTCTATCTTCCGATTATTTTGCCGGGCGATTCGGCTAATAACGGCAATTGGGACTTGGGTATGTATTGCGAGTCGGATAAAGCACAATGCAAAAACCGTTGACACATCCTGAACAGTCATGATGGAGTCTTCCCTCGGCATTGCGGTATTTACTGAGAATAAAACCACGTATGAGGATGCCATGGGCAAGTTTGCTGGCCGAGTGCCTGCCTATATCTACCTCACCTCCGATGGTCCGTACCCAGTACCTGGCCGAGGTGTAGCAGACACCCCAGCGGCACTCATCAAATACTGGCAAGGACAGCGGTACTTCAACATCAGCGGTATTACACAGGAGACTTGCCGTGATTTTGCTCATACCAGCTATGGAATCTCATCCATGTCGCATATTGCTGAGACTTCTCGAATCCAGGGTAAAGATATATGGCACACAAATTTAGGAGTAAGAGTGAAAGCCGCTTTGGAACTGCATGCATCGTTTGAAACCGGAGAAGAATCTATTCCCACCTTTATTTGTGGTGGACACATTGCTCGATCTATGGATCCAGGTAAGTTGAAAAATATTCAAGACGAAAGAAGCTTAAGTTTACAGACTGACATCGCGATTACAGTTTTGGAGCCTTCCTATAATGCACTTGCTTATCGCATGCACGAATGGATGCCCTATACGCTTAAATACCTGAAGGAACAGCGACCCGCCGAGATTGGGGAGGCTGAGCCATTGTTTATTGGATTCGAGACCGTGACAAACGCTGAGATCCCGTTCTAAAAGGGCTATACCATGATTCGTGCAAATGGCGGTTGGTAAGGGCAAATCTTGGAAACCTGTGTAGTGGTATATCTAAAGTCATTTATTCCTCTGCCTTCAGAATAAGCTGCTGAAAACGACAGAACGTACCTCTTAATCAAATCTAACTCAATATAGCAATGCAGCGGATTGTAATAGCCTCTAGGGTAATATATTGTGTTCGCTGGCATGCCGGAAGCATTGGGAGGGACCGGCCAAAACCGCGAGACCCTCCCTACTCAGCTTCTGATTCTTCTGCCTCGAAATAGAACTTATGCCAAAAGATGTAGCCACCGGCTCGGTAATATAATTAACTTACATACCAGATGATTGGGGCAATTTCTAGGCAGCACGACAGATATTGGGTTGCCAGGCCAGACCAGTGGAATGAGTAAGTGAGAGGTAACATTTTGGCTTATAAATTCATTTTCTTACTCTCTACGGCCTCTGTTGAACATTGTTGTTTGACCTTTTCCTTGACAGCTTTTATCCTTGTTCTCTCATTGTGTGCATTTTGGGTTTTTATTGAAGCCGCAACGACGAAGGAAAGAAGAAAAAGAGAAGGCGCAGGAGAATGCGCATGTATGCTACTTCCAACTCAATGGAGGAAAAATGCACAGAAAGAGGAAAAGTAGAAGAAGGGAATAGAGACGAAGAGAAGCAAATTATCTACAACATCCAAAATGGGCAGGTCCTGTAGGGTTGGCGGTCTCAGGCGCCCAACAGGTTCCTTCCACCCCACAGTGATATCCCATAATCTAGATTTGCACGTCATTGAAGCTGGTCTCGGTATGGGAGGCAAAAAGGTGAAGCCCCCCTCACTGCCTTTGTGGACCCTGTGCCTTGCTGCTACAGAATGGAGAGAGTGCATTCGTCAAAGTAGCGCGATGTTACATCACCTGGTGGTTGAGCCTCTTCACTCAACAACGCCCCTATCATCTTCCCCGCAACGGGTGAAGCTAGAAATTCCACCAACCACGGCACCGATTGCTCGGATGATCCTTGTTGGCGATTGGCGACAGCTTAATTTTGACTCAACTTGGTAGTTTCCTATGGCCCATTCATTCAAGCGGTAGCTGACAAACCTATTGTGCTAGCATATACTTACTTGGGCATTGTTTTTCAAGGGTTTATGTTTATGGCGGACAGTGGAACCTATGCGCTCCCCGCGCATGGAATTGCGTACCTATAAAAGCCTCGATGAATCGGCATTTGGCGATTTAACAGCCCAAGTTATTCCTAGGGTATAGCCAAGACATTCACAGAGCCATCAGTTATGATGTGGCTGGCGTTAACTTGGCTTTTAGCGACCGCGATCACGGCTGCACTCATTCCAGACGTGTAAGCTCTCTCTTCGAATCCCAAATTCCAGGTTTGTATATAAAGATTTTACGAAAATGAGGCTTATGCGTTACTCTCGGTTAGAGAGGTCGCCCATAAGTCCAAGGATAGCCTTCCAGAATGTCTTTATGCCTCACAAGGAGAGCCATTTTGGATGGAGACTATCGAACACACAGGCAATTCTCCCTTCCTCCAGGACCCATCATATGCGGTGTTCCGCAATGTGAAAGAGTTTGGAGCCACGGGAGAGGGCATTACGGACGATACAGAAGCCATTCAGAAGGCAATTGATGGTAAGGATGATTCGTCATGTGGTAGGATCCTTATTAATCGCAACGGTAGATGGAGGGCGCTGTTTCACCGGCTGTGGCCTCGGTGACCCGCCTGCAAAGACCCTCAAGCCTGCCTTGATCTACTTCCCTTCTGGTACATACAAGATCTCAAGGAGCCTTAACATGTATATCTTCACCCAGCTTGTGGGTAACCCACTTGATCGCCCCACGATCAAGGCCGAGGCCGGATTCACCGACTTGTACCTCATCAATGCATTCCCATCACCGCCCGTCTCGCCTTTCCCGACGACTATCAATCTGTACATGCAAGTGCGCAACTTCGTCTTTGATACCACTGCCGTTGACGCTCACTCGTCTGTGGCGTGTGTTAATTGGCCGTCGGCACAAGCCGTCACTTTCAGCTTCAACCATCTCCAGCTAGCCAAGGACAGCATGCACCAGGGTATTGTCTTCAACGGATCTACTGGTGGAGGGGGCGGATCTGCGACATTTATGGGCGACATATCCATATCTGGAGGAGACGTGGGGATCCGACTCAACAACCAGCAGTATGCCATGCGAGCCGTTGAATTTGATAATGTCAAAACGGGCATTTCCGTGGAGCATATCTTCACCTTATCTCTCCAGGGGATGAAGTTCCAGAACTGCGAGGTGGGCGTCAATTTCACCGCCGCGGGAACAAACTCCGTTGGAAGCCTTATCCTTCTCGACTCTGAAGCTGCGTCTACAAAAATTGTCATCGTTTCACAGCATACAAAGAATGCAGACGGCTCCCTTGTCATTGAGAACCTAAGGCTAAGTAATGTGGGCCAGACAGTGGGTGATCGGAATGGCCGGTCCCTCTTGGCTGGAGCGGCGCACTCATCCACAATTGAGTCATTTATTCACGGCAACATCTACAAGGACCTCACCAATGGTAGCTACGTGGAAACCAGCGGCAAGCTGTCTCGTTCCCAAGTATTGGTGGACAAAAGTGGTGCCTATTTGACCAAGTCCCGGCCTCAGTACGAAGGCTATAGTTCTCGTTGCTTTTCCAGCGTACGAGATTTTGGCGCTATTGGAGACGGGAAGACCGATGTGACTCGTGCCGTCAACGCTGCCTTGAAAGCTAACGCAAACAAGAAGATCACTTACTTCCCAGCAGGTAACTATCGCGTCGCGGGCACTATTGAAGTACCTGCAGGATCCCGAATCGTAGGCGAGGCGTGGTCAACCCTCAGTGGTATGTTTTATAGCCCACCTTAAAGATATACCTACTGACTACGTCTATTATAGCGGCTGGTGATTATTTTGAGAATGAGGATAATCCACAAGTTATGTTCAAGATGGGAAAGCCCGGAACCAATGGAGTTATCGAAGTGAGTGACTTGGCCTTTGATGTAGCCGACGTCTTGCCCGGTGCTATTCTCGTGGAAAATAACATCGCTGGATCCGAGGCTGGCGACGTTGGTCTCTGGGACACTCACTTCCGCGCTGGAGGAACGATCGGCTCGGCTGTCGAGACCAAGTGTTCCTCATATCCCACTACAGACATTCCTGGGTGTAAGGCAGCATTCTTGTTCTTGCACCTGAAGCCAGAGAGCTCGATGTACATGGAGAGCGTTTGGGGATGGTCGGTCAACCGAGATCTTGATGGCCTCAGCGGTGCGACCAACGGCACAAGTCAATCCGTCGCGGTTGGAAGAGGCCTACTCGTGGAGTCAAAACGTGGAACATGGCTCGTCGGTACTACCTTCGAGCATTGCGTGCTGTACCAGTACCAGATGCTGAACTCTGAGCATGTTTTTGCTTCGATGGTGCAGACGGAAACCGTGTACTGGCAACCCGCTCCCAAAGCTCCCGCCCCTTGGACGTAAGCTATTTCTAGTCTTCCAATGTGTATTGATGTCTTTAACTAACGTATGCCTAGGCCCAATCCCAAATACAACGATCCTGACTACTCTAATTGCGATGCTTCATCTCCGCAGTGCTTCATGGGTTGGTCTCTGCGAGTTATTGGGGGCCGTGACATGACGTTTTACGGACTGGCATTCTGGCAGGTAAGTGAATGCCGAATGAATACAAGCTTTGGAAGATCGTTCTAATTAATCTAGTTCTTCAATGGTCTCAACAGCGTCCAAGGCCCATATGCCCAGGACAATATTGTCTCCATTGAAGATCTGCCCAAGTCTTTGAGACTGTACAACCTTGGTACTCACTTGGTGCGCAACATGGTGACTGTGGACAAGAAGGCGACAGCGCTCAGCAAAGATAATGTGGGCGGTTGGGGCGGGCTCATTGCTGCCTATCTTCCGTTCGCGTGAGGGCAGGTGTCTGAGTGGGCCTGGCCATCCATAGACACGAGATCACGATCAACATCGATGCCTGCTATTTATCGCCTGGTATAGTTCTTCCTATCTAGTAGTACTACCTATGGTCTCTATCTATCGTAATCGCACACCCAGTCTCGTTCTGCCAGGCGGGTACCTAGCTGTAGGCGGAATTAGGTATACTTACAATATCGGCTAAAGGTGGGTAAGCTTTCTCTATACAAATCACCTTTATAAGTTATTTATATAGAAACCATCTTCTAACCCTTTTAGTATAAATTAGCCTATATAAATAAAGACTATACCTTGGTGTTACGGTATCGACTTGCAGGGTAGAGGGCCTGTCGATCAGGTAAGGAGAAGCCAGTATATTCAATTTGGAACAACGACTGATTTTTAAGGAATCAGGAAGAGATAGGCAGACGCGGGACTTTTCATACTAGAGCTTCTCATAGGATACTCTGGCATGAGGGGGTATCTGTGGTATTTCGCCATATGGTCGACACATGATATGCCGAGGCATACCACCTCTCCAGAGCGGGGTAACCCGGAGAATACCAGGGAGAGGGGGTTATCGATGGGCCATTGCTGGGGAATCGGTGTATCAAATGCCACGCGACGTGACCTCCCATGGGTTGGAATAGCTTCATATGGGAAGACACGCATTTCGTAACACTAGCGACCCTAGTTATTATCTACCAGCTGATTGTTATTAGAATGAGAAATTTAATTTCTATTATATATGTGCTTGCCACGGTCGAGGATGGGCTAGTGACCTATAGATATCTAGACATCGCCGCGGAGTCGAATGAAAGACGTTCGAAAGTGTTTCGTCGAGCACAATGTGTTAAAAGTATGTTTCTCAAGGGCATACGAGTTAGTCCCTGGGGTCTATCCACATAATATATAAATAATGACAGTTTCATGAGGTCTTCAACTCACACGATGGAATATAAATCTGACATGTTTGTTATGCCCGCCTTGAAGAGTATCTTGGCAATTATCAGGACGGATCAGGCACACTGGGCCAGCATCTCTCTTGACGGTCATCCCCATCTCCTGTAGCAAATATGTTACCCCAAAGCCTTTGTAAAGTACCGTTGGCCGGCTTCCCCGCCATCTCCTCATCCTTCAACCATAGCCTAGCCATATGCCTCTGGCCTGCACCTCCGGTGTCCACGAATGCATTTCTGCCATGCAGAATTCTCCGATTGTTAAAGATCAGTAAGTCACCCTCCTGATACTGAATTGTATGGGCTGCCTCCACCGCTGCAAAATGTACCGCATCCAGCGCCTCGCATTGAACCCTCGTTAGCTTGGGTATGCTAAGGGGCCGCTGACCTCTGGGTGATCGTATCAGTGCGCCGCGGCTGAATACCATTTCCGGCTGATTATCGTCATTCAGGAACAAGACTGGACGGTGGTAAAATCTTTCTCCCGAGGATCTATCGGGGGGGCTTATGTATTCTCATTTAGTTGTCCGCGACCAGGATTAAGTTCGAGTTGCAGGAGGGGCGAGAGGATAATCAAAATTAGATAAACATACCGGTCAAATGGCCAATCTGATTGCAGTAATACAGAAATAAGATCAGGGCTCGATTGCGCCAGTTTGTTGTATATTGTTGACACCGGAGCGAATTTGCCGTGACCACCGTTTGCAGCAGAACAGAACACGAACATGGCAACCACATCGCCAGCATCAGTATGAAATGGCTATGAGGGATCAGTAAGATATATCGAACAATAGTTACCGCAAATCAGACAATGGAGCTTTATGTCGACGACCTACCAGCTCCTGATTACAATAGGGAGCCGCATATTTCTTCGAATCATCCCCTGCGGTGAGATCTGTGACGTGCACTTGTGAATCGATTTCTGGTTAGTCTTATTTTGTCTTTTCGGGGATTCATCGCGGCATGCTCACCAAGATACTTGTTGCCAGGTTGCCTCCCCCTCTGTTCGGAGAGGTGGCTGGCCAATCCGGCGAAGAGAATGAAATTTTCTCTCTGGGTGCGAATTTTTGGCTGCAAGCCTCGTAGGAGCGAGATCCCAGCTCCGTGGTGTAGATCATGCCGTCGTGCGGCAAGTTGGTTTGCAAGCTTGGAGGGCAGACGAAATGTTCCTTTCTCGATCTCATGCAGAGTCCTTCCGGAGGCTTCTCGAGGGGAAAGATACCGAGTGCACATGTAAGTGTTCAAGTACTAACTTGGACAAACGGGTCGGCTACAGGTGAACTTACAAGCATACTCAGCGCAACATTTATCTATGTCGTCCAATTCAGAGCCTGATATTTCCCACGTATAGGAGTTTGGATCAAGACCGGTACCATCCCAGCTCATTTCTTTATCGCTACTGGGCTGAAAATTTTCTGGTAGGACTGGCGCAGTTCCAAGGGCGGCCAGTCTCTCTGATCGACTCCGGGTGAATCGCTGCAAGTCAGGATAATATTCTGGGTCGAAGTCCGTGTCAGTATGGGATGTATAGGCCATGATTGCGGTTATCGTGAACGTTCGAGGATGGATGCGGTTGGAGTCGAATCGATGTGATCTTGGGTCAAAGAGCTGGTCGGGTTTTACTCTATCTGGGCTTGAATAGTATGATAGACCCTCGGGTGCTGGTTTGCAATACCTCGCGCGGGGGATAAACTGCGCAACCGGCTGAAGTGACCAGCGTGGGACCCTTGATAGAGTCACAATCTACCCGCGCGTGAATATTTCATTATCTAGTGGCCAGTGTCCTAGGTGCAAGGATCTGAAGATTGCCATTGGCAAGGCCTCTTTATTTCAGCCTTGGGCAGCTTGTGAGACGCCCAAGTGAAAATGAAATTATCGGCTTTCTTTTCATTACTTCAAAATTACCGCACGATCTTTTGCATTGAGAAATATGCACTGTTGGATTGTGGCATTCCACATGGACCAGTGAGAAGGGAGCAAGTGTGATAAAGACAACAAATTCTCTCTTAAGCACGCCAGCCTGGATTGGTATGTGATGTGTACTGGCATGGTACTATGTACACACTCTACGTGCTGACCAGGGTATTCCCAATTCCCACTGGAACACGAAGAAAAAGAAAAGCGGGCAGATAAGTTAGGCCCCAACTAAATCATTGTCCAAGGTATTAACCTGCTGCTGGGACGCACCGTGCGCGGCCCGGCCCCACGATCAGGTCTGCGGAGCTGCAGCTCGGACCTCGCGCCCGCCATAAGCCCCATATCTGCTCAGAGCAAAATCTGAGCAAGACATCACCACGAACTGTCTGATATCTCATGCAGACGCTGGGGGAAGGGATGATCCATTCCTCATCAATGACCCCTGATCAATGCTGGGCACCCATTTATTTTCTAAGCACCCTGCCCCCTAAGTATTTGGAAGTAAAACCCCGCCCCTCAATTATCATTAAGCCATCTTCAGCGCGACCTATCTCTTCATGTCGGAATTACTTGAATCACGATCCTCCAGTGAGCATCTGCTCGAGGGCCCTGACTATGACCCGGCAAAGGCTTTACCCAGCAGAGCTCCGCTAGTTCGAAGACGTTCTTGTCCTCAAGTAGGTCCTCGACCTAGAAAACTGACCGCCGTTTCCCTCGCTCTGATCGCCATGTTCGGAATTCTTGACATCCTTTCTAGATGGCGCATATTTGGGAAACCTGAACGCAAAAGCCCTTCTGATGAGCTGAGCCATCGGTCGGCGTGTTCCACGTACCCCGAGCAGTGCCAGAAAACGGCACCCTTTGTTTTTGACTCGGTTTATTCACTGCTCAAGCAATGGCCGAGTAACTATGCACCAAATGGGCATTCGGCCGTCCCTGCGACAGTGGCCCCGAACACATTGCTCTACCACGCCCAGATGACTCATGGAGAACCGAAGAATCCCGTATTTTTTGCTTTTGACGCGTAGGTGGATATTATTTTTTGATTGTTCTTGTCAATTTCATTTTCCGCGAGTTATGTCTGATCCTGAAACTTCAAAAGTGAGATGTCCCTAGGTATCTACGGATCCACTGGGACTCCAACGTTGCACGTAATGACGACGACCAAAGAACTACGTGTCTTATACTTGGATGGCCACTCTGCGACCCTCACAAAAACAGGAACCCTCGACTCACAGATAGCAATTTTAAAAGGCCACGTTCCCGCATACCCCAGCGAAGAACTCATCTACAATGACCACCAGCGTGCAGTAGAGCTCTGCCAGCTCGCTAACCAGCTCAACATCGACGGCATTGTCAGAATGAATGCTGGATTTGAGATCCTTGTTTGTGACTACCACAAGTCAGGCGTCCGTGAGCTCTTCGTCACCAACATAACTGTCCCTGGAAATGAGAGTCGAGAGGATGATCCTTCTCTTCCTCGAGATCCTCACCGCCAGCCCCCGCTCGGATATGGGAATGACTTTGCCGAACAAAATGGGTGGGAATGGGTTCGGAGTAGCACTTCGCATTATGGAAATGGGGCCGTCGGAGGGATACCCGAAAACAGAGTTCGTCTCGATATCTGCAGGATCGTCTCATGGTATGATCCATCTCTCCAGAGCCTGAACGGGTCCCATCGCGCGGGCATTCGCAGCAACGACACCTACGAAAATGGCTGGGGTCTACGGCGAGGGCACAGGCTCCTCGAAGCTACAGCAAACGATATAGCCACATTTCGAGAGTGGCTTTCCGCAGCTACATCAGGAGGGAAGAACTCGAAATGCTCTCAAACTAACTGGCAGGCCCTGATTGAGACCATCGTTGACAAGTACCGTAGTCGGGCCCGGGAGATACTCTCCAATCTCGAGAAGGATTCTTCCGATGCAAAAGCCGTGCACCAGATCATCCATAATATCTACACCCTCACACATGCAGTTCTACATCCGTATCTCGAGTATCCCGTCGTTGGGGGTGTGGCCAAACCTGAAGCCAAAGCGAAGACTCTTGCTCGCTGCTCTGCTTCCTACACAGGGCACATCCAGCTAGACTCCCTGTCCGAGTTTGAGGTCCTTATCAAAGAGTCGACACATATAGTAGTTATAAAGCTTTGCCAGTGGGCCTGGGATCTCTTCGAGTGGACCGACGGCCGAACGCACAACCGCCTCCAGCAAACAGCACAAGCATCGGGGAGATCACAGGGAGATACACGTGCTATCCAGCAAGAAATAGTACATTATAGAAGTATGACCGAGTTCCTGCTGCAATGGACAGGCTGGAATGTTTGGCAGAGCTGTGAGAATAAGTGTGGACCAGATGTAGGTTATCCTGTCTGCTATTTCTCTTTTCAGGCCATTCTATTTCCCATAGCTCAATCTCATCTCTTTTTTTCAGGAACTATGCTATAGCCCAATGTGGCCCGTCATTTATGCTCCAGGCAAAAGTCAGGGCGGAATATACGCGGGTAGTATCTTAACTGAAGAGGAGACAGTGGAGTTCTGGACGCCCAAATGCTTGAGCCGACGGGATTGGGATTGTGGAGGTGGGCGAGGCCGGGAGCCGCGGTATCAATTCCCGGATGTTCCTTATGAGAAGTGCCTATCTATGCAGAGCGCCTCTTAGGATTTAGCTTATTGGGGTTGAAGGGTGGGGAATGATCTAAGATGCTCGGGGAAAAAGGACAATCAAGTACAAGAAGACTTGGAACCATATTGAACTGGTATATAATAATGCCAGGCACGCCAACTTGACCTTGGATATCAAAATCCCGTTGAATAATCAAGCCCAGGAAATTCTGACAACTACAGTTCCGGCCCCGACTCATTTAGAGCTTTGCAGATACAGCATGGGATTCAGTGGCACCGGATATAACGTGCAAGATCTGAAAAGGTACAATAAAATCACAAAATTATCAGCCTCGTGGAAACCAGTTACGGTTGTAAGCCGGCCGGAAAGGAATTGATAAAAGGGTAAAGAGGAAAGAGAACACAGCGAAAGAATTTCACGAACCTCAAGTCCCCCTTTTGCCAAGGCGACACTGCTCGCTTCATCGCAAGCTGCATACATCCACGTCGATTGTAGATCCATGTGCCCCAAGGCCGGTAGATCCTGGGGCTGGGCATCTTGGTCTTTCATACCATCCATCGTGTGCTGTTTGTTGGCCGTTGTCATCGAAGCCAATCAGTTAGTTACAGCTACACCGTTGCGTACGCTGCAAGGAAACAGATATCAAAATACATAGGAGGTTATATGGGAAATTGAGAACTTTTCATCCTAAAAACTGCGATAGAACTGAACTTACCCTAGGGATCCGCGAGCCGATGATACTCCAGTCAGCCTTGGTTGACAGCGGCGGGGGGATACGGGCTCGATTAGTTTCTCGATCTTTATATCTTGTCATATTCTTCTGGCACCACTGGATACATGCGAATCGAGCGCAGCTGACCGTTAGCCTTTGCCATTAATTTAATAGAATGCAAAAGCAACACATGGGAAAAATGAACAACTTCGTAGTAGGTTTGCCGCAGGGAGAAGGTTGATCACCTTAGGTTCTCGTACATTCACCAGTATCTTCTCTCTCTCCGCACCCTCCGGCACAGCCATCAGATACATCCCATTCGGTGTCGAAATCTCCGCAAGGTTAACTTCGGATACATAGATGATACATTCAAAGTGCTCATCCCGGTGTAAAGTCGTCCACTTCCCCGTCGCTGTAAAGACACCCCACGCAAATGCGAAATCAAGTGAGTTCGTCCAATACACGGCCGGAGTACGCGAGAAGTACCCATTTGGTCTTGCAAAGCGAATTGATGGGCCTCTGCGGACAAAGGATTCTAGGACTGCAGGGGTTGCTTTGTTGGCACAACAGTGGAAGAGGTAAAGCTTCTCCCCAGGAATGGGGTGGATTGTAGATCCTGCTTCCAGTATTGACTCAAGTTGTTGTTTCGGAGATGGTGCAAGACTGCCGCTGGTACCTGTCCCTATGCACTGCTTCTCGAAGTACGGCTGCAGTGTTGGTGTTATACAATTATGGGTCGACCAGAGATCAACTTGACGGATTGGGACTTGTGGTTGGTCTATGAGCTCGTCGGTGCGACTCGACAGCTCAACTGCCTCTATTGAGATCAAACGTCGGCTGGGAGGTGGCCCTGGCAGCCACCACCGGTCTTCTGTGTCTGGACTTGTGGTGATGGTATCCTGCGAAGTCATTCTGACAGGGTTGGGACTCTGCATAATTTGCCACGGTTCTTCTTTAACCGGGTTCTCTCAGTGAACTCTAAGTAGGCCAGGCTGTAATGGCATCTTCACCAAGGCCCATCCATCTGTTCATCGATGCGTCATCAGTATCTATCCGGAAGTATCAAGAGAGGAGGAGTAGTTGAGCCGCATGGGACCATTTCTTGAGAAAATGTATCCTGATTGGGTAATTAGTCCAATCCGAGCACCCAGGCGCCCTCGGGAATGGGATACGGGAACGGGAGAATGCGGGATTACAGCTCGTATTCGCCATGCGGACAATAAGCAATGTGTTGTGACTTGCATGACCCTACATTGTAGGATCAGCAGATATGTACACCGAGGTCCCGGATTGGATGAGTAGACTCCAACCCCGGTTGCCACAAAAGCAACGCGAAAACGTAGATTCGCCTGGTTTATGTACAAGTCTCCACCACCCTACATGCATACCACAGGACCTGGGTGCTTTATCCGTTTCATCGAAGATATAATACGGTCACGCATGAAGTTCTCCAAATCTCATGAGATGATTTGTTCAACACTGTTTGCAAGGGCTGACGTGGCCTGCCTGCACAGTGGCACGTCTTTGTTTGGACTTACAACACAGGAATACAGACTAGGGTTGTATAGGCATGAACTTTTCAGAAATGGGTCATTCATAAGTAGCCTGGCACCGGGCAAGGCCCAGATGTACCCGGTCTTTGCTAGTCACCCCGCCCACCCCCTTCGGGGGCTGGGTTTTCCACCCCATAAATCAATTTTAGGCATGCATAAATTTTACCATCTTCGCCGCAATATACTATCTCCCTAGCCACCCCGTTTGAAGAAAATTAATGGTAAAAAAGGATTTTCTCAATTTATATGCATTTCCCTCGAAATAACAAAACCTGGTGTTACGTGGTGGAAGATGGTAAAATTGATTTATGGCCTAAAATTGATTTATGGGGTGGAAGACCCAACCCCCGAAGGGGGTGGTGGGTGGGGTGACTAGCAGAGACCGGGTGCTCCGCATCGCGCAATCTATGGAGCAGTTAGGAACGGGGTTTTTCCGACGCTCTTTCCGGGTAACTTCAAAGGGCGCTTTGACTTTGCGTTCGGTGTGAGTCCTTCCATCTGCATACACCAAATTACCATACGTAGGCTGTTATCTCCTTACGTCTGTAATAATGCAGGAAGATGCTGATGAATCGTACATCCTTACTTTCACTTCAGACCTATGTATATAGTCTCTTTGCACATGATATATGCACTTGCCTCTCTTGGATGAGGCTGGAGAAGATGGGATGATTACTTCGAACAGGTGCAGGCGAGGATTATTTTTGCTTGTTCTTTTCCCCACCTTCACTTGATTCCTCAAATAACACATAAAGCATTTCAAAATGGGCTCCATTAGCAAGGAAGATTTAATCTTAATCGAAGGCACCCGCTACGAGGGAGGTGGGGGATTGATTCGAGACACCCTTTCTTACGCAACCCTCCTCAACAAGCCCGTTCGCGTTGAATCTATCCGCGCATGTCGGCCAGGTAAAGGTGGACTCCGCCTCGAACACACCGACTCCATCAACGCCATGGTAAAATTAAGCGCAAGCACAGTAGAGGGGAACACCCCTTACAGCCGTAAGATCACATTCTACCCCTACGCTACACTCGAAGATTCTTCTTGTGGTCGAGACCCATTATACAGTCTAGAGTTTCAGGTAGAAGGTGCAGCCGCGATTTTCATGATAGCCGTTTTGCCTTACATCTTCTTTTCAACTCTTGGACCAGTCAACTCTTCTTTCGCCAACGAAAGAATCGGATGTGGCATCGACCTCAATATCCGCGCGGGGACCCTGTGCGTAAGGGCGCCTTCCTACGCGTACGTGCAGCAAGTACTCATCCCCACTTTTCAATCCATCAATATTGGAGAAGAAAATTTGAAAGTGTACAATGATCACGAGCAAGGCTGGCATACTGAGTTTGGGCATACCCCGGGCCGCATGAGAGTATGGGCAAAGCCATTTAACAAACCTTTACCGGCATTTCAGCTTGAGCGACGTGGCACCGTCGTACGAATTAGGGCTACGATTCACGGGCCTGGTGAGACTCTAGATGTTTTCCATGAGATAGTAAGAAGGGAAATCAAACACGCTCTCAAACCCGGTTGGTCGTCCTCGGTGGAAGTGCATACCGATGCATTTGCATCGGTGGCCCCCGGTCAGTATCACCTGCTACTTGTCGCGGAGACCGAACTCCCCCGAGCATATCTTGGCTACGAGCAGATTTATCCGCAGAGGGGAGGACTTTCTCGCGGGCTGCAGAACAGCAGCGAGGAGCTCTCTAAGTATATCACTCTTGTTTGTATCAGAGGCTTATACGATGAGCTTGCTCGCGGCAATGCCGTCGATGAACATCTTGAAGATATACTTGTTCCATACCAAGTCCTAGCGGATGGGTTTTCTTCTACTACCGCTGAGCGTAATGCGGGGCTTGTGCAGGAAAATGAAAATCTGGCGATCCCATTTGGTACGTTGAAACTCTTCTCTTGGTTGTTAAAAATGCTAATCAAAACTATTTACTAAGCTAGAAAGACCCGAGGAGTCATATTATGTGGATGTGACGACCTTGCACTTGAAAACAAGCATCTGGGTGGCATCCCAGTTGACTGGGGTTGACTTCAAACATAATGAAGGCCGTTTCGGATGCCATGGTATCGGACTGGGAACGAACGTTGCGTAGGTTGACAGGTTGAACTGGATTACTTTCTGGCTATTGTAAATCAGGATCAACAAGCTTTTCTAACGAGCAGTCAAACATGTCATATGTCATATGTCATATGCAAGGGGGCGGAAGATCATCGACGCTGTACTACATACGCTTACAATGTGCGAGTTAAGTTCGATATCTTGTAAAGTACCCGGAGTCTCGTAACAGCGTTTGTCTAAACAGACCGCGTCGCGCCTCTTACAACACGACGGCATCACGCATGATTGTACATATGAGGTCATACGGGAAACCGGAGGATTGATGTCAACCCTGTCAATAGGCTCGAAATCATTTCTTCTCCCATTTTGCTGGCAGATTAGGCACTTACTGGCCAACAGGACCAACTAGCCTCACAATGTCACTGTCACAGGGCCCCGGACGTGGGCTTTGCTGATAGGACGAAGAGTGATGCGGCTTATACGGCTGAAATTACGATGAGGCGGCTATGGACATTAGCTATATTCACGAGGGGGATATTGCGAGGCCTAATATAAGTAGGGGAGTGCATGCGAGGCCTTGATCCTGCTAATGTAGGTGACAGCTGCGACAACAGAACTTTGCGATGGCTGGAAACGGCGAGATCCGTCTAGGGCGCGAGAGTTTGACCGGAAGCACCCCCGAGAAGGACATTGAAAACTTGACTTTCAAGCATGCACGTACCCAGCGTTTACTTGATGAGATACTAGGGGGACTTGAAAAGCGCGTTCCTAGGTTTATAAAGCAACCCGAATATGATACTATCAAGGCCCTTTGCATCGACTCCATCTCTCCGTGTAACAGCAAACAGGGATTCCTTGTGACTGTTCTCGATGAGGCTAGCGTTGCGCACGAAGCATCACTTGCAGGACACCCAAGCTGGCATGGGTTTCAGCTTTTCCTCCGCCGCATCGTCGACCCGATTGACCGCTTCAGTGCTGCACTGGATATTCTCAGTCAAGCTGCTGGATCCACGGGGTTGCTTATATGGGGGTCGATCAGAATCGTGATCCAGGTAGGGGGCATCGTCCTTGAGACGATGAAGGTCAGGCTTATTCAAGTCCCATGCTGACTACAATATGAGCACCACATAGACTACCAAGGACCTCACAGAGATTCCTAAATTTGTTACTAGTTGCCTGGAAGATCTGGAGACGGCCTTGCCGTTGTGGGATGAATACCAACATATTATTAGTGAAGATCCGCAGTGCTGCATACGTGGTCCCGCCATCAGAGTCTGCATCGAATACCTTACATTTTGCATATTAGTCACGAGGGCCCTCAAATTAACTATTTGGAGTGAGTGCAGGGATTTTTCAGCACTGCTGACCCTCTAGCTTCCGCTAATTTTCGATGCAGAGGAAATCGCGCTCGCAGCCACAAAATCACTCGAGATTCAACTTCGGCAGTGCATTGCGACAATTCGAGAGCAACGCAACTCCATTCATTACTGGTTTGGGGCGAGCACGTACAGGAAAACCGACCGTATGCCACCGTCCCTTGGGATCTCTTTGCAAAATCCCTCAAGACTTATTTCAATTGATATATAAACAGAGATTTTGACTGGAATCAATCGCCTTCTAAAATACAGAAGCGCCACCACCATGACGTTTTCAGAGAAAACAATTTCGCTTCATCCAATTCGATCCGTTCCTGGGTGGCTGAGCCAGCGATTCTTCGGCCGGAATGAAGAGCTTGCTTGGCTAGAAAGCGTGCTGGAACCTGGCAGTCCCCATAGTTCCGGCAGGCGAGTCGCGCTTTGGGGAATGACTGGTATTGGTAAAACGCAGTTGGCAAGTATTTCAACTAGGGTAATATTTCCCAGCAAAACCTGACAAGTGTTTTCGAGCACAGATGCTCAAGTACGAGCAAAAGTTTGGTGAGACATATCAGGCTGCTTCGCTCTTTCTTGTCGGTGGTTCACGAGATAAATTCATACAGTCTTGCCAGATTCTTCTCGAGGTCCTTGAACTGCCTGAGCGGGAAAGACCAGAGCCTGATATGAAGATTCATGGCCTCAGAAACTGGCTCAATGAAATAGACGGCTGGCTTCTCATCATCGACAACGTCAGCAGCAGTGAGTTGCCTGATATTCAAAATCTGCTCGAGTCGACAAAGAAGGGCCATGTGCTCGTAAGCTCACAGAGCTTTGCTGTGGTGGACAAAATTGTCGGCAACGAGGAGGCGTGTCGTGAAATTAGAGGGCTTAGCGAGGAGGATGCCATAACTCTATTCCTCACGACTAGCAACACCAAGGAGGATAGCAAAAACATGATTTTAGCTGCCGATATTGTGAAAGAGGCTGGATATTTGCCTCATGTGATTGACCAAGCCGCCTGGTACGTGAGAAAGCATGATATTGACCTCAATCAATATCTGAAGAGATATCGAGAAACACCCAGCACGGTAAAGGCGCCACGAGCTACGTCTTGTTGGTTTTATGCTCACAACAAAGCAGATTTTACAGTGGCAGGATCAACACCGGTCAGCCCCTGTCAAACATTTTGAGATGGCATTTCAGGATCTTGGTCGCTCTTATCCAGATGCAATGAATGTTCTTTGTCTGTTTTCCTTTTTCGAGCCAGAATCTATACCAAGATTTGAGGGATGGTACCGAAATTCGGATTATATTGACACCCTTAGTCAGACCAGGGGAACCGCCAGAGACAAGTTCAGGCTTCTTCGGGACCTTCGGAGCCTGTGTTGTATCAGCGCGAAGCCTTCAATGACTCAGGAAAACAAGAACCAGATTTCCGATGCTGGAGAGTCCTACTTAAGAGTCATTGAAGTTTGCAGAAATCATGCCCGTTTGGAAGATGCCATTGGCGAGCTTTGGAATTTCAACCACGTCCGAAAGACTCGCAAAAGGGGCGTACTATGGATGCATGATATCACCCGTCGAATGGCGAGTGACTCGATAAATCAGAAAGATTATCACAAGTGGTTGGAGTCCGCCATAAGTATCCTCTATCACACATTTCCTGAAAGAGACCACACCGCAGAGGATCATGAGCTTGTTGACATTTATTTGCCTCAAGCGGCCGCATTGATTGCCCAAGCTCAAGACCATGACCTCGATTGTGGTAAATACGCCGGTCTACTTGCTCTTTGTGCCCAGTGCTACCACCACCGAGCGGAGTATCGAAAAGCAATAGAGTGGTATGAAAAGGCTCAACTACACTACAATAGTGTTCTTAGTGCTTCTAATCCCAGAAGGATCACTCTTTTGCACAATTTGGCCTGGAGCTATCGTGAATGCGGAGCCCACAAACGGGCTGAAGAACTGTTCCGCCAGACATGGCGACTGCGGTCAGTTCACCAGGGCCAAGGCTCGCCGGAGGCTCTGCAGTCTTTGAGCGATTTGGCTGCCCTTATAGAGCGGTTGGGTCGATTGAAGGAGGCTGAAAAGTTATTCATCGAACTAAACAACAGCCAAATCGCCACATTTGGAGCCGACCACCCTATTACAATCGCCGGAGCGCACAATCTCGCTCTATGCTATGCCAACCAAGGGCGGATGTCGGAAGCGGAGGTGTTATATCGAGAGACTTTGAATATCTCCGAGAGTGCACTTGGAAAAGACGATGAGGGGACCATCAAAACTGTTGGCAACCTTGCGGTTACTCTGGATCACTACGGCAAGTTACGGGAAGCCGAGCCGCTTTACGAACGTGCTCTTGAGACGTACACTCGACTTTTGGGTTATGATCACTTATTGTCTCTGCGAGTCCGGAGCAACATATCCGGGCTCTACAGGCAGCAAGGTCGCTTCAGGAAAGCCGAAAGCGTGATCAGGGAGGTACTTGCAGCATTCTTAGAAACACTGGGCAAGAGTCATTGCCACATCGCAGAGGCGATGTATGACGTTGCGGAGGTCCTTCACGATCAAGGAAGTCTATACGATGCAGGGAATATATACAAAGCTTGCATTGATATGTGGGAATACGAAGCACCTTGTCACCCTTTGAAATTCCGTGTCATGGATGCAGCTGGTATTCTGGAACGTGAGCAAGGGGACCTTGAGAAATCTCGCAGCTGGTCAGAGAGGGCTTACAATGATAACTTAAAGCTCCTGGGCTGGCTCGACCCCTATACTCTGGTGGCAGCGAACAACTATGCTGAACTTCTTCACGCTGAAGGGCAATACGCCGAAGCAACACGTTTTTACGAGGCCTGCCTTCGAGGGTTCAAGGAGCTATTCGGGGACAAGCATCCGCATTATTTCATGGTTCTGAACAATCTTGGAAGATTATCATGGGCCGTGGGGGGCGGAGAGGCAATGCCATTCTTTTCTCGGGCATGGCAAGGGCTCAAGATTCTGCTCGGGGAGACCCACTTTTGCACGCTGACCATCCAACTCAATCTGGCTCGTACCTACCTCGCCGCTGGACAATTAGAGATTGCATCCGCTCATATGCTCAAAATCAGGGAGGCGTATATGCGAGAAGTCGAGATCAACCACCCCAGGCTTGGTGTTGTGGAGTTCTTTCTTGGCATATTGTCCGCTTCCAAGGGAAACCCTGATTCTATCGCACCGGGTATTGCGCATTTCAAAGCAGCAGAGGAGAACTATATGAAAACCCTGGGCGCATCTCACCCAAATTATCTCTGGGCAAGATGTATGCTCATTCGGACCCTCTCCAGGTGTGGTAGAACCGAAGAGGCCAACATTTGCCTTTCAAATATTGAGCCCCAGTCCCTGCTTGACGTTCATAACGGGGCTATGATCTCAGGCCTCGGAAAGCTGACATTCCGAAATATGATTTCTATGGAGTCGAAAGAGTTGAATTGGATCTCGCTCATCCAGATCCCGTTTGGGGAGACTATGAGATTACGATGGGGTCGGAAGACAGTTTGGAGGATTTGGAGAGAGCCTGATCTCAAGCTACATAGCTAGGTCAGTGTCATCTTCTATTATGTACTGATTTGATCGTCCTTATGTTTGTTGATGGTAGCTGACAGGACGTCATGTTCATGTGATTCTTGGATGATGCCGCGCTCACAATAACTCAATCGTTTGCCACGGATATTGTGTTTACTCGCTCCATTATAATGAGATAATCGCGGTCTGGACTTCATAATGCTCCCAGTATGTATTAATCAATTATTCTGCGGATTTAAAGATCGCGAACGCCTTACTATATATCGTCGGCAGTAATCTCATGGTCAGCAGGGGCATTGGTGACAACATACTCAACATCCGCTTGATTCATGCGAAGATCATTATCTTAGCCGGGAATATCATTAGTACGGGTCCACACATGCCTGGGACCTTTCTGGTCCTTGATTCGGCATCCGATAAATTATCTGTCTGTTCTAGCGCCCGAAATAACTGTGCTTGTGCTGGCCGTTCTGTTGAATGGCACATTTCTCGAAGGTTGCGGCGCCCCAACAGCCCTCATCAGCATCGTACATCAAGGCCGAAGCGCTAGCGTTATCTATATTGTGATGGAAAGTACCAAGAGTGCTGGAGAGATGGGCCACGACCTCCTGGTTCAGTATTCACATAGCCTATAACTATAAACGGCTCGATATTTTGATGGTTTTCTTTAGGTGGACATTAATGTGACGGCAAAGAATGGCGATACTAGGGTATGCACCTCATCGGCTGCACGCATGACGGTGTATCAGGGTGCCAAACCCGAAACGGCAAAACTAGATCGATCTAGTAGTCCATAGGTTCGCCCTTACATCGAACAGATAACAGGCCTGGTTAGATAGCACTCAACCCGCCATCAAGGTTCAGAACACAGTTATTGGCATATTTATTATAGGCTAGGAAAACAGCCGCATCAGCAATTTCCCGCGGATCCCCGAACCGATGTAGCGGGATCATGGCCTTGAGTCTATCGGCCTCTCCTGTAGAAAATTAATCATTATCGAAGGCACCCGCTACGAGGGAGGTAGGGGATTGATTCGAGACACCCTTTCTTATGTAACCTTCCTTAATAAGCCCGTTTAGGTTAAATTTATCTGCGTAAGTCGGCTAGGTAAAGGTAGACTCCGCTTCGAATATATAGGCTCTATTAACACTATAGTAAAACTAAGCGTAAGCATAGTAGAGGGGGATACCCCTTATAGCCGTAAGATTACGTTCTACCCTACGCTGCACTCGAAGATTCTTCTTATGCTCGAGACCTATTACATAGTCTAGAGTTTTAGGTAGAAGGTACAGCCGCGATTTTCATGATAGCCGTAGACCTCGGTAAAGACTGGGTCCGGTCCCAAATCTTAGGACCGGGACTGGACCATAAGGAAAAACTAAGGACCGCGAAGTAGTTCGGACCGCACCACAGTCCCCTATGGTCCTATGCGGTCCGCTGTACGGTCCCCCGGAATCTCATAATTCTGCCAAGACCTTCCTATTTAGGCTATATAAACTAATTAGTTAGCCAAAATCTTACATAATCTCTACATAAACTATACATAAATCATATAATTTTCTATATTTATCTTGTTTACAGGACCGCATGGGGGACTGGGACCGTAGTGGTGCGGTGCGGTCCTAAAAAAGTCAGGACCGCCCAGCGGCCCCAAAAGTAAGGACCAAGCCCTGCATAGTGCGGTCCGGTCCCCGGTCTGGTCCGGTCCTGAGCGGTCCTTGGCGAGGTCTACGCTCATCCACAAGTTTTTCCCTCCCCACTGACCCAAGCCACCCACTTTCCAAACCTACCCTCTTACATTCCCTTATATATTCTTCCACCCAACCTTCTACCCTCCCTGCTACGGCGACTTATTAGTCTAGTATTAGGGGGCTGCGAACTAGTGGATTTCTAGGCCAATGTTGTAGCCAATATATTAGGACATTTTGACCAAACTACTTCATCGGAGTGGTTATGATCCACTAAAACAAATAAAGAAAAAAAAGTAGTAGCACGAATTTCGCATAGATCAGACTATATCATTTCAAACAAGCGTACCAAGATAAAATATCTTCCCTACCGCAAGGTCCTACGCCAATTAGGATCGCCACCATTAGTCTATATAGAATCACGCTTATGCACAAGCTCGGGAGAAAGCTTTCCTAATTATGAAGAACGTTAAAAATGCCACGCCAAATATTTTTTAAGGCTTCCTCAAAGCAGACTAGTAATAAATCCTAGTTGGCGTGTCGACGTTCTAGGGACTCCCGTTCCTAGTATAAATAGATAGATATTGATTGTGACGCATGACAGAACGATGGACAGAGATCACCTGATGGACATGGAGTGATGGGAGCACCTGACTGAACTAACCTAATGGGGCCTGTTTGCATAAGCCCTCTACAAGATAGTTGACAGAGCCTCCATATATTCTTCCTTCTTCACCTTTGTTGTCTCGTTGAATGCGCCTAGTTGTCTTCCAGTTGGCTCTTTTCCATCATCGTAACATTGATGGCCCGAAGCGCCTAGTTCTCTCTTTTGAGCTGCTGGCTATAGGCTTTCTTAGCGGAGTGAGACTTCTTTAACATGGAGAACAGCGTCGCTATCTAAGGAGCTGGTGACTACACAAGATAGGGATTATTCTTGTTTTAGGCGTTTTATCTCTTCGATTAGCGGTTGAAAAGGGTCGTTGAGGGCCTGCGACTACGGATATTGAGGTAGTATCAAATCGGGCAACTATTATCGACGAGCTAGACTAAGATCGTTATTTCTTGGAAGATACTTACCAGCCATTGCTCTGCGACCTGATCCACTGGTTGAATGGGAAACGGGCGTTTGTGTGCGGGTTCTGGGGAACAGAGTAGATCTTGAAATGGCTTAACCTTCTCCCGGTTAGTCCTTCCAGTGTCATCTAGAGGGCTCCTTTGCCACGGATCCAATGGAAGCCTTGATAGGAGGAGTAGAGTAATCAACCAATTATACATTCACTCATAAATATACTATTTGCTGTGGAACTGGGTTCGTGTGAGCTCCCGTCCGTCGCTTCAGAGAAGGCCGCGAGTTCGCATTCCAGAATGCATCCGAAGTCATGACGGATCATTCCAAACGAGCCATAAATTTCTCCACCTCCAGTCATCCCGCCTCGGACGGTTCCGTTCCCACAGGATCTGCCTTCTCCGCGTCCACGACTGCGATTTTCGGCCCTTCAATTTGCTTCACCTTCCGCCCTTCCCACCACATAATCAGGCCGGCCAGAAGAGCCACCGCGCAGCCGAGCCCGACGAAGGTGCCGGTCGTCCAACCGGGCCGGTTGTATCGGTTGTATCCCCACATGACTCCCGCCAGCGCGCCTTGGAAGAGGGTGTTCCAGACCATCATCCACACCACAAAAGAGAGCTTCCACAAGCTCGTGGGCGGGGCCACCTGGCCCGTAAACGTCACGCGGGGGACGCCCTCTTCGTCCCCGCCATACCAAGCCGGGGGCCGAAACCACGCTTTGTTCTGCCCGCTCAGTCGCTTCATCGCGTAGTGGCTGTGCCAGAACCGCGCCCGGATCAACCACCACAGGTCCCGGAATCGCCAGGGCGCGAGGCCTAAGCCCGTGACACAGAAGAGCCCGTTGAGGATCTGGCTGTCGATTTCGATCCATTTCTTCCGCGGCGAGTTGAGGGCGTCTTTGCTCGGATGATTCATGGCGGGCGCGGCGCCGAGCAGCACAAAAAAGAGCATCGCACCCCACGCGACCACGTTGAGGCCGTACAATGTCATGAAGAAACCGGTCGGCGTCGAGACGAACTTCCACGCGGCCGTGCATCCATGCTTTGCCGTCGTCGCCCAGTCATGCTTATCCGTCGTCACCGCAGACGCCCTCTCCACTAAGGTCGCCGGTGGTGCTGAGGGCTCGTCGGTGACCGGGGCGGACGCGTTCTGCCACTGGACGGGAGCGAAGATGGGCACCCCGTTGCTGTCGTGGGTGACCTTCCGCATGGAGTGGCCGTGGACATCAAAGGCGATGTTCTTGCCGCCGGCGACCGGTTCGCGCAGCTCGGCCAGCGTGGGTGCATGTGCGATGGCGGTACCAGTGGCCGCCCACATTCCTGGTTGCGGATTGAAATTGACCACGGCACCCGCCAGGGAGATGGATGCCCGACGTAGGCGGTCGCTGACCGCCGTTGGCTCGCCTTCCGGCATCGCGTGGTTGTAGAAAAGTTGCAAGCGGTTGTGCTGGCAGAGGCGGTTCTTCCGAGATCGTGGTTTGATTCTCGAAATGCTGTGACACACCGGATGGTGTAGTCGAGGAATATGTTCACAGGGATTGGATCGGCATCCGATTCGGTGGAGAAGCGATTCGAAGGTAATTACTTCGGTGACGCGCGGCCGAGACCACCAGGCACGAGTCTCTCTCTCGGACTTTGCTGTCCCAGGGACTGAGCAGCTCTGGCGCCGATATGTGCAGATAATGACCACAACGGTTCGATGGGATGAGAGCGGAAAAGATGGAAGGAAACTGATCGATGGAGGGCTGCCTGTCTTACCTAACGAAGTCACCACTGAGCAAGGCTTCACTAGTTGGCGGCGTTGATTCGCCTCGCGCGATGATTAGAGGGGGCACGCGCTACTTAGGATAATTCAGAACGGCTAACGCCAGGCTTGGAATTTTACCTTCTTAGTTGGATGTAGTGTCCGATTCTAGCGGGGCCCACTTGAAACCCTTAGTATAATGTATACACCCCACTCTAAACTTACCTGTTTCCACCCACGTTCCTACTCCCTGTTATCTCACCAAGGTTCGTGTATCTCCAAAATCCCTGATTCCATCAAGATTTCATCAACTATCCATTAGTTATCTAGCTACTAGATTAGGTAGATTTGACTCATTTCTACTCTACCCTCCTTAGTTTCCGTTGAATTCCTTGGATAGTTTAGTACTCTAATATCCCTCTAAAACTTAAACTAAAAATTTAGAATAATTTCCTACTACTAATACTGCATAGATTACGCCTAAAGTTAAGATAGATATAAGGGAGTACCTTAATTAGAACTACCTAAGGTTTAAAAGGAATACGACGATTAGAAAGGTTATAGTGACTAGAAAGAGTAAGAGTATAGAGGGAATTCTAATTTTTGATAGGGTACACTTAGGCCGCAGAAAGTATAACCTAAAAAACTAGGGTTCGGATTAGCACAACCCTATAATTTAGGTAGGCTAAACCTATCTAGGGGTGTTGGCTAGCAAAATCCGGTAGGGGGACGGAGTAGTTAAACCCAAAGTAATCACTCGTAGTGACTTTCTCCACGATTTCTCTGCCGGACTCTATCATCTGATTAAATGTGATTACATGACCTCCTTGATGCAACAAATTAATCAATCATCAATCAATTCTACTCTTACATGATATCAGCTGAATTGATATACGGAAGGCGGCGAGAGAGGTGGTAGATTTTGACTGACCGCCCGATGTCACTAGGAGTGATTATTTTCTTGAAACCCATATTGGTTCTTGGGGTGGTCTCAAACTTTTGCGGTGCCACTATCTAGAGACCCACCCATTCAATTAGCCTCCGCGCTACTGAGTCCGATCTGTCGCGGTCCTATCAGCGTGGCGGTTGGTGCCCGCAGCCAACGCAGGCAAAGCCTCGACAAAATGCGGCCGGAAGACCACGGCTGGCCTGCGGAAGGACGGAGGAGGAGAGGAATCGTCCCTCCCTGTCTGTTAGCTTCGAAAAATCAAAAAAAAAAATTCCCCAACCCATCCCTCGTCACGGAGCCCGTGACCGCATGCTCTTTCCACCACGGAACAGGAAGATAATATTTAATGATTCCTCGGCTCGGTCCCTATAGATTACTCACTGCGACAAGCCATCAACGGCACCCGACATGTCGACGTTCGCGCCCACGCTCACAGTGCCAGGGGAGAGTGGTGGCAGCGAGGTGGGACAGGTGGTGATTGCGAGGAAACACTCGACCGCATCCGCCTTTGTGCGTCCCGACGGTCGGGTCGATGTCCAGGTGGCCGACGAGCCGACGACATTGGCCAAAAACCTGCAGAAGTGGTTGAACCGACAACTCCACGTCCCCCGCGGCGACGATGCGACAGGAGCACAGGACGGCGCGGCGACAAATGCCTCGTGGACGCTGGGCCCAAGTGCAACCGTGCCACGCCTGAATATCGCCATTCACATTGTGGGATCCCGCGGAGACGTGCAGCCGTTTATCGCCATCGCAAAGGTGCTGTCGCAGCCGCCCTATTCGCACCGAGTGCGAATCTGCACCCACCCGGTGTTCAAGAACTTTGTGGAGTCCAATGGCTTGGAATTCTTCTCCATTGGCGGAGACCCCGCCACACTGATGGCGTATATGGTGAAGAATCCGGGCCTCATGCCGGGCAAGGAGAGTTGGAAATCGGGTGAGGTGGGTAAGCGACGCGCGGAGATCGCACAAATCTTGGAAGGCTGTTGGCGAAGCTGTATCGAGCCCGGAAATGGCATGGACGGAGGACAGGAGGGATCGGGCGCAGGGAGCCATTTCGTGGCGGATGCCATCATCGCGAATCCGCCCAGTTACGCGCACCTCCACTGCGCGGAGAAACTGCGCATTCCGCTCCATATGGTATTCACGTACGTCGGGCGAAGGAGAGTCCAGTTGTGGAAGGAGAGAAGCTAACCTGGCAGCAATCGTCCCGTAGTATGCCCTGGTCGCCCACGCAATACTTCCCCCATCCGTTGGCGGCGATCGAACGAAGTAAATCTGATCCGAGTTTTGCAAATTATATGTCCTATACCTTGATGGAACTGCTGGCCTGGGAAGGGTACGGGACCGTGAGACCTTTCCCTCTGGATCAAGCAAAACTGACCGTTGTACAGGCTCGGTGACGTTATCAATGGATTCCGAATGAAGACCCTCCATTTAGATGCCATCAGTCCGCTCTGGGGTCATATGTTGCTATCCCGGCGGAAAGTGCCATTTACATACACATGGTACACGAAACGTGGAACCCCCATCGGTCACTCGCATTGGTGCTAACAGGTTGCCCAGGTCGTCCGCCCTCATTCCTAAACCGCCGGATTGGGGCAGCCATATTAATATCAGTGCCTTCTCCTTCCTGTCCGCTCCGTCGTCCTACCAGCCACCAGACGCTCTCGCCGAATTCCTGAAGGCAGGCCCACCGCCCGTCTATATCGGTTTCGGGTCCATCGTGGTGGAGAAGCCGAAAGAGCTCACGGATATTGTCTTTGGCGCTGTGAAGCGTCTGGGGATCCGAGCTCTCGTGTCTCAGGGCTGGGGGGGATTAGGCGGGGAAGAGGCTCCGGAAGGCGTGTTCCTTCTGGGAGATTGTCCGCACGACTGGCTGTTTCAGTATGTCTCGTGTGTCGTCCATCACGGTGGCGCGGGCACGACGGCCATCGGAATAGCCATGGGCAAACCCACGGTGATCGTGCCATTCTTCGGAGATCAACCGTTCTGGGGAGCGATGATTTATCGAGCGGGAGCGGGACCAGAGCCAGTCCCGTACAAAAAGCTCACCGCGGAAATCTTGGCCGAAAATATTTCGAAAGCCTTGGGCTCAGATATCGAAAGAGCAGTGGGAGAAATGAGTGCTAAGATCGCCCAAGAGAACGGAGCGGTCGATACAGCGATGGCGTTCCATAAGTCTCTTGATCTCGATGCGATGAGCTGCCAGCTCTGTCCGAGCAAGGTGGCCATATGCAGAGTCCGGAGGACGAAACTGAGGCTGAGTGCTCTGGCCGCAGCAACATTAGTTGAGCATGGTCATCTCACCTTCCACGACTGCAGGCCGTAAGTGCATCCTCTGGCTCATCGAACAGCGCTAACACGGTGCAGAATCAACCACAAGACCTGGGATGTCGACGAAGGGCCAGTCGGCCCCGTGACAGGGGCCATCGCATCCATCACAGGCACTATTACCGGGACGGTCGTCAACACCAGCCGGTATTCCAGGAAGATGTCCAGGTCTCGTCGGAAGAAGCTAGAGGAAAAGGACGCACAGTCGATCATATCAGAAGCCGAGGGACCCGCCCCTCTCGGTGTAGAAACACCGCCGGACATCGCAAACCATTTCTCTTTCTCAAGCGCAGGCAAGTATCCTCCGGAATACCTGGAACAGGTGGCACATCAGATGGCCACCAGGAAGTTACCGAGTCGAACAAGCCGATCGAAACACCGAGCGCGACATCCCTGGTCTCCCATTACTAGGCCTGAAACGATGGCATCGATGGCGTCAAAGTCCTCGAATAAAAGCACACAACAGGGCGGAGTGCATGGGGCCACGTATGAGACTGGGCAATATGCGCTCTCGCTCATCGGAACGGGCTTAAAAGGTCAGTTACGTGGAGGTCCCCGACTGGTCGGTACCCCTGATTCTAAAATCTCTTTAGCCCCTGTTGCACTCCTCTACAACCTGGCCAATGGTTTCCACAACTCGCCGGCGCTCATCTTCCACGACAACACGGTACGGCACAGAAAGAGTATCACTGGCTTAGCAAGTGGTATTAAGGTCGCTGCTCACGTAAGTCTTTCCCTGGCAAGAGCCTAATTCAAGGAGGTACTGAGCCTGTTTTTATATATTCACCTGCTGATTATTATCAGGGATTCACCCTGAACCTGTTTGACGGCGTCACTGGAATCGTGACTCAACCCTACCACGGCGCGCAAGATGACGGTGTGTCTGGTTTTGGGAAGGGAGTGGTCAAAGGACTGGGTGGAATGGTGCTTAGAACCACCGCTGGTATGCTCCTCTTGCAACTCGTTCCTCCTTTTCTATCTTTATATTGATAATTGTGATACTCATTTAATTAAATCCACAGCGGTGATCGGTGTTCCCGCCTATACACTGAAAGGCCTGGAACGGCAGATTGAGGAAAGATTCGATCACGATCTGCGAGCCAAGATCTTAACCACAAGATTGCGGCAGGCAATCGCAGCGTATGAGCAAGGAAGCACGCAGGAGAAGGAGGATATCCTGAGCAAGTGGAAGAGTTATGGCTATAAGTAGTAAGGAACTTGCATTGGAGTTAACGCTAGATTTATCGTGCAAACTTTCTAGATCTAGAGCAGAGGACGCGGGATTTTATTTTCAAGTTGATCGGCCGGGACACCGACTTTGTATATTCTGATATACTTTCTCGAGTACGACGTCATCATCGTCGTGATCGACTGACCTCACATGTTTGGTACTGGGAAGGGTTCCAGGGCCGAGGACAGCATGTACATATAGGAAGAACTGAAGTAGCCATAGGTTAGTTCTTGATATGGCCACTGTTAATGTTTATCAGTATACTTACCGTGGTCGATACAGGCACGAGTTATTGTATAGAAAAATAGAGGTTCGCATTCTCAATAGGCTACGTATAAGCGTAATTGACAAGGCACGATACCTAATACATAAATAACATCCTCAGTGGCAAAGATCTTCCTAGGTAGTAAAATTAGATAGGAGAATACTAGGTTAATATAAAATAAGGGGTATAGTAATAAGAAAAGTAGTATTCGAAGAGGAAACCTTAGACTAGTACTACTAGAGTATTATAAATAGCACTACTAAATAAGTTCTGTTATTTCTATATAACCTTGCGTAGAGGCGTAGTCTACGTGATGGTGTATCAAGGCGCCAAACCCGAAACGGGAAAACTAAATCAATTTAGTAATTCATAGGTTCACTATAACATCGAACGAATAACGGGCCTAGCTAGACAGCACTCAACCCCCCATCAAGGTTCAGAACATAGTTATTGGCGTATTCATTCTAGGCCAAGAAAACAGCCGCATTAGCAATTTCCCGTGGATCCCTGAACCGATATAGCGGGATCATGGCCTTGAGGCGGGTGCTTAGCTATATGCGGAATTAAGTATACTTAAATATCGGCTCAAGATAGGTAAGACAACGCGTTTTTCGCTATTAGCTAGCACTACCGCAATATTGCTCCTAGATACCTCTACCGTGCAAGAGAGGTTGGAAACCAGCGATAACGATAATTGGGTGCTAATACACTTAACACCATAAGTCTTACTTCGGCCCAATCCGAGGTTTTTACATTGACCCGGCGTCATAAGTTTACCTAAGATGATCTCTAGTGTGATATTTAAAAACGGGCCTATTCAAGTGCCTACTTTTCCTCTGTTTTTGCGTTTAATTATGGATCACGTGTGATCACGTGTGGATATGTAATCGCCGCGTATCGGTCGTATAAACCGCGGGATCGTCTCAGCGACGTGTATACATCAATCTGATCACCAATCCCGGTCCAATTGGACATCTCCAGTACCAGCCTGCACGGATAGCGATACTGCGGTAATTATTTACACTGAAAACGTCAACATCCATTACCAGTTGCTCTGTATCTTGACAGCGAGAGTTTTCCTACCTCTGAGAAACGGATAAACATTCGGAAGGAATCAGTAGCGACTCGGACCAGAGGAAGCAGCATCGGGGATGCGGCAAAGAAAACTCAGGGAGATGTATACTATGGAGTTGGACGACGCTGGATACGGATGTATCATGGCCGTGCCAGTGGACCAGCGGCTAGGGTCGGCGGCCCAGTGGAGTGTCTGGATCGATCACTTTCGATGTGCCGCACGCACAGTGGGTGTATGGGAGTACTTGGATCCCGCTCTATCAGACAGAGAGATCAAAACGCTACCTGAGCCTGAGAAAGAGCCTCATCCGTCTCTTATATTTCAGAACGCTCGCGATGTAGCAGATCTTACTGATGAGGAGTACCCAATCTATCACCGCCTCTTAACTGAAAATGATCGCAGAGAGGCGAAGCAGAAGATGCTTGCGCGTCAGCTCTCTGGTTTCAGCGAGGTAATCACACGATCTGTCGTTGTCGAGCATCGCCACCTACTAGGAGACGAATACTCTGCTCGCCAAAAGCTAGTCAAGCTAGCCATGGCGTTCGCGCTGGATGAAGTTACTCGAACCGAAGAACTGCGGCGTCAGTGGCGTCAGATGATCGAGAGCCGCCACCCTTCTGATTTATCTGCCATTGAGGTATGGTTGACCGGCTGGATGTCTCTCTATGGAAAGGCACTCGCCGCGGGCGTACCGGACGTATGCTGCCAGCACACGCCTGAGAAATTCGCTATACGCGATTTCTTACGTGCCGTACAGCCACATGACGATTTGTTCTATTCCACCTGGATGGATAAGATTCGCCTAGAAGATGCCACTTTTGAAGAGGTTATATCGATGTACCGAACGCGTCGGAGAATTACCGAGCTGTTTGGAAAAGCTACACCGGTAGAAAACACGGTGCCAACACTGTTTGGTTACCCGGCGCCGCCACCTACCCAAGATACTGCCAAAGGCTCTGAGGAAAACCAACGTACCTGCGTATGTGGCAGCACCCAACACCAGTGGAAGCAGTGCTATTATCTCGTCAAATCGATCCGACCAGATCGCTGGCGACCACGTCCGAACGTGGAGCGGCGGGTAGCCAAAGCGATCAAGCAGCTGAGCCCGTCCGATCAAAAGAAGATCGCGAAGATCACGAATGATAAGGGCGCCGCTCATATAGCTATGCCTAATACTAAGGAACTATAGGGGGGAATGAGTATGAAGCGACTAGACGGAGCCTTACCTGAAGTCTCTCAGTCAGTCTTCTCCACACCACCGTTACCTCTGTTGATTGGCCTTTGCGCTCCGTTCCCCGCACCACCATCGTAGACGTATACCTAACGTTACGTAACGTACGCTCCTTTGTTCCAGCCTGTCACAAGAATAGAGTGTCTCGACAATGAAGAAGATACCTTGGCGGTGGGCTATATCGAAGTACGACTTGAAGACTCACTATTACAGCCTACCTTACCTATTTATGGTTTTCTCAACTAAATGGGGGTAGAGGCGCCTTTGGGCCTCCAGCGATTTTATTACATTGGTATCCCACCGGTCTGTTCCTGTCATTGGGGTTTACTTTTTACGTTTTCTCGCATCCTCTCCTAAGGAAATAGAGAAGTCATCGGGCTGAAAAGAACCAAAGAAATATTTAGATGATCAAGGTGCGGTAAGTGAAGTAGGGTTGGCTGGCGATCGATGACGTTGACATGGTCTGCAATACCGCTGAGAAGGAAGTTGTGGCAGGAGCGAAAGCGGTCTAAATATTTCCTCTAGGCTATTCTGATGTGATTATTGTGTATTTAAAAGCCTCCAAGCTGGACGAATCCGGCATTGACTTTCTTCAATCACCATGAAGCCCCTTGAAACAGCGGAAATGGGTCATTTGACTGTGCCCTCTGCCATGCCAGATTGAGCTTTCCAGTGAAGCGTCCCGACCATAGATTGACAATTTGGTCATATCTGACCATCTCATCCGGATCAGAAAGATCAACTCCAGGTGCATTCTCTGGTAGAAGCTGTTGGAAGAGTTCTCTCGCCTCGCGCAAATATTTCTCTGATTCTTCATGTAGCTTCAGGTGTGCGAGGACACGACCAAGACAACAGAGAACACGTGGAAGGCGGGTTGCATAGTACTCATTTCGATATTCTAAGCACCTGCGAAGGGAAAATCTATTGGAAGGCTTCGATCAGCATTGTTTTTTTGATATGATTCGGAAACCAGACAAAGCTATGATGACTTACTCTGCTTTGTACCAATCTCCAAGACTGGAATGAATCATGCCGACAGCAAAATAACTATCGATGGTGTGATCGTGGGTCTCCCCTAGGACGTCAAAACGGGCTTTGAGAATATTAAGATTCTCAACGAGAGCCCTCTGCTTCTCGCCAATATTGAACAGCACACAGGCACGCATGTATCGCATGAATTGCCCAACCTTGGAGCTCGGCCCACCATTAATCCATTGATCAATCAACCTAACAGCTTCATTGGCATGAGATAAGGCTGCATCTCCATCGCCACGACTGAGATACACCAGCGCAAGATTCTTATTGATCTCGGAAAAGGCTGCGAGTTGCGGGCTCATGCTTTGTTTCCACCATTTTTTTTTGATCCTCCTTGTTTTTTGAAAGAGAGGCATTGCCCTTTCGTAGTCATCGCAGTGCATGTATGCGCACGCTAGATTGTTGTATGCAGTGGATAGCTGTCTTGAAGCTGTCTCGTGAACGGCTCTGTTTTCATCTCGGTAAACTTGAGCCAGTCGGGCTAGTCGAAGTTGGACGAGCTCTTCCTTATGCGCCACGCCTTCTGCTCGCTTGGTAATGCCATGGTTGAGCTCAATAGACGCCCGAAGATAGAGTACCTGAAGCCTCTCCGGGTTAGTTTGCTCAGAGCCCAGAGCGTTGGTGAGTACTGCGTCGGCAGTGTCGAGGACATTGAAGGCGCTTTGTATCAAGTATCGCTCGTACATATAATTCCCAAGGTCTGACAGAAGGGTTCCAAACTCGATGGGGGCATCATTAACAAGGTTTTGGGACTGGGAGTACTTGAGAGCCTCCTTGTATGCTGCGTGCAAACTCAGCACATGCAAGTAGTACTTGTCGTATAAAGGCCACTTCTGATTTGTCGGGCTAGATCCTGCATGCTGACGTGGGAAAACGGCACGAACCAAGAGCAACGCTCTTTGAAATGCCTTGCTGTGCCTTTGTGGATCGTCTAACAATTTGGCTTGGAGATGCTGCTTTACATGTCGATGGATGGAGAACGAGCCACTTTCCTGTGGGTGGGAGGGAGGCTTTTTCTCGGTTAGATGTCTTCCATAGAGATCTTGTTGCAAGTCTCTCAGCCTGGAAAAATAGGAAGTTAGTCAGATCACGGGGGAAGCGGGTAGGATCAACCAACCGCGGGTTCGTAGTACTAAGGAACTTCAGGCAGGCATCTTCGTGGTCCCTGAAGATCATGCTCTCCTGTATTTCATCTGGATTCATGAAGGAAAAGCAATCAAGCAAATCTCGAGATTCCGGTTTCAAATCATCCAATGCCATGTTAAAAACTGCGTTGAGTGGTTTCTCATAGTCTTGAACAAAAGGGCCTTCAGACTGACCCCAGCCGGTCACTAGCTTTGGTTCGAATTCTGGGATAAATTGGCGCAGTGTCATTTTCACTGAGCTGATATACCCGGCAATTACTGCGATGGCCAGGGGTAGTCCTCCGACCAGACTTGATATCTTCTTTGCGTCTTCAATGCTGTCAGGAACACCGTTTTCGGCTAGTCGTTCCTGTGGATCAAAATATTGGAGTAAAAGGTTTGCACCATCCCACTCCTCAAACGGTTTGACCCAAATGCGCGACGGCCACCGATCTTTGACCTTTGTGCTTTGGGTGGTGATGATGATGGATCCTGCGGTGCCGTCTGGGATATATCCTTCTACATTTTCTATTGATACAACGTTGTCAAATACAAGTAACCATGGTTCCTCTATCGAGAGTCTGTTAGAGGAAAACGGAGTGAGAAGGGGTTGGGACAAAACACACTTGACGTCTTGAGCCTTGCCCGTGCCACTTCAATACTTCGCTGCTGGTTTCGCTGATCCTCAAGCCCGTCGCTGAGCTGGGAGGCAATGGAAGTGAAACTCCGTTCCGCTTCAGCTTGTACCTCTGCCCGAACCCAAAATATGTACTTGTAGCTCGTTCCATGACGGTAGGTATATTCTGTTGCAATCTGGGTTTTCCCAGTTCCTCCTAAGCCGTGGAGAACGCAGACTTTCATTTTCTGCTGGGTACCCTGGGGCTCGGGTTTGATTTGTTGATGCAAATTCTCGATCATGGTATCGCGGCCAAAAAAGTACGGGTTCTTGGGCCCTCGACCACGGGGCTCTGTGTTGGGCTCTGGGATATTCACTTGTAAGCCAAAGAAGAAACATACAAGAGCTGCCGATGCCAAAATACCTTCAAATCCCCTTTCCTGCATCGCCGGCGCCATATCGGTAGCGTTTTTAATGTATTTCTGCAGATAGTGCACCATAGTTTTATAGTCATTATCTGTGCGGCTCTGGAATCTCTGAAGGTTCTGATGGGTGGATTCGAAGCCAATGCTATCCGCGTTCTCGATCTTGGCTGAATCCTTGCTAACCACCTGGAGCAGAGGCATGCCTAAAATGCGAGTCAACTCTGCCTCGAAGAAGCAAACTACTCCTTCTTTCACAGGAAATGTTTGGTTGAATTGGTCATGGATCCGTTGGATCTCGGGTGAGCCTGGCTGAATGGCTTTCAAAAGTGCGCTGCTTGAACCTCTCCAGAAATTCAACCTCACAATGACTCGTCCAAGCCAGGTCAAGGAAGCACCCTTGTGAGGTGTGCCCAGAAAGATGAACCCTTTGGCATTCTGCGCGATTCTGCGCCGCCAGTCAGCGTTTGTCGACGATGAATTCGCATCGAGAGTGAGATCCAAACTCGGGGCGAGAGCATTATACAGAGCCTAGTTCCCGGTGAGAAGATTGGCCACACACTCTTGTTTGATGACGGCTGACCTGCTTGATCACAATTCCGCCGAAACTATGACCGATGAAAATAATGGGACGAGCACGCGTCTGGTCCGATATCAGTAAGTCGATGTGAAGCACGGGGGACATCACTTACCTCCGCGGTATTGCGTGCTTCATCGAGCACACGAAGAAGGTCGTTTCCATGATCTTCAAGTGACTTTGTGGTAGCATTCCGTTCCCAGGCACTGTTATGGTTGAAGGCCATGATACGAGCGTGGAGATCCTCCTGGGGAAGAAAATCCCGAAGCCACATGGGACCGATCGTCACATTGTGACCCTCTCTCAGCTTGTAGTTCCACGTCGTCTCGGCCGTTGACGCAAGTCCATGAACCGCAACAATGCTGTTTGTGCGAGTCAGCAATGCAACCCTTTCTGGGAAATTCGCTCTATACATACTCAGCACGACAATTTTTGCCCCCATCGTCCAGAATCTCGAGTAGCTGGGTTTGTCGCCTTTGCGACGTTTGGCCCCTCGGCAAGAGACACCACAGCAGAATGCAAATGAATGTCCAGACGAGATGGGTCTGTTTCGGAATGAGTTCTGTGGGGGTTCCCTCCTCATTTTGACGCGCAACGAACGGTTGAAAGGGGTTTAAAACCCAACCGGGAATGCCTGCGAGGTACAGCACAAGCAAGGATACCAGGATCAGCGCTGGTGTGTCCATGGTCAGATGGATGAAGCTGGTATAGAGGGATTAAGGATGGATAGAAGCAGAGCCAGGGAAGCAGGAGGCAGACGGAGAAGCTAGGGCCTCTCTCGCCTGGTGTGATCGGGGCTCAGTTCATGTGATTTGCCCGGGTGCACTTGGGGGAACGCCTATCCTGGAAATGGATTGGCCTCCCATGGGGCTAAATTTCACTCTGGAGTTCCCTTACTCTACTGTGGTGGCTGACTGTGGCAGCAGGTGCTTCTGTTCTACCGCCGCCGTACTCGTGTCCTTGCTGTTGTCTAGATAGAATCTCCGACTTGCACACGATCTCTTAGATTTCCGGCCTGTCCGCTCCTCCCGCAACGAGAGACTCTCGGTTTCGTGGCGTGAGAAGGTGCACTTGGTTTACTCGGGTCTAACATGGGTCATATTCCATTCAATGCACAAGTTGAGCTGTGCTCCAGTCTGGTGGTTTCGGAGAACCAGAAGATATCTCGACCACCTGGGAAATCGAAATCCTCCAAGTCCGCACTTCCTGGCCAACCATGGATCACTATAGGTGATCCAACTCTGCCCCTCTATCTTAGAAAGGAGCTTTTGACGCCAGATCTCAACCAACTGGCCCCCTATCTCTGGATGGTCGCCACCCAGGATAGCAGCCATATCTCTTCTCTAACCCATCAGATGGTGCGCGGCCGATCGATTGTCATCACGGAGAATCCTGAACTACACCTCGTCTGGTATGAGGGCCGAGTGTTCGTCAAGCCCCCCCCCAAGTATCTTCTTTCTTTTGCCTTCTGGGTATACTATCTGGACCCGTCATCATCCTCGTCGCCGATTCCACCCCAGTCGCGCCAAGAAATTGCCAGTGCTGCCCTGGGGTTGATTCGGTCTTATGTGTATTTAATCCGCAGCAAGTCCGACTTCCGTCTTGCCCGCAGTGACAGCGATGAATCCAAGCGACTGATTCCCGGCCGCATTTCGTTTACGCAGTTTGTGGCTTTTATTTCATGCTTTGAGCACCTGGGAGATGCAGTGATGCCACCCCGGTATGCATTTGGCGAACTTCGCCTCTCGCGGCTCAATCTCTGGGCGAAGCTGGTTCTCCGGAGATTCCATTTCCACAAGGCATATGGCCAGTATGGAGCATACTTTATGCGCTTGTATGCCCCGGTCGCCATCATCTTTGCTTTCTACAGCGTCGCCCTCAACGCAATGCAGGTGGTGTTGGCGGCCGAGTCTCTCCTTCAGGCACAGACGTCGTGGGAGGCATTCGCCGAGGCTTGTCGGGGGTTTTCGGTGTTCACTCTGGTTTCCGCTGTGGCTGCCTGTCTTGGGCTGCTAGGCTTGTTTGTTGGGCTGCTGCTGCGCGAGCTCGTCTTTGCACTAAGCCACTTGCGTGCCAAGCGAGGGAAGCGGACGGTGGCGCCTGCCGCAGAGGTTGCATGAGTCAGTTACCAATCACAGTCTACTATTTATTACGTGCATGCCCGAGTGTGCTCAAAGAGCAGGGGCCAAATCTGCAGCTGGGCTGTCACGAGAAGTGATTTCCGTGCAAGGCTCCAATCATAGCCCTCGTGGTGTCCGTGGCCTCCGGCACCAAAGCAAACAACCCCCCTTGTCCAGCACCTCGTAATATGCAATGTGACTGCCGGCATTGTCTGATCTCCCCAACATTCCGCTCATTGCGGCTCGAATGACTCGCGCGTTACGAAAAAAACCAGCGCGTATTGATGTCTCGATATGGCTGCTGAGAATTGTGAAACGTTTCCCTTCCACTCGCAACTCAAGCTGTCCATAATAATCCACTTCCTTCATACCTCGGTAAGGAAACACGTTCTGTTGACAGAATGGAAGTTGCCCGCGACATCGCCCAGCGACTCTCAGCCCTGCGGCCGGTGATCCGCGAGATCTGTAATGTGGCTGGCGTCCCTGGTGTCTCCTTTGGCGTTGCCCACCAGGGCCAGGTCGTGTTCCGGGACAATATAGGGTTTCGCGACATGGAACAATCCATTGAACCAGACTCAGACACCCTGTATGGCATCGGATCAGTCAGCAAGATCTTCACCGCGAGCGCGATCGGGGTGCTTGTCGACGAGGGGAAGCTGAACTGGACGACCACCATTGTCAGCATCATTCCAGAGCTCAACAGCGTTGACAAATCCATCACCGAGCAGCTGACCATCATAGACCTCCTTCTTCACCGGACCGGACTGGAGAAATCAAATAACTGGTGGTTCGGCTCCGACGGCGTGTTGATGTTGAAGAAAAGCCAGACCGTGTCCTCGTTCAATGCGTTAAAGCAAACAAGCCCATTCCGAAACGCTTTCGGATATAGCAACTGGAGCTACACCCTGATCGGCGAAGTCATCGAGCGCCTCACTGGCATGACATATGGGGATTTCCTTCAAAGTCGCATTTTTGGCCCACTGCAAATGGAGCGCACCACGACTAAGCATACTTCTCAAGATTCAGACAATTTCGCGAAGCCCTACGCTGCGCTAGATGACAAGTCGTTGTATCTTCTCCCGCCACCCCCAATCCAGGATGACACGATCATGACCCCCGCACAAGGGATTCAGAGTTCCGTGAACGATCTACTCAAGTTCTCTAGCGCGCTTCTGGCTGCTCGGAAAGGAGATCAAGAATCACCCTTGAAGAACGTCCCCAAGCAATTCTCTGGCCACATATTTCGGGGCAATCCGTTTCTCGATAAATCCTACGGTCTCGGACTGATGCGGACAATGCTCCCAGGTACCATTGGAGGTGGCAGTAACTCCATTTATACCAAGCTACCGGTGATCACGCCCGGACCGGACTGCAATGCCCGGCTGATCACTTTTCACGGAGGCAGTCAAGCAGGATACACGTCCTTCTTCACCATGGTTCCTGAAGCGGACATCAGCATTGTTGTTCTGACAAACTCGATCGGACTCGCGGATCCAGCTGGCTGGATCAACGAGCTCCTGGTGGAGACCATGCTAGAAAGTGCACATCAAACTAATTTTGTTCATCTTGCTACTGAGGCGGCCAACAATGCCATTGCCAGCATCCCGAATATGGAGAATAGCCTCGAGCAGGCTCGAGAGCCCAACGCCCCTCCCACGCATTCGCTTGACGAATTTGTTGGGCGGTACATCAACATCGGGCACGAATTCATCGTTGAAATCAGAAAGAAGGACGAATCAACGCTTCAAGTCGCGTTCCAGGGTCTGGATTCTCAAGTGTGGGATCTGCGTCATTATCAGCATGACACCTTCATATGGCTCTCCTCCCGAGACCATATCGTCAAACGGGCTCGGTTCCCGTTTGCCGGCAAGGACGTATATACTCTCATCTTCCAAAGTAGTGCAGACGGAGCCGTGAAAGGACTATTGTGGCCCCATGAGCCGGGCCTGCCAGTCAAAGAACAATTCTTTCACAAGCTTGGCGGTGCCAGAGTGCCCGAGAACGAGGCGCAGCAACCTTTAAAGGCAGTGTAAGCAACATCACCTTCTGCGATCATTCAGTTGCCCAGATTCTTACCGCAGCAAAGCTTATAGGGCAAGATTGAACAAGGTCTTGGATTCTCGCTCCTCTTGTCGGGTCATTTGAACGTACAACGTACTTTGACCTCTTCGATTTATCTCGAGAGTAGCTAGGAGCATAATTTGGGCTCGGCCACCCTCAAGGATTTAGTGACCGCTCTTCACGTAACGATAGATAATTCAATTTAGAAAGTAGGGAACGGTTCATAGCTCATAGGCTCAACGGTCTCATGAAACCCCCATCGACAACATATCCCTCACCCCAAGATGGATCCTCGAGTCAACCCTTCATGGTTTGCATCTGTTTTCGGGATATGTGAAAACCAGCATCCGAACTTCTATGCTCTCCCTTGGCTTCTTACTCTCACTTGGAACTGAGTCAACAGCTGAATGCAAAGCATCTACCGTGGCGCTTACTTAGCGTCTGCAATACCTTCGCTTCATTCGTAGTCAAGATCGGAGACACTCACATTTGGCAACACCCTCCTGGCTGTCAAAATTCTTAAATATCAAGAGGTCCGAAGGAGTCTGCTGGCTCATATAGTACCATTTAACATCTTCCTGGTACATAGCAAACAGCGTCGAGTTGACCAATGCTCGTCGAACACGATTAGCTTCCACCAGACCTGTCTCCCTGACCGTGGTTCCATCGGAGACAGCAAAAGGACAGCATTCAACCGGTTGGCCAAGTGGACGCCAGAGGCTAGTGAAATTAGCTTCATGATTTTGAAGGAGATTCAAGTCCTTACTTTATCCATCTGACTCGCCCACTTAGTAGGAAATCTGCACGGTCTGGGAAGTTGCGCTCAACCACCTCAATGACATATCCGGGCGATGCATCTAGCAAAAGGACATACGTTTTGAGTAAGTCAGGAAACTATATGTTTGACAGAAGGAACTGCTTGATCGACAAGATTCAAACACTTACCAACGTGGGGTGTTTTCACAGGGCCAAAAACGGTGTGCTTGTCGTTGAAATCGACAATCTGCCCATGTTGAAAGGAAGTCTCTGATCGGCGAATCTAATATTTGAAAGGAATAGGCTATCAGGGAAAAGGTCTCCTAGGTGCAACAGTTGACTCACTTACCCTCCAGTCAAAAAGCAAAATCTCATCCACGCCATCCAGCTGCTGTTTCAGGACCAGCTCACATTCAGGCAAGTATCGATCCTCCACCCCAGTTCCGTCGCGGAATTCATATTCTGAGACGTTGGAATGGTGCTTGATATATTGGAATCCATTGCTGTCGAGTGTGAAGAGTGACTCCCGACCACGTACGTCCTGGATTATCTCGGCAGTAGGCGCGAGCTCGAATTTTAGATTTGTCTGTCGTTGATCCTCTGCTTCTGCCGGGACATCAGAGTAGATCTGGAATGGCTTTTCTATCTTGTATATCGGGTTCCATACTAGATAGTGGAAGGTATTCCAGATAGAGTCCATATTGGGTGTTATTTAGCCTGTAGAGTTGACAGCTTCAGTAGCTGTCTACGACTTTGGCAGCTGGAAGTTTTTAAGTACGTCTACAGAGCCTCATGGTGGTCATTTTCTCAATGAGACACGGGGCTGCTTAGGCCATCACATGCTTGTTATATGTACTCGATACCAATCAGGAACTCAGCCTTCCTGGACCCATCCCTGTGTCGCTGCACCCCGAATCACATTGCCGTTGTCACCTCGGCTATACCTGACGATTCGGGTCTTATCCTGACAAATTTATGTATTAAAAGATTGTCATTGAATTTCAAACTAGCTATCGGAGATAATACTCTAGCGAGCGTAGGCATTGACATTGATACCCAATCTCCCACTATCTTCAATCAAGAACATTCCGCTCGTAGCCCCTCCAATCCACTGACCCCTTCCTTATGATAATATGACTGACTGTAGAAAATGTGTGAGACGTGATTTTTGGCTGTCAATACACTTCTTACCTCTCTTCCTCAACTAATCACCGCCGTTGTCTTGGACAGAGTGGGCGTTATAAGTGCACATGTCAGGCCCCTTCTGTTGACCCATCTCCATGTTAGAGAAGGTCTTTTTCCACGGCTGGTTGCGGCCGTCCTTCTGCTTGTCATCGCGAGCTTGCTTAACCCATGCCGGAGTCTGGGCTGGGGGTGCCATTTTCTTCGCTACAAGTCAGCCGATTGCAATGATACGATGAAGGGTTTAAGGTAGACTAACTCCGTAATGGATGAGGACCTATTTCTTGTTTGAGGCTTGCGAGGAGGGTGCTTTGAGAAAATCAAGAAAGCAAGGGGACGCCTGTGGAGACAAATCTTCTTATATCCGGGAGTCATAGAATGAGGCTCAAATTATCAAGACTTGGTGAGGAAATACAAGGTGTACAACGCCGATTGTCAAGGATGGCTGACATGTCCAATTTTTATGCACTGTGACGTGGCTCTAGCGCAAATAGCGGAATGGTTGTAGGGAATATAGATGCTATTGGGTGCGAGCTGTGAAAGGCAACCATGGATGGCAACTACCTGCCCTCCTCTTCAGATAGCCTGACTGCATGAACCTTGTCAAGTGATCACGCTTGTATGTCGTGGCAGAGGATTGGGTCTGTGCTATATTATTCATTACTTTGTTCTCTGTTTGCCAAGTTGTGTATCAGAGATGATCATACCTCCGCGGCAAGTATGGGAGAATTAGGCAAAGGGCGGCCTTTCATCTTCTGCTTTACTTTCCTTAGAACTAGAGGGTACTTTGTCTAGAATTGGATTCCCGTGGAGAGTCAAAACTTCGCATGCATTCACGATATGATATGTTCGGGGCAATCGACGATCAAACCTCAAAGATATAGCTGAAACACCCCAGGATCAGTGAACACCAGTATCATGCTCTTACGAAGAGTGAAAATTACGCGAGCGATTCGCTAGAGAGGAAATGGGGTAACTATGTCCTTTCCATTTGTTGCCCCACGCCTATTTGGTGTTGGCGCTCCCGGTCCAACGTAAGATCCGCCCCATTTATTTATTTATTATTTTTTTTAATTCATTCTCGGATCCCATATGCGCAAGGCCCATTTTGCCGGCAGAGACTATACTGTAGGCTAACAGGGTAGTTACATCACGCGATTCACCGGGCCGTTCACGGGGCCACCGCTGCCCCCGACTCTTCCCGTTAGGAGCCGATTAACTGCTATAGCTTTATTCGACTAAGGTCGAATAGGGAGAGGCTAACTTTATTTAAAAGACCGAAGGCGCAATTAGGGTGATTACGACGTGCTCGTGATCATGACTCGAAATGTGGTTGGAAGGGCTCTAAATTGACCGAGGAGTTACACATATATGATAAATTAAATAGCTTTGGCAGCGGTAGTAGGCCTAGTGAGCCACTATTATAGGTCTTTATCCTATTGGAGGCCAAGGACCTATCGGCGGAGGTCTACGAAGCGAGGGTAGTATAGAGGAAATGGCGTATATCTTGACGGCCGCGGTCGCACGTGTACTACGAGTCTCTTCTATAGCTTTTTCCCGACTATCGCTAGATATTTGAGAGATAGTAGGCTAGTGCCATCTTAATTATCTACATTGGTAGAGGATGGACCTGGAGATCACCTGAGGGACGCGTGATTGAAGGGAGCAACTGACCTGACTAACCTGATTGGGCCTGTGTTTGAGGGAGCTCTCTTCATAATAGCAGATCCCTCCTCTATGTTTCTTCTTCTTCACTTTAGTTGTTTCGTTGGATGCACCTGGTTCTTTCCAGCTGGCCTCTTTCGTAACACTTTGTAGGTTCTTCGAGGTTAATCCGAGCGATAGCGCCATACCCGGGTAGTCGTTCGATGCGTAGTTATTATTCCACCGCTAGATAGCGATCTAGTAGAGGCGGGTCTTGTATCACGACAATAGGATAGAATACGGCTATGTAGCTTCGGCCGCTATAGGCGCATCTACCGCCTCACGCGCGAGCTAATCCGCCCACTCGTTGTGGCCAGGGATCTAGTGGATATGGCATAGTGTACGGAGTACCTAGGATACAGCTGAGGCACCCGGAAATGAGGCCGAGGATGTGTGTGCCGGAGTTACGGCGTGGGTAGGCGTAGGCCTAGATGGCTACCTGGTTGTCGGTGAAGACAGTAATCTTTCGAGGGCTTTGGTATTCGTTGCTGCTTAGCCACCTTGTCAAACACTTGTACTGCTAGATAGATGCCGTAGAGCTCTCCGGAATAGACTGTGTGTGTGGCTATGGTACCGAGCCGTTTGGTAGCATTCCCCCGTGATGCACGTACGGGGTACTTCGTCCGGTTTACGCTATACACAGGACTCCGTACGGTGCGTCTATCGTCCAGGGTATGTCGGCGGAGGCTGGTCACTGAAATGAAAAGCCTGCCTCAACGCCCTTGCCGTGCAAAACCTAGCAATGCAAACCTAACTCGAAAAGGCATTTCACAGGCCGCCGTTTACGTCTAAACAATAACGGGCCTGGCTAGACAGCACTTAACCCTCCATCCAGGTTTAGAACACAGTTATTGGCGTATTCATTCTGGGCCAGGAAAACGGCCGCATCAGCAATTTCCCGCGGATCCCCGAACCGATGTAGCGGGATCATGGCCTTGAGTCTATCGGCCTCTCCCGGAGAAAAGTCTTCAATCATGGGCGTTTCGATATACCCCGGCACGATGGCATTCGACCGAATGACCAGGTCTTTCAATGACGCCGAGGATTCGACAGCCAAGGACCGCGTCAGACCTAAAAGCCCAGCTTTAGATGCAGCGTACGGGACAGCACCGGTTCCAGCCTTGAGCGCGAGGAGAGATGAGACATTGATGATGCATTTTGATGGTGGTTTGGGTCCTGCGCTTGTGTTCTTGCGGTCCCTAATTCGGCTTCTGATGGCGGCTCGCAGCAACGCGCGAGATGTGAGTATCGCACCCTCGAGATTTGTACGAAGGATCTGGGAGATGTCGGCTAGTTCGAATTTGGGGAGAATACTCGAGATAGATATGCCCGCCGCATTGACTAGTACATCGACATTGGCCTGCAGAGTGATCAGAATATGCATTTACTAAGCTGAAATTGGATATTGCATTGAACTTACCATCTCCTCCTCTAATTCGCGCATCCATGTCCCCACTTCTCCTACATCTCCGACAAGTAATCGGACTTTGTCTGATGCTGCTTCCGTACCATTCACAACAGAAAGCTTTTCAGCAGCTTTCGTGAGTCTCTCCTGAGATCTGCTAACGAGAATGATCGTTGAAGCGCCTTCCTGCAGGAATCTTTCTGCGATGGCAAACCCAATACCCGATGTTCCGCCGGTTACCATGCAGGTCCGACCGGATAGCCGGTTTGCAGGCTGAAACTTTGTTACTGCAATGTCATCGTCTACTGGGATAGAAGACGAGAACTGAGCACTTCCTTTGGTTATTGCAAACGGGGGACATGCTCTTCTGATGTCATATGTCGGCCGTATGTAAGCGAGGGATGATGCTGGAGCTCGCAGACGGGCCCACAAGAAAAAGGGAGCGGCCATGTATCAGGCCTATTTCGTTGGTAAGTATATGTTGTGCTTCACTTGCCAAATGCCTTGCAAAATCAAAAGTAAATATGAAGGAGTAAGTGTATCCCCGAAAAACACCGTGGAGAGGAGATTAGTGCACGGTGCTTATCGCCTATCGATTATCGCACATGCACGGGCCACCGCCTGCGTCCCGCCAGCTTGCCGCCATTTTAGCTCCGTCTTCACGCGATTCTTGTCCGAAGCCGCGACTGTCGCCCTTGCACCATGGCCGACCCCACTCGATCAGAATATGTGACTCTTGTGTCGTGTGATGGCTTTGAGTTCATTATCCCTCGCAGCGCAGCCTGCATCTCGGGTACCATCCGGCGCATGCTGGACCCTGCCAGTACGTTGATCGAAGCCGCTGGATAGGTTGACCTTGCCAGGATTTAGACTGACCGCTTCGTTGCAACATAGGTAAATTCTCAGAAGCACTCAGCGGCCGCTGTGTACTGGAAAACCTAACGTGCGTACCTTGTCCAGACGACCTCTCTATTGATGTCATTTGCCGTTCCGTTGAATCTGCAGCTAACACTTGCCTTCGTGCAGTGGCATCGTCCTGGAGAAAGTCTGCGAATACTTCATGTACAACGAGAAACATAAGGATCAGGCCAATGTGCCTGACATGGAGATCCCGGCCGAGCTGTGTCTGGAGCTTTTGATGGCTGCCGACTACCTAGACACCTGATCTTTGATCTTGGCGTATGGGCTTTCCTCCTCTGCTGCTCCAGAGAAAACCCCTTTTCAACTGTCATCTTCTAGCTTTACTACTCGCAATTTCGGGTACGATTCACGGCGCAACGAGATGGGAAATACACTTGCAACGATTTTACACGGAGTTACGGGCCTGCTGGGATGGGCTGGACTTTGGAGTTGGCACATGGGCATGTATAACACATAAAGAAATGATCATTTATGGCTTTTTTGCTGTTGCCTGCTTCCGAAAGCATGATTAAACCAAGGACTGGGAAACCGGTTATCGAGCCATCCAAGCATCATGCATTCGACCTGATGAGCACCGTGGACGAATGACTCTAAAGTGGATGGCAGATCAAATTATATACTCCCTGAAGTCTTACACTTGCTCATGATACCTACACAGAGCAAGTGTTTACAATACTTAGGATACATTTCTTGAGAACTTTATAGCATAGTATCTATACCTACTCTCCCTGTAGACATTCAACGACAATGCAAGAATGATCATTTAGCCAAAAAAAAGTTTTGAAGAATATGAACAGGGAAGAGGAAGGACAGTGAAGTATACGTCGACCAATTCTACCTAAGCCATCAAGAACCGCACCAGGTATCCGTGAGCATGCGCGAAGAGACACCGAACATTCCCCTCCTATTGAAACCTCGGGCTGGGCTGACTCATCCGGGGAGAGGGCCCGACCCCCAGTGGACGCTGCATCCAACACTTTCCCCCCTCAATGCAGTTCACAGGGGCTGTGCTCGTTGTGGTCTTCAGGGTGTTTCCCTAAATTCATCATTTCAGATCGATTTGACCGACAACTTCCCCGCTCGTTGATAGCGACCGTCGTTGCATGGGGACCATCCCCATTGCATCTTCCCAGGATCCCGGATCGGACCACCGATAGCGGTCAGCGATAGAGGGACAGCCAACATGTCTGGCGTTCTTGGGCCAGCATCCATGCCGAGCACATCTGCCGTGTCATTTGCGAAGAATCTCAATAACACCGTCTCCGCGACTTCCGCCACCTCGTTACTCCCATCGCCTCGCGATCTACTTTCTCTTCCCCTCCGCGCCCTCAACCAAGCGGAAACCCTCGCGTTTAGTACAATTCCTCGGCATATCGCGCGACTGACGGGCCTTAATGATATTCGTATAAGCTTCTGGAGTGGAGGAGCGGCTGTGACCGGTGAGAGTGCACTAGGAGGTGGCGCTATGACAGCCGCAAATGCGGCAGGCGAAGGGGTTGCGCAAGGTGCTGGATATGGCGATAGCTGGTACGTGGCAGAGTTGCTGCAGACGATGCGGAAAGTTGGAGGATTCTTCGGATATTTGACCAGTGTATGGTCCTTTGCGTGCCTAGTGGAGGTGAGTGCTGTCCGTACCTGGACAAAGGGCCAATCTAACCCATCACAGGCTCTAGTTCTGAACCGAATGACTATTTACGCGTCTACTAGGCGGCATCTCCGGCTGGGTTGGGAAAGAAGACTTGCTCTACGCATAATCCCCATACTTCTATTCGTCTCCCAGATCATGACCTTATTGCGAGGAATCCGATGCCAATCGTCTCCGGCCTTCTCCGAAATGCGATACGGTAAGCCTGGGAAACCATTGATCTTTGACTACGCTAGCGGTGGAGGTGTCCTCTATGCGCTCAGCTCGCGTCTTATGGCTTGGGAGTCCGATGCGCAGGCTTGCAGTGCGGTGAAGATGGGACGCGCCTTTGGCAGCACAGATGTCCCATTTGGATCATTTGCTTTGCTCTGGCCTGTATTTCTGCTACTCTGCCTCAGCCATTTTGTCGAGACCCTTTCCTGTGCGCTACAAGGACGGCCCGTCATGACCGAGACTGGAATGTCAATTTTCGAGCACTCCCTTGCTTTTGCCGAAGCTGAGTCAATGATCAGCAAATCAGTCGGTCTCGGGCTGTTTGGTCTTGCCAAGCAAAGTCCCTTGGCCGAAGGGGGATCTGGAGAAGGTGCCGGTTCGGCTTTGCAGCTTCTCACTAGGGCGCAGGTTCTGGAGCGAATGAACGTTACCCCGGAGCTCCTGCTCATCGTCTTGATATCATGTTGCAACAGTCTGTCTTCACATATCCTAGATGTGTTTGGCAAACAGAGTCGATATCGCCTTTTTAATACCGCCCTTTGGGGATTCTGCTTCATGGCAGCAATGTCCTGGGGTTTGGAGAGTGGTCCTCCAGTGAGCACAGAGACAGGTGTTCTTAAGTTTCCAACTGTCTGCATTGTCGGTTTTATTCCTCATCTTCTCGTCCTACTCGGCATTCTCATCTGCCTTGCAATCTATGGGCTGGCTTTAGTCATCACTGCCTTCTCATTGCCATTTGAAGAAGGTCAACGTGTCTCCCTGCAGGAACGATTCATGCTGGCCCATGAAAACATGCAAGGCTCCAACCAAATACGCAGTATCCGCGTCAATAGGCATGAAGACTTTTATACAACTTTGCTGCGGGTTGGCTATGTCGCTCTGACGGCTGCTAGCGAAGCGGTGTTCTTGAATGAAGGCAAAGCAGTCATCGCAAGACAGATGACCTGGCTTGAGAAAGATCGGATTGCTGAGATTGAAGCCTCAAGACAGCGGAACTCATCATACGGCGATTACCCCAACCAGTCAGATCTTCCTCCTTTCGAAGCTGTGGGCTTCGGCAGTTTCGACCTGCCCGAGCAATCCCATGCATGGGAGAGTGGTTATAACCGCGAAAAGAAAATCGAGAAACCAAAGAATGGAGCTCGACAGGTGCGACCGCAAGCCGAGCTTGGTGGCGTGGGTGCAGTCCGGACATCCGTCCGCTTATGGCATGGTCTATCCTTCGTCCGAGCTATCTCCTTGCTCATTCTGAGGTGGATCGCGTACGGATTCAGCCGCATCCTTGACCGACTTGGTATCAGCGCTCGACCAGTGTGGTTGAAACGTTTGTCTGGAACACACAAAGACAAGGCAGTCCGCAAGAAGAAGGCATCCCGCTCGGGATCAGTGGACTTCTGGGTTCTCACGGATGATGGAGAGCTTGAGCTTCCCGAGGACCACGAATTCGATGTTGAGTTAGAGATGCAGAAGCAGGAGCGTTCCAACCGAAAGGACTGGCCGGAAATGTACGGGGGAATTGACGAGCGTCGAATGGATGAGAAACTCTATGCTTGGTGGAAAGCAGGAGGATCCTGGGGCAACCAGGACCATACCGCCGACTACCAGCCCCCGGCGGATGCGGATGATACAACGAGTGTGATATCAATGTCCACAAATGCATCAGAGTCTGAGTGGGAAGATGATCTCTCCAATGGACGTCGCACACCCACTCAATCCAACCCATATCCCCGCTTTTCTCGCGAGAGCACCCCTGTTCAAGATCCCTTCATCGACATGAGCACCTTCGCCCGTCTCCTCGACCCTCGGGACCGCGAGAGCAGGGAAGAAGCGCGTATCCTTGCCGCACATCTCAGCCCTGGGCAAGATTCCAACCGGATCATGACTCGTAGTCAATACCGGCAGCAAGTTGAAAGGGACAGATCTCGTGTTCTCCTGTCCTCTCGCCTGCACCATCATGCAGCCAACGCACACTCCGGTAGCGAGAAGCGCAAACCATCGGCCGAGGAAGAGACCGAGATGCTCGAGCAGTTGATCCTCTCGCGCCGCTCGGAGATGTCCTTCAGCTCAGAACCCAACACATGGGAGTCGGGTGCAACAGGGCTGGGCCCGAACGGACCTCCATGCGTTGTCTGCCAGACAAACCCACGGTCCATCATCACCTGGCCCTGTCGCTGCCTCTGTATTTGTGAGGACTGTCGTGTCAGTCTCGCTATGAACAACTTTGGCAGCTGCGTGACCCGCCGACAGGAAGTTGGCGGCTTCATGCGACTATGGGTTCCATGATCGACCTTCTCATTATAGCTCGGTTGCTTTGTGCATTTATTGCGCATTTGCTTTTTTCGGAGAGCTGCTTATCTCTTTTTGCTACGTTGACTTCTTCAAGATATCCGCGTTGATATTAGCGTGTAACATATTGCATTTATTTTTCTGAATTGGTTTATGTCCCCACGGGCACAGGATCACGACTGGTTCTACATCCGTGGTTACCATGGCTTGCATGCCATGCTTTCTTCCTGCACAGAGTTTATTCTATTTATCACATTCAGGCCATCTATTTAATCCAGACTGTGTATTGAGATCTTTCAATAACATCATTTGTCCTTCGAAAGATTCAGTCGGTACACAGTAGGCGCAGCCAATAAACTATTGCAACGGAAATACGTCAAAGTCACCCCCAATCTAAAGTCACGTCGAACCATGGGGGATCACCTGTCTACTCCTTGGTCAAAGGTCGGTAGACAGCCTCCCACATCTGCGCCCGAATCCACTCTCTCAACTCGGCATCGTCCGTGGGGATCCCTTCTTGCTGAGCGAGACCCTCCTGCACAGCGCACTTGATGACACCAGCTGCAATGTCCACACTGATTTCCCGCACATCCTCTACGTCAGGTAGAAGGGGTCGATTGGGGTCGTCCAGCGCAGGAGATCGCGCCTTCAGCGCCTGGACAGCTGCCACAAGCATTTTCTTGGATACTTGGCGGCTTTGAGATAGGACTGCGCCTAGTCCAATGCCAGGGAAGCAGGTTGAGTTGTTGCACTCCGCTGCGGCGGCTGTTAGTCGATTACTCCTGCCAATGTTCCTCGCGTAGATGGCGCTTACCGATATCATACTCCTTGCCTCCATACTCCACTGGTGGAAACGGGCTCCCCGTCGCAACGAGAGCTTTCCCGTCGGTCCACTCGTAGAGGTCCTTTGGTTGAGCTTCATGGAGGCGTGTTGGGTTGCTCAGCGGGAAGACGATGGGGCGCTCCACATGTTGAGCCATTTCCCGAATGATCTCCTCTGTGAAAGCCTTGGGCTTGGTCGAAGTTCCGATCAGAACATGAGGCTTGACTTGCTGAATGACAGAGAGCAGGTCGTGCTGTTTGTTTGTTGGCCATTCCTCATCATCCCTGGCGAAGGGAACTTGGGCTGGAGTCAGTTTATCTCCGTGGGACTTGAGAAGAAGACCCGGCTTGTCAATACACCTGTATAGCGATGAGTTTGTCAGACTCTACGGAAACGAGGTTAGAATGGCATATCGTACCATATCTGCTTTGCCGCCTCGGCCTTGGATTTTGATGTCTCGGTTGCAATGGTGTCCGCAATTTGGTCGGCGATGCCAGTACCAGCAGTTCCTGAACCAAAGACTACCACGCGGACGTCGTCAATTTTCGCCTGAGTGACATGCAGAGCTGCCATCATCGCCGCTAAGGTGACGCACCCAGTGCCCTGGATATCATCATTGAAGCAGGGAATCTGGGATTGATATTTGTCCAGGATTCTTTTGGCATTGTGCAGTCCGAAGTCCTCGCTGGTTTCTATCAGTCGGACCGTACATAGACGACGCATAAACAGTTAGGGATGCTCACAAATGAATGTAGGCCTTTGGAAAGCGCTTCCGGGCAACTTGAACAAACTTATCCACGAACTCGTCGTATTCTTTGCCTCGGACACGATGCTGCCGCAGACCCAAGTAAAGATCATCCTTGAGCAGATCCTCATTCTAGAAAACACATATTAGCTGATCTATACATTCCATTGCCAAAGCGGAGAGAATCGGGTGAATACGTTTGTCCCACAATCTAGTACCACCGGTAGCTGACGAGATGGGTGGATTCCAGCGCAGAGAGTGGTGATCACTAGCTTGGCCACAGATATGAGAATGGCACCAACGCCCTGGTCGCCGATACCCAGAATCTACTGGAGTGTTGAGCGCAGCTCTTCCCGTAGTGCCTTGGATTCACATACCTCTTCCCCGTCACTGACAACGATGTAGTCAATATCCTCGGCAGTACCGAAGTTAGACATACATTCCTCAAGTGAATCTTGATCTCGAATGTTCAGAAAGCACCCTTCAGGCTTTCGGAAGAGCCGCGAGTAGTTCTGGATGGCATCCCCCTCGGTTGGGGTGTAGATGACGCTGAACATCTCCTTCAAGTGGGTTTGCAGGAGCTAGTGCCACGAGTCAGCCAACAGTCTCTATCAGATGTCGGGTGCAGAATAGTTCACGGACCTTATAATACAAAACCTCATTCTGTGCCTTCATACTCGCCATGAACGTGTTTTTGGCCAGGTCATCGTCGCGACTGATGTACTGCTGGTAGGCACGCTGAACCTGCTCATCGAGTGTCTGGATGTTGGGTGGTAGCAATCCATGCAGCTTGAACGCCGCACGCTCATTTTCGGGGAAGGCAGAACCCTTGTTGAACTCGGAGGACTGGAGAAGGAGTGCGCCCTATATTGGAGATACTAGGTTGAGTCCATGAGATTGGTTCCCCAGGAAGTGGGACTGACCTCGAATGGACACTTTAGGGGACCCGATACTGCGCGGGGCAAATGCTTGAACCTGGAATACCTTTTCAGAGCGGACATGACGGTGGTGATTTACAACCCTGCAGTGGTGTGAGGGAGATAGGTGATGCGAGGGAGATGTGATGCGGGGCCTAGGAATGGAAATCCGGTTTGGTGCCGCACATGTAGTTGTAGGCAAAAGTGGAACCGTCAAAGGGCAGCACTATCATAATCAATCGAAGGTGATACAATCTTCATTTGCTCGAGAAGATTATAGGATTCAATCCGCTGTGATTTCTGGGCTGCTATAGTTCGTCCCGAACTGGGGTCACCCCTGCACGCTTCGACTGATTCTCGACCCAAACTTGATATCAAGATCGACTTGACCATGTTATCATAGCCCCGGAATAACAATATTCCTGTGCGATGTATACCGTCTATTATGTTCCACTTAGGTCTTGAACTGTATGAGCGATCCGTCATGGGCATCTTACATGCATATGCAAATAAAGTAAACTTCGATGGGAAGTGCCTTGAAGATCTAGCAAGTGACGCACTCCTCAAGCGTCGGCACGGAAGCCGGCCCCACTTCGCGAGACAAAGGCGGCGTAGCTCGACCGCCGACGTCACATCCTCCCCCTCTTACTCCCTTCCTGCCCTAAAGCAAAGAGCGCATTCTCCTTCCCTAGTAGAAGATCCATAAGCAATGTCTCGATATTCGTAGCGATGTTGAGAAATGCGTCGCTAGCTTTGTTCACGCCCAGCTTATCCTGGGTCTATGGGTCCAGAAAGACATGAAGAGTGTAGGTGGTAACCCCAATTTTAAGACGATCTACCTATAGGTTCCAATTCCACCAGTTTTCTCTTTGGGCCTTTTCTGGTCTACCGCAGACGACACTAGCATGGAGGAACATGTAATATATCCAGCCAAAAAAAAAATTTGAAACTATGACATCCTAGGTATGGTGACCATCCAGATACGTACCCATGGATATATATAATGCAGGAAAGCCACTCAACTCTATATATAATTCGTTCCTAGAAGTTACATAGTCGGTATGATCCAAATGGGTTAGTTTTATAAGGGAGAAAACTGACCTCAACATTTGACTAACTTGATGTTGTTAGCAAAGAGCCGCAAGAATGTTAGAAGTCTCGCACATCAGAGGCAGCGGGCAACTTTCTTACAGACATACCAACGCGGGACATTGAGCTGTGAGGGGGCGCTAGGCCACGCCACCCTACGACTCACTGGCATTGGAGAGTGAAACATTGCGCTGGCTACAGCTGCGAAGCCGGGATCCGTCTACGACTGTTGACTGTTTACGTTCAGTGCCTATCTCAAGCCGCCGCAGAGGCGTGCACCAGGAGCGGTTAGTCTCCGGCGATGTACACACGAGAGACCGTCTAATATGTCTACACAGGCACCCAGGGCCTAAGTTCGCGTTCCCATTAGGATGGTAAGTTCACATTGCATTCAAAGGGCAGTCAAATCCAACAAGCGTTTCCGTTATATTAAGCGTGTCACGACTATACAAGACATGCACAAGACCAGTCAATCTCTCAGTTAACCGACCAGATAGGCCACGAGCCATCACTCTCAAAAAAGACATCAGACGGCAGGCCCGCCTCAAGGGACGGCTTGACCGGCGCAGTGAACGGCAATAGCCCACCACTCCACCGGCCCAAGAAAGAAACAGCTAGCCAAGGCACAATTAGGTTTAGCTATATTTACAGGATGTAAGCGGCGGCAGCAGCAATGGCGGCCACACCAGCCATGTTGCCCTTGACGTTGACGGCAGCGCCGGTCCAGACGGCCGAGGTCGCGCTCGAGGTACTGCTGGCGGTCTTGGAGGCCAGAGGGGTGGAGGAGCCAGCCGGGGTGGAGCTCGCGCCGGACGAGCTGGCGGAGGCAGAGGAGGAGCTGCCGGAACCGCCCGTGGCAGTGGTGGCCGGAGCAGAGGAGCTGCCGGAGCCGGTAGCAGTGGCACTGGCGGAGGTTTCGGTTTCAGTGGCAGAGGCGCTGCTGCTGCTGCTGGTGGAACCGCTGCCGGAGGTAGTGGTCTCAATGGGGGGAACCGAGATGGGGTGGCCAGCGGCGGAGCACTGGGAGACGACGATGTTGGACACGGCTGAGTGGGATGGTCAGTATGGCATTGTTAAGATGAGAACGGAATGAGAGGATGCTTAGACGTACACACTTGGTCCGAGACGGCGCAGGCCTTCTGGACGCAGGGAGTGATGTCGCTGACCAGCGAGGTCTTCTGGCAGTGGCAGGCGAAGTCGGTCAGGGATGAGCAGCCATCGGTGGTCAGGGCCGAGACGAAGCAGTTGAGCTGAGGATGCGGTTAGTCACGGGCTTTCTCCCTCGATGCCTGCGAAGGATTGCAGTATCGTACCGAGCAGGTGGGCACGTCAGGCAGCTGAGCGTTGGCCAGGCCGGCAGCAACGAGGGCAATCAGGGAGGTGGAGAACTTCATGGTGACGGATGGAAGGTTTGCTGGAGAGCGGGTATATCAAAGTGAAGTTGAAAGGTGCCGGAAACGACAGTGCAAGGCTTATAGCGAGTGATGCGCGGGGTGGTCGAGAGGAATAAGAGACTGGATCCGGGTCAGGGACGAAGATGCCTTTTATACGCTTTGGGAGGAGATCCTTTCCACGTCGGACTCAGCAGTCTCATTTGCCTCTTCTCCACTCGTCGGGCCCGTCGAAGCCGCAGGGTCGCACTAACCTGCACATCCTGCTGGATGGCCATCACATGTCTCTGGGAGCCCTGAGAGAGCCTGGCGAGACTCGTTCCGCCGCGGTTGACCCAGATCCACTCATTTGCTTTCATTTACAGGGCTGGGGTCCCCGGACGGTGATTGCAGGGCCAAGCCCCGGCTGACGCTGGGTTCCTGTGGATGCAGCCGGCTGCGTAGTGTGGGAGTGAATGAATCATGCTACTGTGGTTCATAGTTCCGGTGTTTGGTACGATACGTCTAAACGAGCAGAGCTAAACCGTGCCACAGTGGAGACCTGATCGGATCGATGTTTGGCTGTCCCACCGGGGGCTGCCACAACGGGCCTAGGCGCGACGATGGGGATTCTGGTGGACTCCTCCGACTCAACCGTCCGTCACTGGACCGCTAGGACGGGGATCACTGCGATCAGGGGCACGATGGACTCAAATGGGCACCCGCGGGGCACCTGGCGCCATTCCCTCATTGGAGCTGCACGGCAAGGGCGTCGAAGCACTGGGGCTGTTCATTTCCGTGGCCAGCCTCCGACAACAGTACCCTGGACGATAGAGACACACGATACGGAGTCCTGTATAGCGTAAGCTGGATGAAGTACCCCGTGCTTGTATCCAGGAATGTAATGTGGAGGTCGCACTGTGCAGCACCCGTGCAGATCTCCACTTATACTTGCTGCGCGCCTGTACGTAATCGGATGGGGATGTCCCTCCGTCTGCAGGATACCAGAGTGTTATGCGTCATGATTTCACGGGGCGCAGGATCCTGAATTTCGAATTTCAGCAGAGTTATCGTATCCTCAATTTCCAGCAAACAAGAACAAGAACAGGAACAGGAACAGGAACTAGCAGGACGTTCCGGTTGGGGTGGGCCCCGAACTAACCCCAGACAAAACCCAACCACCGCAATGTTCTTCTTCCACGGGCCAAGGGCCCAAGGCAAATCCGGGGAACTCCAAGCCCCTCACGATATCCGGCCAGCGGCGGGGCCAGTCATGAGGTAGCATCCCACTTGGCCCAAAGGAGGTCTTGACCCGACAAGCCCGTCAGCCAGCGTCCCAAAATACCTGCAGCCAAACATTGTGACCATCATCGTACGGAGGGGATGATACGGAGTCACTGCTCAGTCGTCGAGTACAATGGTAACTCTATTTGCAGCCGGTTACACAAAGTTCTTCTCGGCGGGCCCCCTCCGCCTCTTCGGTGGGTTCATTGGTCGGGCACGGGCTGAGGGATTTGCAGTACCACACCTGATCTAAAACAAAGAGAGGACACTATTGGCAGTTGGGGCTGCAGGTCATTTTAGCTGGCTTTCACTCGGAGGCCCGGCAAGTTTTAGTCAGGGACGACATCCAGTCGCGCTAGGTAAACAATCAGCTACAAACTCACGAACTAAGCCATACTAGCCCAGCTAGCCCAGCTAGCCATCATGCCCATCCAGCTGTGCGGCCGGTGATCTCCAGACTTCAATGGACCAGACAACGGGCATGGGCCGCGTCTCTCGATTAGGGTTGGACCGATGGGAGCAACGAGATAGGCAATTGGTTTGCAGTTTGATTTGCTTGGACTGTGGTGGGTGGCACTGCGACCCCTTCCTTTCTTGGCCGGGAGTACGGAGTAGACTAGGACCCGTGAGGCCTTTGCGTGTCGCGATCCCCAAGGTTTAATTCCCCGGATATCGAGCCCCAGCGCGATCGACCGCACTGGCGCTGACTTTAAGCGATATCCTTCGATCTCAGTCCCCCGTACCTGCATACAGTCCGTGATCCTCGGCTACTCACAGAATGGCAGGCCATAGAAGGCGTTCATGTTCCCTTCTAAGTTGGATGCCATGCCATGCCATGCCTAGTGTGCTTCCAACAGGTGCAGGCGGGAAAAAGGGCTTGGCCTTTGTGCACCAACCAGTCTGGGGCCGCGCCGCCGTAGGCTAGGGGTAAGTTGGTCCGTCAATTCCGGGGGTTGGTTTGTCTGGACTCGCTCTAGCAGGGACGGATATCCACTCGATCCGAGCGGAGTGAGACATAGTAGCGGCCGGGGGAGAGTTCTTTTCCCAGACGACCGGGGTCGGTTGGGGGGGTCCTCCGCCACCAGTGGGGCCAGGAACAGAGAGCGACCATCACATGGGAAACCGTGGGAGGACCAGGAGAACAGGAACAAGGCCACTGGGAGACCGAGACCGGTCGAGTCCGTGGTTTCCAGTTCCAAGCGCCACGCCAGGGAAACGGCCCCAGTGGTGCGAGAGAAGAGGTGCCGGCGCTGGACACGGCGGACCCGAACTCTGTATTGGGTTTAGAGGGGAGGCGAGTTAATATACAACAAAGTCAATGACTGCGGCCGGGCAGCGGCAACGGCTGGCGGGGAGGTCGAAGCGTTGACGGATAGGATGGAAATCCTGTCAGGGTCATTGGGTTCTCGTGCCTCCTCGGAAAACAATCCTTCCACATCGACAGGGCCTAAACGGCTTTCGTCAAGGGGTCGAGCTGTCCGTCAACCCGGCAGGATGCACGGGTTCATTGGCCGGTCATTGCGGGGACCCCGCGAGTGGATTCCAGTGGAAGCAGCAGCGATCCGGAAATCACGAATCCGGGGTGGTCCACGGCCTCGTCCATGGGGGAATGTTGGTTTCTGCCACAAGCGAGCCGCTCCATCGGCTCCGCGATTGGCCTGGACACTTGTCGATCAACGGAGGTGGAGTCATCGGGAGTCCTCGCCGGGCTCGGTGGAATCGCAATAAGGACGCAACGCCGTTGCCTGTTTCGGGCCTAGACGTCTCTCGAGAGATAGCGCCGTGTCCTCCGCGGGGTTAAATATAGACGATAGCCAGGCATTGCACTCATCTCCGATCGACGATCCTTCGAACGCAACGGGATCCTGGCGGTTTTCTCCCCAGGACACATGAGTGGCTGGCGTCTTGCAAGCATAGACCTCTCTCCAGATGGGTGGCAAAAGCGATGCAATTTCTCCGAGACAAAACGAGGACATGTCGGGGTGAGCAAGGGTGTCTGCCTCGGCGAGCATATGAAGAGGTTGGATGGACCATGTGGTATCGAGGAGGACTAACCCGAATCTACTAGCTCTGGTCGTTCGGATCGCAGAAAGGGGGAGAGGGGGATTAGAGGGTCATTCTTCGTGTTATCATCACATCTCTACGCAGCAAATACGATGGAGGATCAAAATTCAATTCATATATCGTGGCTCACTATACCGTCCCAAACGCCCGCTTGCATGCAAATTCCACATAGGGCCGGTTCGTTGACCGGCGAACCCACGTGGACCTCGTCCTTGATTCCTACGAGAGAAGTTCGTCCATATGCGCCCGCTCGTTGCTATTCTGGTTTTGCAGAAGGACCGCCAGGACCTCGAGCGGCGGGTTGAGCTTCAACATGTTCGCCCGTCGCCAGCGCTTGAGTCGGGCAATGCCAATGCAAGGCTGGAGAGATGTTAGCATCACGGGTGGTAGCGAAGAATCGTGGTGGCATCGCATACCCCATATTGACTAGACAGGTCAAAGTGGCGGAGGATCTTCTCCTCCAGGTCCAGGTCCATCTGGTGAACTGTAGCGCACTGTCAGCCGGACCCATCTCGCTTTCGTAGTTCCGCCATTCGGCGATTCCGCCCATCCAACTCACCTCGTGGCGCCTTCCGGCTCTGCTCCTCCTTCTTCCAGTATGTCTGCAAGTCCCTCTTGCTGAGCTTCAGCGCCTGCTTGTCTTCCGCGGATTGGGGCTCCTGCAGCTCCGCGGCCGCCTGCTGCCGGACGACGAGCTCGGCCACATGGGGTTTCGAGGGCGCATCGGCCAGAACCTGTTGGGGTTCGGGTGTGCCCGATGCAGACTTGTCTGCGGGGGAAGCATCGAGGCCCTTGGCCTTGTGGATCGCCGTCGGGGTGCTGGACGGCTTGGTGACTCGGGACTGGGTGCCGAACGAGAGGGTCGACTGGGCGCGGGGCGCGGCGGCACGGCGACGAGGAGGCATGGTGGATGGAGAGTGGGATGCGGCTGTTCAAGATCCAAAGACCAGTGAAGTCGGTAGAATCTAGGCGTCGGTAGAATCTAGGCGTCGGTAGAATCTAGGCGTCGTCCAAGTTGAGGTGCAAGAAAGTGGATTTGGTGGAGCAGGCGATGTTGCTGTGGTTGGCGTTGCGCCGAGCAACCAAAGCTTGCCGGTCCCGGCTCATTGGGCGGGCTTCCATGGTCCCGGCGGCCTCCTTGGATTGAAGGCAGAACCATGTATCTTGTAGGTATACCCTACTCTGCGGGGTCAAGCTCATCTTGCAGAGATCCAGCTGAATGACTAGACTTTTTTTTCCCCCGAGTGGCGGGTGGAAATGCGCGTTGGCTGAGGTGAGCACGCGAGAGAGACTCAGCCCGATGACGATGACCGATCTATACCAGCCCTAGCAGTCCGATCGGGTGCAGCGATAGCGTTGAATTTGGCCTAGGACGACGGAGTAGTTCGTAGAGAATGCGTTGTTCACCAAGGCTGGCCGGTAGAAGACCAGCTCCGTAGCGGGCCTCCGCGATGATGCACTATGCACTCGAGGCTCAAAGTTAGGCTCGGCTGGTGGCTGGAGGTTCGCCCTTCCCCCACATGAATTCATTCGAGCTGCCCTCAGTTTCTCTTCCACCCTCACGACCAACCAGCCTTGCGCGCTCACCTCACCCTCCTCCACGTCCACGTCCATATCCCTCGCCCTCCACTCAGCTCTGACCGATCGTGTCCGGTATCCCGGAAACCACGTCACCGCATCTGTTGGGCCCCATATGAACCGTGCGACAGGGTCTCGGTCGAGATCGCAGAGTCCCCACAACTTCACTGCGCCCCCTCCGCCGCATGCCCATGGTGGTGTGGGAAGAGCTCTATCGAGATGGCCGCCTTTGTGCGCGTTTCAGGTCCGGCAAATGGCAATTTTCTGATCGGCTACCCCGGCATTTCTGCCACCATGGTAAGCGCCAGTATCGATGCCCCTCCTCTCCTCGGAACCAGGCCTGGCGGGCCTGCAATCCCCTGGACTCGGACACCAGACCACCCGGCTAACATCGCCCACCAGCCCCGGATCGAAGGTAAAGTCGAGATCCGGCCCAGCGTCGGCATCTCCGCCCCCGTCAATGTCTCCCTAGTGACCATATCCCTCCTCCGCCGGGAGACCATCCATCCATCCGCCGACTCCGTCACGAAGAAACGCCTGGCGCCGCCTCGCAAGGAAATAACAGATATTGTGGGCAAAGAAATGCTATTGTTTCGATGTCCCGCGGGGAAGGAATTCGAGGAGGTGATCGCGATGGATCTACCGTTCGTCCTCTTTATTCCATTTGGCCGGGGCGGCCGCGATGCCTCACGGCGGGTGCCGCCGGCGAGCCTCCAGCTGCCCAGTCGAACGGCCGAAACGTATTACGAGATGGTCGTGATGGTCCAACAAGGGCATTCCGAGCAGCGCAAATACACCTTTCCCGTCCCCATCGCCCGCTACGACACACTCTCCACCTTCGGCATGTATAACCGCCCCGAGTCGGCCGAGCGGGTATCAGATCACCTCGTCACACTGGCCATCTCATTACCACGGTGGTCCTACGGGCCCCTGGATCCTGTCAGCGTGTACGTCAAACTATCACCCAATCAGAATTGGATGGGCAAAGCCCGCAAGGTGACCATCAACAAATTCACCATTGGCATCGACGAGGAGATCATCTACAACCATGAGGGTGACGAGCCCCAGCGCAAGGTCAAGACATTGGCCAAGAAAACAGAGACTGTGGGCGTCAAACTGCCCCAATCGGGCTATCTCACCAATCTGGGATTGGTGTTTCCGGCCAAGGATATACGGGATGCGGAGGGTATCTTGCCGCGCAGTCGGACTGCGTTTCCAATGTATGGCGTGAGCGGTTTCACGACGACTGCGAGTCTATATAAAATTGAGTATTATCTCACCGTGCGGGTACGTCTAGCTCTCTACAAATCAAGACGAGGCAGTGTTTCGGAGGCTGACAATAGCGGGGACAGGCACATCTAACATCCGCGCGAGATATAACCATTCGCCAGCCGATTGTGGTTTGCCCGCTTGATCATGCTGGGTGCAAAGAAGAGATGGAAGCCATCGAGCTAGCTGCACGAGATGCTGCCCATGTCAACCCGGACAACCCAATGCTGCCATTGCCATCCATCGTTCGACCCAGTGATCCGAACGCCCTCAATCACCTCGGAGTGGCCTTGGTTGGAAATCAAAAGAAGCCTTTGATCGACTGAGAAGGCACTCCTCCTGCCCTTGGCATAACGTTCCGGCCTGGACAACATTACTCTCAACATCTCCTTGGAGGCACACCTAATGGATCTCTCGCACTGCACTGGGAAGTCGTCTGTGGCCAAACCAGTTCCATACACACATTGCAATGGTGCCAAACGGTATCCATTTGTCAGGCCCCGACTGACCCAATCGCTTCACCAAATCACGTAATGTCTTACGATTGCATAGAGCTTGGAGTTTGTTGCATCGCATTCGCAGAAGCCTCGTTGAGCCTTTCAGTTTAGCAGAGAATCAGGGTGTTTGCAGGCGCTCATCTTTGTTCTTGGCGTTCGCGTTCTTGGGCGAGACGCGTTGAGATGCTTGATATGTGAAGTCTGCGAGATACACGAGACATGACCAAACCTCGCCCTTCTCATGTCCCCATTCCAACTTGCCAGTCCCATCATTTTGCGGTTTCGGCCCGGGGATGTGATTTTATTTCTGATCTGATCTGATCTGCTTCAAATCCGCTCTTGATATGATGCTTGGTATCTGTACTTACCTACCGGTGGTAGAAGGACTAGGTAGACTTGAAATGTAAATGTCTAATCTTGAATTTGATGATAATGGTAATGAATTGTATGTAGATGGTCATCAGACTGTCGGCCGTCTAGTCTGAAACAAAATGGCAAACAACAACATGCGGGGTATCAAGAAAGTAGTTAACTGTGCACCTTGCTCCAACTCTCTATCCTCCGATTTCCAAAAAGCTCATGGCGGCACTCAGCATATCGGCATCAACCACTTTTTTCTGAATTTGTGTTTTTTGCTTGTTTTCGATATCCTGCAGGCATTCTTTCAGGATTTGGAGGATGGCCCGGTACTGTCTTGAGGACGGGCCGAACGTCTCTAGGGCGTTTTCGAGGCTGTTTGATATCTACGGGAGATAGTTAAAATCAAATGCGACAAACTCAATATCAAAGGTACACACCTTGCGTAGCAAGTCATTATAGTCAGTTTCATCTGACATATCGGGTCCATCGAGGATATTTATATGGGTGGTGTCAGGGAGGAGAGTCCCACCCCTCAACGTGCCGGCTTGATTGTGGGCGCTTATCGATAAGCCCCGATTTTCTTGCCGCGTCCGAACCTCTCGTCTTTGCGACTGACTCTGCAATTGCCCACCCTCGACAAGCCCACTCCAGTGACAATGGCGGACGCAGACGAAGATGCCATCCGTGGCACTGCAGTTCAGGCGACCCAGATCGAGACCGATCTCTCTGACGAAACACAGGACTTCCGCCTGTTGAATCACCTCAATTTGTATGCGCTGATCAGAGTTAACAAGATGCGAACCGCCTCGCTTAGTTTTATAGGACACTCCTACAGGATACTAATCATTTCTATACAATAGTCTCACCGATACATCCTCCTCCAGTCTCCCCCGCCGTGGTGAAAAAGACTTCGAGCCCAATCCAACTGAATTCCAGGCCGATGTGCTCTCCTCCTCCCGCCAGGCGATGCACAATGCGCTCGCATATCCTCGCCTTCACAACCCCAAGAACCAAGTCATAGCCTTCTATGCCCCCGATGGACCTGCACCCCCGCCCAATGTGGAACAGGACACCGGCAAGACGACCGGTAGGGGCGCGAGTGTTTCGCCGGATGCATGCGTCTATGTACCGAATCCCAAGGGCCAGTATTTCAAGACTATGGGGCAAGCGGATCGATGGGGGAGGATCTGGTTGCTGCCTGAGGAGGCATTGTATCTGCTAGAGCGGGGGAGTCTGGATATTCGCTGGCCCGCTGAGGTTACCGGTGGTGGTGGTGAGGAGGGAGCTGATCACGAACTATCTATCCCGATGAGTTTGCAAGCAGCTTACGCGCGCCTCATGGGACGAGGTGGCTTGACGCTCGAACGGTTCTCCGTGTTCACTGGCTTGCGGAGGATCGGTTACTCCATTTATCGAGCGCCTGGCTGGGATGACCTGGCCGAGGTGGCCGCCCCAGCGGATGAAAACCGCAAGGATGCCTATACGCAGCCGCTCCGGCGTGGCCCAGGTCTTGCTGGTATCCTTGGAAGTCTCTTCGACTGGATTCACGATCCGACCTCCACATCGTCCACGGCGGCTGGTCCCGTCGTCGGATGTGGCATCCACCGCAACTACGGTGAGTCTCATCTTCTAGCCCCTCTAGCAACTCATCTAAACAGCTCAATCCACAGCCGATGTATACCGAAAACTGGCCTTAATCCCCTGGTACGACCCAACCCTCGCGACAGAACGCGACGCCCTTGACACGCCAGCGCCCTTCCGCGTCATCTTCCACGTCTACAAGCCCTCAACCTCCATTAAAAAGTCCGCCCGTCCACCCCCAGACTTCCGCATCGCGGTCATCAACACGCGCGAGCAAACTACTGCCCCGACCCTACCACAACTTGGCGCCCTTCTCGAAAGCACACCGCTCGATCCACCACACGGCGAGAAAATGGAGCGGCAGATGTACATGCGCCTGCGGCATGGCTACCGCAACGTCATTTTGGCGGTTGTGGACCAGGGTGTCACCAGCTTTTTGCGAGTTGCGGATGCTGCCTTTGGGAAAGAGAAGTTGTATGAAAGCAAGAACGGGCCGTCGGGGCCGAAAAATAGTGGCAACTACCGCAAAAAGAAACGGTGATCGAGTCTGCGCGGGTTCAGTTGACGTGTTTCGAACAAGCCGCCTGACAGGGCCTTGCGTATGACAGCAGGGCATATTGTCACAACATCCTAAATCATGGCTTGGCTTGGCTGGCATTGGCTTGGATGGACCTACCTAACGCAGTGGAAAGATGTCCCAGCATATATCTGCTGCCATTCGATGTGCTGTCCGGAATGCAGTCTAGTGGCGCAGTTTAGACCTGCTCATCTACTGCACCAGCGGCCCATGCAACTATATGAATGCCTGTATGGGTCAGCGAGCCACTCTGAGCCGCAGATGGGACGGATCGAGCCGAGGCTCTCTCAAGCTACGACCAAACCCTTTTTCCCCAGCAAGGCTGTCGGTACCGCCTGTATAGTATCCATTTCTAATTTAAACCCACCAATACACACATCATAAATCATAACAGCCATGAATGTAGACCTCCCCCGTCGCAAGACGCGCATCTGCACAGCAACCTTTCTTACAGCCTATACATCTCACTCCGACTCCGAGCCCCGTCAAACACACAGGTATTATCCAGTGGCACATACTGCCTCGTGAGCACCTTTAGCGCCTCCTGCGCCACCAAGCCACCGGTCAGGGACGAGATATTGTGCAGCTCGCCGCCCTCGGCACGACGCAGTTCCTGGATGGCGTCGTCGATACCTTCGCGAACAGCCTCGCTAAGAGGTACGGGGGCGTCGCGGGTCAACAGAGCCAGAATGCGTTCGGTGTGGCTGATCCAGAGTCCGTCGTTGTCAACGGAGAGGTGGGCCCCTTGCTGGCCGCTGCTCTGGATCTCATCCACAACCGCGTCGAGGACCTGTGTTGCGATGAACACCGAGATTAAGGAGTCGGGTATACCCAGCTGACTGCGGATTTCCTTCAGCGTGTCCTGGTCGCTGTCGCTGCTGATATGTGGGATTGCACGGCCGTGTACAACCTTGATGTGTGCGGCATTCTTGCAGAATACCTCGATCTCGCGCTCGAGGATTCGTGGGGGCGATCGTCCGAGTTGGGACTCGAGCTGGTGCACTGTTGCGGTGACTTCCTCCACATCTTGGCGAGCCTTAGATTTGTAGATATTCTGCAGCGTGACGTAATCAGAAGACTGGGCTTTCATATCGGGGAGGGAGCCTGGAAGAGGCAGCACTCCGTGCGTGGTGTAGAAGGCACTGATGGCTGCCGCGATCACCCAGAAATCCGCCGATTGAGGGGTCAAGTGCTTGCACTGTCTCATGCCAAAGATTTCTCGGATCGAACTGCGTAGACTGAATGGGGCAATAGTCTTCAGCACCGCAGCCACCGCCTCATCAAAGTTCTCCTCGCCACCTTCTGCATTGTCGGTGCGTGCATTCGAGCGAACGAACTCCCGGAACTCTGTTTTCTCTTTGTAGTTGCTTGGCACACTCCCGCCGTGGGCATGTTTCCATTGCTCCAGGAAGTGTAACAGAAGCAGAATGTAAGGGACATGACCATGTCGGTGGTCATCCATGTTAGTCAAGTCACCGAGTGCCGCCGCCGCGGCAACAAGCTCTGGCCAGGGATTCAGAAGGCGCAGGTCTTGCATGGCCTCTGGGTCTGGGTGCGTCTCGACGATGGGGAATTCCGCATCCAATTGCAGGGAGAAGGTTGAGTAGAATCCAACTGAATGAATGTATAGTACAGGGATGCCCAGTCTCTGTGCTTGTTGGGTGAGGGGCCCCAACGAGGAGCGCTTAGTGGGGCCAGAAATGATCACCAGTTTATGCCGGGGTAGAAATTCTGGGTCATGAAGAAGATCCGTGATGTGCTAGAGTCAAGTATTAGAGTGGCAGGATACAGGCAAGAAGGGAAAAGTAACATACCTTTGAATAGAAATATCCCTGGACGTCGGGATTCAACTCCCGCAGTAGCCGGCACGTTTCTTCCGCACGCGACTTGCCAAGTGACTCCTGTTCCAAAAAGAAGTTCACCCCCAGGTCAGACGCAGTGACCGTGGCGGGATCGACAATGGTGAAGCCTCCGATGCCTGGCAGGACCAGGTTTTTGAGTGTCTCTACTCCAACGACGCCAGAGACACCGGTACTGCTGGTGCCGAGCGGGCCATCAGAGTTTACTAACAAGACGCGTGAATCTTCGAGGGCTTGCTGACCCGTGGCAGCCCACAGTCGCAGCTGCCGGTCATACTTGCGTTCTTTGGAGGTTGGCCCCGTCAAAGCCGCAGGGAAGGAGTCGGTCATGGTTGGTAGGGTGATTTGGATAAAGTTGATAAGGCGAGGGTGAGCAAGAGGAAGTGCAGGAACAATTGCGGAGGTTGAACCATGTGACACCTTTCACGTATTTCCCTTAAGCCTCCGTTGTTACAATAGTAAGTCTTAATCCTTTCGATGGTTGACAAACCCAGGCTGAAGTGTTGTTGATGCGCGGCGGTTTGACTAAGCTACGTGGGGGATTGGCGGCCTGGCCGTTGAGGCAAAGACAGAGCCACCCCCGATCGGGGAAACTGTACGGAGTATGTTTTCCCTTTGGGCACTGGTCGTGCAAACCAAATTCGTTCAAATCGTCAAGCAATTTTTGATGGAATGTACAGCCTGATCGGTGGAAGTAGCTATTTTCAGCGTCATTGGTGCATTATTATCTATATAACGTGGAAGCCATGTTATCGCGAGTGTCGAGTTTGAGATGAAATCAGAAGAAAATATCTGTGATGGAGGACTGAAATCAAACACGAGGAAGTTGTTCGAATTCACAAAACTCCTCTTTCCATTCTATTGAACCTAGTTCTTCCAAAAGGGTCCTAAAAGCTTCCATTCTAGTTTGAGTCCCCATTACACAAGCAGTCCCAGGTATCATCAGAAATGTAGGACCGTTCCTCCATTCGGCCTTCTTTTCATCCCCCCAGAAATGCGGCCACAGCATTAACTGGACTTCTTGGTCATGCAAAAATTCTGTTTGAGTTGCCCATTCTTGCGCCGGAATATGCCTTGCGGGCCGGTGACTAAGGGGGATTCCAGGCCCCGTAGCTGGTGGACGAAGACCTCTTTTTTTTGGATCTGAAATCCGGGCCAGCTGTGCCTCGTCTACAGGGGCCGGAAAATAGACCCAGAATAACTGAATGAATGAATGCTGTAGAGAAGTAAACCAGTTATCGCGATAAATGGTCTCATGCGAAGCTAGGCGTGATACTCCTCTGCCTGCAAGGTTTTCCCAGAAGATCTGGGCGCAGGGGGAGACTGTGAAATTCCTTAGGTCTGCTTGGCTCTTCCATACTAAGGTGCATAGGTTAGTAGACTGATAATTTGTACTTTCTCGGTCGTGACTTACATGTTACCAGAAGGACTATATTAGGGCGCTCTCGAATTCTTGCCCACAAAGAGGTGTGGTGACCCGAAGCCTGGACCAATGGCTGAAAGTGTCCAGTCCATTGGTGAGTATCCAACTCCTCGCTCGGAGGAACTCGGAGTTCAGTCCAAACAATGATCTCCAAGTCTCTGACCTTGTAGGTTGAAGAATCCCTAGGAAGAAGATTCGCCATGGTAAGACATTCTCAGTTGATTCAGGGGTAAGTGAAGGAATAAGAGTTACGAGTACGGAGTACACTAGGTAAGGTTACAATGGCATTGACTCAGTAAGCCGGACTCCGAGCACCCCTAAAGCAGGGCCCCTGCCTTTATGATCGGAAGATCTCGGCTAAGAGGGAATCAGGTGTGCAGAGGTACAGATACACATTGTGAACTTGGATAGGTACCTGCTTACTGCTTCCGTGGACTGCAAACCCACTCCTACCCCACTAGCTAGCAAGCGGTTGCTTCGGGCCTAGCCCACTCAACCGGCTGGAAGAAAACCCCATGCAGACGATCTGTGGGTAGAAATAGGTTTCCTAAGCTCACCGGCGAGATGAGAAGCGCCGGGTGCTCGAAAAGAAGGCAACCACTACAGCAAGGGAGAAGGTGTGTGATCGATAGTCTGATAGATTTGTAAATTTGTCACTGTCGAAGAATATCCACTGGCTGTACAAGTGTTTGTAGCTAATTTGGCTCAGTCGGTGTTCTGTCGTCCGATGGGCATCGTACTTCAGACGGGCGGGCTGCACTGTCCAACCACCCAACCCCACACTCCCCCGATCAACGCTAATGACGCTATCCTGCAGCGCCGGACTGACCGGACTGACTAGAGGTCGCAAAAGAATGAACGGGTGCCAATTGCCCAGCCCATCCTCTTAACCTCGTCCCCATGGGCCCCGGACTGTTCTGCGCGCCCCTCTCTGCTCTCCGCCTCGCTCCTCTTCCGCGCCCGGGCGCTTCACCCCACCTCCGCCTTCAATTTCAGCCTCGACTTCCACCCCTCACCTCCACCCTCCCACGCTACCACGCTAGCATGGCCGACGCCGTTGAAGCCGCGAAGCGCGCCGCTGCAAAGACCGCCGTCGCCAACCATTACCCCGAGAACGCTCGCTGGGTCGGCATTGGCAGCGGCACCACCATCGTTTATGTCGTCGAGGCCATCAAGGCTCTCGGTGTCGATACCTCGAACACCCGCTACGTGCCGACGGGCTACCAGTCGCGCCAGCTGATCATCAGCGCTGGTCTCACGGCCGTCGAATTCGATGCCTTGCCCGCAGGCACAGTGCTGGACGTTGCCTTCGACGGCGCCGACGAGGTCGACGATGATCTGAACTGCATCAAGGGCGGCGGTGCCTGTTTGTTCCAGGAGAAGCTTGTTGCGATGCAAGCTAAGCAGTTCATTTGTGTTGCAGGTAAGCCTTGAATCATTTCAATTCAAATTCCTTTCCTTGCCTCTTCTTGCCTTGCCGAGAGAGAGAGGTAAGAAAAAAAAGGAAAAAAAAAGAAGAAAAACCTGACTCATACCTCCAGACTCCCGCAAACTCCAATCTCGCCTTCTTTCTAAATGGAAGTACGTCCCAATCGAAGTCGCCCCGATCGCCGCGTATCGCGTCCAGAAGAAGCTGCTCGAACTCGGCGCCATCGACCCCGTCATCCGCACCAACAAGGACTTCAAGCAGGGCCCCCTCAAGACCGATCAGGACTTCTTCCTCATCGATGCGCCATTCCCACCACTGCTGACTAGTGCCGATCTTGCAGCCGGCAGGGACGGCTCTGGCAAGAACGGCGTCTGGGAGGTGAACCTGCTTGCGCGCGAGATTAAGCAGATTAACGGTGTGCTGGACGTGGGCATTTTCTCGGGCCTCACGGGGCCGCAAGCCACTGCTGCCGGCGGTGTTGGTGGACAGCGCCCTGTGGCAGCGTACTTTGGCATGCCAGATGGGTTGGTGTCGGTGCGGAAGGCTGCTTAAATGTGTACAAATTGGAGACCGAGGGCAATTGAGGACCCGAAGCATTGGATGGGTTTGGATTGGATGCAGCGTGTGTGTGACTATAGATAAACTAGACGATACTTGTCGTTTTGCACTACATTATTTGAGCTATGCTACTGGGATTTGTCAATTGAGCATGATTCATTAGATTCGGTGCTTGGTATCTCCCCGCAGGCATATGTACCGTACCTCACTTCCTTGTATCTATTTTGCGCCTTTGCCCTTGGCTTCCGTCTCGCCCAGCTCCTTCACGACAATCTTAACCACGCCCTCCGGCACATCGTCCTTGCCGTCCTCAAAGCCAGGGCTGATCGCAATCGCCAGGTACTTCCCATTACCACTGAACCCAAGAGCAGCCACGCTCGAGGGGTACTTCTGGTACTGGCGAATGCGGCGTTTGGAGATTCCGTCCCATAGCGCAACAACGCCGTCGCCGCCACCAGAAGCAAATGTGCCATGGATGGGGTGGAACGCGAGCGCATTGACTGGGTAGACAACGTCGACACCATCCTCGGCTGTCTGACGGTGGCACTTGAAAGCGTACTTCCGAGCCTGGGACTCGGGAGACGGGTCAAACCACTCGACCGCAACACGGCCCTCAATGCTAGACGAAGCGTACCCAGCGTCATCGGGCATACATGCGACAGCCCGCGTCATAAACTTCAAGCTGCTCTCCCGCCGTTGCCACGGTTCAATCTCGACTCTGCCTCCATTGGTGGTCTCACTGTTCGCCTGCGCAGTCAGCTGGGCGAGCGCCTTGAGATCGTAGATGTGCAGTGCGCGCGACGCCATGGCCACGACCAACTTAGTGGCAGTGAGAGACAGGGAGAAGGGTTTGGAGGGCAGTGAGATGATGGCCGGAATGGATTGGGTGTTTGTGCCGGCGTCGGGGCGGTGCACGTGAAGGGTCGAGTCCCACGAGCCGGAGATAATGATGCTGTGTTCGCGACTGTAAACGACGTTACGCACGCCGGCTTCGTGGCTGCTCATGACGGTCTGAGTCGAGGTGTTGAGATCAATCCTACATCAGTCAGTGATTGTTTCCCAGCGAGATGCGTCCTGCGAGCCCTTTGTAGAGCCGGCGCATATCGACTCACTTGCGCACATCCCAATCCAAGCCTGCCGTATAGATCTCGTTTTCATTCTCGCCGAAACATACATCCAGCACCGGGGCGCGGTGCTCAAACTTCTGCAGCAGCTTGCCCTCGCCCACAACGCCGTTCTCGTCTCGGAGATCGTATAGGTATACATTCTTGTCCCATGACGAAACGACGATCCGCGTCGAGTCGGGGTCTGGCGAGAACTGCAGTGCGGAGATGGCGTCTGTGGGCGGCGACGCCACAGTGAATTGATCTGCGACAAGTAAGTAGAGCCCTCAAATGGTGATTGTGCGTCTAGTGCGGCGCGCGACTTACTTGACGACATCTTCGGTCGAGAAAGCGGTGTTGGAGAGCAGTCGTGCATGGAGCTAGCTCCTTGAGGGCCTTTTCTGCCGTGAGGGACCGCCATCTCATTCCCCGCGCTGTTTGATAAGGGAAAAAAAGCTAGCTACCACTCCTTCTCAAGTTCTCCCCACAAACTGTCTCTTTCAGCAAGAATGCCCTTTGCGCAGCTGGTCATCGGCCCCCGGGTGCGGGTAAGTCCACCTACTGCAATGGCATGCATCAGTTCCTGGGTGCCATCGGCCGGAAGTGCTCGGTGGTGAATCTGGACCCCGCCAACGACAAGACCTCATACCCGTGCGCGCTGGACGTGCGCGATCTGGTAACACTTGAGGAGATTATGGACGAATATAAGCTGGGGCCGAACGGAGCCACACTATACGCGCTGGAGGAGCTCGAGGAGAATTACTCTTGGTTAGAGGAGGGGCTGAAGGAGCTTGGAGGTTTGTTGGATTCACCTCGCGGGCCTTGAGCTGGTTTGCTAATGAGTGATGGCGTGATGCAGACGATTATGTTATATTCGACTGCCCTGGTCAAGTCGAGCTTTTCACGCACCACTCGTCATTACGCAATATCTTTTTCCAGCTCCAGAAAATGGGCTATCGAGTACGTCCTATGCCCCAAACCAGCCGAGATATCAGGGCTAGCTGGTTAACATGCAATTCCGTCGCAGCTAATAGTAATGCACCTCGTCGACTCCTACACCCTCACCCTCCCATCAATGTATATCTCCGCCCTTCTCCTCTCCCTCCGCGCCATGCTGCAACTGGACTTGCCGCATCTCAACGTCCTCACCAAGATCGACAACCTATCAAACTACTCCAGCCTTCCCTTCAATCTGGACTTCTACACGGAAGTGCAAGACCTTAACTACCTTCTCCCGCACCTCGAAGCCGAGTCCTCGCGCCTCACAAACTCCAAGTTCAGTGCCCTCAACACCGCGATCATAGATCTAGTCGAGGAATTCGGGCTCGTGGCATTTGAGACGCTCGCTGTTGAGGATAAGAAGAGCATGATGAACTTGCTGAGGGCGATTGACCGCGCAAGCGGGTATGCGTTTGGGCCTGCCGAGGGCGCGAATGATACTGTTTGGTCAGTTGCAGTGCGGGAGGGCATGGGAGGTATGGATGTTCGAGATGTGCAGGAGCGGTGGTTAGATGCGAAGGATGAATATGATGACATGGAGCGTGAGGAGTTGGAAGAGGTAGCGCGTATGGAGGAGAAGGCGAGAAAGGCCGCGATGGGGGAGGGGTTGGAAGATGAGGAAGATGAGGATGATCAGGACCTGGCGAATTGGAAAGGGCCACTGCCGGATAGCGGGGTGACGGTACGACGAAAGACATGATTCATGAGCCTGAAGCTCCCTTCGATGGGGAGACGTGTATTATATCAAAAGTCAAATGGGTATCATAATGTACAGTCCATCCCTCCTCCCTGTCCAATCCTGTGTCCGACCCGTGAAGGACAACCTAGCTCTTCAATCGTCATCATCGAGCATATCATCATCATCACTCCCATCCATAACACTAGTCATAACTGGAGCCGCCAATTTCCCACTCTCGGCACCAGAAATCAGATCCCCCAACACACCCTTCTCCTCGGCGCCCCTCACACGCACGATCTCCCGTCGCGCACGACGAATAGCTTCCTCCTCGGCCTTCCGCATTGTGCCCGAGACTCTCAGCACCCGGAATACGCAGGGCCTTTCACGGCCTCCATTAGGTCGTCGCTGGCCCGGACCAGCGCCGGGCTCGAGGACGGCAGGCACATGCGACATATACGTGAGCGCAGACCAGACGAGGCGAAATGACGCGCGTGGACAGCGGACGATGGCCGTTGACGTTGCGGGGGACAGATACTTCACTAGGATCCAGCCAGTCAGCGCGAAGTCTCGGAAGAACTGACACAATGGATCGGAGCTGCTCAAACGCAGACACCGAAGACTGTATTTAAGAGAAGACCTACCTTGAACTCCCGTCGCGGACGCACCACCTAGTTTACCCACACCCCAATCCCCATACATTTCCCCAACCTCCTCGCGGATCATCTTTGCAAGTAACCCCGGCGTCAATGCGTTGGATGTCGGGGCATGGATGGCGAGTTGAGCGGCGAGCGCTTCTGTCGAGACTGTTTTGGAAGAGGGTAATGTTGTTTGGTCGGGGTAAAGGATATCCAGGAGAAGGTAGCGGTTTTTCAGCCGGACCATGTTGTAAATAGATTGAGAGGCGAGGGAGGAGAGAGGTGGGAGGTGGGAGGTGGGAGGTCGTGAGTCCGGGAGACTTGCGGAAAAAAGGTTGGCGTGGGCTGATAAGCGATAAGGGCGGGCGGAGCTGTTGAAAGCATGAGGGCAATTTATGACTTATCACAGCATTGGGATTGGGTGGGAGAGTATGGTATCCCAATAGATATTCAGAGTACAAGAGATTGATTGAAGAAAGTGTCGAACATTGTAGCTGGTCACAGCGTCGTAGAAGCTCCACCTCTAGATTATCTTCCGGCATGGTCAAATCTCCACTCGAGTCGAGTCTCTGTGATTACAGGAAAAAAAGAATTCATCATGCAAGAGGGCACGTTCATTAGGTCCCCAGAAGAGGTCTAGTCATCTAAACAAAATTAAAAAACAGATCCGTAGTCGGGCGTCGCGCCGTTTTCTCCATCCGGGAAAGGAAATCTCTCATCCCATCCCCATCCGGCCGCGGTCAAGCCCACAAGGCGGGCGCAGTAAAACATGGGATACACGCAAAGACTGCTTCAAGAAACAATAATACCAAGGGATAAACCCATCCAAACTCCACCGCCGGAACCAGAACCATATACATGCCAAGTTGTGGTTCTCACGACGGACTGTATGCCACCAGCGGACGGCGCTGCAAATCATATCATGTGTGGAAGAGGGGAAAGCATCGTAATCACATATTGACCTCCACACGGCCCTCGGCACCACCCTTCTGCAGGGTAGGGAGGAGGTAGGTGATGTCGTCCCAGGGGTGGCGGTACAGGCCGGTGCGCAGGCGCTTCTGGTCGAGGTAGTGGGCAATCAGACCGATGGAGCGGCCCAGCACGAACAGACCGTTGAGGACACCCATGCGCATGTAGTCCTCAACCTCCTCGGCGGAGAAGGCACCGCAGTTGCGGAGCAGGTCAACGAAGCAGACAGCGACACAGCCGTCGACGTTCAGGATCAGGTTGTCCTTCTTGGAAGTGGTCACGGTCTCGACCGCGATGGCGTAGTCGAGCAGCTTGGTGCTGGGGAAGTGCTTCTTGACGAACTCCTTGACCAGCTCGACACGAAGATCGGGGTTATTGCGGGACTTGACCTTGTGGCCAATACCGGGGATCAGCTTGTTCTCCTTGCGCATGATGTCAACGAAGTCACGGGGGCTGAGGCCCTTGTCGAAGGCCTTGGTGAACTCCTCAGCAGCGCCGTCCAGGGCACCACCGAAGCGGGAACCAATGGTCAGGAGACCGGAGACCAGAGCGCTGATCAGGTCCTTGCCGGCACGGGTGGTAATAATGGTGTTCATGGCACCGGACACGGCGGGACCGTGGTCAGCAGTGAGCATGAGAACCATCTCAAGGAACTTGCTGGCGTAGGTGGGCAGGCGGCGGCGGAACCACAGCAGGGACATGACACCACCAATGCCGATGTCCTCCCTGAAGACGTCAGAGATGGGCATGCCGGCGTAGAGCAGCTCCTGGCCACGGTCGTCGGAGATGGTGGAGATGAAGGCAGCGGGCTTACGGACAAGACCCAGCTCCTGGGCCCACGAATAGTCAATGGGGATCTTGGGAACAACAGGCTCGGGGGCAGGGACGACGTTGCCCTTCATGAGCTCAGCGTCGTAGACCTCCTTCAGCAGCTGGGGCAGGTCCTCAAAGGTCTCGGGGACGTGGATACCGGCCTCACGCATGGCCTGGTTCTTGTAGACAGCGGTCTCAAGCTGAGAGTTGGCAGACGCACCAGCGTGGCCAAACTGAACCTCGGTCTTGAACAAGCTGGCGCAAGTTCCGATAGCCCAAGCAACGAGGGGCTTGGTGATGATACCGTTCTTGACGGCCTCGATCACGCGGTACTCCTCAACACCACCGACCTCACCGAGCAGGACGAGGATCTTGCACTCGGGCTCGGCCTGGTAGCGGAGCATGTGGTCAATGAAGGTGGTACCGGGGTAACGGTCACCACCAATGGCAACACCCTCATAGACACCGTCGGTGTTCTGAGAAATGATGTTGTTGAGCTCGTTGGACATACCACCCGACTTGGAGACGTATCCAACGGAACCCTTGCGGTACAGCTTGGAGGCGACAATGTTGTCCATCATACCACCAGTGTTACCGATCTTGTAAGAGCCGGGCTTGATACCACCGACGGTGGCGGGGCCAATGATGGTGATGCCCTTCTCCTTGGCAGCGACCAGAATCTCACGAGCACGCTACCATAGCTGTCAGTAAATCGGCCCCTTCTCAATTCCAGGGCAATTGGAGGTTCCACTTACGCGCTCGGGAACACCCTCGGCAATGATGGCAATGGAGCGGATCTGGGGGCAGTTCATGAGCTCCATGGTGGAGCTGTAGACGGAGCGGGAGGAGGCGAAGTTGACAACGGTGTCAACGTCGGGGTGCTTGGCCATGGCCTTCTCGACATCCTGGTAGACGGGGAGAAGGGTCTCGCTGGTACCCCAGTACATCTTGCTGACGAACTGGCCGCCGAAAGTGTAGATGATACCGGCAACAGAAGGGGTGGAGCGCTTGCAGATGAAGTCAAAGTCGAGCATGCCCTGCACAGCTCGGGGTTGCATGCCACTGAACGGGTGTTGGTTAGCACTCAGCTGGTCCCTGGTTGTGTCCTGTTTCTGATTGGTACGCCGCGGGGAGACTTACTATACGAAGCATCGTGTCTTGTTGTGGAAGAGAGCGTTCTGGAGGGGCGAGAGGACACGGCTGGGAGGGTTGAAACGGGTGATGTTGTCGTTGGCATTCTGCACGCCGTTGCCGGCGGTGGACAGCGAAGTAGAGGGCATGATGATTATCTGAAATTGAGCCAAGCGTTAAACGGGGAAGTGTCGAATGTGGGAGGTGTGCAGGTGGAATTGATGCCGGTAGGGGCAACAGATCGTGGATGGCGAAGAGGCAATGGCTTGGGTGTGAAGGAGGAACTCACGTATGTGTGTAGACAGCCCAAGAGAAAGTAGAATGAGGAAGAGAAGGAGGAGAAGAGTCAAGAAGCAAGTCAACAGGAGGCAGCGTTGAGAAAAATCCGCGGGGCCGAGTACTCGCAGGTACGGTGTACAGCTCCTCCTGCCGTATTTTTAGCGGGAGTGGGCGGTACGGACTGTACGGGAAGCTGTTCTGGTGGGGGGACCCTCTCAACAACTCCAGCCAAGCATAGCTTAGCTAGCCCTTTAAGCAGCTCTGGCACCCGGGCAGTCCCCAAAGTACCGGGTACCAGCGAGACCGCCCGCCGCCCCACCATGGTCGATCTCTCAATTGCAGCCCAGGTACCCGGTATGTACAATACACTCCCCCAAAACATCATTACGCACGCTACTCCGTACTGCCCACCATATTCTCGGAAGTGCTGGGTTCGGTGAGCGGAGCTATACTGAATGCAATTCGAGCGGTCATCGACTGTCGCATGCCACTGTCCCGTCAGCCATTGACGAGTCCTACGCACCGATGCGAGAGTGGTATCTGATTTCGATCGTAGAGTCCGGTTGTGGTCCGACCCAAGATCTCATTCTATGCAGTGAATACCTTTCGTTGGGGTGTGTTTTTCGGAGACCGGCAAGTTGGCCGGAAGAGGTCTGGAGGCTACTGTGTAGTTCGGATTCCGGCGGTGTGTCGTGAACGCAGGAAGTTTACGAGTAGTGCGAGGTGTCTCAAAGCCGCCCAACAGAAAATAAAATAGAAACGGAAATGTATCCAGTGGACGTACTCCACACTCGGTAACTCGCCAGGGAGGAACTCTATCCGGCTCCGCACAAGGTCGAGAAGCTACGGTGTAGCCCTGAGTCTACGGTATACTTTGGGGACTGCATGCCGTCCCCGTAAATACCATACGGATCTACCCCCAACGCCCTGGCCAGCACCGCCAGCTGGGCCCCCCACCATCCCGTCGTTTTTTGCATCCGCCTCAACACGGTGGAGCTTCCCTCTCAATTGTACGCTGTAATCTCCAGCACAATTCTTTTTTTCTGTACGCCGTACCTTCCAGTCCTCCCGCCAACCCGGTCTCTTTTGGCTCTCCGCCTGCTTCAACAATCCCTCTCCTCCCTTCTTTTCTTGCTACTCCTCCCATCCGTCCCTCCCTTTCTGCATCTTCTTCTTCACACACAACCACACATCATGTCCGCCAAGTCTATCTTCGAGGCCGACGGCAAGGCCATCCTCAACTACCACCTCACCCGCGCTCCGGTCATCAAGGCTACCCCTCTTCCTCCCTCCTCCACACACAACCCGCCTCCTCGCCTGGCCTCCCTCCATTTCCCTGATGACAAGACCGTCAAGGATGTCCTCGACCAAGCTGAGGTCATCTACCCGTGGCTCCTGATCCCCGGCTCTAAGTTTGTCGCGAAGCCCGATCAATTGATCAAGCGTCGAGGCAAGTCCGGCCTCCTCGCCCTCAACAAGACCTGGGCGGAGGCTCGTGAATGGATTGAGGCTCGCGCCACCAAGGAAGTTCAGGTTGAGCATGTCACAGGAGTGCTGCGCCATTTCCTGGTGGAGCCCATGGTTCCCCACGATCAGTCGAGCGAGGCGTGAGTAGCTTCCAGTCTTCCATTGATCACGGCAGGAACTAACCCCTTGGTGATAGTTACGTGTGCATCAACTCCGTCCGTGAGGGCGACTGGATTCTCTTCTACCACGAGGGTGGTGTCGATGTTGGTGATGTCGATGCGAAGGCCGAGAAGCTCCTCATCCCCGTCGACCTGAAGAAGTTCCCCTCCAACGAGGAGATCGCCGCCGCGCTGCTGAGCAAGGTGCCCAAGGGCATCCACAATGTCCTGGTGGACTTCATTTCCCGCCTGTACGCCGTCTACGTCGACTGCCAGTTCACTTACCTGGAGATCAACCCTCTGGTTGTCATCCCCAACGCCGATGCCACCTCCGCTGACGTCTACTTCCTCGATCTGGCGGCCAAGCTCGACCAGACCGCGGAGTTCGAGTGTGGCACTAAGTGGGCGGTTGCCCGCAGCCCCGCCGCCTTGGGTCTGCCCACCCTCGCGTCCACCGACGGCAAGGTCAACATCGACGCTGGTCCGCCGATGGAGTTCCCCGCCCCCTTCGGCCGTGAGCTGAGCAAGGAGGAGAAGTTCATCTCTGACATGGACGCCAAGACCGGTGCCTCGCTCAAGCTCACCGTTCTCAACGCCCACGGCCGTATCTGGACCCTGGTTGCCGGTGGTGGTGCTTCCGTTGTCTACGCCGACGCCATTGCCTCCGCTGGCTTCGTCAGTGAGCTCGCCAACTACGGCGAGTACAGTGGTGCTCCTAGCGAGGGAGGTTCGTATTGAGTCGAGTATCTCCCGTTTCAGACCTTGTTGCTAATTTTACTCTACAGCTACTTACTCCTACGCCAAGACTGTCCTGGACCTGATGCTGCGTGCCCCCATGAACCCTGAGGGTAAGGTCCTCTTCATCGGCGGTGGTATTGCCAACTTCACCAACGTCGCCTCCACCTTCAAGGGTGTCATTCGCGCCATTCGCGAGGTCGCTCCTGTGCTCGTCGAGCACAAGGTCCAGATCTGGGTCCGTCGTGCTGGTCCCAACTACCAGGAGGGTCTGAAGAACATCAAGTCCACTGGTCTCGAGCTCGGCCTGGACATGCACGTGTACGGCCCCGAGATGCACGTGTCTGGTATCGTGCCCCTCGCTCTGCTGGGCAAGAAGACCGATGTCAAGGAATTCGGCGCATAAATGACTACCCCGTGCTGTTTTATTTAATTGTTTTGTTTCTGCAGCGTCAACTCCGTTGCATGGGTTTGTGGTATAATGCATGGCATGATATGAAATTTGCGGGGTTTGACCTGGGCGGATTCAAGAATTGTGCAGGCTTGACCTGCCTCCTATTTTCCCCTCTGGGCTTATCCTGTTTTGCTGGTCGTGGGTATGGCGTTTCTTCCCGCCCGGACTAAAAGACCGGATGCTTGGTGCCCGACGTACATGATTAGATTTCCTTTTATGTTGAACCTTACCGGGGGATTTAGATCGAGATGTCCCATCGGATAATATCAAGTGATGATAACAATGCGTCTTCCGTGTGATAGTGTGTAGGTACCTTCGTGTAGTCTTGGTCGATTGCCCACATCCAAAGACAATGCGACTGAAAGGAGACTCGAAACAGACGTGTTCATCTTACATTTCTGATCATTTGGATTATTTATGTACGACCCGTCTTCATCATTGAGTATTGCTGTTGTGGACTTTTTATCATGGTTATCATTCCTTATGAACTGAGTCCCATGGGTGATCAATTGATAGAGGCAGGTAATATATGTACTGTAGGTGGTGGTGATCGTGGTTGTGAAAGTGAGGATGGTATTCGTGACAAAAGTTACCCATACATACTGTACCCAAGCTCGAATAATACAGACTCCACACAAGCTCCTGCACCCCGGATTGACAGGGACGGCGGAACCGACGATCTGGATCGCCAGGCACGATAAGGTAGGGACCGTGCTGGAGCTGGATCTGGATCTGGAGGGGGGCATGGTTCATTGGAATGCGGGTTGGTTGCCGAGGGGTGGAAGTGAGACTGCTTCCGCTGCCCCGAAGGCGCGGCTCACGGGCGAGCGGGAAGGGGATTACCCGATGGGGTTAGGAGGGCATCTGTATACAGATCGGTTGCGATAAGAGGAGTATATCAGAATAGTAGAGGACAAACGATGGGAGTTCGGGGTTCGTTTGACTTTGAGAGAAAGAAACAGTTGGGTTGCAGGTTTGGGCCTTGAATTGGTCGATCTGCAGAAGTAGAAGCCGGGTCTTCGTTTTGATGGATGAAACTATGCCGTACTTACTGAGATACTGATCTAGCTCTACTCGAGAACTTGATGCCAGATAATATTAATGATTTGTCTAGGAAAATATTATCTTATTCTTGAGCTTATCCAAACTTTCCCGTACATTCAATGCGCGAGGATTGTCTACCCCGAACCTGATATGGAGCTGATATAATATACCCATGCCCATGGCCAGGTACAGAGTATGTCTGGTGCCGGCACCTACTGTTTTCCAAAGCGTGCTAGAATCTCATCTTCTGGCGGAAGCTGAGACAACACTGTCGATGGTCGGGCTTGGCGCGAAAGACGAGTGCGATGCTGTGGGTTCGCCGTGGTAGTTTGGGCTTGATAGGTTGGATCAGCACTAAACACGAGACTCTTCATTCATATTGCTTACCAGCTCGAATATTCATGACAGTATGGCCTGGTGGCGGGGGCATCGCCGAAGTCCCTCCGACCTGCGGTCTTGATCTCTTCGAGCTACCAGTCCCGCTCCGCTGGTATCGATGCAGCTGCTCCACTCCTTCTGGACTCAGAGGGAAGCAAGGTGTTTTGGGGGTGCGCACTGTTGGGATCGCTGGCATCGATGGTCCAGGCTGTGTCATGGGCATGGTGGGACCGGGGCGAGACGAGAGTGTATTCAAGGTTTGAGATACGTTCTCCGAAGCGGCTGTCTGCATTCGAGCTTTCATGGCACGAGCCTTGAGCAAGTTGTAGAGACTGGTCATCTGCGTGAGCTTCTTCGACGTCTCGCGGTACAGGTCGACCAGATCCTGATTCTTTTTCTGCAACTGTTCTTGTTCTGATTGCATGTCTGGTGGAAGATCAGCAATGTAAGCGACAGATCTCGATACTTCAGGTTGGCCAATGCAACGAACCTGACATCCTGCCGTGTAGTGTTGAGATCTCCGAGTTTGCATTGTGTATGACCTTGTCCATCTGTGTGCTTAGACTGGCGTATTTTTCGGTGAGGCTCCTTCCTAGGAATTCTTGATAGAATCTGACCATTAGAGTCAGCTGAGAATGTCTACCAACGGCTTCCAGAGATGTGAATCTACATCTCTTGGGTGCTCTGGTATGCCCAGAAGCCTAATGCCCGGCCAGCACACTCCATGATAGTGTTCGGGTCCAGGCCACTCAGCACACTTGTCTTGTAGTCTTCTGTCGGGTTCAGGATGGTTGATACGGCATCATCAGGGTTGGATAGAACGGTCTGGCAGGCAGGGCATCGACGATCATTCGCAGTGGGATGAGAGAGTCCGAGGCCGTCTGCACATCCGAGACAGAAGGTGTGACTAATGCCATCAGTGCCGCACAGTGCCGGCCAATGTAGATGAGACCCACGAGCAAGTCGTTACCACAGCCCTCTCCTTCAGCTGTGCCCTGCATTTGAGCGAATTGCATCGCAAGTGGAAATCCATGATGTGTGTAGAGTGAGTACGGATGGAAGGGTTGGATGGAAGTTGGGAAGTCACCTGAGGTCGGGGAAATGCCTCGCCTGCCAGCAACAAAAAGCGCGTGAATTGAGCTTGTGTCTAGTGTTTCCTCGCAGCACCTGGATATCAACAGCAAAAGACCACCATGAACCCCCGCTAAAAGAAGAATGTATTTCCCAGTGCATCACGCCGTGTAGATGTCATCTTTTCTTCAAACTCCTTCCCTGGCTCATACTCATTCCAAAGGCTGGCCGGGTATATGTGCTTATTTTTTTCGTACCAACGTCGATCTACGACCTTGGTTTCCGTGGCATCTTTGTCCTCACCTTCTATGCTGTGGTCACTGGGACGATATAAGGGATCGTCGTCTGACTTAGCTGGAGGAGGTTTGTCAGAATAATCGAAGAGTAACCCACCAGCCCGAGAGAAACTGGGCACTCGGTTGGCGATGAAATAGTAAAACTCGTAATGCTGGCAAGATGTCAGTTCAGGAGCGACAAGGCACGATATAATCTATAGAACTTACATGTGGAACGATAACATCGCCCTTCACAAGCATCAGATCATCAACACTGATTCGTGCCCATTCCCGGCGACTATCTTTCCGTGCCTTCGAGGCACCGTTGGCTCCACCAGCTCCCAGCTCGGCGCCAACCTTGCGGCATCGGTCCAAAAACAGCCAGACAGGATCCCCCTTCTTCACCTTAACAGATCCAGCAGGTATGCTGGTGCCATCAAACAAGACAAAGGGGATGGCAATCTCGGTATTCTTAACCGCTTCTTGCATCACTAAAAATTCCTTCCGTAGTGTGTCGCGAGCCTGCGCCTCAGCTTCCAATGCGGCCTTAGTCTTCGCTTTAGGAGGAGGCGGCGCGTTCGGATTCGCCTTCATGCGGCGAGCAGCTACAGAGGTACCCTCCTCCATGGGGGTCTTTGAACTGGATCGTGATATGCTCGAGTCGCGCGGTGTCGCGGCGGACTCTTCGCCGGTGTCGTCATTATCATCGCCAAACGAAAGCTTACTCTTCATGAGAGCCTTCTTTTTCTTCTTTTTGGGAGGAGCGTCACTCCGTGGTGTCGAAGACCTGTTGCGATGCGATCAGTTCAGACTTGCAGGAGACGAGAATGCGGCCCTTAGAACTTACCCGTCAGTCACTTCGCCTGCAGAAGGAGTTGCGCTTCGTGAATTACCAGATGCCAGTCGTCCAAGCGACTTATCATGCGCCTCGCGCTCCTTTTGTTCCAAAACCTCTGCGCGCCGCTTGCGAAAGTCGGATAGATGCACGAGGCCGACGGTTTGCGACTTGAGCATCTCCTCGGCGGACACGGTCTGGCCGGTAAACGACCGAGGGGTGGAGGTTCGGCTGTCTTGCTCGGAGGACTCCATCTTGTCTTCTCAGTTGAGCTGTAGATGTGAAGCAATCCGAGTGGGATGTTGCCTTCACTGCAAATCGCTGGATTTCAGTACTGACGTCTTTGGCGCCTGCGCACGTGACTTGTCAGAGCGGCACCGGGGCAGTGGAAACGGGACTTGAATAAAATAGAGTAGAATAATTTAGATCTCTATATGTTGCAATTAAATTCAACCATGTCTGTCTTGCCATCTGCAGGAGAATCAGTCCGTTGGTGAAGGTTGGAGGTGCCACCAAACCCCCCAGGACAGATTATCCAGCATGCTGGCAAAGCGGGAGATATATGCACGGTATTGATATGCCTATGTAGTTACCAATTGGCGAAAATTTAATTAAGTCGGAATTAACCATAGCAATGATTCTGTGAAGTATAATTGAATCACATTCCTGATCTCAAAATTTCACAAATATGTCTCTTGAACTGAAGCTTAACGTGAAGAAATGGAGACCTTGCTGCAAGTGTGCAAACAGTACAAACTCGCCTCCGATCAACCTGCGGAGCATCTCGACCAGATTGTTGCTACATCCACTTGCTCCAAAAGTCTTCGAAATTGAGAGCCAAAACAATGGAAGAAGAAGACGACGACTTTTACGATCCTACAGACTCAGTGCCGGCTGGCCAGGCACAGAACGATGCCCGCAATGCAGCCCCAGAGCAACACCAGGACAGCTACGACGACGAGGAAGAAGAAGTAGAGGTCGAGGATGACGACGTATGCTTACAACTCTTCGCTACCCTTCTCACCTGCTAACTTCAGTCAGGATGACTTCAACATTATCACAGAAGCGCCCGCTGACGCGCCGCCTCCCGAGATGTAAATACTTCTTCCTGTCCACCCAGATTGGACTGTTTTGGCTGACCTTAACAGCTCTCACCCGCGGCATGTGAGCTTACGACAAGAGCCACAGCGACCCACCTCCGCAGACTCATCAATAGTGTCTAAAGCTGCGCCAACTGCTATTCCCCACCTCGATGCCTCTACTCCTGTCCCCGCAACCGCAGCCGCACCTACCGCGAAGCAGGGCGTGCCGCAAAGACCTGGCTCTTCTTATCCAGCCATCCATACTTCTACAATCGATGTCAATGGAAACCCTATCCATCCGACGACGGGGAAGTCTATTATGGCAACCGACATGGATGCCGACTTCCCTACCGACGACAAGCCCTGGCGACGCCCTGGTTCCGATATCACGGACTTCTTCAACTACGGCTTCGACGAGTTCACGTGGGTTAGCTACTGCTTGAAGCAGCAAGAGGTGCGCAAGGAGGTTGCCGACCAGAAGAAACAAATGGACGAGATGCAATCCTTCCTGGGCATGGGAATGCCCCCGATGCCGGCTGCACCACCACCACCACCACCAGGCCCCGCCGTCCAAGGCAATGGCGCCCCCCGATGGGCGGTATGCCGGGCATGCCGGATATGAACCCTGATATGATGCAGGGTATGCTGGCGACTATGATGGCCCAAGGACTCGATCCATCGTCCATGGATCCGATGTCATTCATGCAGCACGCACAATCGATGATGGGCGGCCAGCCCGGTGGCGGCCAGCAAGGCCAACCTGGCTTTGGAGGTCAAGGGCAGAACCAGGGCTTTGGACAAGGAGGACAAGGCCAGATGGGATACGGAGGCTACGAGCAGCGCGGGAATTACGGAGGCGGCCGAGGGCGGGGACGGAGATGGTAATCCTGGTGGCTTTGTAATCCATATAATCGCTTTGGGTTTGCAATTTGAGGGCAAATTGGGTATTGCGGCGTTTTATGCAAATGAAATGAGAATTTAACAGCGTCTATCTCGTGTTCTATTGCGGTTCTTGTAGCTAGGGGTAGCTTCGGCCTGAAGGAACGGAGCTGTGTAACCGGTAGATCACACCGGTTGAACCTTTACAGCGGAAGAATCATGAAAAGAATGTTATTAGAAGAGGACAGGGTATTTACTTTGGACTGAAGAAGAGTTTCTCCCCATAGACCGCATAGAAGCGCTAAGAACCTGAGAGTCGGCGCGGGTTCGTCCCTCGGGAGTCGAAGCTCGCGGTCTTGGCATTCTGGAAATTTCTCGCCGGCAAAGTCCCGATCTTCCCCCGGACACTCCCTCTTCCTTTCTCCATCCCACGCCCATCCCCAACTTCTTGGCTTCAAGACTCCATCTCTATCGCAATGGTATGTTCGCAATGCAATGCAGTGTATACCACTGTCTTAAGCTCGATTCTGAGCTAGAATTCCTGAAACTCTCCCTCGGCACTTCCGCCTTGTACCTTTTCTTCTCCCCGATTCTGCCACCCAGTACCTCTTCTACCCTGATGCAGCAGGCTAATTTTCATCTGTATAGTCTGTCCTCCGCAACATCAAGAGCCTTGCTCCCCTCCTCGACCGCGTCCTGGTCCAGCGCATCAAGCCCGAGACCAAGACTGCCTCCGGCATCTTCCTCCCTGAGAGCAGCGTCAAGGAGCAGAACGAGGCTAAGGTCCTCGCTGTTGGCCCCGGTCTCCTGACCAAGGATGGCAACCGCATCCCCATGGGTGTCACCGCCGGCGACAAGGTTCTGATTCCTCAGGTACGTTGCACCCCAATTGCCTCCGGGGGATTCCGTGGTGTCGCATCAGACCATTGCGCACGCAACTCCCGAACACTGGCTGCATGGCCTAAGTCAACAATTTGATGCTAAATTTTCTTCTTCACAGTTCGGCGGCAGCCCCATCAAGGTGGGCGAGGACGAGTACCACCTCTTCCGGGACTCTGAGTATGTTTACCCCAACCTGGTTTGACCAACCTAACCCCGGGAAACCCCACTAACAACTCTTCACAGGATCCTGGCCAAGATCAACGAGTAAATGGAGTGACCAGCGGTTTTGTCCCTCGTCTTTCTCGTCTTCCCTCACCCTTGTCTAATGCCCTCCATCATCTCCTCAGCTGTAAAAGTTGCCAGGCAGATGAGGACGACATACGACGTGTACCATATCGAAGCGAAGCCACGAGCTCGACCACTCTCAACGATCTCAAGAACAAAAAACATAAAAACCACCAAACAAAGGGGGTGCCACAATACGCCTGTCGAGAATTAACTCCGTCAAGCAACATTCTGGCCCTCCCACTCCTTTTGCATACTGAGTTTTTGAAGCGCTGGATTGGCCTTGGGTCTTGCATGTCTTTGTCCACTGTACTATTAAAACCAAATCCCAACTCGCCATCGGCCCTTTGCTGCATGCCAGGCAGCGGTTGAGTAATTCAATAAAATCCATCTCCCCTCAACGGCCTCTGGTCCTACTACCACCATCATAATCCTGTAAAGAAGTTTGCAGCTACAGCTAGGCTTGCCATGACAACGTCCGTTCAAAGATAACCCAGAATTTGCCCGTGGAAGCCCAGGCCCTACGGACCCACAGACTGCAAACTGACCTGATTTCTATCTGAGCAGTTCAAGGGCCGACTTTATGCTCTTGTGGAATAATGCGAACACTGTCTATTGCGCCCACGCGGGTCAGGAGGAGAGTACAGTACGGATATAGATAAATCGAGTTATTCTCGCGCGTATAGAAGTTACTCTAACTATAGCATTATTGCTAGATAGAAGTCAACAAGGCCGTGACGCCACGCTCACATCACACCTCGTTTAACGCAGGTCATTATCCTCCTTGACTGAAATTCTCACATCAACCTTGAAGTCATGAGATATATTAATTTCAAAAACGACATCGACGAATAAATAGAAAATCGCAAATCCACAACGCCCCACTCCAAGCTATCGCTCCAAGCTACCCTTAAGGTTGGCAAGAGCATCTAGATGCTCGAGTACAACAGGTTGCCCCCATCAACACCGTCCTTCAAGGCCATTCAACCCATGCTATTCCTCGTATAATAAGAGAATCATACTCTGCATGACACCATCAAAAACAGTCACAATTCTCAAATTCAGGAAAGGCTTAAGTTCTGGGGCCACGACTGGGCCGAGACTGCCTAGGCGAGACTGGGGATCAGTATTATCGAGAGAGTGTGGGTATTGTTTGTTGAGGTCAATGAATATAAACGGTGATAAGATGGTACGTGGGTGGGTTGAAGCAATGGGGAAACGACGCGTTGGAGATGTTACAGTCATAGAGGAAGCGCGTCACGATGGAGACGGTGGGAAATTAGGGCTATCATGAAGTAGTGGAAGGAGCGATGCAGCTGCAGCATAAACAGACCATAACCTTCGAGGGCATGTCCCGTCAAAAATTACCACAACCTGGGTGGTGTATGTGTATAGACCGATACAGTTCACAGAATGATGTACTATCAAGAAACAACGCCATTGATTCCGCTAATTCTGAAATTACTTGCATATATCAATCGAGAAGCCCGCTTCTGTCATGTGGAATAGTTTTGACGGCTCAGTCATTGTAGTTTGACTGCCGTGACCCATCCTTATCGACTGCCGGCAGCCCATACAAGGTGGCAAGGTCTTCCTCCTGAGATTTGCCCGACTCCTCCAGAATGGGGCGTTCAGCCTGGACCGCCACACGGACGGCATGCCGTCGATGTGGTGAGAAGCCATAGGAAGCAGAATGTGTCTGGTCATTCCGTCAGCATATATTCTTCCTGTGATGTCTGCCGAGGTGTACATACCGTAGTCCTGTTATCCCAGAAAGCAACGTCATCCTGGCCCCATTGGAAACGAGCATGCATCTCCTGGGTTGTGGCAACCACGTTGGTGAGGTAATTGATGATGGCGTCACTCTCGGCCTTGGGAATACCGATGATCTTGGTGACAAAGCCCGGATTGAAGAAAAGAGCATTCCAGCCAGTAACGGGGTTCGTGCGGATGAGAGGGTGTTTGGTGGTGACCGGGTTACGTCGGACCGGCCGGCCAAGGGCGCGGGAATCGTTTGCTTGCATGTCTGCGGAGTGCAGAGCCGTCAAGCTCCTGAGATAGGTTTGCATAAAGGGGGAGAGGACATCGTAGGCAGCATACTGCGACGACCAGAGTGTATCGCCGCCACCGCCACTGGGCGGGCCAGTTAAGAGTTTCAATGAGGTGTAGGATGGCGGTTGCACCTCATAGGTCACCTAGCCTCGAATGTTAGCAGCTGGTCTATGCCGTTGATTCCTGGAGTGATACGTACATCCGAGTGCCACAAAAAGCTTGGGCTGAACAAAGCGCGGTTATCTCCGGCGTTGTCACCCGAGTAGACAACATGGACATCCTCGAGGCCCTTCTTGCGCGGAACGGCGGTAGTGGCATGCTACAGATCATGAGTATGTCTTTCCAAACATAGAGCGTTTGCAACCAGCATACCTTGTGAAGCTTTCCAAAGTGCCTCCCCAGATCCCGCTGGGCCTCAATATCAAAGTTTGTCTGCGCACGGAAAAAGACGACTCCTCGGTAGGCGATCAGACGGGCCAGGTCATCCTTCTGCGCCCCCGTAAGCTTCGATAAGTCAATGCCGTGAATCTCAGTTCCAATCTTGGGGTTGTAGTCGAAGACGGCGGTGGCATCCTGCAGCAGATTGCGGAATTTCGGGTCGCCCCTCAGGCCGCGGTCCTCATAGGGGGTGTATTCTAAGGCGTCCCAATGAATGTCGGGAAACGAGGGCAGCAGGTCTTCGTGCGCGTAGTCGGTATGATCTGCAACGGCGGTCCGGCCAGGAATATATCCAAATTTGTTGTCGCTGGCAATCACCTTCTTGGGAACGGTGATGTTCCCCACCGATGAAGGTGCCACCGGTACTTCCAATGACGGGGCCATGTCGAGATCTTAAGGCGCAGAAGATCAACACAATATTAGAGTCCTTGGTTGACGGGTGGTAGAAGTATAAAACAAAGTTTAGAGACTTGCAAGGCTACCACAAGTTATATAGACCCAAGGGTTCCGCAGAAAAGAGCGTGGAACCGGGCAACCGTGAGTCAACACCGGAGCCTTCAATCCTCCCATCCTATTGTGGTTGGAAGATCTGGCGTGATTGGGGCTGGTTTCGCAATACCCGGACTGGCCGGGAATGGCGCCATCGACAGCGGCAATCACCTACGCGGAAACCAGCAGTTTGCGCGGGCTGGTTCGGCAGTGACGACACCAAAAATGGAGAAGAGGCAACCCTTCAGTTCCGTGGGCCTCTGAAGGGCGTTCTCCCCAGAAAAGAGCGGCCAGGGGCCGATCACGCCATCACGCCATCTTGCCATCGTCCGCAAGATTTGCCATCGTCGTGGACGGAGCCCCTTGGAAAACCCCCTGGGACGGGAAGAATGAGCGGAGATATCGAAAGTTCACCGCCGCGAGACCATAGCGGTATGCATATCGGTCCTCGGGATAAGCTGCGCGGCCTGTTGATGTGGGGATTGTTGATCGTGGGAGGTTGGCTTTAGCTGCTCCGAAAGTTTAGCCGGGCGATCACGCAAGAGTGGCGGCCACTTGCGCTTGCTTATTTTGCTTGTTTTTGCGCCCGGGGTGGATCGAGCTAGACTCGCGGTCTGGACGCAAGTGCTCTAATTCCTCGGCAACCACTAGCGCATCCCCGTGGAGCTATTATGGGTTCTGGAGTCGACAGTGTACGTACTCCAGACTGTCCGCGGTATCAAACAATCGTCAAACCGGCTGGTGGACGTGGCGCGCCGCGTGAAACTCTACGTCATGTTGTTATGGATCCTTCCGTCAGACATCAAGCACCCTGGTTGTACTGCATACCCAAGGCCAGCCCATTGCATTAGTGTACAGATTCAAAACGCCCGTCCCTCAATTCATCCCGAAACGACCCTCCCCGACCGACAATGGGCCGAGAGTTAACTCCTGCACCTGCTCCGACACACGCCCTAACCTGGCTGCAACGCCCATGATACCAGCCTCCACGTCGCCCAACACAGCCGCCAGGTCATTGACAGCGGATTTGGGTGTTCCGGCACTGGCGCCATCGCGGGACTTGCTGACAAAATCACTAATCTGGCGGTTCAGCGTGAGCTCCACGCCGTGCAGGTGGTCTTCAATCTCCTTCAGATTGCCCTTGTAGCGGTCCAGGACAGAAGCCATCTCGTCCGCTCGCTGCGAAAAGTAGTCCACCAAGTTCACGGGGACGCCATTGATACTGGTAGCGGTAGCCGGGTCACCCTCCACGTCATCAGGCAAAGCAAGGGTATTCCTGCGAGTCGAACGGAGCGCGGATCGATCAACTTGCTGGTCCTGCACTGACCACCAGCCACCACCGCCCGCGGACTGATATTGAAGGGGTAGCTTAAGAGTATCGATGGCACGGAATGCCACCTGTGCCTCCGCTGCATCCCGAGTGACCAGGTTGCGGAGCTGGTCGATGTCGTTGGCGTCATTTTCTAAGGCATGCTGGATGGTCTCTAGCTTCCCTTGCACAAACTCCACGTCATTGGGAATCGAGGCACCCTGCGTCTCGATGGTGGGAAGCATGTCCGCAACTTCATGGCATACTTTCATCTGATTGAGGATGTAGCTATCGACCATCTCGATGTGGTTGCGGATCTCATCGGCACAGCTCTCGAACTTGGTCGTGGGGAGCAGGTTACTGACGTCGACCTTCACACCCTGAACAACTGTCCCCGTTGCGGTGCTTTGCTGGAAAGATGGTTGTGCGCCCTGGGTTGTGTTTTGATTTCCGAACAAAGAAAGCGTAGGTTTTTGGGCTTGCTGTTGCTGCGGTTGTTGAGTACTCTGAGCAGCGCCACTGTCGCGTAGAAATTAGTTGTCGGCCAGTAAACAACAAAAAAGGGTGCTACACTTACAAGAGACCCCCTCCGGTAGTCGAGCCACCAAGGCTAAATGCAGGCTTTGCCTGAGTCTGTGTTGTCGAGTTTGCGCCGAAAAGACCACCTCCTGTCGTCCCCGTTTGTGCAGCACCACTGCCAGTGCCAGCACCGGCCCCTGCTCCGCCAAAGAGGCTGGTGGTCTGCGGTTGTGTGGTTGCCGCCGTCGAGCCTCCGAATAGACCGCCTCCAGTCTGCTGCTGCTGCTGCTGCTGGCCACCCCCGAACATGCTTGATCCGGTAGTTGACGGCTGTGTATTTCCAAAAAGGCCTCCTGCCGGCTTCGACTGTGCTGCCGAGCCGGTATTACCGAAAAGGCCTCCGGTGGTGGGTGCCGCGGTGGATGTGTTCTGGTTGTTGGCGCCGCCACTATGAGAGAGAAAAAACCGTGTTAGCTTGTCTCAGAAACGGAGGGCACCTGTTCGCTCTGTGCTTCTCAAGGGGCCAATTAAACCCGGCTTAGACACGCATAGTGTTTCCCATCAGTCTCATTCATTGGGTATCATTCAAGAAGCATAGTGCATCGAGAAAGATACTTAGATGGACCCACACAGGAAGAAAAGTTGGGACATGACCCGAGCCTTTTCATGCTCAGCAAGGAATGCATAGCATCGAGCGCTGGAAGAACTTGCGGAAGCTTCAAAAGTGGCTGGCGAGCGTAGAGACCGAACGGAACAGGACTAAGGGCAGGTGACGAGAGCACTTACAACAACGAATTTGCCGAGTTGGTGTTGATGCTCAGCCCGCCTGCGGCAGGCGCAGAGGTTTTGGGCGCGAACATGTTCCCAATCGCTTGGAATGAAGGACTGCTATGCGACGGTTCTGTCCAAACACAGCGCGGTGCTGATAAGATTTGCGGGTCGGCGAAAGGTTCCTCCGCGGCCTGGGGCGGGCCAAGCGCGCGACTATTCGAGCAAGTCGCGGCCTTGGCGCCTGCTCGACTCTGTCGTTTTTTAATTCTGATATCTCTCGCGAGCTTCCTCATTTTTGAAATCCCAAGCCCAGAAGTGGAGCTGCACCTAAATTTCTCAGGCATCACTCACTGTGAGGAATCAGCGCGTCGTGTGTTGACCGGGGGCCTGGAACTCTGCCTCCTGAAAAGAAGCCTAATATAGAGCTCGGGCAACTTGCAGATCAAAAGTCCTTTTATCGATATTTTCTCAGGATGGCAATTTCCGACAAAGAAAAAGTCTGGAAGCCAATATGCGTGGCCTCAACAAGTGTGCAAACGGGGCCACCGACCGAATCTACTGATGATAATCACTACAAGTCCGTTATATGGAGCCCTGATGGCACCACACTATTAGCAAACTCAGCCGACCATCACATCAGGTCTTATATTCTGTAAGCTTTATTTTGCTGCTCATTGCCAATTTTGGTACATTCCGGTTCTATCTCATTTACCATTTAACTGGCATTTCCCTTAATAATTGCCTCTTTGTGTACTACACTCGTCATGTGCTCCCAGTTTTGTTCAAGCTTCTCAGTATGCCGTGTACTAATCACAAAACAGTCCCCCGGACCTGCTAGAGATGAAATCTCCACACCATTTATCACCATATTCAACACTTCCTTCAGCAGAGCCTACCTACGCCACAGCGATCTATCCATTCTACAATCTTCAAGATCCATCCACTACTTTATTTCTTTCTTCCGTCCGTGATCATCCAATTAGGCTGGCTTCGACACTTGCTCCAACATCTGTAGCCAGCTATTCATTGGTGAATCCAACAACAGAGGCCTTCATCACGCCACACTCCATCATCTATCCATCCACCCTGGGAGGAACCCACTTTCTGACGGGCTCGGACAGTATGCTTTGCCTTTTTGATGTATCTCGCACAGGGGCAAGTGGCCCAGTCTCATGGATGCCAACAATCCCCAGCAAGCGCAAACAAATTGTTGGTGGAGGAATTGGCATGAAAGGGATTGTTTCGGCTTTGGCCATCAACCCAACTGGCGATGGCATTCTAGCCGCAGGAACCTTCACACGACACGTGGGACTGTATAGTTCAAATGGCTCTGGGGAGCTTCTCGGCACCTTCAGTATTGCAAAAACAGACGCCAACCGCGCTATCGGAGGCAGGGGTGTCACTCAGCTGTCCTGGAGCCCGTGTGGGCGGTACCTGTATATCGCGGAGCGCAAGAGCGACGGCGTCCTGGTATATGACGTTCGAGTCACCGGCCAGATGCTAGGCTATCTTCGGGGGCGCAACGCCATGACAAATCAACGCATGGACATCGACATTGTCTCTGCTGGGGCCGATGGTGCCCATGAAGTCTGGGCAGGGGGCACAGATGGAGTCATGAGGGTATGGAAGAATCCTATCTATTCTGCCGGCGGGCAAGATCCAGATTGGGAGTTCAAGGTGCACGACGGTTTGTGTCTCTGAATGCCTCGTTTGATGTCTCCAAGCACTAATATTTCATAGATGCTGTTTCAAGCACGGTGTTTCATCCAATGGGAAGTGTGGTTGCGACGTGCTCTGGTCAGAGACACCGGGCGGCAGACAACTCGCCAGAGGACGGAAGCTCGGACGGCGGTACGACCCAGGCTGATAATAGCTTGAAGGTATGGTCGATGCCGTTCCTGGACTCCAATGGCCTGGTCGATGACCTAGAGGATGAGGCACAACAAGACCGTTGAGGTAATCTAGCACAAAACGCTGTAGACAAGCTGTTATTTTCTCGGGTCTGCAGGTCTACTCCCTTCACACTGCCACGAAATAATATTGCTTACTACTCTGGTGAACTTGGCGGAGAAGAAGAGGCCAAGCCACAAAGCCCTGAAAGATATTCCACACAGCGTCAGGTCCAGAGATAATGTGGTAGATCTCCTGGCAACCACGTAGAAAAACTCGGTGAAAGATGACGGTGGAAGGCAGGGATTGTGGACGGGGAGGTGTATATCTATGATCAGCAGCCGTGAGTTACCTAATGCAGGCCGATTTTGATTTGGATCAATGGGGGTCCGTAATTGACACGAGGCTAGTCCCTCTAGATCCAAGTCAGACACGGGATACACCCGCAGCCAACTTCATGCAGCCAACTTCACCTCGAACAATAGGCTCAATAGCGTTGTATCTGTAGCCTATCGCTGCCTATATAATTTTATATTCGATCGGGGATTTTCTCTGCATATGACAGCTCCTGGGCCCCACAAGTCTTATTTACTGGTCAATCCTTGCCATGGTCTTAGGCATCAATTCGCTCTGTCTATTTGTTCACCTATTGCCGTCAACTTTAGACAGTATAGGCAACGATATGCTCTTGCATGGACTCGGTTTGTCTCATCACAGCTGAGGGTATTTAGACTGAACCCTATAGACCTTCGAATTCATCCTGTCCGCTTTTCTGCTATGCTCTTCGTCAAAAGACTTGTTGTCGAGAAGAGTTTAACTCTCCCTTTCTGATTCGATTATTCATTCCTTCCATTCGCTCTCTCGTCATCCTAGTCGCTATTAAATCGGTACTTGGGTTAGACTTCAGTCAAGATGGCTTCCAATTTCAACTGGGATTCGCACGAAGAGGACGTCACATCCGGATCTCCTTATCTCTTTTTCGGGGCTGAATCATTCTATTTACATTCCCTCGAGGCTCACGGAGGAGCGTCCCAACCCCTTAACCGATACTTTATGTATTCTGATGCCGCTAATACACAAATCAGCAAGGGTATGCCACTCCTCACCCTCCTTAATGAGAATACGCCTATTGACATCGCAGCCACCTCCGGGTCTCTCTTCCCAGAGGGCACGACTACCACTAGCTCAGCGAGGTCTGGAGTCCAATTCCCGCCGGGGGATTTGCCCCCAACCCCGGCTGCTGTCTCTGTATTCCTCTCGCAGGCTACCTTTGTCCCCCCTGGAGCGTGCCCCGCAAATCTCTGCCCAGAGGGTACGCCTGTCATATCCGCTGCCACCTCCAGACCCCTCTTGGGTGAGGGTACAGATTCCAGGCTTGAGACTTCCGGACATTTACTTACCAGCTATCCTCCCCCCGCGCGGGATGAGACTGGGCATATCGACTGGGATTGGATCGTTGCCTCATCCCTCTCTGGCATTCAGGGCCACACCATGTTCCAGTCATTAGAACACGCCAAACGCTCTCGACTACGGAGTGCAGAGCATCCCGAGGATCTCACCATTCCCCGCACGCCTGAGTTGAAGCGTGCCCTGGTTGCGATGTTGATGAAAGCAATGAGGTCAACATGCCGAGCGATCGATAACCAGAAGACTGTTGATCAGTTCACCAAGTCCCACACAAATGACGAGATGGAGCTTGGTTGTTGGGAAATCTTGGTAAACTGCTTCTGGTTCCTGTTTGCATTCTCACTTGCTTACTCTGAACAGGAGGCCATGATAACCCGCCATGTAGACGGCGCCCCTCGCAATCCCCCCGCAAGATACCGGGAACCTTCTCGAATCATTTTAATAACGTTCTCGACTGCCTGGAGGTGAGCTTACTGCCCTTTGCCGTCGAGCGTTCAATCTTCACATTCGCTAAACCAAGCCCGTAGGCATCCAAAGCGACCTGCAAGAAGGTCCTGAGTCATGCACAAATCACCAGGGTCGTCGAAGACCCAATTGGTTGTACTAAGCGGGTGGCATCCAACCTCCGTGTTAACAAAGCCAAACGAGGCCCGATCCAGGCAGGGAAGGAAATCCTTGCCGCTCGCAAGGAGCGGCAGATGACCCCCGAGTCAGGCTCCGACGTTAAGGGCTGTGTCGAGGTCGAGCTCAATGCGCTCTCAACGAACAAGCGACGTCGGAAGAAATGATGGGGCTCCTCTATGGGATGACATGTTATGGACAACCCTTTCTTCTGTTTGACATTTATGGCCTTTCTTGAATTTTCCTGTTCAATATGGGAGATGAAAAGGCTCACAGAGTGTATGTCCTTTGAGATAATAGTATTGAGTCATGTATTTTGTGGATTTAATGAAGTCTGGTTCTCGTATAGACGCAGGTACTGGTCGTTCTGTAAAAGCCTCTATTCGGTTTCATGGGATCTGAATCCCATACCGCTGGTAAGGGAAATCCTCCAGGGTGCTGAAAATCTGGCCCCAGCCATCTCCAAGCTCTCCAGGTGACCCTGCTCCCTTGATGCGCCAGGCCTGAAGCTCTTCCGCTTCCTTCTCGGGGGCCGTTTTTTCCTCCTCCTTGTGTTCACCAGTTCGACCAGCAAGAACTTCATCCTCGCGCCCTTTGTACGTCTCCAGCAGACCTGGGTGGGGACACCAGACTACTTGCATGCCAGCACGGCGTCCGGCTTCGACACCAGGAACCGCATCCTCGAAGACAAGACACTCCTCTGGCTTGATCTCGGTCTTACCCTGGCTACGCAGGTCTGCGTTGATGGTCTCCAATGCCAGCAGGTAAATATCAGGCAGCGGCTTGCCTCGTCCCTTGCCGATACGAGGATCATCTCCAAGAACACGGTGCACCTGGGGGAATACAGAGAACAGATCTGTCAGGTGGTCGGTTTTCAGCTTGAAATTCCTGCTGTTCGACGACGTGGCCAGGGCAATGTACACCGGCTGGTCAGTACATTGTGTTGACACAAGGTTGGACAGCAACGTTGAAACCCCTGGAAGTGGTTGGCACTGAGGGAAATACTTTGCTTGCAGGGAGGCCTGCTTGACGGCGGTCTCCTCCGGGGTGATGGGGAGTTGTGCCCAGTCGTGGAAGATCTTGCTTGCCTGTGGGGGTTGTGAGTGCTGCATTCTCGATACTCATGGAAAACATGCCAATTATCATACCTCAGGCTGTGGACGTCCTTGAAGCTGTGCCTTGACCGCCCAGGGAAGATTGGGTTTGCCATACATCTGAAGCACTTCGTTCGTGATCTGGGTGTATCTGTCCTCGGAGTCGATCAACAAGCCGTCCATGTCGAAAAGACATGCCCGGATGCGGGGGGCCTATCATATGTGTCAATTGGACGCTGAGCGGTATGTGGAACGGGACAGTACATACTCCTGGTTCAGCGCCATGGTGTAACTTTGTCTATTTACGGTTTGTGAAGGCGGGGGAAGGCTGACCGTCGATAAGACGGCTGCGGGGTGGTTTATCAGAGGTCCCGTGATCGGGCTCCGGAGAATGTCTGAGTGCGAAGAATGATTTGCAATAGACTGTCAGAGAGTCTTGTGTCTATCTCGAAACTGCTCTTGATGTCTGCTTGAAATACCTCCCCGAATGATCTCGTCGGTGGTACAATCGTCAGGAGCAGGCCGGATTGTGCAAGGCCGAGGCCTCCTGAATCACAGTGTTTATTGCGATACGGGGCTTCTCTTCCCCACCAAATGGCATGCGACGTACAGGACGATGCCAACAGCTCTTGATTTCACAAAGGCCACGAGCTCAATCTGATATAGAAAAAGCAGACAAAAAAAAGACGTGGCCTATCCAATCACCATGGGAAAGCCTTCAACTTGCCAGTGTCAGGAACGGGCCATGTGAATTACAGCATTGCCAAATCACATTTAACCTATCCAGGAGCTGACTGAATCTCCAAACACTCCGTGATCGAAAATGCCGTTTATTGTTCTTCATCGGCAGCGGCATTTCATTTGCTTACCCGAGGAGGTCGGAAATCCCCCGGTGATCCGTCATGACAACCCTCGACCCCACTTGAGGTGAGAGGGCATTTCAAACCCGATTGCCGCACTCTGTGTGGGGAAGATTTGAGTGATGACCTGCGAAGTGCGCCTTCATCTCCCACTCTGAAAGAATTACCATTCCAAGTCTCCAAAGTAGGCCGTTATCGTGTGATTCGACGCCATGGCAACGATCATAACAACCAGCAGATTGGGCCAGATTCAGGGAAGGACCAGAGATGGCCTGACCCAGTACCTGGGAATTAAATACGCAAATCTGAAAAATCGCCTTGCCGACGCTGAATTGATTGAGGAACGACAGGGAGATCTCCTCGATGCAACCGCTGATGGGTAGGTTTGCTTGCGCGACAATCTCGAACGTTATGTTGATCTGGATTGTAGACCTACGGCATTATCGCTTCCAGTGGGATGCGACATTGAACTACGCCATGTCCAGCAGCCCTTGCCTATGAAAGAATTTCGCCAGTCGGATCTTGATTGTCTCAACCTCAATATTGCGGTACCATCGGACGCTACTTCGTCATCGAAGCTACCCGTCTTGTTCTTCATTCATGGCGGTGGCCTGTTTATCGGTGCCAATTCATGGCCACAATACGATCTCACTCGACTAGGAAAGCTATCAATCGAGAGGAAGCTGCCGGTAGTGATAGTGACCATCAAGTAAGAGCACCTGTCTCGTTCTGATCTGTTCTTGAACAACGGCCAACCCCCATCTAGTTATCGATTGGGTGCGCCAGGATTCCTTACATCCAAGGAACTTCGCGATGCAGGATACAATTCCAACAATGGTCTGCGTGATCAACGTGTGGCACTGGAATGGGTACATAAGCACATTCGTGACTTTGGTGGAGACCCGGATAATATCACCGCGGGCGGGATGAGTGCTGGTGGAGGTACGCATCCAGACGCTCCTGATTTTGGTCGCGAAGGTTAATTTTTTTTTTTTTTCTAGCCTCGGTGACATATCTTCTACAGTCGCAAACGCCACTGTTCAAACGCGCAATTGCAATGAGTGGTACATCACTGCTCGTTCAGGCCCTTCCCTACGAGGTACATGAAGACAACTATGAAAAGGCGATGGCCCAGTTGGGCCTGGCAGATGCTTCGGCTGAGGACCGGATCAAAGCACTGTTAGACATGCCGGGGCAGGAACTAGTTGCCAAGCTTCCCCCATCTATCTTATTTGTTCCCGCTCTCGATGGCGATATAATATATCCGGGCGTGACATATGCAGAGCTTGGAAGGCTGCAATCAAAGGTTTTTTCAGGAAAACATTGGTGCAAGGATTTGTTGATCGGAGATGCTGAAATAGATGTACGTCGATGTTGGCCCGTCCAGTCTGTAACCGCACTCTGCCTAACAAGAACCTCTAAATCCAGGCAAGCATTTTTGAATACCTTGCGCCACAGATGAAGGTCAACGGTGCCAAGCGCTTTATAGCGGCGCTCGAAGAAACTCTTGCGTCATACCCCCAGATCGTTCAGCGCATTCTGGACGCATATCGAATCTCCGAGGGCACTTCCGATGAGATGGCGATATCTTCTATTCTCGCCTTTTTTACCGACATATTGTTCCACGCATCGACGCTCAGTTTTGCCAGGGGCTGGAATGGCAATGCCTATGTATACTATTTCAATGAGGGTAACCCCTGGGACGGACCATGGAAAGGTCGCGCAAATCACATCCTCGACGTGACCTACCTCTTCCAGAATTTCCTCGAGTACCTGAATCCAGAACAAGAGGCAGTCTGCAAAGCATTTGCCGAGGACGTTTTCAATTTCTGCCACGGCACTGCCCCGTGGCCAGCTGTTACTCCTGGGGAGATCAACACGGGATTTACGGCAAGAGTTTACGGTCCCAGCCAGCAGGGAGTCATTGCTAGCGTTGCACGACAAGCGTTCGATGGCCAGACCTTGCGTAGAAGCGTTCTTTTTGAATGTTCGTCCGTGGTGTCGCTTGACGATTTGGCCAAGGTTTTTGTGGCTTTCCGATCCAGTTGACGATGATTCTGGATTGGGCACATATCAACGCGACTTCAATTTTAGGTCATTCCACGTACTAGCCGCGTGGACATCCGCCCTATCTAGACAGAGGAATCCGCGTCTTCATAGTCAATCGAGGGCTCCAAAGAATATTTGACGTATGACGATAGCCTCGAGCTCAATTATGCCGGCTAATATAAGGTACCGCCTGAACATCCATCCCCCGTCGCGATTAATAATCAGACCGAGGGTTCTGGACAAGGCCGAGCCGACGAGAGAACGCCCGCAGAGGAACGCGGCCAGGGGCTCGAGCATACCGCGGGATCTGGGGATCTCATTGGTGGGCGGACCGGCATGTGGGGATCGCATCGGTCGGCTCACACGGCAAACTCCAGCCGCGGCTCTTGCTCCGACCGCTGCCAATCGGAATCTCTGAGCTGCGCCAATCTTGATGTTCGATTTCTCGAACATTGTTTAATTAAGTTGACAGGCAGCCTGCGACGTGAACTTGTTGGAGTCGATTCTGCCTTTTCCTGACCCCTTTTTCCACCACCACTTCTTCAAAAATGCCTGCGAAAATCTATCGGTCGCCATACCCAGATCTCCCGATCGAATCGGTAGATCTAGTCTCCTACTTGCTCTCGAATCCTCATAATACCCCATTGGACCGGCCCCTATACATTGACGCTGTCTCTGAAAAGCAGTATACTTTGGGTGATGTCATTCAGCGAATTAAGTCGCTGGCAAGTGGGCTGAAGCACACGTTTGGTCTGAAGGCGGATGATTTGGTCGCCTTGTTGAGCCCCAATTCCATCGAATATCCCATCGCATGCCATTCGATTGTCGGGGCTGGTGCCATCGTGTCCCCGTCGAGTGCGGCCTTGACGGTGCTGGAACTGAATGCTCAGCTCAAGACCAGCCGGGCTCGGTTCATTATTGTCCACTCGTCCTTGCTCGACACGGCCCAGAAGGCAGTGAAGGGCACGTCTGTTGAGAAGATTATTCTCCTAGACGGCGCCTCGCCAATCAATGGCCAGCCTACATGCGAGTACTTGGCCAGCACATGTGCTCCTGCCCCGCTCACCCCAATCCAGCCCTCGGAAGCCTCCAAGAAGATTGCGTTCGTCTGCTTCTCCTCTGGTACATCTGGTCCCTCGAAGGGTGTTATCACGACGCACCAGAACCTCACCTCTAACATGCAACAATGGCACGCCCACCTACTCGAAACTGGTACTCCCGCGCAGCGAATCAAGCGTAACACCGCAGTCGCCTTTCTGCCGTTCAGCCATATCTATGGACTCAACCTATACCTGTGCCAGTGCTTGCTCTGGGGAACATCAGTGGTGGTCATGGCCAAATTTGACTTGGACCGATACCTGGAGTGTGTCCAGAAGTATCGACCTGATGAGCTTGCCTTCGTGCCTCCAATCGCGCTCATGCTCATCAAGGACCCTCGTGTAGCCAAGTACGACCTCAGCAGTGTGAGGCGGACTCTGTCTGCTGCTGCCCCCCTCACGAACGAGCTATCAGCTGCCCTGGAGGCGAAATTCAAGACAACTTGGGGAACGGAGGTCTTCTGTACGCAGTCATTTGGGCTTACCGAGACATCGCCCATGGTCACTGCTTGTCCGAATGACCGCATGGATAAGCGCAAATCAGGCGTCGGCTGCATTACCAACAACATGGAGATCCGCTTCGTGGACCCCGATACTATGGAAGATGCCGCCGTCAATCCCGATGGATCGACCCAGCCTGCAGAGCTCTGGTGCCGTGGCCCTAATGTGAGCCGTGGGTATCTTAACAATGAAGAAGCGACCAAGAATGCATTCCATGTCGACTCGGATGGATCGAAGTGGTTCCGCACCGGCGATATCGCCACTATCGACCAAGAAGGCTACATCACCATCCAGGATCGCATCAAGGAGATGATCAAATATAAGGGCCTCCAGGTTATTCCCAGCGAACTTGAAGGCAAACTGATCGACCACCCGGATGTTGAGGATGCCGGCGTTGTTGGTGTGTGGGTCGACGAGCGAGCGACCGAGCTCCCTCTGGCGTTTATTGTTCTCAGTCACCAGGCCAAGGGCAAAGACCTCAAAACCGTCACAGATGGAATCCACTCATGGTTGAACCCGAAGATTGCGAACCACAAGCGACTCCGCGGTGGTATTCATGTGCTGGATCAGATCCCGAAGAGTCCCAGCGGAAAGATTTTGCGGAGACAGCTCAAGGATCTTCTGAAGAGCAAGAAGCCCAAAGCACACCTGTGAGCCGGAATATTGTTCCAAGGCTATATAGTCGTCGCCATGCGTTATTTAAACCTGTTTCGGTCATACTTAGCCCCTGCCTGCGATCTCCATGCATACATGCAAGTGTTCTCAGCGAGTTGATACCAGCCGTTGCCTGTCTAGATCAGCCCATAATTCCAATTGTGCCAACATCTGCATGCTCTAATAAGTTAGTGTAATAGGTTAGTGAAGGAGCGGTGGCCCGATATGGCATCTGATAAAGACCGTGGGAAAACTGGAAAAATGCCCGGAACGGCGCGCCGTCCGCGGAGCCCGCGGGCCCCGCTCGTCGGGATGCAATCCACCTCCGTCAGATTACGGCACAATTCTTCGCGTCTCAGTCGTCATGGCTAAGATATAAAGAGAACTAAGCTTCCGACACTGTCTTCTCTACGGAGACACACCATTATCCCTATTCTGCGTGCACGGCGATCACCATCCCAAAGGAGATCAATCCGGCAAGCTTGGCTTGCCCAATGTGACGTCGTGTAGGACCCGCTTTCCTTCTTATACTTTGTGCCACCATGGGGTCATGGAATAATATCTTGGCCTTCCTCCGTGGTGGACGCAGCTCCACTCGGCCGAGGCTCTTAGAGCTCCGGTCCGCGAGGTGGTTCATTCTGTTCACTGTTTCTTTTGCTGCGAGCACAGTACGTGTAGGCCCATGCAAGTTGTATTGAGGAAAGTCGGTGGCTAACTTGTCGGTAGGATATTGTCATGTATGGGCTGGTATGTTGTTCAGCGATGCGGTTTATGTTTATGCAAGCATCGCTCTTGTGAGACTAACGATTGGACCAGATTGTGCCTGTCACACCTACGGCCTTGGAGCGCAGGGTGGGCCTCGCTGCAGATCAAGGTAAGCTACTGTTCCTATTCTAATGCAATTATCATTACATTAACAGATCGTCGCACTTGATAAGTTCAAACATGGACATCAGTTCTCCTAGCTTTGTACTCTGCGTCCATGCTAGCCCTTTCCCGTATGCCTTCCCTTCTACTCTACTCAACCGAATAAATCTGTGCTAACGCCTCGGTCAGCTATAATCGGGTATATTGCGGACCGAGCTGAGTCCCGGCGATGGCCGTTCCTCCTTGGTTTAATTCTTCTAGCGGCCGCAACTGCCTTGCTATGCGTTGGAACCAACATCGGTCTCTGGATTGCCGGTCGCGTATTCCAAGGTGCCACTGCGGCAGTCGTCTGGACCGTTGGCATCGCACTGTTGGTTGATACCGTGGGGAAAGAAGGCCTGGGACAAGCCATTGGATATGTATCCATGTCCCTCAGTGTCGGCACGCTGGCTGGTCCTCTTCTTGGCGGCGTCCTCTACCAAGATGGTGGTTACTATTCTGTTTTTGGGCTTGCCTTCGGCTTGATTGGGATTGATATCTTCCTGCGGCTAATATTGATCGAGAAAAGCCATGCTGCGCGGTGGCTCGTTTCGGAGGGCAAGCCTTCATCGCCCGAGCACCATGGCAGAGAAACGATCCTAGACGGAAGTACACAGAATCTGCCCGCAGCCAGCGATCATGTATCGGCGGAGAACTCCGAAAAGCCTTCAATTCGCGCTCGAAATCCCTTCGGGCAGGCCGTCACTCTCTTGAGCTCTCCTCGTCTCGTCGTTTCGCTCTGGGGCTACTTTATCGTGTCTTTGGTTCTCACCTCTTTCGACAGTGTGCTCCCGCTTTTCGTTCAGAAGACCTTTGGCTGGCAGCAGACTGGCCAAGGACTCGTGTTCATTCCCCTGATGGTCCCGCACATCATGGACCCCGTGACTGGTTATATGATTGATCTATACCCACGTGCCCCCCGTTACATCGCGGCCGGTGCCTTTCTCTGCGCTGTTCCTGTTGCCGTTCTTCTGCGCCTCGTCACTGAGAACACCATGCATGATAAGATTGTACTTTGTGTGTTGTTGGCGCTGCTGGGCCTTTGTGAGGCTGTCGCAATGCCTCCTCTTGTCGCGGAGGTCTTCCACGCTGTTAAGGAGAAGGAAGACGAATCGCCTGACAGTTTTGGCAAAGGGGGTGCGATGGCGCTAGCCTTTGGTTTGTCCAACATGGGCTTCGCAGCAGGCAGTTTGATCGGACCGTTCTTCGCGGGCTTCATTCGACAGGATGCTGGTTGGGGTACTATGGGGTGGGCCATGGCCCTCGTCTCCGGAGTGTCTGCTCTTCCTGTTCTCTTATTTCTTGGAGGTTGGATCGGAAGGAAGCCGCCGCCTCCAAATGGCCCTGCTCAATGCATGTCGGACTGAAATATAGTCTGGATCCCTGTTTGCATTTTTGGACATATTTTCACGAACATCTCCACGCCTTTGCCTGTCTAACAGACGCATTTCTCCTCTCATATACATCCTGTACAGTTATGACAACAATAGATCCTCTTACCATAGTTAAAACAATATTTTACGCATTCCTATTGGTGACAAAAAGAATGCTAAAGTGTCTGCCTTCGTGCCTGGTTATATCTATCTCTAAGGTGTAGTTAACAGGCCAAGCCCTATCTTTACAATCAAGGAGGACTTCAAAACGAGCCAACTCAGTTGAGGGTCTTTTGTATTGCTGGCCATTCATTGTCCAAGTGACTCTGACCAATACTTTACTCAGACAAGCCACTTCCCCGACATCCGTCCCTCCCAGCCGAAGCAGAGACCACACACCCCGCAGAGTGGGTGCCCCGCTCGGAGCCCCACGGCCCCCCAAGCTGGGAGAATTATGGGCTGGGACCGCCCGACCTGGCGCCAAGTGGGCAGCTCGGGATTTGAGGAGGGTGGTAATAGCCGTGTGTTCACACGGGACATGCTGAATATTTGCCCGTGCTCATAGCTAGTTCCCTTGTAATAATTGTTTTGCTTGACTACTCACTAATCATGGCCCCAGAAGTCGCGCACCAGGCTCTTAATGCCATTTTCCAGGGTTCTCAGCACGATGAGGACGGCGTTTCCGTTCATAAATTTCTCGGTATCAAATATGCCAGTGTTCCGGCGCGCTTTGAGAGGGCTGTGCCGGTAGCAAACTTTGCTGGGGCCGTTGTTGATGCTACGAAATACGGGTATGCTATATGTGCTCTATTTAAATAGATTTGCAAAGTGATTTGTTCTTCAGAGTTTCCGGTGCTGACATGCTCGATCAGTCCGAGGTGTCCTCAGGTGGACATCGATGTGCGGCATCTACTGCGGATTCCCGAGGACTTTACCATCGCCCCAGAGGCGGAGGATGAATTTGAATGTTTGAATCTCGAGATCACTTGCCCTCCAGCATCCTCGGGTTGTCTGCCTTTGCCGGTGCTAGTCTGGATTCATGGTGGCTCTCAGGTTGTCACGTTCTGCTCTGCGGCATCCAAGATTTGCAGTATGTTCCTAGGTAGATTCTCTCGACAAGCATGCCACGGCTGACCAAGCAAACAATAGATCCGACGAAGATTGTGGCCGACTCTATTAGAGCAGGAAAGCCGATTGTGTTTGTGTCTATCAACTATCGACTCAATATCTTCGGCTTTGGCGACGGCAAGGAGAAGAACCTTGGTCTGAAGGATCAGCGGCTTGGTATTGACTGGGTGCGCAAGAATATTGCATCCTTCGGCGGTGACTCGGTGAGTGACTTGCGATCCTTCGTCCTATACCACGTGCTCAGTTTTTGTAGGACAATATCACTCTCTCGGGGGAGAGTGCTGGTGCTGTCTATACTCATGCGCATCTTATCACCGGTCCACCGGTCAAGAGAGCCGCCTTAGCATCGGGTACTTTATATTTGTCATCGCCGCTGCCTCTGGAGCGAGGCAATGGCTTGATTAAAACCCTGGAAGCGAAGGTTCAAGACCTGGGCCAGCCTTCACTCCGAGAATCATCTGTGCCAGCTCTGATGCAGGCCCTGAAAGACTGCAATGTGAATACAATGTGGATTCAGGAAGAGCCCGAGCTGGAAAACTGGGAAACCAAACCTGAGCAAGTCGATGAGCTTATGATTGGAGATACGGAGTATGAGGTGAGCTCAAGGCCATTCCCATGCGCTTTTTATGCATCTAACCTGATTGCTGTATAGTCCGTCATTTGGCGCAATGGCATCGAGCTCTTCGATGGTGAAACTATCGCTGCCGCATTTGGACGTGACGAGCAATGGGGCACCAGGCTCCGCAAGTTGTACCACGTCGTGGCCGATCGTCCTACGGCTGCAAAGCTAGGCGCCTTGGATCTTGTGAATGATGCTCGCTACACGCTGCCCGTGGAGCTGATCGCCGATAAGCTCCAGAGGGCCAACAAAAGAGTCTACAAGTATGTTGTTGACCAGGCTAATCCGTGGCAACCATCTAGCCGATCCCACCATGCGGTAGATCTCCTGTTGCTCTTTGACGGCGTGGACCTGTCCTTCAACCCTGCCGCGCAAGCCGTGGGACAGGAGATGCGGCAGCGCTGGATTAGTTTCGTTTCGGGACAAGGACCATGGTCTGAGGACCATCGCTTCGCATTTGGGCCTCTGGGCGAATGCAAGGAGATCAACGAGACACAGTTTGCTGCTCGACGACGAGTTGAGCACTGCAAGTTGCTCAAAGAGGCCGGCACAGGCGCTTATCTGCCCATTATTGTTGCGCTGACTGCTGGGCGCATCAGTCTGCTCAATTAGAATAGCCACCAGAATACCCAACATCAATAGACTTCATCAATTCTGCTCAAGAATATGGATTGCCGGTGTTTCGGGCTCGGTCCACTCTTTCCACGTGTGCATATGCATAGATTCAACCCGGCTGCATGATGAGCACCCCCTAATTGCGTAACGAATCCTCCATTGGCCCGAGCCCTCGTAGCTTGTATTTCGGTTGTTATGTATCAGGTTCGCCTCCGAACACCGTGATTCAGTGATCCAGTGCTATTCGGCAGTTGTTGACACTGCTCATTACCGCGCCGCCCATTCCCGCCCATCGTCGCGCAGGGCCTGACAACGACCCACCTTCCTCTGGTGCAAAGCAGTGGATCGCGGACCAGACCAGAAGGACCGAAATAATCAGAACGGCCACAAGCGGAGGTCTGTTTTCACCTCACATCCGCATCACATCACCGCCTCCACTGTTACTCAGGCCTGACTCATGTGGGGTCGCAGTGCCCGCGAAACAAATGCCCCCAGTGAGCAAGGCACCGGACAGCCCCACCACGCCCGCGAGCGAATCGCCATTAGCGGCCCGGGGAGGTCGGCAGAGTGTAGTTCATTCGAGATGCCGAATTGTATGAGACCTGGGAGTGACTCTGGGCCCGAGGTAGGCCACACGCCCGTTTTGCCAACTTTGGGTTCCCAATCTCGCGCTCCGCTGATTGCTGACCAACGCGGCCGCGATGATGAGAGTCCTGTCTTCTGCCCGTGTGGATCGTGCGGGTGGGATTTGGGATATCCTGGGCCCCAGTGGTTTGCTCGGTTGCGGTCTGGGGGTCAAGGAGTGTGTGACCCCACAGCCTTAAGTATAAGGAGGGCGGGTGTCCCGAAGGTGGTAGTGATTTGTGGACTTATTGGACGTCTGTTCTAAAACTGCTGTTTGGTTTGAGTTGAGATACTTGGTCGAGTTCATATCTATACACCATGCCTTCAACCCGCGACCTGGCCGATCCCAAGGAGTATCAGAAGATTCTCCACTGGGCTGAGACACAAAAGGATGGAGCGATCCCTTCCTTCGCTACGCGACGCAACGACCCGTATGAGGTATATCGTTCCATAGTTCCCCGGAGATCGATTTTATCCGCTAACCTCTCCTAGTACCAAGCTGGCTTTGGCAACTCGTATGTGTAAGCACCTGCATCGAGTAACGTACCTGACTGATATTGCATAGTTTCGAGTCCGAGGCGGTCCCTGGCACTATTCCACGGGGCCAGAATAGCCCGCGCAATGTCCGTTTCGGCCTCTACGCGGAGCAGATCACTGCCACGGCGTTCGTGGCTCCGAGACACGCTAACAAGAAGGCGTGGCTGTATCGTGCGCGCCCAGCAGTCGCACACCAGGGCTTTGTATGTACCCACATTGGGTTATTGTGATCCATGCTGATAGACCCCCTAGACAGAACTCCCAGATAACAAAGACACCGAGTCCAACTTCTTGCCGTTGAACCCTCGCGTCCATGTCTCACCCACACAACTAGCATGGCACCCCATAGACATCCCGGAGAAGGAGGAAGTGGACTTTGTCTCCGGCCTGAAGACGATCGCCGGCTCCGGCGACCCGACTCTGCGTGAGGGACTAGCAACTCATGTCTATGTCGCCAACACGAGCATGAAGCAGAAGGCCTTTGTCAACTCGGATGGCGAGTTCCTCATTGTTCCTCAGCAGGGTGCACTTGATATACAGACCGAATTCGGCCCTCTCTTTGTTCAACCCGGCGAGATTGTTGTCATTCAGCGAGGCCTGCGCTTCCGCGTGGAATTGCCGGATGGCCCCTCGCGTGGCTACATCCTTGAAGTCTGGGGAACGTGCTTCGAGCTGCCGGAGCTGGGCCCCTTGGGGGCCAATGGCCTGGCCAATGCACGAGACTTTTTGAGCCCTGTCGCCCATTACGAAATTGCCCAGGAGCCCTGGGAGATTGTGTATAAGCTTGGGGGCAAATTCTTTAGAAGCACGCAAAACCACAGCCCTTTTGATGTGGTGGCCTGGCATGGGAATTATGTATGTGCTCCCGCGGTTGACCCGGGGTCGGCTCGTTGCTCACCCGGTCTTAGGTCCCTTATAAATATGACCTGACCAAGTTTGTCAATGTGGGCTCCATTTCGGTGGACCACATTGATCCGTCCATTTTCTGTGTCCTGACAGCCAAGTCACGCGACCCGACTGCGCCGTTGGCCGACTTGCTGACCTTCTCTCCGAGATGGGATGTCGCATCTCGTATGTTTCATGTTTCCCTCCCCCCAAGCCCAAGATGAATTGCTCCTTCTTACAGACTCATCCAGACACTTACCGTCCCCCATACTACCATCGCAATGTCGCTTCTGAATTAATGGGCCTCATCTACGGCCAGTACGGCGGCCGTTCCGACGCCTTCAAGCCGGGCAGTGTATCCTTTGAATGCGGAAGTATGCACACCCCCGCCATGCTTCAGCCTCGTTTCCAATGTATTCCAATGCTGATCTCCTTCCCTATTAGTGGTCCCCCACGGAGTGGCTTACGAGGAGTTCAAGGCGGCGAGTGAGAACGCGCCGCCGGTGATGCAAATCTCCGAGGCCTCGATCGCAATCATGTTCGAGTCCAGTCGGCCGTTCACGATCACCGATTATGCGTGGAACAGCACAAATAAGCACGAACACGAGCCGAAGATGTGGGACAGTCTGGTGGATAACTTCTCCAACCATGCGAAGGAAGTGGAGGAGATCCTGGCGAAGAAGGCGCAGACCTTGTCTGTATGATAGAATGAATCAGGTACGAGGGCAGAGTGGAGATTGAGGTTATGCATGGGCTCAGTTACACGTGATTCGCTCTTGTTGCTTCCTTTGTTTCCACATTTTTGGCTTCCTTCCCTGTTTTGGCTCTCTGTTGACCGTACGGTGTATACATTGTACGCCCTTGGAGCGCTAAGGTATCCAGAACTAGGTATTTATATTGCATCCGCGATGATGCAGGCTGTCCAGGTTTTCCATCATCCAGGAAAAGAGAAACAAAACGAACCAAATAGTACCGAATGGTTTAACCGCCTTGCTGATCCCATCTGATCTCTCGTATCCTCGACCCTTCCAAGAGTGTTCCATCGGCCGGTCGGTGTCTCGGCCTCCGCCCACGCCGGCGCCGGCGCGAGAACACCGCCGACGCCGACCGTCATTCAGTCGAACAAGCTGCCACCACTGGATTAAATGCAGCCAGAACCTGCGGCCGACAAGCTCATTTGGGTCTGGTAGGTAGAAAAGTAGACAAATGATCGGAGAATTGATACCCCTCCACCTTCGTCCGCCCAATCCCTGCGAGTCAAGGTACCGGATTTAAAGGATATAATTATGGATTCGGAGTAACCATTTGTGAATACGGAGTAAATAATATTGTCTGACACCGCAACACCAGTCAGATCCTGGACTAGATCCTAGACTAGTGATTCGGAATACGGGATCCACCAGTCCACTGAAGGTCCCCCGCTTAAGCTAGCTAAAGCTGTGCGCCGATTGATGTGCTCGGGCTTTGTCGCACTTTCGCGCTTCGGCGCCCGCGAGATCCCTTCACGGAAACCTTGTTAGATGCGACGCTTGTCTGCAGACTACCGGCCTGGCCAATTATTCATATAGCCCTGCCAGGGGTCACCTCATGGCGTTCCCAATATCCTCTGTCCTGAACTCGTCCAACAACACGGCTGTCTGGGTATACACATAACCCCAGAGCCACGCTTTCTCCTGCCTGGTACCTGCCTATACTTCTGGGCATCATCCTATACATCGAAACAATCCTCCGATCGCACACGCTCACACCTATCATCACCACCATGGGAGGCCCCTATGCCTCCACCGTCGCGCAGCTAGGCGGCCGACCAACGGTCAAACTCGATGTCCCCCTCTGCTCCGTCTTCCTCGCAGCGTTCCTCGGATTCGGAATCTGCCATATGGTGCTCTTCCGCCGTAACCTTGCCCGAGGCCACAAGTTCATCCCCTCCGCCGTCACATTCGGTTTCTGCATGTCGCGCGTGGTCGCCAATGCGATGCGCATCGCCTGGGCATGTCATCCAGAGAACGTGCGCATAGCCATTGCGGCGCAGATCTTCGTCGCCGCCGGTGTCCTCCTGCTCTTCATCTTGAATCTACTTTATGCGCAGCGCATGCTGCGCGCCGCGTTCCCCGCCTTCGGGTGGGCTCGCCCTGTCTCATATGCGTTCAAGGCGTTATATGTGCTGGTGGTTATTACAATTATCATGTTGATTACGGTGATTATCCAGCTCTCGTATACCCTCAATGCGAACACGCACCGCATCGATCGCGATATCCAGCTCTACGGCGTGACGTACTTTGCCATCGTCTCCTTCCTGCCGCTGCCAATTGTTTCGCTGGTCCTGCTCTTTGCGGAGGAGAAGCACGTCGCGTCATTCGGATCTGGATCTTGGCGTATAAAGGCGATCATCGTCTTCGTGGCTGGCACGCTGCTGTGTCTGGGAGCTTCGTTCCGGGCCGGGACTGCCTGGATGGCGCCGCGTCCTGCATCGTCCCCACCCCCTTACATGCACAAGACTTGCTTCTACGTTTTCGATTTCGGAATCGACCTGGCTGTCGTGATCTTATTCTTGTTCGCCCGGGTCGACAAGCGGTTTCATGTCCCCAATGGAAGCTCCAAGGTGCGGCATTACCGGGGGGAAGTTGGCTTCCAGAAGCACGTTCCCCTTGAGCAGGTCCAGAAAGACGAGGCGGGGCGCGATATTGAGAAGATTAGCAGTCATCAGTGGCTCTCTGCTGCAGGATAGGGGGACAAGACGATTGTCGCATTAATTACCAAAGATACCCTATGAGAAGATAGCCTTCATTTGCAACCGATTTTTCACATCAACGCTTTGGGGTTATCATGATTGACTTCAGTGTGATGCCATACACCTCTAATTACAATTACCCTTCAGATTATAGACAAGTGCCAAGGGAAGGCAACTAGTGAGTTAATGCAAGACTGAGTCTCCCGTCATATAGATATCTCGTTTAGAAACAGCTCGAAGAGGTAGGAGTGGGGTAGTCGCGGTAGTTCTACTTCTACCGGATTTAATTGGAGTCATCCATCCGCACACGGACCCACGTAGAGATACGAACACCAGATCAATACAAAGACGGTATGTCTGTGGCATGGGAGAAATTATATCATGGGCAGATAGATGTTCCATCCCGAATGGCATGGGTTCATTGGCATATCTCAGGGGTGGGCTTGGGTACGCTGAACAACTCTGCTCGCGAACAGAGCTGTGATTGCATCATCCACGACAATGGGACGAGAAGGTACTTTCCAGACTGTCAGATCTCGCAATGGGTCTTTTATTTTCATGATTGGTATCAACAGACGGCCAGGCATCACACCATACAGAATTAAGTTGGCAGCGAGAGCCTTGTTTGTATGCAATTTCCTCCCTCCGCTAGCCCAGTAGCCTTCTGAAGGACAACAATGACATCTATCACAGGAAATAGTCGGGTGTGCGTCTCGATACCATGGGCTCTCCTGCTCGGGGGCAAGGATCAAATTGTAAACTAAAGGAGGCGGGAGTCAGCATGGGTCTATCCCCATAATAAGGGTCGCCGATGTCAATGGGAGTAACAAAAGATTCACTCACAATGTGTACTTCAAATGCTCGTCGATCTCCATAATCGCGGCCTGGTTGCCGCAGCGGTAACAGTAATTGGGCGCTGTAGTAATTGGTGGGTCAGCCATCGATCCCAACAAGAAGCCCCAACAAAGCTTCCACTCCCCACGCTGGACATACCGGAAAAGATGGTCACCACGTTCCGATCCTGCGACCAGTTATATCCCTCCATCACCAGTTGGTGCGCCCGTGCAACCAGAGTCAAGCCGTTGTTGTGGTTGAACGCCTCCGAAATGTCCTGTCCGAATGTGTATCCCGCACCACGAGGAGAGATTCCCCAACCACAGCGATCGTCCGGATCACTCCAGAGCAGATCACACATGGGGCCCTCGTGCGGGACTTCTTGAATGCGGTCCAGAGATCGAATGTTGTCTAAGGTGTCGATGGACGGGCTCAGCCCACCATGCAGACAGAAGATCTGGTTTTCAATGAGAGCAGTGAGGGGAAGGTAGTCAAAGAGGTCGGTGAAGTATTTCCACACGTTGGCGTTGCCGTATTTGCGAAGGCACTCGTCGTAGAAGCCATACACCTGGGTGATCTGGCGGGATTCGTGGTTGCCACGAAGGATGGTAATACGTTGGGGGTAACGGATCTTCAGGCAGACCAGGAGGGTCACGGTCTCAACAGAATAGTAGCCTCGGTCGACATAATCACCTGCAAAAAAAGGCAGGAGGTCGAGTCAGAATGGTTGTTGTTTGGGCGTTCAGAAAGAGCACACAAGCTTGGCCCCACTAGCTCCAACCGACAAGAAAGCCAACGACTTACCCATGAAGAGATAGTTTGTATCGGGGTTGGGACCGCCGATGCGGAAAAGCTCCATTAGATCGTGAAATTGACCGTGTATATCACCGCACACCGTCACCGGGCATTTCTGTGGTTGAATTGTCAGCGGTGGTCCAGGTGGGCGGCAAACACCCGACCGGAGTCGACAATCACGATAAACATACCACAGGCTGCACGTTCGACTCCTCCTGCAATACCTCTCTTGCCTGCAAAGCAGAAAATTCGTCAATTCCAAGTACTGCGCCATGTCCAGCGGTTAACCCACCCGATCGCACAGCCGTCGCACATCCTCCTCCGCTAATTGCTTGCACGTCATCAAACTCTCGATCCAGCCATCCAAAGTAGGTATGGAGCCGGGGTCGCTCGTCGGCGAGAGGTGGTGTGGTTCAGGCGACCTTGCGGCATCGATTTCCATGTTGTTATCCATGGTGGGCACAGCTGGCGTAAATAGGGAGGAGGGGCCAGCTGGGGGTGGAGGGGCGGTCTCGTGAGAAAAGAATACCAAGGTTTGGCCCAGGGATCGTGAAAATTAGGAAAGAAGGTGGATTACGAAAGAAAAGACAATTCGGTAAACACACAGATTGTTCCCAAGATCGACTCCAGGGATGAGGGATGGGGGGCTGGAGTGGAGGGGGAACAGAGCGGGTAAGGGAGAAGAGATGGGAGATGCGGGAAGGTCAGGCAGGTTTGGCAAGTTTGGAGGTGAGTTTGCGCCACATTGCCTCAGCCACATCGCTTGGCGGCTAAAGCTACTGTAGGTATGAATGAATACGCCTCAGACCTGCATGCCTGTAGTATGACTTTATGGGACTATACGAGCATTAAGCGCATCATTGAGTTCAATTATTCCTGCCTCATCACAAAGTCTTTATTTTGGAATTTTCTAGTCTAACCAATTCAAGCATCAAGATGGGCGAGGACCTCATGCTCAGCCTCATGATTTATATTTCCCCACTCTCCGTTCACCCCATCGCCCAACAATACCAGTTTTATGTTTATTGGGGAACAAAATAGAAATAAATGATACCCTGTTCGCAAATTCTCTCGCGGGTGTTAAATAGCTCTGCTTAAATTCAAGTAGCTGAAAATAATTTGTAGTTTACCTTTTGAGGGAAAACATAAGTGACATTTCTCCGAGGGCCAAATGCGAACCCCTGCCACTGATAGTGTACCTGTTTTGAGCACTCAAAGACAAAAAAAAAAGCCATAGGCAGTTGTTCCAAAGGCTACTGAGTCATGAAAACCCCTCTACTCCCTCGGCCTTGACCTCGGGTGATTGAGAGTTATTAAGCTTAGTTCCCCCAAAAACGTGGCCGTTGATTCAATAGTAGGAAAATCTGTCCTGATAATGGACGAAATCAGAACTCGGCTCTCAATGAAAACGCGAGGAAATGATATCACTTACAGTGACATGTAATTGAAAACGTCACCTGGGTTTTTCTCGCGTAGCTCATGCATGTGCTTGTCAGGGCTAGGGAAGGATCCACGTGAAGTTCTCTTTAAATTGCAATTGAGATGCTTGATCTGATCCATCTTCTCGAAAGGAGTGAGAAGATAGCCAATGGTCCTGGATGGTTGAATGTATCCGTAGTGGCATGCGTTTTCCTTTATCCTCTCTGAAATCTATACACCTCCATCACAAGACACAGACCGTGCCTGGATGCTCGCGAATTTGACGTTCATGCAGTTGCAGCAACCTTAGATGGACCACCAACGTGATGGGTTCTCCGCATGGAACCGTGTCACAGCAAAGGGGGCGAGGACATGTCTTTTCATAGTACTCAACAATCACCGTGCCCTTTCCGGCCGATGCAATGGACATCGCATATCACATCGATTTGGGTGGCTGCGCAACAAGAAACAATTACGGCTGCGCCTTTGGACCCAGAGTCCGATTCGATACCTTTGCTACAGAGACCTCATGCGCAACGTGAGTGGTGGAATATATCGAAATTATCTAGACCTCTGAACAGGGATTCAAATGAAGTTTTGAAATGGTTTATATGCACTACTGCCGCTGGTAGATTCTACTCCGTCTCCGTCGCAAACTTCAACCGCAACATTTAGAGATCCCCAGTCGCAGCTAAGTTTAGCTTTTGCCTATTATTCAGGGGGTCCCGAAAGTTGAAGGTTGCTTACCAATAGCCGGCTTCGGCGTCTATTTTGATTCCGAAATACAATTCCCCCATTGCATGCAGCGACTGAGTTTATCTATCCCACTATGCTTAGTGCCGGTCCACAAACTTGATTTTCGATAAGTAATTTGGTCAGCGAAGGCCGAAGCGACGGATGCTGAATAATAGCCTTCAGATTGTTATGATATAATATAAGCTAAGACCTACCCCTAACGAGGGCAAGCAGCTTTTTAATTCTGTACGATAATCCAGGCGATTTATCACTGAAACATAATGGCCACCATTCTCGTCACCGGTGCCACCGGCAAACAGGGAGGCGCTCTCATCAAAAGTCTGATCACGAAGAATGCGCCCTTCAAGATCCTTGCGGTGACCCGCAACCCGCAATCTGCCTCCGCGCAGAAGCTCCTCAACGAATCAAAGAACATCACCCTCGTGCAGGGTGATCTAGACAACCCGAGCGACATTTTCAAGAATGCACAGAGCCAGACATCAGAGCCCATCTGGGGTGTATTCAGTGTTCAAGTATGAGCAACCCTTTCAGAACTAGAATCCCCTTTCTTTTTGGCATGGAATGCTGACGTAACGTCATGACGATAGGCAGCGATGGGAACCAAGGTACCGGAAGATGTACAGGGCAAGACTCTCATCGATGAAGCTCTCAAACACGGCGTCAAGCACTTCGTCTATACCTCGGTTGACCGCCACGGCGCAAAGTCCATTGACAACCCGACCAACGTCCCTCATTTCATTCGCAAACATGAAATCGAGAAACATCTGATAGAAAAGACTAAAGACGGCCAAATGGACTGGACTATCCTGCGCCCGACTGCTTTCTACGACAACCTCACGCCCAATTTCTTTGGCAGGTTCTTCTCGACGTGCTTCAAGATGTCACTGAAGGGCAAACCGTTGCAGTTGGTCGCTTGCAGTGATATCGGCGCCGTCGCAGCAGAGGTTTTCCTGCATGCGGAGGATTACAAGGGCCGTGCTATCTCTCTCGCGGGCGATGAGTTGACCTATGATCAATTTGCGCAGATCTTCAAGGAGAAAACAGGACAGACCATGCCGACTACATTTACTTTCCTATGCTGGGTCATGGTGACGATGGTCAAGGATATGGGATACATGCTCAAGTGGTTCCATGATGAAGGATACAAGGCGGATATCGAGGAAGTCAGGAAGATCCATCCAGGGCTCAAAGACTTTGGAACTTGGTTGGAGACGGAGAGTCAGTTTAAGAAGCAATGAGGGACAGTGAGGAGGAATGCAAAATGCAAAGCGTACAAGCAATATGGACACATAAATTAATGTTTAATAATACATATATCGAATCAAAGAAGATCAAGTCGGCCCCATGATTCGTTCGTTCGTCGCGGTCATCACTCGTCAAATTATGTAGCTATCTCCTTGTCGGCGAAGCGCATTTAGATAATGTCGCCGCCAAAGCCACCTCCAAAGCCACCAAATCCACCAAAGCCACCCCCACCAGGTCCACGGCCACGGCCAGATGGAGGCCCAAACCCTGGACCAGGAGGGTCATAGCGCGCTCCGGGTGGTGCACGAGGGTCATATCCACGGCCAGCACCACCAGAGCCTCCGAAGAGGGGATCATCGAAAGTGGGATGCATTCCACCGCCACCACCAAAGCCAGGACCCATTGTTCCGCGGAGCGGGTCATTGGGCCCAAGTCCTGCGGGGTAGAGATCTCTGTCTCCGATATTGTAAGGGCTTCGACCACCTGGGAAGCCGGGGGGTATCCGCCCGGGGGTACCCGCGGGGAGGTTGGTTGATTTCGAACTCATCCTCGAATCCAGGTGGAGCAAAATCACCGGGTGGGTTCGGTCGGCGAGGGGCGGCAGCTAATGGATCATCAAATGGGTATGGGCGAGCAGGCTGAGGAAGGGAGTCGTCACGAAGGGGATCATGCGGGCGCCGCGTCTCAGGGCGCTCCCGAGAGGCCTGACTCGGATCTTCATAGCCTTCCTTGGATAATCCCGGCGCAAGCTTCTGGATCACGTTGATCTTGAATAGTCCGATCAGGTCACCCAGTCGAGCAGGCGAAATAAACACATCGCGAAGGGCACCAGGGAGATCCCCCGTGTGTGTGAGCGGGAGAGCGGATTCGGAGATATAGTCTTTGGCGGGGAGGTCAAACGAGCTGGTGCGATCATCGCCCAAGGCCAACGCGAATACCACGGCGTTGTTGCCAAGGCGGCTCACTTTTAGCACGTATTGCATTGAAGATTGTGCGTGCGCATATCGAAACGCGAAGGTAGGGTAGGCGTTCCATTCGGTGGGGAGTGCGGGGGTTTCTGTAGATGAATCTGCCCAAAGATTAGCGAACAGGAAAAACTGCGTACAGGATAAAAGAAAGGGGTATACCAACCCAGATTATGGTCCTCTCCAAGTCCCACTAGCCGGAAGTCGACCGCTGCCATGCAGGCATGACCGACCAGAGCTACCGCTTCGTAAGGTGTTTGGAGACTCGGCTGGCCGTTGCCGAGGGCTTTGGCAGCGAGGCCCAAGACATTGTCCGGGCTGAGTGCACCTGCTCCAGTCATTTCGGAGTGTTCCTGTGAGTGATCTGAATACGATCTGGGTTGCAAGGGAGAGAAGTTGGGAATATATTTGAGGAGAGACCAGGCAGCTGGGGGTGATGCAATCAAGAGCCGCCCCGCGGATCAACGATGATCCCGTAGGGTGGTGGGGAAGTATGCGGAGGCTCCGCCTTGGGCATCAACGAGTGAATAAAAGAGAAATATGACGGTGGATAGATAGAATTCAGTAGAATTTCGAAATAATTGTAAGCATTGTTACCTAGCGAGGCAATCCGAGGATATAATTTGGGGTCGTTAGCATCACATCGTCAGAAAGCACCAAAACGCTACCCCGAAATTGTTCCCAATTCCCATAAACAGGACAAGAGAACCTCAAGCAGCACTTCCAGGACATGGTAAAAATTTTTGACAAGAGCCATGCCAAAACAGAGAGCCGATGACCCACAGAGCAGGAGCAGAAATAACAACGCTCATCAATACAGAGAAAGTATGATACTGTCTCTGGCGAATTTGCCCCGAGCGTGGTGGTCCGAGCTCGTGGCTCATCCGGTGCAGCCATGCACCGCATATGCATGCCAAACAAAGCAAGTGGAGAAAGGAGCCGAGGCGCGAGAAATGCTAGCAAAACTACCATCCCGACTATCATACAGCAATCCCATCCCCGCAAGCAGCTCTCCCCAACTCGTCGGTTTTTGTTCCAAGAGGCTCTGAAATATCCAAAGAGCGAACCTATTGTGATGACAATACGTCCTACGGTAGACGGCCGATCACTGACACAAAATTAACCATAAATAAAATATTTACCACATAAGCACCAACTACTCAGAAAGTCTACCAAAAAAACTGCACTACAGCATCGCCTTGGGGAACTTCTTCATCGCCTGTCGCACACCCAGATCCGCCAGAATCTCCTCGGTCCCGCCCAGGATGGCGTCGAATTTGTACGTGCGGTGGAACATCTCAATGATCTTGCCCATGCCGCTCTGCGTGATACCACGGCCACCGAAGATGTTGGTCGAGTGGTCTGCAATCTCCTGCGCTGACCGGGTGGCATGCGACTTGAGCAGGCCGATGGGTCCGCCCAGGTGCGCCGACTGTTCGGCGTAGCTCATGTTGCACATCTGGTAGGCGATGGACTCGAGCCAGGCTTGGTTGGATTCGGTGAGAGAGATCATGCGGGCGAGCCTGGTTGCAGAATGTTAGTTCATAAGCTTGGCCATTGCTGTGACGGGGGAGAAATCTCACTTTTGGCGAATGACTGGCTGTTCAACGAGCTTCTTGCCAAAGACGATGCGCTGGTTGCACCACTTCAGGCACTCCTCCACAATCGTCATGGACATGCGCACCACGGCGGCGACCATCATAAATCGCTCGTGGTTGAAGTTGCTCATGATGACAATGAAGCCCTTGTGCTCCTCGCCCAGGAGGTTGCCGACGGGGACTTTGACGTTTTCGAACGACACAAAAGCAGTCGCGGCGGCAGTCGAGTAGGAAGTTTTGATCTGCTTGGTTTCGACGCCCTCGCCGCGGGGAATCAGCAGCACCGAGAAGCCCTTATCGGTCTTGCACCCAGTCACAAAATAGTCCGCAAACATGCCGTTGGTGATCCACTTCCTACAGACGGGTTTCGTTAGCCTAGGGGAATCCAGCTAAAGAAGCTCAGGCCGCACTCACTTGGTACCGTTGACAATGTAGTATTTGCCGTCCGGGGTCTTCTCGGCGGTCGTCTTAAGGCCGGCTACATCCGAGCCAGCAAAAGCCTCGGTGATGGCAAGACACATCTTCTTCTGACCCGACAGGACCTCAGCGGTGACGCGCTCCTTGAGCTCGGTGTTCCGCAACCACGCCTGCACCGCGGTAAGCGAGATAGCCATACCAGCCATGTTGCCATCCTGGAAGCCACGAGCATTCGCCCGCACCAGCTCCTGCGTGACAATCATATCATGCAGATAGTCAAACTCTTTCCCATCAATAACACCGCCAAGCAGCGAACGACCATGCAGGTGCTTTCCGGGGCCCAATCGCATGGCCAGGACATTGGTCTCCGCCATGCGGTCAATCAGCTCCTGGCTGATATAGGTGCCATCGCTCTCCTTCTCCTGCGCCTCGGGTGTAACGTATTTATCCGTGAATTCGCGCACGGCCTTCTGCAGCCGGCGGTGGCTCTCCTTGAAGTAAGGGCTTTTGAACTGCGGGCGCAGCCACAGCGGCTCCGCATAGGGGACGGGGCTCAACGCGCCGGGCTTAGGCTCGATCACCTCGGACTTCTCGCCCTCGAGGGTACCGATGCACAGCTGGTCGCGGTACTTCTCGAGGACCTCCTGCCGGTGAAGGTTGTAGAACTCGGTGGTGGCATCTTGACCGGCGACCTGGGCGAGCACGACGGCTCCACCGGGGTGGGCGTCGACGAAATCGGTCAGGTCATACACGCGGTGGTCGATGATGCACCAGAGGGAGTCCTCGGTGTTGTGTTTGGCGACCTCGGCGCGGGTGAGGGTTTGAGCGGGCATGGTTGGGGAGGAGGGGGGGAATCAGTCGGGAGAGTAGAGAAGGGAGAGAATGGGCCAGGTGGGCATCCGTCACTTCAAGTATCCAAAAAGGCTGGACCAGCTGGGCAGACTGGCCCACGGCCAGCCCGCAGGTGGCAGCACTGGCGTTCCCCAGATTTCTGCGGTCGCCAATCATCGTGCATCTGATTTTCAGCCGAGGCCCGAGAGGTGCTGAGTAATCATTGTCATGCTCTGCTGGCCAGTCGTCCGGCGGAGATGGAAGCAGCGAAACTTCAGCGGGGGTTTCCTATTGCAAGCAGAAGAACCCGATAGTTACTTCCCCGAATCAACACCGCTCGTCGGGCGAATGGAATGTAGCGAAACAGTCATCGTCGCCCGTTTCTTCGTTGCCTTCTCCACTGCTTAATTCTTTCACGGGCGGCCCCACTGGTGAATAGCCGGTTGGGTGGAACGGCCAAGTATTTAAGATTGTACAGAGATTAGATACTATCCATGCGTCTTCGGCTCTATTCTTGACGTTGCGGGCTCAACATCTCAGCGAATAGGCATTGGATGCTACATATTGGCTGATCCCAGACGATGTGCAGTTGATACTCGATAACCGACTGTAGCCGAGGCCTCACCCGATCTACATCCACTTTCCACTTGGTCATTTCAATCTGCATCAATCGGTAATTTTACTTCCAGCTTGCGCCTCGGTTTCATATTTCAAGACTCTAGGAAGTCTAGAGGCACAGCTTAAATCTAAATTTGGACTATACTGTGAACGGTCTCATCGACTACGCGCCGACTCAAGGTCACAACGCCGTCGTCGGTTTACAATTTCCACGCCGTGTGCCGGTCACTCATGATGAAATTGACTTGCAAAAATCATTAATGATTCAGTGAATTACTCGACGCAAATGAAACAGAATCCAGAGCCAAGAGGCGCCAACCCAATGCAGGTGCACCCGATGGACGGGGCTTGATATATGCCTCGTTCGGCTCCGCAGCAGTCAACTGAGGCAAGTTATCCCCCGAATCACGTTAAGAGGACAGAAAAGCACACATGTACCGTATATCGCATACAAAATAAGTGTGAATAGTCTATAGCCTATGTACAAATCTCAATCTCCCAACCACCCACTTAGCTATGCAGCCCTACGGCCGGCGTCCTGCGCCCGCCTGCGCCCGATTCACCCGAATCTCCTGCATCGCCTCCTTAATCAGCCACAGACAGACAGGCTGTGCATCAGACCCAATGCGCCAACTTCCCAGGACAACGCCCCTCTGCTCGAGGATCTCGGTCGCGCGCTCCCAGCGACGGCGCCAGAGCTCTTCGCGTTTAGTTGGGAGGGGATCGCTCACGCCGTAGCTGTTGTAGCTGCTCGTGGATGGCCGCCCGAGGGATTGATTGGATGCAGATGTGCGCAGGCCCGGCGCGGAGGAAGCAGAAAGATTGAGTCGATCTGTGGCGTAATTGAGAGCTGCTTGGGCCGCGGCTGAGGCGGCAGCCGGGTATGATTGTTTGGCACCTGGTGCTGCAAGTCGCGGGGTGGAGGCTCCGCTGGATGCAGACCCGATGGTGGAAGAGGTGTGGGAGCGTCGTGGAGGCGGGATTGGAGGCGGCGCTTTGGAGCGCGCTGGTAGTCCTGCTGGGTTGCCTTCGCTAGTAAGGGGCTCCGTGCGAGTGCGAGTGATCGGGGATGGATCCAGGTCGAGCAATGGATCTGCCTTAGCCGTCGATGAGCGTCGAGGCGGCAAAGGAGGGACTGGTTTACGGCGAATCGCCTCTTGCGTCGATACTGTGTCATGTTTCATCGCAGGGTCGGTCACATCGGCTACTCCAGACGTCGTCCGTAGCGAAGAGGGCTTTGTCGGCTTGGTAGGAGGGGCCCGTGGTTTCGTTGCCGTGGGAATCTCGGGAACAGTATCCTTCGCGTCCTCGTCTCGTAGGTCGATCAGGTCCTCATTATCAAGATGCTTCGAATCGATGGGGGGCGGAGGCGCCAGTGGCCGACGAGGTGGCAGTGTCGGTCTGTTGACAAGAGCGTCCGAATGGGCGGCAAGCTGGGGAGTGCTATGGCTACGACCAGATGCTGATCCCAGGTGGCCAACAGATTGATCGAAAAATGGCTTGTTGTCTGCGGTCGTAACATCACGGATGAAAATGCCCAGAATGCGGCCGGGGTTTGCCAGCGCGATATCGGTGTAGACCTCCAGATCAGCCTCGCCGCTGTCGCCCACGAGGATGAACTTGCGTGAGGGGAAATCCCGCATAATCTGTTCCAGGGAACCCCGTTTGCGCTCTGCGGTTGGTTCAAAAATGCCTTGCAGCATACCTGTATACTGCTTGAGATGGAAAGAGCCCGGCGGCAGGCCGACCAACTTGAAGTATCGGTCCAGAAGCGGATATAGTTGCCACGGCGCATTGGAGACATAGTGGATTTCCACGCCTTGCTTGGCCACCTGGGTATACCACTCGCTGACGCCGTCAACAGTCAACTCGGCAAGCTCACGGACGAATGTGTTTCGGAACATCTCCTTTGCGCCACTGGCAATGGCGGAGTGTTTCACGGTATCGTCGATGTCACTAATCAGACTGATGCCCACCGGCTCGATGATATCGATCGGCTTCGCGGCAGACAGGTCCTCTGAAGCGAGGACCCGGATATGAGTCGGGGCGAATGGCATGGCAGCGCGGATACTAAAATGCCCCGATTCGTCGGTCAGAAGGTTCCGGGATTCGCTCTGCTCATCATTGAAAAAGAACACTGTCACCGGCATGCCGGCCATGGGGTTTGTCAGGAACGAACGCAGCCTCTCCATCAGATGCGCATTGGCCATGGATATTTCGTCTTTGGTCATGGACGCGACTTGGCCGGTGCCGGCGCCCGCCCTTGCCCGGTCGCCATTGGAGCTCTTCCAGGCTTCATCCGCCTCGTTCTCCGCCTTGTCCACCAGAGTCTGCATCTGTTTATCCACCAACTCATCCTCGCCCTTGCTAGGCAACCGTTCAGAGCTCTCGTCGGCCGATGCCCCGGACGGAGCCGGGATACCGCTGAGCGTTCTCGCCAGCTTGACCATCAGACGATGCTTGCGGCTCATCGGACCCCGACTAGGCGCATATATCCACCCACGCACGTCAACATCGACAACCGCGTTCTCGAGGTTAGGGTCTTCCCAGCTATCCCCTGTAGGCTTGCTCTTTTCCGAGAGACCGCGGTACTCATCGATAGTCTCCGACCACGAGTCGCGTCGTTGGCGCCCGCCAGTCTCAACCTTCTTCTTGGGTCTCAAGTGTCTCGCGTAGCTGGGAAACAGTACCATCTCCTCGTCGCCGGATCGTGCGATCTCCACATCTGGGAATGCCCCCGGTGTATGGTAATAGTCCTGCTGGGGATCGCCCCGCTGGCTAGTCCACCGCGACGCATAAGACTGGCCAACTTCATTTGCCGCTTTGAACCACTCATACGCCTTCTTGCGGCGACTGCCAGGGGTAGCGCCGTCGCCACTGCCCGTGCCCCATGCCGATGCCATCGAGACTCTCACAGCATCTTTCGCCCCGTCCGGGGTCTCTCCTCGAATCGTTCTGGAGCGTCTCCCAAGCTGACTCCCTACCGCAGCTAGAGCAGTTCTCCCGCCCCGCAACAGCCGTCGCCTGGACCCAAGAAGAGACGCAACGAAGCCCTCGCCGAGTCTGCGATTACGCGCCGCAAGCCGCGCCTGCCGCTTGACGATGGCGCGGTAGATACGCGACTGCGCCCGGTGTCGGAGCGCCGGGAGGGCCTCGTAGCGGAGATTCCAGAGCCGGTCTTGGGTGCGCCGGGTTGCCTGAGGGCCAACGAGGATGCGGAGGAGGGATGAGAGTCTGCTGGGTCGGGGTCGGAAGCGAGAGACGGGTTTCCAGTTGGGGAGGAATGGGCTAGCTATAGGCAGCCGCCTAGATAAGAAGGACCTTGAGCGAGAGACTGGCCAACGAAAATATGGTTTGGGAGCCAGGGTTTCCGGAGTGTTGGAGGGGGAAACTAATTGGTGGTGGTTCTGTGCGAGGGGACTCAGCCCTGCGGCTGGCGTCCAGTTAGTAAGAATAGTCTAGTGCGGCAAGAGACAGTCTCAGGAAGAAGGCAACGATAAAGAGTGCCCAGATCCAGGTACTCACGGAAAGGATTCAGAGAGCGCTGATGCAGGATGCTAAGGATATGCGGAGGACAACAATTTGAGGAGCGGAGACATTTAGGTACAGTGCCTGCGGGGCGCGGAGCCGCCATGACGCCAGGTTGCTTCGGCCCAGAATTGACTTCATTTTGTACTCACGGGCACGGCAATAGCCTTGCAGGGAATCGGCCTTGCTATTCCTGGCTTAGTAGGAATCCTCATTGATTGTCATTTCTTACTACGACTTATTATGCCCTGTGTCAGTGCCGAGAAACTGTCCATAGGCTAATTCTGGGATCTCATAGGGTATTGATTTCTGAGAGGGCCCGTCAACAACACTCGGGGCCAAATATATACTTTGCATGTGACAACAAAAACCGATGCTGTTACCTATGTGTATTCATTCCTTCATAACATCAAATAAAGCAGAACGAAATCCCAAACAAATGCCGGGGCGCCTTCCTATGCACGAGGGTATGGTAAGATTTCCGCAAATATACAGTACAACAGCCAAAGCCAGCTATGCGCTATCTTCGGTATAATTGATCTTCTTCGCGCGACTACTCCGCCGCGTCGATGTTTCAGTAGTCACAGTCTTTTCCATTTCGGCAGACATGCGGCCTACCTCGTCCGACTCAGGTGTAGACTCAACTTGGTCAGCCTTCCGTTTTGTACGAGACTTGGCCGAAGTGGGCGCCCGCCTGGTTGATGTCTTGGTTGATTTCTTGACCGGAGTCTCCAATTCGCCATTTGGGGTAGTGGGTTCTATCTTCATCTTCTTGGAAGCACTGCGCTTCACTGGGCTTGTGCTGGGCTTGGGTTTGACAATCTTCTTTGCGGGACGGAGCCATTCCTCCATGCCCCGAGGCCAATAGACTCTTCTCTCCGGGCCGCCCATGCCGACTTCCTCGTCGGGAACAGTGCGAGGCGGAGGCACCGCTCCTTCAAGATCGACAAAGCCACCATTCTTCTTAGAATTCCGTGGCGGCTTGAACGGCTGGTTCTCATCGGTTCGTGTGTATGGAATTAGGTCGTTGATTAGATCGTGGCCGGGCAGCTTGAAAGTTCGCATCAGCTCAAATACGGCCTGCTCCTTGTCCTTGGCCTCGATCATCAGGTCCATCGTAGGAACACAGGGTGGTAAAGTGGCCACGCGGTCGCTGTGCTTACGTCGTTGCCGAGGGGTAATGGCCGGAGCAGTTTGCTCTGAATAGTGCATCTTCTGTGTGATATCCTTTCGGGACCAGGTGGCCGCGATACGGTCGTAAAGCGCCATGATATCCTGCGTGCCTTCGCGCAGCTCGTTCCCATCGAACAGAATGTTGTGATGGTGGTAATCAAGTACGAGAGGAATATTCAACTCCTCGCAGATGGGGAGAAGGTCATGGACTGTCCAGCTGACGTCGTCGTTCTCCAGGACCAGCCGGTTCTTGATGTCCTGCGACAGAACAGCATAATTCTCGCGGAAACGGTCCAGAGTTGCTGCCTTGTCACCAAAGACGCCGCCCATGTGCAGAATCATTACGGCATCACGATCCTGTTGCGGAGGCAACTTGAGAAGCTGAAGCATCTCTGAGTGATACTCGAGGTCTCGATAGGAGCTTTCCACCACTTCTCTCCTGGGGGACCCGAGCTGGGTGAACTGGCCAGGATGAACCGATACTCGGTGGCCCAGTTCTGCAACCACCCGCCCTGCATCTGCGAGTACTTCTGATGCGAACGGCGCCAGTTTGTAGCCATACTCTTTATGGCTGGCAAACGGGAACATCTCGCTGCTGAGGCGCATGAACTTGATGCCGTACTTATCATTCCAGCGCAGGAGCTTGACTAGGTCGCGCGCATTGGCAAGTCCCAGTCCCTCGACAAAGGCCTGCCCTCGCGCGACGTCTGCTGGTTGTTCCCGATTCGGCCGATTCTTGGTTGGGTGTGGGGGCTCGTTGGGATCATTCAGTGGATGCCGATTTTCTAAAATGGAGGCAATGCGGCATGTACGGGAGCAGAACACTGGGGGATTGGAGTAGCGGAGATAGGTATTCAAGCAAGCCTGGGCACACATCAGCATTGGCAGTTCAGAAGATCAACAGAGACATTGTTCTGCTCGGAAGGAACTTACATATCCCAGGCGTCCTTTCCAGGGTAGAGGAAGGTAACTGCTGTTCACTGGAGGCGGCCGTCCCAGAGCTTCCTGAAGCTCCTCCGCGTCCACCGGCACATCTTCGTCCGATTCTGGATCGAGGGAGGCCTCAGCCTGACCAGCAGGTAGAGAAACGTCCCCATTCAGAATATCCGCCGGCTTCACGCCGGCGACAGTTGTATCTATCGCCATGGCGACAGCTTCCGGATTGAACGCGTTATCAAGATCGTGCGCGAGGCCCTGTGAATGTGTCTGAGGAGTCGATGCGACAAGCTTGCCGGGGTATGTCGAGAAGACCGCGAGACCGGTGGGAGCACTTGGGTGGAGAAGAGGAAAGCGCGGAGCCAGTCGCGCGACATGAAAAACTTGGCCCAGAACCAGGGCAGGCGATCTGGCGCTCGCCACGGCAATCGATCGATCGGGTAGCCTCAGTGACGAGGGGTGGCGACGGGCCCCCGGGCTAGACCTCGGGGGGCCGGCATGCTGGATTGGCGGTGCACGCAGCAGCCGTGCGAAAGACCGACACATGCAGCGTGCTGTCCAACTTCTGGGAGGAATTGGGGGTTGAGGGGGGTGTGCTGGAAGAACGGAGGTTGCATTTACGGCTGGATTGGCGCGCGGGTTTGCGGCGGGACGATGACGCGCTAATCGCAAGGGCGCGACGCATCGCGGAGTTGGACTATACTCCGTACGGCATACAACCAGGAACAAGGTCGGCTCTGTATGATAGGAGACTAGAACGACAGAGTCTAGGGAAAGCACACGAGTATTTCATTTTGAATCTATACTACTGCTCTACCATTAGCAGAAGGGAAGTGGAGTCATCCTATTTTTTTTGTTTTCACCCAGCGACAAGGTACAGGGAGTCTATACCCTCGTGATGAAAAAGGGCGACAGTCCACAACGGTCTAATATGGTCTGGAGGTGGAGTAAGGCAGGCATCTTCCAATTTGTGTCAGGAACCTGGAACCGAGTAGGATATTGCTTGACCACTTGCATTGCGGTTATATGATGCCAGGCTGGCCCAGAATTGATGCGGCGGAGTTCTTGACTTCTACAGGATAGGATGAGCCAGCCAGCTGACAGAATAAGCTGGACAACCCCACGATGGAAGAGGAGTCCAAGCTCCTTCTCACCAAGTATGACTCTATCCAGAAGACGTGGACGAACGATCAACACGGCCGTGAGGAACATTTCACGAGCCCTGACCTGCGGCATGCAGGGCGCACCAGGGGTAGGCAGGACAACCCCTTAGGTCCAACACGTCTGGCCAACACCCTTGCGGTATCTATCAGGGCAGTGCAGCATATCTACTGAGTGCACTGGATGGAAGGGACGGGCTGTGGAACATGGCAAGCAGAATTGATCTTGATCTTGATGAACGGGGAAAAATGGGTAAAATAGCCCTAATCCAACCCAGATCGTTTGATTGAAGATGTAAGCAGAGTGCAACGAAATTCCCAGCAAAGCGACAACGAAGGGAGAATGCAGAAGCTGTCGCGCGGTCAACAGACTTGGTCTTGCACACTCAGTTCAGAGGTCCATTCGACGCGTGTTGAGTGCTTGACATCATGGCCAGATTCCACGGTAACTGGGCTCGCGGAGAATATTTTCAATGCGGAATGAAGGCACTCACACCGTGGCTCTCATATTTGCGAGGCCTACGCAATCAAGCCCCTGTGGCAGCTCAACCTAAAGAACCTGTGATGTGTGGTAGTGCGCTGGCCTCGTCAACGGGACGATGTTTGGATATTGGATATGGATAGAGTGATGTGTCTAGATCCCTGTTACCGTCGAGCACATCAACGAACGCACTGTTTTGCGGAGGCGGAAGACAGTACCATCCTCCAGAGTGGGAACTTTACCATGGACTTCTACTCGTTACGGCTGGAATGGCGCGATTATCGCCAAAGTCCATCTGGTCGAGGCAAGCGCGAGTGGTGCACCCGCATTCTTCGCGTTGCGAGGCCGTTGCGTGCCCGACATACATCGTGGGCTTGGACCGCAAGGCGATGGTATCTCCCATTCTTTTGGCCAACGCTGGAGAATGCTAGTGGCTAGCAGTATTTATTTATACTCGACGGGGCCGAATTCGCCTTCCTCCTGGTTTTTCAACCGTCTGTCTTTTGCAAGTTGAGAGATTTAACCCTGGTGGTTGAGTGCTTAGCTTCAGACTGTTGACCTTGATACCCGCTTGTTTACGAGTTATCCTATTCTTTTTTGGTAAGTAGATGCGCACGATACCTGGTACTTGGATTGAGGAGCTCTCTGGTCGACTAACGAGGAGTAGATTCTCTCCATAATGAAGGGCATTGCGATCCTCGGCGGCCTGTTGGCGAGTGGTGCCTCTGCGCATATGCAGATGATGAAGCCCTACCCTATCCGCAGTCCTCTGAACAAAGACAGCCAAGGCCAGAAGGACTACTCCTACACGAACCCGCTGTCGACTTCGGGAAGTGACTACCCGTGCAAAGGTTACGCCAACGACCCGTTCGAGTCGCAGGCAACCTACTCTCCCGGCCAGTCGTACGATATGGAGCTTGATGGCAGTGCCACCCACGGCGGCGGCTCTTGCCAGCTCGCCTTGACCTATGACCACGGCAAGACCTTCAAGGTGATCGAGTCAATGCTGGGCGATTGCCCGATCGCGAAGAAGTACGACTTCACGATCCCCTCCGATGCCCCGTCAGGCGAGGCCCTGCTGGCCTGGACCTGGTTCAACAAAGTTGGAAACCGCGAGATGTACATGAATTGTGCTATGGTCACGATTGGGGGCGGCTCGAGCAGCGCTGGGAACAAGACTCAGAGCACGAGCAAGGGCAAGGTGGTGCACGGCAGCAAGCTCGTCGACAAGCCGATGGCGGCGGTGGGCAAGATGTTGCACATCAACCACCCACCCATGGAGCAGGCCGACAAGCGCGACATGACCGATGACGCGGATGACACCGAGATGATGGGTCAGTCCAAGACCGCCGCCTTCGACAGCCTGCCTGAGCTCTTCGTCGCCAACGCGGGCCAAGCAGGTGGCTGCGTGACAATCGAGGGCGAGCCGGTTGACTTCCCCAAGCCGGGAGACAATGTCGTGGGCAAGATCGATGGGAATGGCAAGGGCTACAAGTGCACAGGCAGCGCTCCTTTCCTCTCCAGCAGCGACAGCGACTCTTCTTCCTCTTCCACTTCCAAGTCGGACTCTCCTGTCACTTCCACCACCAAGTCGGACGCTTCTTCCACTCCCAAGTCGGATTCCAAAGAGGTCAAGAGCACGTCCTCCAGCAAGTCGTCCTCCAGCAAGTTGTCCTCCAGCAAGACGTCCTCTATCAAGAAGTCCTCTAGCAAGAAGCCCACCAGCAAGACTTCTTCCACGACAGACGCCGGCAAAACTACCACCAAACAGCAGAAGGAGACCGACTGTCCCGACGAGAAGTCGGCCCTGTCCACTCGCAGTACCACCACTGACACCCCGTCTGTGTCCAAGGTCGCCTCGCCATTTGGTACTCCCACCGCTGATCCCCGTGTTCTCAGTGGCCAGGCTTCTCTCAGTGGCCAGTCAACTGCCGTGGCCTCGACCAACAACGCCTTCTCCAGCTACGTTGCCCAGTGGACCTGCACTTCCGGCGAGATTCTATGCTCTCCTGATGGATACACCTGGGCCATGTGCTCCAATTCACGCCCCATATTCATGGGCGCCGTTGCTCCGGGCATGATGTGCCGTTTGGGCGAGATGGTCGCTGCCGGCTGGAGTCCTTGAAAAGATCTTTCCCTTGAGAAGATATCCCCGACTGGGTCGGTCAAGTCTTGTTCTTCTACCCTTCTTCCCTTGGTGTTTGGCGCCGGTGTTTTCTATTTCCTATCGACGGAGCAATGGTCGTGTGATGCTTATGTCGATGCTGATGTCCTCATGCTTTTGATATTCCTAATGACGGTATCGGGATGTGTTCGGTTTCTGCAGGTGTATTAATGTTTTGATGCATGGGGGTTGGTCAGGGTGGCTTTTGTTTCCGTTTTTATGTCTATGTAGCCCTAGGAACAATATATTCAACCACTACTTTTTACCTACTATGTCCATCCCGATCAGATTGTAGAATTGTCATCATTCCATTCACTATTAGTATTATGTCGTATGCAAGGCCCGCAAGCCCTGCCCATCTGGGTGCTGATCACCGTGTCTCCCAGGTAACGTACACATTCAATCTGAATAGCAAAACATGGTATCTCAGCTCGAAATGGCGAAAAGGTTCATACATTCATCGACTGGCACCTTCAGAGCACGAGTCGGCCAAACAAAAAGCACAAGATCCAGGTGCATAGCATGTAGTAGCAAGCACACAACCACCCTATATCCTAGCGAGATATATATATATATAAAAGCAAGATGGGCATGGATCTGCACAGCCTAAGCCTTAGTAGTTACCGGTGTAGGCAGAGCTACCGTAGCCATAGCCATTCTGTACCCCCGTGGCAGGCGTACTGTTGACGTTGGTGTCCTTCTTCCCACCCCATGAGCCGAACCAGTTCTTCTGGGGTTGCTTCTCAGTGCCCATCTCGACCTCACCGGGGGTGGGGTGTCCGGGAAGAGCATCGACTCCGCCACTGGCCACGGGGTTGTTCTTCTTGCGGCCCCACCACTTGCGGCTGGTGCCGGAAGTGTAGTTGTTGGCGGGGGAGGGGCCGAAACGCTTCTCGCGTTTGTGGTGGCGGGCGAGCAGCACCTGGAAGAGAATGGAGATGAGGAAGAAGAAGCTGGGGGGAACAGTCAGTATTGATGATCACGGGTGGTGGTTGTGTTGGGGGGGGGGGGCGGCAAATCGGGTGTGCACTCACATTCCGATAATCGAGACTGCAAAGACAACCTTCTCCAGCTCGCAGGCCATCTTGAAGCTTGTGCCGGCTGGGGTATCGGCGTTATTATCGGCATTGCCCTTGCCCAGCGGGGTATCCACAGTCCCTTTGCACGTCTGGGTTCCGCGGCGGGTCATGATGGCGATGGCGATCATCGCGCCGGTGAAGCAGACATCGAGCACGACACCGAGGAAAGCGAAGAAAGCGACTCCGCCGAGACAGCAGACGAAAAGGGTCCCCAGGATGCCGTAGAGGGTGGCGGCACCGGCTAGACCCTCGACGGCCTTGATATAGGTTGGGATAGCGAGATCATGGCGGGCGAGGACGGCGAGGTAGTAGGAAAAGATGCCAAGGATGACGGCCGAATCGAGGAACTGCAGCACGCGGATGGCGAGGCTGAAAAAGCGCAAGACAACTCCGCCGACTCCCATGATGGATGGTGACGATGGAATGCACGTATTTTGCAAATATGTGGGAGGGTTGCACGGTTTAAAGAGCGAGGGCCCGCGAGGCAGCAGGATTCAGGGCGGATTATAAGAAGACCCTGGCACCTGCGCGACGCAATAGTTGAAGATCAGTGGATGCGCCCCAGCCGATCCCTGGCGCAGCGCCGGCCCTGATGGGGACATGGCCGGGTCTGCGCCACAAGGCGTGCGCTTGGCGGGCCTCAGGGGATCCGCTGATGTCAGTCTGGCGCAAAAAGCAGTGCTTGGCAGGCTTTTGATTTGAGGGCGACGAGGCTGGTGGAGGATCGAAGCTCCACCCTGCCGCTTCGAGACGGCGTTCGCTCTGGGCAGATTACTGATTTGGTCCGGGCGGTGCAGTGGAAACCGCCACTGCATGTGGAGACTGAAAGTACGCCGGCAAGGGCACTATGGCAATGGCAGCCAATAATGATTATTATGGCAAAGATGACTGAGGCAATGCGCGCATGGCAAAAAGGCGAGGAGTTCCCAGCCCTTCGTGTTGGAGCCATCGCCCAGAGAGGCTGGCAACTTCCCGATGCGGTACTCCTACGTCTACTCGCAAGACCCAACGGATGAGATGAAAAAGTATAAACTATACACTATGCGATACATGCAGAACTCTATCTCCTATTCTTCACCACCCTCCCAAGATAGCTACCATCCGAGCCAATCAGGCTGTCCTTACGATTGCACATCCACTAGTATCTTGCAGTGTTGATCGCGATGATCCAATAGTGCCTGGAAGCCCTTGTCCACTACCTCACTCAGTGCAATCCGTGCGGTAATCATATCGGCGGGCTTGAGTTGGTCTGCAAAGAGTTAGAACACAGTCCAGCCACTTCAATCCCAAGAAAATATTCGAATCAATCATCCCGGGACTGGATAATCGGAGCACCTACCAGTGCTGATGGCCCGAATTGTATCCAAAAAGGAGCCCTCATCATAGAGTGCCGATCCGATATACCGCACCTCATTGTACGTCAACTTGTTCACTGGGATGACCGGCGCTTTTTCCCAAACGGCGATATTCACAATGGCGCCCTGCGCCCGACACGCCGGGATGGCGCCTGCAAGCGCGCCCTCCACCCCCGCCGTGTCGAAGATAATATCGGCCCCAACCCCGTCCGTCAGCGTGTGCACCCGCTGAGCAACATCCACTTCGCGCGGGTCCAGGATGTCCGTAGCCCCGTACTTTGTGCAGAGTTTCTTGCGGTTATCCATGAGCTCAGCGACCATGATCTTCTTTGCGCCTTGCAGGGCTAGTACCTGCACCACGCCAATGCCGATAGGTCCCCCACCGACGACCAGCACTGAGTCGCCTGGTTGGAAGGGAGATACGGCTACGGCATGCCAGGCGACGGCCAGTGGCTCGATGAGCGCGGCTGCTTCGAGGGTAACGTTATCGGGGAGGGCATAGAAGTGTCCGGCTGGAGCGACGATCTTTTGAGACATGCCCCCACCAAAACCTACCCCCGGGACGTTGGTAAGTATACATGCGGTGATTTTGGGTGTGGCGCGAGAAGAGTAGACTTACCACTCAGTCCAATGAAGCCGATGTTCTCGCAACAGTGGTACTTGCCCTGCTTGCAGGCGCAACATGTACCATCGTAGATGGTCGGACGGACGACGGCGCGCTGGCCGGGGGAAACATGGGTGACATCGCTGCCCACTTCTTCAATGATGCCGCCGAATTCATGGCCCATTGAAGCGGGATATGTCGAGCCCGTGATAGGATGGGGATGTTCGGGGATGAGTACCGGACCAGCTGTGTACTCGTGTAGGTCTGTTCGATGTAGTGAGAATCAACAATCATCACTCTTCACTTTGGGTGCTATATGAACATACCACTGCCACAAATTCCGACATATGCCGGTCTCATCTGTAGGATCTTAGTATGACCACATGGAAGAATCAAGTACAAAAGTGTACAAGTGTATACCTTCACTTGGCCCTTTCCGCAAACGGGTTCTTCTACTTCGTCAACGCGGATATCGCCTGGTCCATGAAAGCGCACTGATTGCATCACTCGGGCGCTCTTGAGTGTCGTATGCAGCGTATCTGCCGCTTGGGTCGAAGTATTCAGCATGTTGACTGAATTGTATAGACTGCTTAGTGCACTGGAATCGTCTGTCTTCCTTGTAGGGGTATCTTCGCTGCCTGGGCAGTCACTGTCATTGCCGCTGGGTATTACTTTGCAGTCAATGGAAAACGAAAGAGGTTATTAGGTCGAAGGGGTGGCCAAGCAATATATAGGAATGAAGAAGAGTAAAGAGCCACGAAAGTACATCTACAGAGTGGCCACCTATGTAGATAGGACAACTAGCACTGGCCAGGGCGACGAGCAAACACTGGTGATTCATAGAATACAGAAATGGAGTTGATTCAACGTCATCTATCGCAAGTATGAGAACGTTCAGCGTGTGCGGATGGGGCTCAGAGAAAAGAAAGCAGGTATCACTCAGAGAGGCGATATCATAGTCCAGATTACTCTTGCCCTTGGAGGGACAGCCATTTGTTGGGTTCACCACACGGTGCGCAGGGTGTGCATGGATAACGTCACGAGGAGCTTTCAAGAACGGGTTGGGCGGGCTGTTGGCCCGACAAAGTACGATTTCGGCTAGCCAAGACCCTTGAGGAGTTCGAATAACATAGAGGGTAGGCAGTAGGGGTCGACAGTGGGCTGTGGACGCCACAGTGAGAACTTGACGGGTATGGCATGACGTCACGGAACACTGGTGGGTGGTCTAGAGAGCCCCGGCTATGGCAGTATTTGCAGGGACAGGATCGCCCTTGCATCTAGTGGAACAATCGGAAGCATGTTCGAGGCACACCCGATGACCCGGCTGCGCCTTGGAACAGCCCCTGGAGGCAGGGATGTGACAGGATCGAGAGCCGGCAGGAGAGTTGCAATTAGGTTGGTCGTACATTCATACATCATAGAAATCATCGGTGGCTTTCCCCAGATACAGAGTTGGAAAAGTTCCCACCAATGAGCGTGGGGCATCGTGGTAGCAATACGCGGGGTTGTTGCCAGCAATATAAACAATGTCCGTGCGGGCTGGCCAACCCGCGGGTGGCGGACCAGCCATTCAGGAGGTCTCTTCGTGCTGCTGCTCAACGAATGCATGCAAAATCGAATCCAAGCCTTCGTTACGGCGAGCGAGCAGCATCACATCGGCGACGTTAACAGTGGACCGCCCGGCATGTCTATATCGGGTAATGCCGACCAGTTAGAGTTCGTACCACCATGGATAGCCCACTGGGAGGAAACAAGCAAGGAAAGGCACCGTCTTGCTTAGTAGTCTGCTGGGGCTGACTCACCTAGCGAACGACTCCAAGTCCTGGCTGACGGTCTCTGTAGAATCGTCAGTTACGCGTCCGCTACGGACACTGGACGCTATGGCGCAGCCATTGAGGGAACGGAACACGGAACACGGAACACAATGACCTTTGAACAATCGATACCGAAGGGCAAAGGTCAAGATGTGTACATACCAATCTGGGCCCACACCATCTCTGTGAGGGCACCGATGAACTGAGGCGTGGCGTTGACGCCTAACTTGATAGTCTCCTCATCCACGATCTTGCCAATGGACAGCCAGAGGGCGGACTTGAGGCGCTATGCGGGGATTACCGGTCAGCCTGTGTCCCCATGTTGGGAAATAACTGTAACTCACCTCCTCAAGGCCAACTTCTTCGACTTGCTCCATGCTGAAGAGGAGGAGAGAAGATGATAGTGGTCAGTCTGCTAGCCCAGGCGCGTCCCATACATGAACCGGCGGGCGGTGATTGGCTCTGGACGCGTCCTCCGGACAAATAATTTATCCGCGGGGTTATCGCGCCTTCCGTTTTTGAACATTTCTCATGCCTTCGAAAAAGGACCATCGGAGCTTCCTGCCTCAAACGCTCATCACTTGCGGGTCTGAGTGCTCTTTCCCTTTTTTTTCTCCCCTCGGGGAATCGGCTGCTTCCTTTATTCAGCTCTCCCGTCTCGCGCCAATTTACTACCCTTCAATTCCACATCATTTGATCAATTGATCCCATCCGCGGCCACCCGAGCTCCAGCATTCCCCGCCGACTGAAAGAGCCGAGCCCATCCACACCAACAAGCCATGGCCGCCGAACGCCCCGACTTCGGCGAAATTGCCGCCGAGGCAGCCAGCGACTTCTTCACGCAGCTCTTCAGCTTTGTCGACACGGTCGTTCGCCGCTTTTGCAAGAACTTCTACGGCTCCTTCGTGGACGTCAGCGCGAAGCGCTGGACCAAGGTTATCGCCAGTGTGATCTTCTATATCATTATCCGGCCGTATATCGAGAAATTCTTCAAGTACCTGCACGACCGCGACCGCAAGAAGGAGAAGGAGAAGAAGGAGAAAGAGAAGGCTGCGTGGGGCGGGAAGAAGGCGAAGATGTCGGCGAATGCGCTGCGCGGCGGCGATGGTGGAAAGGTTCTGGGTGAGGTGGAGAATACCGATGACGAGGTCGAGGATGAGGACGCCGACAGTGAGCTTGCGCAGGCCAGTGGTGTGCCCGAGTGGAACAAGATGGCGCGCAAGAGACAAAAGAAGTATATGAAGAACTTGGAGAAGGGCCAGCGTGCGGAGAAGCTGAGCGAGGATCAGATTATGGAGTTGCTGGACTGGAGTGAGGAGGAGGCCGAGAAGAAGGATGCATAAACGGGGAGTGTCGGCTTGGGTCTGGCACGGTGATGCTGAGGTTGGCCAGCTGAAGAGCTCGGGGGTGAATCGAATCCCATAATCCTATAGATAGCATTGCGTATGTTGCTCATGTGTAATTTTACCCCCCACTGTACTAATCTTGATTAATCTGCATCCCATGGCTTGTTTATCCACATAAATACGTAAAGATTGTGAAGAAATAACATCAACTCTTATGCTTCATCCGGATTGATCGTCAAGCTATTCATGGTCTTCCGTCTAGAAACTAAATAATTAGTGAAAAGGAGAGAGAGAGGGAGATTTAAACCCAAGTCCGATCTTGACCGTGCATCATGAACATAAAAACATGAAAAATTCCTCATCGAAGGCCTCGCGAGATCAATGCAACCGCCTCAGCGCCTCAATCATTCCTTTCACGCTCGCCACATCGCCTGAGCCCACCTCCGCAACAATTTCCTCCTGCACAACAGCCTCGCAGTCAAGGAACCGTTCGATCAGCTCACCATCCACAAAGCGGTACGGTGCCTCCGCGGAGCGCGTGAGGGTCCGGAAGGCACGGAATTTATCGAAGGGCAGGCCGCCGAGAGACTCGACTTTGCTGGCGATGACACTCTGGAGCGTTATAAAGAAGTCGTAGTGTTCCGAGTTGATCAAGGCGAAAAGGTAGATTGAACCTTCGACCTGTAGTGGGAAGGGGGTGTTAGCTCGAGGCTTGAGTGATAGGATAAGATTAGAGGGCACGAACCGTTGCGACGAAGGCCCGTGGTGTTACTGTCAGACTGGCAAGTTGTTGGATGTGGATGGGACGGATCCGGTTGACCATTTCACCTAGCCTAATCTCGCTGGTTGGGACGAGACGGTGCTTGTCTTGGTCGGTGACACCTCCTTCGTTGCGGGATAGCACGATGAGGTTGCCTTCAGCTTCGCTGACGAGAAGCATGTTTTTATCGATAGAGGCGACAGCCGTCGTCCAGACGGTTTGATAGTGTCGGCCGATTTCTTCCAGCTTGTCGTTAACGCCGTCCTGTCCTTTGGTGAATTGCACGATGCAGACGCTCTTCATCAGGTCGGCGACAACAATCAGATCATTGACCACTGTCACATCGATGGGTGCTGTTGATGTGCGGTATGTGGCAGTCTTTTCGATCTTGATCGAACCAAAGTTGTTGTTGATCACCTTAAAAACGACAACCTGGAAGGAAAGCAGCAGTCAGCCAACACCGTCCAGGTTTTGACAAGGACGGCCTCATCACTTACAGTTTTGACTAAGGCTGCGACAATTCGGTCACCCATCATAGCTAGCGCGCGGCACGCACCCTTGACTCCTAACTCGGCGACCTGGATCAACCTGCGCCCATGATCAACTTCCAGCACCAGAATCCGCCCGCGGATAGATTCGGCTCGATCTTCGTCCAGATACGCCGTGCCAACAATCCACCGGTCCTTAGTAACATCTTTCCCGTTCTCATCCTTGCCAGCCGGAAACTCAGCGCGAATGACACTTTCGACTAGCTCGTCTGGGTGAAGTTCCAGCGCATCCAGGCGGCGGAACAGGATCTCGTCAGCGAGCACGAAATGACTCTTGACGATTTCAACGCCATCCTCCAGCTTGCGGTCGATCGTGCCGAGACCAAAGGCCTTTTCAGATGGTGAGTAGGCGACGCGACGCACAGTCGAGCCCATTGGTAGTGTTTGGATCTGTGTTGTACGCTCCTTATCTACAAGCGCAATCTTGAGCTCCCGTGCCGTAGCCACGGCGATAGACTCTGGAAATGCCTCTGTGTTCAGGTGGCAGATTCGGGAGGCGCCCTCAGAGTTAACTGCGGAGTATATAATTCGCCCCTCGGAGCCGTAGATCAGACTCGGATTCTCACAGGTAGCGAAGACGTTATACAGGCCGTCGCCCCGGGGAAGTTTCTTGAAGGTTGGTTGTTCTGATCCGAGGATCAACTTCATCATGTCGGTGAGTGCGTATGTTTGCGGGTCCAGTGTGAATGTGATGACGCTGCCGTCGGCCATGGAAATGAACAGGGTGGGTGGGCTGTCTGCGAGGACGTCTGCCACCAGAACGGATCGGGGGAAGGCCTCCCCTGTTGGGCCTAGTGACTGGCTTTGCAGCTCGGACAGATCCTGGAGAGCCAAGATGGACACTTTGGCGGACTGGGGGAACCCAGCAATGCAGACACCTCCAGGCTTGGCTGGAACTGTCACGCCCGATATCTGCTGGTCTGCACCCATGTCCTTTTGTGTAATGAGCTGGGTGTTATTTTGGATATCAAAGGTCGCTAGGCCCTGGCCACCAATAACTAGCACCAGGTGGTCATCATTGGCTGAGGCTGCAGTAATCGCCTTCTGCGTCGGGGGCGTCCACTCGAATGTGACCATCCCGTTTTCAAGATCAGCAATCAGGGCTTTCTTCTCCGTAACCTGCAGGATTCGACCCCCTGGCAAATTAGCTGCCAAGAGTGTACTCTCCGCCAGAGAGAGCCCGAGGAAATCCTCCAGCTCCTCGACTTCTCCATCGGCGCTGAAGCGAAATACCCGCGTTTCATCGACGAAGGTCACGAGCAGCGTATCGAGGAAGCTCCCTGTGCTTTGAGCCTGCAGTCCCCATAAATCTGTGATGTGATCCATTTCACCCAAGACACCAAGCTCCTCCATTCCGACACCACTACGCACACTTCGCAGAGTTCCATCATCGAAAGCACCTGAGCCAGTCACGATCCGAGCTTGTCCTGTCGAGAACTCGTGCGTCTGAACCTCACTTGTGCGGTTTCCTAGATCCATCAAGGTGAAGTCCAAGATGGGTGCAATGTTAGACAGGGTCTGAATGACCTCAAAGGAGCCATCGCCGATGCGAAGCACCTGTGAATCACCCTGATGCGAGCCGACAAACAGAATTCCGCCGCCGAGGTACACAAGCTTTGTGGCTCGAGATGTACTTCCCAGATAGTCCAGTTTCCAATCCTCGACGTTGCCTTCGTTGTTCAATACGAACATCAGGAAGAATAATCGTCCATAGTCATCAGCGAGCAACCACCGTTGACTATCGACCTTCTCCCAGGCTACAAAGACAGTTGCTTCTTCAAGGTCGCGCGAGATCATGTCATTTGCATTGTCGTCGATGTATTTGATAGATGTCTCTCCCAGGACAATGAGGCCACCTGCCCTAGTCGTCAGCACAAGCAGTCTATAGGAGAAAAGTACGATCAGAAACACACCTAGCGGAGCAGGAATAGGAATCAAATGCGACGAGCCCAGGTCAAGCTCATGCGCAAAAACACCCCCATCCAGCTTCTTCTCCTGCACCTCCTTAAACGTAGCATCCGCAGGCCCACTCGGAGTAGCCCGGCTATACTCCAGCTCCCGGATCCGCAGCCGGACCTTCTTCTGGTTATCCTCATACAACAGCGCGAGCCACGGCTGATTGGACCCGGAGTGCAGGAACGCCGACGACCTCACGAACAGCTCATCAATCCGCGACGCAGTCGGCTCGCCCAGTTCCCCGACCTGCGGCGTATCAGCTTGTAGTGTGGCCTGCGAGACGCGGCCCTTTCGTTTCGTCGACTCGATGATCGGGATCACCACGATCACGCCCTCGTAGACCTCCAGCGTCATGAACCGTCCGCTGGGATCAACCAGGCACCGTGGATCGGTCTGCGATTCTCGGGCCGAGGGCTCTGCGATATCAACATAGCTGCGGGCTGTTCGGACTTGTCGCTTCTCCGTGTCCCAGGCGAGTGTGAAGTAGTTATACTGGTCTGTGCCAACGAAGAGGTGGTCGGTCGGCGAGTTGGCCGGCGCCGGGAGACGGGCCAGCATGGTGACCTGCGCGTAGAGCGCGCGGGTCTGGGCCAGGATCAGGCCATCCGGGGTAAGGGTGTAGAATTCGAGGCGATTGGCTTTTCTAGGACAGGGAATTTTGATGTTAGCATGCGCCGTGTTTGCGTCGCGCCCCGAGCTTGCCGGGAAGCAAAGCCCCAGATACCCGAATCCCAGCCGTCTATACAGTGGTGACACTCACGCTACCACCAAGCAGTCCTCCTCGGAATTCATAAAATTCAGCTTCACTGCATGGCGAATGCCACTGGCCCGATGGATGGGTACCACGTAGGCCATGGTGGGTGTCCCACAGGCTGCGGTATCGCAGTATTTCGTGCGGGTCGCAGCTTGTCGCAGGACCACTGCGGGGGGATGATGAGCACCAAAAGGATCGAGGAAAACTAACTCAAATCCAGTCGGGCAAGGGTGGGATAGTTTAGGCCTGAGGTCGGTGATGGCGCATCTCCTCGGGAATTCGAAATTTCCAGGACTGTGAGCTGCAGCGAGGGGAGGAAGGATGTTGGAGGTCTGCCGGGCGGTGCCAATGACGACGTTTTAAGTCCGCGCTTACAGCCGAAAACAGGCGGGATCAGCCCGACTGCCCAGCGAGTCTGTTTAGAGGATGTCGCTTTCCGAGAAGTTCTGTAGGTTGCATTTTAAATATATTCGGTAGCTCTCTATATGAAATCCAGTAGATTGAAATCCTTTTTGTAAATTTCAACCACGTCTACCGAAGAAACCATCACTCAAATCCCGCCCACGCAGTGCTCCCGTTGCAAGCAGAAACGAAACGCTGGAGAGCTTCCAAATATAAGAGAATTTGTCCACAGCTCGAGGCCGATAAAAGTTGAAGCAAAAATGGGAGGAGAGAGAAAAAAAAAAAAAGAAAAGGGTAGGCATACATCAACCCGCCAAGAATAGGAAATAAATACCGATTTGGCAAACACAAGGGGCCGAAAATGTATGTGCCCGGGTCGTCTAGATAGCAAAAGTCAAGGGGGAGGCAGGGATTATGACGGCACTGCGGAAAGAAAGGGAAATGGGAAAAAACAAACAAACGTGTCTCATCAATCATGACCACACATCCTCCTGGTAGCTGCCGCTACTCCGCATGTGCTTGACCATCTCTTCACCCTTCTCGGAAGGCATACCACGCTGCTGAGCGATGATATGACCCAGCACCAGGTTGACCTCGCGGGCCATGTTGGCGGCATCACCGCACACGTAGAAGTTAGCCTTCTGCTTGAGCAGCTCGCTGACAAGCTCGGCGTTCTCCTTTAGACGGTGCTGGACATAGACCTTCTCGGAACCCTCACGGGAAAAGGCGGTGATGATCTTCAGAGAGTCACCCATCTGCTCCTGGTAGGTCTGGAGGAATGAGTCAGTTAAATTGCTTTGTTTGGATGAAAGTGGTGGTGTTTGGAAAGACTGTTTCTCTTACCTGGAACTCTTCCTGGTACAGGAAATCCTCGTCGCGCTTACGGCATCCGAAGAACAGCAAGGTAGTGCCAACCTTCTCGCCCTTGGCGGCCAGAGCAGCACGTTCCTGGATGAAACCACGGAAAGGAGCAACACCAGTACCGGGGCCAACCATGATGATGGGCTTTGCCGGATCGGAGGGGAGCTTGAAGTTGGAGTGGCGGACGTGGACGGGAACATGGATACCATCGTACTTGTTTCGGGGACCGGTAATCGCGTAGGTCAGGCCGTGAGGGTCGGGAGAAGGATCGCCGTTCTGCTTCTGCTTGAGAGCTAGGAGGTAATTGGTGGTGACACCCTTGACCATGTGCGAGGCGCCAGGCAGGCGAACGGACTCGACGACAGCGGTGATGCTGATCTTGTCCTTCTGAACCAGAGACGAGGAGGAGATGGAATAGTAGCGAGGTTGGAGCTTGTTGAGACCTTCGACGAGCAGGGAGAACGGAACGGCAGTGAAGGTCTTGGGCGTGATGCTCTGCAGCGCCTGGGCGATGTTGAAGCAGTGGTTGGAGATCTTCTCGTGGAAGTAGTCCTTGTCACTACCCAGGCGCACAATCTCGGCCTTGCTCTCCTCATCGGGGGCGAAAGCAGCCAGCGTCGAGACGAACTGACGAGAGACGGGGGCGCAGACTTCCATGTAGTAGCGAACGGCGGCATCGTAAGTAGTGGGAGTCGGGATGGGGACCTTAGCAGTGACATCAATCCCCTTGATGTTGATGACCGAGTGCCGCTTGTCCGCCAGATTGAAAACCTGGAGGAAGCGGTCGACCTCGGCACCGGCGTTGGTGGGCCAGACAGCGATGTGGTCACCGGTCTGGTAGCTCAGGTTGCTACCGGCGATGCTGATCTCCATGTGCAGGCAGTTACGGTCCTTAACAGTGAACAATTCGTGGGATTCGACAATCGGGGCAATGTACGGGTTGTGGGCGGAGTACGGGCCTTTGGGCTGACCGTCGCGATGGGCGGAAGTGGGCTCTCCCAGGTACACAGACTCATCCTCGGGCGACTTTTCGTCGTCCTCGGAGACACAAAAGACCGGCTCGTAGACAGATTCACGCTCCTGCAGTCCCATCGCCTCGCTCAGGGCAGCCCACATCGGTTCCTTCCAGGCCAGGAAGTCCTCCTCCATGGTTCCGGCACCGTCGTCACCTTCACCGGCAGATCCAATGCGCTGCGCCCCCAGCTTGGTGAGGGCGGCATCGACCTCGCGGACCATAGCGTTATAGTGCTCGTACGTGTTGTTTCCCAGACCAAATGCAACATACTTGAGGGAGGACAGAGGCGCCTCATCGGCACCCGCGCCGCCCTCAAAGGCGACGTCGTCACCGGTGAAGAACTGGTAGAAGTCGACCGCGTTGTCGGTCGGCTCACCCTCACCGTAGGTGGCCAGCACGAAGAAGGCCACTTTGTCCTCGGGGAACTGGTCCAGGTTCTCGTAGTCGTAGTCCTCGATATCGGCAACCATGGTCTTCAGACCGAAGCGCTGAGAACCTTCCTTGGCCAGGCGCGAGGCGTAGTCCTCGGCGGTTCCGGTCTGCGAGCCATAGAAAATCACACAGTTCTTATTGGTCTCATCCATCTTCCGAACGATGTCGCGAGTCTGGCCGCTTTTGGCGGCGCCATTCAGGGCGGTGGCGGAGGAGGCATAGGGGTCTTTGGGGACAGCCCAGTAGGTTCCCTTGGTGAAGTAGGCGACGCTACCCAGCAAGAGAGCCACTAGGACGACCAGATCGAGGGTGTCAAGTTGCGCCATAATGGCTGGAATTCAAGGAGTCAGACCTTCCCGTGGTCCTGTTCCCCGCAACACACAAGGGGAGAAGTGGTCGTGGTCGTCGTCGGAGAGTTGGTCGGCGGGCGGGCCCGTGAGGAGCGGAGAAATTGGCGGCGGCAGGCGAAAGGGAAACTCAGAAAAAGGCAAAAAGGGGGGACAGACGGAAGAGGCGTCGTGTGGGATGCCAGGATGTCCCTATATTGACCGCAGAAGACCAACACAAAATCCCAACAGGCTCCTGTTCGAAGAAGGAAAGAGGAAGAAGGGACGGGAGGCCAAAGTGGTCTGACCACGGAGATCTGGTCAGATTAAAGTGGAGCTTTCACTTGCCGAACACGCCCTCTCCCGCACGAGTATCGGTGTGCAGCTGGTGCAGGTGCAGTCTGGTCTGCAACAGAAGCCGGTCGATAGCGCTAGAAGAGTACCGCTAGACAGTCTGCTGGAGGGGAAATTGTACAGAAGTATACAATGGGTTTGTTGCATCCCTAGGGAGGGAAAAGCAGGACGAGTAAACACAATCACGTGAGGAATTCCGTGTAAAGAAAAGGAGGATCCAGACGTGATGCTAGTCGCGGGGCTTCATATACTGAGGCTTTATTTTATTTTATGCTCGCGATGAAGTTCATTGCGCCTCGGCTGGAGGAAGCGTGAGGTGGACCGGAACGTGAACTCGGCCAGCAGCCTAAAGGTGAAGGGCCCGCGGCGTCCGTTTCCTAGTGGTTAGCACGACGCCGCACCACTCAGCGCGCGGGGACACTCGTATCCTCCGGACTGCGAATCAGAACCATGTGTCTGCCCTCCCCAGAACCGCCCATTCCCTCGGGTATGGGTCCGTTCGGCAGACCCGTCCGGGAGATCGAGTGTCAATTGCGCCAAACATGCCGTCCCAAAACATTCCTCCTCAGGGTCCGGCCATCAGTGGGACTCAACGGGGACCGTTGTCGAGGCTCGAGAATGTTGCTGGTACTGCATCTGCCTGCATTAGCCCTTCCGGGCCCGGTCTTATCTTCTCTTCCGCGCTTCTCCGACTTCCGTCCTGACCAGCGCCGGCCAATGCGGACAGATTCCGCCATGCACGTCTGTTCCTCGCGTTATGCTTCTGGTCGGGCCTAGTCGGCATGCTCTGCGGGCAGAGCCAGAACCCAGCGAGACTACTCCGTACAACAGGAGGACTGCCCTGTCGTCACGTCGCTGCTCTGCTAAGTTGATGCCCTCGGATCCGAATCACTTGGCTAGCGTTAGCGGCGGCAGCGGCGCGGCCGTTCTCAATTTGCTCCCCCACATTGCTCTCTGCTGGGCTCTCTCACGTTAAGTTATACTTTCACAGGGTGACTGCGATTCTGGTGCCTTACACTCCTGCAGAGGAGGACTCTGTATGGCTGGTGAGTCTGGCTGATGATGGCAGATCCATGCACGCGACAGTACGGAGCACACCGTATGGAGTGTAACTTGGCGCTGATCGGTGGGGGGACCTTTCTTTTCATCTGATTCTTCCCTCTGTCGACGGCCGAGCTGGATCCCCGAACAGCGACATCTCGGGTTCGGTCCATGACTCGCCCTCGCCTTCTCCTACTGAAGCCCCTTGCAAGCCCTTCTCGGCTCCCATCGCGAATCCGCCGGGTTTCCGGTTCGCTTCTGACTGGCTTTTTATCGGAGACGGCTAACCCCCCGGCTAGAGGACGCCTAGCGAGGTATCAACAGGCTACATATCCATGTAGCTGGACTGACGGTCTCAGGAAGATTACAGCGTAGTACCATCCATGGATATGGATATGAAGTTGAAGATGAATTCCGTATCCTCATGTCACCCATTTCTCCAGGCATTTCCTCCTCGACGACTAATGTCGGCTTGGGATCCTCGGATGACTCCACGAGTTCCCCTGCGATCGGACGTTTCAGCTGCTTCTTTGACCCCGCCACACGAGACGCCCCCTGCACAGGAACATATTACGGATCGAGGTCCCGATGTATTAATGCGTTCATGTACTGAGGAGTTCGGGGTTCCCTGTTCCTCGAGCTCGCTGCAAGCTGCATCGGCATTTGCCACTCCAAATGCCCCTCCTCTAATTAGCTGAACGTCAGCGTACCTTGCATCGTCTAAGTACTCCGTATAGCTCTCCATGTAGTATAATTTCGTCGTCGAGTCATCCTTGCGCTGCTGCCCCGGGCTGATCTATCCTACATGTCATATATTTTGCCTGTCACTCGTGCACGGCGTGCCACTTCTAGATGCCTGGGGGAACACAACCGCCCATTCGTCATATCGAAACGCGGCATTTCTCGGTCTGCACATAGAGGAGTTTTGGCCGAATAGAGTCCTCAATCCTTGTTTAGACTTTCCCAGTAGCCCAGAGACCCCAGTTGACACCAGTAAAGACCAGTACCTCCCGCCCGAGCAGGGAGGGAAAAAAAAGTGGACGGGTCCCCGTGCACACCAAATGTTTATCCAAAGAAAGCTCGCCATCCGCAGAGCATTTACAGCACCTCACCAACCTCTCCCCATCCACCCCAACCACACACACCCGCCCCCGTGGGACCCGGAAGACATGGATTGATTCGCTATGTCCTGCTTACTGCCTCCTGCTGACACTCTCGACACGGCAGCCTGCATGCGATTCACCCAGCAATGAGTCCTTGACTCGTCGCGCCAGTAAGTCGCTTCCAGGCCCCATGCACGCCCCGAGTCCCAAATCCGACCTGCTCCGCCTCTCGCCCCGGGAATATCGCGTTATTGCCTGCCTCCAGGCGATGCATCCTCACTAACCGTGTCTTTCGTGCCCAGTGGCATCTCATCCGGCCAAAGCTGCTGGCCCCGGCCAGCAAACACAGCTGCCCCTCATCCCTGACGACCTGAAGTCGGCGTCGCACCACACTCTCGCGTCCCCGTCGGAGTGGCGAGGTACGCGCACCGCCCAGTCGACCCCAATGCACAGCCGCGAGTCCTCTACCGTTCGTGGACGAGCCGCCGACCCTTCCACCCTAGCCCCAACCCTCCAAGCCCGCCGCGGCCACTCCGGTTCCAAGAGCCCCGACGTTTCAGCAGGCCGCCCGGCAGGATATGACGTGGGATTGGAAAGGCGACCGTCCAACTCGTACGGCCACCATCGCCAAACCTCCATCGTTCATGGCATGCAGCATTCGCGCAATCCAAGCATGGCCGGTTCGACTGCTTCCGCTAGCCCGCTGAGTCCGGAACTGATTGCCTCCCTTGGTCGCAGCGGCTTGGACGAAGCTGGCATACCCCAAAAACTGGATCAGTTGGATCCCCATCCGACTTATCAGAGCCCGGTGGGAATGGCGGCGAGCCATGGACCGCAAGGGACGCTGAGTACCATCCAGGACAATGACACCGACGAACTGATGGAGAGGAGTCCGGCAAGTGTTGTTCACAAACGGATGAACTCTGGTGGAGGAGTGGGCAGACGCGATCGATCCCACAGTCGCTCCCATTCGAAGCATCATTCGGAATCAAAGACTGTGGGGGAGTATGCGTTACATCACCTGTTCAACTCAGTAAGTAGACACTGCGGCGTGAACGAAATAGTGAATTGTCGTCAACGGCTTTGCTGATTTTGGGGCTATAATCTAGTTTGTCGGTAAGGCTGAGAGTAAGATCAACCAAGCCATCTTGAAGCTGGGAGAATCGGAAGCTCCGGTGGAGGAGGTATGCGGACCTGGCGCGGACCCGAGTTTCGATCAGTTGATATCGGCCTTGGGACATATCGCAAGACAGAAGCCAAAGCCACTGATTGATACCATCATGCTGTGGCGAAAAGGCAAGGGCGACGCAGCTATCACTGCAAGGCACATGACGAACGAGCTGGTATGTTTTACCACCCATAATGTTGAGGGCCGAGAGATGCATCGAGAGGGTGAGATGCTAACCTGGGATGGGACGGTGTTGTAGCCGAAGCCAGTGGTAACAGAAAATGGAGTTCTCATGCGTCGCAACACTGAACCAACTCAGGTTCCTGGCGATCAATCTGCCTCCGCGGATCGTCCGCAACAGTCAACTCCATTCCTCAGTCGCCACGAGGACGTCGCACTGGTGGAACGCCGTGCCACTGTCTCTGTCTACCTGGTCTGCAGAGTCTTGATCGAGATCTTCAACCAGAGCAGCCTCGCCTCAATCACCCTTGACATGGCCGATCGTCTGGAAGACATTATCTTCGGTCAAATCAAAACAGTCGACCCAGATCAAATTTCCGCATCCCCCCTTCGCATGGCAAATTGGAGGATCTACGGCCAGTTACTCGGAATCATGAGTGAACTGAACTTCTCAAGTGTCGCCAACCGTTTTCTGACAGAGCTGGACAAGTATCAAAAGGAAGAAGTGGCCCGGGGCCCCTCACGCGACGGTGATGCGAAAGCCGAGCTGCTGATTCTGGGCATGAGAAACCTGCGCATACCAACGTCTCCCGAAGGCTGGCCCAAGTCTTGCGATTTCATGCGGTCTGTGGCCCGCTTGTTCGTCAATGCCCACGGCCAGCGAATCAAGCAAGCGTACTGCTACGTAATTGAAAAGCTTCTGCTTCCTGTGGCCGCAAGCCCGACCACCGACTTCTCACTCCCTCGGTGGAAGGAGTTCTTGGACCTGGTTCAGCCGCGTTTGGTGCAGTTGCTCACAAAGCCTCGGCATTGGGCTGCTGCCTTCTCCTTAAACGTGTTGCTGCTATGTATATCCAACAAGGAGACTTTTACCTCCCAGTGGCTCTCGATGATCTCGAGTCTGCCCGCGCGCCTCAAGGATCGCCCCACTCGCGCTCCAGCTTTGCAGGCCATTTGCCGCCTCGTCTGGACCTACTTCTTCCGCTACTCCGACTCTCCCACAATAGCCCTGCGTAAGGTGGAGGAGGTGGCCAAGATCGCCCTGCCCATGGGCAAAAGGACGTACCTCAGTGCAGAGCCGCCCTTTGCGGACCCCCTGATTCAACTCATCCGGATGATTGGATTCAAGCATCCCGATGTCTGCTTCCGGAACATCATCTTCCCACTGATCAACTCGGACTTGTTCCTCTCCGGCCGAGAGTTGAAAATTGAACAAATGGAGCCAGAAAAAATGGTTATTGGTATTCGCGCCTTTTTGGCCACCATGACCGATCTGGAGACCAGTGACCAGCTCTGCCCTCCGTTCCCGACGGGCTCCCTCCCGAATCCCTTCATGGATAACTCGACCCCTGCCTACTTCCATCGCTCGCAGCTGCTGGCCGAGCCCAAGGGGGGAGCTGCCGCTCAAAAGCCTGGCCCTTGCTCACCATGCCCAGTCAACATTTCCAGACTGAGTGATAATGTCAAAGAGTACTACCTCCGCTTCTGTGAGGTCCTCGGCAAGATCACAATTCTATGTGACAACACATTTGGCGGGCAAGCAGCCCTGGACGAAAAGTTCGGCGGAACAACTCCGAAAACTCCCATCACCGAAGCATTTGGCTTTGGACGGCGCGATGACCATTTGAGCACCCTAGACCAAAAACAAGGGTTCTACGATCTCCTTCACGTCGCAGTGCAAGCCCTGCCTCGCTGCCTCTCCGATCACATCCCCTTCAACTCTCTTATCAACCTCCTTTGCACTGGAACGGCTCATGTCCAGTCTAACATCGCCACATCCTCGGCGGAGTCGCTCAAGGCGATCGCCAGACAGTCTCATGCTCAGCAAGTCACCATCGGATTTGCTCGATTCATCTTCAACTTTGATGCGCGGTACTCCACCATGTCCGACGAGGGTATGCTTGGACCGGGACATATCGAGTCTACACTCCGGCTCTATGTAGAACTGCTCCACATTTGGATCGACGAGATCAAACAGAAGACCAGGGAAGCTGCCTCGGATCAGCTTGAGAAGTCCATTTCTGGTAGCCGGGCTTTGCATCTCGATCTTTCCAGTGTACTCGCGCATGTCGAGGAGATCGAATCGCATGGACTGTTCTTCTTGTGTTCTCAGTCTCGACGAGTCCGCGCCTTTGCTATCAATGTCCTGCGACTGATCACGGAATTCGATAGCGCGCTGGGCAAGGAGAACACGCGGATCATTAGGATTCTCGAGGCCGATTCCCAGCAGATCCTGGATGTGAATGATGAGCAACTCACTGTTGCCGAACGAAGCCGCATTCAAAAGGGCAAGAGGCGGAGCGCATCCCAGAATACTCTCATCGAACTCTGCAGCAGTGAGGTCTCCTACGATTCCACCCTGTGGGCCAAAGTGTTCCCGAAAATCGTTCGGGTTAGCTTCGAGACTTGTCCCTTTGCCGTGACTTTGGGTCGAGAGATAGTCTGTGCACGCCTTGTTCAAATGCACAAGATGATTACCTCGCTGGCTGAACGGACCAGGCCTCAATTCTCTCCTAGTGATGTCTACCAGAGCCGTCCGCTCGGCCGGAGCAACATGACCGCGGAGATTCTTGTTGAGCAATGGAAACTTTACCTGGTCATGGCCTGCACGACTGTAACCAGTGTTGGAGCTCAGTCTCAGAGTCAGCTGGCGAACGCTCAGCATGCGCGCAAAGCTTCGAAAGGAGCTCAGTCTTCCGATAAGATCAGTTCCGCCCGAAGTCTGTTTGCGTTCGTAATTCCTCTCCTCTCCGCTGAGCGGGACTCCATCCGAAATGCCATTGTGATTGCTCTCGGCGCTATTCACAAAAACCTTTATCGTACCCTTCTGGAGTCTCTGCAGTATGCAGTCACCACCTGCAACGAAGAGGCGAAGATACGCATTGGCACCCACCATCGCACCCCTAGCAGCCCTCAACGAAACCGAAACACTGACCGGTTGCGCACCGAAGTCACCCATGTCTACAAACTCACGTCTCACTTCCTGCGGGAGCCGGAGGTCTATAACGACGACTGGATTATCAATAACATAATTACTTATGCCAAGGACATCCGTATCTTCTTGAGTGATGCCGAGGTCCAGAATGACTGGGAATTCCAGCGTCTGCGTTTCCACTACTGTGGCCTTATGGAAGAGCTGTTTGAGGGCGTCAACCGCACCAAAGATCCATCCCGGTGGATTCCTTTCGAGTCCAGAAAATCCGCGTTCTCGCTTATGGAAGATTGGTGCGGTTACTCGCCCAATCAAGCCCAAATCTCCGAGCGAGAAGAGAACATGCGCAAGTTCGCCATGACCCAGCCGCACGAGGGCGGCGAGATGAGAAACGCTGCTGCCGCGATGGAAATTGAGAAGAAGAATCTTCGTGCAGCGGCATTGAGTGCGATGGCTTCTCTCTGTGTATGTATCTGACTTGCTGTCAAATGCGCATTTGTGCTAACCTTGCCATAGGCTGGACCGATTAGCATTACTACCGAGAGTGGATCTGTGCTCCAATTCGACGTGGGTCGTATGCTGTCTTGGATTGATATTATTTTCAACACCATTAGTGACAAGTGGCACTCAATCGGCCGCCGTGCGCTGAAGAATCTCATCATCCACAACCAAGAGCATTCATACTTGATGGAGCGGTCCATCGAAATGTGTTATGTAACCGAGCGCCCCAAGTCGCTTGAAAGTTATTTTGAGGTGTCCACAGAGGTGCTCATCGAGTATCCAGACTATCCCCTTCAATTCTGGAGAATCCTCGGCGCCGTACTGGTCACCCTCGGCAGCCAAAAACGCGAGATTCGAATGAAGTCTGCTAAGCTCCTTCGGAGACTCGAGGAGCGACAGCAGAAGAGCTCCCGTCTCCAGGACTTTGACATCAGTATCTCAGATAAGACTACGGCAGTGTACAAGCTTGCGCAGTTCGAGACGTCGAAGCGACTCGCCAACCAGCATTCTGATCTGGCATTCACTATATTCTCTGAATTCTCGCTGCACTTCCGGAATCTGCGCGCGGATAGTCAGCGAAATATGGTTGCCGCTGTCTTGCCTTGGGTGCAGACCATGGAGTTGCAGGTGGATCCGAATGGTGGTCCAACGGCTTGGTCGTATATGCTGCTTGCTAATCTTTTTGAAATTACCATCCGCTGCAGCACTAACCTGCCGAACCAAGTACAAGCTTTGTGGCAAGCCCTAGCCACAGGACCCCACGGAGGAAACGTCCAGCTCGTGCTTGATTTCATCATCAGCCTTTGCTTAGAGCGCAAGGAGCAGAATTTCGTGGAATATGCCAAGCAGGTCGTCGTCTTTCTGGCAGCAACTCCGGCCGGTTCCAAGGTCATCGAATTTTTCCTTCTGCTGGTTATTCCCAAGAACATGGTGCAGGAGCGTAAAGACCTCACCCCGCAACCTTCAGACGTCAAGAGTCTGCCATATGTCGCTGACCTGGGCACGGTGCTTCCCGTTGGCAATAAGCAGGCTGGTCTTTCTCTCGGACAGGTGGCTCTCATCTTCCTTGTTGATCTCATGGTGGCCCCTGTCACTCTCGCTTTGGAAGATGTGGTCAAACTTCTTCATGTGGTACTCATTCTTTGGGACCACTATACCGTTACCGTGCAAGAGCAAGCCAGAGAGATGCTGGTTCACCTCATCCACGAACTGGTTGCAGCCAAGTTAGCCGATGACGCTCCGGCGGACGCTCGCCAATGTGTTGAGGACTTTGTCGAGTCTATTCGCAAGAGTGACAGCGGTGTTGTCTGGGAGTATGAGGAGAATCAGGGCAGGGAAGAAGAGGCTGACGATCGCCGCGTACCTCTGGCCATGGCCACCGTCACGCGGGACGTAGTCAAGTTCTTCAGTTTCGCTTATGAAGGGGTGGGTGATCTCTGGGCCAAGGAGGCGCTGAACTGGGCGACATCCTGCCCAGTGCGGCATCTAGCATGTCGCTCCTTCCAGGTTTTCCGGTGCATCTCAACTTCCTTGGATTCGCGGATGCTGGCGGACATGCTGGCTCGACTGTCGAACACCATCGCGGACGAGGAGGAGGACTACCAAACGTTCTCAATGGAGATCCTCACCACCCTGAAGATTATCATCAGCTCTCTGGCTCCATCGGACCTTTTGCATTACCCACAGTTGTTCTGGACGACTTGTGCTTGTCTCAATACAATCCATGAGAGTGAGTTTATTGAGAGTCTGGGCATGTTGGAAAAATTCCTTGACCGAGTTGATCTGAGCGATCCCGCTGTGGTGACGCAGCTCCTGGAAGGCCAGCCACCGAAATGGGAGGGTGGGTTCGGCGGTCTTCAGGACCTTGTCTTCAAGGGCCTCAAGTCGTCTGAGTCATTCAATCGTACATTGGACGTGCTTCATCGCCTGAGTGGGCTTCCGAATAACGAGCTCATTGGGGATGGTACTCGACAGTTGTTCACTATTCTGGCGAATCTCCCTCACTTTCTCGAGTGCTTTGATCAAGGATTTGTGGATCAGAAGCCAATTCTGCATGCCAGCTTGCTTGCCCGAGTTGCCGAGAATGAGCGCTGTCCTCGACTCGCTGCATCACTGTTTGGGTTCGCCAACCAGCAGTACAAGACCGAGGGTGTCTTCTTGGACCACATCATCACCGAGATCAAGTCATACTATTTCCCACAACTGGATTTCCAGTGCTTGATCTTCCTCATGGGCCTTCTCACCAACACGACCGATTGGTTCCGCGTCAAGACGATGGAGATCCTTTGTGTATTGATTCCCGAAGTCGATATGCGCCGGAACGAGGTTACCTGCCATGGCCCAGACCTTATCTCTCCATTGCTGCGTCTTCTCCAGACCAACTTGTGCCCCCAAGCGCTCGGTGTTCTAGACAATATCATGACCGTCTCCGGAAACCCGATGGAGCGGCATCACCTCCGCATGAGTATGGCGTCAGCAGTCACATCTCGGGCCATTCGCAAGGAGTACGAGCGCATTCAGAGTCTCTACGGTATTCCGGAGGAGACTGGATGGTCGGTTCCTATGCCCGCGACACAGTCAAGCATGACCCGCAACAATGTCCACGCTGTTTTCTACACGTGCGCCGAGGCGGATGACATGAATGTGGAGGATGCCATGACGCCTGATGTCGAATTCAGGGCCGATGAATTTAAGGACTCGTTCTTCCCCATGATGAGGGCGGATACCATGAAGTCCATCGAGACCCAGACCGATGGAAATATGGGTGACATCGTTCAAAAGCTAGACAGCCTGGATGACTTCTTTGAAGAGACAGAATCTAGCGTACCGTCTCTTCATCCGGTGGCCCCACCAATGCTGCGCGGTTTCACGGGGAGTTATGTTGATACCAATGCTCACTTGTATGACCAGCAGACAGCGCCCATTCTGCGCAAGTCTCTCGCTCGAACGGGCTCCACCTCATCTTTCCACAACGGCCTGGCCGAGTCCCGTCCTGCTAATTTCCGCTTTGACGGACCTGGCATGCACTCCCCTGTGAACCCACCGCCCCACAGCTCGCAAACTCTCCGTCCAGGTTCTCATACTCGCTCTGTCACCTCACCCACAAACAACCTCTACGTCCACACTCAGCAACCAATTCCGCATGGCACACCGCCAGTGGCTCTGCATGAGCCTGCCTTCTTCTCAGATGATGAAATCGAAGAGACACACTCAGACTTCGACGACCGCTCATCTGGCAAACGAGCGCTACATTCCCCGATAACACCCATGGTGCGCAGCGCGACGGATGGCTCCCACTCTCTCGAGTCCATGATCCGCAGTGGCATGCGCCGTCTCACCGGTGGTGCAGCGAACAACCGCGAGAAAGAACGCCAGCGGGACCATCTCCGCGCGCAGCATCGCGCCATGGTCCAGACAGCGAACTCACCCCGCGTCCCTAAAGTACCGGAGGAGTATCTTGCAGGCCCAACGAGCCACCCTGCATCCCCGAGGTCATAGCACACGTGGCCCATCGACTCTTCTTACTCCCATACCATCGTTACTTTCAATTTTGATTCTTTCTCTGCTGTATTCAGCCTGGGCATTTCTCGGGCGTTGGGATCGACACCTTATTCATAACATACATACCCTTTTTGCCTCACTATTGATCTTTTGATTTACTTTGCGCTGAGACTTTCAGGATCTATCATTGCTATCTGGATGTTTGTATACTACTTCACGTGGTCAATTGGTAGATGAGTCCGAGTTTCGAGGGCGTTCTGATATTAGGATCAAGACACATGATATGGACCATATATCTTCTTGAAGAACTGAGAGACCCATCGAATGTGCATCAAATTTCGGAGCGAACAATGAACGAAGTATCAAAATCTTTATCTCCAGATTATCTCCACGTGACCTTCCCCGGGCTTCCCCCGCAGCCCGCAAACTACCCGCGGGCCAAGGGTGGGTCGCATGGCAGCTCGGAAAGCCACGGCCCTGCGGAGGATGGGCGTCCGAGGTATGGTTTAAGTACCCCCTTGCCCCCGCGGTTGTGTGCGTGTGTGTGTGTATCTGCTGCACCGTCTTCTGATACTCTGACACGATCCAGCCATCTTCATTTCTTTCCAACTATATCCATCCCTTTCTCCCCAGTAGAACCCCGCGATGAGTGCCCGCGCTGCGTCCTCTCTCCCTCGGGTGGCCCGCCTCCACACCGCGGCTAGTATCCGACGCTGGCCGGCCAACTTTAGCTCGACAGGATCAGTCCGGGCATTCTCAACGACGCTGCACCGCGACGCGACTTGGGGATTTGTTGGATTGGGCCAGATGGGTATGTGCGAGTGGCGTTGGAAACCAGCAGCAACCCCCCTGTGTGGTTCCTACCGAGGTGGCCCGACCACCCTTGACTGATGTCTGTCGTCAGGTTATAACATGGCCAAGAACCTGCGCGCCAAGATTCCCGCATCTGATACGCTAATTGTGCGCGACGTCAATGAGGAGGCCGTAAAGCGCTTTGTCGCGGAGGCCCAGGAGGCCGCTCGAAGCAACGGCGCTGGCGCCGACGAAGGCCGAGTTGAGATAGCTGAGAATGCGCGCGAGGTTGCGGAGAAGTCGGTGAGTACCTATCTGCTTAATCGATCCAATGGCTTTGGCGAAATCCGCATTGACCTGGCCGCACACAATGCACCAGGCTTTGTTTGGATTTCACTATGTCAGGTCTAGCCACCGGTTTAATCATTATCTGTGATATGTAGACCGTGATGATTACCAGTTTGCCCGAGTCGCAGCATGTCATTGATGTGTACCACTCGATTCTCAAACATGGCGAGCTTCCCGCGCTCGATCAGGAGCGTTTGTTTATCGACACATCTACGATTGACCCGGTGACGTCCAAGGATATCGCCAATGCCATCCATACCACTCAGACGGGTCGATTCGTCGATGCTCCTGTCTCCGGGGGTGTCGTTGGTGCCCGCGCAGGTACTCTGTCATTCATGTTCGGTGCTTCCTCGCAGACAGGAGAGCTGCTTGAGCGTGTACGGGGAGTCCTCGCTCTGATGGGCAAAAAGGCCTGGCACCTCGGTGACCCAGGTTCTGGTGTCTCCGGAAAGCTTGCCAACAACTATATGCTGGCCATCAACAATATTGCGACGGCCGAGGCTATGAACCTGGGCATCCGCTGGGGACTCGATCCCAAGAATCTGGCCGATATGATCAACTCCTCCACTGGCCGTTGCTGGCCCTCAGAGGTGAACAACCCCGTCCCTGGGGTGATCGAGACCGCTCCCGCCTCCCGTGGGTATGAGGGCGGATTCGGGGTCAGCCTGATGAACAAGGACCTGCGTCTGGCTCTCGCTGCTGCAGAGAAGTCTGGAACTCCTCTGGCTCTGGGTGGCCAAGCACGCGAGGTGTACAATGCTGTGGAGGAAGCCCACCGTGGCAAAGATTTCTCAGTTGTTTATGAGTGGCTGCGGAGCAAGTCTGAACCTCAATAGTGACCTATTCCCTCTGTCTTTACTACTTCTCCGCCAGGCCCATCTCATCCCCGTGTCATTCGCTTGATTCCCCCATGTCTTCTTGCCCTCTGCGCTTTTGCCATAGATGTGATTTCAGGGATATAGAAGGGCTGCAGCATTCTCAATACAATTGTATTCAGAACCAGCACGTATAACTATCCAGTGGATCCCTTGACTTACAGGCCTAACACAATGACCAAAATCTTCGCATATCCCTCATCAACTTTCGCATGATAGCCCCGTACTGCTGATATAGATATTGACTTCGAGAACCTTCCTCACAACACTGCCTACTTCTTTCAGGATATCTAGATCTCCAGAGCTTGAATCTAGAGATTGTTTCTCAGAATTATGCTCACTTACGACAGGTATGGAAAGGAGTCATGTACCGTTCTATCTGCAACACCACCATGGACAGATTTTCGGTTTAGTCCCAGAATACCTGAGGTGGTAGAGTGTGTTGCTGTGGCTTAGAGCCAGGGACATAAAGTAAATGTGGCTAGATATACCACATATGCTATGCTAGGCAAGATCAGCATTGAGCCTGTAGAGTCAGGCCCCATTCCTGTGTGTTTCCTACTTGATTGTATTCTACTATTCTGACGGTGAACATGACGAACAAGCGTGACGAGTATCTAGAATCCTCAACACTTCTCAACTTCCCAGCTTCACTTCTTCACTTCTTCACTCTTTCCCATCACTGCCCTCGCCTTACTTGCATCTTTACGAGTCCTCAATAGCCACCACTCGGTGCAGGAGGGTGAGCGAGGTGCGCTCCTTCCTCCCACATCTCGTGACGCTCCTGTTTCCTCTTTCCTCGTCTCTCTGCACTTTCCCCGAGTGCCACCCTCCTCCTCTTTCCATCTCATCTCCTTGCCGTCTCTCGCTGTTCCGCTTTCCATCCCCTCGTCTGCATCTTCATCTCCTTCCCCCTTCCTCCGCTCTGTTCACACAGAGTTCCTTGTCCTGTGCCCAGGCCTCTTTATGGCCTTGTATCCCAAGTCTGGTCAGTTCTTGTTTGCTCTCAGTCTCTTTATCTTCTGATCATCGCTGGAGAGAGAGTCATCGACTGGCTCTTCAGCGAGTGTGAGTAGCCATTATTCCTCGTCCTTATTGTTTCCTGCATATCACCTTCTTGATGAACCCAGTTGACTGGTATTCAGTCGTCGAAATCACGGATTCACCCAACTCCAGCGTATATACCGTTTCCAGCAATCAAAGGTGAGCAACGCCACCTCTTCGATCAGAACAGATATACCACCACCATACCGCACTCACAGGAGGTCGTCTTATCGGTATCCTGTCTGTCCACAATTCTGATTGCCTCTGTGTCTCTTGTGTCCGAAGTAACAACCGGGCTTGCTTCAGAGGGTTTGTACAGAATAGCTGACAATAATTACACATCCAGCTCGTGGGAAATTCAGACGATGCGTGCTCAAGCCACCCAAAACACCACTCCCCCTGGTGCTGGCCAGGGATCCAATGGTCCCACAACTCAGTACCACCATGATTCTCGCACACCTTACGGACCTAGCTATTCGCAAGGTGCAAGCAACCAAAGTCATGATGGCAATATCATAACCCCACAAATCTTCTCAAGCATGAACGTTCAGAATCAGCGTGCCAAGTTCACCTCAAAGGGCACAGCATCCGTTCCTGTGAACATGAACGCTAATTTGGACTGGCCAGCTGCCAACGGCGCTTCTTATAGCAGTCCGTTCGTCCTGCTACCAAATTCCACCATCATAAATGGCTTGCCGCAGGTTTCATCTTTTGTTCCCAACTCGGCCCCAACTCAGCCAGATCAGCTTGCTCAGTTCCCTTATGTCTCGACGGGCATCTACCCAGGTCTGAGTCCAATTCTGCCAGGAACCTATCCGTGGCCATACGTGATGAACTACGACTTGTCGGGCACGTCCAATGCCAAATCAACCCTATGGAACACCCCTGATAGTCAGAAGGGAGTGCAGTCTGAGAATGCTACACCCATGCAGTATTTCCCAACGACTTTTATTCCTAACATGGACAGTCCCGCTCTTCCCGGATACTCTTACGGGAATTTGTACCCACAACTTGGACCCCTCTCATTCCCGCTGCAGATAATGAAAACTGCAAATGGATACGTTGCTCAGGATATGGAGGCTCTGACCCAGCAGGATCCCGCCATTCCTCGCGCAGTGCCTGCCATGTGGACCAACCCGTCCGAGCTGACTCTCGCCAAGTGCCTCGAGAACCGTGAGGGTATCACCAACGTCTACATCAGGGGTTTCCTTCCTGAGACGACCGATGAGATGCTACATGCCTACGCCGCTCGATTTGGAGACATTGAGCGTTGCAAGGCTATTGTTGACCTTGACACGGGTCTTTGCAAGGGGTAAGGACGATGCCCGTTTCAATTATCTTCTGCTTCGTTCATGCTGAGCCCAACTTTTATAGTTTTGGATTCGTCCAGTTCTACGAATTCTCATCTTGTGAAAACTGTATTCGTGGGTTTTACTATCTCGGTTACCAGGCCAGCTTTGCCCAGAAGTCTCGCAATTCTCGTCTCAAGGATCTGGAGGACAGGGCATCCACCAATATATATTGTACCAACATTCCGATCGATTGGACAGAGGCTGTAAGTTAACTGAGCTCTATTGCTTACTGAGACTGACCCTTCAACCTTCCCATCCAAAGGATCTTCGGCGCCACTTCGAGCCTTACCGTGTCGTGTCGGAGAAAATCAGCCGCGATGAGAAAACGGGTGTGAGCAAGGAAGTGGGCTTCGCGCGGTAAGGGATTGAACTTTTGCTGTCCTGAGTCTAGTTCGTGAACTGAAGCACGAACTGCGCAGCTTCGAAACTCGGGAGATTGCCGAAAGAGTATTGGGCGAATTTCACAATATGACCGTCAAAGAGGACGATGTAAAGCTGCTTTTGCGCTTCGCGGACACCAAGGCCCAGAAGTTGCTGAAGCAACAGAGCAATGAGCGTCGCGCCTATCGTGCTGGAGAGTACAACTATTCCGTGGAAGTTGTCCATGGGTCGGTTCAGGGATCGACTCCGTCGCCTACTGTCCAGCGTCTTCAGCAGACTAGTGCTCATATCACGCCCAACTCTCAGCAGAGCGTCAACATTTCTCCTGGTGGGATGGGCTCAATGAACTCCAACTGGACTCCTGCTTCCTCAATTTCACCCACGTAAGTCACTCCGAGAGATTGTCTCATAGCAAGTCTCTCGATTTCTGGTGCTGACAAATAGTTAAAGCTATGCCTTGATGAAAAAGCCTGGAAGCGGCGTGCGGCAAAATTCCTTCTCTCGAAGCCTCAATGCACTAGAGAACACCCCCGTTTACCACCGGCGCGGCTTCCTGAACCGGCGCTCTTTGACCGATATCTCCAGCTCATCGAAGACAGCTCGGCCCGAGTCTCCCAATCTCGAACCTCGTTCGTATATGTCAAGCCCGCGGAAGGAGAACATCAAGACTGGCTCGATGTCTCCTATTCCATCCCGAATGGAGATCGTCATCTCGACTCCCCGATCCTGCACTTGAAGCACCAGTGTAAGTGCTGAAAAAAAGCCCACTTAGTTTTGGGCGAAGCTCTTGAATTCTTCGTTGCTTACATTTGCTTGATTCGTGACATGCGTTATTCCTGCAGAATGTACTTCGATGTATGCTTGCAAGTCGGTTTCTTTATCAGTGGCCCCACTCTGCTTTTTCTGCTTTTCTCGTCGTATCGACCTTGTGGTTTGAAATGTTTCTGTTAGTCCCTTTGTTTGCTAGTCCTTTCATGTCTTCGGTCCACATCTGTTACGAGGCGCTTTGAAGGTGGAACTGTTCTATTTTTTTTGTCTTGCGTGCAGTTATGAGGGAAAATCATGTCTTTCGCAGTATCTGTTCAGAATTCATGTTTTGCAGCTTTGCCCAAAAACATCGTCCAGCAAGGTTGTCTAGGTCAATATAATATGTTCCACTGCAACCAATGTCCTTTAAAGTCAGTTTGACTGACTGGCACGTAGTTACTCATACTCGTCTGAGCGATAATATTGATTGTTCTATGTTTTAACCCGGTACAAAGCCCAAAGACGGTCCAAAGATTGAAACTAATAACTATTTGCCCAGGCTGAGTGGTGTTTTCGCATCTACCACGAAATGTAGGAACACCTTCGCTTCCACCAGGGGCTCGCCTCCAGTTCCAGAAACCCACCTAATCAATTGCGCCCAAGTCGCTCCTCCAGGTCCTGGGTGAGTCTATAGGCAGGCAAATAACCCCCGTCTCCATCAGCATCCCCATTCTCACTTGCCCTCCGCAGGCGTGGGTTTGGATGGGTATCCGAGGTGCCTCCCAAGCTGGTATATCCCATATCGTACAGCGAGCAATATGTCAAGCCAAGATGGCGGATAAAGGCCCAAATTTCCGCATAATGCCAATCGATCACCGGGTGCACGCGCATGAAATCCGGCCACCCTTGGTCTGTCCGATCAAAGTGCGTCAACTTCGCACCGTGTGGATCGGTCCGCCGTGTGCCCACGAAGATGGCCCGGATCCCTGGATGCCGCGCCAGGTAGTCCTCGAAGGTGGAGCGCAGCGTGGTGGCTGGGGGGCGGTGGTGTATTTTGTGATCTGGAGGTGGTACGCTTCGGCAGAAGTGACGACGAAGTCTTCGACAGCGGGGAAAGGGTCCGGTGGGAGGGCGTAGATGGCGGGTATCGTGGAAATAGCAGAGGGGGTTTCCTCCGGAGTAGTAGTATCACAGCCAGCTTGTATGCTGGCGTCATTGGACTGTGCCATGCTCGAGTATGGGTGTAAGCCGGCGAGGAAGAGGATCAGCATAACCAGGCAGTCTTTGCCGCCGTTGTAGGAGACGGACAGCTCCGAGAACTTGTATTGTGAGAGGGCTTTGGAGACGACGTCCAGCGAGATGCGTGTCTGTTGCTGGACCGAACCGAGGAGGGAGTCGGGCGGGTGTGACTCCGCGAGGAAGGCTTGAACGCGGGCGTGGATGCGCGCAATCACCGTGGTGAGCGGGGGGATATGGTCTTCATCGGCGTCTGCAGCATTAGCGGCATTGCCATTGACATGCGCGAGCGCCGATCCGTTCTGCTTCCGGGGTGTTGTCGAGCTTGGATTGTATACAGTGGTGGGCGACTCAGCCGCGCGGGGCTCGAGCGGGTTCGCGGAGAAGGGGCGAAAGGGTCGTAGATGGTCCTGCGCACATGTCGAGGATTGCGCAGAGACCGATGGCTCATCCAGCCTCTCTTCGGGTGCCACAAGCTGGGCCATTATGCAGGAGAGTGGCTTGCAGGAGAACAATTGAGGTCGAGGCGGGGAGAGTGGGTTTCTCGGCACTCGGGGGAATCCAGAATGATCTAATCCCATGTGGGGGGGTTTGCTGGAAAGAGTCCGGGAAACGCCCGAGGCCGAAGTAGAAGTGGAAGTGGAAACTGAAACCGAAACCGAGATCTTGCAGCCATGGAAAGCAGACCGTTGGAATCTGAATTTAAGGAACGATCGGCATTGGCCTAGAGGGGGGGGGGGGGTTGATTGTGCATCGAATCTTCTCGCAACCCCCGCGTCGGGGCTTATCGGGCGTGCCAACGAGGACGTGGTGAGTAGTTACGGCGTACTCCCAAAAAGGAGTGAAAAGGGTTTCAATTCGGGGATGAAAGTACATAGACCCTTGTTGATTGCGCCTGTCGCAGCTGTGATACAGCTAAGAATCATGGTAATAAGAAATAAAATTACGAGGTATGAGATGAGGCATCCATGAATCCATGAATCGGCAGAGTTCTCAAGATCTATCCCCGAACGCCAGAATGTTCATGCCTTCCGGATCAACCCAGTACCTTCATCTTTTTCTTCTTTTTCTTCTCATCGCCTCCAGTTTTGCGCCCCTTCTGCCAATCCCGCCAGGTCCCAATGCGCTCCTCTCGAGTGTCCTCCCACGCCTTGTCCTGATCCCGTTTGCGCTTGCGCGCGTCTAACTCTTCTTCTTCCTTGCGCTTCTCGCGACCTTCCTCCTGCATGCGTGCCTTGGTCTGGCGACGCCGCCGGGCTTCTTCCTCGAGAAGCACCTGGGTGGCCTTCTTCCGCCATTCCACCTTGAACTCTTCGGTTTTGAGTTCGGGCGAGTCCACCGTGTACTTGTGTTCGCGGATCAGGAGTCGCCGGGCGTCGGCGATACACTCATCGAGGTAGGTGCGCTCTTTCTCGTCGAGGAGGGCCGTTTGCGCTTTCTTGAGGCGATCGAAGGCATCGGGCGCGGCTGGGTTCTTGGTCTTATCGGGATGAATGAGGAGGGATTTCTTGCGGTATTGGACTTTTATGTCCTTCTCAGTCACACCGGGCTGGAGATCGAGCACGGCGTAGCTGTTGAGTACATGAATTAGTCGCGGACATCGTAGGTACGATATAGCTCCACTCACGCATCGAGAGAGAATGCCTTGCGGATGCGATCGATTTCCGCATCCTGGAATTGCGCGTCAGTCGGGCCTAGATTGTATCGCTGTCAAAGAGAAGGAAACTCACCTTGGTAAATTCTGAAGCCTCTCGCTCCAGCGAGTCGAGAATGTCCTGGTCCAGCTCGTCGTCCGCCATGGAGGGAAAGTGTCGAGGCAACGCGATCGATCGGCCTAGCGGTAGGAGAGATAAGCTGGCTTATCGGGCGCTGAGTCAGCGAAAAAAAAGTTGCGGCAGCCGAAAGTTTGAAGGTGGAAAGGCTGCGATAAGACATTTTAAACCCTCCAACATACCATAAACTACTATGGCTCCGCCGCGAGTGTCTCGTGGGAAAGGCCCCAAGTCAAAGCATGACTCTGACAGGACCTTGAAACGCAAGCGCGGTGAGGACGAGCTGTCCTCACTCGCCCAAAAAGTCGAAGACCTCGACCTCAAGGCTACCCCCAAATCCTTCTCCGACTTGCCTCTCTCCGATCCCACCGCACGGGGCCTAGCTGCCTCACACTTCAAGACCCTGACCGACATTCAGTCCCGCGCGATCAACCATGCCCTCAAGGGACGCGATATCCTCGGCGCTGCCAAAACCGGGAGCGGCAAAACGCTGGCTTTCTTGGTCCCTGTGCTTGAGAATCTCTACCGCAAGCAATGGACCGAGTATGATGGCCTTGGTGCGCTCATCCTCGCACCGACCCGCGAGCTTGCCATTCAGATCTTCGAGGTCCTACGCAAGGTGGGTCGATACCATGCCTTCTCTGCCGGACTGGTCATAGGCGGCAAGAGTTTGCGCGAGGAACAAGAACGATTGGGGCGGATGAACATTCTGGTTTGCACTCCGGGACGCATGCTCCAGCATCTGGACCAGACAGCCATGCTCGAGACCAACAACATGCAGCTTTTGGTGATGGATGAGGCAGATCGAATCTTGGATATGGGTTTCCAGAAGACAGTGGACGCTATCGTTGACCACCTTCCCAAGAAACGCCAAACGATGCTTTTCAGTGCCACCCAAACGAAGAAGGTGGGAGATTTGGCTCGCCTGAGTCTACAGGACCCCGAGTACGTCGCTGTCCACGAGGCTGCCGCCTCAGCAACACCGTCAACCCTTCAGCAACACTACACAATCACTCCGCTGGAATCGAAGCTCGATGTCCTATGGAGTTTCATTCGCAGTAACCTCAAGTCCAAGACCGTGGTTTTCTTGTCCTCTGGCAAGCAGGTTCGGTTCGTGTATGAGTCGTTCCGACACCTCCAGCCTGGTATTCCGTTGATGCACTTGCACGGCAAACAAAAGCAAGGTGGCCGGCTTGACATTACCACCAAATTTTCCCAGTCCCAGCATGCAGTTCTGTTCGCGACGGATGTTGCTGCCCGGGGACTTGACTTCCCTGCAGTTGACTGGGTCATCCAGGTGGACTGCCCGGAAGATAGCGATACCTATATTCACCGGGTCGGGAGAACGGCGCGGTACGAGCGAGTAGGTCGCGCCGTGCTCTTCTTGGACCCCAGTGAGGAGAAGGGTATGCTCAAGCGACTAGAGCAAAAGAAAGTGCCGATCGAGAGGATTAATATCAAAGCGAACAAGCAGCAGAGCATCAAGAATCAACTGCAAAATATGTGCTTCAAGGACCCCGAGCTGAAGTATCTTGGTCAGAAAGCCTTTATCTCTTACGTCAAGTCTATCTATGTGCAAAAGGATAAGGAAGTTTTCATCCTGAAGGAGCTGAAGCTGGAGGAGTTTGCGGGCAGTCTGGGTCTCCCTGGTGCCCCGCGCATCAAGTTTATCAAGGGAGACGATACCAAAGAGCGCAAGAACTCCTCCTGGAAGATGGCTCACCTGTCTGGCTCCGAAGATTCGGACGGGGAGGGCGGGGCCAAGACGGCTAAGAAGGACGAGAACCAGGTCCGGACGCGCTACGACCGCATGTTTGAGCGACGAAACCAGGATGTCCTGGCTGAGCACTACTCCAAACTTATCAATGACGATGGCACGTTGGTTGCCATCGGTGCCGGAAATGACGCTGGTGAGGATGCAGACGAGGATGCCGATTTCCTGTCCATCAAGCGTCGCTTTGCTGCTGGTGACGACAACCTCGGCCATGTCGACTCGGACTCGGACTCGGACTCGGCAGAGTCTGGCTTCGAGAAGAAGGAAACCAAGGTCGTCCACCTGGATGGCCAGGACCCGCTGGTCATCGACTCCAAGCGCCGCGAGAAGCTCCTCAAATCGAAGAAGAAGCTGCTCAAGTTCAAGGGCAAGGGCACCAAACTTGTTTTCGACGACGAGGGCAATGCCCACGAGCTGTACGAGATGGAGGACGAGGAGCAGTTCAAGGCTCGCGGCGACGCCGATACCCAGCGCGAGCGTTTCCTGGCCGAGGAGACCGAGCGCACGCGTCACGCCGATCTCCAGGACAAGGAGGTCGCCCGCGACAAGCGTCGCGAGAAGAAGGAGAAGCGGAAGGCCCGCGAGCGTGCCCTTGCCGAGGAGGAAGCAGGAGAGGAGGATGGCACTGGTCATGGGCTGCCCTTTGTGCCTTTCGAGATCCCCGGCTCGGACTCCGCGTCCGAAGGCGAAACGGAGGCACCGAGGCCCAGCAAGAAGCAGCGCGTCTCCTTTGCAGAGCCCCACTCCGACAGCGAGGAAGGTTCCCGCAAGAAGAGCAACAAGGGCAAGCAGGTTGCTGCCCAGCCCCAGATCGAAACTTTGGCAGATCTCGAGGCGCTGGCCAGTGGCTTGTTGGATTAATGTGCATACACTCTACGGACTGGCGTACTCCTGGGCGTCTTCTGCTTGCTTTTTTTCTTTATTCCATGTGCTAGCGACGCCTCTAAAAGCATTGATTGTGTTCCATTCAGCATAAAGTACATAGTGAAACGAAATCTATTCTGACGACGCGTCAATCATATTTTAAGAACCATGCCGAATTAGATCTATTGCAGTCTATAACAACTGTGGACAATATGCAGCACTGCGGCTGTCAAGACCTAGGTAAGCTTGTTTTCTGGAAAACTAACAATCGAAGCTAAACAAAAATGTCAGGACCCCGCGAACGCAAGTGGAGCCGCGAGAGGTTTTTTTCATGTCATACTTTCCACTTCGAGCGCGCCCTCCTGTCCAGTCATCGCAGCGTGCAAGCACGCCATCGCAAATTCCGGGCGTGCAGACTTCGGCTTTAGAAATCCAGCATGGCTTTCTTTCTTTCATTCTTTGCCCCGACTTACGGCTGTCATTGGCATCGATATTTGTCATATCGTGGATGATCTGGGGTAGCCGCGTGCGGGTCACGGGATTTTAGGGCTTGGTGAGTCTGCAGAGATGTCAACAACTTAACCCGAAAAGGGTCGATGTGCTGATGCAGCAGCAGATCTATTGATCATTGAGCTCGCTTTCAGCAGTCACTCTTGTTTCCCTGTCTTTATTACGGGAACCCCACTGCCTGGTTGGCACATCCACATCATGGCGGCCGTATCAGACCCTGAGAAGAACCCGGGCGAGCCCAAGGCACAGGACTATGTCGGCGGTCTTTCTGCGACACCCTTTGTTAACGCCGACAAGCTGGCTCGCCGACTGTCTGCACGACAGGTGCAGATGATTGCGATCGGCGGTACTATCGGCACTGGCTTGTTCCTGGGGACCGGCACGTCTCTTACCAAGGGCGGGCCCGCGTCCACCCTCATCGCCTACGCTATCTGCGGTGGCATTGTTTTCATCACAATGCTCAGCTTGGGTGAGATGGCTGCCTTTGTGCCCGTTGCCGGGTCATTTTGCACTTTTGCGGGGTGGGTGGTGGCATCCCTGGGCCTTCTGGCTAACGTTACATTCGGCCTACGGTGACTAACTCTATTTTGGGCAGGCGCTTTGTCGATGATGCATTGGGCTTCGCGTTGACATGGAATTACTGGTTTAATGATGCTGTATCTACGGCGTCCGATATTATTGCTCTTCAGCTGCTGCTGGAGTTTTGGACAGATAATTTCCCGGGCTGGGCAATTAGCTTGATCTTCTTGATTGTGGTAATCGCGCTGAATGTTCTTTCAGTCCGCGTCTATGGCGAGGTATGATCAAATTCCCGAACGGATGTGTATTTATTCGATATTTACTAACTTGGTTCTTCTAGGTTGAATACTGGTTGAGCTTACTTAAAGTCATCACAATTGTGGTATGTTGGCGTTGCGCCACTCCCCCCACATCTTAGTGCGGGCGCTAATGTCCTTATAGATCTTTATCATTCTTGGCATTGCTGTTAACTGTGGCGGGAACACTGATCACGAATACATTGGCGGCAAAAATTGGTATATCGGAGATGCCCCCTTCGTCGGTGGCATTGGTGGATTTGCCTCTGTCTTCGTGACAGCCTCATTTGCCTAGTACGTTTATAAACATATCTTCTTCTCACGATATTCCCACTAACGCCCTCTAGCGGTGGCACTGAGTCCATCGCCATCACTGCCGGTGAAACGAAAAACCCCGCTAAGAACCTGCCCAAGGTCGTGCGCAATGTCTTCTGGCGTATCGTGCTCTTCTACCTGCTCTCCATCCTAATCGTCGGCCTCAATGTACCCTACAACTACCCGGGCCTCTCAGATGGCAATACTCGCACCAGCCCGTTCACCATTGTCTTCCAACAGGCCGGCAGTAAGGCCGCTGGTAGCTTCATCAACGCTGTCATCATGACTTCCGTCATCTCTGCAGCCAACCACGCCCTCTTCGCTGGCTCCCGTCTGATGTACACACTTGCGGTCGACGGTTATGCGCCTCGATGTTTCGGCCACTTGAACCGTTTCCACGTACCATGGGTCGCTGTGTTGGCGACCTCTGTCATCAGTGGACTGTGCTTCGGGGCTAGCTATATCGGCGCTGGCAAGCTGTGGTCGTGGCTGCAGAACATCGTCGGGGTCTCTAACCAGCTATCCTGGATCTGTATCGGCCTCGCTTCGCTCCGCTTCCGCGGCGCCATTCGCGCGCAGGGTCTCGAGCACCTCCTCCCCTTTAAGAACTGGACGTATCCTTACGGCCCGATCTTTGCTGTCGGCCTGAACATCGTCCTCGTCCTCGTCCAAGGATGGAAATGCTTCAGCCCGCACTTCAAAAGTGTCGACTTTGTATCATACTACATTGAAATCCCTATCATGATTGTTATGTTCCTGGCCTGGAAGCTGTTAAAGCGCACACGGTTCGTCCGAAAATCCGAGATGGACCTCTGCACAGATCGGTATGATGGTGGCCAGGAGGATGGTCTTTATCGAGAGGACATTGCCGAGGAGGAGACCCGACAAGGAATCCTCCCGAAGGTGCAGCGCTTTGGCCAGTGGTTGTTCTTCTAATATCGGTGTTGATGCATTACTGGCTTTTCCTGCCTTCAATCATCTCTTTCAGTACTACAGACGTTGATAACACGGACTCGGTGATTCTGAATAGCGTTCTGCATCTCCTCCGCAGAACTTCTCTTAGTTTGCCTAGTTATAGGCCATGCTTGCTTTGCAGCGGCGTTCGTTCTGTTTCGCTGTCATAAACATCTGAGGTGGTTAGCACGGCAATCCGAGCTTCGATATGTAGCTAATAATCTGACTGTCTTCCTGTTCGCATAATCCAGTAGCCGTCCTGTCTCATCTAGCCTGGGTTCAGAATGTGTGGCCCGTTCTGTGAGCTTAGTATAACGGAGTTGAACAGGAATGCCGAGCAAATAAACAAATGAATTCCGACTGGGTGGCTCGGGCAAGCTAGCGTTTGACCGACAAATCGAATGCTACTTTATTTAAGGGGCGGGTTTTATCAGACCGCGTTAAGCATGCTAACTCTTTGGATTGAGGTGGGCGAGCTATTACCCGTTCTGAGAATAGTTTACTTGCCTTGCCAATTTCGCACCTACCACCATTGAGACTCCCTACCTAATCCAATACTCTTATTCCCTCTTTCGTGCTAGCTTCTCGACATCATTCGTATCAAAAGAATTATCATGCAAAATAAACGTATGCGATACTTAACTGCCTGACGAAACCGGAGCCAGCTTTGCGGCTTTGCTTTCGGGTATGTACCTGAAAGAAGCCCCGGTCCAATTGTACTTGGCTTCAGCATTTGCGAAGGATGCTGAACACCTTGGGATGAGTATAGTATGGGAATTTATGCATCATGATGGGGAACCAATGAAGGCTCCTCTCCAGAGAGTGGGTTGTGATCTCATAATGTTCAGGGTCCCAATGTTTTCGGTTGACATTTCGTGGATATAAGGCCTACCTATGAATGACCTGACTGAAAACTGTCGGCGAGTGTTTATTCAATTTGCCGAAGATGAATGTGGCTCTTAAGGTTACACCGTTTCTTATTCTGTACCTATATTTTCAATATGGAGCCAGATTTTACTAATATAGTAGGTATGTTAAGCATATTATTGGAGTGCTGTAAATCCTCGAAAAGTTTTGCATAAATTGTACACTGATATATAAGTGCTCGACCACGTGTCCTGTATGCCTGATGAATATCCCAACCACAATGCATTCCTGATAATTGCGATGGAATAAATGATGAAATGGAAATGAGAAAAAGCGATGCTAGACCGCCCCCTTCCCATACCGCGAAACGCCATGCCATGTCTTGAAAACCATAACTGTAGGGGTACTCGCAGGAAAGGAAAAAAAAGAAAACCAAAACAAAAAGAAAACCAAACGGACATAGGAAAAAAATGTGGTGAGTCAATCCTGCAGCAAAGGTGCCAGTCGGATCCAGCCCAGAGAGTCACCGAGATTAGAATGGAGGATCACTGAAAGCACAACAGCTGAATCAACAGCAACAGAAGAGCATAAGAGAGTCATCGTGTCTGTAACCGTACACGTCGGGATATCAGAGCTTTTGACGATCTGCAAGCAAACGGAAATTCAAAAAAATAAAAAGTCAGCACAATTATTTCCTGCTGCTTGCACCGAAATTAAGCAAATGCGCCGTGCTAGAAAGGGTATAACAATCACTCCCTGTAGACCCTGCTGCAGGGATGGCGGATTATACAGTACAAGGTAGCCTCCGGGGCGATTGAGAGAAAGAGAGTGAGAGAGAGAGAAGTAGTGTAGAGGAATGAGGAGTTTTCAAAAGGGGTGCCCCCGTCAACCATTCACCATGTCATCCAGAGCCATTTTGCGACGTTTGACGGGTCGAGGCTCTTGGCTTTCGGCTTCGGTGGTGGGATTTGTAGACACCCGGGTTGGCGCAGATAATGAGTGGCCAATCGATCCCGGTGAGGGAAAGTCTATTAGGCCGAGATGTCGTGGCACCGGATCGAGGGGACCGGCCGCAGATGATGAGCGGTGGTGGGATGGAGAGTGCGAGAAGGCCGAGCTCGTTGGTGGTTGCCGCTGTGCCGGGGACCTGGGCTCCCTGGGATGATCTTCCCGGCCGGAAGAACTCCAACTAGCGGGGTATGGATCACTTAGGCGATGTGCATGATGTGGCGGCGGCGGAGGTCCAGGACTGGCGGTTGCGTGGTAGATCGGTGGCAGTCGAACAGGTGACTCTAGATACGGTTCGCGAGGGCCCTGAGGAATACGAGGGTCGCTTAATGGCTGATGCATCGTATTGCTGGGAGGCTCGGCGTAGGGTGAATAGAGCAATCCCGGCGGATGATGTTGTGAAGGAGACGTTGGCGGTGGTAACGCTGGGCTGGCATACAGTGGAAATCGTCTCTCCATCCCCGGGGGGATCGTCCCAGGCTTGAGTACTGGGTTGAATCCAGCTGTGATCGGGACAAATGCGGGCGGCGGAGGCGCTGGCGGCGCATAATTAGGCGGACCAGATGCAGAAAAGGGCCGCCTTCCCACCGGGGCCGGTATCGACGGAGACGGATCCATCGGTCGAGACAGAGGAAATACAGAAGCAGACCACCGGTGTGATTGACCACCGCGCGGGACTCGCATTGCTGCACTCGCTGGTCCTGGTTCACTGATTCCCTGAAGATCGGTCATCGGTCTTAATTCACGGGATGATGTTGCTCGATGCATGGCGGTTCTCTGGGAGGCCGCCGATGGCTGGGCTTCCGCGGGCACAGCCGAACTGTCCATCGGAGTGGAATAGGAGCGCAGAGAAGAATCTTCCGCTTTCAACGGCGGCCGTCCTCGTTTCTTGTGCGTGACATCTACGCATGAAGACTTTGGTTTCATTCAGAATCAGCCGTGAGATTAGGTAGAATGCATAGCATTTACTTACGGCCTTGCCAGCGAGAACACATCTTCGACATGGGCGCGCTGGGTCACATCCGAGATGCTTCTTCTTGCAGTTCACACAAGCCGATGCTACATGAGCTTTAGTCCGCCGGGTTGATTTCTGCGCCAGTGACCTGGTCGGTGGTCCCGCGATCGATGGATCCACGGTTGAGAGTGGTAGATAAGGCGGGGCGCCCAGGACGGGGCGTGGGGAGCCCCCAAATGCGGGGGTGGTGGTCCGCTTCTTTCTCCATACCGCGACGGTGGAATATGCGCCGGTGGAGGTGCACTCACCACCGCCAGGGGTTGGGATAATGCTGGTCTGGGAACTGTAGCGCTGGCCGTGACCTCATCGGCCCCGTTGGTCACGGCCGGCGACGATACTGGCGGGTATCCTAGAAAAGGCTGGGGGTCTTCGGATGTCACCGCGGGCTCTTCGGCCGGCAGGGAGCCCGACATAGATTGACGGGGGGAGGATCCCGAGGGCTATACCCACGAGCATTGGAAGGCCACGGTCGATTCAACGGCAGCCGCTCTGGGCCTGAGTTGAATCGGGGCTGTCCGAACTGGGCGGTCGTGAGGCTCGGAGGATGAAGCACGAGTGGCTGCATCGGGCGTCAGGCGGCAACAGGAAATGGCCCACGGGGGCAAATATCAGGAAGTGGAACGTTTGTCTTCCTGATCGATCTGAACTGGACGGGGATCGTGTTCACTAGAGAGGACCACTGATGCGTTGTGCCGTTGAAGGTAGCATATCTGGAAAACGGCTCCCGGGCACAATCCTGGACGCTGGACGGAACTTGGAAGGGGGTTGGGACGGGATAGGAGGGGATAGGCCAGGCCAGGCCAGCACAGGTGGAGGAAGGAGGAGGCGTAGGAGTAGGAGTAAGAATCGATAGGTAGGAGGTATGGCCAGGAGGGGCGAGAGAGAGAGGGAGGGAGAGGGAGGGAGAGGGAGGGAGAGGGAGGAGAAAGAGGGCCGGATTCAAGAGGTCAGCAGTCAAACCACTAGCAGCGGTGTAGGGCAGGGAAAAAAGGGCAGATAGAATGAAATAAAAATCCAGGGCAAATCAAATAAATGCAAAAAATAAAACCCAGCAGGCGTCAATATCCGGCATCAAGCTCCTCTCAGGACCGTCCGAGAACCAGGCGAGCTTATAATCCGTGGGCACAAGAGATCCGCTATTGGAGGAGTCAGAAAATAGACTGCATCGATCAGCGGGAGATTTCCAGATCATGACAGCAGGGTTACTCATAACCGCGCATGTCTTCCCCCCCAGGGCGATTTATTGCAGGATGGCGGTCGATCATCGAGCTAGGAGGTGCAGCAACGCCAGTGTCAAAGCCACCCCCCACGCCTTACTGGTGTCTCGATTCCTGGGCCCACGTTCCATGCACCTGGGATTGGCAGAAGCCTCGACAGACATGGGACACACCGCAAATAGCCCTTTAGGGAAAGGTGTGGGAAGGGGAGAGGGCAGAGGAGAGACGGAGAAACGAACTATACCCGGATGGTCGGATGCTCGGAGAGTGCGGCGGACTTCCCAGCGGATGGGAGGAGTATAGGAATTGGAAATGTTTGTATGCTGTTCGCGGGGAAATGCCTGCTTTTTCGGTCTTATCCCCAGCCTGGTTCCTTGATCGGACCTGCTCTCGGGGTCCAGGCGAGAACTAGACAGGCACGAGATGGGCGAGGGGGGGCGAGGGGGCACCACAAGAGCCGATAAGAAGGACGGGCCAAATAGTCTTCTTTTTTTCCTCTCGCGGAGTAGCACCGACCTGCGGGCTCTAGGCTTATACCAGAGTTGACGGAGGAGAGGTCGGGCGGGTCCTGGGTTCAGGGTAGTGAAAGTAGTGGTCAGTGCAGGCGGCACTAGTAGCTGATAGACGATCTCCGTCATGGTAGATCTTGCGAATTGGGGGGGGGGGGGGGGGGGGGGGGGGGAAAATCCCAAAAAATACATGGATTATTGGATTTTGGGATTTTCTTTTTTTATGGGCCCCAAGTTGGAGCGAAGGGGCTCGGGGGCTTCCTCTAGCGTATCGCCTGTCTGGGCTCTTCGTCTCCATGGTCGATGGCCCCTTCCCCCTCTTCTCCCCTCCCCTATTATCCAAAAAGAACATGAACACTCGGGGGAGGTCGAAGAAAGGAAAAGGTCCAGGATCTGATCTGCCCCAATCCCGTGGGGGAACTACGCGGTTCACGGGCTGGGGTGGCTTGCATGAGACGGGGAACGAGTCACTGTCAGTGACACCCCCCCTCTCCGGGTCTCCGCCTGGGAGGATGGAGGACGAACCAGCCGCAAAGGCGGCTGTAAACCGGCCGTGTGGACAGGAAGGGATCGGATTGCGCTAGTGACCCAAAAAGGCAAGTCCAGCTGCAGTGTTGCCCTTGTTTTTCTGATTTTTCGTGACGATTTTGGGCCGTGGGGAGGAGAGGGGGATCATTCGATGCCAATCAGACGTGGGACGCAAGGCGAACGATTGACGGATCGACGTCGGCGCCCGCAGCCATTGCCAATAGTCAGGCTCGGCAAATGAAATGCGCATTCCGTTTGACATGCACAAAGTACATGCATGTTCCTCGTCATCATGCGGAGGGAGGGGCCCAACATCATGGGAACCGACCAGACCGGTAAAGAAGAAGAAAAAAAAAAAAACAATCCAGCTATGCTTAATTTCGAGTCCGTGGAATGGCCACCGCTCCCCCACGGCAGAACGGAGTATAGCCGACGGCCAGTCCAAATCGATGCGGGCAGGCTACGAAGTCGAGCCAGGCGGGAAGGTGATTGGAAGCGCGTATCAGTCCGGCTCTCTAGATGCTTCATGGCACCGGATGTCGAGTATACGGATTATGATCTTGGGTTCCCCCTAGTCCGGGTCCAGTCTCTTTCCCGTTTGATTCCATTGAGTTTCCCACCTTATTTGGGCTCCACCGTGCCGGGCTTCACTGGATAGGCTCAGCCAGTGCAGCAACCAGACCAGCGCCCGCGCCCGCACCCACGCTGGCGGGACTCGCCCGGGCTCAACCGAATGGCGAGTTGATTCACCGGCAGGCTGGTCGCCCCTGCATTCTGGTGTGCGGCGTGGTCGGAGGGCCCTGGGACCCAAATTCACTGCGACGGGTTGGAAGTCTCATGCGAGCTCATGCGGTCCTGCGACCGTCGTCATCGCGGCGAACGATGAGACCGAAGAATGAGGTTCGCCAGGGTGAGGTCAACTTGGAACACGGTCGCGAACGCCTCCCATCCCATGGTCGTTATTCTCCGCAGTGGAGATAAGGAGGCCCCACACGCTGTATGACCAAGTCGATCCTCCGGTTTTATGCTCCGTTGTACGAGAAGGGTTTACGGTTACAGTGAAGTCGGACCTAAGGGGCAGATTCAGGGCCCTTTCACCGTGGAAAGACGGGAGGGCGCGGACGAGGTCTCACGGCAGGCCGTGGTTCTTCCATGAACCGTGGGCCGGACAGCTGCAGGCAGGGGTTGGGGAAGTTGGGACGAGACGAGAGCGGAGAGAGGAGAGGGGCGAATGAGGGAACAAAGTACACAGTATCTAGGACCCGGCCGCATAGGGGGGTCGGTAGGACGTGCTCGCTCTCCTGCTCAAGTGTTGGTTCCTGGGTGGATCGACAGTCGATGGAAATAGTTCGTGACGGCAAGTGATACCGATGACGAAGCCCAGTCCCTCCATTCAGGGCGGATTCCTGTTGTGGTACCCCGTCACACCTTCGCGAATTCGGGCAAAAGGGCCCGGAAAGGACGCGAACGTAATTAGGGCGCAGTGGAAAAGAGGGGGAGGATGGGGACGGGGAGGGGGGGGGGGGGGCAAATAGCCCTTTCGGGGTCTCGCAACCAGCCGGTCTTTGAACGGCTGTATTCTTATATTTCCCGGGGACTTCGTCGGCATTGAGCAACAAGATGTGGCTGCAGCCCCAGCAGCCTTGGTAGGCGATCACCAGTCGTCGCCCGGCGCGTGCGCATTGCTCATCCCTAGCATCTGGCTATCTTTCCTTCTCGGCTGCAGGGAAAATCTAACCAACGTCACCGGGTGATTGACAGGCGGGAGGGAGCCAATGATACGAATTCGTCGGGAGGAAGAGAGGGGACTGGATGGGACAGTTTGCCGGGTGCTGCCGAGCGAGGCCAGGCATTGGGCCCTGGAGCAAAAGAGAAACAAAAGGCGGCTGGCTCTGGCCTTTGGGGGCCCTAGCCACCCGAAGAGAGGGGAGGGGGGTGGACGGCAGCAGCAGCAGCAGCAGAGCAGAGCTGTGCATAGCTGTGTGGAACATGCGGCACGCGGAGCAGCAAGGGGTCTGTCACCCCGTTCATGCACGATCTGCCACTGGGAGTCAATAGTGCGAACCACTCGGTGGCCCCGATCCTGGATAGTCTGCCTATTGCGGCTTAGTCATGATCCCCTTTTCGAACCCATGTCGCCCATACAGAACGGGGACATGAATGCTAGAGGACGAACGGCAGCATGGTGGAAGATTGATCTGTAATAATGGCACGGCCGTCCAACTTGTCGGCTGTTCATACCGGATGTTGATGAGAAGAACAACATTCATCCTGTCGATGTGGACACCCCCGATTTGTTAAAAAAAAATCAAGCGTGGATCCCTCAATAATTCGCCGACCGCTAGTGGACTGACTAGTTGCTTGGAACTAGTGAGGTAGTTTGTGCCGGGGAAAAAAAATCCCAAGCGGCGGAGATTATTCGGGGCTATGTCCTCGTGGGTTTAGGGCCCATTTCCTGTCAAACGACAAAAAGCCCGAGGGTGGTCGCCTGGTGGCTCGGCGATCTAGCTCGCATGTGCGTGATAACAGCCAGCGCCAGCGCCAGCCACCGGATGAGAATCAGGATGACACGATTCATCTATCCCAACGGCGCGTTCTAATGGTCCGAGGCCGAGATCGGCTGTGATTGGGCCCACGAGCGCCCTGTGTGGAGCGAAGCAGGATAATATTGTCTTGCCCAGTTGGGAACTGGCGTGTATAAGATGAGAAGTGTGACAACGAGAGACTGGTGACAGGGTGTAAATGACGGTTCCGGAGGTGTCCATGCGGGACATGGTGAACGTGCCAGGTACTAGCTGCTCGGGGCCATGGCAAACCGATAGCTGGCAGTCAGTATGGGTTAGCTGAGCGTGAGGGGTGGCATAAATCAGAGGGTCATATGACGTGGACAGTAAAAGATAGAGAGGCTCAGAAAAGACAGGTGTCACGATAACAATAATTGGTATGGTATCTCCGATGCAGATGGGCAGGTATAGACAAGCATCCAAAGTAACGATGCACCCTAAAACTATGTATACACGACTTCTTCCAGCTTCCCAGTCCCACCCTCAATGCCTCTTCTTCGACGGGCGCGCGTTCTTGTCGCGCCGTCTCTGCTGCAGCTTCCGTGCCTTCCGGATGTCCTCAGTTGAGCGAATCTCGCTCTTGCCGCCCGCCGCCGCGCCACCAGCCTGGGATTGCTGGCGCTCCCGAGCCGTGTCATTCTTCTTCTTCTGTTTCTCGTAGTCATACCGCAACGGGTCGGCCCGCTTGGGGGCCTGCTGCCTGTTGTGACGGAATCGGCCACCGTGCCCTTGCCCTTGCCCGCCAGGCATGCCGGATCCTGTTGAGAGACCGGGGGTCTCAGCCTCACCCACGCGCGGCAGTTTGCTCATGCGCTTGCCCTTCTTCCAGTTTTGGAATCGTCCACTGCGGAAGCTGGCAGAGATTTTGGCACCGCTCTCGCCGCGGACGAGACGGTCACCCTTAGACCCGTCTTCGTCGTTCTGGCGAGCGACATACTTCTTGTGTCGTTTATCCCAGCGCATGATGGATCGTTGCTCGCCAAAGTTTTTCTGACCTTCGTCGCCATTGAGGTCCATGGTCGCGGTGCGCGAGTCATGTGCGAAGTTCGAGTTGGTGCCAGAGTGGACACCGTAGGCCCGGTCCTCAGCACTGTTGTGGTTGGCGGGAGTGTAGCCCATGAAGTAGTCCGGGTTCTGGAATGAGGTGGCCGATACCCCGTTGGACTTGCCACTTTGACTGTCCCTCTGGTTATAGGCCGAGAAAGTGACTTCCAGCTCGGACTCGGAAGCCTCAGACATGTTGTCGCCCGCTTCGTCAGGAATGTCATCATCCTCGTGAATATCACCGTCTCCTGCCGCTTGGCCAACACTGATTCCTAGTTCGGCCAGCTCAGACTGCTCCTTAGCCTGCGCCCGGTGCTTCTTCTTATCGAGCGAGGCGCGGATCCGTTTGATTGTGTCGATAGCCTCGCCGCCTTCGGGCTTGCCACCACGTCGATTGTGGACCTCGAAAACGGTCTCCGAGGGCCGGAAGCCACCAATACGGGCGAGCATCTTTTCGCGTTCCGCTTCCATATGGCTCTCCTCATCGTTGAATAATGGGTGGATCGTAGACCAGTCCTCGGAGGATGTGACCTTCTTGGCTCGCTTCGCGCTCTCCACAGATGCGGCGTTTCGAGTGCGCATATAGAGCTTTTCACCTCTAACAGACACCTGGCGTTGCGAAGCAATATCGGTAACCTCTTTTAAGACCTTGTTGACCCATTCGCAGCTCTGAGATAAGGGATCGCGGGGAATGGAGCCCACAATAACGTCCTCGGCATAGTTGACTTGGGCTCCAAATTGGCGGCCCAAAACCAGTCGTCGACCAAGGAAAAGTTGGAGATCGAGCAGGTATGGTGCATCCGCGTCGCGAACAAGGCTGTAACTCCATCCAGTCTGGCCGGCACGGGCGGTACGACCAACACGGTGAACAAAAATCTTTGGCTGGGAAGGGAAGTCGTAGTTGATAACGTTAGCAAGGACCGGGATATCAATACCACGGGCTGCCACGTCGGTGACGACGAGAATATTAGAGATACCCTGCCTGAAGTTCTGGACTTGGATTTTCCGTGCAGTCTGATCAAGACTGCCATAGGCATAGGACGTGGCAAAGCCCGCTTCGATCAAGAGAGAGTAAAGGTAGTCGACGTGATGCTTCGTCGCAGCAAACACAATGGTCGAGTGCTTGGTGGGCGACTCTTTGTAGTTGCCACGTTTCTCGACCTCTGATCTCTTGCGCTTGTTGTTCCCGTAGCGAGGGCCTTCGGCGTTGAACTTTGCCGTGACTTCAGTTGGGCCGGTAGGCATTTTGATGACGTTATGCAGAATATGAAGCAGAGCGCCCTCCTTGTCGGACGACTTGACTGCAAAGAAGGCGTTTTGAAGGTCGGGAGAAATCTTGCTCTCGGTATCGAGGCGCACAAGGCAAGGTTCTTGTAGACCGGCACGTGCGAATTCCACAAGCGATTTTGGAAGGGTAGCAGAGAACAGGAGTGTTTGCCGGGCGGACGGCAGGCCGTGCAGAATTTCCGTCAATTGCGCGGCGAAACCCATCTCGAAAAGTCGATCGGCCTCGTCAAAAACCACATACCGGATACTTGACAGATCCAAGTCCATCTCAACCTTCAGATGCAAGAATCGACCGGGTGTCGCAATCACAATGTCGGGGTTGCCGGCCATCATGCCGAACTGGTCCTCCAGACTATCACCACCAACAAGCAACACCGATCTCAGGTCTGTTCCACGTCCCATTTCCTTAACAACCTTCATCGTCTGCAAAGCAAGTTCGCGGGAGGGCGACATAATTAGAGCGCGAGCACCAAACATGGAGCTGTGGCTCTTCAATTTCTCAATCATGGGAATAACGAAGGCTGCAGTCTTTCCGGAACCAGTTCGAGCCATGCCGACCACATCCTTGTCGTCCATGATCACCGGAATCGTCTTTCGCTGAATGGGGGTTGGGACGGAAAATCCTTTGCGGGCGATGGCCTTGAGGAGGCCGCCATTCAGGCCCATGACCTGGAAGCCGCCACCTTTTTTGACCGTACGACCCTTGAGATTTGATCCTTTTCGGTTGGCCGACGCCTGCTGTGTCGCAATAAAGGCCGCATCCCCATCATCGTCGGCGCCAAGAAAATCAAGGTCTTGCGCGGGAATGGGTTTCTGTCGCACCGGATGGCTGCCGGCGTCAGAATCATTGTCATTTTCGAAAAGCGCACTTGTAATATCAAATTCGTTCTCCGACATAGCCGGAGAAGCTGCGCGACGAGGCATTGTTGCGGGTTGGGGGTCAATCAGCCTCGATGTGACAACGCCGATTAGAAAGGCGGGAAAAAGGTGATAATAGTCGTTAAACCACTAAGCACATCGATCAAGATAAAACAGAACACGACTGGAACAACACAAATGTGGTTATCTCAATCAGCGGTATATCTGACCGAGTGCACGCTTGAAATTCCTTCAAGCAGGTGGTGCCCCGGCGTCGAAATCAGCTCCCGTGCTCGTCGCCGCAAGAAAAAAATCGAAGAAATCCGCAAGGCGGTGAGCAACGGATCAACCATGGCCCGTTGCAAACAGAGCAAACATGTCCCCGCGACGCGTCTAACACGCTCCTAATCGAGTAAAATGATTTTACGACTGCACAAAGCGCATTATTCACATTCACGATGGGTAAGTACCGCGAATTGAATTTGGTTCATCCCCGGGATCTGACTTTCCGTTTCAGACGGTGGCTACAACTCCTACGGTGGTGGTGGCGGTGGCGGCGGCGGCTTTATGCCTGGCGAGATGAACAGCCCTTCGGGGGGAAAGGTAACCAAGCATAGATTGAGCATTTTCGTGTAATATGCCCGCTAAAACCTTCTTAGGGCGGCGACCGTGATAACAAGACCCTTCGCCCCGTGACAGTCAAGCAAATTGTCGACGCATCCCAGCCTTTTCCTGAAGCCAATTACCAAGTCGATGGCGCCGACGTAGCCAGTGTGCTGTTCATCGGCCAGGTGCGCAACATTAGCTCCCAAAGCACCAACGTCACATACAAGATCGATGATGGCACTGGCGAGATTGAGGTCAAGAAATGGGTCGACTCAGCCCTCGCAGACAGCATGGATACAGACGAAGGCAAGGTAGCCGGCGAGAGCAAGAACGAGATTGAGCTCAACGGCTACGCTCGTGTCTCTGGTGCGATCAAGTCTTTCGGCAACAAGCGGTATGTCGGCGCCCACAACGTGCTTCCGGTGAAGGATATCAATGAGCTGCACTGTCACATCCTTGAGGCTACAGTGGTGCACTTATTTTTCACTCGCGGACCCCCTGGTAGCGCCAACGCAGGTGCTAGTGCCGGCGCCGCTGGTGATGCGGTGATGGGTGGTGCAGAAGACTATGGTGCGGGCCAGAACCGGGCAGTTTTGTCCATGTCGCCGCTGGCCAAGAAAATCTACCAGCTTCTGAAGACCGAACCCCAGGACGACACCGGTTTGCACATGCAGCAGATTGCATCGAAGCTGAATACCCCAGCTACAGATGTGGCGCGGGCTGGAGAAGAGCTACTAGGTGCTGGTGTGATCTTCTCGACGATGGATGAGCAGACATGGGCCATTCTCGAGTACTAGGTAGATACCGATTGCCTAATGGCTCGCACGCTGAAACTACCAATTTTCTCTATTTTCGATTAGAAGCCATCTGCTCACTCAAATGATATCATGATTCATCTCTTTTCTTTGCCTGCCATTTGCGGCTCTCATCTATGAACAAATTGATCTAGCGCTATAAAAGCAGACTGCCACCCCCACATCATTTCCTTCACGTTCATCCGTGAATCAAACCTTAAATTTTCAATCGTAAACGTAGCATCATGTTCATTCCACCGCACTCCATTTTTGTACATGCATATGTCAAGATCGTAACACAAATCAGATCTGCTCATTCCGCAGCTGGGCCTCATCCACCGACCGCTCCCAGCTAATCCGGCTAATGAAGATAGCCTCGGTCGCAGAGACAAGCAGAAGCGCAAGGGCGACGCCAGTCCAGAGGCCCATGACCCCCCAATTTAATGAGAATGCCGTTCCCATACTGATGGGCATGGCAATAGCATAATAGCAGAAAAGTTGGATATAGCCGCCAATCTCCTGACGACCGAGACCCCGGAGGATGCCGTTGCAATTGGCGGCCAGGGCATCGAATAGCTGGAAGGCTGCACACAGGGGGAGGACCTGGGCGACAATTTTGATGACTTCGGGGTCGGAGCTGAACAGCATAGGAATATAAGACCGAAGGCTGGAGAGGAGAACCATGTTGAAGAGGCCCACGATAGTGGCTCCGCAGAAGCTCACCTTGGCGGTCGTCTTGGCGGCACCTACCAAGGAGGCGCCAATAAGGTTCGCAATTCGTGTGCTGCCCGCGATGGACAGCGGGAAGGGGATCTGCCAGGTGATGCTTGAGATGGTGGAGAGAATGGCCTGTGCGGCGAGTTCAGATGTGCCCAGATAGCTCGACGCCAGCGTTAGCACCTCGAAGGCTAGGCACTCTGCCTCCACCATGATCAGACCAGGCAGGGCCAGGCGAATCATAGGGCCCCAATTGTCAAAGGCACGTTTAGTGAAGCCGCACCAGCATTCAGAGCCGACACAGAAGTAGATGTATGCGAACAGGCCGATTGGGAGAAGGGTCTCGGTGATCACCACGGCTATGGGAGCACCAATAAAGCCCCATTGTAGTTTCTGTAAACAAATCCGTTAGCGTTAAGATATCCCAGTTCTCCAAAAATATGTCCACGTACCCAGACAAAAAACCAATTCAAAAAGGCATTGAGCGGAGCGCAAACAATGAGCACGTAAAGCGACGCAGAGAAGACTCCCTGGGCCTGGAGGTATCGCTTGCCACTCTCAAAGCAAGCATATCCTGGCGTTCCCAAGAGCGCTATCTTCAGGTACAGGCCCGCCATTTCGGCCACTCTTTTCTCCGGCACGATCTTGGCCAGAATATGCTCGGAGAAATACCACAGAACAGCAATAGGGATGGTCACGAGCCACAGGAAATAAACCATGCGGAGCATCTGTAGACCGACCAACTTTCTCTTACCAGATCCATATGCCTGTGCGCAGAGGGTGTCCAGACTCGTCGCCAGTCCCGAGTACACCGCGTTACCGGTGATGGAGGCCGTCATGGAAGCAAGGCTGACGGCCCCCAGCTCCTCCTTGCCCAAATGACCGATAGTGAAAATACTCGCCACAGTGAGGGAGTATTGCAGCAGGAAAGTCACCATCAGCGGGGCCGAGTATCTGCCAATGACCTCCGCTTCACGTTTCCACGTCGTGTTGATCAGACCGGCCGTCACAGCTTCTTCCCACTTCCGGTCAATCTCCTCTGGTCCCATTCCATTGTTCGGTGGGGATGCCAGCAACGCGGTGGTCTCGCTATCCCGCCCGTCCGAACTCCGGATCGAGCCATATTGCTTCGAAGAGCTGGCCTGCGCCGAGGAGGCCGAGAAGACCCTGCTCAGCTTACCCTGCAATCCTTGCGACCGGCCGTGCCCCTCTTCCGCCGCAATGACCCGGTTATCGCTCAGCAGATGCCGCTCTTCGTCGATCGCCTGATCGCGTTCAGCTTGCGTCAGCGGTTGATACTCCCCGTTTGACGGCAGGACGGTAGCGTGATTGACGCTGGTGAAAAAGCCCGGGCGGCGATAAGATCCAGCCAGTGAGTGCGGATTCGTCCCGGCGTAACTGCTGGATGGGCGTCTACTGTATGGACGCACCGTCGACGACTCGGAGGTTTCATCGGCGCTCGTCTCCGAATCGTCGTCGGCAAATTGAGCCAGATCACGGGCAATCGCAGCTTCCGCGATTGGCGAACTGGAGGTGAAAGATCGACCGAACGGGCTATGATGCTCCGCGGAATCCACCGATAGTATGTTGCGAGGCGCCATGGCGGGCAGATGAGATGGAGAGGGTGGGTAGCTTTCTACAGCCCCGCCTGCATCATCTACACTGGACAGAAAGTTCGGAGCAAAGGGAAGCTCTGCTACGCCGCAACACAACGGGCCAGAGGGGAGGGATCGAGGAGGTTGGAAGCCGGAGGAAAATACGGTGGAACCGGGAAATTGGGAAGTGGGGAGGTTCAGTCGCCGTTGGACTTAGTGAGCTTGCTAGCTTATCGCCGCCATTTTAATGCCGGGCCCGAGGGCCCAAGCAGTGCAAGCCAGCCACCCACCGATCCTCTTTCTGGTGTTGGGCAAGCTTGGTCTTGAGATCTACGTGCGATGGCATGCATGCACCGCATTCACCAGTAAGGGAGACCGCCATGACTCAGAGGCTCGTATGACTCGACGATCGGTCCCGACGGACGCTCGGGTCCACCCACGCGATAAGCCCCACCAACTGTGCGGTGCCAGGCTCACCGATTGTTATCACCAGGGACGGGGACAGAAGGTTGATGAAGTGGACGGATGCACTCCTCTGAACCGGCGCGATGTAATTTTAAGAGAATAGAATGCAAAACCATTCCAGATAGACGATCCGCCTCTCGCCGACGGTGTATAGATCGCCGCATGCAATGACATCACCGGAAGTGGTCTAGTGGTAGCAGTCACATGACCCCTGTCGCAGCGGTGCCTGAAAAGGCCCGCTTTCTCCAGATTTGCGGGTGTTGCGTTCCGTGGAGATTCAAAGCTTCGTATCATCCCTGGGCCTTTCTGGTTGTCGGACTGCATGGCACAACCTGCCACACCCAGCTTGGCCTCGTGCTCACCACGCCGCTATAACCCGCTCATCAACCCAACGCATTCCAAGCCGGCCTTGGTGGACGAGTAAGTCAAACATCCTGGTGGGGACCCTGCCCGTTATCGCCCTCGAACTTCTTGTCTGCTTTGTTTCCCTCCGCTTGGATTGGAGGTTTCTCGAGTCCTGCAAAGTTGTTTGCGCATTCCTGGAATCTCGTCCGTGTGGTTTATCGGGAAGCCGCAGCGCATGTGGCCTTGCTACAAATCCGTGCCACTTCCCCGCATTCCTCCTTCGCCCGTGTGCAGCCGCCGATCTAACAACCTACCAGGCATATCGAGGACCAGCAACATATCCTATTCTCCCGTCCCATTCTCGGCGCCCTGCTCTTCGAGAACACTACCTCCGATGCTCGTGACCACTGCGCCAACGAGCGCACATTCCTCTCTTGGCTGCGCCTGTCCATGTACTTGGCTATCGTCTCGCTGGCCATCATCATCTCCTTTCACTTCCGTGAACAGCCCTCTGGTTTGGAGCGGCGCATGGCCTTGCCTCTCGGGATTATCTTCTGGCTCTTGAGTCTGACTTGTCTGGCCAATGGCTTTTATAATTACGCCCGCACGGTCATGAAGTACAGCCGCAAGGCGGCCCTGGTTCAAAGTGGCTGGAAGACACAGGTTGTCTTGACGGTCATTGGGACGGTCATTTTGGGGAGTTGCATTCTCTTTTTATCCACAAATCGACAGTCATGAGCTTCACGTTCCTATCTGCTTTCATCCCAGCGTTGAGTCATCAGAGCGTTGCATTGCATGATATCTTTCTGGAGCATGGGCTTTCTCGGGCATTTTCAATGTCAAGTCTGAACGCAGTGTTTTAATAGTCCGCAGGACAGACATAATTAAATTTTGAATATGATAAACTTCAGTTCTTTCGGCGAGATTCCCAAAGTCTTTAATTATGGTACGTACGAGGGTACGGGATGCAGGTAGCAAAACGAGATGGAGGTATCAGGGGGGGGGATGCATCGAGATAAACAAGGAGGAAGGATGAAAGATTCAAGGAGAAAAGGGTCGGGGAAGGATGCTAACCCCAATGATCCCTTAGCATCTCACATTCGGCGGATTTGAGTCTCACCCTTGTACTTGTCCAGAGCCGGAGTGCCCAGGTGGCTCCACCACTCGAACAGCATCGAGTTGCAGATCAGCTTGAACCAGGGGGTAAACTTCAGACCAGGCTGCTCGAACATGGCCTTCAGCTCGTCAGCCGAGACGTACTTGGTATCCCGGACCTCGTTCGGGCTGGGCTCCAGGTCGACATCCGCTTGGATGAAAAGGATGTAGTCCACTAGAAAGAGGGGGTTCGAGTTAGATGTCGTCGATCAAAAAAAAAGGAAAACCAAAAAAGGCGCATTCGCCATCACATACCCTCGTGCTCTCCCCACTTGCCATCACTCGGGGCCTTGTAGTGGATCCGAGTGAAAAACTCGAACTTGTCCAATGGCACCTGCTCCGCCTTAATACCCAGCTCGTGGTCCAATTTCCGCTGCGCTGCGCGCTTCACTCCCATCACGGCCGCATCCAGCTCAGCACCGGTCTCGCCGGGGATACCCAGCGGGTGCGAGCAGCAAGTGTTGGTCCACATATCGGGGAAAGTGATCTTCTCGGTGGCGCGCTGCTGGAGAAGAAGGCGGTTGTTGGAGTCAAACAGGAAAACTGAAAATGCGCGATGGAGAAGGCCCTTGTCAATGTTGGTCATCAAGTGGCCTGCATGAAAAAAGCAAAATTGGTGAGTAATCTAGTTTCGAGTAATTGAGATGTTGCCCCTCCATGAAGGAGGGGTCCATAGCAAAGGCTTACATGTCTTCTTGCTGGCGCTGCCAATAGGGCGGTCCTCATTGTCCAGGACAATGCAGACCTCTTCCATTAATCGAACCTGTTCCTCATCGTAGCCAGCGAGCTCAGAACTCTGGGCAGCACCGTTGCTGGTAGCGGAGGGAAGGATATCGCGAGCGAGAGAGGTGTCGACGTCGGGGAAGAGAGTAGCGACGTTATCCGCCGTGATCTCCGCTGGGGCGGTCCCTGTCATTGTAGCGCTCATCTTGCAGTGGATTGGTTCACGATTTTGTGTCGACCGCAGAGTGTTTTCCCCCTGGAAAGAAACAATGCGGGCGGTGGCTTTGGGGAGGGTAATGTACCAGGGGCGGTAAATATCGGCAGATGGATCCCTTCAGCGGACGAGCTACATACTTCCCGCCCAAATGGGTCACCCCAAAACACGTAGGATATGCGACAAGTTACAATCTCATATCTCAACAGCCAGCGTACATTTCAAATTGAAAAGTAGTGTACAGAAGTTTATAAGCATCAGGAACAATTTATATTTAAATTCGAGTCCATTTAGAATTAGATCTCACTATTTCGATAGACCATGCATTAAAAGTCCCAACAACATTCCTGCTTCAGATCACTTCCAGTTTTGTACGTTGAATTGGGTTCGTTCTATGACATATTAGCCTAGGTTTGTATTATCAAAAACGGAACGTTGACGCATTGTCTTAATTGGGCTTGCCGACTCTTCCATGTTTTGAATTCGGTCATTGGTAAAACCGTGTCAAGATAAGATGTGGTCGGGAGCGAGCGGAGCTGCTTTCGAATCGACCTTGGCGGCGATTGAATGAACATAGCAACATGCGCCGCAGACCTGACCTGTGCATGAAGTCCTCGGTAGCGACAGAACCACTTCTTGTTGGTGACTTCCAATGCTAAGTGTAACATATACCAGGTGACATACTTCTAATGGATTTCTGTAGCTAGGGAAGCTACCTACCGATAGCCGCGTACTTGACCAACAAATTTGAGAATAACAGTCCGTAATGCTCTAGCATCTCGTTACTTCTCTTTACCATGTAACTGTGAACTCCAAGAAAAGAACAAATAAGCGTGAGGCGTAGAAACAAAGTCTAGACTTATTGCAAGCAGAATAATCCAACGAATGCCCGCTTAAATTGTAGGACTTGCCAGCGTTCATTTAGATACAACAAAACCTCGCCCGTACCGCTGGAGAAATTCAGGTTGGCACGAATTCTGGTTATCAGCTGTACGAGAGGTATTGCTCCCGGTAGATGACTCCTTTTGTTCAAGATGTCCTGTATTCGTGAAAGCAAAATCTTTTGATACTTGCTGAAGACTCTTGTCATTGCAATGGCCGACCAAGAAACGAGATCTCCACCCTAGCGCCTTATTGCTCCCATGGATGGTTCTCTTGTCGGTGGAAACCGTAAAAATGACGGCGTCGCCCGTGGAATAGTTGTTAAAAGTACTGAAACTTCCTTTCCCACATTCGCCAGGGTAAGCAGTTGGGTCATATGATTCGGACGCCTGGTCATTTTCTTCTTGTTTGACTTCAATCAAACCAATAGAGTCAAAGAAACGGGTACAGATTTCGAGGCAGTTGTCCATGCCCAGCCGCTGTTCCTTTAGCTGTTGAAACTCACTTGTGTCCAAGTCAATTTTTGGGCCTATTTCATCATCAAGACATTCGAGAAAGACTTCGATATCCGATCCGGCAACTTTGATGAGGTTTTTATGGTGTTCGAGGATTTCAGGGGCGACGAAGCTTTGGTGCCGACTAAACCGTTCATATCAGAAAGAAATATAAGTCAATGTATATGGAAACCCAGACTTTGCACTGGGATCTCGAGTCTCCTTGCCACTCACAGGTGTGTGGATACAAGAGTGGCCTCGAAAGCTGACCTGTACCCAGATAGCAAGAGCCTGAAATTGACGATGTTGCCACCCATATATCGTAACCTAGCCCAATATCGAGGGCTGACACTCCCATCATCCGGATAAGGCAGGTGTTTCCCAATCTCCTCCTTGAACTTCTCACAAGCGACCCCGCACCGTGATAAGGTGGACTCAAGTGTAGGTAGATCAACATCAGTAACAGCCCCGATTGTATCACTAAGTCCGCCTAAAGCATCCATCAAAGCTCGAAGCTCTTGTAAAAGTTCGCGCACGGACGTTGGGGGTGACTGGAAGCTGTCCACTCTACTGTACAGTGCGCGACTGGCGCTCAAGGCAGAAACAGCCAAGTTTGCCGGCCTGCAGCCCAAGGTGGGAGTGCTTTCCATGACGGTGGTTTAACTTAGGTAAGGAATATAAAGAAAGGAGTTGGTGCTTGGTGGTGAATCAGATAGATATCTAGCCAAATTTGTGATAATACCCATCAATCGAAAGGTTGAAACAAACACGATGACTGGGCTTGACTCCGCGGGGTGATTGTGTCACATCATTCACGTGACACAGACACGGACGCAGCGGATCTATTTGTTTCCTATGCAGACTTCAGTCTGAATACCCATGTCTAGCTATCATGGTCACAAAGCGATGGTAGATGCCAGTTGACTGATTGAAAGCCGCTGCAGACGAAGCCTTGTGGACGCGCGGCCAAATCGGCCGTGGCCAGACCAACTTGGCCGCACATCAACGGTGCTAAAGCTTGCGGCCTGAGGCCACAGACTTAGCTTTCCGACCCCACGAGTGGACCCTCATCGATTGGTTCAGGCGGCAGGAAGGGGTCGTTGGCTTGACGTATCTCCTTAACTGAAGGTAATTGCACGCCTCAGTCCGTATCAATGTCCGATCCTGATCATTCTTTTGCGTAGTAATTGCGTTTGGTGGCATGACGATGGGATGAACATCTTCTGCGTGCGTGCCAAGATGCATTTCGTGTAGGAAATCCTCGCTATACATATATCCCCGATCCTTCAAATGCTTTTCTCGAAAGTGTCGCAAGGTTGATTTGTATTCGCTATATTATACAACAAACCTACTTTATAGATAGTAGTACGGAACTGGGCGGTGCAGCCCTTTCTCGGTAGCTATAGGTTCACGCAGATTAGGATATTAGGTAGGAAGCTAGGAGATGAAATTACTTCTTTCTTTGGTATAGAGCAAGTAAGCGATCTTCTCAATACGAAATCGGTTCGACCATGCATCCAATTCGATAGAATAGGCCGAGAAATAGCTACGTATATTTAGAGCCGATATCTATAGCCGTCTTGTGGAGGACGGCGTCCTTAAGATCCTCGAGTGATCACTCTACATCACCGGACGATCTCGGAAAATCCCTATTCCATCCTCTAACACGATTGATAAGAGCGTTCTCTTCGACCTTACCAAGAACTTACTTCGGCAGGTCAGGGCAGCCGGACAAGCCTAGTCTTGCTCCAATCTCTCGTTGAGCATGAGTAGTTTCGAGGACGGTGTTGGAAAAAATAAGGCTATCAAAGGCTTCTTGGTTCGAGGTGAGCAGATCAAGTCCTTGAACGATTTAATAAAACCTCGTAATGCAGAAGGCATTTCGAGCGCAAGGACCTCCCGAGAAGAGGAGAAAAGTCGATACTAGTAGGATAAAGCGGTTCTTTCAGTCACCCAATGCTAAAGATCCCGGCCTCGATGCTGAAGATCCCGCTGCGTCTGAAAGTGAAAGACTCCAGCCATCCCTAAAGCAAGTTTCAGACTTGGTCAGAACTGAAGTTTCGGAGGGTCAAATAGATAGCATTGAATTGGCACGATTCGCTCGCCCTCGATGCTCTAAATCAATCCCCGAGTATGAAAGAGAGGAGCATGATGACTGGCATTTTGTTAAAGACGTGGAAATACAAGACCGGCAGGAAGCGAAAACTGAGCAATAATCGTACCCCGAATAACCGTGGAAGAGGTGGTCGAGGCAAAGAAAAGCATGAGAAAGGGCAGATGCGCCTAGCCTTTCAATGAGCTGCTCTAACAAAACCTCCGAGCCACCAAGACAAAAGCCCTTGGTGTGGCTAGCCTCGAAGGATGTTCATAGATAAAATAGCCTATAACAACAAACAATCTACAAAAAAACTACAAAATAAATGGATCACTGTACGCACCCCAAAAGTAAGTAATATTTCATTGAACCAGCTTTCTCCCAATTGGAGGCTACAAAAACCCTTGTGCTTAGAGACACTTAGCTTATAGTCAGGTCCCTCCACAATTATACCTATACAGCTATCATACTAATACAACTCCTGCTCTAAGGCATCATTTTCGGAATCCCTGAGATCATAGTTATAGCAGCGACAGTGTAGAGGGGTGTAGTTATCTACACAATATCGAAGCTGTGGAACTCTGTGTCAGCTTACGTGAGCAGTACCAGCTGTGAGCAGACGCCACGAGCGAATAGAAACGGCCGTAGCGAGCAGGATCCATATATGGGTCTGCTCCGTAGAGAACCCAATAAACGAAGCTAGAGTCGATCTAATGAAAGACAGAAACTTGTTATTTTGGGCTAAATCCCTGTAGGGCCCCACGTGTCTGCCTGACGCGTGGCGCTTGGCAAGATACGCGGCCCTACCAATGGCGAATGACAAATCTTTATCGCATATCTTGGAGTGATTGTGCTTTAATGGCGGGTCAAGTGCGAATTGTATGTTTCTTTTTTTTACTCCTTGCAATGCTCTTGGTACGGCAGATATCTTTTCCGACGATTGGATAACCTTAATTTTAATCTCTGTTGGGATGCCCTTTGATCTATAGGATCGGTCACCTAATCCTGGAATCAGGCAATCAGGCTTCGCGAGAATCAGTGAACAAATTGCCTACGCATCGTGGAATATGGCAGTCGGCGCAGCAACAGCAAGATATACCGCCTGGGACCCGCGAGGATGGTCATTAACAAAGAGGGTCTCCGCCGCAGTCGGTGCTGTTGTGATCATCGTTGCTGTCATTGTGGGTGCTGTGCTCGGTGTGCGGGCCAATCGCTACCCCAGTTATACCAAACTCGACTACAGGCTGGTAGAGACCTATTCTGGGTCTAGTTTCTTCAATAAGTTTTATTATGCTACCTCTGACCCGGCGGGTGGATTTGTCCAGTAAGTACCTTACGAGTCTCTTTTTCTCACCTCTAACCACTGTCTTACAGGTACATTGACCGAGCTGCATCTGAATGGCTCAATTTGACATATGCCACGGACACATCAGCTGTGCTCAAGGTGGACACAACTTATAATGGGCCAGAACAGGTAGCCGATGGCCGCCAATCCGTCAGGATCACATCTAATAATACCTATGCTGATGGGCTCTTCGTTTTCGATATTTTGCACACCCCTTACGCATGTGGTATATGGCCAGCTCTGTGGCTCACAGACCCAAGTAACTGGCCAGCTCATGGCGAGATCGATGTCATGGAAGCTGTAAATATGGGTGAATGGGGCAACCAGGCAACTCTTCACACGTCAAGTGGCTGCAATATGGGCGTGAAGCGGAAGGAGACTGGTACTGCGCTGTACAAAACCTGCTACTGGGACGCGAATGACGAATCAGGATGTGGTGTGAGAGGGGCCAAAGCCACATACGGTCCCGAATTTAATTCACAGGGTGGTGGAGTAAGTTGTTTTCGTCATCAGAAATGAATCTCTTGGCTAACTTTTGTTTAGGTCTATGCGATGGAGCTGCGTGATGCGGGCATTCGAGTGTGGCATTGGGTTCGCGCTGATATCCCATCCGATATTATTTCAGGGAGCCCCGATCCTTCCACTTGGGGTAAAGCATACGCAGATTTCCCGAGTACGGAGTGCAACATCGGGAATCATTTCAAAAACCAGAGCATCATTGCCAACATCGATTTTTGCGGAGGCTGGGCATCCGCGACGGAGTACTATACCACACAGAGCGGCTGTCCAGACAGCTGCGAGACCTTTGTGATGGATAACGCATCCAATTTTACGACGGCATACTGGGAGTTCAAGAGTTTCAAGGTTTACCAAGCAAGCACATAAGAGGGGATACGTATATCCGTTGGAATTGGCGTCAATCAGTTATTTGAAATACATGTCTATCGCTTGCCCCCACTTCATCTGGGGCATGGCTCTCTATAATATAGATCCGGGATCCACAAGCGTTGTTAACTCGAGCGTAATGCTGGTCTTTGGCCTTGAAGATTGAATTCTCACATTGCTACCTTCGGCTTTAACCCTTGACATCATGGTTAGGTATGTATTATAGATTAGACTAGCAGTGTTAGTTCTCTGTAGTAGTAGCACAACCTTCGTCATAGGAGGTGATAGATGAAGACGAAGGTTGGAAGGGAGGAAGGTGGAGGTGGATCATGCCACGTCTCCAGGCCTGCCCCCCGAGAATCTTGGTGACCTCATTTTTCGGAAGCACTATAGTTAAGACAGATCCGATGGCTGACAGGCTTAGTATAGTGATATGCAGAATCATGAGTTGGGTGGGGTGCGGCTCGGTGGGGTGCGGCTCGGTGGGGAAGGCTTATGTTGGGAGATTCTGCAAGAGTCCTGGTTTTCAAGTACCCCGATGGGTATGATACAACTTCGGCTGCTGAAATCACGGCGCTGGAAGCTCTTTTGGGTTTCATTTTTCATATTATACTCCATCGCAATGTAAATGGCATAGATGTATCCAGATTTATTGAATGAACTCCTCGGGGGGCTAAAAGAAAAGTAATGGAAACGACACTCAACAACATGATTAGAAAAATCAAACTACTACCTTGTCATTTTGTGCTTCATTGGCAGGGGCGGTGTCTAAGTGAGCCACCCCATGCTGCGCCAGTCAAACGAAGCGAACGAACTACGGGTTGTATCCAACCCGCCTAGAGGGCTCTTCCCTCCATTTCGCAATGAGCTCCAGGGCCACGTGCTCCTTTCTGAGATGCTTGAAGGTACGTCAGTGCCCGCAGACGGGCGACATTGGAGACGGTAGAATGATCGGAAGGAGCAAGTGACCACCGTAGGCCGTAAATAACCTATGTGTGCCCGTCATGTCACAACATTCTCTATTGATCCAATCTCTGTACGCCTATGTGAGTGTAGAGCCCCCAAAATCATGGAGATTCGAAGCTGACAGTGTTACAGATATATGCTTATTGGTCTTTTTTTCACCTTTCGGTGAGTCTGGGCTCCAAAATGGTTGTCCAAGCGAACACTTACTGACATGCAGGTAAAGCAAGCGATCCAGTCTGCCCCCTCCGTCTCAGCTCTTTCGAAGCTCAAGATCAACGAGCCAGGGTGGTTGTATCGGAAGATCCCCCGCGCCTTCGATTGACGCATTAACGAAAAGTGTTTGGGAGCCATATTTTAAGGGGTTTGGGTCCCTGGAACAATGGCTTGTAGCAGACAAGCTCTTGGAACCCAGAGTGGAGAGTTTGTCGATGAGCGCAGAACTTCCGTTGTCAATATCAGTCAAGTGAGAAGGCTTCTGGCTAACCTTCTGGCTCCAAGTAACGAGTTTTGCACCCCATCCTTCATGAACGTGACCAAAACAATGCATCCGGGGCCGGGCTCGGGCTATCGCCGCGAAAAGATACGGGCAACCTGCTCGCTGACCAGAGTAAGTATAGTCCATGATGCCCCTTGGCGGACCATTTGTCATGACGACATCAACTTTTTGAATGGAGAAGTTATAGCCATGATCTGGGTGGTATTGAAAGCCCCAGTTGCCGAGCGATGGTGTGTGTGGACTGGCGTAAACGGTCTCTGAAGGAATCGAATGGAGGCCCTGTACTCATCAATTTTCGAATCTGTGGTAAGGTCCCCGCAATGAATCGCGACATCTGCATATTGACTTGACACGGAGTCCGGCAGACTGTCGAGTCCGTGTGTGTCTGAAAATACCAGAAATCGGGTCTTTATATTGGCTGAAGTAGTCTTCATTTCCCTTGATCTTGGTTGGTATGGATTTTTGTGATAAGGATGATGACCAGTTCGTATTCTGCTAAGTTGCAGGGAGGCAGGGAGAGTGCGGCTGGCTAGGTAGCTAAGGTGAGGTAGATGTCGCCAACGCCAACAGAGGTGAGCTAGTCCTAATTGGGGATCCCCAATAAGCTCCCAAAGTACATTCAGTGCCAGGGTTGCAAAACCATCCACGCCCACCTGAAAACCGACTAGTACCTTACTCTAGTACGTATTTGACCGGATGAGGGAGGGCCTCTTACCGAACGAGGGGCAACTAGGGGGAGGTTTGGGTTCGAGTCCTGGGGCTGACGCTATCCGATCAAATTGAGTTATTATATAACTACTATAGCTATCAAGAATCAATAAGCGATATTTTCCTTATACGCAACGTAGTCGCTAGAATAAATAAATAGATTTTGTAGCTATCGTAGGCCAAACTCTTCTCAAATCTTCTGCTTCAAGGCTCTCTCTAGCCGGCTAAACGTGTTTGGCTGTTGGCGTACGAGTCGGTCACGTCGCGATCGCATTTGCTCACTCGGGTGGTGGTTGCAAACTTCATTGCTAGTATTCACATAACCTGTCTGTCCTAGGGTCCAACTAAAATTGTACTAAGAAAACAACGAACAGACGTGCCCCACATTAACATGCTCTAAATTCCCTCGGAACTTTTCTGCTTTGAACCTAGAGATAGGTCAAAATACCCTAGACGCGCGCACCGGATTACATATCTTGATACGGCATTCCAATGCTTCAATATATCATTGGACCAGTCATCTTGATAATCTGGCTGTGCACAAGACAACTGCTTATATATCCGTGGGTTCTCTTGTGTGGATGTGGAGTCAAGCAGAGCAATATTCAGGAAAATTGTAATCAAGAAATAGAGAGAGGTATATAAGCGCAGAATCTAACAGAAAGTGATGGCTCCTGATTATACTTGTTCGGCCTTGTCCTTTTGCAGTATCATCATCTCCTCATCCGCCGCTTCCGGAGATACACACAACGAGATAGACTTCTCAGTTAACGCAGACAGACTGCGGTGTCGACCCCATAACGAGAGTGACACCAGCAAAAGCTTGCTGAATGAGTACCACTCCCCGCAGAAGGAATAATGTTTGCCGGGATACCCAATGCTCACGCCTACACAGCTATATGCGGAAACCACCTCAAAAATAATGTTGAAGGTGGAAAAAGCCACTGGCTGGGACTTGTAGTGGTCGGACTCGACAACAGAAATGAGAAGGACGGCAACACCAAGCCACCAGATATCGTGACCTAAGTGAAAGCTAATTTGCCGGCAAAGGAAATAGCCGCCCGCAAAAAGCGCGTTAGTTGAGCCACTGGCTGAAGATGAATAAACCCATTTATCAGCTTCTACAAAAGGGACCTTCGCAGACCCCGTTGTGGTTGTTTCAGTACTTCTACTAGAGGTTAGGCAAGACTTTTTGTCCCATAACAGGGAAGCAGTCATACCTGGTGGCAGCTGACACTGGAGAAGCTGGAAGATACTACAAGAGGCGTGTTAGATACTCATATTGCCATCGCCAGAAAATTTGAGTCCTCACCATCATGAGGACTAGGGAGACTTTTGTTAGCAAGCTGTCTTGTAAGAGAAGATGATCTACAATTAATTCAGCAAACCACGTACCGTATAAAGTCAGCAATCCTTGTGGCAGTTCATCGAAAGCCACAACAGTGAACCCACCGCTACGCACACCTATATTAAATCCCTTTTCATCAGTTCTATCTCCAAAAAGTGGTTCTTATATACGTACATAGTGACTGAAAAAGCCCATCTAGGACTCGATACTTGAGAGGGAGAGCCTCGATCTCAGTGTTGTGGATAGAAGCAAGCTCAAAAGCCCCCGTAAGGATCCCGTTTAACACCAGAATTGTACAGAACAAAAAAAAGGTATGCCAACCTGGGTACAAAGAAACGCACACCTGTTGATATTGTCAGTTAAGTTCCTGTGGATGAGAAAAAGCATAACCACCCTTTGGGGTTGAGCAAGAATAAAGTCCAAAACTCGTCGCCACGACTGCCAGCTCGGTCTATTCGGTAGCATTCTTTTCAGGCCCCAGATGAAAAGTCGTAGCAAGCACGGGAAAAGCGTATTTCCAGCAAGAACAAGAAAACCGCAGGCGAGAAGCGGAAAAGCCCTGGCCAGGTTGGGATCAACAAAACGATTCGTTAACTCTTGGCTGCATGAAATGAATCACCCACTCTCGTTGATAAGGTGTCATATTGGCATTAATAAGAGACATGCCATTGTTTCCAAACGCAGATGTGGCAAGAAAAGCGCCCGCCCAGAAAGGGGAAACTCCGTCTGTACGCGGAATATCTGGGCGGGAATATTTTGACCAAAACCCGATGCTCATAATACCGAAGCAAAGGAGAACAACGGTGTAGAATATCGTAAGCACTGATATCAATGCAAGTGCCCTGTACTCTACCAAATTTGTCTCATTACAGCCGATAGAACCGCTCCAGCAGCTTAGAATCTTTCCTAGTCGCTGCATCATGCTCTTCAACGTCGCGAACACCCGAGAAAGAAAGGATTCCACATTATAGAAGTTCTTTCTGCCTCCAATGCTAGTGATAGAAGCGACACCTTGACTCTGGTCAGGATCTGTCGGGTCGGTGACAATGATGACGTTACGGGCGTTCCAAGGTATCTCGGGCTCGCCAGGTGATGAAATATGCACTTGTAAATCCTTAACGGCAATGTTTATCTTCGACAGGCTCGTATTTTTTGCGGAAATAGTATTCTTCCCGTCCTCGTGGGGCTGCGTTTCCTGTATCTGCAGGATTGACTTGTGAGGTAGAATTTGCTTCCCTCCTTTCTTATTAGATTGATCTTTCAGGCCGAGACGAAGCGCAAGAGCGCGGAGTAAAGAGATGATTCCAAGAATCGGAATGGCATGACCTAAAATCAGAAGCGTGAACAGGGTGCCTTGTTGTGGAACATTCAGTGTGGAGAGGTCCAGCTGTGCGACATATCAACAATTGACTGTGGCTCGCGAAGTGATCTTGTGGACTAGACGAACCACGTTTAGTCCTGCTCCCGTCATGGCATTGAAGCTCATGAATAGCGCGTCAACAAAGTGAAGGTTTTGGATCTGCGTTGATGTCGTGAATAGTACGACACTGCCGATCATGGACGCTAGGATGAAGTACGCATAGTGTAATGTGAGGGTATTCAACTCCAAAAGAGCAGCCATGGTCGGCATACTTTATTGTATGTCGCGTCCAGGTTTCGGTTTGTTAAATTCATATAATAACCACGGGGTAGAAAACTTTAGCAGAGCAAGCCTGCCAAACCTGCCCTGTTGGTGCAACAATGCCTCGGTTATGGGTTAAATACTTCATGGTAACCGCATTGTGTAAGGAATGTGGGTGCCATATTTTTCCACCCTCTCCTTTCCGGCATCTGGTTTGAGGTGCCTAAACATGTTACGACTTGAAGTAAGCGGTTCAATAATCCTAGTGAGCTTCAATGTAAACGTGGGTTCAGCGATAAGCTCATTCTAAGGGACCACCCGCTGGATTCTTCCGATGCAAGGCTGAAATATGTGGATTTTCTGCCGGTTTCCAAGAGTGTAAGGAATTTACCCACGAAGGAATCGCCGCGTCTCGCCCGGTGACAAACAGTAACAAACGCAAAAGTGGATTTGAAATAAGTAGAAGGTGACCAGCGCTGTTCATAGAGTCTTCGACTTTCCTGTGGTCATTTCCCAAGATCAAAACAACACCATACATAGAATAATGGCATGCTAAATTATCTAAAAACGTTATTTTATCACTATAAAGGAAGAGTGAAATATCATTGAGGCTTGTTGCTCTTAATACTCCTTCTATCACATCTACACGTCTACACGTTTGCCTGAATAAGTGAACATATACACCAAATCCTCGGCCATCTGCGCTCAGTGAGTACCATCTCAAGATATCCACAATTTCCAGGGTTGATTTATCCCAAAAATGTGTGTGCTAAGCCCAAGTGGCGGCTTGTTTCCTGGCCCCGTTCGATGTCGGACCAGGTGAAGCATTTGTTAGGGTCCCATAGGGGCGTCTGCCACCGGACTCCAAGTCGGATGCTTTCTGGCCCGACGGCGGAAGAATACTCGCTTGACCCATTTCCAGCCTTCAACGCCGATGAAGAACAACACAGCCTCTACCGCCACGATGCCCCATTCCCAGGTGATGGGCTTGTGTTTGAAAACGACGTCGTTGAGCACAGGGATGTAAAGGATGGGAAACATGGTAATCCAACCCGCCATGATGGACCAGAAAAGGAACTTGTTCCGCCAGACGTCGTGCATCCATTGAGTAAAATATCTCTTGGAAGTTGGCTGCATGCGGAAGAACGATCGACGTAAGTTGACCATTTCCCACGCCAGGAATAGTGCAAACCAAGTCAGACACACAAACGTGGTGGCTCGTGCTCGGAAGACGAGTTCGCAGTCTTTGATCTCCTCTGACCACTCCTGATTGCAGCCGCGGGCCAGGTTGCCATCGCCGAACCCCCACAGACGGATCGAGAATGCTGCCAAGCAGAGCGCCGCAGTCCAAATTCCATATACCAGGATATCGATTATGACCTCCCAAGTGAATATGCCTTGCTTACTCTGGGGAGGGCGATCCATGATGTCGGGGGCGGCTACCTCCATGCCAAGTCCCATGTCAGGCATGCCCGATGTAATCATGATAATCCAAAGGATTTCCACGGGGGAGAGAGGGAAAACCGACTGGTTATCAGCGTCTTTGAAAGCCAGTCCGATAAGCAAGGTACCGGCCTGAGCGATGTTCTCGGACAAGAGATGAAGCACGAATTTCTGAATATTATCAAAGATACGACGGCCCTCTTCGACGGCATTAAGGATCGAGGCAAAATTGTCATCCGTGAGGATAATATCAGACGCATCTTTGGCCACATCCGACCCTGCCTGTCCCATGGCGATACCAACGTCGGCATGCTTGAGCGAAGGAGAATCATTCACCCCGTCTCCCGTCATTGCTGCGAAACGACCACGACGATGAAGGGCGTCGATCATGCGTACCTTCGTCAGCGGCGCACAGCGTGCAATGACCAAAGGCAAAGTCGGAAGCGCATCTACCTGTTCATCAGTGAGTTTGTCGAATTGACTCGCAGTCATGACCATGGCGTCCGCGACATCAGCTGCCACAGTACTGAAATCAGCAGGAAGGATCCCCACTTGCTGTGCAATCGCTTTGGCCGTTCCAGGGTGATCTCCAGTAACCATGTGGACCGTTATACCAGCTCGACGGCAGGCCTGTATCGAGCCCGCTGTTTCAGGACGCGGAGGATCATACAAGCCAATCAGGCCTAGGAAGCACAGATCGTTCTCGACATCTTCACGTTCCATGTTGGAATCTTCAAGCAGTTGCGCTTGCTCAGTATACGGTCGATGGGCCAGAGCCAATACTCGAAGTCCCATCTTGGCGAGTTCCTCCATATTCTGAAGGATTGTTTGGCGGTGGTCGTCGGTCATTGGCACAGCGGTCGACGAATCCTGGTCCCAAATCACCGAGGTGCACGAATCTATGACGCGCTCGACAGCACCCTTGGTAAACACCATTGTGCAGCTGTCTTTGGTAGTCGCCTTGCTGAATATCACCGACATTTTCTTGACGGTCGAGTCGAATGGGAATTCAGCCTTTTGATGCCACGCTGCACCCTGACCCTTGGTCCAGCGGTCTCGGTTCCAATTGAACCTCGAGGCGAAGACTTGAATAGCAATTTCCGTGGGCTCACCCCTCGCATTCCATTCACCCACTTCAGACTTGTACACATGAGACAGATTGGCCATAGAGGCAACGTTCAGAAAGTCCTCGAGCTGGCGATTTCCCGAAACCAGACTCTCTGCATTTTCCGCAGAGCTACCTTCCTTCTCATCACTAAATTGCAAAGGAGAGACAGGGGTGAAGGTGACATCTCCAACGGTAGGATTAAAGGGCTCGTTGGATGTGCCAACGGAGTACGTTCCTCGAGACGGAATCCATGCTTTTTTGACTACCATCTTGCCCTGAGTCAAAGTACCGGTCTTATCGGAGCAGATATCTGTGACCGCGCCGAGAGCTTCCAACGAGTCTAATTTGCGAACAATTACGTTCCGCTGGGCCATGCGCTTGGTACCAACTGCCATAGTGATGGTAAGCACGACCACCAGACACGCTGGAATCATACTAATACCAGTTGCAACAGCATACATGATGACTTCGGTGTTGCTGCTGAAGAGGTTTGCAGCCATACAAACAATAGCAAAGACAATAGCCACTCCAAATAGTAAACAGGCCAGCTTGGACAGCTTTCTTTGTAAGGGCGTTCCAGTATTGACACCGAGGAAACGGCCCACGGCATCCGTTCCGGTGAGAGTCCAGGCCTGAACGTACCATCGTTTTTTGGCCTCGCCATCGGGACCACGCTTGACGGGACGGCGCTTGCTGCCGCTGGCCCGCAATGCAAGGGCAATGGAACCAATTTCTGTGAACATGCCGGTACTGATGACAACACCACGACCACGGCCACGAGTGACGGTACTCGAGCTATAAGCCATATTTAGACGATCTCCAGGACCGGTATCCTCTTTAAAAATCGAGTCGCATTCCTTCTGGACGGGAAGTGACTCGCCTGTGAGGAGAGCCTCGTCGGTTTCGAAATTGACCGCCTCAACCAGCCTATTATATTCAGTAAAAAGCCACGAATTGCTCAGTGATAAGAGACTCACCGAATATCCGCTGGAACGACATCCCCGGTCCTCAACTCGACCATGTCACCTGGCACGATCTCCGACGACGGTACCGAGAACGTCTGTCCACCTCTCGAGACAGTCCCTGTCGGCGATGACAGTGAATGTAAGGACTCCATAGTCTTTTCCGCGGCGTACTCCTGGAAGAACCCAACAACAATATTCAAGACAATAACAGCACAGATCACTCCGCCCTCAATCCACGACTGGATTCCGAAACTGACCGCCATGGCCAGGATCAGCACCTGTAGAAAACAAATTGTATCAGATTCGGAAAGTTCTTAGCAAGTTCCAGCCATCATCGTCAAGGATCTTAGATCTCTTACTAGCATCATTGCGTTAGCCACCTGGCGAACGAGAATCTTGACCACCGACAGGCCCTCGCCTTCGTCCAGTTTATTTGGGCCATACTGCTGGAGACGACGACTAGCTTCGTCAGGGTTGAGACCTTCATCCAGCCCAGTGTTGAGTTCCTTGATCACCGCTTCGTACGTTAGCGAGTGAGCCGGCTGACGTAGGGGGCTGCCGCCAGACCCGAGTTCCGGGTGGATGTCGCGCTTCTTCGGCATTAAAGATGGCGCTCGGATGAGTATATAATTGTGGCTGGTTGATGTCCGTCTTGTTCGGAGCGTTGGGGAGTTGCAGAAGATTTCTCTCTGCACTGTAAGCAGAGGCCTTCTTAGTGCTCATAACACCGATTCTGCTCGTGTTCAGAGTCGGTCTGGATTCTCCAGGAGTTTAGTCTTGGCGCATCATCGCGGTACGTGGGTCGCCACCCATGCCAAGGCCCGTTGTTGGACGACGAGAGGATTTGGTCTTGGCGCCATGACCTGCGCCCGAAACCGGACATTCTACCAAGACCGTGGTTAGTCAATGAGAAACGGTAACGAAATCGAGCCTGCAAACTCCGGTAGAGATGGATCCAATGCCTGCAATACTGCCAGAGATACGGAGTACTTGATGCGCCAAGACTGGTCCATCGGATTCCATCGCCACTTTAGATCCCGCGATCGCAAAGGGGACATCTGCGTAGAGCTGTATGGTCAGTTAAACTCCCGATTTCTCGTCTTGGATCGCGGAATGCCACAAATATATAATTGAGGCCACTTGTCATTCTGGCACTTTGTGTCAGTTATTAAGGCTTTGGAGCACCTATACACAACATTTCCGCTAATGCACGGTGAGTGAGCAGATTCCGCTCCTTGAGACTTGGCAATCCATGGCGCCAAGTACTCAGAATCGGAGCGGGATGCCCGTGCCCAGTAGGCGCCCCACGCACCCTAGGAATCTGCTTAGCTGAAGAGAAAATCGAGGGTGCGCCAGAGTTCCAGAGGAATTTAACTAATGGGTTAGTCCGCAACTCTGGTCCGGACCACTTTAGAACCTTGGCACACAACCCGCTCGTAAACTTAGCTTCTTCCATAACCCATCCATCCCGTACGGATACTAGAAACTCGCGGGCACCGAAATGCTGACGATGTGTACGCTGCACCCTGTGTTAAGTCAATCCACTCCTTCTTGGCTTCTCCACTTCTAGGTTTCACCGCAGGTTAGACACGGAAGTGACGATGCCGCACCATGAAGAGAGCCTTAGTTTGTGTATAGAAGGGGTCAAATAACGCGTGTGTCCAGAACAGTGATATAACATTGATGACGGAATATACCAGTCAAAACCCCAGTCCCAAACCATCCTCTAGGGAATGACTGCCCACCCTCGAAGGGTAAATAAACACGAAACGTAAAGAGGGCGCCCTGGTTTCCGAGAACACCGGTTTTACGCTATTTTATTCGGTAGAACGAGGGCCAAGACGCTTCGGAGACAGAATGTCCAAACTGGGGTCACCAAGTCACGGAAATTTTTGCAGCAGCGGAAAGCAGCAACTAATAACGCCCATGCTGATCTTGCCAAGTCTGTTGCCTGTAAGTCCTTGGATGCCCAGCGCTGGGGAAGGGAGTTGCCAAGACTTGGGTAATTCCGAGCTTTAGCCATTACCAATGGTTTCGTCAGTATCTCGCTGCCCCTCCAAGCTGCACTACTTTCGCTCCTTTCGCATATGGAAGGGAGGTGAGGACTATAAGGTGCAATAACTTACTGTGATACCGGACTCTGAAAATATTTGTGGCTATTTTGGAGGGCTTCCAGTATTGTTCTCTTCATTAAACTACCGTACGGTTAACTACTGGCTATTCGACGGCCTATGATATGCTGCCCCATTCACTTAATCTCTAGCTGGCTGAGCTTTTGAAGCTCTTCAATCTCCTCAGGTCCTAACAACCCTAGAGCCTCTCGTCGAGTTGGTGCATCTACATCGAATATGGGCTTCTCTGCCAACGAAGTCACCCGAGTGCCATGTCTGGGCTCCGAACCTTCATAATCCCAGCTCGCATGATGAATGGTGATTCTGTTGAATAATGAGATTGTCTGCCTTGCGTCTGCTACTTTGTACCACTTACCTGTTATCCCACAGTGCACTGGCTCGCGGGCTCCATTTGAACCTCACTTGTATGTCCGGGTTTTTCTCATAGACATCGAACAGATATCCCAGAATCACATCACTTTCGGCTTTGTCCAGACCAACGATGCGACTGGTCATGGCTCGGTTCACCCAAAGTGCCTTCCATCCTGTAGCCGGATGAACGCGTACAACGGGGTGCTCCCGTTCGACATACTTGGGGCCAGCCTCGGGGTTCCTGCGATCAAGGTAAGGATGAGCAGACCGGTAAATAGCCGTCTTGCCGTCAATAAACTTGCGTAACAACGGTGACAGCTTCTCATATGCTGCGTATCCACTAGCCCAGAGAGTATCCCCTCCGACCGTCGGCACAGTATCGTTATGGAGGTGCGTCACTCCGGCAGGTTGCCTCTCATGAACGAGATCGGTATGCCATCGAGATGATCCTCCTGGCCGACGGAAACTAGCTGGGTTCTCGGTTGCTTGGAGTGCTGGCCAGATCACAGTCACGCCGGGAACTCCCGGAACCTGGGGCACTTGTGGCTTCACAAGAGCAAAGAAGGCAAAGGTCAGCAACCTGCGCATGAGTCTGCCCATATGCAGCTGGAGGCTCTGCTGGGATTCGTACATGAATCTCAATCTCGCCGAAATGCTCTCCCAATGCTTTCTGTTGTTGTGGGGAAATATCTTGATCCCGGAAAAAGACGACGCTCCGCTCCGCAATGAGTAGACCAAGCTCATCCTTCTGCTGATCTGTGAGGTCCTTGAGTTGGAGACCCACAATCTCAGTGCCAATATGTCGTGTGAGATGGATCACTTCTGTTGCCGCAGATAGGAGCGCGTTCTTCTTGGGGTCGGCCCGAGTACCAGGGTCTACATGTGGGCGATCGTGGTTGCGGACATTGTAAACATCGTCTGTAAACAGAGGACGAGAGGGCCTATAGGGATAGCCATCACTCAGATCAATTCCTGCCTTCTCCAAACGGGCCCGCGCGGGCTCTGGAAGACCGAGAGTGTCTTTCCTGGGCGGTGCAACGTCTACAATGCGGGGATCAATAGCGACAGGAGCCATGATGATGGTGCAGATGAATATTTAGCTGTGTCTTAGCATGGGATGGGGACGAGTTATGATATGTCCCAGCAAAATCAACTGGAACCCTCCGCTCCCATAATCAACACGTTGGTTGATAGTCGGTTTGCATCAAGCACATCATCATGGCGTTGCATTACGCCTTTCATAGAATACTCATCGCGTAGTGGATGAGGTGACGCCCCCTCCAAAAAAGGACAACTCTTACCCCTCATCTTGTTCCAATAGAAGGGCCATTATCCTGATCCCACAGCCGAGAGCCAATCTTTGGATATCATGAGGTCGCATCATTATGAGCAGGGATGCGTGTCATCTCATGATCTGCAACGAAAATCACGTTGATCGTATACTTCCGACTTTTAATCCTCTCAAAGCAGTGCCGACGGAGCCGATAAGCAGTTCTTGATGCTCATTGGATAGTCATTTGGATGTCCTACGGAAGCTGATAGCGGCCACCCGAAGAAAGTGTATAATATGCATATTCTAGACCGCCCTAGGGACCGCTCTGTAACGCAGGAATCGTATTTTATACTATCTTTCCCATACAAAAATAGATTCTCCATTTTCTACTGACCCCCCCATCTTGACGCCATTTCTTGCCGCTATCCCAGGTGGTAAGATGAAGCTATTCATACTATACAATCTGCTAACTTTCGATATCCCTAGGCGTTGAATACCCTCGCTGTCGCCCTCGCTGTCGCCCTCGCTGTCGCCCTCGCTATTTCCGTCGCTGTCGCCGTCGCTGAATATCCTCGCTGTGGCCGTCGCTGTTTCCGTCGCTGTTTCCGTCGCTGAATATCCTCGCTGAATATCCTCGCTGAATATCCTCGCTGTGACCGTCGCTGTGGCCGTCGCTGAATACCCTCGCTGAATATCCTCGCTGTGGCCGTCGCTGTGGCCGTCGCTGAATACCCTCGCTGAATATCCTCGCTGTGGCCGTCGCTGAATATCCTCGCTGAATATCCTCGCTGTGACCGTCGCTGTGGCCGTCGCTGAATATCCTCGCTGAATATCCTCGCTGTGACCGTCGCTGTGGCCGTCGCTGAATACCCTCGCTGAATATCCTCGCTGTAGCCGTCGCTGAATACCCTCGCTGAATATCCTCGCTGTGGCCGTCGCTGAATATCCTCGCTGAATATCCTCGCTGTGACCGTCGCTGTGGCCGTCGCTGAATACCCTCGCTGAATATCCTCGCTGTGGCCGTCGCTGAATATCCTCGCTGAATATCCTCGCTGTAACCGTCGCTGTAGCCGTCGCTGAATACCCTCGCTGAATATCCTCGCTGTGGCCGTCGCTATTTCCGTCGCTGTAGCCGTCGCTGAATACCCTCGCTGTGGCCGTCGCTGAATACCCTCGCTGTAGCCGTCGCTAAATACCCTCGCTGTAGCCCTCGCTATCGGCCTCGCTGTTGCCCTCGTTATATATTGCTCTCTACTATAATACCTCGTATCCCTCTTAACCCGTATAGGTAGGAGATCGAGGATTATATCTAACTTAGGCGCTCTACTAAAGCTATTCGTATTATACTGCTTAACGACTATAGCGTTAGCGTTATAATATATATAATTAATAACCGCCTATAGTTATAGAATATTAGCTATCTAGCGAAGTCTACCGAAGCTCTAGATAAGCGTGTTTATAAGCTTCTCTATCTCTCTCTAAGTACTAAAGAGATTCTCTAAGTGCTTAAAAGACAGGGTATATCCTTATCTAAGCGTAGTCTTCGCAGAGCTCGTAAGCGGCTTAGAATAAAGCTTCGGGTCGATAATCCTAAAGAACGTAAGCGGTAGGAAGCTAAGATTAAAGCTATTCTAGGTATAGAGGACCAGATTAGAGATATTAAAGGCTATAGTTCTCGGCTATAATATATCTTCCTTCGTAACTAAGGTTATTTCTATCCTCGGTAAGTTAAGGTCTATCCTCGTCCTTAGTAAGTAGACTACTAATACTTATCTAGAGATAGAATCTACGAGGTTTACCGTAGAATCAACCCGGAAGCTATCGAACATCGTCGGTCAGACCTCTAACGCCGGAGAGGAGCTTATACTTACCCTAGGCCAAACTAGATATAGTATATTAATAGTTATATAAAGCTAGAACCCTTCGGATTCGAGATATATACTACTATCGATAGATACTCTCGATATATTATATAGATCTACGTAGGAATCTCTACACAAATAGTAATAAGCGTACTACGTTAGTATCTTAACTACGTAGCTTCGACGGGCTTTCTACCGCACGTTATACGGGCTAATCTAGGCTTAGAAATAACGATGATTAGTAATACGCATCTCGCCCTTCGCCGGTCAGCGTCACCATCAGCCTTACTATTAGCCTTACTATTAGCCGAAGCGTTACCATCAGCCGAAGCCTCACTATCAGCCGAAGCCTTATACGAAGCGTTACCGTTAGCGTTATATCTTCAGCTAGAAGACTGCTTCTTCTACGGCCGAAGTACTAAGAATTAACGGATTAAATCCTAGTAGGGACAGCTCGCTAGCTCGAGCGTCTTCCTCTACTATAAATATTTCTATATACTACACTACGATAGGATCTTTTTAAAAGAGTCTCTTCTAGAGTAGGTGTCGCTTCTTACTATCTATATACCTATCCTCCGAGCTCGTATACACTCATACACGAATATTTAGAATATACACTTAATTCGGCTATAGTCTAATAGGCCAGACACTATCCTAGGGAAGCTAGTTATAAACTACTACCATCCCGACGCCGACGTTTAAGATTACTAGCAATCTTTTAATCAAGACCTCCTTCGAAGACTATAGCAAGACGTAGAAGGGTAGGATTCTATAGAATATCTTCTACCAGCGACCTTAGTATAGTATCTCTCGTAGCTTCAGCAAATTAGGCAGCAGCTTATAGGCGTTAGCTTTAACCCTAAAGATCTACTGCTTCTACTCAAGGGGGAAAGAGACTAGCTATACCGAGTAGTATATAAAGCACTTCGGCTTCGTGTATTACACTACTACGAATCAGGGGAAGAGCCTATCCTTAGCGTATACATAAAGCCGCGTAGTGTATATTTATAGTCGCCAGCAGCCGAGACGGCCGTAATAGCTCCGATAGCTACGGCTAAGGCCTAGTTCAAATCAGAATTTCATCTACATTAAGCTAAAAGGTCCTTCCTCCGTTAATCGATTCAACCCTTATCGAAATAGCGTCTCTACAGTCCTCCCTATAGGAAGCTATAGCTACTACTATTACAGTAGCAATATCTTCAACCACGGTAGCTTCATCAACGCCTATATCGACGCCTATACCTTCGATACCTATAGCCGTATCTTCGCTAGCACCAGCGTAGCTAATCCTACGTTTTAATTCTCTCTCTTCTCTTTCTAGCACGGTAAGCATAGCCCAGAGATCTTATATACGTCAGCGAGAGAGATATCCTCTCCTACTACTACTACCGCCGCCGCTAGCAGCGCCGGTAGCGCCAGCAGCGCCGTAGGAGGTTTATATCTCTACGTCCTTCTATCTCTAGGAGAGCCTAAGAGAGATAGAGCGGCTACTAAGTAAGTACGACTACTACTATAGAAATAGCTAGCTAATCTCTTATTCATCGGTTAGTATCGCTTTCATACGTTTTTCCCTCCTCTAAGACTATCGTTAATATACTATTCTTCGCCGGAGACCTCGTCTCGCTACTCGATTAGTACACTATCCAATATTTAGGAGGATACCAGAGGAGGCCATAAGATCAGTTCCTTATAGCCAAGGATATTACCCGGCAGGGTAAAGGGCCGTTAATCGCGTAGTTCCTCTCGTAGTAATATTCTTTCGTATCTAAGACCCTTAGTGAACTTTACTAGCGGTTACGGAAGGTAAAAGGAGAGTATTATATATACGTCGTGATTATACAGCCCTCGGAGGCAGAGACAGAGCGGATAACGACAGCGGAGATAGAGCAGGGGGAGTTTGATTTTGATAATCTATAGATTATTAGTAGTAATACTAGCGGTAATACTAGCGGTGCTACTTCTATAGTAGTAGCAGAGGATACTACTTCTGTAGTAGCAATAGATAATACTACTACTGTAGTAGCAATAGATAATGCTACTACTACAGTCGTACCAGAGGGTACTATATCGAAGAAGCGAGCAGCTTCGCCGATGCGCCGAAGCCAGCGGCTTCGCCGGCGGCGGTAGTAGTTCAAATTATATAGAGAGCTTCAATTAGACGGCGCACTACCTAAAATCAGCGGGAATGACCAAGATGCACTATAAAAATAGCTTCAATATAGCGATAGCGATATAAATAGCCTTCGAGAGAGATGCACATGATTTAATATAGGCGCACCGCCTGAAATTAGCGGAGATGACCAAGATACACTACAAAAATAGCCTCAATATCGCGACAGCGAGGTGAATAGCCTCTGAGAGAGACATACATGATTTAATATGGGCGCTGTAATAGTAATTCAGGTATCTAAACTTTCTGCCGGTCTTAGAATATGCATATTATACACTTTCTTCGTGTGGCCGCTATCGGCTTCCGTAGATGTCCCGCCTGTTAGCTTGGATTGCGAAATTTCTGGTCTCGGATGCTTCATAGTTGACAACGGCGGAGCCGTGTGGAATTGGGGGCGCTTATGGCGACTTTAATACTCCAGTGTCCTATACAATGAAATCTCAATTACTTTTTGGAATTCATTCCATGCGACAATCATGGCTGACAGGTCAATTCAGCGTGTTGCGGTTATTGGAGCTGGCATTAGTGGCGTTGCCAGTGCTGGCCATCTTCTCGCAGCGGGACTAAACGTTACCGTTTTTGAAAGAAGCCAAGCAGCGGGCGGAGTTTGGTATATTCTCTTAATTTTTACCCTCTTTGAATCAGTTCTCACGCTTGCTTATTTCAGGCTACATGACAAGCGAGTGCCGGTCGAGCCCCAGTACCCATGTACCAAGCCGTCAGATGTGAAGAGGCACAGCAGCGACGAACGGGATATAAGGGAAAGGCAGAAGTTAATACATGCCCCACCAGGGTAAGTCCAGTCCGGATGCTGCAGATGGCAAAAACACAATACTCATGGTGCCTTAGACCGTGTTACGATGGCCTCGTGAATAATGTTCCGACTTCAATGCTACGCACCAAACTCAATGCTTGGCCAAACGGAACCCCGCCTTATGTCAACCACTACGTACTCAAGAACTACATTCAAGATACATCAACAAAGGCCGGAGTTAATGATGCAACAGTTTACTGCGCTCGGGTTACAAACGTTCACAAGGAAGGGCAACAATGGCAAGTGTCATGGAGCTCCTTGCATGAAGATTCCAACGCGGATGACTTGGTTGAACGGGAAAGCTCAGCAGTAAGCACTCACACCTGGGTATATTCAATCCACAGCAGCTTACACAAAGTACAGGCATTCGACGCGGTTATAGTTGCATCCGGCCATTACCATACGCCTTTGATTCCAAATATAGTTGGGCTGGCGGACGCAAAGGAGAAATGGCCGTCACAAATTACACACTCTAAATCCTTCCGAAACTCAAAGGGATTTGAAGGGAAAGTGAGTTAAAAAATCCAAAAAGCCTCCACTTGAAACACCTTCGCTCAATTTCCGTTTTCTCAAGAGCGTCTTACTCATTGGAGGGGGAGTGTCCTCCGTCGACATAGCTAGGGAGATCAGCCCAGTTGCACGCAGGATATATCAGAGTACTCGGAATGGTGCCTTTGATATTCCGCAGATTGCGCTCCCGGAAAATGCTATTCGTGTCGAGCAAGTCGCCGCATTTGAAATCGTCTCAGCCGAAGGATCTTCCGAACATCTCCCTCTTACTGTCCGTTTCAAGTCTGGCCAGACTCTGGACCATGTCGATAAGATTGTCCTCTGCACGGGCTACCAGATGGTTCTACCATTTCTCCCAGAGTACAACAGCGATGACATCAACGAAACGGCAATTGTAACTGATGGAAGCCAGTTTCACAATTTGCATCAAGACATATTTTACATTCCCGACCCAACCTTGGCGTTCGTAGGCGTTCCCTTCTACACGGCTACATTCACGCTCTTTGAGTTCCAAGCAATCGCCGTCGCAGCATTCTTTTCCGGGGCTGCTCAAATGCCTTCCATTGAAAGCATGAGGGCGGAATATCAAGCCCGAGTCGACCATAAAGGACACGGACGAAGCTTTCATTCACTAAAAGACGAGGAGCAAGCATATGTCAAGCAGATTATTGAGTGGGTGAATGCTGATAGAGCAACGCAAGGCTTGTCTTTGGTTGAAGGTCACACTGCTTCTTGGTTGGAGGGGAAAAAGGCCAATAGCGAAAGGCTTGCTTTACTTTTCAAAGGAGCTATACCGTTCGGAAACGCTGCAGAACCGTTGCCGGAAGTAGGAGTTCCGGCTTAAATTCCCCGTCTAGAAAGAAATTCTACGTCGCATAGTTGAGTCTATCGCATGGTCGAGCATGCCAATGCTTTAATAACGATCCTTGCTCATTCTCGATCTATACTATTGTAGAATGAAGCTCTCTGCACAATATTCTAAACAGCTCTCTGAAGGAGAGACTCAAGAATTTGCTATAATAGAAACTAGTATGTCGGTTTCAATCTTAATAGTCCTCCAATGGAATACCTTGCAGAAAGCACATGAATGTCAAGATTGTGAGGGGGCTGGGCGGCACACCATTCGTGCATCCGATGGCGAGCTCAATATCTTAGGGGATGATGACCGCCACCGGCAGATGTCCGCACGCATATGTCACTCCAACTGAGCATTGAATGTACTTTTGGAGTGTTTGATCATATACGCAGAAATTGCGCGAACAGTTTCGACGATGATTCGACTGCCCCGTCTCACTATGCCTCTCCTAGAAAACTGATAACAGGAGGGCCGGGAGCTTCAATGGATAGTGACCCCCGCTTTATTGCTAATTGAACCATGAGGCTGCAAAATCACGCGATGGTATTGAATGCCCCCGGGCACTTTCCGCATCCGCGACTGACTGAGCTCCGATAATTAGCATTCTTCGGAAGCTGCAGTGTGTCAATCTGCCGGCATAATGCGAGGTCATTCTTCCTTCACCTTATAAGACAATTGCAGGGGACTGTTCTCTTTTTTGGAAGCCGTCAGCTCTCCCAGTCATGAGGAAAGCAACTTCTGACGCTGACGAGGCGGCAGCCCACAGCCCCACAACCGAGGTTCAGGAAACGCCAAGGCGCAGATGGACCAGCTACATCTGGGACACCTTCGACAAGTCTCCCGAAGAACGTCGACTTCTTTTCAAATTAGATTCTGCTATTTTGACCTTTGCGTCTTTGGGTAGGTTTTCTTGGCTAATCCTGTTGTCGCACAAGAATGGCTGCTGACTCCATCCAATTTAGGATATTTCATTAAATACCTAGACCAAATCAATATCAACAATGCCTTCGTATCCGGAATGTACGGCAAATGTCGGCCCTACAAGATTGAGTTTGTCTGACAGTATTTATCGCGCAGGAAAGAGGACTTGGGTCTATATGGCAACGAGTTAAACTACATGCAAGCCTGTTGGACGGTTGGATATGTTATTGGCGAGATCCCGAGTAACATACTTTTGACACGAATCCGGCCAAGGTATTGGATACCAGCTGCCGAGGTAAGGTTATGGCAATGGATGATTCAGAATGCTTCCCTCTTAACTCCTTTTTAGCTCCTATGGACGGTTCTTACGTTTTCGTTGTCAAGATGCAATACGGCTACGCAGTTTTATGTGCTGCGATTTTTCATTGGTGAGCACTGTTTCGTTGTGCCCGGGCGTTGCAAGCTAACTTCAGTTGCCCAAAGGTCTTGCAGAAAGTACTTTTTACCCAGGGATGCAATACATAATCGGTTCATGGTATCGAAAGGATGAGCTTGCAAAGCGATCGTGCATCTTCCACACCAGCAGTGGCATTGCCAGCATGTTCTCCGGTTATCTCATGGATGCTGTGTTTCATCTTGGGGGAACAGGCGGGTTCAAGGGATGGCAATGGTAGGAAGCAGAGGATACTGACACCCTCTTGAATCGTAGCTTTATCTAACTGCGCCTCAGGCTTTTCGTAATTGACGGGGTGATCTCCCTTCCGATCGCTATCTGTGGATTTTTTGTGTTACCTGATGTTCCGGAAATCTCGAACCCATGGTATCTCAGCAAGGAGGTTTGTCACACTATTCAGTGTTGCTAAACTTCGAGACTATCTTGATGCTCATCTAATCTTAGGAAGTTGCACTCTCTCAAAAACGAATGCGGCTAGAGGGTAGACAGGATAGGGCTCCCCTTACAAAAGGGAGATTGAAGAAAATATTTTCTTCGTGGCATATCTATCTCTTGACTCTACTATATGTGTGCGTCTATTTGAATAGAAAAGTCTCTCGGGTTATACTGACGTCCATCACAGACTTTTCAACAATGGCGCGGCTGGTAGCCAGCCAATTTTTCAGCAGTAAGTTGAGCAGAGAGCTTGAGAAATTTTCATCTTACTCAAGGGGCAGATTTCTCAAACACTCCACGGACCCGAAGTACTCCGTGGGCCAAATCAATGCATACCCGACAACCACCAATGCTGTCCAGGTTGTAACAACACTTGCTTATGCTTGTAAGCTCAAAGTCATTGCCGTTTAATTGACAAGATTATACTAACCTAGCACAGGGTCTTCGGATACATTTTTAAATGGCCGCCGCTGGCCTCCAATTGTTTTTGGTGCCGTGAGTGGCTCGGTAATCTCATCCGAACGGATGGCCAGTGCACTAACAGTCTCCTAGCTGGTGAACATAATTAGTTATGTCTCACTTGCGATATGGGATATTCCGACTGGATGGAAATGGACCTGCTACATTATCTGTGGGGCTGGATTTGGGCTCAGTGGTCTGTGCATGGCGTAAGTCCAGCTCTCAATAGCATTGACTCAGACCATGCGCTCTAACCAAGTTTTCAATAGCTGGGCTCACGAGATCTGCTCTGGGGATAACGAAGAACGAGCACTTGTGATTGGCAGCATGAACGAAATGGCCTACGTCTTCCAAGCATGGATTCCGCTTCTTGTGTGGCAGCAAGTCGATGCTCCCCAATACCAGAAGGGATTTATCACAGTATCTTGCATGTCCTTCTGTTTGATAATAACAGCTTTGGTTATCCGAAATCTTGATCAAAAGGAAAGAAGACAGAAGAGGTAAGCCACTACTACTGATCGGAAACCCTTTTTGCGCCTGTTCTTATGAACTCGGTCGTCTAACAATACCATTCAGAATCCTGACCAGCCAGACGGATGAGACGGACGACGGCCTCTCTGACACCATAGCAGCTACTTCCGTAGACACGAAGCACCCTTCAACGCTTTGACAGATTTGATTTAACTCTGCAGTTTACTCCGCCTACTACATACGGATTGGCATCTAGCCGAAAGATCCTGTCTTGTTTCTGCGACTGGTGTTCCTCAGGTTTAGCAATATAACAACAGGCTTTTGTGGAGGTTTACAAAGGACTCCAAATGAGAAACCGCAAATGATTGGACTGGCAATTTGAAAACAAGCAGAAAAGATAACGAATCATAACATTCCACTATCGGTTCTAGCTACGAACAATCAATGAGACGTTATCTATTTCTAGGCGAAAACCATCCCCTTTCAAAGGGCAACACAGGGTTTAAAGCTTGTTCATGTACATGGTTATACGCCGCTGCCTTCAGTCTTATAGTCTTGTGGTCACCATTCTCCAATCGCACCGTAATGATGTTATGAACTAGCTATGCGGCAGTACAATCACCCTACCATCAAAGGGTGGTCTGCACCAGGAGCGTCTGAACTCGCGGGGGGAGGAGGTGATCCCATTTTGCAGAATCGGTCTAATGAAATCATCTTTTCCCAAGCTGCCGGACGACTAAAATTGAAATTAGATGGAGTCTAGTTTTGTCCATGGCCCATTTTCGGGGTTCTCCGTTCGTTAGTTCGATTTATTGCATTTCCCCTCTGGTTCTTCTTTCCGATTCGCGCCCGGGACGCTAATTTGTGCCCGATATTCCGTGTCTTGGGGTAAGATCACAAGCAGACTAGTCTGCTCGAGCTTCCGTAGAGCTGCCTCTTGGGTGCTCAGGTGGGATCAAGGCGCACAGCGATGACTTCCAGTTACCACGAGTAATCAGTCCAGTTCAGAAACAGAAAGGTCTTTTGCTGACAACCTTTAACTTGGATGGACTTGGAAATGAGACAGGGGCGCTGGGGCCGTCACCTAACGCTTGTGTTTTGCTACCTTATCTTCTTCGGTGGCTGCTCTTCCCTCTTCTGCTCGGGGACGATAGGACGGATCGGCCGGGAATCATTATTATTGCTGCCTACCATGAAAAGTGAAGCTCATGCTCGTCATTTGGAATTCAATCTTCACCTGGCTTGAGCTGTCCCTATGACATCCCCTTCTTTTGCCCTATTGGGCACTCAAGGAAAGGGAGACTCAACTGTTTGCACCTCCTCCAAGTCCTGCAACTTGAACCCCATCGAGAATGCTCCATGGGGATCTTGAAAAAGTGCGGAGGCACAAAATCCGGACCCCACGGACAAGGGCAGTCTAGCCTGCCCCTTTCTTCTCGGCACACGACTGGCTGCTGATCGATCCAACTACCAGCCAACCGGAATGAGCCGATTTAAAGGAGTTAGAGGCATGGTTTACTACACAAACGGTGGATACAGTGCCTGCTTTGGCCTGCAACGCTTGGTCGGGCATTATCTCCGCAAGAGGGAGATGAACGAGCAGAAATGGGGGCACATTGGAGAGACAGAGAGTCTTCTTTTCCAAGCAGTTGCGTCAACGTCGATCATAGTCCGGACTGTTCTCGACGATCCTTCGCCCCGTTCTTAGCGTTTAATTCGGCGTGGTGGAGCGGGGCAAGGATCGAGACTTTGGACGGGCCCCGGTCCGCCCTGCCGTTAGGAGAATTTCGCCGAGAGGATTTGAGTTCTGGGGCCAACACACAGATGATCTCGAATAGGAGGTGCCCAGTCACGCCCCACCGGACCGAACTAGACAACTGAGGCGCGATATGCCAGTCGCCGTTGCCCGACCCGGGCGACTCGGGAAAGGGCGTTATCACAGTTGCCGTCCCAGTGGACTCAATCCAGAACCATTCCACTCTCTGTTCGGGTACAGAGTGGACAGTGGACAGTGAAAAGTGGGAGGTTCGGTGGGAACGAGAATAGGCTAACAATGCACAGGCTGCGAGAAGACTGGCTCCGTCTGGTTTACCGCGCGCCATTCCGAGCCCAGCGGCACGATATCACACCAAAACAATGCGATGCGATGCGACCAACAAAAATGGCATTGAGTATAACTGAATGGTAAGCACATGATTTATGAAAGAAAGCCTCCGCGAGGATTCACAGTTCGTCCCCTATGCATTGTAGTACAAAATGAAAGAAGTAATGCGTGCCAAGTGGGTCCAATCCCACGCCCAAGAGAATCGGATCCGACCCGAATGCTATGCTTGATCGGATGATCCTCGAATACAGGATACACAGCCGCACTCATGCCGAATTGGAGATTGAGACCACGGCCAAAGTCTGCATGTCCTCCTGGTACGGTTCTGACCAGCAGACCCATAAATAGCCCGAGCAACACGGGCCCTATCCCCGCTTCAGCAGCGCCCTGAACTTCGTCGCTAATGCCTTGAAGACGGATTTTGCAGACTAGGGGGGCTACCGGGAGAGTAATCGGCATCTTGAGACAGGCAGGGTGGAGGAGAGGGAGTTCTCATGTTGTCGGGCCGTACGTTGCATTCCGTGTAATGTCTAGAATGAATTTCACTGGTCAGTACGCAAGTGATGAACAGTCGAGTCGAGGCGAGAAAGGTCACCGACTTCGCCATATTTTCCCACCGAGTATAGCGGCGATGGCACCATTTGCAAACATGTTTTCGGATCCCACGGTGAACCTATGCAATCATCCATCAGCACTGTACTGGTCCATCCTTCTTTTGTTTCCCACTCACCGTGTCTATGTGCCTTCTGAGATCCGAATTCCTTCCAAAGGACTTGCTACATTCTTCGCATGGGATTGCGCGGTGGAAACTTGGGTCGTGCCTTTTCTGGTGCGCAAGGCAATTGGAGCGTCTGGTAAAGTAGAAGCCGCACACGCGACATTCGCAGCCCTTCTCTACTGGCTTCCTGCCACGCTTGTTTGGCTTGGCGGCAGCTTCAGCGGTACCATCTCCGGTGGGTGTCCCTTGAGGGGAAGACGCGACTGACACGGGACTGGAGTGACGGTGTCTGGTGGACCCGCTCGCGTTGCCTTCACTCGTAGGCGGGATTGGAGGGTAAGAGGTCCCTGTGACCGGCCAAGCTAGTGGGGGTACAACACTTGTCTCTGGGTAGATTTCTGGGTTCCAATGGCTCTCCATTGTGCGAGCTGCTGCGATGGGTATGGACTGGAGCGGCGACGTTGGTCCTGAAACTGGCGTATTCGCCCAGAGCCCCGGCATCCCACCCATCTGCCCCGCAAACATATTCTGACTAGCACGAATTTCCATAGCAGGATTGTAGTGGTGGGTTGTGTTCATCGTTCGAGGTCCATCGAAGCTGAGCGGGGAGTGCGAAGGGACTGGGAGACCACTGTAGATTTGGTAGCACGACCTGCCACAGAAGTCGTCAGCCTCTAACGGGGGGTTGTAGAGGTCCTCGGTCGGCATGAGATGATTCAGCATGTTGGAACCCATAGTGAAAGGCACGTGGTTGGGAGACCATCTCATCGGGTCGAATGAAGGATCAAGCCCACAGTCAGAGATGCCTAGTCCCACGGTTGTTGATCCCCTTCTATGGGATGTCTGCACTGATACCCGCGAGGTATAGGTAGACGTTCCCTCCAGGGAGGGGGTATCTTCCGGCATAGACGAGGCCATAGAAGATGGCCGACGAGGTGAACGGTCCATAATGCTTAATTGCTGGAAAGACAAAAACAATAGGCCAGTCTGAACGATGTGTATAGAAAAGCGAAATATAATAGCCCCCAAAAAGATCAAGGCTAGCCAGAGAAAGTCTATATCGTGAAGGATCAAGAAAAGAAGGTAGGGGCGCCAAGTATAAATAAGAGAGGCGAGTCAACAACTAGGGCTGTTGGTGACCAGGACCTGCATACATGGTGGCTGAGGGAATAGTGAAGGACAAGCACAGGAATCATTGAGAGACAAAAGTCGGCGCCGCATCGAGACCGTAGGTGTGAAGAATCCATTGGCTTGCCATACCGTCACCGGGCGAGGCAGATTTTCTGTGAAAAGGGAACCGGGGGGTGAGTAGCCTGCAAATGCGGTGGAAAGATTAAGTGGGGAGTGTAGACTAACGGCTAGGTTGGGGCTGTCCGGAAGCCAGATCGAAGAACAGCCCCAGTCTTCATAGACCAGCCTCCAGTGCCTCAGGTACTTAGCGCCAAATCCAGGGCGATCAGAGAATGGCCGGCTCTCGAGCCAACGAAGACAGGGGTATGCCACTGATAGTTATGCCCATTTCCCGGCCCATCTCCCGGTCCATCTCAGCCCGGGGTACAGGAGATACAGCCCAAACCTAGGGGTGGTGCCGCAGCAAACATTCCCGGAATATGGGGAGGGAGTGGGGGATGAATTAAGATAGCATAGCTAGAGATCCAAAGATAATGGGCCCTAGTTAGGGAAGTTAAGTGTCCGGCTGGGTTGCAGGAGCCCGAAATGGTCATATTCTACGAATAAAGAATAATACACAACGGCGGTTGTGACCTCTAACCAGTCCTTCCGTCACCGCCGGGCTGGTCTGTCCAACAGCGTCGCGTGCCGTGCAGGTAGTCTGGCCATACAGAAATCGAATGAGAACCCGGCGTTTTGGGTCCTGGCTTGAACGGGTGTATGATGTACGATAGTGAATTGTTACCCTAGAGTATACCCTGCCGCGTCTCCAGAGGAACCCAATCAAAAAAGGCTAGTACAGAGTTTTGGCGTCCGTATTGGGGTCATCTATTTCGAAGCAAGACTGACCAACTCCAACCTGAACAGGCAAGACATAGTAAGCCCATCGAGACTCCTGTTGTGGCGGACCAGACTTTCCAAACCACTTGGTTTTCATGTGTGGAGCTGTACATAATCATCGAAACATCGCGTTCTTCACAGTCGAGTTCCACAGAATTCTTGTGCTCTCTAGAATCGGGTCCATGCTCTCATCAATGCTCCTGTTGTGCCCAAAGCCGCCTCGCGAACAGCCCCCAGAAATTCTCTTCAAGACAAAATAAAACACCGATGAAAAGGGGGAAAGAAAGAAAGAAAATAACATGGTATAGCCCCCGTTAATACCCCTTAATCACTTAGTCCTCCATCTATATGGGTTGTCCACGACCCCGAAAAAAACACAAAACGTTGGAGTGGCTCCCGCTAACCCACACCTGCCCCCACCTAACTCGAGCCTGCCCGGTCCGTGCAAGGGGCAGTGCGTGGCTCTAAGGACTGGCCCCCAACTCTCAGAAGAACGAACCACTTTCATTCCTTTTTTGGGGTACTCCGAACATGACCAAATCATTCAACACAAGCAGCCCCTGTCACTGCGCCGAAATCCCGGTCGTTACGCGCTCCACCTGCACTCGAAGTTGTTCCACGGCGTTAAGAATCTCCGCGAGCTGCGTCTTTTCGGCCGGCGCCAGACTTGATTCGCGCGAGTGATACTGGTCCACAGTGGTTCGTTGATGCCCAGGACCGATACGATATGTTTCGGCTATGGAGGAGCGCAGTGGGTCCTGGCATCTGGAGACACTCGGTACGCCGCTAGAAGTACCATGAGGTCGAGCCGTGGAGACCGGAGGTAGGCGAGTGGTTGGTCGATGGAGATGCCGTCGGCTTGACTCGTAGCCCCAGATCAGCACGGCAAAGGGCAGATGCGTTGCCCGAAGTAAGACGATCCGCACTCGGCGAACAGCCTCCGCGGACAGGAAGAGTCGCATAGGGCGGATGCAAAGAAGCGGAATCAGATTCTGCCACTGTGTCAGCCTGCATAACATTCCAGAACATGAACCGTAAGTGCATCCTGCTTGTAAATACACTGTATGTATTGCTACCAAGGAAGTATGGGCGCTAACTGACCAGGGGTGGCATGAAATATGTCAGGCGCCGCGAATTGCTGCTCTCCAAGACATAGATAGACAATCTAGGAGAAAGCCATCAGCGCGGGTCTTTCCTTTTACTTGATCAAGGTAGTGCAGAGGGATTCTACTAACTGGAAAAGGTATTCCTCACGAGCGTGCCGCATGACCTGGAAGAGTTGGCCACACAGATGGATCAGTCAACAATGCAACGTAGGAGAATCAAGAACTGAACACCCACCCCTTCAAGGCTCATACTCATCAAACTAATGAGTGAAGAGAGGAGCAAAATATTGGTCATTGCGACAAAAACCATCCTATGGAGCCGATTGTTAGCATGGGTCCGGTCCGGGGCGAGGCGGATGCCGATCATTGCGAGGGAACGTGGCAGTTATTGCGGGGCATTCGCAGACGACCGCCGTTACAGACCCCGGCCACCAACCAAACAAAACATTGGAAAATGCGCAACTACTGCAGCCCCGTATCACTTCGCGCGAAACGAAACGTGATCGATCTTGCATGCGATCCTTTTTTCTGGTCCAAGGCGCAGTGCGATCAGAGCAAACTCACATCAAGCCATAGCCGAAGATCGGCGATATCTAGACAGAACTAGCGCGTCAGTCAACTAAACGCGACAGCCAACCATTTTGCCAATTCTCCGGGATGCAAACTCTAGGGCCGCACAACCGCTTCTGCATGCGACTTACTTCTGACGCGCTGTCCTATTATCCAATCAATTCAGCCACCATCAGTCACCAGGATTTCAAAAATTCAATTCGCGAATATCGTGGGAGAACACGCACCAGGCCAAGGGAGCCAGATCTGCCGCACATCGTCAGCCACAAACTCATCCATCGCACGCAATGTTGTTCACCGTCTTACCCAAAGAACACCTTCACTAACATCCACGACATTTCCTTGAGCGAGAGGCGGTCACGGGCCAGCATGGTGAACGTGGTGAGGAACCCTGCAGAGATCCACCGCCTGTCAGAACCATGCTTCAAGTTGAATGGGGCTGCGCATCTGAGCCACCCCGTCCACCTTCTTACCAATATACAAGACAATCACAACCGGCAAAAATCGGAAAAAGGATTTCGTCTGAGTTGCAAAGAAATCAGCCTTGTGGACCTGGCCTCACTGTTACTGGTTTCGGGCCGAGACCGTACCATCTCTTTCAGCACAGGTATCTGTTCACATCATTAGAAACGGGCTTGGCCCAAGGCGTCTTTTGCGGTGGATCCCAACTTACCAGACTGCCGAAATATGAATTCAAGCTCACGAGGGCACAGATCCTGCGGATACGCATCTTTCGTCAGAGCCGGTCCCTTCCGGCGCATACCACTTAGGTGCGTAGATCAATATACCTTGGGACTAGAAATAGTGCTTCCAGGGAGAGAATATCGAATGAAAAATCGAGTATGTAATCATCACCCCTGGCTAACCCAACAGCCCCTGTTGCATCTCCCGTCAGCCCCCCAGGGTTCTTTACGTTCAGAAGACCCAAGATCCTCACAAGGCAGAATCCGTGGGAAGCAAATGGAGGATCAGACTTACTTGTGATGATGAACGCAAGTCCCACACCGATTATGCCCAGGTTCCAGAGGCTCCAGAAGTCCATCTGGTAGAAAAGTACTCCGGCATCGATGAGCCCACTCAGTTCGTCGTAAGCGAACGCCACAATCCAAATATCCATAAAAATTTCGAAGAGCCCGAGTCCATTCTGTTTTCTTTCGACAAGGACCGAATAGTATAACAGTAAGAATGAAAGGAAAAAGGCCGCTTCGAACATCTTCCGATAAACTGGAACTCTCAGCCGTGAATAGAGATCTGCCGTTCTGGACAGGATGGGTAAGCATCACATGAGAGACCTTATGGTTTGGTTAGTTCTTGACTCACTTCCGATTGAATATCCGTGGCTTTTTGATTGAATGAACTGTGAGCGAGTCCCAGAACACGATTTCCCCATTCCAGATATCGTTGACCACACGCTGAACAACCCGTTGACTGAGAAATCTCTTTGCCCGGGCGACGGCTGCGATTTCCAATGCATTCAGCCCAAAAAACCTCGAGTATTTCGAAGTCTCATAATCAGCCGGGTATGCATTCTGGCTGCCCAGGTAAGCTTGGCGATTGTGGTGTTCTGGTCCTAAATGGTGAAAATGAGTAGAATCGGCCGATAATAGAGGAGTGAACTCCGTTTCTAGGCCTGATGCAACCCCACAGTTGCCTGTTTCCATTTCAACAAGATGCGTGGAGTTGCGCCGCGGGATCGGGAGCTCCTCCAGAAGGAACTCGATCGTTTCACGTTGGTTCAGGTGACATAAAAATTGCCAGGCGACAAACTCGCATGCCGCCCCGCGGCTTTCGTTCAGTCCCCAGTCGTCATCGGCTTCGTTGGAAAACTCCCACTTCAGTATCCTGTGTTGGGCTGTTTAGCAGCTTGCCGCATGTAGTAGCTTGAGAGAGAGGCGAGCCTTACATCAAGGCGACGATGATAAATGGGTTATGGCTATCCTCAGCAAGATCATGGACCAGCTGTCTGAGATGGTGCCCTCGAGCTCCGTATCTCATCTGCTCAAATGAATATGCCATCTCGCCAACAGCCATGCTAATAAAGCTATATGTGGAATTAGACGAAGAACGAGAAGAGGGATTAAGAGTATTTACTGAGATAGCTTGGATATCACAACAAACATGGACTCGTCAGTTTCGATGACGGGGATCTCCACATGATCCATATCTACATCCATGTTTGATGCCAGATCCGAAATGGAGTTGTCGCGGCGTCGGCCGCTCATGGCAGCTCTGAGCTGAACCATCCCAAACCAGGAGCTGAGAAGATGAGAGAGCGTAGAAATAATCGGAGTTGAACACTGTAAGAAATTGAGCTTTGTAGACAGCGACAGTTGCCTCTGTTGGCCCTACGGCCTATCTCTCTTGGCAATCGGCTGGGTACTGCCCGAGTGCTTGCTTTGAATCCAGACAGAGCTAACACAGCCGGGACAACATGATTGAAGATGGAAAGGATAACAGCAAACAGCAGCACAAATATATTGATTTGGCTATTCTCTTCCTTTTCTGTCTTCGCTTGGAATTTTTCTCGTGGAAGAAACGTAGTTTCCCCTTGTCACTAACAATTGCCAGCACATGGTCGCTGTCAATCCCCTTCACCGCCTTTCTGCGCCATCACGTGGGGGCGCGTCAAGTGACCTCACTTTCCTGGCTTATCAACTCGTCGCACCTCGACACGTCAATATCTCTTTCCAGAAGCTGGGAGATGAGGTCCATACGACATCATGGGCCAAGGTTACTCCCTCACAACCCTGTCGGCAGGGTCGGCAGGGATCGATGTACCGGAGCTTTCGGATCTGGTATATGAGAAGTCGATGGGTGGGGGCAGGTTCATGAAGAGCATCCGTGCCAGGCAACAAAATGGTCTGGTTTTTGTCAAGGTAATCATGAAGCCTTATCCGACAATGCAGCTGGAGCCATACGTCAAAGCGATCATCCGTAAGTCCTGTCAGTCACCGATGGAGCGATTCAAAAGAAACTAACCATATTGTGTAGAGGAACGCAAGCTCTTGTCAGACGTACCAAACGCATTGAGCTATGAGAGGATCTTGGAGACCAGTACCAGCGGATACCTGGTCCGTCAGTACATTCACAGCTCTCTTTACGATCGAATGAGGTGTGTCTCCTAACTAATCTTTCTGCTACCCATTGAAGAATCTAACAGCTATGCAGCACTCGCCCATTTCTAGAAGATATTGAAAAGAAATGGATCGCCTTCCAGCTTCTTTGCGCACTGAGGGATTGTCACTCACTGGATGTCTTCCACGGTGACATCAAAACAGAGAATATTCTGGTTACATCATGGAACTGGCTCTATCTATCTGACTTCTCTTCCTCATTCAAACCAACATTTCTTCCGGAGGACAACCCGGCGGACTTTTCGTTCTACTTCGACATCTCGGGGCGAAGAACATGTTACCTTGCCCCGGAGCGGTTCTTGGTGGCCGGTGAAGAACCCGGCAGCCGTCACGTCAACTGGGCTATGGACATCTTCAGTGCGGGCTGTGTGATTGCCGAACTTTTTCTGGAGTCTCCGATATTTACACTCAGCCAGATGTACAAATACCAGAAAGGCGAGTACAGCCCGGAACACAGTCAGCTGGTGAAGATCGAGGATCCCGAAATTCGGGAGCTGATCCTGCACATGATCCAACTGGAACCAGAGTCTCGTTACTCAGCCGAGGAATATCTCAATTTCTGGAAAAACAAGGCTTTTCCGGAATATTTTTACAGCTTTCTCCACCAGTACATGTCTCTTATGACCGATCCGTCCTCGGGAAGGACCAAGGTGGATGCGGAATCAAGTAATCGAGGCGAACCGGATGATCGCATCGAAAGAGTCTGCTTAGACTTTGACAAAATATCCTACTTTCTGGGAATCCCACCCCGTTCTCCGCCGATCAACACATCAGGCTCAAATGCTGTCTCTCGTCTGACCGGTAGCACCCTCCCAGTGAAGCTCGACCTGCCAGACGGAGACGGTGATGGAAATCAAACAATATTACCATCTCCTCAGTTGCAGTCTGATGAAGGTGTTTTGATCTTCTTGAGTCTAGTGGTGTCCAATCTCCGAACCACATCCAAGGCCTCGGCTCGAATCAAAGCTTGTGATATCCTGCTTGCCTTTGCAGAAAGACTATCCGACGAAGCAAAACTCGACCGGGTGCTTCCGTACATCATGATTCTTTTGACAGACCGTACGGATGCCGTCAAGGTCGCGGCAATCCGCACGCTAACTCAATTATTGGAGATGGTTCATGTAGTTTCCCCGGTAAACGCCTATCTGTTCTCCGAATACATCTTTCCACGGCTTCAGCCGTTCATTGTATCCTCCAAGAGCAGCCCAAGTCCGATGGTCCGAGCTGCATATGCTTCGTGCATAGCATCCCTGGCTCAATCCTCCTTGAGGTTTCTGGATATGATCCAAGCATTGCGCTCGGATACCCGCTTGACTTCGCTGATTCCAGTTGGCTTCGAGCCACGATGGACGGAGGATGCTACCTATCGTAATCTCTACGATGTGGCTCGAATTGATCTCCTTGAATACTTCGAGGTCCATACCAAAGCACTCTTGACTGACATAGATGCCTCCGTTCGCCGGGCCTTCCTGGGATCCGTTTCCAGTCTCTGTGTTTTTTTTGGCAATCTCAAAGCCAACGAGGTCGTTCTGAGTCATTTGAACACCTATCTCAATGATCGTGATTGGATCTTGAAATGCGCCTTCTTCGAGGCCGTGGTCGGTGTTGCCGCATACGTGGGAAGCAACAGTCTAGAGCAGTACATCCTACCTCTGATGATTCAATCCATGACTGAGCCCGAAGAGTTCGTTGTGGAAAGGGTGATTCGCTCTCTTGGCGCTATGGCTGACCTTGGACTGTTTCAACGATCGACGACCTGGGATCTTCTTCATATCACTGTTGGGTTCCTAGTACATCCGAACATCTGGATTCGTGAGGCTGCTGTGAATCTGGTGGTGAAGTCGACAAGGTTTCTCTCTGTCGCAGACATTTTTTCTATTCTGGGCCCGCTCATTCGGCCTTTCCTCAAGGTCAAAATTGTGGGCTTTTCCGAGGCAGAACTTCTTGAGGCTCTTAAGCGACCGATGTCGCGGAATACCTACGAGATGGCCTTTCTCTGGGCTTCTAAGACTGACAAAGGTATCTTTTGGAAATCTGCGAGTCGCGATGCGTTCAGCCTCTCGGACCCTGGCAGTCACAGCTCTCGCGTGGGACGTAATTTTAGTCCGTCAATGAGTTCACAGTCCAAAAATGAAGAAGATGAGCAATGGCTTTCTCGGCTACGAAATCTCGGAATGACATCCGAAGATGAATTCAAGCTTCTGGCGCTAAGGGACTACATATGGAGGGTCTCGCTACGGCAGTCCAGAGAGGTCGAGGCAGAGTCGTCTCTGCCATTAGGCGACATTATCAGTCTGTCGCGGCATGGCGTCACTCCTCAGACAGTCTTCTTTGACAAGAATCTCAATGACAAGCCGCGCAACACATCTCTAGAGAGAGACACCAGTCGTACCCGCACTCCCTTTGATGATCAGAGGCCGCGAACTATTGCCGATGCGCTGCTTGATGCTTCCACCACAATTGAGCGAGCTTCGTCGGCTCATCGCAAACATATTCGTCATGGAAGCCAGCTCCGCAGAGAAATTGATGTCCCACAGCCGCGGAATACTGCGGTGGAATCTTCCTCGTCTTCTCCGGCCGCATCATCTCCCGCCACCGGTCCTGGGTCTCGCCCCATGTCTCCGCCAAGCTCCGATGTTGAGCGGCATCCCATTCCTCCAAGTCGCCGACTAAGCTCTGGCCAAGAGAGCTCATCAACAACCCCTACCAATGCCGACACTTTGTCATTGAGAGGCCTCCCGGTCCACCGCAAGTCTAGTGCCATTAACCTATTAAACCGCAATGAGACCGCAAAAGCGTATGCCGAGACAAGCACGAGTTCAGCAAATGCTTTTGGAAAAGTGGATGCGCCTTTTCAGAGAGCAGGAACGCCCCAGCCCTCGGCTCTTTCCCACGCGCACGAACGCAAACCGGTCCAGACTATGGCAGCGTCCCGGCGTTATCGTGCTAATCACTCCTACTCGGGAGATGACCCTGTTGTTCTGCGACTGTTGGACAACGTGTTCGCAGAGAACTATCCTACCGACTTGTTTGACTTGGGACCCTATGTCAAGGAGCTTGATTCCCGATTGCCGATTCCCAAGCCCAATACGCAGAATATCCACAAGCTCTGGAAGCCCGAGGGTAATCTTGTAGTGACTTTTGGCGAACACAGTGGCCCCGTTAACCGCATCGCTCTGCCTCCGGATCATTCCTTCTTTGTGACTGCCTCGGACGACAGCACAGTCAAGATCTGGGACACGATGCGGCTCGAGCGCAACTTGACTCCTCGGTCCCGTCAGACCCATCGCCATGCACCGGGCGCGCGTGTCAAGGCGCTCACCTTTGTTGAAAACACATATACCTTTGTTAGCGGCGCCACCGACGGCAGCATCCACGCTGTCAAAATTGACTATCAAAAGGTCAATGACAATGCTCGATACGGCAAACTTCAGCTTGTCCGCGAGTATCAGCTCCCCGCCACTGAGAATGGATCGCAAGAGTATGCCGTCTGGATGGAGCATTTCCGAGATGAAGGGCAATCAACACTACTCATCGCCACCAATACCTGCCGAATTCTGGCATTAGATATGAAGACGATGCTGCCAGTCTTCACCTTGGAAAACCCGGTTCACCATGGAACTCCGACAACATTTTGCTGCGACCGGCGCCATACCTGGCTACTGGTAGGGACCACTCATGGAATATTGGATTTGTGGGACCTTCGGTTCCGGGTACGATTGAAGGCTTGGGGCCTTCCAGGTTGGGGGTCTATCCACCGAGTCCAGTTGCACCCCATCAAGTCGCGCGGGCGCTGGGTTTGTGTGTCTAGCAGCGGGAGCCATGGAAATGAAATCACCGTGTGGGATATTGAAAAGTTCCGCTGCCGCGAAGTCTACCAGGCCGCTCCATTGAATTCCAACGACAGTGCTACTACGAATGGAGGGGCTGCTACGACTACTCATCCACGGGGCTCCCGCGCTCCGGCCAATGCCCGGATACACCGTCCTAGTGCAAGGGATTTCGAGGCCTGGCCTGTCGACGAGGACCGACCGGAGGGTATGCTCAGCCGTTTCGCTACAGCCAGCCCCGCCGCGGTTGGTATGGAGGCCGGTCCCCCCGCCGGTGGCAACAATGGTTCTCCGGCACCACCCAATAACCCCTCTGGCGATCGACTGGGCACTTTGGCTTTCACGGTGGGTCTGAATGTCCCCGCTGATGAGAAAGCGGCCAGCAGCACCAGCAAACTCGGATTCATTGTCTCGGCGGGAAGCGACCGGCGGATCCGGTTCTGGGATCTTGCCAACCCCGCGGGTTCGATGATAGTTAGTGGGCTGGACACCGTTTCGAACGGCCACGCTGCCGGCAAGCCACAGTACGAAAGTACTCAGCCTGGACCCAACTTGTCTGTCATCACGGAACATATGCCCCGCTCGTCGGCCAACAGCGACGGTGCCGCCGCGGCTGGCTCCAAGAAGGGAGCTAGCCTCCGGCCACCCCGCAGCACCGTTATTAGTCTCCAGCAGCAGATGTTGCTCAAGAGTCATCTGGATATCATACAAGATGTTGCTGTTCTACGGCAGCCGTACGGGATGATCGTGAGTGTTGACCGGGCTGGGATGGTGTATGTCTTCAAATAAGCGGGCCTGCCTTTCTGGCCTTTTTTAGATCAATCGGTTTCATAGGAGCGACCTAATAGATACCCAGAATCATATCGACTGCAAAAACATGGATCTAGCACATTTGATGTATAGGTACCCCGTATCCAGGGAACTGTGGTTGTGGAACAGCACTGTGATTCTATATCACTGCCGACCGCCCGTCACGATATATAAAATAGGCACCTCGGCCCTCTCGTATATTCGACGTCCACCAAGGTCGTAGTCTAGACTGTCACAATAAAACCTTAGTCGTTCAGACTAGAACATGAAGTCACCGAGACCTTAGGGGTAGATTATGATCAAGCTCTTCTTACTACAAAGCCCGGGGTACCTGTGACTCGAGGCTGGCCATGCTATATTTCCATGAAATAAGCACTTCACCTGCAGGACACGGGGTGGCCAGAACCCCCCGACCCAGTCTCATCCTGCTGCACAGTGGAGCCAGGGTACCGGACCGGGAGTCACCGATACTTCGGCAGCATGGGGTGCGCCGCAATTCCGGTAGTAGCGCGGACAGGACCTGCAGGTACCTACGTGCAACGTATCGTGGATTGTGGGATGTGGACTGCCGGAAGTCCCAACTGGGCAGGTGGGTCGTCGTCCAAGGCGAAACAGTGGTTTATGGATCGAGTGATCGATCGACAGCATCCACAGCTCCAAAAACAGGACAAGCCCCCTCCTCCGAGCAAGGCATTGGCGTGCCTATGGTTTAGGCTCGGCCGGGACGCCTTGAAAGCCGGTGCTCGGAGCCCATGCACCTAACACCCTGCCCCTGCATGCTAGGGCGAGCAAAGACGCGCAGTTGCATTGCCTTTGCCTACGGCCTACGTGGTTGGTCCCGAGAAGAACTCCTGGGGCTGGCCAGAGAAGGAGAGGGTCATCCTTCTTCGCCCTCGCTCGGTCTGGATTCTCGATCGGGTGGATCACTATGCTGGGAGGGAGAAAAGAAAAAAGGGCCACCTGCTGGGGGCTCCAGCACCGTAAATTTGGGTTTCCCGCTTTCCCGCTTTCCCGCGGTGGTGTCCTGCACGCGAATGACAGACGCCATTTGGGACAAGGTTGGCCACCAGCCCGAATTCAGGAGATGGGCCCGGTGAGGGGAGGACGAGATCCCCGGTGCGAGTTTCCTGAGTCGGCTCGGGGATTTTTGACAAGTGGTGACGGCCAGTGGAGTCTGACGGGTGGATGAGGGATAAACAAGGCAAAAAAAAAAAAAAAAAAAGGCGATGATAGACTGGTGTTAGTGATTATTCTTCGGGGTCGCCGGGAGAAACACCACCACCTGGGCTTTGTTTTGCGCTATGGAAAATAATGGGCCACAATGGATTGATTGTCGCGGCGGAAGCCCACATTCAGGAGGGGAAGGGGGTTGTTTCAGACCCGAACGGAAGGAGAATACACACAGACCACTGAAAAGCTGCCGGAGCCATAGAAGCCGAACACGAATCGCGTGGGGGCGCTGGGGATGAGTCTGGTCTGTTTGGCCTGGCTGGGCTAAGCCTGTTGCGGGCTAGTTCCGGCTAGCCAGGGGCGCCTGCACCATTCACCACCATTCACACGGCAGCCATTCGGCGCACAGCAGGCTTGGCTGGCTATGGTTCTTGGTCCTGCTCCTGGGGAGCTTCGGCCCCAGGCCAGGAACCATGGGCCATCGCGGGCCATGACATGTGGGCATTTGGCCCGCAGGCCAGGTCCTTCGCTGGCTTCAGTAAGACGGATCTCGATCAGCAGGGCAACACCCTAGGCGATCGGACGCTGAATGGCCGAGCAGACCCATCTGCTGAAAAATGAGCTCCGAACTCGAGCTACTGGGTCACAATCACCACCTCATCACCATGTCGATTGCGAGGCTGCGTCGTAGAGCGCTGCGCAGTGGGAGTCTGCGGTCTCCTCGCTGCTCGCAGACGAGCCAAGGGCACTCTATCCCCGATCGGAGGAGCAGGGCGGCTTTTCCATTCGGTCGCACCCTGAGCCTCGAGCGATGACGGACCGCTGGACTAATCACTAATCAATAGACAGAGACGGCAGCCATGCCGGGTCCGGTACGGCGTGGAGCGGGATCAGATTGGGGGCGAGCATGAGGGCTCTTATGAACCAGCCTGTGCAGTCGACCCATGGGACGGCAATCGGACCAGTCGATCCAGGATTCCGGGGAGGAATCCGTCCGCGTTGCAACGACACGAACCGGCGGTCAACTGTTGGGGAATGAAACGGCGTGCTGCGTGCCGTGCCCTGCAGGGATTGGATGTATCGACTGGCGGAGTGAAGGATGCGGTAGCATAGAAAGTCTAGAAAGGCTCGAAAGTCTCGAAAGTCTCGAAGGTATGCGGAGTAACGCCACGGGGTCACGTATCCATCCCATATCCATCCCATCTCCATCCCATCTTCATCCCATCTTCATCCCATCTCCATCCCATATTCCGGGTTTGCTGCAATACCGTACAAACATCGGACCGACCGCTGTCTGATCAAGCAAAGCCCCTGACGCGACCAGGATCGATTTCAATTTCCCATCTCCTCCCCTCCGTGCTCCTCCTCGTTTAATTAACGGACCGGGCCCAAGTGGAGACGCTCGTTCCCCAGTGGCCGCCCTGACTGGCCCGTCGAGCTGCTGGTGACTGGTGTACGCCGTTCGTGCTGCGACGAACCCCCTTTGGCCTTAGCTTCGCTCCAGCTCGTCTCCTATTCTTTTCCCCCTAAACCTGACCCTAGAATCCCATTCCCTTCCCTTCCCTGCCCCTTCCCTTCCCTTACCACCTGCTATCTCGGCTTCGGACCTTCTCGAACTACTCTCGAGAATCCGTGAACTCGGCGTGGAACGGCTGCCTTGCCACCTGTGTTCCGTATACTAGCCGGGAGACTCACGATACTCGCTATACGCGCAATTCCCGCGATCCTCTGATGGCTTCGACTGCCTCCCAGCAAGTTTGAGTCAAGATTAGAGTCTCACCCGACGTCGCTCTCTCGTCGGCCCACCATCCACGCCAGTCTCTCACCCAATTGTCCTTCTCTTGTCCATCCGGCGTCTTTCTTTTGCCAACCTGGGACGCGAGCAGTGCCCGGCCCAAGCCCCTCACCAGTTCGTGTGAGGCCAATATCAACCACCACCACCACCACCATAGTTCGTCACCATGGGACCATCTCTGCGAGATCACGCGTCCTTTGTGCGGCCGTCCACTCGGGATCGGCCGATGACGCGCGGCGAGGGGGAAAATTCGCTGGTCGTCCCCAGCCGCACGTCGTCGCTGCATTCCCGCATCACCCAACCTATTCCCTCGACCCTCAGCATCAAACCCTCCCAGCGGACCCCCAAAACCCTCACTCATGCCTACATGGTGTGCGGTGTCGGCCGTGAGCCGTCCCAATGGGTGAAGGCCCCCGCCCCCGAGCAGGGCAAGATTGGCCACATGAAGGGAGCCGTGGGCCAGTTCTGGCTTCCCGAGATCCTGGGCAGCAGCCCCCGGTTAGAGCAGGATAACGAAATTGCCCGAGGCCTGCACGCGGCCATGAGGGTAAGCGAATTCTGGGACAGGGAACTGCCCATTGGATGGGAGTTCTAGAGATGCCCCCCCCCAATCTCCCTAGAGGGGCAATAGAATCTTCCGAGAAGGAAAACAATGGAACTAACATTCTCAACTAGGCATGCTTCCCCCACGATGTGGAGATTTGCACTGGCAAGAGCCAGCCGCACTGCGCCCACCACGCCTTCGTCCTGCAGCAAGACTCTTCTCACACCTTGTACGGTATCGCGCTGCGCGTCTGGTCCCGTGCTGACGAGAAGCGTGCCGAGACCATCCGGGAATTGCGCAAGAAGACCGAGCCCGACTTTTACGATAACCCCGATGAGACCTACTGGATCCCCTATTGTCTGAGCTTCCTTTCCCGCTATCCCCTGTATGACCTGCTGGGCGATTATCTTCGAGGGATGTGGATTCACTGGAACAAGGCCACCAACCTGTTCCACGCCGAGGAGGTCTCTCGCATTCTCAGCTTCCCAGCTCCGCGCTTGAACGACCTCGTCCGGATCGACATGAAGGACTACGCTCTTTGCTACCAGTTCCCCTCCTCCCCGACTGGCTTCCAGAACTTCGCCATGTGGCCCCTATTCAACTGTCTGTCGATCCCGAACATTGTCGGAGTCATCGAAGCCGCTGTGTCGCCGACGCGTCGTATCATCTTCGTCTCTCACTACCCCGCCATGCTGACCGTAGCGGCGGAGACAATCCGCTACTGCGTTCGGGTCTATGAGTGGAGCGGCCTGTATGTGCCGGTAGTGCATGCCCGTCATGTCAAGGAGCTGGTCCAGGAGCCTGGCCCTTACATTCTGGGTATCACCGCTGAATGCCGAACCCTCTTCAACGCCCCCTCCGATGCCCTTGTAGTCGACCTGGACCGCAACTTTGTCCTGACCTCTAGCCCGCCCAACGTTATCAACCAGGGCCAGCGAACCAAGTTCATCACCCGTCTGACCCAAGCCCTGAACGGCGATGTTTCTCCGTCGGGTGTCCCCACCCATCTGCGCACCGCCTACGCCGGTGGCAAGCTGATCCCCGCTGGTCAGATCATTGTCATGCGCGGTGAGGTGGAGAGCGTCCAGGATCCCAACTGGTGGAACCAGGACGCCGTCATGAGCGTCATGGACCACGTCTGCGAGAAGCTGGGCCGCAACACCGGGATGAAGGCCATCTTCGGCGGCTCCGTCAAGAAGCCGCTCATGACCAAGGTGTCAATGCGTCACCTCAACGAGATCGTTCGCGAGCGCAACCAGTACTCTCGCGATGCCATGGAGGCCTGGCAAGACTTCATTAACCTCAAGGGTCGCATGGATACGGAGCTCAGCAAAGTTACCAAGCGCAACAACTTCCTGGTCGAGGAGCTCGAGACGTGGAAGCAGCAGTTCCTCAAGTTCCAGGCATTTGCTGAACAGCTCACCAAGGAAACCTCCGAACTCAAGGTCAAGATTGAGAACCACAAGCGGGAGAACCGCCGGCTTACTGGCCTCATTGACCAGCAGAAGGATGACGTGGCCCGCCTTACTCTCCGTCTGTCTGGCACCGAGAAGCAGCGTGACGATGCTCTCGAAGCTCTGGTTCTCCAACAGGAGATTGCCGAGGAGCTTGAGCGTGAGCGCAAGCGCAACCAGAAGGAGATCTCTGCCCTCGCGCACACTACCACCACGTTGTCTCGCCAGCGCGACGATGCCCAGCGTGTGGTTCTGCACCTGCGCAGTCTGATCAATGGCCAGAGCCACCACATGGAGCACATTGTTCGCTCCATTGGCAGCAGCTCCGAAATTACTGAGATGGTCGAGCAGGGCTACGAAGACGCCCCCGAAGAGGCTACTGCCAGCCGCGAGGAGCGCGTGGAGAAAGTGAAGGAATTGAGCAGCAAGGAGAGCACTGGCCACGATCTCAAGGCAACTTCGGTAAATAATATGAGCCCCGCCCTTGAGCAGCATCTGCTGAACATCGGCAAGGACCACAAGACCCTTGCTCGTCTGAGCATCACCGATGTCGCGGACCGTTACCTCCGCGATAAGACGGATGCTATTGCGGACATCATTCGTAGCATCAGTGAACAGTGCGCCGCTGCCGTCGAGGGCCTCCACCTCGCCCAGGATGCCGAGGACGACGAGGCGGAGGCGCAGGCCCATTCCAAATCCGCTCACCAGATCCGCGCCAACCATCTCGGCTCGGACTACGAGAGCCACGATGACGGCCGTACGACCCGTGCCACTAGTGAAGTGAGCGACAACGACAACAACTCGTTACACCCGGACAACCGTCACTTCAGCATCCCGCCCACTCCCGACCTCGTCCACAACCGTTCCAGCACCTCGATGTCCATGGTGAGCAGCTCGACATTCCCGGAGCGCTCCAGCCAGCAATATGGCCCGGGTGATATCCCGACTCGTATTGTGGAGGATGACGATGAGCATGCTCACGAGACCGAGAATGTGGATGACCAGGCCACCGGGACTGGCACTCTGTCAAAGCAGGCCAGCGAGGATCTCATGCGGCCCCAAACCGCTCGGGTGATCTCGTAATTTTGCCCTCCCTTCCACCAGGCCTGGCCTGAGGACGATGTGCAACGCTTGAGCTGAGACGATCTTGTTCCCTTCTTTGTTTTTCACACATTTTTGCTAATATTGGCGTGGTGTCCTCCTTTTCTCTTTCTCCTTTCTCTTTTTCCTTTCTCTTTCCTTTCACTCTTGACTGGTGCCGTGAATCCGAGTTCTGGTTGTCCGGCGTAGTCGTTTCCCATCTGCTTTCTTCGCTTCGTGGTGTCGATTATTGATACTCCCTTATATCCATCTTCCCTTTATCCGTCTTCCTTGTTTCACCATTTATCCTCCCCTACTTTTGGCCCTGCGGAGGTGCTTTCAACCGCCTCCAGGAGATCTGTTGTTACTCTTGTTTTTGGTGGCCGTGCCTTCTGAGTTGGACCGGCTTGCTCGCTTGCTTTTTGCTGCTTTCCGCTCCTTATCTTGCGCCTGAGGCCTGGACTGTTGCGTGGATAGATCTCGGCGCGAGAGAGCGCTCCACTCTGCACCCTCCATCTGCAAAAAAAACCCCCCCAAATTGCAGAATGTTTCCTTATTTGTCTACTGTGTGTGTCACGCACCTTTTCCTTGTCTCCCTTTTCTCTGAAGTCGTCGAACCGGTCTCGTCGATTATATCTGGGAAAATCCATCCCACCTGCTGTATTTACAAATGGATTGTGTTAATTGTTCTACGTCTCCCTGGATCTTGATCTCGTATTTGTAGGCAGCAGTGCTTCTTAGACGTTGGAGTATCACGGTCGAGGTGAACGTGAGAGAAATCAATGGGCGGCTGATTCAATCTATGTACAGATAATTCTGCAACTTTCAATTGATTATGCTATTTTCCCAGGAACCACAGGGTGTCCCGCAGTCAACCCACCACAGACAGCCCAGGCCTGGCCATTGACATAGCTACTCTCATCACTGCCCAGGAACAAAGCCACACGCGCAATCTCGTCAGCAATGCCACCGCGTTGCAACGGGTTCAGCTGGCCAATCTTGCGTTGAGTGCCACGTTTCCGGGCTTGGTCAAACACCGATTGCGTCATGCCGGTCTCGATCAGGCCCGGGCAGATGGCATTGATCCGTATGCCAGTGCCAGCAAGCTGGTAAGAGCAGGTTTGGGCAATGGAGACGACAGCTGCCTTGGAGGCAGAGTAATCGGTCGAGCCGGCATTAGAGCGGAGCCCTGCGACGGAGGAGGTACAGATAATAGAGCCGCTGGGGTAAGGCTTTACCTCCGAGGTCACTTTCATAGCAGGAGCGGCGTGTTTGGCCGCCAAGAAGACACTATAGTATCATTCAGCTTATATATGGTCAATCGTGACGGGGAACTTACCCTAGAGCGTTTGTTTTCATCGTCTTCATGAAAGCCTCGCCATCAATCTCGGTAAAAATCTTGGGCTGGCCGACAATGCCAGCATTAGCAAAGAAAATGTCCAGCCGGCCATACTTGGCCATCACCTCATCAATGAGCGCTGCAACAGCCTTTTCCTCGCCGGCGTCAAATTGTCGTACGTGGACATCCACCCCAGGGTAGAGTGACTCCATTTCGCGCTTGTGAGTGGCTAGGTGAGAGTCGTTATAATCGCAGATGTAGACTGCCTTGGCGCCATTGTTGGCGAATTGGTGGGCACTGGCGCGGCCAATGCCATTGGGGGAATTGGCACCTGCAGAGGTATGAGGACTATGCATTTATATCCGCGCTGGCGGGGATTACCGGTTATAATTACAACCTTGTCCTTTGTCCGGCTGCGCGGCAATTAGCTTTTGACATGCGATTCTTTGCTTCTAATGCAGGATCGGTACAAGAGAAGTAGATTTTGCAGATTCAACTTACGGCCCTGCTGAGTCTGCAGCAACATGGCGGATCTTGGGAATATCCTCAAAGGTGCCTTCATCCGGAATGCCCTCGACTAGCTGTTTGCTGAGGGCCTGGAGACGTTGCCGAGCTGCTGCGGAAGACATGATGAATACAAAGATTTGGACAAATGAAAAGAGTCAGGTTAAGGTCTGTTGAGCTTAGCCTGGCAAGAAGGTAATGAGCTTAAACAGACGAGCTGAGAGGCATGCGGACATTTACAAATAAATAGGAAAGGGAGCTGACCGCATCGGTCCTTCCCCACTCAGTAATGCGGAGAGCCGAGGCCCAGGTCACGTTTTTGCCGAAGGTCACCGCATACCCACGTGACCTATAGCTCACAATCCACGTGACTTATGTCACGTCATGTGCCAGGGCTTGTTTTTGGCGCGAGGAGTCTCGCATCTGGCCTCCAGGGTGTGTATAGCACCGCTCTGAGAGCGTGGTCTTTTTGCACTGTATCTGCCAGGTTAACTCGCTGGTTAGCCCTCAAATTTACATCGCGGTCGATCTCCCTTCATTCCACAGATCCACCCAAGATCGCCTGGGATCGCCGAGGACGCGCGACGGCGAAAAAAAAACGGCTCGGAAGAGCAAAGTGGGACAACAGGAGCTTGGAAAGGAGTTTTTCATATGTTCCCTTCTCAAATTTCTCGCCTCCAATCTATGAATCCCCAGGAAGCATTCATGAAGTCCGCAATTACCTATTTCGATATCTACTCCATCCACCAGTCGTTGAGTCATGGCGGAGCCCGATATTCACCCCCAACGGCGGTCTTCATCCCAGGCGTCATCCGCGTCAAACAGGAGCCTGAAGGGTAGGACACTTCGAAATAAATCACTAAAGCGCCACTCAGCTTCGTCGAATGCGACTACCGACCTCACATCGTTCCCTTCGCTTTCGCCGCCTGACCGTTCCCCCAACTTGACGCGAGGCTTGACGACCACGATGTTGACCGGCTATGATGGGGGAGATGGTACAAGCGAGGGTGGCCGCGGGCGCACGGCTACCTTTGCAAGGTTGACGACAGGGGTATCACATGCATCAGGTCGGGCTGCTCTCTTCGACGATTCGGTTCCCACGCGTGACATCCCAGGGGCTCTCCACTTGGCGGACGATGGGCATATTGAGCGCTTGATCGCGAGTACAGGACCTGTCAAGATTGTGAGGCAGTTTGCGCGGGACCTTGCCCAGCGGGACGCGGAAATCTCATCCCTGCGGCAGCGTGCTGATGCCAGAGAGCGGGAACTAAAACGGATGCTGCGAGAAGTCTCCGTATCTAACCAGGACATCGAGCGCCGCCTTTACCAGCTGGAAAATACGCCGGGCGACCGCAGCTCTGACGGAGAGAGTAGCGCTAGTGGTGACCATGTTGGGTTGAATGGTCTCATGTCTCAGGCTATGACAGATACCGTGGGGTCTCAGCTTGATGCAGAGCTTCAAAATACCTCGTCTGATCTCCAGGCCACCATTCGCGCCGCCCAGCGGTCTGAAAATGAGAACCGAGCTGGCGGCGGGTCGAGTACAGACTCTGGCAATAACCGGAAACGACAAGGTTCCCTCCGTGGCTGGCAGGATTACCTCTTTGGCTCCACCAATGCCAGTCGAAAGACGAGCCGTGCTAGCAGTGTCATGAGTGATATGCAAGAAATTGAAGAGGACGACTCCGAGCGTGTTCGCGTGTCTAGTAACCCCTCAGTGCGGCGTAAAGCTCTTGACGACCAGCTTTTTCAGCCCCCCGGGGTGCCAGCAAGTGAGATCCTCAGCAGGCGATTTGCTAGTGGCTCTACTACTGGTGACGACGCAAGCATTCATTCGCGGAAATCTTCGCGCTCACTTGGTTCATGGACAGTCAAGTTATTCGCCGGCAATGCGCAATCAAAAGACGTCAGTGATTCTGAGAGCAATCGCAACAGAGCCACATCAGACAATCACGACAAAGGCAAATATACCGGGTCTGCTCTATCAGGAGCGGCCGCTTCAAAAGGTGGAATCTCTGCGGTGGCTGCACTGAAGAGAATCAACAGCAGTTCTAGTCTTCCAGCTTCCACGGGACGCTTTGCGAGCAGTGGTGGTACAATCAAGATAAACCCACCGCGAAGGAAGCCTGCGGGAAGCATCTCACAAGGTGCAGTCGGTGAAAGTACCGACCGAAGCTCGACCAACCTTGGCCCTGTTGAAATGGATGCTATTCTGCCCATGGAGTCTCGACCTCCAACTCTGGCTCCCATCTACAACAACTCTCAACCTGGCGAATTTCTCACTGATCGATTTGGCTTCATCTACGATCAGCGTCGCAAGAAGCGTCAGAGAGAGGCCAATACTCTGAAGGGCCACAAGACGCGATTAAGCATCACCGAGACTCTTGGCAGCATTCGCGGAGAATCTTCCGATGTGGAGGATGACTCCCAGCCAAGCCCAACTGCTCAGACAACAGTCGACACACCAGGCTCTGCCACCGGCTCTGCTGATGATCCTGAAAGTGGGGCTGTCGGGCAGCGTCGCTGGCAGGATTATTTGAGGATGCCATCTCGCCCAACCGAACTTTTGTCTCATACACCGTCCGCTGGGCCCATCGTTTCCCTGATGACTGCAGGAGAGAGCCGTCCTCTCAGCTCCTCGGTTTCTGTGGACAAAGATGGTGCTGTTTCTGTTGGTTCAAGTGCACAGCCTTCTGCATGTACTTCAGCTATCACTGCTGATCGCCCTGAGTTTGCTGGGACAACCTCGGGGGATCTGGCCGTTACAGCGCCGACCAGGGCCAGTGGCGCTGAGACTGAACCCGTCAAGCTACTCTTGGAGCAGCTCACTGATCTCCATGATTCGCTTCAGCGAGATCGCACCATGCGGTGGAACGAATTTTTCCGCAAAGTGCGCGCAGAGCGCCGAAAGGAAGGCGAAGCTGCGGCTGCTGCGGCCTTGGACCGGTCTGTGACTGTTGTTGACACGCCAGAAGCATCTCTCGCAGATGGCGAGGTCATTGGTATTTCTGGGCTTGGCAACAAAGGCAAAGTTGGCCGTGCTAAGTGGCGGGAGTTCCGCTCGTTGGTTCTTGGTGGTATTCCCGTTGCTCTCCGCGCCAAGGTTTGGTCTGAGTGTAGCGCCGCATCTGCCATGCGGATCCCTGGCTACTATGAAGATCTTGTGCGTGGAGTCGGTGGCACCGAGCCTGACTCATCGGTCGTCGCACAAATCGACATGGACATTCCTCGCACACTCACTGATAACGTGTTCTTCCGCAAGGGACCGGGTGTGGACAAGCTGAGGGAGGTGCTTCTGGCGTACTCGCGCCGTAACGCTGAGGTTGGATACTGCCAGGGCATGAACCTCATTGCAGCCTCGCTTCTTCTCATCATGCCGACAGCCGAGGATGCATTCTGGATCTTGACTGCCATGATTGAGGTCATCCTGCCCCATCATTACTATGACCATGGTCTCCTTGCATCCCGCGCGGATCAGGTAGTCCTACGACAGTACATTTCGGAGCTCCTGCCCAAGTTGTCGGCACATTTAGAAGACTTGGGCATTGAACTGGAAGCACTCACATTCCAGTGGTTCCTGTCCGTCTTCACTGACTGTCTTTCTGCGGAAGCCTTGTATCGTGTATGGGATGTGGTTTTGTGCCTCAATGTCAGCAGTGCTGTCTCTAATGGCTCTGCACCAGCAACCACTTCTTCTGCCTCCAGCGTCAAAGAGGGTACAGATAAGGCCACTGCCTCTGAAGAGCTGGCCTCTGGTAGCGGAGGAGGAAGTACATTCCTCTTCCAAGTTGCCCTGGCGCTTCTCAAACTCAATGAGCCACAGCTGCTCACCACTTGTACCACGCCGGCTGCCTTGTACACGTACATCAATCACCAAATGACCAATCACGCTATCAGTATCGACGGCTTGATTCAAGCCAGCGAGGCTCTACGGAACATGGTGCGCCGTGAAGACGTTGTCGCTCGCCGAGCTGTTGCCTTGCAAGAAATGCGTGAGTTTAGCGGTGGTCAGAGTTAGGACCCACCTCATTCTCTTGTTATCATGTTTCATTTTCAATGCCGGGACATCCCTGGCAAACATGTCTCATTCCTGTTTCGTTTCTTGATTACATTTAGATTTTTGGGACGATGCCGATACGACTACGAACATTGGGCAAGGAGTTCTGGCAAATTTCTTTTTTCCCAATGATATCCCACTGTCTTCTTTCCTTTTGGCGCTACTTCCCCCCTCCTTTCTACTTCTCATTGGGAACTTTCTTTCCTCTTTCCATGGCTTCTTTAATTGGCGGTGCCTTACTTATAAACACTACTGCATTCAAGATACCCCTGGTTTTCTACACATGGGATCGATTTCAGGATACGATTCAAAAATAGCATTCAGATGTTCGGGTTTTCTATTCCCAGCTATGTTTCTGTCCTGCCTAGGTCTATTGAACTTGGTTGCCACCAACTGAGAACCGACTCCAACTTCGAATCCGAGATCCATAAACCATAAACACAATCGGTGAGACCATAATGAACGCTGACAGTCCCGCAAGCAGCGTGGCCGACCAACTGATGTGCAGAGTCTCGTACATGGGCCCTTCGACAATTGGGAAAATCGCAGACACCAAGGAGCGAACCATCACATGGATTGAGATGGCTGAGACGGTATTCAGGAGGTAGGTATCGACGATGTAAACGATGCCGCTGATAAAAATGAGTTGCAACGCCAGTCCAATGAAGAAACACGAGATCAGTTGCGAAGCCCAATGGGTGTTTCCTGACCAGCCAAACCAGAGCAGTGCTGGCGGGAGTATCACTGCTCCCAGGATCATGGGGGGCAATCGATGCTCCGGAGCAACATGAGCCGCAGTTGTCCCTTCCTCCTCCGGCTTTGCCCTCTGCGAGGCCAGCCAGCGGCGCTTGTACCAGGTCATTGTGAATAAAGAGAAGAGGCCCAGTGCCGACAACACTCCTAATCCAACGGCAATGAAGGGCAGGGTGGCGGTAGGCTTACTCCACCCGCGATTTTGGAATGCCTTTGGAAATAGTTGATAGGATAGATACAGCGTGCCATAGACCAGGGTCAGATATACCGTCATGACGATCAAAATAGGTTCCTGGATGAACATTCGGACCGGCTTAGTGCAGTACTTACGCAGCAGCACGCGTGGATCTAGAGATGCCATCTCAGCACGCGCACGCAAATTCATGTTCCCTGTTTCACGGCGAAGCCGGGATGCACGCCGCATGAGGATGCGGTTGTGGGACGATTCGCGCAGCAAGAGAAGGGCGTGAATGCCCACAACGCCACATAAGATCAACGTCACCCACGCGGTCCATCGCCAGCCGTATCGATCGACAATATAGGCGCCAGCAATGGGGGCAATGATAGATCCAAGATTCATGGTCGATGCGGACAATCCAACCGCGACACCGCGGGTGATCGGCCCAAAGATGTCGGCGAGGATACCAGAGCCAACCGCAAGACCTCCACTGCCTAGCATCCCAGCCAGGAACCGACAGACCAGGATGGTGGCAACGCCCTGCGCGAGGGCCAGTGGGATTTGAAAGATCGCACATCCCGCTAAAGCGACCGCCAGAACAGGAGCGTTCCCAACCACTTCAGCCATCGGCGCAAAGACAAGCGGGCCAGTTGCAAACCCGGCGATGAACAGGGCCACCCCGAGAGACATCAGTTCTTGGGACACGCCATACTCAGCAGCAGTCATCTCTGCCGCCGCACCAAACACGCTGGATGCAAATGCAATGGCAAAGATGACCGACAGCGGCGCCGACGACCGGAGTAGCTTCGTCCGCCGCGGCCAATTCTGCGGATTCTCGGGGTCTTCAGGGCCATCCCAAGTGACGATTTCGAAGCCCGACTCAGGCGGGTTGCGTGGGGTGTTCGTCCCATTGGATGTATCCACACCGTCCGGCATTGCAATGAGGTTGAGAATGGCTCGGTTGGTTTGCTTGGCTCTGACCGTCCCATCGATGGCCGTTTCCATGTTGACAAGAGTACGGGACAGGTAATGTCTTTCCCTCAAGGGCCCTGAGATGTGCAAGAGTGTTGCGAGCCTGACGATCGGCAGTTGACGCAGGTTGGGTCCCCTGCTCTGTATACGCAGCGGACGATCTCCGAAGCCCTGGCATGCAAGTTCGTGGATGATGTGGGGGGAAGTTAATGCTTCCAGATACCAGGTGGTACGTGTAACCGATGACCACGTTCACCTTGAGACCGTTGGGGTCGATCGAGGACTGGTGCCTCGCTGATGGCACTTTTCGTCTGGCAATTATATAGTTTCGCTGAAACTCGAGAACTCGGCGAGATGGCCGAGGGTGGATCCGCCCTATCGCACACGCCTGCTCGAGGCCCCGCGGTTCTGATTGGCGCATTAGGGTCTATAGTCGATTGAATCAATGAACCGATGGTCCCGAAGGATCGTTAAAAAGAGCCTAGTACTCCGTACACCGTAGCGGCACAGCCGCGGGAGGCATAGAAAGATGAATGAAAGGTGATGTTATCTCGATTCAGATACGTATGATCTCTACATGCCAGGTTTGATATAACATATGCGAGCTTCTGCCCTCTGCCATCAATGGCTTTTGGGACATTGCTCACCAGCCCAAGAGTATCGTGAAGCGCTTTTTGTCCATACCAGCAGAGGGCACAGAGTCCCGAAGTGTGCCGTACTGCGTCTCCAACATCCACCCCAGAGGGCGATCTCCGGCGAGGCGCTGGGGCCCGGGCCGCATACTGTAGGGTCGGGGCGATCACAACAGGACAACTTCGTCGGAAGGCCGAATGCCATAACTATGAAGGGTCCCAATGGGCAGCCTAAGCCTGTGGATTGATCGGGGCGGTGTGAGGTTCCCTATTCCCCGGTCAGCATTGGCGCTGATCTCGGTGGAATATTCAATCTTAGGAGGATCTCATAGACCCGAGTTGATTGCCTTGCGGTTTGGGCGAATTCAGCTGGGACCATCCTGAACCCAGAAGCGACCGTTGATATCCAACATCGATGTGAGATCAAGCGAGTCCATGCTAGGGCGCACACCCATGTCCAGCACGTCGCGCGCCACGGCCTTAATTTGGCGCATGATGGATTGGGAGATTGCCCAGGTACGAGCCAGCGACTTGAAGACACCGATGGTGAGGCCGATCCGATCACGACTCGGGTCCGGCATCTGCCCTGCCTTGACAGAGCAGGCTGCCAATTGGACAATGGAGCTCAATGTGAGGGCGCAGATGAAGAATGGGGTATGCCGTTCGACTGGTAGACGAATTGCAGCCAAAGACGAGATTTCGCTGGCGGCCTTGACAGCCTTCATGGCGTGGGCATGATGGGAGAAAGCGGGGACACTGATGGGGCCGTGGTGGCCACAGATGACCTCCGACGCGACAGCAGGGGACGACAGGAGATCCGAACGGGGGAAGTTCAGGTAGATGGAGGCACCGTTCACGATCATGGTCGCCTGGAACATGACCTCATCCACCGATCCATCCGGTCGCATCAGCTCCGCCTTGGACTCGGGCAGATGGTGGAACCAGCTCGCAATACGCGCATCAATAGCCTCTACATGATCTTGCTGGCCCTCGACCATCTCCTGCGTCGCCACAACTCGGCCGAGAATTCGCACGGCTTCAATGCGATAGGAATAGGAGGAAAAGTCACGCTCTTCGTCCGCGAAAACGCGCTCATCGAACTGAGCCATGGTTGGCGGCGGTGGCGGGATCAGGCCATCCTGATAGATGCGCTCCTCGCACGGGAGGGGCACCTCGGGTAGCACCAAGTTGGTACGGTACACCTGCTGCACCCCGAGGGCTGTCAGGAGGCCCTCAATGACAAAAAGCTCCCACCAGGTGCGTCGCAGACACTCGGCCCGAATGGGGTCGCCATGACTTGCTGTCTCGGCATAAGTGGCCCGATTCAGGCCAAGCTCGAATGCCAGGTCCACCGCGGCGGCCAGACACTCCCCCGCCTCCCCACGCTCATTGCGCGAGTGCAGCACAATGGCCAGTAGCAGCAGCGCCTGAACCTTCTCAACAGAGGGCGATTGATCCCAGACCCCGGCGACGACGGTGGGGCGGTAGGCTTCGCTCGAGGCGGCGGGGGTAAAGTGGGAGGCGATGAACTTCATCACCTGCTCCAGGTAGGGGGGAAATGGGCGGCGCGGTACAGTAGGCGCAGTGGCGGAAGGACGGGATGCGCCGAGTGGAAGTAGGTGTAGTAGATATCGAGGAGGTATCCGTCGCCGGCTACCGAGGACGCGGAATCTGGGGTCAATGGCCCTGTCACTGGACGAGCCGGGGGGGTCATGGCCATTGTCATTGTGGACGGCATATCATTCAATGACGGGCTGGCCGAGCCCGACGAAGACAACGGCATGGTGGGAGGCGCGTAGTGGAAGCCGCCTTGTAGATTCCAGTCGACGGGGACTTCCATCATGCCCGTGGAACCCGCGACGAGTTGATCGGGGGAGTCCGGTTCGGCGCGGCGCTTCTTGGAGGGGCCTTTGTAGCCACGCCGCGACTTTGCGTATTGGCATTCGGAGCCGGTCAGCAAGCAACGGCCACAGATGGGAGTCCTGCCATCGCATTTGAGATGTTTGTGGCGGCAGAGGAGGCAGGCGAGCAGGGAGGGGCCGGCGGGCTTCGCGGACCCGGAAGCGACCATCGGAGCCTGCGGATCAGTCATGGCCAAGGGAAGAGGCGCATGGAGGGGAGAAAGGGTGCAGATTGGAAGGGAGGAGGGTGGAGATTGCAGATTGAAGATTGGAAGTGGAAGCGAATGAAGCGAATAGGGCGGACGAGAGGAAATGAATTGGCCAGGCGGAGAAGAGGGGAGCGTCGGCTTTCCTTGGGCTGTCTGTTGGGCGGACTGGCGGAACTTTTGGTGACTGGCAGAACCGGCAGAACTGGCCGGGATGCCCCAGCAGGCTGCGGCGCTAAAACAATGGCACGTCCCTGCGCTCTTCCTCCTCCGTACTTCACCGAGCTACTTGCGACTTGCGATTTAGCCAGCCCTCCTCCGTGCACTGCTTGTACGGCTCCTCCCGGCCACTGCCCGAGCTCTACTCGACCCTCTGCTCTCAGCTCTCGGCGCTTCTTCCGGCCAGATCAGTCCAGTTTGATCGCTCCACTCGCAACGCTCCCACTTCCACCTCCTTCACCATGATTTCCGACGGTGACCTCTATCGCCTTGCCATTTTCTTGGGCTCGTGCGCCATGATGATGATCGTCCTCTACCACTTCCTCGACGTCAATGCGCAGGATGAGGAGCCGACCGAGGCCGCCTCCGTGAAGCCAACTCGCGCCACAGCCAAGGCCACGTCAACACCATCCTCAGAGACGGCAGCCACCTCGTCGCCAGCCACACGGCAAGGAATATAAAAGGACAGAGGGGCGAAGGAATGGACAGGAATCCATATCCTAGGTAATCAAGGTGTCGATGTGTGACTGGTACAGGCGATTTCGTTCGAGGGGCGGACATCCAAATCATATCAATTCAAGCATGTATCATACAAGCCGTGCAAGAGAGTCGTTACAATTTTCTGGCAAAATACCAATTGGCTTTCCCGGGGTTTTCTGAACCGTTTCCTTCTATGCAGTTGCAAGGATTTGAATGTTCCATTAGAGTAATTGGTTAATTTCCTATGAGGTAGTGAACTAGGTCTCGCCCTAGGGATCACCACTATGGACGAATTCTTCCCAGCCCCGTCAAACGCCTGTATCCCGTTCAAGAAAGATGCCTGTATCGCAGCAGGGAGGTTATCATGAATAATCGATTCAAAATCTGATCAAATCACCACTTCCCCTTGAGGAAGGGTGTAGGCCGTCTCCTCGTGGCTACTGGCCAGCAACCGGGCGGGAGTCGAGATGCGTCGATCGCTTGTGTCCGAATCAGGCCCGGCCTCTTCCTTCCAACGACGCCCGCCATTCTCCATCAGCTGGGCCTTCTGCTTAGTCGACTGCGTGCCATGAATGCGACTGTAGATCTTGACGGTATCTCTGTCAGCGGGTAGAGTCATGGCGTCATGAGGAGCGTTCTGGCTGGAGACCCCGGGCAAACCATAATCCCCCGCCGCTAGATTCCATTGCCATTAGACAAGTGTTTTCTGTCTTCACAAAGAGTAGTCATCCGAGGAGGCGTTGGTAGATGCAAACAGGTATGAGTCCTCACCAGTTCCAGACACTGCAGGCCCATCCCCAAGGGCCCAGGCCAATGGGGCCATATGTTTCTGCCGGATGTGGTCCCACATATCTGCGGCAGCCCGAGGGGTCTTGTCGGCACAGTCGCCCCAGCCACAGGCGATGTGGTGGGGAATGTGAACTTTCAGCACGTGTGTATGGATCGCTTGCAGGTTGTGCAGCTCCGCCTCACACTTGGCCCATTTGCACTGAAAGACTTGGTACTGGGTGACAGGACGATTGGAAACCGCGATCTCAATCTTTTGGGACTCGTCTTTCCTTGGGGGCCGACCGGGTTTTCTCTTGGGCGCCATTGAGTGTGGTGAGGGTGGAATGACCACCTGCGTTTGAGGTGAACCTTTCAAGGGTGATTGCTGGGGAGCTTTGCAACGTGGAGATTGTGAAGGGACTTGAGGTGTTTTTGAAAAGGAGCGCACAGGTGATGAGGCAGACGTTGTTGTTGTTGCTGCTGCATGCACTGTAATCGTTGGTTCAGCTGCAGATTCGAGTGCTGGAAATGGAGCCTGAGCTGGAACTGTTTGACACGACGGTTGGGGAGCGCGAGGCGGAAGGGAAGAGGGAAGCGGTTGCGGGGGGGGACGATAGGGTGAATAGGAAGGGACAGGCTTGAATGGCAGAGACCCAAGTGAGTTCAAGCTCACTCCAGACGACGGTGAGATTGTGGGCGCAGGACGAGGGAGTTGAAAGTCCGGATAGCTCGAGCCATTGTTGGCGATGTTGACGCCGTTGCCGCCCGGGTGACTCTCCGCGGGACGCGCCGGCGGGGCGGTGGGGGTATCACGTGTCGGGTGTGACACAGCACAACCAGCAAGCCCGCTGGATTCGGGAGGGGAAGGTTCCTCGTGCCCCACAGTCGAACCCATGCTTGACGCCTGGTAATCGGAGTTTTGGAGTGGAAATGGTCCGCGAGTTTGCGTTTGCACATCAGGATCAACAATATCCCACCGAAATGTGGCCAGGTCTGACGAATTGTCAACGGCAATGAAATTCTGGCGAAGAATTTGGAGATGATTGTTGAGGCCCTTCTCCGTCGGATGTTTACCGGCAACGATCAACACATCGCGTGCGATTGTAGCCGGGTCATAATTATCCTTGGCTGCCGCACCGTGGAGATCGATTGGTTCAACAATATCCTGGCGGTATGTGATATGCTTGCGACTTGGCGAGTCGCGGGCGTATGCTGCCCAGTTCATCGTCTTTGTTGAAGGTGGCACAGGAGGCCGGGAGCCATTATCCAACTTGCGCCTCTTAGCAGTAGGTGGCAGAGACGTGGACTGAGAAGTAACGGAAGCTTTGAGCGTCTGTGGTGCTGCATAAGGCAACGAAGGTACGATGGTACTTCTGACGCTAGTAGATGTTGTCAGAGATCTGGGGTTTGATTTGGAACCCGGAGTGAGGCCATGAATGAACGTTAGTAAAGAACCAGGTGCCGATCTAGGAATAGATTCTGGAGTAGGCGAGTCGACCGTCAACCTCGGCGCAGGGTGCGAGTGCGAGACCGCTGGAAATTTTGTTGGCCTAGTTGGAGTGGGAGCCAGCACCGGAGTTTGGAGGGCATTTGACGTAGGGACAGGACGCAGTCCCAGAGTACTGCGAGAAGCCGACATGTATGGACGTCTTTTGGGTGACGCCGTTCTGTAAAGCCCTGCATCATCTTGGAAGGGACTGGGAGCTTCTGACTGCTCTGGTAATGTTTGAGATCGAGTAAATGCCTCAGCAGGGATTTCAGGCTCAGTCTGAGGTACTTCCTGTTGGGTTGTCACCGCTGCACTCTTCCTCTGCGCATTTTGGATGGAAGCAGGCAGCTGAGTACGGGGGCGGCCTAGGGAGGAACTCTGGTTTCCTTCAGAGCGACCTGGTAATGAGGTGTACGGTCTCTGCGGAGGCCTGGTGGGAGGCATGTGCGATTGGGCCGCAAACGGACCCTGAGATGTTTTCCGGGGAGACTGGGTGGGTATTGGCCTCGAAGCTGGCCTCTGCGTAGGCACTCGGGAGTGCGAGAAAGCGGGCGAGGTCAGCAAATTGAAGGCTCGGCCCGTGTTGAACTGATAATATGACGCAGATGCGTTGATATCAGACAGTCTCACATATTGCGGCAGGTCCGGGACGTCTCGAATCTGACCCTGTTGTGACGGCGGTTGAAGGCGGTCGTCCTGAAGCTGTTGCTGGTGCCGAGGTTCCGGCTGATGCCAAATGTCTTGGTCGTGGCTATCTCGGTAGTGGCTCTGTTGCTGTTTGCGATGCTGCTGCTGCTGCTGTTGTAGTTGTAGTTGGTGTTGGTGTTGGTGTTGGTGTTGGCGGCGTTGGCTTTCTGACTGCCTATCGGGGGGTTTACGGTGTACTTGAGAACGAAACAAAGTCTGATCTATCCCCTCAAGGTATGGTACCGCATTTGCTCCATGTGATTGCGTCTCTTCAGTATTCCACGTGTCTATAGACCGCGTTTCCTGGAATTGCACATGAGCTGCATAGGCAGCGTGGGCAATTTGCTCCGCATCGGGGAACGTGGGGTCCTGGTCGGGGTACAGGCCCTGACCAGCATCATTACCACTTCCTTGAACACAGTTGTCTTCTCCCCAGAGGACAGGAAAAGCGTTCGGCATCCATTCAGGATCGAATCCTTCATCGGCCATATTGAAATTGTGCAGCGTGGCTTGGATATCATGGCTGGCGACCTCGGAGGCTCAGCGACGCTTGATCGGGGAGGGAGAAAGACGATTGTATTCGCGAGCAGGTGGCGGAATATCCAGCCCAACTCGTTCGGGGTGAGGGGAGTCTATGGATAAGTGGCAGCACCAAGCTTCTCAAGCTCTCAATGGAAGACGTGCCACGCCAGCAAATGTTGTCCTCCCGGCGATCGGCCAGGACTCGCGTAACCGTGTCAGAGTCGAGTGGGTCTTCGAAGCAAGCCCCCAATGGTTCCTCGGGACTAGTTGTGGTCATGTGATGCACGCCTATATTTTCTGCCAAACCTGCCACTTCTTTTTGTCTTCCGAACCCAACACCTGCCGACCGAGCTGGTTCATGAAATGATGATTGTCATGAACCACTCTCTCATTTGTGGCTGTTAGCAGATATCCGATACTTGCGCGATTCTCCAGCCGACTCGAGGCCGTCGAACAAAACCGACTGTGCCTTTGACATTCTCCTAGCGGGCTCCGAGTGTCCCACACCCGTGACAGGCGCAGGAGTATCTGCAAGACTCACGCAAGGTCACCTGCTGTCAGGACATACAGTTATTTGAGAGAAGTAACTTGCAATGAAAGAGACGCAAGAATCCTTTGGCCTCTCTTCCACCCCCCGCGGCATCTTGTCCGCACTCCGGGCAAGAATAGCTTCAACTTCAACCTCGAAGGGACGAAGGTACCTTGTCCACTAAGCTCTCTTTCGGCTTGACCTGGTTCAGTCTACCATGTAGCAAGCCCCTTTCTCCCTCATGTCGGGATTCAAAGCCCTTTGTCAGATTGGTTGCCCGACAGTGTGTTCGCCTAATTATCTCCTCGTCAATCCCGTTTCGACGGACCTACATGGTTGAAGAGGTAAACGAGTGGCGTAAATTACAGATCCAACTTGCTGGTCATAGACCAGCGAGTTCTGGCTCGCTTGCAGACTGACACTGATGCTTTCGGGCGCGGAGGATGTGAGTTTGATAGTGAGGTACATTCATACCTTAAGGCCAATGCATATATGGCCCCCCCGTAGAGTAGAGAGTTTTCCATCAATGAATTTCTCCATTTGATCTCGTTTTCGAGTAGCCTAATGATCTAATGACTAGGACAATAGTGGGTACGCCGGCTTCTCTCTATGAAGTAGGAAACTTGAAACCACCAGAAACAATTCGCTCAAACTGTTCTAACGCCAAGGGCTAAACATATGGCGCCAAGCTGGCTGCAGTAGTTAGATGTATCATGGCATCACGGACGGGCGGAACCACAGACTTTACGATGACGACTTGGCTGGATGTAACCACTCTCAGGTATGTGGCTTCATGATAATCAAAACGGAAGAAGTGATTATAAAGACGACATGTCTGTACGGTGCGTTTATAGAGGTAATGAGATGCTCATAGGTGCGGTTAGAAGTATGTGTGAAGTACGCCCACCAATTGCTGTCTCAATGCCGAGAAACTTGCTCAAAGTTGCCATCTATTCGTGGTGGCGTCGATTCCTCGTCTGCAATTAGACCCAGTGTGTACGCTGCACTATCGTTAGTCCGTGAGATTCGCCGATCGTGTCCCTGAGGTTCGCGATGTTTCCTCAGAGTCCCAATTGCCCTTTTCGTAGGAAATGTTGCTCGAATTTGGAGAAAGCTCTTTCTCATCTTCGTAGGTATTCGGCTATCCAGTGAATTTTCTTTGTCTTGAGCATTACCTTTGCCATTGTTTGACTGAAAGTGTCGTAACAATCTGGATAAACATAGCGCAGTATGCATTCATGACGAATAAGACTAAGCGGAATGAAGAGCAGGATGAAAAGATTGATTGATTAATGATCAGAACCAGGGGGAGAAGAGGGAGAAGGGGGATTAAGCACTACCCATACGGGTGCGCTCCTGTCTGTCCGACCGATACTCGGCGATTCTAACACCCGTACGGGTTCATGATTAATCCAATTTCCATAAGTAACCTAGTTTCCCGCCTGCGTCGGCCACCGCAAAACAAATAATAAATGTTGTAGTTATAGCGGTCTGCAGTGGCCGCACGATATCTGCAGCCGTAGTTTAGCGGTCTGCAGCGGCCGTATGAGATCTCCAGCCGTTGCATTTGGCTACATTCAACTGTATGTAGATTGATCAGAGATGTTTATTTTAGCAGATATGTTCTATTGAGGGTCGTGGATTCAATTCATCTTTCTTTCAATATCTTATAGACCTTTTATACTCAAGTATCCCGTAGGGTACTCTAGCGAGAGGGGTATCGGTGGGACATTACTGCACGTTCCATATATTTTGTCTGGAGGAACACTATCTCTCAGAGCGGGGTATCCTGCAGTGATGCCCAAGCGGGGGAGTATCGCTGAGGAATTGATATATCAACACGTTACCTCCCCGGGGTGGAAATAGCTTCATATTGGAAGATCCGCATTTCGTAACAGAGATAGCAATTGAGGAATCTACGCAAATAGCTATTTATAGCCGAACGCATTCTATTCAATGGGAATAACAGGTTTCTAGAATTCTGGCTCGACGATCCTGTCTTAGCGTAGTAGCTAGAATGAACCACAAAGGTCTAGACCTTGAAAACTACATAAATTACCTCTTGAAGATGGAAGTGCATTGTTGATAATATTAACAACAGTTGTTTATATTATGTTGGGCTGGAGATACATTATAATCACGACACTTGATACGACAGCCAATGTTGTGAAAGAAGTAAGGATTAACAAAGGTTCTTGTTAAGTGTGATCAGTCGAAAGCACTGACCTTGTTGATCCACATAAAACATTCCAGGCCCAGTTCTAGCTTGGCAAGTATGCAGGGGGAAAAAGGAATGCGTCCGCAAGGCGTACGTAGCACATATTAAACAGCGAAAAGCCCTCCCATGTATTCGCGTAAGCGTTAATCCTGTCACTCACTGATTATTTCAGGCTTTGAAGAAATGGTGCTCCAACAATGGCTGGTGTCCGCCTTGGTTGGGTTCGCCGCCTTCATTGAAGCAGCTCAGGTCAATGTTGCATTAAATCTCACATGGCAAAAGGGATCCCCCACTGGCGTTTCAGGCATTTCAAGGGACATGATTTTCATCAACAATATGTTTCCTGGCCCGGCGTTGGTCCTCGATGAAGGAGATGATGTCATGGTTGGTGCCAAGAAACCTTCATTGGCTTCACGTACTGACCCCAGAAGATCGAAGTGATCAACAACATGCCATTTAACACATCTATTCACTTTCACGGTATAGAGTACGGTTCATCCTATGCGATGAATCATCTTACATAGCTAATTCCTACCCTTAAGACAGTTGAACACTCCGTGGGCCGACGGGGTATCTGGGCTCTCGCAATGGGGCATCCTTCCAGGGGCGAAATATGTTTATAGCTGGAAAGCTACCCAGTACGGGACGTATTGGTACCATTCTCATGATCGATCCAGAATAATGGATGGACTGTACGGTGCTATATATATTCGGTAAGTTCTTTTATGTGGAATTAAATCTCTCCAGTCTTCTGAAGCGTGTTCAGGCCATCACCCAACCGTGACTCGCCATTTTCAATGATTTCAAGCGACCCTGCCGACATTAAGGCCATGACTATAGCTGCATCCAGTCCCGAGATCGTCATACTTTCTGATTGGGATCATTTGACATCAGATGCCTACATGCAAGCCGAGAGAGAGTCAGGCTACGACATTTTGTAAGAGATACATGAAGATTTATTTGGGGATATTTACTGATTAAATCAGTTGTTCTGACAGTATTCTCATCAATGGACGTGGGTCTGTTTACTGTAAGGATCCAGAAGAGTTGACTGCATTGCAAGCGCCTCAAGTCAGAGCGGTTGTCAACGAGTCGTTGACCGATAAAGGGTAATTTCAACTTCTGATCCTCACAATAATTCTATTGTAGATTTACTGAAGAAATGTATAGGTGCGATCCATTCTTGATCACTCTACAAGGGAACTGGGAGCACCATCCTGAAGCGCTTCCGGGCGGTCTCAATTCTGGATGTATTCCTAGTGAAGGAGAGACGACCGTCTTCAACATGGACCCTGGATCGAAATGGGCGAGTTTCAACTTTATCAGCGCTGCTGGCCTCAAAGCTCTATCCGTGTCAATTGACGAGCATCCGCTTTACATATACGAGGTAGACGGGTATTACATTGAGCCGCAGTTGGTCCATCAATTCCCCATCTACAACGGGGAGCGATATTCGGCCATGGTCAGGCTAGACAGAGGCCCTGCGAAGTACACGATGCGTGTGGCTGGCAACGGCAATCAAGTCATTTCTGGCTTTGGAACCTTGGCTTACCCAGGGGGAGAGGAAAATTCATATCAGTCAATACCTTACATTGACTACGGGGGCATCAACACGACAGCTTCGGTGATACCGCTTAACACGACAAATCTTCCACCATATCCCGCAATATCACCTGCTGAACTTGCTGATGATTTCTATCTCCTAACTCTTGGGAGAATCAATTCATCTTGGGAATGGACATTAGACGGAACCGCTTTCCTCCCTGCCGATCTTGCATCAATGGAGCCTGCGCTTTTTAACCCGGAAGCTCCTGGGTTGACATCTTCACTCAAAATCACGACCAAAAACGATACTTGGGTCGACATTGTCTTCCAGCTAGCAATCCCAGAGCCAACGCTGCTCCAGCCTCCTCACCCAATCCATAAGCATTCGAACAAGGCCTTTTTGATTGGAGCTGGTCACGGGAAGTTCGCCTGGAATTCCATCGAGGAAGCTTCCAATGAGTCCCCTCAGAGCTTTTTCAAGACACCGCTTTACCGAGACACCTTTGTGACCGCACCAAACGGCGAAGCCTGGATTGCGATCCGCTACCACGTTGAAAACCCGGGAGCATTCCTGCTACACTGTCATATGGAGACGCACTTATCATCAGGAATGGGAATGGTAATTTTAGATGGGGTAGATGCTTGGCCAAATCTCAGTGGACAGCATTGAAAGTACTCGAATTTTTGAATTGATTTGAAGTGATCGAATCAGCAGATGAAGTCGCCGAGTATGCTGAAAAAAGGATTACTCGCTATATCTTACAACCGAATCTGCTCATCTTGAGTAGACGCAATATGAGCGAGAAATTGCTGTTCCAGCTGCCATACACAATGTCCACATAAGATGATGCAGCTCAGAAATGTAACATGCAACAAAAGACAAGGAACATCGCTCGCACGTACGGAAAAAGCCAACTATTCTCGTCGTGCTTCATTTGAGAGCGACTTAACCGAAAGTGATAGCAGGGCAATTGCTTGGTGGCGATGACTGTGGGGAGTCATCTTCAACACCCGTTGAAAACTGTGTGTTGAGAAGGGAGTTTTAGTTTTGGAGAAAGTCCAATGTAAGGGACGAAATTCATGGTGTTGCTCGAGACGCTAATGACAAATGGAAGCAAGTGTAGTATTTATAAATTCCAAGGAGCCACTGGCGGAAGAACAGATGCAGAACATTTGGACTTAAATGTACACATAGAATCATGCCTAGAACTGCAGAAACCCCCAAAAGAAAATGACCGAGCAGAAACCGTTGTATCGTAACTCATAAGAGCTAGGGAATCAATCCAGAAATAGAAAAGAACATAGAAAGAAGAGAAAGAAGCTAGAGCTACGCTCGCTGAAAATGGGAACAGGGGAACGAAGGTTAACCGCCACCGGGATCAGAACAAGAGCTTCTTTCACTCATCACTCAGAGCTCTTGTGGCCAACGCACTTGGACCATGCCGGGAGCCCGCAACCAATACCGACGAACAGGTATAGCAGGAAAATCACCACGAAGCCCAGCAGAACCATCAGCTTAATGTTCTTCCACCACATCCGCCGCCGCAGACCACGACTGCGGATACGGAAGTCATGCGCACTCCCTCCGAGCCGGTCCGTCTTATCAACCAGCAGATCAATCCGCTCTCCACGCTCGAGCACCCGCTCAATATTCTCTGTCATGATATCGCGGACGCTATCGATCTCGCGGCGGGCTGAAGCGAGCGAGTCTGCCGGCGGAGAGGTATTGTATTTATGCAAAAGGGTACGAAGCTCGGAATTGAAGGCTGCGCACCCATAGGCAGGGAGCGAGGAGTAATCCGTGCTCGAGGAAGGGTAGGTCGTCAAGAACTTCCGCTTCATCTCGAGGAGATATGCGAAAGGAATGCGACGGCCCTGCTCCGCTGACGCGACCACGATGAAACTCAAGGGAGCATAGGAGTGGGGTTCGGAATGGCCGTTTTGGTCATCGGTCGCGCCGCCAGAGGGCGAGTCGGCGATATAATGGACGAACAGCCGTTCATGGGTGTATGTCAACTTCTGGGACTTGTCGTGGGAGATCTTTGGGAGAATGATGGAGGCGAGGGAGGAGGCCGCAGTCGAAGAGGTACCTGGAGAGGAAAATTCAGCCAAAATAGTGGTGCGATGGGCAATGCACGAGCTACAATTGATCAGGGCATGGTTAGACTGCTCATCTGAGGTATGATCTCATTTCATTAGTTAGACTCACTAGAGCAGGAAGCTCGGGGACTTCGAGGAGGAAGCCATGGTGATTAACTTCTGCAGTCACAATAATGGCGATGACGATTCAAATCGTCGAATCTGATATGGAAGAGGCAGCGTCGAGGGGTTGGAGAGTCAAGCAGTTGCGTAGCTTGGCCGTCGGTGATGGAGCCCCGCTTAGTCAGGATATCAGGTGCTACACCTTGCCGGTTTGGGTCGTACACTCTGTTTTGGAAGTGCGGAACACAGTTCATCTCCCTACTTATGCGCTTGTCTACGATCATGTCGCCTCATGGAATCATCCCATGATAATTCTACATGCTTGTTTAGCTGCCAGTATGTTTTCATCCAAATTGCCGCTGAGAACCGTTTTGGAAGATGCACGGCGTATTCATTAAGATGATACAGTAGAAATGGCTTTCTTGGCTTGGCCAGAATCCCAACGAATGACAACTTATATAGAATGCAATAGTTTGCTACAGAAGGGACAATCTAAGCATATTTCGTATTCTGGCCACGTCAAGTTTTAGCTAGTCATATCTCCTCTTGCGTAAAAGGAAAACCAATCCCTATAGAAAGAAACTCCAGGAGATCAGTGCATCAGAATCGGGGTAAATCCACCAGCTCAAAATCATTATCGCTGTCATCATTCTTGATGTTGGGGTGCTCGACGTCGGGGTGCTCCATATCGATATCGATATCATCATCGTCAATGTCGGAGAGCTGCGGCGAGCCCATAACCACGGTGCTGCCTCCATTGCTCTGGATATCGAAATCGCCCTCATCGGCAGACACAGCAGAAGGCAGAAACGGAGGGATGGAATGGCTCTGAGTTGGAGCCTTACAATTATCCCTGGATAGCTTTTCAAGGGAGTCCACCGAAATGAGATCCGAGGCATGGGAGTACGTGGCATGGTGAGACGCGCCGTGAATGGTGCTTCGGGAGTCGCTCGGGTCGATCTCACTGAACGAACTATCTGTATAGGTGGACGAAACACTGCCGGTGTGCACAGATGGGCCCGGTGCCGAGAAGCCACCGGTTTCGACTACAGGGATGTCATGGTCTGTGAAGACGCCCCCGGTTCCATCGTCATTACCACCTGCCCACAAAGGCAGAAATCGAAACTGGTTGTCTGTCAAACAGCAAAGAGTGTCAGTGGCGAGGAGCTGTGATACGGGTATTCCATAAGGATATAATAACTTTCGCGAGAGCCGGCTGACATGTGTGCCGACACTCGTGAGGAAAAGGGTCAGATCGAAGGTCCTTTCGTTCATGTTAGAGTCCCCGCTAGAAAAGTCTTCGTCAGGCTGCGGAAGGCGCTGGTTTACAGTCAGGTGTCTATCAGTTGAAGCTGAAGTCGAGCCTTCTGTATTGGGTGGCGAAGGATGCGCGTGTCGTAGATTGACAGTCAGAGGCTTGTCGTATCCGTCTGAAACAGAGGGCCGAGTAGCTTTGAACGGCCGGGCCAGGTTGACGGTAAATTTCCGCAAGTGGTTCTCATTTGTAGCCTGAGCGCTGTATCCTTTCGGGTTTACAGGCGGATTGGCTGCTCGAGATAGGAGACTCAGGTTGAACTCGCGGACTTTCTGCTCGACCTCAATTTTAGGAAGATGGCCAATCCAAGCCTTATCCTGGCCTTGAAAAGCGTTCATTCCATTCCCTATTTGAGCAATTGACGAATGGGGTTCTTGGCGCCGGTAGGTGACCATAGACAGGTCTAATTTAAGAAGATCTAACCAGAAATACCTGCCAATGACGCGTTGAAGGACCGATGACCGGTGAAATATGTGACTGTCCGTTTCCTCCGCGTTCGGTGGGGCTACGTCCCACGATCGCCGTGGATCCCTGGCGGCTAGTAAAACTTGGTAGATCCTGGACCGGACGTAGTCTTTCAACATAGTCACTATCTGGTATACCATGTCTTCATCGCAAGGAAAGTCTCGCAGGTGTTGAGCTAATTTTCCAAACTCGTCAATCTCCGTCATCCAGAGCATGTCGGTGCCAGCCAGTTGCAAGAAGTGGCCGATAATTTCGTCGACGAAGCTCTTGCTGGCGTACTCGATGCGCTGTACCTCTGTGTCGTCTAGAAAATCTGCAATCCGGCTGCGATCAAAGGTGGGCACCCATGAAGCGAGCGGTGCCAGCCGTGCATCGCGCATCAGATAGAGGAGAGCCTCGTCTCCGACCAGCCCAACAAAGGAGTCTCGGCAGAGGTTGGATGCTTTGATCCCACAAGCCACGCGGTATGCGATCTCCGGGTGGATCTCGATAAATCGGATGTTGGAGGAGTGATAGAACCAAGAGATGATGTACCCACTGACGGCGGGGACTTTGGCGACATCAAGAAGCTTGGCGATTGCGAAGAAGGTCCAAAGCTTGGACGGAGTGTCCAGCGTCGCATTCAACCCCTCCAAAACGTGCAAGATCTTCTCGATGCCTTCTCGATGCCGCACTGCCGAATACTCAAGTGGCAAACTAGTCCGGAGCGGCTGCTGAGGCCTGGCTGGCTGGTTTTCTCCTTCTGCCATACTGGTACCTTCGTCTTCCACCCCAGGGGTCTCCAAATTGAAGATGTCGTCCTCGCCTACGGGTGTGGCCATCTGCCCCGGCGCCGTTGGGCTCTCGGGGGTGAATGGCAGCACATCCATCTCGTCCTCACCTCCTATGCAGGACGGGGGTAGTCGCCACTTTACCCTGGACAAAGCCCAGGTCCGGATCCCCATCGGACAGGACACTTCGGTCAGAAAGATGATCGCATCTTCATCCAAGGTGGGAGGAGTCAGATCGATCACGTATTTGATGCCAGGCGGAAGCCTGGTAGCAAGACCTCGGTGCTTTCGCACCCGGGTCTGGTGCCGCGGCTTGAAAAGTCGCTCGAAGTAGATTGAACCGGTGGCCAAGATTTTCTCACTACGAACACGGTGAGGGATGCTGGGGGTCAAAATGTTGTTCCTGGTGCGGTCCTCTGGAGCGGGATCGATATACACCAGAGTATCCGCGTCGTTCAACAGGAGCAGGGGCAGCCTCGGGTTCAGAGGAGCATCGCTCAACTGAAAATTGGGAGAGGACTGACGCCGAGGATAGTTCGTCTCAGCAAAGGTGTTTGTCAGAGGGAGCTCGGTCTCTTGATCCGAAAGGGTGTCATACGTCGCTCCGTGCCAGGGCGAGACCGGAAACGGTTGGCCAGGACTTGACGCCATGGTGAAGAGTGGAAGAGTAGAAGAATGGACGTGTGGACGCGGTCAGGAAGAACCTCGCCCTGCCCGGAGGTGGAAGGCAGGATGAGATGATGGAAGGCAGGAAGGCAGGAAGGCAGGCAGGAAGAGCGGAAAATGAAGGAAGCAGCGAGGTAAGATTGCCCAGCGCACCAGCCGCAGACGTGTCTGCACCACACAGTAAAGCAAAGCCGCGCGGTTGAGGGGGAGGGGTAGTTTGAGGCTGAGCTGCATGAGGCTCTGCAGCCTGTGGGCACATGTTCGCTGGCACCCGTCACGGTGGCTGTGCGCTGGGGGGTGTTTCACCGCGAGTGATGTCCCGGTAATACCGATTCTCCTTGTCTCGAGACCCCGTATAAGCGGATGCGAGAATGGATCCGCACTATGCCAAATAATGGTCTTATCCGATACTGTATTGTCGGGAACATTGAGCGTATCGTGTTAACTAGCCCTAAGGCGTTGAGTGAACTATTAGTAACCAAGGTTTATGAATTTGAGAAGCTATCGACGGTTCGATAAAGCCTGGCACGTCAGCACCTGCAAAAGAGCCATCCGCAATCAGGATCCGTGTCAAGATGGATATCAGCAAAGATCCAATACAACTCAGCGCATATTCGGATATAGCACATGGAAGTCCATGAAGAGAAGAATATCCAGTCTGCGACCCTTCTCTCGACTGTTCTATGTTCTACTACATCTTGAGAGGAGCAGCTGTGACCACTGCGAGCACATCTTCGACAATCTGTCTGGGCTTTTTCAGCATTTCGAAGACATTCCGGACTGCTCGCACCTATTACAGGGCTACGACTTGACTCTCAAATGAAATCAAGTCGCGTGGGGAACGCCGACAAAACGGCGAGGGAAAAAAAAGAAAAAAAGAAGAAAAAAGGCGTGGAGAGAGAGAGACAGAGGCCTAGAGAGGAAAAAAAGGGGAGGCATGGAGAAAAGGAAAAAGAAGCGGCCTGGAGGAAAAAAAAAAAGAAGAGGCCTGGAGAGGAAAAGCCGTGCTTGCAGAAGATGTGGATGCTACGGGAGAAGCTGATTATGAGCTTGAAAGGGTATTACCGAGAGAATTGGGCCTGTACGAGTAAAGGGGGCGCAATGCTAACTACTTAGGTCGGTTTTCAAATGACGGCTGCTGGTGGATGATGGTGGTGATTGACAGTGGTGCTGATAGTGGCATCTGCTTGACCTTGCATGGTAAGGAAAGAGAATTAGATTCATTAATACTAAGCTGACTTTGCAAGATATTCTTTGCCAGACGCTTTGCGGCAAAGCATTCGAGTGATTTCCTATCACTTGCCCAACACATGGCCTAGGATCCTCTCCGCTAATCCGGCTGGAATCTATACCAAATCCTCGCATGGTAGCCGAGTGCTTGGTCATGGAAGCCTCAGAACCTCGATTTACCAGGACAGTATTATCGTGTCTCTCCCAATACCGCTCGAAGAATCCACGCTTACAGCCTTCCACCGCGTGAATGGAAATATGAGAAGGACATTAGGCTGCAATCTCAAAATCTGCCGAGCTGGTTCGACCTACTGATGGCACATATTGTACACGGAGATCCGAATCGCAAGCCCCTTTCCCAGCCTGGAACATTCAAAACTGGCCAGCGCACCGTTTTTCACGTAGCAGGTATTGGCTCCATTCGCATGCCATCATCCCAAGAGATCGTTACTCCCTCATGCTTACCGTCGGTATTTCCAGCTGGGCCACCTACTTGCCTTGAAACAAGTCTCCCAATTATGAGGGAAGAGTCCAGCCATCGTCTCGCAGCCTTATGACGGCACCTTCGCAATCATGCCTAGCAAACTGGAAACACCAAGTTGATGAGAAACGCATATATGATGACCGCCGCTCCCAGGAACAACGGCGTGGAGCCCCTCGCAACCAATACCAGACTCACTTGAGCTGGCTAACCAGCAAAGTTTCCAATTACAAGCGCCGCCGAGTTACCAGCCCCAGTCAGGTCCAGCAAACCCACCAATTCCAAGCGGGTGGCCAGTCTGAGTCACGTTTTTAAGGTCAAGGCCGCCCTTTCTACGCTCCCCGAGGACGATAACATGACGAATTACCACATCCGGTGATGGTTTACCAGGGCAATAAGATTTCCCTCTTCACACCCCTTGAAGGCAACTCGACAGAGACAACGCGAGTCCCATTAGTTGAAATCGCTCAGTCCAAGGGCAACAAGGTTACTAGGAACAACAGCGTGGCCCCTCGTAACTAATACCAGATTCAACTGCCTAACCAGCAATCTTTCCAGTCATAGGCGCCGCCAAGTTACCAGCCCTAGCCAGGTCTATCAAACCCACTAATCCCAAGCGGGTGGCTAGTATCAGTCACAGTTTCAAGGTCCATACCACAGGCAAATTTTTGGCCACGGGCAGCGAGCAAGAAGATCCGGATGCACCCTAGACGACTACTATAACTATGTGGACACCGGTTTCGCCGGTCCAGGCTACGACCGGGTTGTGACCCAAGTTACGACCCGACGGCCTACAGCCCAGCGCCAACCGCTCAAATCTAAGGCCAAGAGCTGACCGTCACCTGCCTGGAGTGAATAACCTAACCGCCCAGCTCCTGATCGGCAGCGATGTGCTCGGCACTAAGGGTTTCATCCCGGACTTTGCGAAGTGCCAAGCCACTATTGGATCCTGCGACGGGCTCACTTTCCCTATCGCTCTTCGTGCCAATCCGGCTTACGTTAACCACGACCAGTGTGTGCCACTCGCAAGATAGTCATCTAGCCGAATGGATCGGCCTACCAAGTTGACGCTCCTAATTTGTGCTATCCAATCATCTCGCGCCCGAAGCCGGAACTATCTCTTAAAGATGAGAGTTTGCGTGTCACGCTCGACAACGGCGCACCAAAGCACCCAATGTCAACTTGGCGGCATCAACTTTGCCAGATGCTCCAGTAAGCAGGCATACTGGCACCTCCGGAAGCACTTGCTGGACCCAAAAGCATCAGGACATTCAAACCTCACTAACAGAGATCACCGGCCTTTTTCATCTGTCTTCATTCAATGACAATTCAGTGGTACTTCGTCCCGGACTCATACCGCATTGCCATGCTCCTTTACAAGTCACCAAATCTTGTCACGGCCTGCCAAATTCCCACTTGCAAAAGTCCATACCCACAGTGTCTAACTTTTCTCCATTCGGCACGAATATTCCACCATACTCACCGATGCGTTACTAACTTCCCCGTCCTCCAGCAGTCCGTCATTTGAATTAAGACTTACTAGATAGCATTGTATATAGTTACCTTCATCTACTTTAAACAAAATCGAAGAATATGCCACTGAGTGAACCGAGTAGTAGAGAACGTAGCCGTAGCAGGTCAAATAGTCCTGCACGGTCCGTGCAAGGGGGCAATAGGATGACTATCAAGTCGACCTTCTGGTTGCGAAGCTTCATAAACATCTCATCAATCTAGCCAGGGTGTCTACTAGCGTCGTCTTTGTGCAGATCAATAACCAAAAGTGGATGAAGAGGAGAAGATAATCTAAGGCCTAGCCCCTTCATATTATTAAGGAGCTTAATGGGTCTCATCCTTCGATCTTTGGGTTCTTATAGAGGATATGTCAGTCATAGTCCGAAAAAGGTGATGGTGGTAATCTCCGGAAACCGGCGAAGAAGTTAGAGTGTTTACCTTTGATCGACTTCTTGTCAACGGGCTTCCCCGTGTCGGCAGGCTTGACATTATCGGCTTGCTCCTTAACCCTAGCGATGTTCTTGCTGAGCTTGCCCTTGGTACTATCCACTAACTCCAGCTTGGAAGCCTTTAGCTCGGTGTTGGCGTCTATGATTTCGGCCTTGTTTAGTAGATCTAAGAGCGCACTGCTTGAAACCGACTACCACTTGCAGAGGAAGACTAAGTAAGCTTACCTGTGGGGGGATTAGAAGGCGAAGGGCTACTAGTCCGGTTCTTCGATGGCTCTACGAGCTAGAGGAGACGGCGCTTACGCGCTAAAAGCATGGTTGATCAGAGATGAAGTTGAAGGATGGTGGAGGAAGAAAATAGGAGACAAGGTGATAGATAAGAAGGGTGATAAGTATTATTATATATAGTTATTTCCATGGAGAGAAGTAAGAGTTAGCGGGTTGCGATGGGCCACTAGGATTTTGTATTATGTGACTATAAATATAGCTATGGCAAACATTTAGTATATCCAAAACGGACAATAATCTCTACGAAGCTTATTACTAACTACAAAGACTACTTTATTAACTGATGGTAGAATAGCTACATTGCCTTCATAGGATCATTCCGAGGAGGATAGGCCTCGCGTGAGCATAACGCTAGCCCACTTCCCGATAGAGGCGCCGGCGTAAAATCTAGCGTCTCGCAGGTTCTAGGAACCATTTCTTGGTTATAAAGTTTCGGATCTATACTTTAAACGGGGAGCATTGAGAACTCGTGTAGGCGTAACAACCATCTAAGAGCGGATGTTAAGCCCAAGGCTCTTCATTTGACCAGCTTTGGCCCTAATAATCTCTCAGCCATCATTGAGAATCGAGTCATAGTTATCTAGAGGTCTTCGGCAACTAAACGTGATGATGTTCTGACGCTAAATAGTACCCAATTCACCACGATAAACCTAACTAGGCGGGATTTACTACGGGTAAGGGCATTATCTATCTACCCAATCCCGAAAATGATCCGGCCTTAGTTAACGGTGTCGGCATTAATTTCACATAGCCTGAATAGAACTAAGATTAGCAGAGCACTACCACTGGTGTTCAACCCCCCGTTTACAATTGATCAACAGACTCGTCTGCGGATCAATCGTAGACCCTTGTGAATTACAACCACCGTCCATTATGTCTAACATGTAGGGACCGGGCCGACTCAGGCGACTGGGATAAGAAAGATGACAATAGCCTAGAGAAAGGCGATGTGATGAGAGGTGATGGCGATAGCTGGGTGCATGGCTATTCCCTTTCTATGCTACAACGTTACGAGTAGGTATGTATGAATAATCGTGGTTGTGATTGTGATTATAGTGGCGAGGCCATCCGGAAGCTAAAAAAGATAAATTATTTGATCGGGCTACCTACTTGCCCTCTCCCCCCCTACGGGACTCCCTATCCCTTCTCTCGCCGACGTTATAGCGTAGCTTGCGGCCGTCCTAGCTGAGAATACTGCTTTAAAGGTAAAGGGCCGGGAGCTACCCAAGGGGGGAGAGGGCAAGTAGGTAGCCCAATCAAATAATTTGTTTTTTTAGCTTCCGGATGGCCTCGCTACCATGATCACAATCACAACCACGATTATTCATACATACCTACTCGTAACGTTGTAGCATAGAAAGGGAATAGCCATACACCCAGCTATCGCCATCACCTCTCATCGCATCGCCTTTCTCTAGGCTATTGTCATCTTTCTTGTCCCAGTCGCCTGAGTCGGCCCGGTCCCTACATGTGTGCAACCATGCCAAGGGACCATCATCAAGATAAGATAGGTAGGGGGGTTGATAATCATGATCATGATGGCACACGAAGCAACCGAGCTGAAAGTTCGCTCTCGCGAGTCCAGTCGACGCAGCGTGTGATCATGTCCAGGGACCATCATCATGATGAGATTGGGCAGAAGGGAGATGAGGATGATCATGATCATGACGGCACACGAGGTGCAACCGAGCTGAAAGCTCGCTCTCGCGAATCCAGTCGATGCAGGGTGTGATCATGTCCAGGGAGTATCATCATGACGAGATTGGACAGAGGGATATAAGGACTTACATCTGAAGGGGCCATCTTGATGGCAAATGGTTGTTGGCAAGGAGTTTTGTGGATGTGGATGAATCTTGGATGAAGTGAGAGGCTCACTTGCGCCTAAAATCCGAACCCACGGTCACATGTCTACGCCTTCTGCTCGTCCCCTGGGGCCTTAGGGTGTTTGATCTCTAGTATCTTTTTTTCTTGTGGAAGCTAGCCTGTACCGTGTGTCTATTGTCGTACTTGGACGGACTCTGACTACTGGTTACAGCGTCCATATTGACTCAATAGCCAAATAACCAAACTTGAACAGAGTAAACTCACTGGACTCAATATACTTTGGAACCATGGTTTCAGTCAGGAGAGTCGAGCCAATTACAGGAATTCTCCAGATAGCTCCCATGTGTTCATTCAGATGTCATGCCTTGACGAGAAGAATACCAAGGTGCACAACCTATGTTGACCTTTTCTCAACAAGAGATTCCTCGGGGTCTTCATCTAAACGTGACTTGTTTAATATCTCATCCCGATCATAGCCAGCGCTCAGAGCATGGCTGCATTCACGGGATCCCCACCTCGCGGGCGCAAGCCTAAGAAGTAGATTTCCTTGCACGCATGATTGCCATTCGAGTTAATGTCTGCTCAACTGCCATGATGAGTATCGTCGGGGTCGGGCGGGGAAACTGGCCGATGTTCCACCGGATGGCCCTGTAGAGAGGCACTGTTCTCACCACAAATGAGGAGATGAGAGCCTTTCGGGGGGGGCGATTCGCCACAGACAGACCTAAGACAGCCGGGCAGCCACGGGAATGATTCGTCATGCCCAGGGGATCGGGTGAAACGAAAAAAAAAAGGGAAATCGACGTGGAAGATACACAATAGCAAGGCGGTGTGTCTGATGATATCCATGAAATTGTATGGGATAGCTACGGTAGCTGCGCAAACGACAATGGAATCAAAGCACCATGCATAGAGCAATTCACAGAGAGCCACCCCGTTTTCAAGTGTACAATGGGCATTCAAGTATACAGAATTGCAGCATGCAAGAGAGTAAAAAGACATATGTAATAGATAATGGCAGGTATTCACATCACGGGGTCCCTTCCGGCTGGGTGGGTTCATTGGACGGCTGCCCTCCATGCCCAGTCCCGCTCTCTGCGGAATTTGGTCGCCGCTTTTTGGCATCTTTCTTCTCGCCTCGTTTCTTTTTCTCACGCGCAGCAGCAGCGGCGCGGAGTTCATCGGGGCGGCTGTGGCCGCGGCTTGACCCCGAGCGGCGCAGGTCTTTGACTTCTTTGATCACCTCGCGGAAGCCCTCTTCGATATTGTTCATCCGAGCTAGGACGAGCTTGCTGAGCATGTCCTGGGTCTGGCTGGGATCTTCACGACGAAGGCCTCCGGTGGCGAATGCCAAGTGGGTATTGAAGCTAGATGGGACGGCACCTCCGAAGGCGCCGACAACGGCCTTATTGTCTCCCAGGTCGGAGCCGAGATCGAACAGTAGAGATCGCCGGGGGTGTGTTGACGCAGGTCGATCAGACAAGTACAGCCCGTCGAGTTCTGGAACAGACATTGGGTTCAAGCTCATATTGCGAGCAAAAACAGTTCTCTTCATGGTACCCTGGTCGGAGGTTGAGATGAAAGGTAGACGATTGTCTTCATCTGAAGAGCCACTGCCATCTCGTGGACGGATCAGATGTCCCTCGGTTCCCAAACTGGGCGAGCCAATGGGATTGTAGAGCATGGTGAGCCCAGAGGCATTCCGGCTATGCTTTGGCCGGCGCGTGGGACTCTCACGACGCGAGAGGATTCGTGCACTTGATGGCCGAGAGCTGTAGAACTTGGGCGGGGTCCTCTCCGTGCTGCCGACCGGTTTGACACCGTCGTCACCGACAGTACCGGTCTCGGAACGCTTGTCGTTAGACTCGTTGTCGTCCTCACTGGTGAGCTCATCGTCCCCCTCCATATCGGTGTGATGCGAGAGCTGCCGTGTGCGTGTGGGTGAGGTCGAATCTCGTCCTCGGCGTTTCAAGACCGGATTGGCAATCCGGCTGGTCCGATCTTCCGGATTAGATGCCACTGAACGAGTCGTCTCCGTGAAGTTGCGTCCATGTGCCGCCAGCGTCTTCCGGAATGGAAATCGCAGCCGTCGGACTGGCATCTCTAGATGGTCCCCTGCTGCTGAATCCTGCTCATCTGGGGTATGAGCCGGATCAGAGCCGACTTCTTGCATCCAATCTTTGATGACATTGTTGTTCTCGCGTTTACGGATGTTGCCTGGGCGCGCACGCTCAAATGGCCGTCTGAAAACTTCCTCCAGCGCCTGATCCTTCTGGTATGTGGCAACGGATGGCTCTCGCACGAGACGCGGTGCCCGGTTGCTGAAGCTATGTAATCGACTTGGCCACCAGGATTGATCTCGACCAAGGGGTTCCGAACGGGATACGGCATCGACGAGATCCATCGGCTCCACCACTCGAGAGCTTAGGACCGTTTTCTCATAGAGGCAGATCGTGAATAGAATCGGCATATGAGTGATCTTAATGATCGTCCGATTCAGGCGAATGAACTGGCGGAATGGCATCAGGTATCTGAAAGGTGTGACTAGCCAGGCGATGATATTGGTTGGGGCCACATAAGAGAACAGAGCATCAGACTTGACCATAGAAATAGTATTGACTGCGAACAAGAATTGGTGCTCTTCGTTGGCATTCTGCACAATTCTCATAAAGGAATTCGTGAGAACAGTGATCAGAATAGTAACCACCACAAAGTGGCAAATAAAGAGGAACACGGTCAAGATAGTCTTGCCAAGCACGTTGTATTCCTCCCACATTTGCCATGCTGTCGGCGTAAAGCCCATGAGCATCTGGAACAAGCCGTAAGCTACCGATTTCGGAGAATTGTCAGACCCAAAGGATAAGAAAGCCACGAAAAAGCCACTGCAGGCAATGATAATCAACACAAAGACCGCAATCAGATCGGATGCCATGATACGAAACGCAATCAGCAGTTGCGAGAAATAGCGGTAGTGATCGAGAATCGAAAAGAGGCGAGGGAACAGGAGCACCGCGTTGGCAGCCAGAACATCATATGCCTGGTTGGCGACCTGGCGGTTCCTCGGGTAGGTCAAGAAGGTACCATAGATCCGAAGGCAGTAGTAGCAGAACAGCAGCAGCAGGATACCCAAGTCGAATAGATTCCAGAAGCTCATCAGGTAGAGGCTGAAGCCCTGCTCGTTGAAACCAACAATCTCGTCGAGCATGAAACCCGCACTCCAGAACCAGAACATGATCTCGAGAGACGTGATCTGCCGGCTGCGCTGTTGCAGAACTGCCAGAAAGAGACCTAAAAGAACTGCGAAAGAAAGGGTTGACAAGAATTGCCGATAACGTGGCACTCGCAATCTGGAGAGTTTGAACAGCGAAGCGTCTCGCGGGTTGTAAAAAGTTACCGAGCGACGGGAACTGGTGTTCCCAGGAGAAGGCGCCTGATTCCCATTATGTCCCGCCGACGTTCCATAATCCATACCTCCACTGAACGCAGATTGATGACTGCGTCGGTGCAGGTTATCGGAAGCCGAGTGAAAAACGATAGTTCCTGCCCAAATCGCTTCTAATTGATTTACTACTACTGGGTGGGCAAGAAATCTCTTCGCTTGCGCCCGAATAGCAATCTCCAGGCATGAAACGCGAGCAGTACCGGGCAATCGGTTTCCTTGGGGACGAGAGGTACACGCTGTGGTGGGATCCTGGCCTTGAAGCGGGTGGAACTCATAAGACAGCGCGTCGATCAATTCTCTGGTGGAGTATTCCCTCAGCAACTTGATTGCCAGCAGCTCGCTGACCATTGCCCGGGTTTGGCTAGCACCGCTATTCCCCGGGTTGAGGTGAATCTCCTTTTCGAACTGCAGGCAATTAGCCATCAGGGCATAGAGCGTCGCTCGTGAGAAGTGCGTGGACATGAGCTTCTGCTGAATGGGCTTGACCAGGAACTGAGACACCTGCGGCGAACGCAGCTGGTCCCAGGTCAACGTGGTTTCACACCGGGAGGCGATCAGCGGTCGGATGGCATGAGTGAGATCGTACACGGGGAGGGCATCTACCGGGGCCGATTCCTGTTAGACCTCCTTGACTGCTGCGACCGATTGTCGCGGTCGGACACATACCCAGATGCGAAGCCGAGAATATGGGCAGAAGAGGCGTGGAGTCGAGCGGACCGTCCTCCTCCTCCTCTTCATCCTCCTCTTCCCGAACCCAATCTTCGTCGATATCCTCGTCAATCTCCTCCAGCTCCGGCGGGTGCTCATCATGGCTATCCCCATCTCTCTGCACGCGGCGTGCACCGCGTCGACCTGCTGCTCGAAACCATGGGGAGCTGTCGCTGGGAGCAAACGGAGACGAGAACGAAAAGGGGGTCTGGTCAATCTGCTGGCGCCGTGCTTTCGGGTGGAGTAGAGAGGCCAGCATGGTTGCAGAGCGGCAAGTTCACGCGGATACAGGCATGACCTCGGTACTAGGACGTTTAGCGCATCGCGACGACCGAAGGTGCGCTGTGGTGGGGTGGAGGGGGTCGATCGGTCGAGGAGGGAGCAGTAAATGGGTAAATGAGTGGGCGGTCCGGGGAAGTTCATGCAAGAAATAACAGGCGACCGAAGATAGCGCGTTTAATGCCGCCGACGCAAGCTGGTCGAGTTCACACAGACCGGCAGACTGGCCGATCGGCGGAGGGATCGGGCGCCCCTTCACTCGCACTAACCGCACTAAGAGGAGCTATCCTGTCGTCATTGTACGTCCCAGCTGACCGCACATTCCCGCGATTTCAGGATTGTGGCATCTGAGGGCAAACCACCCGGAGTAGATTATTTGTGCTGGTACGTGATTTGCAATCTATATGGAGTACATAAAAAGATTGTTGTCAATCCTCTGGGTCCGTAAGTAGTTTTCTGCTGGGATGCCGCAGTAGTCCGATCGGCCGCCTTATCATTCCTCACCGCCTGCACGCTCTGCAGGGCGATAACACGATAGTTTGATAGATGGATCGAGTTCTATATCAATTGAGATGAGGGGCACCTTGAGGTGTCTGTTAGCCAGAGACTATAGACCATAGACCATAAGCCAGCAGTTATAGCTGATCACTGAACACAACCCATGCCAAGCTGTGGCGACAGTCCAATGCTAGCTTTCAAACCCCCCAATAATCTCCCCAATGTTCTCTCCCCAAGCGATCTTCGTCATGGAAAACTCTGAGGCGGTGAGGGGCGGCGCCAACCACCGGAATCGGTCCACTGTGGGCCCGCGACGGCCACGAAAATTTTATTCTGCCAGGCGACTCATTCTTCTTCCTTCATACCTCAGCTCTTGAAGCTGCTATCTTCTCACTACTTCGCTTCTCCTCCCCCAATCCCTCAAAAAAACCGCAAAACCCCCAAGAAAAAGAAGCAGAAAGTCCCATTGACGGATGCTGCGATAGAGTGACCTGCACTCGCTCAGATTCGTCCCCGAGAGGACTTGTCCCCTCATTTCTCCCCCTCGCCAATTGCGATGCCCCAGCTTGCTTCCACCGAGGAACCAGTCTTGCCTACGAGTCCGACATCGGGCGGTGCAGTGGCCTACACCAACAACAAGGACTTGCTGCCTACAATGGATGCTGCGGTGATCACCCCGGCCTCTATCCCCGTCCGGGGTGGCAGTGACCGGCTCGTCGCCCTCGAACTGGAGGATGGCACCGTCTACCAGGGCTACAACTTTGGCGCCGAGAAGAGTGTGGCCGGCGAACTGGTCTTCCAGACGGGTATGGTTGGCTACCCTGAGTCCATCACTGACCCCTCATACCGCGGCCAGATCCTGGTCATCACTTTCCCGCTGGTGGGCAACTACGGTGTGCCCTCGCGAGACCAGATTGACGAACTGCTCAAGCTCCCCACGTACTTTGAGTCGAGTGAGATCCACGTCGCAGCGCTGGTGGTGGCAACTTACGCCGGCGAGGACTTCTCGCACTTCCTGGCGCAATCTTCACTGGGCCAGTGGCTCAAGGAGCAGGGAGTTCCCGCCATGCATGGCGTGGACACCCGTGCTCTAACCAAGCGCATTCGTCAGAAGGGTAGCATGCTGGGCCGCATGCTGCTCCAGAAGGCCAGCGAAACCAACGGCGTCGCCGCTGGTGTCGTCGGTGCCGACTGGAAGTCGCATTTCGAGCAGATCGAGTGGGTGGATCCCAACAAGAAGAACCTCGTTGACGAGGGTGAGTGACACATCCAAAGCCTTGTGTCTCAGTGACGCGAAAAACAAAACGAAACCATGGAAATGGGATTCTGACAGCATATCATCGGCAGTCTCCATCCGCGAGCCCAAGCTCTACTCCCCCCGGCTGATGTTGCCCTCAAGCACCCTTCGGGTCGTCCCGTTCGGGTTCTGTGCTTGGATGTTGGTATGAAGTATAACCAGCTGCGCTGTCTGCTCTCCCGTGGTGTTGAGGTCATGGTTGTGCCGTGGAACTACGATTTCCCCACCCTGGCCGGCAAGGACTACGACGGTCTGTTTGTCTCTAACGGTCCCGGTGACCCTGCAACCCTGACCACCACCATCGACAACTTGGCCAAGACTCTGAAGGACGCGCGGACGCCGGTCTTCGGTATCTGTCTGGGTCATCAGCTAATTGCCCGCTCCGTGGGCGCCACGACCACCAAGATGAAGTTTGGTAACCGCGGCCACAACATTCCTTGCACCAGCATGATCTCTGGGAAGTGCCACATCACCTCTCAGAACCACGGTTTCGCTGTGGACGCCTCCAGCCTCCAGAACGGCTGGGAGGAGCTGTTCGTGAATGCCAACGATGGTAGCAACGAGGGTATCCGCCACACCAGCCGCCCCTTCTTCAGTGTTCAGTTCCACCCCGAGAGCACCCCTGGTCCCCGGGATACGGAGTACCTGTTCGATGTCTTCATCAAGACTATCCTGAACACCATTTCTTCTCCCGAGGCCCTGAGCAAGCCAGTGGAGTTCCCCGGTGGCCTCAAGGCTGACAACATCAAGGCCGCACCCCGGGTGCACGTGAAGAAGGTCCTCGTTCTAGGCAGTGGAGGTTTGAGCATTGGCCAGGCCGGAGAGTTTGATTACTCTGGTAGCCAGGCCATCAAGGCGCTGAAGGAGGAAGGTATCTACACCATCCTGATTAACCCCAATATTGCCACCATTCAAACCTCGAAGGGTCTGGCCGACAAGGTCTACTTCCTTCCCGTGAACGCCGAGTTTGTTCGGAAGGTTATCAAGCATGAGCGTCCTGATGCCATCTACGTAACCTTCGGTGGCCAGACTGCCCTCTCAGTTGGTATTCAGCTCAAGGATGAGTTTGAGGCTCTTGGTGTCCAGGTCCTGGGTACACCTATTGATACCATCATCACCACCGAGGACCGTGAGCTGTTCGCTCGCAGCATGGACTCTATCAACGAGAAGTGTGCCAAGTCCGCTTCCGCGTCCACTCTCGAGGAGTCTCTGAGGGTCGTTCAGGACATTGGCTTCCCCGTCATTGTTCGTGCTGCCTATGCTCTGGGTGGTCTTGGCAGTGGCTTCGCTGAGGACATGGATCAGCTGAAGGAACTTTGTACCAAGGCCCTGGCCGTCAGCCCCCAAGTGTTGATTGAGCGTAGTATGAAGGGCTGGAAAGAGATCGAGTACGAGGTTGTTCGTGATGCTCAGGACAACTGCATCACCGTCTGCAACATGGAGAACTTCGATCCCCTCGGTATTCACACCGGCGATTCTATCGTCGTCGCCCCCTCCCAAACTCTCTCCGACGAGGACTATAATATGCTGCGGACGACTGCAGTCAATGTTATTCGCCACCTTGGTGTTGTTGGCGAATGTAACATTCAGTACGCCCTGAACCCCTTCTCTAAGGAGTACTGCATCATCGAGGTCAATGCCCGTCTGTCCCGTTCCTCGGCCCTGGCCTCCAAGGCCACCGGTTACCCACTTGCCTTCATTGCCGCCAAGCTGGGTCTGGGTATCCCTCTGAACGAGATCAAGAACTCCGTCACGAAGTCCACTTGCGCCTGCTTCGAGCCCTCGCTCGACTACTGCGTGGTCAAGATTCCCCGCTGGGATTTGAAGAAGTTCACCCGAGTCTCCACCCAGTTGGGTTCCTCCATGAAGTCCGTTGGTGAAGTTATGAGCATTGGTAGAACCTTTGAAGAAGCCATTCAGAAGGCTATCCGGTCTGTTGACTTCCACAACCTCGGTTTCAACGAGACCAGCGCCCTCATGTCCATCGAGGCCGAGCTCCAGACTCCTTCCGACCAGCGTCTGTTCGCCATTGCCAACGCCATGGCCGCTGGCTACAGTGTTGACGATATTTGGAAGCTGACCAACATTGATAAGTGGTTCCTGAGCCGCCTCAAGGGCCTGAGCGACTTCGGAAAGTCTATGGCTTCTTTCAATGCCACCACGGTGCCCATCAACATGATCCGCCAGGCCAAGCAGCTTGGTTTCTCTGATCGTCAGCTTGCTAAGTTCCTGAGCTCCAATGAGCTTGCTGTGCGCCGCATGCGTGTTGAGGCCGGTATCACGCCCATCGTCAAGCAGATCGATACCGTCGCCGCCGAATTCCCGGCTGTGACCAACTATCTGTACCTCACATACAACGCCTCTGAGCACGACCTGACCTTTGACGATCATGGTATCATGGTTCTGGGTTCTGGTGTCTACCGTATTGGTTCGTCTGTCGAGTTCGATTGGTGTTCCGTGCGCACTATCCGTACTCTCCGAGAGCAGGGCTACAAGACCATCATGGTTAACTACAACCCTGAGACCGTCAGTACCGATTACGATGAGGCCGATCGTCTGTACTTCGAGAACATCAACCTCGAGACTGTCCTCGACATCTACCAGCTGGAAACCTCGAGCGGTGTTGTTATCTCTATGGGTGGTCAGACTCCTAACAACATTGCTCTGCCTCTCCACCGCCTGAACGTTAACATCCTGGGTACATCCCCCGAGATGATCGATAGCGCCGAGAACCGTTACAAGTTTTCCCGTATGCTTGACCGCATCGGTGTCGACCAGCCTGCTTGGAAGGAGCTGACCAGCATTGAGGAGGCCCGCACGTTCTGCGACAAGGTCGGCTACCCTGTGCTGGTCCGTCCTTCTTACGTGCTCTCGGGTGCTGCTATGAATACAGTCTACTCCGAGCACGACCTGGCCAACTACTTGAACCAGGCCGCTGATGTCTCCCGTGAGCACCCTGTCGTCATTACCAAGTACATTGAGAACGCCAAGGAGATCGAGATGGATGCCGTCGCTCGCAACGGTGTTATGACCGGCCACTTCATCTCGGAGCACGTTGAGAACGCCGGTGTGCACTCTGGTGACGCAACTCTCATCCTGCCTCCCCAGGATCTGAGTGCGGAGACTGTGCGTCGCATTGAGGAGGCGACCAGCAAGATCGGTAACGCTTTGAACGTCACTGGTCCTTACAACATCCAGTTCATCGCCAAGGATAACGACATCAAGGTCATTGAGTGCAACGTTCGTGCTTCGCGTTCGTTCCCCTTCGTCTCCAAGGTCATGGGTGTGGACCTGATCGAGATGGCCACCAAGGCTATGATTGGCATTCCCTTCACTGAGTACCCCCCTGTCAGCGTCCCGAAGGACTACGTCGGTGTCAAGGTCCCCCAGTTCTCCTTCTCTCGTCTCTCGGGTGCTGATCCCGTCCTGGGTGTGGAGATGGCCTCGACTGGTGAAGTTGCTTCCTTCGGTCGTGACAAGTATGAGGCCTACTTGAAGGCTCTGCTGTCCACTGGCTTCCGCCTGCCCAAGCGCAACATCCTGTTCTCCATTGGTTCATTCAAAGAGAAGATGGAGATGCTGCCTTCTATCCAGAAGCTGCACCAGCTTGACTACAACCTGTTTGCTACCGCTGGTACTGCCGATTTCCTGAAGGAGCACGGTGTTCCTGTCAAGTACCTCGAGGTCCTGCCTGGCCAGGAGGACGACATTAAGTCTGAGTACTCTCTGACTCAGCACTTGTCCAACAACTTGATCGATCTGTACATCAACTTGCCGTCCAGCAACCGCTTCCGCCGCCCTGCCAACTACATGTCGAAGGGTTACCGCACTCGTCGTATGGCTGTGGACTACCAGACGCCCCTGGTGACGAACGTCAAGAACGCGAAAATTCTGATTGAGGCCATCGCCCGCCACTACCCTCTGGAAATCCAGACTTCTGACTTCCAGACCAGCCACCGCACCGTGGTTCTGCCTGGCCTGATCAACATCGCCGCCTTCGTTCCGGATCTTGCCACCTTCGGTTCCAAGGACTTTGAGCAGGTCACCAAGGCCTCTATTGCCGCTGGTTTCTGCATGGTCCGCGTGATGCCTGTGGGTGTCGAGAGCTCGATCACCGAGGCCAGCGATCTGAAGATCGTTCAGCAGAATGCTCAGGAACAAGCATACTGCGACTTCAACCTGTCGGTTGCTGCCACTGCCGACAACTCGGACCAGGTCATCCAGGTGACTAGCGAGGTGGGCTCTCTCTTCATCCCTTTCAACCACCTGTCTGGCAATATCAATAAGGTGGCTACTGTGACCAACCACTTTGGAGCTTGGCCCTCGAACAAGCCTCTGATCACCGATGCCAAGGGAACTGATTTGGCTTCGATCCTCCTGCTGGCTAGCCTGCACAGCCGCAATGTCCACGTTATGAGCGTGACCTCCAAGGAGGATATCAAACTCATTGCCCTCAGCAAGGAGAAGGGCCTGAAGGTGACCTGCGACGTCTCCATCTTCTGCCTGTTCCTGTCTCAGGTCGAGTTCCCCGCCTGCAGCTCTCTGCCCTCTGCCGAGGACCAGAAGGCTCTCTGGGATCACCTGAGCACCATTGATGTGTTCTCTATTGGCAGCATTCCCTACCAGCTTGCTGGTAAGGAGGCTACCCCCCAATCTGGCATTGCTGAGTCGCTTCCCCTACTCTTCAGCGCTGTTGCGGAGGGCCGCCTGACCGTGGAGGACGTTACTGCTCGCCTCTATGACAACCCCAAGAAGATCTTCGAACTGCATGATCAGGCCGACTCCTCTCTTGAGATCGAGATTGACCGTCCTTATCTATTCCAGAGCCCCAGTGGCACCTGGTCTCCCTTCAACGGAAAGACGATGCGTGGCTCCGTCCAGCGCGTGGTCTTCCAGGGCAAGACTTCCTGCCTTGATGGTGCGCTCTCCAAGGATGCTGTCAAGGGTACTGACATGTCTGCACACCGCATCATCCCTACCTCCCCCGTGCACAAGCCCACTACTCCCATGGTTCGCCCTGAGAGTGCACTGGATCGACAGACTACCCCCAGCCGTCACGCTCGTGCTCGGGCTCTGGATGCCTCCGTCCCTCCTATCAGTGAGCTTGGACCTCCTCTGTACGGCCCGTCCGCCCAGATGTCGTCCTCTCTGTACGATATGCTCTCGCGCTCTCCCTTCCGCGGCAAGCACGTCCTGTCCGTTAACCAGTTCACTCGCTCGGACCTGCACCTGCTTTTCACTGTCGCTCAGGAAATGCGCCTCGGTGTTCAGCGCCAGGGTGTCCTTGACATCCTCAAGGGCCGTGTTCTGGCCACTCTCTTCTACGAGCCCTCCACCCGCACGTCCGCTTCCTTCGATGTGGCTATGCAGCGCCTGGGTGGCCGCACCATTCCCATCGCGACCGAGCACTCCTCCACTCAGAAGGGTGAGACTCTCCAGGACACCCTCCGCACTCTCGGCTGCTACGCTGATGCCGTGGTCCTGCGCCACCCCAGCCCCAACAGCACCGACATTGCGGCCAAGTTCTCCACTGTGCCGATCATCAACGGTGGCAACGGCTCCATTGAGCACCCCACCCAGGCCTTCCTGGACTTGTTCACTATCCGTGAGGAGCTGGGCACTGTCACCGGCTTGACCATCACCTTCACTGGTGATCTCAAGTATGGCCGTCCCGTGCACTCTCTGATCAAGCTGCTCCAGTTCTACGATGTCCGTGTGCAGCTGGTCTCCCCCAAGGAGCTGGCCCTGCCCGAGGAGGTCCGCCAGCAGATCGTGGCCTCTGGCCAGCTGGTCTGCGAGTCTGAGGAATTGACTCCAGAGATTGTCGCTCGCTCCGATATCCTGTACTCCACCCGTGTGCAGAAGGAGCGCTTCTCGGACCTTGCCCAGTACGAGCGTCTGAAGAACAGCTTCATCATCGACAACGCTTTGCTGAAGTATGCGAAGAGCCACATGGTTGTTATGCACCCGCTGCCGCGCAACGCCGAGATCGCCGAGGAGGTTGATTTCGACCAGCGGGCTGCCTACTTCCGCCAGGTACGATGGGATCCCACTACCCCCGTTACGGAAAGCATGCTAACAGTTGGACTACAGATGAGATATGGCCTGTACTGCCGCATGGCGCTGCTGGCCCTGGTCTTGGCACCCTAAATCTCCTTTCCACCTCTTAATTATGTCGCCTTTCTGAGACCATGAAGCCAAAAGCGCGCCATCCGATTTTCCATCACGCAAGCCATGTCTTTTGTTGTTTCCTGTTCTGTTTCCAAAAGTTTTTGCCCGTTCTGTCTGGATATCTTCGTAGGTGCAGCTACCTCGATAGACCGACGAGCTGTATAGATTAGACAATCTCCGTTTCATGAATTCGATGAACCCGTGCTGTGTATGTCTGTATATTATGTGGTTTCAGTGGTGTACGTTAGGTGTTTTATGTGTTACGTGTTATGTGTTATGTGTGATGTGTGATGTTTATGTTTGTTTCGTTTGCGTGGCGTGTGTTTTGTGACGTTTGTTTTTTGGGGGGCTTTTTGGCGTTGCATGAGGTTCATCCTTCGGGCATTTACTTTCCATTTTCTCTTTACACGGCATTAGTCCTCACATGACCATATCATCTTTTCCATCGTGGTCTCTTTTGATTCAAGAACTTTTAGGATGTACAGCAACCGGGTGTCTTGTCGTTCGCCTCGGGGCATTACTGGAATCAAATAGCTATATTCTGAAGTATACACGGAATCACCTGCTCGTCTCTGGAATGAGAATGGTTGAATATGCTGAAGTCGAGTAGCGTTTAAAAACATGACAACATTATAATCACTATGGGGGGCTTGTATACATGCAGTTGGTACAGACCCTCTGTGGGCGCGCACGGGGTCGTCCCTAAGCCACACTTCCCAGAAGCAACTCCACCCGCCTGATGGTGTCATCAGGGCGCTGCTTTGCTCATCGACCTCACATCTTCGCGAGCCAATGGCTGTATCGGATTCTGTACCGTCTTTCATTTGTTCCCCGCCAGCATTTCTCGGCCGGGTGTTGGCGTGTTGGCGTGTTGGCGTATTGGCGTGATGCAACTCGTGAGATCCTTCAAGAAGATGCTCTCGACATATCGCGTGAGGCACCCGGCAAATGGTGTGCTTCGTATAATTAAATTCAGGAGTCTAGCATACTTAACGAGCTTGCAACCTTTCTTCCAAATCCCATCCTGAACAGCGCATTTTGCCCTTCCCTTCTCAGTCCCTCGGTGTCGCCATGTCGACAGTCGACAACGGCAAGGAAGAAACGAGGACTAACGCGCCTGAAGATGTCGGGACTTCGCCCTCGCTCGGTAGTATTGCAGAGAAGGGGGGACTTGATGAGAGATCCCTGCTTCGAAAGCTCGATTATCATCTGCTCCCGCCCTTAACCCTCCTATATCTCCTATCCTTTCTGGACCGCAGCAACGGTTGGTTTGTCCCAGTTTTCAAATCACGCAAGACACGACGAGGGCTCATAGATGGCTACAGTCGGAAACGCGCGTCTTCAGGGGATGACGACCGATATTGAAATGTGTATGTCTCAGCTCAACACGGCCCGATCTCGAACTAACAAACGCATAATGGACAGCGGGGGACCAATACCTGACCGGTCTTACCCTGTACTTTATCGGATACGTTCTGTTTGAAGTGCCCGCGAATACTGTCCTGAAATTGACCACGCCCAGTCTTTGGCTGCCGACTCTCACCCTGATTTGGGGAGTGGTCGCAACCCTCTCGGGGGTCGTCCAGAACTATTCTGGCTTTCTGGCCTCGCGATTCTTTCTCGGTGTCGCCGAGAGCGGTCTCTTTCCTGGCGTTGTGTTCTATCTCTCGATGTGGTACAAGCGCAACGAACAGCATTATCGGGTTGCTCTTTTCTTTTCTGCTGCCTCGCTCGCCGGGGCGTTCGGCGGTATACTCGCATGGGGTATTGGGCATATGGGAGGGGTTGGCGGCTATGGCGGATGGCGCTGGATCTTTATTCTGGTAAGTTATTGCGCAAACACTGCGGATGGCGGGCACTCATGCCTGTGATCACATTCAGGAAGGACTCTTGACTATTATGGTGTCGGTGATTGCCTATTTTTGGGTCTATAATTACCCAGCAACGGCCCAGTTCCTTTCCAAAGAGGAGAGAGAATTCATTCAGTTCCGCCTGAGAAATGACAACGACTCCACTCGCGATGAAACCTTTTCATGGTCAGCGGTTCTTGATGCGTTCAAAGATCCGAAGGTCTGGCTGTATGGACTCGGCTTTCATACATTAAGCCTGCCTCTGTATACGCTTTCTCTGTTTCTGGTAGGTCCCAGACTCAACTCAGTTCCTTCCATCAGCCACCAGAACACTCACCTTCATACAGCCCACCATTATCAATGAACTGGGCTACTCCGCGGCAGAAGCTCAGCTGCTCACGGTTCCACCGTATGCAGTGGCCACAATCATGACCATCGGTGTCGCCATTCTCTCCGAAAAGACACATCGTCGAGCGCCTTTCATCATGGGATCCGCTGCTCTCGCCTGTATCGGCTACATCATCTTGCTCTCAGAACACCGGGCCGGGGTCAGTTACGTGGGCACCATCTTTGCCGCAGCAGGACTCTATCCTGCGGTGGCGATTGTGCTGTCCTGGCCAGCAAACAATGTGTCCGGGCAAACCAAACGCTGCATCGCCGGCGCCCTTCAGATCTCGATTGGGAATCTCGGCGCCGTGATCGGGACACAGCTGTACCGCACGGAGACCAGCCCGCGGTTTTTCCTGGGGCATGGATTCGCTCTCGGATATCTCGTGGCCAACATTCTCGTCGTTGCGATCACGTGGGCGGTTCTCAGGCGCGCGAATGCGCAGAAAGCCCTTCAGAGGGAGCAGCGCGGACTTCGTCCTTTGATGGGCGATGTGGGAGATGCGGAGGGAGAATTCCTAGGGGACCGGGACCCTCGATGGGTGTTCCAAACTTGATGCAGAAGGGATCGCGACGAATTCGATGGTGACATAGTGGAAGACCTGCCTATAATTCAACACTACTTCCTCTTGGGTCCACATTTTCTGCTATTCTCATGTGCTGATTCTGTTCATTTGTCTAAACTCTGGAAGTTGTGGTATCGTCTATCATCCGTAGAAAGATTCAAGCTTTGTCCGGCCAGTATTTCTGAACCAAAAGCTTCTTGTTTACTTTTCCCATGGCATTGCGCTCTATCGTATCGACGGTCTTCAGGACCGAAGGTATTTTGTATGCCGCCATCTCCTTCTTCAGTTCTGCGCGGAGAGCTGGCAACTCCATTTGGGCACCCTGGACATAGAAAAATTAGCGAAAGGGAGGCATTCTCGCTACAAGGGCGATAGAAACTGACTGCGCGGAATTTCACGATTGCAGCAACTCGTTCCCCCCATTCCACGTCTTTCAGCCCGACGACGGCCACTTCTTGAATCTGGTCCAATGCAAGCATAACACGCTCCACCTGCAAGGCGGAAACTTTATATCCGCCAGTTTTGATGATATCAACGCTGGCCCGACCTTGAATAAAGTATGCGCCGGTTGAATCACGGATCGCGCAATCGCCCGTTTTGAACCATCCATCTGTCGTGAACTCCGACGCGGTTGCGGTAGGTTTCCTCCAGTATTCACGGAAAACGTTCCTTCCCTTTATTTCTATTATCCCATCTTCGTCGGCTGCATCGACAATTCGCCCCGTCTCCTTCTCTGTCAGGCGCACCTGTATGCCTGGTAGCGGCCACCCCACGCTACCGTCGATGCGTCGGTCGACGTCCAATCCACAGCTAATAGCCATGCCAATCTCCGTCATACCGTAACGTTCCAGCAAGACTTGGCCGGTAATTGCCGCGAATTTGGCCTTGATTGGCGTTGGCAGCGCAGCCGATCCACTCACCACCAAACGCAAAGCCTTTGCTCCAGCCCGTGCGGCGTCTTCCCCGTCCGTTCCACGTATATGAGTATCGAAGTAATCGTTCAGACGAGAGTAGATGGTGGGCACCGCCATGAACATGGTTGAGGAGCCGCGGTCCTGCCAGCGTTCCCAGATGACTTTCGGGTCGAATTTGGGATGCATTTCCACGGTGGCTCCACTCAAGAGACTGGCGGTGAGGCCATTGATAATACCATGTACGTGGTGTAGTGGAAGGACATGAATCAGGTGGTCGGAGGGGCTATAGTCCCATGCCTTCACGAGACAGCTAGCTTGAAATGTGATGTTTTCATGGGTTGTCACACAGCCCTTCGGGTTCGATGTGGTCCCACTGGTGTAAATCATCAAGGCCCTGCGGTCGAGCGAGAATGACGGAGAGAGAGAGGGCAATGATGGCGCCTCATTCTCTCCGAAAGGGTCACATCTAATAACTGGGATGCCGGTGGGGACTGCTTCGCGCAGGGCCGGCGCAATCTGCTCGAAGTCGGGGTGGATGATAACCAGTGATGGATCCGAGTCTCCGATGGTGTACAGGAGCTCTTTAATCGGGTGGGATGTGCCTAGTCAGCCACCATTAGCGTTAAATGAAACTATGGGTGCGATATGTCCTCTCTCTCTCACATAGCGGCACACAAACTCCCCCTGCAGCCCATATTGCCCAGCTCGTGACAACGTAGTCATAGCCAGCAGGGCACAAATATGCCACTCTCTGCTCATTGAGATCTCCCGATGCGGTCAATCCCAAGGTTTCGATGATATGTTTCCTCAGTGTGGCTGCATCTTCTAGAAGTTGTGTGAATGTGAATGATTCCCTCTTGGTTATGTCGATTACTGCGATTTTCTTCGGGTCATCTTTGGCGCTCTGTCGCGCCGCCAGGAAGAGTGGCAGGGAAGGGATGGGCATTGCGGGGCGAGCTAATCGGGCGTCAAGAGGTGCATAGGAGACGGGAGATGGAATCGGATCTGTGGAACGAATGCAAGCAACCCCGAGTTCAGAATAACAGCATGTGATAGCCCAGGAGCACCGACTATAACCACAAGTTGTCTTGGAAGGAAAGTTGCTGGGGGTGCAGGCGATCGGAGTCCGATGCATTTACCCGGCCGCGGGCGAGGGGCCGAGGTGGATCAGTTTTCGGCATCCAGTTTAGACACCGATCGGTCTGGCGTGGTACCGAAGAGAACATACCCTATTCTAAACAAGATTAGGTGGGATTGGTTGAATCCGTCATATTTCGCTGCGTTTGCTCCATTTTTAGGGCATCCAAAATTGTCGAAATTGCCGAAGTCGTCTATCTATCTGTAGCTTACATGAGGTATATACTCACGATATTCCGCATTCGGGCGGCCTTCACAATCCAGCGAAAAGTAGAGCGCCGTATCGAGCACAATCTCTTCCTGAGCTAGCCTACCTATTCCCGGGCCATGCCTCGTGGTATTGTTGACATTTACTTTCCCTAGTGCATTGTTTACATACTCCCTTCAAGTCTGGATCCGACACAATAGGATGGTAGACACGTGACCACAATAAACCCCGAATCTCCGATGACGGAAGCTTTGGAAGCTTGGAGCCTCTTTGACCCGACCTTGGGATCCCACCCTGCGAGCGACGATGCTGCTTCGAACAACACTGCGGTCCCGGGCGCTGCGGCCCGCTGGATTCCGCGCTGTGCGCTTCACTTCTTCTGCGCCGCTCATTCGCATTGAGGACGGAACGTTCTACAAACAATACCCGACCGGAGACGATGCCGCAACCAATCCGCCTCTATACCCGAACTTTAACTTCACTCTGGCCTCCAACAAATCGCTCGCATCGAAAAGGCAACCGTCGTTGCAGCATTGGGCTGTGATTGGGCCTTCAGGACGAACTGATCTGCTGGACATCTTGCGCGGCCAGCACATCTCCATACCGCCTACTGCCCGGTCATATCCCTACCTCCTCTCAGACGAGATCGCCGCCAAGGACCCACAGCTGCGCTTTGTCGGAAATGCCATTCAGTACATCGGATTTAGTGGTGAAGGCTCTGGTGCCATTGGGGGTACTCGTGGTGCATATCTGAGTGCTCGTTATGAGAGCCATCGCGAGGAGACCGATTGGACTGTGGAGCAGTTTTTGCGGGGCCAGACTTCGTTAAATCCAATGAAAGGAGAAGAGAAAGGCACATTGCATGATGAGCGGTTGCTCCAGGAAGTCATCATTGACCTCCACCTGGAGTCCTTGCTCGACATGCCAATTGCAAATCTCAGTAACGGTCAGACACGACGGGCGCGCATTGCGAAGGCGCTGCTGAAGAAGCCGGAATTGTTGCTGTTGGATGAGCCTTTTAGTATGCTGCACTGTATCCTGGTGTTATGATATTTGATTGAGACTAACCTCTCGTCTCAGTGGGACTGGACCCAGCCACGGTCCGAAGCATCTCGGGCCTACTCCATCGACTGGCGGAGAAAAGTTCCCCGCGGCTTGTGCTGGCGCTTCGTCCTCAGGATAAGGTACCTGAATGGATCTCTCATATAATTCTGGTGGGCAATGCCCACCAGGTACTCCAACAGGGGACAAAGGGGGACATCGATGCAACTCTTCGAGCTTGGCAGGAGATGCCTATGAAATTAAATCGAGCGCCAAAAAATCCCGAGAAACAGAAGATATGGAGCCAGTTTCACGCTCAGATCAAATCCGGGAATCTTGATGAGCAATTACTTCAAGACTTCACTTTGAACCGAACCAAAAAGTCCTCACGTCACGGTCCAGCACCGTTAGGTGGAGAGGTGCTGATTGAAATGGACGGTGTCTGCGTCCAGTACGGTGACAAGGCGGTACTGGGTGACTGGCAGCAGAAAGTGAATGGCGAGACCAAAGATGGCCTGCACTGGCGGGTTCGTCGAGGCCAACGCTGGGCAATTCTTGGTGCTAATGGGTCAGGTAAGACAACACTGCTGTCTCTGATCACATCCGACCATCCGCAAACATATGCACTGCCCATCAAACTGTTCGGTCGGTCTCGTCTTCCCGAGGCGGGTAAGCCTGGACTCTCCATCTTCGAATTACAGTCCCGCCTAGGACATTCATCACCTGAGATCCATGCCTTCTTCCCGCGTCAATTGACAGTACGGGAAGCTCTGGAATCGGCCTTTGCAGAGACTTTCCTGTCAAAACCAACGCTAGACCATGAGAGGGATCTCGATGTGAGCGCCGCCCTGCGAGCTTTCAAAGCTGAACTGGACCCAAATGCGTCGCATGAAGAGCCGCCAGAGGTCTCTACCAATACCAAAATGTTCCCCAAACTCGACGCACTAGATGGAGCGCGTAAGTCAGCGAAGTCCGCCAATAAGTATATGCCACTGGAACACGAAGTTGAATACGCCGACCACATCACGTTTGGTCAGCTAAGCACTGCACAGCAGCGAATCGTTTTGTTTCTGCGTGCGCTGATCCACAAACCGGACATTGTCATCCTCGACGAAGCATTTTCTGGCTTGACGGCTTCCCAGCGCGATAAGTGCCTGCAGTTCATTGAACATGGAGAGACCCCTAGGAATTCACCTATTCCTGGTGACATCCCGTTACGACACCGGGGGTTATCGGAGGACCAGGCGTTGGTTCTTATTAGTCATGTTAAAGAGGAGATCCCCGACAGTGTGCGGTATTACATGCGCCTGCCGTCTGACCTCGGCGATGGCGCTGAGCCTGTTGATTTCCGCGCTGGGATGCTCAAAGATTCTAGTGTTTTAAGTGACCCTGAAATCTGGGACCTTGTGTGGTCTCCCCCAAAGCGGTTCGTACAAGGAAGCCACATGGCCACCGTCGAACAGAAGTCAGAGCTGATGGACAACGTCGACGTCGAGAGATTCGGATATTATACCATATAGAGGCCTCGTTGATGTATATAATGTTTATATGGGTGGCAGAAAATATGATAGAATCTCAATGTAAGATAGAAAATTAATGAAATACTCAACATCTCTTATTCCGATCCCATACCTAAGCCCCTCTTATAATAACACAGGCTAGGTCCATCAAATAACACTGCTATTGCTAACTACTGCGTTATAATCACCGAATGCCGAGTGTGCCAGCGACCCGTTTGGCTACTCCGTCTTTGCTATTAAAGCACTTGAGGGATCCTCTCGTCATTGTCCGCCCTGGAGAAAAACTTCCACTCGGCCCTAAGGTTGAATTTCACGCTATCTCCAATTGAAAGTTGAATAACGGTGTTGGATACAGACAACCTTAAGTCTTGCTCATGTGTCCATTTGGAATCTTCAAGGAAAGTCTCCATTTAACACTACATGTATATACTTCCAACGTCGGGTATAAGGTAAGATGGTACCAGACATATGAGATAGTGTCTGAAGAAAGCAAGTAAATGTCCGTCCTGGAATTATACGTCGCGCCCACCGCTGCTTTAACCGCCTCAGTTCCTCCTCGCTAGGGCATCAATTCTCTTGAGTGCATCCTCACGCACGTCTCGAACTATATCTGACGCTCTTTCCATCCTTCTGACTATGCCCACACCCGTCCCAGCCCATATGCTGCCCATGTCTTGAATGTTCAAGGATTCACTGCCCGGGCCGTTCATTGCAGTTGATAACCAACTTCGAATTTTCTCCACATTCATGCCTGATGCATATTGGTCGTACACCTTATTCCTAAGACATCGCCCGTCATAGGTGGTGGGCCAGAAGTTGGGGCCCCATATCTCGTCAAAAACACGCGATCGGGCGGTAGCTTGGCCGCCGTCCGAAGCGTTGAGGATCGCATCCCGGTAGATCTGAGGGATGTGTGTTTCTGGAGCTGCAAGGAATCTCGTTCCCATTACCACGCCCGACGTGCCGAGTGCGAGCGCCGCAGCAGTTCCTCGGCCGTCAACAATCCCGCCGGCGGCGACGAGGGGAATATTGCTCATTCCGTGTTCCAGGAGCGTATCGGCAACTTCGGGGATGAGGCTCACAATGCTAGCCCCATTTTGATGCCCATGGCCGCCAGCATCACTACCTTGTAAGACTAAAGCATCGGGGTGGCACGCTTGCTCGACATCCAAAGCCGCCTTCACGCTGCCGAGTTGAACCCACACGCGTGTCTCCGGTGAAGCCTGCCGGATGGCTTCAGTCCATTTCCGCATTTCATCTGTCCCTGCAAACGAAAGCCAGACCACGGCTGGTTGATGCGTCTTGAACAGGCGCATCCACGCTTCCATCGGTGATCCGAAGACGATAACACCAACCCCGATTGGTAGCACCTGAGGATTAGGAAGAGTAGCCATGAGGTCCTGGAGGTTTTCCCGTGCGAATTGCAGTTCCTTCGATAGCTCGCGTATGTCATCCATGAATCCGATTTGGCCCAGCCCTCCGGCGAGAGTGACGGCTATGGCGAGCTCACTGGTGGCCGCGCCGCTCATGGGGGCGTTGGCGATGAGTGGCGAGTGTACCCATGGGAGGGAGTTCTTAAACACGTTGAGGAATGACATTGTTTGAAATTAACGTTGAGGTACCGTCCGCAGCATGGAACACAATACCCGATCGTCTTAATATTGTAAACGCACGGTTGTAGTTATTTCGAAGCATCACGTAAAGAATCCAACGGCCGAGTGGCCCACGGGGGGTTCTGATTGGCCGAACAGCCACACCATGCGCCATGGGTCGGCCTTCGATTCCACGGCTGGTACGCGGTTTCAAGAGAAGTACTGCATTAGTGAAACGAGATATAGCCTCGTCAGATCTGGGTGGACACATACACGCAGTAGTGCCATTGACTGTTCCAGCTTCCTAAAGCACACTACATGAATGGGGATTGGAAAGGGGGTCGGTTACGCCTCGCGCCCATCATGCTCCCGAAAGACTATAGATCGCAGTAGAAAGGTGACCATGTTGTTTGAACTAGCTATCCATTATATATCCGCTAGATCATAGGGGGCTGGGGTGCGGCCAATTGACCGGGCTGCACAGTACGCAACCCATCGTCGCCGTGGTCCTCCAGCCCACGAGCCACCAGGTCGGTGAAGTCGACGCCTACCTCGGTCAACAAGGCAGCGTGTTCATGCACGATGTCAAGGCATTTTTGCCAGACAGAAGTACCCCGCTGCACACTGCTGAGCTGGCGGCTAAGCAGCGCATTGTATCCATCGAGATGCGACTTGGCCCACCGGATGCAAGAACTGGTCATCACGCTTGGAAAGCACCGCTGGTAGATACTGATGGTGTTCTTGATGAGAGAGAAATAAACGAAGGAGATCTGGAAAATGTAGAGTGGGAGGTCACCCTCGAAGACACATGCCCTGTTCAAGCCACGTTAGCACAAAATAACGGACAGTGTACGGAGGACTGGGTGATTTTCAAGCCATACCGGATGCGTTGGGCAACTACATCGGACCGTGCTTTCAAGTAGGTTTCACGCGCCTGGTCCTCGAAGCCCAGACGGCTCAGCCAGCTGACGTTTGTTTTGGTCGCCCCCGGGAACGAGTGCGTATCCACCAACGATCGCGAGAGCATTCCAGCCAGCCTTGTGGCACGCCCATCAACCTTGACATTAATCACCTCCTGGGCAATTGCATTTCCTTTGAGCCCCTTCGCAAGCTTACGTAACCGCTCAATACTGGAGACTGCCGCCTCGAAGTGTTGCAGGGCAATATCAATGTCCAGCTCGTCAATCTGTCCTTCCACCCAGCGGAGGTTCTGCTGTTTGCCATCGACATCGATGCGCAAGTCAGATTTGTCCCGAGGGCCGTCTGCAAGATCGAATGGTTCTGACTTTTGGGAGTACGATAGGTGTCGCCCTGCTAGGTATCCATACGCCTCGAGGGGTTTGCTGGCGGCCTCAGTTTCGGTTCGCAGATTTCGCCGCAAATCCTCCACTGTCTTACGGAACGTTGCCAATAGTTCGTTCTTCGTTGAGGTATCACGTTTGTCTTGTCGATAAGTAAACGGCTTGGTTCCAACCCGGATACTGATCGCATTGCCAATGCCACGGTCCAATGCCTCTTCTCGGGCGGCGCCCGTTCCCAGGTTCGCGGCCAGGTCGATCATGTCAATATCCTGCAGTGGCCAGCACTCTTCCGCGACGAGTTTGGTGGGAACCGGGCCGCGTTGATTGGGCTGGCTCTGGTCAACCCGCTTGCGTTTCTTGGCGGCCACCAACAGGTGATCGTTCAACAACACAATATGCACGGGCCGTTTAGGCTTCCAGGTCGCTGAGTCCAGCTCAGCCCAGTTGCCCGTTTCCAACACAATATGTCGTCCGGGAACTGCGGGTAAGAACTTTTGGGATCCTTCAACGGTCTTCCACAGTGTCTGCAGTTGGACACTCCACATGCTTTCCAAGTTCGCAACGGAGCTGCGGTTCGCGTGGCGTTTGGGGAACTGATCATCTACCGGTGACATGGGGTTAGGCGTGTTACCCACCGTCGTTTGTCCGAGGGCCGTGGTGAGCTCCGACATGAGGGTGCGAAGGGTGCGCATCTCATCCTTGAGCTTCTCCGCCTCTTTACTGATCTTGATGAACTGGGTACGATTCTGGTATACATTCTGTTGCAGATCGGTCGAGGTTCGGTTTTTCACTTTGCGTAGGCTTGCCTGGTAACTTTGGATCTCTTCCTCGGACGCGTTGGCAAGAAGGTTGGCGACATCTGAGGAGGACACGCATTAGGATCGGGTTGTGGGTTGCACAGCAAAGAGTGGGTACATACATCGTTCGGCCGGCAGACTGGGATCTCGCAGGGCATTCAAATCCACCTTTGGCGCGGCGGATGCTCCATCTGCAGGCGATGGTTGTCTCGCAACTGCCGCCGGAGCTCCCAGCCCAGCGTATCCACCGGCGGCTTGCGGGGGAAGTGCTGGCACCGGCGGAGCGGTCGCATCAAAATCCGGGGCGGCATTGAACCGGGTCGAGTATCGGCGCTTCACGAGATCGGAGGTAGCATCGCTCTGAGGAGCTCGCTCGCGGCCAACGGGGATGGCACCCTGACCGGCATCGGGAGACCTAGTGTTGGGGGGCAGGGGACCAGAGATGGGCTTGGGGGCACTGATCTGAGGCCGTTGGCGGCGGGACTTGCTCCGCAGGGTCAAGCCTCGGCCTTCCATGATACAGCAAGGGCAGTTGGCGGGGTGGAAGGGGAGAATTGGAGGGCGATCGGCGAAAGGGAGGAGAACCACGTCGGGCATTGGGGAGGGCCCGAAGGGGAATAGCGCATGATGACCGCTCATTCGGAGTATACGAGACCCAAGTGCCGAGTAGCTACGAACTATGACTAGAACACGATCACCCAAACAATCCAGTAGATTTGATTGGACTCAATCGATATATATGTTTTATTTCAGTATGTCCTCATGACCAGCGAAATCGCTACTGCGTCCCATCCCCGGGTTTCTTCAGCCAGGGATATAGAGTAGTGTACGTCATTTCCCGAGTCTCCCTCCAGCACCAATTCCTCTTTGCAATTGTTCCAGGTCGAGTCTCTTCTTTGCAATCTATCTTCACCTTTTCTCTACGGTATATCATCTGTTTCCGGTCTTTTCTTCGTCCCTTTGCTGTCTCCCGCCTCTGCCTCTCTGACGTCGCTGGCCGTCGAAGCGGGAGAGAAAGCCCGACGGAAGAACGTAAATCCCCCATCAAATTTATCGTCCAAACACAGCCGAACAGCTCTCCGGCCTCTTCACGTCAATCCTCAATCTCCTTCCTCTCTTCCTATCGCTCCCTGGACTCGGAGCCCCATCGTCGCGTTCATTTCGTCCTTGATCCCACATTCTCGTTCATCATGCGGACATCGGTTCTCGTTGCCGCGTCGGCCGGCACGGTCATCACCGGTCTGCTCGGTAAGAACCCAACCCATCGGCCCTCCTTCGGCCAACGTCATCTATGAATCTTTTGACTGATGCTTCCCCCTTTCCCATTGGACTTGCAGCCTACGCCGTGTACTTCGACCACAAGAGGCAGACCGACCCCGATTTCCGCAAGTCCTTGAAGCGGAACAATCGTAAGCTCGCCAAGGCCGTCAAGGAAGAGGCGGCGGCCCAGGGTGCCGCCCAGCGCGACGCGATCAAGCAGGCGGTGCAGCGCGCAAAGGAAGAAGGATTCCCCACCGATCTGGAGGAGAAGGAGGCCTACTTCATGACTCAGGTGGCCAAGGGCGAGGGCCTGTGTGCTGAGGGTACGTGCCACGTCATGCCGGGTGGACTGAACATGGCTGAATGAATTGGCACGCTAACGGAATTTACCACAGGTTCTGACAACATCGAGGCCGCGCTTGCGTTCTACAAGGCCCTCAAGGTGTACCCGCAGCCCAAGGACCTGATCTCGATCTACGACAAGACCGTCCCCAAGGAATGCCTCGAGGTTCTGGCCGAGATGGTCGCCATGGACTCGGGCCTCAACCTGGGCTCGTTCACTGGCGAGGGTTCCGCTGCCGGGGCGGGTCCCGACAGCCACGGTGTCGAGTAAACCAACCTCCGCGGGGTTTTTGCTAGATGGCTACCTGTCTGGATGTCATAGATGTCCAGATATCTGGATATCTCTACCCGACGGGCTCTTGGACTTTTCCCGAGCCTGCGCCTGTAATTTTCATTGTCCTCCCTCCCTTCTCCTCCTCCACCATTCTGCGGCCTTCTTGATGAGCCACCGGACCCCCCGCCCCCACTCCACTTTCTTCCCCCTTTTCCCTTTTATCTTTTTCTCCTTTGAATTTGCCTGTCTGTGTACTGTGTATATCTATTGGGTTTTGGCCGGGGCCGGCGTGGCACACAGCGGCCTGGGTATTTCTGGGCGCCATGGCTTTCAGCGCAACACTTGGCCCCCTATGTCGTCTTTTTTGCATTTTGACCATTTCCCCCATGGGCATGAAGGGGAGGGAAAGGGGGAGTGTGGATATACTGTATTTTAGAGCGAATGCAAGGCGATTCTGCAACCTACCACCTCCCAGTCCCAGGTCGTTGGGCTCGGCGTCCGGCGCATCTGCACCACATCGAAATATCTTGGTTTCCCCTTTTTAGCCGCTCAAAATGCAGGGTATCCGCTGTCGCAATCACATCTCGATGCAGCGATGATGAACTGACCATGCAGCCCGGCCACTCTGACTCGATCACTGCATGTGGTGGGCTCACACGCTATGGGATCGATATCGCGTCCATGTTGGGGTTATCGATGGAGATGATTTCGTTTACCCGTGGAATGTCCCCATCCCACACTTCACCTAGAAGCCTGTGAAATACTGTATGCTCGACCAGGAAGCCATGTGTTGTGCTCCGAATAGCTCACCCTCGGTGCCAAGGGTCTACCTCATGCCGGCCTTAGGACTCGCCAAGTTAGCCACCAGCTTATCCAGGTTCCGGCGGGCGAGGTGAAAGTACCGAGAGGGGTGGATTTGGTCAGCGTTGCCGATTTCTCTCACGGCGGGATTCTAGATTTATTCGTCCACCTCCAGGAACGAGCGTGGATCTCCTTGGCTTGCACGGCGGAGAATGCAATTGTCAACGGTTCCTGAAAAGACCGCCGTTTACCGCATGAACCATGCCCAATCGTCGGTTGTGGCCAATCAATCCAGTCAATTCGATTCTCGAGATTTCACTTTTGCGACTGTGGACGTGGCTCTCCCTGGTAAAGCACGCATGAAAATGGATCAAGGGCTGGCCAAGAGACCGGTGCCAAACGTGTGGATCAATGGTTTGGGTCGGTGACTTTGATTCGGCAAATGTTAATACTGTCTCACCGTGCAGCTTCCCTGAACGTTCGGGCGTGCCGTCAATCCTATGATGCGCTAGTATGGGCAATCCCCACGAGCCGGAGCATGTTCCACGAACCTTTCATGTCCTCCGCAGGACGATAGTGGGAGGTGTACGGGCTGAACAACGGACCCTCTCTCCATGCTCGACTTCCATGACCATCATGGCGAGCGATGCGACATGGATGTGCTCAATGCAGGCGAGCAGAGGGGGAGAACTGCCGTGAGCCTGGCCAACGATGGCAAAGGATGGAAAAGGGGTTCGCATCCCACGACCATTGGGGAGAGGATTTCTGGCCTGCCTTGGCAGTGTCTCTGGGCACGGAAGGCGACAAGAATAACATCTGCCAAGCAACCAATGACGCGAGTCGCACCAGGTTGGCCAAGTAGTAGTGTAGTAGTGTAGTAGTGTAATAGTGTCTAGGCGAGGAGTTGTCTTCTCCGGGGGGCCTTTCTGTCTGGAACAGGCACGGAGTACTCCCAACTTCTGGAGACACAACTTCTATAGAGACGGAGGACGGAGCAGATGTCCCCGGCTGCATCCTTAGATAAGCAGGATGGTCCCCGGCTGGAATGAGATTTGATCTACTCCGTACTCACAAAGGATGCAATGGGCTCCACAGACTTGACACCGAGCGCGCTGGTTCCCGAGATGGTAGGGAGCGGGAATCGTGCTAGGGACGGTGAGTACCGGACGGAGCGGGAAATCGTGCATCGTCCACCTTCCCTCGGCTTTCGTGAGAATCCAGCACTGGCTTCACCCAAGGAACTTGGACGGACTTGGCGGGGATTGGGGGACGCTTGGAGGGACTGAGAGGGACTGAGAGGGACTTGAACCCCTAAAGCGCCTTCTCAGTGGGCTCTGGCGACCCTGCGGGCTCCACTTAGTCTCGCGCTGGAGCGTGTTGTACGGAGTCCCCCCGCTGATCCTGGGCCATTCGTTTCAATTTAAAACGCCTCCTTTTCCTGGCCCACCTAGCGCTTCTTTCGCATTTCGCTCGCCTTTCGCCTTTCGCCTTTCGCTGCCTTCTTTCCTTTGGTGACTTCACGCCTGCCACTCGTTCTTTCCGCGCGCTGCGCTGTCGCTCGTTCGAACCATACCTCCTCTTCCAATCGCTTTCTTCGGCTACTTCTCCTTCTCCCATCGAACTCGTTGATATCGCATAGTGAACCTTCACGATGATCGCGGTACGTCATGTCTCGCGATCGCGATGTGCAATGCTGGACGTGCAACATGTACACATCCACTGACCACCACCGATATAGTCCTACAGCCGTCTCCTCACGGCCATCTGCGCCCTGGCTAGCTCCGCTGCGGCCGTGACTCCCCTCAAGGTCCAAGGCAAGGACTTTGTGAACACCAAGACCGGTGCCCGGTTCCAGATCCTCGGTGTTGAGTAAGATCACCCCGCAACCCGCATCGCACATCCTGCATCGCACATCCCACATCGCACATCCCGGAGGCGCCCACGTCCCTCCTCTCTTTCCGAGCATGTGCAAGGCTAACTGGTGCAACAGCTACCAACCAGGCGGTTCCTCCGGTTTCAGCAAGACCCAGGATCCTCTCAGTGACGGCGATATCTGCCTGCGTGATGCGGCCCTGATGCAGCGCCTCGGTGTAAGTGTTGAACCTCTTCTCCCTACCACAACGCCATGTCCAGAACAGCGGACCTCATACGGAATATTAGATCAATACCATCCGGGTCTACAATCTGGAGCCCACCCTCGACCACAACATGTGTGTGTCGATCTTCAATGCCGCCGGCATCTACTTGATCCTCGACGTCAACTCCCCACTCACCAATGGCTACCTGGACCGCACCGCGCCCTGGACCACCTACACCAATGCCTATTACAATCAGGTGTTCGGTGTCATTGAGGCCTTCAAGTCCTTCGACAACGTGCTGGGTTTCTTTGCCGGAAACGAAGTCATCAATGAGGAAGCGACTCGCCTGGCTCCTGCCTATGTGCGTGCTGTCATCCGTGATATGAAGGATTACATCGCCAAGCAGTCGGACCGCGCGATTCCCGTTGGTTACTCGGCCGCCGATATCCGCGACATCCTGATGGACACCGCGCACTACTTTGAGTGCGAGCTGGCGAACTCCACCAGCTCCCGCGCCGACTTCTTCGGTCTGAACTCCTACTCGTGGTGCGGCGATGCCACCTACACCTCCAGCGGCTACGACGTCCTGACTGAGGACTTCTCCAACGCCACCATCCCCGTGTTCTTTTCCGAGTATGGCTGCAACGATGTCAAGCCCCGTGTCTTCACCGAAGTCCAGGCTCTGTACGGCGTGGAGATGACCCAGGCCTTCTCTGGTGGTCTGGTCTACGAGTGGACTCAGGAAGCCAACGAGTACGGGTTGGTGCAAGCCAACGACAACGGTACCATTACCACCCTGATCGATTACGACAACCTGCAGAAGCAGTTCAACAAGCTGGATATGAGCCGTATCTCGTCCAGCAACAGCTCCCAGACCAGTGTCACCCCGGAGACCTGCAGCGCCTCGCTGATCAACAACTCCACTTTCTACAACGCCTGGAACCTGCCCGATGCCCCCTCCAAGGTATCGGACTATATCAAGAACGGTCTGCCCAACAAGCCCACTGGCTCGCTGGTCTCGGTGACTGCCACCACTCTCTCCGAGAAGGTATACGACTACACTGGCAAGGAACTCACCGATATTGAGTTCAAGGTCCTGGCCAATGACGAGTCCAACACTCCCTCCTCGTCTAACTCTTCGTCTTCCTCGTCTACTTCGTCTTCCTCCTCGAGCACCGCTACCCACAGCAACGCTGCTTCCTCCCTGAACGGCGCCCCGGCCATGGCCCTGGGTGGTTTGAGCGGTTTCTTCATGCTGCTTGCTTCGCTGCTGTAACTTCGGTCTTGGTTTTGTCTCCCCCCTGTTCGGTCAAGCATGAGAGGAATTACGGTCGGGCTGTTTGAAGTGCCCTATCCTCGGTTGTCTGCATATTCATCAATTCTCCTTGTGCTTGGCCTGTCTTGTGATTTTTCTTGCTTCTCATGTACATGCTTCGTTGGACAAACCAATGACGTCTCATTATTCTTGACAGTTGCCCATGACTAGTCAATGCTATCTCCTTTCATGGTGACCATTCTGTATTTATTAGCGCCAAAAGAATAAACGACCTACCAGCGACGAACCCCTGTCCGTGCATCAAACCGAAACGCCGATTCCGCGCGCACCAAATCTACGTTCGGAAATAAAATTAAAATGATCAAAGACAAGAAAAATCCATATCTAACTCGAATCAATGTAAGTAACCGAGCTGTAACTGAAATGACAAGGTACAAATGCAATTACAACAAAGTGAACGCCCATCCACCAATATTAAGCCTGTCAAAATCGATCAAGGAAGAGGAAGAGGGTGGTAGGCCTAAATAAAAGGAGAAAACAAACACATTTCCAAACCAACTCTACAACTGAAATCCAACCTCCGTCTCTATCACGCCCTCCCCTTTCCCTTTCCCCTGACAGAAGACTGGGAAGACGATAGCGGTCCCGAAGCCAGAGCGGGGAATTCTTCCCATTCTTCGCTGGGCACACCACTGCTCTTATCCTCCGCCAAACTGAGCTGGATGGCGAACTCCAGGTCATCCATCTCCTGTTTTTGGCTGCTCTCGGCATCTCCATTGCCCGGTGATGAATGACGAGGTCTTCGCACCCCCTTTGGCGTACTTGATGGGGATGGACGGAGTCTGGTCCACAGGTGGGGCTGCCGCCTTCTCATCAAGTAGACTGAGGCGAATTGCCTCAGCGAGGTCGTCGTCTACGTTTTCATCCACCGGATCCTGGTAAGGAGAAGAGGAGGACGACACTTCCCCTAAGCCAACGGAACTTGCTCCAATAGCATCGCTCATGGAGGTGCTGGTGGCTGAGCTTGCAATAGCTGTCTGTTCACGATCATCACGCTTGCCCGCAAACCCACCGGCAGTATAGGCTTCTTCACTCAGGAGCTGCGCATACGCCAGAAGCTGCTCTTCATCAACATCAGGGCCCAGAAGATCCACACCAAATCGTACGCTCAGGTGCGCCCTCTCTTTTGCATTTGCAATCTGCTGCCGCTCGAGTTCAACGCGTTCATCCTCAATGAAGTCACGAATGGCACTGCGTCCACTGGTAGTGAATCGTTGACCATCAGCGGTGCCGTTGCTGCCCCGTAAGGAACGGCGAAGTCGACGTTTGCTACATTTATACTGATCAGCTGCTGAAGAACTGTATGACCAGTAGCGGAGATGGGTGCCAAGCGACACCATTCCACGAAGAACCGTTGGATCCGGGTCCAGGCAGATGGCCCCCGTCGCGAAGTAGTTACTTCCAACGCCAAGCATGGAGGCTTCTGCTTGCACCAACCGCCGTCGAGCACGAGACGAAAAGCGGGAGTTGATCGTTCGGATTGGCCGGGTGGAGGAAGCCAGGGGATCCCAAGCTTGCACCAGGCCATCGTTACCGCCATGCACCAGGTACAAGGATGTCAACGCCACGCATGATATCTGAGGTGACTCGGTTTGGATCGTTCGCAGCGGACCAATCGAATTAATGACATCGCTGCTCTGGGCTGCAGAAGCACGAATGTCCCAGACATAGACCCCACCAGTTGTGGTTCCCACGGCCAGATATCGTGCACGCTGGCCGGGTACCTCAAGACTCGAACGCGGCTGTTCCATATGCGGCAGTATCGGCGAGGATGTGGCAGAGGAGAAAGAACTTCCGGACATGGCCAATAGCGGGTCTTCTTCCGCTGTGAGAGTGGCAAATGTAGAATTATCCAACGCAGTAGCGGTCACTTCCACCGACTTCCGGTCGCCGAATGTGAAATTTGAGATTCGCCAGTCGGTGTTGGCCGTACGGGTGGGCTCACTGAGCCGAACCGATGATCGAGATGGCGAAGGACTTTCACTAGGTGTCGGGCTTGAGAAATTGACAGGGCCGCCAAAGAGGGACGTGAGCAGCTGGCCCCGAGGGCGAGCCGAGCCGCCGGGTGTCGATGACGGCGACCTAGCATCGGACTTGGATGTAGTGCGCATATATCGTCGGATAAAAGCATTCTCGGTTTCACCTTCTCCATGGGAAATCACTATCACTGATTCGCCAGATCCACATCCATCATCACCTGCAAAGTCGACCTTGAGATCGCAGCGCATGTTCCAGCCTTCGCAGAGTTTGCGGAAATGTTTCGGCTTGAACGATAAAAACTTCTCAATCTCTTTTGTCTCTGCAGCAATCTGACTTTCTTCAAGGAGCATCGAATCAGACGAGGACCGCGGGCTATAGCTACCATCGACTGGTTCTCGATTGAAGGGGTCCGCACGTGCCGTGCGCCGGCTCATTTCAATAAGCTCCCAGCGAACAGTTCTGCCAGTCTTCCATGCAAGTTCATCGAGTTGCTCTGCGTTGAGCTTAGCTGTAGATGACACCTCTGGCTGTTGTGGAAGGTCTGTGAGGAAGAATATTTCTCCCAAGGCATTGAGAGCAACAGCCCAGGTGCGTCGCTGGGTATGGCGCTTAGTCGAGTAGCTATCATCAACGGCGATGCCGATGATAGGAACGCCAGGGCTGAGAACCCACTTGGCAGTCACCTGGCCACGCTCATACCGCTTCTCGTATGCCGGGTGGGGACCCATGGCGTACGCAGTGAGAATACCGGAAGACGAACCAGACATCATAGCAATGAGGCCGCCAGTCATCCTAAGGATTGAGGATGACTTGGCAATCCAGACTGAACAGACAGCGTGTGTGATCATGTTCATGGCAGGAATTCCCAGCTTGGGTTGAGAGCCCAAATCCGAGGGAACGAGGAAACGGCCACGCTGCTCCGTGGTTGAGATAAAGTAACTCCGACCTTGAGGACACCCCTCCCCGTAGATCATGCCGTACGGCTGGCTAACGTCCATAGAATTGGGAACACCAATCATTTCACCGGCTCCAAGTCCGTATGGTGCATCACCTGGGAAGCTGTCCGCAAAGTGACGAAATATTTGATGATCAGAAAGCCCCCAGGTGCTCACCTTCACGGTCGACGGATCACTAGCAGACGCTATCCCTTGTTCGGAAGCGCCATGAATAAAGGTCGGCTCCTTTTCCGGGCTGCTGAACGACCCATGGATATGGCTCACTGGAAACAGCAGCTGCGACGTGTAGGTTGCTACAGCACTGCCGTTGCGAGCATTCGCCGACCGTACAGTGCCTTGCTTCTTGGAAGGTTGGAACTGAGCTGGTTTGCCTCGAGACAACGAGCGCATCAAACGGGTGCGAAGGATGTACTCGCTGCGCCACGATGCCAGCGCAGTCAGTCTTGCAAAAAACCGTCTATCCGACATCAAGTCCTCTGGATCGGTTGGGGCGCGTCGCCCACTCTCCGCAACCTGGGGGCCCGGGAAGAACCGCGAGAAGGCAATTCTCCAGGCATGAGGAGTCGTAACCAGCGCATGAAAGCGGCGGGAAACTAACGTAATAGCAGAGAGAGACTGGGGCGGCAAATGCGACAGTATATGGGTGAGAACCTCTGTGTAGAGGTAGCGCTGTTAGTTCAGGGTGCAGTTTGGGTGAGGGGCCCTGCGACTCGGACATACCATTCGGAAGCGTCTCTAAAGGCAGGTGAGGATGACCCGAGGATGCCACGACTTGAAAGCCTGGTTCGGCTCCTTTGTTGCTCGAAGTGCCAGCATTCTCGTACTGGATCACTCGTTGGGCAGGGGAGGAAGGCGGGGTCGAGGCAGTGTCGCTCAGCGGCGCGCGGCGGGTTTCCCGCGTGGCCGAGGAGTCCAGGGCTGAACAGTCTCCGGTCTCCTCTCGAGTGAGGAGGCCAGAGGCTGCAGCATCATCGAAGTCATGTCCATGTTGGATGGGGCGGGGGCTGGCCTGGGATGAGTCAATGGAAGGTGTATGTTGAGATACGGCAGAAGGCTCTGATTGCATAAAAAGGTCTTTGGGAGTAAACTGAGGTGCGAAAGCGACTGAGCCAGCAAAAAAACCTGGATCAGCCGAGACTAGTGACAGGCAAATCAAAAAGGATGAGAGCGTTCAAGAAGAGATGTGATGAGGAGGGAAAGAGGAGGGGCGGCGCGCTGCAGCAGAGAAAAGCGGAGAGGCGGAAGGCGACGCAGAGTGGCCACCCGGCAGATATGCCGCTGCCCAATCACATGGGAATATGCACCATTGTGCCCTTGGTTTTGTACAATATAGACATTTCTCAAGGCTTAATACTAAGGCATGGGATTGTAATTTAGCTTACAATGAGAATCATCAGGATAATTTCTAGCCTCACTTGTACCCAGTAACCGCTACATTTGTTTTTGTAGCAATCCGAGCAACTGTCTCCGTACGGAGCTATCAATTGTCCTTCGACGACCAAAACCATTATCACGACCAGCAGTATACACCTTGTCGACAAGCAATGCTCTTTAATGCCCCTAGTACGTAGGAGTAGTAGAAGAGTAACACGCTGGTTGGTGCCTGCCTCTACGGAGGACCATTTGTACACTTTCGGGGGGCGGAAGCTCGCACACCGCCTTCTTCTTGCACGCGTCCAGTTTCACGTGATAACGCGAGGCCCGTGTCGCGCGTCCACTTAACGGCTTTTGCGCAGAGAAGTTGCGGTTGACGCTGGACGCCTGGGTTAATTCTTGGGCTTCCGATGGGCTCTCCGTGAACAGTCTCTTCGGGCTCCTGTCCACTTCGGAGACTAACCAGCACCGGCTGACACTTGGTCGAATCAAGCATCATGTCTGGTGTCAATGGTGAGCAGCCCCTCCTCCCCTACATCATATTTTCGTCTTTCCCTATAACTCATGTAACAATAATAACTGATTCGCTTTCAGAGGCGGAAACGATCCGCATCCTCGTCTCAACCGACAACCATGTCGGCTACAATGAGCGGGATCCCATCCGCGGCGATGACAGCTGGAAGAGCTTCCACGAGGTCATGTGCCTTGCCAAAGAACACGATGTCGACATGGTCCTCCTGGCGGGAGATTTGTTTCATGAGAATAAGCCGTCCCGCAAATCCATGTACCAGGTGATGCGCTCGATCCGAATGAACTGTTTCGGCGACAAGCCCTGTGAGCTGGAGATGCTCAGCGATGCCAGCGAGACCTTCCAAGGCGCATTCAACCACGTCAACTACGAGGATCTCGACATGAATATTGCCATCCCGATATTTTCAATTCATGGAAACCATGATGACCCCTCTGGTGAGGGTCACCTTGCCGCACTAGACCTCTTGCAAGTCTCAGGCTTGCTCAACTACTACGGGCGGACCCCGGAGTCGGATAACATCGAGATCAAGCCCGTCTTGCTCCAGAAGGGGCGCACCAAATTGGCACTCTATGGGATGAGCAATGTGCGTGATGAACGCTTGTTTCGCACCTTTCGGGACGGAAAGGTCAAATTCTTCCAGCCATCGGTGCAAAAGAACGACTGGTTCAATTTGATGTCGGTGCACCAGAATCACCACGCATACACCGAGACTGGTTACTTGCCTGAGAACTTCCTACCCGAGTTCATGGATTTGGTCGTCTGGGGCCACGAGCACGAGTGCTTGATTAACCCCAAGCTCAACCCAGAAACCAAATTTCATGTCATGCAGCCAGGATCATCGGTCGCGACGTCCCTGGTCCCTGGTGAGGCTGTGCCAAAACATGTTGCCATTGTGAGCATCACCGGGCGAGACTTCAAGTCCGAGCCAATCCGGTTGAAATCGGTGCGGCCTTTCGTTATGCGAGAAATCGTTTTGTCGGAAGAGAAGGCCGCGCAAAAATTCGCTCGCAAAGAGAGCAATCGCACAGATGTGACCCGATTCCTCATGTCAATTGTGGAGGAATTAATTGAAGAAGCCAATGCAGAATGGCGTGAAATCCGCGGCGTCTCTAATGATGAGGATGAAGATGAAGAGCCTCGCGAGTCGCCTCTCCCCCTGGTACGACTTCGTGTCGAAATCTCCACTCCTGAAGGTGGAAGCTATGAATGCGAGAATCCGCAGCGGTTCTCAAATCGTTTTGTGGGCAAGGTCGCAAATGTGAACGATGTGGTACAGTTTTATCGAAAGAAGAAGAACACTTCTTCCTCTCGGAAGACTGATGCTACTCTCGATGAAGGTTCAGCTTCGCACCTATCAACATTGGATACAGTGAAGGTAGAGCAGCTAGTACGGGAGTACCTCGCATCGCAATCTCTTAGCATCCTGCCTCAAAACTCCTTCGGTGATGCCGTTGCTCAATTCATTGACAAAGATGATAAGCATGCCATGGAAATGTTCGTCAATGACTCTTTGGAGGGCCAGGTCAAACATCTCATGACGTTGGACCGTGATGAAGATGACGTGGATGACGAAGAAAGGGCTCAGAGTTCTCTAGTTACCGCTATGGAAAAGTACCGCACGCAAATGGAAGACATGTTCAACAAGGGAGTCAAGAAGCGCACTCGTGGCAAGAAAAGATTCAAGCCAAAGCCAGACGGCTGGGACACCGAATTCGATGGCGAGTGGGAGGATCAGCCCGGTGCTCTCATCCATTCGGACAACGAGGGCGGAGATCCAGTCGAGGAAGAGACTGGAGAAGATGGTCCTGCTCCCGCACGCCCTCGTGCTGCCACCATGGCTCCCACTCGAGGCCGAGGCCGAGGCCGTGGAGGTCGGGGAGCCGCTGCCAGTTCCCGCGCGGCAGCCACAAAAGCCGCAGCTCCAGCAGCTAAAGGACGCAAAAAGAAAGTTATTTCAGACGATGAATCGGACGATGTCATCATGCTGGATGATGACGACGATGACAATGCGGCGGCTGCCAGCATCATTTCTGAGGACGATGATGACTCGCAGGCTCTATTCGTTAAGCAACCTCGTGCTCCAACTGCCTCAAGAGGACGCAAGTCTACGTCCACGACTACGTCGACTCGAGGCCATAGTGGTCGTACGGCGGCTTCACCAGCCCCATCCTCGGCCACTGTTGGCGGTACTGCTACCCGCCGAACCGCTGCTCGAGCCGCCAAACCAACTCAGACAACCCTAGACTTCGCTGCCTCCCAAGCCAGTACAACGCGTTCATCGCGATCCACTCGCATGACTCGCAACGTCAGCGTCATCAGCGACGATATAGATGACGATGACGATGACGATGCCTTTGAGCCAATGACTACTTCCACATCGAGACGGCGGCGGTGATCTTCCATTCCGGATATGATTCTTTTGAGATGCATTCATGGGGTCGGTGGCGCATAGATTTTTAAATGGAAGAGCGCCACAATGATTTGCTTTCTGCTATGAACCTCTTCACGAATTCATATGATCGCAATAATTCGTTCTGAACAAGATATCTATAGGTACATTACTAGAAGCGCAAATTCTAAGCTCTCTCAGAGTGCCTTGGAAGTTGTGCGGGCAGGGTAGGCAACTCAACCGGCCCTTGGTTACGGGCCAGAAAGCTCCTTGCTTGTTGATACCGATTCTTAGTCAATATTTGAGCATGAGCTGGATCGCTGTTGCTCCCTGCTAGCTTCTTGTGAGGATAGAGGCAACAAGCATGGTGCCAGTCCCACATCCAACCCCGATCCCAACCTTTGCTCCGATGGACAAAACTAAGTGCCAAACAGTATTCCACAACAATGTTCAGGTTATTTTCGAGAATACGTACATCTATTTGGATTCTCAGCGATCCAATCCATGGGGTCTGAGTGAATTCAACAACTTTATAGAATGCCGCCTACATTTATCAGATGGTGGTTGATGGTGACTACAACCCCGCAGTTTCGCGGGCCGAGCTGCCTCGGCCTCCCCAGCTTTTCCAAACTGTAGTCTCCACCCTCCGCATCCACACCGACTGGAATGTACTTTGGCCATTCCAACGCCTGATCCAAAGCTGACCCATCGCACCATCATGGCGTTCACAGGCCGACCCATTCGTATTGCAGGTAAGTCGAATTGAACACATTTCACAAGTAACCCAGTGCTAACTTCCGTAGGCGCATCGGGCTCTGCTTCAGACCGCCGCCATGCCATTGCGGACTTTGCGCGCCATTATCCAACTGACCCTGTCGATGTTATCATCGCCGATTTCATGAGCGAGTTTAACATGGCCACCGCTGCTGGTCGGCGGGTGGACCAGGGAATGACCACCGATACTGCTGCCACACCGCCAGCCTATGACCTGTCGTTTTTGGAGGCATTGGAGCCGGCTTTGGCAGACTTGGCCAAGCATCAGATTAAATTGGCCGTCAATGCTGGCGTCACAGATACCAAGGGTCTGTATGAGGTGGTAATGAAAATGGTACAAGCCAAAGGGTTGGATTTGAAGGTCCGTACCTCCCTCCCTTCCCCCTTGTTATGCACACGATGGGGGGCTAACAGTTTCCGCGCAGGTTGCCTGGGTATCTGGAGATGAAGTCCTGCCAGCCATCCAAGAGTCACTCGCGGCTGGGCAGTCTGACTTCCGAAACATTTACACCGGCGAGAAACTAGCGGACTGGTCCTTTGAGCCGATCTACGCCCAGTGTTATCTGGGTGGGCTTGGAATTGCAGCCGCCCTCGCCGAGGGTGCGGATATCGTACTATGCGGTCGCGTGTCAGACGCATCGCCCGTCATTGGTGCCACCTACTGGTATCACGACTGGAAACGTCATGAACTGGATAAGCTGGCCAATGCCTTCGTTGCGGGCCACTTGATCGAGTGCAGTAACTATGTCTGCGGTGGGAATTTCACTGGTTTCAAGACCCTAGAGCACGGCGGTGATGGCTGGAGCAATATTGGATATCCAATCGCGGAGATCTCTGCTGAGGGCGACGTGGTCATCACCAAACAGGCACATACCACTGGTGGCGCGGTCACGGTCGATACGTGCACCTCCCAGTTGCTCTACGAGATCCAGGGACCTTGGTACTACAACTCCGATGTCACCGCGGTCCTGGATGGCATCCACTTCGAGCAACGGGGCGTCAACCGAGTTGCGGTCCACGGAGTCCGATCGGGACCTCCGCCACCCACCACCAAAGTTGGCATCACCGCTCGTGGGGGGTTCCAGGCCGAGATATGGTGGTTCTTGACGGGGCTGGATATCGAGGCCAAGGCGCGCATGTTGGAAACGCAGATCCGTCGGCTGCTCGCGCCGTTCTCCGACCGGTTTACATCCCTCAAGTTTGACCTACTCGGGTCCGCAGTACCCGATGCGCCTGATCAGAACCGGGCCACTGCGCCTTTCCGAATTGTGGTGCAAGCGAGGCATGCAGAGGATCTTGCGCCCCCATGTTTCCTCAAGCCCATCACCGGCAACATCATGCAGGGCTACCCTGGTGCGACTTTCCACCTGGACTTGCGCCAGGGATTCCCTCACGCCATTTTCGAGTATTATGTGACTTTACTGCCTCAAAGTGCCGTTCAACACCGGGTCCATCTTCCCTGGAAGCCCACGGCCACCACACAAGTCGTTGATATTGCCCCTCCATCAGCGACCCAAACATACCCCTCCCAACAACCGTCGCAGGCTGTCACTCAGACCGATCAACCCGTGGATCTCAAGTGTGGCTTTGGGCCGACCATTCGTGGCCCGCTCGGATGGATTGTGCATGCACGCTCTGGGGATAAAGGGTCGGACGCGAATTGCGGCTTCTGGGTCCGGCACCGCGACGAGTATCTGTGGCTGCGGTCGTTGCTGTCGGTCCACACGGCGCGCCAGCTGTTGGGGGGCATTGACCACACCCTGCCCCCCATGGCGATTGATCGGTTTGAGCTACCGGGTCTGCAGGCGATCCACTTTTTATTCAAGAACCACCTCGACCGCGGGGTGGGAGTCACGACGACGGTGGACTTTTTGGGGAAGAATGTGGCGGAATACCTGCGGAGCCGGCATGTCGATCTGCCTGTACGGTTCTTGAACCGGGGAAAGCTGTAGTCGAGAAGTCGTATCGGAGTAGCTTAGTAGAGGATGTAAAAGACCTACTGGCTTTTAAACCGGTTTGATATTCCGCGTGTTTCGGCCCTAGTTACTTGTCCAGATCTATTGATATTTTGTATTTCTTAGGTTTATTATTTCCGCGATAGCCTGTTCTCGATAGGATGTCGATTCTGGACCTCCAAAGGCCCCTCCCGCATTTCCCTGCAGACATCATGCACCTAGCGTAGTTTAGTAATCTAGTGTATCTAACTTAGTGTAACCTGCTCCGCCGCCTGCTCGCAGGGGCTGGGCGCCTCCCGCCTCCGCATCCGTTTGTGCGCTTCGCACCGGACGACCATTGCGCCACGATTTGCGAGATACCTAATTCTTGGGATGGTTACAAGTTACGTTCCTGATGAGGATTATTCATCGTATCGGACTGGTCCGGAATCAACCGACCCCTCATCATAGCTTGGTCATCGTCTTGTTCCGCTTGCCCCAATTGCCCCAACAGCCAATACACTAAGGGGTCAGGTGACCCGCATGGTCAACCAGTCACGGCGAGAGATCTGTCTAGTGCAACTAGTTCAGGCTAGTTGACCTGCTTGAACTGGTTCCGGTGTAACTAGAGTGCAGCCCGTTTGGAGTACTCCCCCAACAGGCCGTTAGGCTGTTACAGGGTCAAAAGCTGCTGGTGTAACCGCTAAGGGCAAGGACTCTGGAGGTGTGATGGTGATTTTGAGTTTGCGTCCAGGTATACTCCTGCCTCTGTGGCTCTCCTCGGCAGGGCAATTGGATTTGCATAGCAACCCGCCCCACCGCGAGTAGCCGGGGGGACATTCGTCCGTTCGGCGAGTTCATATCTCACTTCGGTCCACTGGCCCCGTCATCCAGTTCCTCCACGCCCAGTCCCCTTGGGAGTTTCTTTTTGACTTGGGCTTGCCCTGGCCACAAGGTTCATGGAGTTGACCAGTTTTGCCGGGATGCAGCATAACCGACGCCTGCCGGGGGAGGGGCATCCCTCGGCATTACCCCCCGTCAAGATGAATAGAGTCCCACCTCCGACTCCCCTCGGTCCAACTGAAAGCGAATCCAGAACCTGAAGCTGGGCCCAACTCACATTGGCAGGACGGAGCTCCTGCACGGTACGCGGACCCGCCGTGCGGACCCGCATATACACGGTACGCCCAATACGCATGATACGTACCTGCACAGGCGTAATATACGTTATATCATCCATGTCATACGGAGTGGCGTTGCAAAACCCCGCAATGCCCCGCTGCCCTTTGGTCCGTCAGTCCTTCACCTTTCCCTGGGAAGCTGCTCGTATATAAGCCCCGCACGACCTTCCACAGCCACGTCCGTCTTTCTTTCCTGCATCGTCTCTTACCCTCTTTCCTTCCAAACGCTCTCCATTCGCAATCATGGCTCTCTCCGCCACCATCAAGACCCCCAACCTCACCTATGAGCAGCCTCTGGGCCTGTACGTAGCACCTATCCCTCCCTCCCCAAATGCCCCAATGCCCCCTACGATCCTACCCCCGGTCGCCTGGTGACTAACCTCCTCATTTGCTGCCTAGGTTCATCAACAACGAGTTTATCAAGAGTGTCGAGGGCAAGACCTTCGAAACCATCAACCCCACCGACGAGAAGCCCATCACCGCCGTCTTCGAGGCCACGGAGCAGGATGTCGATATCGCCGTCAAGGCCGCCCGTGCGGCCTTCGAGGGTGCCTGGCACACCGTGACCCCTTCGGACCGTGGCCGCATGCTCACCAAGCTGGCCGATCTGTTCGAGCGCGACATGGAAACCCTCGCCGCCATTGAGGCCCTCGATAACGGCAAGGCCGTCACCATGGCCAAGATCGACATCGCCAATGCCGCCGGCTGCCTGCGCTACTACGGTGGCTGGGCCGACAAGATCACCGGTCAGACCATTGATACCAACTCCGAGACCCTCTCCTACACCCGCCACGAGCCCGTCGGTGTCTGTGGCCAGATTATCCCCTGGAACTTCCCCATCCTGATGTGGGCCTGGAAGATTGGCCCCGCTATCGCCGCCGGTAACACGGTTCTCATCAAGACGGCCGAGCAGACCCCACTGTCCGGTCTGTACGCCTGCAAGCTGATCGTCGAGGCCGGCTTCCCCCCGGTGTGATCAACGTCATCTCCGGCTTCGGTCGCACCGCGGGTGCCGCCATCTCTAGCCACATGGACATCGACAAGGTCGCTTTCACCGGTTCCACCGTCGTCGGCCGCATGATCCTGCAGGCCGCTGCCAAGAGTAATCTGAAGAAGGTCACCCTCGAGCTCGGTGGCAAGTCCCCTAACATTGTCTTCGACGACGCCGACATTGACAACGCCATCTCCTGGTCCAACTTCGGTATCTTCTTCAACCACGGCCAGTGCTGCTGTGCCGGTTCCCGCCTGCTGGTCCAGGAGGGTATCTACGACAAGTTCATCCAGCGCTTCAAGGAGCGTGCCGCCAAGAACCAGCTCGGTAACCCCTTCGCCGCGGACACCTTCCAGGGTCCCCAGGTCTCCCAGCTCCAGTTCGACCGCATCATGGAGTACATCAACCACGGCAAGAAGGAGGGTGCCACCGTTGCGATGGGTGGTGAGCGCCACGGCACGGAGGGGTACTTCATCCAGCCCACTATCTTCACGGACGTGACTCCCAACATGAAGATTGCCCAGGAGGAGATCTTTGGCCCTGTCATTGCTGTCACCAAGTTCAAGGATGAGGCCGAGGCCATCAAGATTGGCAACAGCACCTGCTACGGTATGTCCTGCACACCCCGCCTTTGGCGATCACCTATCCGACCGGTGCTCATACTAATACCTCTCCTTTCCAGGTCTCGCCGCTGCCGTCCATACCAAGAACGTCAACACCGCCATCCGCGTCTCCAACGCTCTCAAGGCCGGTACCGTGTGGATCAACAGCTACAACTTGATCTCCTACCAGGCTCCCTTCGGCGGCTTCAAGGAGTCTGGCATGGGCCGTGAGCTCGGTTCGTACGCCCTGGACAACTACACCCAGGTCAAGACCGTGCACTACCGCCTGGGTGATGCCCTGTTTGCGTAAGAAAAAGGGAATCTTCAGCAAATGAACTGATGAGCAAATGACTACGTTATATTTTGATTTGTACATAACAAAATTGCAAACCATCCTAGGCAGTTTCGATACTGTATACTGTATTATTGTCTCGTCGTCTTGTCATCTCTTGTCTTCGCTTCCAGTTGTGGCTGTGGCGGGTGCATAGTTGGGGTTATTGTAGCGCTGTGTTCCCGGCGAGGCGCGCGGGCAGCAACGCCACACCCATCAAGCCCGACCGAAACACATTTTACCTGCCTTCGGGATATCACGAAACGAGAGGCACGGCGCATTCGCCGTGTGACATCCCTAGTTTCACCCGGATGCTTCGGACTTGAGTGCGGAAAGCCACTACTGCAACCCGGGGTGTTCGCGGCATCGCGGGGCCGGGTTAATTGGACCCGCTCGGGGCCAGATACACCGAGGGCGTGCGAGTGTGGATCCCATCAAGCGATTCGACCACGGACGATCGCAAATACGGTGGGTTTGCAATGGCATGCCATACGAATTCCCAGAATACCCGGTCGGCGGTTTGACCCACTGAGTGAGTCGCGTAGTCGAGTCATTGCGGGCCCTCAGAATTCCCGGATCGGAGACGACTATAAACGCGTTAACGAGCTTAATTGGACGTAGTGGACACATGATCATTTGGTAGGTAAAATCAAGCTCGGGATATGCCATTGCTCCATAGATTTATGTACAGGTTTTAAAAGCAAAAAATGAATAACCCATTCAATCATGCTGTAGCTCCGATCGTCACACCATTCGGAAGTTCCATTCCCACAGGCAGGCCACAGACAAACTTGTCCGTGTAGCTAAGACCGCGGATAGATGCAAGCTTCTCCTCGATATCGCGATACATATCATATCTGTAGAAGGGGTCAGCCACAGGAGACAAAAGCCGCCGTGGAGAATGTTCTGACAAACTTACGCATTCATCTCTTCAATCGTGAGGACCTTCTTCGGATCCTCGACTTTGTAGGTGGGGGTGTCCTTGTTCACGGAGAATCCTGCGCGACTCCGTTAGTATACATGCACTCCACTTTCTTCAAGCAGCAGGAGCAGGTATCATGCTCACCAATTCTCTCGTTGATGTTGTATGCGGCTTTAGCGGCCGCCGCCTGTACTCGGGTCACCCGAGGCAAGCGGACCTGCTCATAGGCTACCAACGTCTGCGCCACGTCGCCGTTGAAGTACTGCTTGTTGAAGAGGATTCCCAGCGCAGCCGCATCCTCGATCGCCATGCAAGCTCCCTGGCTCTGGTGCGGCATCATGGGGTGACCTGCGTCCCCCAGAAGGCAGACATTGGCCTGGTGGAGGTAGGGGTAGGGGTCGTGCACCCACAGGCGCCACGGCTGGATCTCCTTGCCGATGGAGAGGTGCTTGAAGACCTGGCGGTCGAGCGCTGGGTAAGGCTTCAGGAGCTCCTCGACGGGACGGCTGTCTGTGCCCCATGCTTGGGTCGAGTAATCGCCTTGCTCGCGGGGGAAGAAGCAGTAGTATGAGAGCAGCTTGCCCCCGTTGCAGGGCGACAGCACGATCTTATCCCATTTCCCTTCCTGGCCGCCCCAGTATTCGAGTGCGCTGTCCTGGGAATAGTCCACCAGGCCCAGCCTGACCGCCTCCTCGGTGTCGACGTTGGCATGCAGGCAGCTGGACTCGGAGGGCCGCTTCTCCGGCTTGATACCCAGGATGCCGCGCACGACGGAGCCAATCCCGTCCGCCCCGACGATGAGATCGTGGTGGGCTGTGACTCCGTTCTCGAAGGTGATGGTGCTGGCCTTCAAATCGATCTCGCGGCACTAGACGGTCACCAGTCAGTCAGCCGATTTTGCTTTTTGCATCCCTCTTCAAGGCGGCATACCCTATGATTGACCACCAGCTTCGCGGGCGGGCCCTCGCCCTCGTCGCCCAGCGCAGAGTCCTTCAGCATCGCATGCATATACTGGCGGTGGAACATGTTGTATACATATCCCCAGCGCTTCTCGTAGTCGTCCAAGTCGTACACGCTGACGGGCTCCCCCGTCCTCCAGTCGCGGTTGATGAGCTTCTTCAGAACTACAGGATCGCCCTTGGCGACATCGACGCCCCACTCATGCAGCCAGCGGGTGCCGTTGGCCGCGCAGGAGACCGATGCGCCCACTTCGCCCGCGAAATCTGACTTCTCGTAAATCGTCACCTCATGGCCTGCACGGCGCAGGGCGATGGCGGTGGACATGCCGCCGATGCCGCCGCCAACCACGCCGACGTTCAGGCGCTTCCAGCTAGACATGATGGTCATGTCGTTGGGGGGGACTTTGCTGTGTTGTTTTGCAGTCGGTGAGTGATGTCCGATCCGCTGGTTTAGACGACCTCAGATCGAGTGCGAACTCGCCTTCCAGCTGGTGTCTCCGATCTCATTTATCTTGCTTTTGCCCATCCAGCTGTCGGTCGGAAGGTGCACCTCGCGGATCGCAGGCGGGCCGCGCACCGCTTATCGTCGGATCGCGGGAGATGCGGGGCTTATCGGACGGGGACAGTACGAGGCAAGATCGAACAGGGCCGGGAAGAGCTTGATCGATGTCAAGGAGGGCTATTGTATAGCACTTTTTGTCGGGGCTGATGATACCAGAACTTATGTTTGATCCTAGGGCTGGGAAAAGTTGTGTAATAGTCCGCTTCACCAAGATTTCTACAGGGTCTCCACACTGCTTCATATTTGCCTTGGCCGAGAACCAGGGTCTAGTTAGGATGTGAGGCTGTGCATAAAAGAATCCTATGAATAACCTTGTAGCATGGTGTGCTTGTTTCAAATGGCTTGTTCTGCGAAGTTGACAACGCTGGGGAGGGAATTCACTCTCTCAAAATATCCCCGGTATCAAAGCCACAGTTTCAGGGCAGGCTCGATGCAATTGAAATAGACAATTTGGAACATCCGTTCTCATGAATCCCCTTGAGAACGCTTTCAAGCGGATCATCTATCACAAAGACAACAGGAGCGGTGATTGATCCTAGGCCAAAACAAAGAACCTCGAATAAAGACCTTGGGTCAAGGACGATTGTACTGCCCGACAAAGCCCCTAGATTCTTCAACCCCAGCATGCTCGGCAGGAGACTAGTTATATAGTCCAAAATGTCCTGAGGAGACTTCAGTCGGATATCTCGCCCATCATCATCAACTCCACTCTCCATTCTCCATTCTCCAATTCTCCAAGTCCATAGCCACCCTCAAAACAAGTCTAAGCATAGCCAATTTGCCAATTCGACCTACTAAAATGCCCGCCCGAAGAATGCCCGCCCGAACCAGGTACGTCGTCTGCCTCTACTTTGATTCTGCGGATGGTTACTTGAGCGATATCGACCTCCTCCGACTAATGCTGGACATGATCCATGATGGCGAAGCCATCATATCGCGTAATGCGCAGAGCTCTCGCCTTTGCTTGTGTATCCCAGTGATTGTTGACATCGAAGAGAACCAAGAAATCCTCAACGCCGCACACAATCAGGTTTATGTGTGGATTCGCTCGCTGGCTACTCGGGGATTTCCATTCAACCGACGTGCCATCTTCTCACGGTAAATCAGGCTGTGAGTCTCTCTTCCTTTCTTTTAGCATTGTTTCCTTTTATGTTTTAAAGCGTCGGCTTGTCCATTGACTCGGTCCTTTCACTCGTTGGCGTCTGTGGGCAAGTCGCGTCGTAGTTAGGGCGTATAAGCAGAAATAATTCTTTTGGTGTTTTCCCCCGAATCTATACATTTTAGTCTCGCCTGTGAATTCTGAATTGGTTTCGTATGTAAATATACGTCAATCTACACTATCCCTACGCAACACCAATAGGTACACCCGATTGCTCCTTGTACATTGGAGCATCCATCAATCAGTGGTGTACCTGAGGCAGGACTGCACGCATTGGCTTGATGGTAGAGTTCAGCAACCATCTAAATTGGCACAGGATTCGTAAATTACTCATAGCACAGACGATCCGGGCTCAGTAAACGGGAAACTGTCCCACAGCGGCAGCTCCATTCCTTCCCAGTCCAGAATTGCCCCGTCCATCGTCAGTGGTGTCACTGTAGCAGGGCCATCATCTTGGGAAAGCCACGGGTAATTGAGAACCCCCTGTGCCAGAAGCGGTGTCGAACTACCGGCTCGGCCGGCGTCCACGCTCTGCATCCGCGGTGTCCGTGTGGTGTCGTTCAGACTGAAGATTCGACTAACATACTGGCTCCTCCGTTGGCGCGCTTGAGCAGAGAGACGCTGCCGTTGCTGCGTGATAGCAGCTTCAAGTAAGGTCAGAATTTCCAGGTAGTGCGCTGCCTGCGCGGATTGAGGTGCTAGCATGCGCAAGATGGACAGGGCACCCGTAAATGCCCCGTCAATTTCGGAGTCGACATAGCGGTGAGAGAACATCGAAAACCCTAAAACTAGGGCTGCGGCAAATACAAAAGCTCTAGAAATCCCAAAGTTAGTATCGGACTTCTTCTTATATGATCGTGCTGGAAATGATATACTTGAGAATAGCCATTTGCCGGAGAAGCAGTCCTGATTGGTGAATTTCTATACATGTCTGGAGCATATAGACCGCCGAGTCAATACATGCCGCCGCCAGTCGAGAATGTGCCGGATCTTCTTCCAATGACTCGCCGGCTGAATCTGTGGAGAACGACTGGTGCGAGCGGGCCAGCCGGACGCTCAGGGTGGAGATGAGAAAAGGTCGAGTAACAAGGATGACGGCAAAATGGTAAGAACACGCAACATGCATGTTGCCGATAATGTGTTCCTGCGCAGTATCGGAATCATCACTCTCCGAGGCGGGTGTGCGCAGGCTTTCCGGGAGTTGGTCGCTCCATCGGTTCAGCTTCGCCAGGAGCTGATCCGCGGTCTCGGTAGATGCAGCTTTTTCGCTGTACAGCCGGCTTGTAATCTCGTCAACAATCAAAGACAGTTCGTAAGAGGTGACCAAGCCAAGTTCCGCTGCCGTCGTTGCCATCAAACCGAGATCTCTCCGGCCTGGGGGAATTAGTCCTGTGGTAGCTGCGGGCCGACCGAGTATCGAGCTCGCCAGGAAATCGATGACACAAAGGCTCCACCATACTCTGGACCTATTTTAAGTCAGCTATGGCACTTGAATCTCCTCGAAATGATTTCTGTACCTCTGTTGCTGCTCAGTACGACTTAAAGACCCGGAAGAGTCCACATGAAGTCCCAATGCAACAGCCGACCGAGCGGCTACACCCAGATACATGAATGCCGCATTCCGGCGACATGCCCCGAACATATAGAAGGACAGGAGCAAGAACACCCGCACTAGGTCCACGCTGGGATCTTCGAGGAGGTTGGCAAACGCTCTGCGTTGGCCACGCTCCAAGAAAAATCGCTCTGCCTGGTCAGTCTTAGGATCATTAGGACATGACTGGGCTCCAATGGCGATCATGAGATCACCGATGGCTGCATGAATCTTTTCGCGATCAGTTTTCGGCTCTCTTGCATCAGAGACTAGCGCATCTGTATTGCATCCCAGATACAGGAATCCACTCGTCTATTGCGAAGTGTTAGTGCCTTAGCCGCCCCAGCTTGTCGGTCGGGTCGAGTCACGACTTACCGCCGTAGAGAATGTATGGATGAAGCGACGCTTCTCGTCGGCACCACAGTGCTCTTCCGAGAAGCCCAGTGGATCATGTTGAGCTTCTGTCTCCAGCATATCCTCACTCTTGAAGTTGTGGGAGAACTGCGAAGGGCCGATATGCTGTGTGACCGTATCCCGGAGAAGCTGGAGAAATGATAGTGAAGCGGCCTTGCCGACATAAACTGCGACTCAATTAGGCCCGACCTGTAATACCCGCGCTTCGTACGGCCATATCATACCTCGTTCTCCTTGTAAATTCCGTAACATGCGAGGGTGGGTGCGATGTGTCGCCTCCGGCGATCGCGAGCCCGCCTCCAACGGACGTTCAATTTGGCCGTCGCGGGGACTTGCATCTGGGATCCGGGAGGAACTATGGCTTTGGGGGCTTGTGTTTGGTGCATTCCATGCTGTGGGAAGGCTGTCTATGGACTGTCGGCTCGTTGTCGATTCATGGCGGCTACGAAGTCCCGAGTCCGATGTCGATTTAAACGGAATACAGGAGCGGCCGCGTCCCTTGTGGTTGCAATTGGTGCAGGGGAAAGTGCCACTGCATCGTTTTTTAGACGACCGGCATGCAGTACAAGCTGTATTTGCCCGCAAGCGATTCGCCGGAAGGACTTTGGGGCGCCCCATGATGGGAGAGAAGAAGTCAGAGAACCGGGGACTTGCCCAGCGTCGGACCCCGCAAATTGGAGCAGCCAGTCGGGTCACAGGCGATAAGCTGCTGATAAGACGCTGATAAGACGCTGATAAGACGCTGATAGATCGATAAGGCGATAAGACGGAGGTCGGCCACGCTGAGACAGGTCGGCTCAGCCCATAATGTGATGATAAGACTGATAAGCAAAGTTCAGCTCAACCCAATTTTTTACGTCGGCTCAGCCCATAACGTGACGATAAGATCGATAAGCAAAAGTTCAGCTCAACCTTTTTTTTTCCATTCCCTAGTCTGGACGCCGACTACTAAAAAGGACGTATCGATTTGGGACCGAATGACTGCGGTAGAGGGTCCTACACTGATGGATATATCTACACTTTGCAACATACATAAGATCAAACTACTGTAGTTAGTTGCTAATTTATTGGCTATCTGTTAAGGCTGTGTAAAAAGGTAAGTTTGAGAAGTTCAGCTCAGGCCATATTTGGATGGAAAACCTTGTGGATGAGCGCCGATAAAAATGGCCTAGGCCGACATTTAGTCTCCTTGCTCGGCCCAAGTCCCTCGGAAAAATGCGCGTTCGATGGCGGGCGAACTATCTCTGAGCTGCTCATTGGCACGTCTCTTTTCTTCGATCGGGACTGTTATCAGCTGGTTATTTGGATAGCACGGACCAGGCGGCGATCCGAGGTGACGGACGCGCCTGACTTCTTTCCTCTAAACAGTAGGCAGGTACTGCGTACTGAGTACCAAGCAGATTATTGTAGGTACCTAGGTAGCACGTAGGTATTCTCAAGCTTTATTTAAGGACTAGTAATAAATTCACGGCTATCATTTCGCATTGGTGGAGTACGTATGCAAGTCTTGCTGGTCGGAGAATTTTCCTCGTAGAACATTCAGATTGGTTGGTTGTGAAAATATATATCTACACCCGACTATGTACCGGCACCAGACTTTGACAGCCACCTTCCCAGTAGCTATGTTTTTCCCTCGAAGTCAGCTTCCAAACTTGGCAACTTCTTCAATTCGTGGACAGTAGAGATCAAATGTAAAATGTGATTCCACTTCAATTCGCTCATGCAATGCCATCACCCTTGTTACTTCTGGATTACATCTTGTCGAGGGAACCGGCTCCGCGGGCTCCTTTGGCGGGAAAAACCAAGACCCGAAGCTACAGTAGGGCTTAGTACAATGGTATATTAAGTATTAGTGACCAGGGTAGAAAATAAAATTAAAACGTTAACATGTTGATACTCGAAACCAATCTGCTGAGGCCGACTAGGGATGGGATGTTCTGTATACAGCAACTAGATCTATGGCCTGCCTGCGTTTGTGCATGTCTGTATCCTGAGGCATCGCTCTCGGCAAGCCGAGCTGTACCGGGCAAGTTCCGAAACTCAACAGGCAGACACATGCCCGGCTTGCGGAGCAGTCCCAAAGGTGGTCTCGGTGTGAATAATGAATTGCTTGCTGCCTCCATCGCGAGGGAGTCCTGGATGACCGGCAGCCAATCAAACGTCGCCAAATTAAGAGCAGAAGAAATTTTCTGCCACACGTCTCGTGAGCGGACCCATAATACTATGGTGATTGGACAGACGTACCGGCCGCCCCATTTGGGACCCGCTGAGAGGGCAAACTGTGCAAACGGCACGGGAGTCTCGCTTAGTCGCTAGCGGCAGCCGGGCAGATATAAAAAGGGCCGCTGCCCCGGACCTATTCCTGTTTTTCAAGCGACTCTACGTTAGTGCCTCCCACCCCCTACAGTTCATCCTGGGCTTTCCCAGGCTCTGCACTCGACTTTTGGAAGCATCTGCTAACCTGCCTTCTCTCTACAGTTCAAAGAATCACTTTAGAGTAGACGTCCCACTTCTAAGCTCTTTAACAGAGCCACAGAATCTTCACCCTTGCTGATGACTGCTATGTCCTCGATGCCCTAAAGTGAAGCCATTTGGACTCCCGCCTCGACTGACACGCGTGCTTCGGCGTCTGCGTGTTGGTCCAGGGAGTGGTGATGATCTTGACCTGGTCTCGGCGTCTGACTTCGGTCGGCTGGTCCTGGTGGGTGTCGAGGAGGTCTGAAAGGTGCCTTGACTCTTATCCTGTTTTCTTTCCTTTGATGTTTGGGGATAGATCACCGAGCAGAGCCTCAGTGGCGACTGTGAATCGATTTCTCCTTTTATATAGCTCCAATGAATTCTTTTACTTTGCACAAGATCTTCTAATTCTCCACTGTAATCATTCCAAACACCTGCTCTCGCTTTACATTGCAGCCTCTTCGCGCTGGGAAAGACTTGTGACCTGAACATCCCTAGTTAACTGTCATTCGTATTGCGTCATGTCATTGTGATGGGTACTGGGTATCATGCTCTCATTACGGGCGGCTTAAGCTACAAGGTCTCCAGTCTGCAATCTCCAGCCTGTGGTCTTCTCTTTCACTTGGCGTCAGAGCCCACGCTCTTCTCCGCCGGTCCTGCGGCTGTTCCATTGCCAGCCGCGCCTCCCTTCAAGCCTTTGTTCCGCGATCCGCGTCCTCCCCGAGATCCCCGCGAAGATCCAGCGGGTCCTCCTCCGCTGCCGCTATTCCCGCCACTGTTTCCTTCAGTCGCCTTTGTCTTGTCTCCCTTGGCCTGCTGCGGCGGGTCGCCTCGACCGCCTCCTGCTTTGCGAGACTTCTCGCCGCCGGGATTTGCCTTGCGCTCGAGCACCACCACCTGACTCTGTGCGATGGAGACCGGGCTGGCCGCCATGGCTTTCTGCAGTCCCTCGGGCTCCGTGAAGTCCACGTACCCGAATCCTTTCTTCTTGTCAATCTCGACTTTCGTCACCGTGCCGAACAGAGTAAACGCCGCCTCTAACAGTGCCTCGGTCACTCCTTGAGATGCATTGGCGTGCTTGAGGAAGGCCTGGGTCGCGGTGGGCGCGGGACGCGGTGCGGCCTTAGTTTTGGCAACCTTGGACGATTTCGTGGCCGGAGGGGTGGCGGCGCCGGAGGTGCGCGAGGACGGCGACTCACCGCCATCGCGATCCTTGGTTTTCGTGGAGCTGGCGGCACTCTTGGCTGGCTTGGAAATAGATTCCTTCTTGTTGCCCTCGGCTGCGGGAACGAAAGGTTCCCGCGAGCTCTCGTTCTTGGGGGACCCAGTCTCGTTCGATCCACCTTTACCGCGCCGTCTGGAAGAGGCCGACGGGGAGAGCCCCAGATCCCGCTGTAGGATCTTCGCTGCTGCGGTGACGTTGCCCCGTTCCCTCTTTCGCTCAGAGGCCGTGGCAGATGTGTTCTCCTTGGTCGTACTGGAGCTGCTCGCTTTGCCACCCTTCGTAGATGTACCGCTCGCAGCTTGTTTGGTTGCCTTCACAGACTCTTTGGCCGCCTTGTCCCCCTTGGATTTCTCGTCTGAGGATGGACCGGGGGCCAGCTTTTTGTCCGATCGCTGTAGAAGCTTTTTGGCCTGCACCTTCTCCTGCTTCGATTCCTTCTCCGACCGCTTGGAGGATTTGGAAGACCCACTCTCCTTCGCCTTGCTCGCCTTCTTGTCCTTGATGAATTGTACCAGCGGCGTTATCACCGCTGCCTTTTTCTCGTCAGCTTCGATCGCGTCCACCGGAGCCGGCTTCGTGATAGGCTGCGTCAAGCTCTCAAGGAAAGCAATGAACTCGGGATCTTGGTCAATTGTACCCTGGCGGGCATCTTTGCGCACGCGACTGCCCGGGGTTTTGGCGTAGGGCGCAAACTCCAGCGTAGGAGGTCCCAAAAGGACGGGATCGTTTGAGGTGTGGCCCGCATCCTGGAAAGAGGACTGTCGTACTTGATCTGACAGCGGACCGATGTGTTCGTTGGATACCACATGGATGTAGGCTCGGGAGGGACGAGAGGGCTTCGCGGGGCTGAACAGAGAAACATCCGGTTAGCCTATGCCGATTACAACGGCGGGATAATGTTTTTGGTATAGGTTCTCACTCTTTCGACACTTTGCCAGGCTTGTAGTGAAGCCAGTCGACCTTGCCCGCACCCGCTTTCCATTCCTCTCCTAGGGCGCCTTCAAACTCGGGTTGTGTCAACCCTGGAGGTAAGCGGCGAATGAGGAGTTTGAGGCGCGGGGTGGGTGGCTTGGGAGCCTTCTTTGCTGGCGCTGTGGACTTCTGCGTAGCTGCTGCTGGGATCTGAAGCACACCGGCGGTGGCTTTGCCAGCAGTCGGTTGGGTCATGTTGCAGGTTTTCTGTGGAAATAGCTGGGTTTGTAGGAGTACTTGATAAGCAAAGATTGACCAGGAGGAGAGGCCCACAAGATGAACACCAGAGGTGAGTTGGCCGCCCTCCACAAGGACACCGATATGCACCGAAGTCAACCTTGCAAGCAACAGCCCGCCAGGAGAGCCCGAACGGAGGGGCTGAGTCAGCCTGTTTCCTGAGGCACTCAAGACAGAGTGGGATCCAACTGATTGTCTGTTTTTGCAATAGAAGGCAAACAGATCTTTCTGAGTTGATTTTTACAGGAAAAAACTTGCAATATTTTCCTAACTAATTTTCCATGACCCTAAGCGGCGCCGCAAAGGGGTTTGCCTGTCCAAATGTATAACGAGAGTGCAAGTCTCCAGTAGTCCATCAAGGCTACAGTACGTCCCGAAACTGGTGCACCCTCCTCCACTCTTAGAGAGAATCTCTAGCCCCACCTCCATTAGACACTAGTCCATATTAGAGAAAAATCCGGAATATCAATATTCCTGTATAAGTCTCAATACCATGACTTACTCTTATTAAAATACGGTGCTTTGTCTCTTGCCTGTATGACGATCCAAGGGAACTAGAATTTTCCATGGCAATGCGAACAAGTCAAACACCAGTGCTGGAGAGTGCCTCTAGAATCTGGCGAGCTGTCACTTCCATCTGTCACTGCCATATCCAAGTGGGAAGACCGCCAGCCTCCCACTCTTCCCTGCCTATATGCGTTGCAGCCTTCGTTTACACCCGCTAGTGATAATACAGGAGGCTGTGCTTATATACAGAGCTAACATTGGCAGGGAAAGATGATTTTCTCCGATAGTCATATTCTATCCCTATTCTATCCCCGTACTTGGAGACAACTGGATTGAATTGAGGAAGGGGCCGAAAGGGGTTATAACCTATACGTAAGCGGCCGAAAGCAACAAGATTCCCAGACTATATTGAGTATAGCCCAGAAAATCAAAATTCATGAGTCGTCATCTATACAACACTTTACTCCAACAAGCTGCTCTCGGGAGCGCATCTATACTGGACCGTCTTGGACCACTTACAGTACAGAAGACATCCTGTCGGAACGAAGAACTCTCTTTCTTAATCCTATCTGGCAGCCTGGCGTTATGTTCCAGGAATTGATAACATAAATAGCAAAACACTTTTGTGAGATCCTTCAGCTGCGGGTCAAGAGGCACTCCGCTGGGAAGTTTACCTACACCCCAGGGGATTTTTTTTCTTTTTTTTTTGCAAAATGTAAAACACGGAACAAGCATTCTTCACTTAAGTGAAACATATTTCAGGGAGACATCCTACAGCTTTTTGGCACTAGCGGTATCAAATGCATACTGGCCATAGCCTGATGCCCAGATTCCCCCCGCGGGATCATGCGTAGTTGAAATCTGGCAGTTTTCTAAGTATCTGGCCCCTTGACCTTCGAGATCCTTCGAGACAGCCGCCTATACACTAGTAGCAGTACCCTGAGCTGGATTCATGTAGCTAGCTATAAGCTTTGGGTCCTGAGTTATGGCTTAGATCTCCTCCTCGGACATGTGCTGTCCTAGGTTGGTTGTAACTGCCCCCGGGTGAACGCTAAATACGTAGAGTCCCTGAGACCTATAGCGCCTCTCGATCTCGTTCGTAGTCTACAAATTCGCGGTTTTGCTCTGCCCGTACGCCTGTATAGCCTCAAACTTGCCGTCGGAATTGATGTCTTCGAAATTGACCGAAGAAAACTTGTGCCCAGTCGAGGAAAGAATAACTACTCTTGATTGGAATGACGGCGTGGATGCCGAGAGGAGAGCTGGCATCAGGAGGTTGATTAAGAGAAAGTGTGATAGGTGATTCACTCTAAACTGAAGCTCGAAGCCGTCCTTCGTGGTCTCTTTGCGGGTCATCATAACGCCCGCGTTTGCAACTAAGATATGTAACCAGCTGTTCTGAGCTAGAAACGCTGAAGTATAAATCCGAACGCTCTCGAGAGACTCCTGGTCAAGCTGAAGAAGATGGACGTTCGGAGACACTGTAAGTTCCCCAATAGCCTTCTTTGCCTTTTCGAGATTTCGGGCTGTTAGATATAGTTTCGTACCGGTCTTCGACAACGCCTTGGCAGTCTCGACTCCGATACCTGAAGAGTAACCGGTGATCAAGATCACTTTGTCTCCCTATTTTCTAATGAGACCTTCGTCTCGGACGATCTGTTTAGCTGTCGGGCGCTCATCCCCGGGGCCACTTGGATGTGTATAAGCTGCAGCATATCGAGATGTCATGATAACAGTTTAGGCGAACTAAAAGTATAGGGAAGTAGGTTCTGACGTAGGGTAGAAGCCTTTGTTTTTGTAGAGAACATTATGAGTGTTGAATGCCCCCTTTATATATCCAGAGCGAAGGCTTTCGTGGTACTCGAGGCGAGCTCCAGAGTCAATTCTCGCGGATCAGGAAGTACTGCCTCTCGTAAGTGGAGTAGAGCTGGACTTACCCATATACAGAATAAGTAAATATGGTTATATTACCACTATTTAAGGTTCCGCTAATGCAGCTGGGTGACAGCGCTAAATTTTGTTCCATGGTTCTCATAATCTAGATGGCCCCTTCCGCCTTTTTGCTAGCCGCATACTTAAAAGCCCGAAGTCGTAGAGCTTCCCCAAAGCGGTTAGAACGATGTTATCATGAGTGACAACTCGCCATTTCCTGTGCGTTTTCACTAGGGGCTATGCTACTTTTCGCCTCTATGCATTCGCTCTTCTTGTTAAATAGGGAAATATATCTTCAGCTCAATTTATCTACCTATATCCCTCCGCAAGTATCACCTCCACAAGGTATCCCCCTATAGGTTGCCTTCCGGCCGGGGGATGATTGGACCGGGATTACCGATCCGAAAATAAGGAAGAGAGTACAGAATCGTTTGATCAAGAGAGAGAGCCGCAAGTCAACTCTTACCCTATCAGTAGCGATATCTAACTCCTCCCGTCCAGGTCGGCGTAGGCGCTGTGCCGCGGAGAACCCGGAGAACTACGACCCACAGACAAGAGCACTAATAACGGTTATCGGCGACCGCTTAACCGACTTTGTATGTCTGAGGGACCTTTATAACCTTAGGATTCATTCGAAAGAGACAAAATGGGTCCTTCGTCAGGTAGAATACATATATCATGACCACTACTTGACCGGTTCGCCCCGCACGGAACTTCTTCTAGGCCTCACTCAACTAAACTTGACTCGGGCTCTGATATATAATATCAAAATCCTAGGATATCAATCGATCCAGATGCATAACGAAGCGTTGTCACCTTTCTGTATCGCTTGCCCCTCACTAGCCGGCAATGAAGTGATGTCTCTTCCCGTTAGCTTACGTCCTACTGCGCTCCAGCTCTCAACTCCTCATCACCCGTGGCTTGATCTATTCCCTAGCCCCCAAATGCGCGATAATTTGATTGTTCTTGAACCATTGGTGGATGAATACGGGCTTTGTGAAGACTTATGCAACTCGATGGAAGGAACCGCAGGAATATTAGTCTGGAAAGACCCTTGGGATCCAACCGGCTGGGAGGTGACACGTTCTTTTATGTCTGCCTAGGGCTTTGCGGTCCACAACTGTTGGGATCTGTTTCGGTCCACGAATTATTGGCGTCTGAAACGGGGAGAGGAGCTATTATTTTACGTTCCACCGGCGATTTGTAGCTAAGCTGACCTTTGCTTGGTACAATAATCACCGTGTTTTTTTTTTGAATTCCTCTTCTCCCGTGTGGATATCGGGCTAAAATAGACGGTTACATGTCACGTTTGATAGGAGGCTTGGAAACTTCAGAAGTGGAGCTTATTATGCCCCCTGACCCCGTGCTTTTGTCTTTTGATTTTCTTTCGCTACGCTTCTTGCTAGACCGTGATTTTGGTTCTGTGGCCCCTAGCTGCTCAACATTAGTAGGAAACTAATACTATCGCTTATTTTATACTATACGTTCATCTCCTCGGATTTCTTGAATGAATTCCTCTTAACTCAGCTAACGAATTTGAACAACTTACCTGTCAGCTGACAACCCATACCCTCACGTCGGAAATGGCCTGTAACATTCTCTTCTTCTGTCCCGACCGCATTGATGCACCGTTGGAGAAAGACAACAAATCCTTGGTCGGAACCTTTTTCATAGTAACTCCAGTTACGGTTAATGAAACTTTTGTACAGATCTAAACATAACCTCGCGGTCTATGTTGTTCCCGCTCCGCCTAACGCTCTGTCCTTACTTAACCAGTGATAAATATCTTACTTACAGTGGCCGTTCATTAGTATTCGGAACACACTACTGCCTCCCACTGGCAGAAAGATAAGTGGGCCAGCTACCATGTTCCAAATACTAATGAACGCTGACTGTACTTGCAAAATGCCACGAAATACTGATCATTATCAGCGTAGGATTATTGTTTATATAAAACCTAGCAGGAACAGATTCACTATATTATAAATAGCTAGGGTCGCGAAGTGTAGTGAGCGCTCTGTCACTAATATACGTAAGAATATATGGTTATTCAGTAGTGCTAGATCTCTACTAGTCTCTTCATCGCCACTCAATCCCACATTAGCCATATCAGGTTAGATTGGTGTCAGCAGTTGTACTAACTAGGTTAGCTAATGTACTGTACTTAGCTAACTAGTTCAAATTTGGTTAGATCGACGTCAGCAATATTGCTACCTGCTGAAGTGGCAAATCATCATACCCGTGGTACAAGATATACTTTGCGCATATTAGCTAATTTTTGTGTTCCTCGCTCAACGCTCAGGATTGATTAAATAACAGCACTGCTCATGCGAGGGATGGAATAACCCTTGTTTAGACAGCCATAGTGGTAAAATTAAGCTTGACCACACCACTTCTTAACAAAGGTTAGCCATAGAGCTAATCGTAGATCTTATCAAGCATACTTTGGCCCCGAGCCAGCAGAGCAGGCCAACGTCCTCCTCGCGAAACCTTGGAACTTTGGAACTGTGGAACAGTGGAACTAAAACGTCAAGCTTCTCAATGGAGATAGCGGGAATGGACTTTAGGTGACTTAATTCCGAGCTGAAATGGGATGAAATAAAAAGCTATATAAGCCCAATCAATGATAGTAGTTTTCCAATCACTATACTACGTCTTCAAAAGCTTACCCGTCCCAATGGCAACTAAGTACACCGCAGCTCACGAGTCTCCTAACGGCCCTGGAGACAGCCGTCCTACGGCCCTCCAAATCATCTAAGATGAAAAGCTTGAAGGAAAGCTCACCGACAAAGTGATCCTTATCACGGGCTGCTCCTCCGGCCTAGGAATCGAGACCGTACGCGCACTGGCAAGGACAGGCGCTACGCTCTTTGTCACAGCGCGCGATCCCTATAAAGCTAAAGCCGCCCTCGGCAATCTCCTAGAGTCCGACAAAATCCATCTCCTAGCACTCGACCTCAACTCCTTCGCCAGCGTTCGAGCCTGTGCTAGTGAGTTCCTCTCCAAGAGCTACCGGAAACTCAACATCCTCATCGCTAATGCCGGCGTGATGGCGACACCGGAAGGCAAACCGTCGACGGCTTCGAGACCCAATTCGGCGTAAATCACCTCGCCCACTTCCTTCTCTTCTAGCTCCTGAAGCCTACCCTCCTAAGCTCCTCTACCCCAACCTCGCCTTCCCGGGTAGTTTTCGTCTCCTCCGCTGCCTATCGCATTTCAACCGTACATATGGATAACCTCTCCCTTGCGGGTGAATACGATCCTTGGAAGGCCTACGGACAGAGCAAAACCGCCATCATCTGGACGGCTAACGAAGTCCAGCGCCGGTACGGATCGAAGGGCCTCCTCGCTTTCAGTCTGCACCCTGGCGGTATCACTACGGGTTCCCAGCAACATGTCCCTGATGAAGTGCAGCAGAGCTGGGGCGCCGACAAGTCCTTTAAGCTGAGGTGGAAGAGTCTTGAGCAGGGCGCTGCAACTACTGTCTGGGCGGCTGTTGCGAAGGCCCTAGAGGAGCATGGTGGGAAATATCTTGATGATTGTCAGATTGCGGGTCCGCATAATCCTGAAACTGGGCCTATGGGCCCTGGGTATGCGCCTTGGGCTTATGATGAGGTGAACGCGGCAAAGTTGTGGGATGTTTCGATGAAGATGGTTGGGTTGGATGGGGAGGACTGATTTTCGAGGATAATGATGTGTCGAAGGATTAAAGGAGCTAGGTTTGGAGTCATCTTTGCTTCGTGATTAATTGTTGAGTGTGCTTCCCTAGGAAGGCTGTTTTGGAGGTGTCAGTTGTATTGAATTTACAAGGGATTACATGCTTGAAATTACTATGTACTCTACGTACGAAGCAATACTCGCACAACTTACAGCGGTACTCCGGAAGAACTCCCAATATAGACTAATGTGTCTTGGCGTAGGGGCCAGGAAAGTCAATCGAAGAGTGTAGGTGGTCGCACCAGTTTCGGGACGTACTGTATCACAAAGAAGCTACAAACGAATTCCGAATAACGATACTTTTGTTGGATAATACCAGGAGGACAATATAGCTAGCACACTATCAGCTAGCAGGAAGAGCCGTGGCTCGATCAGGTGAGGGGCACACCGCGGCGGAAGTGGAGGGGACATGGAATACTCTCGAGCCCCCAGCAACAAAAAAGTTGTAGAATGTACGGGGGTAATCGACTGGACGAGTGGAACCATCACAGTATTGCCCTGAACCGCTTCATGGTACCCACCGAGCTCCGTCCGAATATGTCGGGATGGGAGACATCATCGATAGCGGCCATGTATCGGTTATTATTTATGATGGAGGGTTCGATGCCGGCCATGATGCAGGCTCAATCCCGAGAATTTCACGGGCTTTGCGAGCCCTGGCATCTGGATCCCGTCCTTTTCGGTACACCCGTTCGTCGTCTGGGTTAAAGCCACCACGGCCAAAAAGAGCCCATTCCTCTGTCTCACGCATGTAATCTTCCGGGGTGAACGAGGTACCGTCCAATTTCTCCCTCTCCAGCAGCTCGAAGAAGCGGTCATAGTCAATGCGAGTGTGCCACTTTCCATTGACATGAAAGCGTTCGGAGGCGAGCAGAATGCAGCAGCTGTGGGCGTGCTCGGCAGCAATGCCGTACTTGAGGCCGCGGCGCTGCAGCTCCTTGTTCAGTGCGACGACAAACGCGGAGACTTCTTCGTAGAATGGCACGTTCTTCATAGTCAGGCCGGCACCAGCACTTGTGCTGGTTCCACAGTAGGTGACACCCTTGACCTCGATCAGACCGGGGAGCGCCTTCTCGACCAGGTTTGCATACCCGATGATCTCATCCTCCACGTTGAAGCCCTTCACGAGTGTCAGGCGAAACACGGTTCGCTGGAAGTGGCGTTTCTCTCGCAGAATATCCAAACAGCGCTGGAACCGCTCCCAGAAATCACGGTGGAGCGGGCGATCAATCTTTCGTAGACTTTCGCGGTTGCTGGCATCGATGGAGACGTAGAGCTGGGTTACCCGGTGCAGCGCCTCAAGCTGATCCGGATGCTGGGCGTTGCAGACCATGAAACTGGAGATGTGCTCGCGGTGCAGCATTTCCAGGAAGCGGTTGATATGAGGATAGAAAATGGGCTCGCCGACCAGGCTTAAAGCACAATGCCGGATGCGCATGGCTTCGGCAAATCGCTCGGCCCGCACGCCCGGCACACCCTTCAACATCTGGATTTTTTTGTAGTGACCTTCTTTCACACCTTTAAAGATCAGCTCGGGCGAGTCCACCTTCCACCGCCAGGTGGTTCCGACAGGGTTCGTGCCGTGACGCCAGCAGAAGATACATTTGTTGCTGCACGACAGCGAGGGTGTTGCCTCCATGCAGAGGTGAGACTTAATCCCGTAAAAAGAGTACTTGTAGCATGACCCACGGCCCCGGAGCGCCGACTTGGTCCACCGGCAGATCTTCACACCCGAGTGTGAGCCCACGATTGTATATCCCTGCTTGGTCAAAGCCGCATAGGTCGGGGAGGTCGTTGGTACCATCTCCTTGGCGGTGGGCTCTGCTGAAATGGCCTTACCGATAGTGGTAAAGTCGATCGGGAGAGGGCCAGCCGAGTCTCCGTTCATCTGGATGTCCTCAAGATCCACCATTGTGTTCTTTGGGCTCTTGGACTCATCCTCATCCTCCAAGTCCTCCTCGTCGCTCTCCACGGCATCGCCGCTACCGGGCACGCCCTCCCCAAGCCCACCACTCTCCAAGATGTCGACGAGGGTGTCCTGAAGTCCGCGAGACCATTCCTTCAACGAGGTCTCTGGATCACTCTTGACATCACCCATTCCCAGCGGATAAGCTCGCTTGCGACCAGTGAGTTTAGCCATCCAACGATCGACTTCCTTGGCCTGGAAACAAAACCCTTCCTCTTCGGTGGGCCACTCCTCCTTGTCACCAAAACCAAAGACCGAATAGCCTGCCAATTGAGAAAGCGGCGCGGTGTCGACCCGGAAATCATGATGGGTTTCATCCAAATGGCTCAGGAACGTGTTGAGCACGGTGTCGATGTTGTACGAGGGGATCAGAATGCAGTAAACGTAGCGAGTGCCGGGGGAGGTTGTCGGGGGTTTGGGGACCGTGGTGAAGAAGTCATCGAAGTCGACGTAGGAGATATCATGAATCTGTGGGGGTAAGAGGCCTCGTTCACGGTTCTCGGGGTTTGCTCGTTCCTGGGCTGCCACGCGTAGGTCCTCCAGCAGCACATTGGCGTAGTGTTCGGTCGTTGTGGTCAACGAGGCAAAGAAAACGATGGGCTGAATGAAGGACAAGGGCGGGACTTCCTCAACAGTCTCGCGGCGCCCAGTGACTGTCTTTGCAGGCTTCTTGCCCTGAACGCGCTTGGGGCCGGATGCCAATTTAGGGCCAGGCTTGTTGTTTGTCGTGGCCGAGACAGGCCGGGGGGTTCGGTCGGCGCAATGAGTTTCTGTTTCAGGCTTTTCTCCGGAGACTGAATGCGGGGCGAGGACGGGACTGACGCGGACGCAGGGGTCTTGGATCGCGACTGAATCTTGCGATAGGCATGGCGGGCGAGGAACAGCGTGCAGAGGGCGATGAGGAGGGGCAGACGGTAGACATGCCATACGGCCAGTAGGCCTACGATGATAGTCAGCGCGCATTCACGCGCATTCTTGGCCGTGCTAGAAAGGCTGAAAGGGAATCAATGTATGCACTAACCGTCCGTCATGGCTAACACAGGAGCCATTGTAAAATCATATAATCATTGGATCCGAGAACCAGATACAAGAGCAACGGCGAGGAAAAGGTGGAAGATGTCGAGGGGTCGAAAATGTGGAAAGCGGGTGGAGCGCGCGGAGAGCGGGCCGATCAAATGAGCGTGCGGCGATTCCCGATTCCTCATCCCTCGCTGGGATGTCTCCAGGCCCCGCTTATCGCATTGCACAGGATCTATGCGTCGAGCGTTTCAAGTGACTCTAACCGGAGTGAAACCATCGCCAGGGGCAGTCATTTTCTATGAGTGAGTTCGTGGTGGCCCACCAGGGGCGTCTTACTGCGTATAGTTCGCGACCGCCACCACTTTTCGGAGGGGCTGGCACGGGGAATATCATGAATATCATGAATATCATGGACTATCACTAGTGACTGGAGAGACCGGAAGCCACCCACGGAAGGGTCGAGTCGGCGAGTATTCCGGATTTCTAGTTGTCCAATGTTACACAGGGCCGGAGCCTTCGCCTTTATCTCCCCTCCACTTCACCCCTCTCTTTAGCCCGCCCTTTACGCGCCTTATCTCCGGGCTTCCTCGCCGCCTCGATTCTCCTCTTGACACCCTCCACTGCAACGATGGATGAGAAGGCGGCCCTTCAGGATTTCCCGGGAGGGAGATCAGTCCAAACGTATCCCTCCGCTCCTCCTGCACCGAAGTCTTCCTTTCGAGGCTGGATTCTCCTGCTTGGTTCCCTGCTGGCCGGCGGCTGGTTCCTCTGGCCGCACTCCTGCCAGCTTGCTCGCGTGCGCACCCTCACGATTGAGGACCGAGTGCAGAACATACTGACTACGACACCCTTGATTGGTATGGAATGTACTCCGCTGTCTATCTAGCGGAGACGCACGTCGAAGCTGACGAGCATTGCCCAGATGGTCATGATGATTTCCCCATTCAAATTCGGGCGCGGTTCCATAACCATATCAATTCGCCCAACTTCACCGACTCCTTTCGCCACGGGACACTCCCGGGCCATGTGGACCTCCCCCGCCTGAAGAAAGGGCAGGTTGGAGGCACCTTCTGGAGTGTCTACGTTCCTTGCCCCGAAGGGTGGGAGGACTTTTCGGATGAGACCTATGCGCCCAGTATGTGACGCTCCCCGCGCCGTCGCACACGATGCTTGGTGCTTGAGATTGATTTGACTTTCAACTAGGTGTTCGGATGACGGTCGAACAGGTCGATCTCATGTCGCGCATCCAGAAGACCTTCCCGGATGTCTTCTCGACGCCCCCCAATGGCACCACGGCTCTGGATGCATTCCGGAACGGCAAGATCATCTCCCCTACGGCATTGAAGGGCTGCAGTCGATTGGGAACTCACTGGCGCATTTGCGAATGTTCTATGACATGGGAGTGTCCTATGCCACCCTCACCCATAACTGCCACAACAAGTATGCGGATGCGGCGATCGTGGAGCAGCCCGACGGCAGTTTGAGAACAGCAACCCCGCTTTGGCATGGCGTCAGTCCCGCCGGCCAGAAGGTGGTGGCCGAGATGAACCGACTGGGCATGATGGTCGATCTGGCCCACGTGAGCGTCGAGACGATGCGTGATGTGTTGGGGGCGGGCAAGACCGAGTGGACCGGCAGTCGGGCCCCGGTCATCTTCAGCCACAGCTCTGCCCATGCCCTCTGCCCGCACCCACGCAACGTGCCGGATGAGGTGTTGAAATTGGTGCGACAGCGTAACTCGATCGTGATGGTGAACTTCGCGCCCGACTTCATCTCCTGCCATGCCTCTGATCGAGAGGATGGCATGCCGGAGGTCGACTATGACCAGGCCACCCTGGAGCGTGTTGCGGACCATATTATGCATATTGGGACCGTGGCTGGGTTTGACCACGTTGGCTTGGGCAGTGACTTTGACGGGATCCCGACGGTCCCCAAGGGCCTGGAAGACGTGTCCAAGTTCCCCGATCTGATCGCGGAGCTGCTGCGCCGCGGTCTCACCGATGCCGAGGCCGCCAAGGTGGCTGGAGGGAATCTACTACGAGTCTGGCGGGAGATTGATCAGGTCGCTCTCCAGATGCAGGCGGAGGGCGTCCTGCCCGGGGAGGACTAAGGACTACTGGGGGAAGGAGTCGTTAAGACGGATCTGGAAGCATGAAAGAGCGTCAGAGCGTAATTCTAGTCTCTCCAATCCCATATGCATCTTATCAACATGAACCGTTTCTACTGCCCCTGACTCAATCTTATTGATAGACGTGGACATCCTCCTTCACGAGGCTTGGTGTTGCTGTTCCCGGAACAACTCGAACGCTCGGAGGATATTGGCGCCCTGACGCCCAATGGATGGCAGTGGCAGTTGGTATTTGCCCTGGCCGGTTTGTTGAGAATGCCGAACATCCTCCTCGAGGGCCCAGTCGAATGCTTGGTGCTCGGTCGCCTCTAACTGGACGGGGATGTCGTCTCGGGCCACCGGCTGTGGAGATCCATCGGATCGTACGGCGGTAGCCTCGTGGACCTCGACGATGAACGAGTATTTGGCAATGCGGATTTTGTCGCCATTGCGACGCGTATGGTCCCAGACATCCACGGCCACCAGCTCCAGTATGCGCGATACATGCAGTCCGCTTTCCTCGGTGACTTCACGCACCACGCCGTCCAGGAGGGTCTGGTCCTCCTCTGGCTCGGCCGCCCCGCCCGGACCCTCCCAGCAGCCGGGCATCGAGTCGGTCAGTGCGCGTTGGAGCAGCAGGATGCGTGGCGGGCACCCCGCGTCGGAAGTGGGATCTGCAGCCCGGGAGAAAATGAAGCCCCCAACGCCGAACGCGTCGAACTCGCGCCGCGTTGCAATAAAGTCAGCGATGGGAATATTGAAGTATTTTAGATGTGGCGCAATCGTGTAGGGCAACGCCATGGTGAAGTGTTGTCAGGGTGAGGGTTTTTTTTGTCCCTCGCCGGGCTTTTTGGAGATACGAGATGTGCGGCTGTTTCGGCCATGACTGCCTATTTCTTCCTGAACGATGACTCATGCAGTAGATAGGAAGAGAATCAACACATACCTGCTGGTGTGCTATCCAACCTCCAACCACCGAACTCCCACATGGTCGCAGAGACGTGGACCTTCCGACCGCGGATTGTCATCCGATCGGCAGGAATAGACTTACAGGCAAGCACGAGTCCCACCATTAATAACCTCATCCGATTCGGAAGGGACAGACTGCATGTGCTCCCGCGACACTTTGCGGGGAGACACCTGGGGTTGAAGCCAAGTGATTGGTATGATTGACAGAGATGGAGGTCTTCCCCCACACGATCTCCGACAACCGTGTCGGCTTCCCTCGTCGGATTCTGGCTGGGAAGCCCAAAGAGCATCTATTTAAGAGCCTAGCAAGTTATCGTTATCAGCATAGCCCAGGAATCAGATCACGCTTCTATCGCAGTGAATACGTCCGATTCTATCACTATGCCTGGGCTGCCTCCCTCGTCCGAAGCCCATGTGGATGTCCTTATTGTCGGTGCTGGCCCAGCGGGACTGATGCTGGCGAACTGGCTCAGCCGCTGCGGTGTCAAGACGCGCATTGTGGACAAGCGAGGGACTAAAGTCAGCCTGTAATCCTGGCTATGCTCGTTGTTGATGCTAATATCACCATAGATCTTCAACGGCCAGGCCGACGGTCTACAATGCCGCACCCTGGAGATTTTTGACTCGTTTGATTTTGCGCACCGCGCATGGCGCGAGTCAAACCATATGCTGGAAATTTGCCTGTGGAATCCCGACGATCAAGGCCAGATCCGAAGATCCGATCGGATTCCCGATACTATCCCCGGTATCAGTCGGTTCCAGCAAGTGGTGCTCCATCAGGGCCGCATCGAACGCTTTTTCCTCGATTCTATTAAGGAGCATAGTGATATTACGGTTGAGCGAGGGGTGTTGCCCACAGCGTTTGAGTTTGATGACACCAAAGCTGGTGATTTCAATGACTACCCAATCAATATCACAGTGCGAACCCTCTCGGACGAAGAGTCTCGGCCCCAACAGCAGCAACAACACCACAGATCTACAGATGGGTAGCAGACAGTCGTCAGCGACGGTCTCTTCCGGAGTAATCTTGCTGCAGATGACACGGATGACCTGATACGGATCGCAGAAACCAATACTCCAGCTGACCGAGTCGAGACGATCAAAGCCAAGTTCCTGGTTGGGTGCGACGGGGCACATTCATGGGTCCGTCGTCAGCTCGGCTTCCAGCTAGAAGGAGACTCCACGGACTACATCTGGGGGGTACTCGACATCGTGCCGATTACTGATTTCCCAGATATCAGATCGCGTTGTGCGATCCATTCGGCGAATGCCGGAAGCGTCATGGTGATCCCACGAGAAAATAAGCTCGTGCGGCTGTATATCCAGTTGCATACCACCGAGCATGCCCAGGCAGGGGGAAAAGCAGATCGGTCATGGATCACGCCGGAAATTATCCTCCAATCTGCCCAGCGTATTCTGCATCCTTACAAGCTCGATTATTCTTACTGCGACTGGTGGACAGCCTACCAGATCGGCCAACGGGTAGGTGACCAGTTCTCGCTGAAGGAAAGGGTGTTCTTGGCTGGCGATGCAATTCACACCCTTCACACCCACTCGCCAAAAGCCGGCCAGGGAATGAATGTGAGCATGCAAGATAGTGAGTGACTCATCGAAATGATTCGGGATCGGACAGGAGATAACTCACACCCTTCCCCTCTCTTTTTTATGTGAACAGCATACAACCTAGGATGGAAGCTTGCGCATGTAGTAAAAGGCTACAGTGATGCATCCCTCCTGAAGACGTATCAATCCGAGAGAAAAGGAATCGCCCAGGATCTGATTGCGTTTGATCATCGCTTTTCTAGGCTCTTCTCTGGACGTCCTGCCAAAGATATTATGGATGAGGAAGGGGTTAGCATGGAAGAATTCAAGACTGCCTTTGAGAAAGGGAATGAATTTGCTAGTGGCATCGGTAATCTCCCAGACGCCATGAAAAAGCTCTAATACTGACGACCAAACCAGCGGTCAACTATAGTGCCAGTGTAATTGTTGCGAAAGACGGCGACCCAGCCAAACACGGTGACGGCACAGATATGACAGGCCAGGATACGTCCAGCCGTGTTCTCAGCAAGCCCCAATTGGCAACCAAAATCGACGTTGGCAAACGTATGCCGAGCTTCAAGGTGTTGAATCAGTCGGACGCCCGGCCTTGGCATCTTCAAGAATTGCTGAAAAGTAACGGGAGATGGCGAATCATCGTCTTCCCTGGACACCTGGCCCTGGCTTCAAACATGCAACGAATGCAGCAACTGGGTTCAAGACTCGGCGCCCAGGACTCATTTATTCGTCGCTATACGCCTATCCAACAGCACATTGACAGCGTGATTGAAGTGTTGACCGTCCATGCTGGCCCCAGGGCGAGTCTAGAGCTATTGGACCTCCCCGAGGCATTCCACCCATACAGTGATACCATGGGCTGGGATTATTGGAAGGTATATGTGGACGACGAGTCCTATCATGAGGGTCATGGCCAGGCTTACTCCAATTATGGAATTGACCCCGCTAAGGGGGCGAGTGCGATCGTGCGGCCAGATCAGTACGTGAGCTGGGTTGGTGAGGTTGATGGCTACGATGATATGGACAGATTTTTCTCGGGTTTCATGAAGCCGCAGAATGTGGCAAAGGAGTGAACTTATGAAATGATATAGGCATGGGGCTCGCTCGCCAGGACTTGAGCGCTAGTTATATTGTGACTAGTTATTCATCAATGGGAAATTATCGAGACGCGAGAGCATACTTCTGAACAAGATTTCAATATCAGACTCCGACCAGGTTGGAACGCCCAGTAGCTCGTTATCGGTCTTGGTGAAATGACCACCAAATTTGCCGCCCTAAATAGCTCACCGAATGAGGTTGCCGGCAAAGGTCTTGCCATCGGGCGGGCATTGTTGGAGGGCTGGGTCGCATGACCCACGCTGAAGAGGCTAGTGAGCTCTTTCATAATATGCTTCTTCCTGGGCACGATGGCTCGCTTGCGCCAGCAGAGCCCAACTTTGGCATTGAAGATACCAAACCGCTTCTTTCCGAAAAGTACATGAGCCACTTCAGTCTTCTTGGTCCGGTACAAGACCCATCAATGGTCGCCAGATGGCAGAACGCCCTCCAAGAATATGCGTTGACTCAAAGTCGCTTGGGAATACCGGTCACTATCTCTTCTGATCCACGAAATCACTTCAACGAGAACGTGGGAACTGCGTTCTCCGCCGGTTCGCCGAGTTTATGGCCGAAACCCCACATTCCCTACGACGTAATAGAAATCCAACTTTTTTAACCGTAGCGAGGTTTAGCGTACCCTCTTAAATTAACGTACTATTAACTCTACGTATTACTAATATAGTCAGAGTATCTTATTTTAAGTCTCCTATACTAAGTAAAGCTCTAGATTCAGAACTACCACCACTTAGCCCGCGCCATTTCTCTACTCTAATAAGCGAAAGGTAAACGGTTTTAGAAGTAATAAAGGCCTCTTCTCTAACAAGGCTTGATACTCAGCTAGCTGTAGCCGCTAGTAGTCCTATAAGCCAAATATCTCACTCCGGACCTCCTATGCTAACCGTAGATATAGTACCAAGATTAATTTCTATATCCTCTCTAATTAGGACTTATTCAATAAAGATATTTTATTACATATCAAGAAAGCCCTAACCGAAGTCCCCTACAGATAATAAGCTACCCCCTCTTCCAGCGTCGATACATACTACCGCTAATACCACTACTTCGAGTAGCATACCATCGACTATAAGATTCTCAGACTCTCCACAAGAAGGTCCTACATTAACATTAACCCTTCAGTATAACTAGATACTATATCTATAGTTCCGTTTATACGCTTCTTTTTCCCACATCTACTTTACGCATCTAGTATGGTTCTCAACACGAGTATAGGGTGAAGTGACATAAGTACGTTCGACCGGCATATAAAGTAGGTACCTAGTGACCATGTCGGTTTGGTGTGTACAAGAAATTTCTTAATCCTTCCCCTATCAAGGTTCAGTCCGCGCCACTGACTTTGATATAGCTCCGAATCGTGAAAAAGCCAAAGCTTCGGGTTTCTCAGACTCGACCGGCCCAGTTCGTATAGTTTCACTAAAGCGGAGATCGCACAGCACGCGGTGCAGTTGCAGGAGTAGCGGGAATGGCTCCCATTACGCGAACACACCCGTCGGCTGCTGCAGTCCAACGACGGGGGATAGGCATCCTGGCAGCCAACAAAATGATTAATAAGCGGTATGGCCCCTACATAAATATTTAGTTCCGATTACACGATCTCACTGGTTTGGGGGAGAGGGCGAGTGAATAGGCTTAGAAAGCAGGCTAAGAAAGTTAAGAAAATTATGCAGCCTCCTGAGTAAGTTCACCTTGCCAACTGCTGCCTGCTGATTGGGTACCCTGGGGCCAAATCTATACAAGCGGCACAGTCCGGTTCTCTGAAAGCCGACGACAACGGATAATCTTATAAAAGTTTGATGAGCTCTGTGAAGGCAAGAACCAATAATAGTAATATGTACAAGGTCGAAGAAGGGGTATTTTCCTATAGCCAGCTACCAACCTGATGGGAAGTGCGATTGCTGTGTTTTCTGCGGTTCTAGGATGCCCTTCTTTTTTATGTGGGCTTTGCTTGCTGAGGGAGCTATGCCTGGGGTTTAAGGAAGGCTGCAAAGAACCTGCCGATCTCGGGATAGTCATTGACGTCTAGCACGGCGGACACATCTAAAATATCATGAGCAACACAACTGGTGCTCGATTTGAGAAAAGAGGACACTCACACTGATCCGGCCGGACGATAATGAGGGCTCCTTGCTTCGGATCGATGCCCAAGAACTCATATGCCTGGCCATGGCCCTTGTTGTAGCTCTCATCGTCGTAGTAAATTTTGTGAAGATCTGATCATGAGAGGATGAGACTACTGTGTACGCAAGAAGTGGGGGCATCGCGAACTCACCTCTTGTTTGGTTCATGCCCGCAACTGGATAGAAACATTGCGGAATCTGTTCCAGCTCAACATCGTGGCGCTTTCCATGACCGATCACGACGACCTCAATCAGACTGTCCGCATCTTGAGACTTGGGAGTGAAGGTGTAAACGGGCCCATCACGCGATGAGAGATACTCTCCGAGCTGTATTGCAGGTCAGAAAGGAGATCATCATTCTCGAGGGAGAAGGGGGGGGGGGGGGGGGGCAATCATCAGAAGCATACCCTGTTCAGCTTGGCCTGATTCTCTGCAACGGCCAGATCGCCAACGAAAGCCATGATGCGCCACCGGCCATCCGATTTGAGTGCCCTCATAAGCTGCAAGGGCTTCGAATCGCAGAATCGCACAACCTGTGCGCTGGGCAGGCGCATACCGACATGGACATTCGAGGCCAGCTGGGTGGACTCCATGGCAGTGGTCAGGGGAGACACATCGTACTTGGCTGTCAATCCGGCAGTATATTTGCCGGACTGGATGAAGCCTTCTTGAAATTCAGCAGGGGATGTGCTCGCCCCGGAGGAAAAGAGTTTGGAGAAGTAGCGGTCGAAATTGATGAGATCGATCGCGGCCTTTCTCCGCTCCAGAACGTAGGTCTCGAGCAGGGACGGGCAGGCCAGACCAGTCAGGACCTCGCCGAGTTTCCAGCCAATGTTATACCCGTCCTGCAGACTGACATTCATACCCTGGCCGGCCTTGGGCGAGTGGGTGTGGCAGGCGTCACCGGCCAGGAAGACCCGGTAGTCCTTGTGGAAGTAGTCGGCATGGCGCTGGCCGATCGAGTAGGCTGACCACCAGACGGTCTCCACAAAGTCGACTTGGTATGGTTGGAAGATACTTTGTGCTTGGCGCTGCAGATTCGCCAAGGTCACATCCTTCGGGTTGGTTCCCGGCGCGAGCTCGATATAGAATCGAGTCAAGTTGGTGCTGTCGCCCTCACGGGGGATGATCAGGAGATTGCCTGACTGGGAGCGAATCGTCGACTTTTTGCGGATGTCGGGGAAGTTGGTCCGGGGCACCATGTCCATCACACCCCAGACAGCATCACTGCTATCCCCGACCATCTTGAATCCCAGCGCTTTGCGGACGATACTGTGGGCCCCATCACAAGCCTATATTTTGAATATGTGAGATCTTCCGTGGCTAAACCGTCCCACTTTCGAACACGGCCAATGCTTACCAATGCATATTTCGCAGCGAATGTCTCCGTCTTCCCATTTTTCTCTGCGGTGACTATGACGGGGTAGGCCTCCGAGTCGGCCGCGGCCGCGCTGTCCACCTGCACCGACGAGACATTGTACCCATAGTCGATTTGCTGGTTGTTGAACTTCTGCATCAGCTCAATGAGCAGGCCGTTGATGCGCGCCTGGTTCAGGATGACATGCGGCTGGTGCGAGAGCCCCGGCTGGGTATCCGCCGTCCGTCCAGTGCGCTTGATGGCGCCGGTGCCATTGTCGGCCCAGAAGTTCACCTCGACGACATGGTAGGCCTCTCGCAGAAGCTCCTCGCTAATACCAAAACTCTCAAAGATCTCGACGGTCCGGCATTGCACGCCATCCGCCTGGCCCATCTTCATTGGACCATCGCGGCGCTCCAACACCTTGCACCGCACGCCATAGCGCGCCAGCCAGGTCGCAGCGCAGAGCCCCGCAGAGCCACTGCCACAGATGAGCACGTCGAATTTTTCCATTCTGGATCAGAGAGACTATGCAGATTTGCCCCAAGCCCCGTCGGTGCTTTCCCCCGCGAGGGGACTACTTGTATGGCGGTCCGGAATGCCACCCGAAGAACTTTCGGGATTCATTCCGGCGGGGGCAGGCTCTCGGATATCGTCTCGGCATTAGCTCGTGGCTGCAGGACGCACCAGCACCGTCGCGCTGTAATAGTCCTTCAATAGGGCCCTTGTGCCGCAGTACCGTGCGTCTACTCCGGGTCTCCACCCCCGTGGGCGCCGGGACACTCCCTGGGGCGCGGGATCATAGCGAGGTCTATTAAAAGAGGGAAGCCATAGCTCACGAATTATTCTCCGTGATGAGACCTCGAAGGGATATGCTGCACACCCCCAAACACAGAGCATCATCGCGCAAAACAACCGAAATGTGAAGATGGACATTCAATTCGTCTCTAAGATCATTATGTAATGCTCATGATGGCCCGTCCTCACGAACGGAAAATGTTCCCTAACCAAATAAACGCCGGCGCCCGTGCAAATCTCGCAAACATCTTACAGGAAGTACTCGCTGCGGCCTGGCCGCGAGGTGGGCATGTGCCGCTGGTCGTCGCTGACGGCGCTGAACAGCTTGAAGGTCGGCTTCAGGTCGTCGCCGATCTCACAGACCGAGGCCAGGTTGCCGCACCGGTAACAGTAGTTCGGGGCACTCCATACGGTGACGACGTTTTGGTTGGAGAAGTGGTATTTGTATCCCTCATTCACAAGCTGATGCGCGCGAGCAATCAGCGACAGGTCGTTGACGTGGCAGAACTCATCTGCCACACGATCCCCGAATAGCCAACCTAAGAAGAGGAGAAAAAACAGTGAGTTAGTTTGAAGGATCGGACAGCAGACATCAGATCGTCAAAGCTCACTCACCTGCACCGCGAGGGCTGACGGCCCAGGTTTCCACGTCATCGGGGTCAGACCACACCAGATCGCAGAAAGCACCCTCATGGGGAATCTCCTGGGCTCGAGCGACGACGCGCACCTGATCGAGCGTCCGGATCTCGGGGCTCAGCCCCCCATGCACACAGAGCACTTTGCCGTCGATAATGGCGCCCAGCGTCATAAAATCGAAGACCTGGCAGCAGGCCTTCCACACCGAGGCGCTGCCGTACTTTTGGAAACACTCCTCGTAGAACCCATAGACTTGCGTGATCTGTCGGGACTCGTGGTTACCACGCACTAATGTGACTCGGTCCGGATATCTACAAACACGGTGCATCAGCATTTTGTCATCCCCATCCGTAAAGAGAAGCACGCGAACGCGTCACCACTCACTTCGCCTTGAGGCACAACAGGAGTGTCAGCGTTTCAAGACTGAAATATCCACGGTCGACATAGTCTCCCAGAAACACAAAGTTACTCTTGAGCTGAAGATCCGCTGATGTCTGGCTGGTCGATCGGCTGCGGGGGGCATTGGAGGCGTTCTCCTCGTCGTCTTCTTTGGAGTTCAGGTTAGGGCCGCGGAGCTTCTTGCGGATCTTGGGATCGGTGATGGTCGAAGGAGGTTCAATGTCGGCGGAGGTGATGACCGAGGGAGAGTTTTGGGAGGGATCGGGCGCAGTGCCATCGGGCATGCCGCCAGAGACTCGGAAGAGCTCCAGCAGATCGTAAAACTGGCCGTGAATATCGCCACAGATGGTGACGGGAGTGGAGACGGGTTGTATGTTGGATTCTGTCCGCAGGAGAACGCAAAGATGGAGTTAGCCAGAGTCGCCGAACCCGAACGAAGGGATCGGCCTACCCTCCATCATATACTCCTTGACGATCTCACACAATTGCTTCATGTGGGCCTCGGACAGGTATTTGCAGTCTTTGGCGGCCTCCAGCCACTCGTCAGGGCCAGCATGGCGCTTGAGCTTGGCGGGTCCCGGCTGTGGGACCTTGCTGTCGGTCATGGCGAGGAGATTGGAGAGGAGGGCGAAGGGACAGCAGGCGCAAGCGAAGGAGACGAAGGCGGGGGAGGAACGGGGAACTGCGCGGGTGGCCGCCCTCGGACGCCGCAGCTCACGGGGCCTCGCCAGTGGCAACAGTCAAGTGACTACCACACCAGCCAACTGACAACAGCCAACTGACAACAGCCAACTGACAACAGCCAAGCGACAACAGCTGACCAGTGACAACCGCACCAGAGACCATCACCTCCAAGCCGCACTCGTCGTGTATTGGGCTTATCAATCTATAAATCTCTCTATCCCTTCGTGCCAGTCATCTGCTTCCTCCGATATCCAAGCTCGCATCGAGCCAACCAAGTGCTGAGACAGTGTCTCCTGTTTCGCCTGCACCGCGTCTCAAGTCCACGTCTGGCGACGCCTTTCCCCCGTCGTTGAACCGCAGCAGCCGATGGGTGTGTTCGCGTAATGGGAGCCGTTATTCTCGGGACTCCTGCAACTGCACCGCGTGCTGTGCGATTCTCGCTTTGGTGAGACATAACGAACTAAGCCGCTCGAGTCCAGGTTGGTCCCATCTAACCAATTTCCTATTTTCAAGGGTACAGATACCTCTTTCGCCCTATATCCAGCACATACGACCATAGGGTGTGGAGAACAGGGCTTCCCGTCCGCTCAGCCGTACTTAAGCCACACGCCGGTCAGTTAGTAGTATGGTGGGTGACCACATGCGAATCCTGACTGTTGTATGTTTTTGTCGATTTAGGGGTAGCTAGTTGGCGGCGCACTGCTTAATCCCGACTACGTGGTAGGTCCGCATCAGCCTGTCGTCGCGCGGTTCAACCCTGGCGTGATGAGTTCACGAGCAGCCGATTGAAGAGCTATTGGATTGAGACATCGATTTCCGTCAGCACGAGGCAACGCTTGAATATCTTACCCCAAAGGAATTCTTCAACGCCTCATTGGTTAATTTTCCACTATTGAAGAATATCTGAACAAGGTAAAGCTTCTCTATTCGATGATCTTTCATCTTAAGAGCTTCTATCAGAAGCTTTATCTTATTTAGATATTCTTCCACGGTCGAAAAATGAACCAATGAGCTACTGAAGATCTCCTTTAGGGTCATATATAGTGGTAAAGCCCCTAGGGTTATATAGCCCGTTCTGTCGCCGGGTTGACAACACCCTTATGATAGAATCTTGGGCGAGTGGAGGCACAATGGCTATCGCTCCTGAGTGAATCGAGGGGATCATACAGGTGAGCTGCCAATCGTGTACGCCCTGTATCATCATCAGATTTCCCTTCTGAGACGAAGAGATTCCTGGATGACAATGCAGGTGGCGGAGAACGGGCTGCGAATGGCGTTGCTTTGGGGGTGACTCGCAATAATTGTATTGGATGCTCCCCTTTGCCTGGGAGAAATTATCTCACGCCGAATTTGGAGACAAGTTGTATCCCCCTTCCCTCTATTCCAGGAGACCACATAAAAGTTCAACCTACCAGCCTCTCCGAGTTTCTTGTTCATGCCAGTCGCAGCAGTCTCAATAGAAAATATTCGGGTTTTCGATAGCTAGCTCCGCTCGTGCAGTCTCTTACACACACCCGTACTTCACTCAATCAGGTCGCTGCCAAACTTTCCTTCAGGATGCTTGCATCGTCGAATTCGATGTGCGTATCCGACTCTAGTTGTTCTATCACCCCCATCAGTTTGGGGTGTCAGAGTTCTTTGCTGTAGTATGAAAGTTTTGATCCATATGGGCTTCTCCAGGAACAAAATAGCGGAAATATTGGACTTGCGCTCCGATGGCGCGTCATGGAAGGTCCCCAAAGGGGTTCGACTTGTACTGTGACTTAAGAGGTCGGAGCCTGGTGGAACCGTCCAACCGACACCATCGTCATTAGCGTCGGCATCAGGGCTAAAGATATTCCGGTGGCAGGTCCATAAACGTCACAAGTAGCTATAGTAAAGTACATGGGGGCAGGACAGACACTCGATAATTAGAGAGTCCGCTATTTAAAAGTAGTTTAGACACCCGCGAATCAATATCTACTAAGTCATCGCAGGGGGCAACGGTGAGAACTGTGGAAGCGAAGGCCCGGGTCGTTGACGGAGGTGGATGATCCACCCGGGAGAATACAAAACGTAAACCATCAAATCACGTCGCTTTTGGTTGGTGCAGTAGCTTATATGTTCGGTTACAGGTGGTTTATGGTGTGTGCATTAGGCCGCATGATATCGGTTGTACTCGGCTGTATGATATCTGCAGTATGCAGGTTCTGCCCGGATGCATGTGGCTGGCCGGTCCAGATCAACTGGAGACACATTCTTTTTCTTAGATAGGAGAGTGGCTGGTGTCTTATACATTAGGTTGTGTAACTCAAAAGGTCTCCTCCTGCAAGATAAGACGTCACTCGCGACGTGTCTACTGCATAGTCACACTACATATGTATGACAGGAAATCAAGTGGAGAGATGCATGACAATAGTTCAGCTATAGATTTCTTAGGGCATGCAAAAAATGCAGTCTGGTGGTAAACCTAGGTAAGGCTCTCACTTAATCTAACATGAGATTAATGATCTCGTCGATCAATACTGTGTTATCTTTCCGCCGAAACAAATGTACCATTTCCAGTCTACCTAATATCTAAGTACACACTGCTAAGTTATTGACAATAAAGAACACAACACAGAAAGCTTCCATATATACCTAGGTATACCCAGGTAGTTTCCCAATTTTTCGCTTTCAAGATCTCGTGCGTCAACCGTCGGTAAAAGTGAGCACTTGAGATGTCTCAACGTCCAACTCCCTCACTGGCAGCTCTTGGGATGGCAAATCTCTCTTCCGTGACTCCGCCACTCATGAAAATGAGTCTGATACTGGTCAGCTTTTGCTCACATCTTTTCACTGCCCTTCTAATACCCAGGACATATTAGGCCATCACCTCCCTCTTGTGCCGGATTGTCTATAATTTGTTCTTCCACCCTCTTGCCAAGTACCCCGGACCAAGGCTTCGAGCAGCCAGCACAATTCCATTCATGTATGCACTGGTTATTGGCCAGCATCATGAGGTGGTTGTCAATATGCACAAGGAATATGGAACTGTTGTTCGCATTGCACCGAATAAATTATCCTACATCACTGGTCAGGCATGGCAGGACATCAACGGCCATCGAAAAAGGACAGAGCCTGAGATGCCTCGGGATGATAAATGGTTCACTCGCAACCCTAATGGCCCAGATATGGTCTATTGTAGCCGGGAAGAGCATCGACGCTATCGAGGGTTGTTTGCTGGTGGATTCTCAGACAGGTCTTTGCGTAGCCAAGAGCCTCTGATCGGCGGTTATGTCACATCACTAATAAACAATCTGGCTCGGCGCGTGAAAGAGAGAAAAGACACCGTTTTTGACCTGGTCACTTGGTTTGAGTGTACTACATTCGACGTTGTAGGTGACCTCACATTTGGCGAATCCTTCGGCTGCCTGGAAACAGGAGAAGTACATCCTTGGTTGCGAAGTATGTCTGATACGGCCAAGGCATTTCAGGTGATTCGGGCTTGCCAAGAGATTCCTCTTATCGGTCAGTACTCAACTACCGTCCTCCCTCGGATTTTCCGGGTAGGCGTGATCAAGAAGAGCCAAGAACATTTTGCCTTCACAGAAGGAAAGCTTCGCCGTCGATTAGACCGCAAAGAACCGCGTGCAGATTTTTTAGGTCCCATCCTTCAAAAGCCTGACGGCAAGGGCCTCAGTTATCCAGAGTTACTCACCCATTCCTCCATTCTAATCCTGGCTGGGGGGGATACTGTGACGGGGGCATGCGCGGCAATTGTATATCTGCTGCTACAGAATCCAGATAAGATGGAAATTCTGGTCAATGAGGTGTTGACCACATTCCAACACGAAGACATGATTACTATCGACTCCACCAGCCGTTTGGTTTATCTTCGTGCTGTGATTAAAGAAGGTCTTCGTCACTATCCCCCAGTCCCCATTGGCATTCCACGCACTGTCCCCGAGGGAGGCTCAATGATTGACAAAGAATTCGTGCCTGAAGGGGTGAGTTTTAGGCCCTTAAATATGGTACAGTGCTAATTTCTGATAGACCTCGGTGTGTGTCTCTCACATGGCCGCATACCAGTCAACGTTAAATTTTGAGCGACCGGATGAATTCTGTCCGGAGAGGTTTCTCGATACTACAATGTTTTCGGACAAACTAGATGTCTATCAGCCTTTTAGTCTCGGCCCACGCAACTGTATAGGTAGGAAGTATGTATATCCGCACCTATCTCTCAAAAAACGCACTTAGGAATTATGACTGACACTTGTAATCAGCCTTGCCTACGCGGAGATGCAGATGATTCTCACCCGTCTACTGTATCGCTTTGACCTTCGACTGCAAGATGACAAGTTTGCTTTCGGGTCGCAGCGAACATTTACTGGATGGGAGAGACCTCCATTGAACGTGTCTCTGATTGCGCGTTAAGTCTGGAAAAAATAGATAAAGGCTAGAACTCATGCAGGGAGGTGAAGCAGCGGTGTTGGAGTGATGAGTAATGTTCTGTCCTATTCAATCTAATGAATGCTTCGCCGTTTTATTCCCGCTCTTATCCACATGCGCCCATGTTCCTGCCTATTCACCTCAGATCCAGAAGGAAGTTTTCAGGGTCCAATTTTATTGCACGATTGTATGTGTATATAATCTGCCTCTAAGTACTAATATCAACATCCCCATAAAACCGAGACCTCCAAGCTCTTCCAGAGATTGTTGCACTTTGTGTTTCTCGGTACCAGACTCCCACATACCACTAAGCTTTCCAAGTATTCATCAGAGCAACGTAATCACCACAAATAGGCCAGCAAGAACTATCGGAATGATGAGGAAATGGCCTCCATAACCAAAAGATGGCCTTCTCGCATGCTTCAAGCTGTCTTGGATCGCTTTTGTAGGAAACAAAGCAGTTGGATCATGAGGATGAGGACCCAAAGCTGCCCCCAATTCAGGATATTGAGGTAAGCGCAAACAAGCAGACAGTGGCACTAAGTGGGCTGCAATCATATTATAGCTTAGGTGCAGGATTGGTGGCCATGCTGCAGTGGTGAGCAATAGGGCAACAACGCTCTTGTCGTTTTCGGAAATCGAACAGCGGAATTTGGCCATTAAGTTATAGTAAATGGCCACAATAGTAGCGATGAGTGACAGTCCATTGATACACAATTCGGTATCTGGGATCATGCGCTGGGTCAAACTCATCAGACCCTCGGGTTGGCTTGACATGTCTTGATTCCAGGGGTGATCAGAGCTTCCGGTCACTGGGGATCTAGTGGATTTGGTTCTCAAGAAGAAGAATCTTATGATGGCGAGAAGTTGCCCTGTAAAATGATTAGTACTTCAAATTGGGCTTGTGAAGGAATTTTGTAGGCTAGTTCTCACCTGGAGCCATCCATGCTTCCTCTAGATGTGGAAAGAGGGAGACTTTAAATTCCACGCAAAGAGCCTGTATATACTGGCTAGCATAGAGGATTGAAAGGTATATGGTAGCCATGCTGACATTGATTTTCAATATCCAAAGGCTTGGTGCGGGGACCAACTGCTGACCGGTGAACAACGCCAGCGGGAGCACAATAAATTCCAGCGTCCGGGAAAAGAGTGTCAGAATATGAATCAGGCCTTCTATTACCATCGAAGTACGACGTGAGTTTGGGATTGAATTCTGCACAGAGTCATTCCATGCCATAATGCGCTCCGCCAAGCTGACTGACCACCTTTTTCGCTGAAATATATGGCCCTGGATACTTTCTGGGACCCTCCCATACTGAAGAGGCTCTGCCAGTGATATTATATCATAACCAGATGCCAGCAGGGTATAAGAAAGGATCATGTCTTCCCCGCTGAAAAGTACAGGGAAACCACCAACAGCGACGAGCGGACCCCGACGAATGAGACAACCAGATCCGCCAGCGACAGCGCCTCGAAGTGCGGTCAGCTGGGGGCTGAGCACCGCGACGAACCATTCTAAGCCCTGGTAGAGAGGGTCCCCGACAGGAAGGTTATAATAGATCTGTGAGGTCCCAACGATAGCTAGTTTGGGATCTGTCACCAGGTGTGCTAGTCCGGCTCGAAGTAGGTCTGGCGACGGAATGAAGTCTGAATCAAGTACAGTAATGAATTCAGGAAGCTGACCATTGGATTCATCAAAAAGAACGTGGTTCAAATTGCTTGCTTTGGCAAAAGTTTTGGTGCCCTTCTTCGTGGCCCGAGTGTGATAGTGCAAATTGGGCCACTTAGTGCGTAGTTTCTCCACGGCCTCGAGAAGACTGGGTGAGTTTCCATCGTCGAGTACCCGCACCCGGAACCTGTCTTGAGGATAGTTGAGAAGACAGGCACCACGAACTGTCCCTGAGATGATTTCGATGGGCTCTCCATAGCATGGGATAAATACATCCACTAGAGGCACTTGATTACCGACCAATCGACGTGCCTGTCGGCTGGGCTGCACAGAACGCGTCTCAGCTTTTAACGCAAATATACGCAAAATTTGAAAGGGTAGGATCTGGCCTAGGACCGGATGGTTAATAGAATGTTTTGAGAAATCAGTATCATGGCTTACCATAGGAGGCTACCTCAAGGAAGAAAATCATCCACATCCAGAGATTTGTTTCTGTCATGAAGAGTAACGCAAGACGGAAAATAACGTACAGCACCAAGAAGGACACTGCTGCTTTTGTCACGAATAGGTCCATTTTTTGGACCATATGACAAGTATGTGACCTCTTCCATGATCCGTTTTCATCTGAAAGAATTTGGATGTCATGCTCCGGCTCCATAGTCTTGGTGATCCGTGATATTTCCTTTCCCTCTATAGTTCTGAAAAGGCATCAATCCCGGACAATGTGAATGAATTAACGGGTTATCGGTCGCTCGGTTGCTCAGACTTAAAGCGGTGAGGGCCTACGGGTCTGATCATCACGGCACGACTTGCAAGTTCCTGCAGGCTCCTGTAGGCTGCTGCACGATATATAAAACTCCTATTGACACTATTGATTTAATGATCGGCAGAATGCAGCATGCAGATTCAGGATGCGGTGCTACGTAAGTACGTGGCCATACTATCGAAGTTATACCTTTTTCTCACATATTCCTGGACTTTGTATGCCATGTTGAAAGTGACCCAAACATGCGTATTTGTATGATGTTGAATAATATATATAAATTGTAACCAGTAGAGGTCTCCAAATGATATCTAGGCTTCTGCCGCCCTTCGCCCGTCATCTCAAAGCCATTACCTAAAGACCTTGGAACAACTGAACCTTGGGAGAGCTTAAAATCAGATAATAGACATCTCGGAAAAGATGCTTATCTTAATATTCGTCTTCATCGGCTATCTCGGCTGTAGAACCCTCTATCGTCTGTACTGGCACCCTCTTCGTCGCTTCCCTGGTCCCAAACTCGCTGCCACCTCGAGAATGTACGAGTTCTACCACAACGTGGTACATAATGGCAGATATCTTTGGAAGATTGAAGAGCTTCATAAGCAATATGGTAAGGTGTTTGTCTTCAAAAGAGGGGAATTAGCTGAGTCTTTCAGGATCAATCCTCCGTGTGGGCCCCAACGAGCTTCATATCAGCGACCCTACCTACTTTTCTGAGATATATGCAGGAAACAGCAGAAAGCGAGGCAAGGACAAATACTGGCTTCGGATGTTGATAACTCTGTCAGACAGCATCGCGGCCACTGGCGAGCATGACCTGCATCTAAAACGGCGGAATCATCTCCTTCGACACTTCTCGAAGAAGTCAGTCATGGAAATAGAGCCCCGTATCAAACCGTCAATTGAAAAGACTATGAAGATCCTTGAGCAGAAGGGCAATTCTGGTGAGATCTTCGCCATCGACTCGCTTTTAATTGCGATGGGTACCGATGTTATCTCGGAGTACATCTTCGGCAATCCCTTGGGCTTTTTGGACAACCCCGGACTCAACAATACATTGAGAGATGTTCTTCATTCTATGAGCCATTATGGTCCCTTAATGACATTCATCCCTTTCGGCGACAAATTGCGCTACATCGTTCCTACCTCTCTGCTCGCTCGCCTGTCCTCACATATCCGGGTCATCTTAGAGAACGAACGCTTGATCCGGGATATCTGTGCCCGAGGAATGCAATCCCTCAGCGCCTCCAAGAAGTCTACCTTATTCAGTTCATTGAACGATCCTAAAATCCCATTGTCGGAGAGGTCTTTGGACCGCGTCACAGCAGAGAGCATTCTGTTCTTGCTGGGGGGACTGAAACCACGGGGTGGACTATATCAGTCACCATGTTTCATCTGCTGAGTGATCAAACCGTTTTCCTGAAGCTGCGTGATGAGGTAAAACAGGTTCTGGTGCATCCAACAGACTACCCCAGTTGGACTGCCCTGGAAGCTCTCCCGTACTTGGTAAGTCGTGCCACACAGGACATGGACCGGGACTGTCTGCTAAGCTTTTCAACATGAATAATATAGCGAGCGGTAATCCAAGAAGGGCTCCGGCTAGCTCTTGTTGTTGTCAATCGGCTCGCTCTCGTTGCAACAGAGGAGACTCTAGTATATAAAGACTGGGAGATTCCACCAGGAGTAAGCTTCCACCTTAATATCCTTCTTGCCAGATGCTGTGTTGACATTAACATTTTGGATAGACGGCGGTCGGCCAATCAATGTGGTTTGTCCATATGAACGAAGAAATCTACCCCGAGCCGCGCAAATTTAAGCCCGAACGCTGGTTATCGGCCGAAAAACAGGGTCGGCCTTTGGAAAAATACTTCGTCCCCTTTCTCCAAGGTGCGCGAGATTGCATGGGTAAAAAGTGAGTATCTCAACCCTTCCCAGTAGTGTCTCAATCTAATGAGTGAAATAGTCTTGCCTATGCAGAATTGTATGTGACTGTTGCCCTGTTAGTCCGACGATTTGACATGGAATTATACGAGACAGGCCTGCCGGACGTCATGCCCTACCGAGACGGCGTCATTACTCATCAAGCTGATGGCAGTCAGGGAGTACGCGTTAGGGTGACTAAGATGTTGACCGAGTGAAAACTGTCTGGATACGAGGTTTTCTTTTTCATTCTCATTTTCTTACGGTTTTCAGTAGTTAAAAATCTTCGCAAATAAAGAAAATTTGATTTAATGCACTTAATCTACTACTGCAGTTGGAAAAATACTTGTGAACTGGCTGGCCTGCAAAGCTCGCAATCGCAAATCTGACCCCAAGACAGCGTTTAGCACTCTAGTTCATGTGCAGGCTGATACTGCTGGAATGTCGGTGTGGATAATAGTTCTTTTGCTCCTGGAAAATGAAAGAGCAATAAAAAGCAAAACTCAATAAGATAAGGGTGCATATGCATGATAAGGTACGACTACAGCTTGGTCAAAGAACCGTAGATGTGCCATTTTGTCCAATCTTACCAGCAAAATTCGGATAACTCAATATTTTTTCCTATCGGATAACAATTCTTATTATGCAATCGAATCTTGAATTAACTAGTTAGTCATTATTTCTTTGGTCTAGGCACGACACTTCCTGAGTGGAGAGATGAGTAATTACTTGAAAGATCATAGGAACCGCCCTGTGCGAGGAACTTTAACAAGAAAGCTCAAAATGGAATATTGCCATAGTTGCTACGATGCCGGACTCTGGGGAAACGGAGCTTGGAGAAGGAGAGCCCGCATAGGAGGTGAGAGAAACTATGTATGTAGGTTCAGGGACCATATCGCATGATCCCACAATAATATTGCTCCTCCAGGACTACATATGTCCCATTCGTAACCCGCTCTTACCGTCATCAACACTTGCTTCCTTTACTTAACGTCATGCCAGGTGCAGTTCAGAAAGACGATATCTTTCCGAGGTGAGGTAGAACTCGATCTGTCCAGTGATATACTGATCTGCCTTATCACGCAATAGATCGTCATCTTGAAAGATCCTTCCAATGAGATGTCTTCGTCGCACAATATCCTTTGCCAAGTTCCTCAGAGCCTCTTGGATTGACACTCCCGTCGATCGTGCCTGGTGATAGACATACGTGTCTCGTTCGTCACCTCCAATCGATTCCTTGTAGAATGACATCAAGTCATTGATTTCGTCTGTGATATTCCACAGTTCTGGCACAGCCTGCAGAAAATGTTTGTGTTGTGCTGCCGTGACCTCCTTATCCGCCATCAGGAAATAGACGTAGGCCTCGGAACTCCCATTCATGTTGCGGAAGTATTTTGCAAACATGGGGGACCCAACGCCCGTAAACTCGGTGGACCGATCCAGCTCAATCTCCAAGCTCGTCAGGGAAGCTAATACGCCCGCAAAGAGCTTGTTGGCGACCATTGATGGAAATACGCGGTCGAATTCGGAAAACAAGTAAGCGAGCATTTCGAAGGGGGCAGACTGCTTTTCGCTTTTCAACAGCCGTTGCCGGAACTGGCTAATCTCTGCAACCATAGTGTCGCCCTCGTCATCGAGGACAAGATAGAATGCCGTGTACATCCCGATGACCAGCTGGACATCTTCATCATGCCATGGGTAGAAGTAGATTGCCACCAGGGCAGCCACCTTCGATACCCTCTTGGCCAACTTCTGGTTCAGTGTCACTTGACTGATCCGAGCAACGATCTGGTCGTAAATATGAGCACACGGGAGCTGCTCGTAAGATGGGATCCTGTTCATGGTCTTCAGCATATCTTTCATGATTGCCTCATACGTCGTTTTGGTGATTTCGTCCCTGTCCGGCGATCCTGCGAAGGCCATGAGCGGGGCAACAACCCAGCTAGAGAGCCACCTGCCAATTGACAATTTCCCAGCGGGGCTCATGAGAATCGTGAGTTTGGAATTCATGATAAGGAGTAGGTAATAACGTCTGAAGTCTCAAGTGGTTTATTGAATGGTCTTTGCAAGGGAAGGTAGTATAGGAGCCACAAAATAACTCTCCTATTGATATAGACTGCCGGTTGCATTCTAGGGCTAATCTTCTCATAGATCTCATAGACACTCCCCGTTGGAGCTGCACCGAGCGGTACCGAGCTGATCGACTTCATATTGACGCACTATGCCCGCTTATCAAGGGCCATATGCAGCAGTGGAGACGGATTAAAAATGTTCCACGGTGTCTCAAATCTCTTCAGCATAGATAAGCATGATGCATTGCGATCGTGACACCCTAGCGGATTATAATCCGGAATAGAGTACCTAGGTACGGAGTATAGGTAGGTACGGCACACACATGTGCATGAGCATATGTACACATGTGTGACGAATTTGGCAGCTCTTCAAATAGTCCTGCAATCCTTGACAATAAATACGCCAATGTGCTAGGTACGACAGGTCCAAATATCCTCTTACTTATGCTCACCGCTATTCGTAGAACTTTAACCCTTTATCTAGATTCGTTAGCTCATCTGAAAATTATTCTCGTTGCCCTGTAGAGATAGGGATCTGCCTGAATAGTTGTATGCTGTACCACTTGAACTAATTACTTGCACATGAAGCCACTTATTCCACTTTAGGTGACCTATCACTTGATCGCCTAATACGTAAAAGTACGGTGTAATTTACCATCTAAAACATCGTTGTACAGTAGTTTATGTAGGAGAAGGTTAACACATGATACTGTAATTTACATCACCTTGAAATTCTGCAGAATCTGCCAAATCGGGCATGTGGCTAAGGAAATTTCATCCGCAAGACACTAGTAGGTTCTATCTGCATAACACTGGCTCACTCAGGACTGGGGTCATTAGCTCTGCAGAGAAAATGGCTGGCTGAATATGCGTCTTAAAACCTTAAATCTGCACTAGTCGTGCTGAAAAAGCAAAGCTACCATCATGATGATGATGAGAATGATGATGATGATGATGATGATAACTCTATTATCCTAATACAGCCTAGCTAACGCGCAATGGCCATGTAGGCGCATATTCTGACAGAAGTAAGAGCTGGCCGAGCACCCGCTGAAACGTGGTATAGTAGATAGTGATTATAAAGGAAAACAACGTTTTGCTAACTAATCATAGCCGAATATCAGCCTAATCGGGAACTATACGCCCGCTATAATTAAATCCTACATACTGTACCTATATACTATCAATTGAAGAAAGTGGTGAAGAGAACCAGTAACCCAGAAAAAGAAAGGAAAGGAAGCCCTAGTGTCCGTTTACTTGAGCGGTCAACTTGTGTGAATTATCTGTTGGAGGAAAGGCTTTTCTGGTATGCTTTTCACATGGAACATGTCTGAGACTCGAAACTGTAGACATCCTGAGCTATAGACCATCGATATCACACATTCAATTTGTCTGCTTTTTTGCTTACTATGACACTACTGAGTTCAATTCCATGCTAGTGGCTGTTATCAGGAATATAATTTTTATCGTAGAGACCAGTCTGATGTTAGCGCTACTATCTTGTAGAAATCCGTAGTTACTATGGAATGACCCAAGGCCCACATCTCAACAATCAACAACCTCCTTTGGATGCGTCCAGCTAGGTTGACCCCTTGGGTTCAGCATCTTCCATAATTTCTCATAGTGATACAGAATAGCAACAACCGGGATTAAACCTAACGCAATCAACGCAAGCATGCTATTTCCCCATCCATATCCAAAACGAGCGTATAATGGCGGAGCACCGAGAGGCATCACGGTCCCAAAAATGGAGCGCACGGTAACATTAGCAGCAATGACACTTGCCGCATAAGCCGTGAAGGCATCAATCAGATATGTTTGAATGCCCGCAAACACCACCGTGATACCTGCCGCAGACAGACCCGATCCTATGATAGGCATGACCCAGTGAAGTCGGGCTTGGGCTGACCATCCATACCAGAGCAGGCCGATAGCGATCAGTAGGCATCCTGGCACTATAGCAGGTAAGCGGTCTTTAGGTCGACTATGCCCATTTTTAGCTCGCTGTTGTTTAATATACCAGTCTAAGGCAGGGCCAGCTAGTTGCCCCGACGCGAACCCGAGTCCCTGGCCGATGTAGGTGAGGCCAATTTGGGCTTCGTTGAACCCGTACTCGTTCCCGAAGAGGATGGGGAAGGTAGTAATGGTAAAATACATAAAGGTAAATGCTGTCGACGTATAAATGGATGCAATGATCACGACCGGCGAGGTAGTCTGAAGGATGACTGAACGAACGATTGCCTTCCGTATATCCTCCCAGCGAGCTTGTTGGCTGCCGGTTTTGTCGGGCATAACATTATGCCTTTGAGAATATAGAGAGTTTGATTTGATCTTCCTGATCACTGTAGGGCCGTGTGTCTCCTGGAAGATCATAAAACCGGCCAGTATCGATAGCCCACACTAGACGGTGCATTAGTGACCGATTCGTCTACCTCCCAAAGAGACATACCAGAATACACTCCATTCTAAGTGCCCATCTCCATCCAATATCGAATGATATATAACCGCCAATAATCGGGCCTATTCTAGATGTCAAAGAAGGACCAACGATATACCCATCGTTCTCTTACCAACTACCGAGCCCTATCAATATCATATTAGCAATAAAGTACGCATGATCAAATATCTTGACGTGAAAACCTACCAGTAAAGGCCCACAGGCCCACAAACTCATCAATGTCCCACGTTTCTCAGCTGGTATAAGATCTGCCACCACACTACCGCCAATTGTCGTTGGCACACATCCCGCCACACCCATAAGGACTCGACCGATGAGCAATATTCCGACATTAGGGCTGACTGCGCTCAGAAAGGATGCCACTGTGGACAAGATGTTTGAGAAGTGGAGTAATGGGGCTCTCCCATAGAGATCAGCCATGGGCGCGACGACCAATGGACCGATCGCGAACCCAACGACGTGGGCTGAAATCAAGAATGAAGTCAAAAAGGGGCTCGAGGAATGGAATTCACGAATGATCTTTGGGGCTTCTGGTGTGAGGATAGTGGTGGTAATGCATCTGGCAGATACGAAGGGTTAGCCAAAGCTCAAAGTAATCCGCGGGCGGGGGAAGAGAAACAGGTTTACTACTCGTTAAATGAGGCAAAGGAGGTCAAACCAATGATGGCCAACTTTTTTGCAGTTGAAAAATTCCGCGGATTTCTAGGATCGTTCATCCATTCTTCGTCAATACTTTCCAGCTGTTGTTTTTTGGGAAGCAATGGCTGTCTCTCATGATCCTGTGGCATCTTGTCGTCGCTATTTCCTAAATCTACTGGGACGAAGGCAAACTTAGTAACGAGAGAGAAGTGAATATGGATGGATTTCTTGCGGAAAAGGTCAACCCGGTCGGCCGGGGGGGGGTTGGCCCCCCCTTATCAACAGCAGTAGGTCGACCATCATGGGTGATCTGCACTGCTTTTTCCTATGCCCTTGCATACATTATTGCTCTCGCCGCATATCTTCTTGATAACGGTATTGGCTCGTGTAAGAGTAAGTTTGTTCCGAAGATTGCAACATTTGTAAGTACATACCCCTTCCTCGGCCCCACGGTTTCCCTTAACCGGATGTGAAGATATGCACCGGCGACCTCCCCAGGGTAGAATCAAGTTGATATGCAGGTCAATCCATGGTCTATCAACCTTACGAGGGATATATGGACAAACTATAAGGCCTGAAATCACCCGTAATATATTGAATTCCAAAGACAAAAAAAGCAAACTAAACCCACAGAGTAACTTACGGAACCGAGGGAAAACCGCCTGACCCCGGGAGTGCAGGCTGGTTATTTGGAGAAAAAGAAAAGAGAAACATGGGCCGTAAGCGATAAACGAGGCCGGAAATATCTGAGCAAGCAGTATGGGCTAGTAATCCTATCGGGCGAATGAGGGCGAGGATGTAGGTCAAGCGGAACCAATCTTCTGGCGAAAAAACTGCACTGCGTGATGTGCGATCTCCGCTTTGGTGAAACTATACGAACTCGGCCGGTCGAGTCCGAGTTGGTCCCATCTGACCAATAACCTACTTTTAAGGGTAGATATACCTCTTTCCCTTATATCTAGCACATACGACCATAGGGTGTGGAGAACAGGGGTTCCTGTCCGCTCCGCCCTGCTTAAGCCACAGACTGAACGCGGTCAATTCTTAAAGCGCCCTTGGCCTTACAACAGCACCGTGTGTTAGCAACTACGGCCAACAGATAGGCTCATCATCTGTATAAGTAAGATGTACACTTAAAACAAGAATACAGTGAATTGTACCGGGCTCCGTCATCGCATTTGTTCTCAGAATACTTTATATGATTGATTTTTGTCTAGGCTACGAACATCTATTGGAGCCAAGAAGAGCCAACGAAAGAGCATAAACTATCTCAAACTATGGCAAAAGCAGTGAGTAAGAGGGATGAAGAAGGAAAGAAAGATGCTGGCTAATCCAGCTCTTAACTATCCTCAAAACCCGGAACAACCTAGTGAATCAAATAATTCACTACCAGACAATTCACTGCCAGAGAGCGATGCCGTCATCAGCATCTCATTATGCTTATGAGCAAACAAATTATGGCAACCATTCGAGGCATGACTCGAGGTTATATTTGTAACTTATATTTGGGGATGATACCAGAGTGGTTCAAGCTTCTGACGGATTAGGCTTCCGCGGCGGGTTTGTAGGAGTGTAGAGTATACTACATAATGGTGACGCATCCGATCATTCTGAACTCCCAAGGTCTTTTAATAAGCCAGCAGACAGGGCTGTCATGTTTAAACCTCCCCTTTGGACAGGAAATCAGCTTTCACTAGCGGTGCAACTCGGCATGGCTGCTGATAAACAATGCTCACTTTCTACATCCATTTTATCTTCCCTTATCGGGCTGGGAATAGGGATATCCATCGTTATTTTACTGCAAATTCTCACCAAAATTCTCGAATATTGCAACAAAAGACTGAATATGGGTATTGACCATGAAAGCTATACGCCTGATACTCCGCTTCATCCGCTTGCCAACTGTACCCGTCGTCCAGCAATTACAACTGTTGTAACCATGCCTGGACACGCTCTTTCTGATATGGATCGAGATATTAAGCTTCAAACTGCAAAACGTCAAGAGTTACAGGACCTTGAAGCAGCAATACCTCGGATACACCGGTGATTCTGTTTGAGTGCATGACCTCGACACAGGATCTCGAGTCATGCCTCGAATGCTTGTCATGGTTGCTTGTCATGGTTGCTTGTCATGGTTGTTTGCCATGAGCGTGATGAGATGCTGATGATGGCCTTGCTCTCTGGCAGTGAATTGTCTGGCAGTGAATTATTTGATTCACTAGATTGTTCCAGGTGTTGAGGATAGTTAGGACCTGGATCAGCCAGCATCTTTCTTTCCTTCTTATATGTTGTCTTTTAACGCAAGTTTACATGCTTTGTAGACTTGGTTTAGGTAGGTTTTCCTTCTCTTGATAGGCTTAATGACTGAAACCGGAGTCCACATTCTGTCGAAACCTCATGTTTACCAAGCTGCTTGACGTTTGCAGGGGTTTCAGGGCAATATCCACTTGACCGGCTTGATTGAACCTTGGTGCTATATCGTTGCATGTTTAGACCCCAATTTGAGAACAGCCACCTCCGATGTGCAAAGGGGATGTTAACATAGCGAAAAATCAGTAGCTGGAGAAGGCATCAAGGAATATATCAGTCATGCAACACATCAATCATTCGCTATGTACCCTCAATAGAAACTTTCTATCTACATCCATCAACCATCAATCTTGCTCAGGAACTCAGTCACCACATCGGCAAAGGCCTCGGGCTGCTCGGCCATGGGCAAGTGACCCGCCTTGTCAATGATCTTCAGCTCGGCACCGCCCTTCAGGTCAGCAGCCATCTTCTGCATGGTCTGGGGCAGAACGCCATCGTTAGCACCAGCCACAAACAGCCCGGGCACGGTCGCCGAGGCCATGCGCTCGCGGATGTCGTAGGCACAAAGCGCGTTGACGCTGTGCGCAAAGCCCTTCAGACTGTTCGTACGGATAGCCTCCTTGACCGAGGCCAGCACCTCCGGATGGGCCTCGTACGACTCCGGGACGAACCAGCGTCGGGTCGTGATCTCAGCCAGCTGCTCGCCGACAATGGGCTCCTCGGTTTCCGGGTGGGTCGAGCCCTCCTGCTCGGCCATGGCGACGCGGTCGCCCCAGGCCTTACGGTTGGACTCGGGCGCGGACGAGTTAGTGTCGCAGGAAATAAAGGCGCCAATGCGCTCGGGGTACAGCAGGGCGGTGTTGAGAACGGTGACACCCCCCAGGCTGACACCGATCAAACGGGCCGCCTTGGGAGGCACGCGGAGGGCCTCGAGGAGGGTGGCCAGGTCGGAGGCCAGCACATCCACGGTGACGGGCTGCTCACCGCTGGCGGAGCGGCGGCCACGGGTCAGGTAGCGCACGATGCGGTAACGCTGGTTCTCCTTGCGGGCGAGGAAGGCATCCACAAAGCGGTCCCAAATGTTCCAGTTGACGAGGATGGAGTTGCTGAGCACCACCACCGGGGCCTCGGGGTCGGTGCTACCTTCCAATCGGTAGGGGATCTCGACGCCGTCCTTGGTGGTGACAAACGACTCGACAGCAGGGCGTGTCGTCGAAGGGAAAGTGCGGGTCTTCTCATCGTTGGAGGACCAGGGTCCAACGCAATCCGGGGAGGCCAGCGACGAAAGCTCCCGCGGAGCGGGGCCGAAGGTGTAGTACCACTGGTAGACGCGGCGCTTCTTAGAGGTGACCACGGTCTCCTGGAGCTTCTGACGCCAGGTGGTGTTCATGGCGGCCTTGTGGACATCGCCGCCGAGCCCGTTGACGGGAGAATACTCGTGGAGAGCGAGCGTCTCGCGCGGGGCCTTGGGATCAATGGACGAAGTCACAAACAAGCGGCTGCGGCGCCAGCCCGGCACGCGGGAGAGCATTTCGAAGTGTTCCTCGCGATACCAGCGGTCATGCTCGGCCTGCTTCTCCGGGTCGGCGTGAGTGGCAGTGGTGACGGCGACGAGGACGCTCCCGCGGGTCTCGGCATCTGTGTCGGCTTGGTCCTCCAGCGGGCGGGAGTTGGGGGCGCTGCGCTCATCGATCAGGTCGTACAGCAGGCGCCCGACATCGATTTGGGCCATGGTCTTCTTCTCACGCTCCGTCTTGATCAGATCAGTCCGCAGATCCAGGTAGGTCTTGCGGGTCAACTCGTCCATGTCGGTGATATCGTACAGCGCCACATACTCGGGCTTCTCGCCGTCGGTCGCGCGGAAGCGGAAGCCATTGGTGATGAAGGGCAGCCGCACGCGCAGCGGGCCATGCTCGGTGTTGTACCAGTCGTGGAACTGCGCGTCAGGCAGTGAGCCCTGAGGCTGCATCGTCACGTAAAGGAGGCCGGGAGTCGGCATGGTGGGTGGTGCTCGAAGTATAGCGGCGGCGGCGGCGGAGGTGGGGGAGGGGAGGGGCAAAGGTGGTAACGGGGAGCAATCTCAGTTTAAAGGAGACAGAGAGCGAGAGGAGGAGTGTTGCTTCCAATGGCCGATGGATTAATGATTGTAGATTGTATTGCAATCCTCCACACCAGTCCCCGGCCCCGGGCCATCGTCATGGTCTTTTTAAGTGTTTCAACGTTGTCGGCAGTGCGCCTCAGCCGGAAGAAAGCAAGGCACACCCGACGAAAGTGCCGATTGCCCCAAGTAAATTTTTTTCACCCCCGCCTATGTTTTCCGCCCTGCACTGCAACCTAGTTTACATTTATATGCTTCGATGATTCTCTGAGTCTACCTACTATGAGTCTGCTCTTCGACGCTTCTTATCTCTCTATGGAAAATAAAACGTCACACGAAATGTAGATCGCTGGGGTGGAACTGGTCTAGATTCATGGGACGGGTCGGACTCGTCTTGATTCCTTTTCTATATGCAGATTCTACTTCATTTTATTCATTTTATTTCGTTTAATCATACCAGATGGCGTTCATGCCAAAGCCCTGCTCGGGAATGTCAACGCGCGCTACGCGGGCGAGCGTCTCGTCGCGCCAGCGGTACATCTCGACAAAGCCCAGCTGGTCGTCGCACAGCGCCAACCACTCGTCGCTGAAGTCGCACGGGCTGACTGCGTTGGAGTGGCCGCCGCTGGTCGAGGTGGGGTTGATGAAGAGCTGGCGCTCGATCTCACCCGAGGGGCCCAGTTTGAACGCGGTGATGTAGCCGGTCACGTCGAAGTGGTTGGACCGTGTGGTGGCAAACAGGTACTTGCCGCTGTGGGTGGTGAAGGTGACATCGCCGCGGTACTTGTTGCGAGGAGGCAGGCCCGACGGGAGCAGAGGGTAGGTGATGTGTGTGAAGACGGGGTGGTGAGTGCGCTCGTCGATCACGTAGACGGCCAGGCGGTTGCCCGCCTCCATCAGGGCATACAAGTACTTGCCGCTGGGGTGCATCTCGACCCAGCGCGGGTGGTCGCCGGGGGCGGGAGCCTCGAGGCAGTCGATCAGAGTCAATTGGCCCGTCTCGGCGTCCTTGCGGTGTGTCCAGATCTTGTTGGCCTGCAGATCGGCCGAGTAGAGGTAAGTCTCGGTGGGGTCGAAGACCATGCCGTGGATGCCAGTGTGAGGATCGTACTCGTAATTCTGAACATTGGTATCGAGGGCGCCGTCGGGTTTGACGGAGAAGACATTGCCAAAGCCGGCGTGCTTGTAGAAAGGGTTGCCATAGACGTGGTAGGGGGGCTTGTGCGCGGCGAGCACAAAGATGGCGCGAGTGTTGGTGTCGGCGCTGGGGGCGAGGGCTAGACCAGAGTTAGCCAAGGGGAAGGAAATTGACCACAGACGAAGCTCTCGCAAGCTTCTCCAGCAAGCAATTGACTACGTACGATGCCCCGCGACCGGGTGCGACACCTGGTGGACGATGTCGGTCGGGCTGTTGACGGCGAAGCTGTTCCACTTCTTCATGGCGGCGCCATAGATGGCCTTCTTGTCGTGAGAGAAGGTCATCCAGGAGATGGGCTCGGCCTCTGGGATGTTGGTTTTCTTGACCAGGTCCAGGGTGAGGGCCTCGTCGTCGAACTGAACCGTGTAGATGCGCCCGGGGGCGGTCCACGTCCCGACCATCAGATGGTGCTTCATGGCGACGGCAGCGGATGAGGTGAAGGATCGCGAAAGGAGAGCGCAGCCAGCAGAGGCAGAGGAAAGGAGCAAGGCTGACGGGCTGCAGGAGACAGGCGGACGGATCATACGAGATCAAAATCCCGCGACGAGGATACAGACTATGTCCGTCGAGAAAGTCTTATCCAGCTGGGCTGTTTGGGATGCGGGGATGGGAGGGTCCGGCAGCGAAGGGCGGCACGGCCGCAGGCCCGCGGGGTTTCCCTCTGGCTCTCATGGTTCTGCTCTCTTTTCATGGATCGCCAGGGGCATCATTGGGGCGAGGTGGCAAGTCAGACCGAAGTCCAGCTTGGACGCGGCACTGTGCAAAACGCAATCCCGGCGGGTTCGGCTGTTGCGCGCTGGTCGCTGCCGAGCGGTGGCCGCCCGCGCTGGCAGCGTTCCATTCGACTGCCGCCGTGGCGGTCCGGGGGATTTCGCTTTCTGACGGCCATGGAGATGGCTATCCGGGGTAATCGCGTGCTGCTGGGGCCTGGCGGCTAATAGAAACCTATAAGAACCTCTGTCGGCTCATCTTCGTTTGGTCTTTTTTCTCCCCTCTTATCCACAACTGTCCTGGGTTTGTTGCCGATCTCGACTTTGTATACTGCGTAAAACGTATACTTCGATACCTCGCAACCTCGCAACCTCGCAACCTCCAACTCGCCCACCATGCCTGCTGAGCACCGCTTCGACCCCACCTTCACTGACCAGGTGGTCAACGCCATGGGTCCCAAGACCCCCGAGCGTGCCCGGGTTCTCCTGGGTGCCCTCATCCGCCACATCCACGATTTCGCCCGCGAGGTCGAGCTGACTCCTGCCGAGTGGATGCTTGGCGTCGAGTTCATCAACTCCATCGGTGCCATCAGCACCCCCATCCGCAACGAGGGCCACCGCTGCTGTGATGTGATCGGCCTCGAGTCGCTCGTCGATGAGATCGCCAACAAAATCGTCACCGAGCAGGGCCTGTCTCCCACCTCCAACGTGATTCTCGGCCCCTTCTGGTCGCCCAATGCGCCCTTCCGTGCCCTGGGAGACAGCATCATCCAGGACCCGCTCCCCAACGGCCAGGTCACCTACATGCACGGCTGTCTGACCGACATGGAAACCGGGGCCCCCATCGAGGGCGCTGTGCTCGACATCTGGCAAGCCTCCGCCAACGCCAAGTACGATTTCCAGGACCCCGACCAGAGCGAGAACAACCTTCGTGGCAAGTTCCGCTCCAACGAGAAGGGCGAGTTCTACTGGTACTGCTACCACCCCACGGCCTACTCCCTGCCCACCGACGGTCCTGCCGGGGTGCTGCTCGAGGTGATGGACCGCTCCCCCATGCGTCCCGCCCACATCCACTTGATGATCACCCACCCCAACTACGCCACCGTCATCAACCAGATCTACCCCAGCACCGACCCCCACCTCAAGATCGACTCCGTCTTCGCGGTCAAGGATGACCTGGTTGTCGACTTCAAGCCGATCGACGACCCCAAGGCCAGCCTCGAATTGGAGTACAACGTCAAGATGGCCCTGAAGAAGCACCACCGCAACCCCAACTCCGCGCCCCCCAAGTCCACCTTTGAGCGCGCCATGGGCAACAAGCTCTAAAGCGAAGCGCGTGATGGTGGGGAGTTCCCCCCCCTCCCCCGGCAACGGTCCAGAGAGGGCTGAGAGGGAATGGTGGGACACCGTCCCTGAGTCGATCTGATCGAGCATTGCATTTGTGGATTTAGCGATTTTGGCTTCTGTTTCTGAGTTTTCTCCTTTCGATTCAATCTCTCCTGTACTGTATCCACGGCGGAAGATGAGATAATCATCATCATGGTGCACATATGAAAACATTTTCACCTTTTTCTTTCCCCCACCTTGGCTAGGATCAAGCATCGAGAAGCGCGAAACTATAAGCGACCAGACGCCGGCCCAGCCCCATCTGCTTTAGCCAGTGGTGTCGTAGCTAAGGGGGCGATCGTGGGCCGGGCGATTGGTAGCCCGCCTGCAGACGCCGTGCACCCTGCACATCACTTTCTACAGTTGGACCAATCAGGGATTCAGAAAATATGCTTATTTCTGAAGCTAGTTGGTTGACTATATGCGCAGGGTTCTTCTTGGTCGTATCGAGGTACTTTTGGATATAGTCCCCGAGTGGGGTGCTGGACCCTTCTTGGTATGGGGCAGGTATATATCCCCGGACTGTCGCCATCTCTCTCGGATGTCTGATTTATATAACCTCCAGCATACCTGTAGGAGGGAGATATATAATTAGATCAGGTACGCTGTACACATCATTCCAAACACACTCAAGTTGGATTTGAATTGCGTTGACTCCTGGCTATATTGGTTGTGTTGCTGGTTAGTTTCTCTTACACATTCCACGGTCGCATCCAGGCAGTCAAGCACTTAAGCAGTCAGACAGTTGAGTCCCTCGACTTGTCCATGGCGCCGGTGTGATGCCTCCCTTGTCCGACATCTACCCCGACACCTTTCACGGGTCAGCGTCGAATATGCGATTACCCCCGGGCAATTCGTTTTGTCGCGCCTTCGGCAGTGACCAGAGCCGGAGAAACGCTCCCCCACTCGTGCGGGTAAATACTTTCCCCCGCGGATCGCAACCCTCGGCAGGCGACCGCCGACAACACCCGGTCGGTTGTGGCGATCCTCCACGATGCCGTTCTGGGGAAAAGTATGCCTTGCAGCTAACGGGAAACTACCCAAAGAGAGAGCTGGACAGCCAATGTATGCTCTGCACTGCCAACTCTCCGTCCCTGGCTTTTTGAAACTTCTTACTGGCAAGGCCGTCCCACGCACCGATGCGGCTTCCATACGCCCCCAACACCCCGCCCACCGGTGATGATGCCGCCGACACCGCGGGCATTTATGCCCGCATCGCAGCGCGGAGGAACCCGCGTCCCCTAATCCCACTCGACCTCGCTCTGCTGCACAGCCCGCCGGTCGCAGATGGCTGGAATAGCTTCCTGGGGGCCATCCGCACGCGCACCGTGGTGGACTCGGGTATCCTGGAGCTGGCTGTCTGCCGGGTCGCCGTGCTCAATGGCGCGGTGTATGAGTGGGATTCCCATGCCCCTCTCGCGCTCAAGGCTGGCATCAAGCCTGAAGAGCTGCAGGCCGCCCGGACCTTGCCCTGCACGGCGGAGGGAGACCTCGCCCAGTTGGACAGTAGCCCGTTGTCTTCGCGCCAGCGTGCTGTGCTGCGGTATACCGATCAGATGACCCGGACCATCAAGGTCGAAGATGAGGTGTTTGCCCAGCTTCAGACGGCTGGGTTCAACCATCGGGAAATTGTGGAACTCACCACCGGCATCGCTGGATATAACTGCGTGAGTCGCGTCTTGGTTGCCCTGGATGTGGGCGAGAACAACCACCGGGAAATGAAGAGCGTCGATGAATTGGTCGCGGCTCTGAAGTAAGAAGAGGGGACCGACACCTCCTTTATATGGATCATCCCCACGGAGGCAGTGCTCTCCACCCCCAGTTGTACATAGTGGAGCACTTGCTTGCTTCGTTTGCTTCTCAGAAAACAATTTATGAAACGACATCTTAGTCAGATGCATTGTAAGAAGGATACACCGTGTATTCACGGAAGTTCAGTGCTCGGTCCATGACACAACGCCATGCCATATATGTCCGCACTATCAAGACAGGGTGGTATTTGAAGCCCCAGAGGAAGCTAGTCAAACCAACAGGAGGATTTAGAGACTTTGAGCCGGATTAGACACGGGCGGTTGGGTGAGTGAATGGTGGCGGAGAAAGCCGGAGATGAGTGAGGACAATGCAGGGCAGCGCCACGCCAGCCACTAACACGAGCTATCCATTTCTTTTCCCAGGCTGGCAATCACAGTTATAATTGCAAAAGAGATGATTCACGGAGAGAGACCAAGGCCTGGACCTCATAGTTCATAGTACATTTAACGAGCTAAGATCATCCTCCTAGCTGGGCCACGGACGGGATGTTGCGCCATCCGAATCAGTGATAGTCATCGGTGGGCCGACGACTAACTAGCTTTACTAGGTTCTGTCTCGGGGCACGGCTCTGATCCCTTCGCTATACCACGGCTTGGGAAAGGGAGAACCCCCTGTTCATACACGTACCGGCACTTTCTATCGGAGTGGCTCGACATCATACGGGCCCGTCCAAAGCATGTTGCGATGACCACGAACGGTCAAAAAGGTCAGCACAGAAATGGCGATGATCTACATGTTCATATTTTGATATTTAGAATCGCGAAAATGCTCCTTTCATGCGAATCGTGGCCCTTGTTAAGCTTATTAGAGACAATTGTTTTTGCCTGTTACCGCGATGTTTTAACTTGACTCATTAGCCCGCGAAGTTACTCTGCACTCCGCAGGGGTATAATCTGGTCTCTACAGACCCTTCGGGGCACTTATTTTCCGAAACCCAGTCCATCCAAAGGTTCATGGAAATATAAAGTCCGTATGAAACAGCAATTTAATTCCTATGGATGCAACCTGAACGTGCGAAGTGGTAAGCATCGGCGGAGGACTCCCCGCAAAGTGGCGTGCTGCATGTAATTTTGCACAAGTCACCGATCTTGCAGACGGACGCCACGGGAACTTTGCTGAATCCGGGGAAGCCTTTCCCTATCATGTGAGGACTACTGGGTTACATGGCTGTGCGTTAGTGCTGACTTGGGATGCAGGGGATTGCCAACCGCCATTGGCTAGCCCTGGCAACTACTTTGATGAAGAACCCCAGAGGGATCAAAAAGCTTGCGGACCGGAGAGGGTTTGTCAGGTACGCCCTGCCAAAAGACATTGCGGATGAGCACCAAAACTCCAGCGAAAGATAGAAGATGGGGATGAGTGCCCGTCCGCTAACGAAACATTGGCGTAGGAGCTAAATTATTGTGGATCTAAGCAAAGAAGGAGGTGTATATCATACGAGTCTGGGGTTCATTGACGCAAAAGCCCATTCATTTCTCAAAAAGATCTACGTAAATTAAAAAAAAAAAAAAGATCAGGAGCCAACATGAGCGCGTCATAGGATCAACAATCGTAGTCTCTGCTCCCCCTTCTCCCGAGAGTCTCCATCCAGCCTGTTCTTTCCAAACGCCCCCGACAGTCTCTACAGACACTGGGAGTAATAATCATTCTGTTTCGTGCATGTGTATGGACTGGCACAGGTGGTCGCACCAGTCCAGCTAGATCCCCCACACTGCGCATAGTGAGCAGCACCCGTGCTGCTGGAGCCACTGGAAGTTGTGGTGTAAGTTGTGGTGGAAGTCGTGGTGGAGGTTGTGGTCGAGCCCGATCCGGAGCCGGAGGTGGTGCCAGTGTAGGTCGAGTTGAGAGGACCAACCTTGATGTTCGAGTAGAGCACATACGCATTCGCGTAGGTGGACTCAACGGTGTCGGGGTCACCCGACGAAATATCACACGTGCCGCGCTTTGCACCAGGCGTGGTGGACGAGGCATTGGTCGGATAGGTGCTGTCCAGCCAAAGCATGTCGGCCGCGTGGTCATCCCAGAGACTCATGACCAGAACCATTCCCTCTGCGAGCCCGGCGCTCATGCCCGCCATACCTCCATGCTCGCTAAAGCTATCGGTGTCACCAAACGCCGTCTTCTGCGCAGAGCAGAAGGACGTGGTGATGGAGTTGCCGCTGACGCCGCTGACGGCCGACTGCGGCTGAGCAATGACCTTCCCATCCTGCACATAGAAGCGCTTGATCTCCGACAGGGTGCCCGAGGAGGTGCCGGTGTTGGTGATGAACTGGGTCACCACTGTGAAGGGAGACGATGTGTCCACAATCAAGCCAGGACCATAGAACGAGGTATCTCCCATGCGGTATGGGTTGAAATCACAGCCATCCGGATCGCAAGTACCACCATAACGATCCGAGCTATAGGTACCTCCACAGGCGTCACCCTCGCACATCGTTTGCGATGCAGTATTACAGGGGTGCGGGGTGACCGCATTCGAAATAGAATTGGCCTCCCAGACGTCCATCTCCGCGCAGCAAGAACCATGATCCCCCGTGCCGGAATTCAAATCATTGCTAGAGGGCTCCCAGCCCTCCACGTTGGCCTCCCCATTGATGAACTTGAGGTCCCGCGGGCATTGGGAGTCGCAGTAGCCGGTTCCATACTTGGCGCCGGCCTTGTTGGTAGGGTACCGGGCAGTGCCTCCATCGGCGTCCATAGCCACAAAGTATAGAGCTCCGTTGAGACCACATGGCAGGTTCGACACATCCACATCAAACGTGAATTCTTGGTTCAGCAGATCGAACGTCTGGTAGGTGCTATCATTCTCCAACAAGTACAGACGGGAGCCGACGTTCTTGTTCGTCGATTGGGTGACAAAGTTCAGACGCAGCTCATCGCCACTGGTGGTCACACCATAGGTGCTCGAATAGCTGGCACCATCCAGAGTGCAGTTGCTCGCGCAGGTCACATCATCCGGGCAGATGGTGGTGTCCCATTCGTTGCCGGTATAGCAATTGGTCGAGCTTTTGGTTTCATGTACCCAGCGCCAGTTCGAATCAATGACCACCTCGCCGCTTTGAGAAGTGCAGCTGCCGCCGCTGGTGCACTTGGACCACGTCAAAGATGGGTGTGTCTCGGTCGTATAAGTACCGACTTGTTGTGCCCTGACAGTCGCCAAAAAGGCAGAGAAGAGAATGGCATGTTTGTAAGATTGGTAGGAGATAGCGGCCGTCATCTTTTCGGGGGTAAGGAGACAGATAGTGTCCCAAATGGAATTGAAAGCTTTGATGGATGAGAGTGCTGAGAAGAAAGGTTTCCTTGTGAGGCGTATGGCTCTTTATACTCCAAAGAGATTGGACGAGGAGGGTTGCACATGGCACCTCAATTGATCGTCACGGCCTGACGGTCCGTATGACCGCTCTCCCATGAAGTCATCACCTTCCCAAAAGAGACATGCAGAAAATCACTCCGTGGACACGGAGCAAGCTCCCCGGATCTTGAGGGCAAGCCATAGGCGGGATGAAGGCAAATTCTGCAGGGGAACCTCACCTCCCCGCCTTTCGGGAGCAGCCCCGGGCAGGAGTCTGTGCCCTGAGAACAAGTGTGACCCTACATCCCATCTTGCTTTGTTATGTAGAAAACCGCTATCCTCTTTCGACGAGGGGATTGGCGGCTAGATGGTCTGCTTCTGGCGTGGCACGCCCGCCGGGTCCGGATGGGCCCTATACTAGTCAGCTCAGCCTCGGCGAGAAATCTCATTTCATCCGTGACGAGCTAGTCACCACACATTCTGCAGGCTGAGGTCGGCAATCCAACTCCGGATATACCCTTGGCCAACAAGGGCACGTGAGCGTGTTGGGTGAGATTGGTTAAGAAGGAGAGGGGAAAGAAGGGGGGGAGGGGGAGGGCAAGACCGTAGCTGGTGGACACTCCGGAGAATTCTCGGATAGCCAAGAACTAATACTGATATCCGTATACCTGAAATACCTGGCCTATCACCATAGACTTTGATTCTTACATCGACCAACTATAAACTCCCGAAACGGCCTAGTGCCGTTCGGGGTAAAAGCGGTTAACCTTCGCAGTGGAGCCGATCGGATGAGTCATCACCGCGATCGGCGGTGGGATGAAAGTGGGATTTTGGGTTTTGTGGCTCTTTCGAACAATCGCTTGTGTGCTTCATTTCACTCTTCAAGTCCGCGGATTTCAACACCGTCCCTCGCGCAATTTCAACATGGCCCCCAGCTTCATCCTCACCCTTTCGGGCCCCGATCGCCCCGGTATCGTCCACGCCGTCACCGCGTTCCTCGTCCAGCACAATCTGAACATCGTCGACTCCTCCCAATTCGGCGACCTGACCTCGAAGCGCTTCTTCATGCGCATGCAGTTTGCGCCCGCCACCGACAGCGATGAGGTGCCTGCGCTCGAGACGCTGTGCGCCGCTTTCGAGCCCACCGCACAGTCCTTCTCCATGGAGTTCGCGATCCACCCCACCACCCAGAAGCCCCGTGTGATGATCATGGTCTCCAAGATCGGCCACTGCCTCAATGACCTCCTCTTCCGCCAGTCCACTGGTCAGCTCAGCATTGAGGTGCCCCTGATCATCTCCAACCACCCCGACTTCGCCGCTCTGGCGGCCACCTATAACATTCCTTTCCACCACCTCCCCGTCACCGCCGACACCAAGGCGCAGCAGGAGGCCCAGATCTTGGCGCTAGTGCGTGAGCACAACATTGACTTGATTGTGCTGGCGCGCTACATGCAGGTTCTGTCTCCCAAGCTGTGTGAGGCCATGTCCGGACGCATTATCAATATTCACCACAGCTTCTTGCCTTCCTTCAAGGGTGCCAAGCCCTACCACCAGGCCTATGACCGTGGCGTGAAGATCATCGGTGCCACCGCCCACTTCGTCACCAGTGACCTCGATGAGGGACCCATCATTGAGCAGAATGTCGTGCGCGTGAACCACGGCATGAGCCCCAAGGAGCTTACCCACGCCGGCAGCAACGTCGAAAGCAATGTGCTCGCCACTGCGGTGAAGTATGTCACCGAGCGGCGTGTGCTGCTGAACGGACACAAGACCATTGTGTTTGACTAAATGATTGATTGTTTGAATTCCGATTTTGACATGGGAGGTCGTTGATCATGCGATTAATACGGGCAACTCTACAAAAAAGGAAGCATATAGACGATTACTACAAAAGAGCGGGGGACGAATAAATAAAACCGGGCTTTATGCGATGGCTATGGAACATGGGCCATGGACTTGACATACGAATTTCAATATCAGTTGATTCGACAATAATCACACCTGGTGTAGATCTTCTATAACACCATCTGCAGCAGGTACGGCGTCAAGGCGATCCATGGCCGTGGGCCGGCAACGGCGGCTAGGGGGTGGAGCCTCATTGAAAGCTTTCTTTGGTCGTGATGTCACGGCTCTTCGTCAGCTTCATTGGGACCGAGCTCGAATATGCCTTTATCGGGGAGACGGAAAAGTCATGGCTATCTTCATCTAGGCTTTTCTTGCTTGATGGGATGTTGGTGGAGAGACTGACTGAAAGATCAGTTAGAGGCCTTGCTACACCGAAGCAATTGCGTTCCTCCGGCCTGACTAGTTTCCCGAAGGCTGCCATTCCCCATAGATAATCAGCATGGTCTCAACAGGGGCCAAGGTGAGGCTGTAGTCTACCCCCGGAAAGCTCCGCGCGTGTGGAGAAGTCCCACGTTGGACGTCTGCTTCCTTCGCACTCATCTCACTCACCCCACCATTTCTTGTTCCGCTCGAGACCACACCTATCATGGAAACCCTTGCACCTCCACCCAAGCTGGCCCATCTCTTTACTCTTCGCTGTGCGGTAGATCCGCCCATCGAGATTGGAAGTGGTCCCTACGGTCGGCGGCGCTGTGTACCGATTAAGTCTGGCTCGGTGTGTGGACCGCACTTCCACGGAGAGGTTGTGCCAGGGGGGGCTGATTTTATGTGAGTGCCATGGCTTCGATCTCACAAAACTCTCGCCTGATGTGGTTCAGGCTGGTGGAGGATAATCAAACGACTCATGTGAACACCAACTATGTGATCAAGAGCGATGACGGCGCATTCCTCTACATTCGGTACGCAGCCCACTAGTCTACAGAACCGCTGCAGACTTTGCAGACCGCGAGTATCTGGTACTGACAGCATGATGCTCAGAACTGAAGGGACCCGGGCTGGGCCTCCGGAGGTGCTGAAAGCGCTTATGGACGGTGGGCCGGTCGACCCTAGCCAGTATTGGTTCCACCTCCACGTTAAGATCGAGACGGGCCATGAGAAGTACAAGTGGATGAACGACAGAGTCATCATCGGGCGGGCTGCAAGAGCCCAAGGCGAAGTTGCATATGACGCATACTTCCTGGAGAATAGCCCTTGAAGACGAATTTAATCCATCGTCATTGTAGGGAGGGTGGCATCCGCGCACCTATGACTGGATCTATATTAACATTACAGCTAGATATACAAGAAAGGATTCCCAAAACACCTCATTGCACATGAAACCGCTGGAGGAGGAGCTCGGCGAGATTCACGTAGCAGCCCTGATTTTCCTCCTCTTGAGACAAGACCTGATCGGCAACCTCGTTAGCCCACACGTACTCTGAATGGTGATCACGCAACTCAAACAAGCGTTGCCGGAGCCACGTCCGGTGGCTAGGGTCGTCCGTTTCGATAATTGCCATTAAGAGCGGCCAATGTAAGCGCCGGAGGAGTTGAGGATCGGACGCGAATTGCTTTCGGGCAATGTCCACGATACCGGTCGTGGCTTGCCGATGGAGGGGGAAGGCAGGCCGTCGACGCAGAGCAGTCGGCGATGAAAGACAATCTGCGCGTAAAATGTGCACACAGCCATATAAATGGTGTTTAGTGTACGCCGAGCTGAGACAGTTCCGGCAAACTTTGCGGTGATGAAGAGGTCGGAAAATTTCTAAAGAAAGAGAAAGTTGTTAGTTCAGGGGGGAAGAAACCACCTGCCGGAGGCGAACAAGAACAACATACATCGCGCGTGGAGATTAATTCGCGAAAGAGGGATTCGGTCGTGTCGGATCCGGTCCCAGACTCTACAAGGACCCCCCAGGTTCGATGGCGAAAGCAGAACCCGGCATGCAACAACTCCAAGGCTCGGTAGTTTTCGATATCATCCAGAACCTCCTGGTCCGGATACTGCTCACCCCAAAAGCACCGACCCCATAAGCGAGCACATCGATGCAAGTGATCTGGATGGAGTGCTGGGTTGTTTGATTGCATGACATAATCATATAAGGACTCGGTCAACCCCATGGGGCGGCAGCTTGCATCGATGTACCTAGATTATAGATGAGTTGGTCCCCATCACATTCAGCACAATTTCAATCAAGAGAACTCACAAGACCCACAGTAGGAATTGTTCCGGGATAAAGGAGACTGTGGAGACCGCCGCATCCTCCGAAGATGGACTATCGTCCTCTGGGGACAAGAACACATCAGTGACATCTTTGAGGCGGAAGAGTTGGGGGTGCGACACCAAGAGGGACCGCACGCCATCAAGATGTAACTGGAGATGGCGGACGGAATGGCCAAAATACCACTCATACGTGATCATGAGAAACATTGTTGCAAAAATAGTCTCCAGCTCCGAAACAGAGACCCTCCGTCGAGGGGTCTCGAGAAGCTGTCGGAATTCCTTGACGGCCAGGCTGTAGTGATAACGCCCATGATCTTCGGCCGTGGGCCGGCCGGGAGATCTCACCACCAGCCCCTGCCGATGCATATCAGTGGCAGACATAGCGAGGATCATGCGCATGATCACTTTGTTAGTGGCCGCCGGCCCCCGGTACAGGTAGCAGAAGCTGCTCCAGTGCCATCCTTTCATGTAATAATAGATGATAGAGGAAGAGGGAAAATATTGAAAATACTTTTGGTCATGTTCGGTGAGGGTGAGGGAATTGACGCACGCAATCTCATTGACGCTTAATGGCCGGTAGAGGGGGGTCGGGATTCGGGCTGGGGTGATGGGCGGGTAGAATGGGGTCGTTTGGAGAGGCTCTAGGAGGACCAGGTCGCCTGGCCAGGAGATCGGGGAGAGGCCATTGAGCAGCGCATCGGGTGTGATATCCACCAGATCACCCCCCTCTGGCGCAGGCCAAGCAATCTGATCCGGAGCAATCGTCGGGGCTGGTTGGAGGTGTCGAATCTGCGCACTGCCCCCGCGCTTGACCGGCACTCCCCACTCACAGCTGAGGTGCAGGTTTAGACAGCGCATGCAAATGGGGCGCTCTTCGCCGCATTTGACCTTTCGACGGCGGCAAGTACTGCAGCCTAGGGCAAGAGGGGAAGCGGTCACAGGTCAGCTCGGTAGTGGTGGGCTCGGAATGGCAATTCAAGTTGGGTAGAGAATGGGGGGAGGGACGACCAACCATTCTTCGAGCGCGGCGCGTTCCGTCCGGACATGAAGAATTAATCCCCACCTTTGCTCGCTCGCGTCTCTCTGGATCTCGGGGGGATCAATGTACAGGCATTAGAGGGTGCGACTGAGCAGGGTGTGCATGTGCGGCGTGGGAGTTGAATCATTCATCGAGCGGGAAACTGGAGTGATAATAAGAGCCGATAACGCGGGGAAGATGCATTAAGTGAAACCTTTTGCCGGGCGGCCTCAGGCAGCAATGGGCCCTGTACCTGCCGGGCCTATAAACAACTATACCAGCTGGACTGGACTCGAACACATTAACAATAAAGTAACAGAATAGTGACATGACTGGGAGTTTTGTTCCCGCCTTCGTCTTACATGGCAGCTTTCTGGTACAATGCTACTATATAAGGTACATATCCCTCTCTACCTTTGGAGGCATACGAGATCTACTTCAGTCATGACGCTCAATCTCCTCCTTCCATTGCCGATAGGCGTTTCCAAACAATTCATCGTTCGTGATCATATCCCACCCAATCAGCGCCAGAGATTTGCCCACAATTAATGCCTCTTCATGTGCCTCGTCGGTTCCAGCAGACGCAGTATATGTGGGATGATGCGGGAATGTGTTCTCTGGAGTGGGGATTCCAAACATAGTGTGCAAAGTTGGTGTCACATAGCTGACATTGCCTAAGTAAATATTAGTCATCTTAGTTTCTCCTCCAGGCTATTCGGAGGAAAGTGATACCAATATCAGACGAGGCAGTCAGAACTTTGTCGTGTCGCTTGAGCACCTGCCGGCCATACTGGCCCATATGGACTTGGTATCGTTCACAGAGAATATCGTTCAACCGCACATCGGTATAAAGCTCCTCCCTAACAAGATTGGTGTATCAGTTACATTGCCTGAGCGCTGTAGAGGGTCCGTATCTCACTCTTTAATCTGTGCTGTACATCCGGTCGCCAGCGCGCCCGCCTCGATGCATTTGCGCACTCTGGCTACAAGACTATTGAGCCCCTTGAGTGAAGGGCTTCGAACCTGCCAGAAGGCTTTGGTATAAGCCGGGATCACGTTGGCCACCTTGGGGGTATCCATGAAGGCACAGTGGATACGCTGCTCGGGCAGAAGCTGCTGTCGCAAGACCGCAACATTATTATACGATGCGACCAGGGCATCCAGAGCGTTGATGCCTTCCCAAGGATTGCCTCCAGCATGAGCGCTCTTGCCCGTGAACTCGCAGTAGATATTCTTGCGAGCATTCATCAGGGTTCCAGCAATGCCGTCAGATGCCTCTTGATCAGGGAACAATTTCCTGGGCCCAGAGTGACTGAAGGCGGCGTTAGAAATCAAGATATGGTTATACATAAGGTAGGAGGAGCATACGCCATGAGGGAAATATCCACGTTCTTGTACGCTCCTGCATCAATGAGCACGGCCTTGCCTCCGCCATTTTCCTCAGCTGGGGTGCCCAGCAGTTGTGTCCGCCCTGGGATGCCATATTTATTCAACGCGAACGACAGCGCCAGAAATGCAGCAATGCTACTAGTCGCAATCAGGTTGTGGCCGCAGGCATGTCCGATGCCCGGGAGTGCATCATATTCAGCATTGAAGTTAATCAAGCGCCCACCCGATCCACTCAACGCTTCGAATGAGGTATCGAGGCCGTATGCATGGCGCGTAACTGTAAATCCCTGCTTCTCGAGGAACTCGCAGATGGTATCGTGGGCACGGTGTTCTTGATACGCGAGTTCTGGGTTCGACCAGATCTATAGTAGACGACTCTAGTCAGCAGTCTGTCGGATTTTTCGGATCACGAACTTAGGATGCAAATTTAGTATACCTCATGGTTTACTTTGCGCAGCTCCTCGTGCAGCTGCTCAAGCGCCGCATCAACGGCCGCTCGAATATCAACCATTCCCACGCTCGAGACGGTCATACTGATTATAATGGGACGAAGAAGAAGAAGAAGCAGAAGAAGAAGAAGAAGAAGAAGAAGAAGAAAAACGGTGCCACAGTAATGCTCATTCTCGTGGAGGGTCGATCATATAAATTGCGACAGGGACCGTGGAGAGGGGCTCTCGTTGGGTCACATCCGAAGACCTCCTATGCTATCGCCTCCCGGCGAAGGAATCTGGTTCTCTCGCTGGGCCATTTGCCGACGATCCACCAGAGGGGGACCGTGTTTTGATAGCGGAATTCCACCTGCAGTTTTCCGGTTTAGCGAGCTGGCTGATTTCAAACCGCTCGGCAAAGTACATGGTAGTGGGTCTTCTACCCCGCGATTCGGAATCTGTGGGGTTGGGGTAGGATTCAACGATGCGAACCAGTGAAGTCCAGGAAGGTGGTTATCGCGTTAGGTCAACACCACCGATAGACCAAGTGGGTTGCCGACAGGTGGACGACGGGGCTGATTGCCGACGGGCCACCCACATTGGCCGGATTGCCGATGCGGAGCCCCAATCTCGGATCCCCAGTCAGGAACATTGATAGTGACATTGAGGCCAAGAAGCCCAAGTTCTCGTCAGCGACGTATAGGATGTTGTCTCGGCATATGCCATTGCGACCAGTTACTTGCCATATGTCTCATTGCCGATAGTCGCGACCGCTCGCGGTCTGACCATCCTGTGGTGCGGGTTATCGCCCCCCAATTCCGCCAGTTACTCAGAGAATCAATTATGACGGACCCAGTTTCTATGTTGATCCAAGGGAGATGACCGATGTCCGGTCGCGGCGTTGCCTTTCTAGTGATCCACCTGTTGCCACCCTGCTGGGGTGGAGAGAGCGTGAGCATATAACTGTCCAAGGTCTCTCGGGCACAAGAAAATACCTTTTGTTAGGCTTCATACACAGCATCCACTTCCGGAATTGGCTATCACGTGTTGTTGCTTCTTCCCCTCTATAGCTTCTAGTATATCTTGTTACAGCCTCAATCTTTCTCTGATTATTGCCTAAAAAGATTCCTCGCTATGGAAAAGGAACAACCACCCCCATCAGGGGGTACCCTCGACGTTGACATAGTCAAGGTCGGATCCAGCCCTGCAGCTCGCGATGTGGACCTGGGTCAAGTTCTCGAAACGAACATCACTCCTGAACTGGCAAGAAAGGTTCTCTGGAAACTTGATGTCTAGTAAGTTTTCCCTGACCCCCTTTCGGCGTCATTGTTTATTTTGTAACTGGGCTCAGTCTTATTCCCCTGATGGGATTTTGTTACATGCTTCAGTACATGGACAAGCTAGCCCTTAGTCAAGCCACGTTATTCAACCTGACAGAGGACTTGGTATGCCCCCGATCTTTTCGCGATAATCCAAGGAGAATATTGTTAAACCTAATGCCACGTTCCCGCCCGTAGGGTCTCCATGGTACCCAATACAATTGGGCGTCTGCAGTCTTTTACTTTGGATATTTTGCGTGGAGTTGGCCCAGTTCTTACCTCATTGTTCGCCTCCCCCTTGGCAAATATTTGAGTCTCGCGGTCTTCCTTTGGGGTGGCATTCTCATGTGCCATGCGGCTTGTACTTCTTTCAGCGGCCTCATGGCCGCACGATTCTTCCTCGGGGTAGGAGAGGCATCTGTTGCTCCTGGATTTGCCTTGATCACTGGCATGTTCTACAAAAGAGAGGAGCAGCCTGCCCGGCAGGCAGCCTGGTTCATTGGGAACTCCGTCGCCTCCGTGGTCGGTGGCCTGGTCGCGTATGGGATTGGATTGATCCATAACAACACGGTGAACAGCTGGCAGCTACTGTTTTTGGTATTAGGGGCCATCACTGCGGGCTATGGATTGGTCCTTTTTGCCTTCCTTCCCGACTCGCCGGCCAAGGTGATTTTCTTCAACAAGACCGAGAAATCAATCGCGATCCAGCGAACTCTGAAAAACAAGACCGGTGTGATGGATGCAGGTAAATTCAGATGGGGTCAGGTCATTATGGCGATCAAAGACCCCCAGACATGGTTCCTGGGGCTCTATACACTTTGTGTCAACTTTTGCAATGGCGGGATTACCAGCTTCTCTTCCATCATCATCGCTGGATTTGGGTTCTCAAATCTCAAAGCTCTTCTGATCCAAATGCCTATCGGGGCTGCTCAACTGGTCTTCCTCCTTCTGACTTCGGGCTTTGCCACGCTGGTTCAACAAACGCGAATTTTCATGATGATGTTGAATACAGTCATCTCAATGATCGGCATGATTCTTATCTGGAAACTAGACAGCGACAGCCGGGCCGGCAGGATGACCGGTCTTTGTTTGGGCGCAGTTTTTGCGGCCAACATTCCTCTATCGTTAAGCCTCATTAGCTCAAACGTTGCTGGTTTTACCAAAAAGAGCACCGTCAGCGCCTTGATGTTTGTGGCATACTGCATTGGTAACATTGTGGGTCCTCAATTTTTCATCCCTTCAGAGAAACCTGGGTATCCGGTGAGTGATTTCCTCTTTGTGTCCTCTTTGATAAAATCATCTTCCTGATGGCTTGGTAGACCGGTATCAAGGCAGCCATGTCTGGTTTGGTATTTGGCATCTTCTTCCTGATCTGTCTCTATATATTTTACGTGGGGGAGAACCGTCGACGAGATCGGCTGTATGGATCCCCAAGGCAGTTGACCGAGGCCGAGGAATTACAGGATGAGCTATCCAATAAGACGGACCGTGAGATAGAGAGCTTCAGATATGTTCTGTAAAGCAAATACAGTATAACATGAATTACGATCCGAATATGACGAGTTCCTCCTCTTACGTTTTCTTCGGCCGTTGTTTCCGGTACTTTGTGCCATGGCAGACGAGTAGGTACTTTGCGAAGAAACCTTCAGCAAAGTCATCGAATGGCTCATATTCCGCACCTAACTGATAGGCCGCCGCAATACCAGAGATGCAGGCAATCTCATGCATATTCTATAAGCCGTGTTAGCCCGAAGGGTTTAGTTGAGAGGGTGCCTGATATACCCACCACCATAGTCCAGCTCCCTGCATACCGAGTTCTATTCTGGCCATTTATGAACATCATACCCGGTACAACGCGCAGATAGTGTTGCCATCGGTGCCCAAATTGGTGCCACCATTTCTGCGCAATAATCTTGGAAGGATCAATGTCGTTCCAGGTCCACATATCTTGTTGCTGGTCGTTCAAAAAAATGGTCTGGAAGACATGTCCATCCAAAGGGCAGGGTTGATTGCCTGCACCGAGGCGGTCTCGGAACTGATGCTGATAGTTCGAGCAGTCGAATCCCATCTCAATTTTGTCCGGATCTGATTCCAAGGAATGGGTGAAGTACATTGGCTGGAAACCCAACCAGCCATCTTTTTCACAACGGGGCTGCTGCTCAGCAAATGTGAGTTGCTTTTGCCTCTCCTTCGTTGATGGTTGCGCACCCAATGATGGGTCGTACTGGGCTTCGAATATCTTCTGGAAATAATTGGAATCCGAATGGGTGATTGTGATGTCATTGAAGAACTTCACACCACCAAGAACATACCTCTCCCGCCACGTCGCATTTCGACCAAGAATCTTTTTGGCTTCATCTCCCGGGCAGCAGATGACAAGCTCGTCAAACGTCTCTGTCCAAGGCTCCGACCCTTGTTGCGGTTGTAGTTGGAGAACAACCCCTTTTTTGCCCCGTTCACAAACTTCCACGGAGCAGTTTAAGCGGATCAAGACCCCTTTGGTGCGCAGGTCTGCTGCCCAGTCTCGATAGAAGTTCCCCAAATTTGGAAATGTAAACATTGTGGGAAGATTTGGCAGCAACGTGTCAGGATCGTACTCCCACAACCTCATTTGCGGGTCGTCAAACAAGCGCTCTAATAAGACACTCGATACGTTTGGGGTCTGGTTTCCCGTACCGAGGAACAGCGCTAGCAGTGGTAGCACCATCTTATTCTTGAAGTCATTGCTGAAGCAAAACAACCGGAGAATCAACTTGACCGGTAGGATACCGAGCACGGGCATCAAATACTTGATGCACTTCAAGACGTAGCCGAGCCTCTTGATTTCTCCGGAATGTTGATCAACTAGGGGGCTAGGGAACACATTTGTCCAAAAACTTCCCCGTCCTTTGCCAAAGGAGACCTGAAGCTTGACTGGCCGTGGCTCATAGCCGTAGCGGCGAAGGAACCGGAATGTATGTCGGAAAATGGCAGAGCCGCCTTGCACTCCATCATTCAGCCAGCTCGCACCATATTTAGTTTCATCCAAAGAGACAGAAGTCGCTTGGCCGCCAGTGTGGGATTCGATGTCAATCATCGTCACCTCGAAATCGCTGGGGTGTTGGGTCAACGTAGCGGCGCACGACTGCAAGCAGATACCATCAGTGGTCAATTCAACGGGCAGCCTTTCAAGTTTGTATGAGGTCCCGTCTGTCATACCATACCAGCTGCCCCTGCCCCAATAATGGCCACCTTTTTCTTCGTCGGATCGCCTCGCATCTTGTCCGGGTGTGGGCCGATTGAAGTGAAGAGCTACGGGAGTCCAATATTTCATCCAGTTGAGGCGCTGTAGTAAATATAGAGCTGATCAGGATAGACTGTGCTCGGCATCCCTGGCTAAATCTTGATCGGATGCGTTTATGATCAATTATTGAGGTGATGATGGTGATGTCACACGGCCGTGCATTCTGCATGATGAGCCAATCACCCGCTCCAAGGCCGATCGTCTTTACACCGTCGATCCCAAACTCAACCAGTTAGCGAGAAAAAAACCCTTGATTTAGAGTAGATCGACCTGGCCACTGGTGGCAGCTTACATCCTCTGGGACCGGATGAGAAGACCTGGACCCTGCAGAACACTTTCATACGGCGCCATGCATCGTGGTTTGCGCCACCTTTATGGCTTGCCGGATTGGGTCAAGCACGGCCAGCAAGTGGGATTATTGACCAAGTCTATGGGGGCCACAAGGAATATATAGAAACAAATGAGTGTGAGTACCAGCCGACAACTACGCTCTTCTCACAGAAGTGCCTTATTTAGCGCAATGAACCAGAGGGCACATTCTTGCAGCTATCACTGGTGTTTAATGCCGTGAAATCGCCGGCGTTCCATGTCCAGTCACTACAGCTATCACCGCAGAGGATCTACACTTCCACTGCCTCGGACTCCACCGAGCCTGTGATACCGTCAACGGTTAGGGGTTTGATGGGGACTTCATTAGTGGGAGTGCCGGTCGGGGAGAACCGTGAACCGTTTCCGTAATCCTGTTCCACAACGCTGGAGTCGGCAATACTGGAGAGAGCGTGATATCGGAGAAGGTCACATTGGTGACGGAACCCGTCGCCTGGTATACAGTCGTAGACAGTCTCGATGTGAGCCGCATCGGCGGAATCATTCACGATGGGTTCGGTACTGGTCACGGTTTTCATGGTGTTATCGTCGCGACCGCCGACGGAACCAATGGATAAGGCATGCCCCTCCAGAACAGGTACCTCCGAGGCAGTAAATATTCCGTGGCAGATCCTTAGCGCTCCATTGAAGGGATTCCTGGGAAGGAATCACGCATACTCCACGGGGTTGATCGCAAGGCAGTCATCCGGTTCTTGACAAGGGCATTCTTGATGACGCCGGTGCACTCGCTGCGATAGAAACTGTGGGTATGGTGACCACAATTAAAAGGATAGACAAGCAAAACAGTCTAAAAGTATGAGCCCGGTCTGGTTAACAGAAAGAAGGCCGAGAAAATGAGAGGAATGCAGATCAGAACACCCAAGACATCGCGGGCAAGCATCAGGATGTACAACGCAGTAGTGGACAAGCCCGCGAAGCTTCCATTGAATCAGCGAGGGTCCTACGGGGGGTCCGACCGTTCCACCGGGCGCAGGCGTTGGCCCAGTCCGATATGAAACTTCGGCTCCATTTCCTCCTATCAACCCAAGGGCAAGAGGCACCGGCATCAGGCAGCTGGTACGGGCCAACCACGAAGAACGGCTGGATCGGTTAGTGACGCCTCGCTGGCTAGATTGAGGGATGTCGCTAATATATTCCGTGTAACAGATACTCTTCCTTGTTGTTATGTAACCTTGCGACTAACACGCCACAGTCGCTGTTCGAGAAGTTAATTGTCTCCGGCCTCGTATCACCTAGGTAACAGCAAGCAATATTCTAAAAGATGCAGATGTGCTACAGGAATTGACGGAGAGTAAGGAATTCGATTTGATCCACATGCTGCGTATGACAGAATCTTCAATTTCTCAGGGATAGGACCCAGTCTATACAAAGTGTCATGAGTGAGTAGCTGATGATTGTATGACTTCGACTCCATCCTTGCCCGGGAGATAGAGGACTCGTAGTACATATATATTATGGAAATGGCTTGATTTGTACATTGACGAAGTGCCGACTTAAGGAGCCTGCGTTTTTGTACACCTCTAGTCGGTTCTTTTGGGTAGCTTACGATTGTCAAGACAAAGGGAAGCAAATTCTTGGCCTTTCCTTTCAACATATGTCGATGCAGACGCCAGGCTGTTCTGGGTCAAGAACCCCACCCTGAACATGGAATATTATCTGGCAGTGCGTCAGACCTAAGCAGATATTATCATATCGCAAGGACAAAGTAACTTAGTTTGTGCATATAGCCCAATCGTACCTTCGTCTATTAGGAATATATGAACTGCTACATGTCGTAGACTACGGTCACAGGATTGTGAGTACGGTAACAGAGGATAAATCAACCACAAAAGCTTGAGAATTGGAGAAGCAAACGAAAGGCCAGCATGCTATTTGAAAACTTGAATAGGAGCAGAAATTTCATGGCAGAAGGCATCTTCATTAGCTGGTGTGAATTCTTGAATGTCTTGGATGGCGAAGGCTGAGAACGGCTCAGGCACATGGTGTTTGATGGCGTCAACGATTGCCTCGCGCATAACGATCTGTTGTCGCCGATGCAAGGCCTGGTGGCGGAAGAATAATGCTTATTTGAACCTTTTCACGCACCTTACTCAGCGCCCCCAATCTAACTGTAAGATTTAAAGTACAATGCAGTCTTCCAGCCATTTTATGCACTTAGACACTAGTCAAATGGTGAATCTACCACGGGCTTAGATGCAACTGGTATGACCTTGTGAAATAATTAGTACGTAGTACAGGTGAGAGTGCCTACCGACCGCCTGCTCACCGGGGCTTAAACTAGGTTAACCTTATCGAATCACGCTACCTAAAGTGTCAGTACAGGTATATATCTCGAGCCCGGTCGATGAACATCCGCCTCAAGATTCATCTAGGTACCGTGCAAATAATTTCTATGTACAAGTCAATTTTCAATCAACAGTTATAGGTATGACTACTCCAACAACCTGTCTGGAACTAAGCTATGACTTTTCTAGATTGGAGCATAACGAATCTACCCATTCGGTCACATGATGAACTAAAGAAAACGCCGGATCGACGCACGGAAAAGTTTTCTCTCGGGCCTCGCCGACCATGGCAAAGCGCAGGGCTTATACCAAGGTCACCGGCGCCCCAGACTATGATGATCCTGAATTCTGGGATGCCAGATTTGCGACCGGCCAAGATGTTGGCGAATGGCTGAACTCGGGTGAAGTGCTGATTGACAGTGTCTTGTCGGCCCTCGAGCACCGGCCAAGCTTCGATACCCGTACACCACGTATCTTGCACCTAGGCCCGGGTGTTTCGAAGCTAGGATTGAAGCTTCGAGATGCTTGTCTCAAGAGGCGGTGGCCTGGTCACGGTATCGTGGTAAGTCTTCCCTACGTCCGTTGTGCTCTGCAGTAGGGCGCACCTATACTTACCTTGCCTGCCGTCCATAGAACGTGGATTTTTCCGCGGAAGCCGTTCGCATTGGTCGAGCCATCGAATATCAAAAGACCCCAGACCAAGCCATGCATTGGCAGCGCGCCGACCTGCTCTCATGGGATGATATTTCCAGCGTGGCTCGTTTCGCGCCTTTCGATGTGATTCTTGATAAAAGCACTAGCGACGCGATAGCTACTTCCATCGACCAGATTTTTAACGTGACGGATGATATGTCAGGTGTCTGCCCGATCGTTCAAGAGATCCTCTCTCGAAATGGCTCGGTCGCGCTGTCTCCGGTCGAATTACTAGCCTTGCACCTGGTCCCTCTTACCCGGAAAGACACTACGTGGATCACGTTGTCATACTCCACTCTACGGTTCGATAACCTCCCATTCCTTGCGGAACATTGGTCTTTGCGATCGCGGATGCCTTTGAAGGCGCCACCTGGGCCCGTCTCTTCCACCGTCCATACCCCCGAGGTATTCCACTGGTTATATGTATTGGACCGGAAGTAGCTGGGTTGACATCTCATGTTCATCTGTGCTTATGACGGCTGTTCACATAATGGAGTATTCCTTAGGAGTGAGCAGTTTCATCCTTGAATTTCCCTTGATGGTGGATTGCGGACGTGGAGGGGATCAACAAACTCATCTTGTCCTGGAGCCTCAGACATCGTCTCGACCTGCAACAATAGTTGAAGAGTTTAGAACCGATTCCCAATCCCTACTTGGAGAACTAATTGGTGCCAGCAAATAGGTCTGACAAATAATATACCGCCAAAGTAATAATCATTCGATGCAACGAAATATTTGCGTCGACCATGGCCAACTACAGCTACGCCCGTAGGATCCATTCTTTTCTACACCTTCTACACCCTCTGTGATTTGGAAGAAGGCATTGACTTTGATGTGCAGGTCTTCTCTCAACACATCGACTTCATTGATTGATAGTTCTGCGCTTGCTCATCTCCACATTGGTCTGTATTTGCTGCGCCGTCCCCTGCACCTGCACCCGCAAACTGCAACATCGCTGGCAGACCAATCTTAGCAGTTCAAGTTGATAGCTACCTCTTTGGTTAGTTACTGGGTGGTTATGAGGACCCGAATAGGAGGTAGAGGGCGGGGGTTTTGGCGCGGGGAACTCACCATTGGCGTACAGGGCATACGTGTCCGCATTCATCACGGCTTCGCTGCTGCTGAGAGCTGTCGCAGCCGAGTAGCCATATCCCAGATCATCTGTGCCAGGGCTATACACGGCCGGGGCATGGGTGAACTCATGGAGGGTGGTGGTCGCCTGGTCCTGGTTGTGGCAGCTAGTCGTTAACGCTGGCAGCTCGGAATAATAGATGTCGCAGTTTGCAATCACGTTCTGGGACGGCAGCGTGTAGGCCAGCACATTGGTCTCACAGTACCCCAGCACATCACTGCAGTAGTATTTGGTACCTCCCGAGCTGGTCGACTGCGCCTCCTTGGCCACTGCCTGTAGCCGGGCTGCCACTGTCTGACGGGTCGAACTATCGGCGGATTTGAAGTACTCGGTGAATTTAGCCGCGGAACCGGACTGAGCTGCCTTTGCAGCTGCCGTTGCCAGCGATGCAGCGTTTTTCAGGGCTGTCTCAAGAGCCCGCTTCCGACTGGCGTTGCTGCAGCTCTCCTGAGTGCGTCGAGTGAGCGTCTTGATGGCCTTGGTCACCTGGGCCGCTTTGACCGCATCGACCTCGATTTTGAGATCGTTGGAGTGGTAGGGCAGATAGCCAGACACGGCACCGTCGTTTACCAATGGTACGAGACCATTGGAACGCAGCAACACCGGACCGCCGTGCGACAGATCGCTGGTTGCCGCAATGTCGAACTCGTCCTCCAAGATTTCTCCGGCAGCCAGAGTCGTAAGGGCTTCGGACGTGAGTCCCTGAAGCTTGAACCGGCGTTTAATTCCTTCGAAAGTCACTTCATTCTCTAGAATAATGTTAGCCCACATATGAAGCTCGCTTGAAGTAGAGGAGGATGGAAGTGGTCCATACCATCTTTATAAACAGCGACCTTTTTCACCGGGGCGCTATCCCGGAAGAAGTTCAGGTGCACAAACGTGACCTCCTCACTGCCGGTGTTTTTGACCACCGCTTTAATGCGAGTATCGCTGACTTGGCTCAGAGTGACATCCAAACCAGATGTCTGCTCGATTTCGACTGGCAAGGCGCACACATGCTGGGCGAAGGCCAGAACGATAGTGGACAAGACGGTAAAACGCATGGTCGATAGTGCGAGATGCAAATTCTGAATTTAACAAGAAGGGCTACTAACTCACCAACCCTAGGAATGGTCTTCGCAATATTGAAATCTTCCAACTCATGGAGGGAACAATGCTGTGATTTATAGATTTATCGATACTGATGTCAATAACCCGAAGACCTTCCCTCTGCTCTCCTAAAACCCTCATACTGCCCGGGTACGAGAGCGATCGCCAGGGAGAATTTCTGAAGAAAGAAGGTAGTATGTTCTCAAACTTGATCAAATTGTTCGACCCGCTTTCCAGATAGTGAAGTCCTTGACAATATCTCGTCACTGGTGGTAGATCCCTCGACATGCTTGCATATTCACGGAGATCATTTTGTGCCAAGGACAGCTGTATCGCCTTGGCCCGGCGGAGACCCGTTTCATCGAACAAGATCTGGCTATTGAGACCTGCCGCTGGGTGACCCTGAGGGCCTTGACGATGGAGAGGGGCCGCGTTCTATGCTTTGATTGGCGTAACATAGATGCCTTGAGTAGAACGAAGACTCGACGATGTAACAGCCCATAATCAATCGATGTCGATCAAAACAAAGACAGGGTTGTACAACAACCCACATTATGCGTGGATCTTGTCTCCGGGATTGGAAGAAGGGACTTTACTATGCCCATTTGACCTGCGGCCCCTCATAAAATCAGATGGAGAGTGCCCAGTAGACTCGTGCTCCCGGGGAGAGGCTTGCCAAGCCCCCGGACCCTACATTGTCGCCGGACTCCGGTGCCAAGATACCACCCAAGACCTGCTTAAGTCTTGACTGCAGATGAATTGCTGAGTCCCGGCCATTTGGAGACTACCAAGGAGGTCTGTCTTGTGACTTCCATGGGTCAGCTTATCTTTTGCCCGCGGGCCTATTTCCTTCTGTTTCCTTCTGATAAAGAGTCGTGCCAAGTCTGCGGAGGAGGGTTACACGCAGCTCCGGGGAAGAAGTGAAATTGCATCCTGCCACACAGCTTGGCACGAGAGCCAACGCAGTTAATTGGATCGAAGTATGGAAGTATCGGGAAGGGCGCGGCAGAGCCCCGCGGAGGCTTAGCTGGGTTGGCGCCCTTCAGAATTCAGCAATCTTTCTTTAAAGAGACTGGCTGGCTCACGAATTGTCGAACATTTATTCATAGTCTTGAAGACCTTTGAATAGGACAGAAGTATTTCCAACTTCCGGTCTGGGCCAACGTACTCACCTCACCATCATTCCTTTCTATCTTTCTATCACCTGCCGGGTACCCTTCGAAGATGCAACCCAGTCTGGGTCTTCAGGTCACCCTGGCCTGTCAAGTGCCAATTCCACAGGCACAGTCTTCCTTTACTGTCCCGGTCAAAGTTTCAGTATATAACTCTGGAAGCACCCCCGTCACAGTACTTAAATGGGGCACCCCATTTGATGCCCATGCAGGGATGCTGGGCGTCTTCGAAATTTGCGATACAGCTGACGGACAAGTTTTGCCTCTGGATGAGCTCAAGATCTCCCGAAAGCTTCCTCCTTCTGCGGATGACTTGGAAGAAATTCCTGGTGGTCACAGCTTGGACAAGGTAATTGATATAACTGGTTTGTGTCTTCAAGAAGGCCACGACTACTCTATCCACACCAAGGGAATTTGGCATGCTGTCTGGGAGGGCTCGCTGGTCAACGTCACCGAATCCCAATTAAGAGACTGTTCAGGGGCAAAGCGCGGAGAGTTTCAGTCCAATTTCGCCGTTGTGAAGATCCAATGACCGAAGCATTAGGGATTAGATGCCTTATCACGATAACGAGTGCTTTTGCCCTCCGCGTTGAACCCGATTCAATGGAGATATCCTTCATTATTCACCTCTTGACTGGATTGTTGATTTATATTTTCCCAACAATTTGTCTCTCTTATAGGATTTATCGTTGGAAAAACTGGATCATTTCTAAGTGATCGACACAGTTGTACATAATGTTCGCTTACTGGGTGTGATTAAGTTGCATTTTGGAACTTTGCTATGAACGGCGATTCTGTCCCGCACATAATCCATCGCCAGACCTGATTTCCCAGGGTATCTTTCAGATCCTCCAAAATGGCGGAATTGCAATCCATACGATCATGAAGATACCGTCCGCTAGGCGATGTTCATCAATTATCATTGATTTCAGATTCACGAGTTTATTACAGCATGGAGCTTGGTGTGATGTGATCTGATTGATGGCTTCTCTTAGTTCCACGCAATGTTTTGTCCAATAATCCAAGCAGACAGGTGCTGGTCTACAGCAACTAACCCCAAATTCGGGAGCTGCGTGAAGTAAATCTCAACTTATACCCATCAGCATAGATCTCTCTCGATATGTAGCATCATATTTATATATAAATTAAGTTACTCATCTTTCTAATCCCATTAGGGTCGCTATAATCATGATAAGCATGAGGGACATTATGTTTGACCTCTTGACCCGCTTTTTATTTCCCTTTCAACAAGAATACATCAACATTACGGACGGTAATACAGCTACTGTCCTGAATTTGAAAGAGAACTTGGTCATCAGACTGAATACAATATGCGATACTCAATCTGGCTCTCTGATTGGTCCTTTGGAACTGCCTATATAGGATACGAATACCATGGGGCCTTCGATCTATACCTCCCTATGTCCACATAGGCTAACAGGGCGAGGGAGGGGAAAGAGGGACCATCAAAAGATACTATTGAGGCCAGTGTTTAGGTAGGTAAGTTAAATTGCGAATGACTTTTCAAGCTATAAGTTAAATAATATAGATACGTTAGCCTTGACTAAGTTAATACTAATAGTAGTATACTTACCTAGAAAGGTACTTCTTCTATACCATTATGATTGCCCTCTACAACTATAGACTTTAAACTGCTCTCTACCTTCTACGTTACTTTAGAGTAGGGAGACCGAGGACTAGTTCCCTTCAAGTAGGTACTACTTATACTCATTAATAACCGATATGTAATACAGGAGCAATATGGAAATCGCCGTGAACCGTTATTTGTTTGCATTGATAGTTTCCATCGGTTTTCTAATAATACTACTGCCTAGCCATCATTATCTTTACGTACGACAGCCGATGTCACAGATCTCGCTGGTTTAGTGACTGTTGGTCTCTCGCGTATACATTTTGAATATTTGATTAGCTCGTCCTAGAAAACTTTGACTATCTATCAGTTGATAATGATATCGTTAGGATCGTTCTTTATATTAGCATCAACATACCAACACTGTACAATAAACTCTTTTGGATAAGAATTGTCAATATGGTTATAATATAACTTATTACACATAGAAGGCAATGCGGCGGGAGAAGATGGTCGCGCCAAGACCTCTCCTCAAGAGCACTATTGTCACTGGACTACATCTCAACAGACGGACAGGAACCGAGAAATGATGCTTGTGGAAATTGAAGGTTCGTAAGGTTCGTCATGGAGATCACGCATGGGACCCGGGCGCTTTTAGTCAACGATAATGGCAGGGCACAGGTCAAGGTTTAACAAGATTCAAAAGCTGTACCTCCCGACTAGGCACACATAGAATTACCATGACTGGAGCAGTGAAAGAAGGCTTTCTAGGTGTCTGCACACATACTCGATCTTGTGCGTATTGGTGATTATGCAGGACCACACCCATTCTGGTCACAATAATGTGCACTTATTGTGTTGTAGATTGTACATGTGACTCACTGCTTTCAATGATCACGCTAACGAGCTCGATGATGTTACTACTATCACCTGTGAGCAGCAGCCCTCTACTGAAGCGTATGCACTCAAATAAGGGATGAACCCAACGATCGGCAGGTCTGAGAAGCGCGTCTGTATTGAGACTATGTGTGTATCTAAGGAACATGTACCGTCGTCAAAGAACACAGGATATAAATGAGAGAAAGACATCGTTGATCGTGTTCCATATGCCCCTTTCATCCAGTAAACTCTCAAAACAGGTTTCATAGCACATTGATATGCTTTACCATGCCTAGGTGTGATCCACGCTCGGTGCACGGCGGTCTTGAGAGTTTGATACCATCTGATGCCTAGACATACTCAACAGTCACACTGCTGGAGGTGATAGAGCTGGAGGTGAGGACCTTGTTGTTCTGCTTGATATCGATGATAGTAGCGCCGGACGGACCGACGGTAGAGCCGCCATCAGTAGCCTCAGCACCCGAGAAGGTCACGGTTCCAAAGTTAGCAAATGGAACGAGGGAGTTGTTGGATTCGAAGTCCTCAACAATCCACTCGGCATTGTATTCGCAAAGATCACCGTCGACTCCGCCGGTGAAGGTGTGGGTCACAGTTTTGCCGGTGGAGACATTCTCAATGGTCGCAGTGCCAGCAGTCGTGGAGGTGGCATCCACGGTCACTTTGATCACATTACCCGCGGAGATTGAGATGCCACTGAAGTCATAGGCATAATCGGGGTACCATTCATACCAAGCATCGTATGAGACGGAGCTACCCTGCACACAGAAATCCACACCAGTCTGCAGAATAGCGGTGTCGCAAGTGTCTCCATCGATGCCGACCCATGCAGAAGCACAGTATTCCGTACGGGAGGATCCACCCGAGGGCACTTTGGGAGTGGGTACAGTAAATTCCGCAGTGACTGCAGTGTAGCCAGTGCCGACAAGCACAGCGCCGGCCCAGTTGGAGCTGTAACTTTCGTGCGAGCTCTCGTTGAAGTGAAGAATCTCCTTGGTATCGGACTTATAAGGCGGATGACTCTCCCGGTTGTTCGCGCGGGCAACCTTGCGAGCCTCGTGACGTGCCTGGCGCTGGGCAGTCAGAGGGGCCGCAATGGCAGCAGTCGCAAGGAGCGATGTGCTGAAGATGGTAGTGGAGAGCTTCATGGTAGAAGGTTGGTATTGCAAACAAGGAAGATCTTACTTTCAGGTAAGATATATTGAATGAAGTTCAAGAGGCCGAGGCCGGTATAGAGGCAGGATTATATGGATGGATGATGCAGAATCATTTCAAGTTGGAAGGAAGAGGTTGGCATTATATACCTTTCATGAGACCGTTCAGCCTGTGCATATCGTAGCAGATAACGAAATGGCGAATAGTTCCACGAGTTCCGGTTTCCAATGATGTCCCGACGATCCTAGCATCATGGGACTCGCAGCTCGATGCAACATGATCATCTGCGGAGCGAGATTACATTCTGACGGGAGAATGGGGATTCATACCCACGCGGTTAGTCTTGTCACGCCGTCGGAGACCGATGGTATCGGCGAACTAGCTTGGGTGATGCATCGGGTGTCTTTCTGCAGGTATCGGTGCAGAAAGTATCCACGGGTGGCTCACATGGAGGATTCATCAAGATCACGCTAGCTTGAACCATGCCCATCAACTAACCACTCAAGGCACTGGAAAGTGTGTAGAGTGTGCCATCTGATGCATTGGGAGATTCTTGGCATATCCGAACAAAAAGGCCATACCGTCAGCAATGCAGATGAGGTAGGTTATCCCGAGGACACTGCTGTGTCTGTCTATCAAGCGCCGCGGAGGAAAAAGGAGGATCGTTAGGCTCGGGACGTCTAAAGCTTAGGCACCTCTAACATGCTGTAGGGGTGTTATCGGACGGGAACCGCAGGTGATGATTTGCTGAGCCTCGAAAAGAGCTTCAAGCGTGCCGTGAAGATTAGCTCCCCGCATTCGGCAAGACAAATCGCGTCGAGCATACGGGGCCGTAATTCTCACGAGTGCTGGAATTAGTGTGCATGCTTTCTCGGATGTCCGACGGGGCCTTAGGCCTAGAAGTTGTGATAAGACGGCTGTTATCCTGTTATCTCGAGAAAACTGGCAGAGGGGTAGCGCTGGATGGCACAGTGTACGGGACACGACCACGTTCAGATGGACCAGGGCCAACCTGGTAACGATCGGCTATGACTATGAAGGCGGCACTGCTGCAATGTTACGGTGGCGCTGAGGCTAAGACTGCCTCCGGTGTGTCACCGGGGAGATGCGAGGGCCAAGCTTTCGACAAGCAATAATGCCGAGCACGGGCGTCCATCTGCATGAGAAGAAGTGCCTGGGCTGTGCCTGAGGTTGACATTTCTTTGCATTCGTCAGGGGCAAACGGGCGTTCCGCGATGCGAGGGCGATTCAATGGGGGCCATCCTGAAGGGCCTTTGGTGGTGGTACCCCCTCATTTCACTCCGTTCCCTCCTACCACTTCCTACAAGGGCTTCTCGGGGAAGGCCAGGGGAGTTAGTCCCGCGCGGCGACCAGATTGGGCGCCACAGTTGGCTAGTGCGGGCCCAAGTCCGCCCACACTAACTCGGTTCGAAAATCATATCCGAGGCACGCGCCAGGGTCAGGGGTGATGGAACCCATGTCACGCGGAGTCTGGATCCCCGATAACCCGCCATCAAGCATGGGCCATTAATAGGGTGGAGCGTAGTTAATATCAGATGCAAGAGAACCGGAACGGAAAAAAGACCAAAGTGGCACAGAGAATGGGGAAATAGAAGATAATGGGGGGTGGGAGGAGTAAAGAGGAGATGTTCGATAATGTGAAGCGGAAGGAGAAGGCCGGTCGCCTCAGGCAGAGAGGAGCGACCAGGACAGTCCCACGAAGAGCTGGTGAGATCCAATACCAAACCGATGACAGGACGAAAATCGAGAGGTAGGTGAGATCGCGGACAAAGGGGAAGACCGGATCCTGGAGTCATGTTCCCGAAACACAACCCGATGCGATGCAGTTCTCCCTACATAGGAGGCTTTTGTATGAACAACAGAAACAACCAAATGTTATGGATTCTTGTTGCCATGTTGAAATCGCATCTCGCTATCCTTCTTTTACCCTTGTGTCTTGTCGCAATAGTCACTTCCTTTAATGGAGTAGATAGTGGTGGTAGAGATCGTGAAACGAACTGAATATATGACCTACCGTCAAACTCAGTAGGTCTGAGGTTGAAGTTGAGTTAGGGCCAATATGGTCCGGGTCTAAGGGACTGTCGAGATAGAAGGGAAGCAGCGATGATATTTCCCTATCAAGCGCGTTTTCGGAGCAAGCCGGTCGATGACGGAAACAGAGGGCCTCATTTGAAAGCACGAATGTCTGGGACTGACACACGGTCGCTTCGGCGACTTTCCAGGAGTTTTGCGGTACAAGCAGCATCAGTAAGGAAATTCCGGGCTAGTATGAGAGGAGAGAACACGATGTGATGGGATTACAAAACTTCATCGCCACGATTGCAAGTTGATTGTGGACAAGGCTGGCAGCAAGTTCGGTTCGCATTCACCACCGTTGTTGTATGTCTTTTTGTTCAACGTCCGCCCAGAACGATCGTGGTCTTCAAGTGATGCATAGTGAAGTGGCGACAGAGCTGCGTGGAAAGCTCACCTTCCACCTTCTATACTAGAAGACCCGCGAAGCCGGAGTTCTCGAGCCGGAGAAAGCGGGTCAAGGAGGTCACCCGAAAAATAGGAGGATGGACGGTATATCTTGGCAATCGATGCGATGTCAAGCTGCTGGAGCTGGTTGGTCAGCAATTTCACCATGCGAAAAGCCCATCAAAGACCTACCTTGCGAGTAAAAGACCTTCCCAACTCCAAAAGGTAGAACACGTAGAGTTGTAGCCCAGTTCTGCTCCACAAAATGTCCTGGTTTGGCGCGTTCCACAGTTAGTCAGGAGACGCGAGAGTGTGCAACCTAGGTTGACCCCATTCAAAACAATCTGTACCTTCAAGTCTCTGCCGATAGCCAAGGGGAGATCTGTGGATTTTTAAATTCATGTTTCAGTAGATCTAAGGGACCTCTGTCTTGAAAGCGGGTCAAAATGGGGTATGATGTATATCTTTGGCCGTGTAAGTACAGACACAGGCCGAAACCGGTAGATTAAGTGTTGGCTATTAATCACCTTGGGATTACACACGCGATGTCCTCGTCGCAAAGACGATCAACGATGAGATTCAAAAAGATCGACGCCGTGCCATGGGTTGAAAAAGTATTGACTTGAGCTTAGCAATGAGAGAACCATCCAAATAAATGAAGATTGACTGATACCTCGGAGGTTTCCTTCAAAATCAATTTTTGTTTGATGTAGGAAAAGCCCAAGATTCACCCAAACTGGTGTCAGACAAGTTGCTTGGTAATGGTCTGAGCGATATTGACTAGCATCAGGATTGTATCAGTCGAAAGAATACAAGGCTGTAAATGGCCACATGTACAGCAGTGAAATGGCCTGCACGGTATGCTAGGTATAGGAGAAGGGGGATTGGAGATTGTTTTCCAAGGAAATTGGTTCACCTGGAGGGTCAAAACGGTGGCACATGACACAGCGCTCAAAGTAGCTGTTTGGGAAAGTCGACACAGCTAGCCACGAGGGGAAAGGGGTTATGTTGTGGGATAGAGTGGAGGGATTTCCTGTTCATGGCAGTTTAGAAAACGCACAGAATGAAGAGAGAATGGATGAGTGCCGTACTGAGACATATGAGAGCAAGAGATATAGGAGAAGTTAGTGAGCCAAGACGGATAGAATGATTAGAGTCGATACAAAAACGCAAATCCCTGGATGCCTTATCATTTTTCAAAACATTTATAGAATTACTTTAGTTATCTTTGACTGTGAATCTTTTGTGGAGGGCGATTCGGACTTGTTAATCTTGAATAGACACCCAAAGAGCATCATTGGCAGCTGTTTATTTCGACCTCTATAGCGGGCATCATGACAAGAGATGTTCAGGTGGCAACATAATGATTGGAATTGCATGCTCTCAGACAGATGTGTGAGCTGGCTGCAAGCGTGGATTTGTGCGAGGGATCAGGATGGTCACGGCAGAGCATCTTACTAACAGGAGATTTTAGAGTCGTGTGGCGAATAGAGGCATCCGAGGGACTATCGGAAGATTACCCGAATAGAATTTGTTTCGTAATACTGAAGAGAAAGTGATCGGAAAAGTGGGGGATCGGGAAACATCTATCGCTCGATAGAATATAGAAATACCACCGAGTTTCAACTGCGAGATGCTTTCCGCCGTAAGTGATTTTATTCCACGTGTTTCTTATCCCTGGGATAGGAACTAGACGTGCCAGTAACCAAAAGCCCTAGAGAGGATGAAGCCCGAGAAATGAATAACATGGTAGATATATTCGAACCTGCTGGAACAAAAACTCCCGCAGCACCAGCAAATCCAACAAAGTTGATCAAAATGAGTTTACGTATTATGCTGAGTTATTTATGGCCAGCCGAGTCTCGTAGATAATTGATCATTGTGTTTCCACGAGGAGTCTGACAGGAACATGTTGGCCATGAAGACATACAAAAGGGCTCATCTCGCTTCAAAACATAACTGGGCAGTGGACAAGCCGGGATCCATGAGAACATGAAGGTTCATAAGCCAAAATGGAACTCTACCATATATTTGATGCGAAATTAAAGCCTGTTGATCTGTTGAAATACAATGCGATGCAAATACGCAGAACGGCATCCCACGTAATTTTGATAAAAAGGCTGGTAGCAAGTCCGCCTGATCTTTTAGTAAAGCTTAATATAACAGAATGGCAATCTTATACGAAAATTAACCTGAAAGACAAGTGGTATCCCTATCCGCAGGAAAGAATCCTGCATTGGGAGAAGCCTTTTTACTCCCTAGTGCTCTGGCCGACCTCCAATGCGCTCTCGTTTAAACTCTAACCCGCAATTCTTTTGAGATTTGGGTGGGCCCAACAACATTGGGTTTTGCCGAATCTCCACAAAGCCAGATGATTTGAGTTAGGTAATATTTGCCGTTAAACGACTACATCGGTTGAGGAGAAGAGGGAAGAAATTCAGATGAACTTAATAGTATCACTCGCACTCGACGAAGGGTCTACAAGCGAACGACTCGACCAAATCGTAAGGACCAGCCAAAATTATGTTCTGGGTGGTTCCAGGTGGTGAGAGGAAGACTAAGTCTGAGTGAAGGAGGAGAAGGGAGAGGTGACAGCTCATTTATCAACCGGACAGGGATGACGTGTGTATGTCCTGCCAAGGCCAATTGCTAGCTCTTCCTACTATGTTCAGCTCAAGATGTGAATTGCAGACTTGCCACACTTAGCAAGGTGATAATGGCTGCGGTATTCGGTCGCGGCTAAGCTGGCCAGCTAGCATAGTGACTCTCTTTGTCTGTCCTTTGGATAATGTCTCCAGCCTTGATTGTAATATACTTTCGACCTCGCTCTTTAAGCTCCACTCTTTTTCTTCTTCTTCTTCTTCTTCTCTTGTTGGAAATCATTAGGTTATGAGGGCGTTAGCCATTTGTGCTCAGAAAGCAAACAGGGGTGAAACGCATTGAGTGAATTCTGTATCGAACCATAGACATGGTTCAAAGAAAGGGGGAGGGGCCGCCGGGGCAGGAGGGGGAAAAAGAAAAGAGGAAGGGAATTAGGACTCAGAACTACTAAGAAGGTCATGCATTGGAGGATTGTACTATCATAATACGCAGGGTCCACGTTATGATATCGATTGTTCCTTCTCCGGAGTGATAACATTCAAGTCAAAGACTGAAGAATATTCGAAGTATGACAGCTAAAATTCATTGACCAGACTCTAAATACACTGAGCTTCTAGAGAAGGTGCTGTTGAAGAGCCTCTCTTGTGATTCTTAGGAAATTGTTGACCAAGACTCGACACTTTTCCCAATTGCGGGATTAGGCATGGCAGTTAATTACTGCGCCACTGAGATCCACTGGAATAGCGGCATTGGGGTTTCCATCCAGGTCGGCAAATGTGTGCTGAGCAGTCAAAGTGGTGAGAGTAGCTCCATTGTTTCTAAGGATGCAGCTAATAGTCTGGGGGAAGGCGGTCAATTGGATAGATGAAGCCTTGACATGGCCGCCTGATCCCACGGATGTTCCACCATAGAGCGATGGGATAGTCTTATCGGTACCATCGGCAGAGAAGGAAACTCCTGAGTATGCGCCTGATTGATCATTGGAGAGCGCCACAGTGACGGATTGGGAGCGAGCTTCCAGTGGTGAAGCAGAAATGGTTGCCGCAAATACGGAGCAGAGAGCAACGATGAACTTCATGATTGACGGTTTTGAAGGCGGAAGATCGGGAAATTAATTAATATTAATTTGACAGAGATTTTGGATGAAGTCGAGGAGCTTAGGAGCTGCATTGAATACTTGACCATGGGGAAGGAACCGCAGGACTTTATACTTCTGTTTCTCGAACCGCCTGTGACTAATGTAAAACCAACCTCTCCAACATTTGCTGTTTACACTATTCTTAGATCACGGTTTAAACTCCTAGGCCCCCAATCAGATGAACATTGACCTCCAGCCCAACCGATCCCATGATCAAGAGTGAGGGAAAAGAAAATACGAGGCAAAGTCAGTCCGAAAGAAGTTCATCGGGATGCCAAGTGACAGCCTCACAGCCACCACATAACATCTCGATTCACTAATTGAGGAGGCGTCAGCTGACCGTATCATTAGTGAGATTCGCGTCAAAAATACTAAGAGGCTGTTTAATTACCGTGAAGGATCTGTTCAGGCACCGAACACCAGCATACAGGCCAAATTCGATGTGAAAATTCATAGGGGACCCACCTGAGCGTGGGCAGGTTTTGATAGGAGTTGAGTAGCTTACAATTGAAATGCAACTGGATACACAGAAGAGACAGTATCCAACTTCCGAGGACGAATAAACGTCACGTTCTCGCATTCTAGCTAGATTCTCAAAACCAGAATGTTAAAAAAAAACCGCTATTGCAACTTATTTTTTTGTGCTGTATCATTTGTATGGCCTAGATGTGGGCGCAAAATGACATAGTTAAATAACTAGTTTGTCGTGAGCCACACTCCCTAGAATTTAAATGTGACGGGAAAGGCAACTACAGAGGAAACCATGCAAGATCCTCATAAAGGATTAGTATTTCATCAAAAACAATTTTTGTCAGCATTGTATATTCGAACATGTATATTAATAGGTGTCCAGGACATTTTTTTAATACCTAGATTGAAAACCCAGCTCAACACGCGAACGTGAAAAGTAAGAGAGCGACCCCGCAAAACAGCACGCTGCAAACCAGGGCTGAATCTCGTATTTGTTTCAGATGTCTTAGAATCCGACCTGCATGACTGATTTAGATGACAATACATTGTCCCATGCGTGGAAGAACAACCTAATATGGGTTAATGGGGTTCACAGCGGTGAGCAAGGATGGTGTGACTAAGAACTTGATTATTCTAAGGCTGGTGGTCGTTTGATTTTGTAATGCTTCACCACGCAACCAGATTAAACTACCATTTCTAGACGAATAAGTGGAGATCTCAGGGTCAAGAAGCAAGAGAGTCTAGCACTCAATTCATGTCAAGAACGAGCGTTCTTAGATAGTAATAACTGTCGATAATCGATCGAGTTTATTCGAAAGGTATCATGCCAAGATAGCGGGTCCGGAAGCAAAGTCACTCGGGGATTAGGCCCGCCGGCCGGTTTTTGTTTTCAGTACTGTCGTATGATGTAATTCCTTTGGCCAATTTGGGAAGGGAGAGATGTCAAATAATTGTCCAAGTCTGTGGGCCAATTTCCATCAAACGAACTGAGATGTGAGAACATTGAAATTGTGGATAACGACCAACAAGAATCGCCACGTCAGCCCTCCCCCATCGAATCGTTCAAATGGTGGTGAGCTATTAGTGTGTATGACAAATCGGTAAGCTGGTGGAATGGGATTTCGCAGCTATTTTCATAGGCATATACTGCAACGTGAATCTTCTAGTTCCGAGCTGCCAGCTGCCATGAGCTGGCCAAGGCTCAAGTATCATAGATTTTCCAACAAACTCCGTGCCTAAAATATGATGTTGCATTGATTATTGACATTCTTTAATCATGGCTTGACACATGTCTCACGCCAGTCGACGCGCAAACCCAGTCGCACTGTCCTCTAGCTGCGGCCTTGCGGAGGTTTAGGCACGCCAACCACTTGCCAAATTCTGGTCATGCTTGACTCGATCTCCTGTCACTGCATGGGTCTCTGCAAGAGAAGAGAAATTTTCAAATCCTTTACATCAGATGTAGAAACAACCTCGCTTGATGAAAGAAGTGCGCTCGAATGGAAATTGCGTGCGAGTGTTTTCTCCAATAAAAAGCGAATATTTGTCGACCTCACACCGCCACCCACAATTATTTCTGGAACTTGGCGGCCCGCCTGAGTACGAACCACAGGACGTGACTGCCGACTCACAAGATCGGCTATTTGGTTGATGCAATCAGCAGCCTTCTCACTGGATGGACCTCCACTTGTAAGAATGGAAGCAAAGCCACACTCCAGTATATCGCCTAGAGCAATGTCCCACTGCGACTCAGGAATGCAGTCGAATGCACGGTGGAAGGTGCAGGGTTTCCCATCTGCTAGTTGTACAAGCTCTTTGTTTCTTCCGATGTCAATCCATGATCTACCACCGGCATCACGGTTATGGGAAGCGCTGTCAAGAATCCCAAAAACGAAACCATCAGCCCCAAGACCCTTCATATGCTGTAATGTCGTCTTCATAATTTCGAAGTCGTGGCTGTCATAGCTAAAATTTCTGGAGTGTGGACGAATCATCACACACACCGGGATTGACACTCTCGACTTCACCGCCGCTAGTGTAGCAGGATCAGGCGTAAGTCCACCAGAAAGATAGTCGTGGCATAATCTGGAATGGAGTCAGCAACATAGGCACCCGTTGTGCTTTTTGTCCCCTAGACATGGCGTGGGCTCTGCGTAAAATGATTCAAAGACCCAATCCTGCGCAGACCCGATTTTGGGATCATAAGTAGATGAGCAAAAAACTCACTCAATGCGATTGGCACCTCCGTCGGCTGCATTAACGGCCGACTCCTCATTGAAACAAGCGATTTCCAGTAAAGTTTCCGTAGGGAAACTCATATCGTCATCCATGAGCGACGGATACAGATCGAAGTCCCCAGGTGGACCAGGTGGTTTAGTGGACTCGGCGCACTCTTCGCGACGACGGAAATATCCAGTGAAGGAAAGAGAGACGGCGCAGTGTGGTGGGGAAGTATGTTCACTTAAGTTAACTAGTTAACTAGTCAACTATATTAACTAAAATCAGTCACTGACTCATGTCAACAATGGCACGTATGTTTTGCTAGGAAGCACAATGAGGATGACAATACCTACGCATTTCAAACCCTAACCCACACTTTCGGACCACTTTCCTCCTCGTCTCAGACCTCACATGTAGTACGAGGGTATTATCCGGTGACATCTTCATCCCGCTGCGTCCTTCTCAGAAGGCGGTGAGGCCGCCCGAAAGCCCTGGAGCTGCCCTTCGTTCCCCCATCACCACCTTCTGCCGGTCGCACTTGCCCTCTTTTGCTCTCTCGTGGACGCCGCCGAAGCTCTTCCCATATCTTCCGACCCGTTCGTTCGGGAAAATGAGCGTCGAATCATTTGTGGCAGATCCTTTAACGGTCCTCCCCCCGGAAATTGTGCTCCGCATCCTGGAGTTCTCCCCCGTGTCCGCTGTTGCATCTCTCATCGCGGTGTCCAAGGCTTGGCACCGATTTATCGACGTCACGCACCAACAAGCTATCTACGGTTCCGAATCCAAGACCACACAGCCGGCCGGCGGCGTCCGCGATTTTGCCTTCCTCTCAGATACCCGAAGTGTCTCGAACTACTTCAGCGGCACCACATCATGGAAGGACCTTTGTAAACGCCAGACGTTGCTTGCCCGCAACTGGGCTGCGCGGCAGCCAATCAGCCGGGAAACAGTGCTTCAGGTCGGCAACGACCCAGTCTGGCGGTTTCGGGCAGATTTCAAGCGGCGGTTTTTTATTTCCACCTCCCATGCGGGTGGGTTGAATGTTATCGACATGGACTCAGGCCGAATCCTTTGGCGCCTCCCCTCCACCCTTGATCGCGACGAGGATGCGGTTCGCCCGTATGCTCATTTGGAGTATCAGGATGGAATGGCAGTCTTTGATCGCGAAGGAGATGCTGTGGAGGTCTGGCAGACGGGGTTGGATGGCACGGCTCACGGAGAGTTTCGGCGCATGGCGATACTAAATCATGATTGCCAGACAAGGGGCTTTCAGTTGTCCTACTGGACGCTCTGTGTGGTCTCAAATGAGGGACAGGGGTTTGTGTATGACATGAGCGAGCGACCTCCGGTATTGACCACCCGCCTGGAGATCGAGCCAGGTGCCATTGGCCATTTGGACCAGAGTGAGGACGCCGTGATTTATTCACTTGGAACAAAAGGCTACTATGTCTATGATAAACAATCTGGCGCCCTGTTAGGCACTTTGCAGCCGTCTAACTGCACAGATAAATATCACATTTGCCCCCCTCCTGCTGCGTCTTCTGCAATCCCCTCGCTAGCTGGAGTTACCCAACAGCCTTCAACCAACCAATTGGATCCCTCCACAGTGTCTCGTAAGGATGGGCTCATGCCAATCGAGATCGTCAAGGGGCCTCTCCTACCACCACCTGACCCGGAACACATCTGGCATGGAGAAAACGAATGGGGAGCAGGTATGCTCTGTGGTGAGCTTTTTGTCGGCTTCTCACGCGCTGGTCGGGTCTTCATCTGCCCTGACTGGCGCAAAGCCCTCCATGACCATACCAACCTCGCAGCACATAGCACGCTCCTTGAATGCGAGTCGGACGGTTCCAGTTTCGATCTAGGCGGTTGGTTATCGGTTCGCGACCACCGTTTGATGTTCGAAATTCAAGATCGGATATATATTGTCTCGTTGGATAAGAACAACCGGGTTCAAGACCTTGGTCATCCTGAACGTGCTTCCTTCTCGCTGCTCGCCAGCTCTGCCCCACAACTGGCTGTCCCTGTTAGTTTCATGGCATTATGTGATGATGCCATCATGACTACCTACACGGTGCGTCCCTGCCTCAGTTGCGCATCCTAGAAGTCGGATCCATGATAGTTAACTTCAGCAACCACAGACCCTTGGCTGGCGCCAATCTCCTTCCGATCTCCCAGGTGGTATTCCCCCACCGCAACACGAACATCCTGCTCGTATCTTCCCGACCAAAGCGATCCGTATTGTGAGCCTAGCTCCTGACATTTCCAATTCGAAATCAGCCTCGGCCCCTTTGAGTGGTACCCATTTCTTAGAAGGCCCGATGAGCAGAGCTCAATCCGGCTCAGGCCAACCTACAGATGAGACGTTCCAGTCGCAAGCAGCGCTGTTGCAGTTGGTTAGTTTACTGGGGGATGAACCTGTCGAATGGGAAGACGAGGGTGACTTTGAAAATGAAGAATAATCCAATCGTCAGCACATTTATACAGGTGGCAAAAGAAGACTTACGGGGGCCTGATCCAAACACGCATGATCTCAAGAGAGTCAATCGCCTACCCGGCTCCTGATCGGAAGGCTACCTAGTGGATTCATGGCCTTGCGTCCGTGACTCTTGATGGCCAACCCGCCACGACTAACTGATATAGCAAATTGTCATACTAACTGCGAATCAGGGTTTACTATACTTTATACCCCTTCATACCACTTCATGAAAAAAGTAGACTGAGAATAGAGGGTATCCAAAATGTGATCTTCGCAGACCGCGAATTCTCCACAAATAAGGACTCGAAGTTTCATAGGCCAAGACGATCGATGAACAAAATCATTACAGCCAACCAGGCATTATCTCCAGCCTTTCTCCCAGCTTAACCACGAGGAAATCACAATGCCTTCCTCCATTTTCGCTTCCTTCTTTCGCCCTTCTTTCCCCTTAGCAAGGTGAGAGAAGAATAAAGCAAACGTGTGGAAAAAGCAACGAAGAACAATCCGTTTTGGATTTCCGTCAATGATTCAGGTTGATTGGCAGATCAGTCGCATATTCACCAGCTACCAATAGCATTTCAGGGATTCTCTCCCCTGATGTACTTGCAAGTGAGATAAGTGTATATAGCAACCCCCTCATTTTACCGGTGTGGCTTATTTTCAATTGCTCAAAGAGACTATCAAATGATATACCGCTAGCGACTGATAGGCCACACATGGGCCCACATTTGTTACAGTATGTAATTATGGTTTAGTCATTAATGACAGAATGCGGAAGAATTGTATCACCTAGTAAAGTGTAGGCCAATGAAGCCAGAGAGTGTGTATTGTAGAAAGCTAAGCTGCGCGTATAGAAATAGGGGGAAAGGTGCCAAGGAGCTAATTAAAACAGGTTAGTAGCTAGCTGAATAATACTGGTGGAGGCCATATTTCGACAATTAACTCAAGCTTTGTAACAGTATCGACGACACAGACACATGTTGTCACAGCAAGCTGATACTGTATAGCCTAGTATGCAGAGAGACGAATGACATCAAGCGGAATCAATTGGGATGCATAAGATTGATTGATTCAACAGAAAAACAGGGGGCAACAGCCCTGCTAAAATAGCCCCTGAGACACACCGCTATTCGCTGTGTCTCCGTTACTCAGCTACAGCAAGGCTCTCTTTGCTGTCCCGTAGACTAATTACATAAGAAATGCTAAACGAATGTGGACCCATCAGCAACGAATCAGTTGCTAGCGGTAAGTTATCCCTTTATGTGCTGACACACCCCCTCAGCAAAATGGCTGTAGGCAATTTGCTGCACTATTTTATCTGACGTCCTTAGGCATTGATTTTACCTTCCAATAGCTGTCCAATATCTTCTATCCCTAGCTGCCTGATAAATTCGGCATGCTTCTGGCGAGGTAATAGCTTCGTGAGGCCGTCTGCTGCTATATCCGACGTTTTGACCTACTATACCGGTATACGTTTGGCTTGAACCTCCTACCGTAACCAGTGCTGGTGGATATTAATATGTCGGAGCTTCGTGCGCAGTTAAGGTGATTCGGCCGTTAATAGGTTAATAGTCTGCTAGTTATTACATTGCAGGACGATAGGGTGACTAGGAACGAATATAATAGCCGCGAATAGACGATTCTATATGTATAGAGACTTGCTAGCGTCTGATATTGCTAGTAATTCCGCCTTAGTAGTACTCGTTATTATAGTCTTCTGCTTCGTAGCCTTCTAATCTACCGGTCCTCCGAATATTAAACTAATATAGCCCGATGAGCTCTTCCGATCGTGGTTATCCCTATACGATGCGTCGCTAAAGAACTGTACGGTCTACTGTAGCGAATCAGGAAGCTTTCGATAGTAGATGGCTCTCGTCCGTGTGTGATATAGGTAAGCGATAACTAGGTTGATTCCGTTGACGTATTCAGGGGAAGGGTTCGATAGGAACTAAGCGAGATGTGAGGTGGCCTTCGCTGCGTCTAGCCGGGTAATCGTGGTAGTATACTGTGCGGAACCGATCTTGGCTAAGAATTTATACCTTCGCTCGTCGGTAGCCGTTCCACTATAAGGTTAAAGGTTAGCTATGCTGATAGGAGGGACTTTAAGCTATCTTTCAGTGATTAAATAATATTTAGTAGCTATCGTAGCGATATAGGCATCTTAATATAGCTATAATTTACCCTGTTGACGATCTCTCACGATGCGGATGCCCAAGAACTACTGCGCTTCGCCTATCGAGCGAAGCTCCTAGGTCTGGTTGAGGCTTTTAGCTATATTCGTAGCCTCTTAACGTATTAAAGGATGGTTAAAGATAAGGATATCGTTAACGTAAAAGATAATGATGATGCCATCTGTGGTGAATAGGCAAATATCCTTATAAATAACGTTGAAGCCTAACGCTGTCAGAACTCTTAACGCTTCCTGCTACTAGAGCCTCGGTGATTTCCGTAGGCCGTATAGGGCTCTTAAGAGCTTCTAGCACCTCAGTCTTCGTCCCGGAGGGTAAAGGCTAGGAGATAGTTCTATATACACTTCCTTATCAATCTAGCTATTAAGAAATGCATTAACAGCGTCGTATTAAGCGGTATCGAGGTTAAAGGCTACTGCGAGAGCGAAGATAGCCCTAGCAGTTCGCACGGCCAGCGTCGCTGAATATTTCTTATCCGTTAACATCTTCTGAAGGTCTCCCCTTACGTATATCCTCGCTTTGTATTTAATTAATAGGCCGTCGCTGTCGAATTTGTATATAAATACCTATGTTAACGGTAAGACCTGAATGCCCTTATCTATCGGCCGGTTAACTTCTTTATAGGTGCCCTTTCTCTCTAGTGTTTTAACTTCCTGCGAAGCTGCTTCGACGAAGCTATCTCTGTACGGGTAACGTATTATCTCTGCCTAGTTCTTTAGCTCTAGTAGTAGGTCGTCCCGGTAAGGGCGTTAGTAGGTCTATAGCGAGCTTATCTCTGCAGAAAACGCTAATAGAATACCTTTATAATAGTCCTCTAGATCGTTTACCGATGCGAAATAAGCCCTCCTGCGCTTACGTTTACCCTCGATGATGTTACTTTCCGAGAGCGATGCGCTAATGTTATTCGGTACAAGAGATCTATACTTACGGTATCCTAACGGTAGTAGATCTAATGCTTCTAGTGATTCTAATACCTATCTGAGCTCTCCGAGAAGCTGCTTATTAGGCCCTCCTACCCCCTTAGCTTCGAGGCGGTTTAAGGTTTCTGGTATTGCTAGAGATATTAAGAGTAGTAATAGCTCTATTAGAAAGCTTCCTAGGACTGTTGATGACCTCTCTGGTACTGTCGCCGGAGTTAACTAGCGAGAGGGAGTCGGCGACGGTATTATTATCGCTAGAACTAGGGAATTTGATGTAGATTCTTTCGTAGAGCTCTGCTCTTCTTCTCTCCTTTCTTCTTACTGTTGTGGCCTTTCTGTGTGCCTTTCTGGTATCGTAAGGGTTATCTCGAGGCCCTTATCGACGGTAATAGGTATCTCTGTAGCGTTATGTCCTACCGTCTATAGCATCGTCTCGAGGATGTCGGCTGGCGGTAGTCTCTCTGTTTCCTTCGGGCTGAATCGTACGTTCTTATCGAATTCGACGTCTCTGACTGCTCTAACAGCATCAAGGTGTAGAAACCACACCTTCTAGATATTCGATATAATATAACCGACCAAATACCCTATCTCTATGCGTAGCGCCATCTTGTCTTTCTAGGGAATCCCTTAACGGCGTACGTACGCTCTGTAGCTATAAACCCGGAGATATGCTAGGTTAAGACGCAGTTTATTCTGTTAGTGATGAGGTTTCCGAATAGCTTTAATCTATGGGATGATCTCTTGGCCGTCTAGTAGTGTTGTGGGCGTTCTGTTAATTAAATAGACCGCTGTATTTACTGCTTCTGGCTAAAGATTCTTCGGTAAGCCTGTATCGATGATGAGAGCTCTAGCGATGATGATAATAATACCTCCTGCTCTCTCGATGAAGCCGTTCTGTTTAGGTGTTCCGACGACGCTAAATTCTATTAAGATACCCTCCCTAGCGTAGTATAGGCGGAAGGTATAGCCTAGGGTCTGTTCGTTATCGCTCTTGAAGACCTTAATATCTATACTAAGCTGATTTCGATAGATGGTAATGAAGCTGATGATGGCATCGATATATCTACTCTTTTTCTCGTAGGTCTAGGCTATATAGAGGCGAATACCCTCGATAAATAGGTGAGAGACCTATTTGTGACCGTTGTAAGCTTCCTCTAGCTGTAATAGGTCAAAATGAAGCTTTCTAAACTTGCCGTGGATCTTTGCTCTTACTGCTGACCTCTGAGAGATCTGCTTCTTTGCCTTCGCTTGCTGATAGACTGTATATCGTTTAGGGTTATATTGAGCGTCATCCTTGAATTCTCCCCTGATAACTATGCCGTTAACTATCTTTGCGAGTGCCTTAATACGTCGGTTATAGATATAGCTAAGCCTGCGATGCTATATCTGCGGTGATATAACGGATACTAGTGGTTTCTGAGAGGTCTTAAGTATAGAAAAGGCTACTAGAGGGCTATTCGCTGCTAGGATAGGCCTATTATCCTAGTGATGCTCTAGAAGATAGAGCCTAAACTTCCTAACATATACTGCTATTAGCTTGTCATCCCTAGTGATGGCTGGGAAGCGGCTATTAAAGAAGAAGCCGTTCTTCGCGATCTCTGACACTGACAGGATATTGGTTTTAAAGCCTAGGATATACTATATATCTGGTAAGGTTACCTATAAGATCTTGCTAGTAGGGTCTTTAACGATAATTTTGGCAGTTCCCTTGCCCTAAGTAGCCACTTTACTACTACCGAGTGTGACTATACGGCGTTCTTCCTTTAGACCTCCTACGAAACGATCTAGACGGTTATAAATATGGATATTAGCTCCCGAGTTAATGATCTAGCTGTTTTCGAGTGGATAGGATAGGGCGGCGTTATACATAGCTAGGGTAATATCGAGGGTGAAGGAATATATTAGGTCGTCTTTAGAGAAGAAGTTCATCGTTTCGGTCGGTATATTACTAAAGCTATTATCTCTATCGGTAATAGCTAGCTAAGCTGTCTGACCGACTATCTTAGATAAGGATAAGGCTCCGGGGCTTATTAGCTTAGCTATTTCTTACTGATCAGCGAGGCTTAGCTTCTTAATGCCGTCCTCGATCTTCTTACGAGTGGCCTTATATTGCTGCTAGCCCGGCGGCCTCTTAGCTACGTTGATGTAAAAGCAGTCCTTCTATTGATGTCTTAGGTTGCCGTATACGCAGCGTTACTTCTTCTGATTCGAGGACTGCCCTTGCTTAGGCTGTTAATAGCCGTATAGCGTCGCTACGAAGGCTATAGCGCCTATTAGGCCTTTCTTACTATAATCCTAAGTGTCCTAGTAAGTCCGATACTCCGAGAGAACATCCTAGAACTTTAGCTTCTCCCTACCGTCTAGTTTAGCCTTATACTAATTAATAAAGAAGTTATCTTGGCTAGGGATAACCTAGAGGAAGTCTCTAATAGCGAAGGCGTCCCTAGGGTGTTCGGTAACGTAGGAACAGCGCTAGATATTAGGCACTTTCGCTATATACGCTTTATTATATAGGTTTAACCAGTCCGTTAGCTATTTAGCTATCGACACCGAGGCCTTACTAAATAGAGTGGTTACTTACTGCTTCTATACGTTTCTGAGGTGTTATACCCTAGTAGCCCCCTTTAGCTTGAATTCCTAGGCTAATTTCATCAACTTCTCCCTCGCAGTTTTCCTATCGGCTAGCAAGCTTTACTTCTCAGGATAGGTTATCACTAAGACGTAAGAGTTTATATCGGCTAGGCTCTTATAGATAGCATAGCAAAACGCTCTCTCCTTTTCGAATAGGGTAATAAGGCGGGTGTATCTAGTATAGTCGGCATTATCTAGCTCTATCGCATTAGTTACACTAGCTTTGATCTCGTCTGGTCGGGGAAAGGTATCTCTTAGCTTAACGGGTAGCTTCCTAATATCTTTATCTTTAATATCAGGGTCGAGATATCCCTATACCTTTAGGGCTATCGCGGCTAACTCGATATAGCTGATCCAGACTCGCTACTGAGCCTCCGACCGGAGCCGTTAGTCGTAGGGGTTTCCGTATGACGCTTGAGTTATCTCGAAAGACGTCATTTTCGCATATAAATCAGGCTGTTTTGTAGGGTCTTCGAGCGGGACCTGCAGTCCTTCGGTATTGGTTGAACTACCGCTGGGTGGCTATATAGGGCTAATTTAGGAAGCTCACGTTGACAGAAAGATCCAGGCGAATTGATGCGTGTCTTTCTTGGTAATATCAACGGGCTATCGGGCTCATAACTGTCACAGCAAGCTGATACTGTATAGCCTAGTATGCAGAGAGACGAATGACATCAAGCGGAATTAATTGGGATGCATAAGATTGATTGATTCAACAGAAAAACAGGGGGCAACAGCCCTGCTAAAATAGCCCCTGAGACACACCGCTATTCGCTGTGTCTCCGTTACTCAGCTACAGCAAGGCTCTCTTTGCTATCCCGTAGACTAATTACATAAGAAATGCTAAACGAATGTGGACCCATCAGCAACGAATCAGTTGCTAGCGGTAAGTTATCCCTTCATGTGCTGACACATGTCAGAGGGGGTTATTTTCAACAGCACCCCTGAGATCTTCTTCAATCAATCAAACTTATTCATCTGAATTGGCTCCGCTTGATCTTATTCGTCTTGCATGTATAGGCAACACAGTATCAGCTTGCTGTGACACCTTCCTACCCGATAATATTATTTATCTTCCCTTTTCTCAATGGCAGTTTCGAGTCCACTGAGGCTAGATCTCGTCACCATTGAGGATAGCTCCTCCCTCATGGACCTTTGGTTCGCGGCATTTTCGGACCCTGACTCACGACGCTTATTTCCTAATACCCCTGGTGTGCGACAGTGGCTGGAAGATGCCATATATCAAGATTTACTCCAGAGACCTTTCCAGGTTTATCTAAAAGTTGTTGACCCAGGATCGAAAGATGCCAATGGCCAACCTCGAATAGCTGCCTATGCAAAATGGGATTCGTCCTCGCCCGAAGAACGTGGACCGCGCTATCCACCATGGCATGACGATATGCCCAAGGAGCTTTGCGAAGCTTTCGCGAGTAGAGGTGAGAGCAACAGAAAGCGGGTTATGGGTGACCTAAGACACATCTGTATGTTTTACCCTCTTGTTTCTGGGCCGGGTGGAGTACTAACCATGACATGGGGTAAAGTTTTGGATATGGTCGCTACGCATCCAGATTATCAACGGCAAGGGGCTGCTTCTATGCTTGTTCAATGGGGATGCGATATGGCCGATGATGAGGGACTAGGGACGTATGTTAGTGCTAGTAAGGATGGCGCCTCACTGTACATCAAATTTGGATTCGTTGATTATAGTAATGCCAGCCAAGATACTACCTCGATGGCTCGGCAAGGGCAGAGTCTAAATAGTGATTAGTTGTTCTTCTCCAATTCTCGAAAATTTCTTTTTGAGAAATCAAGCTGTTAGGGACATATGCACCTATATACACACAGGATAGATGTCTGCCCGCCAAGACTTGCCGTCCACGACATTACAGATCAAGTGGTGAAATAGTGTCCATCTAGCTGTATCCGAGCGGACTGCCCGAGACTCAGTGCTACGGAAGGAGCACAAAGGAAAGTTGGACATACTCTTAATAGTGTGTCGCCGCTTTTGGGCTTTGGGGTGGCAGTGGAGAAGGCAGGGGTGGTAAGTCCAACTTCACGGGCCAGCAAAGTCAAGTCGGTGCGGAACTTCGCCACGGTATCACAAAGATTTGTAAGTCGCGCGCCACATACGGGTAGCCCAAAATCGAAAACCGCTATTAGACCACCATGGGCCTTTTAAATTCAAAAATTCCAGAAACATGCCTGTTGAAAAAGACACTGCTACAGGCAGAGGTGCGCATGGCATCACCACATTCCCACTCCCCGGGCCACTTCCGCCCACCGCGCTCCGTGGTACGTGCATTTCCCGTATCCCAGTGTGCCCCAGCTCTGTCAAACCCCCCCCCCCCAACAACAACAAAAAAAAGGAAAAACCAGGCTAAAACATATGTATAATCCGCCGGTATACAGTACAGTATAGACGACACGTGCAGCAGGGGTTGCTTTGAAGAGCGCTCCCCCCGATTACTGCCAAATGAATCATTCTTGTTCATCTGAATTAGTTCGGCTTGATATTATTCGTCTAGCGTGCATACTAGGCTATATAGTATCAAAATGCTGGGACATGATGTTTATTATAGATATTGATCTTGCTACGCGTTTATGGCAGATTCGGTAGGCGGTACCTTTGCTAGGCGGTAAAGGGGCTGTGGAAATGGATTGGTATAGCGACTGTAATTATGGGTCGGGGCAGCGGTTCAGGGCTAGACCTAATCAAGAAGTTTGTGGACCAATTATGGCCTTGGCGCACTTCAAGAGTCGGTTTACAGCAAAAAGGTAGTTTCGTTAGAGTTACTACCTTATATTAACTAGAGGATGATTTACTCCTGGACATACGCCACTAATCCGATAGTTTCATAATTACACATTCTGGGCCCCGCACTGCTGCTGCCCAGTCATCATCCACTCCAACCCCAGCGGCCTCTCCTTCAACCTCAGAACCGAATACTTCCGCTCAATCCACTCCTCGCATGTTAGTACTGGCACCCCTGGCTCTGTCGCCGGAATCCGCTCCGTTCGTGGTGCAACCATGACTATATGATCCGCCGGCCGCACCATGTACGCAAAGGAATACCGCGTCGGCATGGCCCGGTTCGGTAACTGCCCGACACGGTGCACGCAAGACCGTAGCACCCCGTTCGTCAGCAGTGAGAGACTATCGCCCAGGTTGACAATGGCGTGGCCCTCGCGTGGCGGTCGCACCCATTCCCAGTCCCCTTTCTCTTCACCTTCCCCGGGACATTGGATCTGTAGCCCGGGTTGGCACGTGAAGAGAAACGTCAGTGACCCCATGTCAGTGTGCGCTGCGTGCGGAATGAGGATTTGCTTTGACGCTGGCTGCGGCTGGTATTTTAGCAGCCGGATGATATCCTGGGAGGGGGTGGTTATCTGGTGCTTGTACTTGAGGTTGTGGGCTGGGGGCAGGGCGAGGGTTTGCGAGAGATGGTGAGTTATGGTCTGCGCTGCGCTATTGATGGCGGTCGTGAGGGCGTGTAGGGTTGGGAGCGCTGCAGTGATTACTGGGGGACGGGGAAAATCGGCTTGGTTGTTTAGACCCAGGATGCCATTTTTAGGGATCTGTGGATCTGTTTGTTAGGAGAAGTTGAAGGAAACCCCAGGGTAAGATCGTGGATGATGGGTTATTACCACATAGGTCTCAAATCCATCGCGTTGCCCCGCGAGTCCACCATAGTTCCGCCCTACAGGCTTGTATCTAGGGTCATTGCCTCAGTGACAGTGTTTAGAGGGATGGATGGATGGATGGAGTCATACCCGTTACACTTCCGACTCGTCAGCTTATCCACGTCGTATGCGCATTTCTCCTCAAGCGGGAGCCCGAAAAGCTCCTTCGACACCAAGCCAATGTCCTCCAGGACCGGAAGAATATCTGACTCTTCCGAGCGCAGATCGAGGTAGAATGCGCCCGTCGTTCGACTCGCCTCGAAGAGCTGTTGCGCCTCCGCTGCGTCGCCGGCTTGGAGCTTACCGAGGTCGATAGTGTGAAGATGGGCTACCGGGACATCGGGCGGGAAGTCCTCTGCTTCAGGCTTTGCCGTCGTCGTGGGAACGGGAATGGCCATAGTGCGGTGAATGAAGACAAACCGAGCATACGGTTGGACCCGCCTTGGAAAGATGACAGATGGATGAATAGGTCTGTATCCCGCACCTGTTGGTTGTTGGTTGTTAATATGATAGAATCAGACGTGTCCGGGAATGCGGTAGACAGGGGCAGTATGCGAGGAGCTGCGGACTTGTGCTGTGCATTCTCTGGCATGTGGGCGCAATATACCTCGCCAGTCGTGGCGTCATGTTGATAACTGGTTTCCACTGCTTTACTGAGCCACTACGAGGGGGAATTCCTTTCCAAGTTCTTATCGGAAAATATTTGCCAGGCAAAGGGAGGCGGGGGTTCCCTGTCATCCTGACGGATCGAGTGAACAGTTTACAGAGTCTTGACCGGGCGCACGAGTGCAGGTGTGGTAGGTTCTTTGCTTGGTTCGTTCTACATCGTGGAGTGGTTGTGATCAGGACTACCTATGCATCGACTTTGTACACGGTCGGCAGGAGCTAACAATCAACCCAGTGGACCGCCTGCGCGGCCAGCCTCCCCCCAGTCCATCACCCAGCACGCCCTCCACGACATCCAAGGTCTGCCGGATCTGATCATCCGCGTGAAAGGCCGCATTCCAGAACGCCTGGAGGCTCAGCATTCCATCGTGCGTCCAGACCATGAGCGTGATGCCGGCCGAGAGGAAATCCGACCAGCAGGCGAAATTGTGGATACGGAAGGCCCCGATCACGGCCGGGAATAGACCCTGGTCTAGCGGGCCGAGGCTGCTGAACCACGGCATGACGCTGGTGTCGCCGCCGCTGGACGCAAAGTAGTGGACACGAGCGGCGGTGATGGCACGCTGATCCGCGTACAGCCAGTCGGGCTCACGGACTCGCTGATATTGCTGGCGTACGGTCTGGGCCCGGGCCACAAACTGCGCTGGGTTGTTGCTGTCCTTGCTTGGGGCCTTAAGGGTGATGAGCAGTTGCTGCGCGGGGGACCAGGCGCCCTGGTCGTGCAAGGCCGACGTTGGGGCCAGGCGACTCCGGATTTGGGCCGGCATCATTCCTGCGTATGACCGCGAACGGGTCGAGGGGTCGGCGAGCTGCCATACAGCAGCCAGGTAGGCGGTGTGGATGGCGGCGCTCACCGTGATTGCATGGGCCTTGCAGCGGGCGAGGAGCTGGTTGGTAGTCTGCTGCGTGTAGATGCGTTGGTGCAGCCGTATGTGCGAGGGAATCCCGCGCAAGGGGGTCAGGGAGGCGAAGTTGATCGAGGGTTGGGCGGCATAGAACCGCGCATAGTCGGCGTCGACCCTCTGCTGGGCGTCCGAGCTGGTTGGACGTTCCCCCGGCATGACCACTTCCTCCAGCGAGGGGGACAGCAGGTTCACTTCACTGCCAGGGACATGTTGCGCGAGGCTGTTGTACGTCGAACTCTCGGCACCGGGAAGCAGGTCTGTCGTGAAGCGCAGGAGGTGGTGGAGCAGCTGGAGACAACCCGTGGCCTCGGTGCGCCAGTGACTAATGCACAAGATCAGTTGCCCGTGGAAAACACCATCCCCCGCGCGGTCCTTGGGTAGCAGATAACAAAAGGGCAACCAGTCCGGCAGCAGGCGCATGTTCGCAATGGCCGAGTGAACAGTCTGGCCCGGGGGGAGTTCTAGCAAGGTCTGCTGTGCCCAGGCCTCCAGTTCCTCAGCTGTGACGGCCCGATATTGCTTCACTCCTTCCGGTTGGCGGTTCTGATAGGTGGTGGCGATATCAGGAGACTTCAACAATCGCAGCGCTTTCCAGCCTTCACGCAGAGCGACTGCCACCTGCGGGCCCTCGCATGGGATGGAGAAGTCGACCACCGTGTGGACTAGATTTGGCTCGCGAGAATATACCTCGCGCGCGTGAATCAGTGCCGCAGGCAGCATACTCTTCTCTAAGTCCCCGAGGGGTCTTTCGTAGACACCGGGTGTGATGGCTTTCCACGACATAATGTCAACCGTGATCTGCCCGCTATAGCCTACGATAGGTCATAAGCCGTGGAGGAGAAGGTGAGGTAATGAATGAACAATGAATAGCGTAGGAGACATGGACTCGAGTTTCTTCAAAAAGGTTTAAAACTCTCACTGCCAGCTGGGGGAATCATCATGCATCTGGTCCAGAAGTTGTATGACCAGTCCTACATGACACGAAGTAAGGGCCAGGTGGCCTATTAGAGCGCTATACTCGTATCTCAACAGCAGTTGGGCATCAATACTGCTGTCCCCGATCAGATCTGTGATCAAATTATGCCAAGCTTCGCACTCCGGCTGCCAGACTTTCCTCCAGAGACGTCCATCCTGCTCTCCCGAACGCATCCTGCAGAAGACCCTCCGCTCGGGCCACGGGCGGAATATTGTTCCAGATACGTTCGGCGTTCTTGGGAGGCGCCGGGATGAGCGGGTTGTCTGGCTGCAGTTTTCGCAGCAGGTGAACAATGTCGGCCCAGGTGAAGGGCGAGGCAAAGGCAAACAGTCTCTCAGCCTGTACCTGGTCACTAAGGAGAGCAACCACATGGAGGCGTGCCACGTCTTCGACATCGACAAACCACTCTATAAAATAATCAGAATCAGCGTCAAGATCATGGTGTGCGTGGGACTGCGTAGGAAGGCTTACGAGGGGGAAGTTGAAACGCTGAAGTGTCACCCTGAAGAATGCCCTTCATCCAGCTCATACTCGATCCGCCGATTTGGGGGTGCAGGATTTTCCCCAGCTGCAAGGAGACGCCGATTAGCAGACAAACACGCGTAGGCCAGGGGGTCATTCCAACCGTCCAGTAGGGGAGAACCGTGTTCAGGACAAACGGGTGGTGATTTTGCTCCATCCACTTCCATGACTCTCGCTCAGCCTGCACTTTGCATGCCCCGTGCACAATGAAAGCCAGCATCTCGGGAGGGCAGGACTGATGTAATGCGGTCTGCACGGCGTATTCATTCCACGAATCTGAAAGAGCTCTCAGCAACAGAGGGAGAAGAGCGGTGGTGGCGACAAACCATGATCCACCGTAGCCAACCCGTTCACCGTAGGGTAGAACGCAGCGCACGAGGACGAGGTTAGCACAACCCGCCGCACAGTCTTGTGATTCTTCGCCGTTTCCAGGATATTCACATTCATGTCTTGGGCCCGGGAGATGGCGTGCGGGTTAGCCGTGAAGGACATGTGGTTGGCCTATGAAACTTTCATATCAGAACACGACCCAGTTCGTCCGCCGGGGAGGGTATATCTGTCCTTACTAGATGCACGATGCCCGATATCCCTTCTAGCACCAGATCCAGAGCATCGGGGGCCACTAGATCCGGTACCACAACTGTCTCGAAGATATCCGGCTTGTCGGGGCGTTGGAAATACGCCTCCAACCAGGGCTTTGACGTGCGAACCGTCCCGCGAACATGCAATCCGAGGTCCAGCAAGATGGAGATGACGTGAGAGGCAATGTATCCATTGGCACCAGTTACCAGGATCTTAGTCCCTGGTGGAAAGATGGAGTCACCTTTCATCATTTTTGGTCTTCCTACTGTTTAGTTTCGAGGAGTGGGAGAAGTTGAGACAGGAAGGATGATTAGTGAGAAGTAGCACGTATATAGATACACTGTAGGACCGCCATGCATAGCCAATAACCTGTAATATTTCGTTAATTACAATCCACTCCATGCGTTGCGTAATGATGTTTTCTGGCGCGCATTGCAGCCACACCAGCCACAAGGAGTTATAAGAATGGATGCATGTGAATGTCCAGTTTCTCCACATCCTAGAGACCAATATTATGATATCGTCCATAATGGACACTCTCCGCTAGGTACTCGCGAGCGCTAAATGAAGGCTCGAGCGGTCTATCGAATCACTTGGGACTTTGAAATATATAAGACTTCAAATGGTTCCCTCAAGTGCTCTCGCAGGATAAACACCTTTCGCTTCACTTAACTGCCTCTACCTATATATTCTCCTCTCCTATATTCTACGACCCCCAGTGGCCTATTTGGTTCGCAGGCATATAGACAGGGTCGGGTTCTCCCCTCAAGTTCCCTCCTCAATAGATAGTAGGTAAAACAACATAACGTCCCTTTCCTCCTTTCCCAATCTTCCCTCTTCAAAATGAACATCACCCGACCAACTGCAGTTAAACATCTCGGCAAATCTCCTCCTGCCGTCTCCGCAACGCAGTTTCCCCCATTGGATTCGTAAACAAGTTAAACCCTAGACTAACCACAATTGCCCCGTCCCCATCGCCAACCGCGCGGAAATCATACTTCAACAACATATGGCCAAGCGCAATTTTGACCTCATTCGCCGCAAAGAACCGTCCGGGACAAACATGCTTCCCATACCCAAACCCCATATGACTCGTCGCCACCGCCACAAGCTGGTGATTATTCTCTTGACCGGGACGCTCGCGCGTGCGTAGGAACCGATACCCGTCGAACTGTCGCAGATCCGTGTACTCACCCTCATCCCACCTCGCATGGCTGGACACCATAAACGCCGTGCCTTTGGGGATCGTGAGTCCGTCGTGCAGCCGTACTGTCTCCTCCGCGAGTCTGCCCATCGAGATTATCCGCGTCGGCTTGAGACACTGGCTCTCTTTGAGCACGCTGTCCATCAGTTTGAGGTTGTACAGTGTTGCGGGCGTCCATCCGTGCGTCGGGATTATGGAGATGATCTCCTGTCGCAGGTCGGCGAGGAGATCGGGTTGGCTACTGATGTCGTAGAGTACTTGGGTTAGCATGTCTGCTGTTGAGTGAATGACTGCGAAGGAGAGTAGAAGATGCGCGTTTCTAGAGTTGAAGGGCCGGCCTGGGGCGCCATCTTCCATCCAGCCGATCGCGTCGGGGACACAGTCTGTGATGTTGGAGGTAGAGTTCGTGGAGGCTTTCTCCCTCTCTCGCTCCGCGCGCTGGCGCTTGATTACCGGCAGATGCAGGTTCTCTGTTTCGTTTATTTGCGCATTGAGCGTCTGCCAGGCTGGGGCGAAGGGTGCGACCAACGGACGGAGTACCTTGGGCCAGCGTGTCAGCGTCTGCGTCGCTTCGTATACGTTGATGGTGTAGGTGATTAGGATGCGGTGCCAGTCTATGTGGCGGCAGAGGTCGCCGCCGGTTAAGACTCTGGAGGATAGTTGCGCGAATATTTGCAAAATGCTGGGTTTGAGCTCGGTATCCTGCCATTCTGCGCGATACTAGTTAGGAGTTGACTAGTCACAGGCCGAAGAGGGAAGGTGGTTACCGGAGTTCGAGGGCCAATGCGTCATCAAAGCATTCGTCGTCTCAGTGCACAGAGGCTTCACAAGGATTTCTAAACTCCGCAATCTAGTCAGCCGCCTGTACGGTATACGTACATAAGGATTAGCGAGGGATGACGACCGACCCAATGCCTGTTTCAAGGGCTGTTTAATGGAGTTGAACATCAACTCGGCCTCCACGGTGGCGACATGGAATGGTTCGCACCCGGCAATATGCGAGTGGAATTTCTAGGGTTGAATTTTAGCGTCGTCATTGACGGGGACCGAGGGAGAGCGGTTTACGCGAGACGTGAACTTCTGCAGACTGAGGCGGTCATCGTTCCGCAGCTCATTTGTGCATGCTGAGGCCCCGAATCAAGATGTGGCCGATATCAGTGAAGAGATTGAAGGCGTTTTTATACTATGCCACGCGTTGGGTCAGCATTATTTCAGGGTGCACATTGGGTCTCTGCTCTGGTACCTTTGGGAAACCCAATTTGATCAGATCCACTGCCTGACAGGCAAAGTTGTCTGGAGTTCGGGTAGAACACCTCAAGCCTTGACGGTCATTAATGGAAGAAAATTTCCCACGCTCAACCGACAGAAGATGGAAGAAGATATATAAAACGCTGCCGATCAAGGAGAGTGTCAGGAACGGGCCCCCATTTCCCGAGAAAATTGCAGTTAACTCGGTATTCAGCATCCTGAGTCTACTTCGCCCGAGTTAATACAACGAATAAAATCTCGTATCGTGGGACGAAGGGGTTAGATGCTAGCATCGATAGCCACCTTGATTCGATACAGCCGGTCAGTTCCAGGCCGTAACCCCTACGCGTGCTTGGAAGAAGTCATCATCATTCCCAAAAAAACAACGAGAAAACGTATCGAACTGCAGGTGGGAGTCATTCTATCCCTCGCACAATGTATTGCAGACAATTGGTTCAGATTGAGAATGGTTCTCTGGTATGTGGAATATGTACGAAGTACTTCACCGTCTATTGCTCCCGCCCCTTGCTTGTTCCCTAGACAGCATGGATTTGCAATCATCCGGGCCGTACCGCATGGGAAAGAATGTATTCCTTGAGTGATCTGCGGTGAGCGAGTTTCGAGCAGAGCTTATTATACTCTGTCGAAGCATCCTCCAAGTAGCAACACACCCTGGCCATGCTCGACTTCACTGCGATGCCCACGGCTCTGGCCGTTCACGAGATCTTGAACAACTACGGGATATGGGTTTTCAGCATGCTGGCGACATACGCCCTGTCTCTCTGGTGGCTACAGCCACCCAGCACGATCCCGTTCTTTCATGATCGGAAACCTGGGGAGTTCTCTTTCATGAATTCGAAGATCAGATTCCTGACATCTGGCGCGGAGGTGTTGAAGGAATGTCAGGCCAAGGTATTTACACTGATTTTAGGTCCATCGTGGGTTGATTCGCTTGAGACTGTAGGTGCTCATGACTGTTGTAGGCGAAGATGTTCCATATCATGACCGAGCGAGGAGAGGCGTCTGGTTCTTCCCGGCGAATACACGGACGAGCTGAGAAACGACCCGCGATTCAGTCATACGAAGTCGCTTGAACTGGTAGGCTTCGATCTTCCGATTAACTATGGAGGTACTGAAATTATTTTTTTTTGACAGGATTGGTGTACCAAATTACCTGGGTTTCAGCCATTTTCGAACGGATCAACTCACGGCAAGCTGGTTCATGATGTGGTCTTAAGACTGACTAGGGCCCTGCGTAAGTTTTCTGCTGCTAAATTTTTCACGGTGTTCTGATCTTGGCTAATTTGGTCGCGCAATTAAGCACAGCTGACTACTACGATACGTGAGGAGACTGCACTGGCTATTCAAAAGCATTGGACAGACGACGAGGGTGAGGGCATCCCCCGATCACGTATCCTTCCAAATAAACAGGCTGGCTGACACCGCGAGGCTGAACGGACAGACTGGCACGATATCACTCTGAACTCCACCATGGTCCAAATCATTGCCCAGATCTCCGCTCGCATCTTTCTAGGAACAGGAATCTGTCGTGACCAACGCTGGATCGACACCGCCATTGGATATGTTGAGCATTCCTTCCATGCCATCCAGGCACTGCAAGCGTGGCCGCGCTGGTGCCACCGGATCGTACACTGGGTGTTGCCGGGATGTCGAGGACAGCGTGCATATTTCACCCGGGCAAGTGAGCTGCTGATGCCAGTCATCCTCAAACGCCGCCAGGCCCGGGCTGCCGCTGTAGCAGCCGGCCAGCACGCGATGGGCGACTTTTTGCTACTCGACTACGTGGAGGACATAGCGGCGGGCCCGAATTACGACCCCGTGGTGTCCCAGCTAGGTTTGTCATTTGCGGCCATCCATACCACAAGTGATCTGGTGGGGAAGGTGCTGGTCGACCTCTGTCGCCATCCTGACCTCATTCCGCCGCTGCGCGAGGAAATAATCTCCGTGATTCGGGATTACGGCTGGCAGAAGACGAGTTTCCATAAACTCAAGCTGCTGGATAGTGTCATGAAGGAAACACAGCGGTTAGCACCAAATATGATCAGTCGGTGCCCCTTCCCCTTGAGTATTGTATACTTATCTTGTGTCCCCTGTTGACTGACGGGTCCAGTTACGATGCGACGTGTTGCAACAGAGGATGTCACGTTGAAAGACGGGACCCATATTCCCCGAGGCACCCCGGTCGCTATATCATCCTCCCATATGTGGGAGGATAGCGAGCTGTATGACAATCCAGATCAGTACAACGGGTACCGATTCGTCAAATGGCGGGAGACGCCGGGGAAAGAGAGCAAGGCTTACATGGTAACCACCAGTCCGGATCATGTGGGATTTGGCCACGGCAGTCATGCCTGTCCCGGTCGCTTCTTTGCTGTGAACGAGTCCAAGATAGTTCTGTGTCATCTGCTGTTAAAGTATAATTGGCGCTTAGTGGACCCAGAGCAGCCTGGGTTCCAGATCATCGGACTGTTCTCGCATGTCAACCCGATGTTGAAACTTCAAATTCAGAGGCGGAAAGAGGAGATTCCTCTGTAGGGGTTTGCTTATATTTAGATGGTGAAAGCATCGATAGTATAAGTTAGCATTTTCTGTGATGGATTGGGCCAAGAAATGGTTGGTATAGATACACAAGAGAGATTCGCCTCAGATTAGCCTAAACTGGCGAGCGTTGTGTGCCAGCAGACTGGCATGTTGTCTAATTCGTATATTACGAGAATAAATTGCATCAAGACTTAGGTGTTGAAAAAATCAACCTACAGTATAGTATCATCCTACCCTTCTCACCAAGGCCCAGAGCATATCCTCCATCCAAAAAGCACAGCTACGATTCCTTCCGCGCCTTCTGCTCTTTCTTCTTCACATGCCGTAGCATCAAAACATATCCCACATCCAACAAAACACATACCACCATATGCCACCTCACCATCGGCCATTCCAGCCACCCAAACGCCTCTGGCCAGTGCATTCGCCGCAACTCGACCGAGATAGCCGAGACATAGGAGCCAATGAAGCGGGACGCCCTGCATAGTATAATATTAGCTTGACACCCAAAACACACGCGTACCCTCCCGATGTCGGAAAAAATACCAAATTCCATAACTCGCGCCACGGGAACTCCCCCTCCCAAGCAACTGACACCAAGCCCCCGCCACCAAAAAGTCCAGGCAGAAAAAGGCACCCCAATTCGCGGCGCGGCCTACGCCTACCGTCTTGGCCAAGGCAATATGCGCCAGCAAGAAGATCAGCGTCGCACTGGTGAAGATACGAAAGAGGTTGCGCTGCACAAAGGGCGCATGGGCCCACTCACGAGGCGCAAATCGCACAGCCCCGGCCATGATAAACACATTCAGGACGAGGTATAGTGTGACGTTGAAGCGCTCGATCGGGTTATGTGGCGGGTAGACCACCGCGTATGTGATCTCCCAGGCGAAGTTGCAGCACAAGGGGAGCACCGACATCCCATATGTTTGGTCCCGGTGTGATATGTAGGCCATTAGGGCATAATTGATGCCCCAGCCGAGGCCCTGGCCTAGTTGTGCGAGGTCGGCTATATGTGCATATGGCTGGTAGGTGGCGGGTGCCGGGGGTGGGAACCAGTCCATATTTTTCTCCCTTTTTTTCTTGACTGGGGTTTTGGGGGTTTGTGGAGGAATGCGAGGGTGGTGATAGCGGGTTCACATGCCCTGTATATCTCTGGGTTTCACCGTTAGATAAGTTATTTTCCCCTTCACCTTATATGCAAGGGATATGAAGGGATATTATATACGCGGTGTGACAAATAGTACAGTGGGGTACTTAGCCTTGGAGATATCGTTTCAACTGGCGCATTGTGATCCGAATCAGGATGCTACCGAACTGCCCTGCATGGTATGTATCTCGAACGGCGGAAGTTGGTTGTAACCTAGTGCCTCGGGGATAAAACATGCATGTGAAACAATTGAACAGTTTGTTGTGTAGCACTTTTCTGTCGCGTTACGACAGAGGACAATATCAAGAATTTATCGATTCGTGGGGATCGCGCAGAATGTCTGTACAGATGGGAGGGACTTGTAGGGCAACATCAAGTCTCCCACGTATTCCGTCCTAGAGAGTTCAAAACACCTATAGCACCTTTGTGTAACCTATTATATTCAACATGAACTAATAACATTCTCACTATATAGAGAGAAAAATCTAAGCCAACTAATCTTGTGAAGAATCCAGCTGCATCAGCCACGCCCGCTGGATCTTACCTCCATCTATATATGGGATAGAAGTCACAAAAACCACGTCCATATCCAGGGCCTTAGTAAGCTATCTGATCTCGCTGCGGGCGGCTTCGCATACGCACTGGGCTGGAAACCAGAAGGCGCGCTGGAAACCAGAAGGCGCAAATCCCTGTATAGCACCTGTAACTAAGGAAGCTCTACCGGGAATAGGAATAGGGATTTATTGATTCAGGGAAGGTCTAGAGGAACTGATAAATAGCGGGCATGTTAAATAGCCATCTATCTCTTCCGATAATAGGATGAAAAGGAGCGGGTTTATGCTAAGATACTTGGAGTAAACTGGTCCACGTTGCTGCACAAAGCCAAGGTTACATACAAAAGGAAACAAGCAGCGTAGGAGCAATCAATGAGAGAACCTGAAAGAAACTCTCCAATTCGCTGATAGATATATTCATTGAACCACCAGCAAAACACGCCGGGTCAATTTCGGGCTCGCCACCAAATCTGGTCTAACATCTGCGCTTTGTTCTCGAGTGGAAGCGAAGGGATGGCCTATCATTGTGAACCACAGTGAACATTGCCAGTTGTTTGTATATCCCATACTCCCCAGTTCGGAGCTTCGGACCATGCTCCAGGGCCCTTAAAGGCGTGATTGAGTTGACCCACAAGATCTTGTCCAGGGTCGCATGACTTTCTAGTACGCCAAAGTCTGAACCCACACCGGTAAACGTTGGAACCATCATTCTCCTGTGCGTTGTAACAAGCGTCGTAATGAGGGGCATCCATGCTTGCAATACAGCCTTGGCCTAGTAGTGAGTTGACTACTTGCTGCACTTTGGTCTCTGCGCTCTGTAGAGTATATTGCTCGATAGTAGGTTCTCCTACGTCCATTCGAACATACGCTTGCTCGCAATCGAGCGCTCGCACTCCTGCTGAAAGCAGACCGAGGGCGATCAAAAAAGGAAGCTGCATCGTCGCTACTATGTATTAGTTAGAACAAGGATGTTAGTTATATTGATAAGGCCTAACTCACATTTTAAGGACTTGGTTGGATAATACCTCGACGGTGAGTTAGAAGGGGGAGGGGATGGTGAAGAAATGCTGCCTGGTGTCTAGGCCACCTCGCTTTAAATAATACGAGTATCTAGAGCGGCAGCGAAGTGATTGCCAAGGAAAATTTTCCTTGGTCGGACTAGCCCTGCCTACGGACCTATAATTCCGCTATATTTCCAGATATGCCACTTGTGGACGAAGGCATCCTGAAGGATTTTGTGGTGTGTTACGAAACACTCATCCAAGAACCTCGTAGGAGCAGAGGCACCTGCAACAAGGCACGTGAAAGGGCTTCTAGGAGCAAAGTCGAGCCACCTAACCACAAGAGAGTGTTTTTACACGATCTTGCTAAAAATCTTCGCCCAACAAGTCAACTAGTTCGGGCGTCGTGAGATAGAATGTTTCACAGTTCTTTGCTAGTGATAATCCTATTGGATGCGACAATGGGCTCGTTGGAGGATTATATGGGTCCCAAAAGCCACAAGTAAGATTGGATAGAACTAAATTAAGCTTTTCTACCCAGACATTTCTGCCCCCAAAAGATCAACGTCAACCTAACCCAATGCAGGTCGGAACGGCCGAAAGATCCCCACAGGAGCCCAATTATTCGCCATCGCCCTGGGTCCTAAAATGAATGTTTAGAGGGTCTCGATCACCAAGCTGACGCCACAATGTTGCCCTGAAAATCTAGACGATCGGGGCGCGGGGCAAAACCGTCGGGCGACTATTATTGAAGAAATACGAAGGTAAACGGATCCTTTCGGGTCGATTACGTGGAATTGAAAACTCTGAATTTGCTAAAACTCGGCGCATTCTATGGTAGGGTGCATTACCGTGATGGGCTCCGTCATTGTGGGTGCAAGCATATTGGGTGAAGTCTGCGCCCCATTTACACTACTCTAAACAGAACAGCGAGACTTGTATTTTTGAGATTAGCTGGCCTTCAATTTTGTGGTTTTGGATTTTCACTTACCCATTTGCCTTTTGGTATAATGGTAAGCCGGTTGACCCTCTAGTGGGTTCACGAGTCTTTGCTCTTGCCCTAGGAAGGCTAACTGAAGTTGATGGAGCAAGCCCCAACCCTTCGTGAAAACTTTCATTCCCGGACTTAGTCTTGAAGAGGGATCTAGAGCTAATACACTATTCGATCATAAAGCATTTATCAGCACATAAAGGGATAACTTACCTCTAGTAACTAAGCACTTGACAAGGGTAGCAGCGTCCTAGAGGGTTATGAGGGTGGCTAACGATGATCCCCAAGACCTATACACATAGTACTACTGCCCCTACCGCCCGCCGTACTATGGCCCGCCGGTACCCCCTATACTGGCGGCCGCTATCGCCGCCCCCGCAGCCGCTGTACCTCGATCCCTAACTAGACCACGATTGCGAGATATATAACGCTCTGCGCTATTAAATAGTTAGTCGGATATCGTTACCGCTCGATTGGGATGACTATAAACCTGATTATACCTATTAGGACCGCCCCCGCCGGCGATAGAGGCTAGGTATACTAGCTATAGTATTACAAGTAGTTTGGGCTGCGCTTTGTGCGGCCTATGTTACAAATCAACTAAATACCTCTACACGCCAGGGCGAGAGGTATCTATCATTAGCGTCATTAGTTAGCATAATAGAGATTGAGAGAAGAAGAATAGTGTTACGAAATAAGTACCCCTACTTAAGCGAGATTACGTAGCCTAGTATCTAATATACCGACTCCCCTAGTAAGACCCCTATCTTCTACCCGAGTAGCCCCGAGTTACCCCGCTTCGGGAAGGTAGTATACCTCGGCCTACTATATACTAATAATATAGCGAGATACTACTATTACTCTATACTAGAGTAACTACTCTAGTATAAAAGTCTTATATCTTTCTATATTCCTCTAATTCCTTAAGAATTAGTCTTTATTTTAATCTAACTATACTAATTCCTTTTTACCTAATTAATAGGCCTTCTATCCTATAAATAGACCCTATAATAATTCTAATTCTTCTTCTTCGATTACCTAAAGAATTATAATACTAAGAAACTATTTTAGTATTATTACTAATATTAAACTAAATCTCTTAGTATTTACTAATAATCTATTAAGTCCTATCTTAGAAGAAATCTTTTTAATTATAGATACTAAGCTAGATATAAATATCTAAGCTATCTAAGAAAAAATCTAAAAACTAGAAAAACTAAAAAGCCTATAAAATAAAGTAACTATCCTCGAAACTAAGCTTAACCTAAGAAATATATCTAAATCCTAACTATATTATTACTAATATATTTATTTATCTTCTAAAAAAGATAAGCCTAAAATTAAGTTTAAAAATATCTTAATCTTTAAATTTAATTATACTCTCTAGAAATAATAAAAATAGCTCTTAGATCTCTAATAATCTTTTAAAAAAGCCCTAAAGAAATATAAAACTAATAGAAAAAAGATTATCTACTTAGTTAATTATATAGAAATAGTCTATTAGTAGAGATAGTTGTTACGGACCTTAAGAGGCGCGGGGACCGCAGTTATTTAAGGAGTAACCGTAAACCAATCGTCCACGGACGCTAAGGAGTAGCGTCATTACGTACGTTTCGGTATACTTAGGTATGCCCCGGAAGGCCCCAAGACATTCCGGAAAGAGAACCAGAAACGGCCTATAGCTAACCACTACGGATAACACCTGCTCATATAATTAGGTAGTTAGTGCAACGCAGGAAACGGCTACTATTTTACCCGTACTTAGATTACGCCCTAAGTGCTAGGTACTAGTAAAACTATACGTAATCTCTAGTAGTAGAAGGGTAGATTAGTATACGGGTAGATCGTACCAAGACTTATCTACTACTCTACTATCTACTACTTATACTATCACGAAGGACTAGATATATAAGGACACTTATTTAGCATTATATATTTAGTTCTTCGCGATTAATTATATATTATTACTTAGTTACTACCTTTAGTACTCTACTTTATAGTTTACCTTTAAGATAACCTAACCTATAAGTAGGGGAGCTTACTTCGTAGCAACACTCAGTGACTAACCTACTTAGCGTATATCTCTAGTACGTTCTATAAGATACTTAATAAGACCCGAACCCGACGTAAGGCTAAGCATAGTAACGGTACGGTTACGAGATACTCTTAGAATCCGTAGTTAGAACTAGGTAAGTATTACCCGGACGCTCTAACTTACAGTAACCGGTCGGCACTACGTAATATATTAATCGCCCTATCTTTAAACCGTAGAGTATAGTTATTATAGTAGGCAATAACAGTACCTTAAGTAACGTTTCGAGTAGATCGAACGCTATACCTATTAATACGTAACTTATAGAGATAATAT